GCATAATTCTACAAAACAAAAATTGGCCGGCATTCACAGCGAATTTGAGTCTATATCGCCTCTCCCTCTCGCACCTGCCAGGCAATCACCGCAGGGTCCTTGGGCAGCACAACCATGCTCGTGTAGTCCTTCTCCGCGACAGCATGGCCCTCTGGCAGCCTGAACTGCAATTCACGCACAAAAGTCGCGACAATGGTGCCAAGCTGCAGGTATGCAAATTGCTCACCGATGCAACGATGTCGCCCAGCGCCAAATGGCAAGTATGGCGATGCTGCACCTTTGGATACAAGCCCATAACCATAGTCCACCTTTTCAGTATCTTCATCTGAAGCCCGCTTAGCCCATCTGTACGGGTCAAACTTTTCTGGGTCGGGAAAGTGCTCCGGGTCCATGGCCGATGCTCCAGGTGCAGCAAGCACGTATCCACCTCGCGGGACGTGCCATTTGGTGTTGGGCACAGGCAAGTCTTGCACAACCTTGCGCATGATGGAGTGCAGCGGTGGGTGCATGCGCAGCGTCTCGCGAATGCAGTAATTCAAGAGATCCATGTCCTTCAAGTGCTCATATTTGAGCGGATTGATCTTGCCATTACTCACGCCTGCCACCTTCTTCTGCTCTGCGTACAACTCTTCAATCAGCTCTGGCTTGTCTGCGAGGTGGAGCAGGATCCAAGCTGACGTAGCAGCAGATGTATGCTGTCCTGCCATCAGCAGCGCAATCATGATGCCGGCAATTTCCGTGTCATTGAGCGGGCGTCCATCCTTGTACTGCTGGTTCATCAAGTTCCAGATCATATCCTTTGCTGGTTCTTCGCCGGTCGCGCGTCGTTTGTGCACAATGGACGAATATACTTGAGCCATCTTTTGCTGCGCTGCATCTCGCTTGCGGTTGGCAGGCAACGGTAGCCAAGGCGCGAAAAAGTTGATGGGTGTGAAGCCCTTGTCAAGGTCGTGGTAGAGATCTGCAAAACTCGCGTCAAACCCATCGCGTACTTCTTGCCCTTGCAATGTGCGGGAAGCAGTGAAAATGGTCAGCTCTGGTGTGGCCTTGTTGAGCGAGGTGACACCCTGTTTCTTGTCGAGTCCAAAAACGGGCGATTGAAGGTAGCGCATCGTCTCATCGACAATCATGCCGACGTACTGCTTGAAGTTTTCGGTCGACATGCCAAACTTGACAAACTTCTTTTGCTCCATGAGGACGTGATTCGGGACATCATAGACAACCTCCTTGCCAAAGACTGGAGTTGTGAGGGGCGTGTATGCGTCTTCTGCATTGATGTATGCCTGCTTGCCATTGAACACGAAATCATTGCCTGTCGGCCCAAGAAAGACGGTGATGCGCTTGCCGAGCAAGACAAAGGTAAAGACGTCGCCGTGCTTTTCGAGTTGCTCTGCAAAGAACTCATACGGCCGCATACCGTAGCTCAATGTCGAGCCGAGGAACGGTACCCAATGAAAGACAGTCGGCGGTTGGTCGCCATTGCTAGGGAGGAGCTGTGATACTATATGCCACGCGTAAAAGACGGCAGCCCACGTAGCAAGAAAGGTGATGGGTGACTCGCCAAAAGGACTCAGCGAGCGTAGATAGTCGAGGATGGCCATTGTGAACAAGCCTTGTCCGTTGCTGACCTTTCGCTTTTGTCTTCTGGCTTTCCGCGAGTCGTGGCATCGTACGACAATCGCAGCAGTCACATTTCTGGACGAGCTAGGTGATGAGGTCTGCCAGCTCTCCGATAGTCTCCACCACATAGTCAATGTACGGCTCATTGCGTCCGTCTCGGCGCATCTGGCCTGGACCAAGCTCTGGTTCGCTCTCGCCAGGTCTGTAGATGAAGGCCGTCCTGAGACCTGCCTTCTTGGCGTACTCCAGATCACTGAAGTGACAGGCTACCATGACCACCTCCTCATAGTCCATCAAGAGCATCTCTGCAGCACCACGGTACACGCGTGGGTCTGGCTTTGTCGATTGCCAAAGTTCGCCAGACATGATGAGATCCCACTGCATGTCGGCGTGCTTGCTCATGTCCACCAACAAACGCATGTTTCCATTCGAGAGAGTGCTCGTGATTGCTTTGCGCTTCAGTCTGCGGATTCCCTCGGATGTGTCTGCATGTGGCTCTAGCTTATGCCAAAAGTCTTGCAGCTTGTCGAGCTCCGTCTCGTCTGCTTTGTAGCTCATTGAGTCCGCCAGGATGGACTTGATGAGTCGACGGTGCACTAGATCGACAAGCGTGTATGGCTCTTTGTTCTGTTGCGTGCCAACGCCAATGCAGTACTCGTAGTAGCCTTTGCGCCATTGCAGCGTCATATCAAGAGCCCTGGAGGCGTCCAAGCCGCGCTCTGTCAGAAAGGCGGCAAGCTGCTTCTCCACCGATGTTTGCCAGTCGACACATGTTCCAAAGCTGTCTATTAGAGGATGCTGCTGCTAGATAGATGCACATACACATCAAACACAAAGGCCTTGAGCGTCATGGTTGTGTTTGTCAAGCAAATCGCGGGGTCGAGTTCAGATTTTACGGGAAGCTACACGTACGCTGCTTGGGCCGACTAATCATGGCCTTCATGGCCTGGAAAGGGCTAGTTCTCAACAGGCAAGGACTTGTGAGCCTCTGATGCAGCATCCTTGATCGGCAGTTTCTCAATGTCCGTACCAGGCAAGTCTGCGAGTGCCTGGCCGATGAGGGCTATGCCTTGCTCGAGCTGCGCATCTGAAATGCACAAAGGCGGCGAGAGCCGAACAATGTTGCCGTGTGTCGGCTTGGCCAGGAGTCCCCTAGACTTGAGTAGCAGACATAGATCCCATGCAGTCTTGCCATTCGTTTTGGACTCGTCGATGACAATGGCATTAAGCAGTCCCTTGCCACGGACAAGTTCCACGAGTGGCGACTTGAGGTCTTCAATACCCTTGCGGAAGGCTTGTCCTAGCCTCTCTGCCTGCTCCACCATACCTTCCTCCCTGACCACCTCCAAGGCTGCCATGGCAACTGCTGAGCCGAGCGGATTGCCTCCGTAGGTTGAACCATGGCTACCAGGCTCGAAGCAAGACATGATCTCCGTGGATGAAAGCACGACAGAGACTGGGTAGACTCCACCAGAGATGGCCTTGCCAAGAAGCACTGCATCAGGCTTCACGTTGGAATGCTCAACACACAACATCTTGCCCGTTCTTGCAATGCCTGTTTGAATCTCATCTGCAATGAACAGAATGTTGTATTGCGTGCAAAGCTCCCTGACTCTTGGAAGATAGTCTGCAGGAGGTACCACGACACCTGCTTCGCCCTGGATAGGCTCAACCAAGAACCCAGCAATGCGTTCGCCATGGGTCTTGAATGCAAGCTCAAGATCTTCAATGTTTCCGTAACGAATGACCGACTTGCTCGCCGGGCACGCTGGTCCAACACTCGGCAGGAATGGGCCAAAGTTTGTCTTGCAGTCGGGATCTGTGCTCATACTAACAATACCCATTGTACGACCGTGAAAATTGTTGGCGCAGGACAAGACAATAGCCTGATCTGGCGCAATGCCCTTCTTCATGTAGCCCCAGCGCCTTGCCATCTTGATGGCTGTCTCGACTGCCTCTGCGCCCGTATTCATGGGCAGCACAGACTCATAGCCAAAGAACTCTGTGACATACTTGGCAAACTGCGGGAAGATGTCGTTGTAGAATGCGCGGGACGAGAGTGTCAGACGCGATGCTTGGGTTGTGAGCGCATCAATGATCTTTGGGTGGCAGTGGCCCTGGTTGACTGCACTGTAGGCAGACAAAAAGTCGAGATACTCGTTACCCTCTGGATCATAAACAAGAGGTCCTTCGCCACGAGAGAGAACGACGGGCAGCGGGTGATAGTTGTTGGCTGCGTAGTGGTGCTCGTCTTCAATGGCGCTTGCGCTTGTGTATGCGGCTGTCTTTTGTGCGACAGAGGGACTCATGGCGTGTATGTGGTTAAGGTAGAAGTTTGCCTGGCTGCTCGTTTGCTTTTCTACCCTTGATGCCTGGCTCCACGCAGTCGAGGGAGGATGCGAGGGAAACTCGGGCGGGCCGTGGTGTTGCGGAATTGAAACTGCTGACCATCTCGGGATTGCCTGTGCTGTATCCTGTGTGCTGTGTACTGCTGTATACTGTGCTGTATATTGTATATTGTATACTGCTACTGGAGTATATATTGTCACTCCATCTCCTCCAGCTTAGCCAGCGTCTTCTGTAGCTCCGGAGGCACAGCAGGACCCGTCACCACCTTCCCGTCCTCATTACCCTCCTCTTCCTCCTTCAGACCCTGCTCCTTGCGCGTCTTGCTCATGTTCCTCAAAGGGCATTCGGCCGGGTCTAGCAAGCCATTGCGGGCATGCGCACTGCATCGACCGCACTTCCTGCCATGTGTGATCAACAGGCAGTGCAGTGGGTACTTGTACTTGCCGGGAATCATAATATCCAGGTGCCCAAAGGTCTCTTCACGGCCAGCCCGCTGTGGCACCCAGCCAAGACTCTTGGCTAGACGAAAGACATGCGTGTCCACCGCAAACGAGTCGCGCTTCATGCAAAAGAGCAAAACACATGAGGCTGTCTTTTGGCCAACACCCTTGAATGAAATCATCTCCCGCATCGCATCCTCATTCGTTGCTTCATGCAAGTGATCCAGACTGTACTTCCCATACGTCTTCTTGGCAGTCGCCACGACGTCTTTGATGGTAGCCGCTTTAGTCGGTGCAAGTCCTGCCACACGTATTGCGTCAATAACATCTTCCACGGACGCCTCGTCCACCGCTTGCCAGTTGTTCTTTCCAAAAGTATCATGCAGGTTGTGCATTGCCTTGGTCGAGTTGGTGCCGGTCGTATTTTGCGAAAGCACCGTTCGAACGAGTGCATCCATAACAGAAGGGACCTCGCCGCAGTTAGCCGCTCGCCCTTCTTTGCCAATCGACTCCGATCTCTCAATCTCGCCATGGAGCTCAGAAAGAAGATCAACCACTTGCTTGCAGTCCTCGGGCGTCGGCCGCTTGTAGTCTGGGTACGGTGAGATCACGTACGAGTCGAGCTTTTTGAGTTTTGCTGCAACCAACCGTGCTGCCTGCTCGTCAGACGTCTTTTGCGGCGTCTTGCGAGGCGACTGACCCGTCTTGCTCTTTCGAGGACTATCCAGATCCAGCAGCTCCTTGTCATCACCATCAGATTCATACTTGACGCTACGAGTCTTGCGAGGCGACGCGCGCTTCGATGGCGGTGTCTCGTTTTCCTCCTTGATTCGCTTCACAGGCGTCACCTTGGTTGACGTGGCCGCGGCCTTTTTGGGCGTTGTCGAGACCATCCTCACGGCAGCAGTGAGATAATGTCGGTGCCGACAGAGCATCTACTGGCAATCGCGTCCCGGTCAATGTCGTCACCACTGTTCATCTGTCAGTCGGGAAACCTTAAATAGAGCAGTCACGTACCTAGTTTGCCATAGAGGCCTAGTGGGGGATGCCGTTCGTCATCTTCTGAAATACATCATACGCCACCGTCCGCTGGTTCTCATGCGACTTGGCAATCAATGATAGCATGACCTGGCTCGCCTGCGGCTCGCTCACGTCCAAGTGAAAGCGGTTTCGCAAGTTGGTGATGGTCTGCTGCCCCTTGAAGCACGGCAAGCCAGACTCGAGCATCAGCGTCACCAAGTGGATAATCTTTTCAGAGTATTGCCGAGATACCAGAAAGGCCTTGATGCACAGCTCCTGGAACATCTTGTAGGACTGCGTGTGCTCGCTGCCTCCCATCACCGCGACCATCTCCGTCGTAAATTTAAATGGCGCCGACTCAAACGTGATACCACCAGGCGCAATATCGAAGCAAAAGCCAAAGTCAATGTGCAAGACATGGCCTTGATTGTCGTACATGATGTTGCCATTGTGGCGATCTTTGAATTGCAGCAGATAGCTAATTACCGAGTAGGCAGCCATGCTCTTGACAAAGTTCATCCGCGCTTGCTGGAAGGCGATTGTGTCGGGCTGGCCAAATGAGGTGATGAAGTAGTCATACAGACCATTGACAGCCTCGCGACCCAACATGTCGCGCGATATACTATTGGGTAGCACATCAATCACACCACATCCAGGCGCCGTTGCAGTGACACGGTAGGGAAAGACGTATAGATCAAGACCGATGCTGTTGAAAATGCCACGAAATGTTGCAATGAGCTGAATAGCCAACACATCCTGGCGACAGTCGTCACCGACCTTGAAAATAGCAGACTGCATCTTTTCAAACGTAACAAGCTTCGTCTCCCCTAGCAGATCTTCCTGCTTGCGTTCTCGACGAATCTTGAACGTAGCCATGAAGGGTGCTTTTGCATGAGATTGCAGCGGCCTGCCAGATTTGCGATCAATACCAACCACAACGCCGTCAGGGTTGCTAGGCAGGTAAACGCCTTCCTCGACCTTGATCTTTGCCATCTCCTCGTCAATCTTGGCCTTCTTTTCTGGCTTTGGCTTTTTGATGTACGGCTTGAGCTTGCCAGAAATGCTGGTGACCTCGCCAAAGAAGCGAAACTCCGTTTCGTAAAAGGCCTTGTCACTGCCAGACAGGTTGCGAATCATGATTGCCGCGGTTTGGTCTAGCGCCGGCTTGATGACATCCTCGATGGTCGCATCTTCATCCTTGTACGCATTGGCATTGAAGTTCCAGATAATTTGGTGCGCAAAGAGTTGTGAGAGCTTGGCCGTCTCGATAATGAATCGGCGAACATAGCCCTTTTCATCATGACGAAGGAGTTGCACAATTTGAGGCACATAGAAGAAGGTGACTTCGACAGGATGTGACTCTAGCGACCGCACCGCGTATTGCAAAACTAGCGGATGCATCTTGAAGGCCGGCAGGAAGTAGGTAATGGCCGAAATGGGCACTGCTGGCGACCAATACACAAGGTATTTGAGCACAACTCTGGTGTCATCTGATAATTCTGTGCCAAGCAGATACTCGGCAGCATGAGCGTGGCCCACGACGCGCCTTGGCTGTTTGATGATTAATGCACGAACGGCACTGCGGATTGCTGGGCTTGAGAAACGTTGCGCCATGGACAATGCCAGGGCGCAGCTGTGGTCCCATGCCACTGGCAGCAAGGCAAGAACCTGACTAGTCTCGACAGCATGTGGCTTGGTTTTGGAGAGCGGATCAAGCCAGAGTTCATTCTTGGCAATATCGCTTTTGAGGAGCAATTGAATAAGTTCTCGCTTGCCAATTAGTGCTTCGGCAGGCTTGTCCCGACGAATTTGCTCATTAAGGATGTTGCAAAGGAGACTATCCTTTCGCAGTCGGCCAACATCACTGCCAAATGACCAGCGCGGTGGAGCAGCAAAGATGAACAAACTAGAGTCGTAGAGGCATTTCTCAAACGCCTCACTAAGAACGCCAAGCCCAAGGGCGCGTAAATTAGATTTGAGCTTGAAGCCAATGATGACAAGGCGAAGGATCGGCTCAAAGCAAAAGATGTGCATTGAAGCGCGATTTGTCATCAAAGCGCGCAAAGTGGTGCGGATGAGGCGTACAAGGATCTTTTGACCCTCGGTGTCGGTGCTGCCCGGCCCGGAAACGCGGCTGGCGAGGAATTGGATGATGATGAGATGCGGTTCAAAAGCCTGCTCGGTCGCCTTGACCGCCATTCTGATCGAGTCCTTGTCGGTCGGTGCATACTCCATGACATGTGCAAATGGGTCCCTGCTGTTGAATTTAGCAGAAAAGATGCCGCGTCCTTCAGCCAACGTCCGACCCCAGCAGCAGTCAATCTCGGCCAACAATGTCGGTTGCAAGTGCGGGCACGCTGTAGCGACGCGAGCCCACAAAGAAGCGGCGATTCTGACGACTGGAATGCTAAAGATATTGAAGGGCACCTCCACAAGCAGCATGAGCAGGCGATTGGTGTCTGCAGCGCCGTCCAATATGCGTGCAACGCAGAAGCCAAGCTTTTCCTTGAGCTCTGTCGAGGAGATGAAACTCCTTCGACGACTTTTCTCCAGCAGCTGGCGAGAACTAGGCAGTTTCTGTTCTGGCTCTGAAGTTCGTGCCGGAACAAGACTTTGCAGGTGTCTCAGAGAGAGCTCTCCGACAAACGCATCTGAAGAGTCACGGACCTGCTCCGTTGGTGAAGGCTGATCTCGCGCACTTGAGCGAACAGCGTATTGAATGGCCAACAAGCGACCTCGATCTGACGAGAAGTCATGCTCTTCTTGGTGCATGATATATGTGCTCAGTAAACTTCTAATGTCCTCGGCGCAGTCACGCATGGCAGCGTCCAGCCACTGAGCAGCATGACGCTCAGCCATGTCCAGGCTGATTTTGCGATCAGAGAATGAATCGCTGACAGTGATGGTCAGATCAACACGTTGAGAAGTAAAGTTGTAGCTCGGGGAGTACTTGTCGGTAAACTCCTCGTAGCAGCTCCATCCCAAGAGTGTAATGCTCTCCAAAAGGGTCGTAATGACCAACTGGTTGCAGAAGGCTGAAGGAACATGCTCGACAATCTGGTTGATGGTCAATATGGCTTGGTCTCTGACCGCCTTGACGCGATGACAAGCACCGACTATCAAGTCTCTGAGCTGCACATCCAGTCGCATCGGTTCGCCGAGCTTGTGTATGGCTGCAAGAAAGCGTCTGGTATTTTCGTAGTGAATGGCATCGACAAGCGTACTCACATCGCTGTTGCGAAGTGTTGCCTCTTCGTAATAGGCAAGACTACCAGCAGCTACGCCACTGCTGCTCCTCAAATTTTCGAGCAAGGCAATAGCATTGAGGTAGACTGCTTTGCTAAAGCTAAGACGGCGGACTAGAGAGCCCTGTACTGACAAGAATGCATCAAGAGCCGCTTGCAAGACTTTGGTATCAGCATGATCGTGCTCTTGGCGTAAGACAGGATATGAGTCGAGATCAGCCTCTAGAGCGTCTGTCAGCGTTTCAAGCGCTAGTGAAGGAGAAGCGTGGGCAATACGCCTCAGATTGCTTTGCTGCTGAGTGACTCGAGTACTGCCAAGCGTGTAGCCGTAAATCACGAGATGAAACCAAAAGTTATGAAACAGCTGGACAAGGTCAGGCGAATAGGCTGGACGGGAATCTTTATCGAGCAGCACAGCCAAAGGCTCGATGAGGGCATCCAATGGTGGTCGCTTCTTTTCTGCTGTTCTGATAATGGTCGCGCGAAGCAGAGTACCAAGATACGGTAGGTAGGCTGGGTGCTCGGCATCAAGCTGGCCACCGATACTGAAGCGAGCTTCTTTGATAGCGTTTGTGATAAGTTCATCCGGCGCAGCTTTCTCGACTGCGCTGTAAAGAGCTACAACGCGAAGAACGTCCTTTTCACCGCTTTGCCTTGCCATGACGGCCAGCTCGACCACAATTTTGCGCTGTAGCAGACTCGATACACGCGTAAACTTTTGTAGCAAGATGGAGATGCCAAGGGCTCCAATCTGTTCGTCTTCGCAAGCGGTGGCAAAAGTGGAGACTGCTTCGACTGCATTGCGAGCAGTGTCGTCCGTCGGCAACGAGCGCGTTGCCCTGCTGGAAATACTCTCATTGTAGCTACCTGCTTGGAGTCGCACTGAATCTACCCCTGCTGGTGCGAAAAGGTTCGCAAAGTGATACATGGTTGAGATGATTGCATCGTTTGAGTAGTACTGCAGCACTGCCAAGAGACGTTTTGCCGATAATACAGACAGGTGTTCGCCGGTAGTGACCCTTGGTGCATACTGTACAACAGATTTCAAGTGGTTGATGAAGACTGTTGCATGTTCGGGAAAACGCACAGCAAGAATGGACATGACATTGACGACAGCCGGCCCAAGCACTGGATCATCAAGCTCTTGCGCATCCATGACCAGATTGTGCAGCCAAGACAAAAGGATTTCGTCGAATTGACCAAGTGACACCGCAGCAAGGCAATACACCTTGAGAGCCCGACCGAGAACTGCTTCCGAGAAACGAGATAAGACGGTGGAGTTGGTCAAGTCGTATTGAATCTTGACATGCGCAACGACAGTCTGCCAGACTAGAGGATCCGGAAGTCGGTCCTTGCCAAGTGGGACGCCTGGGTCGCCAAGCGTTGTCCAGAGATCCTGACAATCGAGTCCATTGAGAACAGCCGACTTGGTCCAGGCCAGCACAAACGTAATGACAGCATGCTGAATCTCAAAAGGGTATGCTCCAATTCGACTTGTGTCTGGTAAGTCAGTGAGGGACGCAGCCGAGCCACGCGAAGATATCTTGTGAAGCTTTGGCAAGATTGTGTTGAAGGTCTCCACCAAGACGACAAAGTCGCTGTAGAGGATGACCAGCGGAAACTCCTTGACGGCAGAGAGAAAACCAGCAAGCGTTGCTAGAGAGACCAATTCATCAGCTAGTGTTAGTAAACGTCGCACATATCGATGACTAAAATATACCTTGTGCCTTGCGCGTCATCTTAAGAAGAAGGTCTTTGACTGCCTGCGATTCATCAGGGTGAGTCTCAGAAAGCCGCAACAACGAGATCGCCGTCGTATGCGCAAACTGTTGCAGCTCAAGACTCGAGTGCATGCCCTTGTCGCTAGCTTCTTGCATGCGTGGCCATCTGCCGACAATGTCCTCGTAGTCTCTTATCAAAGATACTGCAATCCCTGGAGACGTACTTTGCACGCACGACGCGGCATAGCCTTGAAAGGCCGCGAGTTCGCGTCGAGTAAGCCTTCGTGAGGATTCGGCAGCTGACTGTGGTCCGCGCGCTTTGTGGTAGTAGTCCGCTATACGTTCCTTTTGTACGTTGCCATGCCTGCCATCGGCCGCCAGCGCAGCGAGCCGCACCAATGCCTGCTGCCGACAGGCCATACGCGACTAGTTTGTTTTGTGCTGTTGTCTTGCTGGATGACGATGGATGTCCTGGAAGTCGCATTTGAGGCAGTCACAGGCATGATATGGACCATTTATACAAGTAGAGTCAGCTTCTACGGCTGCTACCATGACGATGTCTGTTTGAATGATGACGAGACCGTCTGTCATCTTCCCTGTCTCTGTCTCTGTCCCGTTCACGCTTGCTTCTGTGGCGGCCGTCAGGACTCCTTGATCTGTGTCGACGCAGACTTCTTGAGCGTGACTCCGGTCTGCTGTCGTGTTTCTTTTGAGGAAGCCTGCTGAGTTCATCTTGTCTTGCTGGCGCTGGCGCTGGCACTGGCAAGGGAGATGTACTCGTTGATGCGAAGACCTCTGCTCCTTCAAGTACTCGCTCGCCTGTCCTCTTGTTGACCTTGACGACAGGAACATAGGTTCGCTCCTCCTTACGCACCTCATGCCTCTTCTTCGCCAAGTCTGCCGCAGTCTTGGTCTCTTCAGGCCGTTGTGTAGCACCCAGCCCGAGGAAGTCTGGCCGCCGTTCCTGTGGCTTGCTCTCTGCCTTTTTGTCCTTGTCTGGGTCATAGCCCAAGCCTCGTAGCATTGCCAAGCCAAAGCTTTCTACAGGGACACTTTCGTAGTCTGCAAGACTCGACATATCTGGGTGGCTCTCGGCTGCAGCCTGTCGGTGTATGGTGGATGCTTCTTGACGAGCTGTGGCAAGAGGAGCGTTGCTAGCAGTTTGATCTCGCTCTGCAGTCCTGCTGCCAGAATGGTTTGTAGCAGACAGACCATACGCGCGGTTCCGCGTGCGTTCTTCGAGCTCAAGTTCTTCAATGCTCCTGCCATCGGTGCGTGTCGTAGCGTGTATCAAGGCACTTGGGACATAGGCTTGCCGCGCACCTCGGAAGGTGTTTTCAAGCCTAGGTACAACCAGGGGCGCTGTTTCCTTGCGTGCGAGTGTCTCTGCAGAGAACTCTGTCAGCGGCTGAGCACGGACAGCCTGCTCTTCGTCGTCCGAGTCATGGAAGACTTTGATGCGCTTTGCATCGGGCATGGAGCAGAGCCAGTCTCAAAGCCAGTCTCAGTGGCAGCTTAGCAGTCTAGCAGCGGTATATGAGCCTTGATGAGCTTCTCAATGGAAGTAAGCAGCAGTAGTCTTGGTCTCTAGCTAATCAATGAGTAGTCCTGGTCTCATCAAGTAGTTTCTCAGTAGTTCAAGCGCTGAGAAATCTGGAGAAGCAACGACGACCAACACCCAACAACTGCTCCTCCGTCTGCCAAGCTACAGTCTGCGTGTATTGCTCCGTCCTGGTCCAGACAGCCAGTGGCCCCGGTCATCAGTGACTCGCAACTGCAGCAGTCGTATCAATAGCAGCAACAACAGCAGCAACAACAGCCAAACATGAAGCTCTACTCCACCACCTTCACCTACGACCACCCATGGTCCACTGTCACACTCGCCTACTTCCTGCGCTACCCCAATCCATATGCGCAACATGTCCTCGCCAGTGATATCCTCTCGAGGCATGTCGACACACAAGGCACACTCCATACGACACGCCTCCTCGTCAAGCGCGGCAAGCTGCCCAAATGGGGCGCAAAGATTCTCAACATCTCGCAAACCTATATCATTGAACATTCCATCGTGAATCCAGCGACAATGGAGATGCAGACAGAGTCGCGCAACCTGGATCACACCCGCGTGCTCAAAGTAGTCGAGTCGCAGCGCATGACCGCATCCCTCGCAGATCCAACACAAACAGTCGTAGAGACCACTGCGAGAGCCTACAGCAATCTCTTCTTTGGCGTCAGTGGACGTATAGAAGGCCTCGGCGTCTCCAAATTCAGAGAGAATTTTGAGCGGTCTCGTCTCGGTATGCAAGTTATTTTGGATGCTCTGTCCCGAAGAGAAGGCCCAACTTCAACAGGCATCCGACTCGGTCAGGGACTTGGAGCGCGCTGGCGTAGCGTGCGGGAGTGGCAGGCACGCATGAACGCTTGATGATTTATTCTACAGATGCATAGCGGCAGCATGTCTTTTCTCAACTCATTCATCTCATGGTCTTTCTGTGCACTGCTATCGTCCACCGCTTTCTGATGCATCCCTCGCTCTCAATCAGCAGCATAAAACAACTCGCAATCCAGCTAGCACTGACTTCTGCTGAAAGCAGCGAGACAGTGACGTTAAGTATGTCTGCAATATGGTCAGTCACTAAGGCACAGCTTCCTCAAGCTCGAGCTGCAGCATGAACTCATGAGCATGAGTAAAGAGAGCTGTATCTCCAACACGCACACTTATTGTCCGAGCCAGATGGCAAGTAGCATAGCGAAGAAGATGTTCAAGCATTTAAGGCAGGAGGAGCATAAACCAGCTGCCAGATCGATATCCCGGTCCTGAAGCGTGTGCGGATCAGATGAATTCGCTCGAGTCACTTTTGATATCTGTATGCAGTCAAGTCATAGAGGTGGAGAAGTTGAGGGGTTACACCGTATTGAGCACGAGTCGATAGCTAGTCTGACAACTTTCGACGGCACATCAAGCAAGCAGTACTCATGTATGAGCATGTTCTACTTTGCACGCGCCATTTTGCTCTGGCCTCGCTTCATGTTTCGCTCTCTCTCCTTCAACAGAGCCTTCTTCTGCTCTGATGCACTCAGCTTGGCAATCCGCTCCTTCTCTGCCTTCTCACGCAACGCCTTGCGAGATGGCTTCTTGGGCGCGTCCGCTTTCGCCTCTTCCTCAATCTGCTTGCGAATCTTGCCATACGTCTCCTCACGCGCTTGCTGCAGCTTGCGCGTAGTCACGGCAGAAAGCTTGCCTTGTGCCTTGGGGAGGGTATCACAAAGTGTCAATGCGCATTGTACAAGACGTTCAACGTTTTCTCGTGTCGCAGCAGTTTCGCCAGCAAGCACAGAGAAACGAATGGCACGCTGATGGGTGAGCGGCGCATCAGCTTTGCGTGGCTGCGTGACGGGCTGGTCTGTAATGACAAAGTACTCGAGTGCTTCGCCAAGATCAGCGACAACAGCCTGTAAGTCCTTGGTGAGCACCTTTTCAAGGCATTCCACCGTCTCCGTCATGGTGACAAATTGGTGAGGCAGCAGAGCACTGTCATTCGTCTTGGTGAATTGCAAGTCCCAGCACTTCTTGCGCTGGTAACGCATAACACGCTTAGCCACGACGCCGCAGACGAAACCATCAACATCGGCGTTGGCAGGAAGCAAAAACTGGCAAGTCAAGCGGTCAGCAATACTTTCGCCATCAAAGTACAGTCCATAGATGGTCCTGACGGGTAATGCAACAATCAAATCTTGACGCGGGTACATGTCGACTGTGACTTTGCACACATCGACATTCTTGCGGCCTTGTGCAAGGGAGATGAAGGCGTCGTTGCTCTCCATGCTCATGGGTGCGCCTCCGTCAGACAACGCCTTCAGGCCAACTTGCTCAAACTCCCTGCCAAGGATCCCATAGACTTTGGTGAATGCACGCTTCGCAGCGACTTGATTCTGCTGGCAACCGACAAAGTGCAATACGATCCAGCCAGCGATGGCAGCAAGGAGGCAGGCCTCTAGAATGAGGGTGTGTGGTGGATTGCGGACAAAGAATCCGGTGAAGAGTTCCGGTATGCTAGTTGGCCGTGCTGCAATCGAGGCTGTAGCACTCGCTGCTGAAGCAGAAAGACTTGTCGCAGCCGAGGCAGCTGCTGCAGTGGCCTTGGACACGACACTGGATTTGGCCTCGCCCTTGACGTAGTCCTTGAAGCCTGCACTGACTGTCGGGAGCAGCATCGAGCCTGCAATGGCCCTTTGCATGGCTGCACCCTTCATCGGCTTTCGGTTGTGGGTGTTTGTGGTCGTCGAGGCTGGTCCAAAGTCAAACAGAAAATCAAATTCACAGCGAGAGCAGCGACAGAAGAGACGCACGAGCAATAGATGAGCTTAGTACGGGAAAGGACGAGCAGAGAGAGCTGAAACACAAACGACAAAAGACAAACTGCATCTAGAACGCACTAAACAGATGACACGTAAATCACCTCTGACTGGTTGAAGCCGTTGAATTTGGAGCTTGCACACTTGGTGTAGGCTCCCATCTCATCAAAGTACAGCCAGTCTCCCACTTGCATCACAAAAGGCAGGTAAGACTCACCCGTAATGCAGTCGAGCGAGTCGCAGGTGGGACCCCAGATCGAGCACCGCACACGCTGCTTCTGCAACGACTTGGCAGGCGCATCAAAGTAGGAACGGCCCTTGTGCATAAGCACTTTGGGCACTGGATGCTGGTGATCAAACATGATGCAATTGAAACTGCCATACACGCCATCGTTGACGTAGTACATGAAGTTGTTGCTCGTTGTACCGGGCAAGGGCTCGTCCGAGTCTGGGTAGATGGTGCGGCGAGCGATAATGTGCACAGCCAGGGTAAAGGCTGCAGCGACATAGTACCGTCCAGGCTCTGCAATGACGCGGACGTCAGCCGGGAAGTGCTCGTCAATGGCAGGACCCAAGACGGCAGCAAACTTTTCGAAATTGTCGTGGCCAAAGCCGCCGCCAATGTCGAGCGTGTGTAGTGTGAAGCCGACCGCAGCTGCTTCATCAAAGACAATGCGAGCACGCTGCACGGCATCAACAAAGGCCATAGGGTCGCTCGAGCCAGATCCAACGTGGAAAGACACACCCACGACGTTCAGCTTGAGCTCCTTGGCAAGCTTGAGCAACGACATGGTCGTGTTGAGTGGAGCACCGTACTTGAGGCCCAGCTGGCAAAGGGCACCTGAATCATCGGTCAGGATGCGCAAGAAAAGCTGTGCCTCTGGGTTGTAGTTGGCAATCTTGTGCAATTCCTCTGCATTATCAAATGTTGTGGCCTGCACACCCACTGCACCAGCGTAGCGAATGTAGCTAGCAGCCTTGCATGGGTTTGCATAAATGATGCGATCTGGGGAAACGCCTAGATCCAACACCTGCTGGATTTCTGCCTTGGATGCACAGTCGAAACCAGTGCCCAAAGCAGCCAACAATCGGATGACTTGATTGTCTGGGTTGCACTTGACTGCATAGTGCGGCACGACACGAGGCAGGTTCTGCTGCCAACGTAAGTGCTGGCGAACAATTTCACCTAGGTCCGCAACGAAGAAGGCGGCACCATTTTCAATGTTGTCTGGGTTTTGGCCTTCATGCTCAATCCGAGCGAGCTGGTCTTCGAGAGCCCGCTTCACGCAAGCTCGAGCAGGGTTGGATGGGAATGTATTATGCTCTGCATCGATTTGCTGAGCAACATGGTTGTAAAGGAGAGGAGCCGGAGCCATGGAGGGCTTGTCCGGGAAGTTGGGTGCGAGGTTGGGGGAAAGAACCTGAAAATCGACTGCTGGCATCCGGGTGAGATACGCAAGAAGGTGAGTCAGGTGAGAGCGAGGTCAGAGACCTTGCTGTACTCGGGGTTGAAGCTAATGGAAAAGAGCACCCTGCGACGGTGCTCTTATGGTTGTCAGGCGGGTATAGGATTTCCTTGAAACTCGTGTCAGGGCCTGTTGTCAGCATCTGTTGAGTATTGCAGTTGTCTGTATACCTTGGAACTGCCCAGTACGACGTCGAGAGGGCGTCGAGGGTCAGACGAAGGAGGATGAGGGTGTGCGGTTTGGCTTTTGCGACTTCTGGCGACGAAATGGCGGGCGAATAGGATTCCCTTTGGATGTAAGGATACGGCCCTCTAGCTACGACGACTGGGAGCGGCCAGATGTACGTGGATGGAGAGCAGGAGGGTGTGTAGCTTGTTGGGAGGGGGCCTTGGCTGCTGGCGGCGAGAATTTTGAGGTTTTGGCATTTTGGATTTTTAGCCGTCATCCGCATCCAGGACCCAGACCACGGCGTCATCTACCCAATCACTCACTGCTGGCTGCTTCTGCTCTCAAATGATGTTCATGGGCTTATGTATGAATGACGACTACGCGTGAGCTGGCAATCTAAACTGTTGCTGCCTTCAATCCTGCCGCGGGCGCTGCTACGGCGGCCTGGGCTACAGGCTCTCCTGGAACCACAGTAGCTGGCGGAGATGCTGGAGCTGCCGCAGAAGTCTCTGGCGCTAGTTGCTGCTGAGGTGGAGCAGAAGACGGAGGAGCAGCAGCTGGCGCATCTTCCTTGGCCTTGACGGCTGGGCCTGGAGGTGGCTCTGAAAAGTCTCCAGCCGGCTTTGTTCCAGCTGCTTTCTTCTCTGCTCCTTCCTTCTTTTCTGCATTGTTGGCCCTGTTACCCTAGATTGGTTAGCTGGCGATGACAAGAAGATGATATGCATACGCCTGTTGCTGCAGGACGAGCGCCAGTGGCTTTAGCTGGGGGAGTACCAGCAGCAGCGTTATTCTGGCGATTAGTCCGTTGCTGACGACCATTGGCTGCTGCTCGGAGACCAGCTGCCGCGCCTTGTCGATTACCATCAGCATTCTGGCGGTTTCCCGGACGAGCTGCTGCAATGCGTCCTCCAGGGCCAGGGCCAGGTGCACCCCCTGTCAAGCCGCTCAGTAAACCAAGGGGGTTTCCAACTTGTGATGCAGGCCCAAGGCCGTTGCCACTGGCCACGCCACCAGCAAAGTTTGTCACGCCGCCCACGAGACCGGTGACTTCGCTGACGCCAGGAATGGCGTTGACGTTGAGGCCTGCGAGACCTGCAGCAGGATTTGCTCGCTTCTCAAGTTGCGCATCCGCCGATGTGTCTGTTGGCACGGCCAGCGTAATACCAATAGCTGAGAGAAAGAGGAGAGAGACAGGCTGCATAGTGTACAAGTTGTGGTTCATTCCCCAACCTCAGAAAGCTACATACTTATGCTTCTATCAAAACAGTCAACGTCTCAGAACCGTTTGAGGTCGTTGCAGCGGTCATGGTGGCATGAAACGTAGCAAACAATCGTGACATAATGGCCAGGCCTTGCTTGAAGGAAGTTGACAATGCTTGTGCCATCTGAGCTGGTCGCGCGCTGTTTGCTGAATTGCTGTGACCATCGCGTCGCGTCGCCAACCAACATCATCTAAAAAGTCCAACCCGCGAGCTATGCCAGAATTGCTAGAGCCTGATCAGCCAGGCCATGTACGTCTGCATACCTGGCTAGGTCCCTCTGGCTCCCAGTCTCAATCAATGAGCGAGTCAAACGCTCAAAAGCCCAAACAACGCGCTCAAGCTTCTTCAGCCTCGAAAGACAACAAGTCGAATCTCGTGCCATGGATCGTCCTCAAGACTCAGCTTAGATTGAAGAACGGGTCGCAGCGGAAATTATTCGTCAATCTTGTCAAGGAGCGAGAGCCGCGTCTCAGCAGGCACATAAGCTTTTGGCTGACACTACCGCTTGAGGAGATGGGCAAGACTGGCGGTGCAGTGCTCTATATGGATATTCTTCCTCCAGTGACAGTCTATACTACCTTCCCTCGACACGAGGCGTATCTTCACGATATCTTGCTCGAGATGGCATCCTCCTTCCTGGTTCGAAATGGCATCGGCAGTATCATAAAGGATACTCTCACCCTACCCAAGCTCGAGCACAAGGGCCCTCTTCCGGCAGACTCGCTCTGGCAATATCTCGAGGACGGTCCTGCAGACAATGGCATTGATGTAGCCAGCAGCGCTTCACAGCCGTCGATCATTAGAAGTGCTTCCCAACAGCCGTCCCGTGCACCACTGATTCAAGAAGTGAAGACTACGACTACCACCACTAGAAGCACAATGCAGAGTGGACTTGAATCCCATGGAGCTCAGAAAGTGTCTGATTCCAAGTCGAAAGGTGAAGCACCTCGAACCGCGGCCCGCGAGGGATTCGCTCAAACGCCGAGGCAAGATGCTCAACCCTCAGCAGCCTCAAAGGACGAAAAGTCGAATTTGGCACCTTGGATCGTCATGAAGACTCAGCTCAGGACCAAGAATGGACTTCAGAGCAAGCTCTTTGTCAATATTGTCATAGAGCGAGAGCCACGCCGCAGCAGGGAAGAAGCGCCTTGGCTGACACTGCTTCAGGAAGACAAGGATAAGGCTGGCAATGCCGTTTTTTACATGGATATTCTCCCATGCATGCACCTCTATGACCATGTGTCCCGGGCCGATCATTTTATGCACGAGGCGCTTCTGCAACTAGCATCATCCTTCTTGGAAGACAGAGGTATCGGTATGATCGTCAGTGAGAGCTTCACGTTGCCCAAGATGCTACACAAAGGTCCTCTTCCGGCAGACTCCCAATGGCATTCTGCTGCGAGTTCTGTGGACAGCAGCCGCGACAACAGTATCAGCGGTGCAGCTCAACAGCAAACGCGTCCGCAATTGATTCAAGAAGTGGAGCGTACGCCTATGCAGACTGCCAGTAATATTACACCGCACCACTCTCCTAGGACCCCTCAACCCAAGACATCGACTCATTCCCAGCCTCAACGCAACTTGGCCAGTGAGAAAGCTTCACAATCGCCCAAGCAAGATACGCAGGCTTCGGTAGCCTCGAATAATACAAATTCGAACTTGCTGCCTTGGCTCGTCCTCCAGACTCAGCTGGAGACACTGGACGGCTCTCGGCACGAGCTTTTCGTCAATATCGTCACAGAGCGAGTGATACGGCGTAGCAAGGAAGAGGTATGGCTGACACTGCCTCAAGAGGAGAAGGACAAGGGAGGCAAGAAAGTGTTCTACATGGACATACTCCCTGGCGCGCCAGTCACTAGCGCTTTGTCTCCAAAAGATAGCGATCAGCATGAGCATTTCCTTGCGATGGCATGGATCTGGTTGAGACGACGAGGCGTTGGGGAACTCATGAGAGAGGTCCAAAATTTGCCTAATTTGCAGCACAAGGGGCCTCTACCGGCAGACTCACTGTGGCAAAACTTCAATACGGTGAATGGGAGCAGTAACGCCAAGGTCAGCAAGACTCCTCAGCCATCTCCAGTCAGCAACGCAGCTCAACAGCAACCGCATCCGACACCAACCGAAGAACCGAAGCCGAAGTCTACGTCCACGCCTGTCCAAAAAATGAACCAAGAACCTGCACCGCTGTATACACTTGAAGTATTCGACCCCAAGGTATTCGCTGCTCTACAGCCTTCTCAGTACACGTACATGCTTAAAGTACCGTTGCCAAAGATTGACGTGAACATCACGCCAGGTGCGTCATCAAACATTCAGACTTGTCCGTGGTCAGCCTTCGTGGACTGCGGAACCAAAACCCTCTCCCTTACGCTTCTGCCAGACACGAGATTAGAGCTCGTGCTTGCATCTATCGATATCCGGTGTGTGGTGCGTGATGAGGTGCTGTATATCTTCTGCGTCCCTGCGCTTCAATAGCATCAGCCAACCGGTAGCAACACAAAGTAAAGCCAAGCATCTGCGTACGCTGCCTCCTCCAACAAATCCGACAGGGGAGTATCGAGTGGAACGGCTGCGCCGTGCAGATAAACAAGCACACCAGGAACTTGAGCTTCATGGTTCTGTGGATCAACAAGCAGTATCGCCATGTCTGGCATGCGTATAGCGATGCAATCTTTCACAGTTGTCACTCCTCCTTGCGTTCGTAGGGGTACAGCCATTTGTAGAAACACGGAAGATGAAATGCATAGCCGCACGGGCACCGACTGTAGAGGACTTTGAAGCAAGCGCTGACCAAGATCGTATGTCGTCGTCATATCGAGCATCAGCAAGGCTCGTTGTAAGGCAGCTGATTGAGAGGGTGTCAAAGATTGCAGCCATCTAAGGCTGCCTAAGCGAAGATGCAGCGCTTGCTTGAAAGTCTGCCATAGGAGGGGCAAGATGGCATACTCATCTTGCAACGACAGCCGCGGTGGTGCTGGCCATTCACCAGGCGCAGTGGGGCTGTTGGGCAGGACAGCTTCATCATCAATGACGACCAAGTGCAATGGTGCAACGTCTCTGATGGAGGTTGTGTGAAGATCATAGAGCAAGCCAGCTGGCATATGCGTCAGCAAGACCTCTCGTGGGTGATCCTTGCGAGCTGTAGTCAGCCAGATCTTTGCATCGCCACGCAGGTTGAAGACTTCTCGCAATTTTGCGAAAGCGAGCGGTAGATAGCTGAGTCGTGGCACATCGAGCTTGAGCTGAGCTTTATGTCCTGGGCAGGAGAAGAAGATGGGTACAGTTCCACGCCAGACGCGCAGCCTGACGGTGTCCCAAGATGACTGTGTTGCCGCGTCAAACCGCACTGTAGATGACATGTTCAACAATCAATTGAGTGGTAAGCAGAGACAGTCGACATGTGGTAGTGTGCAAGGGTATTTTTACTACGGTACATCCAAGTGGTTCGGCATTTATAGACAGTGGGTTCTTCAATAGACCGCGTGATCTCTATGCGCTGGCGCAGTTTCTTCTGCAACAGGCGAACTGCCTGATACAACAGGCGCCTCAGCTTGTTGCCGTTGACCTGCTGGGAAGGGCGCATTGCCGAGTGAGTGGTTGGTGCCCATCTGCTGCATCTCGTATGAGCCTGCATTCTGCAACGCTTCAGCAGCCTTGGCTTTGCCCTTTTGGTTGGAAAAGTCGGAGCCCTCATCGGTGGTCTCGCCATCGATGGCATTGGTGACACCCCAGGTCATGAAGTTGCGACGTGCCTCAACGTAGTCAAAGGCAAATTCGCCAATCTGGTCCTCATCGATACCACGGAGCTCGCCATCCTCTGAGGTACGCAAGTGAAGTCCTGGGATCTTGTTGATGACGAAGCAGATGAGACAGGTGATGGTCCATGTCCAGGCACAGCAGAAACCAATCCACCCAAGTTGCTTGTACATTTGCGCCCAGTTCTTGGAGAACCAACCGCCAATGCCGTAGCTGACACCATCGAGGGCGGTAACGTACTCTGCGCCAAAGAAGGCACAGCACAAGAGACCAATGATGCCACCAACGCCGTGCTCGGCAAACACATCCATCGAGTCGTCAATCTTAAGCAAAAACTTGATCTTGGTTGCGTAGTTGCAGCATGCTCCAGCAAGTACACCAACAGCAACCGCAGGACTGGGACCAATGTATCCGGAGGAAGGTGTAGCAGCGACGAGTCCAGCAATGACACCGGAGCAGAAGCCGACCATGGTCAGGGAGCGTTCAAGACGGTAATCGAGCAGACACCAGGTGATGCCACCCATGGCTCCGGCAATGTTGGTGTCTGTAATGGAGATGACTGCACGCAAGTTGGCACCGAAAGCTGAACCACCATTGAAGCCAGCCCATCCGAACCAGAGGAGGGCAGTCCCGAGAACGACAGAGGTGACAGAGTGGGGTCGGTGTACAACCACCATCTCAGAAGGTGAGTTACGACGAGGGCCGAGCATGAAGGAGTAGGCGAGCGCACCGAAACCGGAGCCAATCTCGACTGGACCGCCACCAGCGTAGTCGAGGACACCCCACTTGAAAGCCCATCCATTGGCGTTCCAAACGGCGCAGGCCATCGGGCAGTAGACGAGTGTGACCCACAAAAAGATGAAGAGACAAGCAGGCATGAGACGGCCTCGCTCAGCGACGGCGCCCATCACGAGTGCGATTGTGACTGAGGCAAACATGCCTTGGAAGTTGGCGTAGAGCAATTCCGGGACGAGCGCAGTGCCTGTTGCCGGCCCACCCAGCACATCCATCAAGGCAAAGTGCTTCAAGTTGCCGATGAAACCGTTGGTTGCAGTTTTTGAGAAGGCGAGCGAGAAGCCCCAGAAGTACCACTGGAACTGGGTGATGGCGACTGCGACCATGCAGATCCAGAGCATAGACAGCGCCGACTTTCTGCGGGCCAGACCGGAGTAGAAAAAGGCGATACCGGGTACCATGAGCCAGACCATTGATGTGGCTACCAGGATGAAGGCCACATCTCCTGTTTGGAAGAAGAGGTTGAGGTTCTCTGTGGCCGAATCGCCGCCCGTCGCTGGGTACGTCTCTGGGAATGGGAGACTCAGGTACGGCGTCATGGTGGCTGCTGCGGCCTCGACGGCCGAGGATACGGCTTCGGCTGCTGGGTCCATGATGTGAAGAGAGAGAGCAGAGGCCCAAGAAGAAGGGAGCAGCAGAAGGAGGAAGAAGGGAAAGGGAGAGTGTGCGGGTCGAGGACTGGCAGCGGGTCGGGCTTGTTATATGCTGCCGGAGCTGTCTTTTGTGTATCTCTTGGACCGCTTCGAATCTGCTCGCGATTTTCTATCTCGGAAGCAGCTGCAGCCTCGAGACAAAACGGCGCCGGAGCAGGCAGCTTGAGCTTGCAACACGCCAACCTTAAGCTGCAGCGAAGAGATCCAGGGATGCCAGGCCCTCTATGCATATACGCACGACTATGAAACAGCCCTTGGTGCCTTGCTCTGCGTTCACGGCGTGTTACAAAGGATCTCCGACAATCGGTTGCTTTGACCACAGTTCCAGGGACTGTTCGTGTAACAAGATGCGACGGCATTCGCGGGGCAATGCTGAGCAGCCATGTCTACTGCACGAGGACTTGAGCAGTGAGCCCTGTCGGCGTTTCTCTCATGGGCACTTGACTGTAGTCTGTAGTCTGTCCATGTCAGCCTTGTCAGCCCGCTTGATCTGTGCGCAAATCTAATCTCGAGCAGATAGCAAACACAGCTGATAAGCAAGCTGCCTGCACTTCAGAGCCCAGAATTCTTGCAAAAATACAGGGGCACAATCGCAATGATGACTGCTTCAAGACCAAGTGCTTCTCTCTCTTATCGGTCTGTGCAGCGCGCGGTGACTTTGCTTTTCCTGCCTGTGTCTCGTGGTCGTGTGTCATCCGCTGGACTGCGCCACTCTGTCGCTGACTCGCTGCAGCTTCCGGGCGGGCAGAGATAAGGAAATAGTCTCACGCTCGGCGGATGCAACGACTGTTAAGCTTCTTACACGTATACTTCTACCAACACAACCTGGCCCGGATGTGCAAATGACTCTTAGTACGGATACACCAAGTGTCCGTAATCGCATTTCAAGGATCTACAGCTGCAGCGTCCATACAAACAAGTGTGGCAGCTGATAAAGGATAGAACTATAAAGATCTAGCTAGCAAGTCGAGGCATATGTCGCAAGCGTCAGGCTCACATAAAGCCCCCAGGTCCGTAACCAGGACCGTCGTACAGGTAAATGATACCTTCGTTTTGCAAGTCATACCCAAGCGAAAAGTCATCTTTGAAGCATATTCCAAAGTTGAAGTTGTCCTCCACCTCGTATACCTTGCCTGTAAAGTAGCTAGTAAGGGTCACACCTGGACCCAGCGCAAACTTCTCATCTGAAGTGCAAGGCAAGTTTTCGACCAAGTAGCCCATTTGAGAAGTTGAAACCAAGGTGTAGGCAAAGCTCAGCCTGTCAGCAATTGCCTTTAAGGAACAGTCGAGCAGGCGTGTACTGGTCCTGACTCGCCGAATGACGATATCCGTTGTGCAAGTGCAATGTTGAAGATAGCCATTTCCGAGCTGGCCACTAGGATTCCCTGTATTGGCCGCCTTGATGTTGAAGAGCAAAGCATCAAAATTGGAGACACGTCGATCCCCAGTGATGAAGCAAGGATCCGCAGTCGCGGAGAGGGCATCTTTGTAATCGCTAAAAAAGTGCTTGATGCAAGCTTTAACGCAAGGAGAATATTTACTGACCTCGGTTGCAGGACGCGTCAAGATGCCTTTCTGGAGATGAAACCATGGGACTGAGCAGTTTTGTGCCAGGCAAACATGAACGATGAGCGCAAGCAGAATGAAGAACTGGAGTGCTTGAGCCATTGCGTGGGACGAGTGCAAATGCGTAGTGTCGATCTCAATGGATGTGACTGGAGCTTGCGCACGCTCAAAGGAAAAGACAGTATTGCCTAAGTTGAGAAAGCTGAGGCCTGCATCGTCACCAAATGCAATGGCAGAGTTGAACTGCGTGCTGACTTGGAATGGTCTGTGCTTTGTGATGTGCTGTACAATTTTCAATGGAGTGCTGAATCTGCTGAGGGGCAGGTTATCCCCTGTCTCTAAGGGAGCAGAAGTGTTTGCTGAAGTCCGGATGAGGTGGCAATGAGGTTTGACAAGTAGCCCCTGGAAGTAGGCAGAAATCTAGGGAGGTCGCTAAAATCAGGCGACGCATCCAAGACTTTGCCTCACAGGTGCCATAGCACTATTGTTATGTGTACAAGCAGCAGATTGCAGAGCCTTCTTCTTTCTGGTTTCTCAAGCCGCGGTATAGTAAGCAAGTTGCTGATTGCAGCATGCAACGCTCTGTCCTCTTCTTCGCCAAGTCGTCGCTTGTAAAGCGATCATGCAATGCCTCAATACCTGGAAGCACCAAAATGGCATTCTGCTTAAATTCGCGCTCCTTCTATTCATGTTCGTCCAGGTCTGCGAGACATCGCTTCAGACTTGAGCCTTGACGACCATGCGGCGTAATGTTGGCTCCCTCCCTTGCTGCCATTGAGAAAAGGAAGCACTCTTGGCCACGTTCTGTGAGACCGTAATCGAAGTGGTGCCACGGTCAACGAATGCAAATTGTCGTTCAATTAACCCTATAGTCTGCGCTTCCACTAGGTGGTGCCAAGTCTGAAACCGGATGTCAAACCAGGAGCGAGAGCATGGCACCTGGTCCTGCTGCAAAGAGCTGTGCGTCTGCTGATCATACTGAGGAAGGACTAGCGAAGTCTTCCAGATGAGTTGACAGGGCCAGTCACATGCTCTTGGGGCGGACAGCCCGCTTCACCTCTAACGCGGCCACAGGGTCTGCACTGACTCTGGGTGCCGCCCTGGGCCCTGTGTCGTAAGCGTTCGAGGGGCCGTTCGAAGTGGAACCTCCAGGGTTGGTTGGCTGGTCGCCACGCGCGCGCACTCAGAGGGTAAGTTGAACTACTAAAAGTTCCCGCTCCCGTGCATGACACCAAGCTTGTGCTGTGCCTGCGCAGCTGCGCTAGCCTGTTGTCGATTGGCAACGGCAAGCAGAGCGCCAGGCCAGAAGTCTCGAGCTCGATGCGTCTCCAAGCACCCAACATGGGCTGCACGCTCTCTGAGCAGGACGAATCAAGATCTCCTCGTATATAGTCATTCTGCTCAATGTCCACACGGCCTGAGCCTGTCTGTACTAGCCACTCGCTAGACGATACTTTGCCACGCAGGCTCGTATGAAAGCTACCCTTTCATGTCAGTGATCGGGGACGTTTCGAGAACAAGCGCTTGAAACAGTGGCAAGAACATGCTCACGGCAATTCAGGATGAAGACCAGATGATTGCCATCTATGTGAGCTTGAATACGATCTTCACTCTGCTTTACCTTGTCGGGCATGGCGACCTGAATCCAATTTTGAGACATTCGTATTTGAAAGCGCGAGGGAGCTGTATACAACCAGATTATCATTACTCCATGAAGAACAGCGCGAATTTGCCATTATCCAGTCTTTACATTGTTTTGCTGTCAACGAATGGTCCTTGTCAGTACAGCAAGCTACTGTGGCCATTAGAGAGGCCACTGGGTGAAGACCGGGGCGGCCGGGAGTGGGTCAGCGTGGTGAAGATGGTGTCGCCCCATCTGACTGTGTCCACTACCAAATCCGGCGACCAGATGAGACATCTCCAAACCACAAGCTTGCTCACAGTTCTTGGAGGGGAGACGTCACGGACTCACGGTCACTCACGGAGCTGTGGTCCTCAATGCTGGCAACGTTCCTGAGACACCTGTCGAACCTTCTCCCGTCCCGACCAGCATGGCTCTGGGACAACACCACGATGGCTCAATGCTATCACGCGGCTACGCGCTGATTGCCATGCGTTACTGCTACCGTTGCAACCGCTGCCCGCAGATACGCTTGCTCGAATGGCCGAAGCTGACGCACTTTCGCAGGCAGTGGATCTCTTCGCATGGTCTGTGATCTGCGCTTCTGCTCACTTGTTGGTAGTCTAAACGCTTGCTTCATTGTCTCTGATTTGGCCTCAGAACATGGTTTACTCGTACCTGTTCGTGCAACGTTGTCAAGAGCATGGCACTGAGCCGCAACCTCGTCATGGATATCCATCGTTTGCCACTTGCTCGTCGAGAATGAGCCTTTCTATAAAGGTAGCTGAATGGCCGAGCTGATGTCTCCTCAGTTCAAGCATCTTCACCTTCTCACAACATGTTGGGTTCTCTTCTGATCGCAGCTGGAGCCTTCTCCTTCGCTGATGCAACACCTTTCAGGCGTCTTCAAGCCCGCCAACAAGTCGAGAATGCCCTCATTTGTGTGCCTACAACCATTACTCGTACGGCCACAAGCTTGGTGCCCATCATCACCACCATTCCAGAGTGTGTCGGCAATGCTTGCGGTATCAACACTGTTACACAGCAAGGACAAGGAGTTGTGACTTCAACACTCACTGGTGTCAACGGTCAGCCCGGCGATGTCATTGGCGGAACTACTTTCATCAACCCGGCCAACACTGTGCAAAACGCGGCCTTCAACTCCTTCACAATTTGCGATGATCAATGCACTGTTGCTGGTGTTGGATTTCCCCAAGGGCAGACTGTCTTCTTTACAAGCAACCAGCCCGTTCAACCCGGAACGACGACTCTCGGTGGTACAACTGTCACAAATGCCAATGTGCCAGTTACCATCGCAGTACCACAGACAAATGTTTTCATTTCCACTATTGTCAATGGTCAGACCGTCACAAACCCCAACCAGGTTGTTACTATTGAGGTTCCTATTCCTGGCGGTGTTAGCACTGTTACGCGCACTGTGACAGACATCATCACCCCACCTGCTCCACCAGCTACGACACAAGCACCTCCACCACCTCCTGGTACCACTATCGTCGTGACTGTCACACCGACCCCTCCTCCGCCAGGTCCGCCAGGAACGACTGTCTTGACAACAATCACATCGTCGATTGGCAATGTTCCTGGTACGACTGTCACCGAGACGCGCACATCGACTGGTCCAGTGACGACACAGACCACTACGCAAACTGTCTCGAGCACTCCACCTATTTTGTCGACTGATTTGAGTCCTCCTCCACCAAACACGAGCTCCTCTAGCGAATCGGGTACACCTCCCGTTACTCTCAGCTCGACCTCGACTGTGGTCATTTCTCCTCCAGTCACCTCGAGCTCGACTGTGGTCACCTCTCCTCCAGTCGTTTCGACAACTGCTGTCGTGACTACGGCTACAAGCAGCACATCAGCTTCGGCATCTCCCTCTGCCAGCATCCTAGCTGGCCCGGCTTGCACGAACAACTTGGATTGCCAGGGCAAGGGTTTGCCTGTTGCAATCTGTCTCAACGCCACTGGAGTCCCAGTGGTTGGCAACATACCAATCTCGGGCGGAACCTGCGCTCTTTCTGCCCTTTTGCCAACTGGCATCGCAGGTCTCAATCTCACTTGCACGACCAACGCTCAGTGTACCGGTATTGGCCTCCAGACATGTGTCGCTGCCGGGCTTCCACTCGTCGGTGATGCCCTTACCTCTGCCGGCACTTGTCTCCTTGGTGTCGTTTCAGGCACTGGCACCGGACCATCGAATCCTCAGACCACTCTTCTTGGTCTCCTCTCTGTTGGCCAGCAATGCACATCGAGCTCTCAGTGTACACTTGGTTTGTGTCTGCCGTCACTCGTGAATGGTCTGAGCGCTTGCGCTGACCCAAGTCTCGTCCCCATTCTCGCTGGTGGCACTTTGCCCTCGCCTCTCAACAACTTGCCTGTCGTCGCACCGATCGCTACTGCCGTGGTAGGCCTTGCAAGCACTATTCTTGGACCGCTTGTACCCACTGGTAGTCCGCTGGCACCTGTACTTGACCCCCTCGTTTCGGGAGTACTCAGCGCTTTGCCACTGACTGACATCTTGGGAGGAGTTGCAACAGCTTTGCCTCAGTTGCCCCTTGTTTCGGAAGTGCTCAGCCTTGTCAACCCGACTGCTACGAATGGTCTCGCCGCGCCAGTCCAATCGCTTCTGAACGGTGTCGGCGACATCGTCGGCCCAGTGCTTGGTGTCCCAGCGCCTACGACTCTTGTAACGCAGCCAGCGGCCCTGCCTAGCCTCCCAGTCGTCGGCGAAAACGGCGGTGTAATCCCTGCGGTCAACAGTATCGTCGCGCCTATCTTGGATCTACTCACTCAACCAACACAGGCGCCAGCTGCACCAGCCCTGCCTAGTTTACCTGCGGCTTTGCCCACTTTGCCTACTGAGCTGCCTGTTGCTCTGCCAACTGCTGCTCTGCCAACTGCTGCTCTGCCAAGCCTGCCTTCTGCTCTGCCAAGCCTGCCTTCTGCTCTGCCTAGCGTGCCTGAAATTCTGGCCCCTGTCGTTGAGGCCGTTACCGGCGCTGGCTCCGGCGCTGGAACTAGCCCGGTTGCACCTGTCACTAGCGCCATTCCTGGTGCAAGCACCGGTGGACTCGGTGGTATCCTAGATCCAGTTGTGGCGGCCGTTGAGCCAGTCGTGGGAGCTGTTACCGGCGCATTGACTGGCGGATCCACTGGAAGCACTGCCCCTACCACAGGTTCACCCATTGCTCCTGTTCTCAACGGCCTCGGACTATAAGCGTTCGATGCTTTACGACTTCCTACATCTCGCACACTCATTCATTTCTGATGCATAGGTCACTAACCGGGCCGATTATGGATATATATATGTATATAAAGATACTTTTAATTAATGTACACATCATCTACAAACCCTTCTGTTTTACTAGACAAGTGACTTGTAACCACTCAGGTCGCTTGCTTCGCTGGCGGTATCAGCGAGATGGTCAACGTCGGACCCTTTAGGAGCATCACTTGACAAAGGGCGCGCGGCATCTAAACCTGCCTTATCCGCTGAGGCGTTAGACGCCGGAGAGCTTGTCCGTGGCAGCGGAGGTACTGGCTTGCGCCGAGTGATGGAACTACTGCGTGATCCACTGACAGAATTGACTGTATTCGTCCTGCTTGGCAGCCTCGGTGCTATTTCATTCATCTCGCCGACTGATGGAGTCATGGTACGCGTTGGCAATGGAGGTGGCGTTGCAACGCCTTGTCCGACGGCGCTTGCCCGTAGACTTGCGGGTTTTGGAAGCAAAATAGGAGCAGAACCTGTGGTCTTGATAAAGTCCGGCTCACCATTAGACTGCCAAGGGTTGGACGGACGATTGGTATTGAGGCGTGTGCCGGGTGGTGGCCGTACGCTTGATTTAGATGAAGCGTGATATTCGAGCCACCATTTCGATCTTTCTGTACTTGGTGGCGGTACTACTTGTTAGCAAGTCCTTTACAAGGCAAGAGGTCGTGGTGCGTACGATTTTTGCCCATGATGCTCTCAATCTCTTCATCGCGCAATGAGCTGCGTTCGTCGATAGCGACACGCCGCTGGTCGTAGAGTCCTCTTTCAATAGCAGAACGCTTCGTCTCGTCGACTAGCTGCACGTCCATCTCATAGGTTGCATAAACAGGCTTGTGATCACTCAGCCGCAGCTTGGCAGAGCCATACTGTAGCTGGCGCATGCCCGAGCCCTTTTTGAGGATACGATCCGTCCATGCTGGAATACGCTGCTTGTCGGATGTATCATACTCATCTGTGCCATTGTCAAACTTGTAGGTCGGTGCAAAGGTGATCTCTGCCTCATCGAAATACTGAAATACCTTGCCCTTGATCATTTCGCGATTCAGTTGATCAGCAGAATACAACTGTCCCCAGTCTTCTTGCTGAATGTATTGCTTGACTTGCTCAATGGGCAGACCAATGCGGTAATTAAAGTCCCCAACCCAGATAACGGCATCGTGGTGGTCCAAGATGTTGCGGCCGCGCTGGAACTTGATGCCATGCAGGATGGTGACAAAGTCTTGATTGCGTTCGTGGTAATTTTGATGGCCAGCAGCAAAGTGAGCATTGAGGAAGCAAATGCGTGTTGCGCCATAATCCATACGAACAGCGACCGCACCCTTATTGCCACTCATGCCCTTGAGACCTGTCTTTCGCATAGCACCTTCGACAAGCTTGATGTGATGTAGACATTCTCGCCGTACAAAAATGAGCAGTGCAGCACCGACCAGTTGGCCTGTGCGAAGCAACACATACCGGTCGCTTTGCTTTGGGTCGAGGCAAGCAAGGACTTTCTCTGCCCAAAAGCGTACTTTGATGGGATCAGCAGAGACGATTTGCGAGGGCGTCAATTCGACAATCTCTTGAAAGCCAATGGCGTAGATGTCGGCGTCAATCTCACTGTTTGGTGCAAGCCACGGCATAAGATCCTCGTCGCCATCACGACCGTTCAGGTTGTATGTGCCAGCGAAGACCTTGAGCGTCATGTTACTCGACCATTCGCCTGAACGCTTGTGAAGCTCAGTATTGACCCAATCCGCTATGGGATCAAAGAGCACGACTGCTTTTTGATTGACGAGCCGACCAAGCATAACATCGATCGTCTGCTGCTTGCCCTTATCTTGAAAGTTGTTGATGTACATACGTCCAACAGACTTCGTTGCATCTGCCAACGCTCCAGCGAAGCTCATCTTGCCCTTTCTTGTGAATGACGTTTTGAGTGCGCCTGTACCAGCGTAGATGCGCGACAGTGCGTCACCATTGTCCGCCCACAGGGTCCCGTGACGCTCCCACAGACCAGCCGTTGTGCGAATCCTCAGTGTTGTCAACACATTCTCCAAGTTTGCTTGTGAAACGATATTCTGAATCATGTTTGTTCTATCGAGGCAGTCGAGGCAATTGGTCCTGAAGACACCAGATTGGTGCATCTCAAGCTTTGCGGCATTGGCTTGTAGAAAGAAACTGTAGTCTTCAGCAGAGGCTCGCAATAGAGGCTTCACTTTACTCGCGCCTTCGTAACCTTGCTTCACCTCGCTGTGAAAGTCAAAATGTGTATACCGGACACGCTGATCGAAATCACTTGCTTGTAGAGCGCCTTGATAGAGTTCTGTCAGCATCGCTTCTCCTGTGGCACTGCCAAGCAGATTAACGACATGCACACCATCACCATACTTGTCCAGGAGTGATGCAAAGTGCCGCTCGAATGCAGCTTGGCTGGCAGAGGGAGACCGAGAGACCTCTACTTTATGTTGACCCATAAAGCCTGTGCTAACTTGCTCCCAGAATAGCGGGATAGAGCCCCGCACCTGGCAGAAGGAGGAGGTGAAGGCGCTGGTATGCAGGATTGTCTCAATTTCAACAAAATTAGCCACATTGCCATCGTCGTCGATACCGCGCGCATTGAAACGCGTACCGGCACGTTTGGCAGACAGTCGAGAAATGAGCGTGAGCTGGCCAGGCATATTGTCGCCGACGCTCACGGCAATGGTTTCCGCGAAGCCGCGAATAATCGTTGTAAGAAATCTGCTTTGATCCAGAGCAGCGCGACGTGAGGTCTGCATATTGGCTCGCATCTGTGCCAGAGGTCCAATGAGGTAGTTGTTCCATAGAAATTGGTGGTCAAAGGCTTCCGGGTCATACTCACGACTAGCGCGTGCTTGCAAGTTCATGCTGAGGTCGTGATCGGAGGAGTAGTAGAAGGTGCCACCACTGAGAAGCCTCTGGATCTCTGCACATGGATGTTCCTGGTCTGGCGGCCGTTCAACCGAATCAAAGACATCTGCCTGGTCTACCTCGACCGCATTGCCATTGAGGTCCACGAATTTGGTATCAAAGGCATCGCTATCGAGGCAATAAAACTCAACGGCATGTATCCGTTGTACCGTCTCACCATCTCTGACCTTGGCGACCTGTGCGCAACCAGCGACGACACCGAGGAAGAGGTGTCCTTCCAGGTCAATCAAGCCGAGACAGCCAAAGACCTTTTGCAGCTTGATGGGCTTATAGTTGGCGATATCGAATTCGGTGGTTGGCAGGAACTCGGCGATGCAGCGGCCCTTGGATGCCTTGTCATACTGAAACTGCAGCGTCCAGTCGCGGTTGGCAAGGGCTATGCTGCGATTGGATGTGCGGCGGAAGATTTGCAGCGTCCCTGACATGCTGGCACTGGAAGCTCTTCTTCTCTGCCGTCTTGATGATCCTCGTATGCGCTTTGCCCTGCCTGGCCTGGGACTAGCTACAGATCTTGTGCTTTGTGTAGGTTGCGGTGTCTTTGAAAGTGTTCGCGTGACGTAGAAGGAGAGCAGCAGCAGCAGGACCAAGCCACAGACGACCAGAAGAGGGCAGGGGGAGCAGGCAAGAAGCAGTGTAGAAGGCGATCAAAGGGGCCGTACTCTGCCATCTAGCCAGGCACATCCAGCGGCAGTGCGACAGTGGACGCGACGAGTGTCAGGCGCATCTGTCCTCAGAGACTGCATCGACAGCCAGAGAGCCTCATGTCGGGTCAGGCAGCGGGCAAGGACTTGCGTTCTACTGGCGATGAGCAAGCAGGATCAGGTACGACGAGCATCAAGACACTGCTCAATGGCATCAACTGGCGGACGGACCCGAGGAGCACCAGCTTGGACCGGGGCATAAGGTCTCCATCAGACGCCGTAGATACTGTTGCAGCAGACAAGGAGCATAGTCTGGACGGCATTCCTGCTCATAGATAGCCTTGAGACTACCTGCCATGACCCGGGCCATGTCCTTGATCCTCATAGCCGCCTCTTGCCTGCCAGACATCCAGACATCCCTGGTCCAGCAGCTGAATGCCACCGCGAACGACCAAATCCACGCAACCAAAGACACACATCAACGGGCACAAGGCCTACCCGAGTCTCTCCCCAGGCATCACTAGTACCAGCGGCATTGCTAGAGGGAGGAGCACATATCACGCCCAGAGATGCCACCCAGCTTTGCAGAGTCCTTCTGGTCAGAGGACTACGGTACAGGCCTACAAAAGCTCTTCACCAAACTCCGTCAGGGGTGCACCGAGAATGAAGAACTCATCCAGCTCGTCAAGCGTCGTGCAGAAGCGGAAGAGTATCATGGCGTGACACTGCAGCGAATGGCTGGCGATGCCTATAAACGCGACGGCTTCCAGCGCGACGATGGCGCAAGTGTCAAGCGCGCCTTTGAAGGCATGGTCAAGGAGACGCATGAGTCGGGCAAGACGCATCTCAAGATGGCGACAAACCTGCAGACGATGGTGCTCAATCCATTCGGTAAATGGGCGCAAGAACACGCTGAACGAGTGTCACGCAGTGAAAAGGAGCTCACGGGCAAGGTCAAAGTACACGACAAGCAGCACAATGAAGTCAAGAAGCTGCGATCCACTTACTTCAACAAGTGTCGTATCCTCGAAGACTTTCAGGAAGAAAACAAGTTTGCCTTTCCTGCTGTGGATGGTCCTGGCACGCCAAAGTCGAATGCGAGCAAAGCAGCAGAGGAGGATAGTGGCGACGACGAGGAAGCAGTGGAGCTTGGCGATACGTTCTTCACTGCAGCGCAAATCAAGCTACTCATCAGTCGTATGCTGACAGAGGTCAGTGTCAAGGAAGCCAAGCTGCCTATTCTCGGCACGTTCCAGCATGTCTCGACGGGCCTAGATGTCGCGCAGTGGCTCAGACACAACCTCGTGTCCAAAGAAGATCAAGAGAATGAGTTGCAAGCAATCAAGGAAGCAGAGCAGCTTGGTCAGGGCCTGGTCGACAATGGCTTCTTGCGCTATCTCGGTGTTGGCAATACTTTTGCCAATTCATCTGTGCTCAATTACCAATGGCGCGACAAGGCGCTCGTTCTAGCTGGTCGAATGAAGCCCGGAGAGAACTCACTGGTCAGTCGCGCGTCGACTATGCCATACGTCGGCGAATACGTGCAGACCTATGTGTCCAATGAGCATGCCAACGAGACGCCCCTTGAGAAGCTCACGCGCGAAGCGACACAAGCAAACACTTCTTACAAAGCCGCAGTCAAGAAGCTCGATGGATTGCGCGCTGACCTCGAAGCCAGCATGATGGAACACTTCCGATTCATGGAACGATGCGAAACGGACAGACTCAAGGCCCTGAAGGATGTCATGATGGACATTTCTGCAGCCATTTCAAACGTCATTCCCGGTATGAAGTCGTCAATGGACAATATGGTCTTGTTCCAAGAATCCATCAGTCCTGCTGGTGATCTCAACTACCTGATTGAATCGTACAAGACTGGTCAATTTGTGCCAAGGACTGTTATTTACGAAAATTACTACAACGCAGTGGACGACCAGACATTTGGCGTTGATATTGAGCTCCGTGCACGACAGGATAAGAAGCGTGTGCCCAACTTTATCGCCACATTACTCAGCTACATGGATGAATCGTATCCTCTCTTGGCCAATGATGAACAACGACAAAAGCTGTGGATTCGCAATGTACCCCTGCATCTGATTCATGCTCTGCGAGCTGAGCTGAACAACGGCAAGCCGGTCGACAAACAGGTCTTGGCAAAATACGACCATCCCATCGTTGCTTCGTGTTTGCGATTGTACTTGCTCGAGTTGCCCGACTCGCTCATTTCGTGCACACTCTACGACACGCTCAAGGCAATCTACGCAGCACATGGCACAGAGGAGGAAACAGAAAATAGGGTGACGGCATTGTCGAATGCCTTGCAGCAGCTTCGCATCTCCAACATTGCCACACTTGATGCTCTCATGACCCATCTTGCTCGCTTGACGCAACTCACCAATGCCGATGAGGAGTATAAACAGGCGCTCTCCACGCACTTTGGGATTGCGCTCCATCGCCCACGCCAAGAATCCGCATTGGCAGCGCAAGACAAGCATCGACACAGATTGCTGCTTGATTTGTTGGCGCACAAACAAGACATCTTTTCACAACTCAAACGCGCCACGACATCGAGGCCACGTAGTGCAACGGATGAGAAGGAACGACGTACACGGATGGAGGAGCGTAATAAAGCGATTAGTGCCTCTGCCTCGAGTCATGGCTCATCGCTTGCACCGCCTCCCTCTAGTCATGGGTCGTCGATTGCGAGCGCAAGGCCTGCTTCACCTCTTGTGAAAGTGGCTCCGATGCGACAGCCAGACACACAGCCTGGCCACCAAACATACGGGCATGAATCCTCACAAGATGCACCGTTTGAGCCGCCCGATGAGGGTGAAGACATTGTTGCAGGCTATGAAGATGCGTCCTTTGACCCGAGCTCCTTTGTGTTGCCGTCAGAGCGGCTTCGCGAGGGTGAGGCACCTGTGCTGGAGGAAGCACGGACGGGTCCTTCGTTGAGCAGGAGGAAGGCTAGTCACCGGCTTTCAAGACATGGTCGCACTGACAGCAGGAGTTTGACGGATACGATGGACTCATTGACGATGCAGAGCGAGTCGAAGCCGTCCTCTCCCACGCGACACAGTATCCAGCTTGAGGATCCTGGTGTTGGTGTCAGCCTGGAGGACCGCGAGGTGTATCTCGACTAGACGTGAAGATGCATTAATTGCTATGAACAATGAGATAGAGGTTGAATTGAATGTCATACACTCTCGATATAGAGCACTGCCATGTTAGCTCTGTATGTTCTGTCAAACAAGCAAGGTCACGCACCATTGTTGCCGCGGATGAATGTATCGCCATACGTATGCTTGACCTGTCCATCTACCAGCTCTTCGCAGCCCTCCATCGCGATGTTCATGTAGCCATCAAGGCAGCTGAGGATGCCACGGTAGTCGACACCAGAGCTGAGTCGCACCTGGACCTTCTTGCCGAGGATCTTTTGGAGGAAGAGGGATGGCGCGCCCAACGGTGCTGGCTGTTCTTGCTCCTGCTGCTGCTGCTGCTGCTGCTCGCCTGCTGCCTGATCCATATCCGCCATGTCTTGACTACTCTAATGACTCTACTGGACTAGTACCAGCAGTCTGCTTCCTGTCGAGTTGTCTTCCCCGACAAACAAGAAATCAAACATCAAGCAACACCCTCCCCCTCCTCCTGGCGAGTGAGAAAGTCTATCGCGGACCTGCTGAGTCGACTGCATCAGGAGGGCTCATCGCATCGCTCTATCTACTTCCCTGCTGACGACCATCTCTCCGAAAGTCTCAGCGTACAGCAATGTCCGATCCAACCTTCGACCTCCTCCCGACTCTCCTCACCTTCACGCCGCGTCTGCTGTCTTCGCTCGTCCTTGCTGGTCTTTGGCGATGGGTCAGCTCACCCTTCATTATTGCAGGCTTGTTCATCTTGTCTTGGCTGTCTAGTAAGGTACTGCCTTGTACTGCAAGCACACAAGCAAGAGCAAACCCGCCATCGCCCGTGAATCGTGGTCGATCAGGCAGACCCAGTGACAGTCTCAACAGCGAAGAAAAGATTCCTCAACGCAGTGGTTCTGCAAGCGGTGTCTCCATTCATTCTGTGTCTGATTCAGATAGTAGCAGTGGCAGCAGTACCGACCATCGCGTCGCATTCCCAGGCCTCGGTCGTCGAACAAAACACTGGCAAACGATGCTCGGTGGTCCCGGTGGGCGTCGTGCAAATCTCGTGAATGCAGCCATCAACCTCATCTTATTCGCTGCCGTGTTGCAGCGTACGCAACCTTTGCAGGTGCTTTTTGCTGAGCCTGGTTGTTTCGCAGTGTCGACGACGGCAGGGACTGAAAGTATGACACTCCAAACGCGTATGAGCCTTGCACCGCGATGCCTGCAGCGCATCGACCCTGCCAAGCCATTGGTATTGCATGTCCTTGCCAAAGATGCAAGTGACACGCATCGTGATGTGGTACTGGACGTTTCACGATTGCACGAGGGCAAGGAGGAGGTTGTCAAACATACTGGCCTTTCTTCCGGAACTGCCTATCGCGTTCATATCACGCAAGGCACTGGACTACATTATGTTGGTGTGGCGCGTACAGCACTGGTCGACAAGAGATTGCCGGATGGACGGTGTTCACTCGGTCTGCATGCGTCAGGCGATGGTCTATCGACACGCGAACGCATCCATAATCTATTTGGCCAGACACTCTGTGGACCTGTGGGTGGCAAGAGTCTGCTGTACCAAATGGACGTCCTCAAAGCCTATCTTCAGAGCAAACTGAGGTGAACAAAAAAGGGGAAACATCTTCATGTACCATATTACCATCATTTAATCGTCTTCATCTATGCCTATTGTTCCTTCTTTTGCTTGACCTTGACTTTTGAATTGCTTGGTAGACGCTTGTCATATGCTTTTGCTTGATCAACTTTGGTGACATAACGCAGGTAGAGGAAGACTTCAATACAGCCTAATCCCAGAGCACTGCCCAAGCAAGCAAGGACCCGTGTTGGCAATGACCACGAGGAGAGCCAAAACCACGCCGCCATGGCAGCCGTCATGATGGAGAGTCCAACATTGACAATGGTTGACAGCTGATTTCGCAAGTTGCGCAAATCCTCTGCTGATTCTGCAAGATTGCCGCCTGAAAGTAATGGACGATGCAGGCTTCCGTCTTGAAGCAGGGCTTGGTAGTCTCGCTCGTGGAGTTGTTGAGCAAGTGTCTCCATCGATGCACGAAACGCCCGTTTCTTTTCTTTTTCCTCAGCAGAGGGTTCTGGCGTAGGAGCTCTGTAGATGCGTGTTCCTTGTAAGAGTGATGACAGGTCTGACAGGCCCTTGAGGGCGCTATGCGGGACATGAGTCGTGAACCCATGGTCTGGACTGTGCGCATCAAGGGCTTGTTTGAGCTTTGGAGTCAAGACGAGGTCAACCATGATGATTGCAGAGAGCAGAAGTTAAAAGCTACCTTGTCAAGCCATAAGAGAGTAGCAGTACAAGTCCTATTCAGCGTGTAGCAAGTGGTTGTCAAACTATGTAGACAGCGACACTCCACAAGCAAGAAAGAGACGCTACAAGCACAGCGCAGGAAGAGGACATGGCATTCAGTGACATTGACGAGGATGCAGCCTTCTTCTCACACGCTCAGCCCATCATCCTCGGCAAGCGCAAACGAGCGACAAAACCAGGCGACGCGGCACCAACACCTGAGATACTCGCGTTGAGCTCAGAGAGCAGTGAGAGCAGCGCATCAGAGGCCGAGGAACATCGTCCCCCAGTGCTGAAGAAGGGAGGTTTAACAAATGGCAAAGAGAACGCGATTGCGCGCGAGGCAGGGAGTCCATCGGGGAGTAGTCCAATCAAGCAGGACAACTACTTTGAAATCAGCTCAGATGATGCTACCGAACAGCCAGGTGGTAGAGCGCGTGCAAACAACGGCAAGAAGAAGAAGGTTACCCAAGCTGAGCAGAAGCATCGGCGGATGAGTTTGACACCGCCGCCGGAGCCCTCGGGAACGGCAAAATTGCGTGCGGCTGAGCGTGCTGCACAAGCTCGACGGGCACAGAGACATCGCTCACCGGATGTGAGTGTACAGACAAACTCGCCGCCTGAACTCATGACCAAGAGTGCGGCAGAGTTGGCATTTGAGAAGGAAGTTGCACAGCGTGTTCGGTCGCGGGAAGCATTAACGCGTTCGGGCATGGGTAGCTATTCGCTGAGCAGGTTGCAAGAAGATCATGACGATGAAGAAGCACCGATCGAAGTGCTTGTACGTGGAGTCTACGTGCAACTGCCAGAGGAAGCAAATCAATCGCATCGAGCAGGTTTCCAGCTTCCGGATCCTAAGAAATGGGAGCAGATGCAGCGTTTCAAGCTCAAACGCTCGACACCGCTGCGTATTGCCAAGGTGCATTTTTGCGGGCAGTGCAACATCACTGATCAGCAGGCAGAGCAGCATATTGTCATGGCCTATGGCTCTGTACAGTTGTTCCGTTCCATTAGCTGTGCAGCGCTGGGTTTTCATGCAAACGAGAAGGCGATGCCATTGTTTGACTTGTACACGCGCCAGGGCTGGCAGTATGTCTGTGACAATCCAGAGGCTGCGAAAGCACTGCGTGAACAGAGTGCACGACTGCTCAATCCAGATGCGCACAAAGAGGATGGTGATTCTGCTCAGTCAGGAGAGAATGGAGAGGCAGAAGAGGAAGAAGGAAGAGGACACATTGTGCTGATTCTGCGTGGCAAGGGCAATGTGCAACTCAAGATCAAGACGACCGCATCGACACTGGTCAAGAAGTTGGTGGAGGCGTGGCGGCAGAAGGAGAAGCTGGCAGCTGATGTGAAGATTCGGCTGATGGTGGAGGGAGATGCGCTGAGTCCCAACACGATGATTGGGGATGCGGATGTGGAGACTGGCGACACTGTGGATGTGCAGGTTGGGTGAGGCATACATCTTGCTAAATAGACAGCAACATACTGGTATAGACAGCAGCACACTACTTGGCATAGACAGCAGCTGGCGGTGCCCATCTCGACTTCCCTCTGGGCGTGTGATTCCTGTTTGTGCTGCTGCTGCTCCTGCTGTGATCCTGCCACCGTTGCCTCTGCTGCTTCCTTCCCCCCAAGTTATTCACGATTGCGATATCACCAGCGCTCTCTGTATGTCGCCATAGGAGCTGCCTGGTAAACCGCTCTCGGAGACGGATATGCTTGGGGTGGTAAGCCTCTTGTTGTGCTGCTTCACAGAACTGCCTGCCTTCCCTTGCAATGAGGCCTGGTGTTTTGAAGGGCAGCGACATGCTTGTGCTTCTCTTGTGATGCGATGAGATGCGATGTGATGGGCATGGCCTGATCCATGTCGCAGTGTCTATTGATCATGATCCTTCCTCACCCGCTGCATCCCCGGCGAGGTGCATCGAGTGTAGGAGACATGCAGCAGCCATAGCGCGCATTGACACTGTCATACCTACAGTCCATACCTACTATCTACTGTATACTTCCAGTCTACTACTGATCCTCCTTCCTTCCTCTTGGCGCTTCTCCAAAATAGAAATCCACAACAAGCAACACAAAGCAGCAACAGCAGCAACAGCAGCAACAGCAGTCTTAGCAGCAGTGTCAGCAGCACAACGCAAGCTCAATTGACCGTCTCCGACCATCCGCACCTCTCATCGACGCGTCTCCTACTCCATTGACCCTCAGCTCCATCTTCATCTGCATATAAACCATGTGGTACGTCACATCCTCCCCTAAGCATCAGCTAACCCTCCCTCTAGCGGCATCTTCGGCTACCTCAACTACCTCGTCGAGCGTGATCGTGCATACATCGTCAATATCCTCCTCGCAGGACTCCAGCGCCTCGAGTACAGAGGCTATGACTCTGCCGGTATGGCGATTGATGGTGACACAGAGGGTCAAGTCATGCTCTACAAGCAAGTCGGCAAGGTCGCTGAACTCAGACGCTTGATCTACGAGCAAGAGAAGCCAGACATGCAAAAGGAGTTTGTCAACAGTGTCAGCATCTCCCATACGCGTTGGGCAACACACGGTAAACCCTCACCCATCAACTGCCATCCGCACAGATCAGACATCGACAATGAATTCACCATTGTTCACAATGGTATCATCACCAACTACGCTGCCTTGCGTACATTCTTGTCACGCGCAGGATTCCAATTCGAGTCAGAGACGGACACGGAGGTCATTGCAAAATTGTGCAAGTACATCTACGATGCCAATACCCAGATTGACTTTACCAATCTCGCCAAGTTGGTGGTCAAGGAGCTTGAAGGTGCCTTTGCTCTACTCATCAAGTGCAGTCACTTTCCAGGTGAAGTCATTGCCACGCGTCAAGGATCACCGTTGCTCATTGGTGTCAAGACGGAGAAGAAGCTCAAGACTGACTTTGTCGATGTCGAGTACAGCCAGCAAACGAAAGCTCAAAAGTTACCCCTCTCATCTGGCAAACCAGCAACTGCTTCAGCATTGTTGGCAGTCCCTGGACTCGCTGATCGACTCGGTGCCATGGATCTACGTAAATCGCAATCGCGTGCATTCTTGTCGGATGATGGTGTCCCCATGCCAGCTGAGTTCTTCTTTGCTTCCGATGCATCTGCTATTGTCGAGTATACCAAGCAAGTGCTCTACCTCGAGGATGAAGACGTCGCGCACGTTCACGATGGAGAATTACACATTCACCGCCTGAAGCACGTCCATGGCGCATCCAGCGTTCGCTCCATCCAAACACTCGAGATCGAACTCGCCAACATCATGAAAGGTAGTTTCGATCACTTTATGGCAAAGGAAATCTTTGAACAACCAGAAAGTACCGTCAATACCATGCGTGGTCGTGTGGATTTTGCTAAAGGCAAAGTGACACTCGGTGGGTTGAATGTCTTTTTGCCAACCATTCGACGCTGTAGGCGTATGATTTTCGTGGCATGCGGAACCTCTTACCATTCAGCACTCGCAACACGCGCCATCTTTGAAGAGTTGACGGAGATTCCCATTTCTGTTGAATTGGCCAGTGACTTTTTGGATCGCAAAACACCCATCTTTCGAGATGATACGTGTGTCTTTGTGAGCCAAAGTGGCGAAACGGCAGACACACTGCGTGCACTCGAGTACTGCCTTGAGCGTGGCGCCTTGACTGTTGGGATTGTGAATACGGTGGGTTCTTCCATCTCGCGTATCACAGACTGCGGTGTACACATCAATGCTGGTCCTGAGATTGGTGTTGCTAGTACAAAAGCGTACACGTCACAGTACATTGTGATGATCATGATGGCGCTTGTGTTGTCGGAGGATCGCGTCTCCAAGCAAGCGAGACGGCAGGAAATCATTCGTGGTCTTGAGGGTATTCCAAAACAGATTGATGGCATCTTGAAGCAAGACAACTTCATTAAACACATCTGCAAGGATCTGCACGGTAGCAAGTCGATTCTGATTCTGGGTCGCGGCTACCAACACGCCACATCTCTTGAGGGTGCACTCAAGATCAAGGAAATCTCTTATATCCACTGTGAGGGTATTCTTGCTGGTGAGCTGAAGCATGGTACATTGGCATTGATTGATGAGACGCTCAAGTGTGTCTTGTTTGCCATCAAGGACGAGCTCTACCCAAAGACAACCAGTGCCCTTCAGCAAGTCCTTGCACGCGGCGGCAAACCCATCATTGTATGCAACACGAACGACGAGAACTTCAGCGCTGGCACGTATGATGGCAAACCTATTGTGAGTATCGGGATTCCCGAGACGGTGGATTGTTTGGCTGGATTGTTGGCGATTATTCCAATGCAGCTGATGGCGTACCACTTGGCAACGATGGCTGGCTTTGATGTTGATTTTCCGCGGAACCTGGCGAAGAGCGTGACGGTGGAGTAAGGGGGCGTGCTTGTTTTGCTTGTTTGCTTGATGCCTGATGCTTGGTGCTTGACATAGATGGCGTGTGGTTGATGCAGTTTCTCGTCTTTTTGTCTCCATCTCGTCGCATCCTCATAGAACTACATCTACCCACCAGCTACCATCATCAGCGACAGCTTCCTTGCAACAGCAGCCATCAACGGCGGCCCATGTCATCTCCCATCCAAGTCAATCGCTCTGCAGACACACCTTCCATCCAATCACCACAAGCAACCCGCCGTGTTCCGCCGTCCTCCGAACACCAAAACCATGGCATCCTCGCCAGCTCTCCTGCACCGTCCTCCACGCACGGCGTCGGTGGTGCACGCTCCTTCTCGCGTGCCTCACAATTGAATCGCCTTGCAGAGTCGCCGAGACCTGCGTCACGGCTTTCACCGATGGGTACACCCGTCATTGGCAGTATCCCGGCGTCTCATCGTACACCGGGTGGTGCACGACGGAGTAGCGCTGTGGGGATGTATGATAATCCTCAATCAAGAACGGAAGGATTCCACGTCGGTTCTGTGCCATCTGCCGGTCAGTCGCAGGAAAACACTGGCAATAATGCACCCCTTGAAGCCTATGGGAGTCCTGGATCTGGACAGCAACAAGGCGCAGAAGATGCAAGGATTGTAGATCGACATCTCGGTGAAGCGGCAACAGAGGATGAGTTTGCGAGTTTGCAACTGCAAGGTGGTGATGTGCACAGACAAGTCTACCAATGGTCGCAGCAGCAAAAACAGCAGTCTTTACAGGCGCGGCGGTCGCAGAGCTTCTATATTCCTCGGCCTCAAGCGAATGATGAAACGCTGGATCCACGAAATCTCAAAGTACCCGGTGGATTCAGGCGTCAGCATCTCGCTGCAAAGCATGAAGAGGGCGAAGAGGAAGCAGCACAGCACGAGGATTACTTTACTGCTGGCTCAAATGGCAAGTTGCAAGGTGAACCTGTCAATTATGGTGCAACAGCAAGCAATACGCTGAAGATCCAACAGCAGCATGACTACCAACAACGCGCTGCACTGCGTCGCCATCAAACAGTCGGGGCACGCCCAGCGCCGCAGTTCCTCACACGCAATTTCATTGAGTTTCTGAGTTTGTATGGACACTTTGCTGGTGAAGACTTGGAGGAGGAAGAAGAAGAGAGTGATGATATGATCTCTGATGAAGCGGACGCGGGCTTTGCAGATGCTGAGACGGAAACGGAGGGAGCCGGTGGCGCTGGCGACGGCGAACAAAGACCACTGCTCATGCCACGCAAATCCACGCGTCGTGGCCGAAAATTTGAGGAACAAGGTGATGCGAGTGTCTTCAAAGCGGTGCTCCTGCTGCTCAAATCCTTCGTTGGTACTGGCGTCTTGTTTCTGCCAAAGGCCTTCCTCAATGGCGGCATGCTCTTTTCCTCCATTATCCTGCTGGCAGTCTCGGCCATCAGTCTATACTGCTTCCTTCTGCTTGTCAACACACGTCTCGCCGTACCGGCTTCGTTTGGAGATATCGGTGGTATCCTTTATGGCAGCAAGATGCGCAATGCCATTCTCTTCTCCATTGCCATTTCCCAGATTGGCTTTGTCTGTGCATACACGGCATTCACTGCAGAGAATCTCGGAGCCTTCATCAAAGCAGTGACGAATGGCAAGACGCAATGGGATATTTCATGGCTCATTGCCATCCAACTGGTTGTCTTCCTCCCGCTCAGCATGATTCGAGACATTTCAAAGCTAGGCTTCACCGCGCTCATTGCAGACTTTTTCATTCTGCTCGGCTTGGTCTACCTGTACTATGCCGATATTTCGCAAATTATTGATCGCGGTGTCTCTGACATTGTCCTCTTCAATGGCACTGACTGGACCCTTTTCATTGGCACGGCCATCTTTACGTTTGAAGGCATTGGGCTTATTATCCCCATCACACAGTCAATGAAGGAGCCGGAAAAGTTCCCAGCGGCACTCGGTGGTGTGATGCTCTTCATCACGATCCTCTTCACCAGTATCGGTGCCTTGTCCTATGCTGCATTTGGCTCAGCTACCAAGACTGTCATTCTGTCGAATCTCCGGCAGACCAACCGTTTTGTCAACGCCGTGCAACTCCTTTACTCCATGGCTATTCTACTCTCGACACCACTACAGCTCTTCCCAGCAATTCGAATCCTCGAAACCGCAGTCTTCACAAAATCCGGTAAGTACTCACCAAAGACGAAATGGACAAAAAATATGTTTCGCGTTGTGATCGTTGTTGGCGCCAGCTTCATTGCGTGGGTCGGTGCCAATGATCTCGACAAATTTGTCTCATTGATTGGCAGTTTCGCATGTGTCCCACTCGTTTTCATCTACCCGCCGCTGCTGCACTTGAAGGGAGTCAGTCAGACGCGCGCACAAAAAGGTGCTGATATCACATTGGCTGTCTTTGGTGTGCTGGCCATGTTCTATACAACAGCAACGAGCATCAGCTCATGGATCTCATGAAGACTTTGGCTCGATACACGGATCCATCATAGAATAGCATACCCTGCATAGCCTGTCTTTGCTTTGTGACTGCATTTCTTTCATCGTCATCTGCCTCGACGATGACTTGAAGAGTCAATGAGGACACTGTGACTCTGCTTTCACATCGATTTGTTGCGCTATGAAGGACGTTCTCATCTTCTGGATATCCTTCTTTGTTCTGCTAGGTCTTGCTACCATTGGCTTTGTCCATGTGCTCTACGCCCTGTCAGATCGCCATGAGAAATCAATCTTGACAGTCGTGACAGTCTTTCTGGGCCTCACTGTTTGTGCAAGCGCCATCTTGCTGCCTTCGCTCGATGTCGCACTGGCAGGCCTGGGCAATATTAGCAGTCTTGGCTTGCCAAACGAGGGCATCAATATGGGACGTGTGCAGTGGTGGGTGTCTTTCGCCTATGTGCTCACCTATGCACTCATGGCTTTCGTCCTATGTGTCGCAGTACCCTTCAGCTATGTCTTCTTTGAGGAATGGGACGATGAATCGAGCACGAGGACGCAAGCAGCTACAGCATTCAAGTACACAGCCATTCTGGTGACAACAGTTGCCATCTTGTTTGGCATTGGTATCCTCGTGCCAAATGCAAAGCGCGTCAAAGGCCCGAAAGATGGAGCAGACTGGGATTACTTTGGACGTCTTTTGTCTGTTGCTCGTCCTGTGCGCGCTCTTTTGTTTGTGTTGGGTCTTATGATCTTGCTCGGTACCATTGCACTCATTTACTACGGCGGTACCGGACTCGCCACCTTGCCCGTCAACCTTCTCAAACCCTCTGCTGAGCAATTGGAAGCAAGCGGCAATCCAGAAGACGCACAAGTCAATCTCGATCTGAACCGACAGCAACAACGTGCCATTGAAGTGCGCGCAGAGCAAGAAAGTTCTGCTGATACATCCCTGCGTACTCGCATGAGTCGAGCGGATCGAATGCAACTTGACTCTTTACAGCGTCGCGAGCGAGCGCTTGTCAGAACACTCAACTTGCAACGTGAAGGTTCGTCGTTGCGCAAAGTCTTTTCGAACAAGGTCGGGCGTCCCCTTCAAGTGTTTGTGGGCATGGTCGGGTTGATCTTATCAGGAGGATTCGTGACAATCCTCTTGCTCGCACTGATGCGTGCTCTGATTGCTTCGAACGCCTGTGGACCACGCTGCGGAGTCTTGCGCCAGCTTCCTGCCAGTCTCTTCTTCAATCCTTGGGAGACTCTGCTGCAGTCGACACCCAGTTACGTTGCGTTCATCTTCAGTTCGCTTCTGGCTCTCTACTTGCTAATGACCCTGCTCAATGGCGTAGCAAGTTTGGGAATCAGATTCGTATGGGTCTCTCTGTTCCCCGTGCAAGCGAGTGGCACCGTTCCTCAGGCACTGCTGCTCATGGTTGTCATTGCAATGGCCGGTGTCATTGGTTTGCAATGGCCACTCCTGAATTTCGTTCAGCCTGGATACGCGACGTTTGGTGGTCAAACATTTTGTAATGCAACCACAGCAGCGCAGTGCGAGCAGGATTCAAGTCTCGTACTGCCTTGTGTTCAAGCCATCTCTGCGCCAGTCAACAATTTGACTATGCTGCAACACGATTTCAGCAAAGTGGCGTGCCATCGCAGTATCGTTTCACAGGTGGTTGGGGCTTTGTTGGCCAACTATCCCTGGTTTGGGATCCTGTTGTTCTGGGCACAGTACGGTCTTGTTGCCATCTTCTTGGTTGCGCTTGTCACTGCCTTTGTGAAGCGTCCCAGCCTTGCTGAGCCTACAGATGAGGAAGCAGTTGATGAAGAGACTGCACTGCTTCGATAACGTGCTATTATTTTATGGTTGATCTACACTATTTATGTATATTCACAGTTCATACGATCAATGTCAATGACCCAGATTTGCGATCTTTGGGCCGGGTAGTCCAGAGTCGCCACTGACTCGCCCAAGGTCGCGGTAGAGCTGCGTACCTTGGTGGCGACTCGGGGCAAGAAGTGGTTGCGTACCCTGAAAGCCAACAGACCGTGACCCATGCAGACATGATGCAGTGCGTTCATCTGCAGAAGACCCCACGATGGTAATGCAGCGGCATCCCCATCGCGAGATCTGGAGGCATGGGTGACGCGAGGCAAGCAGTCAATCTCAAGCAAACTACAGCCCTTCTTCTATTCCTTCGTCCTGTAGCTCTGTAGAATCCGCCACAACCAGAGCCTCACTCTCGGACCAGTCTGCCTCGACAGAACTTGCTGCAAGCACCTATCTACCACATTTACTGCGCATTCAGAGAGGCCAGGCCCAGCAGGAAGCGCTGTTTGCCTCAGTGGTGAGAGGAGAAAACGTCATCGGCGCCCAGTAAACCCGCCAGAATCTCGAAAAGCGCAGACGACGACGACCAGCAGCAGCAGCAGCAGCAAAACGAGGGCAGTAGAGCGGCTCTCGAGCCAGCAAAGCGTCCATCTCTATTGGTATCATCACATACACACGCGCCTTTGGACAGTCGAGACACTGTTTTCTGCATGGACAGCGACAAGCAACATGTAGAGGAGGAGGCTAGCGAGGCCATTCATGTAGACCCTGCGATACCAACGGGAGACGGGACCCTTATTGCCGCTCCCTCGGCGACCTCTACGACAGCGTCGCAGAACGATATCGATGCTCAAGCACTTGCAGATCGAATCCGATGGCGCGAATTGCTTGAAGAGTACAGGCAAGGCAATATCGATTTTGATAGACGGCCGTCGCACATTCAAGCGCTTGACCTCTATCTGCAAGAAGGTGGCGGATTCCTGACAGCGCCCATGTCTCCGCATGAGGAGGCTCGTACAGCAACCTTGGCTCGTTATATGGCAGATGTCATGCATGCGTATAAGCAAGCGGGCCATTCCCTCGACCTCGACAAATTTACACGACTCGCCTCGATTGCTTGCAGAGCGCCCATCGCCTTGCTGAACTTCGTTGACACTGACGAGCAGTATGTCAAGTCTCAATATGGCCTTCCGTCCTGGCAGGAAAAGGTCATGCCGCGCAATCAATCATTTTGTGCGCACACCATCTTGAAGGAAAATGGAACAGTCTTTTCAGTGACAGATGCTAGCAAGGATTGGCGTTTTCAAGGTCTCGACATTGTCACTGGAGATGAGCACGTTAGGTGGTATGCTGGTGTGCCCTTACGCACTCCAGAAGGTCACAACATTGGCGCTGTGTGTGTCATTGATACGGAACCGCGGGAGGCCCCTGATGAGCGACAAAAGCAGGCCCTTCAGGACATTGCCAAAATGGTCATGCTCGAGCTCAATCCGCTTGCAGAGCAACTCGTTCGTCAACGGCAGGAGCGTGTCTTTCTCTCGAGCATTTCACACGAGTTGCGTGCCCCGTTGCACGGTCTCTTGGCTAGCACAGAGATGCTATTAGATGACAGCAGCTCGGCACTCGGTCCTTCACAAAGCGCATATCTGCAAACAATAGCAAATTGCGGCAATATGCTACAAGATGTCATTGAAAATGTCATCTCGCAACGCGTCTCCCATACGATGCGGCCAAAAGATACAAGCCGCCACACCAAGACACTTGTGGATTTGCCAGCATTCTTGGAGGAGGTATTAGACAGCACCTGGGTCGGCAAGTCTGTCGACCACGAAAAGGCAGCAGATGATGTCGAGGTATTTGTGCGGTCAAATTTGGCTAGAACCAATGCTGCCTATCGCATCGACCGTGGTGAGATTGGACGTATTGTCATGAACGTCTTTGGCAACGGCATCAAATACACCTCAAAAGGTCGCATCGAAGTCAAGCTCAGTGCCGGTGAGGTCGAACCCGTGCCCGGCGACTCTGGCTTCCAGCAGCGTGTCCGACTCGTCTTCCAAGATACCGGCAAGGGCATTGCTGCATCCTATCTGCCGCAGCTGTTCACCCCATTTGTACAAGAAGACTCGCTGGCCGAAGGCTATGGACTTGGCATGTCAATGGTCAAGGATCTTGTTGAACGGAATGGTGGCAAGACTCAGGTCAATTCTGTTGAAGGACAGGGCACAACCATCACGGTAGAGCTCACCCTGGAAGTGCTCCCAGACATCCATCCGAGCCCATTCGCAGCATTGCGTGGTAAGCAATATTACGCCTCGAGCTACGTCAAATCCAGCAGTACCACTTACAAGTACGTTCGCGAGATGTGTGCAGCGTTTGGTATGGAAGAATGCGATGTTGCAGATGCAGACATTGTGCTCGTCAAGGAGACACGGGAGCTCATCCTTGAAGAGAATGTGCTTCAAGATGTGAACCAGCCCACAGTTCTACTCACAATGCAAACACGGCCACAGCCTATTCCTTCACGGAGTCGCGTCATGCTCGTTCAAGGTCCACTAGGCCCGTACAAGCTTGGTCGGGCCATCATGACTGCTCTGAATGTCGCTCAACCGAGCTCATCAGCACGGCGCTTTTCGACCTCGACCCGTCGGCGGCCGGGCATTTCAAGAAATGTGTCTAGCGGACCCATCATGGATACGCCAAACAACTCCTACTTTCCAATGCTCAAGACACAATCAAGCGACGGCAGCAGTTTGTTGCGTACAGAATCCGGCGACAGCGGTGTATTGAGCAACCCTGTGCCCGGCAATGGACAGACTCCACCGAGCTCGCTCAGTGGCATGTCATCACTCTCTCTTGGTAGCGATAATTCGAGCATCCGTCAAGGGCAAAGCCCAGCGCTGTCTTCGACCTCAAGCACCACAATTCGACCTACGCTTGGCCATCGCACAAGTAGTCTACCCGTGCCAGACGCGTCACGTATGCACTGTCTCATTGTGGATGACAATCCAATCAATCTACAAATCCTACGCACAACACTTGAGCGGCTTGGTTTGTCTTGTGTGGTAGCAGAGAATGGTCTTGAAGGTTTCCATCGCTTTGCTGAAGCACGTCGAGCCAAAGATCTCTCTCCCGATCTGCAAAAGCTGAATCCAGCACGGCCATTTGATCTGGTCTTTATGGATGTGTACATGCCGCTGATGAATGGTATAGAGGCGACTGCAAAAATACGAGAATTAGAGAAGGAATTACGGAAACGCAAGCGGCGCATGGAGGGTGCTGGTCGTCCGCGCGCCACCAGTGATCTCGATGGTGTGACACCAGGAAAAACACAGCCAAAGGTTTCCACTCCATCCATGGCCTTCGAGTGGTGCACCGTCGTGGCCATATCGGGTGGCGGCGAAGAGGAAGAGACTGAAATGAAGGCGGCCGGGGCAGATTACTTTTTCCAGCGCCCATTCACCGGCAAGGATCTCAAGCGCTTCTTGGCTCAATTTGAGAAGGATCTGATTGAAGCACGGTCGGCAACACGCTCAACCAGCGTCACGTCAATCAGCGAGCCAAGTCGGCCAAGCGCATTGAAGAATGAGCTGTCTTCTGCGTAATTCCTGTTTGTTTGTTTGTCTTGGACAAGCGTTGTTTGAGTAATGGAGCGGTTAGGTAGACGGAGTACGGAAGAGCGAGTTTAACATCGTAGCATATCAATTTGTTGTCTAGCACAGGAGCAGTGTAGAAAGTGTCATAAAAATAATGTGGCGATCTATGGATGCCGTCTTTGAATATAGTGAAAGGTTTCTTGCTCTAAAGCTTGACGTCAACGGGCTTCTCGTAGCTGGTGTAGGCAGGGTCCCACATTTCGTCCTCGACGGCACGCTCGACCTCTTCATCCTTCATGATGCGGCCGTATCGCAAACGCATGGCTTCCCGAACAACAGCCTTGGCAATGTGGGCAGAGACTTTGCGAAGTTCTGGCGTAGGTGGGAAGATACTGCCCGTCTTGAAACGCTCAGCAGAGACACACTCGGCCATGGCATCTGCGGCAACAAGGAACATAGAATCGGTGACAATGCGTGTGTTTGAGACAATGCAACCAAGACCGACACCGGGGAAGCAAAAGACGTTATTGGCTTGACCGATGATGTGTGTCTTGCCCTTGTGCTCGACAGGGTCGAATGGTGAGCCAGAAGCGACAATGCCCTTACCGTCTGTCCACTCAATGGCTTCCTGTGCAGTGCACTCTGCCAACGATGTAGGGTTAGAAAGCGGCAAAATGACGGGCCTGTCGCAATGCTTTGCCATCTCACGAATGGCCTCTTCCTTGAAACTGCCACCCACAGCAGTTGTACCGACCAAGATGGTTGGCTTGACGCGCTTGATCACCTCGACGAGATCGGCATCACCAGTGAAACCATAGAAGTCCATCTCGCGCTGCTGAAGTGCAACCTGCGTCTTTTGTGGGTCGCCCTTGAAGTTACCACGCGAGTGGTACAGCAAACCCTTGGAGTCTAGGAACACCATCTTCTTTGCAATTTCAGCTTCAGAGATGCCAGCACGCTCAAAGCCGAGTCGGCAGAGGTCAGAGATACCGACACCAGCAGTGCCAGTACCCAAGAAGACAATTCGTTGATCTTCCAGTGTGGTGTTGAGGTTTGTGAGGGCAGCAAGGATTCCGCCAAGCGACACACATGCTGTACCTTGAATATCATCGTTGAAGGACGGCAATCGATTGCGGTACTTCTCCAAGTTGTCAAAGGCAGTGTTCTTGTGGAAGTCTTCCCACTGGAGCAACGCGCGTGGCCAAACTTGTTGTACGGCCGTGACAAAGGCCTCGATAAAGTCGTTGTAGGCCTCTCCTCGAAGTCGCTTGTGTCGGTAGCCAGCGTAGTAGGGATCGTTCAGCAGCGTTTCGTTGTTCGTACCGACGTCCAGAGAAATAGGACACGTATGACTTGGATGAATTCCACCCCCACTCACATAGAGGGAGAGCTTGCCGATGGGGATACCCATTCCACCACAACCTTGATCGCCGAGACCCAAAATACGCTCGTTGTCAGTTACGACGATGAGACGCACATCCTGGTTGGGCGAATGCTTCAGGACCTCTGGAATTCGGTCAATGTCGTCTGGGGTGATCCACAATCCTCGCGTGCGCCTGAAGATGTGTGAGTAGAGCTGGCAAGCTTTACCAACTGTGGGTGTGTAAATGATAGGCATGCATTCGGCAATGTTGTTCACCACCACACGGTAAAAGAGTGTTTCATTACGGTCTTGCAAGGCAGATAGACCGATGAACTTTTCGAGAGGCTCAGACTTGGATCGAAGACGTTCTAGCTCGAGGTCAACTTGCTGATCAATATTAAGATACGTCTTGGGCAAGAGGCCCTCAATCTCGACTAAATATCTTGTTAGCCTTTCTTGAACATGTATCTCAACAGAAGTGACGCACGATCCAAACGTTCCTGCGGAGTGAAGGCTGTGTCTTTGTTGTAGAGAGGGTGGTAGAGGAGCCTGAACCCCTTCAGACCTACAGGCAGCTGCAGACGTTTGATGCCCTTTGAGGCCACCTCTGCGCTGTCGGTGACCATGCCAGAATCCTTTCTGAGCAATTGTACGGATTTGAGATTACTCATTTCTGTTGAGGTTGAGCTTGAGGTAGTATTTGCGTCGTGCTTGATCGGTGTGCCTTTGGCTGCAGTGGAATAGTAGCGTACTTTCCTGGGATGTTGCAAGAAGGATGGCAGACACCTAGTTGAGAAGGGCCGCATGCAAATGTGGGTGGTGGGGACTCCTTATAGATGTCTCGTTCTGTGGACTCTAGGGAGATGTCGGAACACAACGGGAGAGGCAGGAATCGCAAAACACGAGGAAGGGGGGCAGATGACTATGTTGTAGCGCAAGAGAGGTCTATGTCTGGGCGGCAGCTGGGCTGTCTGGAGGAGATGCTGGAGATGTCCACTGTCGATATCGTCTTGATCTCTTGGTGCGCGCTCATTGGACTGCGGTTAGACCGAGGCGGCAGGAATAGGCGACACAGGCGACACGAAACCGCATGCGCACCGGGTCCACCAACACTCCGCAAACCCTCGGCGGACTACTTTAGATCTCGAGTCTTGATATCGTGGCATCGTGTATGTCGTCGACTCGTCGATCATTAGCTGTAATGATGCAGCGCTATAGCTAGCCCGCAGTCGGGCGACAATGGCTGCAAGAAACTCACAAGAGTAGAATATGCTTCTATATCAATCAAGCTGTACCTAGGTCCTGGCAGCCTGCTTGGGGTCATGTTGCATCTGAATAATCATTGAATATGCACGCTGCAAAGGCGTATTAGCACTTCAATGCAAGTCTGCAAGTTGGTCATTAGTGGTAAAAGAGAAGAGTTACGAGACGTGCACGCACATCCCGTCAAAGCTGTCGAAAAAATTCATCGTGACTCAGTGATACTCGCCCAGCGAGTGCGATGCGTACTGAGAGTGGTAGACTGGCTGCTGCTCTTGGCCATGTCGGCCATAATCATGCATGGGCTCGTCCATCTCATCTGGAGCAAAGCCATCTTCGCGACCATGCTGCTGCTGGCCAGTGTGCGAATGTCCATGCGACCCGTGATGCTGGTGATGGTGGTGGTGCTGCTCTCGCTGTTCACGCGAGTGCTGTTGCGTAGCATGTCCATGCCCGTGCCCGTGCAATTCACCCTCACCCACTGCGTATCCAGCAAAGCTCAACCGAGGCGCATGCCTAGCGACCGGTGTCGACTCGGAGTCAACACCTTCCTCCCTTGAGGATTCTCGGTCAACGACTGCCGATCCAAGCGGCAGTCGGAGCAAGCCAGGCGCGTGTTGCTGCACAGTATTGAAGGGCTGGTGCGTTGGTGGGTAGTCGTCTGCTTGGACATACAGTGACAGGCCTGCAGCCAGGGGACCACGAGCATTTCGATAGACGTTGCTGGGATGGTTGTGAAGGTGGTTTGGGTCACTGCCATACTCGTCGGGACCAGACATTCCCAGGGAACCTTTGCGGATGCCGCCAGGTGCGCGCATCGCAGCACTACCCGTGTGCAGAATTGGAGGCGACAGACTGGCTGAAGCAGCAGACATGCTTGAATGTCGAGACAAGCCAGAGGCACCATTCATGTATCGCACAGCTCCAAGTGATTCCAACTCCTGTCGCAATCGCAAGTTTTCCAACTTCATCTCGCGCATCTCATGCGTCATGTCCAAGCAATGGGAGATGATGGTACTCTTACTTGGCCGATGCACATGTTGCAGCGAGGGGATCGTCTGTGCGAGCAAAGTGAATTTTGCATTCAACGCTTCTCGCCTTGTTCGCTCCACTGAGTTGTGAATGGCACGTCGTTCAGCCAAGGTGCCATTGTGAAGGCTGTTGTTGCTTGCAGATTCTTCAGCAGACGAATAGGGCGACTTGGACTTGTCGCGATGCTTGGTCTCTGCGCTGCTGTTGGACTTCATTATATTTGCAGGTGTTTGGTGAATCAATCAAGGTCCACTGTGTTTGACAAGTACTCGTATGCCTTGTCTTGTTTGGACAGGGATGGCAATGAGCGTGCTGCACGCGCACGAAAGCGACCTTTCAGACTGCAGCTGCCGATCCTGGCGTGGGTCCGCGGGTGTGGTTTTCTTATTTGCACAAGGCTCTTGACGATTGCGGCTTGGTGCAAATCGTTGTCTTATAGAAGTGAAAAAGCTGGCTTGCTGGCACTTTGGTCTCACCCTGTCGATGGTCGGGAGTCTCTGGTCAGGGTGGGCAGAGCCCCTCTTTAAGGACAAAAGCCAGGGTCATCTACAAAAATACTCAATCGCGACTCCTATGGCAGGTGACGACAATACGCTCTGGCAACCCCCTTCAGCCATCAACAAGTCTTTCCCAAATCGCACGGATCACTTTGGCAGCAAGCGACGTCCGAGCGTGTGGGATGCGCAACATCTCTGGGCGGAACCCTTAAGGGAGGTCTTGTAGGCGATCATGGCGCCAATCTGGACCAACATAGACTGGAGTAACCAACATTCGCCGGAGCTTCTGGTTTGATGCTGCGGTGTCGCTGTAGTCTCTGCAAAAATAGAACCGTGGCTTGATGCATGTCGGTAGATGTTGCCCATGATTTGGCCGATCGCGGAGTTCCGGCTCCGCTGATCAGCGCTGTCACTCTGGGCGCTAAATTTAGGGAGACACTTTCTATGGAGCATTTCACAGCTGTACACGGCAACTTAGGCAAGCGAACGTGCGCAGGAAATCCAGAACTATGGTTATGCTTTGGATCATCTATGCTTGAGCCGCTTTACCTGTTCTGCAGCTCGTACTTTGCTACTTCAGGTGGCGCTAGCTGCAGGAGCGCGGCCTTGGAGCATCCTGGTTGCAGGCTTTCGTCAGAGAAATCCAGAGATTGATTCATGCCGTCTTGTACAGTCCTCAATTCTAACAACTCAGGAAGAGCGCTGAGTCTCTGACTGCGGTGTCACATTCACGTATGCAGACTACCCTTGTGATGAGTCGAGACTCGAGACGGCCCGATTGTATTGATTGATTGATTGATTGATTGATTGATAGATCATATAAAAGAAGACTATATCTGCGATTTGATCGCTGCACACGACACATTGTTTCGCCAACCTTGATGATAAGTGAATGTCTGGGAGAGTTTCTCGTCATAAATCGCTCATCACGTCTGGCACATCGTGAATTTAGGGAGACCCCAGGAGAACTCCTCTCACGAAGTAACGATCGGCTCCAAACAGCGTATGTCTATGATCTAAGTATAGAGCTCTCTGGCCACTGTAGCTTGTAGCCAGATCGTGTCATGGTAGCTGGTAGGTACGATTGTGGCGATGTTTTGCATTCCCATTTGATCAGCATTGGGTCAGAGATCGATTCTCCAGGCCATGTTCGTACACTGCTATCTATGTCTATCGTCGAGGGGACGCTCGACAATATGTGTGGCCAAGCGACTGAGCCAATGCGTTTGACTCAGTGTACTGTTAAGCGAAGTCTTGATTTCGGGCAGCTGCAATGACAGGACACCAATGTAGGCAAGCCAAATGCGGTGAACAAGTGCAAGATGTGCCTAAGATCTATATACCTCAGCATCTATGAAACTCCTACATTGTAAATCAAGGCTTGATCTCTCATGATAATTGTGACATGACCTTGGTCAGCAATTGTGAGAGCAAGTTGGCCTTTTCAGAGTGAGGCATCTCCTGAAACACCTGATAGACAGGCTTAGAGTGAGAGTCACGAATGGCTCCGAGCCTGTTGCCTACTACAGCTCCCGCAAGAGCTCCCGGTATGTTGGCCAAGATGAAGCCGAGCGCCGCGCCGCTAGCGCCGCCAAGCAGCCCATAAAGGCGGCCAGTACCTTGAGCACGATCTTCAGCGCCGCCCAAGTTCTCATCATTCATCATCTCCTCAAACAAATCACCGAATTGCGCGTCTGCTTGTTGTCGCGCATTCTGCGCGTTGCCGCCAAAGAAGCTTGACCAGCCAGCACCTCCCGCGCCACCCGACCCGCGTGTCGCATCAAACTCGCGACGTCGCGTAGCATCAGAGAGGACGTAGTATGCGTTGTTGACTTCCTGGAATTTGGCCGTGGCATCCTCTTGTTCCTTTGAGCCGGATGGGAAGCGATCAGGATGTCTGATTATTAGCTTTAGTGGTCACCAAGCCAAATTCGACTCACGTTTCGAGCGAGCGCTTGCGATAGGCTTTCTTGATATCTGCGACGCTTGCTTCAGCTGCTACGCCGAGTATTTTGTAGTAGTCCATGCTCGACAAGTCGTGTGTTGGTTTGGTTGTGGCCAGGCTGGCGATTTGGACTCGCATGTGACTCTGCCATGACGTGGGCGCAACGACATCGATACCAGAGCAGAGCAGACGTCTACGACACGCGGTCCACGGAGCCATCTAGATGCTCACTAATGCTATCCGAGCTCTGGACTGCATCGCGCTGCACGTAAGCTGCGTCTCCTGTTCTAAAACAAGAGGCCTCGCCAATCGGCCACCAGCTGCAGTTCGTCAGATCAACCGCGCTGACTGCTAGGGGCATAGGTCAGTGGGACGGCGCAACAGAGCTGAGAACGTATATTGCAACTATATCATATCCTTCCGGCTGCGACTACAGAGATCAGTCGAATGGACCAGTGCTCTTTTCTCTCGCTATCGAGCAGCCCCTGAGGCTCGCTTATGTCCGAGGGAGCAAACATGAGACTCGCGTGGCATGTCAAGGAGGCTTTGCTCTAATGATCGGCTTATAAAAGTCTGCTTGTCCTCATCTTTCTCTTTCAAGACTCAAGGCGACTACTCAGACAACTATATCGCCAACATCAAAGGAAAATGCAACTGAAAGCTAACATTCTTTCACAGTTGATATGCACCACAGTTCTCTTGCGAACGAATCAGGCCAAGGCTGAGTCTTGTAATTCCGTATCCACAGACGACGAACTTCTGGACCTTCCCTCAAAGGGTTTCGACTGTACTTCTGACAAGGACAATATATGTCAGTTCAAGTCAAACCTTTGTCATTTCTGGACTGTGAGGAGCAGGCACAAGATCCCGCCAATTCCATCTGATTTTCAGCTTCTCCCATGCTCTGCCTATGCGATGGGCCCTGAGCAATCTTGCTGGGTGTTGGACATGAAATCGACCAATCCAAAGGTGTTCCCTGTGTTTGATCTATTCAAAAAGCGTTATATTATTTACTGTGGTCCGCAAACCAAGGAGGACAGTGCCGTCCCAAAATACTTGGAGACTCAAGCTAAAGCCTTGTATGGCGAGAAGGCTAGGAAGGTCGCTGGGTGCACGTTCAATCCACTTTACAGGGGTTATGATTGGGTCGAGTGTAATAACGTCACTTCCCAGTGTTTTTAAGCTCCGGGAGCTAGATCGACTGCAATCACGTAGCATTGCCATTCCTCGATAGCTTGCTACTCATCCACAAATTCACTCTCTTCTTCTTCATCCTCTTCGTCCTCTTCTTCAATCAAGTCAGCCTCATTCATTGTCATTGGCCGCCGCACGCTGCCAGACTTGTCCTTGCCACGATGACCTGCTTGTTGCTGTTGTTGCTGCAACAATGCACTACGCTTCTTGCGCGATGCGAAAATGACCGCATTGCCCCCCATTGCAGACTCGAAAACATTACGCTCTTTGCGTCCTCCAGGATGGCCAATCATGTATGGTGGCGGCGTCGATGGCATGACTTTGAGCGGGTTGCGCGATGTGCGCAGTGGCCTAGCACTTGCAAATGTAGAATTGGAACTCGTTGATGAGGCTTTACTGTGTCCCATGAATGGTGGTCCATGTCCGTACGATGCAACAGACGATTGTGCCGATGATGTAGAAATCGTTCGAGCAAGCGGCGGTCGAGTTGATGGAGAAGGTGAACGAAACCCGCCTTGCCGTGCATTTTCGTGTGCCGTGAGGTAAAGTCGCCTGCGACTCGCAACACTTGATGAACTTGAAATACGGCGCGGCATACCCGGTCGACTTGGACGATGTGGTCGAACAAAGGTGACGCCGCTCCCGCGAGAATCACGACTGCGCGACCGTGGACGATATGCGCTTGTCTGTGCTTGTTGAAGCGGCAAGACTTGCTTTTCGTGCGCTTTCTTGGGCGTTGGTGGTGATGCAGAAGACCTGGAAGACTTGCCAAGACTCAAGGCGCGATGTCGGCCTGTTCGTAGAGACTGCCCTGCCCACCACTCTTTCAACGTTGCTACAATGGACTGCTTCCGTTGACCCAATTCCTTTCGATTCGCAGAATCTTGCAAGTGGCCATCGCTTGCTTTCGGTGTCAGCTTTCTAGCATGATGCTGCTCAGAATCAGCTGGTTCGTCAGGCGCAGTTTCGCGATGCTCCACCTTGGCTGCCGTTTTGAATTGGCTAAATAGAGCAGGCGCTGTATTTTCCACAACAGGCGATGACACGACTCGTGGAGAATGCCGATGGCTACTAAGCAGTGCTTCTTGTTGTAGTCTCAGGCTTGAGTTAGAATCGGACGGAAAACGATAGCTCAAGCGGCGACTGTCCACACTGCGAGGTCTTGAACGGCTACGCGTTCTCAGGTCGCGGACTTCCCGTGCATCATTGTCGCCACTCAATCGACGCTGATGTCTCGCTTTCCGCTCTCGATGACGCTCCCTTTTAAGAGAGAGCCACCACCATCCACATAAACTATCGCAGCTGTAGTCCAGCACAGATGCCATGACTTTCTCTGTATTGATACCACCAACACTCATTCTTTCGAGTATCGTCTTTTCGAGGCGCGTCATGAACGTTGGCTCGTAAGGCTTGGCGAGATTGATGATCTGCTCAGGGGCAAAATCTATCAAGAATGGATGCTGTAGGATATCTTGCGCGCTCGGGCGCTTCTCTGGATCCTTGTTGAGCATACTCGTTATAAGTTGTGTCATTTCATCAGAGAAGAAAGGCGGAAACACAGGTTGCGACTCGAGAATCATACGCTTCGTCGCAAGCTCGTCCTCCTCATCGTAAGGCAATTGTCCACTGAGCAAAGCAAATAAGATGATGCCAAGCGACCAGATGTCCACCGGCTCGCCCTGATATTTTGAACATCGCAAAATCTCTGGCGCCGAATAAGCTGTTGATCCACACCACGTCTTCATAAAGCCCTTGTCATTTTCCCTAGTAAAGCCAAAATCGCCGAGCTTGACATTATTCTTGCGGTCCAAAAAGATATTCTCCAGCTTAAGATCACGATGTACAATGCCGCGAGAGTGGATATAGGCCACTGCACCGCATATTTGAGCAAAAATCTTTTTTGTTTCGCGCTCAGTCAATTGACGGCGCTTCAGCAGATACTCATACAATTCACCTCCACCGCAATGCTCCAAAACTAGCCAGACACGCTCTTCTGTTACAATGACTTCATATAGCTGCACAACATGCGGATGATGCAAGCGCCGATGGTGATGAATCTCGCGCGCAAGTGTCGGCGCTTCCGATTTGGGTGTACCTTTTAGCACCACCTTACCGCCGAGAAACTTGTGCGTCGCTTGATAAGCATGGCCATAGGATCCTTTCCCGACTTCGCGGCCGAGGCTGTAGTTGCCGATGGTTTCGCATGCAAGCGCAGTAAACGATCGCACAAGCTCGTTGTAGGATGCTGCGAGGTTCGCCTTGAGGTTTTTGTCCTCGCGCATTGAGGTATCGTTCGGATCAAAGAGTCATGAGGGGTGACAGGTGGAGGACGCTTGCGACAACGCAGGGAGAGGGCTTGTTTGCTTTGTCCTGGGCTGCTCGTCGCTGTCGCGCAAGTTTGAGTCTGTGCCTGGGTGTGAGCTCCTCCAGGTGATCTCTCGTATTTGCAGTTGAACATGAGAACATCGACCAGAGCAAACAGCCAGACACTGAGCAGATAGACTCTGCTGGCTATGGTCAGCTCTCAATTTGACCATCATACTATCCACAATGCTGGCAAGCGTATCAACCTATGTACTTCCAAGCAGACTGGCCTTTCCTGTGTTCAGGTAGAGCTGGAGGTACCCACTGTCTCTGGCTACTTCACGCTTGCCACCGAGTGCTTTAATGACTCTGGCTCACCGCACACGCTTGAACATCTCATATTCCTGGGCTCTGAGCAGTACCCTTACAAAGGTGTCCTAGACTCACTTGCCAATCGTGCATTCGCGCAAGGCACAAATGCTTGGACCGATACAGACCATACGGCCTACACCATCGAGACCGTTGGGCAGGAAGGCTTTCTTAGACTGCTGCCAATCTTTGTGGATCACATCTTGTACCCTACGATGACAGCCTCTGGTTGTTATACAGAGGTCTATCACATCAATGGCAAGGGCGAAGACGCAGGTGTCGTCTACAGCGAGATGCAAGGTGTCGAGAACACAGGTCCCAATTTGATGAGCTTGCGTGCCCAACGTGCCTTGCATGGCCTTGAGAGTGGTTATCGCAGTGAGACGGGTGGTATTTTGAGTGAGGTTCGCAAGCTCACCGTGGCTGAGATTCGTGCCTACCACGCAAAGTACTACCAGGCGAACAATCTCGTCTTGGTCATCACAGGCAAAGTTGATCAAGCAGCACTTTTGGGGACATTGCAGGGGGTCGATGCGACCATTCTTGGGCATGGTCCTGTGAATTTGACAGGTCCACGGCCGTGGGTCGACTCTCATCCAGTCTTCCAATTGAAACAGACAAGCAAAGAAACCGTTGCTTTTCCAGAGGAAGACGAGTCTATGGGCGAAATTGCCATTACCTGGCCAGGTCCATCTGTTGTGGACTACATTGATCACTATGCCATTGATATGCTGGGCATGTATCTTGCTCACAGCGCCGTCTCTCCTATGCAAGCGGCTCTTGTCGAGCTGGAGGATCCACTGTGTACAGATGTCGACTTTTATTTGTCCGATCGACTTCGCAGTACTTTGACAGTCTCACTTGCGTCTGTCCCAGTCGAGGACCTCGATAAGGCCGAAGCCGTGTTCTTTGAGACCATTGAACAGGTGCTCTCGAAGGACTTGGACATGGAACGTATGGCGCATCTCATTCGCAAGGATAAGCTCAAGGTGACAAATGTCGTCGAGACAGACCCTCATGGCGCTTTTTCGACCCCTATCATTACAGACTTCATCTATGGTACCCGCGATGGTGCTTCATTGAGCAAGGCGCTCGACGATGTTCAAATACTGGACGAGCTTTCTACCTGGTCATCTGGAGACTGGCAAGCGTTCATGCGAAAGTGGCTCGTTGAAGCACCTCACCTGACTATTTTTGGCAGACCGAGTGCTGCTCTTGCCACTAAATTACAACAAGCGGAAAAGGATCGGATCGCTGCGCAAGCTGCCAAATTTGGCGATCAGGGTCTCAAATCTCTTGCTGAGAAGCTCAAGCAGGCGCAAGAGGAAAATGACCGACCGATGCCAGAGGAGATGATTGCCTCATTCCCGGTACCACCTATTTCGTCCATCAACTTCATCACGCAAGAGACTGCTCGTGGTGGCATTCTTGAATTGCCAAAGCTCGATAATGCAAGTCAGCGCCTCGTCGATGAAGACGACACGTCTCTGCCGTTCTTTGTGCAATTTGACAACACGCATCCATCAGAGTTTGTGAGCATCAATTTGTACCTGACTTGCTCTTCAGTCTCAAGCGAGCTCCGTCCCTATCTGTCCATTTTCCTACAAACATTCTTCCTCAACCCACTCATCAAAGATGGGGTGGAGATTGACTATGAGGATGTCGTCACAAAGCTCGAAGCGGATACGCTGTCTTACTCGGCCTCCTTCGGTTCTGGCTCTGGCTTTGGTGAGATGATTCGCATCAAGCTGAAGCTGGAGGTTTCAAGCTACGCCCTCGGCATTACCTGGCTGCAGGACTTGATTTACAATGCTGACTATCAAGCTGAACGTATCGGAGTCGCATTGAGCAAGGTTCAGAATGACCTGCCCTCATACAAGCGTGAGGGCGATTCAGTTTCGTTGGCCGTCCTGGGCGCATTGCAGCTCGATGCAACAAAGTCTGTGGCTCGTGCTGCAAATCTACTCGATCAAACGCTCTTCCTCGATAAGCTCGAGGACGAGCTCGAGGAAGATGAAGAAGCCGTCTTGAGCAAGTTTGATCAAATCAGAAGTCAACTCTTCCAACCCGCCAACATGCGTGTCCATGTCGCAGCCGACGTCGCGCGTCTTCAGGGACCCCTTTCCTCTTGGCAAGCATTCGGACCTGGACCCGCTTCGCGTGGTCAAAAGCGTCCCCGAACAGATTCGCAGGGACAGTCGGATGGCACTGCCAAGCTTCAGAAAATCACCCTTTCTCAGCATTGTTTGACGCCATATGGGCAACGTCCAAACGGGCAAGCGCAAGTCATCAGTATCTCGACCGATTCTGCCTTCGTTCAACTCTTTGCAAGAAGTCTCAACATCTTCAACGATCCAGATCTACCGGCACTGCTTGTGCTCATTGCATATCTCAATGCGATGGAGGGTCTGCTTTGGAAACACATTCGTGGTGCTGGACTGGCATACGGTGCTGATCTCAAGCTGGACCCTGAATCAGGCTGTGTCTACTTTTCCCTATATCGCGCTGCAGACCCCATCAAAGCACTTCAAACGGCAGCGACAATGCTGCGTGCGCTAGTTCCTGGCAACACGAGCAGATCGGACGGGTTGAGCGTACTCATGATTGATGGCGCTAAATCGAGTCTTGTGTTCGACTTTGTTTCTCGTGAGTCGTCCGCATCTGCGGCTGCGCACCAGTCATTCATCAACCAAGTCCTCAAAGGCCAATCTGCCTCCTACCGGCGCGATCTATTGAAAGCCATACAGAAGGTAGAGATGCAAGAGATGGAGGCTATGCTGAAGAAGCACCTTGTACCCCTCTTCGAGCCGAGCTCCTCTAATCTGGTATGTGTCGTTGGCAGTAGTAAAGTCCAGGAGTGTGAGTCTGGTTTCAGCGAGATGGGCTACGCAACCAAGGCATGCTCACTAGAACAATTTGAACAGCAGTACATCAAGGGAGACAAGCTATAGACAGGTGTGCTTGTAGAATCTTGTGGATTTATATCCTTCCTCGAAGATCGAACGAGGGCCTAACCAATTTCTGAGCGGCGAGGTTGGCACCCTACCAATTCCTAGAGTCACAATGGCCCTGGCCCTCAGAAGGACCGTCCTCCTGCGCTGATGCAGTTGAGCGTCCCAAATATCCCTGCCAGGAAGCAGCACTGGACCTAGGTCTGAGCCGTCAACAAAGATTTTCTACATCAGAGACTGAGTGTATGTAACGATGTCATTCTAATTTCATACAGACATCAAAGGTACAGTCGACCTGGAAGCTACGAACAAAATACTGAGCGCTTGCAATCGAAGCGGATCAAAGCTGTCCCGGCCTCCTCCATCAATGGCCAACAGGTAGGGATTTCAATTTCCCGAGTGCGTCCTTCGTTCGAGCTCAGAGGAGTGTCTCGCCCAATGCGCATCGCACAAGACTGGTTGAAATATCCAGAGTTGCCTGCACTTCTTGGTCACCTGCTGTTCCTTCACTGCGCAAGTTTGGGTTCACCTCGACCAGGTCCATCGAGACGAGACAGCCCGTCTCCGCAATCGCCTCGCAGATATATGTACCTTCCCTAAACGTCAGTCCTCCCCTGACAGGCGTGCCTGTTGCCGAAACAAAGACTGGATCAATGGCATCCACATCGTAGCTGAGATGAATAGGCCTTGTCAAGTTTGGGTTGACGCGATCGAGCGCCATCTGGACAACTGTGCCAATGCCATACTTGTCGATATGATGCATGCTATAAGCTGCAATGTTGCGGGCGCGAATGATACGCCTCTCTTCAGGATCAATGTCACGTAGACCAATGTAGGCTAGTCTGGACGTATCGAGACATGCTGGTATCCATTGAAGTGTTTCAGGAAGTGACGATTGCGGTCCTGCTTGACCAGTGACGAATGAGACGGGACATCCATGAATATTGCCAGACTCCGTCGATGTGGGTGTATTGATATCCGCATGCGCGTCAATCCAAAGGACGCAAGCTTCCGGGTACTGCTTCATCAAGCCCACAATAGTACCAATGGCCAGAGAGTGGTCGCCGCCAACAGTCAGTGTCAGGCCACCAGTCGCAGCACTACGACCACATACCTCTGATAGCTTCTTTGTCACTGAAGACACAAAGCGTGTATTCTTCATGATGCCAATGGGCGGATCTTCCGCCGGCTTGAGTGCAAGCACATCCAGATCCTGCAAGAGCTGAGCATCCCATCCACTCTGCTTGATCTGGTCCATCAAGCCGTGGTTCAAGAGCATGGCCGGTCCATCGTCCACACCGCCTTTGGCCTGACCGCCAGAGAAGGCGACCGGCACAACATTGACATGGTGGCTCTTGAGAAACTTGCTAGGAGTGTATGACATGTTTTGCAAGATATCAAAGATGTGGTATGGGGCAGGGAAGAAAGTGTCAGGCACTCATGCGGCACTATAAGGGGTGTTTCGGAAGGCGTCTGGCTGGCAGTGCACTCGGGTGTGTTCTTGACTGCTGCAATACTCGGTCGCGTCGCGCTGTTCAATTTTTTGCTGCACTTCGGATGGGCCGCGCTCTCTCTCTCTCAGGAATCCCAACTCCGCATCGGACGCAGAGACAGACCTCAACCAAAACGTCATGGCACGCCCAACAAGCCGCAGCAGTAGTAGCTTCTTCGAGGCACTTGCAAAGCATGATCACGGTTCCAATGCCATTGCTACGCCCACCGAGGCGCATACCTACGCACAGCTCCTCACGGCTGCAAAACAGGTGCGAGATGCATTGAGCAGTCAAGGTGCCAAGAAAGGCGACCGAATTGCCATCTTGGCCGGCAAAAATATCCACTATGCCGCTGCTTTCCTCGGCACTTGGCTCGCTGCGTGCATTGCTGTGCCGTTGTGTACATCTCACCCGATTCCGGAGCTGCAGTATACGGTAGAAATAACGGAGTCGTCGATTCTACTCGCGACTGAAGTCTTCCAACAGCAAGGGGCGGATCTGTGCGATGCTGCCAAAGGTCTCAAAGTTGTCAGCATCGAAGAAGCCATGTCAAAAGCATCGGAAAGTACAGATGATTGCTATGAACCTGCTTCGGAGGATGAGGCTCTCATCATCATGACCTCCGGCAGCACAGGCAAGCCGAAGGGAGGTCTGCACACACATGCATCCATGCTGGCACAGATGAAATCACTCCAGCAGGCATGGGGCTACGAGCATCGCGATGTGCTCTTGCATGTCCTGCCACTGCATCACATTCACGGCATTGTCAATGCCTTTCTCACCGTCTTGTACGCTGGCGGTTGTGTTGAATTCGCGGATGATAAATACAGTCCTGACAAGGTCTGGTCGCGTCTACGTATTGGTAAACCCAGTCAGCCTCAGGCAAACATATCCCAGCAAGATCGACATGTTACGTTGTTCATGGCAGTGCCAACCATTTACACAAAATTACTTGCTGCAGCACCCGAGGGACTCACACCAGAGCAGTTCGAGCATATTGAACTGTGCGTTTCTGGAAGTGCAGCATTGCCGTCCAGTGTGAAACAGCAATGGCAAGCACTAACGGGTCATGTCCTCCTTGAACGTTACGGCATGACGGAGATCGGTATGGCCCTCTCCTGTGGACTCGTCATCAAAAATCGTCTCGACTCCAGTGTCGGCTGGCCGATGCCTGGTATTCAAGCAAAATTGGTGGATGGGGAGACTGGTGAGCGTATTGATGCCTTTGATACGGAAGGTGAGATTTGGATTGCTGGCGAGCAGCTCTTCAAGGGATACTACAACCAGCCTGAACAGACCGAAAAGGAAATCGTCACGGAAGATGGAGTTCGCTGGTTCAAGACTGGTGATGTTGCGATCCGCTCTGAAGAAAATCGTGGCGCTTACTACATCCATGGACGATCATCCGTGGATATTCTCAAGTCTGGAGGCTACAAGCTCTCTGCACTGCAAGTCGAGCGTGATATCCTCGAATTTCTGGGTGACAAGGTCAAGGAGGTGGCCGTTGTTGGCCTGGACGATGCAGAGTGGGGACAAAAAGTTGCCGCACTCGTCACTTTGCAAGCAGATGAGACCTTGACTATCAAGGAATTGCGGGATGCATTGAAGAAGCACATTGCACCCTACAAAATTCCACAGGCGCTCAAGGTTCTACCGGACGGTATACCGCGCAACGCTATGGGCAAGGTCAACAAGAAGGATTTGGTCGCTCGCTATGACGAGCTTTGAGGTAATTGGGGTTTGGATCTTGTGTCTGAACAATGGTCTATTGTTTGCCTGTATGAGGCTGCACCAAGACAATGCTCGTGGTGAATCCGTCCCAGGAGACAGAGAAAGCCAAGACACCCGCACGCCATGGCCACGGCTTCATCGTACGCGCTCAGCACGGCACCGACAAGTGTTCATTCATTGCTCGAATGAGGACAGGCCTTCCATCGACACCACTTGACGCAATGCAAGTCTCTGGGCGATACTGCTGGCTTTGTACCGAAAGAGGTCCGTTCGTCCGTTCAATGTGAATATGTCCATCTTTGCTGGGATTGGAGTTGGTAGATATTTCTGACATATGTAAGCGGAGTTTGGCACCTCATAACTTTTTGTTCAGCCACGAGAGTTCTCTGCAGCTGAATAGCCTGTCGTTGAAGCTTGTCGGAGCGCCAATTGCGAGACATCTCGTTGGAACAAGGAGAACACAATAGAAACCTTGTTCACTTCGTTTGCCGCTTTTCCGCTTGTCTCGCATCCATCTTCTCCTCTAGCTTTCTTGGCTCAGGACAAGATGCGACATCGGTGATGTCTGGATTGTGAGCATAGAAGGATCGACAGCATTCATAGAGGCGGTCGACTAGGTATTCGCATTTCTCTTGCTTATAGCCGTTATTGGCAAGACATGTTTGTATATCGCAAGTGAATTCACTGAATATTAGCAAAAGCATTGGAGCATGGGTCAATGCACGTACTGACAAGGCACATGATTGCGATTGCCCTTCTTCTGGTAGATAAATGGAGCCATGCCAGCTGATTGTATAAATAAGGTCGAGGAGCCTCGAGATGTCAACGTCGCGGGTGTAATTTGTTCAGATGGAAATTCGATTTCATCATCTCGCGCCATCGAACGTGAAAACACAAAACCAGCTACAGCAAGACGTACACCGTCAGTGACCATGCGACTCGTCATGCTGCGGCCAGCCTGCACAGTATGCACCAGATCCAACGCATTGCAAAGTATATCCCGGAAATGCTTCGCCAGAGGCCTCACAACAAACCTCCAGAACCGCTTTGACGCCGCTGTGATTGGCGCAGGACCCGGTGGGTTGACTTGCGTGTCGAATCTACTCGCTCAGGGACTCAAGCGGGTCGCTTTGATTGATCCTTCTTTTACGGGTGGTCGGATTCATGAAAAGTACCGCGAAGTACCATCCAATACAAAGACCAAGATGTTTGATGCCTGGGCAGCTGGCACTGAAGTCTCTCGAAGGATATTGGCTGAGCGGACGAAACGAGGCGAAGATGCTTATAAGCATCTGCAGAGCTTGGACCCAGAGCAAGGATGTTCGCTGGGCGAGGCGGTCGATGTTGCGCAGATGCTGTCTCGTGGGTTTTGTGAAGATGCACGAGTCAAGCCCATCAAGGCATCAGTCACTCAGCTGCAAAGGAATGGAGATGGCTATGTCCTGCCGGAACTTGGTGTCTCTGCAGAGCGCGTCGTGTTGGCCACAGGCAGCCATCCACGTTCAACAGACAAGGCGCTGCTTGAACGGCATCCGCACTTGATTGAGTTGCCACTTGATTTGGCGCTCAAACCTTCTTTGCTCAAGACGTCTCTATCGACTCCCTCTACAGTTGCCTTGATTGGATCATCGCACAGTGGTATCTTGGCGCTCAAGAATCTGTATGAGCAGGGACACCGTGTCTACAATTTCTACAGATCACCACTGTTGCATGCTGAATACAAGGAAGGTTGGATCCTATGGGATAATACAGGCCTCAAGGGTGTTGCATCAGATTGGGCGAAAGCGACACTCGAAGATGAATCACGGCTGCCGAGCAACATCAAGCGAATCCCACTCAAGACGCTCGACGATAAGGGCAAAACGCACAATGAGGCGGATATATACGATAGATGGCTGAAGGATTGCACACACATCGTGAGTGCAACTGGCTATGTCGGCAATCCAATTCCAAGCATCACTGTGGATGGCGAACAAGTCAAGCCATCCTTTGACCCACTCTCAGGCAGGTTCCTCAACGAGCACAAGCAAGCGTTGCCAGGACTTTTTGGTTCTGGTATCGCGTACCCTGAACGTGTGACGGACCCTGAGGGACACAGTTCCTCCAATGTCGGTTGGTTCAAGTTTCAAAAGTTTGTCGGCCGCGTTGCCCCAGAATGGGTGGCTCGGCCTTGAGAATGGGCATAGCATGTCTTCCTATATTTTCTCTATCATCATGATGCATCTAAGGCGCTGCAGCAGGCACGACATTGCGCATTGCAACAACCACGAGCTGTGCAACCATTTGTAGGGACCAAAAGCCAACTGCTTGAATGCGTCGCTTTTGTCGTTTCCGCTCATACAAGCTTTCCACAAATCCATCATATAATGCTTGTGACACGCCAGATTGTAGGCCACAATCCCACCATGTCCATGATCCCTCGAAATTATTGCACGGTAGTGAAATATGTGCATGGACGGGAATAAATGTCTTGCGTGAATTGATGTATGCCACAATCGGTCGAACAAGCGCCGCATTCACACTCGACAAGTCATGCTGAAACAGAGGTACTTGTGCCTTAGCATCATTGAGTCTAAAGTGGACATCAATCTCGATATTTTGTTGTAGCCAATTCTCCCCGGATGCTGAGAGGAAGGATTGGAAGGAAGCACCTTCACCTTTGCGACTTCGAGCAGTCGCTGCAGCGACTGTTGGGACATCATCACTCGCAGTAACAGATTCGGCGATGTTGGAGATGACTTGCGCAATGTTGGGTTCCTCGATTTGCTGTGGAATGACAAGATCTGCAATAATGTCGCAGGTTCCTTCTGTGATCCAGCCGAGTGGCCCCTCGGCGCCTTCGTTGATGTGGTCTATCCGAATACCATCCATGCGGAAGCGTGCTTCTCGCTGGTCAGAATGCGGTAGGAAGAAGGATTGCTTAGGGTGTAAGGTAATGAGGGAGTTGTCATAACTGCCGCTCACATGATTGGCACACAGAAAGTCGTAAAACAGATAGCGTTTGCGCAATCTTGGCAAGTCGCATGAAAAGATGCTGGCTGTGAAGGGTCGAAATCCAGCTGGTTGGTGCACTGTGACGAGCAAGTCTTCCAGCTTGAAGGAATCCAGCTCAAAATCGCCATACTGGGGTTTGTGTCGGTAGTCGAGTGGGTCGAGGGGTTTACTTTGATCCCAATGAACATGCGTTCGATCAACAACACCTCTGACACCCTTGAGCTCGATATCCTTGAGCAATCCACGACCGTTCCACCACTTGACAAAGGAGAGGGTGACATCGACCGCCTCGATGGTGACATCAAACTGCGTGTAATTCGCATCCTCTGCTCCCTCTTGCGTGGCATCACGTAAAGGCAATGGCGTCAGTTTCGCCGCCGCTTGCGCTGTAGCTTCTGCTAGACTGCCTTGTCGCACACCAGCCGGCAAGGCCATACTCGCTGGACGTCTTGAGACAAAGACATTGGAGAATCGGATACACCCATTTTTCCATTCTGGGACAATTGCATTTTCAAAGACGACGGTGATGCCTAGTGACTTTGTCAAGTAACTGCCGACCTTCTTTGCTAGAAATTCTTGTGCAGAGATGGTATTGATGGCTGCAAGAGCAAGCGAGACAAAGGTGGTCGTCCCGACGATGATCCAGATGAGATGGCCAAATACAATCCATGAGAAGAAGGCTGAATAATCATCTGCGCGAAACGGTCGATTGGATCGTGTGAGAAACCACTTGGAGCGTACCCGTAACCGTCCAAAGAAGCCAGTCGCCGTAGCAAGCAATTCTTGCTTTGTAGGCACCGATCTCGGCAAAGTTGGCAAAGTCGGCAGGGATGGTAGATAGGACGTCGGTTCTTCGTCCTTCTTCGCTGTTGCTGGATCCCTTGCATCCCTGTGATTCTCTCTTGACGCCTTGCTACATCTGTTGCGCGTCGTGCTGAATGCTCGATGTACGTCATCAACCCTCGTCCATGGCTGTCGTCGTGCCATAGCATTGCTTGACAAGTCTCTATAAGCAAGCACATTGGCTCTGGGTGTCATCACAGGAGCACGGTAGGCGCGATGCAGGAGCCGTGTTGTAAGTGCGAGCCGATGACCAGTGATCATGGCTGCTGCTGAAGCACTCGATGTCGCTCTGCTACTCCAACTTGCCATTGTAGACCATGTAAGTTGCACAGCTCCGTAGTTGATATCCAATTGAACGGATGATCTTCACAGCTGGCCCAAGGACTACCCTGCAGCTATCTAAGTCTCCTGAAGCAGGCCCTTGCTTCTGGTGCTGTAGATGTTTGCCGCCTCGTTTTGTCTTTTCTGCTTTCTTGGGGGAGGAGCTCCCAGAAAAGATTAAAAAATTGACCAGCGACTGTATAGCTACTACAGACTATATACCAAGTACTGCGAGCTAGAGACATGGCCGACGCCTCCGCCATGGACCTCGACATTGAGGGAAAGCCACAATTCAAACCAGCAGCAGAACAAGCACTCCGCGTCAAGCCATCCGCTCAAAAGATACCCATCCCACCACACCGCATGTCCCCCCTCAAGGCACAGTGGTCGCGCTTGTACCCGCCGCTCGTCGATCACCTCAAGCTACAAGTGCGCATGAACATCAAAAACAAGCAGGTCGAATTGCGGACATCCAAGTCCACCACAGACTCTGGCGCTCTTCAAAAAGGTGCTGATTTCGTCAAAGCCTTTGCGCTGGGCTTTGATCTCGATGATGCGATTGCCTTACTGCGACTCGATGACCTCTACATTGATACATTTGAGATTAAAGACGTCAAGACCCTGCAAGGCGATCATCTGTCTCGTGCCATTGGCCGAATCGCTGGCAAGGACGGCAAGACCAAATTTGCGATTGAAAATGCAACACGCACACGCATTGTCCTAGCAGACAGCAAGATTCACATTCTCGGTGGGTTTCAAAATATCAAGGTTGCGAGAGACGCTGTGGTTTCCTTGATTCTTGGTAGCCCGCCTGGCAAAGTGTATGCCAATTTGCGCAATGTCAGTGCGCGGATGAAGGAACGCTTCTAGTAGAATAATGTGCATAGCGACAGCGTGTTATTGCTTTTCAAGAAGGACCAACAGCGAATCAGTGGGTGTCATGTATGCTTTGAACCAGATCTTGCTTTAGTGAATGGTCCAGCCCTATCTGCAATACTACATCAGGGCGCCTCAGTCTTGACGACACCCCGTTGCTCAAGCTGCTTGGCAAGCGCCACATACAATGATCGTTTCCGCTCACCAGCAGCACGACCCGAGGAGTATCCACCTGAACGACCCAACACGCTTGATCTCAACAAGCTCGCATCCATAGAACCCTGTCCGTACTGCGTCATGCTGAAACTCGCATTGGGTGTACCTGACCTCGATTGCTGATGACGAGGACCAGCACCATACCGCGCATGTCCATTCGCACTGACTGCTGCGCTCACCGATCGACTCATTTGGCCACTCACAGGCCGAGGCGTCCGATACTGTGTTGAATCACTCGACACGGGTCGTGAACCAGACACAGACGACGAATCCACTAATGCGCGCTGCAAGGCTTCCACTTCAACTGCTTTCGCTTCCGCCAAACGTGATATATTGCTCACAGCTGCTGCGACGTTCTCGGGAGCCGGTGCACCGCTTGTTTGACCATGTGTTCCTGATTGACTTGCGAGTTGCGTTCGCAAGAGTGATAATTGAGATTGCAATCCATCCAGTGATTTTTCCGTCGCATTGAGTTTTTGCCTGAGTATACGCTGATGCTGAGCGTGTTCAGGCCCGAGCCCGGAGAGCTGTGCTTGCGTAGCAGAGGCATCATCTGTTCGTTGTCGAACAATGCGCGCGATATTGACCTGCTGAGCGTCCAGCTTTGCAAGACTCGAACGCACAGTCACAAGCGCATCATTGGACTTGGACGATTGCGTTGCAATGGATTGCACTTCTGCCAAGAGTGAGAGGGCATCTGCATGAATGTCACCAGCGTGGTGGAGTGAGCCCTCAACCTCTTTGGATACGTCAATAAAGCGTTTCATAGCCTTCAGATTATCGGCAACCTTGATGTTAGTAAACGCGACTGGAGACAAGATTGGCTTACCACCACAAACTCTTGATTTGCTTGCTGATATAGCAAATCAAGCTGACGAGCAATTTCATCCGTTTCCGTGCTCTTCGGCTGACTCACTTCTTCAAGTGTTTTGAACGCGGCAAGTACAGGTGGCCCCTTGGGAAACGACTCGCGCCGTGCATCAGGACTCTTGGACTTTGACTTGCCTCGTGCTTGTGGGCTTTTGGACTTTGACGTGTGTTTTGACAATGACCCGTCAGCAGCGCGTGAACCCCTCGTTGGCGCGACTGGATCGATAGCCTGAGCCTTCGCAGGTGCTGATGGGACGGCATCAGTGCGAACAGCTTCAAACTTGCTCTCCACTTGCACAGGCTTGTTCGATGCTGGTTTTCCTTGGCTTTCTTCCGAATCACTACCAAGCAAGAAAACTTGCTGCGCAGGCTTTTGCGCTGTTGCTGCAGGCCCACCAAAGTTGAAGGTCGGCTGAGCCTTCTTCTCTGGTGCGGGAGTGAAATTGAAGGGACTGCTTGAATTGGCTTTGCCAAGCTCATTCGAGGCTGTCGGAGAATCAGTAGCAGCTTTGGATACCTCTTGGGTCTTGTCCACCGCTTTTGTTGACGCAGCAGGGACATTCACCGCTGTCTTCACAGGTTCGACGGCTTTCTTATCAGACGCAGCAGAAGTCGTGGATGCAGGTTTCGTAAAGTCAAAGGCAGGTGTGTTGGAGCCAATGGAAAACTTGGTCGTTTTTGGAGCATCCTGGTTCTCAGTTGCTGCAGCATCAGCAGCACCTGCAACGGGCGACGACGAGCTGATTGCTGCAGACGGCGATGCTGGTGTTGCATCCTTCTGCACACTCGGTGCTTTTCGGAAATCAAAGGCACTCCCACCAGAAAAGGCAGTACCGGGTCTCGAATGTTCTGACACGGGTGCAAACGGTGATGCACGCTGTTCAGACGACGTACTCGATGCGAATTGGAAAGCAGCTGCTTTGGGACCGAATGCAGAACTGCTTGGTTCATACTCTTCTTCACTTTGTGTTGCATCACTGGCTTCTTCTTCCTCTTCGTCTGAATCTTCTGCAGCGTCGCTATCATCGTGATCAGAGTGATAATCAGGTCCTGAATCTGGCTCGTCTTTTGAGGGTGACACAGCATCCTCATCTGTTTCAAACTCACCTTCCTCCTCGGAGAACTTTGCAAAATCATCGTCTTTTGATGGTGTTGCATCAGCAACAGCTGTGAAGTCAAAGGGAGGTACTTGTTTCACTTCATCATGCACAGCAGTACCCGATTCTGCCTTGACTTCAGAGGTACTGCTCGAAGAGGTCGATGGCAGAGAAAATACAAACGGCTTCTTCTCCGCCACAGGATTTGGAGTAGCACGCAGTGCTGCAGAGACGTCCGGTAATGCAGTCTTGACGGACGTTGGGTCAGGTGGCAACGGTGCATCCTCTGTGACTGGAGACTTCACAAGTTTCGGCGATGGTGGTAATGGTGCATCCTCCTCAATAGGCGGCGCGGGTGCAGGTGCTGGCATGGCGGGCAAATCAACCACTTTCTTGCTAGCCCCGGTAGGCGCAGGCGAGTCCTCAATAGGTGGTGCAGGAGCAGGACTCGGCATGGCTGGCAAACTTGAAGACCCTTGACCAAAACCAAAACTCGCCATTGAACCACCGGTCGTGGTGGCTGCTGGCTTGGCAGAACCGAAACCGAATCCACCTGCTTGTGCGCTTGGAAACGTGAAACCGCCAGGCTTGCCAAAGACGGATGTCTTTTCTGTTGGGGTTGCTGCTGCCGCTGCACCAGTAAATCCTAGTCCACCCATATTGAATGCATCGCCTGAAGTCGTCGTTTGCGGTTCCTTTGCATCAATATCAGCCAGCTTATCTTCACCCTCCTCCTCATCACTATCCGGCAATTGCATAATGGGTGCGCGTTTCGGTTCAGAAGGTGTTGCTCGTGCAGGAGCAGAGGTTGTGGTCGTAGATGGGAATCCAGTAAAAGCACTCGCCGACCCCTTTCCAAACGCACTTGATCCAAACGCACTCGTGGCAAAGCCAGGAGATTTTGGTTCTGTGGCTGTAGCCATCCCAGCAAATGGATTGGGTTTCTCTTGTTGTGTAGGCGTACCAAAGCCACCAAACGTGGGTGTACCACCAAAAGCACTGCTACCAAATGCTGATGGTTTCCCAAAGGCACTGCTTGCACCGAATGCAGGTGCTGTACTACCAAATGCATTGCTGCTTGTGCTGAATGCACCCTGGGCTGGTGTTGTGGTAGGATTGGCAGCAGCGAAGGGTGAATTGGTTTGTGATGGAGCGAATGCTGAGCTGAATGGTGATGGCACTGCCTGTGCAGCAGATGCGCTGAAGGGTGATGCTGACACTTGAGCAGCAGTAGCCTGAACAGCAGGCGTCACCTCAAGTGCGTCCTCCACGAGGGAATGTTCAGAGTCAATGACCTTCCAAGCAGATAACCCACCATCATTATCAGCCACCCAGACAATCTTTTCTGTACCACGCGTTTCAATGGCAATACCAACGAGGGAGACTTCAACGTCGCGCTCAACACTATAGCGCATCATAGAGGTAGTTGTGAAGGAGAGAGTTGCATTGTGAACGGTACTGATGAGTCCGATATCAGCAGAAGTGGTGGATGCCGTTAAGAGCAAAGTCTTGGAGATGGGCATGATGGTGTAGAAAGGGGGGTGTGAGGTGTCTCCCCAAGAACCCGATGCGTTGTACAGCAGAGTATAGTTGAGCTCTGTTGACGAAGGATTGCGACGCAAGAGGTAGAGTGCAAGTTCGTCGTCTGCAGCACTGTAAAGGATACAGAAGAGGTTGTTCTCCAACCAAGCAACCGCGTTCACTTTACCCACAGATGCTGATGGAGGAGGGAGAGATGCCTTGAGTGCGCCTGAGGGTGTATATTGTCGTAGATACCCATCGCTATGTCCTGCAATCAGTTGCTTGCCACGCTGACTCCAAGCAATGGCAGTGCATGTATCTGCAATGCTTGTACTGCTAACACGTAGCTTGCCATCTGTCCCTAGAAATGCGATCGAGTCGTCGACTGGATTCGGAACAAGCTGCAGCAATGGACAGTCGAGCGACGTTGTGGCTGTCTGTACCAGATCATGCGTGAGGATCGCAATATTCGTCTCTGTAGCCACGACAAGCGAGCTAGAGGTATAGGCTAGATGTGTGATAGGAGCACCCACAGGCTGTACCTTGGGTGCCGTATACTCTACCGCCTTCTTCTGAAGGCCACTCAGCTTGTCATGTAGATCCTGCATGGGTCCTGTACATAGCTGGTGCGTACTCGTTGCATACGCATATTGCGATTGATCGGGAGATATCGCAAATAGCTGTGTACGCGACTGTGGATAGCCTGTGGGAAATGGGCCAGCGGAGAGCAGCAGCTGTGAGTCCTTGCCTATTGCCTCGAAAGTCTGTTGAGTTGTTGGGTGTTCGGATGTCTCATCCACGTTGATGGTGGGCTGGCTATCGCTTGTGGATGCGAGTGCTGCGAATGCATTGCTGCTGCTCATGGTCGTCGCTGTGCCTCGATGTGCTGTGCTGCTGTAGAATGTCGCGTACTGCGTGCTGAGTCGTGGTCGTCTCTTGCCCGTCGCGACTTTTTCTCTTTCTGATGAAGCAGCATGGATGACTCGGATCAAGTGTGACCTGGTAGATGGACTAGACCTACTGGATGGCTATATACTGCTTTGTACTGCTATGGATGAGTAAATAGCTATGAAGCAGCCATCCTCAGGCTCATGCTCTCGGATCTCCCCCATGCGACAGGACTGCACCAGCTACTCAGCTACTCAGCTACTCAGCTACTCAGCTACAGCTCATTCCCTCTCTCTTCCCTCTTTCTCTGCTCTTACACTCCAAGGCCTGCTCCCTGCTCTCTACCCAGCTATCCCCCCTCCTCTGTACATCCCCAGGCATCTAGCTCGATGCTGCAGAAGTGGAAGCACCGGCTCTCCATATCCCCCAAGAAGCAGCAGCAGCAGCAGCAACGAGAGTCCAGCATCAACAAAGCAGGTCATGCACTCCAAGACACCCTCGTCACTCCCCTGGCGCAAGCCCATGTCCGAGTAGACTCTGCCACTGCCAGCATTAGCAGCTCAGCAGGCGCATCATCCACCCATCACAGAGCCATGCAGCAGCTCCATGCAAACGGCAGCAACATGAGTACACCGACACTTGCCTCTGCCATCTCCAGTGAGGAAGGGTCTCTCCTCTCTACGCAATCCATAGGTCTACCACAGAGTACCGTGGCCATCACTACAGGACAACTGCAAGATCTGTATAAGCGGCAAGGTCCATTGCGTGGTGTATCAGCATGCCCTCAGTCGATTCAGCCGATACAACAAGCAGATGTACCCGAAAAGACTTCATCGCCCCCTTCAAGATCATCTATGGACATGGGAGACAACATGTTTGCGGCACTTGGTCTTCAATCGGTGGCACAACGCCCTGCGCAGCTCGTGATTCAAACAACCGTCACCCAGAGTACGAGTCGGAAGACAAATAGATCATTCTACAGCAATGACGATAAAGTGAGCTGGATGGTCCAGTCGGCTGAGCAATCAGATGAGGATGTCTTTACTGCAAGGGAACAAGCCCTCCAACGGCTTGAGTCGACTTCTCCCCGGCCAGCGCATGACGAAGAGGTCACTGCTGCATCTCCTCTTCCATCCAAGGTATCCGGAATCGAGTTGCACGATGACCAGGAAATGGTTGCAACGTTGACTCAAGCGGCTGTCTGGGCAGACTCGTTTTACGATGAAGATTCATTCATCCATGACCTCCCAAAACCCGGACTCCCTCAATCACCCGCTGGCAGTGATCGCTCATCTCTGCGCAGAATGGTGCGTACTGCTTTGTTGATGAGTAATGCTGATTGTAGACCACGGACGACTATAATGTTCTTGTACAAACCATGGCCACAGCGCCAGACTCAGAAGAAGATACCTACCAAGACGACGAGGAGGTCATGGAAAAGCACGAACGCGAGTTGTCTTCATGGAGATCAAAACAAGATTCTTCCAACATGCTGTCCAAACAAGCACAACAGCCGGCAGAGCAAGACATCTTCAAGCCACTCCCAAAATACCGCAAGACGAAGCTCTCTCAGTCGGTCAATGAAGTACCGCCCAGCAGGTCGTTGAGGGCGTTACCTGCAGACGACCCAGACGATGATATCCCACTTGACCAGCTCTTCGCCCGTGACGTGGCATTGAAGGATATGGCCGGTATTCGATTTAGTGCATCGACGCCCAATCTCCTTGATCGACCAACTATCTCGCCCATTCAACCGCCTAGACGGCCATTCGCAGGGGAACCACCCGCGCGAACATACAGCAGCTCATCGCTTCTTGGATTGCACAAACAAAATTCCAGCACGTCAGATGTTGCGGAAGCCCCAAGAAAATCACCCTTCCGCAATACAAATGGTAGTGGTGGTACATTGCTGGAGCAAGCTGCACGGCAGCAAGAACGCAGGCAACAACTCATGCGTGGTTCGAGTAGTGATTCGACGACGTTCAGACCACTTGCATCGACGAGCCTGCAAGCATCTGCTTCGCCATATCGTAGTGCATCACCTGCACGCCCAAGTAATACCAGTCTCCGTGGTATTTATCCAAAAGAAAATCCCGCACAGCAGCAACTTGAGCAGGTGGGCACACTCTCAACTATGTTGAATCACTACATCAGCATTGCACGCGCTGCACAACTAACAGCGCAAGATGCAGAAGAACGTGTTGTGGCGCTTCAAACGCAACTCGATGCATTGAATACCCTTGACCACAGCTTGCCTGGATTCTTCAATGAAATGCAACGCACCGAATCACCGTCACCTCTAACGAAGTCGCAACGACCCAAATCTGAAGCCCCGTCCCTGTCACTCTCTCTGCGCATGCCCGTCTTGCAAGCACCAATTCCTCAACAAGGCGTACAATCAAGTCTCATCACACAACCAGCAAAACGGCCAGAAAGTGCCATTAGCGCCACAAGTAGTAGCATCTCGAAACGATACAGACAACCACAAATGCAAGCACACGCTTCTTTTGCATCCGTTGGTTCTGCGAGTACGGGTTCACTGCCACCTGTTTCTCAATCACGCTATACGCCGCGTTTGTCCTTGAGCCCTACACAATCGACTTGCGTGGAGACTGTTGGACAGCAAGAGAATCAAATGGATGAAGAAGAGCTCTGGCAACGACTTGCCCAGCAAAAACGAAGACTTGGGAAATCAACATCTGCTTGAGGGTGCGGGATCTTTTTGCGTGCATCTTTTGTTTGTTGGCAAGAACAAAAAATCGTCTTGTCTTTTTTCATTTGGATCAATTTGCTATCTTTCCCCGCTTCTTCAATGCTTTGATGCACAACACAGACGGCAGTCGTTCTTTTTTAGCTCCCACTCATTCGTCTTTCTTATCAGGTAGCATGCCCATTCAGCGTAATCAATACCTTCTTCAATTCCCTCATTGCGCGTCTTGGAGGATTCAGATTGCCAGTGAATAATTTCAGGGGTGAGACAGTCCTAACAGCTCTTTTCCGCTACAGGCTCATGAGCCTGAGTTGACTCGGCCGTTCGCGAATGCACAAGAGACGGCTTGGTCCTACATGGCTGTTTCAGTCGTCAAACGTCTAGACTCAGCATCGCAGCAGACTTTTGGGAGTAATTGATATGCCTATTAACAACTACACGCATCTCAACACATGCTACATGGTCCGGTACTAGCTAATTGAGTCTAGATCGGTCCTTCTAGGCTCACGATATCTCAGTGCTTCGTATCCTGACCGGCTTGACTGTATATACAACATGTGCTCTGAATGTATTTTGAAATCGACACGTCGCAATGGCCGACAATTCAGACGCCGGCCTGAACACCCAAAACCATTTTCATGCCATGAAGGCTCTTCATCAATGTCTTCTCCCATCGTCCGGAAGTATCAATGCGGCCGGACTAGCCCGAAATACGAGCAGCATCCTTGTGCTGATAGGAGACAGAATTTGGCCAGCCATGAACATTGACGCGCTGCAGCTGCCGCTACCCAGCCCCAAATCTCGCCATAGCAAAGACGATTGCGAGAGATTCTGTTATGAAAAGCTTCAGCAGGAGGCAGCTTGATTGTCGATAGGGTTCTTCCCCTGTTTTTGATTGGTGTTGAGACGTAGGACAGCACTGTGTACCACTGTTATTGTTGGGGTCTGACTCGTCTATAGCTGCAGAGATCTTATGATAGCTTTGCCTAGATTGTATCAGAGACCATTGATGTGTCAAGATGCATTACAAAAACCGTGTTTTGTCGGGCAGAGGGAATCTCTTGACCTATCATTTTCAGGGGGAAATTGGGAAGCCGCACATCAAGCATGTTTTGCTGGATTATGCCGTAGTATGGCCGACGACTCTTTGCTTGGCACATTGCGGCATACTAGATATTTGCAAATGTGTGCAGCATGCTGGACAACATGACCATGTGGGATGCTACTACACATGTCCCATGATGGTCGATGCCAGGAAAGCTCAAGTTTCGCCCAGCTTTAAATATGCACAATGTGCTGGTAGACACGTCAACTTCTACGTTCTCATTATTTCTAACTATAGAACATTTCTCCTCTGCACTGATAAATCCCCTGGGATAACGCATTCTTCCCTTGATCACAAGGCGCGCTTGACACCAGTGTTGGGCCTACTTCGATGCCGGGCACCTGAATCCCCGATCATGCCATATAATAGCCTCTGAAGTGTCACTGCGTATTGCGGCGCGGGACCAGAGAGGGAAGCGTTTTGACAAATTTTCAGGGGGAAATTTGAAAGCCGCACAGCAAGATTGTTTGCGATTCTGCACAAGCATGATTTACCACTTTGTTTGGCACATCTCAGCGAGCATACTGCACAATTTCAAATACGAGTCTAGACTCTAGAGCAAGTCACGGAGGCTTTTCCACTGCAGCACATCAAAGGCCCATAGCCCACAGATCACAATCCTGTTCCCAGACCAACATCACAGGTAGTGGGAACAATCCGTCGTTGAATCGAACTCTAGGTACCACTATATCATCAGAGCTTGATTGATACTAACACAGATGCTAGGATGCCAGGCTTCAGACTCTTTTACGCTCTCGCTGCCGCCATCGCCGTTGGCTTGCCATCGCTGCCGCCTACTCTCGCAGACCAAAGCTTGAGTTCCACAATCGCGAAATGCGTCCTCAACAGCTGTCTCAAGAATGGGACGATATCCAATCAGTACTCGATGCAGGAGTGCGTCGGTACATGCGATGCTGAAAAGCTTTTTAAAATCCCTTGTTACAATGCCGGCTGGGAAGCCTGTAAGGACTCCCGAAATATTAAAGCCCTGAAGGAGTCCATTTTGAAGACGTGCTGCAATGAGTTGCACAGCCCCAAGGACTGTTCGGCCTAGGACTAGCAGTCTACCTTTGGGCTCCATGGCGAGCAACGTTATATCGACCAAGCACTTCTGATTATCATCGGTGCTTATCGCCTTGCAGTTGTAGCCTTCTCCCGTATTCATATCCCCTTTCGCGATGATCGATTCAGCTTAACATGCCATCAATCTCATCGCAGCTGGCCTTGCTCACCGTTTAAATTGGACTTTCGCTAGCTACACAATGTTGATATCGCCTGACGGAAAACGCTTGACACCGATTGTAGACCTCAGCAATCTCCTCGAAGCTGACGATTTCTCCACTGGCACAAGTCAGCTCGCACTCGCTCTGATGCTGATTGCCAACGAGTACTTTGCAAGTAAGAACATGAACATCGTCAATACAGCAATTGATATACAAACCTACAATGGCCATCTAAGGTCGAGAGCCCGCCCGCATCGCATTCTCCTGTGCTCGTCGCTTCTGAAAGACATGCTCGATGCGATCCTTGCTGTCCCGTTCCGCACGCCACACATTTGCCTGCTTTTGCATTCTGCCCAGTGCAATGACTGCGAGCACGGCACTTCGGAAGGACTTGCGCTTGCCGGACAAAAAGTCCATATCTGGGTAGATACCAATTTGTCGGATGATGGCGAGATTGGCTTGATTGCAAGCTTCAAAGCTGGTGATTTGGAGATCATAGTATCGCTTGACGAATTGCAAAGCAGCCTTGTGTGACGAAAGCCTGTCAGTCTTGGATTTGAGGTAACGCAACATCTTGAGCAGTCCTGCGAGCTCAGCCTCGTGCTTATGCTTCTCTTCCTGAAGCTCTTGCGCAGGTGCCGAGACGTGCTTGCCCCGATGTGTAGCTCTCTCGTACCCAGAAGAAAGACTCGATGCTGATGACGAGAGTTGCTGCTCGAGCTTCAAAGACCTGCGCTCCAACTTTTGAACGAGGGACGCCTTGTCGGCAGCGTACGCCTTGTACTCGTCCAGCTTGCTTTGCTTTCGGAACAGTTCTTGCTCCAAGTGACCAATGGTGCGCTTGCCTTGTGCAACCTCATCAGCCAGCGCTTGTTCTTGCTGACGTGTGCGCAATGCAGCCGCAGCTGAGGCGACACCGTTCTGCTGCTGTAGACGTGTAAGCTGTTGCTTCATCTCATCCGCTTGACGACGCGCGGTGGCCAGGTCTCGAGCAAGGCTATCGCGTTCCGAGGACAGCCTTTGTACTTGTAAGCTTGACGTACGTTCAGCCTCATCCAGACCACGGCTGCGACGACCGTAGCTCTCGCGTTCAGGAATGGACAGTCTGACCACTTCAGCTTGCTTTGCGGCCACCTCATTCTCGAGAGCACGCTTCGCTTCCTCCAACAGCAAACGCTCCTTGTCTTGTTGAGCCAGCTCTTCTTGACATGCGGCAAGTTCTTGTTCGGCGCGTTCAACACGCGTATCAGCGTCAGTGCCATGCAAGGCCAGCTCCTCCTGCAGAGCAGTTTCCTTGTCTTCGGCCTGCCTCAGGTCTTCGTCGGCATAGTAGAGTTGATCTTCAAGCTCAGCAACACGGGCCGACGATCTGTCTGATTGGGCTTTGGCATCTTCCAGTTGGGCAGATAGTTCTTGAGTCTGCTGTGACAAGCGCTCTACCTCGCGCTGCAGACTAGAAGCTTGCTCATCGCCAGAGCCAGCCTTGAATGTGACATCAGCAGCTTTTTGCTTGGCGAGTACCAAGGCGTCCTTTGCATCTGCCAACTCGAGCATCGTTCTGTGTTTGTCGGATTCAAGCTGAGCACAAGCGTCAAGTGCCTCTCGATGTTGCTGAGTAAGATTCTCGACCTTGACGCGCTCCTGCTGCAATTGTGTCTCGACATCCTTGCATTGCGCAGAAAGGGCGGAAGCCTGATGGTCGGCATCCACTTGATGTTGTTCGAGTGCAAGAGCAGCCTCATCATTCTGCTCCATCAACAAGTCACGCTCAGCGACCACCTCATCTACCTGTACCTTGAGCTCTTCGATCTGTTGCTTCAATGACGCTACTTCCTTGCGAAGACGTGTCTGTTCCGATTCGTCCTGGTCGTGACGCGCTTGCTCAGACTGTGCATCCTGAGAAGCCGATTGCTCCAGTCTCAATTCCAAGGCTTCGCATTCAGCCTGTAGCTCGGAGATGCGCGTATTGCTGTGAATGATGCGTGTGTCTGCTGCATGCAGGTTCAGCTCAGAGCGCTTCTTTTCCTGCTCAAGGGCAGTGATTTTTGATTGTGCCGCATGGAGGTTGGCTATCGCTGAAGCAGCCTTGTCACTCTCAGCGGCAATTTGCTCAGCTGCTCCAGCCTGAGCCGCTTGATGCGCCTTCTTGGCAGACTGCAAGGTTTCAGAAAGTTCCTGAACTTTGCTCTCGAGCTTGGCGACACGGCTGGACGAATCATGCACGGCAAAGCTGCGGTCCTTGAGTTGATCTTGATGCGTTTGCAGGTCCATTTGTGCATCATCGAGTTGTTGCTGCAGCATTGTCACTTCACGACGCATGTCCTCCTCAGAAGCTGATGCTGTACGAACTTGATCTTGCAGACGGTGCAATTCTCCAATTCGAGTCTCCAGTTCTTGCTTGAGGTCAAGCTTTTGTAGCTCAAGCGTATCCACCTGCTGTTGCAATTCACGCTCGCGAATCTGGTGACGAGAAGATTCAGCTTGCAAGGCTTCCTTGAACTTGGCATGATCGCTACTCGTCGTCTCTTCCACCTGCGACAAACGCGAAATGGTCGATTCAAGCTGCATGATTTGATTTCGCGCACCTGCCAGTTCTCGTGCAGTAGCACTTGCTGTTTCTTCATGCTGCTGCAGGGCACGCTCAGCTTGTGCCACGTGCGCAGTGAGTGCAGAGTCAAGCTCGCGAGTCTTGGCTTCAAGAGCTGATCGTTCAGCAGCATGCGAGCGTGTTAATGTATTGACTTCACCCTTGTGTGAGAGTTGCGTCTCGGCGAGCATGGCGCGAATGTTGAGCAAAGAGGTATTGAGTGCATGTGCCTTTTCCTCCTCTGAACTCGCTTGCCGGCGTGCTTCTTGCAAGTCCAGGTTGTATTGCTGTTGTGCGTCAGCGAGCTGTGAGCGTGTTTGTTGCAGAGTTTTGGAAAGCTGTAGGGCCTTGTCTTCTTCGACTGCAACGCGTAGCTGGGCTTGCTGAAGCTGAGTCTCAACAGAGCCAACAGCAGATTGTGTAGAGGTGGCAGCAGCTTGTGCACGCTCCAGTGATGCCTCCATCTTGAGAAGCTCATCCTGTGCAGCGTCCAAGTCCTCCTCCTTCTCGCGCAACGCCATCTCCAAATCCTCAAGCTGACCGCGCAACTCGGCATTCGCCTCTCGCAAACGATCATGCACATCATTCGCAGCTGCATCGCCAGATGTTTCGAGCTGCTTGATTTGTGCTTCGAGTGATGTGACACGGACTTGCTGACTCTCCAATTTGAGTCGCAGACCTGTGGCTTCGCGCTCAATGGAATCTGCTTTGCTTTGAGATTGCAGGTATTGACGCTGCAACGCATCCAATTCACGTTGCTTGCTCTGTTCACGTTCAACTGTCTATTAGCTTATTTTCGTTGTCGGTGTGGGTGACTGACCTGCTTCGGCAGCTTCTGCTTCGAGCTGTTCAATCTGAGTGTAGAGACCTTCGAGCTCCTGTTGCATCGCTTCACCTTCCTGGTTCGCCTCTTGCAATGCCTGTTCAAGGCGCTCAACCTCATCGACTGATTGACCACCCATGCGAGATCGCTCAGCGCGCGCCTCGGCACGCTCTTCCAATGATCGAACTTCCATAGAGCGATCCTGCAAAGCACCTTGCAATTCCAAAATATCTTCTTGCCGTTCAGCCAATTCCGCTTGTAGCATCTCCAAGCCGTCCTGTGCTTTTTGCAATGCCTGCTTGAGTTGTGCTTGTTCTTGTTGAAGCGCATTGGCTTGAATCTCATATTGATCATGCGAGGCTTGTAGCGTATCGTGTGCAGTGCGCATATCGTCATGTTCAGCTTCGAGGGAATCATTGCGTTCTTCCAAGGCGGCAGCACGCGAAGAGACACTCTCGAGACGTGCTTGCACGGCACTCGTCTCGCGCTCGGCACTGCGTAATTTAGTTGTCAAATCCAAAATGATGTTGGCCTTCTCATCGACTTGGTCACGTAGCAAATTGACAATATCATCGTCTGCTGAGCGTGTCTGGGAGAGCAAGTCGTCATGCTTTGATTGAAGGGAAGCGAGTTCATCACGCAGCGCAAGCATTTGGTCTTCCGCTTCGCTGAGCTTGAGAGCAGCTTGATCAGCTTCTTCTTGGGCAGCATCAGCCTGTTCGAGCTTCTCCTTGAGTGACTCGATTTCCTCCTGCAGCTCCGCCACTTGTGTTTGTGACTCTGCCAGGCTCTCGACTTGTGCTCCCAACTCGCGAATCTGGTACTGGTGGTCTTCAGCTTCATTGAGGAGATCATCGCGCTCGCGCTCGAGTTCCTCCAAAATATCGCGGTCTTCATCCGTCATATGTGGCAAGGCGCAGTTGACACTGGCTTCGACGCGATCACCGAGGGAAGCGACTTTTTGCTCTTGTTCAGCAAGCAGTCGTTTATACTTGTTTAGTTCTCGCGCAAACGACGCCTGTTCAATCTTAAAGTCGATGTTCTCCTTGAGGGCTTGCTGTACATGTTCCGGTGAGGATTGGTGCATTTGTTTTTCCAACAAGAAGACTTTGAGTTTGAGTTCCCAATTGTCCTTCTTCATCTGATCCATGAGTTTCTCTTGCTCTCGCATACCACCACCGCCTTCCAACATCTCTGAACGCGCTGAGGGAGACGCGAAACGGCCTTGTGAGCGCGCCTGACGGGTACGCGCTGTATGTTCTGTACCACCAAAAACACTACCATCCTTGCCACGGGGAACAGGTGATAAGCCAGAGGTAAAGGCGCTCACGTCGCTTTGATTGAATGTACCATTCCGACCAGGTGTGGCAGCAGCGGCAGACCCGCTGGCATCATCTAGACCGCGTTTGACAGAGAAGGGCAACGGCCTCCTCACTTTCTTACTGGATCGCAAAATAGGTGTAAACTCACCAGCTCTGCGATTGGCGCTGCGAGGAACCAGTACAGGCCTTCCTGATTGTTTGGGCTTTGCAGGTTCGACGAAGGATTCGACGTGGTCGAAGGTCATGTTGATGGAGTTTTGTGTTTGTTCCATTGTCGAGGCTGTTTTGTCGCTCCGTGCGGGAGTGGAGACGCCAAAGAGACCCATGGCGGGTGAAACGGTGGCTGTCTATGGCCCTGCAGCAGTAGCAGGAGCAGGAGCAGTAGCAATATTAGCAGCAATAAGAGTAGCAGCAGCAGCGGTGTGGTTTGTTGTTGCCAGTTTTTGTTTTTGTTTTGAAAAAGACGCGAAACTGAGCGACAGTCACAAATAGCCAGTGATCGATGACGACTATAGTCTACAGCCGCTACAGCTCAATCATCCTCCACCTTCTTGATAGGCCCACTCGCATTATTGGCACCCACCTCACCCAGAACCTCAATACTGCGCAGCATCGTCGCCTCCTCCTCACCGCAATTGGCCTCGATAAAGACCACCAGCGAGATGCACTTCTGGAACTTGACATAGCGCAGAGCAATTGTTGCCTCTCCCTTCTCATTATACTGCACATCTGTGATCTCCTGTGTTGCAGGCAAAGAACCTGCATCGTCAAAGGACAAGATGTTGGGCTGATTGACAAACAACTTCAATGTGCTCGGTGCATGTTGCCGTTTCTCAGGATTCACACGCACCACAAGACTGTGTACTTTGCATGACTCCTGGAAAGGAATGTAGAGCATGAGTTGCTCATCACTGTCAGACGTCACAACCGTCTTGCTGTTGGGATCAAACAGAGCGCGCACAGCACTGCTTTCTGTGGCATTGCTCATTTCAAGCTGCTTGACATCAATATTGCCATTCAACGATCCCGTACTGCCTGATCCACTACCAGACCCACTCGCATCACCAGATGCTCCCTCTGCAGCACCATATTTGGCTACTTGCTTCTTAATCATGGCATCCAAGCGCGATGGATCCGCACCCTTCAACTCATCCACCTTCTTACCCTTGTGAAAGCATTGAAATGTAGGCATCGCTGTCACACCACATGATTGTGCCACGTCCCGTACTTTATCCACATCCACTTTAATGAATACAGCGCCTTTGTTTTCTGGTCGTGCAGCCAGTTGAGCGAATCGCGGTGCAATGACCTTACATGGCCCGCACCAGGTCGCAAAGAAATCAACAATGAGAAGTGCGCTGTTGTTTTTGAGGGATGCAAAGTCGTTGGAGGTAGTGATTTCTCTGACAGACATCCTTGCCTGTGCTGCTGCAACTTGGTTCAACAGGCGTGTCCGTGTCGTGTTCATGACGCCCAGTTCTGGCGTGAGAGAAATGGCCAGAAAAAAGAGAGAAGCACAATACTGTGACAATAGAATAGCTCTGGACCAATTTCAAGCAAACACATCACTGAGAAATGGGCCTGTATAATCGTAAAAAGCCAAGTGGCAGACCTGCCAAGAAGGGATCAGCACCTCCTACAGCAGAAGACATCCAAGCAAAAGCAGATCGAACAGCCTTCATTGAGCAAATGGCTGCGAAAGCCGCCCTACAACTTCAAGACTCTGCTGGTTCTGCCACTGCATCAGGTATGACGACTCCAGTGGAGGGAGAATTGGGTGGGATTCATCCTTCTCGTTTGGCGAGATCGAATGATCCCTTTCGGGGTCGTGCAGCGGTCTTGAATAGTCGCAATAACAGACAAGCGCATCGTGCGCCTGACTTGCGTGGTCAAAAGCGATCTTTTGGTGAAACGGGCGAAGGTCCTCAACAGGGCAATAAGAAGCAGCGAACGTTGGATGAGATTAAGAAGCTGAAAGGTCCTGCTGCTATGAAGAAGGAGCAGATGAAGCGAGATAAGAAGGCTGCTGAAGAGGCAGCAGCGCCCGCTGAGCAAGGTACAGACGCTACTAGTCAACCTGCAGAGACAGAGGAACCAAAAGATAAGGCCGTTGACAAGGCAGCAAGAAAGGCTGCCAAATTGGCTCGCAAGGCTGCAAAGAAGGCAGGCCAGGGAAACACTGCAGCACCCACCGAACCGATCCCTGCTCTCACAGAAGACGGTGAGTCAGTGGGAAACCGTAAAGCAAGACGGCAGGCGGAGAAGGAGGCGAAAAAGGAAGAAAAGGCAGCGGAGAAGGCCGCCAAGAAGCAAGCCAAACTTGCTGCCAAGGAGGCCAAGAAGGCAGAGGAGGGAAGTGACGCTTCTTCGTCATCTTCGAGTGAAGAGGATGCGCCCACCAGAAAGGGTCCAGCTCGGCAGCCAAGGCTCAACAACCGTGGTGAAACAAAAGCAGAGGCCCGGGCAAGAAGACATGCAGCGAAAGCTATCAGGAAGGCCTCTAAGAAGGCCTTTCAAGCCGAACAAAGAGTATGAAGCCCTCTTCTTGAATTTGCCCATCGACAATGCTGACCTTTCTCAGATTGCCAAAATTGAAGCTGAGCGAGAACGCAAGCGTTTGCTGAGGCAAGAGACTGATGTCGTTGCCAAGCGAACACGACCAAGCAGTACTGGCGCAGCTGGAAGTTGGGCTGATGGTGCAGCGTCGTCGCTCGGCGAGAAGTCTGCCAAGTTCATGAAGCTGATGGGCGGTGGCAAGGCTGCTGGTGAGGTTACCACTGAGTCTTTGGGGGCTGCTACCGACAACAAGCCAGACAAGGCTGTGAAGAAGGCACGCAAAGCAGAAGCTGAGTTGGAGAAGCAGTTCAAGAGCGGTATGCAGGCGAAACAGAGTGGATCGCGCAGGACTGGTCTTGGTGCGTAACCTCAAGATTATCTAGCATTCACTTATAACTTAGCAGCAAGTCATTGCATCCATGCCAGCAGTAGCCTCCAGACTTCAAGCCTTAGGTCAAAGTCGAGCTCGAGAGTTGCGTCCCATCTGACCGGAGAATTTATTTCTCTGCATTCTGATTGGCTGAGATTTAGCAGTCCCATCTACTAGCAGCTGAAAGTAGTGACGAAGAGGTGCACTGTAAGGGCGTAGCGATATATCAAGGCCCTTCTCTTACTGTGCTGCCTGCCACCCAATTCCCCCGATACTCTGCCCAGATCCCGATGTCCGTGTATGCCGGCATGGGCTGACCTAAGACTTCTAGAACGAGCACATGCAACGAGCAGCAACCTCAACTTGACCTTCACCGTCTCCCTCTCCCTCATCTACACAACCGACTGAGAGCACGCAGACATGTTCAAGCAGTCGGCATACGCATTCAGACACGCATTCAAGCGGCAAGCAACCCTTGCGCGCCCTCAGCGTGCAGCACAGCGTTTCAATGCCACTCAAGCAGGCAATAGCAGCAGCAGCAGCAGTAGCAAGATGCCTTTGATTATTGGTTTGCTAGCAGCTGGTGGAGCAGGTGGCTACTACCTCTACTCTCAAACCAACTCTGCCGGTGAACAACTCGATCTCAAGGATTCCATTAAAGCAGCCACAAGCCCGCATGACTACCAAACTGTCTACAACGACATTGTGGATGTGTTGGATGCAGATGAGTATGACGATGGTTCATACGGTCCTGTCCTTGTTCGTCTTGCTTGGCATGCATCAGGTACGTATGACAAGGACACCAACACCGGTGGCAGTAACGGTGCAACGATGCGTTGGGCACCTGAATCAGATCATGGCGCCAATGCAGGTCTTCACACTGCCCGTACAGTCCTTGAAAAAGTACACGCCAAGCACCCTTGGATTTCCTTCTCTGACTTATGGACGCTTGCAGGTGTTGCTGCCATTCAAGAAATGTCATTGGGTCAGTGTAAAGTCCCTTGGCGACCCGGACGGCAGGATCGCGATGTGGCCTTTTGTACACCGGATGGACGTTTGCCAGATGCTAGCCTGGATCAGGGACATCTCCGCAATATCTTTTATCGCATGGGTTTCAACGATGAGGAGATTGTCGCTTTGAGTGGTGCACATGCTTTGGGACGTTGCCACGATGATCGTTCTGGGTTCAAGGGACCTTGGACGTTTTCGCCCACTGCATTGACAAATGACTACTACAAGCTGTTGATGGAGGAGAAGTGGTCGTACAAGAAGTGGAATGGTCCTAAGCAATTTGAAGATGTCACAACCAAATCCCTCATGATGCTTCCTACAGATATGGCACTCATCAAGGATAAAAAGTTCAAGCAGGTTGTGGAGAAGTACGCCAAGGACCAAGACTTGTTCTACAATGACTTTAGCAAGGTCTTTTGCAAGCTTCTCGAATTGGGTGTGCCTTTTGCAGAGGACCAGAAGCCAATGGTGCTCAAGCCCGTTGCTTCAGAGTAGATAGGTCTACAAGCATCTCTTTCATTGTTGGCATAGATATAGAATGTGGCTTTATAGATCAAACATGACGGCTTCCCTACCTCGCGTCGTGAGCTTGCGTCGACTTTGGTAATCATCCATACTGATATACCCACCACAAATCCGTCTCTTTGTCGCGTCAAACTGCGTGCGACCATGCAAAACGCGCCAATTGTCAAAGATGAGTGCTTGCCCCGGTTTCATTGGGAATTGCAGCATCATCGCAGGACTCACCAGTAGTGTATGCCATACTTGCAACGCTTCATAGAAATCCTCCACTTCACGATCATCTGTGAAACTCGTCATGGTACTGCGGTCTTCATTGTTGTAGCGAACCTGTGACAATAAACCAGTCGCTGGATCATGATTGAGGATGGGAAAAGCACCGCCACCAATACTGGGTGTAATGCATTTATCCACATCTCCTGCAGAATGGGTCGGTACACGTACCCTCGACAATGTGCTGTATGCTTTGGGATGGTCTTGCCTTAGTTGTTTTGCAGCTTTGAATCCATCGACTAGCAACGACTCGCCACCGGTCCCATCAAAAGCCAACAAGTGAAACATTTGCAATCCAGCGGGATCAGAAAAGTAAGTGGTGTCATTATGCGGTGGCAGGGCGACGTTCGTGTAGGCGAGATCACCGTGTGCCAAGTCAGCGGTGAAATCGTAGAAACCGCCATAATGCGTCTGTCTAATGAAAGCGATGCGTTCGAGTAGTGCTTGTGTTGCCGCTGGGTCGATGGGAGTGCCATCCACGAGACTGAATCCGTATGTATGGATCTGAGTCAACCAGCGACCAACACCTTCATCGGAAGCCATGATATCGTCGTATGCAATGGTCGGCAGGGACTCCTTAATCTCACTGCCCCAAAAGTGCTGCGGCGCCTCGAGTGCATCGGGCCGTGGAAATTTGGGACTGTAGGAGTGGCGATGTAGCCAGTCGTAGCTGAAATAGCTTTGATGTGCATCTGGCCAGGTCAGCGTGAGTCCTTCCTCGCCTTGTTCGACGTTTGTCGGTGCAATGTCGCGAGGAAGGAGGGAGGTGTCGAGAAGACGTTGGTGTGTGACTGGGTGAAAGCAGGACTTGCTGCGACAATGATCACGAAGCCATATCTAGCTCTGTCAGCCATGTCGTGTTTGAACTGACTGTACGTACGTGATGGAAGCTGGATGTCTTGCCGTCTTGCCAGGGGATATTGAGTTTACGGGCACTGAGAGAGATGGAGTGCTCCTTGGCTGGCTTGTGTGTGCTTTCTAGGCGCCGTTGGGCAATCAGGCCTCGACACAATTGTGTCGCCTGTGCTGTATGTGATCGATTGGCTGTTTGCCGGAAGCAGGCCGCAAGCATGGCTCTCTCTAGCTCTTGTCTAGTGTGTAGCTAGCTGGTGTACGTTGTGGGTAGCGGTGTCAAGTGTGGAGCCACCGGGGAGCAGAAGAAGGCAGCGAAGAAGGCGCCGTGTAGATTGGCCTCTCGCATGCATGGAGACATGGCAGCTATGAGATATATTGGGCCTGGTCTCTAGCTACTGCCTCCGCCCTGTCTCTGCTCCTCTCGATCCACGGGCCCACCTCGTACTGCGCTGGATGCTGCTGCGTCGTCATCTCTCTTGGACTTGGACGCGACTTCCAGCAAACAACCACAACCGCGACCAAACCACATTGAGGGTCATGGCCTGCTAGACACTGTAGTAGCAGCAGACAGGAGGGGACATTCGTGAGCCACTCAAGCTTCTTCCTCCATCATGACTACCTTTGTCTGTGCCCTCTTCCTCCCAAAGACACTCAAGTTCGTCGTGGAAGAGACAGACTCCAATGCTGCGTCCCCAAAAATCGGACATCCATCAGGCGATGACTCTGCACAACGGCAGCAGAACACAGGTCGTCCCTCTGCGGCGACTGGCAAAAAAGATGCACAAGCACCGACTGCAAGTTTGGCTCCTGTACCAAACCTCATGCAGTCCTTTGCTTCCTCATTACCCAATTCAACCCTCAACACGCCCTCACAACTTCCTACAAGTCCAACGACACCGCCAAAGTCGAATGGCGGGACACCTGTATTCATGGTGGATGCACCAAGCGAAGACATGTCAAGCAGCCAACATCAATCAGGCATGAGCTCCCTCCATGCACGCCTACAAATTGCTCAGCGGGAGGGCCAGTCTCCAGGGATGGCAACGACTAGTATCCCGGGCAACGTACGTAAAAGGGTCCTTCAAGTCCCCAAATCACGCGCTTCGTCACCCCCACCTGCAGCGATTGTGCCAACACGACCAGCATTCCCACGACAAGCCAGTAAGACGAGGCCTGCAGAGGTCTGTGTCATGGAAGATCAACCAGCTCCTAAACAAGGCTCGCCCAATTTGCTACGAATGGCTGATCGTCGTCGCTCACTCACAACGGACCCGCGATATGCGAATGCGCATTATGAGATTTTTGACCAGCTCAAGGGAAATGGCGGTCTACGACATGCTATTGCAGCCGCTTCACAGACTGGCTCCATTGGGAAAGTGAAGTGGGTGGGTTCATGTGGTTTTGCAACAGATGCGATTGACAAGTCCACCATGTCGCGCATCAAGAACGACTTTGAAGTGAACTTGGATTCCCTCATTGTTACAGTCAGTGATGGTGAGTTCTCAGCGTGCTACTCACACTACTGCAAACGCATCCTGTGGCCTCTCTTCCACTACCAGATCCCAGATCAACCACGCGCAAAAGTGTACGAGGAGAAATCTTGGAAGGAGTATGTTGCTGTGAATCAAGCATTCGCTGATCTCGTGTGCAGCAAGTATAAGCGTGGTGATGTCGTCATGGTCAATGACTACCACCTCCTCCTCGTTCCTGGGATGATTCGAAAACGACACCCACAAGCCATGATTGGCCTCTTCCTACACATCACCTTTCCAAGTTCTGAAATTTTCAGATGTCTTGCAATGCGTATGGAGATTCTCGAAGGGATGCTGGGCGCTAATTTGATTGGATTCCAAACGGAATCGCATTGTGACCACTTCAAGCAGACGTGTTCTCGCTTGCTCTATATTGAAGCTTTGGAACAAGGCATCCAACTTGAGCACTCCTTTGTCAGTATCGTGGCAATGCCCATTGGTGTGGATCCAGCACAACTTGAACGTTGCATGAAAGCACCAGAGGTGAGCCTGTATGGTCGAACGGTGCGCGAACGACAAGGCGGCAAGAAGATCATTTTTGGTCGTGACAAGTTGGACTCAGTCAAGGGCGTCAAGCAGAAACTGCTTGCCTATGAACGCTTCCTCTCCAATAATCCAAGTTGGCGAGATCGTGTCATTATGCTGCAATATGGTCAAGACTCAAAGACAGAGCCTGAGCTGAAGCAACAAATCACAGATATTGTCAATCGCATCAATGGTCGCTTCACAGATATCATCTCTGGTCACATTCCCGTGCACCTTGTCGAGCACGATATCGATTACAACGAGTTCTTGGGCATCTTGTCAATCTGTGATTGCTTTATGGTCACTTCGCTGCGAGAGGGAATGAATCTGACTTGCCACGAGTACATTTATTCTCAACGGAAACTCAAGAACCCTTTGATTTTGAGTGAATTTGTTGGTTCAGCAACGGTGCTCGACAAGGATTCACTCATGATCAATCCATTTGATTACAAGCAGACGGCCAATGCCATCCTGCAAGCATTAACTATGTCTCAAGAAGAGAAGAATCAGCGCTGGGAGAAGCTCAACAAGATCATTCTCGAGGATGATGCATCGCTCTGGGCAACCACCTTCATCTCGCGTATTCAAAGCGACTTTGTCTTGCAGCAGCGACGCAGGACAGTGGATCTACCCAAATTCAATCCAGACGCCTTTCTTGATCAATTCGATCAAGCGGCATCGCGACTCTTCTTCATCGATTATGAGGGGACGTTGCTCCCCTGGGGCTCTCACAAGCAAATCATGGCCTCCACCAATAAAATTGTCGAAGTCCTCAGTAAGCTATGTGCAGATGAGCGAAACCTCGTTTATGTCACAAGCGAGCGCACTCCTTCTGAGTTGGAACGTACATTCCGACGAGTCCACCGACTCGGTCTCATTGCAGAGAATGGCGGGTATCTACGAACACATGAGGAAGGCAATTGGGAGAACTTGACAAGTTCCTCTGATTTATCTTGGAAACCCAATGTTCGCGAGATCTTGACGTACTACAGGGAACGTACACCCGGTAGTGTGATTGAGGAGCAGAATTCACGCATGGTATTCCACTACGCTCAAGCAGAAGATCCCGTATCGGCTCAACGACAAGCAGCAGAATGCTGCAATCACATTTCCGATATCTGTGCACCACAGGGCGCGCATGCTATTCCAATGGAAGGTGCCTTGGTCGTGGAACCGGTTGCCATTACAAAAGCGTCGGCTGCTCAGCGAGTCCTTGCTAGCGTGGACGGACGAGCAGTTGGGTTTCTCATTGTCTTTGGCAATGATCGCGCAGATGAGGAGATTTTTGCGTGGGCTAATGGACTTGCCTTGGATAAAGAGCAGGATCGCGCACAGCTGTCATCATCAGCGGCTACACAGTCTCAATTGACGGCATTGACGGTGACGGTTGGATCACGCAATACCGATGCAAAGACATATGTGCAATCGACCTTTGGTGTCTTGTCAGCACTGGCTGCCTTGTCGGGTGATAAGCAAGCAACCTCTGCATTTGCCTCGACAAAACCAAGCACGGGACACGCAATGACGAGGGAAAACTCGATGCAATCTCGCAGTGAGAAGGACGACAAATGAATTCCTCCACATGAACGAAAGGGTAGCTACATCATGCAAAGAGATAGAGACGATGAAATGAATCGTATTTCAAGTAGCGAATGGCTTTGTCAATTTGCTTTCGTGCTTCATGGAACTTGTATCTTGCTTGTTTAAAGAGACGTGTTGCGTGAGTTGTGGCAATGGGTTTCTCTGCTGGAAAGCAAGACCGCCCGTCGCCCATGCAAAGGCGAGGGTCAGACATTCATCTTGAGCAATGACAAGTCCTGATCGGTTGCAACTTCTTGCCAAGCAGGATTCTTTGATTGCGCTTGGTATAGATCTGAAGCTGGTTGTAGCTTGTGTAGTTACTTGGTCTGCAGCTGAGCCGTGATGTTCCTTAAATTTCGCCCTCGAAAGCGAAAGGAGGAGAAAAACACACAACTCTACCAAACAAGTTGAAACAACCCACCAGGTATCAAGGCGCATCCTATCCGGAGCATATACCAGCCTCGAAGCTTCGGCTACTGCTCTCTGTCGTATTGAACAAGGCGCAATTCTCTTTGCAAGCAGCAGGAAGCCTCTGCAGGCCAATAATCCTCGATGACGTCGTCAAGGATCGCCTCTCTTGACATTCCTTCTGCTCTGAGCGACAGCAGACCCTCTACATCAGGCTCGGCGGTATCAACCGAATCAGAAAGCGTCCAAACATCCGCAAGAACAACAGCGAGTCAATTGCGCAACAGAACAGAACGGCCTTCCCTGCCACTCCCTTTACGTCGTCGCACCTTCAATGGCCGGCGAAACACGGACAAAGATGCTATTGAGGAATCTGTTGCGTTGCTCAAATTAGGCCTGGTGCTGGATAGAGTTGAGCGTAAGCTTTCGCAGCTGGATTTGTCCGACTTTTCTCTTGCAGACGGCAAGCTCGCCGCTGCATATGACACTTTGCGAACTATCTTCAAAGACTCGGCTTGTCGTGTCGGTGGTGAAGCCAAGGGACGTGCTTTGGTAGTCATTAAGTTATTGGAAAGCAAGTGTGCGGCCGTTCTCTCAACAAGTCCAGATGATGCATCCGTCTCAGCGGAAGAGGCCGAAGCATCAGCCTTACCTGAACGCATTCATGGTGCTCGAAAGTTCCTGGAGCATGCTCTACATGAGATTGAACATTCGTATTACGCTCGTTTCCATGAGGGAAGGCAATCTGTTTTGGAAAAGATTTCGCATTTGCAGGAGGAGATCAGCCGAGGCTCGCAAGAAGCAGCGGCGCGTGTTGCAGCCATCAAGCAAGCTGTTGCCACAGCTTCTACGCGGCTTTTGAGCTACTCAGAGCTGCCGTTTGAGTGGCGCAACAATGACTACATCAAGGGCGGGTATCGCTTCTATGCGTCTCCTGTTCAATGTGCCTGCTCAGCCTTTCAAATTCACAACGAAACAGGCAACATTTGGACGCATCTTGCTGGCTTCATGTTCCTCTGTGGTGTCGGACTTTGGGCCTATCCACGCTCACCAGCTTTCTCCGAAATGACTTTTTACGACCGTCTCATCTTTTTCGTCTTTCTAGCAGCAGCGTTGAAATGCCTCGGCGCTTCAGCTCTGTGGCACACCTTCGCACACATTGCGAACCTCAAGGCAATGAAGAAGCTTGCGTGCATGGACTATGTTGGCATCTCTGTCCTGATTGCTGCCTCTATCGTGACGATGGAATACCATGGCTTCTATTGCGACCCCTGGAAACAGCTCTTCTACGTCGGCTTTACAAGCGCCCTTGGCGTTCTTGGTACTATCATTCCGTGGTTCGAATTCTTTGACAAGGTGGAGAATCGCGGCTTCAAGATTTGCTTCTTCCTCGGTATTGCCTTTTCAGGCATCGTGCCCATCACACATATTGTCTTGTCACAGTCCGCAAGTCGGACACTTTACTTTTTCGCTCCAGTCATCAAGTCTCTTCTCTGCTATACAACTGGTGTAGCAGTCTATGCTTCACGCTTTCCAGAGAAATGGCGACCTGGAACATTTGATCTCTTCCTCAATTCGCACAATCTCTGGCATCTCATGGTTTTCGGTGGAATTTGGTATCACTTCAAGGCAGTACAGGGTTTCCACACTACGAGTCGGTCTTTTGCTTGTCAAGCTGCAGAGACTGCGTCGTACAGTGAACCTATTCAACGCATGGCAGGCTTGGTGGCTGCAAAGGCCGTCGAGCTGGCCTCCGCTGTCGTCCCGGCAGCTGCTCAGGAAACGGTCGGTTGGCTTGAGCGATTTCAAATTCAGCTTCCGTTTTTGCAATAATGAGGCCTGGCGACCTCTTTAATGATAGTGTTTCATTAGGCTTAAAATATAAACGGTTAATCGCATTGCTTGTAGGTTCTTCTTACCTTCATTAAATACGCGTACGTGCTATTCATTCGCTTTGCAATGTAGCCCAGGCAGTTTGAATTGCTGGATTGGTCTCTTGTGCTTTGAGCTTCGCCGCCTGCGCAAGTATATGCGACCTCAGTCCATCATTTCGCTCATTGCTTGCAGTGGACAACATGACACCAGCACACTTGACTGCATTCTCCCTCAACGTCATGTATGATTGGTCCACAGCCACCTCGGCGACAATGTTCCAGAGACGAAAGCCGACCTCCTCCAGCTGGATTGTTGACTGACCTTGTATCTTCTTGTAGAGGTCGGTGATGGACTCTGGGATCTGGAGAGTGACATTCCAGGGGTAATTTTGTTTGAAGACATGTTCCAGCACATTGGCACATACTTCAAGCTGCTCCACTTGCGAAGCAGTACCAGGTCGGACAGCACCAAGTAGACACGCGATGCAAGATTGAACCACAACTAGTCGCAATGGTCCTTTATCCTTCTCATTGACATCATCCAGATCAACCATCTCATCATCGCCATCAGCATCTTTACCGGATGTCTGCATCAAGAATGGCACAACCGTTGCTGCAACCTCATCAAAGATGTTGGCACGAGGCATGGCCTTCAAGTAGATTGCCATCGCTGACAGAGCGTGTCGCTTGTAATCTGCGCTCGTGCGACGAAACTCCTTGAGGAGTGCAGCGTTCGTCAGTTCAAGCTTCTCGTTAGACAGTGTCTCTGCACGACCTTTCGTCAGAGCAACAAGAGCCTGTAAGACTTGTTCTTTTCCGTTCCATGAGCGACCAGTGAGCGCCTGCACGACAAGCGTAAAGATGCGCTCAAAGTCGACATCGGCAAGATTGGCATCATTCGCCGCATCAGCCAAAGCCCTTGCAGCAAGTTGCTTGACACGCCAGACTGGCGAGACCAAGTGTGTCTCACAGAGCACCAATATTTCTGGAAGATAGAGGCGCACGGCAGCAGCTTTCGAAGTCGTGCAGCGCTCCCAACTTGACTTGAATAGACCCTTGATGCGTTCATCTTGCTCATGGAGGCCGAGGAAGACGATCGGCACCAGGCTTGTGGCAAGCGACTGGAATCGATCCAGAGCATTCTGCGATACGGCCGAGAGAACAAGTGGCAACGCATCAGTCAGATCTTGCTCGGAGGCCTTGAAGAAGGATTTGCTCAAGAACGCAACGAGCTTGAGTAGCTTATTCGGATCACACAAACGGGCAAGATAGCCGACACTAGCTGCGTATGCAGTTCGTGTAGTCTCGCTGGCATCATTGAGACTTCCGGAAAGCGCTTGAATAAGAGCATCTGCCTCGCGCTTCATCAAGTGCGGTTTCCTCGAGCATGACGAGATGATGAAGCGAGCACAAGCTGCTTTGGTAGGCAATCCATTTGTTTGTCGAATGATACTGCATAGACGAGATATCGTCTCGGGAGCAGACTCCTCGGAAAGCTGATCGACACAGTCCTCCAATGCTGACATTATTGGGTTTGAGCGCATAGAAGCCAGTCTGGCTTCATCAAGTTGGCTTTGCGTGACATTGTACTTGGCTGCGTGGAAAGACAAGTAATTGAGCATTTCAGGCTCCATATTGGTGGTGAGAAGCATGAACTCCTCGACAAGCGTGGCCAAGTAGGGCTGAATAGCGCGACCAGATGCCTTGACGAGTTTCAAAAGCGTCTCGAGAGAAAACGAACTCACTTCCAATGAAGGACTCTTCAAATTTCGCAAGAAGATAGGCAGAGCAGCGTCCAGCATAGTCTTGCCAGATGAACCATCGCCAGATACTCCTTTCAGGACAAGCTTGGTAAGGCTTTTGCAAAGACCCAGAGCTGCCACTCGGACACTCTCTTTTACATCGTCAAGAACCCTAAACGACGTCTGCCAGAGTTGTTCAGTGTACTGCTCGAGGTCATTCATATTGCGTCCAAGGAGCAGCCCGACCAAAGCATTGCAGCTTGCCTCTCTTGTTCGCCAAGCTCTGTCTGTCAAACCCTTCAACAATTCACGCATGATTTCATCAAACTGCTCCTTCAGCGCTACCTTCTCATCGGGGCAAATTTGAGCAAAGATGTCATTCATGGTCTTGGCCACCGTCTTTGATGGATCGTGCTTGTAGCGATATAGACGAGGAACGAGTCGCTTGAGCAGCGCCGGGTTGTTGGCAAGAATGCTGCTGCCACCAGAGCTAGCTAAGATTGAGCTGAGACCCAATGCCGAGCCTCGTCTTGTCGACCAGATGGATGCAGACGATGCCAATGACATGAATTGGTAGACTTTTGTTAGTTCAGTCGTAGCAGCAGAATACGTACCAAGCTCGTTGTTGCCCATATCGACGGCAAGATCGCAGATGTCTTTGTATGTAGAGACATTGTTATTGTCACCAACCGAGAGTGTTCCAGGAGCAAACAGCTCGCTTTCTGAGGACATGCCAATATTTCCGGCCGCGGCCTTTGCAGCACTATCACTTGCAAAGGTGCCCATGAGGCTAGAGACAAGCTCATCCTTTGTGCTCTGATCGCTCTGCTTGTAGACGAGCTGGATGCCTTGGCTGGCGGACTCCGTAACAAACTCATCTTGATCAGCCATAAGAGACATGAAGGCCTTGTGAATTGGCTTAAGTCGAGCTTCAAACACAGAGCTGTGCTTGAGCACTTGAACGAGTGTCAAAAGCCAAAGACAGGCTGCCTTGCGACAAAGCTTCTTGGGTGAGCGAATATGAACAGAAAGAATCTCGTCCAGCGCTTCAGCAAAAAGGGCGTCTCGTCCGATACTCGGAACCGTGGCCTCTGGATAGAGGGCTAGCTTGATGCGTACAATCGACGTGTCAAATCCGCCAAATGCAATAGCAAGCGCTTCTCCCGTTGCAATGTACAAGTCGATTGCATTTGAGTCTTGCTGAGCGAGGAGAAACTTGATAAGGTCCTTTAGTTCTTTGTCAGACTCCTTGAAACCAAGGGAGATGAAGCCAAGCGCTACGACAGCGGCTTCTTTGATACGGGGATCAGTCGATTTGCCGATAAGCTTCTGCAAGATAGTTAAGTCAACCTTGGCCGGAAGACCAAGTAATGCTAATTGAGCAAGCCCATCAAGCGATGCTTCGCACAGTCGACTATCGCGCTCGTCCAAGCCACTGATCATCGATTCTTGGATCAGTGAAACCACCTCAGTACTGACAAGACTTTTCCCTGCCAGCTTCAAGCGGAGAGTGAAAAATGGCAGAAACATTAACGTCCCGTACCGTTTGCTGAAAGACTCTGATGGTTTTTGCAAGATTTCGAGTGCTCGAGTGATCTCTGCGTGAATCTCCGTATCGCCAAGTTCGACGCTGATCAATGCTCGCATCTTGCAGTATTGTGATTGCAGCTCAGATGCTGCACCCAGAGAAAGATCTCGAATGGCAGCAAGCTCCTGCCCGAGAGGCTCCTTTATATTTGAGCCCAACACAAGTAACTCAAGAGCCGTAGACACGGCTGCTTTGCTCCCCTGGAGACAGAAGTGCACGACAAGCTTTTCAAATCTTGCCAGACTTGCAGACATGTCAGAGCCACAGCATTTTAGAGCACTGCTGATGATAGACCTAGCCTCGACGTCATTTTCGATTGCATTGTCAATCTTGGTCGCCCAATTTTCATCGATCGCAAGTGCCTGTTCTTTCTGTAGCAATTCAAAAACAAGTATACGTCGAGTGAAGGAAATGTAAGACTCTGCGACGTCTTGGCTCAGCTCTTCTAGGGTCGACAGGTCGAGGATTTCCCCATGTACGAGATTTTGAACAGGCCACGTGACAAGGTCTGCAAAATTTGGCAAATCGTATCGGTGCTGGTCGGCTTCCTGTTGCTCTTTTGATGGTAACAGACTCAAATCGTTCATGCGGTTGAAGAGTCGAAATTGGTGTGGATCAAGGCCTCTTCTTGCTTCCTGCTGGATTTCTGGTTTGGAACCGTTACGTGCCGCAAGTAAGCATATAAAGCGTGCGCCAACGTCACTGAAGGAGAAGGAGTTGAGTGCAAATCGCACAGCGGTAGCATGTGTGTGAGGCGGTGCATTGACGACCACATTGAGCAAAATCTTCCTCAGCTCGTACAGGGCATCTGAAGAGGCAAAGCGAAAGGTGTTGATGCAACTAGACAAAGCTTCTTCGATCGCTAGCCTGACATCGGGCTTCGCTCGACCTAAACTTGCAAAGAGGTGGCCAATAAGGTCAGGATTTTGCTGTGTGAATTGTACATCCCTGCTTGCTAGCAACCCGACAGCAATGTACGCAAACCCCCGAGAGCTCTCAGATTCCTCTGTTGTATTCAAGTGGTTTGTTAGATGTATCAGAATCGGCCGTGTGAGCTGTTGCAAGCCATCAAGCTCTGCCGTTCGAGCGAACCAATGCACAAAGCCTACTGTGGCTTGTGTCAGCTTCGCTTGCTTCGCCTGAAACCCGTCAAGCATGACAGCAAGCGCCTGATCCGATGATGCTACTGCCACTTTACTCTTGGACAACAATTGAAGCAACTTGATGCGGATGGGCGTGCTGAGAGGTCTTTTTATTTGGCATAGATCAGTACCCGTCATTGTCTCATCTTGTCCAGATCGAGACTGGCCCCATGAAAGCATGTCGTAGACGAATTCCACCAGCGCTGCATCCTCCCAATCCACGTCGCACTTTCTTCTGATGATGTCTGTTGCAAGCTGTTGTACTTTGGGATCGAGGTCGAAGGAGCCAAGCAAAGCAACAGGAAAGCGCAGTCGGGCAGGCATAACATCGACCGATAAGAACTGAAGAACGCCAAGTTTTGTTTGATTCAGTGTCGCGACGGTGAATGTTTTGGCACCCTGCGGTGCGAGGAAATCGGCGTCGCTTTGGCTGATACCTTGCAAAGGAGACGCAGTGCCATCAGCGGAACCTAAGGCTATCAAGGCTGCCCTGACTCGAATTGCAGTTTCAGCTGGTGCGCTTGGAAGGGAAGGCGGTCTGGCTGCGTCAAATTGAGCTGCTCGGCGTATGGCAAAAGCACCTAGATGCAGCAACATCAGCTTGCAGAATACTTTCGATGCGCATATTTGATCATTCACATCAGTGATGGCATGTTCACCGACGAAGGCCTTGACTTCGTTTGGCGAAGATGGGACACGAATATCTTTCAGGATTCTAAATACCAGCTGAAAGAGGACTTGCTGCTGATCTTGCTCTGCAGAGTGTATTCCGTCGAACAGCTGACTCAAGGTGCTACTCGTGACTTGTGAGCGCTCCTGAGCCGTCTTGAGCAGGGCCAACGTGACGCCCTTCAATGAACTGCTCAAGGCGTTGTTCTTGTATTGCGCAAGAAGAGCATCAAACGGCAGTGAAATATTCTGAGACTCGCGTAGGCGACCATCAAGCATTGCGATGATTTGATGGACTTTGGAGCGCACGTCCACATGGTTACTGTCGAGCTTCAGTAAAACGGGACAGAGGTAGATAGAGAGAAGTTTTTGAAGCTTTGCATCTGTGTTTGCCAGCGCGAACCTGAGTTCAACCCCATTTAGCAGCTTCAATTCAGCATCCGACATGGTTGCTGATTAGTCGTATGAAGAAGCAGATTCGCATGCTTCAGCTAGTGCACAACAGCTCCCGCAATCGAAAGCTTGCACCCTGAACGACGACGACGCGCGGTCGAAGCTTCAGATGGTCAGTTGCGAAAAAGTCTCAATTGCGTCGTCAGCGCACCAAGCTATTACATGCAGATGTCCAAGCGCATGCGCTTATGGCACTCTATATGATTCCTTTCAGCAGCATGACTCCATTGAACGGTCCTCACTATCAAGAGTCTGACCCGGAGTTTGTATTGCAGGCACTCCTGTAACAACACAGCGCCAACATACGCATGATCTGGTAGATCCAGGCTGCAAACCACTAGCCTAACAAGCCGGACACATGTCAGAAGGTATGTCAATAATGTCACTGGGATAGAATCACTGACTCGGCCTAGTGCAGCCTAGATGTCGATGCCAAAGAAAGGCTGATAGAGCTGGCAATGCCTGGTCGTAGGCACTGAGCCTGGATCTACATGGATATGTCATCATTGTCATGTATATCTCTGCTGGGCTTGCACTGCGCCGATGTCATTGATATCGTGTTCGTTGACGACGGCGCATCATTTCCTCCGAACTTTGAGCACGTTTTTGGAGACTGTCAACTTGAAATCGCCAGCCAAACCTTATTTCGGATACGAGCGACTCGAAGCCCAGGATCCGACCAGACAATGCCACTCACGAAGGATTCTCCGCCATGCGATTGTTTGTAATTTGTTACCTGCAGGCCACAGGCTACACTGCCGCTAGGCCCGCGCCGCCCGCTACAGCTCTGCACCTTTCGGCGCGCCGATCATCATCAGCTTGGCAGCGTCTGAGCGTCATATGCATCATCTATTCATCTGCAATGTTCGCAGACTGATGTCTCAGGCTCTCAGTTCCTGAGATGCACTTACGACTGCCAGTCTGCTACCATGTAAATTGGGCCTACTATGAGTCTATGACAGCTGCGCACCACTTGACTAGTATGACTACTAACTTAGTCCTAAGACACCAAATTACAGTGTACAACGGAGATGGGCCCCTCATCTCTAAGCCGACTGACCAAGTTCCAACGGGCCACACGAGTCAGGAGCTTTTTTTGATTCCTGGCTGTCATGAATCATGAATCATGATGCACTCATGGAGCCCTAATTCTCATGAGCCAATATAGCCAGCATGCCCATGGCCTAAGCTTATAGTCAAGTAGCTAAGAATCTAAGATGAAGGAATTTGTACGGAAAGTATGGCTACGATTCGCTTGGATCAATCGCTTTGCTTCAATCTTCCAAGTTGGATCTCGGCGATCAAGATTTAGCCCCGCAAGCCAGCTTGGCGTCGCCTAGAACTGTTGACGTGAACTTCGTGCAAAGAATTTACGCGCGACGATCCCGGAGCATGACAAATTGATGCTCCGGGGAAAATGCAAGTCTTGAAAGCGTGAAAGTCGATAGTAGACTCGATACACACAGCAAACGCTGTGGTTCGTCCATGACAACGAGTGGGATCATTTGTAAGCCCTTGAGCTCTTGGAGTCACTGCATCTGATGCTGTTGTCAGGCAATGATCACCATGGAAAGCCCGCAGTGCTGAATCTGCTGACGGCCTTTCTGAGGCTTCAGTGCGGATTTTGCTGATAGCTTTGTGTTGATAGGATGGTAGCAGAGCTCCAGACGAAATGAATGATGCGTGCGCGGATCCTCTCGGCGCTCACGAACGCCACGAAACGTTATTCTTCAAAGGTGTCTCTGCGCGGGACAACTTGGAATTGCCAAATCTCCTTACGCCAGGCTGTACGACCGTCCCTTTGACAGCTATCTCCGTCGTATCACAAGCTCACTTGGGCAATGGGCAGAGGCCGGCCACCTGCCAAATGTCAGGCGCACGCGCCAAAGCATCAGCTTCTATGAAATCTGGGGCACCAGACGACCACGATGTGTGTACGACACTGCAGCTGACATCTGGGCAGGACGTCAAAACCAGACGACTGCCCGCTTTCACGGTTGCATAAGCATTACTATACCTCTTGGACTGATTCAGCCTTGTCTTTCTTCGTCTATCCTAAAGACCTGCACTGGAACGCAGCGTCATTCTGCTATCAAGACGATTGTCTTTAGTAGCTCCGTGGCCTACCCGATCTTTGCACCAAAGCCTTTCGAAGCAATCGAGAAGCGGCAGTGTGAGCAGAGAAACCATCAAAGAACGCTCACCACGCTCAGTGGAGCGTGCTACCAGCAGCTGCCTCGTAGGCAAGCCGGGCATCACGCCGCTACCCAGAGTCTCACAGCGAATATGAAGCGCGAAGTAGCGATAGGTCTTGAACAGCTTGGCCTGTCTCAGTACATTGCTCGTCTTGAACAAGAGGGCTTCGACGAGTGGGCCTCTCTTTGCGATATTACAGAATCAGACTTGTAAGCTACTTGTCGATGTTCAGGGCCGACGCTAATGCATAATAGGGAGGCATTGGACATCAAGCGGGGACACAGGCGCATATTGCTGCGACACATTGCCACAATTCGCGGGCATCCCTCGACAGAGCCCCTGGATGATGGCTCAAGCGACGGCACTGGCCATCCCGAGGATGGTACACGAAGCCGATCCAATTCTATTTCAACCAGACGGCCAAGCTTGGCCTTTACGGATGCTGAAGACAGTCAATGTCAACGCATGATGCCAACAAAGCGACAATACAAGCGACACCCGAAAGTGGACGAGAATGCTCCTTCTCGGCCTCCATCTGCCTATGTCATGTTCGCCAACCAAATACGCGAAGAGCAACGGCAAAGTAAGCTGACCTTTACACAAATCGCGAGACTGGCGGGAGAGCGGTGGAAGAACCTGGGGCCTGCGGAGAAGGTCAAGATTGAAGCAGCTGCGGATGCACTAAAGCAAAAGTATGTGGCCGAAACGAACGAGTACCGCAAATCTGTGGAGTACCAGCTCTACCAAGACTACCTTTCAGAGTTCAAGGAACGCGCTGTCAGGCACGAGAAGCCTGAAAAGTTGGTTGCGCCAAAACGCACTGGTCGCAACGGAGTACCCCCACGACACCCATACTCGCCTTCTGCCCATCCTTCTACCAGTCCACAGGAGGCTCATTCAACCTTCTCTCGCCAGTCATCTTCTTGTGATTCATCGTCTCATGGCCAGTCCCCAGCCTTTGTCATGACATCGACGACCGAAACAAGGCCATCTGAAGAGCAAAAGACCCCTTTACCGCATTTGAATCAGTGGCTCCCTTCGATGCAGGAGATGGCTGAGCAGGCCGTGCCACAGCACTTGACTGGTCGTCCTCCATTTGAGCAACATCGACTTCCGCCATTGAAGATGTCTATGGCTAGTCAGGAAGCTCTGCCGCCACTAATTCCGTCGGCTTATCGTGGTCACGGTGTTTCTGATCCAAGCTTCTTTCGCATGGCAGGAATGGACCGTACTTACTGATAGTTTTTGTGTACGATAGCCTGTAATATTAACACTCATGAGCCCAGCAAGGACAAGTTTCTGTGACTGTCCCTTCTGCGGCCCGGGATCTGTTTGTGACGTCAGCTTGGATTTCTGACAGGACAAGAATCATCCAGCAAGCAGCCTCTCAAACCAACTCTTTCCTTTCCGTGTCCATATCACTTGGAGCGCAAGTATCCTTTCATTCGTCGCCTCGTTCAGCACAGTATCATGCCTGCAAAGCACTACATCGTTCTGGGCTACGCTTGGGTGCCCCTCGTGGCAGCCTTCACTTGGTTCGGCGTCCTGGTCGCCCTCCTCTCCATCTGGACTGCCAAGGGCAAGCCCAGGATCAAGGCAGACAATGGCACAGTCCCCTATATTTCTGATATCGGCGCCATTGAGAAGCCACTTTTCATCGCTTGTTGTTCAGTGACTACCGGCTTCTTTGTCGCAGCGCTGAGTCTCGAGCGATGGCTGCGTCACAAGGCCCGATTGGACCCAAACCAGAGATCGCGAGAGAAGTGGCTCAGTATTTTGGCTATCTTGTTTGCTGCTGCAGGCGGCGCTTGTCTTATTTCCCTGTCAGTCAAGGACAGCATCAACCACAACCGCCTGCACTGGCACTTCACTATCGGCTTCATTGTCTGCATTGCGCTATCTGCCATCTTCACGACGGCTGAATGGGGTTGGCTCAATACAGACTATAAATCTGCCAGGATGCTCAAGTTCTCCTACACGTTGAAGTTGATTATCATCTTGCTTGCTATTGTGTTTGCCATTGTGCTTGGCGTGTACTTCAACAACGAACAGAAGCAATCGACAGCGGCCGTTATGGAGTGGCTTGTCGCATTTGTCTTTGATCTCTACCTTTGGACTTTGGTATACGACCTCTACCCAGCCATTCACACCAAGCGCGTTACGCACTGGAATGGTCCTGTTGCGAAGGAACGTTCAGGTGCTGGCTTTCACTCGCCCGACTCGAGCGTCGCTGGCCAGGTTTGAGAACATCATCTTCTTATTGTACACTAGCTAGTTAATGATCATTTACATTCAGAATACAAGTCAATGACTGCTTCATCGCGCAGTGCTGCCAATGCTCAACTTCCATCTGAAGGAGCTCCTGCCAAGTTGACCAGCAGCAACCAGCATCCATAAACACCTTGATCCAGTGGGCTGAACACGCTTGCATCGCAGAGGATATATGTCTGCCCAGCTGCTCAAGGAAATTGAGCAACATGGGCCGACCGATGCTGTGGTAAACCGCATCGACTCACTTGCAGAGCAAGACTCAACACGTCTCGCGCAAGTCGTGCAATTACTGGATGCACGTCTGCCTGAAGTCGAGCAACAGCTGGACGCCCTTGTGCATCGACATGGCAAGCGACTCTATAGTATCTTTGCGGATGACAATGAGTCTACAAAGCAGGCGCGTCAGGTGTTTGCTGCGTCGCCCGTGGCCTTTGAGCTCGCCGATATCTTAATGGAACATGCGCGTACCATTCAACAACTGGAGGACCAGCTTGACGCAGCGCACAAAGAACAATCTCAGTTGGAAACACTGCAGCGCTTGGATACACGCTATCAAAACGCTGTGGGCGTGTCAAAGGCAGGTCATCTGTGCAAAGCTTTGGGTATGCTCAATGATTTGCGCGCCGATTTGGAATCAGAGGAGGATGCAGCTCTCGCTGATTTGAAAAACGAAGAACTATCGGGTGAGATCACTAGGTGCTACGGAGAAGTGGAGGAAAGCGCGCGAACCGTCTGGCACGGCAAGGTCTCTGTGACGGAGACGGCGCTCACGATCGAATCCGGTGATGCGCTCGAGGATGCTGTCAAAGCCATGTCTATGCTCGGTGCGCTCAATAAACAAGCAAAGGCTCTCTCGAAGAAAATTGAGGCCTTCTTTGTGCTGCCAATCCTTCAACAAGCCAAGTGCCAACACGCAGAAGGAAGCATACGACTAGAATCCAGCAACAGCAACGGCAGCACAGGTCTCGATGCACTGCAGCAAGTGGTCGAATATCTTGCCCAAAAGCTTCCAGCGGAAATGCTCGTCCTGCTGCAGCAATACTTGATGCCCGCAATACTCCTTGAATTGCAGCAAACCTTTCTGCCTGCGCAACTACCTATTGAAGTCCAAGCGACGGAGCGCATCAAAATACACATTGTCTCTATTCGTGAATTCGAAAAGAAGATGGCACAGTTGGGACTCTTATCAGATACAGACTTGACGGACTGGATAGAACACATCAATCACCACTGGTTCGTTCGCAAGCGCGACGCAACTTTAGGTCAGGCACGAAAGGTCATTCTTGCCTGGGGTGGCGCAACTGAGCAGGTCGAGGTACGTGAAGACGTCACTGGTCGAGACATTGCTCAGGAACCGCAAAATTCTGTAAAGCAAAGCGAGCCCACAGAGGAGCTAGAGGAAGATGCTTGGGGTTCCCCCGAATGGGATGTGGAAGATTCCAAGCATACTACAAAAGCAAAGGATGATGAAGAAGAAGATGATGCATGGGGTCTGGATGAAGACATTCCGATCCCTACTACTCCTGGGATCCAGCAACAAACCTTTTCAAATCTCACTGGTGGTCAGAAGGTCACGCTCTCTGAAAAGTATATGGTGTCCTCGTTACCGAAAGACTTGCTTGCGCTCGTCGATACGCTACGGGAAGAAGCGACATGGTTGGACAACAGTCAAAGTCCAGTCCGATCAGCTTCGCAAAGACTGATTGATGTGGTACCCCTGATCATGCTACTCTACCGCGGTTTAGTGCCGTATCTGACTCAAAGAGGGCTGCCTCGCATGCTTCTTTACAATGACCTTTCTTACTTGGCGACCTTGTTGCCGAGACGCGACGCTAATCTGACGGCGACTGCTGAAAGCCTGAAACAATTCGGCGACTCATTCTACAAGCTTGAGATTGAAGAAAAGCAACAACAACTCCATCTCATACTGGATGGCGCTTCTGGCTTTGTCGACTGCACCACACCTTCGCAAGAAGTTGTTTGCACCGCTACTTTACAAGAATGTATTGATTTGCTTTGCCGATTGCAGGAGCGCTGGGAAGGCACGCTTTCGCATGCAACACTATTGACAGCCCTTGGAAACTTGGTGGAAACGGTCGTTGCGTGTTTCACCTATGAAGTGATGAGTATGACGGACATTGCTGAACAAGAATCCGCCCAGCTAGCCAAACTCGGCGACTTGCTTTCGACTGTTGAGCGGAAGCTCTTCTCTAATCCTGCACAAGATGACGAAGTCCAGGCTATGGCAGCGCCTTATGTGCCATCTTGGTTCAAATTCCGCTACTGCCTCGAGATTCTTGAAGCCAATTTGGCATACATTCTGGATTTATATCGCGATGGCTCGCTTGTTGACTTTGACAAGCGCGAGCTCGTGGAGCTCATCCAGGCGCTTTTCGCTGATAGCGACAAGCGGCGAATGGCTATTGGAGAGATTCAGGGTGCAAAGCGCTGGCAATGACAAGGTGTTTCTAGCAGGATGCCGATTGCTCAATGCCGACTCACCACATGACAAGCAATGCATCAGAGTATACCCATATTAATCATGTTAATCCTAAGAAAGCGTGCATTTATGAAAGTATGTAAGGGCTCATCGGTACTCTGCAGCAAAAGAGTCCTTGGCCTCAAAGTGTCTGTACAGATTTGTTGACATGGAAGTCATAAGCATAGAATTGAAAGAAAGTCGACTAGCCGAGCAAGCCTCCGACGACTCCGTCGACAGTGCCTGCGAGACCACCTAGCAGACCCGAGCCGCCAGGTACAGCAGGTGCGCTGGGCAGTGCGACGGAAGGTACAGGAATGCTTGGGACGGCAATACTTGGTGCAGCGAACGTCGGCGCAGCCAGTGTTGGCACAGTGACGCTAGGAGTTTCAGACAGCGCAAGTGTAGGTGGAGCGGGGGCAGTTTGTGTGAAAAGAGTGGTCGGCGAGGCAGGAGCAGCAGGAGCGGATGGAGCTTGTTGGCCACCGCCAAGAAGCCCACCAACAAGGCCGGCAGCAGCGTTCGTCAAATCCGTCACAGCTGCCAGAGGGCCAGGAGCGGTGCTAGTTCCACCCAATCCACCAATTGCTTCTCCGACATTAGCAATCAGGGACGGTAAGGGGTTGGCAGGGATGCCGCCACCAGCGCCAGTCGTGGTGCTTGGGGAGGTAGCACCGCCATTGCCTGCACCGCTGCCTGGAGCATTGCCACCGCCGAGAGAGTCGACGACGGTGCCAACACCATCGAGAATACCATCAACAACCGGGGTCAGTGGCTCGGTTGTGGGTGTGATTGGACCAAGGATGGTATTCACGACGCCGGAGAGGCCAGCAGTCGGTGTTCCACCACCAGTTGACGACGACTGACCAAGCGGTGTCAGAATGTCTCCCACAGGATCCTGAAGAAGACAGAGACCGTTGTTTGGGCTGAGGAGGACAGGCAGACAGAGTCCAACGCCGCATTGACTGGTGGCGGTACAAGGCTGGTTGAGGGAGAGCAGACCTGTCACAATACCGCCAGAATCAGCCGCAGGATTAGGTTCAGTCGAGGCACCAAGTACACATCGTCCGACTTCGAGTGGAAGGCCACCGGTCACAGGCAATGCAGTGAAGAGACACAAGCTCAGCCCGATGTTGGTACAGTCATCCGAAGTGAGACAGTCGGCAGCACTAGAACCTGCGGCAAATGGCGGGAGAATGGCAGACAGCGCACAGAATCCAGTGTCAACGCCAAGGCCACCTACGATTGGCACATTACTCGCATCGAGACAGATACCAAGAGGGAAACCGTTGTTGGTGCACTCATCTCCAGTGCTACAAGCTCTGGGGTTGACGGAAGATGTAGCAGAAGCAGAGGTTGTAGAGGAAGTAACAGAAATGCTGGTCGTCACAGAAGTGCTAGTCGGTGGTTCAGAAGTAGACGGAGACGTCGTGCTGCTTGACGACGGAGAAGAAGTCGTAGTGCTGAAAGATGACGTGCTAGTCGTAGGGTCACTCGGCGTAAGCGTGGTGCTGATTGACGACGAAGAAGAAGTTGTAGTGCTCGAGGATGACGACGATGACGACGACGTATCAGACGTAGACGTAGGCGTCGTGCTGCTCGACAACGTAGAAGAAATTGTAGGGCTGAAAGATGACGTGCTAGTCGTAGGTTCACTCGGCGTAAGCGTGGTGCTGATTGACGACGAAGAAGAAGTTGTAGTGCTCGAGGATGACGACGATGACGACGACGTATCAGACGTAGACGTAGGCGTCGTGCTGCTCGACAACGTAGAAGAAATTGTAGGGCTGAAAGATGACGTGCTAGTCGTAGGTTCACTCGGCGTAAGCGTGGTGCTGATTGACGACGAAGAAGAAGTTGTAGTGCTCGAGGATGACGACGATGACGACGACGTATCAGACGTAGACGTAGGCGTCGTGCTGCTTGACAATGTAGAAGAAGTTGTAGGGCTGAAAGATGACGTGCTAGTCGTAGGGTCACTCGGCGTAAGCGTGGTGCTGATTGACGACGAAGAAGAAGTTGTAGTGCTCGAGGATGACGACGATGACGACGACGTATCAGACGTAGACGGAGGCGTGGTGCTGCTTGACGATGAAGAGGAAGTAGTGCTTGTCGTGATGACTGTCACAGACGTAGTTGGTGGTCCCTCAGGCGGCGTTGTAGCCGACGTCGTGCTGGAGGTACCGGGCGTCGTCGTCCCTGGGGGACCATCTACTGTGCCTGAAGTGCTCACAACCGAAGAACTGCTTGAACCTGGCCCTGTAGTAGGAATTGGTGGACCCGGTACACTTGACGAACCAGATGTCACCGGCGGTAGTGAACTTGTGCCGCCAGGCGATGTTGTTACCCCTGGCACTGTTGTTACAGGAGCAGAAGTCGAGGATGGGAAATCACCGGGACCACCATTGGTAACAGTGATGGTTCTTGTAACAGTTGTTCCAGTACCAGGTACGATGACTGTAAATGTCTGTGGGCCGTTCGGGCTAAGGATTTGTGTAATGGTCTGAACAACAGTCGTGATTGTGCCATCATTGCCCATGCGAGTTGTCGTTACGAGCTGATTCGCGTCTGTAATAGTCTGGCCATTGATGATAGTTGAGACGAATGTGCTTGTAGCCAGCCCAGGAGTGGTGACCGGCACATTTGGGTCAGTCACTGTGGTACCACCTGCGACATTGGTGCCCGGCGGTACTGGAACAAAGTTGGTGAAAAAGACGGTCGAGCCAGACGGGAATGGAACGCCGGCGACAGTGCAGTCATCATCGCAGATTGTGAAAGCGTCCACTCCAGCATTTTGAACAGTTGAAGCGGGGTTATCGAAAGTAGTCCCGCCAAAGACCTGGCCAGCAATTCCGCTAGCGCTGCCAAGAGTCGAAACGCTGAATGATTGACCTTGAGATGTAATGGTCTGCACAGCGCAAGCGTTGCCTGTACATTGAGGAATAGTTGTCAAGACAGTGACGGTAGAAGGCACACAGGACGACGCAAACTGGCGAGGCTCCAATCGAGCAGCATTGCGCTTCAGATGAGGGATGGCATCGATCGAGCTCAGACAGCCTGCGAATAGCAGGAGACCGGCCAACATAGTTGCTGAATTGATTGCCGCAAGCCTCATGTGGTTCGTCGAGTCCTTATAGCTCCATGCACTCGCAACCTATACGCCCTCACATAGCATCCTGAGACAGCTGTGCCGCGGTTGCCACAGCGCCTTGGGCTTCACTGCAAGGTCGTCGACCGAGAAGAGCCGCGCATGGTCTTCGTTCGAAGCGGTGCAGGCCGCGTTGTCTGTTCTGCCGGATCTCGTGGACTTGACAGGCCGCTGTCAGTAGGGGCGCACTTGATTTTGGTACGCATAGCACCTGGTGTGCTTACGGCTCAAGTTGTGTGTTGTGCACATTGGGAGCGTCCGATGGACCGGTGGTACGGACACCGAGACACCATGCTGTGCTGAAGCCGCTGATCTGTTGTGGTTCGAGCAGGCAAGCGAATCTCGCGCTGCCAAATTGCCGGTTAGACAGCGGCAAGGCCCACTTGGCCGCCCACCAGATTGACTTCGACTGTACATTGAGCAGTGAGCCAGTGACCGATCGACCCTTGCTGGGCAATGCCTGTACATACAAGTCGTCTGAAGGTGGTCTCAAGCCTTCTATATCGCATCCAGTCCTGAAAGTCGCATTTTAACACAAAGATCATCTGCCGAATACATACCCATGTCTGAGAATGGGGTTCGGGCCGGGATCATAGAGCTCATGTTCTCGCAGTTTGGAAAGTGCTGACCTTGCCACGGTGGCACGCGATCGCGAGTGGAGGCAGGCAGCTTTACGCGCGAAGGCCTTAAGCCCTCCCAGTGGTCCCACTGATCAGGACTTGACTACCAAGCTTCACAAGAACGTGCGAGACTTGTGAACACTCGGGTGCAGGCATTGCGTCTTGCAAAGCTGCGACGCCAAGAACGCGAGGATACTAGATAGCATGCATAGCTGCGCTCGACAGCTGGCGACTTCGAACTCGTACGAGCTGCCTCAGATAGACCAGAGCGCTAAGGCAATATCTGAGACAATTTGCTCCTGATCTTGCCTCTTCGACCTGTCAATGCAATTGCCCTTTTTCCAAAGTTTCCTGCTACTACTACAGAGGACGTTGCGGACGTTGCGGCTCGCCGCCATGTGGCCATCGCCAAGGGCACGGGCCAGGGTGGCCTTCTTCGCGATTGACTCAATGCGCGCGTACGTACGCTGCCGCTGCACTGTTTCATGATGGCTTCCTGCGCTACTACAGCTGATCGCTTGCCAGCTTGCTTGCTTGCTCTATGAAGTGGCCGCACCGTTTCGAATCAATCGATCAGCAGACTACTCCCACATAAGGCTTGTCACATGGAAGCACTGCTTGCTACTTCATTGACTTCGGCAACTGCAAGAGCACATGGCAAAGACTTGCTAGCCGAACTTCCTAGATGTAGAAATGTTATTCACTGCTAGCTTCTTCGGTCATGATCATGTCAGAGAGTATGCGAAAATCAATGCAAGCTGTTCATGGGTGCACTTAATAGGCTCCCGATCGCGATGAAATAGATACCTTGTCTGAACAGTCCTACAACCGGTTCATAGTGGTCTGGCCTTTGTGACTAAATGCAAAGCGATCGGCTGTTAGTCTGCAGTTGTAGAGGACTCAAAGCAAGCGGAAAGCTAAGATGGTGTCCGTTGTAATTCTAGCGTGGCACGGGACGTCTTCAAGGATGTGAAACATTCTCTCGAATTCGATACCCACGCGTGAATTACATCGGCAGAGCAAGTACGCAGCTATCATATCTCTCTGAGCAAGCGAATGAAGAAACAAATTTAGCCTATCTCGATCACTTGACGAGCTGTGCTTGCCCCAGCAAGCTTTTCGCGAACTCTACTTCTTGCGCACCTGCAAGACCTTTGCTTGTCAATTGCGCGAGTTGCTTTGTGGCGAGCAGATCCAGTTTCTTGAGCTCTACAGCAGTCGTCTCCTTGAGATCTCCCATCAGAGCGGAGCAGCATACTTTGACGCCGCAGAAAGCACGTAGTGAGTTATCTCTAAGTTCAATTGCGCGCAAGTATTCGCGAAGAGCGTGCTCCATGTGGTTAGATCCTGGATGCTGAATGGCCAGCGTGTAGAATGAATCTGCGTACAGGAGATGCGTCATAGATTCATGTGGTGCCAGTAGGACCGCCTCGCCGTAGCAAAAGTTGGCACGCTCATGGGCATTGACTGAAGCATAGAGTTCTGCCAGTTCTGCCCAAGCATCCGCGTCTGTGTAGAAGACATCGACGTAGGTGCAAAGTGCTTGTATCGCATCGCCGACCTTTCCTGTTGACTTGAAGAGAGTAATTCTCCGTTTTATGACCGGCTATTGTTAGCAACTAGAGGTAACAAACAGGAAACGAACCACATTGGTAGGCTCTACAGCCAATACTTTATTATAGAAGGCCAAGGCAGCATCAGCGTCCTTTGTTGCTTCAAGGTGCATGCCCTTCAGAGCGTGAACTCGGGCAGACTCTGGAAACTTGTCGGACAGTCTTGTCAAGCACTCCAACGCCAGAGAGTCATCTGCAACAATGAGAGCTGCAACCATGCCTTGTTCATATAGGTCCCATTGCTCGATACCGGTAGAGCTTATTTTGCCTGAATTGATCAAGCTTTGCACAGTCGCAGCAACTTCAGCGGGGTCATCAGAGAGGCGAGCATGTTGCCGCCGGCGCCTTAGCTCTTCCAAGTCCAGCATTTGATGAGCAAGCTTGTGTCAATGAGAGCAGAGCAGTAATTCCAGTGCTAGTAAATGCTAGGCTAGCTAAACGTATGTACTGTGCACTGTGTACTCTGTACAGCTGCAGCAGTGTCAGTGTGTCAGTGTAGCAGTACGCACGTGAAACCGAAGCGGCGCCGACGCCAGAAAGTTGAGCAGGCGCGCTATACGCTCGTCACTTTGGCAGATAAAGACCGTGCCGGCAATTAGAGAGGTCTAGGGAGCAAGCTGAAAGACAATGGGCCATGTTTGAGAAGACGCGTATGCACCAGTCGCCAATTGAAGAGACTGACCCCTAGTTACGGACCTCATTCGAGGCTTGCGCGCCAACAAAAAGGATGAGAAGCGGTACATACAATTGGCGATTGCCGAATGCCGCCGGGAAGCAAAGAGTCAAGATGTAGATGTCAAGGCCGGTGCAATCCTCAAATTAACCTATCTTGCCATGTTTGGGCAAGATATGGCATGGGCGTCCTTTGCGACAGTCGAGGTCATGGCATCGCCCAAGTTTGTCAACAAGCGGATAGGCTACATGGCTGCTGCCCAGGGATTTCGGCAAGATACAGATGTCCTCATGCTTTCTACGAATCAGATGAAGAAGGACCTCGCGAGCAGTAATGCGTCGGACGGCTCTATTGCGCTCAGTGCGCTCGCAGATATTGCAACACCAGACCTCGCGCGAGATCTCAGCCACGATGTTATTGGCATGCTCGGGCATTCGAAAGCTTCAGTACGCAAGAAGGCAGTGCTCGTTATGTACAAAATCTTCTTGCAGTACCCGGAAGCGTTGCGCTCGTCGTATCCTAAGCTGAGGGAACGACTCGAAGACACGGACCAATCGGTGGTGTCGGCCACTATCAATGTCATTACAGAGCTTTCTCGTCGTAATCCAAAGAACTATTTGACTCTGGCGCCGATACTCTTTGAACTTCTCACCACGTCAACGAACAATTGGATGCTCATCAAAATCATCAAGCTGTTTGCGACACTGACGCCATTGGAACCACGTCTGACGAAGAAGCTCATCACACCACTCACGGATTTGATTCAGTCCACGCCGGCCATGTCTCTGCTGTATGAATGCATCAACACAGTCATTTCTGGTGACATACTCAAGGCTCCAAACTCTGATGGTCTCGCACGGCTATGCAATGCAAAGCTCAGTGACTTTTTTGAGCAAGGCGACCAGAACCTAAAGTATGTGGCTATCATTGCGCTCACCAAGCTGAGCGAGACACATCCCGAGCTTGTCTCATCTCATCAAGCAGAAATCCTGGCATGTGTCGATGATGCAGACTTGTCAATCCGTCTGCGTGCCCTTGAGCTTGTTTGTCTTATGCCGACAAAAAAGAGTCTACCAGACGTAGTCAAGCGGCTTGTCCTCCAGCTACTGCCAAACGGGCTCAACTTGCCCGACCAACATCGGCGTGGCTTGGTGCTTCGCTTGATCAAGATGTGTCGCATGGACAACTACAAGCACATTGATAATTTTGACTGGTATATCGCGGTTTTGGTAGATCTGGTCAAGATCAGCAAGGTTGATGTCGGCGAAGAGTTGCGACAGGAGATTCTCAATGTCTGTGTACGCGTCCGCAATGTGCGTGAGTTTGCAGTGCCTACACTAGCTCGTCTTTTGCATTCGAGAGACATTCTCGAGCATGCTGACGATCCTTCGCGGAATGCGGCTGCGCTACAGACTGCTGCGTGGGCTGTCGGAGAGTATAGCTCGCATCTCGAAGACCCACGTCAAACGCTCAACAACATGCTCGCAGCACCACTGGGAAAGCTCGCGTCTCCGATTCTATGCGCATACCTCCAAGCGATTCCTAAGCTTTTCACACGATGGGCCTCGGAAATGGAAGAGAATAGTGCTGGAGCAAGATCTGAACTCACTTTACAAATCGAGAAGCTTCAACGCACCATTGCCAAATTCGCCACATTCAGCGATATTGAAGTTCAACAGCGTGCTCTCGAGCTTGTGCAAATCTTCGAGGTCGCAGCGCAGGTCGTTGCAGAAGCTGATGCTGACGCAGACAATTTGCCCTTCTTCTCCGAGATTCTGCCAAATCTCTACCTTTCTGGTGGCGATTTGAACCCGATCGCTCCAAGCGCACAAGCTGCAATAGCAGTTCCAATCGAGCTTGATCTCGATTCATGGATTGTGCAACCGACGCCACCTCCTTCACCCGTCATTGATCCCAAAGAGATGTCAATCGAGGTGGATGATGAGGAGCTGGCTGAGCAACAACGGCATGCGCGGTTGGAGCGCAATAGGGATGATCCATTCTACATCCCGACAGCGCAGGATGGGCGCGAGGCAGAGGATCTTATGGACACGCAAAATGACATCAATCTCGAAGATATCCCCGTAACTGCCTTGGAGGAACCCATCCGCATCAAACGCAAGAAGCGCAGACCGCAAGAACCAGTCGAGATACTAGTTGACGAACAACCAGAGGGAGCTGTACAGGATGAAACGATACCTGCTAGCGCAACGACAAGTGCAAAGGCAAACAACATTCTCAAGGTTGATGGCAGCAAACTGTCTGCCTTTGATTTAGATGCAGCGGTGCCAGATGACGAAGATGAAGATATGCTAGAGGCCTTCCACGCCATGCAACGGAAACCAACTCAAAGGACCGACAGCAAGACGAAGTCCAAGCCAGATGAAGACCCGAAGAAGAAGAAAAAGAAGAAGAAGAAGGCTTCAACGCCCGTGCAAGAGGAGCATCGTCCTGAGGCAGTGCAGAACGATGTGGTCGAGGTCATCAAGAAAAAACGGCGAAAGAAGCCTGTTGAGATTGTATAATGAATTACACGAGAAGTAGCATAGTGCAGCATACTAGGTGAGGAAACCCCCTTTGTCTAGTGCGTCGCGTGCTGCAGTACTGATATGTTTGAAGCGCACATCGCCAAGGAGAACGCCTCCAAACCAGCGAGTGACGACAACGAGCACATTTGTCGCTTTGGTCACTTCCAGTAGAAATGCAAGACGAGGCCCTGCACCAGTTTCTCCATCATCATCGTGCTCTGCAATAATTCGTTCTGGACCATCAATCTTATCATGGCGATACCGACAAGCCCATATCTGTGGATGTGAAGCTTTTTGTAGATGCTTGTCGTTCTTTATATCTTCCAGGGCAGCCATGAGCTCTTCCTTGTTATGTATCTGTATTGCACGGCCAAGCATCGTGCTCTTGCGGTCATGCACAGGCTCGCCTATCGTCCACTTGAGAGCTTGAGCAGTAGGAGGTATCTCTACCATAGCTTGCTCCTCTTCTTCGTCATCTTTCTCGTCCGATAACATAGATATCAGAGAAAACAATATCTCCTCCCCAGAATAAGCATGCAAATGCTGTTCAATGCGTTCCCTTGCAATGCCAGTGACTGAGGACACTTTGGGCGGGATAGCAGGATACGCATCTGGAAAGTTGAGGTAGAGCTCGACAGCATGGACTTTCAGCTTGTATGTGGACTCTGTACCAGAAGATTGCTCGAGATAGCCAGGATAGATGGACTGTATAGCAAGTACTTCATCTTCCAAGGCTGATGGGTCGGGCATGGCCATGGCAAATGCATGCCAAGTGCGCCAAAAGCTTTGACAGAGGCAACAACTTTAGTCGTGCGTTGGAGGATCGGCCACTTGAAGCACGCTTAAGCCATTTCAAAAGTATTGTTTGCGGATATCAAAGGATTCTGAGATGGGCAGTGCGACGAAAAGCTTTGATGCTGGCAATAATTCGAGGTGTGGACATAAAAATTTGGACACGCCAAGCTTAGATTGCCGACATCAAAGGATTATGGCTGGCCTGAAAGCTTTGATCTTGGCAACAATTTGAGAACACAAGGACCAATCGAAATTACTTTCAGGGACTTCTAGGAACTTGATCGAATTGAATTGCCATGATCAAAGGATTCACAGAAGGAGCTCCTCCCAAATTATTTTTCTGCGTCGCTCAGGAATCCCGAGTTGCGATGAAGCGCTTCTTCTCCTCAACAGTCAAGCAAGCTATGTCTCTCACTCATCACCTCGTCAAGGATGGATGGTTCCACGAAATCTCCGACACCATGTGGCCCGGCCAGCATTTTTCGCTCAAGGTGAATAAGATTCTCTATGCACAAAAGTCGCTCTACCAAGATGTGCTTGTCTTCGAATCGGCCACCTACGGCAACGTGCTTGTGCTCGATGGTGCTATTCAGGTCACGGAGCGTGACGAGTTCTCTTACCAGGAAATGATCACAAACTTGGCCATGATGTCGCACCCGAACCCAAAGAAGGTGCTCGTCATTGGTGGTGGTGACGGTGGTGTTTTGCGTGAGGTTGTCAAGCACGAGTGTGTCGAGTCAGCCATCCTCTGTGACATTGATGCCGATGTGCCCAAGGTTGCAAAGGAGTTCTTGCCCAATATGGCCACTGGTCTCACCCATGAGAAGGCCACTGTCCACATTGGCGACGGCTTCAAGTTCTTGGCTGAGTACCAGAACACGTTCGATGTTATTATCACTGATTCTTCTGATCCTGAGGGTCCTGCAGAATCGCTCTTCCAGAAGCCTTACTTCCAGCTTCTGCACGACGCACTGCGTGAGGGTGGTGTCATCACGACGCAGGCCGAGTGCCAATGGCTTCACCTCAAGGTGATCAAGGACCTCAAGCAGACTTGCGAGGGTATTTTCCCCAACGTCCGTTATGCCTACACCACTATTCCTACCTACCCATCTGGCCAGATTGGCTTCATGGTCTGCTCCAAGGACAAGGACGCCAAGCTCAATGTGCCTTTGCGTTCGTGGTCGCCTGAGGAGGAGGACAAGCACTGCCGATACTACAACAAGGAGATTCACTCTGCTGCCTTTGTGTTGCCCCAGTTCATGAAGAAGCACCTGGAGTAGATGCAGCTCAATTAGACTTCATTAAAATGCTATCTATACATGCGTTTCGGCTGTTTAATCTACTTGATACCATTCTTTATTGCTTTAGTGTCAGCATTGTCCACCACCTTCTCGCTATCCACCAACAAGGTAAACATCCGATCACGCGAAGCCACAGGCGAGTATGTGTCGTCGGTGCCAAACTTGGCAAACGGCAATGTCCGCTTGTCGGCCTTGACACCGAGGCGATCTAGCAGTGCGCATGCAGCATCTGGTACGATTGCTTGTAGAAGTAAAGCAGCCACCCGTGCACCTTCTTGACCAGCATACAACGCTGCTCGACGTTCCTCAAGCGGTATGTCTTTGAACCACGGCGCCGAATGCTGAAAAAATGTATTGCACTTGTAAACCAAGTCTACAATGTCTTGAAGTGCCTTGTGTATCAGAAACTGCTTGCCCATATTGTCCGCGTATGAGGCTGCGTACGTATCGACAGCTTGAGCAAATTCGGCCACTTTCGGCGAACACGTCGCTGGCACGGGACGTGGCATAGCAGCTAGCTCAGCAAATGCAGTGGATGTGATGCGCTGAACAAGGTTTCCCACGCCACCAACGAGCTCGGTGTTGTATCTGAGTATGACGTTGGAGCTTGAGTAAGATCCATCATTCTCCAGTCGCCCATCACGCATGAGATAGTACCGAACAGCATCTACGCCGTAATGGCTGATTGCTTCCCAGGGGTCAACAACATTGCCAATGCTTTTGCTCATCTTCATATTGTCGACCGTCCAATGTGCATGTGAAAGAACCTGTCGTTGGACAGGTAGCTCTGCAGCTAGAAGGAAAGCAGGCCAGTAAATGCAATGAAAACGCATGATGTCCTTGCCAATGACTTGCAAATCGGCAGGCCATAGCCGCTGACTTTCCATGGATGCCAAATCTGGATAGCCAGCAGCAGTGATGTAGTTGACTAGTGCATCTAGCCAGACGTAGATGGTTTGTGAGGAATCACCTGGCACGGGGAGTCCCCAGGTCAAGCGTTCCGACGGTCTCGATATCGACAAATCACTCAGTCCCGCTTCTACGCTGCGAATAATGTCGTCGTAGCGTATTTGCGGCAAGATGAAGTCTGGTTTGCTCTTGTAAAGGTCGAGCAAGGCTTGCTTCATGCTGCTAAGGCGGAAGTGATAGTTCTCCTCTTTGGTCCACTTCACGAGAGAACCAGTCTCTTGCGAGGTGACGACTTCTTCGCCAGTCTCAGGATGGACGTTGCGTTTTATGCTTGACTCGGGATAAAAGGTCTCATCGCTGATGGAGTACCAACCAGAATGAGATCCTTTGTAGATATATCCACGCTCCTCTAGCTTCCTCCAGAACGCTTCTACTGCCAGCTTATGATCCGCATCTGTGGTCCGAATGAAACGATCATAGTGAACATTGGCACGGCCAGGCAGATCCTTGAAAACTTCGGCAGCCGAGTCGCAGAACTCCTTGGGTGACTTGTTGGCCACCTGTGCAGCTTGCGCAACCTTCATACCATGTTCATCTGTACCTGTCAGCAGAGTAGCTTGCTGGCCTGCAAAGAGCTGGTGACGCCTCAAAACATCAGAAAGCACTTCTGTATAAAGATGGCCGATGTGAGGTTTAGCATTGACGTAGAAGATGGGCGTTGTTATATAGAACGGCTTTGTCTCTGAAGAGCTATAGCGTATGTGCCGTCTACTAAGCAGAGATTTGAAAAGCAGAGAGCACGCACATCTCGGCTTCAGCATCGCATCGAGCAGAAGTCTACAGGAGCTGCAGCTATCTAGCAACTGTAGCTGACTGTCGGCGTCGGGCTTGTCCTTCGGGTCGCCTTCCAAACCTTTTTTTGAAGCTCTGCATACTTGGACTCGACTCACCTGCATCTACAAAGCTGAGACGCTTCTGGAGAGCCATGGGCTCCCTCGATATCCCGGCACCTTCATCGCCTTCTGCTTCCACCCCTACGAAAGCTCTTCTGCGCGGCCGCGCATGGTACGAGTCACTTGGCAGCCCGAAACACATCGTCGCGCCTATGGTCGATGGTTCTGAATATGCATGGCGAGTCTTATCACGGCGCTATGGCGCTACACTCTGCTACTCTCCCATGATGCACGCAAAGAACTTTTCCATGTCAGCGAAAGCGCGTAAGGGGTTTTGGAGTTCTATGCAGACCGCCAAGGAAGAGAAGCTCATTGTTCAGTTCTGCGCAAATGAACCTGAGGTCTTGCTACAGGCCGCAAAGGAAGTCGAGCCGTATGCAGACGGTGTTGATATCAACTTTGGCTGCCCGCAGGGAATCGCAAAACGGGGTAGGTATGGTGCTTTCCTTCAAGATGAATGGGATGTGGTATACAATTTGATCAATATCTTGCACAAGAATCTATCGATTCCTGTCACTGCCAAGATACGCATCTTTGACGATCGGGAAAGAACGCTCGCTTATGCGAGAATGGTTTTGAGTGCAGGTGCCAATATCCTCAGCGTGCACTGCCGTACGCGTGAACAAAAGGGGCACCACGCAGGATTGGGTGACTGGTCAGTGCTCAAATACCTGAGGGAAAATTTGCCTGCTGAGACTGTTCTGTTTGCAAATGGAAACGTCCTCTATTACGAGGATATCGACGCATGCTTGAAGTATACTGGATTCGATGGCATGATGGTGGCAGAGACGAATTTGCACAACCCAGGCATCTTTAAACCAAATTGCTACCCTCGTGTGGATGAAATGATGAAGGAGTATTTGGATCTGCTGGTTGAACTGGATGACGACACAAGCTGGCTGCCTGTCAAGGCCCATCTCTTCCGGCTGGCAAAACCGGCATTGATGCACCACATTGATTTACGCGATCGCCTCGGTCGAGTCTATGGCAAGAAGAACATGGAAGAACTCTGGGCCATTCACAAGGAGCTCAAAGAGCGTATCGATGCTGAGATTGCGTCAGACACCGGCGAGTATCCTCTTGTTGATGGCTACCGGAACATTCCCTGGTATCGTTGCCAACCATACTATCGTAAGCCAAAGGCTGCAGAGGAGGCTCCTGGCCAAGCGCAAGGAGAGGAGAAAGAGTCTCCCCCCAAAGCGGGCATTCAGGAAGTCAAGGCTAGCGAGCAAAGCTTGAAACGGTCGATTGAAGCTGTTGAAAGTCCCGTCCCGGAGCCATGCGAGGCGAAGCGATCTGCTGAAGCAAGTACGGCACAAGCCATCTTCTCAGGGTGAGTCTTGACAATGGACCTGGTTCTTCTTGCTAATAAGCATAGAACCAAGACTTTCAAGTCCATCCACAGCTTCATCAAGTTGTCCATGCAGTATGCGGCTGACCCGCCAACGGACCCAGTAGACTTGTTGACCTGGCGATCATACATCAACAGGGCTGTCACGCGCGACTATGGCGTTCATGGGGCAGCTATGCATGTGGATATCATTCAACAAGCGGACTCGTGGATTGTGATTCGGGTGCTGCGAAGCGACAAGTCCAAGATGTGGGATGCTCTATCTGGCTTCACAGATGAGCAAGCTGGTGTTGGACTGCGCGTGGAGAAGGTTAGTGACTTTTTAGCTGGTCTAAATAGACCTTTGCTCAAGTAAAGCATGCTAGCGAAATCCGTTGTGTGCGGAGTGCAAGGACTCCAAGGACGCACATGTGAAGAGTAGGATAGAAGCGAATGACTACAGAGATGCTCAGATGAATAGGACAAGCACAAGACGATGCGATGTTCGAGCGCAGGCAGAGCTGTACCACAACAGAAAACCACAAGGGTGTTCCCAGGCAATCTCTATGCCCACGTCCTCTTCTGCTCTCGACTTCAATATGACGCTCAAACTTGGCTATAGCGCATGTAAGCTTAGTGAGCAACACGAAAGAAGTCTGCCGCACCTCATCACGAAGATGAGTGTATGGGAGAAGAAGGCCTGGTTGCCTGGTCTGAAAAAGTGCTCGTCGTCGTCCACGCAATGTCGCACGCCGAAGCAGCTGCCAAATTTCGGGCCGAGTGCTCATGGCTCAGGCCTCATGGACACAAACAACTCGGCGTGGTCAACAGAGTGCTTGTCTGAGCTGCACGTTGACGGACTCTGACCGAGAGGTGACATGGCGTCACGTAGCTGCTTAGGCTGAAGGATCTTCTTTGTATCCCAAGAGCTGTCGCGTCAAGGGACTTGTCTGATCCGAATGTGCAACGCTGCTCCTGCATCAAACAAGCCATCTGCATAGACACTGAGCCAATTCAGGATCAGGAGCGTGTTTGTATTGAATACGGATCAACAATGGTCACGTAGCTCCAGCAACTTGTGTCGCTTAGGGAGCCATGTCACGTCGCCGGAGGAAACTCCAGCATGTCCTGCTGAGCAGCTGAGAAGGCGGCAAAAACGCTCATCTTCGCACAGAGTGATGAGCCATTATTGTCGCTTTGATGGACCTAGACGTATAGGCTGTACTTGGAGATGCCAGAGCAACTGTTTGGCAAACATGGTCGTTCATCTTCCGACTCAGCCCGTCTGACTTCTCTCAATGTTGTATCGCCAACACACAAATGTCACACCGCCGTACGTCTGGATTGGAGCATTTCGAAGGCGTGATCGCATGCTTAGTAGCAACGGGCTCCTTCCAGGGCATATCAGATTGGAAGTGCGACACAGCTCCATCCATGGCAATGCGCGCTCTAGATGAAACACCAGGACTTGTACGGACAATAAACGTCAAACTTTGATCCGTCAGTCCTTCTGTATCGTATAGAGCGATGCAGCTGCTTTGATTGGAAATCCGCAAACCTGAACAGATTGGAGCTGAGCTTCTTGATTGGGAGACACGACACAAATGCTTGCTGTTTGCTTTGCCAAGGGATACCACCCCATGTGGCCCATCCCTAGGCCATTGGGTTCTGGGCCCTTTGTCGACAAGCAAACAGTAGCGTCTCCTCTGCCTGTGTTTACAATAAGGAGACGGGCCTGATTCCGCTGCAGCACGAGAGAGGGGATCCTGATCTATCCGCGGGCAGTGCTCCTTAAATCCCCTCTGTCTGCTCCGTCTCCTTCTTCTCTCGTCCCCATTACCTTTGTGCCCATACTTGCCAGCTAGACAAGCAGCAACAGCACAACAGGGACGCGACTGAGGGGCTCTTACTTGAGAGTGCTCGCATTGAGACGTCAAACCAACAAGCAACCGCACGGCACACAATCCATACACACCCTGTTCTCCTGGGCTGTGTGTACTGTCGCTGTCAATTGATCTCCAGGGAGACGGCCCTCCTTCTCTCCTTCGTCATTGCGGCCAGGCCCAAAAGCGCGTCGTACTTCAGGGCGACATGACCATCCTCACGACGTTGCCCGCGGACTCAGTGCACCCTCCACCACCACCACCAGCAGTATTGGGCGATACACCTGTGCTCGAGCCATTGGACAGCAGCGCCGAGGCCAGCAAGCAGACGGCCGCATCGGACACCCAGACGGCAGCTACAAAGACGACCAAAGCCGCTCAGGATGCGCAGTTGTCAGTGTTGCCCACGACTGCAAAGGCCCAAGAAGCTCAAGAGACTGCGGCAGTCATCAGATCAGCAGCTACGAATCACTCGGAGACAGCGGAAGCAGGCCTCGAGCAGCCTTCGCAACAGGCACAGCATGCCTCTACAGCTTTTGCAGCGCCACCAGTTGAGCAAGTTCTTCAGACCAGCTCGAGGCAGCCTACTCAAGATGCAGCCTCAGCAAGTGCGACGCATCAGACCATCCCTGCAGCCCGCGAGCGCCAGCAACAAGACTTTCACTCTCCTGTCCTCCAGCATCACTCTGCCCAGGATCAGGAGGCCTACCGTCGCCAGCAGCAGCAACAGCAGCAGCAGCAGCAGCAAGATCAATGGCAGTACTACTGCTACCAAGTTCAGCAGCAGCAACAGATGCTGCATCAAGATCAACTCCATGATTACCGTCGCTACCAGCAATATGTTGGGACAAATGCCGCTGCACCAGGTGTCGGTTTCTACAACAAGCGCGCCTGGCAAGCCTCTCCATTGGATCAACGAGGCAATCAGCAAGGCTTGAGTCTATGGGCCTACGACAATGTGTCGACCACTTATGATGGCTACCCGCTCGCTTCACGCGAAGCTGCTGGTGCTGGACATGAGTCTGGACAGCCGCCTCACATGCTTCCGCAGCCGTACAGTCATGGTGGCATGATGCAGACGCCTATGGGTCATTTCCAGCCCTTGTACTTGCCGAGCCAGCCTGATCCACGCGATTATGTTGGTTTGAACCATCACTACGGCAGGGCAGCGCCACCAGACAGCAGCAGCAGCAGTAAGGTCTTGACGCATGCGAGTCAGAGTATGCGTTCTCCCTCTTCAGGAGCTTTTCCTCGTCACGACTTCACGAATCTCCCAACCCCTGGCCTACCCCGTCAACGAAGCAAGCTTTCCAATAGCACGACTTTTGCCAACCTTGGACTTGTGCCGACTCCAACACCGATGTACACTATGGCTGCACCAACTTTGACGGGTTCTTCATCGAGCACGCCAGCACCCCGGACGAAAGTGTCCTTTGAGCATTTCGACGTGTCGTCTCGTGAGCGCATGGATGCTGCGTCGCCGGCTTCTGCACCTGGCTGGCTCGGTCATCAGCAGTCCTCGTCGATGGGCAATGACGCTGTTCACCCTCATCACCATCCTCATCACCACCACCATCCTGGTGAAGAAGGGAATTCGACCCATGTGGATCCAACCACTTTGTGCTTCACCCCGCCCGTCAAAGCTCCTGCAGCATCAAAGAGCCCCTCGCCTCCTGACGACCCTTCTCCCAAGGAGGGAGCCGAGTCGCCCGTTTCAACTCATTCGCAGATGCGCTATGCTCAACACTCTGCAGCTCAGATGCGCGGCTCCTTTGAGCAGCGACAACACGAGGGCAATGCGAGTGCTCGAGAGGTACGTGGCGAAGACGACTTGTCGAGTGGCAACAGTGTTCCTGATGACAATGATAATGACAGCGACTATGACCCTCGCGCAGGATCTGCTTCAGCACGCAAGAGGAAGTCGATACGACAAAGCACCAGGCACAATTTGAATGGTCACGATACGCCTCGTCGTGGCAGAATGCCAGTGAATGAGAAGGAGCATATGCTCCTCAACCCTGCAGATCAGTATGAGCGCTTTGTTCACGATGGTATGCATGTTTTACCATCGCAAAGTCATGGCGCATACCTGGGACCACCTGCTGGTATGCTTATGGGCCATGGACCGTATCGTTTTCAGCCGCATCATTATCAGCAGCCGCCTGCTATGCAGCCTTCTCAACCGCCATCTATGGGCGCCTCGCAGCCTTCACAAGGCCATCAGCAGCAGTCGCAGCAGCAATCACTGCAGCAGCAGCCGTCACAGCAGGATCCTGATTACTCGGATGACGATGAGCATTCGCACGGATCAAGGCAGCGACCAAAGAAACGCAAGCGTAAGGCCCCCTCGGCCCCAGCTCAGCCCATAGTCAAGGCCTTCCAATGTGATGTGAAAGGTTGCGAGAAGCGGTTCAGGCGGAGTGAGCATCTCAAGCGACACATTCGATCTTTGCACACGGGCGAGAAGCCCTACCCTTGTTCGACGTGTGGCAAGACTTTCTCAAGGACTGACAACTTGACGCAGCACATGCGTGTTCATTCTCCCGATTCGCGTCACTTGGAGCAGAAACGGCGCAGGAAGATGCGTCCGGAGCTGTAGAGCACGACCTTGCGAGGTGTCTTTACAAGCTCTTGCGGTTATGAACCCCCTCCTTGTCATTTTTCCAGCAACATCGTCACAGTCTTGCATTCAATTTGCATGAAATGGACTGACAACCTATGCGTAATATTCTATAGAAACACATCTTTTGCCAGTCGTGTCAATTTAACGCACCTTTCTCGCCTTTGCATGCTTGACCTTGGTCCTTGCCTTGCGTGCCTTGAGCATCGACCGCGCCGTTGCCAATTTGGCCTGAATCGTTTCACGACGTTCATGTCGTGTGCGCTCCATCTTGGTGCCCTTCCACTTGACGAGCCCGCGCATAGGCGTCTTGACTTTATTCCCCTCCACATCAAGCGTTTTACTCTTCGCAAGCGCTTTGGCAATGCGCGCTTGCTTCATTGTCTCTGGTAGTAAATGAGCGATCTGATATTGCTGCGCAAGCTTGAGAAGATCTTGCTGCCTCCGAATGGAATAGCGTGGCTCATTGAAACGAAGCGTATAGGTGTTTTTGGAGGGCTGAAAAGGGTTTGCACGCGGTCTAGCGGCCGGCGATGCAGACTCGGTTGAGGCAGTTTGGGTAATCTTGTCCGCACTGGGTTTTGAAGACCAGCTTGTGCTGGATGCAGGTGGATGCGCTTTGAAGAAATTGAGCAGCGGTCTCGGCAGCCTGGCTACTGCTTGCCTTGCCTGTAGACTAGACATGGCAGCTGGTTTTATTCCCGTCAGTCTTGTGTCTTGTGGTCGTCGTCGTCCTTTTGCTTTCTCACGGGGCAGGAAGCGTCATGGATGGCAGCGACCCGACAAGTTGACAACCACACGTACAAGAGGTCATCTAAGAGACAGCCTGCTGCAAGACGAGCGAGCCTAGATAGGGAAAAATCAAGAGAGTCATCTTGTTCAGTCAGGCGATCGCAAAGCAGGGCAGCAAGTCCATCGCATGAGCTCCGCAGCACCTAGACGACCGTCTCGGCAGGAACAACAGCTGCGGCAGCTCCTCGACACTGTCCCTGGCAATGACCGCTGTGCCGATTGTGAAGCACCAGCACCGCGATGGGCGTCTCATAATCTTGGGATCTTCCTATGTACGCGATGTGCAGGGTTGCATCGAAAGATGGGAACACACATCTCACAAGTAAAGAGCATCTCATTGGATCAATGGACGCAGGATCAAGTCGACGTCATGCAACTGACTGGCAATACCATCTCAAACTACAAGTATAATCCCCTGCGGAATTGGCCGTTGCAAGATGATGATGTGACTATGGAACGCTTCATTCGGGATAAGTATGAGCGAAAGGCCTTTTCCTCACAAAGGGAGACGGCCAATTTCACTCCCATCAAGTCGGCCCTGAAGGGCGGCAGCAAATCATCAGCACCGCCGGCATCTCCAGAGGATACTAAGCGTTATCAGCAAGAGCTCCAGACTCTACAGGAGATGGGCTTTGGCGACCGCAATCGCAATGTCGGTGTTCTCAAGTCAGTCATGGGTGACATTGGTTCGGCGACGGATGTCCTTGTTGCTATGGAATCGTCAGATGGTAAAGAACCGCCTCCAAAGCCTCAACGGCCGCGTGTTCGATTCACGGAAGACACCATTGGCGGATTAGATACGCCGCAAATGCAAAAGGGCAATCCGTTTGCGGCATGGACGGGCAGTCAAGCTGAGATGAATCCATTTTCATCGATTCCGCCGTCATTGTATAAGCAGCAGCAACCACAGGTGATGGCAGGAGCAGGTGAGGACAATCCATTCCCACCAGCTGCACCTCTCCGTCAACAATTGACGGGTGGACAGCCATTAAGACCGCAAGGACAGGACTTTGGGGTTTCAGAACAGCAGCAGCAGCAGCAGCAGCAGCAGCAACAACAACAACAACCGGCAATGCAGCCTCTCCGTGCACAATTGACTGGTCTACCAACACCGCAACAGCTGAGTGACGCACAGTCTCATGCTTATGTATATACAGGTCGGGACTATTACCAGCCTCAACCACCTCAACCACAGCAGCTACCGGTCCACGGCTTTGCAAACAACTTCTTGCCCGAACGGCCAGCATCTGCACAGCCTGCGCTTGGAGTACAGCAACAACATGCTGGTAGTGCGAATACATTCAGCCAAGCACATCAAGCTCCCCCGCCACCACCACCTCGGCATCCATTTGGTGTGCAAGGTAATCAGCAGCAGCAGCAGCAAGCGTCGGGCTTGAACAGTATGTTTGCACCCCTTGTACCACAACGGACAGCACAGATGCAGCCTGCCCAACAGCAGCAACAGCAATCATCACAAAATCAAGTCTTTGGCAATGCAGGCCAATCTGCATTCGGACAACAACCTGGACAAGGCTTTGCTGCGAATCGTCCACAAGTGTCGCCACAGGCAACAGGGCCTTTCGGACAATCGTTTACACGACCGTTGCAGGCGCAATTGACTGGCATTCAGAATAGTCTGATGCAGCCACAGCAGCAGCAAGAAAGCAATGCGTTCAGCAGGTTTGGACAGCCCTTTCAGGGTCAGGGTATGCCAAGTCAAGGACAAGCGCAAAACCCGGCAGGCTATCAAATTTCACCGCAACCTTCAGGATTCTTGGGCAGTGTCGCACAATCGCAGGTACAAAACACAGGCTATCAAATATCACCTCAGCCATCCGGTCTTCCTGGTGTTGCTGGACAACAGCAGAATAATGGGTATCACATCTCGCCACAAGTGTCGGGGATACAGCGTCCTCAACAACAGCAGCAACATGGTGGCTATCAGATCTCGCCACAACAATCAGGTCTGCAGCAGGGCCAGCAGGCGTCAGCTGGTCTCTTTCAAAATGGTACACAACAACATCAACAGCCACAAGCTATGAATGGGCAAGGGTTGGGAGGACTGCAGCAACGACCGCCGTTTGCTGTTCAAAATGGAAATGCCTCATCGCCCTTCAATCCTGGTCAGGCACCACCTCAGCATGCCTCTAGCCCATTCGGGCAACAATCACAACAACAGCAGCAAAGTGGATTCAACCCAATGCAGCCATTCAAAACATTCGACAAGGCGAGTATTATGAGTTTGTACAATACAGGTGGCGCTACACAACAAGGTCAGCAACAGGCGCTACGACCAATGATGACAGGTCCTGGCGGCCCACAACAGTCGCAACAACAAGGACTTGGGATGCAAGGGTATGTACCAACAATGCATCAACAGCAACCTAGCCAAGCGTTTGGATATCCACAACAGTCGCAACAACAGCAGCCCCCATCGCAACAGTATAACAGCACGCATGGTGGCGGTGATTGGTATAGCTGAGCTGACCCAAACCATTTTCCTTCATTGTGAGCATTTTTTGAGAGTATAGCGTCAGGCGTAGATTTTTGCACTTCTTGGAGCTTTCTTGTGATATTGCTCTTTGTGTGTAATCTCAGTCACTGAAGGAGAGCTGAGCAGATGCTGATATATGGTGCATCAAAGCAATATTGTGCTCGGTCATGTCGGATCGACTCAAACGAGCGGTTGGACAACTGCATGAACCAAAGCCACAGACGAGCATCGCTCGAGTATTTGAGGATCCATCCTTTAGCTATCGAACGATAGCTGACATTGCTCAAAGAATGCCAAGCTTCCGGTCCTTCCGACGTTCCTCCATCCACCTTGCTTTACACTCTCGATACGCTCTAAAGAAGTCTGAGCAGGCTTCCCTATCATACGCATTCTTATCAAGGCACTTGAGTGAAGCGCGTGATGACTCTTCGCAAGGGTCAAAGTACTTGCTTGTGCTCTTCTATGATTGTGTCAGCATCATTTTTAAAGTTCTTTCGTGTATGTTAGGCAGACATACGGACTTGAAGGTCTTTTTGATGTCTGCGCTGGTTGGATCGGGTCCTGCAAACTCCTTGACTGGATAGGACATGAAGTTTGTACTTCTCGAGGCGTTGAATGTCCGTATGGATGTCGTTTCTGATGAGATGGATGTCGCCAGTCCTGTTCTGCCAAACGTACAAGGTCGAACTGATCACAATATAAGATCATGCCTCATGGCATCTAGATAAGACTATGGAATGCTTCGCTCCTGATGCATCACACTGGCATGTAATACGAAAGCAATTTGTTTTCGCTAAAGTGCCGCACTTGGTCAGAGCTAGATATGAAGCGATATCTCAGAGAGATAGACGAGTTATGCAAGGCTGCCCTGGCGACCGGACATGACCCGAAGACGAACGAGCTGAGTCAGAAGGGTATGGCAAATTGACAATCAATGTCAAGGACAGCAGTGGTTCACCGCGTGCTATCACACTTGCCCAGGTCTTCTGTGCTCCATGTGCTCGAAAGCTGATTGTGCAAAGGCCAAATAGAAGGCCGCACCACATCCTTCTGTGCACAAGGGCAATGACAAAGCAGCTTTGCCGTTGGGCCTCATCCACATGGCACAAACTCTACCAAGCACGCAGAGCACATTGCGTACGAAAGGATGGTGGCTAAGGCTGAGTGGCTTCACGAAGTTCTGAAGCAGTGCACACCGTCAATCCCGCATACAGTCTCTACACTCACTGACAAGCACGCGACGCTCACTGAGCTGACGGACCCAATGCAATCACAGAGCCTTGCATGAAGTATGTGCGTGATCGTGTCGAGAGCGGACATTTCCAAAATGAACAAATCAAATCTAGCGTCAAGGCAATGTCGAATTGATTACAACATCAGAGCATGCCGCATAGCATCTAGCTAAGAGAACCTTCTTCACAGTAAGACCGACAGCTTCGTGTCGTTGCAAGCGCGACTGTGTGATTGAATTATCTTTTGACTACGAGGAGGAGAAAAAGAAGGCAAATTGGAGCCCATGCAATGCCTCGTGACCTATAGAAGATAGATCAGAAGGGCACTGCTGGACATCAAACACAACATAGAGAGAGGGTATGGGTGATGATGAGCCTTGTGTGTAGAGAAGACTGAAGAAAAAACGGCGGACCTCTAGATTCTACTCTGCCTTGACAGCCACTTCTTCCGCCTCTTCAGCAGCAGGTGCCTTGTCAGCGGCAGCAGGAGCAGCAGCAGCTGCTGCACCACCTTCGGTAGCCTTATCCTCGATACTGTCAGATGTCCACAAAGTCAAATTGTCACGCAGCAACTGCAAGATCAACGTCGAATCCCTGTACGATTCCTCCCTAATCTTGTTAGCATCTATCCTTTGTTTCTTGTCGCAGGGGAAAACTTACGAGAGCGAGTCGAGCTCAGCAATGGCATCGTCAAAGGCCTGCTTAGCCAAGTGGCAAGCACGATCGGGCGAGTTGAGGATCTCGTAGTAAAACACGCTAAAGTTGAGCGCGAGTCCCAAACGAATTGGGTGGGTTGATGCGAGATCCGTTTGAGCAACATCCGTTGCGCCCTTGTAGGCTTCGTGCGCAGCTGTAGCGGCATCCTTTCGCTTATCGCCCGTTGCAAACTCAGCGAGGTAGCGGTGGTAGTCGCCCTTCATCTTGTAGTAAAACACCTTGGACTCGCCTGGGACGGCCTTCTTAATGAGATGCTCATCCAGGACTTCCAAGATGTCTTCACAGATCTTTGCAAGCTCCTGCTCAATCTTGACGCGGTAAGACTTGATGGTTGCGACATTGCCAGACTCGGCGTTCTTGGACTCCTCTTTTTGCTCAATAGATGAGATGATGCGCCAGCTTGCACGTCGCGCGCCAATGACATTCTTGTACGCAACAGAGAGGAGGTTGCGCTCTTCGACGCTGAGCTCCTGGTCAGACTTGGCCACCTCCTTCATGTTCTCCACCATTTCATCATATCGCTCTGCCTGTTCTGCGAGCTTTGCGAGGTAAACGCTGTCGTCTCGTGCCATTTTTTTAGTATGGATGGGGTGTGTTCGTGTAGGGGAAGAAGAAGAGAAGGGAAGACGTGGATGGGATGGATCGTTGACTGGGGGGTGTTGTTTGTGGTGTTGGTGAGTGTGTGTATGCTTGCAGGTTTGTGGGTGCAGCACGGGGAGCAAATCGACACTTTTACGCAGAAGGCTGCTGGCCTCTGCTCTTTTCTTTCTCTATCTGCTTTCATCCTACCTACAGTACCAGCTCTCGTTCTCTCCCTCCTCTGCTCTTCACTAGACCCTCTTGATCTTGACCCTTCCGTCCTGCCCCTGCTCCCGGGCCAAACCCTTAAAAAGTCTCTGGCGCGAAATTGCATGCACGTGTTGTTTTCAGGAACGAGCTCATGAGACAGTCTTTGTTGTTTGTTGTCTGTGTATGTAGATGAGCCCTTTGCTAGACACAGATGCTTCGGAACACAATCTATATCGCAATACAAACGCTAGTGCTACTGAAAATAATGGTCTGAGAGACTGAGACGCCTTGTCCTGCTTCATGCGACTTGAACAAACATAGACCCCTTTTGGACGACTTGTCAATTCGCGACAAGACAACTCTCACGCTCCACTCTTGGCCCTTCGCGTGCAAGATCAAAGATGCAAGTCTACTTGAAGTGCAGTCTTCACTCCCTATATCCCTCGATCTCAACCACGTGTCAGCCCTGTGTCCCTTTCTTCAGGTTCAAAGTACAATACGTCGAGACATCCATTCCATGTCATTGCTTGGACATGGCATGTCGTCCAATAGCACGCCCTGCTAGTGAATCTCAGGAACTGGCGCACACATCAAACTGGCGTGACGTGAAGATTAGTCTGCGCAACAAAGTTGAACAAGTCTGGAGTGTTCAAACTTGTGGACCCTCAAGTCGTCAGACCGCATGATGTCACGAACGCGCTGTTGACCATCTTCTGTGTCCAGAATCCGTGAGTCAAGCGGGCCCTTAGTAGAGGTAAGCTTGCAGAATTTTCGCTTCTGCAAAGCATACATCCGCCCGCCGCTGTCCAAATTGAGATTGGCTCATGCTTGCGATTAACCTGCCTGGGCCAGACCCTCGTGTCTCCATCTTCAATATGACGCACTGGCTCTGTGAAGTTGGCATCTTGAGCCCATCAACGACAAATGTCTCGGGACATGATACAACCCGCGCCATTATGATCAAGAAGGGCAAGGTTGATATTGTGTGGCCAAATCATGCCGCCTCCGTACAATCGTGGTATCCTCGATTAAGGACGAAGCCAATCCAAAGCATTCGGCAGGCTCAGGTAATCGTCATCGTCAAGCTTCATGATGTAATCGAACTCGCGCTTTCCTGTGCCTTGATCGGACAGGTGGTCTGAGTTACGCATCCTTTGCGACATGTGTCTGCCCTCATTCATATTCTCCGGGCAGCCAAGAATGATCAAGACACCGACTTCATCTTGCTCTTGAAGCCGGGTCATCATCTCGGCGTCCACATTCTGACCAACATCGAAGCGAATAACAACCGTGTCTCGTGTATCCATCATTCCTGAAGCCAGTACATTGCCGCACGCTTTTCTTGCGGCATTGCGCATCTCCTTCTTATCGCCAACGGAAAAGATGCCGGCGAACAGTGAAACAGGCGGCAGGTCGGGTAGTCGCGCAGCCACAAGGTGTCCATGCAGGCCTTCTTCGTTGTAATGAAGCAATCTGGCGTGCGATGCCGTCGAATTGATTATCGGACACAGCCGCCCTTGAGAAGACTGAATCGAGAGAGATAAAGTAACCATGAAGAGGATTGATCGCTGCGATCACACTCAAGCCGCTGAATTGCTGTCGTGCGCCTGCCATAAGCATCTCTGCTCAGCGCTGTAGCCAAAACTGAAATTGCATAGGTTGACCATGTCTTTCAAATGCAACGGGGGAGACAGAATGTGGCAGCTTGTATACTGGGAAGAATGGTATTGGCTGTTTGGTCCTACCAGCCTAGTACTAGGCAAGTAGGATTAAGGAGACTGATGCACACAAGTGTTGACTGAGTGACAGTAAATCTGCCATTATGTGTATTTCGGTTTCTGCACCCTAGCCTGCGCAGCGCCGATAGTGTTCAGTGCAGCAAGTTAGTATGTCATGAACTGGGACCAGGAGACTCCGGCTTTACAGCCTGCGTTTCCACTCGAAGCGATGCTATAAGACAAAGCACAGATGATGAACAGGGCTCAAGATGCGTATAGACACCAGTGCTTCTGTGCAAGTCCCTTTTATAGTAGCTCAAAGAGCCTATCAGTCATCATCGTTTGTCTGAGCTATCGTGCAGCGCATGAGTAAGCGAAGGCAGGCGATGCTTCCCGACCAGCAACAGCTGCATGTCAAACAGACTAATGGCAGTGAGACATAATACCGGCCAGAGATTTGTACCTCGTCGACTTTCTCAGAGAATCCTGGTGCTTGGCTGGACAGCCTCAGGTAAAGTCGAGTCAGATGTCTAGAGGGTTTGACCAGAAGCCTTTTGACAATTGCGTTCTCAGGCAGAGAGGTCTCAGTATGGCGACGCGAGGGAGCTCGAGAGACGTGCAGGCATTGAGCCCGCACTCTGATGATTCAGATGGATTTCGTCTGTCCTCGATTACTTGACAACTGCAACACATCCATCCAGGCTCCAGCTATGAATTTTCCTCATGTTCCCACACGACCGCAGATCTTTCTTAGACAATTTCAAAACATAGGTCTTTACAAGGACATCCGAAACGCAGGAGTCCTGGCCATACGTTCGCGTGTACGTATAGTGATGCGCAAGGCGAGCGAGAATCCTGTTAGTTGTCGCTATGTTGCATGGTTGGTCACATCGCTACCTTGGGGACGCCGTTGATCAATCGAATGCTTATAAAAGGTCAAAATGACCAAGAATATGAGTGCGCAGAGCAACGTGGCCATTGACAGCAGCCGGCAAAGGATTGCAGCAGGATGAAGCATTCTATCAGGTGTAAAGGTCATATTGTTGGCGGTCGCGGGACAAGTGAAGTAGAAGTTGACGTCGCTTTCCTGTTTTATCAGTAGATATGTCAGAGATGAGTTTGGTCAACTTACAGGACAAATGAGCCTCTTACATCTGGCACCTGAGTGTTTGTGTGGCCAAACACGGCGACCCCTGAGAAATGGTTTGTCAATTTGCGACGAAACGTTTCTTGTACCAGGTAGATACTGAGGACATGGCAACTTGTCTTCCTGGGATATGCCAGCATATCCCTCTGTGAAGGACATCCCTCACAGTACGAAGTAGCAGTCCCAGCTTCCGCAGTCCCCTGACATGTCGGACATCCCTGACTTGTCTAACTATAAACGGTCCGAAAGGCACATGCAGAACAGGTTGGCACAATAGCCAGCTCTTTGTTTGAATGCGATGTGCCAGAACAGCAACCATCACATACGCATATGTTTGGCCCAAATCTCAAAAGTGAGATCCATCAACCAGATGTCCGTCTCGCCAACTCTGGGTCTCTCAGGTTGTGTTTCGGCACTGTATTCGTGTCCCTTGAATTCTTGCGTGTAATGACGCCCATCCCTCGTCGTTTCTGGCCGTGCATCAACATACTTCAGTGTCTCCATCCATGCCAGGGAAGCCTGAGGTGAACGAACGAGCTCCTCTTCGTAGACACGGCGTGCCGTATTTGATTCGCGGATACAGTCATCTTGACCAACGAGATGATCATAGCAATCAACATTCTCTATCATAGAAGTGGTTCCTCGAATACTAGATTTGTCAGTCAAAGAAGCGGATAGATGCCTGATGACATACATGTGTTTTGCTTTGGGATACAGGGAAAGCAGCAAGCGGCTGGAATTTTTCATGGTCTCGTACTCGACTTGCTCAGATGCTTGTTCAAGCTGAAACCAAAGTCTTTGATTCCAGACGACGTGTGTCGGTGTCATCTTCAGCTCTTCGTCAGTCAGTGGAGGTGTGTCATTTGTACCAAACGTGTTCGTGATGAATTTGAATTTGCAGGAGCCTAGCTGCCGTTGTTTCGGATGACTGAATTGTTCGTGAAGCAATAAGCTGATTCACTGCTGAACAACGGGGCAGCAAGAGACTGTACTTGTTTCGTAAGGCAGGTCACTGCTTGAAACAACCAAGAATTTCTTCGCGCGTTCCTCGCAAATTTGTTAGATACCCCTGAATGTTTGGCCGCAATCATCCGACACCCGAGCAATTACTCGCTGAATTCAAACACTCTGTGCCCATATCTCAAACATGAGATCTACGAACCACATGTCCGATTCTCCAATTCGCGGTCGTTGATCATACACCGCATCCTCTGCAATACCAGCAAAAGAAACGCGAGAGTAGTGACGACCATCTTTACTAGAATCAGGTCGTGCATCTGAATACTTGAACGTTTCCATGAATGCCAAGCGCGCATGCGGAGAACGAATACGCTCTTCCTCATAGACGCGACGTGCCGTGTCTGATTCGCGGAGGGAGGCGTCTCTACCAGTAAGATGTTCGTAGCATGCAATGTTCTCATGCATGGACGTTGTCCCACGGATACTAGCCTTGTCAGCATGGCATAGGAAGCGCAGAAACATACATGTGTTTGGCGTCTGGGTAAAGTGAGAGCAGTAGACGACTTGTTCGTGTCATTCTCTCATATTCAACCTCAGCGGAGGCCCTAGCAAGCTGAAACCAGAGTCCTTGATTCCAGATGACATGCGTTGGCGTGATCCTCGCTTCCTCGTCTTTCAGTGGTGCCTTTCCATCCGCACCAAACCCATTGGTGGTCATGACAAAAGACAGCAATTTCTCATCTTCTGGTGAATCGCCATAGCGAATTGTGATTTGCTTCGTCTGCCATTGATAATCCCAGCCAATGCTAGCATCACAAGTAGTACCAGTGACGTTGGCTCGTAGATGAACTGACAGAATGGATCACGCACGACACTATCCCCCAAGAACAAGATATGTTTCGCTTTGAGACGTGCGAGATGAGAGTACATAGAGCGGTGTTGAACGTGACAGGTGTAGGGTAGCCAGATGTATGGTGCGAGTTGAGCACGATCTTGCCTGATGTATGTTTCGTATGGGTCGAAACCTAGCTGGGCAAGCTCGCTCATATGCAGATCGGCTGTGTGCACCCAACGGCCATCAAGAATATCATCTGTATTTCGACAAGCCGAGCTCGTCACGCGTACAGGATGTCCGCCTGTGACATGTAGCGTGAAAGGTGATCCCGTTGCAAGACGCTCATACCAGGGATCGGGTGTATTGAAGTACTTTGCACAAATCGTGCCAAAGTGCGGCCAGAGATAGACTTTGTACGTGCCTGGCTCTGCGATCTGGAAAGTATGCTGTTTCTCTACTTGTGATGCATTGTGTGAAGTGGTGAAGACATGTTGCGCAGGACCTACAATAAGTGCTGCGAAGCTTTCTGGACACAAAGTGTCATTTAGACAAGTAAAGTGGACGGTGAACGGCTCATTGACAGAGACTTCCTGTGGGACTGAGCCGTCAAAGGGACCTAATGTCAAATCAGAAGCTTCAGATTCAGGATAACCTTACCATATTCAATGGTGCGTAATCGGTTTAATGGATCATGACTCGTCTCTGGGAGTTCGTCGACCCGCCATACTATCGATCGTCTTGATGATCCGAGCTTGATTGCTTGGCGTAGTTCGAGGTGACGTGGCAGTTGCGCTTCGTGGATATGGAAGTAGAGGACGAGGAAGCAAATGAGCGCTGCGACTCCAGAGAGACAGCGCAAGCTTTTGACAGACGAGATCATCGACGGAGGCCGCAACTTGTTGGAGATCGAATACGTCTGCGTGTATAGCGAGCACGTTGTTAATCAACCAAAATATTCAGGAGTGTCGTGGTGCAAAATGCCTTGCCGGGAGCCTAGCTGCCATTGGTTCGGGAGACTGAATCGTCGGTGAAGCAATATGCTGCTTCACTGCTGAACAACGGAGCAGTAAGTAACTGTACTTGTTTCGTAAGGGAGATCACTGCGTGAAACAATACATTGGACTTCTTTGCGCGTTTCTCACAATTTTGGTAGATACCCCTGAATGTTTGGCGGCAATCATCCGACACATGAGCTGTCACTCACTCATTACAAACATCCTGTGCCTGTACCTCAAAATGGCATGCTTCAGTCGCCCGTGCAAATCACCTACCTCACGATCGATCGGCAAAAACAACTTCATCTGCAAGTATGCAAACCCTAGCGATAAAAACGCGTGAATAGTGGCGGCCATCTTGACCCGAGTCAAATATGCCGTGCCCAAATCTCAAACATGAGGACTACCAACCATACGTCCGTCTCGCCAACCCGTGGCAACTCTGCAATTGTTTGATCGCCTGGGTCACCACCATTCAGAATACGGGTATAGTGTCGACCATCTTTAGTGGTTTCCGGTCGTACGTCTGTATAGCTGAATGTCTCCATAAAAGCCAAGAGCGCATTGGGAGAGCGATCGCGTTCCTCTTCGTAGACACGACGTGCGGTGTTAGATTCGCGGATACAGGCGTCTCGACCACTGAGTTGTTCGTAGCATGCAATATTCTCATGCATAGAAGTCGTCCCTCGAATACTAGCATTGTCAGCAAGTGATAGAGTATCCAGAAACGTACATGTGTTTGGCGTCTGGGTAGAGTGAGAGCAGTAAACGACTTGTTCGTGTCAGTGTCTCGTACTCTTCCTCAGCAGATGCATTAAAAAGCTGAAACCATAGACCTTGGTTCCAGATGACATGCGTTGGCGTGATCCTTGCTTCCTCGTCTTTCAATGGTGCCTTTCCATCTGCACCAAACTTGTCCGAGATTCTGACAAACGTCAGCAATGTCTTCTCGTCCGGCGAACCACCATAACGTATAGATAATTGCTTCGTGCCACCGTGATAGTTATCAATAGTTGCAATATCACACGGACCACCAGTAAGGTTCTTGACATGCGGTTCGTATATTTGCCGACAAAAAGGATCGCGCGAAACGCTGTCCCCCATAATTAAGACATGCTTAGCTTTGAGTCGTGCAAGATGAGAGCGGATAGAACGGTGCTTGACGTGACAAGTATATGGTAGCCAGATGTAGGGAGCAAGTTGAACATGATCATGCCTGATGAATTTCGCATATGGGTCAAACCCCAGCATGTCAATCTCGCTCATGTGTAAATCAGCTGAATGCACCCAACGACCATCCTGTATGGCCTCAATGCTTGAACAAGGACTGTCCACCACGCGTACAGGATAACTACCTGTCACTCGCAGCGTGAAAGGCGACCCGACTGCAAGACGCTCGTACCAAGGGTCAGGTGTGTTGTAATACTGAGAACACTTGGGCCCGAAATGCGGCCAAAGATAGACTTTGTACGTGCCTGGGTCTGCGATCTGTAAGGTATGCTGCTTTTGTACTTGTGATGCATTGGGTGAAGAGATAAAGGCATGTTGCGCAGGACCTACAATGAGTGCTGCGAAGCTTTCCGGACACAGACTGTTATCTAGACAAGTAAAGTGGATGTTGAAAGACTCATTGACTGAGACTCCCTGTGGGACTGAGCCGTCAAAAGGGACTGATGATGAGTAAGAAGCTTGAGGGTTGCAGGAATGTCTTACCATATTCAATGGCGCGTAATCGATTTAATGGATCAATATTCGTCTCTGGAAGATCGTCGACCTGCCATACTATAGGTCGTTTTGCTGATCCAAGCTTGATTGCTTCGCGTAGTTCGATGTGCGGATGTTGATGAGGCTCGCGGATGCTGTAAGAGAGAAAGACGATGCAAAGTACCGCCGCCACTGCAGAGAGGCCACGGAGAATCTTGACAGGCGAAATCATTGCGATGACCTTAAGCGACTGACAGCCGGACAGGACACGTCAGAGTATGCAGAGAATAAAAGCCCAGCGTGAGACAAGGAGAGTTGGAGAGTACTCAGGAGGTCCATAATGTCAGATATAAATGAGTTTCAAGATTCTGCGGGATTCGACCGTCGTGTAAAAGAGGAGATTCCTGATGAGCACTGACTCCTGGAAGCAGCCCAGGAGTCGGAGTCCGGAAGGACTGCAGCGCTATCCTCTTCGAATTAGTCAGTCTGGCTCGACGGGAACGCGATGCGAACTCCAGGTAGGTCTGACACATGGTGCAAACAGCCTGCAGAAGCTGATGATAATGTTTTGGACAAATGGACTGTCATGAACCAGTGGAGCAGCAAGGGACTGTATTTGTTCATCGCCTAAAGCAGCTGACTTTTCATAATTTGCGACAAGCGTCATACCCCTGAATGTGTCTCAGATGACAGTCACTCACAAGTGTCAAACATCCTGTGCCCATATCTCAAACATGAGATCTACGAACCACATGTCCAATTCTCCAATGCGCGGTCGTTGAGCATACACCGTATCCTCTGCAATACCAGCAAACGAAACGCGAGAATAGTGACGACCATCTTTACTAGAATCAGGTCGTGCATCTGAATACTTGAACGTTTCCATGAATGCCAAGCGCGCATGCGAAGAACGAATACGTTCTTCCTCATAGACGCGGCGTGCGGTGTCTGATTCGCGCAGGGAGGCGTCTCTACCAGTGAGATGTTCGTAGCATGCAATGTTCTCATGCATGGACGTCGTCCCACGTATACTAGCGTTGTCAGCATGGCATAGTAAGCGCAGAAAACATACATGTGTCTCGCGTCTGGGTAAAGTGAGAGCAGTAGACGACTTGTTCGTGTCATTGTCTCATATTCAACCTCAGCGGAGGCCCTAGCAAGCTGAAACCAGAGTCCTTGATTCCAGATGATATGCGTTGGCGTGATCCTTGCTTCCTCGTCCTTTAGTGGTGCCTTTCCATCTGCACCAAAGTCATTGGTGGCCATGACGAAGGACAGCAATGTCTCATCTTCTGGTGAATCGCCATAGCGGATTGTGACTTGCTTTGTCAGCCAGTGATAATCATGGCCAATGCTAGCATCACAGGGACTCCCGGTGACATTTTCGACATGTGGTTCGTAAATGAGCTGACAGAATGGATCGCGCATGACACTATCCCCCAAAACCAAGATGTGTTTCGCTTTGAGACGTGCGAGATGAGAGTACATAGAGCGGTGTTGAACGTGACAGGTGTAGGGTAGCCAGATGTATGGTGCGAGTTGAGCACGATCTTGCCTGATGTATGTTTCGTATGGGTCGAGACCAAGCTGGGCAAGCTCGCTCATATGCAGATCGGCTGTGTTCACCCAACGACCATCAAGAATATCATCTGTATTTCGACAAGCCGAGCTCGTCACGCGTACAGGATGTCCGCCTGTGACATGTAGCGCGAAAGGTGATCCCGTTGCAAGACGCTCATACCAGGGATCAGGCGTATCGTAGTACTTTGCACAGATTGTGCCAAAGTGCGGCCAGAGATAGACTTTGTATATGCCTGGCTCTGCGATCTGGAAAGTATGCTGTTTCTGTACCTGTGATGCATTGGCTGAAGAGGTAAAGGCATGTTGCGCAGGACCTACAATGAGTGCTGCGAAGCTTTCCGGACACAGACTGTTATCTAGACAAGTAAAGTGGACCTTGAACGGCTCATTGACTGAGACTTCCCTGGGGACTGCGCCATCAAAAGGACCTGACATTGTGTGAGAAAGCTGACGGACCGCAGCATCACTTTACCGTATTCGATGGTGCGTAATCGATTCAATGGATCGCGCTGGGTTTCTTGAAGATGGTCGAGCTGCCAGACTATGGGCTTTGTGAGGCATGGTAGTAGGTTTGATGGCGACTTGGCGATGCGTGCAACAGCTGCATGATCATCTAGCTTGAGCTTGAAGAGCCACAAGAGGATGCAGAGGAAGATTGATGCCGCGAGAAGTGAGCGGGCTGCAGGGAGATGAGGCATTCTGGTGTATGATCACGTCGTCAATGGGTCAGGAGCGTGGGAGGGTGAGTTGACCAGGACATAGACTGCCCTGTGCGCCTGTTTGAAGCAGTTTGAAGTGACGGGATCGAGCATGAGGGCATCGACAGGCAGAGCGCAGAGAGAACAGAGAAAATACAGAGTATGCAGCGTAGAGTACAGAGCAAATACTGCAAATACAGAGAATACAGAGAATACAGCGTATACGGCGTCGACAGAGAGAATGCCGCGTATTGGTTGCTGCTCCACGGGTGAATGACCAATCACTGCACAGTGGAGGCAGATCCCCCACAGAAAGCGACAGCAGCTCAGTGTCAGTCAGCCAGTCTGCGTACTACGACGGTCCAGAGAGTCTGCTCCTCATCCAAAAGACAAGGCCACCTACATCCTGCGCGCATCTCATCGGACTGCATCCATCTATCGAGCACCAGAAACAAGAAATCAAGCACAGCACACAACACGCGCCATATGGACCCGGCAACGGCCACCGCAGCAACAGCCCATGCACGTCGTCGCTCCTCCATCTCAGACTACAGCAGCCTCTTCTCCAATGCCCAGCCCAAAGCCGCAAGCTTCATCAACAAGACGCGACACCCTTCTCTCACCATGAGCATGAAGGGTGAACGACCGCCCGGTTTCAGCGCATTGCAACGGGCCATGGGGAAGAGCGGCGATGAACAGGCTATTGTTGATGATGAATCAACGGCAGCAGGATCATCAAATGGCAGTGAACAAGGTGAAGGCACGGGACATCGACGTGCGCTGACGGACGATCCTGTGGGGCTTGGACGACGCTTGTCACAAGGAGCGCGCGCAATCATGTATAGTGGCAATCGACTCAAGGGTGATGGTGTGACGCTCAAGCGGACGCCTTCTTCAGTAAGCAGCTCGACACAGTCCATTTCGATAGTAGAGCTAACCTAGCACAGGCCACGAGTCCGACTCTCAATGATGAGGAGTTTTCAGAGCTAGCGGCAACACCGGCAGCACCGGCGGCGGCGGCAGCAGCAGGGAAACAGATTCGGCGCAAGATGTCACCGACTGGTGAACGTATGCTACGGGGTGAGCTGCAGATGTGAAGAGACACGCATAACTGACACGACACGACTTGGACATTTATGCAAAGGTGTCCAGCTTCCTTGACTACACGACATTCTCTATGCTATGCCAACTAGCCTGATACTCTCCCTTTCTCCGAGAGAGGCACGATTCGATATTCCGCGCGATGTCACCCGCGCGTCTCCTTGGCGCTGATTGATGCCGGCCGTTGTCTCTTTTGCACTTCTTAGTGCGACGAGCGTATTGAGCTGGATGCATTTATGGCACGAGTCCTGCTTTCTATATGTGTATAGCTGATGATGATGTTTCTCACTGCTTGTATTGAATGGCCCGCTGGAGTTGCCGTTGCACAAAGCGACAAAGCGACACAACACATCAACAAAGCAAAAGCGCCTACTTGACCCGCATGTGCAGCAGGGCTAGCACAGGAGCAAGCAGAGAAGGGACAAAGGAACCACGACGATGGGCGTAGAACAGTCAAAACCACAGCGTCCAAGCACACCTGCAAGAGCAACACGATCTAGCGATACAAAACGACCACGTCCCCCGCGCAACCAATCTAGCGCATCGACCGCGACACTTGAAACGCCCAAGAAGGTCAAACTCGACGACTTGCTTGAACATGCATCACCGGCGCGACACACAACTGGGTTTGATGCGCAGGATACCTTGCCCTCTAGAATAGACCAGCGCGTTGCATTGCCCCTGTCGCCGCTCAATAGGCTCAAAAGCACCAAAACACAATTATCACCGGTACTACTACTACAGCCGACTCTGTCTGATGCTGGCAAGAGGGCGCGGAGTGTATCGCCTGTGCGACAGGTCCCTGCGCTCACTGCAGAGACGATAGGCGAGTCGCCTGAAGCTCTTGCATTGATTCATCGCCGGGTAAGACACAGCACTGCCGTGGCAGCCCAACAGCTAACAAATCATTAGAGTCTTCTATATGCAGCGAATCCCGGCTCGCAAACACGCAGGCCCAAGGAAGTCCCCGAGGGCGACAGCTTCATTGCTGAGTCTCTGCCTTCATCAGTCTGTGAATCCCGAAATTTGCAACAATGCAACGCCCCACCCATTCATCAACAGACAGCCTTTGTCGCACACACTCGGCCGCAGCAACATGACTTTAAAGGTCAAAGACAAAGACCGGTGCCTGACCGCGGAGAGACACCGGTCCCTGTCAATTACACAGTGGGTCCCTATCGTCGCGGCACTTTGCGTATTGTGAACCGAGATCGAGACGAGGATGAAGTGCTCCGGGAAACTTCCGAACCCATGGGTCCAGACTCGCTGCAAGATCAAAAGGCAAGCGAGACCCACTCGTCAGAGTCGTCGCAACGTACTCGAGCATTCTACCTGACGCTTGAAGACGTCCAAGGAATGGGTGCGGCCAGTAGCCATGAGACAAAACGTAAACCTACAGACACCAAATCGGCTTCGGCACCGCTTCAGAAGATTGTCAGTCATACAGCGTCAGTACCAGACGGTCATGATGCTACTCAACAGCACAGAGCTCCAGCGACGGCCATCAGCGTCGAGCGACATACATCGGCCTCTTCATCTCTACGTTCATCTGTTGTGACGGACTACTCAGCCGCTCGATGCCCATCTAGTTGTTCGAGCGCAGTCTCTGAGCAAGCTCCAAAGCAAGCGCCTGTACCACAACAGCCTGTCGTTCAAGTCAAGCGCAATCATGGCAAATCACCTGCCCAACCCACTCAAACTCACATCGAGCCGACAATACCGGCCGCAGACTCAGCCATATCGCCTGCACCATGCACGCTGACGGATTCTGAAAAGGCATTGATTGCAGCCAATAAGCATAAACCCTATCGCGTGAAAGCCGGACGTGGCAGACCCATTGAGGTGATTATGCAAGCTCATCGTTCGAGTAGTGGACCCATTAGCCCTGCATCGACGGCAGAATCCCTCAACTCTGCATCCACCCTCTCTTCCACCTCTTCCAACACAACGGGCGGTAGACGTCGTAAATCAAAGATTCCATTGGATTATGAACCATTTGGTCCTATCTCGCCCATCACGCTACAGTCAAAGACAAAGTACTATACCGCGCCTTCCTACTTTTCTGCACAGTGTAAATTGGCAGACCCAGATCTCGGTATGCGGAAAGGTTACCCGCGCCCACTTGAACAATTGACGCGACAAAATCTGATTAGGTCTGGTTCTGAGAATGCATTATTGCGTGTGAAACCTAGAGGTCCACGACCGGTCGTTGCGGAAGAGCATGGGAGCATGAAGCGTGGTGTATCGATGGGCTGCTTGGCTGAGGTGAGTTTGGGTAATATACAGGCTCAGGATGAAGGGGAGGTGAAGCAGCGGTCATTGAGTGGAGCGGATATGAAGCAAGGACGGACTAGGCGACTTGCTGGAGATGAAGCGTAGATTCTTATATATAAATTGATATTCCTTTTTATGGAGACTGTCTGGTTGTTAATTGAGCCAACGCAACGTATGCATAAGCTGGCCTCTGGCCGTGTGCATGCCATGCCAGGTGTTCTGCGTCCTGTACCTGTAAAACCGCTGGCCGTATTTGGCTGTGTGACCAAATTCGGCTATTTTGGCTGCCCACCCACAGAGCCACGACTTGACAACACCTCCTCTTTACCCAGGCCTGCTACATCTGCCAAGCCTGCACGCTGTCCAACAAGACACCGGAGCATGCCAAGTTCATGCAAGACTCCGCTCGAGGTGCTATTTCAGCACAACTCGGCGTCAGTGCACAAATCTTGAATTATGATAAAAGGGGCTGGTGCAGACCTCTTGTCAGGCAACAGCCTTCAAATGACTGGCTGAGACTAGCCTGTCAACGCTGAGCTTTGATTTGGACTTGGGAATCTACAAGAATCTTCTAGGGCTTCCTGAGCTGTCAGGGTACCTTTCTCGGCGCATCACTTGCAGCGATGTTCGCTTTTTCGACATTTCCCACCTTCGAATGCGGGAACATGACCATGCTGCTTTGTTTCGAAGCTTCTGTCGGCATCTTGATGGGAATCTATATAGATCAGCATGCGTATCTCTGAGCTGCCAAACATCCATCAACTCGTCCTTCGACTCTACGCTCTTTTAGCACTTTCCGTGCACCCACTGCTCTTCAGCACCCAGTCGCCATGATCTTCAAGGCCACAACCTTCAATGCGCTAGTCGCACTTGCATCTGCTCAGCAAACTGCAGCACCTCAATACGATGATCTCGCATCGGCCAATGCGGCGTTGTCGTCGATGGCCTCTGTCAACTCTGCACTCTCTGCATCCATGTCCGTCCTGCAAGCCCAGGTCGGCGTGGTCGCCATCGTTGCAGGTGTTGGTTCCGGTCCAATTACCAAGGATATCCAAGGTAATGCCGGCAAGAACTTCATCCCCGGTGCAACCATCGCAGGCCCAGATGGTGCTATGGTGACATGCCCAGCAGCCAGCTACAATTGTCCTACGCCTTCCACAACGACCGTTGTCGTGACACAGACTGCTGCACCAGCAGTCATCACACAAACTGTCAACGTACCTGTTGCCTTGGCGGCACCCATCACAGTGCTCGTTGCTGGTGCAGCACAAGTCATCACGGCCGTCGACCAGCCCATCACCACAGTCGTTGCTGCGCGCGATGGCACATCGACCGTCATTGTCGGTTCATTCGCTACAAATCTAGCAGCACCACAAGGGCCTGGTTTCGGTTCTGCTGGCCATGCACCTCCCCAGGCAGGTATCATGCCTGGTGGTGTTCCTGCTGCTCCTGGTGCTGGCATCGCGGGTATCCCTACAACAACGGCCTTTGTTCTTGCTGGCTCTCGTACAGTGGCTACACTTGCCATCTTCCCAACACTGGTCGTGTCTCCTTCGGTCATCACAACCACGGAGATGTACTACTCGACCACATTGCTGACCGCGCCTCCTTCCGGTGTGACCACATTGACTCTCGCTGATGGTCAGGTCGTCACACTTGCTGCTGGCGCTGCTCCTCGTTCATCCGTCTTGGCATTGAAGAGGACATTGACCATGACTCGCGATATCACTGCAACAAGCACCACAACAATGACTGTGACAGACCCTGTCACGACCATTAGCTCAACTGTTGTTCAGACTTCTACCGGAACCGTCACTACTTGGATGGCTGCGTCTTCTATGGCAGCACTCGCAACCATGTCCAGCAATGGAACCTTCACCAACGGTGTGTCCTCCGGCGCCAATGGAACCTCAGGCCTCTCTGGTGTGGCTTCTGGCAATGCCAGTCCTGGTCTTTCTGGTGGTGCCGCTTCTGGCAACGCCACCTCTGGTCTCTCTGGTATTCCAGCTGGCATCGCGTCTGGCTCAAACAACACGACCACTACCAATCTTCCCGTTCCTGCTAGCAACAGCAACAGCAACAGCAACAGCAACAGCACTGGCCTGACAGGCCCTGCTTCAACTAACAGCTCTGGTCTGCTTTCCGGTTCGAACGCTGCCCCAGCTAGCAATGCCACAAGTGTCCTGTCTAGCATCGTTGCAAGCAGCACTTCCGCCGACTTGACTGCATTGCCTACCATGCCAGTCAGTAACAGTTCAGGGATGATTGGCTCAAGCACTATCGGAGCCGTCCCATCTGCCATTCTCGCCAACAGCTCGGTCGTCTCGTTGAGCAGCTTTGTACCTGCTGCTACAACGATGTTGACGCTCACCTCATCTCCCTCTGCGAGCATGATGGTCAGTAATATGAGCGCTTCCTCCACTGTGCTTTCATCAGAGTCCAGCACCATTGTTGCCTCGACCACTGCTGCCACGTCCACGGACAGTTCCTCCATCGTTGTGTCGTCATCAAGCACCGATATCAGTAGCGCTACTGCGACCCTGTCCGCTACCGTCACCAGTTCAAGCTCCTCTGCAATGATCTCAGCCACAGACTCTGCAAGCTCTACCGGTACGTCAAGCATTGAGCCTGCAAGCACGTCATCAGTCGTAACTTCGACTTCCACTACCACTGATTCATCTACTTCTGCGCTGCCCACAACGACCAGCTCTGAAGTGTTGAGCTCTTCATCGACTTCTTCCTCTGCTATGCCGACGAGCACGTCTGAAGTGTCAAGCTCAAGCGCGACGAGCACGACTTTCATCTCAAGTACAGCTAGTGCCTCTGCGTCAAGTACTTCGACAATCTAGAAATGGAAAAGCCTTGTATTGTGTTTACGGCCTAGCATTGGAGCGTTTGTAGCATTTGAAGTTCGAACATGCATCTTGCCCATCTGAATTCCTCCACTGAAAATGTTTGCCGACCGCTTCATCCTCTGCTGGCCTCATGGCTGCCTCTCAACAAGATGAATTGGAAGATGTATTGACTGACGATGCATTTGATGCTGAGAAACAATTTCTGGCCTCAGTCAAAGCTATCCGGCTAGAGAAGAAGTCGCTGTATGATCGTCTACGCTCAGTCGTTGAAGACTCTTGCTTTGTAGAGAGAGTAACGAAGCACTACAAGGTCCCACTTGTCTGCAATGAGCGATGCGGCAGATGGTACTGCCCTGACCCGTCAAGCATTGCTGCAAGTGCGTACTTTAAATCTACAGATGGTCACATGCACCAATGGGGCTTCAGCATGCGTCGACTCAATTTGCACTTGCTTAAGCTCATCGTTCAACATGGAAGTATCATGATTGTTGATAGTACAAGAAGAGGGAAACGTATGCCAGATGCACTCTCTAAAACGATCCCTATTTGGGCTGCTGTGCTCAATCGTTGTCGCTTCTTGGTAGACAAGCTGGATGCTTTTGATGTAGAACTGCAGACTCCGGAAGTCATGGTCAGCGACTCTGAGAATGACATGATTGCCAGTCAAATTGACGGATGGGCCCACTCGTTGCTAGAGACTGGCGTGGATTTGGCATTGCTTCGCCAACTTGACAAGCCTCTCAGACCGCTCTGGGTAACACAAGCTGACCCATTCCCAGACTTGTCCACAGATGCTTACAACATGATACTCGTCACAGCTTCGAAATGTGTTCCTGATGGTATTGAGCGCGTTTTTGGGTACACTTACCATCAGGGTGGTGCAGATGACGAAGAGCTGTGGTCACAAAAGCTGAGTCCAGCTGCGTTTTGGCAGCATAAGGAGGACATCCTTCGCGACCGCGATACTGTTCAGGACGCCATTCGCGTCGTTGTTGCACAACCTCAGATGACGCAACAAACCTTAGAACTCGCAGCTGTCGGCCAGACGTTACTTTCTATCGGAGTCGGAAGTGACGAAGCGCTCGTCAATTCTCTGGAGGATTCGCTCATCATTACTGCATTCGAGTCTACAGGCAGTCTTGTTCAGGGCAGCTTTGATACCAGTAAGACTGGCATCGCTGAGCTGAGTAAACTTTTCGCGCGGCTAGAGTCGTGTCTCGAGGAAAGCAAGCGATGGCAGCACAAGCTTGTCATTATCGATAACGAGGCCTGCAAAAGTAAAGCTCCCATCTTGGCTTTGCTCATTCTGTGCAAGTACTACAGTTTGGAAGGACAGCCTTTGGATCGACCTCGCATGACATTCAGCAAGGACCTCGTTCGGAAGCACTTGGTGACACTGGTCAACAGCAGACCCGGCATCAATCCACCCCGCAAGTTCTTGCAAGCACTCAACACACATCTCATGAGCGACGACTATCATCGGTAAAGCTTATACAAATCGATTCAAATCGCTCTAAGTCTGCAACTCTAGCATGTCTAAGAATGCCTGCATAAAAAGGCAAGTCAATCATTCAGCAAGACCCCTCGCCGCTCATGTCCATCAAGATCTCTGCTGCCATAAAGACGCTGACAGTCTCATTCACTTTTTCAGCCACAACAGGAGCATGTCCAACAGCGCAGCCAAAGACGGAACTTGCCGCACTGCTTATACTGCTGCAACTTGAGACACTGCCCTTGCGCTCTCGCTGCTGATTTGCGCGGACATGAGCAATCTCTACAGGGTCGGTGATGGGCGATGCTTTGATGCTGTCGAAAGACTTGAGCATATAGTAGGCATGAGCCAGCTCAAACCACACTTCATCGCTGTTCGCAGTCCTGCATGTTAGCACGGCGTCCTCTAGTCTTCCTCAGGCAACGTACCACTCCATCCACATGTCATCGATCTTCTTGCGCATCTCATAAAACTCGACACCAAATTCGTCAAAGGCACGGTACTGGGCCTTGAGCAATTCCTTCTTGTGGTCAAGCATGCGGCCCTTGCGTCGCTCTTCGTAGCAGCAACAGCACGTGTACAGCAGTGGCAAGCCTGCTTTGGTCCAGCACTCTCGGGGTCGTCCAACAACAGACGTCACGCCACGCTTCAGCTTCTTCTTATTCTGCGAGACGTTAGTACCCTGTAACAAGGAGGGACAGTCTGTACCTCGACTTTGCCGCACCAGGCACAAGCGGCCATGATGGAGTTGGCGCCAAAGACTGCACGACGAGAAACATGTGGAAGGTGGCGATCGCCTCGCTTTCGTCGTTTTGGTCGTCGAGCAGGACGTCGTGCATGGTCGCTCAGGTCCATCTCATCACTGCTCTCATCAAACACATACGAGGGCTCTTCTTGAATGGATCGGGATCGTTGAGGTCGGAGTTGCCAAGGGCTCGAGGTGTCTGCTACCCCATGCTGTAGGTCGAGGTCAGTCATCTAGCAGTCTCTAGGTTGGTCGAGGTAGAACCATAGGTCTTGTAGAGACACAGAGCGCGACGAACAAGGTGGGCCCCTTATGTAGACACTTGTCTGCATGGCTGTTTGAAGAGATCATCCACCAAGCTTTGAGCTGCTTCGATCGCGATGGTGCCGGGCATTTTCACAAGTTTCGTGACGTCGATTTCGGCAATCGCCCTCGTCTGTCGCAGCACCTCGATGTGTTTCTTCTGAGGCCGCTCTGATAAGCTCTATGGCCTGCTCATCAGTCGTGCCATTCATCGAGACGGTTCTGGAGGTCTCTCCGAGGCTTTACCGCTCAGTAGATACAATGCGCGGAAAAAGGCGACCGTCAGGGGTCTTCACGAGGTCACCAAGTTGCAAAGTTTCATGTCATCGTATTTGCTATCGACGCTACAGACTGTCGCGCTACCAATCTCGCAGCTTGGGTTTTGTTGCATTTGAGAATCAATTGTTGCTCATTCACCCTACGGTATTGTCGCCGTGGGCTATCCTCGGACCGCCTACAAGCCTGTTAGCCAATACTGCTTTTTCAGTGAACAAGACTCATACGGGCGTTGCGCTGCCTTCTTTCTTATCTGTAGTCTTTGCTTGTGATAGATAATACACGATGCCTGCGCTGAGGAGTACACCGCCGGCAAACATGGCGCGCATATTGGCAGGACTCCTGCCGAATTGGTTGGCTGTCTTGCCATACCCCTCGAATCCCACTTTCCCTTCAGTGCCGCGAAGAACCCGTGAAGCAATCATGATTGTTTGGTCGTCAAAAGAGCAAGAGAAGCAGATGCTGGATTGTCGTTTGTGGTCTTGGGTGGGCGAGTCGCAGCATGAAATACCAGGGGCGATCCTTCCGAGACGTCACGCTGATGTAATGCGAGGATTCAGATGACAAAGAAGCTTTTGTACATACTAGAAGCTATACACTATATCTCGACTAGGCCACTACCATAGCACAGTATTGTTCATTTCCTCACGCACTTGACTCCACTCAATTGCTCTGACCATGCCTGTTCGCTTCGTCTCTGCCATCTGCTGCTCTAGAAGCGCAACAGACACATCCAGCGCTTTATTCCAAGATGCCTCACCACTCGCAACACGTTGCAGCACAGAGTGCAGACCCTGTCGTAATGCCACATCAGGCGCAACAAGCGATGCAAGAAAGACTGGCATCAAGATGAAGCGTCGATTAAAAACAACCTTGTTTTTGCAAATGCGGTCAAAGATGCGACTGATGGCCAAGGCAGACTCTGTCACAAATTCAGCACGTAAGAAGCCAGGTGACAATAGCTCAATGAAGAGCCGCATAGCGTGGAAATCGGCATGCACTTGCTGAGCTGCAGGGATTCCTGTATGCCAGCGTGTGGTGAAGATCTCCTCTGTCTCATCGGCGTTCAGCTCATCCACAATCTTAGGTTTGCTGCGCCAGACTTGTTCAATGTCATTGCGTATTTCTGCAAGGGACGATCTGTACTTGTCGCCATCAAAGGAGTCCACCATCGTTCTTGACCGTGCCAGCATGCTCAGCTTGCACATGGCAATCAGGAGATTGTAGTGAAGTGAGTGAATCGGAGAAATGACTGTATACTCGATCCGTTCATCTTCCGTCTTTTTAACAAACGGAAACATGTTGCCTTGTCCAGCAGTCGGCATTTGATCCGTCTCAATGAGGTAGTTGAGTAACATGCCCGCACCACCAAACATGGATGAAAGCACACCGAATCGTGCGAGGTAAAAGACAAGCCACGCGCCTCCTTCGTATAACCTTCCAGCAGCCGATCGAGCCTTGACCATATCCAGAACGACTTGCGTATATTGCAATGGTCGCGCATGCTTGACATCCAAGGCACTAAGCATATACGCTGTAGCCAGCGCCGCTGTGGTTTGCTGGTACCGCACATCGGACATCTTCTCCGAAAAGAGGCGTTGCGCAGCTGTTGCATGGACTTGAGCGTGTCCTAGCGCCAAAACTGCATTCGTCTTTCGTTTGTTGAAGGCAAGGTCTGTTGCGGCAATTGCCAAAATCGCATGAAACAAGGCAGGTTCTTGTGGACAGAGCGTTGTAATGAGCATACGGAAGGGATGCCGCTTCCCGAGCTCTGGACTGTGGAATTGTGTGACCATATGTTCGAGATAGTGCGCTAGGTAGTGCTTGTCATCCGGACTTGCATGTTCAAGCGTCGCGAGCCAGTCCATCTGTTCGCGCGAGAGCTCTTTGAGGGTTTCCGAAGGCGTCTCTGGTTCATGATCCGATTCAAGTGCCACTGAACTTGCAGTAGATACAGGACCAGCGGTGCCGAAACGCTCTGCCCAGAATGAAGAGGGAGTCAAGCGGCCGTCATCAGAAGCCGATGTCGCTGTATTGCGTCTCGAGCCGAATGCTGTAGGTGGCGCCAGGAGACTGCTCTTGGTGTCGATGGAGAAAGGAATGAGACTATTCCCTTGCATGGGACTACGCGAGCCTTGACTTGTATCATAGCCACTAAAGGAAGGACTCGATGCTCCGGAATGGCTTCGATAGCTGTGTTCAGAATGTGCATCAATGACAATACGCGGACCTTCGTACGACAAGGGCATCGCATTGGAGCCAGGCCCTGTGATTGAAAACGATGGGTTACCATACTGCATACCAATAGGTTGTGGCAAGGGTAGATACGATGACGATATGGGGCCATGCAAATGATGCCGCTGTGGTCCGGGATGTTGAATCATGGGTATCGGTTGCTCCTCGGGATGAAGTGCAGGCCATGGAGAGCGACTACTCGTGGAATGGCTCCGAGAGTGGACAAAGTCGCCTGGTGAATGAGCATAGGCAGTCTGCTGCGGTTGTGCTTGCTTCTCTGTCGCACCAGGGGAAGGCGGCCCGTCGCCTGATGATTCATCTTGCTGTGCATCGTCGAGTGCAATATCTCTGTAGGTCTCAAAGTACTCTGGCGTATACGTCTTATAGCGCAGATTCGGACTATGCCTGCTCGTACTCCTCCGGCGACTCGCGCGCTCTGCGTTGTTAGCTGTGTTACTCAAGGCTGGTAACGACGTACGATCGTATACATCGCATCCAGATACATCAGTCACATCCTTCATTCGCGTGACTACCCGCGGTGTATCATCTCGAAAGGCAATCCTGCTTGTGTAACCGGCGCACTCCAATCCGAGACGAGAGCAGGTTGAGCAGATTGGCTTTTGTTCGTCGCATTTGACTTTGCGCTCACGGCACTAGAGAAGTATTAGCTGTTTGTCTTACAGGTGGTGCCCCGATTAGAAGGGCAGCGGCGTCCATACTGTCCAGCATCCTGACTTTGTACGAGGTGCTTTGCGGCCTGCTAGCTTGCAAGTATCTTTGACCATGGGCGGCTGGTCGCTGTTCCTGTTCGAGGTTGCACAAACTCAGGTGTCTGTTGCGGGCATGTGTATGTTGAATCCTGGAGGTCGATATGCTGTGATGATGCGCAGCGCAGTGGTGGTGCTACCTGTGTGCTGGTTATGTGTGTTGCGTGGTTGTGGTCGCGCAGTCGCAGCATCGCTTAGCATAGCCTCAGCCTCACTTTCCGCATCAGACCTGGAGAAGACACAGCGAGCAGGACAGCAACGGGCAAGGGCCTAGACTGCAGCTGGTATAGCAAGGTATCTGGCAGCAACGGGGCCTCATACGGTATACCAGGACTCTTTCCACTGAGCCTCCAGTCTGTCTGCATCATACCAGCTAGTGCAAACATGTCTGCCGCGCTAAGCTGAGTTTGGCAGGTCATGTCGCGCCCTCGCTTTAAATTGCAGGCGTGCGGGCCATCTCCGTAGAGCGCCCAGAGACGACGAACTCCGAGTCCGAGCACGGATGACGCTGCAGGCTGAGTTCTTGAACACTGCGCCTTAACCTCCAAAGCTCGAGGCATTATCGAATTTATCGTCCTCTGTAATATGTCGCACGAGCTTAGTCTTGTATCTCCAAGGATGAACTCTGGAGTCTGGAAGGAGCAACAGCTATGACCATGAAGACGGGACGCCCGCATCTCTCCGAAACCCGGAAGATTAAATCTTGCAACTTACGACTCGCAAGAAAGCCCATGCACAGCTAGAACTGCTCTGACACAGCACGATCAGCCTGTGAGCCTACGCGGCCGTTGCTAGTGCAAGCTGGAAGGAGTTTCAACGACTACAAGGATGACAATTTGTTCGACTAGAACTACACGACGACAGTGCAAGCTCTGTTTGCCACCTTCACCAGCAATGGTCACAAATTGTCACCTCATTGGGCTGATTGGCTTCCTCGGATGGCACTAGCATGGCCAACTTGTCAGCTCAGTTATGTGACATGCCAAGTCCACCGCATGGAGATGTATGCTGTTAAATCATCCCTGACGAGCGTACGACTAGCAGACTGGATCGTTGTTCTTTGGCCCGAAGAGTTGGACTGTATCAAGCTCACAAGAAGGACTAGTGGACATAGTTCAATGATGGTTGCCAGCGCTGCAACTTCTTGGCCATTTCATCTGAAAACGTTGACTGTAGAGCTGATTGGCCTGGGCATGTTGAAGAATAGAAGCCCTGCTCAACCCAAGACAATGGCAGGTGTGCGACCCTACACCGAAGATATTCTCTAGCTATGTCATCTCATCAGGCATACAGCCAGGAAACGTACCATCGATTCATAGCTCAGAAACACACCCAAAAATCAGGAGCTGGTTCAAGGACTTTGTAGCATAATTGTGGGGATGTCCTTCTAAAGCAAGCCTAGTGTACATGGCACTGTGGAACAATGAGTCTATAGCTCCTTCTTCGCCTCCGGGTCTCGAGTAGCGCGCGACTCGTTCTTGGCCGATACACCAAGCGCTGCTTCAATCTTGTCAAAGACCGTATCCACAGCGTACTCCACGGGATGATCAAAAAGATATGGTAGAGCAGGAACAACAGCCAGTCCCATGACTGTTGGACCCCATCCGTTGACCTTTGGGTTCTGCACATTCTTGAAGAGTTTCGCAGAGTACTTGACGGTTGAGTGGATTGTGAATGCTGGCAAGGCCATCGAAGCGAGACCTTGGAAGATGGATCGTTTCACCATGAGTGTACCCACTGCACCATTGGCTTCATCGTGGACGTATTTCGCCTTGTAGCCTTCATACCCGACATCGCCAATTAAGTAAAGCCAAGAAACCGCATAACCAGCGGTAACGACTGCTGGGGGCACAACAGGACGGAATGCCTCGCCGATATCTAGGCATGTCAGAAAAAGTTCGAAAAGATTTCGACATGTTCAAGACGTACCAGAAGTGTAAGCGACATAACGGGAAGAAGTGAGCAAGTAACGTTGCGCACGCGCCAGGTATCCTAGGTAACGCGCATTGGAATCCAATGAATCGACTTGGCCTTCAACAATCTCTGTCTTGACCTCTTTGACTTCCTCTGTCGCTTGCTCGGTGATGGTCTTGGACATTGGGCACCACGGATGGAGTCTGGTATGTAGGGTGCGCTGTTTTTATGGTTTTGTGGTTGCTGCCAGGAATGACGCACAAAGGCCGACACTCGAGCTGCCATCGCGACAACACAGTGGATATTTCCCGGATCATAAGCAGTAGAGGCGTTGCAGATGGCGCGGAGCGGTCTTCAAATAGAGATACGGAGTCTCTATCGTGAATGCATGCGGGCAGTCAATCGCAAACCAGCAGAAACGCAGCCACGGTGGTATGCTTTCGTAAGGAGACAATTTGACGAGCACATGTCCATCAGGAAGAAGGATTTCGCGACACTCGAATGTAATGTGATGCTTCTATTGTGCAGATTGAGGCTGACACTATAGATCATGTTCGCATGGGCAAAAAGAAGCTTGAAATGTACAACCAACCCAGCATCAAGGATATTCATCTATGAGGACAAGTCGTTTGCGGACTGCTGTGGCATGCATTGACTGGGATCTAGCATCACGCAGTTGCCTCTCAGTCCGGGTCGATTATTCCCGGCTTAGCATCATGCAGGCCCAACTCAAGACTGAAAAAGCTTCTGATGGATAAGTCGCTTTCGGGCAGCTCTTCGTCTACCAAGCCTGCCTTACAAAGGTTCGCCGGCCATACACAAGCATGTCTGAATATGCCATTCTTGTGGCTCCAAGTGAGTGTCAATGCCGTATGTTCTGCAGGCTCTGTTCCAGACATCAATTGACTGACAAAGACATCATGGAGTTCATCTGTTGCACGACTACGATGCTCATTGTCTTCTCTGGCAGTCAAAAGTAGCCTATACAGCCTCAAGTAGAGACATGATCCATGCAAGTAGATGCGTGTGCCTGTCCATCTCGTCGCGTGAACCTTTTCCAGCACAAATCGCACTCGACCGCATCCAAAGTCCTTGACCCTCCCGCTTTCTCTCTCATCCAAGCAGCTTCGACGCACACACATCTGGCATCCACGCGCGTGCTTCGCTCAATAAGATGAGTCGTCGCGGAGGTCGAGGTCGCGGCGGCGGGCGCGGTGCTGGCTCAAGTCGCGATACCGATGTACACATGAACGACATGGGTGTCCCCACGGGCCCTTCTAGATTGTATGGGCCCTTCCATACTCAACAAGAATGAGCAAAAATACTGATGTAAAATAGTAATCCTTATGGCGGTGGATCAAGAGGTCGAAACAATCGGCGAGGTCCTGAGCAGGATAAGCTCAAGCAGATCGACATCGCGGTAAGCCCTCTATCTCCGCAATAGATCGGAAGGAACAAAAAAGCTAATACGGCAACAGATTCACGGGGCGCATGGAGGAAGTCACGAAGATCTGATTGCCTTTATCCTTCGCAAAACGCGTGTTAAAATCTCTCATCTACGCAATAATGGCAGTGCGCATCCAATACTCGTTGCGGTGCATTCTCAAGCCGATGCTATTGCACTGGAAAAGGCGAGTGGCTTACGCTTTGCGGGTCATATGTTGGGTATGCGACAGGTGACTGGAGATGGCGCATCAGGTTCACCAGCAAAGGGCATCACGCCCGACAAGACCATTGACACCCTCAAACAATTTCTGGCAACGCGATATGCGCCTGAGAATCGTATGCTGGATCTCTCTCGCATGCATGAAGACCCGTTACTGCTTGGTATCGGACTCGTGGCGAATACATCTGCCAGTTCAAAAATGTTTCCAGCGCTCATGAAACTCATGTCGCAAGAAAAGATGGATGTGGCATCTGTCAATCTCGAATCCAATAAGCTTAGGGATGTGGCAGGTATTTCTACACTCACGCAGACATTCCCAAAACTCAGAAACTTGAGTCTCGCCAATAATGACTTTCGCAAATACGCCAATCTGGATGCTTGGGCTGGGAAGAACAAGCTTGCTAATCTGCAAGAGCTCATCTTGACTGGCAATCCGCTCAGGGAAGAGGAACTCGCGAAAAACAGATCTGTCGAGTATCGCAGTGAAATCACAAAGCGTTTCCCCGGGCTCAAGATGCTGGACGGACAACCGATTGCAGCGGGCATCTCTTTCGATGTGGATGGTGTCGATGAAGTTGGCAGAGCTGATGCCAGTAGAACAAAACTACCGTTGCCTGTGATACCATCCTTTTACGAGACAGAGACTGTTCAAGCAACAGTGATGGAGTTTCTCGGCAGCTTTTTCCCGGCATACGATCAAGATCGGTCAGTACTCGAACAAGTCTATGCCGAGAATGCAGTCTTCACCATGTCACTCAATGTCAATGCTCCTCGCAAGAAAAGCAGTGGCGCGTTTGCAACGAGTAGTTGGGGTCCCTATCTCAACAAGTCACGCAACTTGGTGCGCATCACGGCACTCGATACACGCATTGTACGGACCAATGTTGGGCGTTCAAAAATCATGCAAGCACTCAAGGAACTCCCCGTCTCTCAACATGATCTCTCTGACGGAGCTCTCTTTTCCGTTGATAGTTGGTCGTTTCCGACATCAGAGGGACATCAGCTGATTGAAATCTGCGTCCATGGCGAATTCAAGGAGAAGATTTCAGCAAAGCAAACAACAAGACGCAGTTTTGATCGGACATTTGTATTGGCGCCAAATCCGAATGGTGGAGTCTTCATCAAGAGTGATTTGTTCTTGTTGCGCGGTTGGGGAGGTAGCGATGCCTGGCGAAGTAATGGACCACCCATCGCGGCGGCAGCAGGAGCAACAGGAGCAATAGAACCGATTCCAGCTACTGTGAATGGCGCAGGAGGAGCAACAGAGGGTCGTCCGCCTGGTATTGACGACAAGCAATTCGCAATACTCACTGCACTACAACAACAAACTGGCTTGAATATGCAATACGCTGGCATGTGCTTGGAGCAATACAATTGGGACTTGGCCGCTGCTGTGGAAGTGACGAATAGGTTCAAGGCGAGTGGTGACCTACCAGCGGAGGCGTTTATTTGAGAGACAATTTTGGACAATGCTTCATGATGGCACTTCATGGCACAGGCAGAGATCGCACCCACTGCAACCCAACATTTTTGTTTCGTAGCATTAAAAGACAAAAGGAAATCATGTGCTGTACAATGAAGTGATGAGTATCATCTATGCTGTTCGTGTCTTGGCGTCCAATTCTGCCTCGAGCGAGCGAATCTGCTGCTGCTTCTCTGCAGACATCTCATCATAGTCCAACGACCAGTATCTAGCAATCAGCAAAGCGCTAGGAACAGCAATGAGCAACATTACAGATAGTGCAACGAGTAATAGGTAATGCTAGACATGAGAAAGACGCGTGTCAAGGGTCTGCCGAATTGCCTGTAGAAGCCAATCTGAGCATGTCAGTTCTTGTCTTTGTGTCGTGAGCATGCATACATGGCGTGATTCAGGTTTTGGAGGTCTCGGTGGGAGTGAAGTAGCTTGTGCAGTATTCTCTGCTTGCCGCAGCAGCCTTGTTATTCTCATCTAGCTGTAGCTCTTGTAGGACTGGTACTAATACTGTGCTATGTTGTGAAGTGTCGTAAAGTCGAAGTCTCTACGCCGCACCTCGCTTGATCCGTGCCACATCCACCGCGTCGAGAAAGAGACCAGCTAGACACCGGCCATATCCACCGCAGCCGCCATCCTCGGTCTACTGCTAGTCTGACTCCCTTCAAGACAAGCAGACGTCTCCTCCTTGCTAGATCCACTGCTTTCCCCTTTCCAAAAGGTCGCGCTTGACGCATTGCAATTAGAACGCGCTTGACGCACTTCCCCTCCGTTCCTACACGATGGCCAGCTCTACTACTCCTGGGAAGCACGCAACGACGACGATTGGCGAGCGGCCACGGCCCAGCTTTGCACCGCTTCGACTACCACGTACGTTCTCTTCCAAAGAGATCGATGAAGGCTAATGCAGTAGTACGTCGACGCTTGGCAACGGTTGCCGTTTTGACGCATACAGTCTCCATTGCACTGGCTGTATCCATCTTCTTCTACCTTTGCTCGCTTCCAATCCTCTGGCCAGTCAGTCATCTTCTACCTTCTCTATTCGAGGATCATGCTGACCATGCTAGATCATCGTCATCTATGTTATATGGATGATATCAGACACCGCCCCCGACAACGGTGTTCATCGGCGAAAGCAATTCATGAGAAAAGGCAAACTCTGGAAGTGGTTCTGTGATTACTTCCCATTAAAGTTGCACAAGACTGCTGATCTAGATCCAAAGCAGAGCTACATCTTTGGTATCGTCTTCTTTCCCCTTAGATCTTTGGATCTTTGTGAAATTGTTGCTAACATGGCATAGGATATCACCCGCATGGAATCATCTCTATGGGTGCGTTTGGCGTCTTTGCAACGGAAGCTGCTGGCTTCAGTACTCTCTTCCCAGGAATCCACAATTCTCTCTTGACCTTGAGTTCAAATTTTAGAATTCCCCTCTATCGAGACTACATCATGTCCATGGGCATTGCCTCTGTCTCGAAACGATCTTGTGAGAAGCTACTGGCACATGGTCCAGGTCATGCCATTACCATTGTCATTGGTGGTGCGCAGGAGTCTCTCCTCTCAAAACCACACGCAAATGATCTTGTCTTGAATAAACGTCTCGGTGTCTTCAAAATCGCCATGAAGAACGGTGCCTCGCTCGTGCCAGTTTACGCATTTGGCGAGAATGACGTATATCGTCAAGTCGACAATGAACCAGGTTCATGGCTCTATGGCTTTCAACAGTTATTTAAGAAAGCAGCTGGATTTACAGTTCCGATGTTTCATGCGCGGGGTGTGCTCAACTACGATTTCGGACTCATGCCGTATCGTGCACCCATCAATGTGGTTGTGGGTAAACCGATTCGTGTTGAGAAGAATACAAATCCATCGTTGGAGGAGATCAAGGCTGTGCAAGCGAAATACATTGAAGGTCTTACGGCCATTTGGGAGCAGTATAAGGATGATTTTGCAACCGACAGGGAAAAGGAGATGACGCTGATTGAGTGAGCGAGCGTTCAGCGTGCTTGAGAGGTGTCCCCGTACAGATTTGACCTTGTTTTCTCGCGTGCGTACTGTTATAGACTTCCTGCATGTCCGATTACTTTTGCTCGATGCTCTTGGACGTGTTGAGGTTGGATTAGTTTGGCTGCATGAGCTCTGCAAAGAGCGTGTCGCGGACTTGGATAGCAGCTGCAATGTCTGCTTGGAAGGTCGTCAATGCTTGCCTCAACTTGGCATCAATCTCATTGCCTTCCTCAATCAGCTGAATAGCACGCTGCTTGGACACCAGGAACTCGGCTTGACTATGCGGGTCATTAGTACCTGCGCAAAGTGTTGATGACAAGCGACACCACTTACAAGTCTTGAAGCAGAGATTGGATGCTTGCCTTGTAATCCTCCTCGAGCGTACTCAACGCCTGTGCATGTGCCGTGATGGCTTCATCGCGCGCAGCTTTACGGGCATCTGCTGCACGTAATCGAGCATCGCTCATGGCGCGCTCAAAGTTGACATACCTGACGGAAGTGTGTTAGATGACTCTGCGATTCGAGGCGGGTGACTGGGTGCAGCTCACTCATCTTCAATGTCATGCTGTGTCTCCCTTTCTCCGCTGGACACGAGGGACATTGTGGGCTGATGTTTCGCTGTGTGTGGTTGTACTTCAGGGGTCGAGTTGGATGACTTTACTAGAAAGAGAAAGAGAAAGAGACGCCGGGCGCTGCAAGACAGATCTAGGTAGCAAGGGCGACATGGCTCACGAGGCCTTCACCCCGAGCACCTCCGCCAGCTGAGCAGCATTCAAACGACCACCCATCTTGGCCCGCTGGAACTTGGCTCGATGCGCAAATCGACCATGCGCAACAGGTGCAACCACAGGAGCCACAGCTGCATCCTCGTCGCTGCTGACACTGCTCATGGATGCTTCTCTCCGCCGCTTCTTGTCCTTCTTGGAGGACCTTTTGCCAGTCTTATCTGAGGTGTCTTTCGCTAATCGCTTTGCTTCCCGCTTCGCCTGCCTTTCCGCTTTCCGTTTCGCTTTGGCAGCTCTTGCAGCAACCTTGAGAGCCTTCTCGTCGAGCTTCGCATCTCCTGTTTCATTCACAACAGTACTTGGCGCTTCCAGTCCAAGGCTCTGGTAGAATTTGGCCTTGGACAGCTCAGACGTGAAAGTCTCCCCCTTGACAAACCGTACATCCAAGCCGACCCTTGCTCCTTTTGTATTCATAAAGATGACACGCTCTTCTTTACCAGAAACTGGTTCAGCAGGTGTCACCGCACCGGAAACTTCTGCGCTGTTGAGTTTTGAAAAGAGCGCATCAAAGGCATACAGCCCATCCCATTCCTGCGCATGCACAGGCGTACAACCAATACCAGCCGTATCATCTTTATAGGTTGTCTTGATATTCACCGTTCGACCCGTCAGCTCAGTACCGAGACCCTGGCCAGGCTGCCATCCTTGCGAGGATAAGAGTTTGAAGCCGATGCCTTTCTCGTTATTGATCCAGTTGGTATTGCGCGGATCCTTGTTGATGCGCGTGTTCTGCCGCGCACCGGCAAGACCCATCTGTGGTCTGATGGAGTGCCCGGGCTGTAGATGCGACCGAGGAACGGTAGATGTTTATGGTCTGCTGCGTCCAAACTTTTTTTTCGGCGTTCTCAGGCTTCAGCAGCAACCACTCTGCTCCTCTGCACTCTGCACTCTTGATCCTCGAGAATCACTGCTCTGCTGCTGCTCAAGATGGTCATGCTCTCTGTCCAGAACCTTGTGCTCGTCTACACAACTATGCTCTCCTCGCTCGCTGGTTTCTGCATCTACGATCCGCGCATCATCCTCAAACAAGGCACAGTCCAGCTCATTGCCGATGCCATGCAAATTCCGCACTATCCCTACCCACCGGAATCACTCAGCATTGCAGGCCTTCTCCTCTTCTTTCAAGCATGGATCTACCTCACCATCTATGTACGCAACGACATCGGCTTACTAGCTGCACTCACACCGCTACGCTTTCTTTTCAGCTTTGCTCTGTGTGGATGGAGTTACTTGACCAGCAACCTTGCAGTGGGCAATGCACTCGTCTTTTCCGCTGCGTTTGGAGATTTGATCTTTCAATTTTGGTTGTATGCCACATTACGTGAAGCGACAGCCAATGGTTCTGGCGCTACACCGGTTGCATAAACTACCCCGACACATGCCTCTCAACAGGACGAGGTTATTGCGCGTGCGGTAGTGTACGTGGTTCATGAGGTGCTCGAAATGGATCCGACTTGATGGACGTCACACGCGTCGGCTGTTCGCCCTTTCGAGAGACTGCCCGTGGAGCTTCCAATGGCTGTGAGAGTGGTCCACTTGAAGTTGTCATGGGACTCGACATGGCCATGGCAGGTAATGTATTGAGGCATGCGCCAGGTGATGAAGCGTCCATGAACGGTTGTGGCATCAAGTTCATCTCTACCGCTGTACCGAATGGCGCGTATAACTTTGCTGCAACGGCAAGCCATCGCAGAAGCACATAAAAGACCAGAACCTGTGTTGAAACGCGAAAGACATCAAGTGCCACATCCAACACGAGCTTCTGTACCGCAATATGACGGTCTTGCCGGAAATCGATTTGGGCGATGGCATCGTTATTGCCATACACTGCTTCAATGGCATCCTGCATACGTTCGACGTATTCCACTTTTGAAACGTATAGGGACATTCCCACACAAGCAAAAGCTCCGGCAGTGAGGAGGCAGTACAACAAGATTTGGTATATTCGCCAGCGTTTACCAACAATGCGTTTAAACAACAGACTGCCAGCAAACGAGACAAAAGCCAGTTCACACAATGCAAACACCAAGCTGCTTGTCCGATCCAGTCGTTGTCCAAACTCTAATAAGCCTTTTGCAGCAACCCCTAAGCGAACGAAACCATCTGCACCCAAGTAAACGAGCGACAATCGCCAATGTCGCCAGCGTAATCGCCATTTCGCCCGCTGTCGCTCAAAGTCCTCATCGTAGGCAGGTGCTGCAACGATGCCTACAAAGTCTCCATATCGACTCATCTCGTTTCTTGAAATCGTGCGCAACAAGCAGTGGCAGATTCGCTGGTCTAGAATCGTCTGATCGCGCGAATTCGATGGTCTTGAAGGAATAGGCAAGGGAGGAAGGAGGGGGATGTAAGAGGAACACGCATCCGGGCCATCCGCTTCTTCTCCTGACAAGAATCCACAATATTTGTTCAGAGGTGAAACAAATGTCGCTGCGGCTCGTATGCGGAGTGTTGTACTTACTGCATTAGCGTCGGCATGGTCACAGCTCGATTTTGACTGTCACTTCAATTCTGAGTGAGAGGTTTGTGAAGCAGTAGAGGGGAGCACAAGGGGTGATGTAGGATATCAGGTGGCTGCATGGAGCGAACATGGTCTGAAACACATGGCACGACGCAGCGTCGCCATGCACCTCCGCAGCCGGAACTTGTACTTCTCATTCACCGGTCTGGATTGTAGCCGTCTGAGGATGAGCTTTATAGAAGCTTGAAAAGGCCATTTGTTTCTTGTTCTCCGGTCCACCGTTGAAGTGCAGAAGTCGCAAAAAATAATGGACACGGCGCGCCTCGTCGACCTCCTCAAGAAGCACCAGCGACGAGCGGCTCGCGCAGCACATACATTAGGTTCGCCAGTCGATAACGCCTTTCCACAAATCGATACATCCTCGTCAGACACGACTGCTGCTGTTGCTGCTAACGTTTCGGCTCGGGAAATCCTCGGCGTGGCTCATGCACTCGGTCTAACACCCTCCAGTCCCCGTGATTTGTCGCGAACTGGATCTTTTGCACCGTCTGGATCTGCGGGTAGTGCTATGACGAGCGATAGTGAAGGGAGTGATGAAGGTGGAAACTTATTGACCTCTATGGTTTCGTCAGCCAAGCGCTTCCAAGGCCTGCTCAAGACTACAGCCGAGGATCAGTATATCGAGTTGGCTGAACCGTATCGTATCTATCAACCCGGTGACCAAGTCAAAGGGCAAGTCATTGTCAAGCTGGCGAAACCAACACCGACCCTGTATATGTCATTGCGACTCACGGGACAGGTGTTGACGGGACAAGGTAAGCAACGTGTTCGCAGTACACTCTTTACTGAATATCTGTTGCTCTATGGCAAACAAGCCGGTGGCGAGGTTGTGTCGGAGCGAGCAAGCACGACCTCTAGTTGCCGATCTAATCGCCAAAGTTGGCAAACACAAATGATGGAAGCTGGTCGGCATGTGTTTGATTTCGCTTGCCAATTACCAGACAAATCACTGCCTTCTAGTGTCGATTTCGGAAAAGGCAGCATTACTTATGGCGTACGCTGTGATCATCAAAAGCCACGATCATTGCTGTCGAGGGGGAAGAATGCGTGTCGCAAGAATTTGCAAGTACAAGATCTGATTGATATTGCGCTGATTCCACGACCAAGACCTTGTATACTCGATCCAGACGCGAAATCAAAAAGAAGAGAAGGCGCAGGCCGGGTGCGCGCGTCGATCGAGTTGGCACGCGCAGGCTGTCTGGCTGGACAGACGATCACCTTGACGATTCAATTACAACACGTCAAACCCATCAAGAACTTGCGGGGTGTGGTGGCCACGCTCTATCGGCTCTCTCGCTTTGATGTCACAGACTCGGCACCTCAGTCATTTCGCAAGGATTTGGCACAGAGTATTTCACCACTTCTCGTGGATCCTGCAACCTTACGCTTTAAGGTATCGCCACGCCTCAAGATCCCTGCAGATACATTTCCAACCATCAAAGCAGCTGGACCTGTCTCCTTTCGCTATTTCGTCGAAGTGGTGCTAGATCTGAGTTCCAAAACGACAGTCTGGCAAACCGGTGCGTCGTCGCCATCCGATAACGGTCAGCATTTCAGTGTTGAGAATGGTGGTGCGGCTATGGATACGGAAGCCTTGAAACGCGAGAAGGATGCGCATTGTGTTGTATTTGAAGTGACGCTTGGTACACGCGACTCAGCGACAGGACGACCTGCTGATTTACAACGACGAGAGTCTGCTGATGTGATACAGCAAATGCCATCCCCTGCTAGTCAGCACTCGCCACGCCTTTCGATCCAAGCTACCAACCAACACGCTACACGTGAGAGAAGCCGGACTATTGCCTCAGAGAGTTCGTTTGCGAGCCCTCAAGCGATTGAGTTTGATGTGGTTGAGAAGCAAGCGATGCGACAATTTGAGGAAGCATTGCTGCCCTCTGAGCCGCCGATGGCCTATCAAGATGCAGCATTGCCAGAGCAAGAGATTCAAGGGTCCAGTAGTCGCCAGGATGATAGTTCAGGAGTGCCGGATATGTCTTTATTGCGCCAGGGGTCTGGCAAGCTACGTTCAGCGTATGCGCGTGATGATGCCGCGGGATTGCAAACAGCGCCAAAGTTTGGTGATGGCTCGTCTCACCTGAGGCCTTCTTCGCCTGGCATGGCAATTGAGTCGTCCTTGTCAGAACATGGTGGTCACTCGCCGCATTATCAAACGAGTGGCATCCCAAATGCGAGTCAGGTTGATCGTGGGGGCGATGCCGACGCTGTGATTGAGCAAGAGCTGCCGACTTATATGCAAGCGAGACAAGTACGATTGTCGGATCCTGCTGTGCGAGGCTTTGGACCCTCGTGAGGCATGAGATGATACCAAACACATCTATGTATGTATGTATCTATGTATAAGCTATCTATAAGCTCTGTAGCTATTCTTTCAGATGGGACGGCGTTCAAGAATTAGCCGAGTTGAGTTTCACGGCGCCAACTCGATGCCACGTCGACTCAAACCTCCACTCTGACACCTCATACACTCCAGCGATGCACTTCTCCCTTCTCTCCCTCCTTGCTCTTGGTACCGCAGTTGTCTCTGCCGCACAGGGACCGCTCATCACCAATATCGTTTACCTTGACATCAAGCACGGCGACAAGGAACTCGGCCGAATAGAAATCGGCCTCTATGGTAAGACTGTACCCAGGACGGCAGAGAACTTCAGGGCCCTTGCTACGGGTGAGAAGGGTTTTGGTTACAAGTCTTCCGGCTTCCACCGTGTTATTAAGGATTTCATGATTCAAGGTGGTGATTTCACGTATGTCTTTTCCTTACTTTGAGCGACGCTAACACTTTTCTAGCAATGGCGATGGGTATATTCACCTCCCGATGCGAGTACGAATGATGCACTAACAAAATCATAGCACGGGCGGCAAGAGCATCTACGGTGACAAATTTGACGATGAAAACTTCAAGCTCAAGCATACCCGTCCCTTCCTCCTCTCCATGGCCAATGCAGGTCCCAACACACAGGGCTCACAATTCTTCATTACCACTGCCGTGACGTCTTGGTTGGATGGTCGACATGTCGTGTTTGGTGAAGTGACCAAGGGAATGGAAATTGTTCGACAAATTGAAGATGTCCCCAAAGGTCCTGGTGACAAGCCGTATGCTGCCCCTCTCATCTTCCCATTGAACAAAATGCTAACCAAGTACAGTAAGGAGAAGGTTGAGATTGTCGATTCGGGCGAGTTGAAGGTAGAGACCCCTTTCCACTCTGAGCTCTAGTGTTCCTGAACCCTTGGCAAAGCTATGCTATTTCTTTCTAGAGATGCCATCAACTGAAAGGGGGCTGGATCAGTTTAGCTGTTAGGAGTTCAGTACCACAGCCAAAGAGATCATTTTGTGTTAACCTATCGCTTCTCTGTAGTTGACGGCCGCTCAGCTCGAACAAATCAACAGTGCTGACCGAACGGCCATGCCTGTGCTCAAGAGCAGTAGCAGTGCAGGCTACGGGATGGGATCATTCTTACTCTTGGGAGCTGTTGCATTGGCTGCAGGTGGTCTGTATGCCAAGTACTCTCGCAACTCTGGTTCCAAGGTTGCATAAAGTAAGACACGTACCAAAGAGATTTGTATGGAAGTGGATTTATCAGTATACCAGGTACCCTAGACACTACACTTGTTTCATTCCACAGAAATGCTTAAACTCTTGGTTCCCCTTCCGAATTGATTTCGCGAATATGCATGAGCCCGTGCTGATGAGTGTGTGTAATCACTGCTCGTCCATTCGGCCAAATATACCCTCTTCGTCACCTTCCTCGTCATCATCTTCAACAGCCTCTGAGCTCGCTTCAGGTGATTCGGCATCATCATCCTGTTCATACCCAGCACCTTCCTCCAAAATAATACCACGGTGTCCACCAAAGGACGAACCAGAAATACCAACAGACGTGCCATACGGTGATGGCGACGGTGAGTGTGCCAAGATGCCAGGCGATCCTGAAATCTTGCAGAGAATGGAAGCGGTTTCGAGGAGTTGTACTTTTTGATGCTTTGACAGGGCTTGTCCTGCTGGTACGGAAGACCAGTATGGGCTGTGTTCCCACCTACGCTGTGTCAGTCATGTTGACTAAGGTCAAGGAAAAGCATACAGGTGTTTGGCAAGACACTGCTGGTGCTTGTAATTCTGTAAGGATCATGTCAGCCAATGCAATGCAAAGATAAGAAAGCTTACCTTGCCGCAATGCGAACACAACACAGGCGCCGCTTCACTCGGCCTGCGTGACTTCCGTTTCACTTGTCCATTTCCCAGCATGGCAACGGGTAATGATTGTGGGTAGGGTTGAAAGGCACTAGATGGTCGTGAAGGTTGTTGTTGCTGCATAGGCATAGCAAACGTCGCTGACGCAGCATCCTCTGCATGGACACCGGTACTGCCACCGCCGGGTGTGAGGGTTGTTGTGAAGCTATGTTTACGATCTGCCGTCATACTAGCGCGTCTGAGAGCTGAGCCGCGGGTGCTGTTGGTGAGGGTGATGGTGGTGGACGTTTGCGGTCGGTGTCCACTCATTTTCTTTTCCTGTGTTTAATGCTTTGAGGCGGATATCGCGCTTGCTTCGTGGGGGAGGGGGTACTCCTGAGTGAAAGGACGTTGATAAAGGACGTGGGCTGTGTTCAGGAGGAAGGGAGAGAGTAGTGTGAGGTGCTTGAAACAGGGCTAGGTGTCAAGAATAGACAGAGAATTTTCGCCCCTTGGATGCGCAGGCGGTGTTGGAGGCTTGTTTGCTGTGATGCGATGGGTGTGCACGTACTGCTATGAGCTGGCCTGGATGGACATGGTTGCTTTGAGAGTGGTGGATGGGTCGAGTGACGGTCTTCTTTCTTCTTTCCCCCCCAAAGTCCAAAATTTTGAAAAAAAGAAGTCGCAGGCAGAGGTGGCAACTTGGCCGATTAAGCTCCCGTGGAAGGAAGGGCATGGGCTGGCCCGCATAAGAACCGGGGTATCGGGCTAGCTGGGGGCGAGTCAGGTAGTAGCAGCGGCCCTCTACATAGCAATCAGGCTACAGCAGTGAGCAACTAATGCATACTTCTACACAGTCACAGGCATCAAAGCACCTCCCTGCCACAAGGCTCCATCCCAAAGCATGCAATGAAGAGAGGCTCGATCGCACAAGCCGCACAACCGAGATCAGGGAGAGCGAAAGCCGGTCTCGCCGCGGGTGGAAACCAATTTTGGCCGAGGGTACATTCAGATGGGCTGGACTCTCCTGCTCGTCTATCTAGAATCTACAATCAGCTACATCTAAAGGTCCTTCTTCTCATTCTGCATGTCGCTAGTCTGGCCACCTGCCTGCATCATAAATGCACGTTCAATCCACTTGAGCACCTCATCAATCAAGATAATCGGCGCACTAATCAGCAACACCGCCTGCCACTCTGCCCAACTCAACGGCACAATAGAAAACAACTGCTGCAGTGCAGGGATATAGAGAATGGCGAAATGCAACACCATACTCAGCACAATCGCATACACCAATTTCATATTCTTCCAGAGCGGTAAGGTCAGCAGCGATTCCGATTGAGAGAGTGCATTCATTGCATTCATCATCTCAATCACCACCAAGATACTCAAACTCACCGTCGACGCTTGACGACTCATCTGGTTTGTGAACATGTCACACCCAACTGAAGGGAACTCAGCACTGCATTGATGAAAGTGGGTGAGTTGGTAGAAGGAAATGTTGGGACCATGTGGGTTCACCATGAACCACCAAGCGTACCCTGCAACAGTGGCAATACCAACATACGTGCCAATCACCATGTATCGGAAGAAAAGCCAACCAGTCACAAGTGGCTCATTACGGTGACGAGGTGCACGTTCCATGATGGCGTGGTCTGGCGGGTTAAAGCCTAGTGCTGTTGCTGGCAATCCATCCGTCACAAGATTCACCCAGAGAAGCTGAACAGGGATCAATGCTTCAGGCATACCAAGCAATACCGTCAAAAAGATAGACACCACCTCGCCAATGTTGGAGGAGATGAGATATCGGATGAACTGCTGCGTGTTGTTGTAAATCGATCGACCTTCCTCAATGGCCACCTCAATCGTTGCAAAGTTATCATCTGCCAAGACCATATCACTGGCCAGCTTAGCCACATCCGTTCCAGAACCCATGGAAATGCCAATATCCGCCTTTTTCAGTGCTGGTGCATCATTCACACCATCACCAGTCATGGCAACCACTGCACCGGCAGATTGAAGTAAATCCACCAATCTCGACTTGTGCGAGGGCTCTGTCCTGCTAAACAGCGATGCTTCTTGAACAGCAGCACGTTGCTGCGCTTCCGTCAAGTCATCAAACTCCCTGCCAGTATAAGACTTGCCAGCCAATAATTCATCCTCTCCAAACACACCAATGCGTCGACAAATGGTCTCGGAGGTTTCCTTATTGTCACCCGTAATCACCACCACGCGAATTCCAGCAGAACGACACTTGCGAATCGCTTCACGAACTTCTGGACGTGGCGGATCCAACATGGCAACCAGACCGACGAATGTCAAGTCTACCTCAAGCGCAGCATACTCTGCTGGAAAACTAGCAGATGTAATGACATCTTTAGTACCTGGAATGCCAGAACGAAGAGCCATGGCCATAACACGGAGTCCTTGTTTTGCATAGTGCGTGAGTTCTGCTTCTAGACGTTGACGCGTGTCTTTTTCAAGAGAGACAACCTTGTCACCTTGTAGCACGGTTGTGCATTGTGATAGGATTGCTTCTGGTGCGCCCTTGACGAGTAAATCAATCGACGACTGACCAGCAGCATGCACGGCAACAGCCATCCTCTTCCTGTCACGACTAAACTCGAATGTCGCAAGGCGTGTATTCTTCTCCATATAGTGCGCATTCGATGGACCAATCTTTTCAACGAGTGTCTTGAGCGCCGCTTCAGTCGGTTCACCCACATGAACATACCCACCTGTCGCAGGATCAACAATAATTTCTGCATCATTGCAAATGGCACAGATGGAAGCAAGAGCTTTGACGGGAACATCACTACCGCCGCTTGGGATGGTTGTTTCTGTGACTGCACCATCGGGTGCGTACGTCGTGCCTTCCACATCAAATGTGCGTAACTGACCCTTCTCAGCGACGACTGCGAAATGACATACTGACATCTTATTGGTAGTCAGGGTCCCCGTTTTGTCACTACAAATGACACTCGTACTGCCGAGTGTTTCAACAGACGGTAAACTGCGTACAATAGCATTCTTGGCTGCCATTTTCCGCGTACCGAGAGCAAGACAGGTGGTAATGACAACGGCGAGACCTTCGGGGATGGCAGCGACGGCAAGGGCCACGGCAATTTTGAAGTAGTAGATGGCACCGGCAACGACACCGCCATGTGCTGGATCCCAGAAGTTTTTGAAATTAACGGCCCAGACGAGGATGCAAATGACAGTGATGACTTGAGCGAGACGGTCACCGAATTCATTGAGTTTTTCCTTGAGCGGCGTAGGTTCACTGATTTGCGAGCTGATGGATTGGTGGATGCCACCGATGGCGGTTGCTGAACCTGTTTGGACGACCACGGCGCGTGCTCGACCAATCGTGACGGTCGTACCGGAGAAGAGGATATTGATTTGATCTTGCTTGACAGCCTTGAGATCCTTGACTGTCTCCACTGACTTGTGAACAGGCTCTGATTCGCCCGTCAAGATGGCTTGATCTATACGGAAGTTGCTTGTGAGGATCTCAATGAGCCGACAATCTGCTGGAACTTTATCACCAACAGCCACTTCCACAATGTCACCGGGAACGAGTGCTTCTGCACGAATTTTGAGCATATGGCCACCGTTGCGAAGTACTTTTGCTTCATCTGGACTGTACTCTGTCAATGCGGCAATAGCCTTTTCAGCAGAGGCTTCTTGACTCACCCCCACCACGGCATTAAGAATGAGGATGGTGAGAATGACAATTGGGTCGACAAAGGCCGTTTTATCATTTCCATCCTCAAGACAGGCAAGAACAAATGAGATGGCTGCAGCAGCGAGGAGGATGATGACGAGTTTATCCTTGAATTGCTCGAGGATGAGCTCCCAGATGGGTGTGGGTGGATCTTCAGGCAGGATATTCTTGCCGTATGTGGCTTCTGCTTGTTGGACTTGGGCATCCGTGAGTCCGCTTGCTGGATCAACTTGTAGATGTGCGAGGATCTGCCCGACTGGCTGGCTGTATGCTGCGTCCATTGCGTGCCTCGTTGGTTGTGGAATAGTAGATATGGTCGCTTTGTATTTCACTTTTCTGTTGTGTCAGTTCTGGCCACGTCGACGTCAATTTCTCTGCTGCTGCTCAATCATCAATTCCTGCTCCTGCTCCTGGCCCACCTGAGAGGCCCCCGCAGTAGTCATCAAGCAAACTGCGCTAGGGGCAACGCGATAACCCCGTCTATACTACACCCGAGCGCATCTCCTCATAGCATCAAAAAGGGCCCCTTTCAATCAGCTACACCCAGCTACCTCTGAGCGCATCAGCGCACACACAACTAGCCCCTCCGAAAGAGGGCGCGCATCTTATACACACCTCTTTAACAACACGTCATGAGTGCCGCCGAAGCAGGCCCCGATAAGACGCCACTTGCGCACTACAAAATTGGCCGCGAAATAGGCGCCGGCTCGTTTGCTAAAGTCTATCTGGGATCCATCAACGCGCGCCCTAATGCAGCTGTTGCTATCAAGTCGGTCCTGCGCTCCAAGCTGACCAAAAAACTACTGGAGAACCTCGAGAGTGAAATCAGCATATTGAAGGGCATCAAACATCGCCATATCGTGCAACTCCTCGACATCACCGATACAGGCTCCTACATACATCTGGTGATGGAATATTGCCCACTCGGTGACCTCTCCTACTTCATCAAGAAGCGCGACAAACTCAGCCAGGAAAATCAAGCGCCACTCTTGCGCGACATTGCTCGTCGCTACCCAAATACACTCGGTGCAGGCCTGCATGACTCGCTCGTCCGTCATTTCTTGAAACAACTTGCTAGTGCGCTTGAATTTCTGCGCTCAAAGAATCTCATGCATCGTGATGTCAAGCCTCAAAACTTGCTGCTCAAACCACCTTTGCTGGAGGCGTCGCCACAGAGTATTATTGGCTTACCTGACTTGCCAGTGCTGAAGTTGGCTGATTTTGGATTTGCGCGATACCTGCAAACAGCGTCGATGGCAGAGACGTTGTGTGGCAGTCCGCTGTATATGGCACCTGAGATTTTGCGCTATGAGAAGTATGATGCCACTGCTGATCTATGGTCAGTGGGCACAGTACTGTATGAGATGCTGGTTGGCAAGCCGCCCTTTCGAGCACAAAACCATGTTGAGCTACTCCGTAAGATTGACAAGAATGACGATGTCATCAAGTTTCCCTCGGAAGTGCCCTTGGATGCCGGCATCCAAGAGCTCATTCGTGCACTGCTCAAGCGTAATCCACGACAGCGCATGACATTCGAGGCATTCTTCACACATCCTGTTGTTTGTGAACCAATGATCCCCATACAAGCTTACAGTATCCACGTCGAAGGTGGTCGAGACTCATCTGCTGCTTCAGAGCGCTCACAACCACTCCTCATGCCAACACGACAACCTCGACAAGATGGCACGCATATCTCAATCCCATCACCAGCATTCATTACAGATCTGATACCTGTCAATACGCCACCGGTTGAGTCTATAGGTATGCAACCACTTACTGTGACCAAACGCCCAGAAGACCAAGCAATCGGAGAACAACGACCCGATCCGTCGCCTCGTTCTGCATTTGCACGTCGTGAAAGTCATTCTGCAAATGGTGCAAATCTCCCACGATCTCTTGGCCAACGCGCAGCGTCACCGCTCGAACGACGTATTTCACAACGCGGACAAACGGATGTTGTTGTGCCTGTTGGTTCGCGCAGATCCTCACACTCAAGTGATCAAGAACGCGCACGTCACGTTGCTGCTGCATCGTCTTGGAAACAACCACAGGGTCCAAGCTACGGTAGCAGCTATGGAAGTCAACTTGAACGCGAAAGACAGGGATATACAGCTGGTGGTGGGTATAGTCATTCACCCAGTGAAGCGGAAACGGAGTATGTTGTGATTGAGAAGAAATCCGTTGAAGTGAATGCCATGGCGGATGCGCTTGCATATGGTCAACAACAACATCAACAAGGTTTACGTCGGATGTATAGTCATTCTCCTCGGCAACACCAACAGCCGGTCCATCGATCTCCATCGAGTTCATCGTCACATAGTTTGTCGGCGATGCAAGTACAGCAACAAGCGAATCATGCGACTGTTCAAGCATTAGCCATTGCAGAAAGGCGTCTCGGATCATCCCCAACGAGTGCCATTACAAAAGCACTGAGTATTGCTGGACAACGTCTTTTTGGTGGCGGTAGTCCTCCTGCATGGCTAGAAACGATGGTGCATCATGGAAGACGATTACCGTACGCTGGTAGCAAAGCTGGTGGCTATGCACAATCATTGATGCGTCAAGGAGCGACGTTGTATCGTGGTGATCAACTTGGCCTGTGGCATGGTTCTGATGAAGCGTTGTCGGGCGAGGAAGAGAAAGTGCTACAGGAAATTCAAGCCATTGCTGCGAAATCAGCAGTGGTGTATGAGTTTGCTGAATTGAAGCTCGGACAACTCATTCCACCACCTACGAGTAGTAGTCGATCGAGTGAGTTGGCGGTGGATGCATCACTCTTAACGAATGAGGCGATTGTGTCGTTATGCGAGGAAGCGATGGTCTTGTACCTCAAATCACTCGCACTGCAACAAATGATTATCGATACGGTGCAACGATTCATGTCAAGCGAGAACTTCCCCGGTGCAGGCCCAAAACTCACGGCTGTGGTGAGTTGGACGCGTGAACGGTATAATGAAGTCTTGGAGAAGGCAGAATACTTGGAACGTAAGAAACGTACCACGTTGCAGCTCGCGAGACCGGATCATCCATTCGAGGATATCTCTGCTGAACGGCTCTTGTATGATCGAGCATTGGAGCTGAGTCGTGGTGCAGCTGTGTGTGAGATGGCTGGAGAGGATCTCGGTCAGTGTGAGGGGGATTATGAGATGAGCGTATTGATGCTTGAAGCGATCCTCGAAACGGGCAGTAGTGGTGTGCAAGAAGGTGGGATGGAGCAAGATGATCGAGAAGCCATTGAGAGATGGGTCGGGTTGACGAGGAAGCGGCTGGATATGCTTCGTCGAAAGCTGGATGCCCTTGGGAATGGTGCGCCTGCGGGCTAAGGTGCACACCATGAAGTGACGATGAGAGTATATCAGCGTTTTGTTTTTTTCTCCCCTTTTTTTGGTTATCATCTCTTTAGCACAGGGCGAACACTTGCACATTTTCAATACTGTCTCTAGCACTCATGACTGCCTTGTGAAGTGTAGTACAGTTCAACAATGGATTAGGTAAGCAACTATGCTAAAAGTACAAGCATGCTTCAGCTTGTTTGGCGTTCATAAAATGCAATGTTCGCTTCACCCACAAACAGCTCGGATGCCGGAACCTGCCTCGCTTCCATACCAGCGCAAACCTTAAACCACCTTGCTTGTGTGCCAACCATGCGTTTGGTATAAGCAAACCAGTCATCTGTCAGAGGGTCTTGCATAATTACTGTAAACAGATCAAAGAGGGCTGGTCCTTGTGGCTTGACAAGCAGTGGTGACATATCAATCGTGATTGGCAGTTGCACAATCACCCTGTTGCGGTGCGCTTCACCCTCCACAGTGCGTTGAATAGAGAAGATGAGCGTCTTTTCCGGGAGGAAGAGCAACTTGTAACGCCTGCGTGTATTGCCGAGTTGTTCAAATTGATTTCCACTATAGCGTTCGAGTAAGGTTGTCAATGTCACACACAACTGGGCAGAAACGGCTCCGGGATCACCACCGGCGAAGACAGGAATGGGTGGAAGCGTTAACGCAAGGATCTTGTACGGTACAAGTGTCGCCTCTGCATTTGGATCGTCGCGAAACCTCAATTGCGGTGCCTGTGCATCGGTCAACTCCTGTATCTTTTGAGTTTGAATCAGTAAGACACCTTGCATCCCTGTTGAGATAATAGTATGCTTCGCACACCTTGGCAATTCGATTTTCTCGTCGGCAGTGTCCATGCTAATAGGCGCTGGTTTTGTTCGAGAGCCGCCGAGCTGGCGATGCAATGTGTCCAATAGGAAAGCCAGCACAAGTGCAGGGACTAGTTTCTTCTCCTGCGCAAAGACTCCGAGTGAGGTGTGAGACATACGAGCGGCTGCTTGGACTGCAGAGACATGATTGCGCAATCCACGACGCCAAAGTTTGCGGAAAAGGAGGGATAGTTCTTGCAGGAGTGGCGGCAAGCCAGCGTAATAGTCCCTGTCGTTTGGCAATTGGAGGAGCTTGCTGCGTAGGATGCGAACATGGGACAGAGCATGAAAGATCGCATTGAGCGCACCGTCCCTGCCGAGCTTGTGGATGGGAATCAGACCAGGACCATGGTAGATGCCGGGTCTTGTCTCGTGAAGTTCAAGCGTGTCTAGACCATTGAGATCGGTCTGCGAGTAGAAAGGATTGTACGCTTGTTTGATGTCGTGGAGCAGCAGAGACTTGCAGAGAGAACCCTCGGGAAGCACATAAATGACAGAGTCGGTTGTGCGCAAGAATAGACGGTGGTCTGTATCCAGCGAGTGCGCATATGCTGGCGTCGCCTTGCCACGTCCTTGTAGATACTCGCCACAGCTGAGACAGGCATAGACGTTTGTATCTGCCAGCGTTACGGAGCATAGCCTTGCAGCATCTGGCTCGAGTAGCTCTCTGTGGACTGTCTCCAGGTACAGATTGGGGTTCTCCTTCTCTCGCGCAGGATACATGGGTATAGTCTGAGCACCTTTGTTATCTGTAGCATCCTCTGCAGTCTCTAGCTTGCGCTTCTTGGCTAGCGGTTCGGGTGCTTCTGGCTGGTGTTGCTGAGTCATCCACCAGATTGTGGGTAATCAGCAGAAACGAAGCAGTGGGGGAGTGTAGCTAATAGCTGGTTATGTCACTGTATATGCCTGAGGGAGCAGCAGAGTATCCCCCTTCCTGTCCCTGTCAGTGCCAGCTGCTGTGTTCTATATTGAGCTTCCTGGGTGTTGCTGCTGTGTCGTCACTTGGTCTGGCTCCCGTTCTCTGCGCCACTCGCCCGCTGCAAGTCCCAAGTCAAGTCAAGCCGCCGTCTCTTGCTTGCCTCTGCCCCGGACGACAGAATACAAGGCAAGAGACACAGTCACAGCCCGCTCAGATACTCTCGCAGCACAGCAATACACACGGCCCACCATCGTTTCGACTCGCACCATCTTCTGACAAGCGATACCCGCTTAGACTCAAAAAAAAAAAACCCAGTTCTCCTATAGCCCGCCTCATGACAGAGAAGGACAGGCCGGAGCTCATACAAGTACCTGTCCCGCCAGCAGCAGTCAGTATGAACCCAGCATCCAGTGCAAATTTGTTCTCTTCCTACCCAATGAGCTATCCATCCGCCCAAGCATCCTTTGAGCGTGGGTCACTCGGGTCGGCGGGGACACAGTCAGTAGGCATACCGGCTGGTCCACCAGAGCCGCAACAGTCGCTACAAGGACAAGCACAGCCCAGTGCGAATCAGGCCATGTACGATCCTGTTCGATCATCAGACACGGCCGCAGCAACATTTGTGCCGACGTTTGATGACACGCAGCAGCAACAGAATGGCCACACCCTGTCGCAGACCACAAGCCATGAGTCGCAAGCCCAAAAGAGGAAAAGAACAGATCAGGAGAGACTCATGGATCTCGCTGCTACGTCGCCCAACGGCATACACAACCACAGCAGCAATACGAACCAATTCGTACCCCATTACAGCCAGCAAGGGGCACCCTCGCCACAAGACGAACACATGACGGGTACAAAACCAGAAGGTGCAAATGCACAGCAAAAGACACATGTCTGTGATCACTGTCAGGCTCGCTTCACACGACTACACAACCTCAAATCACATTTACTGACGCATACATCATCCAAAAAGGACTTTACATGCTCGGATTGTGGGAGTGAATTCCGCAGGTTGCATGACTTGAAGCGTCATCAGAAATTGCATACGGGCGAGAAGCCTTTTGCTTGTGATATCTGTGGCAGACGGTTCGTTCTTCACCCACTCTCGTTATAATTAAGACTAACAAGACTTAGATTTGCCAGGGCAGATGCACTTGGACGACACACGAAGTCAGCGAGCACAGAAGGTGGGTGCGCCAATACTCCTCGCAAGTCTAAATCCGAACCAGGATCTCTCCATGCCTCACACGACATTCACCATGATGCCCTGCAAGCCATTGTCAATGCCGGCAGCCAGAGTACACCGAATCCACTCCGGTCACTCACACAAATTGATACGAGTTTTGCTCCGCGTGATGAGTTTTTAAGGGAACAAGAACAGCAGGATGTTACAACAACGACAACGCATGTACAACCGGCTGTGCATGCATTACAACAAGCCTTCACAGCGACGTCTGGTCGACGTGGTCCACACTTCAACAATGATCATATTTTGGAGGCACAGCTCGTCACATCGCCTGGTGGGTTGAGTCCTCAGGATGACTTGGCGTTACGCTACGAACAGTTGTTGCAGCAGCATCAGGCGTTGCAAAGGTCTTATACTGAAGCCACAGACAGACTCAGGCAGTATGAAGATGCTGGCGCAATGAAACAATGAGGAAGGTGATGATTGGATTTCATAAGACAGATATCGGCATCTCATGATCACATATAGCCAATCTATGTCTTTTTGCGAGTACTAGTCCATGAATCAGTTTTTGTGAAGGTCGACGGCTTTTGAATGACGCACGAAACACTGGATGCGACTTGGACAACACCCACAAAAACAAGCAGACCATGAGTGCCATTACAAGAGAGGAGCAGGAGAAGTACTGGCAGGTAAACAATCTCTCTCAATCATGCGCATCATGACTAATCCTCTAGATCTTCTCCGGCCTCTCGCCAGTGGATAATCGTCTGACGGGCGAACAAGCGGCCGCCGTCCTCGCCAGCTCAGGCCTTCCTGAATCAGATCTTGAGCGTCTCTGGGACCTCTGCGACATCGATAATGATGGCATGCTTGATTTCGAAGAGTTCAGTATTGCCATGAAACTGCTATTTGATGTGCTACAAGGCAGTCTCTCCTCCATTCCAGCACAGTTGCCGGGAAACCTCGTGCCGAGCAGTAAAGCGCATCTCTTGACTGCTCAAAACGCACTCTCCCATGGTCTCGATATGGAACGTGTGCCATCGCCAGTTGAAGAGACAGACGCGCAAGGGAATAGGTTGTCGGGCAACTTCGACTGGTACATGTCACCCACTGACAAGGCCTCCTATGAATCCATCTACAACGCCAATGCAGATCGTCGCGGCGCAGTGAAATTCAATGCCCTCTCAGAACTTTACGGGACATTACAAGAGAGTGTACCGCTACGTGATATCGAACGCGCGTGGGACCTCATCAACCCAAAACGGCAAGAAGGCGTCGGCAAGGATCAAGTCTTGTGCTTTTTGCACATCTTGAATCAACGCTCAAATGGTATTCGTGTACCCACCTCTGTACCACCAACTCTGCGTGCGACCTTTGCGAAATCAGAGATTAGCTATGACACGAGCAAGTATGATAAATCTGGCAAACTCAAGTCAACGATAGCGGCTGAGTCAGAAGATCGTCAATCAGGTGGCGGCGCTTTTGGTTCATCCTACTTGACAAAACTCGGAACAGGATCGAGAGGGGCCAAACAACAAAAACCAGCAGATTATGCTGAGGATATCAAAGATGGTGATTGGGAACTCGTTCGATTGAAGCGAGAATTGGTTGATTTGGATGAGCAGATTGCAGCTGCGGAACAGGCAAGTCATGGCGAGCAAGCTGCCGCTCAAACGGGACTCATTCGCAGGGAATTGGAACAGTTGCTCGCCTTTAAGAATGCAGAACTTGCACGATTGGATGCAAGCTCAAGGGACGGACCTGGTAGTGGCTCCCTCAAGAGCGTACAAGAAGACATTGACATGTTTAAGCAACAAGTCGACTCGCTCAACGCCTACCTAGCGGATCGTCAAGCAACACTGGCAAAGCTAGAAAAGGAGAGAGATGCATTGCAGTCTTAAATAGGCCATCTGCCATCATTCATGCTAGAGTATATAGCCTCAGTTTCAAATAATATGTACAAGCTGCGTCGCTAGTCCAGCAAAGCTAGTTCATTTCCAACAAGCTCACTGACACGCTGTTGCATGAGTTGTACACCCTCATCGGGAAGTACAGCAGCAGCGTATTCACTATACACGGCGCGTGTGACATCCCGGTTGATGCGTGCAAACTGACGCTTATCAATCCGTTGGACGTCGTAGTGCGCTTGCAGAAGCATAACGACTTGTTGACTCACGAGATGTTTCGTCACTGCTTGTGTCAAGCTAGGTGTGAGGCCTGATTTTGACCCTGGACTCACAGGTGCAGCAAGTTTGTCGGTGTGGGTGGGCGAGTGACCAAAATAACCATCTGGATCAGTCTCAGCTGGGCTACACGGGGATCCTGGTCCGCTTGACAAGGAGGATCGCACGCTTCTTGAAGAAGATGCAGCAGGACTCGAGGCAACTGGTGGACTGATTGTGCCGCCAGAGATTGCGCCGTGTGCAGGTGTAGTGATTTTGAGTGGCGAGAGCTCGAGAGCTGGAGGACGCCGTATGTTGACCAGGATACCATCTAGTTTGCTGACATAGGCTCCTGATGAGGATGAACCAGTCTCACTTTGCAGGCGCTTGGCAGACTGTTCTCTCGTGCTTTGGGTATCGGCGCCCCTTTTTATAGGCGTCGATACTTGTTCGCTGACTCGCCGTACGGGTCGCTTCTGCTTTGTTGATCGAGAAACAGACTCACCGAGACTTGTTTGTTCAAGTGCAGGTGGTGGAGAGGGTGACCTTGTTGCTACTATTGCTGAGGGTCTCGAGCCACTCTGGCCAGTCGCATCAGCTTTCACACGTAGACGATCGAGGCCTGTAGCAGCCTTTTCAAATTCATGCCATAGATGAGCAGTGTGAGGATCTTCAAGCTTCTCGTCATCTGCACCAGGTGCAGTCTTTGGCCTGCCAGAGGCAAGACGAGCAGAATCAAGACGCGTACGCCAAAGTCGTCGTTCTCGTTCCTGTGCCGGCGTGAGTGCTTCTGTCTGTGTTTGTGCATGCTGAGTCCATTCAGGCTCTTGTAGATGGTTGGAAGCCTGGTGACGAACGCGACGCCACGCACGACGCCATTCTGCTAATCGTGCGGCACCTTCAATGGCACCTGGAGCTGGTCGCGATGTTCTGTATGTTCTTCTTGCTGTTGGATCTGCACGACGATCTCGAGAGGTCTGGGTGCGGCGAGTGCTTCTCGTATGTCGTCGGGAAGCGACCGTCCGGACTGGTCGAGATCTTGCATTGGCAGTAATTTCTGAGCCACGAATAGTGTGGCAAGTTGGACAGTAGAATGGGCCGAGCGGTAGAGCTATGTGGCCGAGACAAAGGGCATGATAGGTGTCATCACACAGATCGCACAGCATGAGTGTGTCGGTCTGTTCAGAGCTACCACACATGATGCATCGAGGTGGCTGATAGGGTTCGTAGTAGACACCACTTTGATCGTATTCTTCGTCATCAATGAACCAGTCCAGCAGCACACCTTCATCTTCTTCACCCTCCTCGTTGTAGTGAGCAATCTGTGTCTTGGACTCCACGGGGAGTCTGCGGACCGTTGCTGCATCGGCCTGAGTGGAGGCTAATACCTGCAACTCTGTAAAGTCTGCACGGCAGTAAGGACAACTTGTTGAGACTTGCGCCCAATCAAGTAGACAAGCAACGTGAAACCGATGTGAACAAGCGAGTTTCGCAGGTTCTTGATCTGGACTGGCGAGTAGCTGCGTGCAGATGGGGCATTCTTCCTCGTAAGGGGCAGCTTGTGATTCTGAGGCTAGAGCAGCTGCAGGGGGGTCCACAGTCCCTAGGCTCACTTCATCGTGGCTTTGAAGTATGTCTGAGACTTTGATATTGCTTGTGACACGTTCAATGCTTTCGATGGGCGGTTCAGATTTTACTGTGGCGGCTTGGTCATGGTCAGCAGCCAAATTCGCCTTCTCCATAGCGGCCCTTCAGCTGCGCTTCAAGTAGGCCTGCTATAGACGGCGCACAAGCTTTCAGTAGCTGTCAAGGGTCAGTTCAGATGACCCGACCAGGCAGTCACTTGTTTAGAGGCCCTAGAGACGCCTGACAATAGCTGCGGACCGAGATTGACTATGCAGGTCTTTTGCGGTGCTTGCCGTAGCCGAGCGTGATGATTCAATTTCGTTGCGTGCAGAGAGAGACACCCAAAGAGTTTGGCAGGCGACCGCAACTACACAACTGCTCCTTGAATACACCCTTGACATCTTACTCTAAGAAACGACTGATAGATGGACAAGCTAGGAACTGCCATATTTGCTCTTACTCTAAAGATTTTCATTATGCCGATAGTGCCCGTGCAAGAGCTGCTTCGTGTGTTACGCTCGAGCAGGGCTCGCCTACGAGCTAAAGCCTGCTAATGCAGACAAATTCTTTGGCGCTCACTCTGCCAGAGATGAAGCATTGAATGTTACATGTAGAATATGAGCCATGAATAGACGCGCTCATCACTAGTGCACTATTGACAATTCTTGCCATGGCTAGGTATTGACAATCATTTGATACGGTTTCTATGTTTCTTCAAGTGGCTCCTCAAGTCTCCATCTCATCGTCAAGGAGGTGCAACGCGTCGTGATGGACCAAGACTTGTTGGCGGACTGATTCGCGGAACACCGTTCCAGGCTGACTAGCCGACTGGTCTCCAGTACTGCGTGCAGTACCACTGTGGTCGGACCGAGCATCGTCTCCGGCATCTTCCACAATCCATTGATCATCAACATCAATCAGCATATTGTGCAACACGCAACACGCCATAATGAACTCGCATGCCAGGACAAATGAAGCCTCATCCTGAATTCGGATCCGCAGGGCATTCAGGCACTGGAACCGTCCCTTGAGTTGACCGAATGCATGGTCAATGTCGATTCGAACGCTCGACAGTCGTTCGTTGAAGTATGCATTCGCTTGTGATCGGTTTGCTGGCGCCTTGAAGGGAACAACTACCTGCTCTGTGACGGCATAAGCCTCGTCACCAAGAAGATACTCTCCGGGCTGGAAGAAGGACCCTGGATATCGGGTGATTACTGTCGCACCCCATACGCGTGCGTCGTCACAAGCATTGCTCACGCCACTGGTAAGAAACAAGAAACGACAATCAGAGTCGCAGACCGCGCAAAGGTCTACCGCGTACTCTTGCTGTTCATTACAGAAGCTCTCGCCATCGTAGAGCCCACCAGGTTTTTGAGCCAAAACGATACCTGTGCTATCAACCTTACCGATACAACCGGCAAAGCCTGCGCGACGCTCATTGACCCGGCGCTCGCGCCTCTTTCCAGCGGCCGTTGGCCAATTAACTTTGTCATCCAAAAGACTTCTGAGCGCCTTGACTACGCGTCTGGTACAGTCAAAGACATGCCCTGTTGAGCAGCCGTTGAAAATTCCCAATTGAACGAAAGAGCTCCCGTTGCCGGAGGATCCCAGCCGCCATAAGGCAAGCAGAAGCTGATGAGCGACTGGGGCTTGTGGCGGACCGCGAGCATTTGAAAATACCGGGTGGTCTTCAATCGATGCCACCAAGCTATGGTAGGAATCCTTGCTGCAGCGGAATAACTCTCGGAAGCGATCGTCGCTGTATCTTGGTAGTTCACTTAGTAGCCTGTGCGAAGTCCTTGGGACAGATGGCCTAGCCTGTAGATACCTAGTATTTTCGACGTACGCCAGGAGGGTCAGCAGAAGGATGCGCGTCTCGTACTCATCATCCTCGGCAGCGAGTTCTGCTGATGAAAGATAGGTCGCCAGAGCATAGCCCCGGTTAGGCATGGTGGCCATCGCACATTGGAATACGTCCAGGTCTCCTGCAGAGCTGCCACTGGTGATGATACCAGCCAGGAGATGAGCTTGCAGAAGGAGCCGGGACCTCTCACGCGAAGACTGTGCCGGCATCGATGTGTTTGATCATGGTCGTTGTGCGCGCGTGGACGGATTTTGGGCCTCAGCCAGTCACGGGAGTCACCGCAAGATGGCGCGCGTTGAGGACGCTCACCCGACAGATGCCATAGATTTATTTAATTTGTTCGTCGTGAAGTTGGAAACTCTGAATTGCCCTAAAGTCGACATGGGTACAATCAACACATTTCCAGGTACATTGATGAAAGTCAGAGTCACATCCTGCTGCTTGACCAATACGTATCAGGCGAAGCAGCAATGTAGCAGAAGTATATACTATCGCAGATTCAATTGCTCGTCAGCTGTCATACTACGCAACTTCTCAAGGCTGGCACGAAGAGGTCGACTGGATGCATCTCCTGTTACTGAGTCTGCCAATGGGCCATTCTATGCGTACCGCATCACACATTCTTGCCTTATCAAGCACCATGAACCACATGGAAATTATGGAGCATCGAGGGCGTGCGGGAGACCTTTCTCGAGATGAGCAGATGGTTGCGTTGATGCTCTTAAAACAATTTACGCATCATCTCGATTTGCTCGTCTAATCTGGTTGCTATCCTGATCAAAACGACATGCTAACGCCAGCCAAGTATTTCAAGGAAGGAGGACTGGATTTTGGCACAAGCAAGTGACGTCTGCTCATGCCTGATAGATAGGTGTTCATGTGTAAATGTGTGTGATCTGATCACGGGTGGGCGAGATTCGACGCGGGGTCTCTGTCGACTTGCACCTCACCGTCAAACTACCCAAACAATGCTCCAGATTCCCACACGAGAGATCCTGAGCTTGTGGCTAGGCCGTGTAGGCCCGCTCAAGGAAGCCACCAGTGCAAAGCTATATCAAAGCTACTTTGCGCGCGATTCTGCCTTTGATGCAAAGTGCAAGACATATGAACCACATATCAACACACTGATCGCGCATTACAAGGAACAAGACTTGCCATCGCTCGATCCGTATGACTCTATCATCACGGATGAATCTGCCGTTGCTGCATTTCCCAAATCAAAGGATGAGACATTGAGCCATATCCTACTCCTTGACCAATTCTCGCGCAATATCTGGCGTGGTCGTGAAGCGGTCAAGGTCTACAACGAAGCAGACCCCATTGCTCATCAATTGTCCATCTATGCTCTGCAAAAACAATGGGACGTCGAATCTGACTGGCTCGAATTATTGTTTATGAGCATGCCATTGACGCATGCAGAAAGCTTTTCCTCCCACATCAGGCTGCTTCGTACCTATCTCGCTAAAATTGAACAAGTCGACAAAGCTGTACAGGCTGGCGAGAAGACGACACAGGAACGTGGCGTGGCGTTGCTTGCTCTCAAATCACAGTATGAGCATCTCGATCTCATCAATCAATTTGGACGCTACCCACATCGCAACAAAGTGCTCAATCGCGGTGCAACAGATGCGGAGGTCAAGTACATGGCAAGTGGCGGTACTACCTTTGGCGCAGATGCATGAAGGGCGAGATTGTCATTATACAAAGATGCCACTGCCGTGCATGACGAGGTTCGTGGCCGACATGGCCAATAAGGCAACAGGTGTCGGACGGAAGGAGGTCAGACTTTTGAAGGCGTATGAGGCCGTGTACGCAAGACTCCAGGCTGTTGAAAACGATGTTAGTGATGCGGGTAACATTGAGGGACAAATGAGCTTTACCAGTCACTGCCAAGTGGCCATTCGCCTTGTCGCCAGATTGGATTCTATTATGAGCATTGACAGTAGAGTTGAACACATACAGATAGCCACCGTAGGAATACGCAAAGCAGTAAGCACCCGCAAGGACAGGCGATGGGTAGCCTCGTCGGCCACTGCCTGTGAGCCCAGCAGCGAGGGTCAATCCGCCAATAGCATACTGCGGAATGGGCGATGCGATGTACTTGTCCCTGATGCTCTTGAAGTCGAGCTGGCTTGCTGGCCTGCTTGGGCTCTTGTCCATGAGTCTGTAGATGAGTGCGCTGCTGCCTTGGTTTCGAGCTGAATTTCAATTTCAGGCAACGATCGCGACCACAACAACAAGACAGATCTCGTAGCACAAGTCTGCCACAGGAGCACAGAGGCAACGAGGCCAGATGTCGACTCTCACTGCACCGACCCCTCTCAAGAACAAGCGCAAGGTCTTTCAAGACGACTTTACTCCGCGCTCAAGTCACGTCGACAAAAAGATGATCCCAGGCACGCCGGGCTATTCAAGTACAACCGATCCCGTCGATGCTGGCAAGGACTCCTTCGTACACGATGAGGCTCAAAAGGAGAATATTGCGCATCAGCGTACAGAAGACGCGGATGTCGCGACGCCCATCAAAATCAAGGCCACACCAGCCGTGAAGAGCGTGTCGCGTCATGCTTCCGATGTAGGCAAGCCTGCTTTGTCGGAACGCGGCTCTAGTGAAGACAATCATGCGGATGCGTCACCTCAGAAGTCTATGTCTACAACACAATTCGATGGCTCTGCTTCAACAACGAGTATGTTATCACAGCCAGATTTTTCAGCCTCTGTGTTGCAACACGCATCGAGCTTCACTGAAGATCCAAAGGAGCTTGACGCGCCTGAAGCGGATGAGCCTGACGCCGTACCAGAACAAACACCTGCGTCGCCGGAATCCGCAACGGAGGGCGATGAGTCCCAAGTCACAGCGACACCACGCGCCTCTCGCTCACCCGTCCCATCAAGACTGCGTTCACCCTCGCCTCATAAATCAGACGCACGACCGCAATCGCCGACTCGAACACCGCGCTTGCTGCGTGATTTCCCACTTCCACTCACAACACCCCGAAATCTCGTTGAAGCAGCTTTACAAGGGAGAGGTCAGCATCCCATTCAACAATTACAGATGCAGCATCATGCTGAACAAGCACGTCTCAACTCACAACAAAACACACCTGTACGGACACAAGAGACTGCACCAGCTACAGAAGACTTACTTTCCTTCCAAACCCCAGCTCCGAAAAGCACAAGAAAGTTACCAGCGGATTTAGATCTGATGGGCGAAGCGACGCTCGGCGCACCTGCCTCCGCCGTCCTACAACGTTTCAAAACGGCAGATGGTGAAGAAATGCTCCTGGACATGACACCACGCGTCTACTCACCACGTTCAATTCCGTTGTATACGTTAGATGACATGGAGATGTTGAAACGCGAATTTGGTGATGCTCAACGGATGCTAGAGGAGAAGATTGAGAGTCTACATGGTCAACTTGCTGCCAGTGTGTCGCATGCCAATCATCACGCTGCATTGACAACACAGGCGGATTCACTACATATGCAGTACTCAAAAAAGCATGTTCGCAAGGTCACTGCGCTGAAACAAGATTGGGATCGAAAAATGACGGAACGACTGGCACGGCAACGATCAGAGATGGAACAGGAGCGGGAAGAATTACAACGGCTTCTCAAGGAACGTGATGAGCAGCTTGAGACACTGACGCAGCAGTTGGCGCAGGAACGGCTGGAGAAGAAGGAGGTGATTGAGATGGGTGAGCAGATCCTGGCAATGGTTGGGAATACTGCGCCGAGCTAGGCCCTATAGTCAGTGCATCTAGTCATCAAACCGCCCATGGTCAACTTGTTTAAAGTATTGATTGTCTGCTGCTGCTAAAAGGGAAAGAAGAATGAGAAGGTACTCGATGCTGGTGCTGTACAAACCAATTAATTGTGTGTGCGTGTTTTGTGTTTCTCGATAAAGTCCTTCGCCACCGCTAGTCCTCATCTTGTAATCTCAATTCTCGACGAATATAGCGATCATAGCCTGTTTTGCACGCTTCACCCAAGACGCCCAAGATGAGTGTATCCATGAGACCATTCGTATCGCCATCACACTGCCGCATGCAATCTTCAAGCTCCTGCAATGATTTCAAGGCAACTGGGTAGTCTGCTGCGCGTGCTCTCATTTCCAACAATACAGGCGCGACAAGTGTCGTGTACGCTTCACTCTCGATCGGTGGCGCCTGGTTTGTTCGTGGAGCACCACGTCTATATGTCGTTGAAACGGCAGACGTATTCGTCAACGTCGTCGTCCCACTCAGTAGTGATGGAACGAGTAAGGTTGGTCGACCGATAGATTTTGCGCGTTGAGAAAAGATGCCTTCATCAGGCAGCGCCACATCCACAGCGGGTAATGCCGTAAGAGGTTTCTTGCCGCCCGCTGATTTGACTTGTGGTGCTTTCCCTGGATCATTCGGACTGCGTACAGCAAGCGGCGAGGCAGCTTCAGTAGGTTTGAGCTCTCTGACTGTTGCATACGGATCAGCTGGTCTGTCGGATGGATACTCAAACGCATCATCGGTCTGCCTTTTTGCAAGCGGTGGCGCCGTGTTTTCGTCTTCTGAGGAGGAATAATCATACGACAGGTTGCGTCGTTCAATAATCTTGCGCTGTGTAGCGCTCCCTTGCACTGTACCGAAATCCCAAGTTTCCAAACGCACAGTAGCATCATTGGCGAACGTATCTTGATGAACATGCCGTTTCATGTCTTGTTCTTGCTTGCCGTGATTACTGTTGTATTGCTCTGTGCGTTCAATGAGTTCTTTGAGGTAGGAGGTACGTCGTGCGCCACGGATGAATTTGTGATTCAAGAGCTGTCTCGCACTCGGTCGCTGCTTGTTAGTATCAACATAGTCCAAAGAGAAGAGACATACATCTTCTGCATGCTTTCTGAGGCACTGCGTGACAAAATCACAGAAAGCTTCCGAAAAGCCATGTCCCACGAGTGTTGGTGGTGCATTCTTGGGAATGAGGAAGAGGACCTTCATCGGATGCAGCTGAGAATACGGCGGTGTTCCTTGCGCTAGTTCCATGGCCGTGATACCTAGACTCCAGATGTCTGCCTTGTAGTCGTAGCCAGACTGCTTGATGACTTCTGGCGCCATCCAGAAGGGTGTTCCCACAAAGGTGTTCTTCTTATCCATGGTTGCAGTCAATTGACCTGATACGCCAAAGTCTGCTAGCTTGACGTCGCCTGTTGCAGAGAGGAGCACATTGGCTGCTTTGATGTCGCGATGGAGTTTGCCTTCGTCATGGAGGTATGCCAATCCACGCAGGATCTCTCGCATGATGATGGCGATGTAATCTTCACCAACAACGCCAGGACGTAGCAGATCAGCACATGACCCACCGGAACAGTATTCCATGACGATCCATAGCTTGGTACCTTTGAGGTATGATCCATGATAGCGCGTCACGTGTGGGCTATTGAGCTGAGATAGAATGGCAATCTCTAGCATGATGTCGTCGACTTCATCTTCGGCGTTCTCCAAGTCAATGATTTTGATGGCAACAGGCGTCCTTGTGGGTCAGTAAGTCAGACGAGGATTTGGATGCGTACTTGGTCTGGCGATCATAGCCTTTATGCACAGCGCCGAATGAACCTGCCCCTAGAAAGAGCGTTAGTGCCTGTCCCCTTTGCGCATCTATTGAAGGGCGTACCGATGCGTTCTTGCTTGACATAGCGCAACTCTGGATCTACTTGAGCGACTGCAGGTCCACATGCACCTTGGCTCTGGAGACTCTGTTAGCAATTGTCCCTTAGCTATTCCAAAAGCGCATCTGTTGACCCGCAATGCTCGTTATTTTTTGTTTACAAAGCAGGCGAGAGCAGGATTTGGTTGTCAAGTGCGTGGTTTTGAAGAGAGCGCATACCATGGATGGAGCTGTATAAGGGAGCGCGCTCGTGTGTGCGCTGATGATGATGGGAGCCGGAGAGTGATGGAGAGTGTCGATGGAAGCAGGAGGAGCAGAGGCAGGTCAAGTAGCGGGAGAGGGAGTCTGCTGCTGTGTTGGATGTGCGGGACAGGAGAGCACGCGAACAAGAGACAGGGGGCAGAGATATACTCACTGGTTATACTTACTGGTTATACTTAAGTAGACTACAGACTACATCAGAGACACGAGAATATGAAGATGCGCATGGGCCAGCACAAGAAGCGCATCTACTGCATACGGCTTGCAACCCAATCTCATCATCACAGGCCCCTGTCTAGCAGGCCGTTGGTCATAGATTGCGAGACTCTTGACTCCTGACAGATCAGCCTGCAAGTCCTGGGCCAGATGCGACAGTTTGCGGGTACACATCAAGGGAGAGGCCCAGGACTAGCATAGAGCACTGTAGACCTGGTAGGCAACTACTGCTGCAGCAGCCTTGTCAGTAGACCCAAGCCGCCTCTGTCGTCGCGTCGAAGGTCAGTCATAGCACTTGCATTCTTAGGGGACAGCAACAGAAGTGCGCAAGCACACGTTGAGCAGCCAGCATGCGACCTGGCCTCAAGTGCAGCTTACCATGACCGGAGTACTCGACAGCTCATCAAGCATGTAGTAGTCAGTAGCTCATACAGAAGAGTATCAAGCGATCCATACAGTCATATAGCCAAGCCAGCCAACAATACGCTTTGGTCCTTCAAGTAGTAGTCCGAGTCCTTGTCGCCTCTACAAATTTCCACAACATCCACGCGTACAAAACCTCGACCCATCACATACATTCACAGACTCGCCATGGACGCGCTAGGCGACGAAAAAGTCGAGCAATTCCAGTCCGTCACCGCCTGCAATGACTCTCTCGCACGGCGCTATCTCAGTGTCGCTGGTGGCGATCTAGATACAGCCGTTATGCTATTCTTTGAAACAAACGGTCAACTCCCCGACGATCCTTCCACAACGACTTCTGCTCAGCGTCCAGATTCAGCATCGGATGGTATGGCTGAATTTGAAGACGAAGGAATGATTGAAGATGATGAAGCCATGGCCCGTCGTCTCGCTGGAGAATGGGGCGCGAATGGCAGTGGCGCGGAGACAGTACGTGCGCCTATTGCACCAACGCGACAAGTCTTACAAGATGATGTCATGGATTATGATCCTTCCTTCATGCCTCACTTTGGAAACCGTTTTGATGCCCTCGCTGGTACATCTTCGAGACCAACGGGTTCGCGCGGTGTATTTAATCAAGTCGCACCGTCAGTCTGGGATGAAGCGCATGCAGAGCAAGGACTACGTGAAGCGACCGGTGGTGCGAGTGCGCAATCTGCAAAATCATCGAGACTGGCGCGATTGTTTCAGCCGCCCTTTGACTTGATGGCGCATATTGACTTGACAACAGCGCGAGAGCAAGCAAAAGAGGAACTCAAGTGGATCATGATCAATCTACAGGATAATGCCGATTTCGCATCGCAAACACTCAATCGAGACTTGTGGAAGGATGCGGGCGTCAAGGAACTGGTTCGTGAGTCCTTTTTGTTTTTGCAGTATACCAAGAACTCTGAGGATGGCGAAAGCTATATGCGCTTCTATCCAGTCGAGCAATACCCACATATTGCCATTTTGGATCCACGGACGGGTGAGCGTGTCAAGACGTGGAGTAAGACGCTTTCTGTTCCTGACTTTATGGGCGATGTTGCAGAGTTTCTCGATCGCTTCTCACTCGATGATACGAAGCAGAATCCTATTGCAAAGAAGCCAAAGAGACAAACTGAGCGAGCAAAGGCACCAGCAGAGATGAGCGAAGAAGATCAGATCAATGCTGCCATCATGGCTTCTGTGGGTGGTAGCATGGCAGAGGCAATCCCTGTCGATGAGGACGAAGCGGATGTGGTCATTGCAGAGGCTCCAACAAACGGCCACGCCAATGGAACTGCTGCAAAAGTGCAGACTGCTTTGGACAAGATTGAAGCGATTGATCGTCCAGAACCGCCGGCTGGTGCTGAGACTACACGTATTCAGCTACGCTTGCCATCGTCACGACAAGTTCGTCGTTTCTTGACGAGTGATCCTGTTCTCTACATCTTCCAATATGTCAAGGCGACTGTGCCCGAGGCGCATGACGGCAAACAATTCAAAATTGTCTTCAATCGGGCGAGTCTCAACAATAACCTAGAAGAGACAATTGAACAAGCCGGTCTGAAGAATGCTTCCCTCGTGGTGGAGTTTGAAGAAGATGAATCATGAGCTATTGATAAGCAAACCGACAGATGACAGCAACGACAGATGACCTTAGCATTTTAGACTCAAAAGCAAAGACATGTTCCCTCTACTACTCGATGTACTCTGGCGGACTTGCAATGTTCATGCTTTGATAAAAGTCTTCCGTTGTGCCAGAGAAGCAACTCTTGAAGTATCCTTCGAGCGTGTAAAAGTTGTCAATCCATCGATTCGTTGCCGTCTTGGCTTGCTTCGCCACTCTCACTGCAGCTGTGTCAGTACTGTCGATGTCAGTGGGGCAGCATACCCTTGTCGTGCACATCGACCGGTGTGGCACTCTTCAACGCTTGCAGCTTCTCCTGTTTGCTGGACACACGCAGAGCCATCTCATCGACAACCTCCTGAAGACGCTGCCTGTCTTCACCAGATTCCTGGCACTGTAATCGACTTTGCTCAAGACGCTCTTGAAGACTCGCTTGCTTGGTGCGCTCAGCTGCACACTTGTCTAGTAACCCTTGTTTGCGCTGACGGAGGGCACGGGTGGCGTCAGCAGGAAAGGACCAGACTACATTCAACGTCCCGACCTTTTCCTTCTGAATGAGTCTATCGTCCAGCAACATCGTCACGACGCCTTGATTATCAGCCAAATGCTTGTAGGGATAACGAAGCGCTCACCTTCAATGACATCCTCACGAAACTTCTTGTTGGTCTTGGAGATCTTGCCGACCAGTTCCTTGACTGTAAAGTATTCCTTGCTTGCCTGCATGTAGTCAAGCACATACTTGCGCTGCTGTGATAGGTGTCAGGAGATGCTCTGTAAATGACTTACTTACTTCTTGCTCAGACATGCCTGCGCGACTCTATGAGGTTAGCTCGCGTCTCCTGTAGTATGCGCTTACCATGACTGCTGCTTCGTTGCAAGCGTTCGAGTGTGTCTGTTGGAGTGTTGCACAGTCAATCAGGGGTGAAGCAGAATTGACTCTTAATCTATCGAATTCTATCTGACCATGTAGAGAAAAGTTCGATGCAAGATGCAATTATATCAAGACACGTCTAGTACTTGGCCTCATGAGTCGCCTGCGCACGGCCAGAAGGATCACTGTTGCATCCCCAATCAGCTTTTGGAATCCACCTCTGGACAGTCTCTGCGCACTGCTTTGGGAAGTGTGCATCAAACATCTTGCGATACCACCAAGCTTCTTTTGTCTGTGGACGATCCTCTGATCCATCCGCCAACACCCACTGTGCTGGTGTGGGTTGCGAGAACTCTTCGTCTGAGATTTGAGCAGCAGCCGTATCACGCAGAGCGTCAATCCAGCCATAACCTACACCATCCGAGAATTGCTCCTTTTGTCGCCATAAAATCTTGTGCGGCAAGTACGGGTTCTCAGGCGTATCAAATGCTTCACGCAAGATGTACTTTTCCTTGCGTTCCTTGGTGATGACCTTATACTTTGGATCCGTGTTCATCACCACCTCCAAAAACTTTTTATCCAAAAATGGGATACGCGCTTCGAGACCCCAAGCCATGGTTGACTTGTTGGCTCGCAAGTTGTCTGCCAAATGCAAGTTCTTGACACGACCAACACACTCTCGGTGGAAGTCGGCAGCATTGGGTGCGCTTGCAAAGTAGAGGTATCCACCAAAGATCTCATCTGAACCTTCACCCGACAACACCATCTTGACACCTTGTGCCTTGATCTTGCGAGAGAGCAGGTACATGGGCGTGGAAGCACGGATCGTGGTGACATCAAACGTCTCGAGGTGGAAAATGACATCCGACAAGGCATCAAGACCTTCCTGCAGCGTAAACGTATGCTCATGGTGGATAGTCTTGAGGAATTGAGCAACTTCCTTTGCAGCGATCAAATCAGGCGAGCCAGGGAGACCCACAGAAAAGGAATGCAATTGTGGCCATGTTGCCAATGTCGCATCACCATGAGCTTGCTTCTGCTGCTCAATCGCAGTCTTGCGTGCAGCGATAGCGGCAATCAGGGATGAATCCAGACCACCAGACAACAAAACACCATATGGCACTTCCGACATGAGACGCTTCGTCACTGCATCTTCAAGCGTATCCCGAATAGCCTTCAAATCCAACTCGCGCGAAGGCACTTCAGAAGAAGTGAGCCAAGTAGGCTGAAAGTATGGCTTTGTCTCGTTCGTGAGCGAGTCAAAGTAGTGGCCTGGTGGAAATTGAATCAGCTTGTCGCAAATTGGGTGCAGGCACTTGAGTTCCGAAGCAAAATAGCAGGTTTCCTGCGCCTTGCTGTTGAAACCTTGATACAAGGTTGTGATGCCAATAGGGTCGCGTGCAGCCAAGATGCGGTCCTGATATTCATCGTACAGTACAAATGAGAACATGCCGTCGAGCATGTTGACAAACTCTGTGCCGAAATCGCGGTACAGTGGAAGAATCACTTCGCAGTCAGAGTGCGTCTTGAAATCATACGGCGCCTTGAGTTGTTCGCGCAGGGCAAGGTGGTTGTAGATTTCACCGTTCACTGCAAGGACAATCTTGCCGTCACTCGAAACGATAGGTTGCGCGCCCGTATCAACTCCCACGATGGCGAGTCGCTCATGACAGAGTATGGTGTTTTTCCGAATCACGTTGCCGCTCCAGTCTACAGCGCATCAGCTTTGATCTTATCAATCGTTCTTGAGAGGCGTACCTGGACCGCGATGACGAATCTCGCGGGAAAGCTTCAAAGCGGTAGGCTTGAAGGCCTGGATATCACCGGATGGGTCCTGGTGCTTGTGGACACAGAAGATGCCGCACATGCTTGATGGTCTTTGCTTCGGTGTCTTTCGCTTCGACCTCTGAACAGATTCGAAAAGATACCGCGAGGACGGGCACGTGAGACAGGCAAGATCAGATGGGCAGATGGACATCAATTTGCACATCTTACAGAACCAGCTACAGCTATAAATCAACAAGCTCACGCGTATGAAAGGAAAAAGAATGAATCATTGCAGCTAGTTGAAAGCCTCTATGGAAAGTTCCAGCTATACGAGCTTCAGAGTTGAATGAGAAGCAGGTCGCGAAGCTCGAAGGCCAAGTCGTAATGGCAACGAGGAAATGTTTTTGTTGAGCAGCTGCAGAACACGTTCCAGACGTAGAATGCAGAGAAAGGCCCAAATGGCTGCTCGAGATGTCATTGCAATAAAGAAGAGTACATGCCATCGCCTTCAGTGTCGAAAGCATGCAGCTGATTTCGGCAAGTTCTGCGAGACCAAGCAGCGTCCCACTAAATCTATCGGCAGCTTCTTGTCCACTCACCTATGGCAGGGTCCCCGTTTTCATACGACCACGAATCAGGCGAGACACTAGCCACGCCTATAGCGTCCTCTGGTCGGTGCGAATCCGTGCCATTTGGAAAAATGTGGTTGGGCATTGCTGCGGTCTTTGGCCACTCTTTCCATGACTTGATCTCCATTCCTGCTTTGAGCAGTCTAGCCGCAACGGCGCTCGGAGCACAGTCCAATCCCCAATGACTCCCATCAACGCGTAGCTGGGGGTATGTAACAGAGATGCTGCACACGCAGTGAGCCGCGTATCCATAGTATTTCTGTCCTTTGTACATCATTACTGGGACTGGTGGATTATATGTGGAACTGTGACTCTGTTCCGGCATGATTCGCAATGGATAAGAGCAGTATGTTTGCCCGAGGTGCTTGAAGTCCTGGAATAACGTGTCGCAAGTTGATGTGCACTTCGAATCGGGACCAGAAGCGGGCCCGTACGAGTGTATATTGATCGCGAGGGATATGCGATCCGTGCGGCATTCTGGTCCAGTTAGTGGTGGAGGGCCAGCAGGGGGGCTTTGCACCTGCTTTGGGGATCACGGCATTTGTGATCGCTCCGAAGATGATTGGCATAGCGATTGCCATATTGATAATATGCATCAGGGATTCACCCGTGTAGAAGTGCATTGTCCTGCTTGTGATGTTCAACAATCGCTACAATCTGCGGGACCTCAGTCCTTTTATGTTTCTCCAGTCATAGCGACAATGCTTCTCCTGATATCTTGTCAAAACTCCCTAGCTCAGCTCAGCCTAGTAAGCTGCATGGACGGGAAAGGATGTTTGTTGCGAGACTGCTGACCCCTGCATTTGACTTGACTTATTCAAAGTCGCGTGGCCAGGCAGTCGTATTGCTTCAACACGGTGAGCAAATTTTACCTCTTCAACTGGAATGACCGCTTACTTGAACTGAACTAGTGGAAAGAGACGCCGACAGCCTAGCTGCTGCCTTGTCAAAAATGAGCGATTGCAGCTGAGTACTCGCGATACATGCACAATATACGCGAAAGGCCCTTTTACGAAAGGATTTCTTCTCAGTCAGCTCATAGTCAAACTCCTGCACGCCCCTGAAATGATACATTTGTCAAACTTGCGAGCTAAGGTCAGCCGAGCAAGCTGCAGGGATGGGAAATGAGGTTTGTTGCGAGACTGCTGACCCCTGCATTTGACTTGACTTATTCAAAGTCGCGTGGCCGGGCAGTCGTATTGCTTCAACACGGTGAGCAAATTTTACCCCTTCAACTGGAATGACCGCTTACTTGAATTGAGCTAGTGGAAGGAGACGCAGACAGCCTAGCTGCTGCCTTGTCAAAAATGAGCGACTGCAGCTGAGTACTCGCGATACATGCACAATATACGCGAAAGGCCCTTTTACGAAAGGATTTCTTCTCAGTCAGCTCATAGTCAAACTCATGCGCTCCCCTGAAATGATACTTTTGCGAAAATTGCCTAGCTAGGCTCAGTTTAGTAAGCTGCAGGGATGGGAAATGAGGCTTTGTCGTGAGACTACAGACCCCTGCAGTTATGTTTGGAAGACTCGACTGAGGCAAAGTCGCGTGGCCGGGCGGAGGTGGTTGTGCTTCAGCACGATGAGCCACTTTTGCCCCTTCAACTAGAATCAGCGCCCGAGTGGCATGGACTAGTGGAGAGGGACGACAGCCTGGCTGCTGCCTTGTTGGAAGTGGTACCTGCAGCTGAGCACTCGCGATACACGCATCAATCTAGGCAAATGGCCCTTCTGCAAACGGATCCTCCAAGCCAGTAAGACCTTCAAACAGCCTACCAGCACACGCCATACCTTTTCCATAATGCAAGTAAGGATTCTTGACAGGCAAGGATTCGCCACAGAGAAAACAAAAGTGACACCGACATACGCTGCAAGACATGTGATTGCAGCCACTCGCCTTTTGTACCCAACTCTCACAACTCGGGCACTGTTGAGCATTTTCTTGACGCCATGTGTCCGCTAGCCGCTCGTCTTCCATATCACGAACAAGACGTTCGAGATTCTTACGTCCATACAGGCGTTCGAGTTTGCCCTTGCCGGAGAGATCATCGCCGAGTGCAAGGTACTGTTCTGCAAGATCATAGGAAAGTTTCAATCGTCGACACGGTTCAGAAATGCCATGCCACGTCCTACTACAATCCGCACAAAACGCATACCCACACGCTGTACAAACGACCAATTTTTCATCCGGGTCCCGAGGAAGGGCAGTGGCGCACCAATCGCGTGGACAGTGTGTGTGTGAGGGAAGTGCTTCGAGTGACAGGCAAGATCAGATGGGCAGATGGACATCAATTTGCACATCTTACAGAACCAGCTACAGCTATAACTCAACAAGCTCAAGCGTACGAAGGAAAAGAGAATGATCAATTGCAGCTAGTTGAAAGCCTCTATGAAGAGTATCAGCTATACGCGCTTCAGAGTTGAATGAGAAGCAGGTCGCGAATTTCGAAGGCCAAGTCGTAATGGCGTCGAGAAACTTTTTTTTTTCTTCTTTTTTTTCTTTTTTGTTGAGCAGCTGCAGAACACGTTCTAGACGTAGATTGCAGAGAAAGAAGTCAATGGAAGAACGAGATGTCATTGCGATGAAGAAGGGTACATGCCATTGCCGTGTATGTCGAAGGCATGCAGCTGGTTTTGGCAAGTTCCATGAGACCAAGCTGCGTCCCACTAATTCGTTCGGCAATTTCCTGCTGGCTCAGAATAATGTCCCACAACACTGGTCTTGATAGATATCTCGCCCGGGGGTAGTGCTGCGTCTTTGTCCCAGGCTTGCCAGAACTTGAGCCCCATTCCTGCGTTGTGAAGCCTTTCTGCAAGGGCGCTCGGTTTGCAGTCCACTCCGAATTGACCTCCATCGACGCGTAGCTGGTCATAAACAACAGATATGGTGCACGAGCAGGAAGCGTCACGAGTACTAACAACGCCATTTTTGTTCTTGGGAGTCGTTAGTGCTGGCGTGAAAGTGTGCGTCTCGGTTTTCTGTGGCGGCGTCTGCGCTGGATAAGAGCAGTATGACTTTTCGTAGTTGTTGAACGCCGCGGACAGCAGATTGCACTGTGAATTGCACAAAGAATCGCTACTAATAGTCCGGTTGTGCGACTGAGCCACGATTTGAATGGTTACGGGTTGTTTCAAGCATTTTAGGGCGGCTGCACCTGTGTTTGAGGGCAAAGCACTTATGATTGCGCCAAGGATGATTGGTGTAGCGATTGCCACATTGAAAACATGCATAAGGGAATCCCCCGCGTAAAAGTGCATTGTCCTGATTGTAATGTTCACAATCGCATTGATCTTTGGGATCTCAGTCCTTTTATGTTCCTCCAGTCCGCGCAAATGCTCCTCCTGATATTTGTTCATGGCTCGGAAATTAGCTGAACGAATAAAACAGTGCTCGGAAACTCGGACCAGCTGAGGGCTTGCATATTGTGCATATGCCGATTTTTTAGGAGGCCGCAGACCGCAGTGAGACATGGGCTACCTGATGAACATCGTTCCTTCGTTCTGAGATTCAGCGCATACACGACAAGCAATAGCGACCCCTGAATTTTGTTCGCATCCGAGACTTATTCATCAAATAGTTGCTGCGGGGTCTTCAAGAGGTCACGATTTATGTCGTTGGCCATGGCAAATCTTGAGTAGCGACGATGACTGAGGGACTGTGATGGTTTCGCTTCGTAGTCAGCTCATAGTCAAACTCATGCGTGCCCCTGAAATGTTACTATTATTAACTTGCATAGCTAAAGTCAGCCAAGCAAGCTGCAGGGATGGGAAATGAGATTTGTTGCGAGACTGCAAACCCCTGCAATTGAGTCTGGAAGATTTGACTGAGGCAAAGTCGCGTGGCCGGGCAGTGGTATTGCATCAATACGATGAGCCACTTTTGCCCATTCCTTCAAACTGGAATCAGCCCCCGGGTGGCATGGACTAGTGAATATAGACGACGACAGCCTTGCTGCTGCCTTGTTAGAGTGGGTACCTGCAGCTGAGTTCTCGCGATGCACGCATCAATCTAGGCAAATGGCCCTTCTGCAAATGCATCCTCCAGTCCAGTAAGACCTTCAAATAGCCTACCTGCACACACCATACCTTTTCCATAGTGCAAGTAAGGATTTTTGACAGGCAAGGATTCGCCACAGAGAAAACAAAAGTGACACCGACATACGCTGCAAGACATGTGGTTGCATCCACTCGCCTTTTGTACCCAGCTCTCACAATTCGGGCACTGTTGAGCGTTTTCGTGACGCCATGTGTCCGCGAGCCGCTCGTCTTCCATATCACGAACAAGACGTTCGAGATTCTTACGTCCATACAGGCGTTCAAGCTTGCCCTTGCCGGAGAGGTCATCGCCTAATGCAAGGTACTGTTCTGCGAGATCATAGGAGAGTTTCAATCGTCGACACGGTTCAGAAATGCCATGCCACGTCCTACTACAATCCGCACAAAACGCATACCCACACGCTGTACAAACGACCAATTTTTCATCCGGATCCCGAGGAAGGGCAGTGGCGCACCAATCGCGTGGACAGTGTGTGTGTGAGGGGAGTGCTTCGAGTTCTTGCTTGCGTGAGAGGTGATTGTATCGCGCGACTTGATCAGCAGAGACGACTTTTTGTAGTGTTGCAACAGGCATGCGTCGAGCACTGAGCGTGTCTGGATCGAGTCGTAGTGAAGCCTCGGGTGTTTCTTTGGGGAGTGGGCAGGTTGGGCAGCGAACGAGGGAGACGGCGCCTTCTCGAATATGCAAGCCAAACATATCACCTAAACAGGCTCTGCAAAAGACATGTCGGCAAGGCAACGCAACACACGCATCACCTGGTTTGACATCGAGACAGATTTCACAGCTGTACGTTTGTGCATCAAACACCGCTTGAGCGGCTTCCTCTTGATGTGCTTTGAGTATAGGAAATAAGATACCTTGAAGCGGTCCAATTGTCGCTTGTACCAAGTCAAGCATATCAAAGGCCATACAAGCAGATTGCATGAGTTGATCCACCATTGCGAATAAGACTTCCATCTCTGGCTCCCATAACGCCAAGCACGCATCTCGTAACGCGTCCAGTGCGTCACTTGATAGCCATACACAGTCTAGTCGCAAAATAGGCGGTGACTGTACTGGATATGTGTCTGGTACGAGGATGTGACAGCGAAGCGGAGGCAAGTATGTGATGTGGTCGAGCGCTGGTGCCGTGTCAAAGAGGATCTTGGCCGGGGTGTCGAGCACGACGGGGATGTCAATGTATCCGCCTGTACTGTGATGTTCATTCTGTGATGAAGGATGAAGGACTAGCTCCGGGTAGATGGATTGCAGGACATGGAGCTCGCTGTCCATCCACAGAGAGACGTGAAACTGTGTCGCTTCGAGTTGTGGCGACGTCGAGGGAGAAGGCACATTCAGATGACACAGAACAATGAACACGAGACAAGAGAGAATGATGATGAGTGATGCGATTAACAAGCAAGTCGTCTACGAACGATGAAGAGCAAAAGGAAGTTCCCAAAAAGGTCATTTCAGGCAACAACAAACAACGATACAGCCATAATCACTGCACCGAGTCCCACCGACAAGAGACCAAGTGGCCGGACATCAGAGATACTAGCAGACTTCGCACCCGAACTCGTCGTGGATCCACCAGCACTCGACGAGCCACCTGAGCCGGAAGCACTACCAGATTGTGCAAGCGCAGCGAGTGGTGCATGGGTGCATTTAGCATTCGCTGGGCTGCCCACCAGTGTTGCACCAGGGAAGCCACAAGCATCGGAAGCGGATTTCTGAAGGGCATAGTAGTTGTTGTACACCAATGCCAATTGTTGCTGTCCACTGCAGAAGGAGTAATCACCATAGGTACCAGGGGAAGATCCGTTGGCCGTCACAACACTGCAGGCAGTACCACCATTCAAGCCACAGACTGTACCGAATGCTTTGGCAATATCCTTGTCGGCCAATGTGCCACCGGTGGAGCACTTGGCGTTCTTGACGGCACATGCGCAGAATGCTGAATCAGGTGTCGGAGGCAAGTTGGTAGCAGCAACGAAGCCAGAGGTGGCAGGTGGACAAGCGATAGTGCTGGTGCCGGGTGCTTGATAGTCGCTCAGCATCGTGATGGGAGGCGAGATACTTTGCCATTGCTTCTTGAGAACGGCATAGTCTGGCAATGGGGTTGGCGTAGCACCAACAGAAGCAGTCGTCACGAGACCATACATGTTATCTTCCTGGTTGTACTCATAAATGATGGCGCCAGACACGACATCAGCCATGATACCATAGACAGGCTCCAACTCGCCGAATGTACGGGTTTGGCCAACAGGAATGTTGCAACCTGTTTCAGAGAGAATGAAGGGACGTCCGAGTGCTTTGTACTGGCTCTCAATCACATCATAGCCAGATTGAGTATAAGAGCTTTGTCCACACCATCGGTACACGTTCAGACCATAAAAGTCAATACCATCAGAGGGTTTGCCACAGGAGAGGTACTCGGCAAGCTGAATCTGGAGGTCCTTGACGTCTGCTGTTGCATAGCCAATGGGGATGTAGCGACCTGATGTGCTTTGTTGGTATGCGCGCATATCCCGTGCAGCTGCCTTGACGAATGGTGCAGCCACAGTGCGGTTGGCCGTGTCAACCACTTCATTACCAATGAAAAAGGCAGCTGTGTTAGGGTACTTGCGGAAAGCATCGAGGTTGACAATGAAATCGTTATACTGAGCAACAGTCCATGTGGGTGAGTCTGACTTGACAGTGGTATCTGGTGTTTCAAGGTCCAGGATGAGGTAGATGCCTGCGTCTGCAAAAGTCTGCATGCATTCATCGTGGTTCAGAGTTGCATTGACGCGATAGACACGAATGGCATTGGCGCCGAGGTCAGTGAGGAATTTGACATCCTGTGCACAGCCTGCAGGGTTGGCGAGCGGGTCGTCAATGGTGGACCCTGTCTGTTCATTGCGCAGCTGGCCACTCGCGCTGAGGGGTTGGTAGGCGACACCTTTGAAGTAGAACTGCTTTCCGTCGTTGGATGTGAAGAACTTGGTGCCGTTGATCTGTCTATGGGGGTGTTAGCGGTGTGTATGTAGGAGGAAGAGGCGACTGACAAAGGACTGATGGCAGCAGAGGCCAGCGCACATAGGCTTGCGAGGATGATGGAAGCACGCATCTAGATGCTGCTGCTGATGCTACTTTGAATGAGAGTGGACTGTGTGATTGCGTACTGGTACAAGCGAGAGTACCCTGGAGAATGAGTGTGTAGTGTTGGGTGTTGCTTCCCTTTCTTTCGTCGCCAATTTCTGTTTGTTGCCAAGGAGGCGACGGGAAGAAAGAGCCGAACACTGACTGGCTGCTGCTGCTGAGTGAGTAGACTGGCTTCAGTGGCAGTATGCTCTACTCTATACATAGGCACACTACCAGGCTACTCTACCTCACACAGCCTCCCCCCTATCTGCGACCTTCCTCTTTGCAGTCCGTGTTTGTCAGTGTGAGCCTTTTCTATTTTGGGAAGCCAGGGGTCATCCATTCACAGACCGCATCCATGGCTCATCAAGTTCTATTCATTTGTTGCAAGACCAAAGACACGCGTCCTCAATGCTATTAGTGTGATATGAAGACGTGATTTCCTTGATAGTTGCGCCAGCAGACATAAGCAAGATTCGGTGGTACTTCGCGGACATAGACCTCCTCCTCTGCATCTCTTCGGACTGTCTCTGAAGTTTGGGTCGAGAAGCCATCGTTGGTCAGCAACCGTCGTCGCCAAGCAAGAAGTCACGACCATTGTGGCATTGTCCCGCGCTGAGCTGCAGAGGCAGTCCGAAGAGATGCAGAGGAGGAGGTCTATGTCCGCGAAGTACCACCGAATCTTGCTTATGTCTGCTGGCGCAACTATCAAGGAAATCACGTCTTCATATCACAATTAGGTGAGTATCAGCAATGATTCAGCATACTTGCAACAGTCATTCGAGCTCGCCAAGACGCAGGATATATGACTGCTGTCCACCGGCACATCCCGATGATCTGCGTGGGATGAAGGGAAAGCAGACGCGACGCATGACGAGCACAGACATCTCCAGCTTCAGCTCTACTCCTGTCTATGCACAAAGCAGCCATGGAGAAGCTCAATGTGACAGAACAGCCAGTGCCGAGGCCAAGCAGTGATAAGAAAGTTGCTCGGCTTGCTGCCTTCGTCGCAGCGCTTGTGCTCATCCTCCTCTACCTACCGCACTCCAGCGTCCCTGACCTCAATCGAGGTTGTTTTCCCTGGCAAAAAAGCAAAACCGATGGTCGAGTCTCCATTGAGCAGTTGAATGCCCTCGGAAGGTCATTCGACCGAGACCACGGCATCGCAGAATCCTACTTCATCGAGCACCCATCCCAGGAAATCCTCGCTGCGTCTCTCTTCGAGTATACCAAAGTTCCCCATCTTGCAGGTAATCGCGAGCTCGCCGAGTACACGCGTGATAAGTGGTTGTCCTTTGGCATTCAGGATGTCGAGATTGTTGAGTATGAAGTACTCCTCAACACACCCACGAACCGCTCATTCATTGATTTCTATCGTGGAGAAATGCTTGACAAACCAACTTGGTCTGCCGCACTCAAGGAAGATCATCTAACGCAGGACCCCGGCTCAAGCCAGGATATCCCATTCTTCCATGGTTACAGCAAAAATGGTACTGCAAAGGGGAACCTCGTCTACCTCAACTACGCTAGCCCACAAGATTTCGCAGACGTCTTAGCAGCAGGCGTTGATCTCAAGGGCAAAATTGGCATTGCTCGCTACGGTCACCTCTTCCGAGGTATCAAAGTCGAGCTTGCTCAACGCCACAACATGGCAGCCATGTTGCTCTATGATGACCCTTCTGAAGACGGCATTGTGACTGTAGCAAATGGACACCTAGCGTATCCGCTCGGTCCGGCACGCAACCCATCCGCTGTTCAGCGCGGTAGTGTACAGTTCCTGTCATTGCTGCCAGGTGACCCAACGACACCGGGGTATGCCTCCAAGCCCGGCTGTGAACGTCAACCAGCCAATTTCTCAACACCTTCTATTCCTTCATTGCCTATTAGCGGACGCGATGCCAAGTACCTTCTCAGTACACTAAATGGCTTCGGTCCCACCATCAAAGGTTTCAGAGGCGCCTTCCCCGATATCGAATACACCGTCGGTGGCGGCCCGGGCATCGTATCCCTTGCTAATGTTGTGGAGTATGATTATTCACCCATCTACAACGTGATTGCCAAGATTCCAGGCCATTTCGAGGATCAAGTGATCTTGGGCAATCATCGCGATGCATGGGTTCGAGGGGCTGCAGACCCTAGTAGTGGTTCTGCTGCACTCGATTCGATTGTCGAGACGTTTGCAACGTTGTCGCAATCAGATTATACACCACTGCGTACACTTGTCTTTGCGTCTTGGGATGCGGAAGAGTATGGCTTGGTTGGATCAACTGAATGGGTCGAGGAGTTTGCTGAATCACTGAAAACGAAGGCAGCCGTTTATCTCAACGTCGACGTCGCGTCATCTGGTCAAGCCTTCCACTGTTCTGCCTCGCCGTTGCTTCACTCTGCCATTCGACAAGTCACTCAAGCAGTGCCTGCACTATCCGGTGGACTAGGTCTTCCTGGCGTACCACCAAAAAGGACACTCGCAGACGAATGGTCAGGTCACATCTCAACACTCGGTAGTGGCTCAGACTACACTGCCTTTCAAGATTTCCTCGGTGTCAGCTCGTCTGACTTTGGATTCGGCGGCTCGAACAAGGGTTCGGCCGTGTATCACTATCATAGCCAGTATGATTCTTACCACTGGCTCACTCAATTTGGTGATGAGAAACTCAAGGGACTTCAAGCGAGTGCGCGCGTTTGGGGATTATTGGCATACAGACTTCTTGAAAGTCCTGTGATCAGCTTGAATGCGACCCTGTATGGCGAGGAAGTACGGAGGTATGTCGATGAGCTACCCAAAGACGTTACAAAGCATCACAAGAAAGCCGTCAAGAAACTCGCCAAGACCGCCAAGAAGATTGAGAAGCGTGGAATTCAACTGGATGCGCGTGCTCGAAAGGCAAATGCTCGCGTCAAGGACTGGTCGCGCTTATCCAATGCACAGAAGATGGCATTACTCAGGGAGATTGCAGAGCTCAATACTGCTTACAAGCAAATGGAGCGAGCCTTTGTCGATGAGCATGGATTGAAGGATCGTCCATTCTTTAAGCATGTGCTGTACTCACCGGGTAGATGGACTGGCTACGCTGGCGTTGTCTTTGGGTCTATTCGAGAGGCAACACCCAAGGATTTAGGAAAAGCTTACAAACGCCTCATCAAGGTGCTCAAACAGGTTGGCAAAGAGTAAACCTTGTAAATATCCAAAAGGAGACCTGGCCTACCTAGCTACGAATTGACATTTCCCGTAGTGTGTAGTCAACCAGATAACTCTCCGACAATAGCTCATTCATACGCTGATAATGCCGCTCGCCGTACGCAACCAAAGGATCTAATATGCCCTTGAGGTTCTCAAGCGACAGCAAGACATCAGTCGGGTATGATTTGACCACAACATGCAAAATATGCTGAGCAACTGGCGCCGTCTTGGCATTCGCATTCCAGTCTCGTACACGAAGCAAAAGGCGCTGCAGTTGTACCTTTGACAAGGTCGCCACCACTTCGTCGACTGCTGCCAATCCGAGAATACTTGAGGCATCAGCAGTATCCTTCACCGATGACTCTGCACGTTCCTCCATGACACGCATGAATAAACCAAGCAGCTTTGATGGTCGATCAAGTGACAGGGCTAATGCAATCGCGCTCCGCCAGTCCTTGTTTTGTACATGATTTGATAGTTGCTGTTCTTTATCCGCCAATACCTCTCGAGCACGTTCGCGTTTCACCATTTCTTGCTCTGTTGTATCTGCCCAAAATGTAATCACACTGTCACCTGCTCCAGAGACGAGTACGCGATCGTCTGCACGCAGGGCCAGCGACCAAACTCGATCTTCATGATTGTCGAGTGTCGTTTCACATTCACCAGACTTGAGTGTCCATACCTTGACAAGGCCATCTCCGCCTGCAGTTGCGAGTTGTTGACCCGCACTCATGAACAAACACTTCAGGACACTGTTGGTGTGGCCCTCAAATGTCTGTAGGCAAGAGTAATCAGATAAGCTCCATAGCTTCACAGAGCGATCACCAGAACCAGTAGCGATGATCTTATCGAATGCACTGAAATTAACGGTCCAAACGCCACGCTTGTGACCCCTCAAGATGCCCTGAATTTCACCCGTCTCGAGATCCCAAATCTTGCAGAGCCGGTCTTGTGAAGCAGATGCAAAGACTTTGTCGTTGGGTGAAACGTCCATGGCATTGATGTCCTTGTCGTGTGCCTTGATCGTCCATCGTGAACGCTTCCCGCCACTCGCTGGGTCCCAGCATTTGATCGTTCGATCCTGTGCGCCTGTCAACACAAAGTCTGGTAATGCATCCGCATCTTCATTTGGCGTGCGTGGTAATGCAACAGCACCAACAGACTCAGTGTGGCCAGTGAATGTCATGATGCACTTTTGCTGTTCAAGATGCCACAGTTTCGCAGAATTGTCCTTGGCGCCCGTTACGAGAAAACGACCATCCTGGCTGCGGTCCATAGTCAAGACAATCTCAGAGTGGCCAGCGAGTACCTCGACATCGTTTGTTGCAATGTCAAGCAAATGGACATCTTCGCTGTTGGATGCGATGGCCAGTTTCCGATCGTCAAGTACATAGCAGCAGTCGATAATCTCATCAAATTGTCCAATCACTTGTCGAATTTGCGGCAGAGTCTTCTCCTTGACGCTGTTGATGATGATTGTTTGATTTGACCGCACTGTAATGAGAGACTCGAGTGTCGGCATGTAAAGAATTTGCAAAATGACCGTCTCGGTCGTCTGCTCTTGTTCTACCGTGCCACCGACCTCATTTTTTGTGGCAAGATTGAAGATGCGCACTCTGTTCTTGTCTCCACCGAGGTAGATCAATTCATCCTGTGTGTCTAGAGATCCAGCTTGCAAGAAGCCAAGCGATTCAATCGACTCGTAGACTGGTATTGAGGCAGTCGCTTTTTTGCTTTTAATGTCCCAAACCGTCATGATTTGATCGCGCGAACCACTGATGACCCTGTCCCCTGCTGCACTAAAGTCAAGTCCACGGATGACGGACGAGTGTCCGTCCAGCACTGCTAAGCACTTGCTTGAAACGAGATCCCAAATCCGTACTTTGCAATCATCAGCACCACTCGCTAGTCTCCAGGTCTGGCCACCTGCAACACCATAGAATTTGAGTGCACTGACGACACCGCCATGGCCCTTGAAGCTGTGTGTCACAAAACCACCTCGGATGTCCCAGACTTTGACGGTTCCTTCAGCACCACCGGTCGCTACTAGAGTACAGGTAGAGTCTGTGTCCATTGTAATGACTGGTGATTCATGCGCCTTCATTTGACGAAGGAGCTTGCCTTCAGGTAAGCTATATACGCGCATGAGCAACGACCGTGAGCAAGTGATGAGATGACTGCCATCTTTTGTCATGACCATGGAAGTAAGTACTTCCGAGTCACCTTTGATCTTGAGCACATGCTCGCCCGTCTCGAGGTTGCTGATGGCCACATCTTGCCCCAGGCTAGAAGCGAGTAGATGACCACCTGCGGTAACAGGCCCACCAGCGTAAACGACATCGACTTGTCTCTCAACTGCGAAAGATGTCTTCAATGGCATAGGCGCCATATCGCCACTTGCTATACCTCGCCCAATGCGCTGACTATACCAGCTCAAGCTTTTCTGTGCGATTTGACGTTTGCTACGATTCGGTTCGCGCCGACTCGCCAATAAATTTTGGAAATTCCCACGCCACTTTGTGCGACTCGGCCTCCTCCGTGCCCAAGCCAGAGTCGCGACGAACTGACCTGCACGTACTTGTGCTCTCAATATTTCTTGTACATAATGTTTGATCACTGGAATGCTCCTGATCTTGGTCAATGGACGCAGAATGCTGATGGTACCTACTGGCGCGTAGCTGGTCTCAATGAGGCTGGCTTTCATTACGTGGCCTCGGAGAGCAAGGCTCCCAGTGATATCTTCATGAGGGTCAGATGCCGTATAGGCAGGGCTGCTGTCACGAGAGATCGAGTACTCAATGCATGGATTCTGCTCAGGCGACAACATCCGTTGCTGGACGCCAGGTTTGTGCTTGACTCGAACTTATCGACCCAGTATGACTTGCGTATTGAGTATGACCCAAAGGGCGTCGAAGATAGAGCTGCTCGAGACCTGCACTGGCTTCCCATGTTCGAGAGCTGGGAACAGGAGCGAAACGCTTTGACCAATTGCTCTCGCGTCCTGAACGACAATCTGCTTTCTTCGCTGCGTATATACCATGAACCAGGGTCGGATGTCATTGAGCTAGTCTGGCTTGTTCATCATGCAATTTCAGACGGTGTATCCGTCACCATGGCTACACAAGATTTGCTTAATTCAATGGCAAGCACAAACACAGCACTGCAATCAGGGGTAAGCAGTCGCCCGGTCATCCAACGCCTACCATTAGCAATGGAAGGCTGTTTCCCGCCACGCATAGCTTCCTCCAGGCAAAGATGGCGTAATGCCATCTTGTACACAATTGCCCAAAATCGAAACAAGCGGAAACCGCCCGTCACCATCTGGAAGCATGGCAATGGTGTACCAGTAACACGACAGCGCACCTATACATTTTCAACGGCGATGTCAAGAGCATTGCTGGCTGCCTGCAAGCGACGTGGACTGACAGCTGGACATCTCATTTATGCTGCTCAAGCAGTGGCCTTTGCTCAGATTCTCCAGCTCACCCAAGACACGACAATTTTTGTTGGCACGCCGATGAATGCGCGTCGAACCTTTGCGGAGCCATTTAAGGCAAAAACACATGAAGTTGTCATGACTTTGGCATTCCTTGATGTCTTCATGCCTGCGATCGCAATGGGCAAGGATCCCAAGCGGAATGCAGAGAAGCTTTGGACAATGAGCAAGATTGCCAAGCGTCAAGTACATCACGTCATTACAGATGACAAGTTTGCCGACTTTGCATACATCATGCTCGAAGGCCGGTGGCTCGGCCGATTCAGATCTCAGCGAGATCGACCAGCAGGTCCGGACAACCGTCCAAAGAAGCGCGAGACGTACATCTCATACGGCAGTAGCGCTATGGGCAATCTCGATAACGCCCTCCAGATTTCACCGGCAAATCAAGACAGATTGTCCATTGTCGATATGAACATCGGTATGCGTGTCCGGCATGGTGAGACGCTTATGCACAGCTACAGCTTCCTCAACAAGTTGACGCTCAGTGTTATGTATGATGATCAGATCGGACTAGATGTTGTTGATGCTTGGATACAAGAGACTGCCAGACTGATGGAGCTGGCAATTGCTGATGAGGTGCCAACTCGCCGGCTATAGGCTCTTTTAAAAGTTATATGGCGTGGTAGCATGTTGTGAATATGACTTACTTTAGTCACAGTGGATTAGCTCGTTGTAGAAGATGTCTTGACTCGCCATCTCGTTGCTTGCTGGGACTGCGAAATTGGTCGAGTGTTAAACATGATGCACGTGTGCTACAGAAAAGTATTCTCAACTCAACTGCAGCAGCACCTCGTTACTTGCAGAACATCCACAAGCAATGTAAGAAGCGCTCCGATGCGCGGTGCAATCAATCAAGTCTGCTACGCGTCTTGACAAACGAAGGAAGAAGATGCAGGACAGTTTGCGGCGACATGGCTCATACAGGCCGCAAGGTCAGTCTCAGCCATGATTGCCCACGTCGCTGCTCTTGTTTGGGGATCAAGGCTCAGTTCGAGCCCTGCATCTTCTTTTCTCTGCGCAAGCAGGGCGGGTGATTGTACCGTGCAATCAAACTTTGGCTACCAAACGGGCAGTACTGACCATCTCTTTAGCATGCCTAAGCAAGTTCAAGACATCAAGCTCTTCCTCGAGATTGCTCGCCGAAAGGACGCCAAGTCTGCTCGCATCCGAAAGTCCAAGAACGGCAAGATTGTCAAGTTCAAGGTCCGATGCAGCAAGTACCTCTACACCCTTGTCGTCTCTGACGCCGAGAAGGTAAGTTTCATCTCAATGCGACGAACGTTTGCTAACTGTACAGGCACAGAAGCTCCAGCAATCGCTTCCTCCTACCCTCAAGGTTGAGCAGGAGTCGAAGTAGGCATCTCTCAATTGCTAGCTGCCAATCAAAATACAAAAACAATGAATAACCATCTATGCATTCGGCATTTTGAATTCCTCCCATGTCTGATCAGTGTCACGCATCAAAGCCCTGACGTGTGCTGCTGTTGTGTCCAGAATCTGCAGCCTCAGCTCGTGCTCCTCAAAGATCTCAACATACTTGTATTTCGAGAAGCCCAGTCCCTCAAAGAGTGCCAAAGACTTGACATTGTCCTTGCCAATCTTGACCCGCAGGCACACAAGTTTGCCGGTGCTCACAATTTGAGATTGATGCTTGAGAATGTACGCCATGAAAAGTAGCATAGCAGACCGACCAAGTCCTTGACGCCGTGATCCAGCTTCAGCAATCATAATCTCCAGCTCTCCCATGTAGCAGCCGTCCTCCACATCATGGCTTTCTTCAGAGCCATCGTACTCGTGCAAGAACATATTCACGTCGCCTACCATACGGTCGATAGAGTCGCCATCAACACCAGCAACGGAATCAGTCGTAGCTCTCAGAATGATGAACGTCAGCTTATCTGCATCTTCTTGCCAGCTGCACTGCATCTCATACTCCTCCTCCAAGGACAGTGGCTCCGACGCAGTCAATGCAAGGACTTCAGGATCTTGCATCCATTGATAGTAGCGTGGAACATGGGCAGCAGTGTACGGCACGAGCTGGACCAAAGCATTGCTCAGACAGGTGTCTTTGTTCAAAAGCATCTAGATCTAGCTAGCGTGTACATGTGCTTTCTAGCTAGTTGAAGGTAACCGGTGTGGTATTCATATCGGTGACGATGTCTGACAAAATATTGCCGCTTGCACCAGGCACAGGTTTTGCCTTCGGGGCGTCCAAAATGTCATAAGGAGCCCATTTGATGAGCTGTCCTGCCGAGTCGCCCGTGACAAGCTCTACATGCTGATTTGAGCGATTGACGGCGCAAGTTACACGACCATTGAGGACAAATTGACGATGGAAAAGGTATCCATTGAATAGGCCATACCGTAAGAGCTGTCCTTCGTCAGAAGGATAAAATAAGATGGGATCATCAATGTCTTGTCCCTCGACAATGAGCGGCTTCACAGTCTGCCAGTGGGTGTTGTTGATAGCCGTGCCGTAGTTGATGAGCATATTCTCGCCACTGACAATGTCCCATACCCTCAATTTATTGTCATGTCCAGTGCTCACAAGTGACAAGCCATCTTCCGTCCAAGCGATGCCATTGACCGTGTCAGAATGCGCTTTGGGAATCGCTGGTCGGATTTCACGTCTGCTATTGTACATGTCCAACAGGGCCATGCATGCCTGCGCCTTACGTACATCCCATATTCGAATAGTACCATCTGAGCCAGCAGAGGCCATGATGTGTTCTTGACGGGGAGACCATTCGACTGCAATAACCTTACCGGCGTGTCCACGTAGCATATGTGCATAACTGCCACTTCGCATGTCGCAGAGCCGCATGACTGGATTGTCGCACGCTGTGACAATCAATGCATGCGATGCTACTTTGCTGATGCTGTGACTGTAGACTTTGCTTCCGAGATCAAAGGTGCAAGCTTCACGCCAGCTCTCGGTGTCGAATACTTTCACAGTCTCGTCATAGCTAGATGTAGTCAGGAGTCCGTTGTCAAAGGGGTACCAGTGAATAGCACTGATGCCGTACTTGTGATAGGTCCCTCTGTCCGTCAGTAATCGTAGAAGAACCAAGACCTTTTACTTGGCAACTTTCTGTATTGGGAAGAGTTGAGCATCTCTGCTATCACAATCCCAAAGTGTAATATCAGAGCCTGCACCAGCACTAAGGAGGTAGCGCGCACCTTGATTGTCAAAGCTCAGCGCATTTACAGCGCCACGATGGCCCTCGGAGAATTGGCCCTTGGTTGCGCGGGCGAGGTCATGATAGAGGCGAGACGTCTGGGCGCGGCGTAGATCTTGCCGGCCGCCTATTTCTCGCAGCTGGAGAAAGCTCTCCATGAATAGACTTGATGAGATTAAGCATATATATGTAGAGAGCTGGAGACTCTGAGCTTGAGCATGGCATGTGGTGCGTATTTGCAGATTTAGATTCAAGCTTGCGCGGTCGTCTTCTGGGATTGGAATGTTACACGTAGTTCTAACACTTGACTTGAGCTCGGTCACTAGATTACGGTGTTACATAATAATTCCCATGACTGAAGCTCTCTCTAGCTCGCTTTGAAGTCGAGCTACTCCTTTCGCATGCCTCTGCAGCTACACTTGGATGTGTACGATACTAGGTTTCGTCCAAGTCTTTTGAAAGCCGCTGCCGAGACTCAGGAAAGAGAGCCTCCCGCTAAGCGCCTGAAGCTATCCTCAACGGGCTCGAGTCCCGATGAGTTGATCACTCTTTGGGATGTCGAGGTTGTGCTAGAGTACCCGGATCACGCTGTGCATTTAGACGCGTTGAACGGTCTCGTTCTTGAAGACATTTTCTCAACCAAAACATCAAACATCAGTACCGCCAGGATCAGTGTTGGGGTCTCGAATGCATGGCTGGTTCAAGGGGCATTGTTATCTGTCAAGAAGGATCCGACTGACTATGCGCATCAAGCGCTGCTCTACATGCTAGCCATGTCGCCAACGAGCTCAGTAGTGAAAAGCATGCACCAGGTCTACGAGCATGCCAAGTATATCCGACAAGTCCAAATCAAGGGCTCTTCGGTATGCTTTGTTTCCAGATTCTCTGTTGCGCCCTTACTGCAGTGGTCACAAAGCTCAGTCAGCCTGGCCCGGAACAAGATGTTTAGCTTCTTCATCGACTTGATGTATCCCGATCAGCCTGCAGCCTCACCCACGGTCTCCGATTTCTACAGCTTCCTAAAACCGCCGGCTGCTACAGAGGAGACTTACGAGTCGCCCTTTATCAAGACAGAGCTCCTGCACTATCAGCGCAACGCAGTCCACTGGATGCTGCAACGAGAGTTGGGCAGAGGCGAGACTGCACAGCTCTGGCTTCCATACAAGAGCAAAGATGGAAGTCCTGTCTTTATGCAAAAGATCATCGGCCTGGTCACTAAGTCGAAAGCCGAGACTGAGAGCTCCAATTCGATTCCTGGAGGGCTTCTTGCTGACGAGATGGGTCTGGGCAAGTCGCTGGCGATCATTGCGCTTGCGGTGCACAATCAGATGAGTGGTCCAGACATGGAGCCTCAAGTAGATCACTTCACTGGGAACACGGTCAAACCAATTGGCGCGACTCTGGTGGTCTCTCCTCCTTCCATCCTTCAGCAATGGATTGACGAGGTCGCTAAGCACTCGTCCCTCAGAGTGTGTCACTATCGGGGAATGGCCAAAACCGCAATCGGAGAACATGATTTTACTCAATACGATATTGTCGTGACCGCGTACGACACACTGGCTGCAGAAGTCTACCACGCCACGCCAGTCATATCTGAACGAAAGCTACGCACGCCAAGTTTAGAAAAGCGCAAGTGTCCTCTTGTCTTACACGAATGGTTTCGAGTGGTGATGGACGAAGCGCAAATGATTGCCACCGGGTCATCTGCCGCTGCTCAAGTGGCATGTCAAATACCACGAAAGAATGCATGGATTGTCACTGGAACGCCCATCTCCAAATCATGTGTCGATACATTCGGTCTCCTTCATTTTCTGCGCATTGACCCAATCTATGCCAATGCGAGCTTGTACAACAGAATTCTTGACAGTGCCACTGCCATGGATACTATTGAGAGGCTATTCAAACCTCTTTCTTGCCGAAACACAAAAGCGCTTGTCTCCGCGGAAATTGCGCTGCCTCAACAGACGATGTATCTATGTCCTGTTGAGCTGACTGCAATCGAAGCAAGTAACTTCAACGATCTGTTGGATGCTGCTCTCGAGGAAATCGGCATCTCCAAGACTCTCATCTCAGCATCGGATGATTCTTGGACGGAGCAGTTGACGTCGCAACAAGTCAGTTTGATGCAAGCCTGGATTAGCCGATTGAGACAAGCTTGTACTCATCCGTACATTGGAGGCAAGAATAAAGCTTCATTCGCCATCAATGTCAAGCCATTACAGACTCTCGCGGATGTTCTAGATGGCATGATTGACGCGACCAATCGCTCACTAGAGGTGGACCGTCGTGCCAGGGCAACAGCCATCCTGCGAAAGGGGCAAATCCTCGAATACACAGCAAAGCATGATCAATCGCTCAAGATTTGGCAAGATCTGTTGCCGACTTTACAGGGCGAGGTCGAAGTTGCCTCTGCCAATCATGCTGCTAGCCAGAAGCGGCATCTGGACGACAAGACTGATGAAGTGGCTGAGCGTGCGTTTAAGTTGAGTTTGACTGATTTGCGACATTGGCGTGAGCTCCTTCAACGATGCTACTTCTTCATTGGCTCTGCTCACTTTCAGCTGAAGAATGAGGACCAAGAGAAGGAAGCCTATGCAAATGCCAAACAAGTACGCAAGGAGTTGCTAGCTGAAAGCGAAGAAGATGCTCTAACTCATATCGCCAAAGTTGTCAAACGATTCAAGGCCCAGGACTTTGTTGTCATACCGGAGATGCGTTTCTCCGATTTTACCGGTGGCTTCTCATCGAGACCGCTCCTCGAACGCTTACAGACGATCACTGAGATTTTGAATGATCAAGCTGGGCTCATGGATGAGGTATGTCATCAAGCATTGACTATGGCTAATGAATAGTGGAGAGAATCTTGCCTAGACCGTTTGATAACACAATTACCTGACCAGAACGACGAGGCATCGGGAGGCGAGTATGAAGAATCACTTGACAAGCAAGCAGAGGCTTCAGACTACCATGATCTGGTCAGGATTGCTACGGCTGACCGCATGGCACTCGTCAATGGCCTTGCCAATACGATGGTTGAGAATGATGCTCGTACACTTGCTCAGTCTTCGGCCAGGAGTGAAATTGTCAAAGCAGGTCTGGCTGCTCGAAATCAGTTAATCCCAAAGGGTGGCTATCAACAGTGGGATTCGCTAGTCGCCGTCGTCAATGCATTCAAAGCCAAAGTCAGGCAGCTGGAGCATATGACAGATGCTCGGACTACAACATCGGCAAGGCTGGAGCTTGACATCGCTGTTCGGGCTCTCGAGCAGCTACAGAAAAGGGCGGCACCGCAAATCAAGTGTTGCGAAGCTCTCAAGGCTGAATTCGATCTCGTTGTTGAGACCTTGAACGCTCGCCTCTTGTACTACAAACAGCTGCAAGGCATATCAGATGGGCTCACTGCATTCACTGTACTCAAGCACGTCAGCGATGAGAATCTGCTCAATGAAGACTTGGACAGAGCCCTTGGACGGGATAAAGCTGTCGAACTCGAGGAGTCTGACATCAGCGACGAGGAGCGAGCTAGTCGAGTTTTCACAGCTATGCACAAAGTGGACGCAGAGATCTTGCAGCGTGAGACTGTCATCAGTAAAGGGCAGACTCGAGAAAAGTATCTCAGGTATTTGGGAACATTGAAGGACAAGGAAAAAGAAACATGCACGATCTGCATTACCGAATTTGACAAGGGAGTCATGACCGTTTGTGGCCACATCTTTTGTCGTGATTGTTTCAAGGAATGGTTTCGTCAGCATCGCGCCTGTCCCCTGTGCAAGAAGCTTTTGGACAGAAACTCTTTCCATTCAATAACACTGAAGAATGTGTCTGTCAAATCTCCGCCCGAGGTCAATTCAAAAGCGAGCATGCACTCTGTCGAATACGAATACCCGAGGCTCAGCCAAGAGCAGCTCGCAGCTATCAATCAGGTGACGCTTGTCGGCTCTTACTCGAGCAAAATCGACACGATCGTGAAGCACATTATTTCCATCCCCGATGGTCAAAAGGCGGTGCTGTACAGCAATTGGCTTGAAGTCTTGTCTCTCTTCTCACTCGCATTGGACAAGAATGAAGTCAAGACTGCACTGCTGGGACAGAGGTGCAAAAAGTCACAACCTCAAGGTTTGGAAGATTTTATGAATGATTCGAAGTGTAAAGTTCTGCTGATGAGTGGCAAATCACAGTCGTCAGGCCTTACTTTGGTCAATGCTACCCATTTGTTCCTGGTGGAGCCGCTGCTCAATCAAGCAGTCGAGCAGCAAGTCGTGTCACGCATTCACAGATTTGGCCAGACTCACGAGACATCGGTGTATCAATATACAGTCGAGGGTTCCGTGGAGATGACGATCTTGAAGGAGAATGCCAGGCTCCGCAGGCAGACGAAAATGGAAGTCGCTGAGGAGACTGGTCCAGTCATTCTGGGGGACAGCCAGTACAAGAGGCGTCTCAGAGCAGGGGAGGTGACGGATACGAATGAGACGATTGCCCTGTTCAAGTGTAACTTTGAGCAGCGGCCTGGTGTGATGGGAGACGAGGAGGAGCAGGATACGCTGCTTGGTCCCATCTGAATGAGTTTCCTTAGCGATGACATCATATGGCCTGGACTTGCACGTGCTCGAGATGTCTCCGGAGCTTGGATGACGCCCAGACGGAGCATTCTACGCTATATCCAAGTGTTGCCCATCATGGTATCTGCCAAAGATCAAGAGACACAGAAGTGGCTCGGGCAGGTCATCGCAGGCACAACGCCGACCTCGTCCACCACAAATTTGGCATCAACTAGCGCACAGCTGAACCAAGCGACAGCAAACAAGTCATCCGCTGGCTCTCCGACAATGGCTCTTCCGCCAGTCTCAAGCTCACCAGCTGCTAGGCTCGCTGCCGCCGCTTCGCGCGATTCTCAAGGTGATGCTGCTCGGCGCTCCTATGCGCTTCCAGCAAGTGGTACATTCTTCATCCGTCGAGTCGATGATCGTGCTGACAAGACAGTTTCCAACAATTCCCTCGGGAGTTCAGGAGAGAATGCTGCTAGAAGAGCCTCTAAGCTTGCTGCTGGTGCTGCCGCCGAGGCCTTGTACCACCCACGCCCGCAAGAACCAGAGCTGAAGCCATCGCAGATGTCCAGCGCCAGTGCAGCAGCCACGATTGCTTCTCAGCGACCTACATCGCAAATCATCAAGGAGAGCGAAGATGCGACTGCTCGCTCTATCCCAGGTACTGAGGGTAATCTCAAGACCTCAGCAAGCAAGGCAGCACTACTAGCCGCGCGCGACTCGAAGCCCTACGAGATTCAAGAGCATTCCATCTCGCAAAACGCTGGACGAGCTGCCCTGTTGGCTGCTCATGACTCCAAGCCTTACGAGGTGCCCGAGCACAAGTTGTCTGCTCAAGCAGGCCGAGCGGCCCTTTTGGCCAATGACAATGTGATACCATACGAGGTGCCCGAACACAAGCTCTCTGCCTATGCGTATGTTCTCTTACCCCTCACAGCCTTGGAACTAACAAGTAGTGGTAAAGCCGCTCTGCAAGCACACCAAGACCCTGTCACGGTTGAGGTGCCAAAGCACCGCATGTCGCAAAGTGCATCCACTGCAGCGCTCTCTGCATACAATGACCCCGTCACTGTTGAGGTTGAGAAGCACGAAATGTCTGCCAATGCTGGAAAAGCAGCTCTCTTGGCTCATCACGACTACCAACCTGTAGAGATTCCCGTGCATGAGCTTTCTGCCAATGCTGGCAAAGCTGCACTACTCGCCAGCCAGAATCCTGATGTTCAGCCCAAGGCAAAGCAAAATTTGACCTCAGAGGCCAGCGCACGTAACGCTCTGAAGGCTGCCAGTCAAGCACATCACGACCCCCTGATGCGTCCAACAAAGCCCGATGATCTTCAAGCCAAAGGCGCTGCTAGTGCCTTGAAAGCTGCTAGTCAAGCACACCAAGAACGCGCCCAGCCTTTTAAATATGTGCATCCTGCTGATGATGAGCGCATTGGTCGGCTTGCCCGCGAAAACACCCGCAAGAGCCTTGCCGCTATGGAGCCTCGTCAACCTGGTAAGGAAACATTGGCTTATGCCAACATCAGCTACGCCAATGCGCAAAAGCGTCAATCTCAGATAGATGATGACCGCTCCATTTCGGGTGATGCTCAACGCAGTGCCGAGTACAGCTTCCGAAACGACACATCCAGTGCCCTTGACGATCCCAATGCATCTGTTGCTGCCCGACAAGCTGCTCGCAGCACTCGATCGCGTGCAGACACCACCACCACACAAGGAACATCTGGTCCTGTTGATCTCCTTGCCATCGCTCGCAGAAATGTCGATTCGCAAATGGCAGCGCGTGGCATTGCACCTGCACAGCAAATCACACCACCACAATCTGGTGATGCTTCAAAACGCCCACAAATGGCGCACCGTGCTAGTTCGCTTGCCTTTAAGGATGGTCAAGATCGTGCTGTTGAGTCGGCACGTCATCGTGAGCAAACTCCCGATGAACGTGAGATTGCGGCACGGATCGCACGGGAGATGGCACAATTCGATCAGCAGCGTAAGCGTAATGAGAAGAACCCGCAGTACCAATCTGCATTGATGGAAGCTGCGAGGCGTAATGCAAAGGCTGCTTTGCAGCAAATGGACCGTGACCGACCTTACACGCCACCTAGTTTGCAAGATATTGCCAAGTTGGAGGATTCTCTCAATGATGAAAAAGTCAAGGCTCGTAAAGACGCTGATAATGGCCGACAAATTGATATTGGTGGTGGTCATTACATGTCTCAGGCTGAGGTGGAAGCCATTGCAGCAAAGCGTGTGCAACCCGTCTTTGACGAGATGGACGAGCGCGTCGCTGCTATTAATCAGCGCAAAGCGGAAATCAAGGCCAAGGAGGATGCTGAGCGGGAGCGTAAAGCAGCCGAAAAGGCAGAGCGCCACAAGCAAAAGGAGCTTGAGAAAGAGCGTGCCCGAAACACCAAGATTGCGGAGAAGGAAGCAAAGGAACAAGCTAAGAAAGAGGCCGCTGAGAAGAAGGCTGCTGAAGAAGCTCGCAAGCGTGAGGAGCGTGCAGAGCAAGAAAAGAAGCGCCAAGAAAAGCTCGTCAAGGAACGCGAAGAGCGTGAAGTTGCAGTGAAGCAGAAAAAGGAAGAAGAGGCTGCAGCTCTCAGGGAGAAGGAGGAGTCTGCCAAGCTTGCGCGAACAGACTCGGCCAATGCTGTTGCGACTGCTGCAGCAACGCCATCAATCAAAGGTGGAAACCTTCCTGGCACCAATGCGCCCTTGCATGGCCAAGTCCTTGAAGGATCATCGAAGGAGACTAGTGCGAGCAAAACTGCCGTCATGAGTCCAAGCGGCGAATCAGTTAAAGCTCCTGTTGAGCCTTCGACTTCAGCAACTGGTACAAGCCATGCAACTGCTATTGCTGCAGTCGAGCCCATCTCCGAAGTTGTACCTGTCAGCGGCTCTGTTAAGCCTTCTGATGCCGTGCTCGACCGTGCTACTGGCCTTGAACGCACCAGCACTCTTGACTCACGCAGTGGCGAACCGCTCGCGACGTATGTTGTTGACCATCGCGGCATGACCGACACCGAAGGCGAGACGGACGACGAATGGACCGATGCCGTGGAAGAGACGCCTGGTGCAGAGCGCACCGAGCCCAGCTATGTGCAGCATCTCCATACTCGTCAGCCTTCTGACGGCGATGATGCAGCATCTGTCAAGACCGCAAAACCAACAAGACCGGACACACTGGCTGTTGTGCCAGAAATTGGTTCAGTTGAGAAGGAGTTGGCGCCACCGATTGTCAAGACGGAAGCTGATTTGGTTCTGGGCGTTGTTTCCAAGACCAAGTTCAAGGAGGAATTCGCTTGATGACCCCACTATACAACATGTACGCTCAATCTGCTTTCATAGTCAACTAATCTATCGACGTTACTTCTGGTACTCTCCCCTTGACTCAAATCAATTTGAAGTCCCAGCTTGGTCGGATCACTGAGTCTTGCCATTTCTAAGAGTTCACAGCCAGCCGCGGAAAGTTGCTCTGTAGTATGGAATAGTTTGCGAGCCCGACTATGATGATATACGGCTTGAGGCTGTCGTCGACAGGAGCTCGAGACCCATCGCGATATCAGAGTTCCGAAAGCCCTGTACATTGCACCCAGCTACTAAGACACATCTGTCTCTCGAGAGTTGCTCGAGACATGCGGTTGCGCAGGTCAGTGTAGATCAGCTTCCCTCGAGAGAAAGCGCGCTCAGATGCGACGCTACTAGCCTGAATTGACAGATATGACTGTGCAATGGTCGCCAGTACTGGATGATTGGGCACCCCATATTGTTTCCACCACTCGAGTGGGTCGATCGTTTGCGGCGCAACTGGCTCCTGAAGGTATCGGTTCAACATCAATTCAGCGTTGCCTGAGCTGAGCGAAGACTCCTTTTCAAGTTGTGCTGTGAATCCGAACAATTCATCAAAGTCGCAACTTGCACTATCTTCGAGGCTGCTGTGTCCGGTCTTGCGTCTCTTGTCGGCCGTGCTTGAGGCCCTGGACGCGGCATTTTCCGTTGACTCGATGATGGGCACCATGAGTGCAGTGATACACGCGCGTACACTGCCAAGATCAAATGGCTTGATGTTCTTCGCTTTGAACCTCGGATCGAGAACCACAGCGATCGCTAAAGGCCATCGTTCTCGCAGCTTGATAACGTATTTGTTCAGTTTACTCTCGATCGCGTCAACTAGGTGGGAAAGTTCGCCGTCAGAGTCGATGTCTTCCTGCCTGGTATGTATGATAGATGTTAATTGGCAAAAGTGTCTGACGAACTTTGACGCAGTAATTGATGTCGTCGTTGACACGGCATTGGTCAGCAATGAGAAGGGTATCATCATGTAAACGAACTTCTCAAGTAGATCCCACTCTTCTTCGGAAATAATTTGCAACTTGTCGTGCTGGCCGCTGACCGAGTAAAACATTGCACGCAATACATCTCGCTTCTTGATGGCTGCTTGTGCCATAATTAAGGATGAATGCCACCTGGTCTTCACGTCCAGCGGAATCAGAGTGGAGTCGACATTGAGACGCGTACAGTGAAAATCCCAATACTCTCGTACTGTGGGTATGTCTTGAATAGCTTTGGCCCAAGCTCGGACCTTCTCTTGAGCACTGCCTACATGCAACCTCTTGGTTTCTGAAGGTCAGTTCATTCGCTTGCACATTGAGGAAAGACTCACGTCGCATGAGGGCCATGTCTCCAGATGAAGTGGTGCCCGAGATTCCGGGGCATGCCATCGGGTAAGAGACGTCTTGCACTGAAGCTGTATCGCTGTCCACTTCTCCTTCGCCCAAGAAGTCAGCAAATTGCTCTCTAAGACGCTCAAAGTCAGCCGAAGTCAGATCGGGCTCGCTGGAAGAGCTTGAATCATCCATTGGAAGCTCGGCCGCCTCGTCAGGGCTGATTGCCGTGTCTGTTACTTTCTGCTGTCTGTCATGAGGAGTTCCGGCTGGCAATGAAGCCGCGCTTGGCAGATCGAGAGAATGTTGCCTGTCTCCAACATGGCCGAGAATCTTCAATGCGTCCTGAGCGGCACTATTAACGACATGTGCGATGCAAGGTACATGATGGTTTCCGGAGAACCCTGTGTCGCCCTGGGATTCTACCAGGAGCTCAATGAATGCCTTGACAAGCTTTGTATCGGACAAAGCATTGTCCGTTGTAAGACACAGGATCTTGGAAACGCAACCGAGCTCCTGGAGGGCTGTGAACAAGGCTTGAGCCATGTTGGCACCATTGTGGGAGAAGCTCAGCTGTCGTGCACTGAGAAGCACGTCAACGAGCTTCCAATCCGCTGTGAGAAAATGACCAGTGATGCGGAGCACCGGTAGCTGGTTAGGGGCGGTCCACACATCCAGCATCAGAGAAATCTTCCCAGGAGCATGCGCTATCAAATCTTTCAACTTCGCCCGCTCCGTCTGATACAGGGCTGACATCTTGCTTTTGAGCGTTTCAGCAGTGCACAGCTTGAAATAAGAGCCGAACATGTAAGATAGCGCGTCCTCGAGATATTTGTTCTCAATATACTCGAAAGGAAGTCTCATGTCAAGCCACGCGAGACAAAGCTTGTTATAGAAGACATTCATGTCAAATTTACCATAAGATTTGTGCTCCGCGGCGACAAGGTTGAAGGACTGTGAAATCGTTGTCTGCCCACTCTCAATTGTGATGGGCTTTCTTGATGTTGCCGGCAAAATGTCTGGATGAAGAGATTTGAGATGTCGCCGGCGTGAGGTGGTCCCTCCATTGATATCTTTGGAGACCGACCTTGTCCGAAGGGGTTCGCGAACGTCACAAAGTTTGCAAACATGTCTGCCGCTGACCTTGTCAAAATCAAACCACTGGTTATACATACTGCCGGGCCCGCGCTGTCGCGGGTGGTCCTCAATCGTAGCTTCTGGCATTGAAAAATCAGGCTGTTCTTCAAGTCGACTGGTGGCAGCGACCGCCAGCCCAGCTGATGAGCTGTTGATCAAGTTTTGCCTTGATGATTGCCCAGCCCTTAGTGAAGACACTGAATCGAGTGAACAGTGTAAAGTGCTATCACCATCGATGACAGAGTTGTCTGACAAGCGTCTTGCGGACCATGTGCGAGCGAGGAGATTTGACATGCTAAGAGCTGCGAGGTCTTTTGCTGAACGGTGGGAAGCTTGTAGTTAGGGTCCTTTTGCTACGTAGCTCTGGTGTGGACTCTGGAGCATGTCACAACGCAGATGCCTGAGCAGTTGACAGTCAAGGGCTTCAGGCCCAGTCAGGCCCCTGGGAGACTGTCAGAGGGAGAGTTTTGGGGCCGAACAAGTGATCTGAGTCTTGACTCTTGAAGCAAAGGGGAGTCGGAGGCGGTAGAATCTCAATTTTCACGGCGGGACTTCCAAATTGTCACTAGCTTGTTGGCTGTCTGGTGAAAGCTCTTCTAGCGATCGATCTATCAGGGCCTTGACTAGGCTATTAGAGTCTGCCGAGCACTAACAGGAGTCATGGGCAAACATCAAGTGTGGCCGTCTACTGTCTCCACCCTAACCCTACCAACCAAAATACTTCTATTCTTCAGATGGCTGCTTAGATAAGTAGGACACGTGACACATCGCTCGACGCGTCACTTTGGACGAGCACGAAGAGCAATAGACGACAGCAATCTACAGTCAAAGGCTACTCTGAATCCTGCTTACCATTCGAAAGGGGCCAGAGTTCAAACCGCTAGTATGATCGCGAACCATCAAGTCTTCACAGAGCCATGGGCGCACAAAGGTCACAGTAGTGAAGCCAATGTCATGCAGCAGTCCTTTCTTCCCTCACAAGGGCCAGCGGATGTGGCAGCACACGCTGCAGCAGACCCTACAACACACACTACATCACCTATCGTCACCGGTACATCCGTGATTGGTCTCAAATTTCAGGACGGTGTCATGCTTGCTGCGGACAATCTGGCTTCATATGGATCCATGGCGCGTTTCAGGAATATTGAGCGTTTGATTCAAGTCGGACCATACACGACTGTCGGTGTTGGTGGTGATATTTCTGATTTCCAATATATTGAGCGATTGCTTGATGACTTGACGATTCGCGAGCAAGATGCCGCAGATGGGCATGCGTTGCGTCCAGAACACGTTCACGAGTATCTAAGCAGGGTCATGTACAATCGCCGCTCGAAGCAAAATCCACTATGGAATAGCATGATTGTTGCTGGCACTGCGCCAGCGCCGAAATCAATTAAAGTGGTGGAGCAGGGCAGTACGCCCAAGAAGAGCGAGGGCGCATTCATGGCTTTTGTGGACCTGCTCGGTACGACATACAGCTCACCGGTCATTGCAACAGGTATGGGATCAGCTATGGCCATTCCATTGCTGCGCAAGGCGACAGACAACGAAGCCTGGAAGACATTATCGCGCGAAGATGCACGCAAAGTGGTGGATGAATGCATGAAAGTGCTATTCTACAGAGACGCACGCAGTCTGAATAAGTTCTCTGTGGCGACGGTGACGCTTGAGCAAGGTGTGCAATTTGAGCGCGACCAAAAGGTGGACACGCAATGGAAGTTTGCAGAGTTTCAATATGGCTACAAGTAGCTATGGAGCACTAGCTGGACGTTGATACCTAGCCATGTGTAGATCAAATATCTGGTCTAGACCTCTTGATACTGCAGGTGGTTTCTGGCCCAGCGAACTTCCCCACAATGCAACGACATCTTGAACCCCATTCACATCAGTCTACTTGTGGAGCACTTGAATCGTCCATAGTCTATACTATCCAAGCTATGTTGCAACCTTCGCAAAAGGCAGATCCGGCTGTTGCAGCGCTCACCGCCAAGCTTGGTGGTGCAGCATCCAATGCCATGCTCATGTTACTTCTCTACACCTAGGTGGAAACGTGCTCTGAGGATGACGCTACAGAGCAGGGGGTTCGGTCAGTCAGCGTTAAGACAAGGAGACTCGCGCTGGACGGCAGCGCCTCCTTGCACGCACGGTAGAACAGGCACCTGTCCGCTGTATTCGTGCAAAATTGGCGGGTGAAAATTTTTTTCGCCCTGTTTTTGAGACCGACTTGTCGTCTTGAAGAGCCTGGTCACTCCTGCTCGGGTCCAAACATCAATCAAACAGGTAAGAGAGTTCCCTTCCACTCTCTTGGAGCGTCTGTCGTCTCCAAACAACAAATGGCAGCAACTAGGTCAACACCAAAGGCAACCTGGGGCCCCGGAGGTCTCATCTGAGCTTATTGTACCTTTGCCGCATGCGGTCAAAGCGTACAGCTCCCTCCAGTTTACTTTATGGCATATAACGACCACCTACTGCATCATTGCCGGCCCTTGCGGCATTGATTATCAAATCGGTCGGGGTTCTGCCTGGTCCCCGATTGGAGCCCTCGTTCTTCTTGTGCCGGTCCCAATACGCTGTTTCTCGACCGCGTAGTCTAGCATGCCCACTTTGGGAGTGTCCCCTTCTCGCTCTCACTATGAGTGGATCTCACCATACTAGTCGAAACGGCTTGCTTCGAAGCTTTTTTCGGGGTTTTTTCGAAAAAGCATTGCGCTGGCCAGCCTGTCTGGTCTTGTGGTAGGCTTGCTACGGCAATCCTTACTACAAATACGCTGGGGAACAGCATCACTATTGAGACTAGCACTGGGAGTGACGAGATATGCTGTGTCTTTTATGACCAGCCAATTTGCCTTACGGCACTAAAGCGTTGTTCTGCGTGGAGAGCTGGAGGCACCTTGTGCGGAAGGTTCTCTGTTTTGCTTCCTTCTTATAATGGAGGACAGTAGTTGAGCTGAATACGACGTAGCTTTTTTTTAGCTAAATCCCACCACACCTGCGACCGTATTGAATTCCTCCCAAGACTCGCCAAACTTGGACACCCAGCCACGGCAGCTGAAATTGCTACCTCTTTGCAGTTGACGGAGCGATACGTGCAGGAGCTTTGCAACGCATTAGCATGCTTTGAGCTATTGACATATGATGCTGCAGCTGCCTCCTATGCTGTTCCTGAAGCAACACGAATTGTGCTAGGCAGTGAAGTCAACAGGGATACCTTTGATGGTGTTGCTCAGGCTATACACAGTCTTCATGGTGTCGCTGACAAAGTTGCTGACAGCATTAAGGGGGAGACAAAAGGTGTCCCCTTTGGTGCCTTCACTGGTATCGTTGAAGCCATCAAGGGCATGAACCAACCGGCCATTATCGCAGGTGAGATCTTCAATTGGACCAGACCTTTACAGCAGCAGCTCGAGCAAGGTATTCGCTGGGTCGATGTCGGCTGCGGTAGTGGTCAATTCGTGTTGCAGCTTGCACAGCGTTACGCAGACTCCAAATTTCTAGGCATCGACTTGTCCATTGAGTCTATTGCCGCTTGTCAGGCTTCTCTTGATGCTATATCGCCACCCCTGACGAACGTCACATTCAAGGCCATCCCCATTGAGAAGCTTGACTCGGTGAGCCTGGGTGGCGACATTGACATCCTCTCCACCTTTGATGTCATCCACGATGTGCCTGGTTCTTCAGCAGCATTGAAGGGCATCTACAATGCCCTCAAGAAGGGTGGCTATTACTTTATGGTCGAGCCCAAGGTCTCATCCAATGTGGAGGACAATATTGGACCCAGAGGTGGATTCATCTACAGCATCTCACTCATGCATTGTTTGACGCAGAACCTTGCCAACGATGGTGAAGGCTTGGGTGCTGGCTGGGGTGCTCAGCGGCAGGAACAAATGCTGAAGGAAGCAGGCTTCGCATCAGTCCAACAGCTTGAACCGGACAATGCAACGCAACTTTTTTGGCACGCCAGAAGTAAAGACATGCAAATGTGACTTTGATATCGACGTAGTTTTTTCAGATGCACCTCAACACCCCTCAAAAGTGATGAGCTCTACTTCAAGCGTTCTCAGATTCACCAAGACGAGTTCTCCTGTTTGGATGAATTTGGGCACTGTAATCAAGCGACAACGGCTGGTCTGCTCACCTTGCTCGTCCCGTGTTGTGTGTTCTACCAAGCGGTCGTCGAATTTCGCCTGATTGCCAAGGAAGTAGACATCTGGCAAGGTCTTCATGATGAATGGATCTTGATCCGAGTAGGGATAAGTCCACAAGGTGTCTGGTGCTGTGGGAGCCATATGTCTCCAACGCAGACAGGATTCCATGATGGCAAGCACATCAACGTCTTCGTACGCATCACCCGCTTGACTATCTGCCATGACATCTTGATCGACAGGGTCAGTGGCAATGTAGTGAGCAATGTCATCCACCGTTTGCCCAGAGCATCCAAGGAACATCTTTCCAGCCATATCAAGATAAGTTGGATTCGTGGCTCTCTTGAGCGTAACGCCATCAAACTTACGCGTATCCTTGAGCATGACCTTGTGTACTGGTTGTTGTGGCATGGTGCTATTTGTTGGATCCTTATCACCAGGCATGACGATGACCTGCATTGTTGCACTGATTTCTGCTAGGAAATCATCGAGTGCCACGATGGGGCGAGGATTGTAGGACGCAGCATCGTAACCGTACTTCTTGTTCTTTGTCAAGCGACGCGACATGGCATCTTCCTTGGGTAGGGGTGTTGAAGTGATGCTGTTGCCAGCAACAATCAAGGCTGATATCCTGGATGAGAATTGCTGATCCGGTTCATCAAGCAAGTCTCCCGTTAGAAAGTCGAGCAATAAGGACAAGGTCAAGGGTGCTGCATCCGTTCCAGAAATTTCCAGGCCGGAGACAATAGCGACATACTCGTCATTCGGTCTTGCGTTTGAGCCACCAATACCAGGTGTCGCATCCGTCATCTCCACATCTTCTTGCGCAGATATTTGGCGACCAGGTGGGAGGTCGGCATGGACAATATCAATCACCTCGAACTCACCGCTGCTCGTCTCACTTCCCAAGACACCGACCACAATACCCGTACATAGAATTTCCTCGAGCAATTTCGCACCAATCAGCTGAACACGACCTGATTCGTCTTCAAGCTGTATTGAATCCCTCCGCGGATCTCGCCAAGTTTGTTTGGGAACTGCTGCTGCAAGCCAGTGTTCTGCTGTGATGTCTTCAAGAATATTGGGCTTGAGTGGCATCTCCATGTACAAAGTGCCGACGAGCCAAGTCAGTTCGCCTTGTTGAACATCGAGGACTCGTGGTGTATGCGCTGCACTGCGTCCATCGTGGAGCGTGAGGCCTGACCACCGCACTTCAGCATTGTTGAGCACAACAGGCTTGAGGATGGCCAGACGAAGGAAGTAGAGGTTAGCATACTGTGCTGGCGAGGTGTGTTAGCGAAGATCATTGTAGCGATTGATAGATGGAGCCATACTGGTGTAGTTGCGCTTCTTGGCATCAATGAGGAAATGGTCGTCTAGATCTGAGGGCCGCAGTACGTTGTGCCTCACGAGCTGCATCACTGTCATGGCAAGTGCAAGCTGGAGGAGGGGCAGTCTACGAGAGTCGCTTCTTCCGTCCGTCTCGTCGCGTCTTTCACTTTCACAAATTCGCGTCGCGTACAACCAAGAAATACTAGCACTAGTCTAGCAGCGACGTCTAAGAAGCAGTGTACAGCGCTATACGTGATAGGCTTCGTCTAGAAACATTGTCTCCGTGCTCATGCGATCTTGGCACCATCTACAACGCTTTCCGCAAGAAGATGGTCGCTTGCGGATTGCTGTTGTACCGCTCACAAGCCTCGTACCCGCGCTTCTTGTACAAAGATAATGCGCTCTCCAGATCATCCTTCGAGTCCAGGTAGATATAAGCTGCTCCTTGTTTCGCCGCACACTCCTCCATTGGCTGCAGTAGCTTGTGAGCAATGCCCAATCCACGATACTTGTCGCGCACATAGAGTCGCTTGCATTCAGTCAGCAAAATCTTGTTACCATGCGAATCCACCGTCGCCACCTCTTTCAACGCTGGATGGCTCTCGCTATCTAATGGCCGCAAGACGACCACACCAGCAGGAACACGCTGCTTCTCCTCATTCTCGGTAAAGGCGAGCCAAGTACCGGGACCTGAAGCACCAGTTGACAAGTACACGGCTATCTCCTCCGGTGTATCGCGCTTGACAATGTCGAGAGATGCATAGTACTCGTTGATGAGAAGAGTCGCTTGCAGCAAGTGCTCTGATGTTGCTCTGACGACTTCTATGCTCGGGGACATGACACGATCGACCGAAGCTGATGGTCCTTCGAGTCCAGCTCGTCAGATAGCAAAAGAAACAGTCACATTCAGCGTTATGCACATACGTAGCTAGTACCATCGACATCAATCAGCACACTAGTCATGAAGCATCATTGAGGAGTGCTCAGGGGAAGCCAACCCGTTCTCAATGACTTGCTTCCTGCCGAGATCCTTGATCATGGTTCTTTGCCGCTTCACACCACGTTTGGCTTCGGGGACAGGGACGGCCTCCATCGCTGCAGCTGATGCGTCATCATCTGCCAGCATCCAAGGATGCCGCGCCGCTTCAGAGATGCTCAGCCGATGCTCGGGGTCGACTGTCAAAAGTTTCGAGATGAGATCAATGGCACCATTCGAGACAGAATCCCAGTATGGCCTGGTGAACTGAAATCGTCCCTCGCGTATCTGTGTCTTCATGTCTGGAGGCGCAAGTTCTTGTGAAAAGGGTGGAAATCCACAGAGACAGATATAAAGAACCACGCCTGCGGACCACGAATCGACCTTGCGTGTATACTCGACGCCTTTGTTGGAATTCGGCGGCGCAAGCATCTCTGGAGGAATATACGATGGTGTGCCTGCAAGACTAGAGGTGATGGATCGACTGCCAATGATCTTTGCCAAACCGAAATCAGCCAAGCGAATATCGAAGCTGTCTGGTTTGCACAGCAAGATATTCTCCGGTTTGATATCCCTATGCACAATTGAACTGGCGTGTAGATATTCGAGGGCAGAGAAGAGTTGACGAAAGACGTAGCGAGTCTCCTTCTCCGTAAACTTGCCACGTTGTATGATGCGGTCGAAGAGCTCCCCACCTTGCGCGAGCTCAAGAAGTAAGTAAATGACATTACCATCATCAAACACATCTCGTATACAGGTGATGAGTGGATGTGTGCAAGACATGAGCAGACCAATTTCATGCAGGAACGCCTTGTCGTCATTGACCATGCGCTTCTTGATCATCTTTGCAGCAAACTTTGCATTGGTACAGCGTTCAACTGCTTCGAATACTTCGGCAAAGTGACCTTTCCCAAGTGTCTTTGTCACTTTGAAGCGCTCATCAAATGACTTGTTGCCTTTCCTGTCTGTTGAGCGAAAGAACCAAGACGGACCATTGCTGCCCAATGAGATGAGATCGTTATCCTGCAGCAATACTGTTTCATTGCGCTTGCATAGCTGACCATTGACGAAAGTGCCGTGTCCTGAAATTTCTTGCAAGTAGACAAGATGACTGGTCTTTTTTGTCTGTCCAGACTGCTCATACTCTTCTTGCGTAGCTGGACGTGTTTGGTTGATCTTGAAGAGCACGAAATGTCTCGCAGATATACGATGTCCATGTATCTTGACATCGCACTCTTCGGCAGATCCAATCATGTATCCAGAACTGGCCAAATTGTCACCATTGTAGTCCTTGAGGACCGCGCCAGATGCCTTTGCAGGTTGCGTCTTGCACATGTCCTTCTTTGCACCACATCGAGACTCTTTGGACAGCAAGAAGGACAATTCTTTTGTATGTAGCGAAAGCATATACCCCCACACGCTCAATTCATCTTCAGCGGTGCCACGATCGAGTTGAGGATTGACGCACATGTCGGACGCGCAAGGTTGCTCCTCTGGTTCCATGTCATCGGCAGCGATACGCGACTCCTTGAGCAGTTTTCTGATTTCTTCGTGATCTTCGGCCAATGTCTCGTCCGTCACCTCGCGCACGTATACTTGTGGCTTCCTGGCATTTGCGTGTGCCAGCAGATCGTGATTTCCTTCGTCGCGGGTGGGTTGCTCGGTCTCTCCGCGTGTCTTCTTCTTTTGCGGCTGACCTTCATCGGCTGACGTGGTATGCGCCATACTCATGGGTGAAGCAAGCTGTCCTGCGCCGTTCATTCGCGCTGAGTCCACTGAATGCAGGGATATAGCTCGACTTGTGTGTTTGGCTCGAAATTGTGCTTGCGGTGAAGTCATGAAGGGGTCGAGTCTAGGCGCGACTGTGACACCTTGACAAGTTGACACCCAGCTGACACCTCGTCCACAGACTGCTCCATAGACAGACAAATAGAACGTGCAAAATGGCTCGTTCAGTCAAGCTCATGACTTTTGATGCATGGGAGACCCTTGTTCATCCACGCATACCCGTATTCAAACAGTACATCGAGACTGCGCAATTGCATGGACTCTCCAATCTGGATGAGACACAGATTAAGCAGAGAAATATGGCAGCCATCAAGCAGATGGCGCGAGAGCTGCCACACTTTGGCTACAAGGCTGATCACACCGCTGAACATCGAGAAGCGGCTACGCATGCTTGGTGGACACGAGTCGTACAGTCCACATTTGAGCCTGCCCAACCCAGTCCTCAGCTGGTTGATGCTCTCATCAAGCGTTTTAACGGCAAAGAGGGCTATATGTTGCGGCCAAGAGTAAAAGAGACACTGGATGTGCTCAAGTCACGCGGATACATGCTCGGTGTTCTTTCAAATTGCGACTCGCGCATTGTCAATGTGTTGAAAGAGCTAGGCATATTCAACAGTTTCTCATTCTCAACCGTCTCTGCAGATTGTGGCTTTGCAAAGCCAGATAGTCGAATATTCGACCGAGCTTTGGAACAAGCGCGTGCGAGTCTCCAGACAAATGAAACGCTCTCAGAGAGTACGCATGTTGGCGATGATTGGTCAAAGGACATTGTGGGTGCGACACATGCCAAGTGGAAAGCTATCTGCCTGGACGAAGCAGGTGTATACGACGAATCGTATGCTCGCAACGTACCAAAGATTCGAGCGCTCTCAGACTTGATTGACCTGACGGCATCCAAGTCAGCTACGTGGACACGCTATACGCTCCCCTGATTCGGTGGTTGCAAAACGAATATATGACATGATTGTGCTGTTGCGACATGCTTCTCTCGACGACCTTTGTCCCTCGAAGACTCGGCTCGCGTTTTCATCGCTGCATCTGTTCGAGACCTGCGCTCAAAAGGCTAAAGTTGGTAGTCGAAACAGGGGTATCTCTACCTCTGACAAAATAAATTTGGCCCCTTGTTTATGACTCCAACAGGCCCCTGATCCTCTCAGTCCGCTCCCAGATGCGTCCAAATCCTTTTCCCTCAGCTGCCACGTCCTGAGAACAAGTCGACCTTGCTCGTCCTGTCGCGACTGGCTTCAGCCATGACAGCCTTACGATCATCACTGAAACGGCGCATTGCTCTGAATGCGACAATTCTTCTCTGCATCTTCACATTGATCTACTTTCGCTCGGACGATACACTCCCGGTCATTACAAAGGAGCACAAAACTCAAATTAGCACTTCGGTAAAGGAAGACTTGCAGCTCAAAGATGTAGCATTCATCCTGCGTACAGGATGGGAGGTCCGCGATCGTCTCACTGGCCCCATGGATACATGGCTTCGGGGTCTGGACAAAGACCAAGTTATGATTTTCTCCGACACCGACTCTACCCTCAAAGGATATCAGCTGCATGATTTCGTCAAGCTCGTCCCATTCTTCCAAAAGGAGGCCGACAAGAATTCTCCGCATTTCAAGTACTACCAGTCCCTGCGTCAAGCTGATATTCGACCAGATTCTCCCGGCCTGGAGCCTTCCACCCGCAATGATGGTTGGCAACTTGATGTACAGATACCCTGCAGCTGACTCTGCTTACCATTAGGTGATAAAACAAGTTGCAAGCGCCTACCTGGGGTACAAAATGATGAAGGAGAAAAGGGATTTCAAGTATTACGTTTTGGCCGATGTACGACATTCTTCACAGAAGTTAGGATGCTAATACAAGGATGACACCTACATCCACATGCCCTCGCTTCTGCATGTTCTCAACAAAGCCGATCCGGACGACCCAGTTTTGATTGGTCGATATTGGGGCACAAGTACAAGCGAAAGCTTTATGCTCGGAGGTGCTGGCATGTCCTTCTCACGTTCGGCTTTAGCTCACATGTTTGACTATGCACCGGATCTCGCCGATGAGATGTTGCGAACGAGCTTGGAAGCACCTATTGGAGATGGACATCTTTCCAAATATGTTATCCAAGCAGGTGGCAGACTGGTTGAGGAGCTGTCATCGGCATTCTATCACGAACGACTCGAGATGCGATTTAACGACAAAGATCGATGGTGTGCACCTTTAGCTACCATCCATCATCAGACGCCGGCGACCATGAGGAAGACGCACGCAAAGCTCATGGGATTGAATTCCACAGGCCCAGTATACCAAAGGCAAGTCATGGAGAAGCATAAGTTCGTCCTCGATGGAACAATGTGGCTCGGTAGTGGCAGGAGCTATGTCCAGTGCCTTGAGACTCCTGCGTTTCATCAACCTTGCCAGTTTTTCCAATTGAACGATATGGCTGATGCAACACAGAATGTTCGGACGTGTCAGAACTTTTGCTTGTCTGGTGAGATAATGCCAAACTGTGCAGCGTGGGTGTATCGTCCCCAAGACAGGCTTTGTGCTCTCAATATCGGATTTCGAACGATGGACATCCGAGCAAACGGATATGACTTGGTTGGCTGGGCGGGTGTCAATAACCAGACACTTGCAAACTGGGAAAAGCAGTGCCCAGACACCATCTGGCGCGCGGATGCACGGTTGCCGGCGCGCCCATCAGGGCTTCGAGCCAACTTTGCTGACTTGGTTGGAGGGAAGTAGCTGGACTTGTGTGTCGTTGAAGTTGAGGACCGCCATTCAGATTCGTCGAAGTTCGTTGTGGCATATGGTATGCATGCATCGCTCGGCTATATCGCTGACGTGGGAGCCATCTCTCCAGCAGTATAGACGGCGTATTACTGTATTGAGCCTCATGTGGAGAAATGCATGGTTGGCTGGAACAATTTTGGTATTTGAGCTTATCTCTCGCAAACCAGTTCAACTCATTGAGGACTAACGTGTGGACCCCATGTAGCCATGGTCAGCAGGACTGAGAAGACAGACGAGGAGGGTTCTCGAGCTTCGACTCATCGATGCTAGCTTGGCCTGATCCAAGCGCATAATGCTCCGCCTCCTTCACACAGTTTCATTGCCCCTGAGTTTACGACATGAAACAACAAGCAAAAGGAGAGGACCAGCTGGCAGCATTGCCGGGAATTTGCCGCAGCAACTTTCCTCTCCTTCCATGCACAACGACTAAGTCAGGCAAGGCATGAAAGTATGAAGAACATTGCTTTTAAGCTTAAGGCTGGAGGCTCCAGCAAGCGCCGAAGGATACGATTGGCAACCGTCATTGCCCTCTCAATCGTAGGTTTCTTATGTTGGCCTCGTTCAGCGTCCCAAATGAAGGCTGTCAAGCAGACGACTCCAGGAGAAACGCCAAAGTCTGTCATATCAACGCATGAAATGGATCCTACCAAAGATCAGGGCAAGAACACGCCATTAGCAGATCTCTTCGGCCCGAAGTACCCTGTCGACAACGACGACATTGGCTTCATCATTCGAACCGGATTTGAGGTGCAGGTCAGGTTGATGGTTGCTCTGGAGACATGGCTTGATTCGCAAAGTGTGAATCAGGATCATGTGGTCATGTTCAGTGATAGGGAGACGAAATTGAAGGGTAGACACATCCAGGACGCAATCAAGCTCGTGCCGAAGTGGGTCAGTCATATCAAGACGAATCCGCGGTTTGAGTACTATCGCAAAGTTTCAAAGATGCCCAAAGGTGCCGCAATCGACCCAAATACTTTCGTCCGTGGCGAAGCTTGGCAGTTTGATGTGAGTGTGCTGCGAGGCGTTTCTCATGGCTAATGAATAGGCAATCAAGCAAGTTGCAACTTTTGCACTTGGTGTACAGCAACTACTCAAACGTGGGAAGTACAAATGGATTGCTCTTGTGGATGATGATACCTACGTACATGTTCCTTCATTACAGGCTGTTTTATCCCGCTTCGACTCCAACAAACCTCTTGTATTGGGCAATATTTTTACGGACAAAGAAATCTCTTATATGCATGGAGGAAGTGGTATATACGTGTCTGCAAACGCTATACAGAGGCTATTTGTGGACGCACCAGAACTGGTCGAAGAGATGCTGGACACAGGAGCGCATACCACATTGGGCGATCAGCACATCTCAATTTACCTGAAAAAAGCAGGGGCGCTCCTGGAAAGGACATCAGTACACGCCTTTCATGAATATTGGATCGAAACTGAGTATGTTCAAGGTGCATGGTACTGTCAGTACTCTGCTTCTTGGCACCAGTACGGTCCAGATGGGGTTCGTTTTTTGCACCAGACGCTTCAAACAATAGGTGTCAATCGGCCCATTCGCTTCTACGAGATTGTGGAAGCGCACCCGTTTTATGCTGATAGTTCGTTGTGGAAACGAGAGGGCCGCAGCTATACTGCTTGTTATGCCAAGGGCCATTATGAACAGCCGTGTGAGGTCTTCAAACGTGGCGAGAATGGCACACAAGAGCTCGATGCTCCATCTTGCGAGAAAATGTGTATAGAGGACAGGGAGGATAGCTGTGCGGCATGGTCTTTTGATGGACTTGCATGTCAGCTCAGCAAGGGCTTCTCCTTGCACGGATGGCAGGTCCGTGGTACGGTATCTGGTGTCAACAAGGCGTTGATAGGTCTCTGGCGAGCAGAATGTCAGGGTAAATCTAAATAGGTAGCCCTCATTTAGAGCATAGCATGTTACGCTTCCTTACAAATAAGAAGCCTTGCTATTACATCCATTTCTAGTTTTCTTCTCGAATTTTAGGCCATCTGAACCCAGAGAGCGCAAGCGCAATTGCTGTTGGAACGCTTCCAATCGCAAGATTGTCTTGATCTGCGCTTGGAGCCAACACCTGTGCAAGACTGCATTCATGCGCCTTGCTATCTAGAGGTACGCTTCGCTCGCATTGAGCACCTGTTAGCGCGCAACATGACTCTCGCTCGCCCTATGGTGCTCCGCTTCGCCATATCTGGGAATGCTTTGATGAGTGCATCAATTCGCCAAAATCTGCTTCTCAATAGAAATCCCAGCTACATGTCTTCCATACTTTCTGCCTTTGGCCGTCGAGTCTCTACCGAAGCTGAGCGTACGACTGGATTCATTGAGGCTGAGGCCAATGAAAAGCTACTGTTTTTTGACAATGTTTACCCGCTACAACTAGGCTTCTGGGATCTTCGATATTGGTTGATTCGCTTGGACAAGAACAGTGTCAATCGTGTCGTTGAGAAGGTACTGCCGCCTGAGCTCGATGCTAGTGTGAAAGAGATCATTCCCCGTTTCAAAGAAGGCGGGGCATTCATTCGGCTCACCTTGCCAGCGGAAGAAACTGCTCGTTCAGAGGTCATGTCCAAGATTCAAGCCAACCTGGCAACTCATCAACCAACTCAATGGTTCAACCCACTTCAGTCCCTTCGTGTCTTTGAGGTTCAAGGCCGCCCATTCGTGGAAGACCTTGCCCGGTTCCCCTCTTCCCGATTGCGTGTCGAGTTTGAAGGACCTGATCTACCTCAGGAGACGCTGTACTCTCTGTTTCGCAAATTTGGCAAAATTCGCAATATATTCCCCCAATCTCCGTCGAGCAAGGACCTGCCAAGATTTGCCATCATTCAATTCCACCGTCTCAGATCTGGTTCTGCTGCTCGTAATTGCCTGCATGGTCTCAAATGGGAAGGGACGCGGATTCACATCCTCTTTGAACGGACTGAGAGAGCACACACGATCCGTGATTGGCTTACGTCGCATCCAAGATTCACGGTTCCGGCAGCGGCAGCTCTGATTGCAGCCATCACAGTAGCCATTTTTGACCCTGTACGGACTTGGTTCATTGAGCAGAAAGTGGGGCGTACGTTCCATTTGAGTGACAACCGTTTCATTCAATGGATCAAGACCAAGACGTATGATCTTGTTTCATTCCACAAATCGAGTCGTCCGAACCACCACTCAATATGGGAAAATCGCGATGGACATGTCACTCAGTTGCATCAATGGCTTGCGGAAACTGGAGACCAATCATTCATTGTTCTGCAAGGGCCTCGTGGCAGTGGCAAACGGGACCTTCTCCTCAATCGTGTGTTACTCAATAGGAAAGAATTGCTGCTTCTCGACTGTGAGCAGCTGACGGAGACAAAGCAGGATTCAAAGATGATTGCTGCGCTCGCTGATCAAGTGGGATACTTCCCCTTGTTTGGCTGGGTGAATAGCATGTCGAGCATGATGGACCTTGCTGCTCAAGGCCTGATAGGATCTTCTGCAGGCTTTAGTGAAACTCTCGAAGCGCAAGTCAAGAAGATTCTCAACTCGACTGCGGCTGCGCTCCGTAGCCGTGCCTTGAAGGGCAAGCCAAGAGAGGTAAGGGATGAAGACTGGCTTCAGCTCCATCCCGAACAACGACCTGTTGTTGTGCTTGATTCGTTCTTGCACAAGGGAGAAGAATCGACACAGCTGTATGCCAATATTTCCACCTGGGCAGCAGCCTTGGTCGAGAACAATATTGCACATGTCGTGTTCTTGACGAGCAACTTGTCTTTCACCCAAGTCTTGACGAAGGCATTGCCCACGCGATCGCTTCGCACCATTACCCTGGGAGATGCCTCGCCCGAAGCGGCACGAGAATATATTCGCAAGCGCCTTGAAGATGATCCTGTCTTCAAGGAGGAAGCACAGGGTCTTGAATTGGATCGCTGCATTGACATTCTCGGCGGTCGTCTTCAAGACATGGATCTCCTCGCTCAACGGCTTCGGATTGGAGAATGGCCTGAACAAGCAATCGACGCGCTTATTGAAGCGAGTGTCGGTGATATTATTAAGAAGTTCTTGGTCAACGATACGGACGAGAAGGCTGCATGGAGTTCTCTGCAGGCCTGGACAGTTCTACAAGCTCTGCATAACGCAGCCACGGGGACCCCCACCACAACAACTGTTGAAAAGCCTGTTTGGTACAAGCAGTACCTGTGGACTCTCATTCAGCCCATGCATGCTACAAGTCTCAGCGTTCTGAACATGTTTGGTAGTGCTACACCGGAGATTTTGTCACGCTCAGACGATCACCAGCAACAAATAAGGCGAAAGCATGCTCAGACTGATACTGGCGCGTGGCAAGTAAGTTACCAGAAGCTGCTCTTGGACCCAATCATCAAGGGTGACGAGGAAGCGCTCAAGGCGTTGGAGCAGGCAGAATTCATCATCATTGGCAAAAAATTGGGTAGGCCAAGTGTTGTCAAGATTGGGCGGCCAGTATACAGAGCCGCCTTTGCCAAGCTGTGCTCAGACAATGCGACTGTTGCTCGGATGCAACTGAAGCGTGCTACACTACTAGCACAAAAGTCCAGCGATGAGATTCAGGTGATTGAGAAGGAGCTCGGCGTGTTAAAGGACATTGCCGCAGCACAGACAATGGACCGTGTGCGATACTTGCTGGACAAGCTAAAGGCTGCACATGAAGAAGTGACAAAGATTGAGCGAGAACAGACGATGCTCAAGGAAGTGCTCAAGAAGGCGATATAGTAAAGAAAGGTGAGGCGCATGTATTTAGGATGAGGCAAGTATGCAACTAATTTGCGACGCACTGACTAGTCCAAGGCAGACTCTTCCGGGGCTGAAGAACGTGAAGATGCCCTGTGAATCGGTTTGAAGTCCGCAGTCTGACCGTTGCCATGGCCAGATTTCGCATCCAAGTCCTGTCGCAAAGCGTAGGCCTCTGCAAAGTCCACGCGGAACTTTTGTGGGTCCGCAGACTGTGCGTACATGTCTGCAATTTTACGCGCATCTTCCATCAGACTGGCAGGGAAGTGATCCAGGCTGACTTCAAGCGAACGAATTTGGCCTTTTCCTGGCGCACCACTCGATCCGGCGCCTTGTACGCTTGATGAAATCTCCTTCGCATAGGCTTGTGTCATGTTGACGAGTCGCGTACTTGCCTCCTCGTAGAGCTTTTGCTCCGCAGGGGTCATCTCCTCGAGTGCACCTCCTTCGATTAGTGACTTGATGCCAGGAACTCCATTCATGGTCGTAAACATCTTCTTGAACGAGTCAAATTTGGCAGTGATGTCGCGCACTTCAGCAGAATCCTTGAGAGGCGACTCCATCAATCGCTCCAAGCCATTCTCAACAATTTTAGAGTCGCGATATGCATTGATGTATTCGCGTTCCAGAGAAGTGACAGCCAGGAATCCATCTTGGTCCTTGTCTGGGTGCCCATGCAAATCAGGCCTGTACTCCTGTCTCTTTTGCTTGATGAGCGCTTCCTCTTCAGCGGACACTTTGAGGTAGCCCATGATGGCAGCACGGTTCTCCGGTACTTGTGAAAGTGGTGGCAAGGAACGAATTTCTTCTTGCTCATCCATTGAATCATAGTCGCCCTCGCTCTCGCTGTAGCAAGACAATTGCGCCTCGTCATCGTCGTATTCGGCATCGGACTCATTCTCGTGTTCGTGCTCATGTTCAGCCCCATTTGCGCTTGAAGTCGCTGTCGCGGCAGCGTTGGCATTCAGTACTGCGTTAGTTTTGGCACGGTCACTTTGCAGTGCGCGGCAAAGACTCTCCAGCTTGGTGCATTTGAGCTTCAACGCCTCAATTTCCTTCTTGAACTTGGCACGCTCTTCTGCCATTTCGAGGATATTCCTGTTGGCAGTATCGCACTTGCCTCGAATCAATGCATTCTCCTTCTCGAGCTTCTTGGTCTTCTTTGTCATTGTCTCCATCTCCTTCCTAAAGTTCAAGAAGAGGTCATTGCTGTTGTTGAGGGTATCTTCAACCTGCTTGAACTTCTCGACGTAGATGGTCAGTTGGCTGCGCAGCTCCGCTTCTGTTTCACTGAACGTTGCAACTTGACTCCGCAAGGTCCTGGCTCGCTGTGCTACGACATCTGCAGACTTTTTGAATTGTTCAGACCTCGCCTGGTAAAGTTGAATCTCGAGCTCCTTGGCGCGTAAGGTGCTGTGGTAGTGTGCTTCTCTCAGCTCATACTGCTCAAGAAAGGACTTGAACTTGTCCTTGAGCTCCTCATCTTGCATGCTACGCCGACCATGTGCACCCGATTCCTCGTCTAGCTTCGTCTTGATCTCAAAAATGGTGGTTTCAAACTTATTGTTCAGCTCAACGCGTTTCTGCTGTTCTGCCTCTTGCAACTTCTTGCTATCCTCCTTCACGCGCTTATTCTCCTTCTGCAGCTCGCGACACAGCGTTTCGAGCTTGTGCTTCATGTTGACAGCCTTGCTCAGTTCTGTTTTGGATGCATCTCGTTCCTTCAGCGTCTTGTCAGCTCGTGACTTTTCCCGTGCATGGTCTCGTTCGAGGCGTTGCATGTCTTGGAAGAGCATGGTGTATTTGCGTTGCAGCAAGGTCACTTTACCAATCTCCGTATCGGTCTCATTGACAAGTGACGTGAGCTTCTTGTTCTCTGCACGCACCGCTCGAGCAATATCCTCGTTCTCTTGCTCGCTTCCTTCCCGGTCACGCTCGAGTTCCGAGATTTTACCCTTGATGAGCGCTTCAAGCTTGTTGGGCAAAGGTGATGCTTTTGCATCAGAAATCGATTGTCCAGATGCATTGGAACCTGTTGCTTGAGCGGGCGCTGGACTGTCGGTGTCGGTGGCTCGGTCGAGGATCGCTTGTTGGTCGTCTGCGTCACTGTAGCCGCCTTCTTGCGGGTCTGCCATAGAAACCGACTGTTGTACCTGTCGATACCGTAGCTAATGAGACTCCTCGACAAGTGATGCTGCACTTCAGCAAGAAGTCAGGCTGCTGAGTAGAGGAAGAGAGTGTCTGAGTCCTTGCTGGTGCTGCTGCGATCTAAATTTCTGCTGACAACAGAAACACAAAGCAGCGACCTCGACACTCATCAGCTCAAGTCACACAGGGCCCGGGCATAGAGACATGATGCTGCAGTTTGCAAGACTCAGCAGGAGATGTCCGATCCATGCGACACGCCGGATACATGGCTTCACCGTACAACGCGTATGTCGCAATCTCTCCAGACTGATGTCATGGATTCACTAACCATTCGCCACAGACCAAGCATGTCCCTGAGCTCCAGCTCGAAGCGACACTCCTTAGACACGATCGCACAGGATTGCAACACCTGCATATTGCGAAAGACGATTCGAATAATGTCTTTTCGATAGGGTTTGCGACACCACCGACCGATTCAACGGGTGTACCGCATATGCTTGAACATACAACGCTATGTGGCTCGCACAAGTATCCAGTCAGAGATCCATTCTTCAAAATGCTCAATCGGAGTCTCGCAAACTACATGAATGCCTTTACAGCGGCAGATTATACCTTTTACCCCTTTGCAACAGTCAATAAGGCTGATCATGCGAATCTGCGCGACGTTTACCTCGATGCGACCCTATTCCCAAGACTACGAGAGATAGACTTTCAGCAGGAAGGCTGGCGATTGGAGCACAAGGATCCAAAGGACACTGCAACGCCGATTGAATTCAAAGGTGTCGTCTATAACGAGATGAAGGGTCAGATGAGCGATGCGAGTTACCTCTTCTACATTATGTTTCAAAGAGAAATGTACAGAGGGACCATCTACGGCAATGATTCAGGCGGAGACCCAAAGAATATCCCAGATTTGACCTACCAACAGCTGGTTGACTTCCACAAAAATCATTATCATCCATCCAATGGCAAAGTCTTCACCTACGGCAATTTTCCCTTGGATGATCAGCTCGAGTCACTGAACCAGAAGTTGATGAAGTTCTCGGCTGCACAGCCGGAGAATGTCGATAAGATCACCTCGCCGTGGCAAGGGACCCGAACAGTCACCGCCAATGGACCAATCGACCCACTGACCGCGACAGAGTCTCAATACAAGTCATCACTGTCTTTCCTGTGTAATGATGCAGCAGATACCTTTGAGACCTTTTCATTGCGGATTCTTTCGTCTCTACTACTTGACGGCCACAGCTCACCACTCTATCAGGGTCTCATTGAGGCTGGTCTCGGTAGTGACTTTTCCCCCAACACTGGCTATGACAATTCAACAAAAACGACTGTCTTCAGTGTAGGTCTGCAGGAAACCACAAAGGAAACTGCTGAAAAGCTACCGGTTGTTGTGAATGAGCTTCTCAGCAAAGTGGCAGAGACGGGCTTTGACAGTGGCAAAGTGGAAGCGATTTTGCATCAGATGGAGATTGCGCTGAAGCGGAAACAAGCAAACTTCGGTATGAGCTTGTTGCAAACCGTGGCGGGTCCTTGGTTCAATGAAGCTGATCCGATGCAGCTGCTTAGTTGGAACGAGACAGTTGATCGCTTCAAGAGTGAAATTGCGAAAGGTGGTTATTTGGAAGGTCTTGTCAAGAAGTACTTCCTCAAGCAATCACCAGACGGTGTCATGCACTTCACTATGCGCCCTAGTACCGAGTTTGCTGGCGAACTCGTTGCAACAGAGCAAGCAAACCTGACACAAAAGGTGTCGAGTCTGACGGAACAAGACAAGAAGAAGGTAGAAGAGAGTGGACTGGCCTTGCTCAAATTCCAGGAAGCCGAGGAGGATCTGTCTTGCTTGCCAACGCTCAAAGTATCCGACATTCCAGAAAAGGTCACATACACGCAGCTGGAATTAGGTGGCAGTATCGCTGGCGTTCCTGTAGACTGGAACCTCAAAGCGACTGGCTTGACCTATTTTCGCATGAAGGCCAAGCTCAACCACCTTCCAGAGCACTTGAGACCCTTCTTACCAATCTACGCTGATTGCTTCACTAATCTGGGAACGAAGCAGCACTCCATGGCTGCACTCGAGGACATGATCAAGCTCAAAACGGGCGGTATCAGTGTATCGACTTTGATTGCCAACAATCACAGCAATCTTCAAGATTACGATCAAGCCTTGGTGGTCAGCGGTCATTGTCTAGATGGCAATATCGACCATTTATTCAGTCTAATGAGTGAAATGCTCAACAACACCAACTTCGACAACCGCGAAAAACTACGCAATTTGATCAAGATGAGTGCATCGGGTGCCATCTCCAATGTTGCTGAATCAGGTCACGTTTATGCTCGCACGTTCGCTGGTAGTGCTCTATCAGCTGCTGGTAAAGCAGTAGAACAGCTGAGCGGTATGACGCAAGTCAAGCTCATTTCAGAGCTCGCAACAAAGGAGGATCTCTCGGACTTGATCAGCAATCTCAAGCAGATTCATGAGATGGCTTTCGCCAAACCATTGATGCAGTGTTTCATCACAGTCGACCCTGCTCAAGTCAAGAATGTGGAACGCGGTGTATCAGGGCTCGTGGAAAGCTTTAACGCTTCTTCCCCGTCCGATTCTGCGGTATCTGACTTCGAGGTGGCAACTCCAGCCAAGTCATTCTTCCCACTCCCCTACCAAGTCAACTTTTCAGCCCTGTCCATGATGGGTGTGCCTTATACGCATCAGGACGGTGCCGCACTCCAAATCTTGTCCAAGCTCTTAACAAACAAGCACCTACATCGAGAAATTCGAGAAAAGGGTGGCGCATATGGAGGGGGAGCAAGCTATAGCGCCACTTCTGGCGTTTTTGGTTACTACAGCTATCGTGACCCGAATTCATTGAGGACTCTCGAGACTATGACACAGGCTGGTGCTTGGGCAGCGCAGCGCGTTTGGACGTTGCAGGATTTGGAGGAAGCAAAACTCTCGGTCTTTCAAGGTGTTGATGCACCCATGTCTGTGGCGAGCGAAGGAATGGTCTATTTCACTGATCGGATCACTTCTGATATGCGTCAGAAACGGCGTGAAGAGTTGCTTGCTGTGAATGCGAAGCAAGTCGTCCTGGCTGCTGAGCAATACCTTGTGAGCGCTGTTCAAGCTGGTAAGACCAGTGTGGCGTTGTTGGGTGAAACACAAGATTGGCTGTTGAAGCAGCCGGATTGGAAGGTGTTTGATTGGGGTACGGAGGCTGCCGCCAAGGTTTCCTCTGTTACTGAAGAGCTGGCTGGCGCTGTGTCTGAAGAGTCGCCGAGTCAATCAAGCGAGCATGTCTCTGAGTCCAGCACATCAGCTGGCCCAGTGGTTGATTCGTTTGGACAGACCATCACAAATGCAAGACGAGGCGATGAAGGCCAATTGTACGAGCTTGAGATGACAGATAGAGCGGTAAGCAAGCTCTCCTCATTGCTTGCCAAAAAGGGCGATGAGTATTGTTTGCGCGTTGCACTCGAGTCGGGTGGCTGTCATGGCTACCAGTATGTTCTCAAGCTGGACAATGAGATTGATCCCGAGGAGGATGTCATTATCAGCAAGGAGGGTGCACGCGTCGTTGTTGATGAGATGAGCTTGGAACTCGTGGATGGCAGTAAAGTGGATTACACCATGGAGTTGATTGGCAGCGAGTTCAAGGTCGTGGACAACCCCCGAGCCGTCAGCAAGTGTGGTTGTGACACGAGCATTGACATCGATATCGGTAAGAAGGGTGGCAAGCGGTAGGCATTTTATAAGCGACAAATATATGACTTCATCAGCCCTCCCAGACCACACATGCTTTCTTATGCTCTCATACGTTGCTGTGGTGGCCTAGTCAGCCAACGTTCTCTGCTCTCTGCTCGATATTGTATACCTAAGCTGTTCTTCTCTGATGTCGCTACGGTAATTTCAAGCTCTCCAGAGGTTGTCAAGAAGGCTTCGTCAAAGAAGAAGAAGCAAAAGACATACCCTGCTTTACCTGAGATATCAGAAGACGACATTGAAGAGAAGTTCGTCCGCGGGACGGGACCTGGTGGTCAGAAGATCAACAGTAAGCTATAATGACTTCCATGTCAAGCTGACTCGTAGAAACCTCGATTGTGGCGCAATTGAAGCATCTTCCTTCCGGCATTCAAGTTTCTTGCCAAGAGACACGATCGCTGCAGCAGAACCGGAGTATTGCTCGCAAGCGGTTACGAGAGAAGGTGGATGCACATATCAACGGAGACGAATCTCGCGTCATGGCCAAAGTCAGAGAAAGTGTGCGAAAGAAGCGCAGTGCAGACAAGAAGAAGAGCAAAAAGTACAGAAACCTTGAGCTGGCTAAAGCTGCTAGTGCTCAAGAGGATGCATGATGAACGTTGCCTTTGCGATCCATTCAGTTGCCGCTGTCTGCAGACGGCACAGGATCTGCTATACGGGCCATTTCTGGTGGACTTTGCCAAGTTTCGTCAAGGGCCTTACCCAAGACCTGGCGTACACCCTGTTCGACCTTACTACGCGCCTGAATGGACGCCTCTGAAGCAGGCTGCAGCGACTGCCAATACGACTCTACACTCTCGCGGATTTCTGACACGGCCGTAAAGCCAATGACGGTAGACCGTATGCCATCTTCTGGTGCGTGGCGTAAAGCAAAGCCAAGTGCAACGTTTGGCAAAGTCCATGCCACTTCTTTGCCCACCTGCTCCGTCGGTGGTAGGCTTTGCAAGTATTCAATCGATTCTTGAACTTTACCTTTCAGGAAGGCAGAGGCAGGATGCCACTCTGGTGGACCGGTAGTCCGTAAGAGGCCCATTGACAACGGCGACGCACTTAACACATGCTCTACACCGGCTTCTTGCAACAGACGAGGAATGACTTTAGTCAGCGTCGTGTTTTGAATGTTGTATTGCGAATAGGATAGAATGAGATCCAAAGACTGCCCGGCTGTTGTCTTCACGGCATTGGCATACTTGACGAGCACATCTAGTGGGTACCCGGAGATCCCGACATGACGAACAAGTCCAGTGCTCTTTAGCTCAAAAAGAGTCTTAGCAGCTTCGTCGACCTGGGACTCTGTAACAAATTCCACGTCGTGCAAATACACGACATCCAAGTACGCGACATGTAGCTTCTTGCAAGACATTTTGACAGATCTCACAATATTGTCTGGAGAGTAGTCAAAGTCCCACACGTCATAGCGTCCACATTTGGTCATGACAAAGACATCATCTCGTTCAACACCAGTCTCGAATAATGCTTGCAGACCATTGCCAAGTAGTGTCTCGGACTCACCATAGTACGGTGATGTATCGAACTGTCTTATGCCTAATTCGTATGCTGCTTTGACAAGCTGTACCGGGTCGCAGTCTCGATTATCATATCTTCCAGAAAACGTGCCGGCACCGAAAGTCAGTGGACCAAGTGTCTTCAGAGTCAGCTTTGAAGGCACAGGTATCGCCTTTGGCCTCGTCGGGGACCGCATCATGCCGATGCTATGCTGCCCTGGGTCTCGAAAGTCGCGAGATTTGCCTGAAGTTGCATCTGGTGCAAGATCAAGTTTCAGCGTGAGAGATCTTTGGCGTTATCTAATCTCGCATGAACGCGCCTTCGACCAAACCTTGGAAGCAACTCAGTCAAACGCAGTACTCAACTTCACATTGCAGAAGTGCTGTCAGTCGAAGAGCGTATGCTTGAGGAAGCCGAGAATCACTACTTGCTGATCTTGAGCGATTCAGCGCTACCTATCGGTTCAGTATGAATGAATGAGTATGACAAGAGCTGACACTAGTTCGCGTACTCGTCAGGCCTCGAATCTTTTTGCCATCATCAGCGACAAGCTGGGCAGCACGATGCTGCATCGTCCTTCCTGGACTTCCTGTACGACAGCCTACGATCAATAACGACAACCACAATGCCATTCTTACGGGCAGCATATCGTGAGCCTGAACGGTGCGCTGAGTTGGATGACCTATTCGATGCGAATACACCATGCGTTGTCGCCCGGCGATGCAGTATTGCCCAAGGACGAGCACTACTCAAATTGCTTGAAAGGGTGTTTGTCGAGGCAGATCCAGTCACGCAAGATGCATCTTTGGGAAATGCAGTGGTTACATATCGCAGAGCGATTACGAAGCAAGCATGTTCAGGGCACTTTGGCGTCGCGTATGGCCTCACAGGTCGGGTACTCGGCATTGGCATCGACAAGCTTGTCTATACGTTTCTACATGCTCATGTCAAGGCCGTTCTATCTGCAGCTGTACGGCTGAGTCTCATTGGGCCGTACGAGTCGACGCATATCCTGGCATCCCGGCAGATGCGAGAAGCATTGACACATGCAGCCAAGTTGAGCGAAGCAATGTCTACTGATGACTGTGTCCAGACCTTTGCCATGCTCGATGTCTATCAGGGTCGCCACGAACTTCTATACTCTCGCATCTTTTCAGCTTAGCATTCCATAGCAAGCATTTACAACTTGGCTTTGCTCCCGGCAGTCTTGATGAACAAGCCTTCGGCAGTGGCATAGACTTTTCCTTGTGGTCCTTCAATGGATGCTCTGAGCCATCGTTTCCGGCCGATTTCTTTGTACATCTTGGCTCGTACCATGATATCACTCGGAGTGGGCAGTGGACTCTTGTAGTCGACTCGCAACCATGCTGTGAAGGTGCTGTGACCCTCAACAAAGGATGAAGCATTGCCGAGCGTCTCATCTGCAATCACCGCTGTGATACCGCCATGCAGGATATCAGGATGACCATTCAAGCCATTGCCAAGAGACAGGAAGAAGAGCGTCTCGCCGAAATCTTGCTCGCCGGGATCTGTTACTGCTCCAGCACCACTTGCTGCCAGGGCTGCCGCATTCGCTGACGCTTGCACTGTTGCGGCTGGTGCGGGTTTGCACAGCGCCAAAGCGCGAGAGATGGTGCTCGGTGACCGCAAGGTACCGCCAAACAGCGAATCCTCTCCGTCACTCTTGACGGTCCTCGTTTCGTTTGACTTGAGAATATAGCCATTTTTTGACATGCATTCGTTGATGATGTCCTTGGCCCAAGAAGTCTTGAAGTAGGCTAGATCTTCTCTGTTTGATCCATCGATTGCCATTGTAACCTGTCGTCCCTGGCCTCCAGATACAAGTGTACTTGTTGTTAATTCTGATATGCGTCGCGTATTCGGCGCTGAATACCGCCGGCAAGCCCCGCATTACAGGGCAGTCACATAGACGCCCAGGCGAGCATTGACAATGCTCAAACGCTAGCTGCGCTTGACGCCTCGAGGAACGAAGGGACCAGAGGCCTTCTTCTTTCCCACGCGCCCATGCTTGACGAGGTTCTGTGCAAATTGCGATTCGGCTTGCTGCTTTTTGAGGGTCTGCTTGTCCACCACGGTCGCTTTGATTTCCACATTGGCCTTGGTCAGTGTGACGGGATGTGAGCCGATATACTTGCCATTCAAGTCTCGCCATGCATTCAGCATATCGTCTGGTTCACTAAAGGACACAAAGCCAAACTCTCTGGACTTGGTGGTGCGCTTGTCTCGAACGACTTTTGCCTTTTGTAAGGAAGCGTATGCGCTAAAGGCACGCTTCAAGACTTCATCCGTGACTTCACCACCCAAGTTGCCGACATACAGTCGGAAGTGAGAGGGATCCCACTCTAGCAGTGTTGGATCTTCCCATACTTTGCCACCACCTGTTCGAATAACTGTTTTGTGTTTCGCACCAGTAGCTTGGGCAGCACCTCGCTTTCCAGGTGGGCCTGAGCTACGTGATGCTTCCTGGCGCTTGCCAGCTGCTCTATTTTCAGAGCTGTAGATAGATTGCTGTTGTGCTATTTGAGCAGCGAGCTCAAGATCTTCTTGTGCGCCACGAGGAGGCAGTGGTGGAGGAGTACCATTGCCATAGGCTGGTCTGAAGGACATGCAAGCTTGTCAAGTGATAGCTGGAGCAGAGATGGCGAATACGAAGAAGCAATACGACGTAGAGGCTTTGTGTCTGTCGCAGAGCAGAAGTCTGTTGTAGAAATTCATGGAGCTTCCAAGCATTTGTCCACACACATCAGCTAAGGACAAATTAGTAGCTCTAGTATGAGCGATCAAAGCAGCTCATATGCTGGCTCAGCTGCTGATGAAGCACTTTCCTCGAGCTCGAATAACTTGCATCACAATCAAGCTTCAACATCAGATTTGCTCGACCAAGTTGCAAAACACTTGACGACGACACTTCATGAGACACTCACTTCGCTGACGCTCGATCGGTGCATTGCCGTTCAATCACAAACTTCAGGATCACTGCATGCTGCTCAAATGACACTACAAGAAGTGAATGCGCGTACTGTTGCGCAATTACCGGCAGTCAAGGCTGATTTTGTCAAGGGCATTGCATTAGCGGCGCAGATCAAGCAGGACTTGCAGGCGTTGCAAGCACGGATACGAAAATGCCAGGACAAGGCTCGTGCACAGATGCCAGTAGAGTTCCATTTAGCGATGGATGAGCTTGCAGAACCAGAGCCTGATGACGATGATTGACGTTCGATTCAATTGTGCTAGTCTAGAGGTACTCGTGCTTGGGTTCAGAGGGTTACAGTGGCTCTTGTTGCAGCGTGTCGCCTTTGCCCTTCCTCGACATGAGGAACCAGACACTCAGAAGAAAAGGCGGTGGCCACAGTCAGCTTGCAGGCCCACAAATTAGTGAGACAACGCAGAGCAGGCCTTCGTATTGCCTCCTTTAGGTCTAGTACTATGGCTTGACACCAGTCGGAACTTCTACACGGGCGCTGTTCGCGCTGTTTCAGTATTTTGTGGGCCGGTAGCCGGTGAGTGAGCGATGAGCTCCTCGCGCTCTCATGGCGATAGGACATGTGAGTAGACGCAGGCGTAGAAGAAGAGAAGCTTGTATAGCAATCGATCGCTGGAAATGCCGGCCCATCTCGCTGTTGGCTGCAACTCCACACTGGCAGCAATTTATTCAGCGACAATCTCAACCAGCGTCGCCCTTCATCTTCCTGCAGAGTCGCCTGGGCCGTGTTGGACCTCAACGGATTGTTCGAGAGCGGCCGGTGGGCAAGTTGTCATCATGAGGCCGGCGCCTTCCTCACAGCACTCAGTCCTTCTTGTGACATCCGGTTATGACCACACCATTCGGTTCTGGGAGGCGCTCAGTGGCATCTGTTCACGGACGATCCAACATGCAGATTCACAAGTCAATCGTCTCTCAATCTCACCCGACAAGCGATTCCTTGCGGCTGCTGGCAATCCGCATGTACGGCTATACGACATCAATAGTGCGAATGGACAACCCATCATGTCTTTTGAGGGACATACGGGTAATGTCACGGCGATTCAATGGCACTGCGATGGGAAATGGCTGTGTACCTCTAGCGAAGATGGAACAGTCAAAATTTGGGATACACGGAGTCCTACTATTCAACGCTCATATTCTCACTCTGCACCTGTGACGGATGTTGTGATTCATCCGAATCAAGGGGAGCTTTTGTCTGTTGATACGGGTGGCTCTGTACGGATATGGGATCTAGGAGAGAGTTCTTGCACGCATGAGCTTGTACCAGAGGAAGATGTACCTATGCGCAGTGTCACCGTTGCGAGTGATGGCAGTATGTTTATTGCTGGCAATCATACAGGCAACTGTTATGTCTGGAAGATGTCGAATCATCGTGACCTCACCAGTCTTCAGCCTGCGACCAAGTTCAGAGCGCATGGCAAGTACCTGACGCGCGCTATCCTCTCACCGGACACAAAACACCTTGCTACGTGTTCAGCAGATACGACCATCAAGATTTGGTCTACCGAGAACTTTGAATTTGGGCTAGAGCGGGTATTGAAGGGTCATCAGCGTTGGGTCTGGGATTGTGCCTTTTCAGCAGATTCGGCGTACCTTGTGTCTGCATCGAGTGATCATGTTGGTCGATTGTGGGAATTGAGCAGTGGGGAGACGATTCGGCAGTACAATGGGCATCACAAGGCTGCTGTGTGTATCGCCCTGAATGACTTTTCCTCGTAGATGCTTCTGTTGCTTCTATATAATGACACTCAATATATCGCATGGACTTGATCCGTGAATTTGAAATCCCAAACCTGCAATTTATAGTTCAACCACACCAACCACTTGCCACATCTTCCCTGCGACAGTCCGCGCAAGGCTCGTCGCTCTCATCAGCAAGCAAAGATGGCCGCCATGTTCAAGCAAGACATCAATAGAAAAGGCACAGAACAATCCGACTTCCCCTCCGTCTGCGAAACATGCTTAGGCCCCAACCCGTACATTCGCATGCTCAAACAAGAATCTGGCGCAGAGTGCAAAATTTGCAGTCGCCCTTTCACTGTCTTTCGATGGACACTACAAGGACAAAGCAAATATCAAAAAACGGCGCTATGCACGTCTTGTTGTCGCATACGAAATTGTTGTTCACTGTGTATGCTGGATTTGCAGTTTGGTTTACCAATACAAGTCCGTGATGCGGCGCTCAAGTTGGTCAAGCAAGGTCCAACGACTGCCGTCAATCGCGAATATCATGCGCAAAATGAAAAAGCCCTATTGAGTGAGGAGAATGCCGGTGAGGTGTCCAAGGATTATGGTAAAGCCGAGTCAGCTGCACGAGAACTCCTCAAGAAGCTAGCGAGATCAGAACCTTATGCAAGGAAACCCACACAGGCGATCGAGTCGAGTGCCAGCAAGTCCTCAAAAACAGACAAATCTGCGCAACGCAGCGCAGGCATGTCGCGACCTACCGTGAGTGATTTGCTTCCACCAGCAGACAGATCCATCACCTCCCTCTTCCTACTTGGCGTTGAAGAAGATCTACCCGAATACGCAATTCGTCAACATTTTGGTAAATACGGCGCCATCAAGTCACTCGTCTGTTCTCATCGTGCTCGTTGTGCTTTTGTGAATTTCACAACACGAGAAAGTGCTGAAGCGGCAGCATTGGCGTGTGCGGGAGATGTCTTGATTAAAGGGTGTCCATTGCGTGTACAATGGGGGAAACCCAGGCAATTGGGTGGACATGGTACGGAGAAGGTGAATGCAGCCATGGCGAATGCAGTAGTGAAGAAGGCACATGAGGCGGAAGCGGCGATGGCGGCAAAAGACGCAGAGCGCGAAGAGGAGGAAGAAGCGAATGCTGTGCATGAACCTGTCTTGCCACCTGGTCAAGTCAGGCCCGTTTATAGTAGCATGTTGGCTGAGGAGGATTAAAGTAGCTATGCATTTCCTATAATATCGGTTCACTTGTGGGGAAGCCAAAGGCATCGAGCAGAGACTCGCTTACACTTTGTGCGCCTGGGCCGACTTTAGTGAGGATGACCCGTTGCACGCCCTTTTCAATCACATCATGAGCAGCTTCCTGCACGTCTGATGCTGGCGTCACCTCAGAAAACTGTGGGCTGTCCATACCTTGTGTCCCTTGCGACACAGCTGCCTTGACGTAGGCAAGGACTTTCGCTTCATTCTCTTCAAGGTAGTAGACGACAGTATTGGGTCCAGCATCATACGTATACGCAGCAATCGTTGCTCCAGCAGCAGCATTCATTTGCTCCACAAGCCTTACACACGCACGACTGATGTCGTTCATGTAAAAGATGGGAGGGTAGGTATCGAGACACACAGCATGGAAGCTATTACTGTCCCGCATCGTGATTTCTGCAAACTTGGCAAAATCTCTCGCCTCGATCGCGCTCGTCATGGCTTGCATCCGATCAGGGACAGTTTGACGAACACGCTCCGCAAAGAGTGTCGATGTAGCGACGGTATGTTGCATACCGGCCGTTGAGCTAACATCCTTCTTTTGCGCACTTGCAACCAAAATGCACGCTCGCATCTGCGGCCAAGCTTCTTGCGGTGCGACCTGTACAGCCATTGAGTCACTGCCATCATCTTGACTACCCATCTGCCAAGCAACATAACCACCAAACAGCGAACGACACGCAGACCCACTGCCTTGTCGCGCAATACGGGACAACTCTGCTGCTGATTGAGGGAGCTGGTAAAGATCTGCAATGGCTCGTACAAGCGCTGCAAAACCAGCTGCAGACGAAGCAAGTCCTGCTGCAGTAGGGAAATTGTTTTCACTTGCAATTTGGATACACATGCGCGAGAGTGTAGGTGCAGAGGTGTCCTTGTCCTCGACTTGTTGTCGGAGTGCACGGAGTGCCTTGAGACATGCAACGAGCCGCTTATCAGCAGGGACGTGGCGTTCCTCGCCATTCAGCCACATGCGGTCTTCAGGGAAGTCTTGTGAGCATGCGACAGAGGTGAATGCGCGTAGGTCTTCTTGCGAGAGGGTTACGGAGAGACTGCTGTTGGTTGGTAGGTTGAGGACTGGGTCGCGTTTTCCCCAGTACTTGACGACTGCGATGTTGACTGGGGCCGTGCTGCTTGCGAGATAGACTTGGGGCATTCTGTAGAGCAGCGAGTAGCGAGTAGACCAGGCAGTACTCCATGTAAGTCCATCTATTTTTCTGTCCAGTCCAATCGTCGCACGGTGTCGGCTTACCCCGTAGGACTCTGCCGGCAACTCCACTGAGTCCACTCTCTGTCTACAAAGTATAACTACTAGCTAGGCCCCGGCTTGTAAGTTGCAACAGCGTCTCTCCCAGCTCAACAGATGTTCAAGAGACAACTGCAGCTCATTGCACAGACACGCATCCGCTTCAACTCAACCATGGCAGCAGACTACCAGTACATCCTCCACTCACAGCCAGCACCCGGTGTTGCTCTCATCACCCTCAATCGACCCAAACAGCTCAATGCCCTCTTCTCACCGCTCTTCAAGGAATTGAATGCCTGTCTCGCCAAAACCCAAGACGATGCGGCAGTTGGCGCGATTGTCATTACAGGCTCGGAGAAGTCCTTTGCAGCAGGCGCAGATATCAAGGAGATGTCGATCAAGACCTACCAAGAAGTCGCGAGTCAGGACTTCCTTGCCAGTTGGGGACATCTCACCTCGATCCGCAAACCAATATTAGCGGCAGTCAATGGTTTTGCACTGGGCGGTGGATGCGAATTGGCCATGATGTGTGATATTGTTTATGCGGGCGACAAGGCAACTTTCGGACAGCCTGAAATCAAGCTAGGTGTGATTCCTGGCGCTGGTGGTACGCAACGCCTCCTTCGAGCAGCTGGCAAATCCAACGCCATGGAAATTATTCTGACGGGTCGCAACTTTTCAGCGCAAGAAGCGTTGAGCTGGGGTCTCGTGAGCAAGATATTCAAGCCAGAGGAGCTGGTGGATGAGACTGTCAAGACGGCTGCCAAAATTGCTGGCTTTGGACGTCTGAGCGTGCAGCAGGGTAAAGAAGCTATCAATGCCGCTGCCGAATTATCCCTCAAGGAAGGCCTCATCTATGAGCGTCGCTTGTTCCATGGGCTATTTGCAACCGAGGACCAAAAGGAAGGTATGAATGCCTTTTTGGAGAAGCGCAAGCCAACCTTCAAGCTTTAAGCTATACAGAATCATGTAGATTACCGCTTGACGCGTTTCCGTCGTTGCTCCGATTCCACCTCTTCAATGCCATCCCAGACATCTTCTTCCTCCTCGTCCTCCTCCTCCTTGACTTCCTGTACTTCCAGATGATCCAGGAACAAGACTTGTACGACCTTACGGCTATCGTCTAGATAGACCGTCGCCTGACAAGTATGTTTCTGAAGGTCATACACGCGCACATAACCATTCAAAGAGCCAGCAACGACCCATCCATCAGCCGTATCAACTGATGACACGCTCGATGAAAAGCCCTTGTATGTTCCCAGCACTTTTGCATGCGAGGTGGTATTTGCAAGCGATACATGCATGACATTCGCGTGCGTATCACGAACAATCACTTCATCCTCTGTGACGTGCAGCATTGCTTGAATCGCATATTCACCAGGCTCTACTTGATGGACAGGTCTCCGTGCTTTGTCTGTCGTATAGACACGTAGTTGTCCATACATCGTGCTAGTGACGAGTTTGAGAGCTTTAGGACTTTCCGCCTGTGATGGCAAGAACGCAATCCCAGAAATCCATACGGGGACGCGCAAGTCGAGATGATCATTCTTGACATTCTTGGCCTTCCAAAACGGTTTCATGGATGTCCATGCGTGGCCTTCTTGTGCATCTGTCTTCCAAACCTGCAGATCATTCTCTTTACCACCAAAAGCAAAGAGTCCTGGTAGACGTGGATGTGCGCAGAATGCACCAATTGGCGCTGGTAGTGAATAGTTGAATCGTGGAACAGTCTGTGCCTTGGAGGACAAGTCAAATGCCCATAAACGACCAGCAGTTGTGCACAAGCATAGTATGCCCAATGCATAAACGAGAGCCACACAACTTTCTTCTTCGTCTCCCTGTGCGCGTTGATGCTCTGTTTGTTTTGCTCTGCCATGATCACTCCGACTTCCTTCGACAGTGTCATGCTCGAGAGACAGATTCAGGCACGTCTCACCCGTCTCCACTTTGAGAATCTCAATACCTGCCGTATCATCACAAAAGGAGCCAGAAACAACAGCGACACAGCGAGACCCTTCAAATTCATCAATCAGGCACATCCGTTGTATCCGTACGCCATGCTTGCCATCTGTAGGACCAGAGAGAAGGGTTATATCGGGTAATGGCGCATCTTTTACCATGGCATTGCAGTCTTTTGTTGCCGCGACCCCTGGTTGTTAGCGGTGCAATTCAATGAATACAGCATACGTGAGAGCTTGCCATGACTGTCTGCAACGAGGAAGCGCATCGTTGCTACTTTTGTGCTGGATCACGATGTCGAGTTGAGCTGCTGAACATAAATTTTGTGAGGAGCTCACACGCGTCCTAAGGTTGAAGAAAGTATGAATATATATGCTCGAATACAAGAAATAGGAGAAATGAACGATCTCTCTAAAGTTTCTCCTGAGGCATGTTCTTCCAAGCCTGCTTGACACCCAAGTCAGCCAAGATACCTTCCTCACCACCGAGCACCTTGTTGAAGCCGAATGTCCTCATGTGGTTCTCGACACGGTTACCCATACCGCCCTTGGTCAAAGCACGACCACCAAAGATACTCACGGCCAAGTCGGAAATTTCACCCTCGCATCGTGTGGCAAACATCTTAAGCAGCGCAATACGTCCATTGAGGTACTTGTTTTGCTCGTCGTAGTTCATCTTATCCATCTGGTCCGAGACCTGCTCAAGCCAGCTCTGGCTAGATTCGCACAGTGTAATCATACGACCGAGCTTCTGCCTAATAACAGGCTCCTCAATGAGAAGCTTGCCAAAGACCTTGCGCTGGTTGGCCCACTTCATGCATTCCTCGTAAATGTTGCGCTGCATGCGGATACTGGAGCAGCACATCATCCAACGCTCATGGGAAAAGTTGGAGAGAATGACAGGTAGACCACGGCCTTCAACGCCGAGCAAGTGGTCAGCTGGGATCTTGACATTGTCAAATGTCACGTAGGCGGTACCTGCAGTGGTCGAGTAGGCAGTCTTGATCAGCTTGGTCTCGACACCCTCAATGCGAGGAATGAGTAAAACAGAGTATTGGTTCTCGCCAGTCTTGACAGCCGTTGTAAAGTAGTAGGAAAAGTTGCCATTGGTGATCCACTTCTTGGAGCCGTTGACAATGTAGTGTGAGCCATCCGCAGACAACTTGGCGGTAGTTTGAATACCACGCACATCAGAACCAGCAAAAGCCTCTGTGATGGCAAGGCAAATGTTCTTCTCACCGGAAAAGACCTCCTTGATGACACGCTGCCTGAGTTCTTCATTCTTGCAAAAGTTGATGACAGGTGGCAAACCAATCGACATGCCAGAATTAAGACCATCGCCAAAGCCACGAGCAGGACCAGGACGAGCAAGTTCCTGATTGACAATCATCTCGTGGATGTAGCTGTAGTCTTCACCCTTGATGTCACCAACAAGGACACGACCGTGCAAGTGCTTGCCCGGACCGAGACGCATGGCATTCATTTCAATGCCAGGCTTACCCATGAGCTTGAAGAGCTCTGCAGGTGGACGCTCGCCAGAGTCCTCGCATTCGAGAGCAATCGGCTTAATCTCCTCCTCAATGAACTTGCGCACGGCACGCTGAAACTTGCGGTGGCCGTCGTTGAAGTATGGAGAGTCAAACTCCTTGAGGAGCCAGCTAGGCTCGCCGTAAGGAACATGCGACAAGTCACCGGGAACCATGTTGCGGATCTTGGGCTTCTCACCCTGAATAGATCCAATCTTGAGGGACTCGTATTTCTGGATGACGCTGTGCCTGTGCAAGTTGTAGAATTGGTCAGTCGCATCCTGGCCAGCAATCTCGGCATTGAGCAGGACAGCGGCGCCACCTGGGTGTGCATCGACAAAGTCTGTCAAGTCATAGACACTGCTGTCAACAACGATGTACAGGGACTCTTCCTTGTTGTGCTCCTTGACCTGGTCACGCGTAAAGGTCTGCATGGCTATTATGTGTGTGTAGAGGAAGAGAAGAAAATCGCGTTGTGCTGACCAAAAGAAAGTCTTTCTGTAGTGGCAAGTGTGGAGTTCTCCGGGGTTGAATTTGTGCCGAGGAGCGAAATTTCGGCGCAGACCGAATTGGGACAGGGGCATCTGGCCATGGCTTACCTGATCATCATGACTTGTGCTTGAATGGCCAACTCGTCTGTATATTCCATTCTCATAGCCAGGCACTGGCAGGCAGCATGCTTATAAATGTCATCTCGCAGCCTCTAGAGCTTGCTGGTATACTGTGATTGCTTTATCCACTGCCACCAAGGTCGGCCGCATACAACGCTCAACAGCCTCGCGGCCAGTTCCAGCGCTCTTGGCGACATTCTCTACACGCTCGCCAGTTTTACGCAAAGTATCAATCATCTTGGCGAGTGATCTGGCTTTAGATGGGTCGCCAGATAGGAAGCCGGTCCAAAAGATGGACAGAAATTCCTGTGCTGCACCGTGACACATAATGAGAGCTTCCCTTGCATTTGCCGGCAATGTCGCTTCGAGTGACTTTGGTCCTCTAGCTCCAATCATGGCAGTCAACGCTTGTGCCATCTCGTCCAAGGCTGCTTGGTCTTCCCCGACGTGCTCAAGCGAGAAGTCATTGCTCAAGGACGACTGAAAGACACTCAGAGTTTCTGCAGGATGGTCACTTCGTGTCCGATCCAAAGTCGGTGCTCGGAAAAAGTTGCTCTGGTCGCGCACATTGAGTAGGATACGCTCTTCCTCCTCGTCAATCTGCAGGTCGCCAAGTTGAATATCTTGCTGATAGTATTGCTGCTCAAACGCGTTGTTGCGTATCGCGGCTGCTTCGGCTTCTGCAGGTGTCAGACTGTCGAGCATCCGCAAAGAGATCTGATTGATGCTGTGAATGGCCTCAGTCCGTGAAGGTCGCATTGTAAAGTCGGGAGCATTGCCCATCTTCTTGGAGTTGTGCTCCTCATTACCCTCAATGTTGATGACATGTGGGACTTCCTCGTCTTCCCTGCCGCGCTTTCGTGATTCTTCCTGTTCACTCAAGTACTTGTCGAGCTTGTCATCTATTGGATCTGCCGGCAGAATGACCTCGCCACGCAACTTCTTGCAAAGCCTCGACACAAAGAACCTTGACCAAAAGTTGTCTTCTGTCATGGGTGGCACACACTCGTCGTAGACACGCTTCAGTAGAGGATGCTGCTCAAAGACATCTCTGATCTTTTCACGCGTCATGTTGACTCTGATCTTGTTGTCGACCGTCTTTGGTCGAATTGTGGCAAGCACATTGTACGGCCCTTTTTGCTGGCTCCTCTCAATGAGGTGTGAGCGAAGCAAATGTATCCGGCTACTCCAAAATTGAGCTGGTGTAACAGAGCCACTGATGACTGCCTCTTTAAAGGTACTGGCGAGCTCTGGATCACTCTTGAGAAGTGACTCTTGTAGTGCAGCATCGCTTTCGACGTCTTGTGAAGAGAGAATCTCGTTGACACTTGGTTTCGCAAATACTTTGGGTGCTTCCTTCTTTGCAGATATCGCCGTTTGTAAAGCCGCCACAAAGGCGTCCATCTCAGCTCTCGCGGCTGTCGGCTTCTTGTTGGTAAACTTGAATGTATGAGCGACAGGTTCCGAGGCAGCGCTTGGAGCCGCATGTATACGCATCTGAGATACTTCTTTGGTCGCGGGACTAGCTTGCAGGTCTACCGTTAGCGTTGTACCCTTTTGATTCGACGCAACGCACTTGTGATGCTCGTCAAAGCAATCGTCAGACTCGCTTGCATGGCACCCTTTTCCGCCCACTCGACATGATGTTCTTTGAGCAAAATGCGCCCGTCCTGCTTCTTGTAGGCCACGGCACCGCTGGCAGTGGCCATGATGTTGCTTAGCGCGTGTGTGTCGCGTTATCTGCGTCCGCTTCAACAATTTCAGTCTGACGTCGTTGAATTGTGGCATCTGAAACTCGGCCAGTCATGAAGGTCTACGTGCAAGAGAGAGATCCTCTCTTGCTATGTCTATGCGTAGAGGCCAGTCTGTGAGCTCAAAATACGAGATGTATTGGCTGCCGTTTTGCATACCATCTTCAATGCAACCCTGCTCATGGCATATCAGTTGCTGAACGCTACAGAGGCTGGGAGTTGGAAAGAGCAGCAATACATGTCCTTGTTAGGTGCGACGCGTCTGACCTCATGAAAAGAGATGACTTCTTCAGATACAGACTGACCCAAGGCATCTGAGATGCGCTTTGTCATGTCAGCACGCCCCTCTGCGCCCTCATACTTGGTAAAACAGTGAACATGAATCGTTGGCAGTACCATATCCGTCGAATGACCGTTGTACAGTCCCCTGAAGGCATCCAAAAACTCGATAGCCGTGGCTGGCAGGTTCATGACAAAGTGGAAGAAATACCTGGGCACCACCAGTGCCTCTGGTTCAGCGGACGCTGTAAGTTTGACGCGTTTCCTAGAAGGCTTGGTTGTCATGGAAATGGTCTCCCCTGCTTCATGTCTCTTCGCCAGAGCTTTGCTGGCCTCTTTGACGTATGCCCGCCCGTCCATGTTGCTCGCCACGACAAAGTCATCTACCTTGTTGAGCTCAATATTCTCAACCAGTGACGCATAAGAAGCGGGATTCAGATCATTTGCATAGCACAAGACTCGCTTCTTTCCAGCAGGAATGGCAAAAGGCCCAACACCTGCCATGACATCGCACACGGCTTCACCCGGCTTGAACATATCGACCAATCTAGCATGCTCAGTGTGAAGCCGCGAATTCCAGTAGACCTTTGAAAAGTCAAATTTGAAGACACAGCCGCTTTCGTGCTGCGTTGCAATAAGATCCTTGTCGCCTGCCAAGACTTCCATCTCGAAGTTGCGATATTGCGAGTCGATGGTATCGAGCTTGTTGACGACAGTCCGTGCTGCAGAGTTCTTGTCCAAAACAAGCTGGCCAATTATGTGCTTGTAGGGTAGGTAGGCATCTCTGAGATTCATGTGCGCGATATGGCCTACCATGGTGAAGCCAGAAGGTGTGTCCTTCAGTAGCTCTTCAGGCAAGATGCATCCGAGTATTTCATCGGCATTCCAGTATTTGTAATCCAAATTGATTGTATGCCGCACGAGAGGAATAGCATGCAGCTCAATGAAGGCTCGAGATGAAGCATGCAATGCGGATGTGTCTTCCACTTTGACTTCTGGCCGCAATGCAATGAGCTTGTCTCCAGCAGAGTTGTAAATGACACGGATTCTCGGCTGCTTGAGCAAGTCTTGCGCACAGGCTTTGCGAAGGTGAGGAATCTGCTGTGGCGTCACTTTGGCAGCTGCTAGTGTGACTTGCTTTTGAAAGTGTGCTCTGTCGAGGACTAGCATGCCTCTTGCGAGTGGTGGGCTAAAGAGGGACATGGATTTAAGCAAGAAGCGCACTTTTTGTTTAGCTAGCAGTCCTAATGCTCGACTCGCAAGGGAGACGTCAATTGAGCTGGTCAATCCTAGATTTAGAATCCTGCAGCTGGGTAGGATGTGTCGCTTGCACCTCGAAATCGAATTTCGTCGTCTGCATTGCGACCGACTACCAAGTACCAACTTTCAAGCTTTCAGATTTCCTTGCTTTGTGCTCAGCATCGATCTAGCACTACCTGAAAGAAAGTAGCCAATATGTTGTCGCGTGATCTGCGCGTTTGCTGAGTCTTCAAGCCTAAAGCCAGCGTAGGCTTGTTGTAGCCCGATGTCAAGACTCCAGATCCCTGCCACTGTACATGTAATTAGAAGTGGCACCTTGAAGTTTACGACATGACTTCTTCCAGCGACCGTCGACAGGTCGATATGGGATACGCTACCGTCTCACACTGTACGTTCACTGCATTGTAAGCGGTGCAGTAGGTGGAGTCTGTCTATGAAGCTCGTGCCGGCACGCAGCATGACAACTCCTTGTCGAACAGCAGCAATGTCTTCAGGCTTGGCGAGCAGCAACGTATCACAGAACGCAGTGTGTTGAGGAAGCCTAAATGAGACCGACATGACAATTTGCCTTAGACCTGGCATCGTACTGCAGCTCTTCGAAGAGACATTTCTCCGTCCCTCTACGCGTTACCGACCTACGGCTGGGTTTGCCCCAATTCAAGTGGCCGACAAGCATTGTTCTGAGTCGTGTAAGTACCAGATCTAAATCATGACAGCGCCGCCCGTCCATCTACATGCCACGCACTATCATCACAATTTATCAGCAAACAGCGCCGCTTCGACCATGCAGGTGTAGGCTGGTTCTGGCGCTTGCTGTATCACATCATTCACATGACGCGGAGTAATGACGCGGAGTAATGGAATGCATTCCTCCGCCATAAGTTCGACCTGAAAGAGCTCGGGGCTATCCCTGTGTTGCTGCACATAGTCAGAGTGACTTCAACAGCCGGCAACGATGGGAAAGTAGCGCGCTCTGTCACGCTGAAAGAGAATTGGCCCTAGCTAGAGAGTTGGCCCTAGCTGGCTAATTCCATGGCTAGCTTACCTGACCTTGCCCCACGGCGGCTCAAACATTGTGCAGTGCGGTTGCAGTTCAAGTGATGACAAAGGCGACTGGTGGCGTCAACAGGCCCATCGTAGGCGGCGCGTCCGTGTCTGAAGTCCTGACACGGTCACATAGATAGTGACTATGTTTCTTCTAGCGCCCATTTCCGGCGTTTGCTGCCATGACTGTGTTACAAGCAAATTTGTCAAAGCAAACGCCGCGCACAAAAAGCAAACGCCGCGGCCGAAGCAAATGCCGCACGTCAAAGCAAACGCCGGCAGCCGTGGACACCTCGCACAGACAAAACGGAAACGGATGCAGCAGCACGATAGGTCTCGATTACGGAAGCTCCTTCTTATAAAGCCTTGCAGATGCCTCGTCTCCTCTTCAGTACACGCTCTCGTCGAGATACATCATGGCAGACAAGAACCTTGAATTGGGTCATCCAGCTGTGAGCGAGTACTCTTGGAAAGATGTATCCGTGACAGTACTGGACCGACACACCAAGCAAAAGCGACTATTGATCGACAACATCACCGGGTATGCTACAGCTGGTGAGTTGCTCGCCTTGATGGGTCCCTCTGGCTCTGGCAAGACAACTCTGCTTAATGTTCTCGCTCATCGCGAGGCCACTAAAGGTGGCCACCTCTCTGGCAGTACGTACGTGAACCATGCGCCCATTTCCAAAGCGGCATTTCGTCATCTCTCAGCTTTTGTTGAGCAGGAAGACGCGCTCATCGGCTCGCTCACTGTCGATGAGACAATGGAGTTTGCGGCAAAGCTGTCGCTTGGCCGCTCAGTCTCAAAAACAGAACGCAAGATGCGTATCGAAGAGCTCCTCACCAGTTTTGGTCTGGAAAACCAGAAGCATGCACTCGTTGGATCTGCTTTACGCAAGGGCATCAGTGGCGGCCAGAAGCGGCGATTGTCTGTGGCAGCCCAGCTCATTGGCAAGCCAAGCATTTTGCTCCTAGACGAGCCTACCAGCGGCTTGGATTCCGTCGCGAGTTTCGAGGTCATCAAGTTCATCAAGGATTTTGCTCAGACGCACGGGCTCATCGTCGTTGTTTCCATACATCAACCCTCCAACAAGACGTTTGAGCTTTTCGACAAACTTTTGCTCTTAGCTGATGGGAAGACTTGCTACAACGGAGAGCGAAGCGAGCTGTTGCCCTGGCTGGCAGACCTCAACTTGAATGTCCCTCAGCACGTCAGTCCCATTGAGTTTGCCCTAGATCTGGTCAACTCCGACTTTGGCTCAACCCATGCGCGACTTTTGCAGGAAGCCTGCTGCAATGCTGCTCAAACGGCACCAAGATTGAAGAAGGGCAGCGACAGCATTTATTTGCCTAACGAGACATCTCGTTCGGCATGGCACGCAACCCTTGTCCTCCTTCAGCGCTCGTGGATCAAGTCATATCGTGACATCGTCGCTTACTGGATCCGGGTCGTTATGTACGCTGCTCTTGGTGTCTTAATGGGAACAGTCTGGCTTCGATTGCCTGCTGAGGAACAGTCCATTCAGCCATTCATCAGCGCCATCTTCTTCGGTGGTGCGTTTATGAGCTTCATGGCTGTTGCCTATGTCCCTGCTGTTATTGAGGACATCACTGCCTATCAGCATGAACATGCCAACGGACTGTACGGGCCTGTTCCATTTGTGATATCCAATTCACTCATCGGTATTCCATACTTGTTTGGAATCGCACTCCTATTTTCAATGATTGCGTACTGGCTCAGCAATTTGGTACCTACGGCTCACAGTTTCGGTCTCTTTGTCATGTGGCTATTTCTGGACTTGTTGGCAGCCGAAGCAATGGTATTGCTACTCTCGTCTTTATTCCCCATCTTTGTCGTGGCCCTCGCTCTGTCGGCTTTTGCCAACGGTTTATGGATGTGTGTTTCTGGGTTCTTGGTACCATTGCCGCAACTCAATGTATTTTGGAAGTATGTCTTCCACTACATTGACTATCAGGCATACGTCTTTCAGGGGATGATGGCAAACGAGTTTGGCAATCGATTCTACAAATGTTCATCGGCCGCTTGCAGCTTTCCAACAAATGCTCGAGGTATGATTGATGGTGAAGAAGTGCTACGTCGCTATGGTATCGCAGATGGGCGATTTGGCCTGCGCATAGGCATCGTGGTTGCCATAACCGTCGTCTTGAGACTGTTGAGTGTTGTGGTGCTTTACTTGCGCAAGTCTCATTAGTTGTAGTAAGTCATGAGAGAGCACTGTTTCCTGCAGCTATTGGTCGCGATCATTCGTGTTCTGGCACAATGGCCGCGTCTGTAGCAGCGCCTACAGTCTCATTAGTATCACACCTTTCAGCATTGTTGATTTATCAAATCTAGTCGAGTACATGCAAAACGGTATCGAGCCGTTCCAGCACGCGACAAGCGATACTGTAATGACGAGCCAGCTCACGAAGCTGCTTGAGATTGCTTTGTAGCATCACGCGTGCATCACTCGGTTGCCATCCCATGATGATAGCGTTTGCATGCACGACGATGGCTAAAGCCAAACTGCAACTAAGCTGGAACGAAGTCACCTGGCTAGTAGCAGATACTGTAGCCATATCATTCGCAGCAGCAACACAACGTTCCACGGAGATCATGCTTCGCTGACACTGGTCCAGTGTTGGATCAAGCACGAGCCCGCAAGCAGGAGCTTGAATGAGAAAGGGTAGTGCAATCTGGGCGCGACGAGCATGGATCATGATGCAGACAGTATCGAGCAAGATCCGGGTACGTGCCATGACGGGATCGGTATTTCGAGGAAGTCGAAGTCTCAATTCTGCAAGAATCTCGTCAAAATGCTGTACATCATCTGTTGTGCCACTTAATGCCGCTTGCCGTAGCACATCTGCTACAGTGATCAAGTTGGAATATCGATCTTCGACCGGCCACGGTATAGCAAAAGACAAGAAGCAAGTCGTAGAGCCACTGAAAGCATGGAGAACTTTGTCGTTGACCCACAGCTCGGCGAGAATCTGCTGATTGGATAAGTTGTTTGTGCGGTACATGTCAGAAGCTAAAGCCTGGTCGCAAGCCTCTTTGAGAGTGTTCATTGCTTGCACTTTGTCTCCCGTTGCAAACCTCCACAAGGTATCAACGAGGGCAACTTGAACATCGCAGATGTCCCACGTCGTGGCCTTTGGCTGTATTTGCGATGCACGGTCATGGAACGTTGGAATTGATAGACTCGGAAAGCACTCTGCGGACGTAGCGACGAAGAATGGCCAATTGTCAGTCTCGACTACTTCAAGGTCAGCAGCAAGTGGCTTTGAGACGCCCTTGCGCCGAGGACCGCCTCGTCGATGTGCGACGTAGAGACATCTCTCTCCGCGGCGCGTACAGCTTGCGCAAGGCTCTTCGCCGGTACATCTATCTTTCCGCTGTCGACACGCTAAGCATGCTTGCTTGCTTACATTCACAATCAAAGCTTGACTCATGGAAGTGAGACATATATCATGGATAGCGCTTGGACGCGAGGTCGAGCAGGAAGGCTGTAGATGACTGACTGTAACATTAAAAGTCTTCCACGTGATGCGAACCTCCAGATGGAGCGGCACGCTTTCACAAATGAAACACCACAAATACAAAGGCTAGTATTGCGGCCGGTGGTAATTCAAACTGATTCTAAGTCTGCTGGAGCTAGGACTACTGTCTAATCTATCTATAAATATCTGTTTAGAGGCGCTTATGCATTGGTTTCGAACTGAGGCGCCCAGATCGTGTGAAGGTGACATTTCCAGGCTCTGCACTCAAAGTCTTCCCCTCTACCACGAAACCCGCGGCTTCAGTCAATTTCGACCCTGGGTTCTCTTCTTGATTGACCACAGCTGACTTGTAAGCCTGATTGGGCTTCTTTTGAGCTTGCTTCACAGCATGGCTGGCCAGAGAAACAGCCTTCTTTTCCGCTGCGGCGGCTTCCTTAGCAACTTTGGCTGCAGCGCGAGCCTCCCGTTTCTGTTGAGCCTCAGCTTCCTTGTCTGCCTTTTTGATAGCCCTGGCTGTCTTTTCAGCCGCCCTTTGCTCGACTAGCATGTCCCGTTCTTGTGCACGCTTAGCTTCAATGTCTCGTGCATGCTGGACCTCGATAGGGCCAACAAATAAAGCGCCTGTCCGTCCATCCGACCTCAGCTGCTCCCCAACCTTCAGCTGTCTTTTCTTCCTTGGCTGATTTCGCTTGGCAACAGCCTTTAGCTGCGAGTTCTCCGGCTTTACGGCTTCATACGCTGTTTGGACCTCAGAAAGCCGGTGCGCCAGGAATTGGAGGGACTTTTGCGATTTTTGATCAGCATTGGCAGTTGTCTCACCAAGAACCGGCGCATCTTCGTTGGTCTGGACACAGTACATACTCCAGTTGGTGGTCTTGGACTATCGTGCTGTTGTTGGGCTTGAGCGGGTAATGGAGTCGCTGGCCTTTTGCGCAAAGGACCCAGGGCTATCTCCGAATTGAACGGCCAAATGCCAGTCTTTTCCCAGGCAGACTCGATAGTCTTCTTGACAAAGGTCTTCTGATAGGCCAGCCAAAAGATGGGAAAGAAATCTCGCTTCTTGATCGAGCACTGTCCTCCTGAATCTGTGACCATCTGATTGAGGCCTTGGCTATAGTAACTGGCCAAAGGGCTGAAGCAGCCAACATCCAAAGGTTGCAATCTATGCGTCGAGTGAGGCGGATAGAAGGCAAGGTAGATCTTCAGTTCAGTGCACTTGCTGATGAATTTTGTGTTCAGGTGCGAGCCGTGACCATCAAGAAATAAGAGTCTCCAGGAGCGTCTGGATTTGCGTCGCGATTCCTTGTCGAAAATGTCCACGAGCCAGTGCATGGCGAGCTCATCAGATGTCCACCCGTTGGGCGAGCTTGCAAAATAGCAATTGTGCTCATCTGTCTTGAAATCCTCGATCCAGGCATTTTGAATGTCGCCGGAGTCAGCCTTGTAGATAACAGCAGGCGATAAAGTCGTCCCATCAGCACAGATTGTCGCTAGAATAGTGACCCATTCTCGGTTACCATCCTGCCCAGCTCTGGGAAGCTCATCGAGCTCAGATTTCTGCTTAGCGAACACCCGGCGTGTCTTCTGCGAGACTCCAATCATGAACCCTTTCTCGTCCATATTGTACATGTTCTCCGCCGTGATGTTGTTTCTCTGAATAACAGCAGCCAAACCATTGAAGTAAGACTCATAGCTAGTGAGACTATCAGCCTTGTGACGAGCTAAGTCGATATTCTGAAGATATCGGCTGTCCAAAATATTGTTGTGGCGCTGAACAAAGCGGCTTGCCCAATTTTTTGAAAGCGGTCGGCCAGCCAATCTCGAAGCTAGCGAGGTTATAAAAGCTGGTGGGGGTGGAAGGCAAAGATCACTCAATTGCTTGATCTGATCTATGATCATTTTCTCCTGATGGTTGGAGAGCGCCTGCTTGTTTTCCTCCCTGCGGGCTTTGGAGGTGGATAGGCCATGGAATCGACGGCTGAGGGCTGGTCGACTGATTCCATGCTTTCTAGCTATCCTTGCTAATACAGGAGCGTCAGATGCGCGTGCCTCTGCAATTGCAAGCTCCATCTATTCTAAACCATGGATAAAACGCGTAAGTTGTGAGCCTATAATTGACTTTTTGACGCGTGCCGCAACCAATTAAAGTCCGCATCACGTGGAAGACTTTTATGTGGTTAGGGTTATTGGCCGTACGATCCGATCGATCTCGAACTCCATGCGCCAGGACAATGCCAGGCTCTTCCTCTTTACATGTAGGCAGCTCGCACTGCGCCCCGCTCGATATGCCTCGTCGCGCTCTGCAAGGCTCATCCTCTATCAAACAGTTGCGCATGAACGCTTCTGGCTCGCATTTTTGCTGCTTGTGTGCCACTCGCCTCAATTGGCCTACCTGGGAGCTGTGCACCCCTACCTTGACTATGGAGCAACGTTGACATTCTTCTCATACGGCGCTACCAGCCTACCACACATCATATCCAATTACAGGTTCGCTGCCACCTCATCAAGTGCCTCTCACTGAAAGCGTAACGCCAGTCCTGCCACATCATGTGCGTACACAAAGCCCTATGCCATCAACCAGCTCGACCGAATAAATCACGTCGGTGTTGGTCGTTGTTGGCAAGCAATCAGTCATGTCAAGCCCAGCGCAGGCGCCAATTTTCTATGCTATCGCCTCGATATTGCACAACAGTTCAAAGCGTAGCCGGGCACTTTCTTCACAACGCCGATGAAGTAGAGCGCAATGCATGCTTCTGCGAACTACTGGCAGGTCGCAATCCAAGTAGCCAGCGCATGCTGCCATCTTACAAGAGGCTTTGGAAAAAGGCAAACCGACACTGACCATTCGAATCGTGAAATATCTTCCGAAACCTCCTGATGAGGTCCTAGCTGGCCAGACAGTTAATTTGAGACTGGCTGAACCATTCCGGTCCTGTCTCTGGATCATGGACTATCGCTTGCCAGCTTCCTGCAACGTGCCGTTGTCATTGCTGTCTCTCAAGACTACAAGCACACAGGGTTGCCGCTGATCCAACTGTGCCGTTGCTACAGCCTGAATTACCTTGAGGGACTGCAGAGGCAATGGCAGATTGCATGCAGCCAACGAGCGGTAGCTCATGACCCAGAGTCGGTACCTACCCGGTTCAGACTGTCTCAGCGTGACAGTCTGACCAGCTCGGACCTCGTCTAGGGCCTTTTGCTGGTACTTGACGAACTTCATTGTTGGCGTCGACTTACCTTTTGCCAGTGCTTCCTGGACGATGGTGACATGCGCTGGCTCGGCGACTTCTTGCCATGCTGCCGTTCCCATCACAGCGAGCATCCATGCTGAGCTGGCTTGCAGCAAAGGGCGCCCTTCGTCGTCGTACTCCTCCACCAGGCAATGAACACCGTTACAACGCCCACCTCTGTGGTACCGCCGTATCGCCACTCGAACCAACTCGCAACCAGCAGGCACTAGAACCTCAGGAATCAAGGAACTGCCGCCACAGACAGAACACCGGCCTTTGATTTGCCTGTCCCACAGGTACAGCTCTGCGGACTGACAGTGCTTCTCCGTCAAATCCAGGGCCTCGCCGCTGATTGCTTCGTCGTTCTCCAGGTCCAGGACATGCTGGTGACAATGGCCGCCGGCGAAGAGGTCCCAGCGGATCTTTGCCACTGCTCAGGTGTCATGCCAGGTCGACATACAATTGCGTATGTAGGCCACAGGCACGCTGTTTTGAAATTGTTGATTTGTAGCGAACACTTCAAAGTCTGCCAGCCAGGTCAGAGACGTCTCGCGGTGTCATCGGGGCAATGGACACTGTCAGATGGCAAAGCATCTGCCTTTGCAGTTGCCAGTACGCGTCGTCATCTATGTGGACAAAGCTGACAAGACAGAATCTTCCACCGTCCAAGGATCTGCCTCTGCAGTTGCCAGTACGCGTCGTCATCTACGTGGACAAAGCTGACAAGACAAAGTCTACCCCCCACTCAACCGGCATGGATACATCAAGTCACGGACATGACCTCAACCCGCAAGCTGAACAACCCGGTAAAGTTCAGCGCTGCTGTGGATGGAACTGTGACCGTCGGCGTTCAACATGGCCACTTTTCGGTCAACACCAAAAGCGATCGGTCATCTGGCTGGAACACGGCGAAATGCCAGCGTGCCATCGCCGTCGCCCGAAACGGCCCAAATTACAGCAAAAAAATCGACAAGCGCGATGACGCCGTCGTTCCTTTCGCATTACGCCAACTGCATGACACTATCTTGGATGAGGCGACTCTTGGGGACGGTGGGGCTTTCAGTGCCAGGTGGATGAACCTATCTGAAAGCAAGCTACCAGACATGGGACACCGTATCGTGTACAATATTTACACAATCGAAGAGCTACCGACACACTCGTGCACGACGCATTGTGTCGTCGGATAGGCCAGAAAGATGAACACGGCGAAATGCCAGCGTGCCATCGATGTCGTCCGAAACGACCCGAATTATGCCAGAAAATTCGACAAGCGCGATGATGCTGTCCTTGCTCTGGCATTACGCCAATTGCATGTGACTATCTCGGATGAGGCGACCCTCGGGGACGGTACAGCTTTCAACGCCAGGTTGATGAACCTGTCTGAAAGCAAACTACCAGACAGAGACACCGTATCTTGTACAATATTTACACAATCGAAGAGCTACCGAAACACTCGTGCACGACGCATTGTGTCGTCGGATAGGCCAGAAAGATGAATTACGTCGGTGTTGGTCGCTTTTGGCGTCAATTCCAGCACTTGACACGCGTTGGTGGAGCCAAGTTTCTGCGTCATCAGCTCGATATTGCATCGCAGCATTGTATCAGTGTGCATCTGCGCATCATTAGAGTATGTCCACACGTCAATTACGTCGGTGTTGGTCGCTTTTGGCGTCCATTCCAGCACCTGACACGCGTTGGTGGAGCCAAGTTTGGGCAGCTCTTCCGTTGTGTAGATATTGTACACAATACGTTTCCCCTGTCTGGTAGCTTGCTTTCAGATAGATTCATCCACCTGGCACTGAAAGCCCCACCGTCTCCAAGAGTCGCCTCATCCAAGATAGTGTCATGCAGTTGGCGTAATGCGAAAGGAACGACGGCGTCATCGCGCTTGTCGATTTTTTTGCTGTAATTTGGGCCGTTTCGGGCGACGGCGATGGCACGCTGGCATTTCGCCGTGTTCCAGCCAGATGACCGATCGCTTTTGGTGTTGACCGAAAAGTGGCCATGTTGAACGCCGACGGTCACAGTTCCATCCACAGCAGCGCTGAACTTTACCGGGTTGTTCAGCTTGCGGGTTGAGGTCATGTCCGTGACTTGATGTATCCATGCCGGTTGAGTGGGGGGTAGACTTTGTCTTGTCAGCTTTGTCCACGTAGATGACGACGCGTACTGGCAACTGCAGAGGCAGATCCTTGGACGGTGGAAGATTCTGTCTTGTCAGCTTTGTCCACATAGATGACGACGCGTACTGGCAACTGCAAAGGCAGATGCTTTGCCATCTGACAGTGTCCATTGCCCCGATGACACCGCGAGACGTCTCTGACCTGGCTGGCAGACTTTGAAGTGTTCGCTACAAATCAACAATTTCAAAACAGCGTGCCTGTGGCCTACATACGCAATTGTATGTCGACCTGGCATGACACTTGGGCAGTGGCAAAAGTCTCAACAGCGGCGGCCATTGTCGCCAGCATGTCATTGAGATGGAAGACAATGAAGCATCCAGTGGCGAGGTGCTGGAATTGACAGAGAAGCACTGTCAATCCTTAGAGCTTTACTTATGGGACAGGCAAATCACAGGCCGCTGTTCTGTCTGTGGCGGGAGTTCAAAAATACCTGAGGTTTTGGTGCCTGCTGGAAGCCAGTTGGTTCGAGTCGCAATACGGCGGTACCACAGAGGCGGGTGCTGTAATGGAGTTCATTGCTTAGTGGAGGATCACGATGACGAAGGGCGTCCCTTGCTGCAAGCCAGCTCAGCATGGGTGCTCGCTGTGATGGGAACGGCACCACGGAAAGAAGTCGCTGCGCCAGCCCACATTGCTAAGTGACAGAGAAGCACTGCCAACCCTAGAAGCACTAGCAAATATGACAACAACGATAAGTATACATATACGAGCTACAATCTTGCCTTGCCGGAGAGAAGATGTCCAATGTGCTCCCGCTCGAACGGCACGTATTCGCCATCCTTGAGCCAGAATAGCTTGTCATCTCCCACCCTCTCGTGCTCGATACCCTCAGTCCGCAAACCAACCTTTTGTTGCTTGTAATTGCCCGTCGCCGCCATTTTTGACACGACACGCAAGAATTGCGGTACAGCGTACTTGGGCAGGCCCTTTTGACAATGTGCTGCGAGGGCCTTGTAGTTGAGTGGGCGTTCGTGGTCGAGATCAATCGCCACACAACCAGCTCGTCCTTCATGCCCAGGAACCTGGACACCATACACATTTGCCTCTGCAATGCCTGGGAAGTTTCCAATAGCTTCAGCAACCTCCGTAGTGGACACGTTCTCTCCCTTCCAGCGAAATGTATCACCTAGCCTGTCAACAAAATAGGTGAAGCCATCCTTGTCACGAGACATCAAGTCGCCCATGCGCATATACTTGTCTCCCTTGACGAGCACATCGCGAATGACCTTTGATTCGGTGGCCTTGTCGTTGTTGTAGTAACCCCTGAAAGTCTTTTCTGCATTGCCTTCTTCAATCTGGTAGCACAACTCACCTGGCTCGCCTTCTCCACATTGTACGCACAATCCAGTCTTGGGATCACGCAGTTCCTTTTCTGTATCGAGATTGACGCGAATGATGGTCGTACCCGCACGCGCGATCGTACCAGCAAGTTTGCCCATCTTGCCAACGGCGCCAGCGCCGAGGCTGTTGTTGTTGTAATTGAATGAGCCGCCGACACCTTCCGTGGATGCGTAGAATTCAACAATAGTTGGGACATTGAATCGCTGTCTGTAACGTTCCCAGACATCAGGACGCATACCGTTGCCGAATGCCATGCGGACCTTGTGGTTGCGGTCATACGGTGTTGGCTTTGAAGCAGTCAAGAAGCGACAAGCTTCACCAACATACTGAACAATGGTTGCGCCAGACTCGGAGACTTCCTTCCAGTGTGACGAGGCTGAAAACTTGTGTCCCAAAACAAATGTACATGATGACAGAACGCAGATACCAATGCCGAGTACGGATGCAGTTCCATGGTACAGTGGCATACAGGAGTAGAACCGGTCATTTTCGTTGATGCCCACAAGAGCAGCAGAGGTATAGGCACCTTGTGAGTATTTGAGCCAGGGGACAATGGCAGCCTTAGGCATACCGGTCGAGCCGGATGTAAAGATGAGCGTGGCAATGTCTGTTGCCTTTTGTCCAGAGCGCAGATCCTTGTTTGGCTTTGTGTCTGGCAAGGTAGCAATGTCGTGGTCCTTAATTTGCGGTGCAAAGTTGATGTCTGGTACCTGACCGTCATTGTAGCAAATCAGCTGAATGTCCTGCTTTTTCAAGGTTTCCGCTACATTCTCAACATTGTCTGCCACTTCGGAGTCAAACACCATGAGCTTGGCATTGCAAACGCCGATGCAGTGAAGTAGAGGCTGGCCAGTGAGGTTAAAGTTGATGAATGCGGGGGTTGCACCGATAGCCCACAAGCCAAAGTAGGCCCAGATGAAGGCTGGTTTGTTGGTAAAGTTGAGTGCCACAATATCGCCCTTCTGAATACCCAGAGACATGAAGTAAGATGCCCATTTGTGGGTCAATTCGAGTGCTTGATTGTTGGTCCATTCATTCCCCTGGTAAATCATGAAGAGCGCCTTGGGCTTGGCCTGTTGGTTCTCCTCGAGGTAGTAGTACATGTTGAATCGATCGCTGGCCTCACGAGCCGCGATGCTACAGTCAGCTCTTATCTCGTGCTGGTCGCTGGACTTACTTCTTTCGCGTCCTGATGAGTGCCTTGATGGCATGCAAATCATACGAGATGAAATACTTGGCGTCGAGGTAGGCTGCAGCCAGTGCACCTACGGCCGACTTGAGCAGAAGATTCTGGACCATGACTGCAGTTGTTACAAGGGTGGACTTGGTGTCACCCTGGCCTTGCTATATAGATGGGCTGCGGCGGCCGAGAAAGGTGGGGTTGCGCATTTGGAAGTTTGGCGGTACCGGCGCTCGGCTCGACTTTGACACTCGAGCGAGATTCTGATTGCAAAAGGCCGGACCTGCTCGGGCGCTCGTTCCAGGCTGGTGCAGCGAGCTGTGAGGCTGATCAAGACAGAACAAGGCATTCATCTTGTAGGGCCAGGTGACAACGATATCTACATTGGCTGTCTAGTGCATGGACTGCCAAATCAGAAGGTTTTTGGTATTTTCAGTAGTCCTCATGTCGTACGTTTCTAAGATACGTCAGTAGCAGAACTGATTATCCTCATCATCTTGAGCGTTGTCTCATGCGTTGTCTACGGCTATGCAGGGCACAACCTGAGTGACCGTCAGAAGAAAGCGCTACAGGTCTTTTGAAGAGTGAGAAGGTTGCGAAGGCTCAGAGGGTGGTGCATGATACGAGTCTTCAAATATGTTTCAGTAAGATTCTTTCAACATAATCGTCACAGCCAACCTGAGCATCTCATCCTTGTCAAGACCTTGAAAGCTTTCTTTTGGCGGTCGCAGCCAATTGATTCTTAAGCAACCAGCTGGCAACGTATCAGTGCGTTTGTCAGCCAGGTTCACTAAATGCCTTGGCTGACGGCTGGCAAGCCAGACTGGAAGCCTGACAACCAGCTCCTGTGTCGTCTGTTGAAGTAGACTGTGGTGAAGGTTGTTCTTGGTAGGTCTATCGCTGCGGATTTTTTGAAAGTCGCACGCCCAAATCGCTCGACGAGATACAATGTCCAGCGCTACCTCCACAGTTGGGCAACGCTACAACAAGCTCATCAAGTTGTTCATACAGAGTCGCTTCCTATCTGCTGCTTGTCGCTCCTCTACGACTTTCGCGGTGTTCAACCCGCCGCTCACTTAAAACCCAAGCTTCAGCTGCAGCTACAAATCAAGCATGAAGAAAGTCCTACTCATGGGCCGCTCAGGCTCAGGCAAATCATCCATGCGCTCCATCGTCTTTTCAAATTACGTTGCAAAAGATACTCGCCGTCTAGGCGCAACGATCGATGTTGAACATTCCCACGTCCGCTTCCTCGGCAACCTCGTCCTCAATCTTTGGGATTGCGGTGGCCAAGAAGCATTCATGGAGAATTACCTGCAATCACAAAGGGATCACATTTTCAAGCATGTAGAGGTCCTAATCTACGTGTTTGATGTGGAAAGTCGTGAATTTGAGCGGGACATGCATACCTACGAGTCTTGCTTGGATGCCGTTCGCGCCAACTCACCAACAGCCAAAGTCTTTTGCTTGATACACAAGATGGATCTTGTTCAAGAAGAAATGCGCGATGATGTCTACCTGGAACGCTCTAGCTACCTCGAGCAACGTTCTAGTGGTCTCAAAATCACCTGCATTGCGACATCCATCTGGGATGAGACACTCTACAAAGCCTGGAGCTCTATTGTCTACACACTCATCCCGAACATCCCGACACTTGAGAAACACCTGCAAGTATTTGCCGAATGTGCAGACGCGGAAGAAGTCGTCTTATTCGAACGGACAACCTTCCTCGTCATTTCTCATGCCACGAGGGATAGTGCAGGTGCAATTGTTCAAGCAGGTAGTAGTCAATCAGCAAGCACAACCAGCGCCCACCCAGATCCTCAACGCTTCGAGAAGATTAGCAATATCGTCAAGCAATTCAAGCTCTCCTGCAGCAGAATGTCTTCACAATTCACGAGCTTCCAAATGCGCAGCGCTCAATTTAGTGCCTTCATTGCGCAATACACAGGCGACACGTATATCCTCGTCGTTATGGCCGGTGATGCGGAAAGTGCAACAACGCTGATGAATATTGATATTGCGAGAAGGCAGTTCCAAAAGGTACTTGCTTGATCTTTAGTTACGACACATACCTGTCTCAAGCGATGAGCGTCTTGTAGAATAATCGTGATTTCGTCACTGCACTCGTCACTGCACTCTCCATTTGTTTCGTATCGACTCCATTCGCTTGCGCTGCGCGTGCGACGCGTGCCTCGAGGTTGAGGGAGAGTAAAGCAGACACGAAAAGCGCATCAAATGCAGCTTGTGATGTAAGTGGTTCACCTGGCTGAATGGGTGCCAGGAGTGGTGTTGGCGGTGCAGAAGGTCTGTGTTGAGGCAAGACACTTGCTTCGTCCGTCTCATCCACAGCCACAAGCTGTTCACGCTCAAGTGCTTCTTCAATAGAGACTGTAATGCGTTGTCGCACTTCAGCGCGTAACCCAGGACCAACGACATCGACGCCCCACGACTCCAAAAGCCGACAACACGCCACAAGTGATGCTGAACACGCTGGACTTGGCAAGCTCGGTAAGCCAGCTTCATCTGGGGCGACGAGTTCTTTGGCCAGCACGAGGGGTAGCGATTCTGGCAAGAATGTCACAAGTTTCTCTGCAATGGTTACTTGCGCTGCTTGGCCGTCCAAAGGAATGGGGGCCGTTTTGCAAATGTACGCCAAGACACGAGAAATCTGGATGAGTGCAGGCTTGTTGTGTTGAACCGTCAGACTAAGCTCCTGAAGCAATTGAAGCAAATCCACCAGAGCAGCTTCCACTCTGCTGCTATACGCATCTTTATAGCCACCTTGCTGGAAGGTCTTGTTGGTTGAGAGACTCGTCAGATGTGCTGCAACAGCCCGGCTGACATCTCTGTAGCTCTTGTCAAACGCCGCAAAAGGTTCTGTGACAAGATCACCGCGGACAATGCGACGCGTGGTCGTCACAAATGAATGTAACTCGCGTTGTTGCCAGGGCACAGAAGCACTCAACAATGACATCTGCTGTGTATCCTGCGGTACAGAAGACACCAGTGCAGTGAGCGTCTCGCGTACTTGCGCAAATCCAACCAGAGATCGATCGAGAACTGTGGCGATAAAATGGTCCACGGCTGGCGAGAAGAGTTGGATATACAAGGCATCTTGGCTCGCTTCGTCTAGAAAGCCTCGCACTTGTTTTGCAGCCAGCAGGACGTCCTCCATTGAATCGTCTTGTGCTAGTAGACATTCTTGAATGATGCATTGGATCGCTGCGGTTTCTGCCTTGAGCCAGGTTTCAAAACTAGCTTGGATCTCGGAATGGCTGAGGTTGGCCGGTGGCAGACCAACACGTTGCTTTGCCAAATCAGATGGAAGACAAGCTTTGATCAAAGGCCCATCAAGTTCAGGCAACTTGGCCACAGTATTTGCAAGGATCTGCTTGCTTGCATCTTCGAATGGATCCGCCAGACGCGCAAAGTGTCGCAATTGCTCAGTTGTAGTGATAATCGCCTTTGCGAGACTGTTTAGCGTAAGACAGCCTCGCCATCTCGCAGGCTGTAGCGTGAGCCATTGCCTGAGACACTCTGCGAGCGTTGATGAGTGGAGTTGACAGTGAGCTGTTGCAAAGACGGCCACATCGTCGACATGATCGATAAATTTCATCAAAAGACGTTTAGCAGAGATCAACGACTGCTTCAAGTGTAGCGGCATAGGCATTGTCTTGCTGCATGCTTCTGCCAAGACCCATACCTGACATGCCGTCAAGACATCACCTTGACTCGCAAGTGACAAGATTAAGCCACGTACATCTCTCAGAAACGAAATGAGGACCTGCTGTCTTCGCTGCGCTTGTGGCACGAATAATCGCGTTCCATTGGCAATCACGCGTCTCAAGCCCTCTTCATCACACCGTCCTGTTAATGTCGCCAACTCTGCGCGTAACGTCAAGGTTTCATCGCGCATTCTGACAAGTGTATCGGCAGTCGTCAACAGGTCTCGATACGATTCGCCCACGAGGACTTGCAGATCTGTGCGGCGCTGGGCGGCTTGGTCGCGGAGCTGTATTTCGAGCGACCGGATATCGGCGATTGAGTTGGATTTGAAAACTTCATGGACAGATAGGTAGGAGATATTGGATGAGGGTTGTTGCGCAGGCGAGTGATGCGACTGTATCTCTGTCATGAGAGCTGCATGGGATGCTGGGGTCTGTCCTGGTTGATGGGTGTGTGTGTCGCCTGTTGCCTGAAATTTGAAATTTGTCGCGACAAAAAGACAACCGAGACGAGGACTGACTGGCTCTGTCGTACTCCGTGTATTCTCTTAGCTCAAGGCAGGCTACTCGTAGATCATGCCGAAACATGCAAGCGCAGGCAAGAAGATCCGCGATGTGCAACGCCTGCTCGCCAAGGAAGATCTCCCGGCTGATGTTCGAATTGAGCAAGAGCGCAAGCTGGCCTCGCTGCAACATGAGAAGCAAGTGACAGCGCGGCAGCAACAAGAAGACAAGATGCAGCAAAAGTACAAGATGGTCAAGTTCTTTGAGGAGCGCAAAGCAGTGCGACGCCTTAAACAAGCAAAGAAGAAGCTCAAGGCTGCTTTGAACAATACACAGCTGTCGCCTGATGAGCAAGAAGCTGAACGTGTACGGTGGAGCGAAGAGGTTCGAAAAGTGACGGTGGACTTGAGCTATATTGAAAACTACCCAGCGACGGAGAAGTACATTTCACTGTACAAGGAGGAAGCCTCTGGCACTGATACAGGCGAGCGACGCGCCGAGTTGTGGAAGCTGGCCGAGCAGGGATTGCTCAGACGGCGGCAAGGCTTGGGAGAATCGAGTGGGAAGACACCTAAGACCTCGAGCAAGAAGCAAGCGACAGACGCTGTGCTTGCTGAGGAGGACGACAAGGAGGAGCAAGATGATTTCTTCGAGTAGAGCGACATACATGAATGCATCCACTAGTGTGGCACTAACCAGAAGACTTAGCAAGTAAACATGCTGCTCTGGTAGATGGGCCTGCTGATGAGATGCGGCTTCGTCAGCTTCCTCACGAGCTTCTCCTTCTTGGCCAACACGCGTGGCTCAAGTGTCGTCTTGTCTACCACACGCACGTCAATCCCGACTCGAGGCCGCCGCTGAATCGTCATGCGTCCACGTCCCTTGTACCATTTCCGCTCGATGTACTGGCCTTTTGTCACCCAAGCTTGATCCACCACAAGCGACTCCTCATCCATGCCTTTGCTAATGGCTCCACGCCGCGCATTCTCCAGTAAGTTGGCAAGATGTGTTGCATGCCGTTTATTGCTGAAACGCATCTGCAGGACGCCATGCGAGACAGGCTTGTGTGCAATCAAGTTTGCCAACAAGCTCATCTTTTTGATGGAGGTGGGCACTTTCTTTGAGGTGATGGCGACTTGGTTCGGGAGGTTTCTGGCGCGAGATCTGATACTGGCTGCAGCGGAGGTCGTTGAGAAGGAGCGGAGGGAGAGATGCCTGCATGAGCGGCAGAGTGCGTCCATGGTTGCGTTGTGGTCTAGTGAGCCTCAATGGATAGAGCCTGGGATATGTTCGACAAGTGTTGTATAGCAATGAGTCTCCCGGTCCCTGCTCGTCTCTCTATCGCTCTAGCTCTGTGCTACAGTGCTAGCTTCTGTAGTCGTGGTGTTGTGTGACTGTCTCCCGCGCCCAACAAAATCTTCACCAGACGCTTCATGACTCTGCTCCTCAGACGAAACCACCAGGGATTAGATCACAGCAAGCAAGCAGACATGGCACCCGTACAGAAGAAGACCCAGGTCACACACAAGTTCACCATCGATGCTACTCAGCCAGCAAACGACAAAGTCTTTGACGTGTATGTTCATGACCAACCAAAAAACGAAAAAAGAACCAAAAGCTGACATCTAGTGCTGCATTCGAGAAGTTCTTGAACGACCGCGTCAAGGTTGACGGCCGTACTGGCAACCTCGGTGACATTGTCAAAATCTCCCGCGAGGGTGAGGGCAAGATCCAGGTGGTTGCCCACGGACCTTTCTCTGGTAGGTACCTCAAGTACCTCACCAAGAAGTTCCTCAAGAAGCACCAGCTCCGTGATTGGCTCCGTGTCGTGGCTACCTCCAAGGGTACCTACACCCTCAAGTTCTACAATGTCCAAATGGACGGCGAGGACGCAGAGGAGGATGACGAGTAACCTGCCTGACTTCTGTCTCGCTATAACTCACAACAAAAATGAGAATAAATGCTGAGCTGTGTCTCCAAGTCTGATACATACACATGTCTAGACTTGATGCAAGAATTTTCTACCCATCTCTATGTGATGTGCAGTGTACGTGATCTATCCTTGAATACATGGCTTATGCGACAACCTCCTCAATGCATTCAATACCGAGTGCCTTGAGATCCTTGATGAGCGGCCCATTGATCTTGCTGTTGATGGGAGCCAAGACACCACGCTCACTAATGACACCGTCCAGGACTTGCTGAACAGCTACGCCACAGGGCACGCCAACCAGCTTGGCCATAGCAGAGTAGCCACCCACCGTACCATAATCACACAATGTCGACGTTCGTGTTTCCTGAGACCCATCAGCGTTGATGATTTCAAACTTGTGCTGCAACAAGAGCAAGTCTCGCTCTGTTTCGCCAAACTGACACTTCTCCTCAAGTGTTTGACACAGTGCATCCAGGGCATTACCAGCTTTAGGGGCCGGTGCATCACTGAGCAGACCAATCCAACGGAGTCCTGCCAAGATGCGGTTCTTGTCCTCAGTCGACTTGAATTTCGTCTTAGAGGCAATTGTCCACTCGATATCCTTCTCCGAGGTCGATGACGCACCAATCACTTTGGCAAAGACATCCTTCCAGCTCATCTCTGCTGCATTGGCAGAGAGGTAGTCGAGTGGTGCATCCTCAAGCATACCGATATCCACGAGCGCTTTGATGAACTCTGGGAAACCCTGGTACCGCAGTGTACCACGAATAATCGTCTCTGCCTCAGGAATGTTGTAGCGCTCCTTGTATGGCGTCGAGTCACGGTTCGGGTAAGCGACAAGTGCAAAGCCCGGGTAGATGAAGTAAGGCTTTGCCTCACCCATGAGTTCAGGGCCAGCAACCTCTACGATCTTGCCGTCCTTGTAATACTTGGCAGCATTTCGCAACGCTAGCAATACACCACGCGATGACCAAGAGAATTTGTAACCGAGTGGGTTGTTGCTTGCTTCAGGAGCCGGTAAGCCACCGCAATAGGACAAGAAGGACTTGATCTTGCCGCCACGTGCGTGCACCTCGTCAATGGTCTTTACGGCATACAAGTGGTCGACACCAGGATCCACACCGATTTCATTCATGATGGTGATGCCTGCCTCTTTAGCCTTCTCATCCAATGCTGCAATCGCATCAGAGACATAGGACGTGGTGACGACGTGCTTCTTGTGCTTGATGGCAGCTTCAATGACTTTGACGTGGTGTACATAAGGGATGAGGGAGATGACGAGATCGTGCTCCGACACAGCTTTAGAGAGAGCCGCTTCGTCCGTCACATCCAAAGCAGCTGCTTTGGTATTGGCAACGCCTTGGATGAAGGCCTGTGCTTTTGCGAGTGTGCGACAAGCAACGGTGATTTGATTTTCTTTTCGCTGAGCGAGGTGTGAGAGCGTTGGGTGGGCCACAAAGCCCTGGGTGTTAGCGAATGAGGGATGTGAGCTGACTGCCTGCTTACGCTTCCGAGGAGCAGGATAGAAGGCATCTTGAGGGATCAGTACTGGTTGTCTCTTCCCTGGGCCTGAATCTCGTCGTCGGCAGTAGCCACCGTGGCAGCAGACCGTGAGACGCATTTGCCCAGAGACGCGACTCGACGCGACGAGCAACAGAGAGACACTTACCGGACCAGCTACTGCATTGCCATGTCTCTCTGGGTCGACAAGTACAGACCAAAGCTCCTTGACAAGCTGCACTACCACCAGCACTTATCTGATTCCCTGCAATCTCTCGCAAGCTCACCCGACTTCCCCCATCTCCTGCTCTACGGTCCATCCGGTGCAGGCAAAAAGACCCGCGTCGTTGCAACACTGAGAGCACTCTACGGCCCAGGTGTTGAAAAACTACGCATCGATCAACGTGTCTTTATCACGCCGTCTAATAGAAAACTTGACATCACCATCGTCCAGTCCAACTACCACCTCGAACTGACACCAGCCGACTGTGGCAACTACGATCGCGTCGTGGTACAAGACTTGCTCAAGGAAATTGCACAAACAGCACAAGTCGACTCTCATGCAAAACAACGATTCAAAGTAGTCGTCATCAATGAAGCAGATCTTTTGACACGTGAAGCACAAGCTGCGTTGCGTCGTACCATGGAGAAATACAGCACGAATCTACGACTCATTATGGTTGCCAACAGCACGGCAAAGATCATCGGACCTATTCGATCGCGTTGCCTGCTGATGCGCGTTGCTGCGCCCTCGGTACAGGAAATCACAAAATGTTTGCAGTTTGTGGCGAGTAAGGAGAAGCTCAAGCTTTCAGACGCCCTTGCTGAGCGGCTCGCATTGACGAGTGACCGCAACCTCAGAAGAGCACTGCTCATGCTTGAGACTGTCTATGCCACGGGCGAGCAGCCAAGCGATACGATCAATATTCCATTGCCAGACTGGGAAGCATACACGGCTGGTATTGCACGCAGTATATTGAAGGAACAGTCCCCGGCCATGATTATGACGGTGCGTGGCAACATGTATGAACTCCTGACGCATTGTCTACCGGCTTCACTCATCTTGAAGACACTACTCTTTGAGATTCTGGAAAGGGTCGACGATGTCATCAAGCCGGAGATTGTCAAGGCTGCAGCGTTCTACGAGCATCGCTTGAGACTCGGCTCGAAGGCCATCTTTCACTTGGAAGGCTTTGTCGCAAAAGTCATGGTCTTGGTGTATGCTGATCTCAATGATATGGATCTCTCAGATGATTGAACCCCCGAGTCCATCTTATAGCGCTATAGCATTTTTGTGACTTTGCCTTCGTGTTCGGAGCACTCTCGTCCGCTGCCACCCGGCCCCTGATAAACACCACAGCTGCTCAATTGTCCGCCACTGCTTCCCATACTCGTTCTTTGAAAAGCTACTACTCCTTTCATTATCATGCAAATCAAAGCTGTTGAGCAACCAGTCAGCTCCCTCGCCTCTTATGGCCAAATTGTACTCTTTGGAGACAGCATCACGGAAGGTGCATGGAATGTTGAATGGTTCTCTCACGGCGCAGCCCTAGCGCATGACTATAATCGCAGGCTGGATGTTATGAATCGTGGCTTTGGCGGGTATACTACGCGTCAAGCACTAGAGTTGCTCCCGCGTATTTTCCCAACAAAGACGGATGATCTTAAACTCGTCTTGCTCTTTTTTGGCGCAAACGATGCCGTCTTGCCTGGTTTTGTGCAGCATGTGCCGTTGAAGGAGTATATCGCCAACATACGACAACTTGTTGAGAGCCCACAATTGGCCGGCAAGGTCATAGTCTTGACGCCGCCGCCTGTGGATGAATACACAACGGGAGAAGAACGAAAAGCAGAGGCAACTAGGCAATATGCAGAAGCATTGCAAAGTTGGTGTACAGACAACAAGATACCCTGTGCTGATGTATGGAGGGCCTATATGGACCAGCTTGATTGGAAGGCAGGTCAGCCATTACCTGGAAGCCTGGCCAATCCACAGAATACCATGCTCACATCCTTTTTCCGGGACGGTCTTCATCCCGTTTCTGCTGGATATCTCATCATCTATGATACAGTGAAAGCAGCCATTGAGCAACACTTTCCAGAACTTTCGCCTGACAATGTTGAGCCACAAGTCCCACATTGGCGTCCGGCCTTCAATCCAGCCAAAGGAACGCATACTCGGTATGTGCTAGAGACTGGCTGGTGGAATCGTGAAGAAGCCGCAGCGCTCTATGCTCTCTTGACACCAGAAGAACTTGCCAAGGCACGGTCATTCATGTTTCCACAAGACCAGGAAATGGCACTCGGCTCTATTCTGTTGCAGAAATACTACATCTCCCATGTCTTGTGTCGTCCTTGGCGGTCCATCAAGATTACCAGAGACGCAGCGAATCGCCCATCTTGCTCGAATCGCGCCATTCGACAACACGACTACAATGTCTCTCACCACGCCGAAAGTGTCGTCTTTGCAGGGTTGATGGAGGATGGCCCTGTAGGCATTGACTTGACCCAACGCTTTCAACAGGGTCAATCGCTCAATGATTTCAAGGACGTCTTTACCAAACGCGAATGGGCTGCTATACGAAACGATCCAGAACGGTTTCAGCAGCACTGGGCCATCAAGGAAGCGCTTGTCAAGGCAGCTGGCGTTGGAATTGTTGGCAACCTACTCAACATTGAAGCGCTTGGCGTCCACTACGTCGCTGAGTATGACCCATCATGCGATCATGCAGTCAGTGAGCTGAGAGTGGACGAGCCTTGGGGACCTGGCGATGCTTGGAATGTCGAATTGCATTACCTGCCTCGACAGCGTGTCGCGGCCATTGCATATCGTGGCAAAGCACCTGAACAAATAATACCCTTTCAGGAGCTCAAAGTGACAGACATCATAAAAGAAGCCCAGCGCAAGGACTTGTTCTAGCTAGACCTGTCAGGAGTTTTCTATCTGACTCATGCTTTAGTAAGGACGAGACCCGCTTGGCGAGATAGGGGCAATGTAGTCAGCATCTGGACCTTCAGTAGCATCTTGCCCAGGATTCAGATCTTCATAGCCAGCCCATTTCACAAAAGCATAGATGGCACATGCAGCAAGACTGCCGAGAATTGGACCAACGAGATAGACCCACCATGAGTGTGGAAAGGTGCTCGTCACGATGGCTGGGCCAAGAAAGCGAGCTGGATTGACGCCACAGCCTGTATAGTTGACGGCTTCCAGATGGATACCAACGAGCGCAAGGCCGATTGCAAGCGGGGCCATGGGCGTTGCCTTGTGGTGTTCGCCAGCCATGAAGACTGAGGTGAGCATTATCTTTGGGGACTTATCTACTTACAGATGGTGAGCATGAGCTGACATGTACCAAGCGCTTCGATAAAGAGACCTTGTGTGGTAGACGTGACTGAATTGACGGTTTGAGTAAGTCCATTGGCAACGAGCAATGGACCTACGGTCAGAGAATCCACAACAAGCGCTGCAATAATGCCGCCTAGGCATTGAGCAACGGTGCTGATAAGAGCTCGACCAGGGGTAATGGCACCCATCACGGCAAGACCAAGACTGACGGCCGGATTAAATGCTGCACCACTGACCCTGAACCAGATAAAGATGTTTGACATGAGCGCAATGCCAAAGCCGAAAGACACCATGAGCAATTTTGCATGGTTGATCTCAGTGGCAGATGTCTGCACAGCAGGATCCGGTGTCAATGCAATCTGTGCAACCATATAGGCCATAAACAGGAAGCCAAATGTACCAAGAAACTCTGCAAGAAAGGCGATACCTTCGTGTCGGATGATCTTTCTTGCTGGACTTTCAAACATGCTGCGAATGCGACCATAATTGCGCTCAATGAACTTTTGGTCGTGGTAGTCCTTGGGTGGCCCTCTAGGCATATCGGAACGGTGCTTCGTACTGAGGAGTCGCTCGCTGTCGTGGTATGCCGGATGCAAAGCCGGAAGATGATGGTGGAAGCTGGATGGTGGGTTGGATGCCGGCCTATATACAGCGCGGGCGACCATTACAGGAGACGTAGAGCGCGATCTGTTTTCCATGCTGTTTACCATTTGCGCTTTTGTTTTGACAGGCATTCAATGGCGAGATACGTTGATCAAAGAGCCTGCAGTCATAGCTTTTAAGCACTCCTGGTCATATACAACTGACTTGTTTCATGTCAGCAGATGCACCGTTAGCGTCATTGTTTGGTCATCTGAACCACCAATTGACACTACCGCTCATACCAGGCGAGCCTTTGAAACTGTGGAGCCAACCTTCAGGAACATAGAGCGCATCTCCACTTTCGAGCGAACATTCTAGACCTTGAGTCTGTACGTTTATCGGAAGGCTTCGTTGTGCTTCAACATTGAAAACGTCGTTGATGGTACTTGTGTTTCTATGCAGCGGATTCTGGTGCATCTTGAGGTACTCGCGTGCCTCTGGTGGGAAGAGAATAGCACGCTTTGAGCCAAACAGCTGGGCAAAAATGTTGCAATATGGATCACGGTGAAGTGGCGTATGTGTTGCATAGCCAAGCCACACATTGATGTTGTAAAGATCTCCACGGCCTGCCATGCACAACGCTGGTACACGCTTGCCGTTTGTTTCAGTAAATGACGGCAGAGTGCAGTCGACATACAGCTCGGGGATCGTGTCAAATAGAGCGTGTTGAGCCAAATAAACCTTGACGTCACCCAGCGGGATACCTTGCTCAGCAGAACTCCGAGCATGCGACAAAAATGTCAGGAACTGAGCGAGTGGCAACTCTACTTGTTCAAAGGTTTCAGCTGTAGATGTATAGGAAGCGGAACCAGCACTGAGCTCGACAGGCACAAGGACATCGCCATACCGATGAAGAGCGGCAAAGTCATGCTCGGGCCACTTATTCATTGCTGCAAGCTGCGAAAAATAGCCCTTGAGAATCACAGGTTGCTTTGTTTTGAAGTAGTTGTCCTTGAAGCTGTTCAACGAAATCGAAGCCGAGCAATTTGCTACTGAGCTGTAAGCTCTTTGACTCAGAAGCTCATTTGGCATCTTATAGACAGCTCTTCTGAGCATTGGAGTGCTTGAAACTTTGCAAGACGCGAAGGTGGTCGTGCTAGACGTCGCAGTCGCCAGATATGTTTTCAGATGGGCAAGTGCTAATGAGTGTTTCTGGCTTCACTTCTGTGCAAGAATGACCAAATACGAAGGCTTCTGATATTCTATAGCCAGGTCAAGGGGTGACTTGTTTGATTCAGGTCTATTGAATCTATTTTAGACGTTGAGAATTCGCTAATGGTGATATTCCAGCGAGAAGATTAGGAAGCCGGACAGAAGCTTGATTGGCAAACAAGAAACATCCAGTCAAATATGCGAAACAGCCTGAGGTTATAAGGACAGTTTCTCTGACTGTTCCAGTTCTTGTTCAATGAGCGCTAGCAGAGCACTGTCACAGTCGACGTGAACATCGATAGCTCCAGCGTCACGCTGAGAAGTCAATAAATTCGACCATTGCACACGCATCTGCATCGACAAGGAGAGCTGGAAATGACCATGGGACCGGCACGACGCTTGTATTCTCCGTAAGAAACTGCTTGTTGTGTGCTCCGTTGGGCTTCTATAGCGAATGGCCACGTTGACTGGCAACAGCACTTTGTGCTCGCTGTTTGCCTCAAGTGAGATACCAGCTTCGTCGTGTGACCAAGCTCCACTCACTTCGAGACCACTTGGCTCGTCTCTCCAACCCAAAGTGACGGCGGACAATCGCATGTTTCGGGCTCGTTCATTCACAACAGACAGCTGAATAGGTTGGACGAGGCTGAAGCCGCCGCTTCGGCTGGGGACCACTGAGATTCTACTAGTGGTGCCTGTAAATCTGACTGTCGGTAAAGGTAAGGTTGCTGTCGGATCCAGGTATGTCCAGAGCCATAGTGCGAGTGCAGCTGCACCGAGGAGCAGTGTGGTCAGTAACAGTCTGACGGGAGGCCGGAGACGCTCGTAGTCGGAACAGCCCAGCAGATGAGACGATTCAAGCATGGTCATCTCGCAATCAAAGTGGAAGGCACTCAAACATGACTTTTCGCTTTCAAAGACCGGCTGCGTCTGCGAGACATGGGCAGCACGGGGGTCATCCATGCGTAAGATGTAGCGACCATGCGCTGTTGGACTACTGAGAGAAGGCCTTGTTGTCTGAGCAGCGCGTTTCTCGCTGGGCCGCCGTTGGGGAGATTTGATGGTCACAAGCTTCGGCCGCTCTTCGCGCGACGAGGTAGTGGCTCTTGGGCGCTGAGACGGACAGCTCTGCAGCATGTTGGTCGAGTAGATGACTGTCAGATCTAGCGATGTTGAGTACTGCCATCGAAGGAGACAGCAGACAGCAAGCACAGCGCGCTGAGATGAGCACGATTCGTTACGAAGCCGGATGTCTCAGAGCCATGGCCGGCGCAATGGAGCCACTCTCCAGCAAAGCTTCTTTTTCACATCAGCAAGGGAGAGTAGAAGATAGCCTAAGGTCGAGCAGGCCAAGATCACGGCAGGACAGGCCAAGGTGATACCGCGCGTCCGTCGCAGTCGTCGCGTCCAAAATAGCTGACGTCGCTTCTTGCCTTGCAACCACACAGAGCTGCTAAGATTGTCACGACTCAAGCTTCTATAAAGCCTTGCAAAGCAACTATGGCAGCGCCAGGGATCAGCTCGAAGCAGGCCGATGCGGCGGTCGAGGAGATCACGCCCAAGGCACTGGCGACACAAGTGATGCAACTTGCTGGTGTTGTGCGTGCGCACACAAAGCGCTTGGTTGAACATGGCGAGGATATTATGCGTATCGACGCGCGTGCTGTTGGACTCGACAGCAAGACCGGTGCACCCGTCATCGCGAGCTCAGGTGGCAGCGGAGGTGTCGACGAGTCTGTCTTGGGCGAGCTTGTGCAAGAACTGCAGACCAAGTTGGACGAGCTCGAGGAACGGTCCATCAGAAGAACGGCGAACACACACTTGAGCAGGCCGGGCGACGTAATTGACTGGATGCCCGGACCTGACCCTGAACAACAGGACCTACCAGCCTTCTTGCCAGAAACACTGGGAGCCTTTGAGAGTATTGAGGTGAAGGCATTGCTAGAGTGCATGAAATATTACGGCCTTGCACACTACGAGGAGGGTATGGAACTGCCGAATCAAGAAGAGTATATCACTCTGTACAATGAGTGCTCGCGCTTTCTTGGTCTGCGGAGTCGCAAGCGTGCTTGATAGAATAGAACGTACTTCGCAGGGTTGTTCCGATCCGGCAGCTTATACAAGAAGCTGTCCACTCATGGGAAAGACCTTATTAGTAGTCTTGATCATTACAAGGAATAATTGTGCATGTATGTTGGACTTTGCGTAGTTTCAGCTTTGAGTGGTACAACGACGTCAATCGCCAACCCCCGACCAACCATGCTGAACCTTGCCATCATTGGTACATCTTGGATCACCAAGTCCTTTGTTGATGCAGCTCTATCTACTAAAGAATACAAGCTTGTTGCTGTCTACTCTCGATCGTTAGCAACTGCTTCTCAATTCGCAGAGGAATACAAGCTAGGTAAAGATGCTTGCTACACCTCCATTGACGAGATGTGCAAGGACGCAAAGGTCCAAGTAGTCTACATTGCCTCTCCAAATTCTTTGCATTTCGAGCAAGCAAAGCAAGTCTTGAGCCACGGCAAGCATGCTATTGTCGAGAAGCCATGCTGCTCCAACACTTTGGAATTTATCCAACTCGAACGCATTGCTCAGCAGAGCTACAAGGAGACTGGTGCTATGTGCATCGAAGCTTTCCGCCATATCCAGGAAAAGAACTTCAAAGTCCTCAAAGACAGTCTTCCGAAGCTTGGCAAAATCTATATGAGTCTTTTACCATTTGCTAGCTTTTCGAGCCGCTACACCGACATCTTGGAGGGCAGACTAGCAGCGCCCGTCTTCTCTGCTGATTTCTCTGGCGGTTGTCTGCTGGATACTGGCGTATACCCCATTTCTTTTGCAATCAGACTCTGGGGAAAACCAAAGAGCCAACAGTACTTTCCTTACATGATCCCACAAACTGGCACGGACGGCGGTGGTACCATCTTATTGGTGTATGATTGGGGCATTGCCAATATTGTCACAAGCAAAATCTTCACATCCAAAGCAACCGTCGAGATCTACGGCGAGAAGGGAACGCTGCGCGCCAATGCAATCACGGATCTTGATTCTATCGAGTTTGTCGGCAACGCCAAGGGCACACAAGCAGAGCAACTCGCTGGTCCAAAGGAGTCGTTCAACCTAGCTGAAGAAGCTACAGAATTTGCACGCATCATCAGAGACAATGACATTCAAGCAGCTGCTGATCTCTGGCAAGTCAGTAGCGATGTCATGGATGTCATGACGGATTTGAGGAAGCAAAATGGTATTGTTTTTGCCGCCGAAAGGTAACATCACATCAAATCCACTCAGGCACATACCAAAGCATTTTCATAAGGGTAAATTTGATAGTTATAAACGCTCGCTAAAGTGAAAAGAATGAAAAGATCATCAATAAATCGTGTCGCCTTTCGAAGGCCGTGGTACATATCGTGTGGAGCCTGACGTAGCACTCGGTGGATTGATCAAGGATCGTTGCGAGTCCGGTGATCTGAGGCGGAAACTCCTGCCGTTGGAGACCCCCCAGGTAGGTGTACTCGCCTCGCCATCTTTGCCAGAAGCATAGACACCAAAGCGTCCATCGACAAGCTCTGCAACAGCAATTTGAGAATCTTCACCACGCATGACATCGTCTGCATCCGTCTTGGTTGACTTGTGACCATCCTCACTGAGGAGCTGGTAGAGCAAGAAGTCTGTACGTACCAGTCGTCGCTGAGCGAGTTCAGTCATGGTGACAGTCTCTTGGGTTGCTGGGTTCTCATTGCCTTTCACTGTTCCGGTCGTCATAATGTTGATGATCTGCTTTCCTGTCCTAGTTGACCAAACGAATAGGAGAATGACAAAGATTGAGTAGGCAAAGATGAGCGCAAAGAAGATGGCCACTGGCGCTAAAGGAATGCATGAGTAAGCCCTGGCTTCGGGAGTCGCTTCTATACCAAATGAAGGCTGTTCTGACCAAGCGCCAGCTGCATAACTCAGGGAGTAGCGAGAAATCTCGTATGCGTTGGTCCAGTCAAAGGCCTCTGAGGAGACTTGTGCAGCACCTTTCGAGGCCGATAGCGAATCTTCGAATGCAGATTGAATACTTGCCGCTGAAATGGTAGTACTCGAGTTGAGGTCCATGAGCTGTCTAGAATTGATGGTCAGAACACGAGGCTCTGAACCGTACTGTGCAGACGTGTAATTGACATAGTAGATGCCAATCGTACATTGCTGAACATTGAGCAGCGACCGAGCTTGAGCACTTCCACCGACAAATTCAGATCCATTACCGGCAATTAGGAGTTGCGAGATGTACCTGACCGTCGGGTTGCTTATAGGAGAGTCACCCCCGGTGCCCATAGTCAAAATGCCAGCCGAATTACCAGCGGGGAAGTTATAGTAAAATTCGGTCGCCTCAGATCCATTGAACTTGCCGGTGCAGTTGAAGGTGGAGGATCCGTGCGGTATTTGTCGGCCTAGGCAGGCGTTCGTGACACTCTTGCAAAATGTCGAGACACCGATGGTAGAAGCGTTATAGACACGACGTTCGACAGCTGACGACTTGGGCACAACGATTGCCAAATTCGAATAGCCGAGACTCGTGCCGACACTGGCTGTCGACACATTGCCATCGAATACAAGAGCCACTTCATCCGAGATTGAAGCATTCGTCGACAGAGCAGCAGCCAAGGCTGGGAAGGACAAGGCTGTTCCGAGAGAACTTGGGACAATGGTGCAAGGCACGACGAAGCCTGTGTTGACTACGCCATCGTTGGTGACGCGGCAGGTATTGTTGATTTGCCTAGACCAAAGCTGCTGAGTTGAAATTGGCGTATTCTGGCCGATCGCAAAGATGGCTTCTTTGCTGGCATAATGAATCCATAAATCAGCACCAGTTGCTAGTTTAGAGAGTAGGAGCGCAATCAACAAAATAATGAGGGCGTGCACAAACGTGCGAGATGAATGTCCCTTCTTCTTGCTAAAGATGACATGGAAGGACTCCCATAGCGCCCACCATCGACCAGATGCGTACATGTTGATGACGAGAGCCAAGGTTCGCGTTGTCAGTGCATTGTTGGTGAGCCAGCTTTCAGCGATGGAAAAGGCTGCGAGTGCCAAAACCCAAGTAATAGCAAGCTGCTGAACCGTATCGACGACCTTGGTCACTGTCAGGAACCGACCAAGCGGCTCACTGATGATTAGGGTCCGCTCGCCGAGTGTCACATTGCCGTAGAACGGACATGGGCCGTGGCCCGATGTCCCGCAGGCTCCAACATCGGCAACTTTGGTTACAAGCAGATAGATGAGCAAGCCCAGTGTCGGCCCAAAGGTCAGTACAAACGCCCAGATGAAGGGCGTGAGTGTGCCCCATTGGAATTTGCGGACACCGGGTTGTGTGTGTCTCGAGACGACGGTGTTGTTGCGCTGCGGAACTTGCAGAGTCAGCTTCTCTGGGCCCTTGTACTCATCGAGCGTCTCGTCCAGCGAAATATCGCTGTACTGATTGTCGTGGGACAAGGTCATGCCAAACAGCTATAGAGCAGGCTGTTGCTCATGCGATAAGAGTTGAGGAGAGGACGGGGACGGGGACGGGTGTGGTAATAATAGTTTTCGGGGTGCTGTTGAACAGGCGACCGACCGACATCGCATGGTCGCATCCCGCCAAGTCACTGCTGCCCTATGCAGCCTAATGCAGGTGCACGGACGCACTGATGTTGCGCGCTTCGAGAGCGGCAGACTAAGGCAGACTAAGGCAGTGCGTGGGAACTTCAAAGTCGCCTTAAGTTGCCAGCGTGCAGAGGATCGGAAGTGGGCCAAAAGAACTGACGCGCAGGGAAAGGATTTGCAGCCAGACAATGACGTCGATCCTTTTGTGTAGCAGGCTTAGTATAAATAGCGACTATACAAGGGCCTTCTGTGAGCAGCTGCAGACTAGTCAGTGATAGCGAGCCTAGCTAGAGGCACTCAGCTATCGTAAGTCGTGACTTGAATATGTGCCAAGAGTCCAGGGGTCAGGATAAGATGCTGCAGATATGTAACAATCAAGTGTCAGCAACTTAGCACGCAATGAAGCAATTGAGAGTCTACATGAAGATACGCATTGACCACGTTAAGTTGTTGTCTCGTCGTCAAGCGCAGACTGACACCTGCCACCACTTGCAGTTGCAAGCTACTATCATCGTCGACATCACCAAGAAGGCCCATCTGAATGGTCCTCTGAGTGCTTTGACCTTGGTAGCATGAGGTTTCAGGGGTTCCAGACAGCTTTTGAATCATGTTTCATTTCTGCTAGAATGTGACCCTATATCTGGCTAGATCTCCGCTGTCGACAGGGGTCACCATGCTCGTCTACTGTGTGCCCATCCGCAAAGCCAAGGTCAAGCGTTCGCTGCTTGCATCTTCTGCCAGGACAGATGAACAAGCCGATCTTGGCGTCTGTCGTGGGCCATACCCTCTGCCTCGGTTGTATGAGAACACTTCTCATTTGGCTAAGCCTCCGAAGCTAGTGATGAGCATCAATGATCGTTTTCAGGAACAGCGCGCCGTGCCACGCAAGCATTCACCTGCTCAACAACTCACTGCACTGCATGTCAGGCCAAGAGAGACTGATGCTGTCAGCATGAAGGCTGCTGTAGAGCAGCTCCTATCAGACTCTGAAAGTGACTCAGGGGAAACGAACCAGACCATCAAGCCTTTGAAGTCGATGAATATTGCGGCGATGCCAGTGAACGCCTTGCCATCAACTAGGTATCAGAGCCAAGCAGCTTTTTCACTTGATCAACTCAATGTTCCGGGTCCAGGGAAGGTGAATAAGGTTGCTGAAGACTTGCAGCAATTGTCGGCCAAGATATCACGCCGCACAAGCAGTGAAGAGGCAGCAAGCTTGCCTGGCCTAACACAATCAAGTCGTCCAAGTCAATCTCTTCACGAGCCCGGAAGAGGTTCCATTTTGCGTCCATCCTTCTTCCACTCTGAAGCAAGCGAAGCAGACACACAAAGTCACGGTACACCGCCCTTTACACGACGCAAGAGAATCCGCCCATCTGGCGACTCTCAGACAAACGACTCACCAGTCTTTGCTGGACTCTTGAGAGAGCTTTCGCAAAAGCAGATTGAGCTGGAGCATGCTCAACACATCAACAGCATGCTTGTCAAGAACTTGCGAAGCATGCAGCAGCGTGTCACAAGGCTTGAAAGCTTGTCATCGGATACTTACTAATGCGAATCTGGTCTATTCGAGCGCTGTAGGGCGTCTATAGTACTAGAAGCAATGCAGGAAGAGCTAAAAGCCAGGATGGCAGCGCCAGGCTCAGTCCTGAACTCACAGGCGATGTTGCAGTTGCGCTTGCGCTTGCCCGTGTCGTGACAGCAACACTACTTCTTACCGTTCCAGAGACCAGAGAGCTTGTCTTGGATGCTCCTGAACCTGGTGCACTTGCAGCGCTACTCCTTGCGGTTGGCGAGGTTGCGGTCGCTGTTGTCGCAGTGACGGCTTGATTTCCCACGGCAGTAGCAGCTTGGTTCGCAGCACCTTGCTGAACACGAGCATTGCCGATTGCCTGTTGAATTTGTGCCGCGTTATTGATGCCAAAGGCGGCAGAGCAGAGCGTACTGCTCACATACGTCGCTGCTCTATCTTGATCTTGTTGCGAGCACACCGGGACGATGCAGCGTGCGACGGCTGTGATGTAATTTTGATCTTGACATAAACATCTTGCGTTGCCGTTGCAGGAAGAGAGGATCATTGAGTTGACGATGCATGTTTGTGCGCAGTTTGGGAGGATCACGGCTTGCGATGCAACCGATGCGACAAGAAGTAGCGTAGTGATGGATGAAAGCATCGATCAGTCGTCTGTGTATTTGGATGAAGAGGTTCTGCCGCTTCTGCGAGGTCATGCCATCATATGGTCGTTGAGCTTAAACTGGCTGGCGTCGCTCGATAAGGATCTCAAGAAGATTTGTAGCCTGATTGAGACAACAAGGATTGGATTCAGTCAAGGTCATCCTAGACAGTTTGAGAGTGAAAAACGTATAAAATAGCAGCTGGAGTAACCTTATGCATGATATACACACGGGCCTTCATGTCAATAGAGGTTGACTTAGCAAATTTGGTGTCATAGGCACTCAGGATGTTCGTGTCATCTGAATAGTTTTCGTCTCACGGTTCTAGTGCTGTACAGATGAGCTCAGAGACACTCTCACCACCTACCGAGCATCTTCATCAGTATGTCTATCGCTACTTTCGCCATCATCGGCGGCTCGGGCTTCTACAAACTTGATGGCTTCTCCGTTGAATCTGAGCACAACCCAGAGACGCCCTGGGGCTATCCATCCTCACCCATCACCGTCGCACGCTCCGCTTCAGGCTTTAAAGTGGCCTTCCTGGCAAGACATGGTGTTGGACATCGCTACACGCCCTCTGAGGTCCCTGCTCGTGCCAACATCGCTGCACTCAAGTCCCTGGGTGTCAAGGCCATTCTTGCCTTTTCAGCAGTCGGTAGTTTACAAGCGCACATCAAACCGGAAGATTTTGTCGTTGCTACACAAATCATTGATCGCACCAAGGGTATTCGGCCTTCAACCTTCTTTGCAGAAGGTGTCGTGGGTCATTGTGCATTTGGTGATCCTTTCGATCTGGCACTCACGCAACTCGTTGCAGAATGCACAGATGCTCTGGAGGGTGACGGCGTCAAGCTGCATACCCGGGGAACGGAAGGTCAGGATTTGACGATCGTTTGTATGGAAGGTCCACAATTCTCAACGCGAGCTGAATCAAACTTATACCGCAGCTGGGGTGGGAGTGTCATCAACATGTCTGTATTGCCTGAAGCGAAACTTGCACGAGAGGCGGAGATTGCGTATAGCATGATTTGCATGGCAACCGACTATGATTGCTGGAAGACGGATGAGCCGCCCGTGACGGTAGAAGCAGTCATGAAGCATGTGAACAACAATACAGCCAACGCAGGTCGTTTGGCAAAGAAGGTGGTGGAACATGTCGAGCAGGGCTTGCTGGATGGCAGTGTCGGCAAGGGTCTTGAGGGAAGCATGAAGTGGGCCGTCATGACTGCTCCTGAAAAGCGCGATCCGGCAGTCATGAAGAAGCTCGAGTACATTCTGCCAGGCTACTACAACTAATTCTCCTTTTTAGACATCAAATTAGACCTAACTAGCGTTTTACGTGACATTACTTGTTGACCTCAGACTGCTTCTTGGTAGGCAAGACCTCAGTCTCCTCAACCACAGCCTTGTCACGCACACTCTCGTGGACGTGGTCGACATTCTTGTTGACCTGCTTCTGGTAGACATCCTTCTCGATGACTGGCTGCACACGCTCGTGCAAGTGGTGGTGCTCCTTCTCGTTGACAATGTCCTTCTTCTGCACTTGCTCATGCTTCACATCCACATCCTTGGTTGACTTGAGCTTCGCATCTTCAGCGGCAAGCTTTGCCTTGGTCGCTGCATCATCCTCCAAGTCCACCTTGCGCTCGGCGTGTGTCTCCTTACCGGCTTGACGGGCTGTGCCCTGGTTCTGCTCAACGGCAATAGGCTGAATCTTCTTCTTGTAGTGGTCGACGTCGTGTTCACGGTCAATGATGGTTTGGTTCTCATCCACGATGGTCTTGTGCACACGCTCATGCACGACAGGCGCCTCCTCAACAACCTCCTTGTCGACTGTTACATCACCCGTCACTGCACCGGCACGGGCTGTGCCTGTGGTCTTTGTAGAAGAGGCAGAAGCCGATGAGGTAGTGGCGTTGTTGGCCTTGGCAGACACCTCGTTGGTCTTCCTCTCTGCAGCATCAGCCGTCTCCTTGGCAGACTGCTTGACACTGTCAGCGGCGTTGGATGCCTTTTCCTTTGCAGACTGAGCGGCATCTTTGACTTCCTCCTTTGCCTCTGCTGCTGCATCTGAGGCACTGTACTTGTATGATTCTGTGTCATCACGGGTCTCCTTGCCTGCGTTGGTGAGGAATGTCTCGACGGTGCTCTTGATTGCTTCCATAGTAATACTAGTGATACGAGTATAGATGGGCAGATGGGGAGTGTGGCTGATGTCCCTCTTTATAGTGCGGGCTCTTGGTCTCTTTCCCCATGACGTCGCGCCTTTTCTTCTGTCGTCATTGAATGTGCAGGCATGTGACAGCTGGGCTACAACCAGCTACTACTACTGCTACCAGCTACTGCTACCAGCTACTGCTACCAGCTACTACTACCAGCTACATAGAACATCTATGACAGCTCAGCGATATAGGGTCAAGTCGCTCTACAAGCAGCTCCTCTACCTCGGTCGAGACTGGCCTCAAGGCTACACCGCCTACTTCCGGCCAAAGCTGCACGCAGCCTTCAAAAACAACACACAGCTACAAGCGCCAGAACAAGTGGATGAAGCTATCAAGCGCGCTGAGTTTATGGTCAAAGAGCTTGAAGCATTTTGGTTCTTGAAGCGGTATCGTCACTTGAGACGCAGCTACGGTGGCCGAACAGGCTAGACGTCTCCTTTCATTGTGCTTACCTGAACACACGCTTGTTCAAAACATAATATTTATCGCTGATGCGTCTCCATACAAGCTTTTTATCCTATCAGGAGAGTCTCCTGCGAGCTGTTGGATTCTAAACCATCTCAAACATGTCGTGTGTCACAAGCTACATGACCGTTGGCTCTCTCCTCGAGCTCGAGTATACCCTTTGGGGAGACTTTGTCAGCCCTGCGACAAGACATACATACCGAAACACAGGGCCAGGTATACACCACATCATGTGAGGCAATGTCAACAAAAAAAAGGCAGCATAACAAGCGGACCACCCGCACTTTTCCAACACAGATCGACAGAGACTTTTGAGCATCATTTGCTATTGTTGGAGGTATGGAGACGTATGGACAGCGTTCATTTTGGCAAGTTTGGCACGTCAGTCTCTGTGACAAGCACTCTGGCTTCCTCTCAAAACTCCACTATCGCTTAGCACGACCTGCTCAGCGGCCAAGGAGTGCCATGTCAAATCAAACACCCTCTCGGGAACGAAAGCTTAGCTTGGGCCTACAACGTCGTCATACAGACCCAACTGGGTTCAAGCTACCAACACTGCGGCAAGTCCTACAAAATGAGTCATGTCATCCATTTACACTTGCTCAATTCCGGGGTTGTGTAGCGAAAGAGCATGCGCTTGAGGCGCTTGAATTTTACCTCGCTGTAGAGATGCTGGCACATATCCCACGGGAACATCTGATGGCTCAATGTATGCAGCTGATTGTACGCTTCATCCAAGAATATGCACCCCAAGCCATCAACATCGATGCACGTTTACGGCAGCGTATCATTGCTGAGCCGAGTGTGTTAAATTTGGCAGAGGCGCAGGAGGAGATGTTCCGGTTGCTTGAGGAAAACACATTTCGTCGCTTCATCAAAATGCATTGCTTGCATCAAGAAGCATCGCTATGCGTGTGTTGATGTGCAGTCGATGCATGTTGATTGACAGATGCGTTTGTCTATCGAGGCATTGCAAACGGACTCTGTTGCTTCTCTTGGTTGCCACCAGGCGGGAACGCATTGCTGTGCGTGAAATCTGGAAAGTACTGGCGATAGCTGAATGCAGACGTTGCAATACCAAGCCTGGAGATTAGCAAAAACCACACATATCATGTACAAGAATGCGTACGCAGCGCCAAATAGTACATCAAACGGATGATGCCGATTATCCATGATGCGGGTCGCGCCTACCAATGCAGCCGTCACGGCAGGGATCATGACAAGAACCCACTTCCACGTCTCTCCTCGATTATTCCACAGATGCAAGCGTGCTGCGAGGTAGAATGCCAGATACGCAAGTCCAGAGAACGCCATACTTGCGTGCCCCGAGGGAAACGATCGGAAGCCATCGTGTAAACGACTTGAATTCGTTGTTGTACAGATTGAACTTGTTACGAGACCCGCGTAGATGGCGTCTGCTGCACCAGAAGACGGCGCACACCGCGCTACAAGATCTGGACGGGGTCGACCGACGGTCACTTTGAGGATATTGGTGAATGCCATACTGAGAACAACAGAGAGGCCGAGACCGAGCCAGGCACTGTTGAGCTGTAGCGCGCGTGTTGACCAGTGTGCAGAGCGACCGCGTACTTTGGCTTCAATCAAGAGTGACCAGATCAAAATTACAATAGCTGGAAAGACGACACTGAGGAGGACAAGAGCGTAGTTTGGAATGGTCGAGGGACCCGTGTAGGGCCATTGGATGTAGATGTCAGCGAGGGAGAAGGGCTGTCTGTGCCCGTCAATCTGGCCGATACGCTGGAAGATGACGGCACCTGCTGCAATGAGAATCCAATTGAGAGCAAAGCTGACCCACCCGAGGATCTTGTCTGTTGAGCTCGAGTACATCCTTGAGTAGCGAGCTGAGCTAGAATCTGCTATATGATGTATCTGGGGAGAGATTGAAACTGACGCGCTCCTTCTAAATTTGTCGAGTGCAAGATACACGACGAGGAAGAATATCTACATAATGCAGAGGCCGCCATGGGTACAGTCTCCAGAAAGAGACCGGCATCCTCGTCGCTCATCACCTGCGCGTCGTTCAGTTGACAAGTCACGCTCGAGATCGCCTGTTCGTCGGGAACGAGCACCCTTGCCATCGCAAGATAGCCAAAAGCCACACCCTGCGTCGCGTTATGGCGCTCGAGACAGGAAGCATCGGGAGGGAGAAGAGGTACGGTATTCAGAACGTCGACGTTCCCGCAGCAGAGGGAGTCGAGGACGCAGCATGGGCCGTGATGGCCACCAACAACCGGATGTACTACCGGAAGAAGAACGAGAGAAGCCCAACTACAGCCTGAGTGGTGCATTAGCAGCCGAATCGAATACAAAGCAAGGAACGGTGCTCAAGTATCATGAACCAGCGGAAGCTGCGAAACCTGCGACGCCATGGCGGTTGTACGTGTACAGGGGTAAAGAGCTAAAGGACACACTTCATCTGTCACAACAGTCTGCCTATCTACTTGGCCGCGATGCTGCAGTGGCCGATATCCCGCTTGAGGATGGGTCATGCAGCAAACAGCATGCCGTACTGCAGTTCCGGCAAGTCGGCAAGAAGGATGCGTATGGCACTATGCAGCGGTCTGTTCGGCCGTACTTGATTGATCTTGGGAGTACAAATGGGACGTATGTGAATCGGGAGGAGATTCCGAGTGAGCGGTACTACGAGGTGCTGTCTGGGGACTCGCTGGCATTTGGGGATTTGGACTGCGATTTTGTGCTGCTGGCAGAGACGTAGAAGCACGTGGAGCAGCAGGAAAGAGAAAGAAGCATCAGAGCAACTTCTGCAACTCACCACAAAAAGAATCATGGCCCGCGAACAGACCTTCATTGCCATCAAGCCAGACGGTGTCCAGCGTGGTATGTCCCTCCATCTCAGCCTATTGAGCACCCACTCATAAATCAGGACTCGTCGGTGAAATCATCTCCCGCTTCGAGAAGAAGGGCTACAAGCTCGCTGCCCTCAAGCTCTCTACACCAGGCAAGGAGCACCTCGAGAAGCACTATGAGGATCTCTCATCCAAGCCATTCTTCGCCGGTCTGGTGGAGTACATGAACTCAGGACCTATCTGCGCAATGGTCTGGGAAGGGACTGATGCCGTCAAGACTGGTCGTGTCATCTTGGGTGCCACCAACCCTCTTGCTTCCGCTCCTGGCACTATCCGTGGTATGTTTTCTTTTTCCGAGCTGCTACTGCAATTCAATTTGTTGCTAGCTATGGATTTATTGAGTTAAAAAGACTAATCATTCAGGTGACTACGCCATTGCTGTTGGCCGCAACGTCTGCCACGGTTCCGACTCTGTTGAGAACGCCAAGAAGGAGATTGCCCTTTGGTTCAAGCCTGAGGAGGTCCACAAGTGGAACCAGCACTCTGACTCGTGGATCTACGAGAACTGAAGTCTTGACGATCTGTCTCAAGACCAGATGAAGGGAAGCCCTAGTCTTTAGATTGTCTGTAGCTGATCTTGCAAGACTACGCCTGATTGTCTGTTGTACGTGATGACTGTGCTGATTAGAAAATGTTTTGACTCGCCACCACAAAGACAAAAGACGACAAAGTACACCAGAAACAAGAGAAGACATGGGCTGGTTCTGGGCAGACGAAGCAGCAGTGAAGCCATCAGAGTCGCATAAGCATGTACTCGCAGGATCCAAGGACACCGGCGCAACTTGTCCCATTGATCACAGCCAATTCACACGACACAGACGCCAATCCGATACACAAGTAGCTCCCTCTGCACAACCTGCAGCGACAGGCAAGTGTCCCGTAGATCATGATGATATGGATTCCATCAATCCGCTCAATATGATGCCACGTCTCTCACAACAGCAAATCTCAGCGCAACAAGGTGTTCCCTTGCCTACAGAACGAGAAATCTCCTCCATCCCAAAGGCACCAGCGGCTGAAGGTGCCTCGAGGTGGGAGTATCCCTCTGCTCAACAACTCTACAATGCTATGGTCAGAAAAGGCTTTGAGCAGTCTGGCGAACATGTCGAATCCATGCTTTCTGTACACAACTTTTTGAACGAAGGCGCATGGAATGAGATTCTGACATGGGAGAAGGAACGTGATGCACAGGCAGAGCCATTCCTCAGACGATTCACAGGCAGACCGGCAACACCGTCACCCAAGGCGTGGATGGTGGTCAACTTGATGGGTGGTGCGCCACCTTTTGATCGACATGATTGGTATGTTGCGCGGCAAGATGGTTCAGAAGCGCGGTATGTCATTGACTACTATGAAGGCCCTGATGAGGAAGGGATGGCGAGTGTCTATTTCTTGGATATCAGACCTGCGCTCGACTCTCCCGGTGCTGCCTTTCAACGCATCTCGCGATGGACGAGTGAGACGTGGACGAAAGCCAAGGGCGAGCATGGCAGGACAGAGTAGTCTCAACTTGAATCTTATTAGATCAAATGCTATACGAATACCTCTTCCTGTCTCTTGCTTGACAAATCGTAATCCTCTGTATCGTAATTCTCCACCATGATGCGATTCAAGAAGGTCGGTGGATGGCCACCCAGGTTCGTGACATACAAATCAACGAGCTCTGGTGCGACATAGTCGTAGTAGGGATTCACCACCTCGACCGTATCCACCAACTTGCCAAATTTATATGGCAAGACAGCCTCTGGCGAGACAACCTCAATCATGCCTTCTAGGTCGTAAGGGTAGTGTGGCGTCAACTTGTATAGACCAGTCACCACAACAACCGGTGTTGCATGCGCTTTCGCTGCACGCGCAACGAGATTCGCACCGGCTGCTGCCAGAAGACCGCCATTTTGCAGCACGGCATGGGTACCCAAAAAGACTTTACTAACGCCAGACATGATACCAAAAACAGCCGTATCCGGAACAAGAATGACTCTGAGTCCGGCTTTTCCTAGTTCTGCTGCCATTTTGTGTGCATGACTGACGTCGTTGGGATAGGATTCAGTGACAATGACTGTAAAGGTTCTCTTCTCTGCCGCTGCTTTGAGAAAGGCCAGCACGGTTCTTGATGCACCGTGTGTGAGAATCACCTCAGATGCATGGATATAGTCCAGTGCCTTTTCTGAAATATCCTTGTATATTTTTTTGAGGTCATCCATGATGATTTGAATTCCTGCAATCAAGGCAGGTTTCAGATCAATAGGGCCTGGCATGCTTGCCTTGTCTTTTGCAGCTTTACTACCTGCTCGCGCACGCATGGCAGCAGGGTGATGTGCTGGTCTCCCCAACAAGTTCAAAATAGAGCTCTGTACAGGTTGATCCAGAATAGAAGTTGCTCGCAATCCACTCTCCAAGGAAGTCATGGAATCCGCCATCGCTTCAGATTCTGCCTCTTGCCTTCTCTCAGAAACGGCAGCAGCATGTTCCTCTCGAATCATTTTCAGAACCTGCCGTACGATATTCCCAGATGCACATTCTCGCGGTTGTGCAGTGACGAGACGAGAGCCGACATCGCGAACATGATCAATGAGCTGATCAATGTGTTGCCAGCGAAAGGTAGAGACGACTTGGCGTAGGAGGAGTGCTGTTTCACTTGCAACGGCATAAGAACCGACGAGTTGTCGACGACGCAGACGCGCGACGACTGTCTCTACATTCATGAGCCCTTCTATCTGCTCAGCAGCTTAGCTTCGTACGAGTCTAGAGTGTAGTCAGAGAGTATCGTGCGACTGCCGTCTTGATAAAAATTACCAGAGACACGATCAGCGACCAAGTACTACTGCAGAATCAAGACAGCTGCTGCATGACTGCAGAGACGCGCGTAGGGCTTTTGTCTCGCGCTGATGGATCAGCCAGCTACAAGACCGCATCATGCAGTGTTCTAGCGTCCGTCAATGGTCCCATGGAAGTCCGTCAACGCGATGAACTCCTCGGCGAAGCGACCCTCGAACTGCATATCCAACCGGCTGTGGGTCTCGCAAGCACGTCAGAACGAGATATGGAAGCGTTATTGAAAGCAGCTGTGCGGCCATCCCTGCTACTGGGTCTCCATCCGCGTTCGTTGGTGCAAGTGACAGTGCAAGTCATGGTTGCGGGTGATGTTCGTGAAGCGCTGCTGGCGGCCTGCATCAATGTCATTGCCCTTGCGTGTATCGATGCAGGGCTAGCGATGCAGCATATCCCTGTCGGTGCGCATGTGGAACTAGAAGCAGGATCACGGCATACAGTGTGCTATACCTTTCCTGGGCAATCGCTCGTCTTGCTGGAATCGGCAGGGCAATTCAGGAAGGAGGAGGTCGAGGAGGTTGAGCGGCTGGCGTTGGCGGCTGCACAGGAGACGTATACGGTGCTTGAAGCGCAAATCAGGGATAAGGTCGAGCAAGACGACAGATGGCAGCAATGAAGATAATATCGAAGTGGTCATGCTCGAAATGCATCATGTACAGTAGTCAACAATGGCGCTATATGCTGGTCGTGAATCGCATCAAGCGGGTCTAATGCAATTCATCGAGCTTGTCGCCGAGCTTGACGATGGAATGCCGTAAGACTCGCGGGTCGAGCTTGATGGTGAGCGATACATCTTTCTGTACGCGTGCTGTCTCGTTAGTCTTTTGTACGCCATACACATAACGGAGACGCACGATTGGTGTCGAATTTCATGATCATGTAATTGCCATCATCGTATGTCGCTTGATACTTCTTGACGGGCTTGGGCAGCGGCCGTACCCCCAGTTGGCAACACTTCTCACCACGCCGCCGTTCTGTACAACTTGCGAGCCGGCTGTTTTGGCAATTTCTCTGAGTGTCGCTTCGGGTAGCGATGAGCGTGTGATGCAGATGAGCTCGTAGAGGACCATGAGCTGCTGAAGAGGTGCGATGCGTGTGTGGTGTTTGAGTCGGCGAGTTGATGAACTTGACAAAAGGCGACGTCGAGAGAAAACTTCGAGCAGCAAAGACACACAGCAGCAACCATGCATCGTAAGCGGATCTATACGCAGCAGGGCAGTCCAGTCACTAGATGGGCCTGCCTGCGCTTGTCACAGAGAACAGAAGGCTAATCAGTCTAGTCATGTACGCTGCCGACGCCAACGGGCACAGAATATATACCCTCAAAAAAGTCACCTCGGATGGCAAGATTACAAAGTCGGCACACCCAGCCAGGTTCTCCCCAGATGACAAGTACTCGAGGCAACGTGTGACACTCAAGAAGCGATTCGGCTTGCTCTTGACACAGCAGGGTAAGTATTTTCTTTGGTTTTATATGTTTGAAGCAAGTTGGCTGACCCATATCAGCGGAAGGAGGCAAGGCTTGGTAGGCGCTGCATGCGCAAAGAACGATACCATGTACTTCAGGAGATGCAGGAATTTGGCAGACGACGACCATCTATGTTCAAAGCCTCTTGTGAGAGGTTGTTTGAAGACGACGAAGCGAAGCAGGGCTCTACCAAGCAAAGAGCTCCGCTGAACCCATCCTCTTGCGTACGTAGGGGCCTTATCTATACATACCTCTGCCTATTCCATGAACCCCCATCGCCTTTCTGAGAATCTGAGCTCGATCCTGCGCCGTCTTGTGCTCGACCAAAAAGTTGACAGCGCGACGCAACTTGAGACCAGACACACACACAGACATCCTTGCTCTGGACAACAGCCGCGCCCTTATACACTCTGATAACCGGTGATCGAGCTAGATACGAACAAGGCGACGATGGAGACATTCATCGCACTGCCCATCACCCTCAAAGAGGTCGACAAACGGGTTGTTGCAACTAGCACAGACAATCAAGTGAATGGCTACCTGCAACAGATTGACGCCCTCTCCAATGGCATGAAGCAATCTGGCTTCCCTGCAGAAGTACCCGGTCCACCCGCACAATCCATCAACCCACATCGCTCAACGCAAATTGAACTCGCCAAGAAGCAAGGGAATGAGTATTTTGGTAAGAAGCAGTATGCTGAAGCTCTTCAAATCTATTCAAGGGCGCTGGAAATGGCTGCGAGTAGACCACCCTGGGAACCTTCACAAATGGCGAATGACGAAATGGCCATCTTGCTCGCCAATAGATCTGCTGCATTTCTGGGTGCAGAGGCGTATCCTGAAGCGTATGCGGATGCTTGTTGCTGCGTAGACTTGCGAAAGCCTTGGCCAAAGGGATATTTCCGCAAAGCACGAGCGTTGGTGAAGCTTGGGAAGGTCATGGAGGCCCTTGAAACAGTGCAGGCGGGACTGGGCTATGAGCCGACAAATGAAGATTTGCTGAATACCAAGAAGGAGATTGAGGCGCTGCTGGACGGTGAGCGGCGTTGAGGAGGACATCTATCTAGTATACGCATATGCAGGAAAGTGCTGGATGCATGCCTTACATGATTTGTGACTGACGCGACTGTCTTCAAGTCGACGCGACGCGATGAAATTGATGGAGACTCGTCCTACTCCAAGAACATACTAGTCTGAGGCCTCTGTCTTCTATTGCTCCTCTCTCGTGTACTGCTGTAGTCAAGGACTCGACATCAAGCAAGCTCGTCGTAGCAATCTACATTGCCACCTTGGCGTTGCGCAAGGAACTTCAACAGAACTGCCGAGAGACCTCTACTCTTCACAATGTGCAAGCACATCCTCAACCCACAAGTCAAGATCCGTGCACCTTGCTGCAAGCTCTGGTTTGACTGCGCAGATTGCCATACCGAGCAAGCCGACCACCCACTACTGAAGCAGGATGAAATGACACTCATCTGCAAACCCTGCAAGAAGGCCTTTCGCCTCGACATTACGGATTTCGATGAAGCAAAAGAGTACTGTCCACACTGTGATAATCACTTCTACAAGCAAGCCATGACGCCGCAAGCTGCAATTGTAGCAGAGAAGGCGGATCTCCGGGAGGATAATCGATTGGCACAGTTGAGAGATATGCGGATGAAGCTCATGCTGGTATGACAATTGTTTCTTTTTCCTTCTTGCTGACACTATTAGAATGATGATGCGGATCTATTTGATGATGATCTCACAGCAAGACTAGGCTAGCCAGGTTCTCTTCCGTATCCACATCAGTTACTGCCCCATCTGAATTGACTTCCCTCTGATTTTTTCTTTTTTCTGCTCACGACAACGAGCCATCATCAACCTTCTACTCCTTCATACTCCTCTCGTCATGGCTACTCCCAACCCAAAAGCCTTTCCGCTCGCTGATGCCGCACTGAGCCAGCAGATTCTCGACCTCGTGCAGCAGGCCTCGCACTACAAGCAGCTCCGTAAGGGTGCCAACGAAGGTATGTCTTTCATCACCCACCCTGCAGCGCATAATCACTAACCGGCCCTTCTTAGCAACCAAGACACTGAACCGTGGTATCTCCGAGTTCATCGTCATGGCCGCCGATACTGAACCGATCGAGATTTTGCTCCACCTGCCACTCTTGTGTGAGGATAAAAACGTCCCTTACGTCTTTGTCCCAAGCAAGTCTGCCTTGGGTCGTGCGTGTGGTGTCTCTCGCAGTGTCATTTCAGCAAGTGTCACGACGAACGAGGCGAGTGAGTTGCGTGGACAAATCACAAGCATCAAGAATGCGATTGAAAAGTTGCTCGTTTAAGAAGCATGCATTGTATGCACTCTCTGTATTGCTGGACTATGGCGATGACAGGCACGGTTGGTCTGAGGTATCGAACGATGACGATCCAGCAGTGACTCTATATAGTCAAACAATACAATCTTTCAAATCATCATGACTTTCATGCTATGTAGATGAGGAGCTAAAACGACGACGCAATGACAGATGAGAGCATGAATGGAATCTTCTTCTCCATCACATCATCCACACTCTCCTGCAGATGCCGCTTCGGATCACGCTTACCCACAAAGCGCGTCTTTAATTGTTCCGGTGTAGCTGTTGCTTCTTCCTTGACACTCTCAACGTACTTCTCCGCCAACTTGGGCATCGTCTGAATCAATGTTGGTTGCAGGTCTTCCTGCCCCTTATAGTCAATAGCCAAGCCAGATCCCCAGCCCTGCTTGTGCAAACTCAACAGCATCGTTTCATCTTGTTTGGTCTTTTTGTAATCAATAATGGAAGAGGTGTAGTGTCGGTTGAGGCCATGAATCAGTGCATGAATGGTTGGTTTGTTCAAGTGACCCACAGTGGATGTACTCTGACGCGGTTCTTGACCCATCATGAGACTACTCGGGTTGATGAGACGGAATGCATCAATCACGACTTTGCCACGCACTGATTGGATTGGATCAATGACCACTGCGACGGCGCGCGGTGTTAATTGCTCAAAGGACTGTTGTGTGTTGATATCCACGCTCGAGAGCCAGCACCCGAAGCCAGGATGTGAGTGGTACCAGCCAACTACCATCTCTGGCCTGCCTGTTTGTTTGAGCATTTCCATCATTTTTTGCTGAAAGACAGGATCGACTGCTTCAACGGACACACCTGTACCGGATTGAGGCATTGCAAAGACATCCACCACGCTGAGTATAGGTCAGCAATGTGAACGTTCAATAGAAGTGGGCGTACTGGACGGTATAGTCATCAACAAATTCACCCAACATGAGGCCCATGACTTCCATGGGTACTCCTGCGCGCCCGTGTTTGAGCATCTTGAGTAATGCAAGTGAGGAGATGTAGACAGTTTCTATAGTTGCGCGAAAGAACGCGCCATGTTAGCCAAAAAGGATACTTCTTGAGAGGGTGTCGCTCTCTCACCTGCATTGTCGACGAGAGGTTGGTCGGCACCGATGGCAGCTCTGTTGCCTCCCATGCCGGGCATGTTCAGGCCTAGGGATCGCGCGTCCATGGCGTCTTGTACGTGAAGCAGGAGAGGGAGAGTCAGCTCAGTGCTCGAGTCTGCTCGCCGCGTCATGTATGGACACAGTCACAAATCACAGACAGGACAGGCAGGATCTGGCAGGAACAGGCATTGGTCGTAAAGGCAAGGAAGGTCACAGGATGAGATTGAGGGATATGGGCCAATGAGGAAATCAAGGCGATGCAACATGGATGGGTCACGTCTATGCGATGCGATGCTGCGTGGATGCGACTCGTGGTGCTGCTCTCTCGCTGTACTCCCCTGGCTGGATCTACTTGAGCAGAGTGAGTCTCTGGAAGGCCAGGCGATCGACTACCTGGCCTCTGCTCGCCAGGCCTTGCACTTGGTCTCTTACTCTCCTGCTCTTTGGTCATCGCGTAGAAAGAAAACAAATCGCATCCAGAGTCAACAGAGACGGCGACTACTGCTGCTACTGCTGCTGCTTCTACTCTATCAGTAAGTACTGCTGCTACTACTGCCTGGCAGGGCATGAAGACCATCCCGACACTCAACTATGTCGCCGCCCAACTCGCCGCCAACACACTAGGCCTCGACATCGCTTCAGTCGCCGGCCAGGAGCACTCACCCAGCAGTCCCACACGCATGCGACGCGCCTCATCCACGCCCGTCCAAGCGCGTCGTCCTTCCAGCCAGCAGCCAGGATCCTCGCTCGATGAGCAGCATGAATCAGCATTGGGCTCTGCACGTCGCCTCTCCAAGAGACTCTCGACGCGCTTCACCAGAGACCTCGACGACAGAACATCGCCCTCACCACCGCGCCGGATGGCAGACCGCAACAACAAGGAGAATGAATATCCATCGACTGCCTCGCCCTCAAACAACCTGCCTGTACCGCAAAAACCACAGCCTGCATCCATCAGACGCGTCTATCCGACTGCTGGCCAGGATCGTCGGATGCTGACACCCTTTGGCATGTCACATCCAGGGGAACCGTCGATCGTGCAGACGCACACCACCACCGTACACGCAGGTCGTCCAAGAGGACTCTCCCTTGCTACATCCCTGCTCTCTTGTGACTCGTGGAACGATGATGTGCCTGAACCTGTGGAGACACTACCGCTTGCGAGTCCGGGGCAGCTAGATCATATTCATGGCAAGATGCTGGCTGAATCGCATGAGAACCACCTTAATAAACGCAGCTCACGACGATCGCTACATGCGCAGAGTGATGACACGACATACGGCACTATGACTGCGCAAGATGCAGCGCACCATCTACAATCACACCACTCATCTTCAGAAGATTGGACGCACTCGCCTTCTCCACCACAACTCGCATCACCCATTGAGCAACACCAACGCTCGAGTCCATTCGTGCCGAGTCCAGGGAGACAGCGATCTGTTGGGTCTTTGTGGTATGGCAATGCTTCAAGTCCCGAAACATCACCAGTCCTGGCGAAACGCAAACCACCACCCTTGGCAGCACGTCCACGTATGCCTGATTTCATGAATCCAGTCGTTGCTGATGCTGCTGCCATACCACAGAGTCCAGCCAATGATCGCAAGCACGGCATGCGCATCGATACAGCAAAAGCCATCCTGCAAGAACATAATGACCAAATCTCACCACTGCCAGGGTCTTTGCGAAGTGGGTATGGAAGTATGCACAGCCAACCGCCTGCTTCTTCTTCCCTGAAATTACGGCTCCCGCCACCTACCAGCAATTATGGGACGAGTATTGGTGATGCTTCCGTCAGGTCGAGACCAGGCACGACCATGACGACCGATGGCAATATAATCCCCGGTCGTCGTCGCGTCTTGCGAACAGCCAGCGGTGGTAGCTACTCTGTTCCGGTCCCCATCATGCCAGCTGAATCGTGGGATGATGATTTTGGGGAAGGTGGTAGTGGTGGAGGTGATCCTGTTGCAACAACCTTGGCAGTACCGGCAAGTATTCGACGTTCACAAGCGTCCTTGCGTTCACATGTTTGGCTTTTACGGCAATTTGCTGACTTGGTGGCTGATTTGAAGCAAGCGAGTCATTGCGCACATACCAGGACACTAGCTGAGGCTACATCTCCTTCTGTCCCTGCAGACGTGAAGGACGCGCTTGATGAAGCAGAAGCAATCATTGCACTCGCAGATCAAGGTGAGACTGAGTTTGAAGCGGCAGATTCCCTTCGATCAATCGAGTCTGCGGTCTTCTTGCAGCACGCACAGATCCTCACGCGAATTCTTGGGCCGACGGATACGACGCTGGTGGATGGACGCATTCGACTCGATGGTCAAGTCTTGGGCATCCTGAATGAGAAATGCCAAGCGCTGCTTGCTACCCTCTCCAGCTATACAGCGCTCGATCACGAGCCTCGTGTTCTTGCGGCACAGAAATCTCAGGAAGCCGGTGGGCCGGAGCTTGAGGGAGAGGATGAGGATGCGTTGTGGCTCTAATGTGTGTTGTTTTATGGTTGCACCGCGAGCAGCCTCTCGTCTAGTCTGTATGCTTTTTTGGCGCTTGGCATGTGCTTTCCATCGTGTTTCCTCTAGTCTTGTACCTTGCATCCATAGCCCTCATTGTCACTTCTAATGATCATGCTCATGCTCATGGCTTTGTCTTCTTCCCCTGGTTCACTGCGCCACGCCCAATGCGCTTCGACAACGATTTTAGCACGACCGCAAGCACAACTCTTGCGACAATCCACTGAGTCCAGTCAGGCCGCAGAGGCCCCTTCTTCCACCATGGCCGTCGACCGGCCGCAAGCCAGTGGTCCAAAATACAAACACACGCCAGGCAAGCAACTCGATATTCTACAGCGCAAGCAAGAACAAGGACATTCAATCGTCTTGCTCGGTGTCCTTTACTACCTCCATCTCCTCTACTTCCTCTACGCCTGTATACGAGCATTCCTTTCGCGTGGTTATGATCTTATCACGGGCTTCATTCTAACGAGCTCATCTAAGGAGTTGATTAAGAGCGATATCGCGAACCTGACCAAAATCCCATCACACCTGGCCGTCGTCATCTGCGGCGACTTGGAATCCCTCGTCAATGATGTTGCCGATTTGTCTGTTTGGTGTATCTGCTGCAATATCCCCATCTTGACCATTTATGAGCGATCGGGTCAATTGAAGGGCATGGATGCGCCCTTACAAGTGGCCATCAAGCGGAAATTGAGACGCTTCTTTAGAGACTCCAAGAAGGTCTCCCTCTATACGCCAGGATGGGGAACAGAAAATACCAATGAGTACGACGGGGATGGCGGCTTGGCAGATCTCGAGGTGAACTTGATTAGTAGCGAGGATGGGCGTGAAGCGTTACTCGACCTGACACGCAGCTTGTGTCTCCTCGCTGCAGGTACGGAAGAAGAGACGACAGCTCAGCAGCAACAAGTCAATGGGAAATCGCCTACCATCTTGATCAATGGCAGCAGTCAAACAAATGGCAAAGCGCCGTCTCGCACGTCCTCGCCTTTTGCAACAGGCAGCTTGCGAAAGAGTATTACACGGCGAAACCACAAGTCAGCGCATGATGGTAATGAAGTTGAGTCGCCCATTGCTTCTCGTCCTGGTTCAGCCATGTCCAATGGATCCGATGCATCTCGCTACACCGACGCATTGACACAACAACCACAGACACAGAGTTCCGCCGCACCTCCTGCTCCTGCGCGACAACATTCCTCAGGTGGCGTGCACATCTCGTCGAGCGACATAACGATTCCGTTCCTCGACGCGCACATCACGGATGTAACCATACCTGAACCGAATCTTCTTCTCATCTTTACAGGCCATCCAGGATCTCGTCCCTCGTCTGCCTCAAGCGCATCAGGCGAACCTGCAGCAGCTGGGTATACACTCGATGGCTTTCCACCATGGAGCTTGCGGCTGTGTGAGATTTGTTGGATCAAGGTTGCTGGTGGACATGTCTCTTATCGTGGCTTCTTGCGAGGCTTGCAACGTTTTGGTCATGCTGAGATGCGGTGGGGTCGTTAGACTTGTCTGTTTGATGCTGCACGTAGAATGTCATGAATCAGCATAGCAACACTTTTCTTCTTCTGTGTAAGTCCCTTTATTGAATTGGGAAAAGTATACTATGGCTGTTTTATAGGATGTCAGCTGCACTACTATCAAGTCTCTCGTGATCTTGTACAAACGAGTGCTAGCGAAATGAGCTGTTTCTTCTTGGGCTCGTAAAAATTAATGACGAATCTCTTTATTGCATAAAGGTCCGTGGTAAGGATTGAGCCCTGAGTCTTGTATCGTTTTGGCAGCGTTGCTGCTGAGTAGCTTGTCGCTCAATAAGCAAGCCAAGCTAGGCCAACGCCAACGCCGCCACAACAAGTACAAAGTATGTGTGTATGCACTCGGAAGGTGAATCAGACATCCAAGGAAGATTGTTAGCGCACGTTCACTGTCCGTAGACATAACGAACAATACAATTATCATCACCTTGACCTACCGAGCGCGTTTTGATGCAATAGGAGACAGGCAAACTTGGCTGCCATGAGTCGCGAGATACCCGTGCAGTTCTCTTCAACAATGCAGACCAGCCTTCCTGTCATCAGATCCATACAAGTAGGTGCAGTCGAAAGGTGTCTCTGCAACTGAAACTGCTGGCTGCTTTTTGTGCTGAAGTTTGAGAATCACACGCTCGCATCACGATGTCTACAATATCAATATCAATATGCCATTTACAATGCTCTTACGATTTGCAGCTACTGCTAGTCAACGGACTACTCATGAGCTGAGTGCCAGGCAGTCCAACTCGCCTCGGCAAAAGAATGCAGACTTGATGGCATAACTATATCAGAGGCTGATCAGAACCTGACAAGCGAATGTCTGTTGACTGCTTGTTCACCTGTAGTACTGGTGCAAGCGACATTTGCATCTGCGGCAAGGCTGAACCTCCTTGCATTCAGCTCTCGATTCATTGGTACTGTTGCAGTGCTTGTAGATCTTTGTCTCCAGCGATGGGCAATATGGGATCGGGACAAGTCTTCATGGCGCCATATACGCACAACAGCATGTGGGTTACGTTCTTGGCCATCAGGTACAAGGAAGCTGCTTCTGCATGATTGTATGAAGAGGTCGCTCCGGCAGCAGAGCAAGTCGCTCGAGAGACCTTTCCCGAAGATGCAAGTCACAGAGGATCTCTTGAACGCCTGTACACCTCAGGACTTCAAGGGGGCTTCGAGAAGAATTCGAGCAGATATGTTCCCTGCAAGGGAACAGCGTACCTTCACGCCAACGATTGAGGACCGAGCATTACAGAAGGCCATGAGTGTCACATGGAATCGGGTCCAGAAAACTGGGCGTCGTGTTGGAAGACCTTGAGACAGGGCAGCTCTCGCCAATCAGAGACTGAATACTCTTTGCATCTCTTGTCGATGTACGGATAACACCCTGACAGCCAAGGAGGTGGAGGCATCGACTGTCGCTTCAACTACGACAAAGCGAGGAGTCGTCTTCTATGCTTGGAATGCGAGGAGAAGACACTGGAACACCTCACCTACTCGGCCACTATCGATTAGCAAAATTGAGAGAGTCAGCTTCTTCTCGTTACATAGCACGTCTATAAGAATGAATGCAACCAGGATGAAGAAAGGCTAATTCAGCAACCTACAGCTAAGGAGTCGAGAGATGGATTATACGCGTTTGAGAAGGGTGGAGCACGTTAAGACTATCAATGCTAATGCTCTTTAGCGGTCAGCACACAGCTGTAGGACGAAGCTATCTCTATCTTGGTTTTGCTGAGGTTGCCTATCTTTTGCTGATCGAGACAAAGCTCAGTTCCTTTCAAAAGTCACCACCCAAATCATCTGGCATAAGCTTGCCTTCTGGACAATTGCGCAGGAGCTTTTCTAGTGAATCCTCGCCACTAAAGCGTGTCAAAGAAGCTTTAGGTCTGTGAATGCCAGCAGGACGTGGGTAAAAGCGAATTTCGACCGCAAAGGTTGCTGCTACTGATCCTCGAGGCAGCCTGTATGGATAGGATGACCTTGCCATGACCGAACTGTACCATCTGTCCTCCCAGACTATTTTGTTATCCGGATGCTCGAAGGGTCGCTCATGATTGATGACGTGTATCATTGCTGTCCTGTTTCGTAAACTGAAGCCACCATTGAACGGCATTTCGATATCATCGGAAAAGTCCAAGGGTGCGCCCACATAGTCGTACTTGAAAAAATCTTCAATCTTGTGAGGCGATGATGCGCAGAGCGTGGAATCGATCTGGTATATAAGGATGTGATCGGCCGGTGCCAACGCATCCCAAAAAGGCGTATGTGTCAGAAACTGCGACACTGAATGACCTGACGAAAATATGGTTTTGAGAAGATGCAGCTGCACTTTGCCGGACTGGATGTGCGGCTGTAATTCAGCATTGCTGCGCAGCATTTGTTCGTTGTGATTCGAATGGTAGATGACAAACGGCCAGTCATCATCTAGCGTACGAATGAAGTGCATGACATGATAGACCCAGTCCAAGTGCGTGCGCATCTCGACGAGAACAGCAACTTTCTTGGTAGATAGTGACGGCAGGCACTCATGCGCATCTTCGACAGGACGGCCATCAGGGAAGTTGACTTTTCGTGTGTCGTTTGTGAAAGAAGGGCGTGTAAAGCGTTCCACGCCATACTTCTGCTCCATCATTGCCGGGCAGTCTATCTGGCTCGAGACGTTCACACGCGCGCCGCTTTTGATAGTCGACCACACGACCTTGGCATTGGATGCAGCCTTCTCCAAAGCGACTGACGTGCTTGAAAGCAATCGGCTTCCATGTCCAGAGAGACTCTTGTAATGAGGGGCTTGATCCACAAGCTTTGACACGACATAGACCACAACCACCGCGCAGAACGCTTTGACGCGCCTTTGGGTGAGAATCGTAATCATTGGACAACCTGCTTGTCGATACAGAAACCTTGATCAGAGGGCCGAAGACAAGAAAGCGCAAAAGTCTTTGCTCCGTGGTTGTTCACTTTGGCACTATCTTAGGATTGTCAGGGATGACGAAGCTGCAGTGGCAGTCAGGGACATCTCTGACTCGGAAACGTGCTCTGTCTCAGAAACCCATATCGCCAGCCTTGACATTGTGACAGCTCAGGCGTGCGTCTATGTCCCTGGCCCATTCGTAGTACCAAAAAATCTCTTGAGTACGAATGTGCCCACTTAAAGCCAGGTGCAGCATGGACATGAAGCAATCTTTGACACCCAGACGCAATGTCAGATCAGCAACTTCGCAGTTCCACTGAACCAAATGGGACTAGTCCCTGGAGACAGCGCTGCAGCTCCTTGAATCCGATTTTCAGGCTGCTTACAGGAGTCAGTGCTCATCAGAATTACCTCCTGGACCCAACTTCGAATCCCGCAGATTCTCAAGCTCCATTTATACAACAGTCTCATCTTGCTGCAAACACATGATCTGAGGAAGCGTCGGAAATCTGCAAAGCAGAATCAGATCTGCAGCAGCTGCAGGCTTGCAGTTCATAGTCAAGGATTCGCGTGGGAGATTCGGCCACAGCAGAAGTCCAGGATCAGACTGTCGATGTGGATGTATTACACGCGCCGTGACTCTGCAGAAGTTGATGTCGAACGGCTGAGGACAAGCTCAAGGCAAGCTTGGATTGTTCGTGTGTGCATGCAAGAACAACATGTTCACAGAATGATCATGACAATGCAATTTCTGGTTTCGTCTAGTTGTTTGCGTCGTTGTGCAGTGACTATGCACCTTCTCTTTTCTAGCTCTTGACGCAATCCGCGCTGGTCGGATCATTGAGACAAGGGTCAAAAATGACCACCACTCTTGTCAGGCACACGGTCGCCTTCTGGACAATTGCGCAAAAGCTCTTCGACCTTCTCTGCGCTTGCAAACCGTGGCAGATGGTTTCTTGGCCGATGAACACCAACCGGCAATGGATGAAAGCGCGACTCTACGGCAAAGGGCTCAGCTTCTTTCGCAGTCGGTAGTTTGTATGAGTGGTTTGACCTGGCCATCGTCCTGCTAAACCAATCATCCTCGAACTTCTCCTCGGTTTTAGGGTGGTCGAAAGGTCGCTCGTTCTTGATGACATGCAGCATGGCATTCCGATTGCGGACAGTGAAGCCACCGTTGAAGATCGGGGTCTCAATGTCATTGTGCGTGATGGGTGCTCCGACAAAATCGTACTTGAAGAAGTCTTCGACTTTCAAAGGCGATGCTGCACAGAGGGTCGAATCGATTTGGTAAAGAAGGATGTGATCAGCAGGCGCCAATGCTTCGTACAGAGGTGCATGCGTTAAGAGCTGTGAGATGGACTCTGATGTCGAGAAAATAGTATTCAAACGATGCAGCTGCACTTTGCCGGACTGGATGTGCGGCTGTAGTTCAGCATTGCTGCGCAACATGTGTTCGTTGTGATTCGAATGGTAGATGACAAATGGCCAGTCATCATCCAGCGTACGAATGAAGTGCATGACATGATAGACCCAGTCTAGGTGCGCGCGCATTTCGACGAGAACAGCAACTTTCTTAGTGGATAGTGACGGCAGGCACTCATGCGCATCTTCGACAGGACGACCATCAGGGAAGTTGACTTTTCGTGTGTCCTCCGTGAAAGAAGGGCGTGTAAAGCGTTCCACGCCATACTTCCGCTCCATCATTGCCGGGCAGTCTGTCTGGCTCGAGACGTTCACAGGCGCGCCGCTTTTAATAGTCGACCATACGACCTTGGCATTGGATGCAGCCTTCTCCAAAGCGACTGACGTGCTTGAAAGCAATCGGCTTCCATGTCCAGAGAGACTCTTGTAATGAGAGGCTTGATCCACAAGCTTTAACACGACATAGACCACAACCACCGCGCAGAACGCTTTGGTGCGCCTACGGGTGAAAATCGTAACCATTGTGCAGCCTACCCGCCAATCCAGACGCCTGATCAGAGGACAGATGACACGAAAGCTCAAAAGTCTTTGCTTCGTGGCTTTCTACTCTGAAACAATCTAGGAGTTGTCAGGGATGACGAAGCCGCAGGGGCCGGAACATCAGCAAGGGGCATCCCTCAATGAGAACATGCTCTCAGAAACCCATATCGCCAGCCTTGGCATCGTGACAGCGCAGGCGCGCCTTCATGTGCCCGAGAGGATGTCCGTAATATCACAACGTCCCTAGAGTACAAAAGTGCCTACTTGAAGCCAGGTGCAGTATGGACCAGCAGCAATCTTTGACACCCGGACACATTTGCGATCAGCCATCCAGCCAACCACGGTCAATGCCAAATAGGGCGAGGAGAGGCTGCGTAGTCGTAGGAAATTGTTATTGATGCCCTGACGGGCTCGAGAATCTTAGGGTTAGTGACCGGTGGCGGCATGCCCCTGACAGGGCCAGGGCCTGACTTGGGCCAACCATGTCAGACCTTTTCGCAGTTCGCATCGCATTCACGCTGAACCGAACGCGACTAGTACCTAGAGGACAACGCTACAGCTCTTTGGAATTGATTCATAGGCTGCTTGGCGGAGTCAGTGCTCAACTGGACAACCTCCTGTACCCAACTTTGCATCTTGTAATATCTCAAGACTCGTTCATATTCTAGCAATCTTATCCTGCTGCAAATACCTGGCCTTTAGACCCTATTGCACGGCAGGACAGCTGATGCTTGTGCTCATAAGAGGGCCTGCTTATCCCCAAAGGATTCGTATCATCAGCAAGAATGGGCCAAGTGAAAGCTAGAGCTCTGCATGAGCGAACAACGCTCGAACACTGAGTGCTTCGCATGATTCTACTGAGAGCTTCGCAGAGTCTGCAAAACAAGATTAGTCCTACAGTAGGCATGATGTTCATGATCCCGATTTCGCCTTCGAGATCCGGCTACAAAGGGGGGCCAGGGTCAGACTGTTGACGTGAACCATGTATTTCGAACGCGCCATGACCTTGCAGAAGTCAATGTCGAATGGCTGTAGACGCCACTTGCAAAAGACAGGCTCAAGACAATCTTGAACATGTTCGTGTATGCATGCAATAATAATATGTACACAGAATGACTTTGACAACGCGATCTCTGGCGTCGTCTAGTCGTCGGCATTGGTCGGCAGTGACCATGCACCTTCTCACTTTGAGCTCTTGACGCAATCCTTGCTATTGGGATCATTGAGGCAAGGGACGAAACGGCCACCTCTCTTGTCGGGCATACGGTCGCCTTCCGGACAATTGCGCAAAAGCTCTTCCACCCTCTCTGCGCCTGCAAACCATGGCAAATAGACTCTTGGCCGATGAACACCTACCGGCAGGGGATGAAAGCGCGACTCAACGGCAAAAGACTCAGCTTCTTTCGCAGTTGGTAATTTGTATGAGTGGTTCGACTTGGCCATCGTCATACTGTACCATCTATCCTCGTACTTCTCTTCATTGTCAGGGTGGTCGAACGGTCGCTCATTGTTGATGACATGCAGCATGGCATTCCGATTGCGAACACTGAAGCCACCGTTGAATAACGGGGTCTCATCATCAGTGTGCGTGATGGGTGCTCCGACAAAATCGTACTTGAAGAAGTCTTCGACTTTCAAAGGCGACGCTGCACAGAGGGTCGAATCGATTTGGTAAAGAAGAATGTGATCAGCAGGCGCCAATGCTTCGTACAGAGGGGCATGCGTCAAGAGCTGTGAGATGGACTCTGATGTCGGGAAGATAGTATTCAAACGATGCAGCTGCACTTTGCCGGACTGGATGTGCGGCTGTAGTTCAGCATTGCTGCGCAACATGTGTTCGTTGTGATTCGAATGGTAGATGACAAATGGCCAGTCATCATCCAGCGTACGAATGAAGTGCATGACATGATAGACCCAGTCTAAGTGCGCGCGCATTTCGACGAGAACAGCAACTTTCTTAGTGGATAGTGACGGCAGGCACTCATGCGCATCTTCGACAGGACGACCATCAGGGAAGTTGACTTTTCGTGTGTCCTCCGTGAAAGAAGGGCGTGTAAAGCGTTCCACGCCATACTTCCGCTCCATCATTGCCGGGCAGTCTATCTGGCTCGAGACGTTCATAGGCGCACCGCTTTCGATAGTCGACCACACGACCTTGCCATTGGAAGCAGGCCTGTCCAAAGCGACCGATGTGCTTGAAAGCAATCGACCTCCATGTCCAGAGACATTCTTGGAATGAGAGGCTTGCCCCACAAGCTTCAACACGACGTAGATCACAACCACTGCGCAGAGCACTTTGGTGCGCCTACGGCTGAGAATTGTAGCCATTGGACGACCTGCTCGTCGATTGAGAAATCTGAACAGAAGGCCGAAGACAAGAAAAAGCAAAAACTCTGCTCCGTGGCTATTCACTTTGAACCAATCTTAGAACTGCCAGGGATGACGAAGCTGCAGTGGCAGAAACATCAGTCAGGGGCATCTCTGACTCGAGAACGTGCTCTGAGAGAACATCTCAGAAACCCATATCGCCAGCCTTGACATTATGACAGCTCAGGCGTGCGTTTATGTGCCCAAGAGGACGTCAGTAGTACCAGAACATCTCTTGAGTACGAATGTGCCTACTTGACTTCGTGTGCAGCATGGACAAGCAGCAATTTTTGACACCAGACGCAATGTCAGATCAGCAACTCAAGAGGTGACGGACGATCGTCTGCCAAATAGGGCGAGGAGAGGCTGCGAAGTCGTAGGAAATTGATATTGATGCCCTCACGAGCTCGAGAATTTTAGGGTTAGTGACCGCTGGCGGCATGCCCCTGACTTGTGCCAACCATGTCAGACCTTTTCGCAGTTCGCATCGCATTCCCATTGAGCCAAATGCGACTAAAACCTAGAGGACAACGCTACAGCTCTTCAATTCATAGGCGGCTTCCAGGAGTCAGTGCTCATCAGGACAACCTCCTGTACCCAACTTTGCGTCCCGCAATATCTCAAGACTCGTTGATATCTAACAATCTCATCCTGCTGCAAATACTTGGCCTTGTTTACCCTATTGCACGACATGGCAGCTAATGCTTGTACTCATAAGAGGGTCTGCTTGTCCCGAAGGATTCGCATCATCAGCAAGCATGGGCCAAGTGAAAGCTAGAGCTCTGCATGAGCGAACAACGCTCGAACACTGAGTGCTTCGCATCATTCTATTGAGAGCTTCGAAGAGCCTGCAAAACAAAATTGGTCCTGCAGTGTGCATGATGTTCATGATCTCGAATTCGCCTTTGAGATCCGGCTACACTAGGACTCCAAGGTTAGACTGTTGACGTGAACGGTGAACCATGTATTTCGAACGCGCCGTGACCTTGCAGAAGTCAATGTCGAATGGCTGCAGACGCCACTTGTAAAAGACAGGCTCAAGGCAATCTTGGACATGTTCGTGTATGCATGCAATAAGAATATGTACACAGAATGACTTTGACAACGCGATGTCTGGTGTCGTCTAGTCGTTGGCGTTGGTCTGCAGTGACCATGCACCTTCTCACTTTGAGCTCTTGACGCAATCCTTGCTGTTGGGATCATTGAGGCAAGGGTCAAAATGGCCACCACTTTTGTCGGGCATACGGTCGCCTTCCGGACAATTGCGCAAAAGCTCTTCCACCCTCTCTGCGCCCGCAAATTGTGGCAGATAGACTCTTGGCCGATGAACACCAACCGGCAATGGATGAAAGCGCGACTCAACGGCAAAAGGCTCAGCTTCTTTCGCAGTCGGTAGCTTGTATGAGTGATTCGACTTGGCCATTGTCATACTGTACCATCTATCCTCGTACTTCTCTTCGTTGTCGGGATGGTCGAAAGGTCGCTCGTTCTTGATGACATGCAGCATGGCATTCCGATTGCGAACAGTGAAGCCACCGTTGAAGATCGGGGTCTCATCATCATTGTGCGTGATGGGTGCTCCGACGAAATCGTACTTGAAGAAGTCTTCGACTTTCAAAGGCGATGCTGCACAGAGGGTCGAATCGATCTGGTAAAGGAGAATGTGATCAGCAGGCGCCAATGCTTCGTACAGAGGTGCATGCGTCAAGAGCTGTGAGATGGATTCTGATGTCGGGAAAACAGTGTTCAATCGATGCAGTTGTACTTTGCCAGAGAGTATATGAGGCTGTAATGCTGGGTCGTCGCGCAACAGCAACTCATTGTGCCTCGAGTGGTAGATGACAAACGGCCAATCATCATCGAGCGTATGGATGAAGTGGATGACATGGTAGACCCAGTTTGGTTGCGGACGCATCTCAACAAGGACAGCGACCTTCTTCGTTGACAAGGTTGGCATACACTGATGCGCATCTGCGACCGGGAATCCTTCGGGGAAGTTGACGTTTCGCGTATCGTCCTGCCACGCTACGCGCGTGAACCTGTTCAAGCCGTACTTTTGCCTCATCATTGCTAGGCAGTCTGTTCCTGGCTTCTTCCTAGGCGAAGACGTCAAACCTGATACTGCATTGCGGAGAAGACCGCTTGTTCCTGTGCTTTCCTGTATGTCTCCGATAACATTTCCTTGCTGGCGAGTTCTCAGGTGGAAGAGACTGAACAGAATGACCAGCAGGAACGCTGTCATGGCGAGGCGGTAGCCCAGGGCGGACACCATGTTGTATCGAAAAGCAGTGTGCTCGTCGTTGGTGTAACACAGCTGACCCCGCCGAGGGTGTCAAATCTGTGGGTGATTGAAAACAGAAACTTGCGCCTTTTGATTTGGCTCGGGTACTGTCACTACTGTCACTACTACTGTGCGGTGCTGCCAAGATCAGGCGGCGATACGTCCCACGTTCACGTCTTAGCGCAGAAATGGCTGGACGCCGTAGCGAGAGCTACCAGACGACGGCTGCCAAATATCCACGAAGGATGGCTATGCACTCACCAGACAAGCGGAATGATTCGGCATACCCACGGAAGAATACATGCCAGTGTCTAGCCTGCTGCTGACGCAAACTTCAACGGAGAATACTCACACGCCCAGTGCTACTGAGCACCAGACAGCGCGACTTCTGGAACAAATCCGGCGAGTACGCACGGACCCTCCGGTTCACTGTCCAGATCGTTCAGATGCATCGACGTCTGACAGGCAGTGATAGTAATCGGAGCTGAGCGTGATTACAGTGATGACATGGACGGTGAGGTGACAACACTGACAAGCACAAGCAACTTATGAAGTGCAAAGAGATTTGCTACGGATGCAAAAGGAAAAAATCAGCATCAAAATCAGACATGTGCTGAACCTAGACGGCTCAATCAACTTGTTGGGGTCAACCAAGCTGCTCTCAAGCTGGCTCACAACCCAGTGTTCCACGCCAAGAGCAAGCATATCGAGGTCAAATATCACCACCTTCGTTGTTAATTGAGCAAGGCAAGATCAAGCTTCCCTACGTCGGCATCAAGTTGCAGAAGGCAGATTGCCTGACGAAACTTCTTCCTCGTGCTGCACTTGACAATCAACGAACTCATCTCGGTCTCGGGTAAGCTATACCCTTTATCGAGATAGAGAGTGTTGAGCGGTCAAGCTGTCTCAGATGACTAGATCGTGAATGACGGAAGACGACAATATCGAAGCCTCGCTAACTACAATGCGAGATCTGCTTGCTTGTGATGTACGGCAGAGACGACTCAGACGAGGCTCTTGATTCCCCATAGGCTTCTACTCCTGTTGCGGCCATGGACAAGCTCGTCTAGCTTTTGCACAATTTGTAATTTTATTTATACTGGGCAAGGAAGCAACGGATGGTTACTCGGCATAAACATTGAGAGATACATAGATGGCGATGGCAGTCTGTACCTGTATGGACCTGCATTGTACTCGTGAAGCAAGCAGCAGGATACTGAAGGAGAAGCTTGACAAGTTGACAACCTCCCCGGAGTCTGTCTGACTTCCTCAGATGGGCGCAAGTGTCACACGCCTGAGTTCGTGACATGCGCTACAGCTGACATACACGATCGCAATCAGATTATCGTCTACAGCTAGTCGCAGTCTCCAGCGGCAGCAAAAGGCCATGAACAAAGTTCATGACCTCGTCATTGTAGGTGGCGGTATTGCGGGCCTCTCGCTTGCCTCGTCGCTGCTGCATGCGCAAACTACGCGCCACCTATCCATTGCGCTGATTGAAGCCAACAAGTTTCCTGTATTTGGCGCGTCCTCGCCCATCTCGAACCGTACTTCTAGTCTAACAGGCACGTCGGTGCGATACCTGGAGCGATCTACGGCTTGGTCAAATATGCATCTCGAGCGTACACAGGCCTTTGACGACATGCACGTTTATGATGGTGTGTCAGACCAACAAATTGAGTTCCACGAACCAATTCGGATTGCGACCATGGTGGAGAACTTCAACTTGCAACAGGCACTCGTCAAAAGCATCAATAAGACCTCAGCCCAGGTGCATATTGCAAAAGTCGAAGGCGTCTCACAGCCAGATGGCAGCGGCGGGTATCCTGTTGTCCAGCTCAGTGATGGGACTTCCCTGCAGGCGAGACTACTCGTGGGCGCAGATGGTGGCAACTCCCCTGTCCGACATTTCGCAGGGATTGATGTGCGTGGTTGGGATTATCCGCATCATGGCGTTGTTGGTACACTCACTCACACTGGCTATGAGCATCGTTGTGCGCACCAGCGGATGCTGCCCTCTGGTCCCCTTGCCTTTCTCCCGCTACCAAAGGATAAAGCGAGTCTTGTTTGGTCGATACACCCGAAACACGCACAGCGGATCAAGTCATTGGATGCGGACTTGCAGGTCAAGCTCATCAATGCCGCTTTCTCACTGTCCTCTGTTGATCTCAATTACATACTGTCACTGGACACACCAGAAGCGCTAGCACAAGAATTAGATTGGCGCTTGTCGCTGCCGGCTGCGTCAAAACATGCGCCGCCCACATCCCTCACTGTGGAAAATGTTGCTGCATTCCCACTCAAATTCAGACATGCCGAGCGGTATCACTCCCCGGCGCATCGTTCCGTCTTGATTGGCGACGCAGCACACACGATGCACCCTATGGCGGGGCAAGGTTTGAACTTGGCACTCCTCGACTCGGCTTCTTTGCATGAAGCTGTTGTTCGATGTGTGCAGCTTGGCGGAGATATTGGACAAGCGGGTGAAGAGGTGACGCGTGAACGATACTGGGCAAATTCGAGGACCATGGGCGTTGTGGATAAGCTTCACAAGCTGTACAGCAGAGAGGAGGGTTCTATCGTTGGCGTACGCAGCTTCGGGAGTGGTTTCTTGAATCAGTTTGAAGCGGTGAAACGGCGAGTCATGTCGCAGGTTGGATGAGCACTTTGTATACATGAAATGCAGCAGCTTGATCTCTTCGTGGTCCATCTGAAGTGTTCGGCAAGTCCCAACGAATTGATCTGGCTGCCGACTCCTCAGGCTCGAGACTCCACAGATAAGACCAGCAGCGTACACATCCATAGCCAGCATGATCAGAACAAGGGCAGCAAGTCTGCTTGCACGGCCTTCGAGGCGTGCTTTTGCAACAACCATCAAAGACTCCCCTCTCCCTGCATCGCAGCAACCGTCCGACTTCACCAAGGATGACATCCGAAACACCTATCGCAAACCGCTGCTGGACCTCATCCATGAAGCATCCTCCGTGCACCGGGCTAACCAAGATCCGCATGCCATTCAGCTTTGTACGCTGCTCAACATCAAATCTGGTGGTTGCTCAGAGGACTGCTCGTACTGCTCCCAGTCATCGCGCTACAAGACTACATCTCCAGTGACCAAGCTCATGACTGTCGATGATGTACTCGTCAAGGCTCGGGAGGCAAAAGAAAATGGGAGCACCCGCTTCTGTATGGGTTCTGCATGGCGCGATATGAATGGTCGCAAGGCAAACCTCAAGCGTATCTGTGAGATGGTGACGGAGATTCGTGGTATGGGTATGGAAGTGTGCACGACGCTCGGTATGTTGAACGAGGCACAAGCTATTCAGCTCAAAGAGGCTGGCTTGACTGCATACAACCACAACATTGACACGTCGCGTGAATTTTACCCATCTGTCATCACCACCAGGTCATTCGATGAGCGATTGGCCACGATTGACAACGTCAAGTCTGCCGGCATCAAGGTCTGCTCTGGTGGAATCCTTGGTCTCGGAGAGAAGGAGGAAGACCGTATTTCTTTCTTGCATACACTTTCTGGCCTAAGGCCCGAGTCTCTACCCATCAATGCGCTCGTGCCCATTGAAGGGACCCCCCTCTACTCGCAAGTGACAAAGCCGCTTCCTATCCAGGATATCCTACGAACGATCGCAACAGCACGCATCTTGTTGCCAAAGACAATCATTCGTCTCGCAGCTGGCCGCATCTCTCTTGCAGAGACCGATCAGGCTATGTGCTTCCTGGCTGGTGCGAATGCAGTCTTTACAGGTGAGCGTATGTTGACTACGGCCTGCTCAGGCTGGGAAGAGGACAAGGCCATGCTCGACCGGTGGGGTCTTCGTGGGATGAAGTCCTTTGAGAAGGCTGAGGAGCAACCGGCACAGCAGCAGGAACAGCCCATCCTGTTCAAAGATGCCGAGACGGTCAAGAGTGCCTCAACGGCTCAATAAAATTACAGATCACCCGGCAACTCTATAGCACATCAAATAAGTCTGCCGATTCTTCAATATTCTCCCTCAACGCCTTGAACATCTCGCGTGAGACGTCAATGGACTCTTGTAGCACACGCCCGACCTGTGGCACATCTAGTCCACGCTGCTCAATCGAGGCTGTGATTTGCTTGATGCTCCGTACTTGCTCTTGCGGAATGCCACCTAATGCAGATTGCAGCACACCCGGGCGTGTCTCTTTGACGCCTAGCCTCATGACTTGAACAACTTGACCCGCCTCACTCACAGAGACAAGATAGCGTGCTCGCAAAACCTGCTCTTCTGCAGCATCACAATCAAACAAGACATGTGGACCGATGACACCAGCCAGCAAGATGAGTGGTATATTCGCTGCAGAGAGAAGTGGTACAGCATTATCGTAATCGTCGTCCACTGTGAAATCAAGTTGCGCTTGCGACGGTGCGGTCGCTTGTGTTGTTTCAGTCTCTTCAAGCGTCATGACGGCGTCGCGTCCCTCGATATTGCCTGCAACTCCTGCTCCCAGCCGTGTTTGAGGTATCCGGGTATCGAGCAGTGCAAGTCTCACTGCACAGGCACACGCTGGAGTCAAGTTGCTGCCGTCGTGTGAGAGGACCTGCACATCGATACTCAAATGCCAGGCTTTCTCATGTGTGACATTCAATTCGCGCAAGTCAATCCCACTTGACTGGCCTCGACTACCGCTTCTGTTGTGAGGAGCGACAAGGTCTTGAAGCGACTTGGAAAGCTGTATCGCTAGCGTCTCATCATCTCTCTCACCAACAATATCAACCGAAACAGCCACACTGCCGCCACGATGCCGTTTCCGTGCGCCTTGTCCTGATTGTTCTATCGCTTGTGATATTTCACCTTTGATGCCCACGAGAATGGTCGTGGCTCCACTGGCCCAGGTCAGTAAGACACTGCCTAGGCAAGAATTAAGCACACCCTTGGCATAGGTGATGCGACGAAATTGCGTCAAGGATCGTCCATCAGGTCGCTGTGGCTGGTCCGCACTAAGAGAAGTGACAAGATATGCAAGCTGGGGTATGGATAGGGACTGAATGGCCTCCATGACCGCGCACCGCTCGTTGTCGCGAGCTTTTGTGATCTTGCTCGAAGGTTTTGTGCGCGGAAAGTTTGTTCAGATGCAACTTAGCAAAAGACCGGCCAGCTTAGGCTCAGTGCCTACAATTGACCATGCTACCTATGCGCTACATCTTGGCATCATCAGTCTTTCGCCGCTTCAGCTGAGGTGACCGATCTGGGCGCTCTTCTGAGCCATTTGCGCAATTCACCTCGACAAAAGCGCGGTAAATCACCACATCCTTGTCTGCCGAAATGGTGAGTTCAGCTGTCGCGCCGACAAAGAAGACTTGACCCTGGACAAACTCCAATGTCTTATTGCCAACAGTCAGCTTACCGTCGCCAGAGGTAGCAATGAGGATGCTCGGCCCTTGCACACCCTTGTGGACCTCCTGCTTGCCACCTGGCACCTCTGTTTGCACAACACTGAACTCCTCAATGGGCGGGTCATACAATAGAGACTTGCAGCCATTATCTTCTGACGTCGATGCAGCACCCTCCCACTTGACAGGCTTCATGAGCTGATCCTGAGGCGCTGCATAAGCATAGGTCAGCATCTCAGTGAGATTCTTGACATCCTTGAATTTTGGAGTGAAGCCAGCTCGAATGACATTATCACTTGCTGCCATGCATTCCATAATGTCGCCTGAGATATAGGCATGTGCATCGAGGGCCCGCAAGAATATGGACTCGCCAGGTTGTAGTGTGACGTAGTTGAGGAAGAAGGTGCAGAAGAGGCCAATGTCCCTCGGAAACTGGTCGTTGAGTCTAACAATCAGCGATGCAATTGTCTTGCCATCTTGGCCACCAACAGCGTAGGCTTGTTCGTTGCCTGCCTCCTTGGCATGCTTCACCAAGGCATCGCACGCTGATTTCAGATCCTGCTCGGAGGTGTTCATAAGCTTGGTGAATAGCTCCTTGAGCGCTTTCCTATTGCTTTCCACATCAGCTTTGTCTTTGCTGGTCTCCTTGCCTTGCACTTCCCTCTCAAAGGCATCCGCTGACTCTTGGCCAATAAGTTGAGTGAAAGCAGGCACTTGCCGAAGAAAGGTCACAATCTGCTCGACTGGTCTGAAACCACAGAAACCCTCGAATGGGGTAATGGCTATAGCCATCTCTGGTTTATGGTTGTCGTCCTTGTAGTTCTTTGGATCTTCAGCATGCAGTTTCTTGGCAAGCTCCTTGGTTGGATGGGCTTGGATCGAGAGCGCCTTCTCAATGGAAAGAACCTTGAATAAGAATGGCAGCTTGCCCTCATACGTATCCGCCACTTCCTTGCCGCAGAGCATTTCATTTCCTTCAAGAACTTCACTCAGTAGAACGCCTTCTGGCAGAACTTTCGATGGCCCGGAGCTGTGCGTACCCATCCAGAGCTCGGCGTATGGCTTCTTGTCGTCAATCGTCAAATTGGACTCCTTGGTGGCTACCGCGAATTGAGCAGCCTTGGAATCCTTGCCGAGTTTTCCCCATTCGTACTGGTTTGTCTCGCATTGTAGTTGGAACAAGGGCGCTGGCAAGACCATGCTGTCTTCTTGGAAGTGGTTGTGTGTTGTGGTGGATGCCTGTCAGAATCGCGGTCGCGTCTTTCAAGCGGAGGAGCAGCCCCCGCAAATGCAAATCAGGCACAATCGGATACTTATGCATTCATTACGTTATAAATCTACTCTTTCTCAGCCAAGACAAGCCTGACTTCCTCTGCCAGCGTCTGGTAGACATCCTCCTTGATGGACTGTTCAAACTTCCACCCCAACTTGGCAGTGCGGTTGCCGACGCTCAGCGAGTTGCCACCAAACACATTGGCTCCGTCCGGTCGACCCAAGTACTGTCCCTCTTCTTGCTCCGTGAATGCCGTGGGCTCGAGGGACTCGAGGTGTCCTGACTTCTGCTTCTCGATCTCCTTGGCAATGGCTCTCACGTACTCGACCCATCGCAAATCGTGCTTGCCATCACTTGTGAAATAAACACCCTCGTCATTGACATCCGCTTCGCCCTTGACGGCAGCTTCCGTCACGGCAACAATAGCACTTGATGTATCATTGATGTGTGAGTAGGACCACAGATTCTTGCCTGGACCTGCCATACCAGGTACCTTGCGCTCATAAGCAGAGGCAATCAGAGCAGGCCCTTGCCTCGTCAGCTTCTTCATGCCTCTGCCAACACCATGAATGAGGGGTGGTAGGATCATGGCCACATCGATGTCATCTTCGCGTCCTGCGCGCCGGATCTCCAGGTCAATCTCATGGTGCAAGGCCTCTTTTGGTAGATCCCAAACACGCTTGGCGTCCATGTCATCGAAGCGCTCCTGCTTGCCGTGCTCGCCGTGCGCACCATCACAGAGCAACGCAGTGCCCGACACGTGGATGTGAAGGGGCCTTCCTCGCTTCAGTGCACTCGACGTCTGCTTGTTGAGCTTGAGGCCTTCATTAAGGGCGCTCGTCAGTGGCAAATCATCACTATCTGCAGGATTCATGACAATGTCAGATGCAGCGGCTATCTCCTTGATATCAGCCAGCTGGTCGTGAGATAGCTGATGATAGACGAAAGTGTGCTTGTCGAGTGACGAGCCATGCTCTTTCTTCAAGTGCTCCTTGAGCTGTTCTAGCTTCTTGGAAGTGCGAGAGATGAGTGTGAACTCGAGCTTGTTCTCTTGTGCAAGCTTTGAGTCGAGCAAGTCATCGAGGACATGGCCACCAAGGTAGCCCGTAGCGCCAAGAAAGAATATTTTGATACTGTCAGACATGATGAAAGTAGTAGTACTGAGGGAGAGAGGGAGGATACGTCTTCGCTCTTGTACTCTCGATCGACCAACGTCATAGTAGGGCAACACTCGGGCCGATGCAATTCATGCCACGCCATTCAGCCAATTGTAAAGGCCATCTCCATTGAGACCAAGCAATGATTATGTTGTAATGAGCCTAGCTATAGACATAAGATGCTTGGACAGATGGATTCTGGCAATATTATGCAGTTGATTGCCACGAAAATGACGTCTCCGCGTGTGAATGACAAATTCATACTTGGACACGTACCTCATTCACAAGTTAAAATACAATCATCTATTCTACGCGTCGTGCTCTTCTAATCTCATTAATCGAGCCAGCGTACCTCCAATTCATTGCATAGGATGCGTATAACTCCATTCTGGACCTTCTGTCTCGCCGTGGTGGCTGCGGCGACGAACAAGAAGCATCCTGCGTTCATCAGCGACACCCCTGCGACCTATCAGCAGGCGACTCGACAAAATGAGCAAGTCGGGCCCCTGCTACAAAGTCTTTGCACAGAAACAGACTTCTTCAAATACTACAAAGTCAACTTATTTTCGCGCGAGTGCAAGTATTTCACAGAAGATGGCGCGTTTTGTGGAAATCGCGCGTGTGCGGTAGATACGATTGAGGAAGAGGACGTGCCAGAGATATGGCGCGCGAGTGTATTAGGCGGTCTTTCGGGGCCTAGTGCAACGGCAGCCTCAGAGTTGCCACTCAAGACCCGGACGCCATCTGTTCAGTCGGATGCGAAGGCCGGCACAGGAGAAACGTGTGTACAAGATCAAAATGTGAAGGCCGATCGTGGATTTTGTATACCGGAAGATGCGGATAGCTCCTGTGTCTATGTCTCGCTAGCAGACAACGAGGAACGGTACACAGGCTACCATGGCAAACACGCGCATGCTGTTTGGGGTGCAATTTACCGCGAGAATTGCTTCGACAATCATGTCTCTGAACCTTTCCATGCTCCTTCAGATGCGGAAGCTGAGCAAGGGGTAGATGCATCATCACATCGATCCGCGAGTGGGTCTGAACAAGAATTCAGCAATCTCCTCCAGGATCCAGTCTTGTCGGAGCATGGCATTCAAGATACGTGTATTGAAAAGCGCATCTTTTATCGCATCATCTCTGGCATGCATGCAAGTATCTCGGCTCACATCTGTGCTTCGTACCTCGACCAATTGTCTGGGGCTTGGAAGCCCAATGTCACTTGCTTCCAGGACCGCCTTGCGCCCTACCCTGACCGCATCAGTAACATCTACTTCAACTATGTCCTCTTATCACGAGCAGTCGCCAAAATCGGTGATGCACTTGCAGGATACACGTTTTGTTCAGGTGATGTCGAGTTTGACCAACAAACATCCTCAAAAGTCCAAGAGATTGTCAAGTCCGCTGCTCAGGTGCCTTACGATGAGAGCCAACTCTTCGAGGACAGGCTGCTGAAAGAAGACTTTCGCAATCGCTTCCGCAACATATCAGCGCTCATGGACTGCGTCGGTTGTGACAAGTGCCGGCTCTGGGGCAAAGTCCAAGTGGCTGGCTATGGAACGGCTCTCAAGATTTTGTTTGATGAAGCAGAGACGTTGGATGAGCTCGATTTGCGGCAAGGCGAGCTTGTGGCCTTATTCAATACTTACGGTCGACTCTCGCATTCTTTGACGTCGCTCGATCAGACATTCGCATACACAATGCCAGGATCCGATGAGCCGATTCCGGTAGATGATCCCGAGCTGACAGAGACGGGCGCCTTGCCTGTTTCTGAAAAGAATGCAAAAGCCAGACATGCAGGGCCACGAGATCCATTCAGCAAGCTGCGCGAAAGTGTCGGCTGGATCTTCACCTCGCTCAACAAGCTTGGCGACAACTGGCTAACACGAACATTCTTTTGGAGGAGCTTCAAGTATGAGCTGTCGGAAATCATGCGCGCCTTTCGATTCATCTTTCAGTCCTACATTGACTTGCCACGCAATCTCTGGTACAAGCTGTTTGTCATGCGGCATCCGCAAGACTCGACGTTTTGGAATTTCTTATTTGATAAGAAGCAATCAGAGGAGCTATAGAGGGTATACAAACATCAAAAGTTTTGCATTCGTCTTTATCGTCCAATAACTATTAGGTCGACTTCAATCTTGCTGTTGCGTCTGACCTGAGAGGAAGCATCCTTGTTTGGGTTATGCGGGATCAAATCATCCACTATCTCGACTGTCCCTGTTCGCGTCACCAGCTTGATAACATCCTTCCGCCCTCTTTGAACAACTTGAGATATTTCAGTAGGAGCTACAGTCGGTACACTTGGTGCATCAGGTGTAATATTTGGACTTGTCAGCATGTCTTGGCATTTGAGCGCCAGGAATGCCGTTCTTTCAACGGCAGCGCCCATACCGATCAACGTGACCTTGCGTTCTTTGCCAGTAATCAGCTGTTCGCGAATACGCTTCAATAGCGAATGTAGCTGTGTTGTTCTGCTGATATAATGGATGGTCGGCGATGGTACAACATGTTTATGCACACCTCGTTTTTGCAGCTGAGCGTGTGCAGTTGGACGCCGTTTCTCAGGTTTCGTAAGATATGCCCTGAGTGAGCTTGGAGCTTCAAGATTTGGGAGCGAGACAAAGCAAGAGCGTTCTTGTGGTGGGGTTTTGAGACCAGCATACCTTTTCATTTGCCAAAGAATTGCTTTCCACTTGTCGATGCGATTGAGACCGAATCGATGGTCTCGAGACCAGTATTGTCGAATTTCTTCGAACGATTCTGCCAAGAATGCCTTGTCTTCCGTTGGACAGTAGCTTGCAAGGATCTCGACAGCTTCGATTGTGTTGACGTAAGCGTGTTCGTAAGCTTGTCTCAGGACGGAAGTAAGCGTTTTGAGCAGTTCAAGGGAGAGACAACCGGGCCCTTCCCGATACGCAAGGACAGGCAGATACCTGCGAATATAGTCGAATCTTCGCAATTGAAGTACGCTTCCCTTGAACTTGTTTCTCCGAGCTTTTACTCCTTCCCATGGATCGGAAATCCAGATTGCATCTACGATGCCATCTTGCAATGCACTGTAGAGGTCTAAATTGGCTGTATTTGAGAAGATCTTGACTGGCTCAACACCGCCGGCAATCTTGACCATTTCCTGGATGATGCTATCCTCGAATTGCGCATTGGAACTCCCATACGTCTTTCCTGCTAGGTCTTTTAGCTGTCCATTTTCTGCAGCATACAAAATCGCTGAGGGATCCCTATCGAGCAAAGCAAAGATCGATTTGAGTTGTGCTGGATTTTCAGAGATCTGAGAAGACACGATAAATTCAGAAGAGCAGATAGCAAGGTCCACGTTCCCCAGGCTCAGCTCATGTGCAGGTGTACTGGCATCGTGGTCTTTATCGGGAGAAATCAGTTCGATGTCCAGGCCATGCAGGATATCAAGCTTGAGTGCCTTGGCCACAAGAATGCCAGTATGAAGGACATCGGGTGTTCGGTCTAGAGCGAGCCGCAGCTTGACTGGGAGCATGTAGGTGCAATGCGAGCGATGTATGTGGTCATTGGAAGTCGTGAGGTTGCAGTCATCTGAACTCTTCTTCACAACTGCACAACGCAGGACCGCGCACTTTCTAACGGAGACTCATCGCATCGTGAAGCCTGACTACGCTTGTACTTCTACAGACATCTAGACAGCAAGAGCGTGCATCGCCAAGTCTTTCTAGCTAGAGACAGACGAAATGCCGCCCAAGATGGCTCAACAGGCCACGCCTTCTGCTGATGGACGCGCGCAACCGGCCATGCCTCGTCTTCCGCCGACACCACAGATGACTGCCATTGGGACAGAGGTGCAAGCGTTGACGAGCCAGATACAGCAACTTGGTGGACCTACGTCGACGAATCCCATGGCGCGCGAAAAGTTGATTCGGATTCAGCAGTTGAGGCAGCAGTACGGTGCCCTTGCCCAGCAGCAGTTTCAGGCGTATCGAGCGATGCAGCTACAGTCACCCTCACAGGCACAACAAGCGCAACAAGCGGCGATGATGCAGCAGCAGCAGCAGCAGCAGCAGCAACAGCAGCAGCAGCAGCAGCAACAACAGGCTCAACAGCAACAGCAAGCTCAACAACGCGCTGCGCAACAACAACAGCAACAAAACGCGGCACAGCAAGCGGCTCAAGCACGGGCAGGTCAAACAAATTCACCGGCCGGTCAGCAGGGGACTCTGCAAGGCAATCAGGTGCATGCGATCTTTGGCGCTGCTCCACCTCCCAATGCGTCTCCACAAGTACAGGCGCAGTGGGCTGAGCAACAAGCGCGTGTGCAGCAACTCCTGAAGCTCATGTCGGAATTGAAGACCAAGATCCAGGGGCTGAAGCAAGAGCTGACGAATCCACAAATGTCACCCGAGCTCAAGACGCAAAAGACGAATGAGATGCAGGATAGCATCAGGAAGTTTCAGAATTTGCAAGGGATCTTGCAGCAGGCTGGTCGGCAAGTACGACAGGCTGCAGGAACACCAGCAGCGCCTCAACCTGGTCAAGTAGGCGGGCAGCAAGGAAACACCGGTACAGCAGGGACGCCGATTCAAACTGCAGCTGGGACCACTGTACCCAAAGCACAGACACCACAAATGCAAGCACAACTCTCAACAAACTCAAAGCCAGGAACACCTCAGCCTCTTGCTGGTGGACAAGCGACCCCTGGTGGCACACAAGCGCAACAAGCAGGCGCTGTAGGCTCGCCGATCCCGGTTCAGCGCCAGAACAGCGCAAGTCTTGCGTCAGGCGCTACTGCCACGACGCCGTCTGTTCCTGTTGCTGTTCCTGTTGTACCTCAAACAGTGCCGCCCGGACGACCAACGCTTAGCAATGGCTATACAGGTCCCGCGTCTGTTTCGAGTCCTGCACTTGCACGTCCACCTGTATCGGCAGCTGCATTGCCACTTGATCCAAATGCGCGTATGCTTGGAAAACGCAAGCTGTCAGCACTTCTCGGCACGATTGACCCACTTGAGAAGCTGGACCCTGATGTGGAGGATGTACTGCTCGATGTGGCGGATGAGTTTATTGAGTCGGTGGTGAGTTTTGCGTGTCGTGTTGCGAAACACCGAAAGTCGGATGTGCTCAAGATGGAGGACATCAAGGTTGTGCTTGAGAAGGAGTGGAATATCCGCGCGATGGGCTTTGCGGATGAGCGGACAGAGACACGCAAGAAGCTGCCCAAGGAAGGGACGAAGGAGTATCGCGGGAAGTTGGCTGCGGTACAGAACGCCAAGTCTCTGCAGTGAGCAGCCTACCTTTGATGACCCTTATGGACTACAACAGTATACACGAGCTGCTAGGAGTAAAGAGTGTTTTGTATTGTTCCTCCATCTGCCAAAATTCATTTCTTCTCCGCCCTTCAACTGACACTCCATTTCTACTACCTTACTACTACTTTACTGCTCATGGCAAGAGAGCATCTCCTCATCAGAGCAGCCAAGGGCCAAGATGTCGAAAGGCCGCCCATGTGGGTCATGCGGCAAGCAGGTTCGTCTTCCTCAACTCACACATTAATAGCTAACACCCCCCGCAGGTCGATACTTGCCCGAATACCACAAGGAAAAGGGCAGCATGGACTTCTTCCAGACGTGCAGAGACCCTGAAGTAGCATCCAATATCACCGTTCAGCCTGTGGACCGCTATGAAGGTCTACTAGATGCCGCCATCATCTTCAGTGACATCCTGGTGATCCCTCAAGCACTTGGCATGGAAGTCAAGATGATTGACAAGCTTGGTCCTTCCTTCCCCAGCCCAATCAAGGGACCCGAAGATCTTGCCAAACTGCGTACACTCGATGAGATTGATGATGCGTTGGTGGATCGCGAGCTTGGGTATGTGTTTGAGGCCATCAAGGCCACCAAGACGAAACTACGCGATCGTGTACCGTTGATTGGCTTTTGTGGTGCACCCTGGACACTTGCTGCCTATATGATTGATCGTGGCGGCAGCAAGACTTTCCACAAACCAACGGCGTTTATGAGGCGACACCCGACCGCTGCACATGACTTGCTTGCGCGCTGCACAAAAATGGCTATCCCGTACTTGGTAAAGCAAGTGCAAGCTGGCGCTCAGCTGCTGCAAGTCTTTGACTCATGGGCAGGTGAGCTTGGTAAAGCGGATTTCATGGAATTCGCATACCCGTACCTCAAGGAGATTGCACACGGTGTGGACGCAGCGCTGGATGCACTCCATCTCCCACGCGTACCAAAAACAGTGTTTGCAAAAGGTGCGTGGTTTGCATTGGATGAGTTGTGTGAGTGCGGCTATGAAGTGGTTGGGCTTGACTGGACGCACGATCCTGCAGAGGCCGTCGCCGTTGCGCGTGGTCGTGTCACTTTGCAAGGAAACCTGAATCCGGCTTGGTTGATTGCCGGTCGTGAAGTATTGACGGCGGAGGTGGAGAAGATGATTGCTGGGTTTGGCGGTGGGAAGCGTGGATACATCATCAACCTGGGACACGGCATCTTCCCTGAAGTCGATCCGGAAGACCTCAAGTGGTTCTTCCAAGAGTGTCATCGGGTCGGGAGTGTGTCTGAGCCGCATGAGTTTTGAAAAGAATAGTTCAAGTAGATGGTTGTCTCTCGGCATACCTTGGCAGCGTGATGTGTTGTGCTGGTCAGTCTATGCCGTATATGATGATCTACAGATAGTCTACGAAGGCCCTCTTGGCGACGTCTTGATGGATGATGACTGGGTTGAGTATGACATGCTGGCTGTGCTGGATATTGCGCGTTTAAGTTTGCCAAGACCGCAGCCTGCCCCTGGGCCATTCCTGGGCAGACAATTGACTTGATTCTTGGCTGTGCAAGCCTGGCAAGATATAAGAGCTGGGGCCCGCTACAGAGCTCAGTCTAGTGACTACGACTACAATCATGAAGTTCCTTCCAATGCTACACAAGAAGAGCGCAAGCACTAGTTCTACAGCCAGCAGCAGTCAACATGATCTGCTCACATCAACAACAATGCCCGCAGAATGGCGCATGCAAGCGTCAGAGCCATCGAAATCAGCAGCACACGGTGAGGAGGTACGTCGGCGGGTCGCGCGTGTCATGCGCTGGGATGGCATGCGACAGACACAGACGCAAGACCAATATACCACAGCGGATCTAGCAATGCGACGACGACGCAAGTGTCCGCAGTGTTTCCAGATTTACGATACATCGAGCGGACACCGACACCCGATGGATGCGGTGGCACGGCATCAGGCGACGGAAGCACTTACGATGCTCGCGAGTGATAGGATCATGCCGCGTTGCCGGTCTAGCAGCCTGCAGTCAGATGACACGCTTGTGAGTGAGGGAGAAGAGGAGAGCTGGCGGAGAGAGAAGCGTCGAAGCAAGTTTGTTGAGATGATGGAGGATGAGCTCGAGGGAGAAGCAGCGGTTCAGGGGGAGGTTGTACGGATCTATTTGGCGCGGGATGGGCCGCATCAATCTGTGTGTGAGGCTGACAAAGCAATGGTATGGCACCTGAATGGAGAGCGGATGTTTTTCTAGCAGTAGGAGAGAGCAGTAGAAGCAGTGATGTCTAGTAGCAGCAGTAGAGTAGATTGAGTAGTAGCAGAGTAAAGAGAGCAGCACGTGTCCCCCCTTCCTAAATCTGGCGCAGGAGCAACTTCGAGCAACTTTCCTTCCTTCCCTTCTACTTCACCCTGCAACCAGACACGCTCGCTGCTCCCGTCCACAAGAGACTGCATCAGGCCCGCACGCCAAGTCAACGCGACATTCATCCCTCGTGAACTAGCATCTACTACGCAGCAAAAGCAAAACTTAAATTCAACAGGAAAAACGGCGTCATGCATCTCGCCACTCCTGCACTCGCGCTCTTGACAGCCTTCGCAGGTGTAGCGGAAGCCAAGACTGCCGCTGAATGGCGTTCTCGCAGTATCTATCAACTTTTCACTGATCGTTTCGCAATGGCAGATGGAAGTTCCCCTGTGTGTAACCTGGGCGAGCGGAAATACTGCGGCGGCAACTGGCAAGGTATTCAAAATAAGCTCTCTTACATCACTGATCTGGGCTTCGATGCCATCTGGATCAGTCCCATCGTCGCATGCACAGAGGCCCTCACCCAGTACGGCCAATCCTACCACGGCTACTGGACCGTTGATATCAATAAACTCAACCCGCATTTCGGAACTGCCAACGATCTCAAGAATCTCGTTGCGGCAGCGCATGCACAGGATGTCCTCGTCATGATCGATTTGACCATCAACTCCATGGCCTACCCCGGCGCGCACGACAAGGTCGACTACTCCACCTTCCAGTCCCCCTTCAATAAGGCCTCAGCCTATCACCAATGGTGTTGGATTGACTATACCAATGCCACCAGTATTCTCGAATGTTGGCTCGGTGACGACAATGTCGCTTTGCTGGACGTCAAGACGGAGGACTCTGGCATTCGTTCAACCTACCAAAACTGGATCAAGAACATCCAAGCCACGTACAATGTGGATGGTATGCGTATCGATGCTCTCAAATCTATTGAAATTCCATTCTTCCCAGACTTCCAAAAGGCAGCAGGCATGTTTGGTCTCGGTGAGAATTACCAAGCAGATCCTACCATGAATTGTGCCTACCAGCCTGCTGTTGATGGTTTGCTCAACTTCCCCTTGTACTACGGCGCTTTATTTGCCTTTAACGGCACGGGTGGTGGTATGGACAATCTCGCTATGCTCATCAAGGCCAACTCCGGAAACTGTACCGATGTCTCTTTGCTCGGCAACTTCTTGGAGAATCACGATGTGCCGCGTTACGCAGCTTCCACCAATGATCAGCACCAGCGTCTTAATGCGTTTGCATTCACCTTCGTTATGGACGGTATGCCGGTCGTTTACTATGGTCAGGAACAATCATTCACCGGCACAGCCGATCCCCTCAATCGTGAGGCACTTTGGCCCTCTGGCTATGATGAGAAGAATCCGTACTATCAAGCAATCAAGGCTCTCAACGCCGTCCGCAAGAATTGTATTGCAACCGATGCTACATTCTTGACTACAGAAACGACGATTCTGCAGCACGACATCAAGCGCATGGTCCTACAGAAGGGCGACCTCCTGTCCATCTTGTCGAACGATGGTATTTATGGCTCCAACGAGACCTATGCGATTCCCAAGACTGGTTATGCCGGCAACACAGAACTCATTGAAGTGCTCTCGCAGAACCGCACAACAACGGATGCAAGCGGTGCTTTATCCATCAAGCTCAAGGCTGGTGCACCACTCATCTTTTGGCCGTACTCGAAATGGAACTCTGCCATTTCACGGCCAAACCTGGATATTGTGATTGATACACGGACAACAGCCACAACAACCGTGACCACCAAGTTCTTCTACCCGACTGCGCAATCTATTCGTTCTGATGCGTTGCAAAAGTCAAGTATGTCGCTTGCTTCGTTGATTGCGTCGCTTGTTGCCGGTGCTGCTGTCTTGGGTGCGTTTGTCGTTGCTTAGAGTTTCTTTGCTGGATGTAAACATCTTTGTTTCTCTTTGAGTCCTTGGGGGAATTCTCGATACTAGAAGTTTTCCATAATAGCGTGCACTACTTATTCGTCAATGATCTTGCTTGTACTTCAACTCGTTCAACTCGATTCCCCTGATTGCGTAGTTGCCAAAATCAAAGAATTTCGAGGGTCACGCTTCAGATGGGCTCGGCGTGCGACAATTCTCAAGAAAAGCTCGACTCACATGAACATGCGACGGCGCGCCATCGAGTGCATCTTCTAGCACAAGCATGGACCTTCCCATCGAGCAGGCCAGCCAGCGCAAACGTAAACGTGGGCATCGTGCACCGCGTGCCTCCAAAGCTGCTGCACAAACCACAAAGCGACTCTTCATCTCTGGCATTGCACCAAGTCTGTCCACCACCGATCTCGAGACGCGTCTGGCTACGTATGGCGAGCTAGTGACTCCTTTGCAACGATGTAGCAAGTCTCTCGATCAGCCACGAGCCTTTGCGCATTGCACCATTCGCTTCCCTGCGGCTCAACAGGCGCAAAAGGGCGATAGCTGGGCAAAGTTGCGCAAATTGTCTGGCACGGTCTTGAAGGGCTCCAAGCTCCTGATTGAAGAAGCCAAACCTGACTGGGAATCCAGGAGACGTCAGGATCTAGCGCGTGCTGAACCCAAAGTGCCCAAACCACGGCAGCGCCTACCAAAGCCTGCGACGGCGGCAGCGAAACGGGATACGGTGCTACTAGGTGTTGCTTGTCGACGTGCACGAGAAAACAAGGTCGTGCATGATCATGAACTGAAGAAGGGACGGAAACGCGGATGGATCAAGGGCAAGTATGGGCGTGCTATCTGCGTATTAAAGCAAGACGTCCCGCCTGGTAGAAAGGGCAAAGAAAGCGGCAAGCCTGCCGTACTCAAACCTACAGACCCTGAAGCCATACAGAAACTCTGGGGAGTCTTGCATCGTAAGTCTGATCAATTGACCGGGTACTACGATAGCGACGACGAGACGTGGCATGATCGACGTGGGAGGATTATTCACGAGCAAGAAATCACATTACGAAAACCACGCATTGCCGATCAGAATGGTGGAATTGGTGGGCGAGTCGAGATTTGGGATGATGAAGAAGAGGGACAAGCCTCTGTGCAGACGGGTCGGATGGGTCTTGTCAATGAAGACGCCTATACCACAGCTGGTTCTGCACGGCCTGACTATACACCGGCAGATGCAGCTGCAGAGGAGATGGAAATTGACGAGTCGGCATTAGACGATCAGCTTGCAACGGAGAAGACTCTTGCGCAATCACTCCTGGCCGATATGTTTGGCGCTCAGCCAGAGACTGTTCCTCAAAAGGCACAAGTCGATCCGGCACTCAAGGAACATGATGTGGCGGATGCGCAGCGTGATCTGAAATCCTTATTCAAACCAACAGATGCCGCTGCAAGCTTTGCGCTGTTTGATGCCGGCGATGAGTCTGATGAAGACACACTCATGCCGCTGCAGCAGACAGAAACTCAATTGACGGCATACGCCACGGACGACCACTATGGAAGTGCCAACAAAGTGCAGCTTGGCAAAGACCGCGGCTTTGGCGACTTGCGAGGACATGCAGCAACCACGAGCAAGCATGCGTCTGTATTCCCAAACAAGTCTGCTGCTTGGCCGCTCCTCTTTGTGGCTCCAGCAGACAGTCCAGTCTCCAGTGCGCTCCTTGCAGGCTTCCCAAACTTTTTCCCTCAAGTGTTGCCAGATGCAGCCAAGTTGGCAGCAGACTGGGAGGCGTCGCGTCAGGAAGCTACTCGTGATTGGAAGAGGAAAAGGAGGGAAGGTGCGAAACGGCTGCGGAAGAGTGCTGCAGCTGCTGCGAGCGCTCCACGGGCCGTGCAATCGTGAGCAACTCTGTTCTGCTAAAATGCCCATGGCTCTTCAAATAGTGCATCGTACACTAGCTTAGCACCAGTGAGATTGCATTATGATATATGGAAACAAGTCTTGTACTCACGAGCGCCCATTGAGTCCTGCAACTTTTGCCGCGACAGCTGCAGTCCGTCCACGCGTCTTACGTGAACCCAGGCCAACAGCTTTCGTCATACCGCTGCCACTACTCGCACGACTTTCCCCTGCATGACTCGTCACGCTGGTTGACTCCTCACGGAGCAGTGACGCTACGGATGCGCCACCCTTGAGACTCCCGACATGATCAGTTGAGAGAGATGAAGCCTGACGAACGAGCGTCACGTCACCCGCTTCATTGGCACGCCCTTCCAGTCGTGCAAGGATGCTTCGTCGAACAGCAGCGGTTTCTGGGTCCGCATACCGAACCTCACCTTCCTCTTCCTCTTTCTCTTGCGGTACGAGTTGAGCTTTGGCTGTATCGAATGCATATGCATCTTCTCGAACAGCTGTCGGCAAGCTTGCTAGACGCGTTCGTAGAGACAATCCCGCGCCAGGGATAGAGACATCAGAAAGCGCACCGTCTTCGATAAAAGCATCTGGCGCACTAGCGGCCCTGCCAAGTAACCGACGGGAACGCTTGCCCGATCCACTGGGTATCATCTTGGCTGTGAGGTTGAGTGCCGAATCCACACTAGACGTCGCTGTCGCCTTCTTCTCCAATTTCGCAGTAGGTTTCGATTTCGTAGGTTCAGCTTTGACACTAGGCTTGGCGGGTGATGTCTTGCCGGGTCTAAAGCCACTTTCTGCGACTCTGCTCGAGGCAGCATCACACGCTCTGAGCCAAGCAGGTGTCACTGCAATTGCATCTCCATCATCAAGGATACTTTCCTGCTTTGCGAGCTGTTCGAGCTCACCAACGAGATGGGTGATGGTATCCAGATAGCTCTTCACTAGCTCTGCGCCAAGTTCAAGGGTAAGGAAAATAAGCAGCTTGTGATCTTGACAGTCTGGACAAATGTAAACCTTGCAGCCGCGTAGAGCCTTGCGGCGATTTTGTTGACGTACAACCACACCATCCAAGCGACAGCGAGAGTTTTCAATACCATCGAGTGCGTATTGCACGATACCAGTTGATTGGCCGCATGTAGCAATGGCTTCTAGCCAAGCAAGGGACACCACACGCACACCTAGCTTTGGAGCGGCATTGCAGCGTCTTGATGAGGGCGACTTTGCAATGAGGATACTGCAATCTCGTGTCAAGGTTTCTGTGAAGCGCGCGCCAACGAGCTTGATGAGCTTTTCCGTATGCAGTAACTCAATGCCCTCAAACCCTGTCGTGCAAATACTCATCTTGTTCATCTCTGCTACCGGGAATTGTGAGGCGTATGGTTGACAGCCAAGGGATTGGGATGGGTCAACCGTACGACGAAAGTGAAGACATCGCTCGATCCACCACTCCGTCACAAGGGTCGTGGCATCTACCTGCATGGGCGGTGTTTGACCTTGTGGTACCACCACGTAGCAGCCCGGTTGTACATTGTCAATGATCTCGCCTTGTTCGCCCTCAAGGGCAGCTTTGACCAAGCGTTTTTGCCGCTCATCGAAGCCTGATATGGCAAACTTGAGACCGCGAAAGATGGGTAATGAGGGTGCGTCATCCAAGCCACCCTCGGCGTCGCCGATGAAGTGTGTTGTCGTGTCTGGCAAGTCGAAAGTGACATCTTGCTCGCCTGGTTGTGAGGGTTGGTCGGCTGGTCCATTGATGAAGATCTGATCCCATAGACCATCGCTATTGCCAGCATGCTGAGATGTTCTTTTACTCAATTTGCGCTTGAGTGCGACTGCCGGTGCCGTGACGTCTGCTTTACGCTTCAAGCCACTCGATAGATCGCTACTTGCCTCCATGACCACGGGCTTTGCTGGGGGTTGCCACGCATCCTTGCCGCGCTCTTTGCTTGGGATGGTCAAGCTAAAGTACTCCTCGCCGAGTGCAGCGCCTCGCTGAATACTGACATGCAACCACTCAATACCAACGACCTTGATGCCATTATTCCACACGGCAACTGCATCAAACTTGCGACCTGATGCAAACCCAGCAATGAGATGTGTATTTTCCTTAGTCAAGTCGCCTGTATACTGACCGCCATGCTGCTGAACAAGGGACTCTACCTCTGACCGCTCATCCGCATCCAAATTTGTTACTGAGATGCGCAGTCCAGTAAAGATCTTGTGCCTGTATAGTTTCTCGAGGCGACCTACATCCACATCCTGGCCTGAGATCCAGCGTTCATGGAGTTGAGCGACCCAATCGATACCCATGAGCTGGATATCTGTCCGTGAGCGTGCTGCGAACCGGTACTTGTCAGACTGGGAGGAACCCACGACGAGATGTGTGACGTCGGAGGTGAGTGCACCCTGGAGGGTTGCGCCCATGTCGTGTGCCTGTCGCGTGATGGATACGCGTTGATGGGCTGGTACGGCTGTGCAGCATAGGACGACATGGCTGAGGGGCTTCTCACTCATCTGTGCCTCATGGATCTGTCTACAGTATATACTTCATCTATTCTTCATGTCGCGTCTTGTTCGCGTCGAGGGAAAATGCACGTGACTTCTCTACTTCTACTGCTACTGCTACATCTACTGCTACTTCTTACCGCTACTGCTACTTCTACGTACTGACACTCCTTCTTTAGCTTCCTGCCTACCATAGCAGCATGGCGGACCAGGCACTCCCCATCGCACCCCTCTCAGAGTCAGAGGAAATCAAGTACCGCAAGAAATGCAAAGCACTCAAGAAGCGCATCAGCGAAATCGAACAAGCCAATGATACCCTCATCACAAAGCTAGCACGGACAAAGCGCTACATCCAGCGTACAAGGCTAGAGCGTGCCTTCCTGCTCGAAAAATTGGAGCAAATTGCAAGTCGTGATATGCAGGCGGAAGATGAACACGCATCACCCAGCCCACCGGCAAGTCCTGGGTTTGAAACGTATCTCTTGCAAAAGAACCCATCCTACCTCGCTGCCCATCCAGTGAGCATGTCACCTGAACCAGGGCGTGCCACCAATGGTCATCCAAAACCAACACCAACAACAACGGGCACACCTGCCCCTTCCAAGTTACGCATTGAGAAGCCCGCAACGGCCCATAAATCAAAAGCACAAGCAAAACGCGACCGTGACCCAAATCTACCGCGTCGCCCCAAGAATGCCTTTTTGCGATTCTGTGATCAAGAAAGGGAAGCCATCAAAGCGAATTGGCAAGGCGATGAAACGGGTGAGCCATTGGATCTGTCGAGGGAACTAGGAAAAGTGTGGCAAGCCATGGATGATACACGGCGGAAGATGTATCAAGATCAGTTTGAAGAAGACAAGTTGCGCTATGAGCGTGAGTCCATTGCCTATGAGGCTCAAAAGAAGGCTGCATTGGAAGCAGCCTCGAATGACACCTTGCCAACTGCTGCTGATTTACAGACGCCTGCGGCCGGTGTGACTTCGGCAGAACAGCCAAGACCCACTGGCTCGTCACCTGCACCGCCCGGTCACGCAGATTCAGCCATGGATGAGGATGAAAATATGACTGATATTGAGGATGCCGAGGAAGACGAGGAAGAGGAAGGCACCGATCAGGACAGTGGCGACAATATGGACGAAGATGAGTCGGGCGATGATGCAGCGACGGAGGATGGTGCTGGGCCTGGGCAAGCAACTCCTAGCGTACCCAAGAAGACAAGCGGCGGCGGCTTCACTGCAGTCAATTCGTCTTCGACGTAAGAGGACGATGTGCAAATCGACAGGAATTGTAGCGCTACAAGAAATAAAGACTGAACCAGGGCATTGCATAAAAAGATGTGGTCATAGGGTCATCAGAGTATACTGTCAATATCGAAATCAAACAATGCAGCATCGGCAGGCTTGTGGAATTGAGACTTCGGAGGGCCGACCATGCCGTTGCTCTTTGGACGACGCGCAGACGAAGGCAGGTTGATAGGTTTGATGGAGAGAGCTTTGTTGGGACCCGGCAATGCAGAGGGAGTAGAGCGACCTGGGATTTTGCCTGATGGTCTAGCGACACTTGCATTCTCCTTCCCGCTTGCTCCTTTGGTTCTCGCCCGAGCAGATGCGGTCGGTGCAGCATAACTCGCTACTTTAGATGTGGCTTTTGATTGCACCTTGTCAGAACCGTCCTCTTCAATCGGTACGAAGGCTGGCAAAGGCTCTTCCTGCATAGGCTGGGTATATGCCTTCCATCGTTGAGATTTCTTCGCTTGCTTTGACAGCACATCGAAAGCATCCCAATCCATGGGCTCCATATTCTCAGGCTCGGAATAGGGCAGCTCATCAGTGACGGGTGGCGGCGCATATTCTGGCTCGGGAATATCGATCCCCGTCGCCAGTGCTCTATCCAGCGCTTCTCTCAAGGCAGCTCCACCGTTTGCGGTTTGTGTGGGTGCTTCTTCCTGCAACGGCACATCGAGCTTGAAGACTGGTTTCCCCAGGGTCATACTCACTTTACTTACAGGCGAGTGCCGCTTGCCCGTCTTGACTGCGCTTGAAAAGGGCTGACGGTGATGCACATTGGTGGATTTGGCACCGAGTGCTATACGCGGCTTATTTGCAGGCGTGATGAAGTGTGTAGAGGGCGCAGCGATATTGTTCTTGGGTGTTTTTGGGAATGCCGGGGCATTGGATCTGTTCTCCTGGTCACCCCTCAGCCTGATATCTGCCTGACGGTGCATCATTTTCTCTGATATACTTCCTATGCCTAGCCCTGCCTTAGCTGCTGCCTCTCAGCCTCTCCCAGTCCTTAGCAGTGAGTGGTCAGTGAACGTGGTGGTGGCTGGTCTGCCTCTGGTCGTTGCTTCATCTGCGAAATAAAAACAAAAACAAGAAACAGCGACACAGACCAGCGACCATCTGCCAGCATGGACATCGCAGCGTCCCTCTCAAGGCTCTCTGTAGCAGATGCAGCGCGTGTCCTCAAAGAGACCAATGCAAATACTCAGCACGGTACCAGCACAACCCACACTGGTAGCAAAACGCATCACACAGCCGACAAGCCATCACAAGCGCAAAGTGCAGGCACACAGCCCGTCAATAGGCTGCTCAAGCTCGCAGTACACAATCAAACAAGCAATAAGAACATTGCACTTTCTACAAATGGATACCGCCTCGCTCAGGCAGACCGGCATCACGATCGCAAGTCAAACGAAGCAAAGGAGAATGACGGAACAAGCGTTGCCTTACCGAAACAACCCTCTGCGCCGACTGCCTGGCATTTGAGTATGTTTGAGATTGGCAAGCCTCTAGGGAAGGGCAAATTTGGGAGAGTCTACTTGGCACAGGAGAAACGATCAGGCTTCGTGTGTGCGCTCAAGGTCTTGCACAAGGCAGAGCTGATGCAATCCAAGATTGAGAAGCAGGTGCGGCGTGAGGTGGAGATCCAGAGTAACCTGCGGCATCCCAACATCTTGCGTCTGTATGGACACTTTTACGACAGAGATCGCATCTTCCTGATCATCGAATTCGCTGGCCAGGGCGAGCTGTACAAGCATCTTCGCAAGCGTGGCCGATTCAGCGAAGCCCGTGCAGCTGACTACGTCGCACAGATGGCCTCAGGACTGTCTTATCTACACAAGAAGCATGTCATCCACCGCGACATCAAGCCAGAGAATATCCTGCTCGACTTGAATGGTCTCTTGAAGATCAGCGATTTTGGCTGGTCTGTTCATGCTCCCAACACAAGGCGGGCCACGCTCTGTGGTACGCTCGATTACCTACCACCGGAGATGGTCGAGGGCAAGGATCACAACAAGAATGTCGACTTGTGGTCACTTGGGGTCTTGTGTTATGAGTTTATTGTTGGGACGCCGCCATTTGAAGACATGTCTGGCCACGCAGCCACATACAAGCGTATCGCCAAAGTCGATTTGCGCATTCCCGATCATGTCAGTGCAGAAGCCAAGGATCTCATTACGCGTCTGCTGCAGTACAACCCTGAGCGTCGCTTGGCCCTGGATCAGATCCAGCTGCATCCGTGGATTCGAAAACACGCAGATTCATTTGTGAAGCGGACGAGTAGCTAGCAGAGTCTCAGCTGGATGAAAGTTCTCCTTGTATGAAATGACGCATGCTATTCCTTCTGTTGCTCTGAGCTCCTAGGCCTCCGGCTGGGAAGTCCTGCTGATGGGCCTCACTTCCGGTAGCCAGCCCGCGATCTTTTGCAAGACGACACGCTTGGGGACAATGGACCGATTTGTTGCAACAAGCGTTGTTGCATCGTGTCCCTGTTGTAGAAGCTTGGCCACAGCCTTGTATGACGCCCACCCTGATTCCTGTGCCTCGTTGGCATCCGCCAAAGTAAGCTGCTCTGTCAAATGTGCCAAGTCGGGTGCTTCATAGTCGACTGCTACTGGCCGTTCTGCCACACGACGCGCTTCCAGTCTGCGCTGACGCTCTGCTTCATCTAGTTGAACCTTGGACTGCGGCCGAGCGGGTCGATTACCCGTCTCGCCGACCTTGCGCGGTCCACCAGGTCCTCCTGCAGTACCTCCCCGTCGCTGAGGACCACCCATTCGACGTCCACCATTCATAGTAGATGCAGCAGGCAAGGCGAAGCGTGTACCAGTCTTGGTGCCCTTCCCTGGAACACTAGACGGTGTACCACGCTGCCGTTCAGCGACTTTATCCGCATACGACCGTCGCTTCTGTACAGCACCCGCTGACGAATCAATCCCTGCACTTGCTGCCAATCGATCGAGGCTCGCCACATCACGACGGAAGCTGACACGATCACTGCCCGAACCACCCATACTGCTAGGTCCCGTAGCACCTGTAGGTGACCTGCGTGAAGCCAGTGTATCGAGTGCAGCGGTCAAAACGCTCTTCTCTTCAGACACTTGAGTTTTGGCTTGTCCTTGTGGCCGTCTGCTGGAAGAGACGCCTAAAGGCTGTACATTGCGTAGATTACGGGTATTTTGACCAGGACTGCGATTCGCCATCCTCTCGAGAAAGGCAGAGGTCTTGTTGACAAAAGCATTGGGTTTCCCACCTGGTCCACGGGCTTTCAGCTCAGCAGCCTCGACCATACGGGTCATTTGCCCGAGTGCTGCATATTTGGGGTCGATCTTGCGGGGTCTCAGTGCAGAGAGTGTGTCGAAGGTGAGCTTCGCCTTGGGTCCAGACATCCTGAACTGTCTGGTGCTGTCCTTCTCAGCTGCGTATGAGCTCTGGGCCGTTCTGTAGCAGCCTCTGGTACTTGGTGTGCGTTGATCTTGGTCGTCTGAAAATCTCGCGGCACAACTCACAAACGGCGCAACTACGCAGTCTACATAGACACAGACCAGCCAGTGGAGTCATGGCAGAGCGCAAGGTCATCAGCAAGTACTTCCCGCCAGACTATGACCCCACGCAAGTCACCAAGACCCGCAAAGGCAGAGGGAGCGGCATCAGTGGTGGTGGCGGCAGCATCAATGGCAAGCAAACAGTGCGACTCATGACGCCCTTCTCCATGCGCTGCACAACCTGCGGAGAATTCATCTACAAGGGCAAGAAATTCAATGCGCGAAAGGAAGAGACAGGCGAACGCTACTTCACCGTCAAGATCTTTCGCTTCCATATTCGCTGTACGCGTTGCTCGAATCCCATCACCTTCAAGACGGACCCGAAGAATGCCGACTTCACGGCAGAGTCGGGCGCTACGCGCAATGTGGAACCTTGGCGGGCGCCGAAAGCGGCAGAGGGTGATGATGAGACGGAGCTGGATAAGCTGGCAGAGGAAGAAGAGGCAACGGCCATGGAGCAGCTTGAAGTCAAGACTGTCGATGCCCGTCGCGAGATGGAGATTGCAGATGCGCTCGATGAGATTCGTGTGCGTAATGCAAAAGCAGGGAGGATGGATCCAGATGTCTTGTTGCGCAAACTGGCGGCAGACAAGGCGAAGGAAGAAGCAGCGAGGATGGCGCAACTGCAAAGTGCGACAGAAGCTAATGAAGCGGACAAGGCTTTGGCGAGAAGTGTCTTTGCCTCTGAACAGACGGATGCGCCTGTGAGACGTATACGAGAGGATGAAGAGGAAGTTGCCGCCGCTGCTGCGAGGCCTGCACCAGCACCGATAATCAAGCCAATGCCCCTGGCGAAGAAGCGTGACCGGGGTGCCTTGCTCGGCGTCAAGTTGGTCAAGAAGACGAAGCTTGTATGATGTATGATAATGAAGTGATGAATGAGATTTCTACAACTCATCAATCTCATCGTCTGAATCCAAGTCGCCATAGCTCTCCTCCAGCCGTCTGCGCTCCTCCTCGAGCTCGAGTACGGCCTTTCTGCTCGTGTCTTCAGGGAAACGCATAGCCCGCACACTCTCATTACGCAGCTCAAGGCAAAACTTGATGCGCTCGTGGAAGCCATGTTGTGGTGCATCTGAGCTGTAGATGTCAACAGGAGGCGCACTCAACAATTGAGCCTGTTCGTGAGAGAGTGTTGCACTGATGATGTTTTCGTGAATTGCCTTTGACACAATGTACTCCGCAGACTCCTCGCTCGACAAGCCGAGTTTGAGACAAATGTCCTTGAGAGAGATGCGGGAGTAGGACAAGCTTATTGAGCGGATGCCCGTCTTGAGCACATTGTTTCGCAGTCGAGCGACGAGTGAGGCATTGCCGTCCTTGGAGAATGCCTCATTGTGTGTCTGCATTACCTTGGCAAACTCTGTCAAGTCTCCCTTCCGCACAGCATTCACCAATGCGGCATATGGGCGCAGCGACTTCTCCAAGAATGGTTGCTTGAGTTCGCTCTTGGCCGGAATCTCTCCAATCAAGAGTTGCACGACCAAGTTGAGCTTGTGCACTGACTGTAAAAAGCCAGCCGTGTGTGCATTCATATCGACTTTGCGAATAGCATTTGTTAAATAGTCGCTCGCGCTCGAGTAGTCAAGTTGAATTGCGCGCACGCGGGCAACGTAGTAGAGATACCGTGCAATGACAGCATTCGGGGCAGCGGTCGGGAACGTCGTCTTGCTGATGAGCTTGTCTGCTCCCATCACATCATTGAAAAGCAAATGGTTCCTCAACAGCAGTGTGATGAGCATCGCCAGAGAAGCATTGTCGTGCCGGAGGGTTGCCGTACGCTGTGCTTGCAGCAGAGTTGGACGAATCTCCTCGGCAAGATTGAGCAGTTCTGCAAAGCGAGCATAGTAAAAGTAGATTTTCGAGGCAATTGGATCAAACTTGCGGTTGTTTGCAGCTCGAATGTAAAGGAGTAGCGATTGACTGAGACGATAACCAGTTTCGTATTTCTCTTCTTTGAGCAGCGTCACCTGGACAAGGAGGCCGATGGATATGTCAACGAGAGGAGGAGCAGAACCTGTCAGGCTCTTGGCATTGTAAGTTCCGGACAAAGCCTCCGCAAAACTCGGCGATGCATCGAAATGCCTGACAGTCTGAGCGAGAACTTGACTGCTGAGCAGCGGTTTGATTTGCGGTATGGAACGCGCAAAGATGCTGAGCTTGCTTGAAGCACCTGGCAGGAGGCCTTCGACGAGCTGCTTGACCTTGTCGGTTGCTGCAGATGTCTCGTCCACAGCGGGCGGGTCCACCTCCATGTCGTCTGCCATGGCTTCTGTCTCGTAGTAGCCTCGCTGGACACGCTGCCTGTCTCTTGGGTGAGTAGCTCTTGTGTCTTTCTACATGACGCGTCTCTCGCTCGCTGCAGTCATCAGGGTTAGGCTAAGAGGCTTCAGATGGGCAGGAACTACGGCAACCTCGCGAATGTCCCAGCAACGAGCAGCGGAAACACAATGGACGCATCGCCATACACCTTGACAGCCTCTGCATCACCCCGCAGTTTCCCCCAGCTGATACTCTCGTCCGGTCTTGCACCAGAATCACTGCCGTCAAACTCCTGGCCAGTGTTGATATACACAGCATAGTCAGCCCCGTTCCGCATGAGGTTCGCATTGGAAATGTGGTGCTTGACGACACCACCACCTAGTATGATCATGCCTGTTTGTTTTGCACGCACAGCAATGGTGTTGATCTTGCGGATGTCCGAAGCAATATCGACAATGAGACCGGGGTTTTTGAACGAGTGAAAGTAAATCATATCGCCGAGCGACCCGTCCGTCAGCGCAGGGCAAAAGACGGGAATGTCGTTCTTATACGCCCAGTACAGTACGCTCGAAGGATCATTGATGACCTTACCCAGTCGATGTATCATGGAAGAGGGTGTCCATATGACCTGTTCCTCCTTTTGTTCCTTGAGCATCTCGTCCAACACAGGCAACACCCAGTCCTCAAACTTGCAGTAGTTGTCGTTTGGGACGAGCAAATTCCCTATCCGATTTAACCCCTTGGATCGGAGAGATTTGCCATCCAGATTGAATGCTCCGAGATAGGTGGGCCCGAGGCACTTGATGAGGTCCTCTTCAATGCCGCCAGCCGTGGTCACCAGGCATGATACATGCTTGTGCTCAACCAAGAAGCGTATTGATTCTCTCACTCCGCTCGATATAAGGTTCGAGGTGTAGCCGAGGAATACAGTTGTCCGTGCATCCTGTTCCGTTGGCTCAGGGGATCGCCAGGCAAGCTAGAGTATTAGCTAGCTCGGCAGTGGCCACTGCACATACCATTTGTTCGATGACTTCAGCTGCTCTACCGACTGAGGTGGCCTGAAAGCCTGTTGTGGTCATTGACGCAAGCAACTCATCCACTGTGATGCCATAGCCACGCCTCGCTGCATCTTGTTGTAGCTTGTTGAAGTCAAGGCCTTGCACCTGCACGGAATCCTCGGGCATGGCGGCAGACTGCACTAAGACTGCCGCTGCAGCCTTTTGCGCATCGTCCTGCGACTGGTCTCCATCGTCCATCTGCCTCTCTAGCCTCGACACTGCAGGCTGAATGCACAATAGCAAGTACTTGTATTTGCATCTGGAAACAAAAAAGTCCCCGCAATTCTCACGCCTGGAACAACGCGCATTCACCAGCAAGCTTGAAAGTCGCGACGCGTAACAATTGCAAGCACTGCAGCATTGATCAGTAGCTGGAGCTCTGCAGCTAGACATGGGACTCTTGTCGCAGTTAGGAACGCTTCTTTCTCTGGATACGCTCGATGGACAGGTCCACAAGCGTGATGCCACCTCATCCAGGAAGCTGCGTTGGAAGACGCCAGAGTTCATCTTCTACTTTCTAGTCATTGCTGTCTGCTTGCCTCTGATGTTCAAGGCTGCGATTGAGATCTCTGATAGTCGTCATCCAAATTACACAAGCTATGCCCATCTCTTGTCTGCTGGCTGGATACCAGGACGCCAGGTCGATGATTCAGACGGTCAGTACAGCTCGTTTCGGTCGCAAATTCCCCTGCTCTTTGTTGTACTAGGAGGCCATCAGGCTGCACGGTACGCATATGATTTATTGACGGGGGTCGCGGACAATTCTTCAAAGCGCAAGACTGCTCGCATAAGATTTGACCTTATTTCTGGTCTCGTCTTTCTTGTTGCACTACATGGCACAGGCGCAATCAAGCTACTGATTATCATGGCGTACAGCTATGCTGTCGGCAGGACCTTTGGTCAAAGCATTTACACGCCCTTGCTGACCTGGACATCCATCATTGCGCTCTTCTTCCTGAACGAATGGTATCAGGGCTACAAGTTTGCAGCCTTGTCTCCATCGCTCGCAGTCCTAGATGAATACTCTGGCCTCCTTGACAGATGGCACATTCACTTCAACGTCACAGCATTGCGCATCATCTCATATAACATGGACTACTATTGGTCCATTGGGAAGCCTGCGGAGAAGCCAAAGAACAAGGTTCCTGATGAACGGGAACGCATCACTATATCGCCTCCAGCCTCAGACTTTTGCTTCAGCAATTTCGTGGCCTATGTCTTTTACACACCTCTCTACTTGGCTGGGCCGATATTGACGTTTGACAATTACATTGCTCAGCAACATGTGCAGCCTGCCACCATCACGAAACAACGCACCATTGCCTATGCTATCCGATTGCTCATCTCTCTGACCATCATGGAACTTGTTCTCCACTTCATCTACGTCGTAGCCATGTCCAAAGCGCATGCCTGGCAAGGTCTCTCGCCCATGCAGATCTCCATGCTCGGCTACTTCAATTTGCACATTATTTGGCTGAAACTTCTGATTCCCTGGCGCTTCTTCAGGCTCTGGGCCATGTCAGATGGTGTGGAAACGGCAGAGAATATGATTCGCTGCATGTCCAACAACTACAGCGCCCTTGCCTTTTGGCGTGCGTGGCATCGCAGCTTCAATCGATGGGTAGTGCGATACATCTTCATTCCACTTGGCGGTAGTGGCACCAAGACGACTGGCGGCGCTGCGAGCATGTTCAGCTACCTGCTCAACTCATTGGCAGTCTTCAGCTTCGTGGCCATCTGGCACGATATCTCGCTGACCTTGTTGACATGGGGCTGGCTTGTGGTGATTTTTTTGATTCCAGAACTGATTGCTACACAACTGACAAAGCCACTACGCAAGGAATGGTACTATCGCTACCTATGTGGAGTCGGTGCTGTTGGCAACATCCTCATGATGATGGCTGCCAATCTCGTTGGCTTCTGTGTTGGCGTCGATGGTCTGCGCGACATGATCTCAGAAATCTTTGGCAGTTTTGCTGGGTTTGCCTTTCTGGGCATTGCGTGCAGTGCGTTGTTTGTTGGTGTACAAGTCATGTTTGAAGTTCGTGAGGATGAGGCGACGCGTGGTATTGACTTGCGTTGTTAAGATGCTATGGCACCAAGCCAGGCACAGTCTCTCGGAGCCTTAGGCTGAAGGTCAGCTGTTGGGTTCAGATGGCAGTGCACAGACTCAATCTCAATCTCAAACAGGCACAGGGTCACCTATGCGACACACCCCTGAGGTCTGAGAGCTCAAGGATATTTAGCTCGCCTTTCGCTATTCATTCCTGAAAGCATAGCTCAGTTCAAGAGAGATGGCAACCGAAAGTGTGCAATGGGACGAAAAGAGCATGGATCTCGACCTGGAGGGCGGCGACGAGCAGGTTCTGCCGAAGTATTCACGGCATGAATTACAAGCTCTGGAGAACCCAAGTTGGACGGTGGATCAAGTCAAGACGTTGGTTCTTGAACTTCTGGTGGCACTACTGGTAGCGATGTCGGTTGCGCATCTAATCATCGCCTACATGCGAGAACACGGCATTGTCTTTTCAGTCGCTTGGCGCTCGAGTACTGTATGCGGCTCTGCAGCCTCGTTTCTCGAAGTCTCCTGGCCCACTGTTGCAGAGAATGCGAGTCAGGCAGCGAGTGCTCTAAACAAACAACAAGCGCCAGACTTCACCGGACTAGGTCAGCTGTGCAAGACGGTTCACAGATTCATGAGCTTTTATGCGCACTGAGTGGGGAAGGTCATAAGAATCGATTCATAGATGTACTGTACAATAGATCAACATGGCCGACTGAGCGCTTGTTCGCTAGATGTCCCTAGTGATGGTACTGGACCTGATGACGTTAGTTCAATGCGCTTTAGCAGCATAAAAGGACATACCCTGCCGCTGCCCACTGCTATCGACAGATGGCGTCCCCTGCGGATGATGTATAGGACCTTGGGAATGATGGTGTAGCGGTGGATCTTGTGCTGCACGACGATAGGCATGATTGGTCGATGTAGGCTGCTGCTTCTCTGGCTTGTCCTGGGTCCTGGGCGCCTCTTTATAGTGGGTCTCGTACCAGACTGCTTGATTCTCGCCTGGGCCAGCCACGATGACGGCGGCAATCTTTCTTTGCTGGAGACGCTCTCTCCGCCTACTGCTCGCCAACGACACAGACACGCTCCAGGCAGTGCTCAAGGCTATATTTGGGCAGAAGGCCAAGCTGTCAATTGCTACACACTACCTACCGAGGTGGACTGGGCTGAGTAGCCTGAGCTAGCACGAGCCCTGTTGACAAGTGTTTCACTCCAAAAGCTATCTGCAGCCGACCACGCTCAGCCTCGACTGTCGCCAAAAGCTGCGCTTGGCATCTCTGCTCAGTCAAGCATTGAACCTTAAATCATGAGCCGCACACAGATCCTCCATCAAGCCCGTAATGGTGTCCGCGTCGTGCTGTATACACTGCTAGGCACAGGCACGACGGCGGCCCTAGGCTTTGGCGGCATGCATCTCTTTCTGGAGAAGCAAGAACCCACTCCCTCATCTTGGCCTGCAAAAGCTCGCTTCGCCTACCGAGCTGCCGTCTTCAATCAGCGCTTCATGGACCAGCCTGAGGCTGCGCGGGAAGATCTACGTATCGTGCTAGCGCAGCTACAGGAAGCAGGATCAAGTAATGAGGCGACTCAGGAAGTCTGCTTGGCCAATGTATATGTCATGCTTGGTGACACGGCACGCAAACAAGGCAACTTACCTGAAGCACTCGAAGACTACGTCTCAGCTCTAGCTGCTGTACCCGTCAACAATAAGACCACAGCACTGCGGGCGAGTTGTGCGAGAAAGCTCGGTGAGATCCAGGAGCGGCTGGGTCAGCATGCCGAAGCAGCTGTCGCCCTCGATTTAGCCGTACAATGCTTCTTTCCTGAGCATCGACCCGGTATGCCAATCAAAGTACAAGCAACAGTTCGGCATGAGCCAGAGATGCTAAATAGTGTCAAGGCGCTTGCTCTGTTGCGTGCAAAGCAAGGCAAACTGAGAGATGCACTCAACACCCTCATGTCTGTGCTTCAGTATGAAGAGGTCCATCCTCAAATCACCATACACTCTTGCCAGACTGCGAGTACCATGTCCAACATCTCTGAGCTGGTATGGGCGCTCGGCAGCACAGTAGAATGCGAGAAATGGGCCAAACGGTCGCTCAACATTTGCCTCGAGCCGCAAAATAGGCATGATGATTACTGCGGCGAATGTGCCGCGAATGTGAGTCGCTGAAGCTTGATCGTTGCAGTGCTAATCATCTAGAATTACAACACGCTCGGGCTACTGGCGAGACGTGCAGGGAATATGCCTCAAGCGCGACAGGAGTTCAGCAAGGCTCTCCTGGCTGCTGAGCGGTCCAAGTACGAGACGGGCCTCTATGAATTTGGCGCCAACTTGGAGTCCTGTCAGAAGATGTAGCATTTGATAGCTCTGGCAGGCAGTAGCAGCTGAGTTGCTGAGTTGATGAGTTCATCGACGAATTTGACGCATCGATTGACCAGACAACGAGCCTTGAAGCAGGACGAGCAGGCGGCTCGAGAGACCAAGAGGGACAGCAACCATGTCCTTCTCGAGTCCCATTGCTCGCTCCCTACATGAGTCACAGGGCCGGGCAGCATCGCCTGCAATAGGTAGAGCAGCCCCGACGACACCGCAACAAGCAGGCAGCGCGTCAACACCCACGCGACTCTCCTCATTCCCGTCTCCCTTGCCAGCTACACCGACGTCAGCTGCTCAAACACCGACTGGTCGATGGTCGCACCCCGTCGTCAGCTTGATTCCGGAGTTGCAGCGAAAGAATGCGCCCAACGATAGCACCATCAGGAAGATCCTGCTCAACGCGTTTGCTCTCTTTGCCATCTACAAGGCATCTGTCTATATAGACATGGTTGCGAGACTCCTCTCAATGGATCTGCGCCTTATGATGTACATACGATATGGTCTGTATGCACTACTGACCTACAATGTCGCTGAGAATGTGCGGCGATTCGGATGGACCTTGAGTGATGCCGCCGCACAGTCTTACAGCTTGACGGAGGCTCAACGCAAGCAGCTCAATCTCCCTACATCACCAGCATCAACGGCCAGTATAGCTGCCAACAAGATCCTCAGCGCTGGCACGCCGACTCCCCATCGACAAAACCTGACACCACCCAAATACCAGAAACAATCGACGCCGAGTCCGAGTGCGTCACGGATTGTGCTGGATGCAACAGAGAGTGGCACACAGTCGAGTCAATCGAGACGACGGTCGTCACTGAGCAGTGATGGCAGTACGGATCGACGGCCTGCCTCGCCTGGCGGCGTGTTTCGACAATCGCCCTTGGGTCGACAAGCTGAGGGACGCTCCATCTCTTTACAACCGAACACGGCAAGCGGATCTCCACTAGCGATTGGTCGCTGGTGACTTTCTGGCTCTTCATGTCATGAAGGACGTTGTTTCACTTGTCTAGTCGTATACTGCGAAAAGAAGTTAGCACAAGCAACGATGAAAGAAATAGCCTCTTACCGTGTACAAGACCATAGAAGAGAGTCCATGTGAGAAGATAGGTAGGAAGTCCTCCGCTGCCAGACACAACGCCGAGCCACAGCGACCACGGGTCACCCAAGTAGCGTGTAGCGCGTCCATGTCGCGAAATGGTCTTGGCATCTGCCACCTCTGGCATTCGTAGAGCATAGATGCATAGAGATACGGCGATGCTACCAGCCAAAAACAGAGCAAAGCCCGTGAAGCCAGTCAAGCCCAGCACGCCGGCAACGAGACCCAGGATAGGTGCTGTCATGTTGCGCACGAATGCCACGTTTTGCGTGTTGTGCAACAGATTCTCTGGCACAATAGGCAAGTAGTCCTGCTTGAGCTGCTGCGTGCTCATCTATGCTTGTATAGTCTTGTCTGAGAAGGAGATGGGGAATCAACAGATCAAGAAGCTTGAACTTGTCGTTGTCTGTGTCTTTTGAGATGGGAAAATCCATTCTACGGCGAGATACAGCAGCGACCATCATCTACTTTCTGTTGGCACTTCCAGCAGCATCACCCTTGGCAGAGGACTCAGACGCCGCGTCAGCAGTATCAGAGGCCACAGGCTCCTGTTCGTCCTCCTTGTCGAGGTCCTCCCGGTCAGAGACGCGTGTCTTGCTCTCCTTCTCCTGCGCTGCCTCTTCCGCAATCAAATCGGCCTGCTCCTTCAGCACATCCAGACGCTGCTTGTTGGTGGCATGGCCTTCGAGAGACGACACTTCGAGCTCAGCCTCGTGGTACAGCTCTTCCGGTAGACTAGAGAGCGTTGCAACCAGAGCATCGTAGAAGGACTCTGGCTTGCCATCATTGTGGCCATAGCTAAAGGCATTCGACAAGATGAGCAAAGTCGATGGCACACGGTGTTTGAGACGCAAGTCAAGCCACTGCTTGAGCTCGTCACGCAAGTGACCTGGTGAGGAGCCCTGTGTGCGAATGCCGCGGGACTGACAGGCGGCATGCAGCTCAGGCACACTCAAGGAGGTGACGCCTTCGTATGCAATAGCCTTGTCGTCGCGCTTGATTTGCCGCATACGATGACGAATGTTGTAGCGCAGCAGTGTGTCTGTTCCAAAAGACGACAAGTTCATGTATCGGCACATGGCAATCAATTGCGGCCGCGACAAGTTGTCGAGTGTCAAGTCGTCCTTGAAAATGCGACAGACCTTGACAATATCCTCATGTGTTGGGCTGACAGCAGATGATCGTACCTTTTTGAAGAAGGCGACAAACTCCTCGCGTTGTCTGGTAGTCGCCGAGAGCGGCAAGCCAGACTCCTGAATCGTCTTTCTCAAGAAGCCACTGACGCCCTCTCGTGTCGTCGTTAACTTTTGAGCCTTGGCTTCTTTCGCCTTGGCACCTTCATACGTCGAGGGCAACATGTTTGGGAAGATCTTGAGGGCGACAGGGAGCAAGAGCTCTGCAAAAGGCACAATGACAAAGGCCGAGAAGGGCACCAGCCGGAGCAAGTCCTGTACGGTGCGCTTGAATTGTCGCCATTCTCGACGAGTCAGTTCGTGACCTGCCGCCATTTTGAGAGCAAGGCGGAAGGAGAGCTTGACTTCAAATACAAGCAGCTTCGTGCCGTCTCGGTAATGCGCTGCTTCCTTCTTTACTTTCTCCCAGAGCGTCAGTTTCTTCTCGTTCTTCGATGATTTCGCTGGCAGTCCAGTCTCAACATCGACTTGACCCGTACCCAATGCCGACTTGACAATGGCTTCTTCTTGTTCCGCAATCTTGGCCTTTTGCTCTTCCGTCAAGTCTTCTCTCTCGCCCTTGCTTGTTTTCTCTTTAGTGCTTGTTGACTTGGTGGCATTACATCTGACAGTACCTGCCGTGCTCTGATTGCTGTGCCCATGCCGCCGGAGACTTGAAAATGATTGTGCCGATGGGCGTGCAAAATGCCGAGGGGTCGCTCGAGCGGTATAAAGGACTTCGATCAGATTAGCAGCCGGACATGAATGCGAGACTGGTTTGCATACGTGTTGCGAGTTGCCTTGAGCATATGACCCGCTGGGCCCTGATCTCTAGCCGGAGCATGGCCTCTCTTGCTGTGTGTGTCGGCGTCTTGGCTTGTTCTCTTCCAACATCATCAAGTTAAGGCTGCACAACGACCAAGACACCACTCCAGCATGTCTGCCCTCGTCTATGCCGCAGAATTGAGGCTGGCCGAGCTCGCAGTCATCAGAGCCTCCAAGCTCACCTCCCTCGTCTTCCAAAACCTGGTTCAAGCGTCGACCGTCACCAAGGAGGACAAGTCGCCCGTGACCATTGCAGACTTTGGTGCTCAAGCCATTGTGAATGCAGTGCTCAGCCAGGCATTCCCCAAGATTCCTATCGTTGGAGAGGAGGATGCTGATGCGTTGCGGCAAGATGCTTCTGTCTCCGACAAGGTCTGGAATCTCGTCTCTAAGATTCTGGCCGAAGAGGAAGAGCAGAAGGTCGGACCGATTGCGTCGCAGACAGAAATGCTTGAAAAGATTGACCTCGGTCAGTATGCTGGCGGTGAATCTGGCCTGATGTGGGCATTGGACCCGATTGACGGCACAAAAGGCTTCCTTCGCGGTGGCCAGTATGCTGTGTGCCTGGGTCTCATCAAGGACGCCAAGGTCGTCCTCGGCGTCATTGGATGCCCGAACTTGCCCGTCGACCCCTCTCAGCCAGAAGGCAAGAAGGGTTTGCTCTTCTCTGCTTTGACGGGATGCGGTGCCTATACTCAGCCTCTCGACCGCAGCGAACCAGAGAAGCGCATCATGATGAACAAAGTATCAAGTCCAGCAGAAGCAAGCTTCTGTGAGTCTGTCGAGTCTGGACACTCAGCACATGACACAAATGCCGATATTGCTCGTAAGCTTGGCATCACGAAGCCATCCGTGCGCATGGACTCACAAGCAAAGTACTGCTCGATTGCACGCGGTGATGGTGACATCTACCTGCGTCTACCAGTCTCTGCCACTTATGAGGAGAAAATATGGGATCATGCTGCTGGTAATGTCATCATTGCAGAAGCAGGTGGCAAGGTGAGCGACATGGAAGGAAAGCCGCTCGACTTTGGCAAGGGCAGGACGCTCAAGAGCAAAGGTGTCATTGCATGTGAGGCGGGCATCTTCGATCAAGTGATTAGTGCTGTGAAGAGTGCGACCAGCGCCAATCTATAGCCGGTCTTGCCATACGTACATGTAGTCCGTTCATGTCTAGAGCTTCACGTCAACAAACAAAAACTCGTCCTTGAAGTATTGCTTGTACGCATCACGGTCCAAGCTGCGTCGGCACACCTGCATGTCCTCGTTGATGTCCTCTACCAGACTCTCCATGCTTGTGTAGTTGTACTCCGGCCGGATGAAGCCAATAACAATGACTTTGATCTGCTTGCCATAAAAGTCACCGGCGAACTTGTGCATGATGTGCACCTCTGCACTGCGCACCGTGTTCTTGTAGAAAGGATTCCAACCGACACTCATGACCATTTGGTGCACCTGACCATCTGGCCCGTCGCCATTGTGCAACACCCGCGCCAAGCCGTAGTATATGCCAGACTGCGCATGCTCAAGCAATTGTGGGATGGCCTCCTCGGATAGATTGGCGGTGGGAATGCCAAGCTCTTTACTGCCTCGACCAAATCCCTTAACAACGTCGCCCTGGATGCATATGGGAAATGGTTCCTTGGGCCCATCTTCTGGATCAACCACGCGTGGCCTATGTTCTGGCCGTGCTGCTGGCGTAGATGCCGAGGGCGCGTCACTCATGCGGATGTTCTTGTGTCTCGAGTCTTCGTGAGCTCGTGGATGTCGGCGAAAGTGGAGGAAGCGACCAGATGGAAAAGAAGATCCAGGCAGGCACTTGTCAGAGGGAGTTGGCGGATGCTGCTAGGGGCTACAGACACAAGGACCAGATCAAGAAGGATATTCATGCATCGAGGTATATCATCTACCTCCAGATCCCATAGATGAGCCAAGATTCCAACTCACAGCACCCAATATTGGATGCAACAATCATTTCGCTGAGTCTATGCGCCCACACTGGCTTCCTTTGTGGCAAGCTTTTCAGTAGCAGCCTTGTCCTTGAGCACCTTCTTCTCGTGGTCCTTAATGCTCGCTTCTGGATGTTGCCTATGCCAATTGTATGCCTAACATGTTAGCATCCCTTCATGATACATAGTCACCAAGGGCCATGAGCCGTACCCGGAAGAATTGATAGCCGCCACCTAGACCAACAGATGCATTGATAGCTGCCAATGCGTAGTTCTTTGGTGTAATCACAAAACACCACCGTGTCCAGATACTGCCCGTCACCATCAAGGCGCCTTGTTGAGACATGGAGATCTGCTCTGCGGGCCTGAAGTAGTCGGCAAAAGAGGCCGCGGCAACGCACTAAGGTGTTAGCAGCGTATTTGAAAATAGCAGCGCCAGAAAAGCGAATCTCTCCAAGCAGGCTATATCCCAATCTTGGAGTGATATGCGCGGCCAAGTCCATCGCCGTGTCAGGTAAGATATACCATCTTTGCTACGGGAGCCCTATACGCGCGTTAGCATGATGACTGGTGCGAATTACGTCTCCAGAGAGCGCGCATCTGCATACCAAAAATGGGACGTCTTGGGGCCAACAGGCGAGTTCCAAAGCTTTTGAAAGGTAGACATAGTAGCAGCAATAGACAGAGGAATCTGAGATGTGCTGTGTATGCGGCCAAGAACAGATAGAGCGCCTAGAGAAGAGCCTGAGGAAGCGTGCTGCTGGAACTCCACGATTGTGAATGTTGGGCGAATTGAAGACGGGCGGGTGGGAGGACTAACTGCAGTCACATTTACGGGTCGTCTACAGAAAGCTGGTCCATTGACTGAAATTGACATTGACATATTATGTACATCGAGGCATCAGTCAGTGCCGCACTAACTGCCATATATCAGCTAACGGTCTCAAGGGCCTGGCGCCTCTTTCGAATTTGCTCCAGCATGCTCGCCTCCCATTCTGTCTGCCTCTGCATGTTCCTGGTGCTGCGAAAGTCATACATTGGTTGAACCTGTCGATTAGATCAAGTCTGAGCAGAACCATACTTCTTACCATTGTCGCGAGCACGAAACGCTTGTCGGTAGCGTTCGCTGGTTTTGCTGGGCCTGCGACCAGATTTGTGCCGAGCATCAACGCGAGGAACCAATTCTTATCGCCCACAGTATCGACGAGTTGCTTGTACGCTCTTGTGATCTCGCCTTCATCAACGCTCAAGTCCCTGGCGAGCGACTCCCTGACTTTGCTGTCGATGGCTCGATGATCATCCTCGTCGATTTCTGCGTCTTCGTCATACTCTTTCTTGTCGGCATTGATTTTCTGCTTCTTCATCACAGATACAGACACCAGATATGAGGCAGCAACAAGAGCTTCCATCTTGAAACCACGGCGGATATCGAAAGACACTTCCATGATCTTCTGCACCACATTGGTGGGCACCTGCAGCCCGTACTGCTCACAAACCTCTCTGACCAAGGCCTGCTCAGCCTCACGTTCTTCTTGAGCCGAAGTGGACTTTGAAGTACGAGAGAGCACATTGCGTATCTGAGGATCGCGCGATATCTGCTCATAGAGCTTCCGGTAGCGATTCGGCGGGACAGGTGGCCGATCAAGTCGCAGGTCTGGTAGTCCCAATGAATGAGAGAGCTGATCACACGCAATGTGCGCACATAGATAGAGTTTAGCAGCTTTTTGATTGTCCTCTAGGTGTACTTGAACATTGTCCAAAGCATGGGTGAGCTCTTCGAGTTCTCTGGGCAGCGTCGCGTCCTGTACTTCCGGCAAGAGCTTGAGAAGTGCTTGCTTGACAGCCTGTCGCTTGCTCATCTGTCAGTCTGGCGCTGCATCAAGAGAGAAACCGCGAAGTATTACAGTTGGACGGGTGCCTGTAGCTGGTGGTCGGCGAGATTTTGATTTTCTCGGACATCGCAGACATCAGCAAGCACCACACAAACCAAGCAGATGAGCGCTTCTTACAACCCGGACGAGAGCGGGCCCGTCAAGGCAGACAAGGTCAACTACATCTGCGCCGATTGTGGACAGAAGAACAACATCCAAATGCGCGAGGTCATTCGTTGTCGGTCATGCGGACACCGAGTCATGTACAAAGAGGTACGCTGCTTGTGCTTTCACTACAGTCATGCTAACGAGTCTTTAGCGTACAAAGAAAATGGTGCAATTTCTCGCAGTCTGATGCAGGCGTACATCATCGGCCTCTTGCTTTTAATCTGTTGTACTTCAAGCGAATGCATCCATCACTATTTTCTAATCGCCTGTCGACTATTTGCGTATGCGATTTGTTCTGCTGATGGTCTACATATTACATGAGCTCTATCGCTTGACCCATGTGTAGCTCTTGCGAGCCTTGGGCTTACCCGTCTTTTTACGCTCGACACGCCTGCTGTCTGCTGTGATGCATCCAGCCTTCCTCAAGCTCGGCTTCAGTTCTGGCTCGTGGATGACTAGTGCCTTGGCCATGCCAAGCTGGATGGCTTCTGCCTGGCCTGTGGTACCACCGCCGTCCACATACGCCCAGATGTTGTACTTGTCCAAACGTCCTGTCGTGTCTAGCGGCAAAAGAATGCTCTCCTTGTCATGTGGACCTTTGCTAAAGTCCTTTAGACCGCGTCCATTGATGAACAGCTCACCCTTGCCAGGCACAACCCAGACCCTCGCAACAGATTCCTTCCGCCTGCCAACACCAAATGTGCGGCCGAAGCTGTCTGGCTTCAACTCCTTCTTGAGAGGTTCTGAGCCAAGGCGCTCACGCGTATAGTAAGCCATGATGTCTTGCACTTCTTGTGGCATGTAAGCCCGATCGATACGGTTGAGGCGGTTGAGCAGTTGAAGCAACTTCTTGTGGTCTGTAGGCCGCACATGGCTCGTCGTATCAATCTCCCGGTACTGCTCAATCGACCTCCAATAGGTCTTTGGATACTGACCAAGAGGTAGCTCCGGTAGCTTGGAATACTTGCGGACGATACGCTCGAGTGCTAGCAGATTATCATTGTAGACGCTGTTGCCTGTGAAATACGACCGTGATTCGGGTCTGTAGCCAAAAGATACAGAAGGATCGTAGTCGTTTCCCTCTGCTCCTCGACTCCTCTGCGCTTGTCCAGTCACCAGGTTTGGCGTTTGAGTATTTCTGCAGAGACTTGAGCTTGCGAATGTCCTTGCTGCAAGCGGTCTGCTGCGCAACAGAGAAAGCGACCGCTGCATCTGTCTGGCTGGGATCTTGACTACCGTCCGTCGGCCTCTGCTTGTCGCACCTGCTGCACGAGGTTAGTCCGTATCTCTGCCTGTCTCTGGTCGTCGTCGTCCTCGTTCGGTGAGAATTTCGAAATCACGAAAGCAGCAACGAAGAGACTCCTTCACATACAGACACAGGCCCCATCAGCTCTCTTCATCATGACGAACGCACCAGAACGCTATGAGCTCATTCTTGTTCCAGAAGGTGTTGCCAAGGTCGCCGTCACACCAGACTCGAAGCTGCCAAACTGCGCAACCATCAAGTTTGAGAAGGAAGACCACACACTCGGGAATCTACTGCGATCACAGCTGCTCAAGGACGATAGAGTGCTCTTTGCGGCGTATAAAGTGGAACATCCGCTCGATCACAGTTTCATTCTGCGGATTCAGACCGTTGAAGGGTTCGAGCCCAAAGCGGCCGTCATGGCAGCGTGCCAGATTGTACTGGTCCAGCTCGATCAGCTCAAGAAGCGATTCGAAAGCGAATGGGAGCTCAAGAAGATTACAGGTGACGCAGGCTACTGATTTGACCACTATGAGCGATGAACAGACGAGCGTTCGCGGAGTCCGCGGCGGATAGAGGTCTTGGATTTAGGCATGCCTGATTGACAGTGGTAAGACAAGGACTGCAGTATTATGAATACAAACATGCATTGGATACTCGGCAACAATTCAGGCCTGCCATGAGTTCCAGCACACGGCGCCTTCCACTACGGTCAAATCTACGCTGCAAGCTTTGCAGAGGCCGTGATTGGTAGGTCTTTGGGGCTTCGAGCACAGGATCCGTTTGGCGAAGAAGGCGATCAAGTCTACTCTCAACGGCTGACGGCTCCTCTGGCGTCTACAGATCGAGTCGAAGCACGACATTGACCACATGCTGCATGGAGATTCGAAGCAGTCCTCGAAGCAGATGGGCAATACACGAGAGGATGTATCCTATAGACCAAGTGTGCTCTGTATAATCTGTATATTGGTGACGGTCAAATTTCGTGTTCGCGTCCAACAACAAATCACACAAGAACGCGACAGACTGTCACAGACATCCTCGACCAAAGCAGGGGACTGGAGCAAGCTGTGTATCTAGCTAGCGCCTTGCCAATCAACCACCGTCATACAGATAAACTAGATGTCTACCTCACAGCGCCGGTCGAGCAGGCCGACAACGCCGTTGCGCCGCATTGAACGCGGCTCCCTCTCAGCTCTCTCACAGTCAAGAAACAGCACGGGCGGCGGTGAAGTGAGCGACATGCCTCTCGAATCATTAGATGTGGCGTTTGCTGAGCTAGCTGACTCCTTCAGCGACTTTCACGCCAACATGCAGCAGGTTGTTGAGCTCGGTCAGGGTGTTTCGCGCTTTAACGAGAGCTTCGCGAGTTTCCTCTATGGTCTCAGCGTCAATGCGTTCTGTGTTGATTTCCCAGAGGTAGACAGACCAATGTTGTCATGTTCAATTGAGCTAATGCATTTTCGCAGGCACCAGTGGCAGAATCATTCAAGCGTGCCGCTGAACGTCAAGCGTCGTCCTGGCAGCCAGAGTACAAGACTGCCACCAATAAAGGCGGCAGCGGTGCTGATAACACTTTCATGACTACAGACGACTCTTTTGTTGAGCGGCCGCCTCCTCGTCAGAGTCTACCCGGTACTGGGTCATCGCAGACTTCTGCTCCCAAACGTGGTGGCAGTTCGGCGAGAGGCCGTGGCGTCTCTTCGACTCGTGGACGTGGTGCAAGGGCCGCTGCAGGAGCGCGGTAGTCATTCGATGTCCATCATGCTCTGTGAATTTGGATCGTCGCATCAATGTGACTGCCTACATTCTTGTTTGACGTCATTGGATTTGAGCAGCATACACATCGCTGTTCATCAATCTACATACTCTGTGCCTAGAGTTGCTTGCTATCTAGATACGCTTGCCACTGTGAAGTCTTCGAATTAGCTCCTCTGAATCTGCACAACAGACAATACTCAAATGTCTCGAGAAGCCTGTGTCAATTTGCTCAATAAGTCTATTCAAGACGAACCGCTAGCCCGTCAGGTGGAGAAATCCATCGCTGAGCACGCTGCAGGTGATGAGAAGCAATATAAAGACGAGGTGCGCTCCAAAGCTGCCAATTTGAAAGTGAGCCATCATGTCACTGCTGCTCAAGAAATACTGACATTCTTCAGACAAACCCCGAGCTCCTGAATGCCGTCAAGTCTGGACAACTTCCAGCAGCCCGCGTAGCAGAGCTGACTCCTGAGCAGATGGCCACGCCCGAAAAGCGTGCTGAAAATGAAGCTATTCGGGAGGAAGAGCTCAACAAGACCCTTGCGGTCGATACGCTGCAACCACATACTTTGCAACAAGATGAACTGGATGAGGACGTGGGAATCATGCACAACACTGGACAAGATGGTCTTGAATTCGATGCACCAAATAGCGGAGCATAGAAACACACCATGAAGCTCAATCCTCATAGCTGTCATTGATACTGGTAATTGTGGCCTGTACCCCCTGATCGTTTGCCAATTGCCGAAGCTCCACTTTACCGTCCGGCGTCAAATAACTTTGCAATCCAAGTTCATCAAGCTCGGGGGTCTGCTGCGTACCAATTGGCGTCATGTTTTCGACTTGAGCTTGGTTCTCCAAATTGCCTTCCAAGAGAACGCGCATGCACACAGTAGCCCACTCCTTGATGTAAGGATTGCTTTCATCGATGTTGCACTGTGCTAAAACAAGTGCGAGGCCACCCGTTGTCCTGACAAGATCTTGAATTTCTTTGTTGCCGTAGGAAAGGTTCATGATGATGGCTATACAATCGCGCTTGAGGTTTCTGACCACAACTGTTTCGTCAACGTTTTTCATTCTTCCGCCCGTGGTTCTCGGGAAACGAAGATGCGCAATGCCTAGAAGCTCAACAACTGGAGTGACCGAGGCTTGAATAGCCTGGTCTTTGAGCAGGTTTTGCTGCTGTTCATTCGACAAGATGGATGACAAGGCTGCTGCTTGACATGCCAGAATTTGCCATAGAATGAGATCATTTTGCGTGGGATTGTTCTCCTGCAGGTTTCCCAGCTCCGCTAGGCTCTGGTAGAGCATGGCAACGATTGTCAAAGGGACCTTGACATCCAGACGCTGAGGCAGCGTTTCCTGTGAACAGAGATCTCTGATGAGTTCCCATAAATAACGGATTTCGACCCTTGTAGAGTCAACTTCTTGGTAAAGAGAATGGATAACGCTCTCTAGGCAATCATTCTGCATGAGTTCTTCAATAATGGCGGAGACAAGCTGGCCCGCTCCTTGCTGCCCCAGGAGACCGCCTTCTTCCGATGTGGAAAGCAAGCTGACTAGCAGTGGTCCATCTTTAGATAGCAAGTTCAAGAACGTCTTATCAGCGTAAACAGAATTGCGCAGGAAGACAAGGGAGGGTTCCAGTGTGTTGCCATTCTGCAGAGTTTGTTGCAACGGCAAAGCCTTCAGAACTATAGGATAGAGCACTTCAGCAACTGCTGCATTGCGAGTGACCATATTTGACAGTACAGCCATACTCCTCCATGCTAGCTTGTCATGGTCCGCTGTCAGATGCTTGGCAACAATCTTAATGACAGGCTCATGGATGCGGGAGGCTAGAGCCAGCGCTTGGCAGTCGCTGGTCGTTGCACACGCAATCTGAATGAGACGCAAAGCAGTCATTGTCCATGCAACATCCTGTTGACTCTCCTGTTCAAAGCCTAAATTGGCATACTTGGTCAATTGTGAGGCGATATCTTGCCAGAAGAAGAGCTCTCCGAGGAACGGTTCGATTTGATGCTCCTTGAGCATTACACCCACAGCATCTTCGAGAACTCTCAGTTCAATCATCGATAGCTACCTGCTTAAAAGATGATTGAGAAGCATTCCATCACGACCAGCTGCCAATTGCAAGATTGAAGTCGTCCTTTGAGTCTGCAAATTTGACAGCCTTCGGATTCTGCAAATCCATCTGACATCACGAGATGGTAACTTTAGTCAAGAGCGACGTAGCTGAGATGGTCTCCTGGCTAGACGAAGTCGACGTTCTCTGGGAGATGGGATATAGCTTCAACAGTACAGGAATGAAATTCATTACATTTTCAATACTATGCTATGCAATGAAACCAGCCGTCTCAAGTCCATCGGTTGGTGGTTCTTCGGCCTCTAATGCCACCGGTCGCTACTTCCTCCCTAATCCCTGATGGATATTTTGGTGCGTAGGAACCATTCAGCATGGCTTTCCGACCATACTGTTTGGGGCGAGGCGTGCCGAAAGTTTCATGTCGGAAATAAGCGAAATTGCCCCTAGAATAAGTAGGCGGGCCTCTGGACCTAGGGCCTGTCGAATAGCCTGAGGCGTCTCGAGACATAGATGAGGACTCACTTCTTCTTTCTGCTGAACCATTGCCTGAAGCGCCGCGTTGACCTCTTCCTGGTGCAGCTCGCACTGTCGGTACAGGCAAGACCGACAAAGAGTACCACCATGCTTCCAATGCGGCTTCAACCTGAGATGTATTGTATCCAAAGTCCCGTCTCCTGGCGGAGAGTGCATTGTGGTAAGGCCCGAAGGCAGAGCTCAGCACTGACCCGTAGGAGACGAATCTTGCGGCTTCTGCGTAGACTGCTTGCGTTGTCGACGACTCTCTGTCTTTCGCGTGGGTGATTTCGTCCTTTGAAAGCTCAGTGATGGTTAGACCAGACGGCAGCGTTTTAAGGAATCTCTGCTCAATTGGATCCAGCATTAAAACCGAGCGACCCGATTTGCCGGCTCGGCCTGTTCGTCCAACCTTGTGAGTGTAGATGTCTGTATCGCGAGGAGCACCCAATTGAATGACCAAATCGACGCCGGGATAGTCGACGCCACGAGCTGATACATCCGTCGAGAAGAGGACAGTGCCAGAGGCAGATTCTCGAAATGCCTTTGACACTTTACTTCGTTTTTCCTGCTGCAGTAGCGAGTGGATAGCAAAGTTCTGCACATGCTCTGCCTTGTACAGTTGCCGGAGAACTGAGAATGCTTGTCGATAAAGCACAGTGAGCGTGGTTGTCGGCAGGAAGACGATGACTTTGGCAGAGGCCTTGTTGGCGAGAGTTTCATTGATGAGATCCAGGGTGACATGAAGCTGCTCTGCGAGAGGAACGATCATATACTGCTGCTTGATTTGCGTGAGTGCGCCGGCGCCATCCTTGGGTGTCGTGTCGATGTATTCGTAATTCTTCATGAAAGACCTGGCGATGCTCTTGACCTCTGGGGACAGGGTTGCAGAGAACAAGAATGTCTGTCGTTCCTTTGGTAAGTAGGTAACAATGTCCTCCAAGTCTCGACGAAATCCAAAGTCAAGCAAAGTATCGGCTTCATCGAAGATGACAGTCTTGATACTCGCAATCCGATCTCGGAAGTCGGGCTCCTCCCTGAGCAACTGCATCAGCCTTCCTGGTGTAGCAACGATGAAATCATTGCGTTCGCGCAGCATGAGTTTGAGCGTGTCCTTGAGCTTGTCGCCACCAATGAGCAAAAGTGCCTTGTAGTTGCTGTCCTGATGCGCAAATAATCTGCGGGCCTCCGTTGCAAGCTGAGAAGCCAGTTCTCTGGTAGGGGAAATGATCAAGCACGATGCATTCTTGTTGCCGTATTCCTTGAGTGCCCTCTTTGAAAGAGTCTTGGCCAGCTCATCATCACGCTCTAAGAGTTTTTGCCCTGCGGGAATGAGAAACCCGAGAGTCTTGCCTGTTCCTGTTTGCGATCTTACCAGAAGATCCTGAGTAAACGGCATCTTGCCGACAATGATCTGCTGCACAGGGGACATGTGTGTGTATCTGAAGACACTTCTGAGGGTCTCTCTCAGTTTTGGATGTACCCTGTCGGCATACTTCTCCCAAGCATGCGGCTTATCGACGACCTGACCTGCGGGATTCTCTGATCTGGCTGAAGACTCTGTAGGTGCCGCCTTGATGGCCTCTGTGGGCTCGTCCAGCCAGCGTGTCGTGGTTGAGAAGCCACGGTCAAATGGATTCAGACGGGCATTCCGGGCTGCTCGAAAGCAACATATACCCCTGTTCGACTGCGCAAACTGCCAAGGGATGGCCCTGACTGCGGCCGACCGAGAGAAGAACATGCAATGGTGTCTTGTGTAATCTATTTTGTCGGCGCATTGGAAACTTTGAAAATTCAAAATTCAGAATAGTCCCACGCATCACCAAGGGGCACTGAGGGGCATGATCATGAGTGTGTATGCTACGCAAGGCTAGAAATGGAGGAGCAGGTCGCGGAAGAAGTCGACGTCTACTTCGAATTTTGTGTTTGTGCATGGGCAAGAGACGTCTTCAGTGCTGTGAAGGGAAAGAAGGTCGGGCCAAAGGGGAAGTGCTGCACAACAGGGTACTTCATCAGCACCTCTGCTTGATACATTTTCAGCATACCACTTGCGATCTTGGACCAGTTTGGCACACCAGAGATATCATAAAGCATTGGGGAGTGCTCCCAGAACGGACCTTTCTTGACCTCGTTGATGAAGGCCACAGCATTGAAGTACAAGTTCTTGCTTTGGTGCTCGGACACTTCTTTCGGCTTTGTGATGTCTGCGGGACACGGCAGAGCGTCCGGCTCCAAGTGTGATAGTTGAGCTGCACCAAATAGGTATGGTATGGCAAAGTGATCGTCGAGTCCCCAAACACCATGCGACCCAGCTGGCTCAAGCGTGTAGGTCACCACAAGCTCTTGAATGAGAGCATTGTACTTGGGGAACACAACCAGGGCTATGCTGCGGAGATCATCTTCCGAATTCTGATCGAGAAGCCTGAGTTGAAAGAGGGCACAAACAAAGGCCAGGAAGGAGAGTTCATGACCGGTACCGTAATCCAATCGCTGGCTAGAGCCGAATGACCCGGTGAAGTAGGGCAAGAGTTCAACAGAGGCAGCGCAGAGTGCATCAGGCAAGATGGCAGCTATTTGACTGGACGCGTGTTTCTCCAATTGACTATGCCAATCTCGAAATGCTAGATTGCCAAAGCGCTGCGCTCCCTGATGCGGAGGGCACCGTGTAATATATGAGCGACACTGCTCGATCATCTCGAGCAGTACCTTAACGGTAGACGAAGTTTTGAATTGATCTTGCATGCTTGTCCCAGGCAGCTTGGAACAAACCAGCCGGATGAAGGAGACGATTCTTTCATATGCATCACTCTGGCGAAAGCTGGCCAGGTCATCCTCAGTTTTGATGAGCTTCTGCGGCTTGCTGAATACAGCTCCAGTCGACATTCAGCGGGCAAGTAGCTAGATGGCAGCTCCCGAAAGCCAGTATTAGCGGCAGATGCAGTAGTATGATATGTATGTGTATCTGTATATGGTCGTAGTGTGGTGCCTGAGCCTGCCTAACCCTAACCACGGCATGCCTCACGTGCGATGCCTGATTGGCCCATCTGCTGGCTGTCTCTCACTAGGAAGCAGGAGAGAAAGAGGCAGGAAGGAGCTGGTGTGTAGGTAGGTAGATGATCAGACGGGTAGACTGCCCCATCAGGCAGTTTTCTCGCCCGTACAGAGCTGGACATCTCGCCTGGTTGGCTGCGTGACTTGCTCGCTCGTTGATTGCGCGACTTTTCCACCACTGCACACAACCACCACCACCACCAACCACCACACACAGGAAGGAACCATGTCTACTTTCCTCTTCACCTCAGAATCCGTCGGCGAGGGTACGTACTCTCTTAGCATTCATCTCTCTTGACAAACACTGACACGCAACAGGTCACCCAGACAAGATCTGTGACCAAGTCTCCGACGCCATCTTGGACGCATGTCTCCGCGAGGACCCCATGTCCAAGGTCGCCTGTGAGACTGCTGCAAAGACCGGTATGATCATGGTCTTTGGTGAGATCACCACCAAGGCACACCTCGACTTTCAGAAGATTGTCCGAGACACCATCAAGCAGATTGGCTACGATGACTCAGAGAAGGGTTTCGACTACAAGACCTGCAATGTGCTCGTTGCCATTGAGCAGCAGTCTCCCGACATTGCACAGGGTCTCCACTACGAGAAATCCCTTGAGGATCTCGGTGCCGGTGACCAAGGTATCATGTTTGGATACGCCACAGACGAGACACCCGAACTCCTCCCACTCACCGTGCTCCTTTCGCACAAGCTCAACATGGCCATGTCTGCTGCTCGTCGTGATGGATCCCTTGACTGGCTCCGTGCCGACTCCAAGACTCAGGTCACTGTTGAGTACAAGAACGAGGGTGGCCGTGTGATCCCTCTTCGTGTTGACACCGTTGTTGTCTCTGTACAGCACGCTGACTCCATCACCACAGAGGATCTCCGCTCAGAGATTCTTGAGAAGATCATCAAGAAGACCATTCCTGCCAAGTACCTCGATGACAAGACTGTTTACCACATTCAGCCCTCTGGCCGTTTCGTTATCGGTGGACCCCAAGGTGATGCTGGTCTCACTGGTCGTAAGATCATTGTCGACACCTACGGCGGTTGGGGAGCACACGGCGGTGGTGCCTTCTCCGGCAAGGACTTCTCCAAGGTCGACCGTTCTGCTGCATACTGTGCTCGATGGATCGCCAAGTCCCTGCTCAAAGCCGGCCTTGCCAAGCGTGCTCTTGTCCAGCTCTCTTACGCCATTGGTGTTGCTGAGCCTCTCTCCATCTTCGTTGAGTCTTACGGAACCTCGGACAAGACTTCCGATGAACTCGTTGCCATCATCCGCAAGAACTTTGACTTGCGACCTGGACAGATCGTCAAGGAGTTGGCTCTTCAGACCCCTTGGTACCTCTCGACTGCCTCCAACGGCCACTTCACCGACCAGAGCAAGTCTTGGGAGAAGCCAAAGGAGCTCAAGTTCTAAGCTTGCTCACGCTTGCTTGCCGATCATTTTGCTCATCCTTTCTCTGCACCGTCACAACTTACACCTGCTTTCAGCATTATCGCCTCTTGCAATAATACGCGAAGCTTGTTGTAACATCTACCCATCTTCAACCAGGGTCACTTGAATTGTTGTGGCATTCACGGGTGCATTTCTTTCTTTTAAAAAGTACAAATACCAAGGATCACACTATCCTTTGATGACTACATGCTCTGGAAGGCCTGTCTCAACGACACATGCCTCTTTTTGCACCAAAAAACAAACATACAGAGGTTTCTTTTATTACGAATGATCATTGTAATAGAACTTCAATAGAAGAGTTTAAATCAAGCGTAGACTTGATTGATGTCTTGCCCTTGTGATTCGCTATGTGCTCTCTGCCGCTGGTAGTGCATACAGTGCGCGTGAAACAACACCGGGTGGCAAATCTAAGACAGCGTCCGTTCCTTGTGCAAACAGTTGTGGATCTGTACAGATATTCGCATGCGAATCTGTCATGCACCTCGTGTCGTTGAGCTTTGGCGTCAATACCTGAATGTTGTAGCACGCCAAAGCCACGTAGATGTATAAGAGGAGTACCACGCACCAAGCTGGTATAGCTGTTGCCCACCAGGGTGATGGATAGCCAAGGTCGCCGATCCAGCGTTCCAGGCGTTCCGGTCCAAGCAGCGCCCAGGTTATATAGAGGATGAAGAGTGCAGTGCTGCCGAGATACACGGCAAAGCCATAGTATTCATATGTTGGCACAATACTGGAACGGAAGTGAGGAGTCAGCGTGGTTGCACCAGGCGCAATACTGCCTATACCCAAACCACTTGCAGCACCGTGGAAGTCAGAGTCATCGGTTGAGACATCTGGCGTTGCAAGCCCTGCCTGCCGAACCAGCAAATCTGTCCGCGACTGTGAACGTATCAAGCCCATGAAGGATTGTGTATGGGGGAGACGCGGCGATGGCCGATTGTAGAATGGAGGTAGCTGAAGAGCAGCTCGGGGAGAGTCATGAGGACTAGCGGTCCGACGCGTCCCATGGGGCTCATTGTGAGCATTCTGTTTTGTGCCATTCTGAGCAGCTGCCATCATCAATTGAGGTCGGGGACTAGCTGGTCTGACGAATGAGAAGCAGCTATAACAGTGTCATATGCAGTTGAGGAGGCGACGCAAACGTGATAGTGGACGAACAACGCCTCACAGTAAAGGCTTTAGCTAGCTAGAGCGATTCCGAAATGAGGTGGACTACAATGTAGTAAGAAGTGCGAATGTAAATTTATCTATCTGGGTAGACTCACAAGCTGGCACCCTTCTCTACGAAGGCCGCCTTGATCTGAGACCTGTCACCCTTAGCTGCACTGATCTTCTCAGCAAGCTCGTGAAGCTCAAGACCCTCGAACTTCTCCATCATGGCCTCGACCTCAGTCAGCACCTTGTCTACCACATCCATGGGTGCGTCGTCTGAGCCATCATGGAAGTAGTTGGCATCCTTAAGTGCGCCCTTGACAGTCTTCTTGTCTTTACGGGCAGACTTCTTGGCATCCTCCTTTGCCTTCTTGTTGGAGTCCCTAGCAAGCTTGGCAGCAGCTTCATCATCAGCAGCCTTCTTCTCTGCCGCCTCCTTTTCGAGTCTTGCCTTCTCAGCTGCTTCACGAGCACCGGCTTCTTTATCCCACTTGGCCTTCTCCTTCGCCTTCTTGGCGTTGTCCTTGAACATCTTGATGCGTGGATCGATGGCAAGCGCATCGTCCACCATCTTGCGCAATCTGGCGGTGTCCTCAGTCTTGCGCTTCTGACGCTCGGCCTTGTTCTTCTTTTCCTGGTAGCGCTTCTGGTCTCGGTTGTCTGTGTCATCTGGTAGATCCTTGTCAAGATACTCGAATGTTCTCCAAGAGTCAAAGTCATACCAGAAGTTGTAGAATTGGTCCACCTCTTCTTTGCTGGACTCTGCATTGCCGAGAACAGGAACCGGCTGCTTGGTTGAGAAACGACCTTCGGCAGCAAATGCACGGCCCCATGACTTGTAAAAGTCCTTTGCACCCTTCTTTGGTGTGGGCACGTCTGCACCTTCATCGACAGAGTCGAATTGCCTGCGCTTGACTGGGTCTGACAGAATCTCATGGGCCTTGGCAATGCACTTGAAGAAGGAGTCGTCGTTGACATTTCCACTTGCAGCCTTCTTGTCAGGGTGGTGCTTGAGGACCTTCTTTCGGTGAGCCTTCTTGATTTGCGCATCGGTAGCTTTGTAGCGATACTTGCTAAGACCAAGCACAGCGTAGTGATCTTGTTGCTTCCAGTTCTTGGGATCAGATTTAAGCAGCTCAGCCGACTCGGGCTCATCAGCCTCTTCCTCCTCTACCTCCTCGACTTGCTTCACGTTGCGTTCGGCCTCGATGCGTTCATCCTCAGAGAATGTGCGGCCGTGACGCTTCCTGCGTGCGTGAGCAAGGAAGTACTGACCGACAGGCTCCAGTTGCCTGGACTCGGTTGCTAGGGTTGCTGTAGCAGTGAAAGACATGACTGGGGCTTTGCAAGCTATACAAGAGGCAGCTACTGGTATGCTTCGAGTCTTTGTCGCCAATTTTTGTTTCGTCTCGCGCTCCTTCTCGAATGTACATTGACAACTGGCATTGACCACTGACCAGCTCAGGATCTCTTCAAGCTGCCCTCTAGCATTCTGCCCGAGCACAAACAAGGCTGCCTCTGACGCTCTCTTCTAGTATAGACCCACTTTCATTGACTGCATGCTTCGTTGAGACACGAGAGAAAACATGGCAGCAGAACAACGCAAGCTGTTAGAGCAGCTCATGGGCTCACAATCTCTCCATTCTAGCTCTGGCCAGCAACCCACAGAATTCACCGACAGGAACGTCTGTCGGTCCTTTCTCGTTGGCGAGTGTCCCCACGACATCTTTGCTGCTTCCAAGCTTGACCTGGGACTTTGTCCAAAAATTCACAGTGAGCAGCTCAAGCTAGACTACGAGCTTGCCTCGAAAAGCCACGAGTACGGGTTCGAGTATGACTACAAGCGTGACTTGGACAAGTACATCGATGATTGCAATCGCCGGGTGGAAGCAGCACAACGGCGTTTAGAGAAGTCGCCAGAAGAGCAAGCTAAGGCCAATGAGGCGATGCGAGAAATCACAGCCTTGGAGGAAGCAGTGGAACTCGCTCTAGAAGAAATTGAGGTTCTTGGGGAAGCAGGTTTGGTGGCTCGCGCAATGGATGAATATTACAATGTCGATAAGCTCAAGATTGACAAGGAAGAACGAGAACGCTCTCTTGTGGCACTCGACACCGGCGCCGATGATCACCAGAAGTTGCAGGTATGCGATGTTTGTGGGGCATATCTCTCTAAGCTCGACAATGACAGACGCCTAGCAGATCATTTTGGTGGAAAGCTGCACCAGGGATACTCGCTCGTGAGGCGAGCAGGGGAGGCCAATGACGCTGTCATTGCTAAAAAGAAAGAACTCGGCGTGCAGCCTCCAGCGGAAGAGAGGACACGGTCGCGTTCAAGAGAAAGACCACGGGACTGGGAGCGAGATCGGGGAGGCTACAGCGGGGGGCATCGAGGTGGTGGCGGCTACCGTGGCTCGCGCGGAGGTGCTGGATATAGACGATATTGATGAATCTCTCTGGCCAGCTGGAGCTCATGGTCAAGCACAGCAAAGCATGGTCCATAAATCTCGAAGAGAGCAAATAATATCATACAAAAGGCCTACTGAGGCAGTAAAAGAAGTATGCAAACGCCGTCGCAATGCAATCAAAAAGGGGTTCATAGCCCATCGTCGGGCATGCTGAAATTGGATGTCGAATGTGATGGCGAATGTTGCCGAGAAACAAAGTCGTAGGAAGCCTCTGACAGCTGCGACACACTCCTGGTCGGCTCAGAGACCTTGACAGTCTCGAAAGAAGAAGTCAGCTGGATTTGTTGCCGTTGTGGTCTTCTAGCAGCCATCTTTTCTGGCGCCTCATTCGACGTAGCCTGCCGCAGATTGACCGGGCGTCCGAGGCGAATCTGTGCCGACAAGAAGAAAAACCGGGCCCATGCCTGATCTTGTGTGAGCAGTTCAGGTACAAGGGCATGCATGGTCTTCGAGAGGGTCGGATGTCGCTCTTGCAGCGTTGTGATTTCTTCTTCATTCTCTTCGACAGAGAAGGCTTCATCAAATTGCTCGAAGGCTGTCCAGTCGGGCGTTGTGCTGTCGAGCTGAAGGAAGAGGGCAGGGGAAGACATGAGATGCAGTATGCGCTCCTCAACAAGAGCATCTTCCGACAAGGCAGAGTTGTTATCGAAGACGACAGTCGACGCAGATCGAGAGGGACCAGGGTCCGACGTTGCGCTGTCAGCAGTCATGGCATCTACAGCCTCTGAAATGAAGCGATTGATACCAGACCAAGGGATAGACTTTGAAAAGGCGCTCAGCTCGCGAGCAAGTGCCTGACCTGCTGCATGAAGCTGCACTTCGACGCCTTGTGGCTCTTTGTCCTGCACGAGCTCAGTCGTAAAGGCGTCTGCCTCGTAGTAGTCCATACCTAGGTAGTAATCAGAGAATGTGAGCGGTAGTCAAGCTATCCCGTTCCCTTGGCAATCAGAGGCCTGCCTGATCAGAGCACGGCGCCCAAGTCAGGAACAAGCTGCACTGGGTGAGTCTGGTGAGTGGAGTGACCCGCGGGAAGACCGAGAGAAGCAAAAAAGTACAACTCAACCAGCTTGAACAAATCACTTCTTTGCGACAAGAGTAGCTGAGCACTACCTATGGCGGATGTATCGCTAGAAACCCTCGCAGAGACACTGGTCAATGTGAAGGCACCGCTGGCCTTGCGTTTCAGGGCCCTCTTTTCCCTCAAGGCGCTCGGCGCAGCAGGCGACTCGCAGGCAATCGATGCCATTGCAGCCGGCTTCAAGGACGATTCTGAGTTGCTGAAGCACGAGCTAGCTTATGTGCTGGGTCAGACAAAACAGGAGGCTGCAATCGCGCACCTGACAAAGGTGCTCGAGGATATGCAGCAGCAACCCATGGTCCGACATGAGGCAGCAGAGGCACTAGGCGCCATTGGAGATGATCGCATTCTCGCAGTATTGGAGAAATACGAGCGTGACGATCCTCTCGAGATTGTACGACAGACGTGCGAGCTTGCTATAGAACGAATTCGGTGGATCAAGCAGCAGGCTGGCCAAGCGAGTCCTGAGGAGCTGCAACAATCTGCTTATGTATCGGTCGACCCAGCACCGCCCTCCGTGGCCAAAGCTGGACAAGATGTCGCTGCTGAAGTGGCTTCTTTGAAAGTCGAACTCAATGATACAAAGCTGTCACTGTTCAATCGCTACCGTGCTATGTTCAGACTTCGCGATATCGGCACGGATGCTGCCGTGCATGCGCTTGCCTCTGGATTTGCAGACAGCTCTGCACTGTTCCGACACGAGATTGCTTATGTCTTTGGTCAAATGTCACACCCGGCGTCTGTGCCAAGTTTGATCCAAGTACTGAAAGACACAAAAGAGGAAGGCATGGTCCGGCACGAGGCCGCCGAGGCTCTTGGATCAATCGCTTCAGACGAGGTCTTGCCTGTACTTGCACAGTTTGCCAAAGACAGCGAGCGCGTAGTGGCAGAGAGTTGCATCGTGGCAAATGACATGGCAGAATATGAACGCAGCGAGCAGCTCGACTACGCACCAGTACAAACCGTTGCAGCTTAGATTTTCAACCAGTTTTAAAAGATGTGCTTTGAACCTAGCGATAGCCTAATGCCGAACACTTCCCGTTCAATACTTGTACAAAATTGATCCTATCATGGCGGGGCTTTGCGCTTTGCACCTGCTGCCACGCTATTCGCTGCATTCGTGGCATGACTGATGCCATTCTTTTTGGGAATATACTTGCGTCGCAAGAGTGCCATGTCGTCGTCGGCTTCATGCGGTCGACACCCCTCGAGCATGGTTCGAACGAGCTTCTCCCGCTCTCGTTCAATGCGGTCTCGAACGCGATCCTCTGCGCCAACACCTCCCATTCCTTTGCGTGCACGCACCGTTTCGCCGATTGATTCGAGCACGCCATCGAGCGCCGTCTCGGTCACGAGGCTTGTGGAGGGATAGCGCGATCCGACAACTGGTACAGGCACGCGATGCCTCAGCTTTCTTGGCGCTCCCGATAGTGATGGACTGGGTGGAGCGTCATTATTCGCTCCCAGGACCGAGGATTGCAGAGAGATGTCCGTCAGGCTCTGATCAGACTCGAGCTTGCGCTTCTTGCTCTGCAAATGGGCAAGCAATTCTTCTCTGAGTGTTGTCCTGGTCGTTTCGTACTCTTCGTTTGCGGCTGCCACTTCTCGTTCGTAGTCTTCATCAGCTTCGGTGAGCCTACTGAGCCCTTCCTCCCTTGCAATGTAGAGAGTCTCGTCTCGTATGTCTTGAAGATCCGCAATTTCGGCATTGAACTGCAAATGTGTGCCGTTGTGCAGCCTCGAAAGATCCTCTTGGAGCTGACGCAGCTGGTGATTAAAGTACTGATCTTTCTGCTTGACAAAATCGGTGGTCAATTTATTGAGTGCGTTGAGAAGAAGGACTCGTCGATTTGAAGGCTGCGCACTAGGTACTGCCGGTGAGTTTGACCTCACTGATGTGCCTTTGTAGTCATTCCTCGCAGCCTTTTGCACAGCTGGAGGAGGCGACCGGACTGATCTCTTGCCACCCTCGCCGTTTTGTGCGGCCTGCGTCCGATTCCGCTGGCGAGCCGTTGGTTCCTTATTGCGCGCCTGCTGTGGTTTTGTCTGAGAAGATTGCGGGACGTGTTGAGCCCTGACAGCCTGTGGTTGTTGCTGCTGTTGCTGCTGCTGCTGTTGTTGCTGTAGGAGCTGCTGTTGTCGCAGACGCTGCTGCTGTTCCAACTTGACGCGTTCCCGCTGTTGCAGCTCCCGCATGCGCTGCTCTTCACGTTCGCGTATGACACGCTGTTCACGTTCGCGTTCCTGTTCCACATCGCGCTCCTTCTCCCGTTCGCGCATGTCGCGCTCCCGATCGCGATCTACCAGCAAAGGAGGCCTGTACTCGAGTGGTGCGATACTCTGCTGATGCTGGAAATGTCCTGGCTGCGGGTGATGCAGACTGCTGCCGTGCGGCATTCCACCCGGCATTCTTCCGTCATTGGGATTGTGTAGCGGCTGATGTTGCACATGATGCGGTTGCTGCTGCGACATGTGTGGGAGATGTTGCTGCTGGTGACTGTACATGGCCTCGTGCGGGTGTGTATGCTGAGGATGCACTGCATGCTGGAAGAAGCGGCCTGGGTCGTGCATGGGCTGGACGGGTGGTTGCGATGACGCGCGGAAGGAAGGCATATGCGGCGACCTGCGGAGTGCGGTGGGTACGGGGACTCCTTGCTGTGCAGGGACGCTGCTTGGTCGCGCCTCTGCTGTCTGTGTCTTTGGCGGCAGGTCGCTGGCAGCAGTGCCCAGCATCGAGTTGATGGACATGGAGGAACGCGGGAACTGGCTCATTGCAGCGAGACAGAGGCCCAAGCTTGTTTGGCGGCCAGGAGGATGAGCGGCAGGCGGCCTCTGCTGGCTGGTGTCTGTCTGCAGCAGTAGCGGAGTGCGGGCCTGGTATGAGTATGAGTCTAAGTGTCTTCTATTCCTCTCGCTTCGGGGCAGGCGCCATCTGCGAATTCTCTCACGCCAGACTCAGATGGGACATTCAAGAGAATACAGAGGGACTACTTCCTCCCCTCGCCCGCATCCTCACTCACACGTATACGTCCCATGGCATTGCGTGCATCGTCCAGTGAGTACTGATTGCGCCGCCGGTCCTGCACGCCCTTCTTGCCCATGTTCTCAAACTCACCGAGAAACTCATCCATGATGCCGTCAAAGTCAGACCGGACGGGCTTCGCCGGATCGTAGTCCTCCATTTCGTCTTTCTCCTCCTCTTCAATGTCGTATTGGCGCTCAATCCGATCAAAGCGGTCGTCCAGCAGCGTGAGTCCCTCAGTCCGCCACAATGCTGAGGACGACATGGAGAATCCAGTACCGATGCTGCCGTTGCCGTGCTTGATCCGCCCTTGAGATGCAGCTGTGAATGCTTGACTGACAACACTGCCTTCTTCATCGATAGCATTTTGACCAGCTCTTTTGAACTGTGAGAACTCTTGTTCCCACTCGGACTTATTCGCTCTGGCAGCAGGACGCGTCGCTTTGGCAGTATCGTCGCTCTCCCAGCCTTCGTCAAACTCCTCATCCCAATCTCCAGCGTCAGCTACTTCCCCGCCAGCTGTCAGTTCGTTGAACCAAGCCTCTGAGTCATCTGCCGGCGCATCTTCATCAACAGACTCTTCTTGTTCCTCTTCTTCCAGTGCTTCAAGCACTTCCCGAATACTAGGGTCTAGATCAGGCTTGAAGCCAGATATTGAGTCTTGCACAGCCTGCTGATCCTGATAATTGCGTGGCCTTTCGCTTCCCGAAGGCACCGCTTCATCTGGTAGATTGAATGCCTCCTTCTTCTTCCCGCGAGCCTTTGTTTCTGGGTTCTCTAGCAAAACGGCATCGACACTGCCCGTCGGCCGCAGATGTTGCATGTAGTCATATTCTGTGTCGTCGAAGTAGACGCCATATTCTGCCGCTTCACCCTCATTCGCCCTAACCTGGTCGCCAAACTCCTTTTCCAACGTAGACTTGGTTTGCACTGTGGCTCTCGCGCCTGTATCGCTGCTGTCGCCTTTGCCAAGTGGAACCAGGACCCTGGCGCTCGCCTCGTCATTGTGATACTCTGCGTCTCGCTGCGATCGGTGAACAAGCTGGAAGGTCGTCGCCTGCTTCTTGTCTATAAACTTGCGCCTGCCCATAGCTATTCAAAGCAGCGAGTCAAGATGGGCAAGAGGTTGCAGTCAGGCTTGTCTTGCGTGCTGCTCTCGACTTTTTTCTTTTTTGTGTCAAATCGCGTCCAACGACCTCGAAATACCCCCAGGCCTGAGGCCTCGCCATGCCCACCCAGACACAGAAGGCCTTCCTGCAGGTCGCAACGGACAATGCGATCCTCAAGTTCGGGACATTTACCCTCAAGTCAGGTCGGCAGTCTCCATATTTCTTCAACGCCGGCCTTTTCAACACAGGCGCCCTTTTGTCTTCCCTATGTCGCGCTTATGCCGAAACGATCGAGTCCTGCTCGGTAGACTTTGATGTCCTCTTTGGCCCTGCTTACAAGGGCATCCCTCTTGCTGCTGTCACTGCCACGAAGCTGGCAGATTCTGGCAGACAAGTCGAGTATGCATTCAACCGCAAAGAGAAGAAGGCACACGGCGAAGGCGGCAGTCTGGTCGGTGCCTCGATGAAGGGCAAGAGAGTACTTGTAATTGACGATGTGATGACAGCAGGGACAGCGATTCGCGAAGCAATCGATATAATCAAAGCTGAAGGAGGTATTCTTGCTGGTGTGGTTGTGGCACTGGATCGCCAGGAACGCGGAACGGACTCGACACTCTCTACCGTGGCAATGGTCGAACAGGAATTCAACGTCAAGGTCCATGCAATTGTGCGCTTCGAGGACATCATTGCTTATTCTCGTGAGGCACTCAGTTCGGATGATACTGAACGCATGGAGGCATATCGCAAGCAATATGGCATTTGAAAGAGACATCAGCTAGCATCATCGCTAGCACTAGACGCGTACTCTACAAGGCTTTGGCTCTCAGTATAACGCTTTTGAGAATTCACTGACTGCGAGGTAGGTGCAGCACTGGAATGACTCGCACCTACAATTTGCCTTCGTAGAGCGTCTTTCGGCCTTAGTCCTTGGCGTTGCTTGCCTGAAGACACTGCAAAGTTGATGCCCTTGGCAGTGATTGTATCTTGTGCATCTAGACCTAGCACATCGACGGCTAGGCCAAATCGTCTTTCAACTTCCTTGCACTTCTTGCTTGTCAGCTGCCGCTGCTTTTTCTCATCTCTGAATCGCTTGCGAAGCACCTGAGAAGCCCTGTACTCGTCTGTCCAACGTTTGTTGGCTGCTGCTAATTGACTGAGGTGCGCCGACGTCTCTGCCCGTGTCTGTCTTCTGATAGATTCCGCCTCAAGTTGCGTGACGGCATCATCATCTGATCTGTATAGCGTCTCGGTGACCAACGCGCCATTGGCCTTTGCGTCCCACTCTTCAGCCTTTCGCACACCTCCTGATAGAACATCATAGGAAGTTTCTTTCGGGTTTGTTTGGATTTCAATGAATCCTGTGCAGTGGTGGCATTTGAGCGTAAAGTGCCAGATCGGGGTCGACAAGTAGCGCCCAGCTTGCCTTTTACTAGCATTGAACCGGTTCCCCTGCGAGATAAGCTTGCTGCAATGACTGCACCATACATTGAAGGGCATCTCGAAACGAACGACATTTGACTGAGCTGGCTTGCCAGCAAGTCTGTTCAGATTGCCTTTGTGAGCTTTGTCAGCAGGATCATATGTCGCTGGATAGTAGCGATTAAAGCCTTGCATTGCAAGATAGCATAAACTGTTATAGAAGTGGTCGCACGTAAGCCTGAAGCTGCAGTAGCTACGAGGTGGCCCGGTGGCAGCGATGCACAGCTTTCAGATGGCGTGGGAAGTCGCCAGCGTTCTCTAGCTATGAGTCTCCCGTTTCTGTGTCCCGTAAACAAAGCTATGCCAGTTCTTTTTCAATATGACGCGTGCCTCATCAGTCGTCCATCCTTTTGCTTGAGCGACAAACTGGAGTGCTTCTTCAAGGGACTTGTCGATCGAGCGGCAGTCGTGATAATCGCTTTCAATAAGCAGTCGATCGTCCGGGATGCTGTCCACCACTTCAGCCCATCGATCATACCTCCCATTGACCACTTGAGAAAAGGAAAAGAAGATGTTTGCAGGTATGCGAGGGTTTATCCATGAAAATACCGTCTCTCGATTGCCAGAGAATGAGTGTAGACAAATTCTTGGCGGAAACCAGCACATGTCCGCTTCTGAAGTGAAGGGATTTCGTGGGAACTGGAAGACTTGGTCTCCATCACCTGCCTGTTTCTTTCTCGCGACACCCTTTTTAATGCTTGATTTACTCGGTAACTCATGCCCGGCCCAAAGGCTTGAGATTTGGTCAAACAAAAGACCATGGGCCTGTACGCCATGAATGCTACAAGCCCTTTGATACTTTCCAGCCAGCGTTAGCTGCGCTTTGAGAATGAGCGATTGATGTTCCAGCCCAGTCTTGTATTTCGACAGGTGAGAACGATTTGAATCCTGGCGTGGCTGATTGCGGTCGGGTATGCGAAAACTCTTGTCGACGCCCACCTCCCCTACCATTGCCAAAGGCTGCTCTTCCAGATTTTGACTAATGGAAGCGAGAACACTTGACAGTGGTACCAAGTCCGGGAGACTAGCAATGAAATCAGCGTCCGGCTCAGGCTTGATTACCCCTCGGAAGTGCTCGGCTTTATCTGGCCGTTCGACACTGTTGCGATCGTCGTAGATGTTATGTACGAACCACGGATGTATGCCGAATGCAGGAATGACTTTGTCAGAGAATTTGATAGCAGTTTGACCGACAAGCTCTTGGTCTGACTCGCGCGTAGCCATGATACATAGCCCTACGGCTTCGAGAGAAGCGATACCATCGATACTACTGATTGTATCAGTCGGATGACAGTGAGCATCATACAGCTCCGTCATATATGAGCAGCTCGCCCGTGCAAGCTTGAAGCCTTTAAACAGATGTTGTTTTGGGTCTAAGAATAAGCTGCCATGATGCAATGACAGAGGAAGATATAGACAGTCACAACTACAGAGACGCTGCCTTACGAAGGTCCCCCAGGTCCAGCTCAAGGGCCAGCCTGACCAATATTGCTCTGAGAACCTGCTGTCTTCTTTGCCTTCAAGCTTGCCTCGAATTCAGCGAAAGTCTGCTCAGCCATTTGCTCTTCAGGGTCGAGCACCTGCTCAACCTTCTCGACCTCAGGAACGTAGTGCATGAGCATACTTTCAATACCATTCTTCAGTGTCACTGTTGACGAATCGCAGGTTCTGCAGGCACCGCGCAGCTTCAGCTTCACAACGCCATTTTCGAAGCCCCTGTATTCAATATCACCGCCATCTTCTTGAATCGCAGGCCGGATGCGGGAGTCGAGAAGTTCCTTGATCATCGAAACAATTTCATCATCATCTTCACAAGCTGCCGTGTCCGAAGCAGCTGCCGTGTGTTCATCGCTCATAATGGGCTGTCCAGAGCTGAAATACTCCATGAGCAAACTGAAGATCTCTGGCTTGAGCTGTGCCCAATTGGCAGACTCGTCCTTCGTAACAGTCAAAAAGTCAGGTCCGTAGAAGATGTTCTTCACTCCGTCTATCGTGAACAGCTTCTTTGCCAACGGGCTGATGTGGGCGTCTCGGCCAGACAAAAACTCGATCGAGGTAGCGCCAGCGCCAAGCACGTCGCGGCCAGGCACAAATTTAAGCGCATCCTGGTTCGGTGTTGTCTCTGTCTGTATCCACATTGACCGACGCTGCACGCGCGGGAGAAAGCCGGTCTGGACCTGATGGGTTTGTCGAGGGCGCGATCGAGCTGCAGCCCATAGAGAACGACTAGCTCCCGTGGGTGCCGAAAGCTTCGCAAAGGTACCAAGACGGCATGCGACGCCTCTTGATGGCCTGAGCTGACTTGACAGAGCTTGCTTAAGACCCTGCATGTTGGATGTGGTGGCAACGAATTTGTGCTCTTCTGCGGAGGATTTGCAGCGCCGAATGTAATTGTCAGCTCATGGTCAACTGACGTACGCTACAGTAGTACAGATACATTGGCAATATGTTCACAGGCCTGGTCGAGCATCTTGGAGGCAGGTCCATTCCTGCGATGTATCTGCAATAACTGACCGAAATCAGAGGTACAGAGGCTCGCTGACGAAGATGGCTGCACTCTGATTGTCGAAGCAGAATCGATTCTGGACGATGCTGTCTTGGGTGACTCCATCGCCGTCAATGGCACATGCTTGACCATCACCGAGTTCGATAAACGCCAGTGTAAGTTCGGCGTCGCACCAGAGACATTGCGACGTACTTGCCTCGGCGACCTCAAATCGGGCGATCGTGTCAACCTCGAGCGCGCATGTAAGGCGTCTACACGCATGGGAGGCCATCTGGTACAAGGCCATGTGGATACGACGGCCGTCATTACCGAGCGCAAAGCGGATGGCGAGGCGATCGCTCTTACATTCAAACCCCGAGACCCGACTATTCTCAAATATGTGATTGAGAAGGGCTACATCTGCCTAGATGGCGCATCTTTGACTGTTACGCATGTTGACTATGAGACATGGAGTGTGATGCTCATCGCATATACCCAGGCGAAGATCACTTTAGGCTTCAAGCAAGTTGGGGAGGTCGTCAATGTCGAAGTGGACCAAGTTGGCAAGTACATCGAGCGCATGATTGATCCGCACATCAGGGCCCTTCAACGGAAGCTCTGATTTCTTGCATGAATGCCTCCATATAACGCCGCTATGCTTTTTAAACATTCTCCTTTATATCTTGTTGTCGAGCCGGTATTGCTTCAGATCCTCGATTGTGATGACTTGAATGCCCCAATTCTGCCCTCTGGTGAGCAACTCATCTGTACGCGCCATCTCTCCATCTGCGTCCCTGATAATCTCCGAAATGGCAGCACATTCTGTTAAACCAGTCAGCCGACAGAGGTCTACTGCTGCCTCTGTATGTCCATCTCGAGTCAAGACTCCACCTTCTCTTGCGCGCAGTGGGAAAATATGGCCAGGCCGTACTAGGTCTGCGGCCGCCTATAGATTAGCTAGAGTTCGGAGGCTCGTGGTCAGCATACCGTATCTTTGCCGGCGAGAAGATTGCACGTCCTCGCGCGGTCTCCCGCGCTGATGCCTGTTGTCACGCCTTGACGTGCATCGCAAGAGATAGTATATGCTGTTCGCAAGCTTTCCTCGTTGCGTTCTACCATGTCGGGTAGACCAAGTTCCAGTAATCTCTCCGCCGACATGGGTACACATATGAGGCCCGAGGTATAGCGTATCATGAAGGCCATCTTGCTCGGAGTCAGATGCGCAGCAGAGATGATGAGATCGCCTTCGTTCTCTCTCGATGGATTATCAATAACAATAAGGAATTCACCACGCTTAAACGCCTCGAGAGCGGTGGGTATGTCTGAGATGGGCATCTTCTCTGGTGCTAGGAGCTGAATTACCTGCTCTATAGCCTCGATAACCTCCGCTTCTCAGGTTGCAGTTATCGCTTCAGCTCGTCTCGAACTCGCAATAAGATCTAACGCAGCGGGGCGCCGAGCCAGGTCAGAATCACACGCCCGCACACTCGAGCTCTGGATCTCGAGGACCACCCACGAGACAGTACAGGCATAGACACCTGAGGCTCAAGGCCATTGTTGGCTATTTGCAAAGCTAATAACCCTATGCTTATCGCAGATGACTATGCCAAGCCAGGAAAGCCTGATCACTATCGCTAAGCAGATACAGACATGGCCCCCGGCCCATCTAACTGCGTACGAAGCACAGCTATCATTCACGGACTACGGCCTGCTCTTTGCCCTCTATGCTGATCTGTGCCTGGTCCAAAACTGGGACAAGCTGTGGATACTGCAGGGACTGGCAAGACCTGCAGTGTGTGGCTACAACAGAGCCGGTTGTTTACATGTGGCATGGCCGATTGACAGCTCTGGTCAACTGACTGTGCGACTACTCGATGAGCTCTTTCGAATGATTGATCAAGAGCTCGGCGTTATACAGCGCACTGTTCTTCTAGCAGGAGTACATCAAGATTCTACCGTGGTTTACTACAAGCTATCTGCGGGTCTTGTTAAACCTGATGCCAATTGAACTACTTCCACTGGACAGACCAAGCAAGCTCCTCTTCTGCCATAAAGGGCACAACACCCCCAATCTCAGGAGCGATCACCGTCGGTTGGCGCACCAACAGAATTTTTTCGTTCACTCCGACCGACTCATGGCCGTAGAAAGAACGACCAAACTTGCAGGCAAAGTTCTCCAATTTGGATAGCTCGTCAAGCTTTTCAAAAGCCGTGGCCACGTATGGCAAGACATACGGTTGAGTGAAGACGCCTGCGGCCGTGCGCTTGCCACCCGACTTTGCAGCTCGGAGATGCGGCGCAGAGTCTGTTCCCAAGAAGAACTTGGGGTTGCCAGAGGTGGCTGCTTTGAGCAGGGCTTCGCGGTCTGACGGTAGCTTTGCAACGGGTTTGCAATAGGAAAATGGGTTGTCTACCCACTGATCCACAGTCAGGAACAGGTGATGCGCTGTAATGGTGCCCGCAACCGTTGGACCGCACGCAAGAACTGCTTGAATTGCATCCGCTGTAGTGCAGTGCTCAAGCACGATTCTCAATCGAGGAAACCGTTTGTGTAAGTCTAGTAGCGTTGGCAAGAACGCGTGTTCTGCGGTCATGACGGTGACGTCGCCACCTGCACTGGCAGGAGGCACCTCGCCATGGAGATTGAGTACCAGGCCACATTCCTCCATAGCAGCAAACGTAGGATAGAATGGCTCATAAGACTCAATACCACTTTGGCTGTTGGTCGTAGCACCCTTTGGGTATGATTTGACCCCAGATATACCGGCTTTCGCAGCAGCTCGAATCACTTCTGCGGTGATTGGAGGAGACAGGTAGAGAGTCATCAAGTAGGTGACTTGACTATCGATGCTCTCCAGCTCTGCCTTGTAAGACAGACATTGTTCGACGCTGGTGATGGGAGGCACAAGGTTTGGCATCACGTAGACCACATTGACACCGCCTTGACGGATAGTGGGCACGACGGCTTTCATAAGATCTCCATGCCTCAGATGTACATGGTAATCAGCAATGGCCGGTAGTTCCATGGTCAACATGCCTGGATTTTCTAGAAGCTACAAAGTGATAGATTGCAGCTCAAATGTAGGTCCAATTGCAAGTTGTCCTCGGCCACTTGGCTAAGTGAGTGCAACAAATTTCGCGTGCGAGCTTCAATCAGGCCGACAACAACACACAAGGTCATTGAAGTCGACGAGCTCTACATTCCATCGAAGAAGGATAGTTGCGAGCCTGAGAATCACATGGCGAGCTACGTGGCATCTGCACCTATTAACTCCATTGCTTTGCCGAAAGATATCGAGCATGCCATGCCAGCTGCCGACCACTATAATCGGCTACTTGCTGTTGAAAAGCGCCTGGATGCAGCTATCGCGCGCAAGCGCTTTGATTTACAGGACTCGCTGAATCGTCCGCAGAAGGTGAAGCGCACCTTGCGCGTCTGGTGCACTAATATATGCCATGATCAAGCATGGCAAGTTATGGACGACGGCATGGGCATGGAGATGAATCATTTCGACTTCGAAAATACCGCGATCCCGGGCTGGACCCTACGTGTAGAAGGGAATATCTTGGAGGTCGATACAGCCGATAATCACAAGAATGCTCCTCTTCCACAATTTACTGACCTGCTGCGGTCCGTTGTGATCGAAAGCGCGACGCCGACCACGGATGATGCATACACAGATGGGCCCTTGTTTGAATGGCACAAAAAGCCACAGAGCGTTGGACAGCCCCCTGTGGCTTCATATCCCGGGATTGAGTTGAAGCGCAACGGCGACATGGATGTGGATCTGAGGATCAAGATTGGGCTAGATCACCTGCCGGAGAAGTACAAGCTTCTACCCAAGCTCGCCAAGGTTCTTGACATCTCAGTTGATACTCGGCCTGGCATCATCACTGCGCTCTGGCATTACATCAGGCTACACAAGCTCCAAGACTCTGATGAAAAACGGCTGATTCATTGTGACCAGAACCTGCAGGACATTTTTGGTATGGAACGTATCTTCTTCCCAAAGGTGCCAGAGCTCTTGAACAAGCACCTGGAGGCAGTCGATCCCATCATCCTAGACTTCCGTGTTCGAACTGACAAGGATGTCCATCATGCGCCGGCTTGGGATATTGAAGTGGAGCTCGAGGACCCTATCCGACTCCAGATGCTGGCAGCTTTGAAGAATCTTGCTCCACCTGCTGCTGGGCACACGACGGCGCTTCTTGATGAGGAGTTGATTGACTTGGTCACCTCAGTCGAGCATAGCATCAGCAAGCGAGAGTTCATGATGAGCTTCAGTGAAACTCCCAGCCTCTTTCTGCAAGACTTTCTGGCGAGCCAGGACCACGATCTCAATGTTATTATGGGAGAAGTCAGACATGCCGATGGAGAGCAGGCTAGACGCGCGTCGTACTACAGTGCACCAGAGTCAAGGCAATGGCTTCAAGAAAGCGTATTTGCCTATCTGGCAGCGAGGCAGCAATGATTCAACGTCAACAGTCTCATTGATGCGACTGCGTTGTGTGCGGATATCACTCATGCAAGACGTAGGCCAGTGTATCAAACGCTACAGCCAAAGTGCCAGCATGGCAGTCACTCTCATACACTGTGCAGAGCTTTTCGCTTCCAAAGTTGATCGCTTCAATAACCAGACATGGAGTCTGTGCAACGCTGCGATGGCCGTGCCCGTGTGAAGCGGCAGTAATTGAGCTTCGAGTAGGTGGCTTGTCTCATACATCGTAGCAGCCTCTGTAACGGAGCCTCTGAATTACTCGGCTGTCAGCAGAGCTGAGAGGTCTGAGCTAAGCAGAGTCACTCTGTTCAATAGTGTGTTTGTAGTCGAGAAACAGGCAATTTGATCTGCAAGACTGCGGCAAGCATCGATAGATTTGACACATATTTGACATTGCCTTGGCAATATAGCTTACAATCTGACTATGCTGCAGTCTGCATATGCCTGTTGATGCACTTGCATGTATCTACGCTTGAGCACTGGAAGATGTGCACGCGACATGCTTAGAATTGCCTCGCGTGTCGTTGATCCTCCTGAGCCGGAGTCTGGGGTAAATGCTCCGTGCGTCTGAATTTGCTTCTCCAATTGGCCCTCGAAACGAAGGAGATTGACAGGATTGACAAGCCAGAAGACGACCCATCACAACTGAGAACGAGGCTCAAGCTCAGACCCAAGGCCAAGACAAGAACGCGCCGTCATCCACTTTCTCATAGACCAAGATCCAACACCACAATGCAGCCGGACCACAGTTGCTCAGAAGGACATCGCAGCCAGAGGTCCATGTCCAGCTCGGAAGATTCGCGCCATAGTAGCGATTGCAGCACCGCCGAAGAATATAACACGCGGCAGTACGTGTCTACCCGGGAGCGGCGACAGATATATAGCTGTCTCGGGGCGGACTATCCTGGCAGATCCAGCACCAAGAGGCGCTACTACGACTACAGTCGTGCGCCGCGCCGCAACGAGCCCAGCAAAGACGACGCAAAGGACATCCATGATGAAAATGACCAGCAAGGCCAACATCGCATCAAGAGCGACCTGAGCAAGACCCTCAAGGCGCTGTTCAGGCGGACCGCATGATGAGATTTCGTATCACGACCTGATGCTGCTCATTGAAACAGCTTATTGAGCAGCAAAGTCCGTGAAACGCCATGGCATCCTTTGGAATACATGCCGCACTCGTGGGTTCGGCGAGTACTTGTCTACGTATGCTTACTATCTTGCCCAACAACTTCCCAAAGCACAGATAGGTCTGAGGTCTGCTCCTCGCCATGGCATCGCAGAACGGACACTACATTTTCGCCACCGGACATAAAGCCATGCTCGCTGCCATGCCAAGCAACAGGCGTGTGCTCAAAGCCGGTCATTTGCACAAAGCTCCAGCTATCCAGCTCAGGCTGGGGCCGAGTGTTCATCAACACGCTGGCCACGAGTGTTGGGGAGAACATGCCAGTCAGGGTAGTTAAACACATTTCCTCGTTTGCGGCAGGAGAGGGGCAATTGAAGACTGAGATGAACGGTTCTTGTATGCCCTTAAGTCCATATCCTTGTGTAGACAATGTCAACCATGTGTGCAAATCCTCCTGCAGCTCTTCGAAAACGCTGTCGTCAAACTGATTCTGTAACTGCTGTATCATCCCACTCCTCATTTCAGGAACGATCTGTGTTTCTTGCCTTCTTAGCAGTTTGGTTTTCACTGGCAGCCCGAGTATTGCGCTTGCTGCGTCGGGACATATCTCACCATATCCATAGCAGCACACAACATGAATGGGTGCACCCAACACTGAGAAAGCCTTCCGCACTCGGGACAGATTTTTGGCGCCTGCGAAGCCTGGCGCTGTGAAATCCAACGAAACCTGCCACTTGCCCTTCATTGTCTGTGACGGGAGTCCATCTAAACCCATCCTTTGATAGGTTTCCTTTAGGAGACTCAAGGTCATCACGCCTGATTCAACGCAAATGCAATTTTCACCGTCGAGTTTGCGCTCACTGAGCACTCTCAGGCGCCCATTGATAACATCTACAAATAGGCTCTCGAGCAATTGCAGCGTGTTAAGTTGGCAACGATAGAAGACCGCATTCGCAACAGATGTCGGGACATTCTGAGGGTACTTTGACGGGCACAGCACAGATATCTCTGCAACGAAAGCATGTCGGCTTACAGAAGACTCTATCCTGTTCTCATTGTTCACAGAGACGATGACTTTCGATTCAGAGGCTTTTGTCCTGAGCAGATGCATGACGAGCGCAATGCACAAGCTGTAGCTCGACGAGCCGAGTGATCCAGAACTTCAGAAGACCGAGCACCACAACCTTTGGCAGAGTTTGCGTTCACTCTGGAAAGTGAGTTCCGTTCAAAGCCTCGAGTGCTTTTGAGCAGCCATGGTAGCGACAAGTGTAAGCTTGAGTGGTTCGCGAGCTTGAAGTTGCAAATGCAAATGCTGAATTGCATCTGCGCGCGGATTTGCAATTTGCGCTTATTCATGCTGCATGCACGACGCCACGCTCAACGACCCATAGCTACGTACTGCTAGCTACAAACCGCTCTTAAGATAATAACAGACAAGAAGTTGCAAAAGAACGCACTCAGTTCATTCACTGACTTTTCTACTGAGCCAAGAATGTCAGCGACAGAGACATTGACCTCGACCTCGACAAGTCTTCTTGGCAATGCGCTCCCAGACGTACCCGCAGATGCACCAGAGCACTGTCCAGGCACCGAGTCAACAGAGGCAGGTAAGGCGGATGCTTGCGAAGGCTGTCCAAATCAGCAAATATGTGCAACGACACCCAAGGGACCAGATCCTGATTTGCCATTCATCAAAGAGCGCATGTCTACCGTCGCACATAAGCTTCTCGTCATGTCAGGAAAAGGCGGTGTTGGCAAAAGCACGCTTTCCTCCCAGATCGCCTGGTGTCTTGCTTTCGACGAAGATGCACAAGTAGGGCTTATGGACGTCGATATCTGCGGACCGTCAATACCTCGCATCATGGGTGTGCTCGGTGAATCGATTCACTCCTCCAACGACGGCTGGTCACCTGTATATGTTACAGACAACCTGGGTGTCATGTCAATTGGCTTTATGCTACCAAATGCAGACGATGCAGTCATATGGAGAGGACCCAAGAAGAACGGCCTCATCAAGCAATTTCTCAAGGACGTCGACTGGGGAAATCTGGATTATCTTGTAGTGGACACACCTCCAGGCACATCAGATGAGCATTTATCGGTTTCACAGTATCTCAAGGAGTCAGGCGTTGATGGTGCAATCATTGTGACTACGCCTCAAGAAGTTGCACTTCTCGATGTTCGAAAAGAGATCGACTTTTGTCGCAAAGCAGGCATACCCGTATTAGGCATCGTTGAAAACATGTCCGGATTCGTGTGTCCGAACTGCAAGGGAGAGTCACAGATCTTCAAGGCGACTACCGGCGGCGGACGTGCGCTTGCGTCTGAACTTTCCATTCCATTCCTCGGTGCAGTGCCTCTCGATCCGCGCCTAGGCAAAGCTTGTGACGAGGGGAAAAACTTCTTGGACGAGTGCGCTGACAGCCCGGCTACGGATGCTCTGATCAGTATAGTCGAAAAGATAAAGGCGAAGCTTTCGGATGCCGCTTGACTTGGCTGGTGAATCACATGCGGTCCTCCATCTCCACATCCATATCCTCGTCTGCATCAGTGAGGATGCCCAGGTCCTCAGGCGCTTCCTGCCCCTCATGCTTCACTTCGGACGTAGTACCTGCTGCCATGGCGGCAGTGCTTGCTTGCTGGGCTTTTTTGGTTTCCTGCTTCAACTCCCAGGTTCCAACATGTGGGCCACGCTTATGGAGTGTTGCGATGTTGTCCAAAGTATCCTTCAAATAGGCTTCTGGCTGTTTGAGCTTTTTCTTAAAGGCTTTGAGGGACCAGAATTCATATTCCTCGAAACACTTGAAGATGGCATCGTAAAGATCCTTCAATGGGAGACGTGCATTGACATCACGACACTTCACTGCTTGTCCAGTCTTGCTCTGAATGAAAGTGTTGAATGATTTGGAACCACCAAGTTGTCCGGGCTGGATGAAGTTGGTACCGTTATCGTTCATGCTAATGACGCGCCGTCTAGGAACGTCAGCAGCTGTTGTGCGGCCTCGTAGCAGATTCCTGTAGTGAAGATTATCGACGGGTTTGACCAAACAGTCATGTACAACTCTGCCACGGATGGCTTGTCCGCCTAGACCTTTGCGAGAGCGATCTGGGCCGCCGGCCTTCCTTCTCGCTTGATCTTCGCGAAATGCAGAAGACCTGGTTTCCGTCGGTGTGCCGAGCCGAGAAGAACTGTTGTCTTCAGGATTGCTATCATCGGCTGGAGCACTCTGCAGCGGTGGTAGCGGTGGTTCACTGAAGACATAGGTGTTGTGTAGGTTCGAGTTGATCATTTCTAGTGCATACTCCACCGGAATCTCTGGCTGCCCGTCTTTAGAGTCGCCTCCTTGTAGCTCTGGACTCAACACAACCTTCATGTCACGCCGATTGGCTTCGTTAATCTTGAGAGTTCCCAAGTCGGTACCCTCAGCACAATTCTCCCAGCGCTCGAACAGAAATCTAGGGAGCTTCACAAGCCAGACTTTATCTCCTGCATGCGCCAACTCAAGATCCGCATCTACATCGGGAGCAGTAGTAGCGGCAGCGCGATGTCCGCTTGCCAAGTCTGGTTCGGCTTCAGCTTTGAAGGCTTGTCCGTCTTCAGTCTTGAGAGACATACGAGCGATTGCTGAGAACAGCCTAGGTAGAACAAGTGCGGCCTATAGATGGGCAGTGTGAGCTCGATGTCTTGTGTCAAGTTGTGTGTGTATGGTTAAAGTTGCGCCAAAAGCGATGTTGCTAATGAGAACTACGTCTGCGCGAACAAAATACAGCGAACTTCGGCCTGCAGTCACCCGTCACGTCTGGTCAAGTCAAAGCATGCTATACGAGTCATAATACTTTTCCAGCACAGCATCAGGGCGTCGATTTTCATTGTGAGGAATGGAAAAGATAGAGCTACATCTCCAAGCAGCAAGTCTTGCACCTTCCTTCGACCAAACGCGTCAAAGAGGTTCTTGAGCAACGTCTTTCCATCGTGCAACCCCATGCATGCCTTTTCCAGTCGGCAAACCTACACCAAATACTCAGAATCCCGAGCCGAGATAGCTTTCCGCAACGAATCTCGCTCGTCCATTGAGGAACAATTTCCTTGCTGGTTAGTAGCTTCGACAAATTGGGTTCGCTTACATCTCATTGATTTCTGCGTCGACTTCCTCCATGAATTGTATGATGAAGTCCACGAGCTTGTGCTTCAACATGTCTTCGGTATGTCTATTGGTGATCAGAAAGCTGATATCGAAGCCCTGCCGGTTAGTCTTCGAAGTTTGCATAGCATACATCCATACCTGAATAGCTTTCCTACGCAGAATGACAAAGCCGTCCGCACGACCCATCAGGAATCGCATGAATTGTTTGACAAGAATGGCCTCGATCTCGTCTGCTTGCTTAATTTTGAGGGAGACTCGCACGGAATTGATGCTTGGTTCAATTAGACACTGCTCATTTTCGTTCCTCGATACAATAAGAGGGTTCAGCAGTGCTTCGTCCGATAGACGTGCCTCGACTTCAGGATAGTTGTGCCGCTCAACCACCTGCGAAGCAAAGTTTTGCAAGCAAAGGGCTGCCGTCAAGGTCGACCGTACGGCACTGAGATAGTTTTTGAGCGTGTTTGACATGGCGTTGCGTTTTCTGGCCGAGAGCGAGTCAGTGCGTTCCTGCTCTTCTTCGTCTCAGCAAAGTAGTCTTCAGTGCCAAATCCGCGAGCTCGCTTTGGGCTGAGCACTGATGCGACTGTTGCGTAGTGTGTGGAGAGGAGGTTTCGCAGCCCGCGTCATTTAAAGGTCGCGCTACAGCGAAACCTCAATTGCAAGGTCCCCCACTCCTGGTACATATCACTTCCCTACATAGAACGAGGATCACTCGAGAGAAGAGAGTCTGTCATGGAAAAGATCAAGGAGCAGCTTGCACGTGTGGGCATCACCAAGAAAGAGGCATCACCCGCCGTCAGTCTACCCAGTGAGGATGCCTTGGCCGAGATTCGCAAGGTATATGACGAAGCTGGCCAGGGTCATGTATTTCAGTTCTGGGAGCAGCTCGACAAGAAGCAGCAGTCTGGTCTGTATGACCAAGCCTGCTTGATTGACCCGGCGCATTCTAATGGCATATTCACCGAGGCGACAAAGTCCTCCGAGGAGCAGGAGGAAGCCGGCGCGCTTCAGCCATTACCAAAGGACACATTTACAGTACTAAAAGATGAAGGCGAAGCTGATATAAAATGTTGGTATGAGTCCGGCTTGCAGCTGATCGCACAAGGCAAAGTCGCTGCAATAGTCATGGCCGGTGGCCAAGGCACGCGTCTGGGGTCGTCAGAGCCGAAGGGTTGCTTTGACATCGGCCTTCCGTCAAAGAAGAGCTTGTTTCAGCTACAAGCTGAAAGAATCGCTCGTCTTCGGCAACTTGCAAGGCGCCATGCAGAACTCGACGCCTTGCCGCCCCTCTACTGGTACATCATGACAAGTCAGCCAACCAGAGGCGCAACCATGGCATTTTTCCAAACTCACAACTATTTCGGGCTGGACCCTGATCAAGTCAAGTTCTTTGATCAAGGGACACTACCTTGCTTTGACATGGACGGAAAGATACTGCTGGATCGGCAGGACCTCATCGCAGAATCACCCGACGGCAATGGCGGCCTATATAAGGCCTTAGTGACAGGCGGAATTGTTGAGCATGCCGAGAAGCACTCAGTAGAGCACTTTCACGTGTACTGCGTAGACAATTGTCTCATCAAAGTGGCAGATCCTCTATTCATCGGGTGGGCTGCGGACAAAGACTTTCAGATCGCCACCAAAAGCGTCGAGAAGAAGGACCCAAGCGAGTCAGTTGGTCTCATCGTGGCTCAAGGTAGCAAGCCCAGTGTTGTGGAGTACTCGGAGATTGAGGAGTCCTTGACAAAGGAGAAGGATGCTTCAGGCTCTCTCAAGTATCGAGCGGCAAACATTGTGCAGCACTACTTCAACAGGACCCTAATTGAATTTGCAGCCGCTTGGTCGATGGACTTGCCCCACCATGTTGCCAAGAAAAAGATCGTTCACGTCAACGCCAATGGTGAGACTGAGAAGCCAAGCAGCCCGAATGGCATCAAATTGGAGCAGTTCGTTTTTGATGTCTTTGACCATTGCTCCCTGGAGAAGTTCGGTTGTCTCGAAGTTTCGCGAGAGGACGAGTTCTCACCTCTGAAGAACCCTAGTGGCGACGACTCTCCTGCTTCCTCAAAGCGTGCCTTGATGCAACAAGGTGCACGCTGGATCCGCGCAGCTGGAGGCGTTACTGAAGATGACGGCAGCGAAAATGGCGCTATCGGCGGTAAGTCGTGCTGACGGTCTATGGAAAAAGCTAACATACTCAGTGGAGGTCAGTCCTTTGATCAGCTACGCTGGCGAGGGCTTAAGTGCTCATGTTGAAGGCGAGCGTCTTCTCGGCCAAGCCTATCTCGAACGACAGAAAGCTTGAGCAGCTTTGTGCATACAGAGAGGCTTTGGATATGTGGATATGATCAGCTTTTTCGGTCTAGTTTAGCAGCAGCAAGCGTAGTGGAGCTGTGTTCTTGATTTTCCCTTTGTGCCTGAAGCCTCGCCATCTTGATCATCAAACCTCAAACATTCAAACAATTCTCGCAAGTGCGCCGCTAGCACGGCCACCGAACCAACACATTCTCCCGTCTTTGTGCATCGGAGACTCTCGAACTCAGCTGATCAAACCTCATGTTGCTGGGTCGTACGCTCGCCCCAGCGAGGCCTCAGCTATGGCTCCAACTCAGACGACAGGTCGTTCAACAGCGGCATGCTTCTAAAAAGGCCACGCCAGACGCCGTGAACGAGATGACGATTCCTCAAGCGGCTGCACTGTTGCGTGCAGCAGAAGCTGGAGCCGCAAAGAAGTCACTGCACTTGGCTATTCGCCTCAAGCAGGACAAGTCTGCGACACCATTACGTGGCAGCATAGCGTTGCCTAGAAGACTACCCTCGAAGTCAAAGATCTGCGTATTTGCTCGAGGACAGGATGCCGCCAATGCAAAGGCTGCGGGCGCGTATCTCGTTGGAGCAGAGGACCTTGTCACGCGCATACAAGATGGCAACGTCGATTTTGATAAATGTCTCGCGACACCAGAGTGCGTGCCACTTATTGCCAAGCTTGCACGAACCCTTGGCCCCAAGGGTCTCATGCCCAGCGCGAAGCGTGGTACTGTCGTGAAGAATGTTGCTCAGGCTATTGAGGACGCCGAACGCAATCTAGACTTCAGGCAAAAGGGTTCTGGCGCGGTTCTACGGCTTCCGGTTGCGCAAAGCGGATTTACAGATGATGAAATCAAGAAGAATATTGAAGCCGTCCTCAGTATGGTCACTGAGATGGGCAGTAAGACCCCTGACGGCGGCGGTCGCGGGGCAAGTACGATTGATCAGGTTATCTTCAGCAGTGCACACGGACCAGGGATACCACTCATCGTCGAACGTTGAATGGCCTATATCGTAGACTATGACCATTCCCTGATTGCTTTTTGGCCTTCAACCTCTTCGCTTAGTCCCAGACGGCGAACTCGAGGCGCGCCAATAGGCTTTGGCAGCTTTTGCTCCTTCGACAGTCCTACGCCGACAAATTGCCTCTTTGGATGTGCTGGATCCTTGTAAAACTTGACGTATCCCGGTTCCATTGCAAAAATAGTATGGTCTTTGCCAAGACCAGTGTTCTCGCCTGCGTGCCATACCGTCCCTCGTTGGCGAATGATAATGTTGCCAGTCCGCACTCGTTGTCCGCCGTAAATCTTCACACCGAGTCGGCGACCAGCAGAGTCTCTGTTATTTCTTGCACTTCCTCCGGCTCTCTTCGTCGCATAACGTACTTGACTAGCGAATACGCTCGGAGCATGGAGGCATTTGCCAATGAGACTTGTTGGGAGTCCAGATTTGAGCGATGGGAAGAGCATCACTGAGGTGCGATTCTTGATATTATTCCAGCTGGAGGACGGATGTGAGGGGCTCGGCGCGCTCCAAATGCTCACAGTGCTGACTTGAGGGTGTATACGCCTGCAGAGTGTCTTGCGGTCGTTGGCCAATTGCAAGGTCTCTTTCTCTCTTTCTGTGAACATCCAAAAGTTGAGATGGAGTTTCACAAGAACTGCTACCGGACCAGACCAAGGACCAAGGTTGTTCTACCGGCCGACCAGAACATCACTACGGCTGAACTACCATACAGCATTCACCTCAACTCCCTACAAGTTGCCTCTCGACTCTTGGGCCATCAAATCTCCAACCGCACATAGTTTCCAGGGAAGACGCCTTGCCGACCATTGAGCTTTCCTGTCCACCAGTCATTGCTCTCATCAGTTCTCTGTACCACCTCTATCCTGTCGCCAGCCGCGAAACTCAGGTCCCCATCTGCCTGAGCAGCATAATCGTAAAGCGCAACAGCAACCTCCTTCTTTTTCAACGCACTAGGCTTTGTTGGTGGAGGTGGCGGTGCCTTTTTGCCAGCCAGAGAAGATGCACGCGCGACACCTGTGCTTGAGCCTGGAGCAGAGTACGGTGGGAGCTCGGCGACTGATGCTGTATCCGACGACGAGGCTCTTGCTTCACTTGCCTTATTGGGAAATCGGCCACCTGGACCGCCAAGCTTACTTGGCGCTCGCTGGAGCTTGAATTTGCAGATGCCAATAGCTTCCGCGCGCTCCTGAGTGTCGCCTTTCTTCTCATTGTAAGCTTCAACAATGTCTCGATCCAGGTTGAAGTACGGAATATCGCACTCAGCCATGCGCGCATTCAGTGTGTAGAAGATGTTGAGCTGCATGTAATAGAACGATTGAAACAATGGTCGAATGAATTCGCTCTCCAGAAGAAACATCTTCGGCAGATCCGCTTTGAGCAACTCGTTGTAGTACTCGTACTCCTGTGTTGATGCCTCTACATCCGTCTCAGCCTTGTAGAGTGCCTTTTCATCTTTCAGCGTCTTTTCCTTCTTATCTTGTAGCTTTTTCAGAGTGGCGCGATGTCGATCATAGTCAACTTGTTTGTGATTGCGCTTCTTCGTTGTCTTCCCGACTGCTTTGAAGACTTCCAGTAAATCCTTGGCAGGGTTGACAATACGAGTTTCAATCATCTCTAGCTCTGGCGCAAGCGTTTCTTTGAGCTCGAGTACAATGGCTTGGTAGGCCTCACAGGCTTCAATGCCGGCAGGGTTGCCTTCGACCTTGAGTGTGTCCAGATCAGACATGCGTCCAGATATCGGCTTGTAAATATCCTTGACCGCCTCTGCAAATTGTACTTGATGGTCGAGCATGCCTAAAGTTAGTCTGTGGCATGACTGAAGACAGTAGATTCACCGTTGACGGCAGAGGAGTATTTCTTGGCATCTTCATGCAGTTTCTTGGTCTCTGCTTCCAATTCTGAGAACCGTCGCTCGGCATCCAGATATATGCCATCTGCATATTAGCAATGAAATTTTGGCTTGAAATCAAGGCTGACCTTTGGTGTGCTCTCCCATGCCGACCTTGCCCTTTAAGCTCTGAGGCGCCTGTCACATTAGCTGAATGCACAGATGCGAAGCCTGCATTACCCTGGCGACCGCCTTTTGAAATCCCTTCCAGCTCATTTTGATCGGATGCCGTGCCTGCTCTGAGGTTGCTCACTTCTTGAGATTGTCGAGGCCAAGCAAGTCCTGAGTGTGAACTGTGAATGCGATGTCGATGGATGGAGAGGCTGAGAGCGTCATTGCGGTTTCTGACTTCTCACGTGCATAATTTTTCGACCGCGATTTTGCTTCACGATCTCTTCCTCCGACCATTACGCTTGATCAGAGACCTGGAGCTCAGCAGCTTCTGCCCCTATTTAGCAAGCTTCTCGCTGTGATACGCTCGTGTCAAATATCCAATCACATCTGTCATTTAGCTACGGTCTGCCATGCTTTCTAGATCAACCAGACAGGTGTTGCGTCTAGCGTGTCGTGCAACTAGGTGCGGTACTCTCACGTCTTGCTTGCATGCTGACCATACTAGAACACAGACGAGAAGCAATACAACCGCCACGAACGCAAAAATCGACGATATCGTCTCGAGTATATCAAAGTTGTCCTTACTGGAGACTGCAGACCTGATTCAGTCCCTCAAAACCAAGCTGAACATCTCAGAAGTAGCAGCACCCGTGGCCACGGGAGGAACTGCAGCCGCCACTGGAGCAGCCGCGGCGGCACCTGCAGTTGCAGATGAACCCGAAAAGACCGTCTTCAATCTCAAGCTGACCTCATTCGATGCAGCCTCCAAAGCTAAAATAATTCGCGAAGTCAAAGCAATGCTGGGGCTCAACCTTGTTGATGCGAAGAAGTTTGTCGAGAGTGCACCCAAGGTCTTGAAGGAGGGCGTTACCAAGGAGGACGCCGAAAAAATCAAGAAAGCCCTCGAGGCTGTTGGAGGCAAGGTTGACCTGGAGTAGACATTGTCGGCACATTACTTACGAGCTTTTATCAAGCATAAAATCAAGCTTGGTCATGCAGCATATCTATTTCACTAGGAAGCGCTGCCGCCATGATTACTCTATTATACACGCCTGCTCATTCCAGCTGGCCTGCATCTGTCGTCCGCTTGATAATGCAATCCTCCATTGAGGCTCTTGCTAACCAATGTGCATGACATTCACCGATCAGAGTCGACAGGGAATCATGACATTGTCTACATCTTAGCGCCACCGCCGTAGCGGGCGAGGTGAAGGCCTGTAACTTATTTCAAGCATGACAATTGAAGGAATCGAAAGGAGGGTGTATCGGGACTAGACTGCCATCAATGGTATACATGTGCACTGTAGACAGATCTTACCCTCAGGTCCTTGGACCTCGGACCTCTAGATCTTTTTAGCGTTTGTTTGGTTCTGGAGCGTGCGACCCTGGATCGACAATTTGACAGGCACATGCGGCACGCCCTGTATATATGCGTTCAAATGTCTAGAATCTAGACCTCTGACCAGCCTTGGACTCTGCTTGTGAGGCTTGTTCCGGAACTATCTACTGATAAGGGCGTGGTACTTAACCGGGCTAAGCTCTCGTACCTCTGTGCCAGCATCACTCGCTGTATCGTGCCAGTGCTTCGAGTACCCATTGCCTTCAGATCTTGGCCATATGGGCATTTCAGGGCCGAATCAAAGCTCTAGCAAAGTGCTTCCACCTCAGCGTGGCTCTTTTCCGCTTGATCACGACGGAGAGTGCCAATCAATTGTCAAAGAGTATCTCTCTTGCTTGAAGACCGCTCGCGGCAAAAACACGCCGTGCAGAGACTTGGCCAAAGCATTCCTACAATGTCGAATGCAACACGGGCTTATGTCTCCGGATGAGATGTCCAGCTTAGGCTTCAAGGATTGAGTAGTCACAGTATACGAAGGCGAGTCAAACTGAGTCGTGCAGCAAACATCTATTTTGGCATACTAGGCGAAGGCTCTCTGATACTTGGACCAAACCTTTTCATGAAGGAGTAATAAGTCTCTTCGATGGCACTGGAGGGATCTGGCCGTGCCGAGGTGTCATCAGCACTAGAAATCGGCGCCTCCGTCGAAGTCGTTGTCCTAAGACAGTTGTCGTACTCGTCTTGCAAGCTGCGTAATTCCTCCGCACGTTGTTTGTAGAGTGCGGTGTCCCTGAGAATCGAATTCAGTCGTGCCAAGTGCTGTAGATAGCTGAGTGCTTCCTCGAAGTTGCGAAGCTTTAGATGCTCTCTAAAGCTATTAAAATTGAGGTAGCCTTGACTAGAATGGACTTGAGCAATCACGTCTTCTGTGCCACGAAGACGCTCTTGTACCAAATGAAATCTCTCCAGTGCGTGAACAGAATCATCCCCGATGTGTGACAACCCGGACTGAGTATCAGCTGCTAGAGTATGTGTGCTGGTCTGTAGAGCACCTTGATTTTGGCTCACTGCGTCGACATCATAATTGAGGCGGGGTGCAAGTCTCAGCATACCATCGACGATCCCATTAAGACGCAAGCTCGTCGTCTGGCATAAGCTGTTAATTTCTTTGAGCAAGCTTTGAGCGGCGTCTAGGCCTTCTTGGCATTCAATGTGACCAGATAATCGCTCGTTGATGTACGAGACTGGATTGCGCACAGCTTGACCTGTAGGGACAGTAAGCTCATGTGTAGATACCATCTTGAGAATGTGCCCGTTCTGTGCTAGCCAGCCCTTACGCTATCAAGGGTCTGTTTTTAAGCACTGTTGGAATGTAGATACGGACTTCTTATGCCTCTGCGTGTGATTTCAATTTCAGGAGCTACGCCTATGAAGTCTGAACCTCTCAATTTAGTCGTGATCAATCACAGCAAAAGCTTGGCTTGCATTGCCTCTTGTGGACCTTGTAGAGATTTGAAGGAGAGCAATAGCAGGAAATATTTGCCAACGAACGTAGTACTCCTGTCATGCAGATGCAGGTCCACAGCACACAAGAACCGAGCTTGACTGTACGGTCAGAGACAAGATCCCGCTCATGGACAACAAAGGGAACGAAAAGACAAGAACGCGGCAGAGACATCAAAAGCGCCCTGAAAGGGGTCTAGATTAGCCATGGACGTCCGCGCTTTGAAAACCCTTGAACATGATGCACTAGGCCTATGGCAGGCTCGAACAGTGCTGGTGCTGATTTAGGCGCGTGACCCATAGCATCATAGAACCAGTAAGTCTGTATTGCCGGGAGACAAACGTAGAGCTTCAGTCTGAGGTTCATTCAAGCGGCCTTTGACCTCGGCTGCGTCTTGTCCCACAAAAAGAACAGCCTTGGCTCCCGTGCATAGTGCCATCTTCCAGGGTGTCGCAAGTCTTGCAGAATTCTACTTTGAGGGAAGCCCCGAGCCTGATTTGAGCCTTCTTCGCGATATCGCGCATGTCGCGGATGATTTGCCTTGACATTGTAGGTGATTGTCTAGCAGAGAGCCTGGCTGCCTGAGCAAGAAAATTGAGTCGCGCATAAACATCTTTGTTCGCGATGTGGCGTCCTGGTAGCTTCTCTTTCTTTGCCATTCGCCATACCAATAGCCGCTTGACTTATGGCCTTGTTGCTGTATCGTATCTGACATAAAAGTCTCAAGTTTCAAGCGTGTGAACAAATTGGCCCACACGGATCAGACTGATTGACTGCATGCTGTTGAAGCCTTGATCTTACAATTCGTGCTTCTAAAAATTGAGCAGCTATAGACTATCAACTAGCCAAATAACATTTGCGCAAGGAGCCAGCACTTCCGCGGCCGACCTCTAGCTTTCTTCAAGGCTGCGAGTAGGATTGGCGTGCCCTCGCGGATTACTACTTACCTGGTACGCTTGGTCGAATTTGGACCAGACCTTTTTACATGGGCGCATATAGAGTGACAGCACTCGCCTTGCTGCCTCTGGCTCTAGCTATTGGACAATTTCCGCAGATTATACATGACGCAGTTCCGACAATCTTGTTGCATCTCGCACTAGTGTCTGCGGTGCATATCTCGATGGGTCTGCAGCGCTTGCGTAGGACGTCTAGCCATTTTCTCTACGATGTTCTGCTATGCATCCCGTGCTTTTACGCATTAGTAGTTCTCATGGGAGCACCATTTACAAGCCAGACGCGTGCAACGCTGACGCTCTCTGTGTCTCTCGCTATTTTAAGTGCATGCTCTCGCACGTCAACGAAGACCAGTATTTGGACTCTGATCGAAGCGCTTGGGCATCGTAAGATGGAGCGAGGCTCCAAGGTTGACCAAAAGCAAAGGGCTGTCAAAATATATGCGCTTGCTTTGACGCTAGGTGCCTACCTGGGCGCGATACCCATTCCTCTTGACTGGGACAGAGATTGGCAACAGTGGCCTATCACTGTCTACACAGGCGCGTGCTTGGGTCACGCGGTGGGATGTCTGGCGAGTCTAGTATTCGTGCGTCGCAGCTGTGCTGACTCCAATAAAGATGACAAATGAATGTACCTCTCAACATCGTACACATTCTACTGTCAGAGCACAACGTCTTCCTGCAAATATTCAAGAGCTACCCGGTTGACTTGCTCGTAGCACAGCATCGTGATGCATGTAGCAGGAACTACACGCAAGAAGTTGGGCGCCAGACCACGATAGAAGCCCAACAGCCCAGACTTCCGCCGAATGTCACGGAATGTACTCACCATTGTGGCCTCGACCGGTGCGTCGTGCATTTGGAGCCGGCTGCGCAAGACTTGGTATGGATAGGTGACCACGACTGCCACAGCCTTCGATGCAGCGGACACCTCTAGAAAATCCCATGTATTCTAGCAAGTCAGCAAGAATGAGTAGTGCTGTGAGCATACCATGGGCTGCTCTGACCATGTCCTCATGCGCCAATCCTTGAGCTTCTCATACGCCGTGAATTGAAGAGCTGCGTGTGACACCCCGAACATGCTTGGCACAACACCTCTATATAGCCCTCGGATTCCTTCCGCTTTGAGTATTTTTCGAAGGCCATCTATAGTTAGCAGGAACACAGGAGAATCTCGCCTTAACATATTGCGTTCCGGTATGCCATCGCATCGTCTCGATTTGTAGTGAGCATTCTTGTTTTGATAACCCATATCGGATTGGTGCAGAGTGCTGTCAGCAACCCTGCAGTACCAGACGAAGCAAGATATTCGTGAGCATCTAGTCGTCTCCTAGCTGACCCAAACAGATGTTTGATCTGGCCGTACCTACCAGTAAGCTTGAAGAAGCTTCTCGTGCTGCATTACCAAGCGAAATAGAAGGACCATCCAAGCATGCCACCAACGAGGTTTGTGCCTAGGCCTCTGTAGAGGCCTCTAAGGCCGTAGCCTTGGTGTATTTGTTTGAGCAATGACAGCGTTGTTCCATCGCCTACTTGCATTCGCGTTTTGACCATGTCAAGCGGATGCATGGCCGTCGTAGATACTGCTCCGGCACAGAGTCCGGCGAATGCATCTGCCGCGAGCATGCTTTGAAGTTCCTGCTTTTGTGTTCAAAGCTTGTAGTCTATAAGCAGACGCAAAGATTCGCCTTATGCCAGCGCTGTAGTCCAGCACGGCTGCGGAGCTGCAGCGTCACTCTAGCGCTAGTGTTTTCGGTAGGTAGAACTACAATGCATAATCGAAATTGGTTTCTGAACTGTGAACTATAGCCACCACACCACAACAGAGAAAGATCATATGACTTTCCGCTCTACATTCACCGCGTTCCGTACAAGCAACCGGCTCTCCACAGCCTCATTGCACGCCATTGGAGGTCCTAGTCTTGAGTTCATCAACAATGCTTCGTATTATGTGTCGAGGTGATGCATGTTCCTTGAATGCATGTCTTCTACTACGCGTGTCAAGCACGCAAAGGTCTCGGCGTGTAGATATCCCAAGACGAAGGCGACGCATTGCTTTGTATTCTGGTGGCAGATTTGCAAACAGCCATGATACCGGGCAGTCTGCAGACTGTTGTATCAAAGGACAATGAGAAGCAAGAACAGCACAAGGATAAGCAGAAATATTGCCGTGAGTCTGCTGTTCTCCCGCGCCGCCCGCGTGAAGGAAGTCAGTCTGCGATTCGCAGAGTCAAGCCGGCTCGCACTGCGCGTCACCATGTCATCAACTTCGTTCAATAAGCCGCTTTGTCCATCAAGCTCATCGCCGATCTGTATGCTCAGCTCACGTTGCCGAGATATTGACGTCGATAGAACATCTAATGATTGATCTTGTGCCGCCATGACCACAGATTGTGCTTGCAGCAAGTCCTCATTGGAAGCACTATCATGCGAGGGATGGTCACTAAAGCGCACGCTTTTCCTGGTCGAGCTCGTATCGAGCAAGTCCCTCTTCTTCGACGCGACATTATCCTTCGGTGACTTCGCAGAGCTGTCAAGGTTGTCGCGATAAGGTTCTTGAAGATCCAAAATCGAACCTGGGAGCAATGCGCAAAGCTTGGCGCATTTTTGCTTCAATTGCGAAAGCTCGTCTTCTTGTGCCTCTGTCAAGTATATAGAGCCATTGCCTGACAATTTGCGAAGTCCTTGCTGGAGCGTAGCGAGAGACCGATACATCTCGTCATCGTCGTCCGGCGAAGTGTCAATCCCCGCAGCAGTTAAGCGCTGGCGCTCAACAATGGACAATTGTAGTTGCTCTGCGAGCAAATGCAGTCGGCTGGCCATAGAAGTCACTGAACCTCCAACAGAAGAGTCCTGGGCCGGGCACCGGCGGCCGCGCAACCGTGTTCCTCAGGTGTCGTTGCGACTCGAGCTGGTGTCCACGGATACCGCGCGCGAGACGTTTCGAATCTTGATCCAAAACTCAAAATGCAAAGACACATCTGCAGGCTCGTTCACATATAGCAGCTTCATGATCACGGGCAACCATTCAAGATACACAACCCGCGGGTGAGTCGAAAGCTGCAAACAAGTCAACGATCTTCGCGAAGGCTGCAAGTACAGTGAACAATAGAGAAAATAGTTCATCTTGAAAAGTCCTATATGACTAGACTGCTGGCGTTCTAGGTGCCCAATCTTGAATGTACTCCTTCATGCGCTTTGCTGCCTGCTCCGCTGTGTAGTTGCGTCCAAAAGCATCGACAAATTGGCCTTCGGGATCCATGAGATAGAAAAAGATACTGTGATCAACCAGATAATCTTCTCCAGATTTGACCTCTTTCGGCGTCGAGAAGTAGACTCTGAAAGCCTTGCAGACGCTCTTGATGGCCTCGTAGTCACCTGTCAAGCCAATGATATCCGGATCGAATTCTGACAAATATTCCTTGAGCTCTTCTGGGGTATCGCGCGCGGGGTCACATGTGATGAATAGAGGCTGCACTCGCTTCGTCCCTTGATTGACATCTTTGAGCACGAGGGTCATCTTGTCGAGCTCCTCTGGACAGATGTCCGGGCAGCGCGTGAATCCGAAGTAGATCAAGGTGTACAGGCCTAGATAGTCTTTTTCACTCACCCCTTTCCCATTGTGGTCAATCAAGGAGTATGGACCTCCAATGCGTGGCTTGCCAACGGGCTTTTGAGATTCCATTGCTTGTTGCACTTTGACTCGCTTACGCTCAGAATTGAAATAAAGTCCAAGAATAAGGGCAGTTGCCACGAAGAGAGCCGCCGATGTCACCGAGAATGGACCGACACGAGCCTTTTCCTTGACTTCAGCAGGTTGCCTGATCTGTAGTCGAGGTCTCTCGCATGTAAAAGTGCGACGAAGAACCAATCTACCAGCAGGCTTGGACTGCTGTGACAGCGGCCTGGGTCGCAGCATACATGCCATGGATCTGTGCTCGGCCCTTGCCATACATGAGAGAACATAATGAGATGTTACAGATAGTCGCTGCCCAGAAAACATTGCGATAGCACGACGCCCAGTGAAGTGCAGCTGAGAGCGTCCACCACTACATGGTCTGGTCTGGCAGTCGTCGAAAATGCGCAACCCACGTGATCTGTCAGGATTGTACCAATTTGACCTGTAACTTCCAGGACAACTTGCTGCGCGTACGCGTAGAGCTACTGGCGGGCTACTCTTCGTGCTACCGGGAAAGCTAGAGCACTATTGAGCCTCAAGGATGCAGGAAGACAACGCGCACGATTCTCTGCCGGATGCTAATACGCTAATTGCACTTCAAGAGATAGAACGATCTTTTGCAGAAGCAGAATTCCAACTAGCGTGCCAGCAAGCACAGCTCTTTCAACCCCTGTATGCAAAGCGTGATGCCCTTGTCAACAATATTCCCAAATTCTGGTCAACAGTGCTGGAGGAGTATGATGATCTTGCGGAGCTGATCAACCTGGAAGACCAAGCTTTGCTCTCACATGTTGCGAGCCTACAGGTTGTTCGAGAAGTGTCAGATCCGCGTACATACGAGATTTCCTTCACCTTTGCTCCCAATGAGTATCTGGAGGAAGAGTCTCTGTGCCTCAAGAAACGCATGACATTGGCGACTACGGATGACAAAAGCACAGATCCTACTCTCAAGTCAAGCAAAGTGCCCATCAAATGGAAACCCGGCAAAGACTTGACACAGCAAAAGGTAGGACGGCCTTCGTTTTTCACGTTCTTCGCTTGGACCGGCCGAGAAGAGGACACTTTGCAAGAAGGCGAGGAGGTGGCCGCGATTCTTGCTGATGCGATATATCCAGATGCACTAAAGTTGTGGAGCGAAGCGGTCTCTCTCGGTGGAGAAGAGAGTGATGACAGCGAAGGAAGCGTTGACCTCGACGGCTCCGACAAGAACGACGACGAAGGAGCATCAGGCGATGGACCGGATCGCAAGCGTGTCAAAGTGTGAGTCGGTAACTGTATCACGCCCATCACGGCATTCTACGCCGGCGACAAGTTCGCATCGTTTAACAGCGCTCCGAGGACCTGTCAATGATAGAAAGGCTCGCAGCTGTAAGTCACAATGTTGTGGTACACTCATTGGAGTCAATATAAAAGGCATTCATCTCGGGGTATCGACTGCTGTGTATTCTCAACCCAGCCTGAACATCTAACTTCTCAGCATCACCCGGTGACTTCTTGATCAGCTTGTGTTGCATTCAGCCATAAACTAGTATACGTACACTACAGCGAGTTCATGATTTTTGGCTTCCCGAAGAGCGTGAGACATTTAACAAATCCTACTCACACGTACATGTGCGACTTACGCAACCTCTTTGGCCATCGCGAAAGAGAATCGTTGACGTGAGCTTACTTCTCTTCTGTGCATCGAACTTGGTGCGTCGTGCTGGCCAAATTCAAACGATCGTCTGGTCCTGAACGGAGGGCAAACTGAGCGTGATGTTCGGAAAAGTCGCTAGAACTCAAGGAGTTCGTGGTGTGGTGCCGGCGCCTTTATCTACGTGGCGAGGCCTTAGTACCCAGTCGGCAAGTGACACTTCAGCCTTGAGCTTCGACACCATTCCCATGAAGCCAATCCGCCAAAGGTCTAAGAAAAGCGCCTTGTTCCGCACATCGGCGGGCCTTCTTGTTAGCCGCCCACCGATTACGACTGGGCCATTGAGTGGCTTTGAGAGCGCATTCTATGATTATCAACGGACACTCAAGGCAAGACTTGCCTCACCGTTTCCCGAGGACTTTTACTTTCCAAAGGGCAGCGTTGCCTTGAAGCGTTGGCAAGAGGCTCTCGCCGAAAAAAATGAAAGTTCTAAAGGTTCAGCGGGGCTGACTCCAAGACCCGCAGACCCTGAGCTGGAGATTGGTCGCCCCACCGAACGCAAAAGCTTGAATCGCCTTTCAAACTCGACACTTTACCTGCTACTCAAAAAGCGAAGAGCAATGCATGCCTGGCAGTTCCCTCAAGGACCAATCGGTGCTGATGAAAGTCTTCAAGATGCTGCAACGCGCCTACTATCAAAGCAAGCTGGGCAAGACATGGACGTATGGACCGTCTCGCGCATCCCGGTAGGTGTTATGTCATACCAATTCGAATCGCCAATTGTCGGCTTCAGTGGCGCGAAAGTGTACTTCACTAAACATCGTATCCTTGCAGGACAGGTACGCCTGGACAGTGAATTTGAAGACTTTGCTTGGCTGTCGGTTCAGGAGATTAAGCAAACCGTGGACAGTGTCTACTGGAAGTCAATTGCACCACTTCTTGGAGCCATATGATGGCAGGTCGCCTGATCAAGGCAGCGTTGTGTACATGCGATTGATCTGCATGATGCGTCAAGGAAAAACGCATGTTATGCTGTATGCATTCCAGGTGTGATTTTCTCGACTGGTCATCATCATTCATCAGGTGCTTGGTCTAGGCTTAAGGCCTTATGCCTGCCGGGGCTCGAGTCAGGAATATTGACGAAGCAATACTAATCCTCTCTCTGCGAAACATTGGTTCCATTCGCCATCCTACCTGCAAAGTCATCTCAATATATCGTTGGGCAATCGTAGCTGCAAACCGAAGTCACATGTCGAAATTAATGCTTGAGCGCCTGCGTTGCCCAGAGCTGGCCTGGGCGACTCTGCTGTAGAACTTGGGTCACTGCATTGTTTTCAATAATCTTTACACATCAACAGAGAATTGCTTGCTTTTCATTTGCCCTTGACATTGTCGAACAGACATCATGATCATGGTCTAGTAGAGTCTATCGAACAGATGGCGGGGCACTAGCTCTCTCGGAATGCATATGCGGCGGTATAGACACATTATTACCAGGTCATTCGCTATTCATTATGCATGACCAGTAAATCTTTATTGGTAAAATTATCTTTATGTTTGCTCATTCTAAATTTGAGATTAAACTTTGTCAAATACAGAACAGAATCAGAACAGTGGTCCAATCTCATCTTCTACCCAATTTCATCTCGTGCGCTAGCACGGACCCAGACAAGCAACTGTAGCCTACAGGGCTCTTACGATGACCTATGACTTCTTTACCGCAATCGTCCCTTTTGCTTCGGCAAGTCATCTGGCATTGCGACCGCCTTATCAACCTGATGAGTCTGCAATCTCGGATCAGCAGAGATCGCTGACATTGCTTTGCTCGATATTCTGGTCGAGCGATCGATCCTGCGAAGATTACGGAGGTCTGGCCATGCATTCACTTCGAGATTGCTTCTCCTGACCCTTTGAATTCTGGATTACTCATGCTCGACCTAGCTTGACCTGTGATATCAATCCCAGGCTTTCTCTAATATTCTCTGACTGTCGACTTCGATTGTACTTGCAGAGACGAGCGTCGAGCAGGTTTGCCTTTCAGAAATCCCAGTCACTCATTGGTGTCGATTTGACCGTCTCCTACGTCGATGCGTCGACCATTTCTTCAATGCGTTCCATTGCCTCGGTGCCATCGTGGGCGAGGCGCTGGTGCCACAGCTTTGCCTTCTCATCTGCTTGCATGGTCAATGCAACCGCTTCTGCTTGTGGAGATAGCCAGTAGGATGCGCCACATTCCGCTCCAGCAGCAAGCAACTTGTCATCTTGCCGGACTTGCCATCCATTTCCGTCGCAATAAAAGCGTCTGTCGCCCTGTGCCAACTTGCTAACGGATAGCAGGGAGAATTCACCGAGGCCAAATAGGCAGTCGGGGACCGGCAATTGCTGATTGACCCTCGCAGTGCTGCTGCCAATGACTGTCTTGAGCCTACCGTTGACAAATGCTACTGCTGGCATTACGGAATCGGACCAGAGCGTCTCAAAAGTATCGCCGAGTCGCTGAGGTGGCTTGTGCCGCTATCGACCACCCAGTCAGTTTGGTACTTGCTAGCCTTGATATGCCAGCACACCGATTAGTTGGCATGAGCATCTTGTTGTCGCTTCTAGGATCTGGCCCTCATTCGCGGTGTCGCGATACGCTAGTCTGAATCTGCTCATCGTCAGACAAATGATGATTCAAGTGTTCCGATCACGCAAATGCCAAGCAAGTCGAAGTATGCCACCTAGCACGCGCTCAGAACCTACCGACGATATTCAAGGGCCCTCAACAGTGAGTATACATGATTGGGAGATGTTCCGCGGAGCCTACGCGGTGTCAACTCATTAATACAATAAGGGGCAAGGCAGACGAGTCTAACGCTCAAGACTCGTCTGCGCACAACAGACACTACTTCAACTATGGTGAGCGCTATGATCGGCGTTCTCAACTAACAACACAACTCAAGGGTCATACAGCGCAATCTGAGGCTGGAAACTCGACTACGTACAATATCGTCACGCTGCCCTCTCTCTTTGGGGATATAGGTGTTTCGCTGTTCAGCTGAGTCTGGAATTTCTTACTATGCTACTGTAAGACCATGCCACTTCTACATGCTTTCGCTTATGGAAGCTGCTAGAACACTTGATATTCTTGCAGAAGCAAATAGACTTTCTGTGTTCTATTGCTTGCTCTTGCTTTCTGCATTATACATGATGGACATCCAAAGATATGCGATGTGCCGTTACGATCACGTCATCTAATTTCGACCGCGAGTAGCAAGATGTCCTTACGTGGCAGACTTTGTAGTCCCATACTCGTGCAAAATCTTTGAATCTCGCCCTTATTGTGCACAGTCGAATTGGTATCTGGAAGGCTGACCCTGTATCCGAATACTTGAGAGCTTTTGTGGTGCAGTGGTAAAATCGTCCGCAGTCCAACAGTCCTAAGCCAGCGAATGTGTGAAGATATCTGCCGACATCAAGTCCGTCTACAAATTTTTGACAGTGCCGACTTGAAGGTCGATGCATTGACGAACACAGTGATGCTTCACCCGAAGCGAACAAATTGTCAAGCGGTAGCGAATGCATGGCGGATGCCTGATGAACAGGGCCTGAACTGCTAGGATATGAGCGTATTAATAAGTGTTGTTACTATTGTTATTGCTATGGAATCGCTATGCTGGCACATTGTAGTGCACGCATTGGCGATGTCGCACGCTCAGAATTCTTAGCGCACAACAGAAATCTGGTATCACTACTATTTTTGGACGGTCGTGGTTGAAGCTCAATTCAAATTGAAACGTCCTAAAAGCCATGTTGCTTCATGGCAGGCTGCAGAGAAACCAATATGCTCAGCTAACCAGTCTATTGCTTCTTGCTGTCACAGATCAATTCAACCTGAAAATTTGAGTCGTTAGCCGAGCAATCGTGTCTCAGTTGTGCGCAAGGAAGTCATGGTATATGGTGCGTTTCATTGACCATCAACTTCCTGCGCACAACAAATCTATCGAAAGAAAATCCTGTTGTGCGCAGGCAACCCTAGAGCTGTTGTGCGCAGGTGCAATGGTATATGGAGCACTGACCCTGTATCCGAATGCTTGAGAGCTTTTGTGGTGCAGCGGGAAAGTCGTCCCCATTGCACCTGCGCACAACACTTCACCTGATTCTATATCCCCTCTCGGATCATAGCTTTGCGTCTATCAACACTGCGCCTAGCTTCCTGAGGTCTACATGGAGATCTATCGTCGACCCATGCCTGTGACCCCGAGCCTTCGCGACAGCAGCATTCGATATTTCACTGTCCCCATCGAGACTCGAACTTCGGATTGACTCATGCACCTGTTGGACTGGGGACGACTATCCCGCTGCACCACAAAAGCTCTCAAGCATTCGGATACAGGGTCAGTGCTCCATATACCATTGCACCTGCGCACAACAACTAGACAATCATTTTCCATTTTGTGTTCTTCGTCGTCCGGAATGCTCTGCATGTAAGTCCCGCACAGAGGGCATACAGAAGTAACAAAACCTGTGGAAGTTTGTGCACTGGGAATTCTGAGCTTGCGACACCGCCAACGCGTGCGCTACAAAGTGCTAACACAGCAATTCCGTTTAGCAGTGATAATAGTGACAACACCTTTTAATACATACGTTCAGATTTTAGCCATTCAAGCTCTGTTCATCGGGCATTCGCCATACATTTGCCACCGCGCAAGAGGTAATGACCCCTATCAATTCAAAAGCCACGTCAACTGTCTTATGGCAACACTTTATGTTGGTAAACATGTCGTGCGCAGGTGAAATGGTATATGGGACACTGCCCTTGTATCCGAATGCTTGAGTGCTTTTGTGGTACAGCGGTGAAGTCTTATGCCTATTTGACGATGAGCGGACTAAGGCTAATCTACGGGGTTATATTGTTGTGCGTAGGTGCAATGGTATATGGAGCACTGACCCTGTATCCGAACGCTTGAGAGCTTTTGTGGTGCAGCGGGAAAGTCGTCCCCAGTCCAACAGGTTATGAGCCTCGTGTTGGACTGGGGACGACTTTCCCGCTGCACCACAAAAGCTCTCAAGCGTTTGGATACAGGGTCAGTGCTCCATATACCATTGCACCTGCGCACAACACTTCACCTGATTCTATATCCCCTCTCGGATCATAGCTTTGCGTCTATCAACACTGCGCCTAGCTTCCTGAGGTCTACATGGAGATCTATCGTCGACCCATGCCTGTGACCCCGAGCCTTCGCGACAGCAGCATTCGATATTTCACTGTCCCCATCGAGACTCGAACTTCGGATTGACTCATGCACCTGTTGGACTGGGGACGACTATCCCGCTGCACCACAAAAGCTCTCAAGCATTCGGATACAGGGTCAGTGCTCCATATACCATTGCACCTGCGCACAACACTTCACCTGATTCTATATCCCCTCTCGGATCATAGCTTTGCGTCTATCAACACTGCGCCTAGCTTCCTGAGGTCTACATGGAGATCTATCGTCGACCCATGCCTGTGACCCCGAGCCTTCGCGACAGCAGCATTCGATATTTCACTGTCCCCATCGAGACTCGAACTTCGGATTGACTCATACACCTGTTGGACTGGGGACGACTTTCCCGCTGCACCACAAAAGCTCTCAAGCGTTCGGATACAGGGTCAGTGCTCCATATACCATTGCACCTGCGCACAACACTATAGACTACAGCTATGGTTGAATAGGTAGGATGGAAAGAGTGCCATCTCACGAAAGCTTGCCCAGTGGGGCAACCAACAGTGCGGAACTGGCTGGAGAAATGAAGTCCTCATCAAGCAGACCCGCTATAACACTTTTGTGTCTTTGACCACCCTCGTGATTTCTCTTTGCGTAAGTGGAAGAGTCAAAACTGTTGGAGGTGATGCTACTCGCGGTAAAGATCTCACAACGTGCTCGGCAGTGGCAAATTGCATGTCTATGGACGACCATCATGGGAATAACACAGAAAGCAATAGAACAATGGATGTTCTATTGGCTTCCATGAACACAACAAGTGTTGTGCGCAGGTGCATTGGTATATGGAACACTGACCCTGTATCCAAATGCTTGAGAGCTTTTGTGGTGCAGCGGAAAAGTCGTCCCCAGTCCAACAACAAGTTGCTTCCATGAGCGCATGTATATTAAGGTGGGAAGGTCTCATAGTACCATAGCAAGGAATCCTAGTATCAGCTGAACAGCGAAACACCTAAACACCCGAAGAAAGGTCTCATAGTAATATAGTAAGAAATCCCAGTATCAGTTGAACAGCGAAACGCCTAAACACCCGAAGAAACACCGTCTTCCTGAAGCGGCGAGACCTTGCGAGTCTCCAGATGCCGTGTACAGTGGCAGCGTAGGTCATGATTAGGCCACGATCATCTTTATTGACTTCGGGGCAGACGATCTCGACATAGGTTGGACGGCCGACCAGATTATTGCAACGACCGAACAGAGTATAAAGAGGTGCTCGGGTGTCTCGAGCCCGGGACCCGTATAATTAATACACTCTTGTCTCCTGTTGTTCTTTACCGCGGCACTACCGTCTCGAACTCCTGTCCTCAGCGACCCAAGCGACAGAAAGCCACGGCTCCCACAGGTACTCTCATTGCATCTTAGGAAGCCTGCGAGGAAGGACAAATTGAAACGCTGTGCGCGAGCACGCGCGCATAACACTAAGGGTGATTTAGCGGGTGTGCTAGTCGAGGTTTTCACGTCGGCAGCCAGTCCCGCACTGTTAGTCGGCCTCCTAGGCAGACTTTCGTGAGATAAAGCTCATTTCATCCTACATTTACAATCAGAGCTGTAGTCTTTATTGTTGTGCGTGATTGACGGTAAGCGGATTGCAGCTAACTGATTGCGATGGTACTTCAACTATGGGGTGTGCTGGCCTTTTAAGGCCTGCGTTGTCAACTCATCAGCACAACTCTCACGCTCTAGAGTTGCCTGCGCACAACACTTCCCCTGCTTCTGTATCCCCTCCTTCCGTCTTCCCGATGCCAAGCAGCCTTTTGAAGTTTTCGAATTTGCTTCGGCCGAGAGCTTTTGTCAGCAGGTCCGCGAGCATTTGGCCAGTGGCAACATAGTCAAGATGCATACAGCCAAGTCGAAGACACTCGCGAACGTAGTGGAAGCGTGGCAAGATGTGCTTCGTGCGTGTGTGAAATTTGCTGTCCTTTGCCAGTGCGATAGCTCCTTGATTGTCGCCGTGAAGCTCGACAATAAGTGCTGCATCTTTGCCATCGATTGGCGGTGACATGTGAGCGATGATGCACTTCAGCCATTGAAGCTCTTTTGTGGCATTGCTGAGTCCGACATACTCTGCCTCGGTTGTCGACAGCGCAACAACGTCCTGCTTGCGGCTTGACCAAGATACGCAGTTGTTGCCGAGGAGACTAACGTAGCCACTTGTCGATTTGCCCGTGTCCTGGCAGCCTGCGTAGTTTGCGTCAGAGTATACGTCAAGCTTGAATGGGCCACGTGAGATGACGAGGGGGTCATCCTTTGTCGACTGCATGTACCGTAGCAGTCGTTTCATTGCCTTCCAGTGTTCGTGGCTTGGGTGTGACATATACTTGCACAAGATGCTGAGTGGAAACGCGAGATCTGGGCGGGTCGTGGTCATGACAAACATGAGGCAGCCGACAGCCTCTTGGTAAGGAATCGAGGTCATCTCCAGTATTTGCTCCTGCGTGGGCTTGACATCTTTGTCCTGAGCCGAAAATTTCGCGTTTGGGTCCATCGGCAGTGCTGTACCTTTGCAGTCTGCCATACCGAAACGTCGCAGTGTATCTTTGATGTAGCGCGAGCTTGACAACTCGATAGTTCCGTCGTTGCGGCGCACCAGCTCAACGCCGCAGAATTGTGTGGCTAGACCTAGGTCTGACATGGCCCATTTTTGCTTGATTGCGGTCTTGAAATGCTCGAGTGCATGGGAGTCGCGCGCGACGATGAGCAGATCATCAACATAGACCACCAATCGAATTACTCCACTTGGCATGGTGAACAGGCCTTGCTCCTGCTCACACTGGACGAACCCGTAAGCGATGAGAAATCTGCATAGCTCGAGGTACCACTCCCGACCTGACTGCTTGAGGCCATACAAGGTCTTTTTGAGCTTGCACACGCGGCCTGTACTGTCCTCGAAGCCTTGAGGTTGCTCCATAAAGTCATCTTCGCTGAGAGTGCCATTCAGAAACGCGGCGACGACATCTAGGTGATGGATTTCCAAACCTTCATTGACGGCAACAGTGAGCAGAGTGCGGACAGTGGTGAACTTAGCGACCGGTGCGAATGTCTCGTTGAAGTCGACTCCCTCGATCTGCGCGTAGCCTTTTGCGACCAGGCGTGCCTTAAACTTGTCCAGATTGCCGTTTGGGAGAGACTTGACCTTGAATGCCCATTTGTTGCCGATGACAGGGTGGTCCTTTGGGCGCTCCACCAAGTCCCAAGTTTTCATTTGCCAAAGTGTGGTCATTTGGTCCAGCTGAGCCTCTTCCCAATACTCGCGCTCTGGTAGACTAGTCATCTCTCGGTAAGAATTTGGCTGGACAATCTGTGCCGCTGGTCGTAGTACCTTTGGTAAAGCTTTTGTGAACAGCATGTTGATCTCATCCACTTCTTCCACTTCCTCATGTTGGCCTTCGGGTGCTAATGTGTTTTCTTCTTCGTCGCTGATGCTGTCCTGCGCTGATACCTCCTCAGTGTTGTCGTCGTCGTGCTCGTCGTCCTCTCCGCCGTCGCTGCTGGTCTCGTGAAAGACAGCGTCCCGTGACCTGATTGTGCGGCGGTGCTTGGGATCCCAGAAGCACCAGCCTTTAGTACCAGAGGGATAACCAACGAAGACTACCTCTTTTGCGTGGTCGTCCAGCTTCTTGCGGGTTGCGCCTGGTACGTGGATCCAAGCCTTGCATCCAAAGACGCGTGCGTGTGAGAGATTGGGCTGCTTCCCATACCAGGCTTCGTAGGCGGTCATGTCCTCAAGTGCCTTGATCGGCGACCTATTGCCAATGTACACCGCGGCGTTGATGGCAAACGACCAGAAGCTCCCGTCGAGTCCGCTTGTAGCAAGCATTGCTTTGGCGCGCTCAGTAAGGGTGCGATTGAGGCGCTCTGCGACTCCATTCTGCTGCGGCGTGTGTACATTGCTGAGGTTGCGCTGGATGCCTGCGTCGCGGAGTACCTTGTCGAAGTCTGCGTTGATGTACTCGCCGCCGTTGTCTGTGCGGAAAACTTTGATTTTGTGGCCGCTTTCCAACTCTGCGCGCTTTTGAAATTGCTCAAAAGCATCCAAGGCAGACGACTTCTCTTTGCAGAAATACACCCAGCTGAATCTCGACATGTCATCTGTGAAAGTCACAAAGTACTTGTGGCCCTGGACGCTCTCAACTGGCATGCTGCATAAGTCCGAGTGCACGAGGGCGAGTGGTTCAGTTGCACGGCTGAGACTTTCTTGCGGAAAAGGGCGTCGAGCAAGCTTGCCTTTCAGGCACCCGACACACTCGCTGGTGTCAACTTCTCCATCTCCCATGTCGACGCCTTCGACCATGTCTTCAATACGATCCATTGCCTTGGTGCCAATGTGAGCAAGGCGCTGGTGCCACAGTTTTGCCTTCCCATCTGCTTTCATATTTAACGCAACGGCTTCCTCCTGAGGGGACAACCAGTAGAGGCCATCCCCTTCCTCTCCAGCGGCAAGCATCTTATCATCTTGCCAGAGTTGCCACCCATTCTCGTCGAAGTGAACGCGTCTGCCACCCTTAGTCAATTTGCTGATCGACAGCAGATTGAAATCAACATCTGGAACATACAGGCACTCGGGCAACAACACTTGTTCATTGACCCTGGCAATGCCGCTACCCATGACTGGCTTGGAGCTACCGTCGCCGAATGCCACTGCTGGTACTGCTGACTTGGGTGAGAGGGTCTCGAAAGTCTCTTTCTGGCCGCTGACGTGGTGGCTCGAGCCACTATCGATGACCCATGCCTTGCTGGCGCTTGTCTTTGCTGCTGTATGCATCACATTTGCTGCTTTGGCCGCTTTACAATTGTTGGCAGTCTGGTCGATCACGATCGGGTAGCGGGAGTAGGCTTCAGACTGTTTCATTGCTACCTGTTGACTGTTTACCTTCTGGACAATTGCGCATGATGTGGCCCATCTGCTGACAGTTGTAGCACTTATATTCCGAGAAGTTCTTTCTCATACCTGGCCTCCAGCTGGTAGGCCTGAAGCTGGTCTCCATTCGCGGCGTTGTGTACATCGCGTGCGCCTGTGTGCCTGCCAAGCTCTTGCGACGCTCCGCCTCACCCATCAAGCTATTGGTGAGGAGGTCGATGTCGGCATTGCCGTTTGCAACGTACCCTTGGCGGAACACTTCCCAATCGTTTGGCAGACTGTTGAGCAAAGCGCTCCGCTTCTCAAAGTCCGTCACGTTGCGCCCGCAGTCCGCCACTCTGGCGATCAGAGTAAGCACGCGATCAATGTGCTCTTGCATGGAGGTGCCAGCCTTGCACTTGTAGGCATACAGTTCCTCCTGGCGGCGTGCTAGTAGCAACTCCTTGCTGCCCTCATTGGACTTGACAAGACCGGTCCAGATCTTGGCAGCCGACTCTGCCAAGTTGACCCTCATCATGACGTTGGCATCGAGGTGTTTGATGAGCAGCCTCTTGGCATCGCCTGCAAAGACTCGATCATAGGCACGGTCATCGACGTCGATGTCGGTGAAGACGTAGTCGTCCAGGGCGTAGGCTTCCACGGTGATCTGAAATACAGCTTTGAAGTTTGCCCACGACTCCTGTTTCCCATCGAAGACCATTTGCGGGACATATCGCATGAGGTCCTCACTGCGCTTCTGCTTGCGGGCAGCGGCCTGGGGATCGGCATCTCCGGCTGCTGGTACGGAGCCTTCGGTGGCATCGACGCCTTCTGGGCGTGTCTTGGGAGGCATTGATTCACTTGGTTGGCGTTGGCGTTGACGTTGGCGTTTGCGTTTGCGTTTGCTTTGACGTTTGCGTTTGCGTTTGCGTTGGCTTTGACGTTTGCGTGATCGGGTTATTCAAGGCTCATAGCCTGATTGACGGTAAGCGGATTGCAGCTAACTGATTGCGATGGTACTTCAACTATGGGGTGTGCTGGCCTTTTAAGGCCTGCGTTGTCAACTCATCAGCACAACTCTCACGCTCTAGAGTTGCCTGCGCACAACAGTGCGCTGGAAATTCTGAGCGTGCGACGCCGCCGATGCTTGCACTACAAAGTGCCAGCACAGCAATTCCGTAGTAACAACAACAGTAACAACACCCTTTAATACGTTCATGTCTTAGCAGTTCAAGCCCTGTTCATCGGGCATTCGCCATGCATTCGCTATTGCTTCACAGGATATGAGCCTTGTTATCCCGAAAGCCACGTCATCTGTCTCATCGCTATATTCACACTTCTGGAATTTTCGCCTAGCAAAATGTATGCGCATCGGTCGTCCAGGCCAGTGATCGTCTTCATCACTCTGCTCATGGATGGCAAAGATATCGGCCAATTCCGAGCCAGTAGGAGCCTCTGCATTTGCACCAATTTCGCCTAGTCAAGCTTATTGTCGCGACACCCTCTTCTATGTCTTCAGCAAAAGCGCACATGTAAATCCAAATGATCGCTTCTGCATACACAACGTCCCCATTTCCTGCTCGCTCATCGATTGTGGCCGTCGTATTGGCTCGCAATGCACTTCCTTCACGCCCTGGTCGCAGTATGGACCATCAAAGCATACACACCGTCAACCGCTGGTCGCAGTATGGACCATTAAAGTATACGCAACGTCAACCGCTGGTCGCAGTATGGACCATTAAAGCATACACACCGTCAACGTCGACGCCTCCGTTAGCCACGTATATTTATTACGTGTAAGGTCGCAGTATGGACCATTAAAGCATACACACCGTCAACGTCAACGCCTCCGTTAGCCACGTACATTTATTACGTGTAAGGTCGCAGTATGGACCATTAAAGCATACACACCGTCACCGTCCCCATTTCCTGCTCGCTCATCGATTGTGGCCGTCGTATTGGCTCGCAATGCACTTCCTTCACGCCCTGGTCGCAGTATGGACCATTAAAGCATACACACCGTCAACGTCAACGCCTCCGTTAGCCACGTACATTTATTACGTGTAAGGTCGCAGTATGGACCATCAAAGCATACACACAGTCAATGTCAACGCCTCCGTTAGTCACGTATATTTATTACGTGTAAGGTCGCAGTATGGACCATCAAAGCATACACACCGTCAACTGCTGGTCGCAGTATGGACCATTAAGTATACGCAACGTCAACCGCTGGTCGTAGTATGGACCATTAAAGCATACGCAACGCATTCTCTCACTACTTCTGCACTCATCATCACGGAAATGGCGTGTACCTGTAAACCGTGGCTCACGTCCCTTCGTCTCTCCAAGCAATTGCCTCAGTATTTTTCCTTCTTCCAGCAATGCCTCGGTTTCTCCAGCGATGTCTCAAAGCGCTTTGTCTCCAGCAACGTTGCTCAAGCTACATGCGATCAACTAAGTTCCCTGATCTTGAACTGGACGATTATTTCACAATGTCTTCGCACTGCCAAACCAGAGCTGTATGGAACGCTACGCCTTCTTATGCATCATCCTCCTTTCTCCGCAACGATTTTGTCTGCGCTACGCTACACGCTTGCACGCATCATCATCAACCCTCCGCAGCGACGTTGTCATCTCACCTGCACTGTAGCGTCATGCCTCGGCATCGCCTATCTCAACGTCAAGTCAAAGCAACACTGCATCTTGCACCGCTTCCCATCTTGTCTTCGTCGTCGTCCGGAACGCTCTGCATGTAACTCTTGCACAGAGAGGATACAGAACCAGTGGAAGTGTTGTGCGCTGGAAATTCTGAGCGTGCGACGCCGCCGATGCTTGCACTACAAAGTGCCAGCACAGGATGGAAACGGCGATCTGCCCGAAAAACAACACTGGTGCTGGCCCTCCAGTGGTTTCAACACCTGTCACAAATGTGTTGATCGCAGCCACACCCCCTTCAAGCCCACTGCCCGCGGTTTGTGTCTTGGAGTCTGTGAACTCTGGCAGAACTCCGTCCGGTAGTGGCCAAGACTGGGTGGAGAGCCCAACACCTGTGGCTCCATGGAAAGTCGTCCCAAGTCGACGACGAGACATTCGGGCATCAGCTCGGCAGCTGGGCCGTGACAACTGGCTCGTGCTACTTAATGGGCCTCAACCCAAATGCCCGAATTACGCGGCGGACCTGCTCATGCGCCAGCTGAACATGGAGACGCAGCTTAAAGGCGCGGCCTGGGCTGGCCAATTTGGAGGCGTGCTCTGTCTCATGCCAGAAACGACAGGCGATCGGGACATGATTATGGCCTCATTCGCTCGCTCCAAACGTCTGGGTGCTACGACTAAAGCAGATTTACGCAAGTATAAAAGTCTGTCTGAATTGTGGAAGGAGCGACAAGCCACTCGTGCATCACGAGGCCTGCAGTCAGATGTTATTCCACCTGCTCCGGAGCCTGCAACGCCTGTGAGCACGCCCAACTCGGTCGAGGAACCGACGTCACGCTCAACAGAAGCTAACCCAGACTTGGTCTCAGAGACTCAGTCCCCCTCGCCACCCAGTCCTCTGGATGACGTTCGGCGATCTGAACTCTGAAGCCTCGCCCCGGTGCCAAAATCAAATTCCAGAATTACAATCGGATTCTGGAACGTCCAAGGCAACCTTCTGGGCAAACTAGATGACGAAAATTTCCTCATTTTTTTGAGAGAATACGATATTATCGTGTTGGCAGAGACCACGATGGATAAAGGAAGGGAAGCCATGTACGAGCGTAATATGGCAGACTACGCGTTGGTCACCTCTAGTAGAAAGACTGGCGCTGCCAAGACAACGAAGACACAGGGCGGGCTGGCGATGTTCATCAAGCACTATATCTTCCAATCACCAAGGGTGAAGATTGTCGAACGCAACGCGGAGAATAACATTGACAGGATCTGGCTGTCAATCAACAATACGCAGATTGGGTTCACCTACCAACCGCAAGACTCCCCTCGCAATCTGGAGCTTTTGGGGCGCCCAGCTCTACAGATATTACACGATGAGGCTGTGCTGAAACAAGACTTTCTGATTCTCGGCGACTTCAACTGCCGTATCGGCCAGACATTGAACCCGCGTGCATGCGATACAACATTGAACTCGGCAGGTCGCAACTTTCTTAAATTTTGCGAGGATTTCCAGGCGTCCGTACTCAATGATGATGGATCGCTCGGAGATGCGGTTACACGACCAACTCATGTCACCAAGAATGATTCTGCGACTGCCACCTTGGTGACTAGCAAGTTATACTCGACAATCGACTATGCGATCGCTACCCCAGATGTTCGCAAGCAGATCGCCAAGTTTGACATACGGGACCCGGATGACTTCAGCCTATCAGATCACGCGTGTGTCACGGTCGTCATGGATGTTATGCTCGATTTAGATAGTTCAGTACGTAGGGTCAAGAGGTCGGCGCCGCAGGTGGAAAAGAATGAAATGGACATTAGGGCGAAGGCGGTCACGGACGCAGGCAAACTTGAGGCTCCTCCTAAGGCGATTCGCTTCAACACCATCATTACTGATCCACAGTTATGCGAATGGCGCAAGCTCTTGAAGCAGAAGCGGAACGAGAAAGGCGCTCGATCCAGCAGGCTTACTGAGTCCGCGTGTCAGCGCCTAAGAAGGAATATCAAACGGCGCCTCAAGCGTCTGCGAAAGCTTCAGAAGAAGGAATGGCGGGAGTGGCTGTCTGGTGTCAGGGGGAGGCGGGAATACTATGTCAAGCTACTCGAGGCCATCGGAAAGAAGAAGAAGGGCTGTCCCGTGGATGATGGCGAGATTCTGAGACATTTCAAGGACCTTCTCGGCGATCTGCCGTCAGGCACATTCAATGAAGAGGAGATGGAGCGTTTCCTTACTAACCCGTCTAATGTAGCATCGCAGGTGGAAGCAGCAAGGAAGAGAGGCGCATCAGTACAGGACTTTGTGTGCGCTACGGCGCATGCAGGCATGGTTTGGTCTGCAGCTGACGTCGCGGTTGCCAAGAAGATGCTGAAAACGAGCTCTGCCCCTGGTCTCGATGGCATAACTGTGCAAGAAGTCAGAGGGCTGAACGATCTAGAGGTGGCGGACTTGTTCAATGACATGCTGGATTCGGGTTCTATCCCAGCATCTTGGGGCCTTGGTCGTATCGTTCCAATCTACAAGAACAAGGGTCTCAAGACGGTTGCAGACAGCTACAGAGGAGTCACGCTTCAACCAATATTCAGAAAACTCTTCACGACGATTCTAAACTTCAAGCTGACGGCATGGAGCAATGCATTACGTATCGTTCCAGATTGTCAAGGCGGTTTTCGAAAGACCTTTCGCACATGTGACAATGCTCTCACGTTCAGAATCATCAAGGAAACGTACAAGAAGGACGGCAAGCCGCTTTTTACCTGTTTCGTTGACCTCAGGAAAGCTTTCGATTTGGTTGAACGCCGTGTCCTCATGCAGAAGCTGAAGAATTACGGCCTCACGGGCCGACTACTGACGGCCATCATGGCATTGTACACAAACACGAAAGCTTGCATACAGACAGACAATGGTTATTCGGAGGTCTTCGACGTCCATGACGGCGTCATTCAGGGCGACGTTCTATCACCACTTCTATTCAACATTTACATGGCTGACCTCGAGATGACAAGTTCCCCGCATACACCGAAATTGGCCGACCGAGAAGTTGGCTGCATGTTCTTGGCAGACGACATTGTATTGGTGTCTGACTCTATGGACGACCTGAACGACAAATTGCTGCAGACGCATGAATGGTAACGCCGGAATCGAATGCTCATCAACACCGAGAAGACACAGTTCCAAGTACACCTGCATGGGAAGATTAGAGCAAAACTCGGTGCAATTGAGCTCTCCTTGCCCGGGCGGACGCCTGAAGCGCCTCGCGCCTTGATTCAAGAGTGTGCCTCCTACAAGTATTTAGGCATTCACCTGAGCAGCAAGCCAACCTGGTCAAGCACAAAACACAATGCTAGCATGCTGGAACGCGCCAGAGTTGGTAGGTTCCAAATAGGCTCACTTGACAAGGTTTTTGGCCACATGTGCCTGTCTGAACTGCGTACGCTTTACCTCAATTTCGTCGACTGTCATGTCATTTTTGGCGCCGAGATCTCGTTTGATGGCGGGTCGGAAGACCTCAAAGCGATGCAGCAGGTGCAGACCGACTGGTGTCGTCAAACCTTTGGCCTCACGCGTCATGCTGCAAGACTGCTGGCTATTGTGGACCTGGCGATTCTGCCTGTAGCAGAAAGGAGGAAGCAGATTGCCATTGGCTTTGCAGACTACCTGGAGAACCTTACCGACAATCGCCTCGCCCATTTTGCTTTTGAACAAGCCAAGATCAACGCTCAAGACGATACTGCAGGCAAAACGTGGTACAGCCAGATCTCTACACTTCTCAATGGCTCCGGCGCGACTCTCGGCTCTCCAACGTGCCGCAAAGACTTCACTGAGTCGCTCTGGAAGACGCACTATGAGAACTGGGTGCATGAATGTGCCAACAACGCGCTATACAGACACATTACACCAGTCTCGTTCGAGGAGTTCAAGGAGCAAAGGCCTTATGTCAAGATGCAGGACGGATATGCTGGCAGATGGATTGCGCGTATGCGCGGCAGTAATGACCAGCTCATGGTCAATAGAGGGAGAAGACACAGGGATGACGAGCTGGATCGCTCCTGCCCGGCATGCAAGCCGACCGGCGATGTTGTGGAGACTCTGCAGCATGCACTGCTCGAATGCTGCGACCACGAAGCTCAACTGGCGGACATACGGCTGCGTTGGCCTGACTCGAGCCCTGCCGACATCATGCAAATCATTGTCGACCCACCGAAAGAACATCTCTCCTTCGTGTCGCGCATTGTCAACGCTGTCATCAGCAAAGTCAACGGGCGCTACCTGAGAATACTCTAGCTGTGTCTTCTATGACCAGCAAATAGCCTTATGGCACTATGCGTTGTCCGGCGTGGAGAGTCTGAGCACCCTTGGGTGGCTGGATTCTCTGTTTCGCTTCCCTCTTATTATGGGGGACAGTAGTTGAGCTGAGCACGACGTAGCTTTTTTTAGAGCTAAATCCCATCACAGCAATTCCGTAGTAACAACAACAGTAACAACACCCTTTAATACGTTCATGTCTTAGCAGTTCAAGCCCTGTTCATCGGGCTTTCGCCATGCATTCGCTATTGCTTCACATTTATAGCAATGAAGGAAATATATAAAAAAGAGCCAGTCCCGCACATAGGTTTGTAGAGCTCATTTCATCCTACTTATTATACCAAACCTGTAGTCTATAGCAATGAAGGAAACAAATTAAAAAAAAGCTGTGCGGGAATGCAAGGGTAGCACTACCACCACGCTGGCGCGTCTACCTCGATGCTTGGCATGAGCTTATTGACCGGCCGCGTATCGCCAATCACAGCACAGAACTTACCTACTGGCCGGAGAATTCTAAAACTTGGCCGCACATCTGCTGATATGCACGCCTCACCGGTTTTCCATACAAGTTCTTTACTCTGGGCACCTGGCCAAAAGGTTCACGAGAGCGCCTTCGAAAAAGTCACGGCCTATTTCCACGAGACTGAACGCTCGTCATTCTGCCCATTTGGACAAGAGAGAAAGGTACAGGTGGGAATGGAACAATGGAAGAAATGGTGCCTATTCTTGCGCCACATCCGCCACCGACATCCGATCACGGAAGACATACTCCACCTTCTCTCTCTTGGCAGTCTTTATCCTGGTAGCCATGAGGGGCGTTGGTACGGGTGCGATCCACGCTTCATCAACAATTTTCGAAACACAAGATGCGTCCAATGCATGCAGGACGAGGAGGAGACGCTCCAACCTTTTTGTCGAGTGCGCAGTTGCAGAACGCGTTTGGCAAGCAGCTTACCGGGAACGCCACCCATCTTGCGTCGATTTGGTCTGCCCAGCTGCAACGAAGGCCATGAGAGACATCAGCATCCAGAGAGCGGCCTTTGTGCACTGTGTCTTCCAGCGGTCTCGTCGTTACAGCGAGGTTCAGCTGGAGGCAATCATGGATCGTGACATTGGTCGTACCGTCCGGCGAGTTCAATCATGCGCCAAGCGCGCATAAAACAATGGGTGTTTTAGCGGGTATGCCTGCAGGAAAGGAGCAGCTTGCTGGTTCCAGCCCTGGAGGAGAACCCGCACTGTTCGTCTAATCACAGACATTTGTGAAGGCATTCATTTCATTTCTAGCATTACATTTTAGACTCATAGCTACTTGATAGTATTGAATGCAGATACATAAGAAAGAAAAGTACTGTAGAGTGTCCTCTGCCTCTGGCATCCTGGGCCTGATGTACCGTGGGTATCGCTCCCACTTCAGCCAGCGTGACTCGTCAATGCCTAGGATGTGCGGTTTCGGGCAGATCGTACGGTATTGGATTGTGTAAAACATAGATGTGCATTTCTCGGCAGAACTGGACTCGACTGGATTCCCATCTTTCAGCTTGGGAATTGGTAGTGAAGTGAGAGCGACTGCCATGAGGGAGGCGCTAGCTTCACTTGAATGACTTCACGAACGTCTGTGCCTCATGCTCAAAATTCCCGAAGCAGAACATCTATGCCATCTGGTCTATAAATGGCGCAGTGCTTTCCCACCTTATAAGTCATGAGCTAAGCCGAGTTCAAAGTAGCTCGGGGCAGATTGTACATCGGGACAGGCTCGCGAGGGGAGGGACATTCGGGAAAGAGCCCCAGCAGACTTTCAAATGAAGGCTATATGAAGAGAACCCTTTGAGCCAGGAAGATCGTTGTGCTAAATGATTTTCCTCAGATGTGTCACAGTGCCTTGATTTAGTATGGCGTAGTGGTTTTACAATTTCTGCATGATGTTGTGCCTGAGTTTGAGACTCTGTTTGGAATCCCGATTGAAGATCGCACAGGTGAGTGAAGGACATCAGCTCAGCACGCCAAGATTTGCGACATAGCATCGTAATGCTACGAAATGTTTCGTGTTTCAATTGCTGTCTGAATGACTGGCCAGCTACATTCAACATAATTTGCGATATGAAATGGTGTCGACACAATTTCCCAGCAATTGGTTATTTGAGTTTTGGACGGCTCCACAGTACCATCTGATACAGAAAGCCACCGTGAGGCGAGCGATCTGTTTAGGCCTCAATGCGTATTTGCACATTGACCAAATCTATCTATTATTTGTGATAGAAATTTTTGGCTGAAATTTTGTCTGCGATATTTTTCACGGCGTTCCCTTACCATCATAGGTGCGTCGGGTCTGCAAGAATGCCGTGTCAATGATTGACAGGCCTGAAGACACTTGGCCCTCAAGTGCTCTCTCCGCTCGAGTTTCATGTTCGTTGAACGAGTGATTGAGTGGCCAAATGAAGATAATGACAAGACCTCGCCGCAGCTCTTGCAAAGCATTGTGAACGTGCTTGCAGACTTAGTTCATGGCAGGGCGCACTTTCTGCTTGCGATTCGCTTTGAAGTGTTTCTTCGAAGATTTTTCAGCATTCGCACCAGAATCAATGTCGGCCATCAGTCGCGCTTTGCGCCCTGTCAGCATTTTTCCAACAGGGATGTCATTCTTTTTCGAGCCATCATCGTTCAAGCGCTCTTGGTACGGATACATGATAACTTTGCCGTTGACGGTGCCTCGGGCACCTCTTGAAGCTAAACTCTGTTGGCCTTTGATTTTCGCATTGACCTCTTTGTTCCTGTCGAAGAAGGCATCGTCGACTCGACCAGATGCCAGTCCTCCGGAAGGCCTCACGATTGGATGGTTGACATAGGTACTTGCATGAGCAGGAACATGAGAAGCCGGAGCTCGTTTCTTGGTTGCAAAGTGATCTGTTGTATAAGATTCCTGGTTGAACTCTTGACCGGAGACCGTGTCGGGAGGAGGCTCAACGTAAAGAAGCTTCCCAAGAACATAATCTTTGAGCACATAGCGGGCGGCTCTGCTCTCATCTGGGTTGCCTTGTCCGGCCTTTGTGAAACCTCGCGATAGGGCATACGCCGTGAGCAGCTCTTCCGCCGTGGGTGTGCCCGAGCCTCCCTCTTCTTCACTTTTCATGTGAATGACTATGCCATAAGCAGCTTCAAGGTATGCGCGCGGTATTCGTTGTGCAACTAGCGCTGCTGGCCCCGAATATTCCCGTAGTTGGTCAATTGGTAGCACTCCGGCGCAGACCAGATCGGCCTGCGAAGAAGCGAAATTTGGAAATACTAGTCCGGGGCAATCTACCAAGACGACTTGGTCGGACAGCTGGATTGTTTGGAAGTGTTTTGTTTTCCCTGGCGTGGAAGAAACAGATACAGTCTTGGCTCCTACAAGAGCATTGATCGTACTACTCTTTCCGACATTAGGATAGCCGACTAGTCCGATTGAAAGCTTCAGCGGCACTCCGCTCTCGTCGAGCGAAGGCTTGGGCGCACTAGCGATGAAGAGCTCTTCTAGTTGATCAATCGTCAAGATTGTTGGGTCTTGCGCTCCCTCCGAACCAGAAGACGGTTGGAGCACATTTGAGCCAACAGGTTCCAAGCTCTCCAAGCTCTCGGCAGATGAGAGGGTGCCGTCAGAAAATTCCGCTTCTAATGTTTCCCCTTCTTCGGAACTGGCACTTGATTGCGATTGTCTAGGCGACGGCGCATCTTGCGTGTGAGCTTGACGTTCGAGTTCTTCCTTGGCCATGTGGGCGCTGAAGAAACTGTATCTGATGCCCTCGGCGTCAAAATACTGCGCCCAAGCACGTCGCTGAGCGGGTGTCATGAGGTCCGCTTTGTTAACGAGTAACAGATTGCGCTTGGCAGGATCAATTTCTTTGACATAGTTTTCCAGATCTGTACTGCGAAACAACAAGGGATCCCGGGCATCCACAATCTGCACGATGAGATCTGATCGTTCAATGACTCTCCACAATTGCCTCCAAACCTCGAGATTGCGCTCAAATGGTGTCAGCAATAGGTCGTGATTCTCCTGTAGCTCTGCTAGATGACGGCGCCAAGCTAGAAAGGCATCCTTTTCGTTCCTGTCAAGCTCCGTCGGGGTTGTGTCAGAAGTCCATGGCGGGCGTCGCGGAACTGTCAAAGATTGCACGAATTGACGATGCTTCGCACGCCGCTCATTCTCCTGCTCCGGCGTCAATAAATACGGGTTAAATTGGCCGGTGGCGATAATCTTGACGTTCTGCTTCTCAGCGGTAAAGTCTGTGTTGGCAAGCTCAGCAGTGCTCAAAAATTCTTCAAGCGGCCTCTCTTGGGTGACGGAACGTAAATTCGCGTTGGAGCCGTAACTGTCGACGTCGGCAGCATGCCGAGAGGAGTGCGCAGAGTGCTGACCATGTCGATATTGATCATTTATCAACGACTTGCCAAGTCCAAGGGTTTTCTTAGACGTCGGTCGGCCCATGATCGTCTGACTTGAGCAGTTTTAAGGTTCACTGGTATTTGTGGCCTTTGACAAAGTTCCAGCTGGGCGTTTGCGAGGACACAGCAGTACTGTCGGTATCGAAACGGTACGTACGCGCCAAGAAAAGGTCTACGGGTGTAATTTTGAAGTTTGGTCTCACGCGTTCATGAGTGACGCAAACAGACACCTGGCATGCTTCAGTTCCGGCGGCAGACACTCGTCTTTTGAAGGACGACTCATCAAGTCTAGGCAGTGATGGAGGGTTTGCCTCGTGAAGTTACGGATGCTACTCTTGTTGATCTGTCAGCTCGCGAGCTCCAGATACGAGCCTGCGTATCGAGCGACTGCAAGACGGTAAAAGAATTCATCTTGAACAACCTGATGCAGCAAGCACGTATGACGAATCACTACATTTATCGAAGCTTGCCGCTTCTAAGTGTGTACTTCCTGGCACTGGCGTTCGCTATACGCAAATACAATCCTTGGCACTCCTCAGATTGGGGCCGTTTCGTGTTCCTGGTGTCCGCTTTCACAGCTCTCTTTCTGGTTTCTGTCGATTACCCTGTATTCTATTACTATGAGAGAAAAACAAAGACGACGTTGCAGCATGATTCATTTCTGCAAAATCCTGAACAAGCCATCAAGACTTCGGGATTTAAGTGCTGGGTAGCAACATACGGCGATGCTCTGGTCGCAGTACTTGTGCTACGCTCAATCGATTCGAATGAAGCTGAAATACCGTATTGGTTTGTTCGCAGCCGGTACAGACACAGTGGCCTTGGTGGAGACCTAATGAACGAAGCATTGCAATACGCTAGAACAACGAAGGACCTGGACCTTGTCAAGATGGAAACATCCACCATCAATGCGAGAGCGAACAAAACACTGCAGCGCTTCGGATTCGAAAGAGAGAAGGGGCCAAATGACAATAAGATTCTTGCTCTTTTCCGCATCCACAACCTGAAATGGCTCCTGCATACGAGTGGGCCATGAGGTCGATCAACAAGAGAGAGCAGTTGAATTGGCTCTAGCAATGAAGATCTTGTCTTTTCACGAAGGGTGAAGCTGCTGTATGACAGTGAGCAGTGCCGTGATGCTTGTCCTGCTATTTGACGCTCGATTTTGACCTGCAGGCCGCAGCTAGCCTTCTCCAGTGTGCGGCTATCGCATCCAGCTGGTATGACATTTTGGGAGTATCCCTCGGCTCGCCACACTATTCTCAATCAGACAACCTCATCATGGAAGCTGCTCTAGCTGGCAATGTCGCTTCAGTGCCTTGAGACTAGTGGCTGCATGATACGCTTGTCGGAAACACAGCTTGAGCTAGCGGCATTTGTGCTTTCACATATTAACAAAGGAGCTTGTTCGCACAGACCCGATATACAATTGTAAGTCGACCTCGATGATACAAAGCCAGCTTTCGCCTATGTGCCACGTCGGTGCAATTGTGGCGGGTCGCATCTGCCTGTTTTGCATGTTCAATAATTTCGATTGCGCTTTACAAAATCCGTTGTCTCTTGAAAGCTAAAAGGGGTAACTTTTCACTTGTTCTTGACGCAACTTTGCGACAACGGCAACAAAGCCTCTGAATGTCTTGCATCGTACCTCAGCGCTATATGTAGGGTCCTCTATCTGCATGCTTGCCCAGTTCAACCAGATTTCATTTCCAAGATGATACACAATGCAGGCTTTGCTGCGATCAACTACATTGCCAGCGTCATTATACTCATCCCGATGCCATTTCACATCAGCAACCGTAATCTGGCCGTTTGTTGTCTCTTTGCGACCATCTCCTTCGGATGTCTCTTCACAGCGGTGAATGCAACTGTCTGGCAAGAGCTCAAGAATCCCGTTCCCACCGGACCTGGCTATTGCGACGTTGCAATACGCTTCTTGGACGTCATGCAAATCATATGTCTAGGCTGTGGGCTGGCCATCTTGCGCTATCTGTCTGGCATCCTTCGAAGTCGAGGCGCTTCAGCAACAAGTCATGTCAATAAAACTCGGCAAGCCCTCACAGACTTAGCCATCATATACACTTTGCCGGTCCTCGCCCTGATGGTACAAGGTCTGTTTCTGAACCCAAACCGATACCTGATCCAACCAACCTTTGGCTGTCGTATGGCACTGCCGAACACGAAATTGACAGTCATCTATCTCTTGCCGTCGCCGATCCTCGCCTTGGCTTGTGCTGTCTATGCGATCCTCATCATTCTGGCACTGTACAAAAAGAGGAAGGAATTCCAGGAGATTCTGCATATGTCGCAGTCTGGGCTCAGCTCAGCCAGGTTCATTCGACTGTTTGTGCTTGCATTTGGGGCATTGGCTTTCTTCGTTCCTCTTGCCATTGTCGAGAGTTATCAGAAGTTTAATCACTTTGTGGGACCTGGCGCTCAGACTGCACCATACAACCTAAAGGAGTTGTCGCCGTTTTGGAAGAACGACAAGGGCAAAATCGCGATTTTCTACGGAGTTGCGGATAAAGTCAGCTTCCTGTACTATGTGTTCCCGCTGTCGGCTTTCTTCTTTACTGCCATGTTTGGCGTTGGCAGGGAAGCGAATAAGGCGTACAAGCGATGGGCTCGTGCCGTCGGACTCGGCAAGGTGGTCGATCGTGTCGAGAAGATCTCCCTCCCGGCCTTTGCCTCCCGGATGACAAGCAGATTGCTCAGCATCGGCAGGTCGCGGTTGTCGACCAGCGCAACTTCCCTCGACTCAGAGTACGACATGAAGGGCGTGCAGTCCATTTCTTCTCAGGCAGGGACTTCTAGCGACGGCGAGAAGAATGGCATCATGGAGCTTGATCGCGGTCACAATCAAAAGACATCGAGCAAAACACAAGCTCGCGTCTGGAGTGAAACTGGCGTTCCATGCTCCCCGCACAAGATCAAGGTCTTTTCCGAGGCAGCACAATCGTCTGTTTAGTCTGAAACCAGTTCTGTCTAGCTTTCAATGTTTTTGCGCTAATTCTTTCGACAATTCCTTTACACTTGTTCTTGTTCAGCCTGTCGCTTCTGACTGCGCGCAATGATGTGCATGCTCGTCTGTCTGATGTTCACAAGGTCTGTATAAGTCCCGTCCTCGTTCTTAGTAGAGGAAACCGAGAATGCCGCATTGATGAGCGCCTTGGCGCCCTTGAAGTCCTCTGCTTCGAACCTTTCGATTGCATACTTGTCAAACGTGGAAACATTGAACCAGGACGTCGTTTGCGTCTCGCCGAGTCCGCGATTGACGGCGAAGAGATAGCGATAGCCAATTTGCCCTGCCTTCGTTTCAAATCGGGCTGGCGTCGAACCAAACTTGCCCAACAATTGGCAAGTTGCTGCGTCGCGCCGCGAAGCCGAAGACGAGAACTGACGCGCGGCCAGTGCAAGAGATTGCTTGTTGAGTTTCTGGAAGTTGAACATAGCTGCGAATGAGGGTCTGTCAGTTGAGGTTTGAGTTGCTCAATTGCTTTTGGCTTGGCGTTCACGCGTTGTTGATGTTCGAAGCTTGAATAGCTCTCACCCTTCAGCTCCAGGGCTGTCGCTGGCCCAATTCAGATGGCGCGACAACACGAAAAAGGGAGTACGGCAACAAAAGACACTCTGAAGTCTCTGTCTAGTTCACATTGCATTCACATCTCCTTTCAGTATTGCTCGACACCGCGTAAGAAATGAAGAAATCATAGAAAATGCTCTCAAACTACTGAATTGCTCCACGAAATAACGGACAGTGAGGATTCGCTGAACACATCGTAAGGTTGACTGCATTCATCCACTTCGATGCAGAAGTCTGAAAGGAAATGTCAAGATCGTCCAGCAACGATAAAACAGTCGCATAGGAAACGTCATAATGCTCTCAAATGCTGACCCCGGCGTGTTATGTGTCGGCAAATCAAGATTACGGCGCTCAAGGCGATCCAAGCGCGCCCCAAGCTCTTGCAACTGAGCACGTAAAAGTTTCTTCTCTTGGTGGTTCTGTCGTTCGAAATGTCGCACGGCCGACTTGACAGCGTCTAGCTGCCCACTATCATCGCTAGCGTGAGTAACGATACCTGACACATTCTTCCTCATGCTGCTGTCGTCACTCGATACTTTTTGCTGCAAAAGAGAAAAATCTTGCAAGAGATCGTCGAACTTGTGTGCTAGAGCATCGTACTTGCTCGGGGGTACATCTTGCAGTTCTTCGTGTAGATGATCAGACCTTGAGCTCAAGAACTCGTGGGCGATCTTTATAGGCCTGATTTCCGCTGCAAGGACAAATATCGTAATATTGAAGTTGCTGATCAGACCGTTTGTTGGCCTCCCCATGATAGTGCGTACATAATGCAAAAGACACGCGCCGAGGATCGGTCCTACGATAAGACCGAAGAAGGCGTGCAGCTCATTCGCCCTCTGCTTTCGCAATGCCGATGCCTGGCTCTCTGATAGATTCGCTGTATCTATAGATTTGTAGCGCCTTCTTGAGTGCTTGTAGTAGTCCGCTGGCACCGTGACACAGTTGTGCAAATATATTGCGACCAGAAGTAGAAGTGTCAGGTCAGTCAAGTCGGATCCAACGATAAGAGATGCTAATACTGGCAACAGAGCAACTGCAGTTGGTGCACTGACGTTAGGAGGTATGTCAAAGGAACTCAGAGCCCAACATACTAGTGAAAATGGGAGATGGTCTCGGCTACGTCGCTGCCGCCCTTTGCAGCGCCTTCCAGGCCCGCACCGACTCCTTGTACGCTCGCCTGCACACTATCTGTGCTTTGCCCCGAGTCGCGACGGGCTCTCTCTTTAGCCATGGTTGTCCGTGATTCAAATGAGATCTTGACGAATAGTTGTGCGTCGATAGAACGCGCGCACTGACGTCGTCGCGAGACACAAGGACAGAACTAAATGACGGAGCCGGCCCGACCGTCTCAACCGGTAGCGTGGCATCAACAACAAAACCTCGCATACTATAGCTCAGCAAACGTCGAAACAAGACCAATCTTTGCAACTCCAGCTTGACTAACACTCTGTCTGTCATTGACTGCTACTTACAAGAGAACCCAAGCAGTCGAATGCAAAACATCCTTTCTACTCAATCTAGTGCTCTTCCAAGAGAATTCTTTGTATGATCGCTAGACTGAGTTGTGCTTTGCAAAATTGGTGAAGACTTTATAAGCTTTGTTTGCAATTGCGAATCACCCAGCTCGATGCGAATCGCGGTTCTGCAATATACACCACGACTGGGCGACATTCAGCGCAACAAAGCAACATGTTACGGTCTGCTTCGCTCTCTTATACGTGAAAAGGCTCAGGTTGATCTTGTGATCATGCCTGAGCTGGCTCTGTCGGGTTACAATCATTCTTCGCGGCAGGCTATTGAGCCGTATCTTGAGATAAGTGGCGAAGGATCCAGCTTCGAATTCGCAGCAGACCTCAGCCGCACGTTATCCGCCAGCGTCGTAATCGGATACCCAGAGCGTTCTGGTGATAAATGCTATAATTCGGCTATGATTGTCAACAGCAAGTACCAGGACGGTCTCCTGAGCAACTATCGCAAGAAGCACTTATTCAGCACAGATGAAAGTTGGGCGCACGAAGGACCAAGTTTCTGTTCTATTGCTCTACCGTTTCGCAGAGCAGGTGCTCTACAGACGGTGACAGCCGCTGTGGGCATCTGTATGGATCTCAATCCTCACCAATTTCTCGCGCCATGGGATGCTTACGAATTTGGACATCATGTCATTGAATCAAAGGCTACATTGGTACTGGTACCGATGGCTTGGCTCAAATCAAGCGACGACCAAGATCCTCTGAGCACGATGAAGTACTGGCTCAGGAGATTGGGTCCTGCCTGGGCCGAAAGAACCAATCTTGTATTCGTTGCCGCAAACTTTACTGGTTCGGAAGGGACTGCCGAGTATGCTGGCAATTCATGTGTCGTAGCACAAATTGGCGGGCTATTGACGATACTCGGAAAGCTTGATAGAGAAGATGGCCTCATTGATGTGAAGCTTGGACGATTTGGTATCAATTTTGAATGACAAGCATCGTCAGCTTAGTTCATAGACAAGATTCTTGGTAGATAAGTACTAAGGCTTGGGAACCTTCATTCGCAAATCCGAATATCAAATGCAAGGATCATTCATCTGGACTGCGTTGACCAATAAATACGTGAGGTAACCGTATCTTCTGTCAGTTTACCATGCGGCTACTGCTAGTTGACGAGCGCGGTGCTGACTTATCTCTGTATTCGCGAGTCCGACGTGTTTCTGGTTTGCAACAGCATAGTGTGAAAAGAACAAAGATGAAAGCAACCAGAGAAAATCCCGCTGATAGCCATGCTAAGACAAACATGGGTGTACCGAGGGATGCCTTGACGTTAAGGTCTAATTTAGGTTAGCTTGTTTTCAGGGTGGGACTATGGCTGACCAGGCAGATTGTCATTGATGACCGAGGAGAAGATTGAAAAAAGAACGGTCGCAACAACTGCTTGTCCAACAGAGAAGAGAGCAGCAACGAAGGAGATGATTGTTGCAAAGAAGCTACCCCAACGCGACCGATAAGCTGGCAAGATTGCCAGGATGGCGAGGAACGAGAACACACATGCCACAATGCAGATTGGCTTTAACCAGGCATAAGCTGTCTTGACCAAGTCGAGGTCATCTTGTATATCTTGAGGGATTGTGATGACGTTTCCAACGTACAGATCGTCCTGTATTATCTGCACTGGATTGAACCAAAAGGAAGTGGATGACGGTGTACACCTTGTCGGGCTTTCAAACGAGCCATTCTTACTTGGGCCCGAACAGTAAGTCCACAGTGCTGCCTGGTAGTAGTCCATCTATCGCGTCAGTCCTTTGTCGACGATGATCATTGGAGAGAATGTACAAGGCCTAGCTGTGAAGCCACACTATTTATGATCGCCGAGAAAGGCGTCGCAGAGGCAGCAACGATGTTTCGAGTGTCGAGACGCATGTAGTAAAGGCCTCGTACGCCAGGAGAGTCTAATCCAGCAATGAGGACAATAATTTGAAAGACCATGGCGGTAGTCGCGCAGAGCAGCGGCACGGTGACAAAGATAGTCCTAGCAGCATTCCCCATGATGTTTGCTTTTCTTTGGAGAGAATTGGATGCAATGAAGGTCTTATACTTCCTGCCAAGCCTGAGAATTGCTGCGCGAGCCCGAGGCGCAGACACGGAGAAGTCGTCTCATTCAGGGCTCAATTGCAAATGTTACCAACGTCATCTGCGGCCGGCACTATATTTTTGCGATCAAGCCCAAGCTGGACTAGTCGACCGAGCGCGCACGTCTCAGCCATGCAATTGGCAGACTTGGAGCACGAGTGGAAATCAGGTCATAACATGCATCTAGATGTGCTGCACCGTTTTCTAGTGGAGCCCGTATGCCTGATCGAAACAGATCTGTAAAGGATTTTTACCAGCCGAGATTCATGACTAGATCAGACATAAACGGCAGCTTGGCAAAGCATGGCGCGAAGGCCATTTCGACAGCAAATCTGCACATTGGCCAAGCGCTAGCATCTAAAATAGCGCGCCCAGAGATTGCCGCGGGAGAACTTACCTAACCCAATCTTCTTTGCGCATGCCCGCGAAACACCCAGCGCTCGTCATCGTCTGCAAAGGCCTTTTAACTTTCGCGACTACTAACAAGCCTTAACTGGTCATTTGACGCCCGAGGTCCTTCTCAGCACTCTCTGACCATGAGCACACATCTCAACTTGTCCTCAACGACCGAGAGGTACTGTTTCGCTCAAGATGGACCTCAAGGTAGCGTGCTCGTCATTGACAGATTGTCAGGAAGCATCAGCACTGCATCCAAGACATCTATCTCCCTAAGTTCTGATGCAGCGCCTCGACGTGTCTATGGTGTGCTTGGAATCGTAGCACTGAAATTGGACCGATACGTGCTCGCTGTAACTGGTAGGAAGTCGGCAGGCAGGCTTGGTCGCGATGACATATTTGCGGTGACTCAAGTTGAACTCCTGCCCCTCAGATTCAAACGCACATCAAGCGTCAAGGACGAGGAAGAGCTCGAGTACATCGCGCTTCTCAAGGCACATATCAAGACCGGACCGTTCTACTACTCGCATACACTGGATCTGACCAATTCGATTCAAAGGATCGCTAATAGCGACAACAGCAAACCACTGTGGCTTCGTGCAGACGAGCGTTTCTTCTGGAACCGTTTCGCTCAGGCTCCATTGATGGACTTGCGCAACAAAACAAATAATCAAGATTTGGACTCCTTCATCATCCCAATCATTTACGGATTCTTGGAGATTAAGCAGACAAGCATCAAAGGCAAACGTTTGACTTTCGCACTCATTTCCCGGAGAAGTCGTCATCGAGCAGGCACGCGCTACTTCACTAGGGGTATTGATGCAGACGGACACGTATCGAATTTCAACGAGACCGAGCAATTGATCCTCCTGGACCCAAAAAGTGAATCGTCTGTGGTGGATGGACATGTCAAGCTATCTTACGTTCAGACACGAGGCAGTGTTCCAGCATATTGGGCTGAGATCAATGATCTCAAATACAAACCCAGAATGCGTGTCTTTGGCCTGAATGATGCGGTGGACGCCGCTCAGAAGCATTTTGAAGAGCAACTTGAAGTATATGGAGAGCAATTTTGCGTCAACCTCGTAAATCAGAAGGGCCATGAGTTGCCAGTGAAGGTTGCCTATGAAGATGTGGTGCGGAAGCTTGGCAATCGCGATGTTCATTACATCTACTTTGACTTCCACCATGAGTGCAAAGGCATGCGATGGGACCGTGTCCAGCTCTTGATTGACCAGTTGGAGAGTGACCTCATCAAGCAAGGCTATTGTCACATCGAAATGAACGGCAAGCAGATTATCACTTTGCAGAGACAAGCATCTGTTGTGCGCACAAATTGCATGGACTGCCTTGATCGGACGAACGTCGTGCAAAGTGCTCTGGCCCGATGGATGTTGACGAGACAGCTTCGTTCGCTTGGCGTGCTGGGTCCAATGGAGAATGTCAGCCAATTTGGGGAATTTGAGTCCAGCTTTCGCAACATGTGGGCGGATAATGCCAACGTCGTCAGTCAATCATACTCTGGCACAGGAGCCCTCAAGACAGACTTTACCAGAACAGGTAAGCGCAGCAAAGAAGGGGCAGCGAAAGATGGTTGGAATTCCATCGTTCGTTATATCTTGAACAACTACGCCGATGGTCCGCGACAAGATGCCTATGATCTTTTCTTGGGGAACTACCGAGCAGCAGACTCGCACGACACCCCTTTTGGTGACTTCAGGCCAGTCTTTGTCCAATCTGTTCCATACATTGCTTGGTCTGCATTTCTCATGATTGTGGCTGCGATTGTCCTGCCTAGGTCGCCGAACGCGTGGGGCTCGATGAAGCTCTTCGTCCTCTTCTGGGTTGCAGTTCTCGCTTGGACGCTCCACTATCTCTTTGCTCACGGGTTGTGGTATGTCAACTGGCCGAAGCTCAAGACGCCCGACTTCGTCTTTTCGGAGCCCGGCAGCGATGGCATCAATTCTCGAGTGGCGCGTCTGCGTTCAGTCAAGAGCACATCCCGACTGTCTGAACTCGAGGCTGGCAAGGCGCACAAGGCTTAGCTTAATGTTGTCGCCGGTTCTTAGATGCTCTCAGCCAGCCGCTAGCCATAGATAGTTGCGTCAACAAGCTGTCGTATGGCTAGGTACGCCATTGAAAAAAGCATACTCCCGCTGATGTCAATGTATAAGTAGAGCTGCCACCTGAACTCGAGGGACATTTCGCTCCCACGGTGCTTTGACAAAAAAAATTGGCTGCTTGCGAGTGCGCTCAGAATATTCAAGAGCTAGGACACCTTACCTGCATCCACGACTAGCGCATCAAAGACAAGATGGCCAAGATTAAAAGGAAAGGAGAGTCTGGCGCTGCCAAGAACTTCATCTCGCGCAATATGGCATTGAAAAAGTAAAGCACTCGGCATATCGGTCCACACACTAACGAATGTAGATTACAAGTGACCTTGGCCGATTTTCGAAGACTGTGCATCTTGAAAGGTATTTACCCACGGGAGCCAAGGCACAAGAAACGCGCCAACAAGGGAAGTACGGCGCCGACCACATTCTACTACACAAAGGATATCTCGTATCTGCTGCACGAGCCAGTCTTGAACAAATTCCGAGAGCACAAAATCTTTGCGCGCAAGTTATCTAAAGCCATCGGGAAACAACAGTATGGTACGGCAAAGCGTCTGGAGCAGTCGAAACCCACCTACACCCTTGATCACATCATCAAGGAGAGATATCCGACGTTCATCGACGCATTGCGAGATTTGGACGATGGGCTGTCGATGCTGTTTCTCTTTGCCTCTATGCCGAGCTCGGATCAGGTCAATGCAACAGTGATTGAGAACTGTGACCGTCTCTGTCGCGAGTTTGAGGCATATGTTGTTCGCGCAAAGGCTTTGCGCAAGGTCTTCCTGTCCATCAAAGGAATCTACTATCAGGCAGAAATCAAGGGCCAGGACATAACCTGGCTCGTACCATTCAAGTTCAGCCAGCACGTCCCGACCGACGTTGACTTCCGCATCATGCTCACATTCTTGGAATTCTATCAAACTTTTGTTGGCTTTGTCAATTATCGACTGTTCACGGAGCTCGGTCTGGTTTATCCTCCACGTCTCAATATGGACAAGGAGAACAGCGCAGGTGGTTTAGCAGCGCTCGAGCTGGAGCAAATTGGTCTTGCCTCTCAAGACGATGCTACATCACCTGCACCGAAAGTCGCTGGCGATCGCTTGACGACGCTTAACATCAAATCTATCGCAAGCAAACAAGCGGCAGACACGGAGCCTATGGATGGTGTTATGAACGACGCGCGTGACTTGGCAAACGTCAATGATGCCGATATTGATGATTTTGCAGCAACGACAGGGGTCACATCGGACTTGCCCAATGCCCAGCCTACACTCAGTGCGTCGACCAATCTATTCTCAGATTTCACATTCTTTTTGGCCCGTGAGGTGCCTCGTTACTCTCTCGAATTCGTCATCAAGGCGTTTGGCGGGAAAGTCGCTTGGGACCCAATTCTTGGCGCTGGTTCGCCACTCCAGGAAGCAGATAGCACCATCACACATCACGTCTGCGATCGACCGAAGCAGGAACGCAAATATCAAGGCAGGAGTTATGTCCAGCCGCAATGGATCTACGATTGCATCAACCGCGCTCAACTGCAAAGCGTGGACGCTTACAGCCCAGGAGCTGTTCTTCCGCCTCACTTGAGTCCGTTCGCCAAGCTGGATGAAAAGGCTTACAACCCCGAAGAAGCTCTCGACGAGAACGCCCTGGCCGACGAGGAGACGTTGGAGGACGATCCTGATGCAGACCAAGAAGAAACGCCAGAAGTTGCCGAGCTGGACGCTGTGGACGCCCAACGCGAGCTCGAAGCAGAAGCCGCTGGTGTCAGCTACTCAGATTTCAACAAGACGAATCCACCAAAGACGACGAAGAAGGCCGCTTTAACACCTGCCGAAAAGAGCGATCTGGAGGGTAAGGAATTGGCTCGTATGATGATGTCGAACAAGCAAAAGAAGCTATATGCCAAGATGAAGTATTCCAACGAAAAGAAGGAGCAAGAGGTCAACACATTGCGAAGGAAACGACAGGACATTGCTCGTGAGGCCCGGTCAAAGAAACCTAAGCAAGCTTGAAATTTTTGGGTATGCACACATAGCACCCGTCAGGACAATGTAGCAAGCCTAGTTCACCTCATTTCTAAAATAGCATGTACAGGTCCTCCTTGCTCTCTTCCGGGTCCGTGGCAAAGCCAAGTGAGTGTAGCGTTTTCCGCTTGCCCTTTTCGATCTGCTGTCTGCTCTTGAGTTGCACTTTCAAGCGGCTCTCGGCTTCGTCCCTGGATATCCTTATTTGTTTGATGTTATCCTCTTCGTCAATGTCCTTGCGTTAGTGTGGCAATGTATTCAGGCGTCGCGTACAATCTCGCCCATAAGTACGACATTCTCGCCGCGGACAAGATAGACGCCCTTTGGGATATCCGCGAAGCAGTCCTCTACGTAAATTCGTTCAAAGGAATCTTGTAACACCAAGTTACCATATCTGAGAGCGTCAGTAGCGCTACTGAAGAGGTCGTTTGCTTACTGGTCAAATGAGCGCAAGATGCCGAAGAGCTTAGTATTGTCGCGCAGAACAAGGACCATCTTCTTATCAACAGAGTTCACAAGTGCCCCACTTGTGGTGAAGAGGGAATTCTGCAGCGGATCCATATGTATCTTCTGCTCTGAGTGTGACGCAAAGCTTAAGCTTTTGTGTCGTTGCAGCTGCACTTCAAAATGCTTTGGCGTGGGCCATTGAATCGACACCATACATTGCCCAAGACCACACTTCAGGCCAAGGCTCTAGATGTTCGCTGCCAGGAGACATATGTCTGCGAAGGCTGCAGGCCTCAAAAATATCACTCTTGGACTCATTCCTGCCGACGGCATTGGCCTCGAAGTGATTGCTGCAAGTCACCAACGCTATCTGATTTCACATCACTAACTCGCTCCAGTCTACTAGAAATGTGCTTGCTGCTCTGCCAAAGTCTGACGGCGTAACATTCAGCTTCATCGACCTTGACGCTGGCTGGGACCATTTCCAGAAGACAGGAACAGCTTTGCCAGAGGAGACACTGCAGAGACTCAGGTCGGAGTGTGATGGAGCATTGTTTGGTGCAGTCAGTTCGCCCTCAACAAAGGTCGAAGGCTACAGTTCTCCAATCGTTGCCTTACGCAAGAAGATGGACTTGTACGCCAATGTGCGACCTGTCAAGAGCATCAAGGGCGGCCGAGCAGTCGACCTTGTCATTATTCGGGAAAACACGGAGTGTCTGTATGTCAAGGAAGAGAAGTTGACCGTGACCACCGAAGGATCCCGCGTGGCAGAGGCCATTCGACGCATCTCTGAGAAGGCCTCAACCCGTATCGGCAAGATGGCCTTTGAAATCGCCTTGCAACGTCAAGCTATTCGAGAAGCGAATGCAGGCTCGTCCATTCACACCTCTCCTAAAGTGACGATCACGCACAAATCGAATGTCCTCAGCATTACGGACGGGCTTTTCCGCGAGTCTGTGAAGGCAGCCAAGGCTGCAGACGCAGCACGTTATCGCTCGGTTGAGACTGATGAGCAAATTGTCGACTCTATGGTGTACCGCCTCTTCCGGGAGCCACAGTGCTTCGATGTCGTCGTGGCGCCCAATTTGTATGGCGATATTCTCAGTGATGGTGCTGCTGCGCTTGTAGGATCTCTCGGCCTGGTGCCCTCAGCCAACGTCGGAGACAACTTTGTTATGGGAGAGCCTGTTCACGGCTCTGCGCCAGACATCGCTGGAAAGGGCATTGCCAATCCCGTGGCAGCCATTCGTTCTGCAGCATTGATGCTCGAGCACATGGGATTCTCGGCTCCAGCTGCTCGCATCTATGCAGCCGTTGATTCTGTTTTGCAAGATTCTTCATTACTGACGCCAGATCTTGGAGGCAAAGGCACAACACGGGGCATTGAAGAAGCCGTTATCAAGCTCATCAATGCTTAGAGACTATCTCTTACGCTCTCTTATTCTTCCACGAGCTCGAATACTACGCAGAATAGCATTTTACCATCTCGCGTTTTGCATGTGTACCTGAATGGCTGACCTTTCCAGTACTTGAGGATGCTTAGCTTGAGATTGACATATGGCAATGCTACTGCCATGTCCTCGAAGTCGATGAAGCCGTTGCAGAAATCGCCCTCGATGCATGTCGCATTTGACAGTGAGTATTTGGCTCGGTTTGCCTTGGTGGCGAAATAGTTGCGCCGTTGCTTGCTTGGCAGCTTTTCCCCAAGCAGACTGCTTGTGTCTTCTTCAACTAATGCCATTGGTCCCTCGCCACACGCCCCATTGCTGGTCTTGAGAACTGTCATTGTCGTGATAAAAGGAGAAAATGCCCATGGCTTGTCGCAATAAAGGTCTGTTTCGAGACCTGGGTCGATCCACTTCATGGCCTTCAAGCCTAAGGACGTTCCTGGTGGAAGTGAGGATGCGATAGGCGCGTCAAAGTCGTTGCCAAACTATCTGTTAGTATGCCAAGCCTTGCAAAGAAGTTTGTCTTACCAGTACATCATCGGCATTCAAATCAGCTTTGATTTGACCTCGAATCTGGACGCTACTTGTGTTCTTGGTTTTGTTGAAGTACTCTTCCTCTGTCAAGTCTGTGTTATTGTAGCCTTTGATGCGCACAAGTATGTCTCCTTGGAATGTCTGCCGTCAGCTGTTGAACGTGCATCGAATGAGCTGCTGGCATACGTCGTTGCTGACGTGCGTTGGTTGCGATGGATCATTCACATGTGCAGGCTGCAGCTGATCGACGCTGCTTCCGATGGAGACTTTGAGAGTCAGCTTCTTGTCATGAGCGGACATGACGAGGAGATGATGTTTGGCAGAAGAGATGGGTCTTGATCGAGTGGTCCTTTGTGACGTCAAAAAGTTCATTCACATGTGACGAAGGATTCCAGGGGCAAGCAGCACGGGGGATGCTGCTTATTTTCTACGGAGCGATATTTATCCTCGGGCGTGCTCTGGGCCTGGACGGAATCATAGACGGCATTGGCTCGGCGGCTTCTGTGGTTGCTTGCTGGTCTGTACTTGCCACGTCTGTTACATGCGAAGGGGGAGATGCCGTAGCTTGTCGATGCACATCTAAGCCGGCAGCGGGATCAGCCGCTGAGAAGGTAGGGGCGTCACCTGAGCCTTCCTTTACAAGAGATTCGCCTCCCGTCAACAAGACCTTTGCTTGTGCACCCATCTCCGTGTCCTTGGCTTTGGCCTTGAGCCGATGCGGTTTGAAACGAGCACTCTCCTTGACAAGGTCGCGCAGAACGGGCGCCGATGAATATGTCGTTTGTATCGATGTAGTACTCTCTGCCCCTGCCACTGGTCCTGATGCACTCTGCTGCACCAAGCGCCCTGGCCGGATTGGCCCGCCTATATTCTCCCCGGCCTCCAGCTTCGGCGGCTTTTCGGCGTCGCTTCTCCGATGATGCGAGGAGAGCAGTGGTGGAGGAGTTCCTTCTGGCATGGGTATAGCGGCCACTGATGAAGTTGTTGATGAATCGGATGCATCTGCATCGTCTACCTCCTTGTAAGGCATGCCCGGTGGTGGCACTCCGTACGGATTGAAGACAGCATCATAATAGACTGACCGCGTTGGATCCTTCGGCAGTCTGGATTGACGCTTGAGCTGGACTTGCTCGCGTCTCTGCTGTTGCTCACTTGTCACAATCACGCCAGCACGCTTGTCATCCGTTTGTAGGCGTTTGATGCGCTGCAAGTCGCGTTCGAGCGTTACAAGCAAGCGCTTGTCGGTAGCGTTGATCCGTCCTTGCTTTTCGAGAGCCTGAAGCTCAGCAATCTGCGCCTGTACTTGATCCGGGCGGCGATGCTGTAGCTTTGCGTTACGTGCATTAGCCTTTTCAGCTCTACTTTTGTTGAGTTGATTCTTCTTGTTTTCCTTGTGGAACTTGAGTGCGGGATGACTACCGAGCGACTTGTCTTTCGGCATGAGAACTGGTATCTGGGCGGGGCATGGCCTGCTACCAGATCTGGTTGTGCGTTGAGTTGCGGTTTGTCGTTGTCTGCTAGAACTACACACAATTTCAAATATCCAACTGAGTAAGAAGACTCTCTCCTTTCATCCTGCCAGCGCCTCGCCGCTTTCCCTTCTCTTCCCCGCGTCCTTTGACCAGAGGTATACAGCAATGTTCTTCTTCTCCCTCCTGCTTGCCCTGCTTGCCTTGGCCTGTGACGCCACTGCGGCTCGCCAGACGATGGAGGAAGCTGCCATCGATGCGCGCAAGATGATTGCTCATGAGACTGTCGGCTCCTTGATGTCAGTCTTTCAGCCTGGGGTACCACCGGATGAGGCGCTTGTAGGGGCGCCCATTGGCATCATGGAGTACTTTGCAGACTGCTCAGACGATGGCACGCCGACACTGCTTATGCTGGACATTGCACCTAACACGCGGAATTGGAAAGCCGGCTCGAACCTTACTCTGACACTACGAGATCACGCTTGGAGCAATCCTTTACAGCACGGTCGCATGTACATCATTGGCGAGCCTGTTGCGGTTGATCGACACGAGGCGAAGAGAATTGAGCGATGCTTTTTGAGACAACATCCAGACAGCGCTTTGGTCGCGCCAGGTCGAGATGTACACAGCTCGGCTTGGTATCAATTTGAACCAAGAAGCATCTACTACTTCGGCGGCTTCGGAAGTGTCTCGTGGATTGGTTTCATTCCGCTAGATTTGTACAAGAGCGCTGGCCGGAACCAGATCTCTGAGGATTCATATAAGATACAGTTGTAGGGGACATTTGTGCATGGTGTGCATGCTGCAGAATCGTGATTGACGTGCATGAGTCGAGCCCTGGATGTGTTTGGTTGCCCGAGACGTTCGTTGCGCATCAATTATTATAGCAACGCGGAGAGTATGTCGAATCCCTTCGTCCGAGATATCGTGGCTGCTCAAGATCGGACGGAAATCAGGCTGATGTTGTCGCCCTTGAGAAGAATCCTCCCAAGGTTGCGCCGTTCGCCTTCTTCGTTTTGTTTCACACTGACTGCATCTTCCACGACGATGTTCATGAACTCGTCAAACCCGCGGATCTTGCCTTCGATGCGCGAGTCAGTCTGCTCGTACAGCCATATGCATACGGGCAAGCCCTTCTGGAGGAAGCCAAAGATGGCATTCTAGTCGCGTGTTAGCTGGACTGTCTGGACGTGCAAGGGAGGGAAGATGGGGCGACATACAATAGGTGGCACCATGACCTTCTGGCTGCGGCCTGACATGGCTGCTGCTGTCTGATGCTCTCTACAAGGGCCGTCTATTGCACTCTCTTCCTGGATGCTGCTGCGGTCGCTTCTTCCCACGCCTTCCTGTGACTGCTGCTGTGCCCAAACAAATTTCTCTTCCTCAGCAACCAGCAACCAGCAAGCACCCCCAGCAGAGTAGCAGAGCACTCAAGGCAAGCAACATCTCATAGCAATCATGTCTGGAGAACTCGTCGTGCAGTCGCAATCTGCTTTCCAGAAGCAACCGCACATCTTCCTCAACGCAAAGGGCGTCAAGAAGCAGGGCGCAAAGCCAAAGCGATGGTACAAGGAGGTCGGTCTTGGCTTTAAGACACCTAGGGAAGCCATCAGCGGAGACTACATCGACAAGAAGTGCCCTTTCGTCGGTGACATCTCTATCCGCGGCCGCATTCTCACCGGAACCGTCGTTTCTACAAAGATGGCACGTACCATCGTCGTCCGTCGCGAATACCTCCAGTACGTCTCAAAGTACCGCAGGTACGAGAAACGTCACAAGAACTTCTCGGCACACGCATCTCCTGCGTTCCGTATCAACGACGGCGACATCGTAACTGTCGGCCAATGCCGTCCGCTGTCCAAGACTGTCCGATTCAACGTGTAAGCATTGTCCCATTCATTCAATGAGCAAGATGACTGACTTCCAGCCTCCGGGTCGACCGTCACAGCGAGGGTGCCAAAGCGTTTGCACGATTTTAAGCAATGTCTTCCTTTGCAAAATTGTTCCTCCTAGCATCCGCCATACTCAATCATTTGGGCACATGATAAAAACTTGCCTTCGCCTATGGAATTGCTTGACGCGACTATGATCCTCAAGAACTTCACCCTGCTTCGTGGCCCAGGAGTCTGTTGACTTGCGCTACTATAGCTGGGTCTCCCGTGTGCTTGTGAACGTCATCCGAGATCTTGACCGCAGGCTTCCCCGCAGCTGAATTTAGCTTGATGACAATGTTCATAGCCGGGCTCTTGGTGCCTTTGCTCTGTGTCACATAGTCATTGGTCAGGAAAGTCCCAATACCAAAGCTGCATGGGATTCCGAGTCCTTTGCAAACATCCTGCAGGCCGATGCACCGTTTAACGTTGAGACTGTCTGAAAACACAATGGCTTTTCCCGCCGGATCGATGTCGAGCTTCTTGTAGTGTTCAACGATGCGCTTCGCAAAGTCTTCTGGACTTCCACTGTCTTGGCGAACACCAGCAAAGGACGTTGCCAAGTCTTTTTCAAAATCCCTTAGGAATGCATCTGTTGAGAACGTATCTGTCAGGGCAATGCCTAGCTCATCGCCATAGACTTCGCGCCACTTGAGCAGCGCTAGCCGGTTGGCGTGCAAGTAATCGCCAGAGATGGCAGCTGTGCCCATGAACCACTCGTGCGCGACTGTGCCAATCGCCTTCAGATTGTACCTGGCAGCAAAGTGAATGTTGGATGTGCCGACCAACTGACCCAATACATCCTCTGATTTGCCTTGTGCAGCTGCTAAGAGACCTTGTAGGACAAGGTCCTGCGTCTTGTAGTCGCGTCTTCGTCGAGTGCCGAACTCAGAAAAGAGGCAGCCAGCTTCGAGAAGCGCTTTACCTTTTGCTGAAGCCTTCTCAACTTGGCCATCGTACGTCCAGTCTGTATCGACGAATTTAAAGTACGCTTCTGACACGAGCGACAAGAGCGGAATCTCATACAAGACTCGGGTCAGCATTCGAAGCGAAAAGCAGGGGTACATACTTGTTTCTTTCCAAAGGCCTTCAATGGAAATTTGGAGCTGACCATCTTGATCAATACATAGGTGAACTTGCTCTTGAGGTCTCAAACGGAACTGCCGCAGGAACTCCAGGTACTTGTCAGGCAGATAGGCACAATGCGAACGCAAGTATGCAATCTCGTCGTCTGCGATGCTCAGATCGCCCAACCGGGCAACCTGCGTTTCCAGCCAACTGAAGGCAGGCGCATTGAGCTTCATTTCCGGGCTACGATTGAAGAATTTGTAGGAAACCTCGACGTCAGGATAATGGTGGAAGATGGCAGCTAGGATTAGCCAGAGGGCGACATCGTGCATATCACAGACCTTGCATAGTGATCTTGTAGAAATCCGTGTCAAGCAGGGAGGCCACACCCTCGGGATTCATTTGCGCCATGGTCGGCAGGTTTGATGGGAGAGAGCAAGTGCAATATAGAGTCGGTTGAGAGACAGCTCAAGATCACTGTTGTGATTGTGCCGAGATAAAAAAGATGGAGCCGGATGAACGCAATCGAGTTTGATAACGAGACACGACTCGAGCCCAAGCTGATTACGCCTGCACGGGAGATCAGCCGCTATGCCGATTCGTAAATACCTCCGAATCTCTCAGGGCGCTGCCCTGGAGCTCAGAATCTATGTCGCCGGCGAAAAGAAGAACTGGTTCGATGAACAAGTCCTGTCAGAATTGGTGCAGCTCATCAAGCCGCTTGTCCTGCCGAAACTGAGAGAAGAGAGAGACGCTGCAAAGAAGAAGAAAGGACCGACAAAGGACACTGTCGAAGGAAGTAAGACCGCTGATTCTCGCTACGAACTGATCTGACAAAAGCAAACTTCTCAGCGAGCCTATGGTTTGTCGACACAGACACGCGTCATGTGGTGATGAAGACTGATAAGCAACTCGTTTTTAATGCGTCAGACGAGAGGGATCAAAGCACAACAGCGCCTGAACAAGGTGCCAGCTCGCCACTCTTTATCCCATCTCCAGAAGCAGAAGATGAACGCAAAAAGGCCAAGCCGACACTTGTGGCCAAATACAGAGGCTTCAGTATATGGGGAAAGAAGCTCATGATTTCTGTCTCTGCAAAGGAAGTTTCAGAAGGGGCTGCGACCCAGGCTCCCTCACAGCAGCAGCTCATGGACAATTAGGGCAGTTCAGAGTTTCAAATTTGTTCGACGCGGTGAACAAAAAACAAATGCGAATAGAGTTGATCGCTGTGAAAAGGCCGAATTTAATTTGTCTACTCAGTCTACCTCCCACAGGTAGACTCAGTAGACAAATTAAATTCGCGACTCGACATTCGCGACAACACACCACCTCTTCGACCCGCGTTCCCGCAACATCTGCCCAGACTTGCAATGCCAGGCCCAGCGACGAGCTCCAATGAGGTTCCAATGACTCCACGTGCTTTGGAGCGTATCACAAGAGGAGAGACACCCTCGCGATACCGATATGGAGCTCCGACTTCGCCAACAAGCTCACTAGTCTGGGCCCGCGCGGCGCTCAATGGCCTGGCGCTCAGCATCTCTTCATCTGCTGTAGGCCATGTCACTTTTGTCCTTCTGAGTGCCGCAACTACGCGCCTGCTACAGCCAAAGATACGCCCTTCTGAGCAGCCCTTGACACTTCCCACATGAACAAAAGAGCTTCCGTTGCCGAAGCTTCTCAGCCGCCATAAGGTAGGCAGAGATTGATAAGCTGCTGTTGCTTGTGGCGGTCCGCGTGCATTTGAAATTACTGAGTGGTCTTCACTCGATGCCACCAAGCTACGGTAGTGCTTGCTGCAGCGGAAACATCGTCGCAAGCGATCGTCGTCGTATCTTGGTAGTACACTCAATAGTCGTGCGAAGATTCGGGGACAGATGTCCTGGCCTGTAGACACGTAGTCATATCAACGAATACAAGGATTTTCAGCAGACGGATGTGCGTCTTGTACTCACTATCTACGGCGGCGAGTTCTTCTTATGCAAGATAGGTCACCAGGGCATTGTCCTTGTCAGACATGTTGCCCAACGCATGTTAGTACGTTCAGGTCTCCAGCAGAGCTGCTGCTGCTGATGACTCCAGCCAGGAGATGAGCTTGGAGAAGGAGCTGGATCCTCTCACGCAAAGACTGTGCCGGCATCGATGTGTTCAGTGGTCGTTTTGCGCGCCTGGGTGGATCTTGGGTGATGGCGCGCGTTTAGGACGTTCAGAGTTTCGGCACCCGACACTCGCGAAATTTAATTTGTTCACCGTGAAATTCGAAACTCTGAACTGCCCTATTGGATCTTAGCGACACAGCAACCCACGCCAGATGTCGAGTGAAGGCGCCATGCAATCACACGACGATGCGAGTCGAATCACAGGATGTTTGATGCAGCACAGGTACAAGCTGCCCAAGAGAGCTCGCTCTAAACTTGGAACCGACAAGCCTGGCCCGGACGCGAGTAAGTCGCATCTATCCGCGATTGCGCATTTGTCGCACGCGGTTGACGGACCCAAAAAATTATTGGCGCCTGAACAAACACAAATCGTGGTCCCAGCTGCGCATCGTTGACTTGAGTCTTGCACACGCTAAGGAAGCCGCAGCAGCAGGCTCATTGCATATCGGCTGCCCGGAAGCGATGGCTCTTGGTGTCCTTCTGCCAACGATCCGGCCATCAGCTTCGAAGCTACTACAAACAGTTCGATTATCTCTGTGCCAAACTCGACGTCAGAATGCTACTAGCTCAAATACACCGTCTGCACCTGCGGACACTATCTCAACAGATGCAGTCATCAAGAACATTAGTGCAAAAGACCGAGAAACCTTACAATGGCAGCGGAATATCGGTATCAGCGCTCATATCGACTCCGGCAAGACGACTTTCACAGAACGTGTGCTCTTCTACACAGGCCGCATAAAAGACATCCACGAAGTTCGAGGCAAGGATAATGTCGGAGCAAAGATGGATCATATGGACCTCGAGCGGGAAAAGGGAATTACCATTCAATCAGCCGCGACCTATTGCGACTGGCTCAAGAAAGAAAACGGCGTCGAGCGAGCTTACCACATCAACATTATCGACACACCTGGCCATATCGATTTCACGATAGAAGTTGAGCGTGCACTACGTGTGCTTGACGGCGCAGTCCTCGTTCTATGCGCAGTGTCCGGAGTACAGAGTCAGACAATCACAGTTGATAGGCAGATGCGGCGATACAACGTTCCTCGTGTATCATTCATCAATAAGATGGACAGGATAGGAGCTAATCCGTGGAAGGTTGTTGACCAAATCAACCAGAAGCTGCGAATCCCTGCTGCTGCTCTACAAATTCCGATCGGCGCAGAAGATGAATTCAAGGGCGTCGTTGACTTGCTCCGGATGAAAGCCATCTACAACGAGGGTCCTCGCGGCATTAACCTTCGTGAAGAGGATTGTCCTGCTGAACTTCTTGACTTTGCGAATGAGAAGCGAGCACTGCTGACCGAGACGCTTGCTGATGTCGACGATGAAATCGCTGAAATTTATCTCAACGAGGAGAAACCGACCGAGTCACAGCTATCTGAAGGGATTCGACGTGCGACTATCGATCGCAAGTTTACACCTGTCTTGCTCGGTTCAGCACTGGCCGATACTGGCATCCAGAATGTGCTTGATGCTGTTTGCAATTATCTGCCGACTCCAGCCGAGGTGACCAACGTGGCGCTGGACTTGAATCGTTCAGAATCCCAAGTGCAGTTGCTGCCATACAGTGAGATGCCTTTTGTTGGGCTAGCGTTCAAGCTTGAAGAAGGCAAATACGGTCAGTTGACGTACATTCGTGTCTATCAAGGCACGTTGAAAAAGGGCAGCATGATCACAAACGTCAAGACTGGCAAGAAAATCAAGGTCCCCCGCCTTGTCAGAATGCACTCTGCAGACATGGAGGACGTGGACGCCGTCGGCTCGGGCGAAATTTGTGCCATGTTTGGAATCGATTGTTCTTCTGGTGACACATTTACTGATGGCCAGCTATCGTATTCGCTGACAACGATGTTTGTGCCGGAGCCGGTGATCTCACTCTCTTTGAAACCAAAGGGCAAGGAGACGGCCAACTTCAGCAAGGCCCTCAATCGCTTCCAAAAGGAAGATCCGACATTCCGCGTCCACGTTGATGACGAATCAAAAGAGACCATCATCTCAGGTATGGGAGAGCTTCACTTGGAGATCTACGTTGAGCGCATGCGTAGAGAGTATCACGTCGACTGTACAACTGGCCAACCGCGTGTTGCGTTCCGCGAGACTATTTCTGAGCGTGCTGATTTCAGCTATGTCCACAAGAAGCAATCCGGTGGTGCTGGTCAGTACGCGAAAGTTGAAGGTTTCATCGAGCCCATGGAGGCGACTGATGGTCCTAATGGAGGAAAAATTGATGTTGAGTTCGAGAACCGCGTCACGGGTGGCAACATTCCCAACGGCTTCATCACTGCTTGCCAAAAGGGTTTCATGGACGGAATTGAGAAAGGCTTCTTGCTTGGCCATCGCATCAACGGGTGCAGACTCGTCCTTGAAGATGGTGCAGCACACGCTGTAGACTCTTCGGAGCTGGCGTTCAGACTCGCCACTGTCAATGCTTTCAAGGAAGCCTTCAGCAAGTCACGGCCACAAATTCTCGAACCAATTATGGACGTGAATGTGACGGCGCCAAATGAATTCCAGGGCGCTGTTGTTGGTGGGTTGAACAAGCGTAAAGCCACCATCATCGACACTGAGATAGGTGCCGACGAATTCACAATCAAGGCCGAAGTGTCGCTTAATTCAATGTTCGGGTATTCCACATCCATTCGGCAAGAGACACAGGGCAAAGGTGAATTTAGTATGGAATACTTGAAGCACTCAGCTGTGCCCACCTACGTGCAACAGGAGCTCATTGCGGAACATTTGAAGAAGCTCAAGATCAAGGCCTAGATGCGTTGTAGATTTGCTAGCATGAATCTCCCCTCTTGTGCATTACCGCTTCCTGTCTAGCAGGACCGGCTTCAATACGCGGTCGTCAAATTCAAGAAACCACTGCGCACGATCGTCTGGCATGCTGTGCATCATCGCGTCTTTGAATTGTGTAAGCATGCCAGACGGGGGCGATCCCGCAACAGGTGGCAAATCGGAGCCTGTACTGCTCGCGCTGTCGATACGCTGCAGCGGCATGGTCGCACGATTGAGGGCAGCCCTATCTTCGCGCAGTCCACGTTGATCAGTTGCTGGTGCTGGTAGACTCGACGGAGCTGCAAGACGACCGCCTTCTTCCACATCAAATTCGTCATCTGATACTTCTTCATTCTGTGGAACTTGCGTACGGATGCCGAGAATTTGGAGCATTTGACCAATCGTTCCTCCGAAGACGATCACGGTGAGAACAACAACGACCAAGATTGTCGCTCGTAGCGTTGCAGCGTGCTTGCCTTCTAGGCCTGCCGCTAATGCTACGCCGACAGCTCCTCGGAGACCTGCCCAGAAGAGCATAACTTGATAGGCATTAGACAATTCTCCTTCGGCAGAGGGAATACGGCCCATGGCTCGTCTGCGCAAGATGGCATTGATAAGGGAGGAAAGTGGGAAGACGGCAGCATACCGTGCACAACATACTGCAACGGTTGTGATCAAAATCAGCATTGGCTTGTAGACGAGGTCAATCTCTGTGAAGAGTGACATCCCAAGGTAGATGAAGATAAAGTTCTCTGCAAGCTGAGCGAGAAGCTGGAAGAGATACTTGGTTGAAAGCTGCGTGCGCCGAGACATGTTGAAGTAGGCGTAGTGTTTGAGTGTGATGCCACAAAAAAGGAGTGACACGATGCCTGACATATGACAGCCATTGGAGAAGAAATAGGAGCTGTAGGCAAGAAGCAGAATGAGGCAGCCTTCGATCTGTGGAAATCTGCGGAGATGTGTGTGCTTTAGAAGCAACGCGGTCCCAAGTCCCACGACGATGCCGATGACGAGCGAAACGAAGAAGGAGACAAGAAACATGCCAAAACCACGGAAGACCGTCGTGATGTGAATTGCTTGCCCTCGCAACTTTGACAGTGTCTCAAACATGACAATGGAGATGGCGTCATTCAGAAGAGATTCGCCAAACACAATGGTGTATAGCTTCGGGTCAACTTTGTAGCTGGTGAAGATACTGAGCACTGTCACCGGATCTGTCGCGCTTAAAGTCGCACCTACAGCGAGAGCATCGACAAATGTGATTTCCACAGATTCGAGACCGATTGCTGTCCAAAGATAGACGAGGATGCCGATTACAACGGCTGAGATGAATGTGCCAGCGAATGCAAAGGTCAGGATAGTGCCAAAGTTTCTGAAGAAGTTTGCCTGGTGCAGCTCATACCCAGAATTGAGAATAATTGGCGGAAGGAGCACGTTGAAGAAGTAAGTGTACTTGAATGACACGAGCTTCTGGATACTTTGCCCGGGAGTCAGCCGCACGGCAAGGCCCACAATCATGCCGCCAAAGATGGAGATGACAGTCTCATGCACTGCTCGAATCTTGCGAGCCTGAAGGAAGTACGACGTGCAGAGGGCCCCAATGAGGAGCAGAATGATGATAAGGAGCGCCCAAGATTGGTACATCTCTTCAATGGCCGGATCAAGCGGCGCGGCATCTGGGTCCTCGGCCTCCGAGTCGCGCTTGACGTAGGAGCTGAGGGCGGACGACAGCACATCCATGCCTTATGTATGGCCTCTGTGTGGGCATGCAGCAGACGCGCTTGGATGGCGACGGTTAGGTCGACTAGCACTTGGCATATATGCGTGTGTTCTACGGGTCGACAACGTCAGGCAATAAAATTCGCAGTCACAAAGAGACTTGGAGGGTAGTTATGAGCTGTCAGCTGTAGCGAAGAGTCCAGGCAAGAGCTGCTTCTGGCAAACCGTTTCCCTGCTCGGCATTGCTCTTCCGCCGGCCTCTACTGATGGCTGCTTCGGCGCTCGAGCTTATTCCCGGCGCGCATGTCAGCAGCAGAAAATCCCAACACTTCAGCGGATGTCAGCGCAGTCAAGTCTGGCCAAGACTCAACACCCACGGCTACTAAAGTCGAGCTACTTTTTCCTGCATCTCTTAAGAAGAGCCCAGCCGGGAGGTCCTGGATTCCTGTGATCCTCCTATACCAACACCAGGCATCTACGACACCTAGCAAGCGATCTATCCGCCCGAGGAGACAATGGGCTTTTCGTTCGATCAATATTTCACCTCAGGGGGCGCCGTCAATTGGCAAGCGGTGAAGGACCTCACATACGAGTGGAAGTTTGTCCTCACTTGCGCGGCCCTCTACGTTGCTGTGGTCAAGCTCTTCAACCAGTCACGACCACGTCCAGCGGCAAGGTTCACTAAGACGGCGGCTTTTCGATACTTTTGCTTCGTCCACAACTTGGCTCTTTCACTCTACAGCGGCTGGACGTTCCTCAGCGCCGTGCCCATCATTCACCGGCAATTTTGGCGTTCTGACTTGCAGCCCATCCAGCGCATTTGCTCTGCTGATCAGGCCGTCTTTCACGCAGGTCTTGGCAGGTTGACATACATCTTCTACCTGTCCAAATTCTACGAAGTGCTCGACACGGCCATCATCCTCGCGAAGGGCAAACGATCCCCCTTGTTGCAGACGTACCACCATGCTGGCGCCATGATTACCATGTTTGCCGGAGGCAAGTACAGTGCGACACCTATCTGGCTTTTTGTTGTCTTCAACAGCTGGGTACACTTTTGGATGTACTTGTACTACGCCAGTGCCACATTGAAGCTGCCCTTCCCACGGCTACTCAAGCAGTCATTGACGACCATGCAAATCACTCAATTCCTTGTTGGTGGCAGCTCAGCCGCGGCCTTCTTTTTCCTCAAGCCGGAGGATGCCTCAGAATGTCTTCCCAACTTTGGCGCACGCCTTGCGACTGGTCTCTGTTTGGCCTACCTGACGCCGCTCACATGGTTGTTTGTCCAGTTCTTCATCAATGAGTACAAGCGGCCCAAGACGGACGCCAAGCGTGCAGTCAAATCTGCTGAACAGGCTGTCAATTCATCGCTCAAAGCGCGTAAATGATTGGCGATCCTTCGCAAGTCATACAGGCTCTCAAAAAGTCGTCAAAGGTCGCATACGGCCATCTCTCTCCCTTCATAGCGTGCATGGATATACGGTCATATACCCTATACTGACAATAGTTTGTAGAAGCCACATTCTAATCTACCTATCGGCACTGAATTGATCGCTTCGCTGTGAGTCAGTGTGAGGCCATGGCACAGTATATATTGACATGCAAGACCCTACGGGCAGGTGCCAGCTCGCACAGACTCGCATCGGATGTCGGTTTCCAGGAGCTCAGTTTGGGCAGGTCTCCATTCGAACTGACTCGTCTGCATGCGCACCATGCAGTGTAGTACAGTTGACCGCTGCTTGCGCGGGACTAGTGGCTTAAGCATCTAGTCTGTCTCTACAGTGACTGCATTTGTTAGATACCAAATTGCGGTCCTCATATCCTCAAGCTAGCACTGCCCACGCGACCAGTTCAAATACTGCATCCTGGACCGGGACCTGTCACCTGTGAAGACATATGTCGCATGACGCAGCGAGAGTAAAGAAAAGGCAGAAAGTCAATTGGCACTGGGATGACAACTTGACAAGGCTCACAGGACAGGTCACAGGAGTCGTCTAGCTAGATTTTAGCTGCGGCCTGCGACAGTCCAGGCTTAACTTCCGTTTAAGCTTAAGGTTGTCGACGCGTACCGCGGCATAGGCAACGTGAGTCATGACTCTTGACAGCTTGTCATTGCAGCGGGATTGAGAGTTGACTGCGCAGGGTCATTGCCGACTCATTGGTCAATAGTCCTGGACTATCATGGTTTGCGGGAATGCGCCATCATGGCATTTGAAGCGCCGTACTGCGATTTGCCAGGTGCAACTCGGAAGTTGGAAGCTTCCCCACTAAATCCCCAGACTTTTCTTCTTGGTAGAGCAGATTAAGGTTGATCGCAGTGAGCATTGAGCAAGCAAAGACTGCCAATGAGTTCAAGCAGAGTCTGGTGATGGTGATCGACTGTGGCAATTTGGCAGCCGTCAACCGTGAAAGCTGGGGTAAACGGCAATTTGGAAGGGGCAAACCCGCGGCAGCTCAAGCTGCAGACCAATCACTCGCCGCGAATTGTCATCGACATGTTCCGCAACGTGGTCCAGAAATCGACCGAACTGCACCGAAGTGACGTCTGAGTCGGTCTGACTCAGATCTTGCTGGCAAGTTGCCGCTGTAATTGAGTCAGCGACGCTTAGAATGAAAATGAGGATTGAGGATTGAGTAGGAAGTAGTGATTGGTAGGCCGGGTTACACAGACCAAGGTAGAAGACCTTTGAGAAGGCCTGATGTTTGATCGAGCTATAGAGTACCAGCTGTTGCAAACGCAGTAAACAGAGTCAAGGATGGCTTTTGGCTCTTAAGCTTTGCACCTGCACGCGAGGATCCTGTTTTTCCTGCTGTCCTTTTTTATTTTTTTGTGCTGGGCCGAGAGCTGGTTGTGGTTGGTTGTGGTTGGTTTGGCTGGGTTTGGGTGGTTGGCGGAAGGGAAAGATACAAGAAGCAGCGAGACCGCACCCAGCAGCACACTCACCTACCTCCCAACACTCCCTCCCCATCCTCCCTTCCATCAATCAACAATGGAGGCCATGCTATCCCAGGCCAAGCAGCTCTGCCCCTTCATCAAGAGGTCCTCGACAGCCACCCTTCGCCAGCTCAGCACCGGTCGCCGCAATGGACAGTCTTTGCTGACCAGGGCCGGCTACAACTGCCCCATCATGCGAAAGGCCCTTGTCAAGCAGCAGCGACACTACGTGGCGCCTACTAAGCCCGTGCACGCCCGCGTACCCACCCTCGACCAGGTCCATTTGCGTGCAGGCGTCGTGGACACCAGCAAAGGTATGGCTGCTTCGATTATATCAGCAAGTATAGTCGCTAACAATTTCCTAGGCTCCGAACTCTGCCCCCATGCCCAAGCCGCCATGGCAGCAAGCCGTGGTGAGCACAAGACAGAGCTGTCGCCAGCTTTTCCTTACGAGGGCTTCTACGGCGACATTCTCCAGAAGAAAAAAGACGACAAGTCTTACCGCATCTTCAACAATGTCAACCGACTTGCAAAGGAGTTTCCATTGGCACACCCGCGGGACCCGACCAAGCGCATCAACGTGTGGTGCTCGAACGATTATCTCGGAATGGGCAAGCACAAGGAAGTGGTCAAATCGATGCACGACTCGATTGACACATACGGCGCCGGTGCCGGCGGTACCCGTAACATCGCTGGCCACAACATGTCCGCCGAGCGGCTCGAACGTTCGTTGGCTCAACTGCACCACAAGGAAGCAGCCCTTGTCTTTTCTTCTTGTTTTGTGGCCAACGACGCTTGCTTGTCGACGCTCGGTTCCAAGTTGCCAAACTGTGTCATTTTCTCCGACGAGTCGAACCATGCCTCGATGATCCAGGGCATCCGAAACTCGAGAGCTGAAAAGATCCTATTCAAGCACAACGATATCCAAGACCTCGAGCGTAAGTTGCAGTCAGTCGACCCGTCTCGCCCCAAAATCATTGCATTCGAATCTGTCTACTCCATGCACGGAGATGTTGGGCCCATTTCTCAGATTTGCGACTTGGCGGAGAAGTACGGCGCGATCACCTTCTTGGACGAGGTCCACGCTGTCGGCATGTACGGCAAGCACGGTGGCGGCGTGGCAGAAGAGACTGCCGGCCTCATGGAACGCGTTGATATCATCACAGGTACCCTTGCAAAAGCTTACGGCTGTGTTGGAGGCTACATCGCGGCTTCTGCTAAATGCGTTGACACCGTCCGCTCGCTGGCCCCTGGCTTCATCTTCACCACTTCTCTTCCACCCCACCTCATGACTGGTGCATTGACAGCTGTCGAGCATCTCAAGCAATCTCAGTACGAGCGTGCCGCACAGCGTCTCGCTGTCTCACGCACGAAAGCTGCATTGACCTCGATTGGCATTCCCATCTTGGCCAATAACACCCACATTCTTCCCGTCATGGTCGGTTCTGCTGAAAAGGCAAAGCTGGCTAGTGACGAGCTTTTCACCAAACACAACATCTACGTTCAGTCCATCAACTACCCAACCGTCCCCGTTGGCACTGAGCGTCTCCGCATCACGCCCGGCCCTGCTCACTCACCCATCATGATTGAGCAGCTCAAGGAGGCCATCGACTCCATCTGGACTGAGCACAACTTGCCTCGTATTGATGCTTGGTCTGCTCGTGGTGTCAACGTTGGTCTGGGAGTTAAGATGGACTCCGTGACAAACGAGCGTGGCTTTGTAGGCGCTATGCATCAGGCACCCGTGATTGATGTGGCTCACCAGCCGCTCATCTCTGCCTCTGCTTGATTATAGTTGACAGATAGTTTGTAAGGTTTTGTGGATGGAAAATGCTCCAGCTGATAGCTCTCCTGAACTGTGGACAACACTTTGAACGACAACATACAATGTCGCTAATCCTTTATATTGAGCCAGCTGCCTTTGAAGTGCCCTGCCTCTCTGCTGAATCTCTGGCTGCTCTTGCATACTTGCAGAACGTCGCACCTGCTTCCTTTCTAGTGCATTGCACGGCCAATGCCGCAGCACTCATCACAGGCAAGTTGCCAACACTGAACGATAAAGGCTCAGGTACATGGACATCTGGATTTGCTGCGATCGTCGCATATTTGAAAAAGCTTGGCCTCGATGCTGATGAGCCTTTGAATGCACTCGAGCGCGCAGAAAGCATCGCTTTGCAGGTACTGGTTGAGCAAAGCGCGAGCGATTTGTTGAGCAAGGTATGGTTCGGCGATGATCTCAACTACGCAGCCGTCAGGAGTATCTTGGGTAAAGCACTGCCAGTGCCCTTTAACTACACCTTGCCAGCTGAGCTGCGTAAACGTGCAGTTGGAATCACAAGCACAGTCGAGGGTAATCTCCCGCCGATTGCAATGGGCGTCACGCCGTCGGTCCGGTCTGCAGCCACGGCGCTTTCTGCCAGTAGCCAAAAGACTCGCAAGGCTCAAGGTCTCTATGCTCTGATTGAAAAGCAGTTGGGTGACAAGGCCTATCTCTTTGGCAAACAAGCCACTTCTTGCGATGCACTGGTCTGTGGACATCTCAGCCTCCACTCATACGACCAGATCCCCAACCCAATCCTGGCTGAGGAACTACAAAGATCCTTTCCAAAATTACACAGCTATGTTGCGGCATTCAAAGACAATCTTCGCCCAGTAGATCTTGCTCCGCCAGAGCCTGTCGGTATCATGAACATCTTCAATGCATTGTGGCGCGAAATGGCTGGCCCGCGTCGCTCCAAGCCTAAGACCGAAGAGCCAAGCATGGAGGAAGGGCTTAAACGTATTAAGGACAGGAAGGAGAAGCTGTACTTCGCATGTGCTAGTGTGCTTGGCCTGATTGGCTTCATCATCTTCAACGGCATCATCTCATTCGATATTGAAGGGGAAGAAGACTACGAAGACGCTGGTAGTTTCAACGAACAAGAGGAAGTCGAGGAGGAATTATCTGACGATGAACTAGAATAGAAGACCTCACTTGGTCCGCCGCTTCTTTGCTGGATTGCCTCTCTGAGTTTTCGCGGGAGGAGGTGCCGCAGGTTCTTCCTTCTCTTCCGCCTCAGATGATTCTGATGCCAATGCAGCGTCGATGAGCTCTGCCTCTTCCTCATCGTCAAACTTGGCAAATCCGTCATCTTGTACATTTTCGGCGATGGCAGCTGCTGCATCATCCTCTGCCGCCTGCTCCACGTCTTCGGGCCGCTCGCGCTTCATACGCAACTCGCCCAAACGTCCACGTAGCCGCGCCTCTCCGCTCGTCTCTCCCTTGTGATTGTCGCCGCGCAATGGACAGAACCATGGGATCTTGCCTCTCATAAAGTCGTTCAGCACCATCTTCGCAACGGCTGTCTCATCCACTTCGCCTCCTTTGAGCAATTTGCCGCCCTTCCGAGCCAAGAGTTCCAAGAAGCGGTTAGGATCATTCTCCCATCCACGAATATCGTATGTGCGTTCTAGGTGATGCGGCTTGCATCGATCGAGCACCGCTTGAATGTGTTGCTCTGGGTTGGTCACACGTTCAACGCGAACTACACCCCGAAGCAGGATATCGGTTTCTGTATCCTCGGGATTTGGTGGACACACACCAGGACAGTCAATCAGATAGATTTTGCGTGTCAATCGCACATATTGCCAGATTTTGGTCTCACCGGGGATCGGCGCAACCTTGACTGCGTCCTTACTGTTGACCAGGGTATTGATGATACTCGACTTGCCCGTATTTGGATAACCAATAAGGCCGACAGATATTTGCTTCTTGTCCTTGTGTAGGATAGAAAATTGTCGCAAGAGCTGAATCAAGCTGCCTTTGCCAAATGAATTCGTTACGGATGCATGGAACGCCAGCGTCGGGTAATCCTTGGAAAGCTCTTTGACCCACTCGGCCTAGTACGTTAGCTCAGTCTCATGACACAGATGCTGAGGTATGATGGTTGTGAGGCTCTACACTAAGAAGGCTGCGGTGACTGTCCCATTAGGGACACCCGCAGCATTCAACTCAAGAGAGCCTCTCTTCGACCTGGCGAACGGGGCTCAAGACGAGTCGCTCTAAGCGGAAGAAGATCAATTTCCCAGGATTGTAACAGGCAATGCTCGACAGGAGGTTGGGCAGAAGCCCCGAGCGTGTCTTGACTTAATCTTGGGACAACCATCTTTGTCAGCGAAGGGGAGGAATAACTTACCGCAGCCCATGTTGGTACAAGATCGGTCTTGTTAAGAACGTAGATAAGATGCTTGTGTGGTGCATCGTTCTTGAGATATTGTTCGACACTTTTACACCTTGTTCCAGCAGGGTCTCGAGCGTCCAGAACGTGTATTATGACATCTGAACTGTCAATGACTTTGTAGAGCTCATTCCAGATTCGACGCGATTGACCTTTGAAGAAGACTGCTTCACGGGCTTCTTGAATGTAGTCTGTGGGCTCGGTTTGCAAATGAGCTTCGCTTTCAAGCCGCTCCTTGAACTTTGCGTCCAGCTCTGTTGTAGTCTCTGCAAGTTCGCTCATATTGCCCACGTTGATCTTCGGTCTCTTGCGCTGCGCTTTTGGCCCGAAAGTGCTGCTATAAGACTCATTCTCAACAACTTGCATTCGCGGAATCTTGTCGGACGTCTTAAGCAGTGACATAGGGAGCTTATTGCGCTGAAGCAGGACAGAATATGGATCGTTGACCTTTGCACCGAGATTCTCGCGGAACTGAGCCAGCGCATTTTGTGCAATGACTCGCGTGTTGCCAAACCACTTGCGGTTTGGCTCGATCCTCGCCTTCGGCTTTTCTCTTGACTGAAAGAGAGCTGCCTGCGTGATGTTTCCCTGTGCGTCACGCGTCGCATGACCTCCTCGCAGGATGTTGACCTGCTTCATTTTTTTCGCATCGCGATAGAAGTTCTCTCCCTTGACACGCTTGATGCCCACCTTGTCCTTCTCAGTCTGCGACCTGTTTGCTTCCTTCTTGCCCTGTCCCATACTTGCTCTTCCACTGGCTATGAGGTAGCTGAGATGAACTGCAAGCTGTTGTCCACTCCAGTTCTCTTGCAACATTTTTTGAATCTTTGTCCCACGCTGATTTAGCGTGTATCCATCTGAACAAGTGCTAGCCTCGAATCTACCTGTCCAAGGCCATTGAATGTGCCTGGATTCTCCGGCCCCTGTCTATCTCATTCAGCACCATTCATCTGCTGAATATCCTCCAGCAATTTGTCGTCCCATTGAACTTGATTGTGTCCGCCCCAGTAGACTGATCTGTAAAGGAAGCGATTGCCAAATCGTCTTTCGAAACCTCCATCCTCGGTCTTCTTGGTAGTGGCTGTTGCGGCAATACCATCCACGAGCAGAGAAGCATCAACCGCGCTCTGGAACAACCTTTCGCTGTGCTCCTTGGGAATCTCGTAATCAGTCTGGATGTTAGCGAGCTTCAAATGCTGCATAGGCCGTACAATTGCATGACCGAATGTCAAGGAAATCTTGGTCTTTGCTGCAAGGTCCTGCACACGCCTATCGGTTAGCTTTGCTCCAATTCGGGATCGACTGTACGCAAGAGAGTCCCACGGATGTTTGAGCTTTCCAATGAACCATCTTTGTACCACTGGATATGTCCTGAGGGGCTCGAGGATGGGGATGACACCACCCAGACGATAGGTCTTGATGATTTCATTGCCCGACTCGAACGCAGCAACTGTGACCACCTTGCCAATCTCGAAAGGCTGGACAGATCGGGTGGCAAGCTCATGCGCTACTCCAATTGCCACTGCACTACCTAGACTTTGACCATAGAGAATAATATTCTCCTTCGAGAAGCCCTCCCGGATGGCCCATTCAACAGCGGCGATGCCATCTTCAATGAGACCGCTCTCCGAGGGCGTCCCTTGAGAGAGGCCAAAGCCTCGATAGTCAATAGCAAGGACATGCATATTTGGAAGAGCAGTGAAGATGCGATAGCTTGTTAAGCGATGCGGAAAGGCAATGGTCCCAGCTGTACCGTGCAAGTAGATTATCAGCTGCTGATCCTTATTCATCATATTTGCAGCATTATCAGTCGTGCGAACCAAGGGAGCGATATGCCATGCGTGTATAGATTCTTCAATGAAGAGGCTTCGGGCTCGCTTACCGTCGAAACCATACTTCTCGGGGTATAGAAGATCTCGCGTTGACCAGCGTATGCGATGAAGGTAAAACACGTTTGTCTGGATAGCAGGTTGCAGTAAGCATGCAAGGAAGCCAAGGTAGCAAGCTCCGAGCACTATCAAGAAGTTGCGGCCTTTCTTCCAGGCCGTCATCTCAGCAAGTGTACACTAGTGAGCTCGAGGTAGTAAATAGAAGTGCCGCAAGGATGTGCCCGGGCCGGCGAACATTTGCTGTAGTTCTAGTCCCGATTTCTGACCCTCAAACCTCACAATCACAATCGAACGAGTTGAAAACTAGCTCTGACTCTCATTCCCAAAGTCTTGTCCAGAGAGAGCGGATCACAAAGTGTAGAGACTGTGATCCAGCTTCTCCTGCCCCACTCCCATTGGCCGCCTGAGATGGTCACACTTTCCGAATCGCTGCATACATCACGTCGTTCTATCCTAGCTGGCTCTTTCTTGACCCCAGCACGTAATATACAGCTCAGCTCTGTGAACAAAAAGGGCACGTTTGTGCTCAAGTATGCATGTCACACATTCGCCGACACGAAAATCTGCACAGCGGCGATGCTCCTGCCTCAAGCACAAGGTAAAGCTGTACAAGCACAGGCTGAGGTTAAGCCGCCAACATCGCATTCAAGCGATGCAAAAGACTCCCAAAAGCCAACAAGCCTTACTCAGACTACTGCTCCTCAAATATTAGCGCCTGCTGCGCCTTCAAGGCCTGCTTTCGTCTACGAGCTGGTTCTTTGCTTCAAGGAGAACCCGAAAGCCTATTTCTTGGTTCCGCGCGACGCTATCCTAGAGACCCTGAGTCCAACGGTGCTACGTTTTCACTTCTTGACTCTCAGACAAGCAGACAAGTCCAGTCCTCTACAGCAGCAGTCCATCACGCTGGAGCTTTTGCACGCATCTGCACAAGTCCTTGCATATCTTCGAGGTCACGTTCGCGAACAGAATGAAGTGCGAAGCAAGTTGACGAGTGCTATCCTGCACATACAGAAGATGCCCCTCGTCAAACTCGAGTACGATGATCCTAAGAGACCACCTGCTCGCCAAGTGGCCATTACCATGTTCAAGGACACCTCTGCTGAGCCTAGCACGCAGGTTGGTGTCGACTCCGTGCAAGAGGCAAGGGTACCCGCGGGAAAGAGTCGGACACTCAAAAGACGCAGCCTTGGTACTGCTCGCTCAAAGGCCGGTCTAGCCTCAGAAGCCGCCCCATCTCCTGCACGGAAGAAAAGTAAAAGCCTTGAAGAGTGGCGTTGTGATGTATGTATGACATCCTCAAGAGCAGCACGCCCTGCGTCAAAGAAGAAGGCCCTGGTCTGTGATACTTGTGGTACGAAGCTGCGTGCTCTTCTACCTAGCAATATGCAAGTTGATCAGTCGATTGGAGCCCAAACTCCCAAGGTCAGCTCGGACGTACGAATACTCCAGTCTGAAAATGTGTCAGGTCTTGGTGATACGAATGCACCAGTTGCACCAGCGACGGGCTGATCAATTCATCTTGTTAGGATGCGCACCACCGTACAATCTATGACTCGTTTACCTAGCGTTTCTCGACAAGCAAGAAGTGCATGGCTGCAAAGGAGAGTGTCAAGAATACACCGAAGTACACCGTGAGCCCGAGCAAGTCTGCCGAGAATGCCTGTGCATTGAAGCCAAAGGTGCTCAGGATAGTTGCGCCAGGCACGTCGATGCTCAGGCCAAATTTCTTCTCTGTCAGAGTGAGGTAGGTGACCTCATTCACTAGTAACGCTTCATAGGCATAATGGAAAATAGACAACTTCTGTAAGAAGCGAACGGGCCCAGGGATGGAATCTGGCGTTAGCAGACGGAATGTCGTCTAGATCAATTACCATGATTGAGTAACAGACCAGCAAAGAGCAGACTGAATAGCATAAATAGACTTCCTACCAGGTTTGCAATGCTTGGCTCTTTGACCGTGATACCAATCAGCAGACAAACAGAGGCGGACGCAACGTTGAACAGCACAAGAATGAGCAGAAACCTTGCAAAGACTGCGCCCTCGGGCACAAGCCCGACTGTCGGATAAATGATCAGTCCCATGATGATTGGCGGCAGCACACGCAGTGGAATGATGTCAAACATCACCTTAGCCATGAAGTAAGTAATCGGAGCATAGTAGCCATTTGCGCGCTCTCTCATAAAGATTGTGCGTTCCATGACAAGCAAGTTCAGAGAAGTCAACGTGGAAAACCCAAATAGAGACAGAATGAAGAAGAAGAGTCCCAAACGCCCCTGAAATCCGGAAAGGTCATTCGAGATTCTGAAATACAGATAGCCACACAGCACTAACGTTAGCAAGGTCTAAGATGGAACTCACTTACGCGCCAGAAGGACGGCAATAGCGTAATGTGTTAGCAACAACATCGGATTCCGGTACAGATTCTTGAAAGTGCGTTTCGATAGTAGCACAAACTGAGCAAACCATCCGATGCGGGCATAGCCCCGGCCAAGAGGTGATGCCATTTCCACGGGTCGGTCAGAGGCCTCGTCGATCGACTCTTTGATCCGTTCATCGATAGATGCCGCAACGCCGCTGTCGTTGTAGCGCTTGAAAAGGTCATTTAAGTCGGTACTACCGCCAAAGAGATCACGCTGCTGGGTCGCTCTAGAAATCCTCTGTCTAGGACGCACCTCGCCCCAAGCATTAGACTCATTACCAACGGAGTTGCATCGCTCCAAGCTATGCGGCTCCCCATTATGAACGCTGGTGCCTGGTTCGTTATTGATGGGCGTGCTTGAGTCTTGTGGCGAGACAATTTGAGAGGCACCAGTAGTATTCATGGTCAAATCGATGAGATAGTCGGCAATGTTGTAGCCAGTTGGGCACGCCAGGCCAATACTCTCAAAGTGCGTCTGACACGCAGACAGCTCACCTGAATAGACGACACGACCCCGTGCCAGCAAGATGAGTTGATCGAATAGTGCCACAATATTGGAACGCGGCTGATGTATGGTCATGATAATCGTTCTGTTGTACCCACGAGCTAGATTGGTAAGGCATTCGGCGACATTGAAAGCATTGAAGGAGTCCAATCCTGAAGTTGGCTCGTCCAGGAACAAGATTGATGGGCTCGTGACCAGCTCACAAGCGATACTGACCCTTCGCTTCTCGCCTCCACTGATGCCGCGATTGCCTTCTTGACCGATCAACGAATCCTTGATGTGCAGAATACCTAGCTCTTCCAGAGTTTCATAGACACGCAAACGCTTTGCTTCAGCAGTCATATCACGAGGTAATCTTAGTAGAGCAGAATACAGAACCGTTTCGTAAACGGTCAATGTCGGCATCAACGCATCCTCTTGGTCGACAAATCCGACAACGTCTTTGTATTTGTGATCTTCGACTGACCGACCGTTGACCAGGAACTCTCCGGTAGCTTTCCCTCTTTTGTTCTTGCGCGCGAGGATATCGAGGAATGATGTCTTACCGGCGCCAGAAGCTCCAAGGATCGCGAGCACTTGACCTGGACCGACATTGCCACGAACGTCTTGAAGAATTCCCTTGCCGTTGACCTCATAACACACCTTGCGAAATTGAAGTGTCGCAGGAGTATGATTCGCGAGTAGCTGTGCAGATTCGTCATCAGTCAATCGTATTGCGCCGAGCTTATCGGTTTGTTGTGATCTTCTGGCCGTTAGCCATAGGATCAGTGCCAATAAGCCCAAAAGGATTGCAGCACCTGCGACTGAGCCAGCAATGAGGCCAGCATTGGAGGGCTTGGCGGGACGCTGAAAGCCAGGAATTTCTGTGTAATGGAGGCATTCCGAAGCATTACAGTCTAATTGAATGGATTTGTCGCCGAATACATCACTGATGAGCTCATTCATTGCTGGTTCCTCGAATGTACAGCTCTTCGTTTTCGATGAGCAGCTGAATGAACCAGGGCCCTTGATCTCCTCGGACAAGAAGTCAGAAATGTCAATTGAACCGTCCTCGCCACAAAGCATTCTGTCAGGAATACAGGAGCATTTGATGTCTTTGCACTTGTAGTCCGTTGAATTTGAATCGAATTGGATGTTTTGGGAGAATTCGCAATCGTCCAGAGCACAGTAGAATGACTCGACGCGATCCACCCAGAATTGAAAGTTGCAAGTCCGGTCGTCGGCTTTGCACGAGAAGGTCACTTGTGGTTTCTTGTCCTTGAGCTGATCAACAATCTTGCGATTCGTGACGTCGCACATCTGAAAGTTTTGATGCACCACAAGGCCGCCCTTGTAACATGTACCGTTGAGCTGCTCAGGCATCAAGGGATTGCACGCCTCGTCCGTCTCGCAAACGTTACAATTGAGACCAGACCAACCGTCAGAACAATCACAGTCTTTTCCCTTTCTAACATGCCTATTTTTGCCATCTGCAAGTGATCCGCATGTTGGCTCAATGCAGTCATTGCCACCGAATCCTGGAGGACAATCGCATGCGCCATTGTACTCGTTGCAGGGAGCAAATTGCTTGCATTGAAACGCTGGCAGCAGACAATTGAAGCTCTGATTAGCTTTGTAGAGAAATGAAGCGTAGTACTTACCATGGTGGACATTGATCAGGCCGACCGGCGAAGTACGCGGGAAAGGCATTAGAAGGCGACAGATCGTTTGCCAAGCTGAGCGCCATGTCTGTCGCTGGGCCCTGGTAGGAGCGCACAAAGCCCAAGATACCCACTAGTAGATGCACATCCAGTATGCGCATCAGAAGATGGCTTGCGAGATATTGCGACAAGATGTAGATGTCGAGTGTATGATGCCGTGTCAGAGCTGCATGACGCGTCTGGATTTGTTTCGCCAGCAATTCCGGAAGTTCCGAGAAGTGTCTCCGCAATCTGGTCACTCACTACATTTGTCAATTGGCTCAAGAGAGACAAGGGTCAAGACCAAGTACGACTTGAAGCCGAATTTCTTGCACATTCAGAGCCTGATCACGGCTTGAGCATGTCACTTGCCAACGCTGAACATTTCAACCAAAAGGCGAGCACATATGACGCAGGGACCGAGCAACGAAGGTTTACTGCGGAGTTGCAAGCCCACCTTCGCAGTATTGCATCATGGCTAGGGCTTGACACGAGCAATAAGACAGGTGTCAAGGTATTGGATTATGCCTGTGGTCCAGGTGCTGCTGCTTTCGCTCTTCATGACTACGCAGGAACGGTCCTAGGCGTGGATATTAGCGAAAACATGGTATCTGTTTTCAACGAGCGTGCTGAAAAAGCCGGCCTAGAGCATATGCACGCAATTGAAGGCAACCTGTGTGTATCTGAAGACGCGCCCATAAGCAGTACGCTGCAAGACGAGCGCGACTACGACTTGCTGATCGTCAGCTTTGGATTCCATCACTTCGACCTTCCAGGGAAGTGTATCAAGCAACTACTTTTGCCATTGAAGCGAGGAGGTCGTCTTGTCATTGTCGACTTTCTTGCGCATGCAGGGTTCGACAAAGTGTTTGGCCACGCTGCACCAGAGGGTACTCTGAGGACCATCGGGAAAGGGGCGGAACATGGTTTCTCTGAGCAGCAGATCCGGACTCTCTTTGAACAGGGTGGATGCGATCAAGTAGAGGTCAAGTCATGGGAATTTCAACGCATGGAGGGAAGCAAATTTGCCTCTATGCATCCCTTCACTTGTCGAGGTGTCAAACAATGATTCAATTAGGTTGACTACAGCTGGCTATTGAACCAGTCTACAGTGTCGTTCTTTGCCTTCTCAAGAGCCTTCCTCTGCGTGTCGTTCGAAGGGTCACCACGCGTGGCGAAACCATGAGCAACACCAGGAAAGTCGATCCATTTGAATGCAGCACCCGACTTTGGCAACACCTCTTTGGCGTGGGCCTGCAACTCGCTTGTAAAGATTGGGTCCGTTTCAGGCACAATGAAGAGTGCTGGCACAGCAATGCCATCGAGTAACTCGTTGGTCAGAAGACTCGGATGCGCCAAATGGATAACATCCACAAGGTTCTTTCCCTTGCCACCAAGCTGCGCTGCTGTCCAGCCGCCATAGCAGTAGCTGGCAATGCCTATCTTCTTGTACTTGGCCTTGAGCTCCTTGACGACAGCCTCATATGCGGGGTACAACTTCTCTTTGTTGTTCTTGGCAATAAATCCATTCAAATCGAACTTGCCATTATTCATGTCCTCTACCTTGACAGCACCTCCCTCGAAAGGATCGACAAGATAAACTGTCGCGTTTGCCTCCTGAGCAAAATGATCTGCGAGCAGGCGAGTATTGTTCAGCTTCCATCCAAAGATGTCTGGGCAAATGAGGATAGTGCGATCCTTATTGTCTCCTGTGACGTATGCGTCCATCGACGCCAGCTTTGTCTCACTACCAACAGGCTTTCCGTCCCATGTGAATCCGGTAGAGCAACACTGGCCGACCATCTCGAATAAGCAGTCGTAGATGTTTGAGGGTCTGAGATTGGTATGAGGTGTCGTCCCATTATACCCCGCGAACTTGCCCGTGGGATCTTAGATCTTGGCCGACGCCTTGGAAGTTTCAAGTTTGGTTCAGATTTACGGACAAATTCGCCGATCTGAGATCTCGCCTCCACTGACACGATCCACACAGTTTCACCTTGTCGTCGCGCAGGCCGTCATTTCGATCGGCTCATCTTTCCGATCATCAAGAAATCTTGCCTTACAGGGGCAGCTCTGATATCATCTTGACCCTGTACTACGGTGATGTACGCTTCTGCAGTGTACTCAGGGGCCCACACCGATACAGTAGGCGACTGGGGCAATGCCAATTACACCCGAGAAACCATCATCCAGTCCTTTGTTGTGATTCTCAAGGGGCGCCATCGTTACTGCAAGGCACAGTTCATGTGGCATCGCAAAAAGCAGTGCGTCTACGGTATTGCCAAGGGAAATGGACTCCAAGAATTACTGAAGCGTCGGTTCGGACACGATGCGGAAGGTCTCCTCATTGACGGGGAGATTTGGTTTGACGATGAGGAGGTCTTGCGTGGCGGTGTCTTCGAGACTGGCAAAAGCTACTATGTTGTCTACAATGATAATGTTCCTTCGTACTCGGAAGCGAAAGCTCTTCCCCCAGCATACGATCTCCCCGAGGCTTCCCGAAGGGACCGGGAGGTTCATCGGATCCATGGATACAGCTACTACACCAGCATTCCTACGTTGACAAAGGAGCTGAACATTGGGCTTGGCAAGACATTAAAGGCCCTTGTCATGACTAACAAGGATACCAAGCACATCGATACGCTTATCAATTTCTTGTCCAATTACGCGACAGACCGCTGGGTAGGCGTTCTTTGCCACGGGCGCGAATACACTGACGACTCCATACTTTACGACGAAGCAGCAGTTCCCGGTGAGGTTTATCCTGTAACGTATCGATCGCCAGGCAAACTCAATGTCTTTCAGAAGCTCAGCGACAAGGCTAACGCTGTCAGTTACTCCAAGGCATCGGCATCGGCATCGACGTAGCCGTTTACCTGAATATCTCACACGGTGCTGGGGTGATCAACGGCTACTAAATGAACATCGTTGTTTCCAAACTCATTTTTGTCTCGAGTTGCAAGATCTCTGGACGCAATTCATTGGATGAGGATGGTCGTCGGGCATATTCTGCTCGAAAATGGCTACGAAGGCCTGTGACTTATCTCACTTCTTACTTGATAGACACAGGCCGGTCTCCTGGAGACTCATCTTGGCAAGCATGGACAGGCCGATCTCCACTGTCTCCTGTGATGTAGTTGTTGATCGGCACTAGCTTGGTCTCGCTGCAACAAGGTTTTTAGTCTGTAAGACGACTCTGACCGAGCATTTTTGAAACAGGAAGATGTCAGGAACGAAACTTAATGGAATTCCTGTTCAGAAACACTGCAAGAGTGTTGTGATAACCTCGTGAAAATGTAGATTGGTAACATGTGCTCCCCGCGAATTGTCGTGGGATGAATCTGGGGTCCCAAACATTGAACAGAATCAGATTCTTATAGAAACGTCTGTTACCGGCGACTGCGGACTCGCTCTTCACGACCGTATGCATATAATTTGACAGCTACTCGATTCAAGGGAGTGCTCAGATAGCCCTGCCCGACTTCGTATCGCTCCCAGCATCCGGCTTGCGAAGGCAACACATCTATTCCATTGATCTACTGAACTTTCTGTGCGCCGCATCTATGTCCGGAGAGTCGCAGAATGATACCATAGGCGCCTGGGGTACCTCAAATTTCTCGAGAGAGACTATCATTCAGTCTTTCGTTGTGATTCTCAAGGGGCGCCATCGTTATTGCAAGGCACAGTTCATGTGGCATCGCAGAAAGCAGTGCGTCTACGGTATTGCCAAGGGAAATGGACTCCAAGAATTGCTGAAGCGTCGGTTCGGACACGATGCAGAAGGTCTCCTCATTGACGGGGAGATTTGGTTTGACGACGAGGAAATCTTGCGTGGCGGTGTCTTCGAGACTGGCAAAAGCTACTATGTTGTCTACAATGATAATGTTCCTTCGTACTCGGAAGCGAAAGCTCTTCCCCCAGCATACGATCTCCCCGAGGCTTCCCGAAGGGACCGGGAGGTTCATCGGATCCATGGATACAGCTACTACACCAGCATTCCTACATTGACAAAGGAGCTGAACATCGGGCTTGGCAAGACATCGAAGGCCCTTGTCATGACTAACAAGGATACCAAGCACATCGATACACTTATCAACTTCTTGTCTAGCTACGCAAATGATCGCTGGGTAGGCGTTCTTTGTCACGGGCGCGAATACATTGATGACTCGATACTTTACGACGAAGCAGCCGTTCCCGATGAGACTTATCCTGTAACATATCGCTCGCCAGGCAAGCTCAATGTCTTTCAAAAGCTCAGTGACAAGGCAAGAGCTCTCAACTACTCCACTGCGGCGCTGACGTAAACGTATATCTGGTCTTTTTACAATGTTGGAATGTCCAATGGCTGCCCATCCTTCTTGCCAGACTCAAGTATTGTCTCGATAGCAGCGAGGTCTTTGAACGCATTCTCTGGAGAGAGACGCTCGTCAGGCATGTTCTGCTTGACGGCGGCTGCGAAGGCTTCGAGCTCGCTATACACACCTTGCTGGCTCGACACAGGCCAATCGACTGGAGATTTGGAGGTGTCGAACACTGTGGTTTCGCCATTCACAACGAGCGTGACCTGCCCAGGCTTGATGGACAGATACCCCTTGTCACCAGACACGATGAAGGCTTCGTCCATATTGGACCATTCTGAAGCGAAGGACACGAAAAAGTTGACTGGTGTCCCATCCTGCATGACAATATTGGCCAGGACTTGGTCGCAGGGAAGCAGATGCTCGCGATTGAGTGTCACAATTGCGCCCACTCGAAGCATATCACAGCCGAGGACGTCACGGATCGCTGCCACCCAGTGAACACCCCCGTCCAAGACGAAGCCTCCTTGGTATTGAGGCTCCTTCCTCCATGCTGTCTCGAAGTACTTTGAACCCTTTTGTACGTTGCCAAGCATCCTGTAATTGACATAATGAATCTTTCCCAAAACGCCAGAAGCGACGAGCTCCTTTGCCTTGATGGTATGCGATTCCATGCGATAATTCTCAGCAATCGCAAGCATAGGCTTCTGCCTCGTCGCGAATGCAATCAGATTTCGCGCAGTCGCAATGTCCTTGGCTACCGGCTTTTCCGCGATGACATGCTTGCCAGCTGTCAAGCACTGTTTAATGATATCTGGCTGGACGAGAATAGGTAAAGCAATGATAACGGCGTCAATGTCCTGGCGATTCAGCAGAGCTTCGAGCGTCGCTGTCTTTCGGTCAGGGTACAGATTTTCATCATCCTTGGAGAAATACAAATCAACGCGAGAAGCAGCTTCGTTGCCCTGTATGAGGTCCTTCAGCGAAGATGCACTTCGCGAGTACAGAGCCTTTAGCTCGAAATTCGGGCTCGCAAGCACACTAGGCAAGTGTTCTTCCTTGACAAAGATGCCAGCACCAAGAATAGCAACTCTAAGGGGACTCATCTCAGCTTTCGTGACGATACAGATGAATAGATCTAGTAGTTCGAGCAGAGAATCCGAATTCGACTGCGAAACGAGAATTGATAATTTGTGTCACCAGATGACATCAATTCGCTAGTGTTACTAGGAATGTAGCACGTACGATGCATCAAATGAAGCGGTTGAGCTCTATACGCCGTACCTGCCAGTCGGAAGTGTGCACCTCTATAGCAGACCTGAGAGCCTGATAGGCCCCGTGTTCCAAGGATAGAAGGTCAGCTGCCTTGTCGGCTAGATCTCTGACAAAGACCAGCCCTTTGCAATCGGTTGATAGGCCCGAAGCACTCCAGTGACTCTCAGCCAATGTCGTTGTACTTGCATAATAATGTTCCAAGACAGCGTTGACTGAAGCATGGTCCAACACGACAGCTGTCTCGAGCTGAAGAATAGAGCCTTTTATGGCAGTGATACGGTCAGACCTCAATATGTAGAGCTTTGTCTCTGGTCTTTCAAAACATGCATCCAGCATGCTCATGAGCTTCTCGTCCTCTTGATTGACTTGGTCAGATGCATGTGCTGCAGCATCAGCCCAGCCTGTGGTTAGCCCCCAGTATAAAATGTATCATGTCTTTCACCTCCGACGGTATAGAAGACCTTGTAATCTTCTTTCTCCTGATATGCTTTCCAGATAGTGCCAGATCGTTTGCATCTTGCAGCACAGAATTGCCGAAGGATCTCTAGGACAAGCATAGGATTGAAGGCAACAGAAGTGCGAAGACTAAAGCTGGTGATCTCGGTTAGGCTCATGGGGGACAGTGTCAATTATAATGCGATGACTTCGAAATTCAGCTGGTGCTCTTGTTCATGCGTTAGGATGTTCAGCAAGAAGCGAGTCTTTTCAAGGACGCAGGGCAGAGTATGCTGTGGTAACACAGATGCGTCGTACGCTTACGGTCTAGGTGAACGCCTCGGATGTTAGAAACGGTCCAAAATACTTCGATGTCGTTGATCATCTCATCTATGTTACCACTACAGGGGATCAACAGGCGCCTACTTTTGAGCCTTCTCTGGGAAGAGACCTTTGGCCTGAAGGTACTCAACGATTTGCCGAACACCATCCTCGATAGTGATGTCGACATTCTTAATGTGGATCTCAGCATTCTCAGGCGCCTCGTATGGTGCACTTATCCCTGTAAACTCTTTGATAATTCCTTCGCGAGCCTTCTTGTAAAGGCCCTTGGGGTCGCGCTGCTCTGCAACCTCGACCGGTACATCCACATACACCTCGATAAAAGGGATGCCAGCCTTGTTGTGCAGCTCCCGAGCAAAGTCCCGGTCCTTCTTATAAGGTGAGATGAAGGAAGTGACGGCAATGCAGGACGAATCAGCAAAGAGTTTAGAAACTTCGCCAATCCGCCTGATGTTTTCGTTGCGCGCCTTCTCGTCAAAGCCCAGGTCGGCGTTCAAGCCAAAGCGGATGTTGTCGCCATCTAGCCGATACGCGTTGATGCCGAGGTGAAGCAGATGCTGCTCGAGTGCAACAGCGATAGTTGATTTGCCAGATGCAGACAGGCCTGTGAGCCAAAGCGTCATGCCCTTCTGGCCGGTGAATTTGGCTCGCTCCTCGAGCGTGACAGAGCCTTCGTGGAAAGTAATGTTGGTCGCCATTTCAGCTGGATCAAAGAAGTGCTCTTGTAGTGCTGTAGCAGATACCGGGCAACCACAAGCTTCTGTAGTAGATGGTGCTTCTGCACGCGGGATATTTTGTCATCGCACGAGTTTTCCCACGCATCTTGAGCTCACCTTCAGGGGAACGCTTCACCACGATCAACCGGACCGTCTCCTTGCGCGAGCTAGACAGGCTCTTGCGTCTGGCTTGAGACGGATAATTCTCCTATGGAGGTCAAGCCAAAGGATATCTGCTACTACAAAATCTTCTTGGAAAATCCTTCTGCTCAAGCGGCACAAAGTGTGCTCAATGCCTGCTACGAGATTGCTCGGCCTTGGACATCTGACTACATCTGGCAGAACGAGCCATTCTCTATCTGCCTCATTGGAACGCATCTGGAAGGCTCTTTTGGATTCGGCGATTGTATTGAAGACGAGTGGTTTGTCGTGTGGATTCTTCGATCGCTGTCTGAACGTTGTCCACAGATTTATGTTAGTGTTACGGATTCTGATGGAGAATTTCTACTGATTGAGAGTGCAATGCATCTTCCTCGTTGGCTGGATCCAGATAATGCCGAGAATAGAGTGTGGATAATGCGTGGGCAGCTTGCTATTATTCCTGCTCCAGCAGAGGCCATCAAGGCGAGACAGTGTCCTCCACTGCCCCTCGACGATGCCTTGGACCATCTCAGGAACTTAAAACCTCTTTTGTTCCTCCCTGAAGTCCAGAAAGATGCGTTCTCAAGAATATTACGCTACCCCGGGCAAGCTAGAAAGGAGATGCACAGAACAAGGTGCAGGCTCCCTCGTAAAATTGCAACTTTGCTTCATTCTAATCGGCAGCTTGTTGCGAATGCATGCACGGCTCTATTCTATAAAGGACCGGAAGAAGATACCTTCATACAAGGCCTCGAACCAGACCAGGATTACGTTGACATGGTTGTCAAAATGACAAGAACCTTATATGCGCAAATCAAAGGCGTCAGGCTACTCCTTCCTCCGTCATACAAGCAAACAAATGAAGACGAGGGCTCGGATGTCGGCTACAAGCTCACCTGTGGTCTTGAACTTGCCCTCAGGGGCGATGAAAAGTTGCGCGACGTTGCTGACAAGTGCCTCAAAGGACCACTCCTCACTGACAGTGATTTGGCGAAGCTTCCAATGCAAGAAGACTCTGATGCTTACCTGTACGTCAACTTTGAAGAGCTCGAAAAGCAAACAGGCGATGATGCACAAACTCAGAATGACGCTGATGGTGAAGCTACGCTCAAGAAGATGGTTGAACAAATGCGACGTTTTGTGAATGATGATATATCTGGTCTAGAGGGGGCTGAAATTGACCCTTTGTCGAGCGAGGAAGAGGACTTCGAGGATGAAGAAGAGGACAGCGACGAGTATGACTCAGACGACGAATCTTTCGAGAATGGACAAGACTTCATGTCCTTCCTGCGCTCTTCGGTGGCGAATAAGGATGCTCTACGTGCGATGCAATTTGCAACACAACAGAAGCACGAACGAGAAGACGCAGAAGACTCCGATGAAGACGAGGCTGGAGAAGTACCAGATTTGAAGACCTACATGGCAGAGATGGATGCTGAGCTAGGTAGACTAGCTCCTGGTGATGAATACAAAGGGAAGGCAAAAGCGACGGCGTCCAGCGACCACGACGAAGTCGACACACTCACTGGATTGAGCGATGAAGACGAGGACCTGAAAATGGACTTCAACCTCGCACGCAACATGCTCGAAAGCATGCGGGCTGAAGGTGGCATGACTGGTCCTGCGGCGAGCCTACTTGCAAGCCTGGGTATCACGATGCCGCGAGATGAGGGAAGCCCCTCAAAGCCCTAGTCCACCAAGTGTCACTGCTTTGATCTTGAGGTATTCATCCAGACCATACTTGGATCCCTCGCGGCCGAGACCTGACTCCTTGATGCCACCGAAAGGAAGCGCTGCGTCAGAGATGATGCCTGTGTTGGCACCTATCATGCCGACCTCCAATTCCTCCGCAACTCGGAAGATGCGACCCACATCCTGGCTAAAGAAGTAGCCAGCCAAACCGACGTTGGTGTCATTTGCAAGCCGAAGCACCTCTGCCTCACTGGAGAATTTGTAGATGGCTGCAATAGGCCCAAATATCTCCTCCTGTGCAAAAGCCATGTCTGTCGTACAGTCCTTGATAATTGTTGGCGCAAAGAAGTTGTTGCCAAGTTCTGTCAGACGTTTGCCACCGATCACGATCTTGCCGCCTTTCGATACAGCGTCTTGCAACAAAGACTCGACTTTGTCTACAGCACGGCTGTGGATAAGGGGACCATGAGTCGATCCTTCCTTCAATCCTGCGCCAACTTTGAACTTGGCAACTTCAGCGCTGAAGCGCTCAATGAAGATGTCGTATAAGGATTCGTGAATAAAGAATCGGTTGGCACAGATGCATGTCTGCCCAGTGCCCCTGAACTTACAAGCCACGGCCGCCGCAACTGCTTTATCAAGGTCAGCGTCTTCAAAGACGATAAATGGTGCGTTTCCTCCAAGTTCAAAGGACACCTTCTTGACAGTGTCGGCTGCTTGCTTCATCAGAATTTTGCCCACGCCAGTAGAGCCCGTGAATGAAATCTTCTTGACAATTGGATTTGTCGTCAATTCCTTGCCTACGTCAGGCGTGTTGGCCAGGCAAGTGACTACGTTGAAGACACCCTTGGGCACACCAGCACGCTGACCGAGCTCAGCAACAGCCAAGGCAGTGAACGGAGTCTCGCCTCCGGGCTTGAGCACGACTGTACAACCAGCAGCGATGGCTGCAGCAACTTTACGCGCATACATAGCATGAGGGAAGTTCCAGGGTGTGATGAGGCCAACAACACCAAGAGGCTGCTTGATAGTCAACACGCGATTGCCTTTGATACCGGACGGAATCATATCGCCATAAGCACGGGGACTCTCCTCTGCAAACCACTGGAAGAAGGAGTTGCCGTACGTTACTTCGCCTTTGGCTTCAGCAAGCGTCTTGCCATTTTCCCAGGAAATGATTGAGGCTAAATCATCTGCATTTTCTACGCAAAGGTTGTACCATTTTGTGAGCAGTGTTGCGCGCTCGCGAGGGGTCGTCTTTTTGAATGAATTGAATGCTTCCTCTGCACATTCGATTGCTTTGCGTGCGTCCTCGGCAGTCTGCTCTGGCAATGTACCAATTTCAGTGTCCGAGGCTGGATCTAACACAGCAAAGGTCTTGCCACCCTTTGCATCGATCCAATTGCCATTAATGAATGCAGCTAAAGTCAGTCGGGTGTTGATGACTTGGCAATTGACTCACCCTGCTTGAGGAGTGAGGGATCTTTCAGGGTAGGTCTGATTGCAGCTGATGACATGTTTCTGCGGAAGATGGCTTGACTGGAGGAGAGATTTCTGGCAAGCCTGAGCATGTCTAGGTCTCGTGAAGGTCTGCCCTCGTCGTTTGCTCCTCGACCGTTGCGGGGTCCATGCTGTGTGCGTGCGATAAACATTTGCTTGCTACAATCGGCTACAGACCAGAGAACACATCTAGTCAAACACTGTCAAAGCAGCTCGCGAAACTAAGATTCTGCACGCTGCTTGCTCACAAAGCAAGGCAATCTCATGTCAAGCTGGGCGCCAGACTCGTGGCGCTCAAAACCCATCAAGCAAGATGTCTCATATAAGGACACGGAAGCTCTTCAGTTCAATCTTCAAAAGCTCACAAGACTCCCTCCGCTAGTCACAGCTGATGAGATTCGCAAGCTTCGCAAGTCACTTGCTGACGTTGCTCAAGGCGAAGCTTTTCTCTTACAGGGCGGTGACTGTGCGGAATCGTTTGATGATTGCTCGACTGAGCCAATTGAAGCAAAAGTCAAAGTCTTGCTGCAAATGTCGCTCATCATGATTTGGGGTGCTCGCATACCTGTCGTCAGAATTGCTCGAATGGCAGGCCAGTATGGCAAGCCAAGAAGCTCACCATTCGAGACGTTCGAGGGCCGGCAGATACCTTCCTTCCGTGGTCATAATATTAACGGCTTCAGCCCGGATGACAGGGAGCCAAATCCTGCGAGATTGGTAGAAGCGTACTTTCATTCGAGTGCGACGCTCAACTACCTTCGCGGATTGCTCAGTTCAGGCTTCTCTGATCTGCGCGCTCCAGAGAATTGGTCTCTGGACTGGGTCAAGTCAGGCAACATCAAGGAGCAGTACTCCCAAATTGTTGACCGCGTCATGGACTGTCTCAGTTTCATGCACACAATTGGTGCAGATTCGAGCGATACATTCAAGGCTGCAGATATTTACACAAGCCACGAAGGTCTCATGCTAGAATTTGAGGAGACAATGACGAGGCTGGTCAAGTCAACACAGGACGACCAAGCAGCCTACTACAATCTGGGTGCCCATTTCATCTGGATCGGAGACCGAACACGACAGATTGATGGTGCACACATCGAGTACTTCCGTGGCCTCGAGAATCCCCTCGGCCTCAAAGTAGGACCAAGCATGGAGTCTGCGGAACTGATTCGTGTGCTTGATATCCTCGATCCTGACTGTGAGCCGGGCAAGGTGACTCTCATTTCGAGATACGGAGTCGGCAAGGTGGAGGCATTGCTGCCAAATCACATAAAGGCCGTCCAAGCGACGAAGCATCAGGTCATCTGGGCATGCGACCCGATGCACGGTAATACACAAGCATCACAGACTCACCCGCATCTCAAGACGCGCGACTTTGAGCATATCCTCGGCGAGCTCAAGGCCAACCTCAAGGTGCACAAGCAGTGTGGCTCGCTGCTCAATGCTGTGCACTTTGAGATGACTGGAGAATCTGTCACAGAATGTATCGGCGGTGCCATCGAGACGGTGATTTCTACCGAGAGCTACCAGACGTTCTGCGACCCACGGCTCAACTACAACCAGGCCATGGAACTTGCATTCCTGATTGCCGCCCACTGGCGCGACGCTCCACAGTGATAGAGTAAACTAATTCGCATATAGCATAAACAAAAGCATACATCTCAGGTACCTTTGTTCTTGCAGGTCTCTGGTTTTGATGATGGCAATCCGTCTCGATCTTGCTCGGCGCGTGTCTTGCAGCGTAATTGCAAAGCGTGAATGCCACCTTCTTGTGCCATTTCCTCCTTGAGAAGTCCATAGATGATGCGATGCCTTGCAGCTAGCCGCTCGCCCTCGAAACGCTCTGACACGACAACAACACTAAGATGAGATGAGAGCCATAGAATTGTAGAAGGATCTTACCGGAAGTGCGTCTCTGGAGACGTATTCCCCTTCATAGCCGCATGATGTCTGTGCAGGTGCGAATCGTTATTCACTTCCAGGTAGGACGGTTGCAGTGCATCTGTAAGTTTTGTACGCATCGCCAGCTCCATAGGTCCATAGTTTGCTGTGGTTGCCATCCTCCGTATGAGCTGCAACTGTGTCCGCATGAACAGTAGCAGAGAGCCGCAGAGTAGTGCTGCTAGAGAGTCGAAGAGAGAGGTGTAGATGCGCAGGTCGCGACGTCGGAAATATCTGCGCGACTCTTGGCCGGCCCTCTGTTTGCTGTGCATTGTGCGTCTCGGGCCTGCTCAACCTGGGCCGACAGGGCAAGTAGATGATCGAGTACACGACTCTCGATGAGGATACAACAGCATCCTCGCTTTTGTCCCTGGACGGAACCCTCGTCCTACTCGACCCAGCTGCAGGTGCCGACTTGCACTTTCCTCATACAATAGAGAAGCCTGACTTGATCCTATTGTCTCATGCAGATCTTGCGCACCTGGGCGGCTATGTGTATGGATTTCGGCATCTTGGCTGGCATACTGTACCTTGCTATGCGACACTGCCGACTGTCAATCTTGGCCGCATGGCCATGTATGACGCCCTAAAGACACTCGGTGAAGGTTTGACGGTTGCAGATGTCAATGCAGCTTTCGATTGGATCACAGCACTGCGGTATTCTCAAGCAACTCAGTTGTCGGGTAAATGCCAGGGCATCAGCATCACGGCCTACAATGCTGGACACACCCTCGGCGGTAGCATTTGGCGGATTGTACGTGGTGCGGATCGGATTGTCTGGGCAGTGGATTGGAATCATGCAAGAGATGGTCATCTCAATGGAGCGGCTCTCTTTGTCAATGGACAAGTGACAGAGGGTCTTGAGCGACCGTCTCTACTCATCACAGATGTGCGTAATGCGGCTAATCCAGCACTGCCGACACGAGTCAAGCGGCAAACAGCTCTTTTTGACAGTATCATGGCTACGCTAGCCAATAGTGGGTCTGTCTTGATACCGATGGATGCGTCTACACGCGCAATTGAGCTTTGCGAGATGCTGGAGTTACACTGGCGAACAACAGAACCTCCTATACCCTTTCCCGTCTACTTCTTGAGCGGGAGTGCGACGAAAACAATTGCATACGTCAAGAGTATGCTGGAGTGGATGAGTGACAAGATGATCAGCACCTACGGTTCGAGCGGTGGCCTATTCAATCTCCAATATGTCAAGGTTGTCACGAGTGCTTCAGGCTTGCCACCTGGTCCGAAAGTGGTCTTGGCGACATCGAGTGATTTGGAGGGCGGATATGCTCAGAAACTTCTGCACACACAGCTAGCAGCGAGCTCCAACAATTTGGTCTTGCTGACACAGAAAAGCACGTATGGCAAGGATACCCTCGCAGCAAAGTTGTTGGAAGTGTTTGAGAGCAGCTCCAACGATGCAGCGCCAGGCAGCATACCAGCTGCAGTCACGCTTGATCTCAAAACGACTATACTGACTCGGCAGAGTGTACCCTTAGAGGGCGAAGAGCTCAAAATCTACAACACTGAGCAACAACGGAGACGAGAAGAGGAAGTCGCACGACTGGCGCTTGAGGAACGGAATCGGAATATCATTGACGCTGAGGATTCAGAGTCCGAGGATGAAGATGAGCGTGCAGCACTCGCTGCTCAGGGTGTTTTGACACGCGCAAGCCAAACAAGCACAGCAATGGCATTGGGCTCTAGCTCTCTATTGAGTGGAGCGACCTTTGATATGCTCCTCACTGACCGAGCAAATAGTTCACTGCCAACACGACTCAAGACGTTTCCATTTTTGGAGAAGCGCCGGCGGTTCGATGATTACGGCGAGGTGTTGCGTCCAGGAGAGTTCAAGCGCGCTGATCTTGATGATGATGAAGGCGAGCAGGTTGCTGTCCAGCAAGCGAGCAGGAAAGCAGGTCAAAAGAGGAAGTGGGGCGAGGTGAACAAGGTTGGCAGTGGACTAGCGCATGACGAAGACGAGGAGCGACTTGCGCCTTCCAAACTTGTTTCGAAGGAGGAGGAAGTGCACTTGCAATGCCGTGTGCGGTATATCGACATGGAGGGGATCCACGATGGCAAGTCGTTGCGCAACATCATCGAGTCGGTCAATCCTCGCAAGCTGGTCTTGATAGCAGGGTCTGCCGAAGAGAAGGATGCGATGCGAGAAGCGTGCGAGCAGATGCCTGCCATGACAGAGGCGATCCTCGTTCCTGCAGCTGGTCAAGCGGTCGAGGTGAGCTTGGATGCAAATGCATTTGAAGTGCGCTTATCAGATACACTGGCGGCATCTCTTCAATGGCAAAAGCTCAGCACACACGAGGTGGCCCATGTGACGGGCAAGCTACTGGAATTAGCACCTGAAGCCCAACCTGGAGATGTGCGCGTCCTGGATGTCTTGACCGATGCCGCTGATCTTGCAAGTGCGCCTCGAATTCAATCGCTCTTCATTGGAGATGTGCGTCTGGCTGATCTGAAGCGAGCTCTCTCTCTTCGTGGCCACGCTGCTGAGCTCCGCGGTGGTGGTGTCTTGCTGGTGGACGCGGAGGTGGCGGTGGAGAAGACTGCGAAGGGCGAGGTTGTGGTGCAGGGCCATGCGTCTGCGCACTTTTTCGCGGTGCGTGATGTGGTGTACGGTGCCCTTGCTCTGATCCAGTGAGGCTCGCTGGCTGCCACCGGTTCGCAGGCCTGGTATACATACATATGCAACTACTGACTATAAGACTACTGTATAAGTGTCCCTGACTTGACTTCGATTCCCCTGCGCGCACCAGAAAAATAAAAACTCGCTCACACTTCACCCCCCAACAACATCCTGCTCTGCTGTTGACCGGTATCAGCTTGTGTTCTATCTCGCCTCTCTACTCGCAAAGCAATGACTGAGGTCTCACCCGCACAGGATTCATCTGCAGCAGCAGCACAGACAGCCAGCAAGACTGTCTTCCATGACCCACAGGACTTCACCGTCAAGCATCCCTTGATCAACAAGTGGACGCTTTGGTACACCAAGCCACCCACGCCAGGTCAGCGCGGTGCAGAGGCATGGGCGGACAATCTCAAGGAAGTCATCTCCTTCGACAGCGTCGAAGAGTTCTGGGGTAAAAAGACATCCACTTCACATACAGGCGACTAACGAACCGCGTAGTGTCTACAACAATATTGCAAAGGCAACAGAGCTCTCGCAAAAGTCAGACTACCACCTTTTCAAGCATGGCGTGCGACCCGAATGGGAGGACAAGCAGAACCAAAAGGGCGGCAAGTGGGCATTCCAGAGCAAAGGCGCATCCAAGGAACACCTCGATGATATGTGGCTCTACAGTGTATGTCCCTCGACATAATGTCAATGAGAAAGCTAATGTTAGATGCTGGCGGCAATTGGAGAGACGCTCGAGCGAGAGCAAGACAACGAAGTGATGGGTGTCGTGGTCAATATCCGCAAAGGGCACTGGCGTATCTCTGTGTGGACGCGTACCTGCTCCAACCGCGACGGGCTCATGGAAGTTGGCAGGCGCTTCAAGGAGATTCTGCGTCTTCCACCAAATGAGACACTCGAGTTTGCCTCGCACAATGACTCGGCACACTCCGGGTCATCGCGTGCCAAAGCCAAGATGTCGGTGTGAGAATGCTGTCAGACGTTCATTACCGTGAGGCAAAAGCAACATCTAGCATTCGATAATCTAGTGATCATGCAGATTGTTCTCAACGCCATTGACCAATTCCCTGACGCGTGCCGACAGCTTCTCCTTGACCACCTGTTGCTCCTTTTGGTTGAGTGTACTTGAGTCAGCCATGAGGGCATCGTAGCGCTCTTTCAGCTTTTGCGCGCACTCCCGCGCCAATTCATTATCCTCCGCTGCATACGTCGTCCCTGCACTGTCTAAAGCTGTCTCGTACTCATCCTTCGCCTCGACGAATAGCTCTTGCAGCTCTTGTACAGCCTTGGTAACATTAGGTGAGTCTGCCGAAAGGCGACCTGTGGCGTGGAACTCCGCAGCAATCGATCTGCGTGAAGTTGTCGATGAGATGAGAGTCAAGGAAGGCCTGGCAGAGCGATAGAATGTATGCAGCAGGCGACACGCTGTTGCAGAGACCATGCGGTTCAATGTACTGGCCATTTGATGAGTGGTGGTTTGAGTCTAAATTTCAGGTGCAGCATTCACGGCCAAGTGCAAGTATACGGACTGGTCAGTTGGTCTATTTCATTATCATATACTCATCCATACAGAAGACAGCCCATTGCACAGGCTTCCCAATTATGCCTGTGCTTCCACCTGCAACGTCTTCATCTCCTTGACCACACCGTCGCCAGCATTGACAGCAGACAAGACACAGTTCCATCCCAGCGCAACCAGGTTGACCACAAGCAAACGATGCTCAAGAGGTACAAAGCGGAAATTGATGAGCTGTACGGCTGGCCACAGCTTCCAATTCGCAATCAATGTGGGTAGCCATGCCGCAGCGAGCTTTGCAGAAATATCCCGCTGTTCCTTGCCTTCCAGCAAGCCCTGCGCATAGAAGAAGTAGCCCAGGTTGATGGGCGCAAAGGCAAGCTGATCGGCTGCTACACGAGCAAGTAGAGTCTTATTTGGTGTCGCCAAGTTGATATAGCGATCCATGAAACGGTACCAGCCTACCAGTACGGGACCTGCCATGACACCCCCAAAGAAGACCATACGGCCAGTACGTAGGAAATCATGATGTAGTCCGCGCCGCTCAACGCCTTGTTGCGCGAGTACATCACCTAGGCCGAACAGCACGCCTGTAGAAATGAGCTGCGTAGCAATTGGCCGCGCCGCGAGTTGAGCGCGATACCAGAGGAGGAGCTTCGACATTGACGAACTGTGTGTCCTTAGCAGCAAGCCTTTGAATGCTCACAGGGCAATGCTAAACGAATGCCTCGGTAATCAGGCAGCTATAGAGTCGTCTGGTAGGTAGTCGAGTTCATCCATTCACATTGATCGTGCGAATTCAATTGTGAGTTCATGCCTCTTTTCGACAGGGAACGGCAAGGTCACACCGTCACTCGCCTGCAAGCCTCGAGTACAACGCAGCCGTGATCGCTTACAACGCCGGATCATGTATAGACGACCTTTGCCGTGAAGCTTACTCACTACTGAGTCACTAGCGACGGGACAAGTACGCAGCCAAGACTGGTAGACGATGCATGCGGCAGACGCATATTTACTACGTCATCCTATGCACGATGAATTTGCTGCAAAAGAAGAAAGTGAGACCTTCGGGCCACGCACAGGCACAGCTCTTTGCTGCAATGAGTTGATGTCTGCGTGCCGGCGAGTTTGCCGCTCACGCCCAGCTGAAGGCTCGGCGATGGTACTTGTCAGACAGTAGCCAGTTGCTCCTTACCAGTACAGGGGCACGGTTACTATCTGCGTGCTGTGCGGCACACGCAAGTTCCTCTATCCTTTGAGATATGCAGCAGTCCGGTACCTAGGCCTTCCTGGCTATGGTGGCCCTGTCTTCGCACAGCAATCCCTTTCGTTCAGTTCCGACGAGTAATATCGGTACTGAAATGCAATAGTATCATGAAATGCACTTCTCCGCGCACGGCCGGACTCAACTTTGCGAGTTGCGACATTGCTCAACGATAGCTGCCAAAATTGCAAGTTCCGCCAATGCCCCTGCCAAGTCGCTAGAGGCAGCACCATGGTGGTCTGAAGGTAAGTGCTTCAATGCCAACATCAGTATTACGAGCATCGGATGCTTTGTCTCCGGGCCATCAGGAACGTCGTGAGCTGATCAAGTTGCAGCACCGGCGCCTATGTTCTGCAGTGCACTGTACATCGTCTCAAGGCTCGGCGGTATCATTCATCAGTACAATACCGATCGGCTGGGCCAAGCAGCATTGACTATCTTGCCATCTTTGCCTGCCATATCACACTGCATGAGACCTTTAGTCGCCTTACCCCTGGTGGGTCCGTCGCCGGATTGATTGCGCAATCGCAGTCACAACGTGTACGTATCATCTTGTTGATGTATCATGTGTCTCTCCCTGATCGGCTCCAGCTACTCAGGGTGCCTGCGTCAAGAATTGCCGGGACTGGGCCCACTGATTAGTTCTCCGGATCCTGAGAACCTGAGGCTGAGGTGTGCAAAGACTTTCAAAAGCTTAATCTGTGAGGCCCAAGTAAGGGAGTCAAGAACTATCAGTCTATCACATCCTAAGTTGCAATGAAGTACTGCTACATCCAGGCCTTGAAAGACGCAATGTCGGCCGCGGATGCTGCGGAGCCAGCGAAAGGCGGGCAAACGCGTGCTCGGGTCAGTGGGTCGAAGAGGCGACTTCCGGAATTGTAGGAAGTTGCCCGAAGGAGTAAGTAGAAACTGTGTTGCTCTAGAGTAGCAGTCCTGTAGTGATTGTAGCCAACTTGAGGGAAGCTACGCGCGAAGTCTTTGCAGTGGGCCAGCTCAAGCTGCCGAGTACTTTGTGTATGCAGGCGCCACAGGCTGTTGGGCGTTCAACGGTGCAGGTGCATGCAGCCAAGAACTTATCTGCGGCCAATTGGAAGCGCGCCGTACACAAAACGCTGCGCAACGCTCCCGAGACTGGAAAATCGGCGACGAAACATCCTTCTCCTTCGAATCCTATCGGCATTGATCATATCAGAGTCCGAAGGCAATGGAAGCCGCGATGGCCAAGTTCTATCTCGTCAGCAGATTCATACCATTGTCACTTGTAAGACTCGGGGCATCTGGTTGCCTACAACAAGCCATCAGGAGTGACTCGTTGCTGCAGAGAACTAAGCTGATCAGATACTGCGAATAGCGGTTAAGCTGGCTAGGCCTGTTCATTCAAATGCTATATTGCCTCGAGCTTACAGTCATTTCATGTGAAATTGTCAATATCCAAGTAGTCTTAGCCGTTGATTGCCGCAAATGTGGCCGATGACAGTCACTGCATGCCAATAACGGGCTTCAAGCGCGCAAGTAGCTCGTCTATGCAGTCTCGTGCACACTGACGATATTGCTGACTAACATACAGCCAATGTATGCTCGCTCTTCGAACTGAAGAGTCGTCAACGAACGCTGGGAGAAGTCGAGACCCATCATCATCCATGTCAATTCATTTGAGCTTCACTCGCTAAAGTTTACTTACGACAAGCTCATAGCTGTGAGACCAAACTGTAAAGCATGTGCCTCAGTCCTTGGCATTTACGGGACTTGTGTTGGCCTTACCCGAAAGTTGTGCTGCAACTGGCGCCGCCTTCGTTGCCAAGTACGAAGATGTAAGGTGGTTGACAGACATGAGTTGGACTCTCGTGTGCAGTGCCAGTGCGTGGACGCAGCTCGCAAAGGGTTACTGGATTAGCCAAGTCCGGGGAAAACTGGGGAAGCTTGAAGAATTCGGACGGACGGAGGTCGAGCCTGAATTTCCTTATCTTGCATGAATCGTGCAGCTACAGCCTGCGACTGGTGTACTTTAAATTCAGAAATAATGCTCAGTGATTCGCGATCTGGGCATGCAAATTCTGACATCTGCCCATCGACATCAGTGCGCAGCGGCCCGAAGCATGCTTCCATGGGTGTTGTTTCAGCTCACAAAGGTGGCCCTTGGCGGCGGCCTTCCACTGTTCCACATGGTTTCTTCTCGAAAGGTGCAATCGATAAGGCGAGGTGCAGAAACGCGATTGACAATCACCACTCGAACACAAGGCCTCGGTGGATACTGGAGCTGCATATTGCAAATGCCAAGACTCTGGCTTGTGCCATTTCATGATGCGAAGACTGTCTGCATAGCGACGGCCACTGCCACCGCCTGGCAAACTCAGTGAAGATTAGGCAAAAAGACGATGCCACGGGCTCAGCTAACTGAGAGCCGAATCACAGGGAGCAGCTTCGTTAAAGAAGGAGTTGCCCTGAGCTGCTGTCTGCTGGGCTCTGAACTTTCCCTTGGACATGGGAGTTCATGCAGTGGCATGCACTGCAGGCTGCAGCTGTCAAGAATTTGAGCTTAATCTTGAGCTTCAGACTGTCCGCATTGACTCCTCACTGCGTGCTCACTGCTCGCTGCTCAGCGGCAGCGAGTGATGCTTGGTGCCGGACAATGACCTGATGCTGTGTGGCGAGTGCTCTACATGAATCATGAATGTCCGCAGACTTGATGCTATGCTGGTTGATCATCATGAGCGTGCCTCTTGAAGCAGAGCGTGACTGTTTCTGAGGTTTGGCTTGTGATCGACGGTAGGTGTCTGACTCTCGAAATCTTTGATAGAAGTCATTGGTCAAAGCATGCAAGTCTTGATTATCGTCATCGGCACATGCTTGATGCGGCGTCGTTTTCTTTTACTCGCTGCAGGGGGCCTGTGTATGTGCAGTCTTGACAGTTCAAAGTCCCGTGACTCTTGATTGCATAGCTGACCGGCCCTGCAATCGAAGGAGTGACTCCGAGTGAGACCGTGAGCATTAGCGAAATGTCAGCAGCAGTCAGTGTGCATGATGCAATTTCTCTTGAGTAGCCCGAAAGAGGAGAGGGCGTGTCTTTGACAGATCATGAGCGCTGACTGTGAGTCTGTAAGGAGTTGATACTGAGCTCCGGGTTGACGGGGTCACGGCGTTGAGGCGAGTGAAGAGTGCAGCAAGAGGCGAGTCTACGATGGCGTCCGTCAAATAATTGTGGAATTTGTGGGTGGTTCCTGGCTGCAGCTTCGTGCAGGCGGCAGGCGGCATATGCACGCCGAGTTGTGTGCAGCAGTGTGCATGAAGGCGAAAATTCGAGGGAGAGACTCAGAAAGGACGGTGGGCTCGCTGCTTGGGAATTTCTCCTTTGGAGCAGGCAGGGATATAATTAGCTGCCCCTGGCCTGCGTCAAGCTGCGTGTCTCGATTTCATGCCTGGCTCATCTTGTTGCCACTTTGACGCTCATCACTCAAGGAAGACGGACTGCGAGGGGGGCAAGAAATGGCGATCAGTCCATTGGCGGTGATGCTGATTGATTGCTGTCTGGGCTGTAGCTAGTGATACTGTATGATAGACTGATAGACTGTTAGTACTGTTAGTCTATGAGTCTGTTGGTGAGCAGTATCGAGTAGTCCGGGAAAGGGAGTCAGCGAGAGATGAAGTGGATCTGGCCACGCAGGCCCGAATATCCGGCAGAAGCAGAGCAGCAGGAGCAGGCAGCCAGTCAGTAGCCAGTCCTGCTTCTCACCCTGGACTTCTGCTGCTGGCGCTTCGATTGGGCAGATGCAGAGGAGAGGGAACCCGCAGCGTGCATCTCTAATCACGACTGACACAGGAAGTAGCAGCAGTAGCAGTAGACAGTAGCAGTAGCAGCAGCCTGTATCCTCATATACCATTCCACTGCCCCCCTGCTTCATCATCACCAATCCTCACCTCCTCGCCTGCCTCCCTCCCTCCCTTCAAGGGCTCGACCAGCACCAGCAACCAGCAGCATCATCATCCTCATCATCCATTCCATCCACACAGCGAGCAGAGACCGAACCAGCCTGCAGCAAGGCCCGATCGGGACGCAAGCACATCAGGCCCTCGACTCCCTTTCCGTCTTCAGGACGTGCAGCTGCTGTCAGAACAAGTACTCGAGCCAAGTGCACCTGTCCTGCGTGGAAGTGTGTCAGGGACGCCTAATCACCGCACAAGCAGGAGACCTATAACAAGGACACCACCCGCACCCTTCCCTCCCTCACATCGACCCAAGGCAACAGGCAACCTACTCTTCTTCTCTCTCTTACATTGTCTTCTCTCTCTACTTCTTCTACTACTACTACTTCTACTTCTACACCGAGCCAAAGCACCAGGTCTCTCTCGTGTGTCCTTCTTCTTCGATACGACCAGCCCTTTTTACGACACATCCCCTCTCGCATCTCTCTCGCAACCGCTTACGACATCTCCTCCTAGCAATCTTCTCCTGATCCAGACTCCCGATCTGCTCAGACAACCCCCCGTCCCTTCGCAAAGAGCCCTTGTGCACAAACGACCACAACACTCCGTACCGAGTGACGCTCCTGCATCAGGTTGCACTCCGCCTTCTCGACGACGCGAAGCACGATCTACTCAACCCGATCGCTTTCACTAAGCCAGCACGCGTTTGCAAAAAAAAAGAAGAGACCAACAACCCCTTCTATCCCTTTGCACCCAAAACCCTCATCCACCAACAGCAGCAAGACGCGTCTTCTCTGCTTAGCAACGCCTACAATCGTCTCTCTTTGCATCTGACGCACATCACCCCCTTCCAGCATTTGCCCTTTTGCATCTCAACTTTTTCTCAACCCAGCCCGGCATCCTCTTCCTTAGGATACCTCTTGCATCTACATTGCGTGACCCCTCATCCCTACATTCTACAAGATGAAGCGCGCCTCACCCGAACACCACAGAGACAATGCTCCTGCCAAGAAGCGGTCAACAGGCCCCCTCTCACCGCCACAGTCGCGTTGCACGTCACCGGAAGCGAGACGGATTGCCATTCAACAGACACAGCAGAGACTAGAACGCGAAATGGGCGTCAAGTTCCAGCAAGAGTACAAGGAAGACATCGTCTCCTATATGCTTGAGCTTCAGGTAAGAACGAAAGAAACGCGTCTCTCTCTCCTTTACTAACGCGTCATCAGAACACAAGCATGTCAGATCCAAACTTGATGGACATGCAACCAGAGCTTGAATGGGCAATGCGGCCCTTCCTCCTCGACTTTCTGCTGGAGATGCACGCCGGTTTTGGCTTGCACCCAACCACTTTGCACCTCGCAGTCAACATCATTGACCGGTACACCTCCAACCGTGTTGTCTTCAAGCGTCATTACCAGCTCCTGGGCTGTACCGCGCTCTGGATTGCTGCCAAGTATGAGGAAGCCAAGGACAAGGTGCCTACCTTGTTGGAGCTCAAGGCCATGTGCTGCGACTCATACAATGAGAAGCTCTTCCTGCAGATGGAGTTTCACGTCTTGCGTACTCTTGACTGGAAGGTTGGCACTGCCACCACAGACCAGTTCTTGCAGGTTGTCTTGACAGCGCCGCAACAGGATGACACTGCACGCACTCTTCACCTAGCTCGCATGCTCTCTGAAATTACCTTGTTTCACCGCGAGTTCCTTTGCTTCCGCCCTGATGCCATTGCTCAAGGAGCACTTTGCTTTGCGCGTCAAGTCTTGGACCAAGCCTTCCCTCACTACCCGGCCTACCCATCTGGCACAGAACGCGTCGTTGACGAGCTCATGCGCAAAGCGCGACACCTCTCCACCATTCTCGCCAACAAGTACGAGTCTGAGCGATACGAACACGTCACCTTTCGTCTCAAGCATTTTTTAGAGCCACCGCGACGCGTCCGCGTTGCTCAGAACCAGCTACAACACTTGTACCTACAGCAGCAACAAGCGTTGTACGGCGACATGTGCGAGCACGATCCAGCGCAGGACAACGCAGACCCTACGAACGTCCCTTCGTCGTCACCACGGATGCAAGCCGCTGGCGTTGCTCGGGCGCGACAGCAGCCACCGTCCAAATTGATGGTGACGCCCATTCGTGCGGGTCATGTGTACGCGCATGGTATGATTACACCACCAGCGGACGATGACGTGCGTGCAAAGCAACAGCAACAGCAACAAGCTTTGTTGGAGGAAGAGGAAGACACGTACGCAACAAGCGAACCGACCTTGTCACCCGTCTCGAGTGCCTGCAGCATCTTGGACTCGTACCATCAGCCATCGCAGGATATCCCTCGCTACCGACAAGTCTCATTGTCTCAGTAGCAGACTTGTCGCACACCTACGCACAATTTTTGCAAGTCTATGAATCAATGCAATCTCTTGAATACACGCGCTTGACGCATCTCTGGCATTTACGAACATCCCATGCCATCGCAAGTCACCTTTCTCACCTGACACTGTTACAGAAGAGAAGCGCTAGCAAAAGCACGAGCCTTTTTAGACTAGCGATAGAGAAAAGACAAACCCTTCTAGCAGCGTGCGCATGTTTCTGCCATCTTTCTTCCAAGTCGTTTTAGTTCAAATTCAAACCAACGCCTTTATATCCTTAAGCTTCTGATGTGTCGTGTGAGTTCTTGCTGCTTTGACTGCAGGCTTTGTGCAACATGAACTGATCGCGTCATGGGGGTAACACGAGGTTGTACAATCATTCGTTTATCTGTCATACCACATGCTATATGCAGGGGTGTGTGTCATTCATCATCCCCTGAATCATCACTACTCAACTCCTCAACATGCGTCGGGAGAGTCTCGACCTGCTTGCGCTTCCGCACAGGGGCCTCCGATGCGTCTTTCGCTGCACGCTTCCTCGTTCCTCCTGACGCTGTTGCCTGTCTTGTGCCAGCAGCGCCTTCACCATGCGCTTCCCCCGTCGCTGCACGTTTCAATGCCGATAACCCACGAGACATACGGCTACTCGCCGTCTTGCCATGTTTCCGACGTCCAGGCTCAATAGCAGACATGGTACCACTACCAACAACACCACCAAAGAAATCCGTCAAGTTGCGTTGTGTCCCTTCCAGCAACTTTCGATTCATATCCTTGATGACTGGCAAGAGGATCTCATCCGTTCGCTCAGCCGACCATCCAATTTGTCGCATTAGAAAGCGTCGCAAGGTATCGACATCCGGCTGACCCCACACAAACGCAGTGGTATCCGCATCCACTTCAGGTTGTAGGTACGCTTGACGCACCATTGGATTAGGGAAAGCGTCCGGCAAGACGAGCTTCTCGGCAGTCTTGCGGAACTTGCGACGAAAAGGCGAAGCGAGATCGTCTGCTGACTCTCGACCAGCTTGCACGCGATCCACCCACTCTGAAAAGGCAGTCAAGCAAGCATCCTCTGTAGCATCACTCTCCTCGGATGTGCGGAATTCTGCCAGCAGCTCAACGGCAGTGACAGGACCTACCTTCTTGATGCCTTCTGTGTAGTCGCTGCCGAGGAGGTACGCCAAATTGATGAGCTGCTGTCGATCCAGCCTAAACTCACGCTCCAAATCTTGCAGAATGAAGCACTCGACCGTCTTGGCATCATTGAACATGTTCTTGTAGACACGCGTCCCACCAAATAAGAAGACATCCGAATCATCCGTCACAATGCCATCCACAAGATCAAGTTGCAAGAGCGTAGCACACTGCGCTTCAGCTTCCGTCGGCGCAGTCATGTAGGGGATTCCGAAATGCGCCAAGAGCGCTTGACACTCTTGTACCATGACTTGCGTCACTTCATCTGCATCACGCAGGTTCCTCCGTTGCTCCCCCTTCAACCGTTTCAAGTCATCTTCGTACTCTTCTTGCGTGTACGCTGCCGCTTTACTACTCAGCTCGGCAGAGAAGCGCGCGTACTCGTTTTCCTCGCGTGCCATTTGCTCCTCCATGGCGTCTTCCTCAGCGAGACGCGCCATGTCGGCCTCGTCTAGCTGCGAGCTGTGTCGATCCAGCGTGATGGGAGCATCAGGCTCAGGCACCTCATCCGCTTGTTCCTCTTCCTCCAAATCGCTCCAATCAGGACTTCCAGCTTGCACCTGTGACTGTTGATGATCCGCAACCTCTGGCACTTCGTCCTCAACAACGGACATAGGTGAGTCTTGTATGTCCGTGATGGACGCAGGAGCCTTGACATCATCAGTCAAGTCAATGGTGCTTTCGTCGCGTATAATAGTGGTTGGTTGAACAGGCTCAGGCGAGGGTGTCTTGGGTCTAGGCGCCGGTCGAAAGGGCACAGGCGGTACAGCAGCAATTTCAAACCAAGGTGGTGGGGAAGTCTCTTTTGTGGGCACCGGAATGGGTGATAGCTTCTCAACAGGCTGTGGCCTAGTGCTCCGGCGTTGATTGGCCGTGCGTCCTAGGGAATTCGGAGGCGCATCTTCCTTCCTGGGCGACTTGACATCTTGCGTTGTTGTAGGATGATCAGGTACTTGTATCTCTTCATCGTCGCTCTCAATGACGAAGCCAGCGTGTACAGGGGCTGCTCGTGCATCACTCGAAGCCGCTGGATCGCCAGACAGTGCCACTTTTGACGTGGGCATCGCAACATCCTCGTCTTCGCTTTCAATCAAGAAGCCACCTTGCTGAGATTGCTTCGCCTGCTCGAGTCGATCTTCGTCCTTGCGCAATGACAATTGTATCGCCCGCCTGAGGTCTGCTTCTTCGTCATCCTTCGCTTTAAAAGACAACTTGCGAACAGCTTGCTGCTCGTCTGTATCCTCCCTGAAAAGCGGTGTCGGAACACCTTTTGCACTTGATATCTTCTTTGATGCCGATGGGCGAAAGCTTGGGTCAGGTCGCGTCGTGCTCAATTGCGCCTTTCTTGATTCTTCAATGGCCCACTTGATCATCTCTGCTTCAGTCATCTGTCGCTCGCTTGACGCAACCTCATCGCCCTCTATCCGCTCAATGGGTACATCTTCAAAATCGTCATCATCATCGACATCGCTCTCCACCTTTTCTTCCTTGTCGATGATGATGGGTTGTTCAGCAGTATTGACAACTCCCAGAGACCAGCCCCCATTGACGTCGTCATTTTTGACCAAAACATACTCGCGTCCACGCTCAGAGGCAATGCGCTGCGGACCAGACTCATTCATACCATTCAAATTCATGAGCCGATTTGTGAGATCGCTTCGTTCCTTGACACGCTCAATTTGGAAGCGGGAAAAGGCCATTCTGTCTGGAAACATGTCTGTGAGCTGCTCCGTGCTGAGGCCCATACGCAGCCTTGAGCGGAGTCGTGCGGCATTCAAGATACTGTATTGATCTGCTTGCGGCAGCGACTTGAACCATTCAGCATCATAGTCGATGTGTGAAAAGTCAGAAACACCCAAATCCTGATTGTCAAAGTCCTTGGCGTACTGTGCGAGCTCCTCTGGCGTCATGAGACGCGGGTCATTAAGACTCCCAGCGCGATCAAGCGAGTTTGCTAGCTCTGGTAGGTGATACTGATCCGTACGCTTAAATTTGCGAGCCGCTTGCTCTGCTGGCTTGAGCGCCACTTCATCAAAGTACGTTGGATTCTCTGGAACAGCCTCTTCATCATCGTCGCGATGCTGCTGCGCGAGCTTGTCACGCTCAATCTGTTCAGCTGCGCGTTTCCGCATCTGCACAGCAAGGATCTTGCCTGCCGTCTTGACGACATCGACACGTCCGCCGTCCCTGAATTGCTTTCGCGCACGCAAGGTTTGTTTCTTGAGCAAGGGGGCTACGCCATCAAAGACAAAGACAGGCTTGATGCCATGAAAGAGAAGCTTACAGATACGTCTGAAGAAGCCTACGATGTGTGCATTGCGCAAGACATTGCCTTCCTTATCGCGAACGGCTTTGAGGAACTGGTAGATCCAGATGCTTGCATCAATGGCGAGGCGCTTCTTGGCGAGGGACTCCAGTCTGACTGGCCGCGCGCCGGGCTCGAGGACTGTCCAGAGCCCGGTAACTCCCATCTGTGCATAGGCCCCGAAAGAGCAGGTCGGCCAGGTATTGATTGATGTCTCTTGTTTCCGTCGCTGTAGATGACATCAAGGGAAGAAGCAACAGTCACATTTCCGCACAGACACGATGCACTCAGGACAAAGGAAGGAGTCCTTGAGCTCGTAGGCCTGCTGCCTCGGAAGCGCCAATCTCAACGATACCTCCGCCACGCGCACTAAGAGAAACGAAGTGTCAGCTACGAAGATACTTTCACAGACAGGAACAAAGAGGAAACAGATAGGGGGCTTACACTCTGAAGAAGCGGTCAATGGGGATGCAGGTGACGACCTTGCGGTTGGAGAGGTCGCAGTCGTACTGGGTCATCTGGGTGATGGGGGACGCGTCTGAGACTTGGTGTTGCGGGTCGGAGTAGTATGGCTTGACTGTCTCTGGGAAGACTTTGGTGGGCGGGGCCATCTTCTGTGCTGGCCAGTCTCAGCTGTACTGCCAGACTGCTGCAGCTATAGTAGCTATGCCAGACGAGTAGAGACTAGTAGAGACAATCAAGAGTAGACTCAGTACTCAGTACAGCGCTGTTCTGACTTTCTGTTTTGTGGGAGGACGCGCAATCAAGCAACCACAACCACCACCAGCTACTGATCCATAGCTAGCAAGTACAGCTAGACAGCGTACAGCATGGGTAACACCCAGTCAGACTTCGGCGCAACAGGCGGAGGACCCGGGGACAAGGACAGCAAGAAGAAGAAGCAGGAGAAGCCAAAGTATGAGCCGCCACCACGCACCACCATTGGCAAGAAGAAGAAGAGCAAAGGGCCCGATAGTGTCGTGTCCCTGCCGACCATCACACCCAATACGCGATGTAAGCTCAAGCTGCTCAAGATGCAACGCGTTCACGACTACCTCTTGCTTGAAGAGGAGTTTGTCTCCAACCAGGAAAGGTTGCGCCCAACGGACGAAAAGACAGCAGAGGAACGCACGAAAGTCGATGAGATTCGTGGCAGTCCCATGTCTGTTGGCACGCTGGAGGAGATTATCGATGATGACCACGCGATAGTCTCTTCTACGAGTGGACCAGAGTATTACGTTTCGATTCTCTCCTTTGTCGATAAGGACCTGCTTGAACCAGGCTGCTCGGTGCTCTTGCACCACAAAACAGTCAGTATTGTCGGTGTGCTCGGTGATGATGTCGATCCAATGGTGTCCGTCATGAAGCTCGACAAAGCACCTACTGAGTCTTATGCAGACATCGGAGGTCTCGAGTCGCAGATCCAGGAAATCAAGGAAGCCGTTGAGCTGCCACTCACACATCCAGAGCTCTACGAAGAAATGGGTATCAGACCACCCAAGGGAGTCATTCTCTATGGTGTTCCCGGAACAGGCAAGACACTGCTGGCCAAAGCAGTCGCCAACCAGACATCGGCCACGTTCTTGCGTGTCGTGGGATCAGAGCTCATTCAAAAGTATCTCGGTGATGGACCCAAGCTGGTTCGTGAACTCTTCCGCGTTGCAGCAGAAAATGCTCCATCCATCGTCTTTATTGATGAGATTGACGCAATTGGTACGAAGCGGTATGATGCGCAGTCTGGCGCAGAGCGTGAAATTCAACGCACCATGCTGGAACTGCTCAATCAGCTCGATGGATTCGACATGCGTGGCGACGTCAAGGTCATCATGGCAACAAACCGCATCAATGACCTCGACCCTGCTTTGATCCGTCCCGGCAGAATTGACCGCAAGATTGAATTCACCAATCCAGACCCATCCACAATTCGCAAAATCTTCCAGATTCACACCAGCAAGATGAACCTGGCGGATGATGTGGACCTCGAGGAGTTTATTGGCATGAAGGGAGAGTTGTCTGGTGCAGACATCAAGTCTCTTGTGAGTGAAGCAGGTTTGCGCGCTCTGCGAGAGCGTCGTATGCGTGTCAACAGGCAAGACTTTGTCGAGGGTCGTGAGAGTGTGATGAAGACAAAGGACACGGATGGTGTCTCTGGTGGCATGTACCTGTAAAGACCCGCCAGATGATTCGTAGCAAATCTTTGTGACTGGCCACTTTCCTGCGTCATTTCCAGCGACGAATTTCTCGATTCTTACTAATTGCCCTCTCGATCTCTGTTCATTGTTCAGTTATCAAGATCTCTATCAGGCATGGCTCGCATTGCAATTGACATCATCTCCGACACCATCTGTCCCTGGTGCTTCATCGGGAAAAGGCGCCTCGAGCGGGCTATTGCCACTTTCCAAGCTTCATCAAAGACTCAACACACCTTCGACATCAAGTGGCATCCCTTCTACCTCGGCCCACCGACAGGGCCAGTACAGAGCAAGCTGCAGCGCTACGAGGAGAAGTTTGGTGCTGCAAAAGTCGCGCAGATTATTCCATACATGAAGCAAGTTGGTGAACAGGAAGGTATCCACTTCAGCTATGATGGACCCATTGGTCCGACCTACCTCTCACACAGGATGCTGCAGTATGTGCAGGACCATGAGCCTGCCAAGACCGATGCTGTTGTCATGGCCATTTTCAAAGCCTATTTCGAAGAGTGTGGCAATATCTTTGAGATGCTGCCTTTGCTGGAGATTGTGAGTAAAGCAGAGACTGGCATTGATATGGCTGCTGCAAAGGCATTCATCTCTGACCCTGCAGGCCGCGGCATCATCGACAAGCAGGTGATGGATGGCCAGAAGCAGGGCGTGAACGGCGTGCCTGATTTCACCATTGCCGGGCGCTACCACCTGAACGGTGCCCAGGAGCCTGAGGCTTTCCTACGTATCTTTGAGCAGCTGGCGAGCAGGGAGACGTAGCCAGGTCATCTGTATACTACTGTACTGTGAATCTGCCATCTGATCTGCTCCACCGCGTCGCGTCTTTAAATTTCTCGCGACGCGACGCCAAACTGCAGCAGGACGCCATCAAGGAGACACAACCCTGCCACCCAAGTCTGTACTTCGCAGAGGCAGCAGGCTGTCAAGGAACAGTCTCGTCAGGGTGCTACTCAGTGCTTGAGAGCAGAGGTCCCGGGTCATGAGTGCTGACTCTCAATTGTCGGAGCTCAGCAACAAGGAGAATCAAGCACCCTCCACGCCTTCGACTCTTGCTTCCCTCAAGGCCGAGGGCAAGCGGGTTGTCTTTTCCCCATTACCACGTAAGACTTGGAGCTTATGGCTGCATTGTACTGACGCCTAGCAAACGAATCGTCCAAGACAGAGGCGCTCAGCTTTCCTCGCAAGGGCGTCTTGAAGAGTTCCTTCTCTTCTTCTCCCATGTCGTCGCCCATTTACGAGCATGAAAATCCGCTCGAGGACTCATCGGCTGGGTTCATTGTGGTCTCTGCCATCAAGACGCTAGGAGGCACAGACCAGTCGGCCAAACTAGATGCCTACAACACGCTTTTGACCTTGTTCAAGACCTATGACAAACTCCCCTCCAAGCGCGATTTGCTCGGCAAGGCTAATGCGCTCTTTGATCGCATACTTGAAGACCTTATGCTTCCTATTGCCACCCCGGACTTGGTGTCTGCCGACAATGACAAGCAGACTCCGCTGTCCGCAAAAGCCCTCAAGCTAGCTGGCTTCATGCTCTACAACCACGACATCTGCTTTACAATCTCATCGAAGCGTACGCGTCAATTATTTGATTTCACTATAGAAAAGATGGAGAATCAGACGCGGAAGAAATCGACAGCCTCCAGCATTCTCTGGCTCTGGCACACACAACGCATGCCACGACAAAGCTTCCCATCAAGTGTCGCCCATCGCATGCTCAAGGTAGTGTCCACTTGCGAGTATCCATCGACTGCAGTCCAACAAGAACGCATGCTCGTTGTGTCACGGCTGCTAGAGCAAGCCCCTGATGTCCTTGCTGCTTCCCCAGAACGATGGGTCCCCATGATGCTCAACTTTATGATTGAATGGAATAGGTCCCTTCGTGTCGCTGCTCTTCGCGTGCTGAAAGCAGCCAGTCTCGAGTTCTTGACCACGCAATCAGTCGGTCTTGCCGTGCAAGCACATCTCAAAAGCGCCATATATGCAGCTGCAGAGTCGAGACCAGAAGTGCTGTACATCAAAGAGGCAGAAAGGCGCTTCAAGCATTTTTTCCTACGAGAGCTCGAAGGTGATCGCATGGTGGGCGAATCCTGGGCATGCGTGTGTACACTCTTGGCGTCCGTCAATCCCGAGCGTGGCCCACTCATGGCGGGCTGGCTCAGTATTCTGAGTCTGCTATTCAATCGTCAAGGGTCCGGTGGCAAAGCCATTGCACAAACCGCTTGGATTCGTCTCATCCATGTCTTTGCCCTGCATGGACCTCTGTTATACAAAGAAAAGAACATCACCTATCTGCGTCGGCCAGTACTCAGTATCTTGTCGGTTGGTAGTTCCTACAAAAAGGCTTATGAAGCAGCACTCAACACCACCAATGCCCTGCTGTATGCACTCATGACGGCCTGTCCGACAATTGACAAATTGACAGTTTGGGAGAGCCTCGTGATGCCAGTAGCCGACAGTTTGCTCATGACGGACTGCCAGGTGAATGGTGGCGAGCATGACACTTTTTGTGCGCTCTTGACTGACTTGCTTACTCCAGCCAGTCCCAGCGAGACTCGCCAGTTGTCTCAGCTATTGACTGCCACTTCCTTCCCAACGCACAGCTTGACTGGCTTCTTCACACCGAAATGGGTGCGCAGCAACATCATCACTGTTGCAGCGCTAGCACGACGTTGTTCGCTTCTGCACATTTCCGATGCACGCAAGATTGCTCTCTTCGAGGCTTTGGCTTCGAGCATCAAAGAGGCCACCGCAAAGGAAGTTCAGGTTAAGGAAGAGACCTTGTTCGCCATGGCAGAGTTGTGCCGTTTAGCGCACACACAAGCTGTCACTTCGGTCAATTCAATCGGAGGTTCTGTATGGCGAAAATCTGAGCTCTACGCATCCTTGCTTCTCATCGCTACGAAATTAGCTGGCTCAAGGGTTTTTCTTGAAAAGGCCTTCATATCTCCAGCAACAGATCAAGTCACTGTCGATTCCTCAGTTCAGGAACCTGAAATTCTGCTTGTGCAAGTGTACAAAAAGTACACCGCTATCACGGACCAGGAGAAAATCAATCGCGACGACTACTTTGCAGGATTGCACAAAGTTCTTAACGCGGCCGTGCTTGAAGAGAAGCCTTTGAAGCGCGGATTGAATGCCCTCATTGCGTGTAGTGCCTCGCTGCCATCGTCTGAAGGATGCAAATCTCGTGCATGGTGCGCCATCGCCCAGACCTTCCGTAAAAGGCTTGACGCTGCTTGGAAAGAATCGAAAGCGGTCAACACATGTGCGACGCCCTCCCCATCAAGTCGTCCTTGCGGTGTCTTTGATGCTGAGGTGGCTGCTTGTTGTCAAAAGATGATCGAGACTGCCCCGATTCCCCATAAAATTCGTTTCGCAAGAGGTGAGACCTATGAAGAATGGTTGCAGCTTTGGGAGCTGTGCTGCATGGTGAGCCACGACGAAGGGAGATACGATCTGGCCATTACTCATCTACTGCAACCTGTTGTTGCTGGGCATGCAATTACAGTGGCATCAGCACAGTACGTTCTGGATTCTGGAATCCTGCAGAATCTCCTCACCTCACTCAGCTCTTACTGGGATATGCAACTACCATGTCAGCCGAATGTTCGCTCCGGCACTGAAGTGCGACAGATGCAAGAAGTTTTGCTCAAGCTGTCAATGCATGCTTTGATAGTCAAGGAGGCCGATTATAAGGAAAGGGGTCTTAGGCTTGATGGCTGGGAGCATCGCGCGCGAGAGTCTTTCAAAAGTGCTGTGATTGGGTTTCTCAAAGTTTGCGACATCACAAAAGTCGCTGACCACGTTGCCTTGCTCGCCAACATGCGACCAAGTTCCTCGTGCCAAGATGTCGTCTCAGTACATGACGTTCTCACCCATCATCTCGGTGTGGCTGATCTGCAAGCTGAAGATGCACATGAGCGCTTCCTTCCTGTATTTTTGGCCTATACTCAATTCCCAGAGACTTGCGAAAGCCTTCGGTTGGCTGCTCGGGAGCTTTGGAAAACACACTTTGCGCCTAGGCTACAAGGCACATCCTGGCTGCGCGTGCAAAGCGAGGAGGTACGCCAGCAGATGCAGTTCTACGAACCTCAGATCGTCGAGTCGGAAGAAGCAGTACCGACTCCCGCTGAAGTCAATCATGACATTGTGCCGCTTGAGGTCGAAGTCGATAGGCAGCCAACCCCGGAAGACGAGGTCATGGAAGAGGCTACCGTCGCGGAGGAGCCTGAGGTTTCGATGTTGCCATCTGAAAAGGTCCCAGAAAAGACATCGCCTACCAGGGTCGCCTCACTCCGGATAGGTGGATCGCCTGCGGCGTCCATCTCATCGCCAGGACGTCAGAGAGTGATGGTCATCCCAGGCTGGAGGGAGCGAACACCTGCGGCGATCCAGAGTTTTGATCGCATGAGTCAATCCCTTTCTCAGGGTCCTGCAAGCCAGGAATCTACGAGATCAAACCTTTCCCAAGGCGAATCACCTAGTCGACGAAAGCCGAGACTCATGCGACGACTGACTGTGGATCTGATGGATCAAGATGTCGCACCTGAAGACGATATTGGTGTCCTTCATGATGACACGAAGTCTCCAAAATTGAAGCGTACTAGGAAGCGTTCCAGAGATGCTTCGCAGACTCCTCAACGGAAGCGAGCGCGTCGTGCTGATACGGATGTCCAGCAAACACTCGAGACTAGTACAACCAAAAGGACAGAGCCACCAACGCCTGAGTCTCCCGCTGACAAGTCGTTCGCAATGCATAAACGCAAAGACACAAGTCTTCAAGATCGTCTCGATAGCGATCCCGTTTCGGAGTCTTCGCCAAGTGTCTACAGTCGCATTCGACGCCCATCTGTTGACCCAACGACAAATTCGCGAGGCAGCGCGAGCCCAGCTTTGAGAATGGCAGAGTTGCGAAAGGAAGCCAAATCCCTTAGTCCTGAACCGATGGATGAACTTGTTATCCTTTCTGAAGTGGGCTCGCACAAGGGTTCTCCAGCTCCGATGCAGGCACAAGAGACACTCGCGGAAGCCTCTGCTGAGACTATCAATGAGGACACTGACACTGACAGCAGACCCTTGATAGAACAGCAAGAGTTGGACGATGAAGACTTGTTCGTCAAGCAACTCCAGCACTACCGTACATCTTTGGAGGTGCGCGATCCGACAAGCACAGCAGACGAAGCACATCGCGCAAAACTTGGTCTCATCATGAGAGAAATCAATCGTCTACACACTGTCGTGACCGACGCATTTTTGGCTTGATTACATATCAACATCTGTATTCTGTAGAAAATCTCACATCACGACAAGCTATTTGTTGTGACCTCCCGGAGGGTTTCATGATTTCAAAGCAGTTTCTGGAGAGTCTTGTTGGTGGAAGACCAGTATCGCAGTCTTTTCCCGAAGATGTAGAACGGGATCGTCAACAACGAGACTGCTAGATTGGCCATGCCGAGCCCAAAGAAAACCTTCTCAACGCCAAAATGATGAATGAAGCCATTGATCTTGCTGGCCGCAACAAAATTGAAGATGCTGCGCAAGACCACAATAGACACGATTGCTTCTTGCACGGTCGCAATGGGCATGGTGTCCATTAAATACGTCATGCTCGCCAGGGATCCAAAGGCAATGCTAATACCGACGCTTGCGTAGCTGGCCAACACCAGCGCAAGGGAGGATCCGTGTGATACAAAGTATCCGAATCCAATGAAGCCTGCGGTGGAAAAGATGGTTTGAGGAACCATGAGCCAAAGCCGAAATTCTGGCTCATACATCCCATCATTTCGACGTGAAAGCCGAGTAACAAGCATGTCAGAAGCATAACCTCCAATGAGGTAACCTAGCAGATTTGTCACCACACCAGGCAGGGCAGTCAATCCGATCTGAGTAGGCGTTAGGCTGTACGGAGCCTTTGTAAATAAGGCGAGTTTGGCATACCCAAAACAGTGCAAATACACTGTGCCAAGACCGTGAACGAAGGTTCCAAAGATGACAGCGGGAAAAACCATGAGAGGCACTACAGGCCGGACGACAAGCTTCCAGAATGGTGTCGGGCTGAGTGAGCGCCAACTCAAGACTGAGAGACATTGTCGATACGATTTGCGCTCAATCGTCGGGTCGATGGACACCTCTGACGCACTGATGACTCTCTTGGTATGAGACATGTCTGTAAGGGGCAACGATTCATTGCCACCGATGCTGTCTCCTCGAGAGAAGCCTGTTTCCAGCAGTAGAAAGAATACGGGCAATACCAATGCCAAAAGTAGAAAGCCAGAGAGGGAGAATAGGTCTCGCCAACCAAAGTGCTGAACCACAAAGCCTCCTGCGATCTGACTCACAAGGTAGCCAATTCCGTGCACGGCTCCAATGATTGCAAGGTAGCGACCACGCGTGTGCACGAAAAAGAGGTCCACAACCACACTGGACGCCATGATTTCAATACCCGATGCCGCAAGTCCCTGAAGGGCGCGCGTTGCAGCGAGCATAGGTAAAGTCCTGACGCGATAGCACCAAAAAGTCATGCCGATAAGGAGCAGAAGGGAGAAGAAAAACACTGGGCGCTTGCCGTATGCGGTTCCGAGTGCCCCAGTGAGAAGTGCGCCCAGGCCAACAGTCATACCAAAAGTGCCTGAGAGTGCCTGCACGACAGGATCTAGCGGTTTGTGCAGCTCACTCGACACCTGCAAATAGCTAGTACCCACCATGGGACCAAAAATAGAGACCACAAAACTCAGGACGGCTACTGTCCATAGAATACTTTGCTTCTCTCCCCAGCTGAGCCTGAGCGGATCATTGGGATCGCTGCTGGGCGTAGGGACCAAGACCAGCTCCTTTTCAGATTTGACTTTAAGACATATGCGCTGTGTGCCAAGCACTTCAACGTTCAATGGGACATTCCGTACAGCTGCAATACCGAGCGCCATGTCGGTTGATCTTGATGGCAGATTGTGATCTTATGGAACTCCGAATACGCCAAATATCCACTCTTGAGACGCCGCACGTTCAGTCCTAGACAAACAGCTACTCCATACGTGTTTGCATCAACCCTGAAAGCCAACCTCGAGTGTTTTGAGCACAGTGGCTCATGGGCGAAGTAGGGAAACGCGCTTACGGCTGCAGTCGAAACCAAAATATTATGCTTCAGCCGACAGCAGTCCAGCCAAGTCTGCTTGGCGGCCCTTTGACAATTTACCGATAGAAGAAAGCTGGCATTATATAGACTTCTTGGGTTTCAAGCCGCTGCGTTTAGTTTGCGCAAACACAGTACTGAAGCAGACTATGTACTCCATGATTGGTAGCAGTCGGTCGTAGTCGTGAAATGCAAGTCGCGTGCAGCGATTGATGTCATGCGCGCTACACTCAGAGCAGCTACACACAATATCCTCAGGACGTGCAATCGACCTCAGGCGTCCAAGTATGACCGTCGCAGGGAAGCTCAGACCGGCAGAAGAGGCCCTTTTTGAGTCGGAGCCTGTGCAATGTACAATCGATGGAGTACCTGCAACTGCCAGAGTATGCTTGATCCGACATGGCAGCGAAGGGATGATGCTATTGGCAGCCACAGGAGACGGTCAAGTCCTGCTCGCGTCGCCAATATACAAAGACACATCTTCACAGGTTTCAGAAGAGGGCAAGGGCTTCGTGGTATCCGTAATCTTGGCTGATATGCGTTGCACAATTGCATTCAGTGATGTTGAGAGACTGCAGGCGTACTTGCTGCCCTTCAAGCAGCTAATTGCCTCGGCAGTCGAGAATAACTACCGCTCTCGGGGTAGAACTCACCGATGGGTCTACTTCTACCGGCCGCTGGACTCATCTATTGGCAAATGCGAAGGTAAATCGGCACAAGCCAGACCGCGGTCAACCACAGTGACTTCAGAGTCATCGCTTGGATCGTCTGCATCTATCGAGGCCATACTCAGTAACCCGTTCTTCACCAAGCTTGAACACGGATCTGCTTCGAGCAGTCCATCTTCTGTGAGCAGCGAGAGTCGTGTTCAACGTATCAAGGATCGCTACCTTGCTGACAATCTGACTAGACGGAGAAGCGAGTTTGTTGAGCCTCAATCTATGTACGTTCGTTGTACAACTTGGAACATGGCTGGAACAGAGCTGGTGGAGTCCTTACATCCTATGCTCAAGGATGATCTGTCCGAGGAACCGAAGCTGTATGCGTTTGCTTTCCAGGAGATGGACCTGTCACGACAAGCTTATCTGTCTACTTCACAGGTCAAAGCAGATAACTATCGGGGATGTATCGAGGAGGCCCTAGGCGAGTATTATGAGCTTGTGTGCTCGCACCAATTAGTTGGCATGCTCCTCTGCGTCTATGCGCACAAGTCCATCACACCAACCATCAGCGATGTCGAAAAGTCTGCTGTCCCAACGGGCTTTGCCAACTTATTAGGCAACAAAGGCGCCGTTGGAATTCGTCTCAAGGTCTTCAACACATGTTTCGCATTCATCAATTGCCATCTTGCCGCTGGTCAGGCTTCGCCAGAGAAGCGAAATGATGACTTGATTGACATTGGTAAGAGAATATTCAATGAGAGCGGAATCTGGGAAAATTCCCTTGACCGGGTCGACACTCTTTTCTACATGGGTGATCTCAACTACCGTGTCGAGCTCAGTCACGAAGAAGCACACATCTCACTGGGTCAAAAGAATATGAAGGAGCTTTTAGCTTACGATCAGCTTCGTCACGAGCGGCGGCGAGAGCATGCTCTGAGCGACTTTGAGGAGGCAGATATAACGTTTATGCCGACCTACAAGTTCGATATCGGCACAGACAACTATGACTCGTCAGAGAAGCAGCGTGTGCCGTCATGGACAGATCGCGTTCTTGTTCGTTCAAAATTGCCCATGCAAATCTTGCCTGAGCACTACAAGTCTTGGCCACAGTACATGCAATCAGATCACAAGCCCGTTTCTGCTGTTATCAAGGCTACCTTCGAGACAGTTTTGACCGATAAATTAGACGTGGTGCGACAGGAGATTCTGCGTGAGCTTGACAGGCATGAGAATGAGGCCATCCCCGCGCTGTCTGTTCTGAGTGACGAGGTTGACTTTGGGTGCGTCAGATACAGACAGCCAGTCACACGAACTGTGCGAGTCCGCAACGACGGTCGTGTCGACAGTAGGTTCAGGTACGTCCGACGCGATGCTGCAGATGACTGCCCTTGCAAGCGATGGTGTTGGTCACTACCCAACGGGGATCTTCTTTCACCAGGCGAGGAGATGACGCTCCAATTGACTGTGTGCCCTGATGCAATCGATGCACAAGCGCTCAACAGTGGAACGGATACTTTGTCAGATATTCTCGTGATTGCAGTCGAGGGCGGCAGGGATGCCTATCTATCTATCAAAGGACAATGGCAGCGTAGTAGCTGCGGACAAACACTCGTGGCATTGTCTCGTCGGACCATCTTCAAGGATGGTGAAGATGAAGAAGAGTCTTCCATTCCAAGGGAAATCTACATGCTATGCGATCTCATCACTGAATTGTGCGGATCTGAAAATGTCGATGTCGCTACGCTGTTTGAATACGAGCCCGCAGCCGAAGAAGTCGATGAGCTTCAGAACAAGCTTGAGCAGAGTGCTCCTTCCAATACGGCCTTGGCAAGCAAGTGCCATCCAGCAATAGCACTGGCCTTGCTACTCGAAATTCTCGATACACTGGCTGAACCACTTGTTCCTTGCGATATGTACAAAGACGCTCTGGCTAGCAGCGCAAACCCGCAGCAGGCCCTCGATTTCCTCGATACATTGCCAAGTCTGCAAGCTAATGTGCTGATTTACTTGATTGCCTTCTTGAGATCATTGCTTGAATTGCGACAAGGCAAGCCTGCGCCTGCGCCTGCCAAGACTGCAACATTGGAAAAGGGCAAAGTACATCGGGCCAGCGCCGGTGAGCTTGCTGGAGCAATTATGGGCCCATCAGCAATCATGGCTCGAGATTTATTCGTAGACCGGCTATTTGGTGTATTCGGCCGGGTCCTGCTGCAACCAGAGAATTTGGCAGCAAGATGCGAAGATGCTGATGAAGCATTAGAAGGAAGACGGGATGAGGCGACAAGGAAGCGGAACTTGTTACGCCATTGGGTACTAGCTACGTTGAACCAAGCTTAGACAAATGACCATCCATTCTGTCTATATTAGCATTGGCGGCGCACACAATGATCGAAGACGCGGTTTGACATCAGGAAAAAATTAGAGTGTTTTGTTGAATCGTCATGAAGCTCCGGTAATTTATCTCATCATCTGCCTGCCGGCTCATCGATTGGGAGCTGCTTACCTTTGCCAGGGAGCCTGATGTCAAAATTGCAATCCATTGAATGAAACTGATGGTCAGCATGAATCTCGAAACTCGGTCTCGCTGGCTTCATGTCAGTAATCTTTGATGGAATGTTTATCGTTCATGAATTGTCAAGTTGAACTATGCATTGAATTGTGGATTCATCATTCGGAAGCAGCGAGATTCGGGATAGATTCTTACCTGTGTTTCGTGGACAATGATTACCAAACGTCGACAAAAGATTCATCTTAACCATAGAGACGATTGAGCGTCTTGACGTCTGGAATGACGCCATGTTGCTGCAATGCCGCGACTGTCGCCATATCGCGATGCTTGACCGCCCAACTCATGAGCTCCTGACCGAGACTACTGCTGAAACTTGCATGTCGGACCAGGAAATCAAAACTTCGTTCTCGAGCAAATAGTCGCTTGCGTGCCGACGCTTTGCAAGCAGCCAGAAGCACATCGTGATCGAATGCCGTTATTTGAAATTGCGCCCAGAAGGGACCTTCGGTTGTTGAGCCATCATGGCCAGCCCAAATCACAAGGGCCTTGTTGAGTGATGAGGAACGAATGCGCACACCCTGAATGAAGAGCTCTGTGTACAGGAGGCGTTTTCGAAGGTCGAAAGGCGGGACGCACAAGCGCAAGGGGATCGTCAGCTCTTGCCATTGACCATCAGTCATGAGATCGTGACAAGCAACGATGGTTATCGATGTGCAAAATCGTCGCCGCAAAGCCTTTTCAAGGGCAAATGGGAAATATGGGTTCAAGTGAGCGATAAAGCGTTTCTGTAGCCAGAGGGGAGGCATTTCTTGCCGAGCATTGGGTATAGGGAGTGCACAGAGCAGACTGGAGAGCAGAGTACACGTCTCCGCTAGTGCAGGATTGGTAGAGTAGCAAAAGATATCTAGCAATATCTCAGCCGGTAGGTCCAGCAATGACAGTCGGCTTTGTCGTGAGCTTGAACATCTCCTGATCTTCTTTAAAGCTACCAGACAGTCCTGTTGCTCAGGCTTCCGCTTCTTCGACATGCACCCATAGGTTGGGCGGGGTGGACCTGGTGAAAGGAGCAGGAAAAGTGTTCTGATGTCGAGCAGGGAAATCGCACGCGCAGACAGACCAACACCCGCGATCCGTCCCAGCTGCCGCGTCCCTTACCATGCGACGTGCTAGGCCCTCTTCGATCGTATCAGCTCGCCCATTGGGCCATAGAGCAATGAGTGCAATCCCAAAGACACAGTCGACAAGTCAGCCTGACAGGAGCACCCCAACCGAGACAAAACCTCGTCATGATGCAGATACGTTTGGTGAGACGCCTAGTGGCAAAGAGACTCATAGCGCGCAAGGCAAGACGAATGGAAGCTTGCCATGTAAAGCCGCAGATGCAGACGCATTTGGCGACGGGCGAAAGAGGGCAGTGGACGAAGATCATTGAATATGTTGATGTATCGCAGCATCGGACGCTCTGCACAGACGAATGCAAGGGCGATGACGGGCATACGATGAGTCAATGATGAGCTTTATTTACTCTGTACATAGCCTGCCTGTAACATGACTTACGAGCGAGTGCTTGACCGTGTTCTGCGTCCATGACTTCATTGTGCGAAGCCACCACACCACCACATCGACGGACCACAAGAGCAGAGACGAGCACGGTGGCATCAGCATGTCGAGCCGCAACAGGAGGATAGCGAAGGAAGTGGAAGACTGTCAGAAGCAAGACTCGTCCAATTTGACCGTGCGCGTGATTGGCGATGACCTATCGCACCTGAAGGGTACCTTTGAAGGCGTAAGCTATCCACCAAAACACCAGCCTGCCACTGGCGCTGACGTCTTTTAGCCTACGGAAACGCCATATGAAGGCGGTCTCTTTACTGTGGACATACAGATCCCCTCAGACTATCCATTTCGACCGTAAGCACCAGGTATCTGGAAGGGCTGCAAGCTGACAGATGATGCAGGCCCAAGATGAAGTTTGACACCAAGATTTACCATCCCAATATCAGTTCACAGACAGGCGCCATCTGTTTGGACATCTTGAAGGAACAGTGGTCTCCTGTGCTCACGGTCAAGTCGGCCTTGGTGTCGCTGCAATCGATGCTGAATGACCCACAGGCGAATGATCCTCAGGATGCAGAGGTGGCGAGTGTCTACATCAAAGACCGACAGCGATTCAATCAAGTCGCTCGCGAGTGGACACAGAAATATGCCATGCCAGCTGGTGCTCGCTCCTCAAATTTGCCAGAAACCAAGAAGCAAGTTGATCCCTTTGAAGCTGCTGGCTTCGAGAAGGCCTTTGTTGACGACTTCCTTGCCATGGGCTTTCCTCCCGAGAAGTTCATGGCTGCTTGTCGGAAGCTCGGCATCAAGTCTGCTGCCGAAGCAAATAATACGCCTGGTGGCTACAGTCAGTTGCTAGATACGTTGGCGTCAATGCCATAGGAGCACATATTCCTCCATGCATCAGAATCGTGTCACCCTTTATGCTATGCCATGCTATGTCATGCTATGTGTCCTGATTCGTAGTCTTGTTGTCGTTACTTGACAGGGCCTGCCTGTCGAATAGATGCGGAATGAACAGCGGGAGCAGACAAGAATGCTGCTCGCATCGCTGGCGTCGGCGAGTTGCGCAATTGATCGAAATGAGGACTGCCTTGGATGAGATCTCCGGGCATTCCTCGACAGCTGATCTCCCAACCCGATTGTGTGTCGTCAGATGTTGTTTCGGAGGCCTCCACTGTTGAAGCATCGCTTTCTTCAAAGCGTCGGATGCACACTGCATCTGGCTGTGAATGTTCATCAATCTTGTCTACAAGCCGCAATCGGGTATGGTCTGGTAGTTGGAGCCAATTCGGTGACGACGGATAAAACTGAGTTGACAGCCTCAGGCCCAGTGGAGACTCCTGACAATCAGCTGGCTGGTTCGATGTTGCTTGGACAGCCAATGGAACAATTGCTTGAGCAGGAGGGTCACTTGTCTCTTTCTTTTTCATCCACACTGGAATATCTTTGATCCGTAGTCGCTCAGGAGATTGGGTAATTTCTTCGTCATGCAAGAATTCCGCAACGCTCTTGCTGTCCAAGATGCTCTTCGACTGTGTACGACTGGGCTGATATTTCGAGACAAGTGTTTGAGTGTCTTGGCCGCTGATCATGGTACCAGCATCAGCAGATCGCTGACAGGACGGACATTTGGGCTGTTCATCCTTGCTAGCTGGTATTTGTGCTTCTACATCCATCGATGTGCGTGGAAGGCGCACAATGCTCTTGTACGGAGGGTCCCATGTCAGGATGTGGGCTGCGATCGCCACAAATGTAAGACATGTCAGAACAATCAAAAGAATCTGCGTGTGATACATGTATTCATTGGCTTTCATAGTCACGAAGAAGAAGACCAATGTACCCGAAAGAGTGCAGAGAAGCACGCCAATGGCACTGCGAATACCCCATTCTCTGATGCGCTGATGCTTGACCCGAAGGAGAGGCCAGCAGATGCGACATACGGCAAAGACGTGGTAAACGGCGATGATACCCAGGATTGGCATGGTAACATCCCTCGGCAAGCCCGAAACGCAGGTGTTGTCTCGCGCCGTACTGCTGATACGAAACATGGCAAGCGGTCCAATCGGCGTGATCATTATGATGAAGGCGCCAGCGACTTTGTATTCCATGCTTTGCGTACGTTTCGTATTCGGAAAGTTGATCTGTCTGGCGCTCTCCACAGTGTTGATTAAGAAGGTGAAAAGAGAAAGGATAATGAGCGTATTGGAAACAAGCGCATTAACGAGGCACATTGTCGGTCTTTCCTGTGAATCGAGCATAAGAACGTAGCGCACTACCGTATGAAAGGCAGCGTAGACCAAGAGACAGAATGAATTGGTGAGGACTCCTGAAAATTAGTTTCGCCTCGGAAAAGGAGGAACAAACCCCAGTGAGGTGATTGCATGGCCAAAAGCTGTTCTTTGCTGGTTGGAATCCGAGCATGAAGTATGTCAGTAGCTATACATATAGCGAGAATCAGAGTGATCGTAGCGAAAATTTGTCCAGCAAATTGTTCTAAAGACTCTCCTGAAATCTGGCTATTTGCATCGCTCAGGTACGCAGCTGCTTCTGTCTGACCGTAGATTAACATGCTTGCGTAGGCTTCAGACTGATAGGTATCCCTATCGTTGATGCATGCAATCCGAATTCGAGTGCGCTCCTTGATGCGAGACCCTGAACCAGAGAACTGGAAGTACTCGACATGATAAATGCAACGCACAGACAATATACTCGAATGGAGTGGGAAGGAAGATCTGTGAATCAAATGACTCTTGTGTCGGTGGTTAGCAGGTCGAACTCCGTCGTACTGCGGGACTCAGGTGCACAGTGAAGTAGAGACTGCATGTGGCCGCACGGTCGTGTCGTTGACGGTTCCACATAAATCGCCTCATCCTCGAGTTGCATCGATTTGCATGCCCAGGTGACTTCATTGAGATCTTCCATGTTAATCTGGCAGGCCAGATTTCGGCTGTGAGCTTTGACCGCTTGGCTGAACACCCAGAGTGTCAGCATTGACTCAAAAGCGACTCAGCGCGACGTCGATGGCAAAGCAGCTGCAGCGAAGTTCTCTGGCCCAAACGCAAGATTCTATGACCCGTTTCTTAGATCGCTGAGGTTGAATGCATACGCTCATACGCACATTTATGCAGTGTAAAAGTACTTGAGCCAGGCCACCTGGCAGATTGCCCAAGCTTCAAAGTCCATTAGGCACAAGGAGCACTCACGAAACCAGTCCAATGAAGGGTAATGCGAGGCCCGAGAGCCTGATCCTTGGACCGTATGCTCGCAGCAGCTGGTTGATCGTGTTCCCAAGTGCGGTACTGTGTGGGATGATGCTGTCTAGACTTCACGAGATGGAAATTTCCTGGCTTCCTCGTGAAGGAAACAGGGCCGTCATCTTTGATGAGCAGCATGCTCTCGAGCAGACAGAAGATTGCCATATTACTGCTTGGACTGGACCTATCTAGCATCATGTACTCATTTTTGACAATCTCTTGTTCAACTGACATTATTGCCTATCGCTATCTACTGCCAACTCCTACTTTGCTAAGACACGTAGGACCTTGGATGGCAGGTGCATCCAAGAATGCCGCACGCATCGCTGGAGAAGACAAATCTGGCAATTGCAATTTTTGAGCAATTCCGGGTGCAATGGAGGATTGCGGCGAATGGAACTGGCTGACTGCCCCACTGTTCAGCTGAGCTGCAGAGTCGCCACTCGTCAGCGGCCTTTGACTGACTGTGGATCCTACCGCCCCAGCGTTGGAGTCGTGAGGACAGACAGTAAGGTCCATCTCCGGTGGGTCAGTAGAACAAAGCTCCTTGTTGGAGAAGAAACTTGTGTTCTTGGGCAGCGCTAGCCGCGCCGAATGTAACGGATAGGGTTGCGTCCTCCGTTTGGTGCCAGGTGCCAGACGGCCTGATGGCCACTTCATTCTCTCCGAATCTCTTAAGTATGACCAGCTCATCATTTGTAGTGGGACCATAGCCGGAAGACCACCTGAGCCCTGTGCTGGAGACTGTTCACATCCCGAGAAAGCAGGGGCAGGTACTGAGCAATCCTCATCAAAGAGAAATTCTGCCACACTTTTGCTGTCCAAGACACTGAGTGCATTCTGCTTGTGCCTGCCTGATAAGTGAGCCGAGTTCAGCGTCCGCACATCTTGGCCGCTGACTAGAATAGCAGAGTTCAATGGAAGTTGGCAGTTTGAACAATTGTGACACTGAACATCAGCAGCCGCATTCTGAGCTTCTTCACCCGGTGTCGAGCGCGAAACATTTGAAAAGTTTTTATACGCAGGGTTCAGGGTCATGATAAACGCTGCGATGGACCCAAACATCATCGCTGCCAATAGGAGGCAGATAAGCTCGGTGTAGTACATGTACGCGGCAGAAATTTCCGTCAGGATGAGAAACGTCAGAGACCCACCAACAGCACAGAGAAACACGCCAATCATTGTACGGATGCCCCATGCTCTGATCTTCTCATGCTTGATGCGCAACAAAGGCCAGCATATGCGAGCAGCAGCGTAAACGTTGTGAGCAGCAATCGCAACTTGTGATGGTATCAGGATATCCTTGGGCAGACCCACAACGCATGTATTGCCTCGAGAGGTGCTGCTGAAGCGGATCAGAGCAAGAACACCAAGTGGTATATGTAGCACAAGAAAGGCGATGCCCAACATGTACTCGAGACAATGCATACGTTTGGTATTTGCGTAGTTGATCTTTCTGGCTGTCTCAATGGTGCTGAACAAGAAGACGAAGAGCATGATTGCAACAAGCGACGTGCTGAAAAAATGATTGCTTAAACAAATCGTCCGCAGATTGATTGCCTCCGTTTTCATAGCGGTATGCAGGGCTAAGGCTGATGCAGCGTACAGCCATAGTAAGAGAGAGGTGATGAGAACGCCTGTATATTAGTCTTGGCCGTTGAGCTTGAACACAAACTCCAATCAACTGGCTGCATCGCCCAGGCTTGCTCTTTGCTGACAGGAAGACGGACTCGAAACATGACTGTGGCAATGAAGACAGCAAAAACAAGAAGCGTCGACACCAATACTTGTCCAGCCAGGTGTTCAAGTGCGTATCCAGTAATGCGCGCGTTGTCATTGCCCAGATACGCAGCTGCTTCCGTCTGACCGTATAGGAACATTAGCGCAATACTTGAAAGCGCTGTGAAAGTCTTGTGATGGAAACTCAGTGATGATTGTGGGAGGCTCTTAGACTATATGAGCACATTGCATCTGTTTGTGAAGTGGGTAGAAGATGCTCGAGCAGCTCGACTCAACCACATTGCTGGAGTACGAAAAGACTGACCGCAAAGCGGTCGGACGTATGACTCCGTCGAGAGAGTGACAGAGCGCTTGAACAAGCTAGGCGGTCACGAGCGAGCGACAATGACTGGGCGCTTTGACCGTTCTGGCGAATGAGACCTGTCTAGCCACAGAAAATCGTCGGAGATCAAAGTTCCTAACAACCTTCAAATATCTAGTGGAAGATACAAGTAGCGAGTGTACGATCTAGAAGCATGCCAGTAAACCAAGCTGGTGGCGAGCTGCAGATGAAGACGACAGCAGATTTGTGTGGGCTATGCACAACTTCTGGCCATGGGTGCGGCATCTCCAATGAGATTCTCCATACCCATACCTGGAAAAGGCTGGAAGTGACCTGCTGATAAGCTTTCAGATGGCCAGCCATTGCCGGGAAAAAAGGGCCGGAGCCCTGGCGAGTACTAGCTCCTTCTGTTGGCGACATGTCAGCACATGGACGCTTAGATCACAGCTTGATCTACTTGTATTTGCGCCTGACTGTGTTGAAACGGGAGTACGTGCCCCTTGTCATGCCAAGCACTGATGATCTTCAGTGGAGCCGTCGAAGCACAAGCCCCCTTGCAGACTGCAAGTCTCCCGCGGCCCACTTGAGGTCCTCGAATGCTATACCACCTCAACAGTTCCATCGCTATAGAACTGTACGAGACTAGAGTCATAAAAACCACTCCGTTAGCAGTCATTGAGCTTCCTGCATATCTACCTAGGCTATTTCTTGCGTATAGTCGTTACAAGACGGCGCCATCAAATGCAACAGCGCTTACATAGCAGATGAGAGCAACGTTCCACGAAGAGAAGTACGTCCACGTATGACGGGTGCTGATAAGAAAGCCGCACGCGCCGCTGGAGACGGCAAGCCCTGCAATTCGAGGAACTCAGGGCTCCTCTTCTCATGATGTGCATTGTGGCTGCCGTCAACCTCAGAGAGACTCCGCTCCGATCCCAAACTAAAGGGGGTTGGTGGCCGCCAAGTGTTGGATAAATCGTCATGCGCCATTTGAGCATGTATACCGCCATCATCAGAGAGTATATCGGTTGGTGCAACTCTTCGTCGTTCGTTTTGCAGCTCGGCCAACTCCACGGACTGATGCAGGGATTGATGCGACAAGGCAGGATCCCAAGACCGATCAGAAAGATGCAGATATGCCGCGTCGTATAGACAAGGTGAGGAACCTCGACGTTTGGTCGGCACAATCGAGCCCCTGTCAGGAGTAGCGGCGGAAGACCAGCTTGTTGTCTCCGATGGCGTTACACCACCATATTCGATACTTTGTTGGGCATGCCATCTTCTGAAGTGAGATGAAGTAGGGAGTTTCCCAGCGGGCATGAACTCCGTTGGGATTTGTCCTGGACTATCTGGCCCCGACCGATGGTCTAGTCTCAGCGACGCTTCGGAGCTAATCAAAGGGGCTGCTTCTGATAGTGATCGATAGTCTGAATAGCTCAAGGACTGCTTTTGCTTTGCTGTTTGACCGAGTGGTTGCTTCCTCAGTAGCGCGACGTCCTTGTATGCTGGTTTCCAGGTCATGATGAAGGCAGCAACTGACATCAGCATCAGAACCGACAACATGATGCATAGAATGTAGGTGTAGTAAAAGTACTCACCAAAGACCACCACAAGAGTGAAAGTCACACAAGTCGCACAAATACAAAGTATAACAGCAATGGCTGAATGGATAGCTTGGGCTCTGACACGTCTGTCATCGCTGCACAAAAAAAGAGGCAAACATATGCGGATGGCAGCATAAGCGTTGTGAAGGCCGACGAAGAGCATGACTGGCAACGTAACGTCTCGCGGAACTCCTGCAATGCAAGTTCCGTCACGAGGTGTGCTGCTCAAGCGATACAAGCACCAGAGCCCCAGGGGGCTGAGAAAAAGCATAGACATGATGCCCGCGCGAGATTCCTTGCAATCGACGCGTTTAACGCCAGGGTGATTGATCTGCCGCGCATTCTCCAGAGTGATCAAGAGAAAGACGAAGAAAGCGAGGACCAGTAAAGTGTCGCAGACCAAAGATTTACTCAGGCAAAGAATTCGCAAATCCTGGATGGGTAGAGCAAAGGCTAGTCGGTAGAAGCTTTGAGTTGCTGCGTACATCCACGTAAGGGAAGAAAAAGTCAGAACACCTAGACATTAGCTCTCGTACCTTGAACCGCTGCGAACGGACCGCCGTCTACTAAAGTCATTGCCAAGCGCTGTTCTTTGCTAGACGGCATTCGTGCGCAGACGATGGTCGACGACAAAGTGATGCAGCATATGAGAAGAGCCAACGACAAGAGCCATCCAGCAGGTCGTTCAAGATGCTGTCCAGTTATCTTTGCATCGACACTAGCCAGATACAGCGCGGCTCTTGTCCGGCCATGGAGAGAAATCATTGCATCGAGTGAAATGCTGGCACGTACGACGCGTCGACGATCCGGGTACTTATTGTTGTAGCAAGATGTGACGGCTCCTCGAGGCTTTATGAGGGCGGCGCACAGACATGAGTTATTGCTGTTGACGATCTGTCCTTCACGTTGTGATTCGTGGATGCCGGGGTGCCATGAAACGTACGTGCTGTTCGATCGGCTTTCTCAGCTCGGCAAGTGCAAGTCATCGGCTTCTGATCAGAATGTCTGGTTACTGGTGACACCGATTGAGCCAAATGGCAGCGCTGAAACAAACTTAATCAAGTGTGCGCTTTGACCTTTCATATGCGAGCCCGAGCGAGATGGATAAGTGCAGTCCAGACCCCAGACAGAAAGCCATACAGATGCCGATTGCTTGTAATGTGACTGCATGGCCCGCCGAGGTTGCCTCACATGAATGTGTCTAGAAGGCTCGTAGTAGCTGTGCTCACTGCTCATAGGCCTAAGGCCTGAGCGCCTCGTCTGGAGGGTATTCTTCTTGCGTGTTATTTGAGACTTAGGTAACATGAATGCCTACAAACAGCCTAGCAAGATCATAAGCGATTTCTACCGTTTTTGGAGCGCCAGGAAATGTACGTAGCGCTGTGGTCTGTGGATCATAGTGGATGCATTAAGCTCGAAACAGTCCCAGGGTGTTGTCGCTTGCCAGCCAGTCAAATTCAACACCACCACCGAGCAGTATTGTTTGACGGTCTGAGCGGCATGGATCGACCAGGAAGTTGCTTAAACTCTGCTTCTTGAGTGACAGTCACACTCCTTGACCGCTTCTAATGTTCTAATTCAAGATATTTTATGGCCTACACATGTATGTATTTTCTACTACCAAATGCAATCTACGTCATCTCCATAAATGCCTCAGACGTTCGGCTTCTGACCGATGTAGGTCTTCGGACAGCAGGCGCATCCAGAAATTTTGCACGTACCGCTGGAGACGGCTCACCTTGAAGTGGGAGAAGCCGAGCACCACTGAGACCAATGGGTTGCTGCAAAGTACATCCGCTGGCCTCCTGAATATTCAAATGTACACCAGTGCCCTGACGCGTCGGCAGCGAGTCTCTGTGTGTAGAGTCTAACGCAGTCATACAAGATTCATCGGAGGGGTCAATAGTGCTTGTCGGGAGCTCAATTCCAAGGTTCCTTGTTTCGTAATCGAAAGTAGAGGTCTTTGGCCGTGCGAATCGTGCAACCGTTGATGAATGAGACTGTGATGGAGCTTTGAGCCGAGGGCTCAAGCCTCCTGACGACACTTGCTCACTCTCAGACGCTCTAAGAGACGACCAATTGACCATATGCAGCGGAATCATGTCATGAGAGCCTTCTGATGTCCCATCAACAGACAGCATGGTTTTTGGAAAAGCAGGAGCAGCCAGGGAATGGTCTTCATCAAATAGGAACTCCGCCACGCTTTTGCTGTCAAGAATGCTGAATGCCTTCTGCTGATGCCCGCTTGGTGAGTAATAAGAACTTAAAGTTCGCGAGTCATGGCTGTTGACCGGAGTGCCATTGTAAGATGGGCGCTGTCGGCCTAAGCAGTTATGACATAGACTTTCGTCAGCCGGGATATGCGCCTCTGTCTCCGGTGTCGAGGGTGGAATAGTAGAGAACCTCTTGTACGGCGGGTTTAAGGTCATGATGAATGCTGTGAGAGAGGCAAACGCCATGGCTGTCAGTAGAAGACACAAGACCGCTGTGTAGTAGATATACGCGGCGGAAGTCATAAGCAGGACAATGGATGCCAGCGATGCGCAATTGGCGCAGAGAAGCACGCCGATCATCGTGCGGATGCTCCATGCTCTCATACGCTCATGCTTGGTCCGTGATAGAGGCCAACAAATGCGGAAAGCGGCGTAGACGTTGTGAAAAAGGATTGCTGCCAGCAGCGGTATGAGAACATCTCTGGGCAGAAATACGACGCATGTGTTGCCCCGAGGCAATGCGCTGAAGCGATAAAGAGAAAGCGGTCCGAGGGGTGTAAGTAGTGCCATGAACACAATACCAGCCTTGTACTCGAAGCACCGCATACGCTGTACACCTGCGTAGTTGATTTGTCTGACGCTCTCAATAGTGCTGAACATGACTAGAAGGAGCAGAAGCACGACTAATAATGTACTGATCAAGTGAGATGACAGGCAGACAGCCCACTTGTTTGTCGTACTCCAATTGAGAGCGGAACTCCACAACAAGAATGCCGCAGCATCCAGCCCAAGTATAAAAGAGGCAGCCAAGACACCTGCATGTTAGTCTCGGTCATCGAAAATGGACACAAACTCCAATCTATTGGTTGCATAGCCCACGACTGCTCTTTGCTGACAGGCATCCGTTCCCGCAACATAATCGTCGCAAGACAGACGCAAAACATCATGAAGAACGTCGCAAACACCTTTCCAGCAGTCTTTTCGAAGACATATCCAGCTATGCGTGCGTCATTATTCCGCAGATACGCAGCTGCCTCCGTCCCGCCGTAGAGGAGCATCAACAAAAGACTCGACCGCGCTGCTGTGATATTGAACTTGAGTTGAGATCGTTGAAGGACAACAGATCATATCAGCACATCGTAGATATATGTGTGATAGGGTGAAGCAAGTTCAAGACATCGACCATTGCAAATCGTACAGCACGCTTGGACTCTCGATCACCTCCGGCACAGCTCATAGAGTATTTGAAGAAGTCGGGTGACTGGATCGAGTTCATACAAGCGATGATGCGCAGTGCGCTTTGACCGCTGCAGATTAAGACCAAATCAAGGACCTCAGCTTCAGTCTCTGTGTCTCACATTGCATCTGCTGTGTCAACATCTATTGACGGATTTGAGGGCCTTAAAGCCATTAATGCAAGGCATAGTCTGTCTGGCAGACTAGGCGCGCAGCGACGAGGGCATATCATACACGCCCAACGATGGCAGCTCCCTCCACGTCTCGTCCAGTTGTCAAACTTCCATGATCAGATGGCGCGCCACCACAATCTTTGCATCGGTGCCACGGTGGCGTGTGGTGGTCTCGGGCTGGGAGTGGCTCCCGCACTGTTCGCGGCCGAGCGTACAGATTGTCCGCGGTCCTTTGCTCCATACAAGCGGTTTCTCCCTAAGTGTGTCATAGGCTGACAGCCTCACGACAGTCCAGCGCGCTCTAGTGTACTCCAGTATTGGTTCAGATGAAGACTAAATCTATCTATTCATTATGCAATCGGATAGGAACATAGCAATGGCTCTAATTCTTAACATACTTGTAAATAAAACGACGCACGAGCCTCATGGCGCCTATAGCTATTACTTCGTGGTAACTAGGTACCTTGAAGCTGCCGTCATTGTTCGATTGCAGCAGTCCGTCGAAAGATCTGGGCATGCGTGCGTTTCTCAGCTATGTGCATCGACCTCTGGTGCTCACACTGAAATGAACACGCTCTCCAAGTCCGATATGCCTTAGGCCAAAGGCGATGCGCGCAGAGCAGTACGTCCACGGACTGCAGGTGCTGACAAGAACGCAGCGCGCTTTGCTGGAGATGGCGAGCCTTGCATCTGACGGAATTCAATGCTTCTTTCCTGGAATTGAACGTTGTAGCTGCCTGCTTGATCGTCAAAGTCTCGATCTGGTCCCAAGCCAACGACGACTGGCGGCCAATTGCTCCACAGGTCATTCTGCTCCTGAGCATGTAAATCGTCGACCTCGAGGGATGCAACAGTCGATGCAACTCGTCGTCGTTCGTCTTCCAGATCGTCGACCTTCGCAGCTAAAGACCGACGCCGCGACGAGCTCTTCCAATACAAGAGAGATGACTGAAGTGGTTCGACTTCCGGAAGACTAGAAGAGGAATTGCGACGCATGAAAGAAGGTGTCGAATCCAATCTGGGAGCCGCAGCAGATGACCAGCTTATTGTTGGTGAGGGTGGTAAAGTATCGTATTCGGTATCTTGTTTGACCATCCAACGCTTGAAATGGGAGGCAGCTGAAGGACTGATGTCAACATTGAGCTCTGATGAGCCATGACCATTGCCATGCAACTCGTCAAGCATTGATCTGGGCTTGTCTTGGCTCATACAACAAACCGAATCGCATTTCGGCGGATTTCCAGTGCTAGTCAAGGTCACTGACTCTGATGGTAATAGGAACTCTGAAATGCTCTTCAGCGTCGCCGCGCATTCTCTGGTGCTGACTTTATAGGCCGGCCGCCAGGTCATGATATAAGCCGCACTAGACATCAACGTCAATCCCGATTGCATGAGGCATAGAATGTGGGTGTAGTAAAAGTACTCGTTGCAGACCATAATAAGAGTGAAAACAACACTACAGCCACAGATGCAGAGTACCACAGCAATGGCCGAGCTAATAGCCCATGCTCTGAGGCGTTGATTGTCGATGGTCAGAAGAGGCAGACAGATGCGAAGAGCAGCATAGGCGTTGTGAAGGGCGATTGCTACCATCCATGGCACTGTGATGTCTCTTGGCATCCCGATCACACAAGTGGTGCCTCGCGGTGTACTGCTCACACGATAAAAGCACATTGGCACAAGGGGGAATAGAAGGAGCATGGCCGCGAGGCCACACTGGTACTCCCCGCACTTCATTCGTTTGACGCCAGGATAGTTGATTTGCCTAGCAGTCTCCAGAGTGATGAACAGAAAGACATACAAGGACATGACCGTGATCGAGTTGGAGATGAATGCCTTGATCAAGCAAAGAACTCGCATATCCAACAACGGTAGAGCGAAGAGAAGACGGTAAACGCTTTGATATGCTGCGTAAGTCCATGTGAGGGATGAGATAGCCAAGACCGCTAGACGTTAGCTCTTGTGTGACCTGCGTCGATACATACCCACATCTACCGGAGTCATAGCGAAGCGCTGTTCTTTGCTGGATGGTATCCGCTCGCACATGATGGCCGAGGACAATGTGATGCTGAATATGAGGAGGGCCAACGACAAGAGCCATCCAGCAGGTTGTTCGAGTCGCTGTCCAGTTATTTCGGCATCCACGCTGCTCAAATACGCCGCAGCTCGTGTTTGGCCAAAAGAATATACCATCGCATGAAAGGCTCTGACGATGTTGGCTGGCGCGACCCGCAGGTTGCCACTCGCTGTTGTATCTGGAGCTCCAAGCCTTCAAGAGTGGGACTGGGCGAAGTTATATATGTGAGCACCATGCACAGACGCATTTTTCAATTTGAGGTCAAGGACTGGCCAGCAATCAGCCGTCCTCGGAGACCTCCCTGTCCCTGACCAGCTTGGTCTCAATTAATTACTGTCAACGGCCGTCATATGGGCGCGGCCAATAGGTACCCCCGACAGAAACGCACACGCGTGCGCTTTGGCCTCTAAACATGCATCGTTATTAAGCATGTATTCTTGCGTGTTCGTAGCGATAATCAATGACGAGTCGCCCGGGAGAAACTCAGTATCGGAGTCGCAGTCGGAATGAACACGCACTGAATCTCTCATCGTGTACAATGGCAAAGAGCATAGCCTCACTGAGAGCTGTGCGTGGAGCTGTCTGGCTGTACTCATTTGCGATTGAGTATGTACATTCTGCTTGTCCGAGCACTTTGAGCAGCTGGCTATTAAGCTGATCACTCCAAGGACGTCTACCGATCAGCGCAAGATGCCACGCGTAGCTATTATTTGTGGAGTCCTAGTCGAATACTTGCACGGTTGTAGGCGTGTAGATGGCGATGCTTCCCAAGAAAGACTCGAAAAGGAAGTCAGTCGCGACATCCCATCACACACAGACTCGGTACCCTACTTGATCCCTGCTGCTGCGATTTCCAAGCACAGATCGTTGTCTTCTCCAAACACTGCGCTCCGTCAGCTCACATTGACTGCATCTTCGCGTCCCTTCGCGGGATGTCGCAAATCGATGTGCGCTCGCTGTTGGAACTGCTCGAGTCACCTTTACAAGGCTCACGAGAGGCTGCTCTGTCCACAGTGACGAGCCTCAAGGAGCTGACACGCGATGCAAACATTGCTCAACCTCTTTACACTCCATATGGTCTATCATGTCTACTGCGTTATGGCTTCCCTGAGGCGCAAGAGTATGATACGACCGCTCTTGAAGCACAGCGATGCCTTGCAAACGCTCTTCTTCAGTCCAATAACTGCGTTGAGCTCCTCATGAAGGACGAAGTTGGAGGACTTGCGAGGATGCTCCAAGTGGCCTTGCAAGTTCAAGCGACAGCCGCATCTGATTTCTTGCTCGGGCGCATTCTCTTCTTGCTATGTACAAAGTCAGCGAATGGTTTTGTCAGCCAAGCTGGACAGAACAGCATTGAAAGCCTCCAAAAGATCTTGGAAGGTCTACAGTATCGTCACTTCGAGAAGTACTGTCCAGGAGATGCTACACAAGGAGCGGCAACGGTTGAGCTGCTCAAGTTATTATACTCCCTGACAGTCTTTGCGCCAGATATTGTCAAGCACATGGCAAAACTTACGCGAGTGGTTCTTGCATTGCTTGATCAAGCCAGCCACGAAGGTCAGATCGATGTGTTGCATCACGCAATCAGTCTCTTGACAAATCTTGAGATAGCGCCCGAAGAACTCGGATCGTGCTTTCCAATTTTGCCGAATCTTCTACTCTCTCGTCTTGAAGCGACCCTGGAAGAGCTCAAGGATGGTCAGCGTGGAGGACGATCTCTCAAAGCCGATGAGAAAGCCGCACCTCTCTTGTCGTTGCTCTCAAAAATCGCTGCATGTGGTCACAAGGAAACGCGCAACTTACTACGTGACCGACTCTTGGTACAAGATGCCGAGAGACATGTACCACTGGGACGCGGTCAGTCTCTCGCATCGCGTCTTTTGCATACGACAACAACCTCTGGATCTCTGACTGCGCGAGAGTGTATCTCTGCGCTTCTCTATGAGCTCTCTGATAGCGACCCACAACAATTTGTGCTTAATGTTGGGTACGGCTATGCCTCTGGTTTCTTGACAGCACACGGCCTACCGACGCCTCGACTTGAACAAGGCCAAGTAAATCCCATCACAGGACAGAAAACAGCAGACGAGGAAGCAGACTATGCCTCTTTAGAAGACATGACTGATGAGGAGAAAGAACGAGAAGCTGAGCGGCTTTTCGTTCTCTTTGACCGGCTCAAGAAAACTGGTATCGTTGATGTCAAAGATCCTATCAGAGAAGCAGTTGAGTCAGGCAGGTTCGAGGAAATGTAGGTATCGACTTCAAGCTACTACTTTTTGCCCCGTGGCGTGAACTTGAATTTTTTGCGCCGGGCCTCTTCAGCATCATCTTCTTGCTCATCCGGCTCTGCGAAAATTGTCGGCGCATCGCCATAGACGCTCGTAAACATAGGCTTTTCCTTGGCCTTTTGGTCGTACTTGAGCAACGCCTCTCTGGGATCTTCCTCCAGATACTGTCTTGCACTGTCAATCACTTTCCTCTCCAGCTTACGTTCATCGGAGGGCAAATCAGGACGGTGAGATCTTTTCGGATCCTTGCGAGCTTCAGTCTGCATGCGTTTGAGCATCGCCGAGCTACCGCCGCCCAACACGGGATCCGCACCAGCCTTTTCAGCATCTGCATCATAGGCAATGGTCTCTACCGCCATTGTTTCTGCAAGATCGTCGACGTGCCTATGTTTGGGCGCCTTTGCAAGAACCAGCTTGGCTCCATGAGAGGATCGATCGGGATCAAACAGCACCGAAACTGTACCATCGGCATGGGCTGCCAGAATTTGGTCCAACTTGGCGTGATAGTCAACGCGCATACAAGGAGAAGAAAAGGCTATCCGCTGCAGGAGATCCAAAGTTTTGCTGCTGAAGACAGCAATGTGTGCCGAACTACCCTGCGACGTCGGAGTCAAGATTTGCTGGTTGTTTGGCGAGAAGAGGACATTTGTCTCTTCGTAGTCGCGATTAGGCAGAGGCTGATTGGTTGAGTGAATAGGTGACTTGAACATGCGCTGGTCCCAGAGCTTCACGACCGAGGCCCCTCTTGATGCAAACGAATGCCCATCTTGCGAGAAGGCGAGGCCAGTCACCGTATCACCAACGCCATGCGCTTCGAGCACTATACCTCCCATAGGACGGTGCGTTGGTCCATCTGTCGACCATAAGCTAAGCGTGCCATCTGCATAGGCGCCACCGATCATCTTACCGTCTGTGCTGTACGCCATTGCACTGCACTTGATTTTGCCTTGACCCGCTACACGCGCCTTGTGCACAAGAACTTGCTTGCACCGCTTGAAATTGTTGACGTCCCATAGTCGAATAGTCGAGTCAGCAGAGCTAGAAGCGCATTGCTCAGCCAGCTTCGGGTGCCAAGCGCCTCCGGTACATTCGGAAACATGACCAGCCGTTCCTTTCAGGTCTCGCAGATACGGGTCTCCTCGAACTATTTGCCCAACGTCGTCTCCATCGCGTGTGAGAATGGTGGGTTGCCAAGTCGCCGCGACAACCAAGATCAAACGACCAGTTGCATTGAATGAACAAGCACGAATCTGATGACCCTCTTGCGTTTGTGTGGTCTTGAAGGGACGTCGCTCTGCTGACATACCGCCAAAGTCCCATAGACAAAGCTGTCCATCGCGAGAGCCTGTCACGACGCGCGCACCAGAAGGATCCAATGCCAGTCCAGAGACTGGACGACTATGCCCACCAAGCTTGATTTCATGAGAGCAAGGTAGCAATTTGACATCGCCTTCGTCATCTTCGTCGCTACTGACCTCGAGCGAATCGTCCGAGGCATGACTTGGCGCCTTGCGCGGAGCTAGTTCAATTGGGTGAGTGCGTCGGCTTCGTTCATATGCTGCATTGATGTCTGTCTGAGCTGACCGCTGCCCAAATTGGGTTGTGCCAAGGAAGGCCTCTAATGCTGCATCTTCATCTGCACTCATCTCGCCTGTCCTCGTCCTAATGGCGACATATGGGTGCGAGCTGTTGCATAGCTTGTTGAAAAAAAGCGAAAGTTGCCTTTGTTCATCGCTCCGGCTCCACAAACTTGCGAGCACAAAAAGCAAGAGCAGAGACAGTTCAGTTCAGGCCGAAGGGGGAAGCCAGACGTGATGTTTCTGTTGGCAGAGTAGCTCAGTAGTAGTCTAGGTCTAATTAAACGACCATGATTCAGAGAACGAACTTCAAATATGTACGCCTGAGGGGCTATCTATGCGAGGGATGATCGGCTGAGCAGCCGGAAACCCCTGAAACTCATGCAAGCCGATGACGTTCAACAGATCGTCGACTCGGGCAATCGACAAGTGGTCTGATACTCGGTCAGGACTCAAGGCTTAAGGGGCAAGCGCTCGATGCGCCTTGATTTTTTAAAGCGTACAATTCTTATTTTCCTGCCCCTGAAATTTTGTAACGCTCAAAATGAATTTTATCAATGCATCTGCAGCCTTGATTGGTGGCCATGGACTGAAAGCGCAACCTTGTCGCTACCCAATAGCCTGATCTTGAAGGAATCTAAGCTCATTACACGCTAAAAGTCCATCTTGATAAGGAAGTCATCTCCACGCCGATTGTCATGTCGCATGCGCTGTCGACCCCCCTTGGCGATATCAGAAGAAGGGTTCACCTGATTAGCCCCTGAGCCTTGGAGACAGCCAGGGAGCCAGCACATATAACACGGCCAAGCCCCAAACCCTTTCATCAAATGAAAATGCAATGTGGGTCTTCACTTAACGTAAAAGCAAGCTAATCGTGCCTTAGCCTGCCTCCTGCGCAAATGGCTTTTAGTCACCCTCAGTCTCCTCGTTCAGGTCAGGTCCTTTGATGTTCTCCAGCCCAAATGCAGACAGTGCCATTGCATATTCACGGTCTACCGAATGCCAAAAACTACAAAAGACGACACGATTTGCAAAATCGCTACAATGGCAATGCAAAACAATGTGATGGCAGATGGTATTTGGTGCGACACTCAGTCAGTCAAGACCAACGCCGTTCAAAATGTCGCCACCACGACCGCGAGCTTCACTGCTTGGCGTGTCGATATTCAGAAGGACCAGGCTGCTTTTTCGGGACGTTCACCAAATGCAGAGCCCGACTGCTTCAGACAAGATGCGATTTGCGAATATGCAGAGTGGGACGTTGATTGTAGCGACTGTGAAAAGGAAGTGCGCTGCAGAAAGTAGAATTTGAGAATCACGTTCGCCACCCACGATCATGAACCCTGATCGTGATTGCTGCGTTTTATGCTTCTGTGCTGCAATTGCTGGATGTGAGCGACACTATTGCAGTCAGTGTGATGCTAGGCTACAGCTTTGTGTAAGTCTCAATTAGTATTTTTTGCCTGATCGAACCCTGACTAACGCCATGCATGCGGACGTCGAGGACGTCGATGGTCCGAAAGAAGCTCGTAACTGAATCATATAGACGAGAAGTCATATCACTCAACGGCCATGACACCACGCTTATGCCGTTGAAAGGGCTTGAGGCGCCATTCGACGTCTGCATCAGTCTGCTCAATCGTGCCCAGCTTGATTTCATATAGCTTCATGTCAAAGCGTGGGCCGACTTCTGCCAGCTCGACTTCCTTGCCTGATGTCTTGACAAAGACGTGATTGCGGAAGGAGATGTAGTCATCCTGATTGCTGAAAGTCACCACCCGTGGGCTGGTAACGGGTGGCGAGGGAGGGAACAAGGCTTTGAGCACCTTGCACGTGCGCTCGCCGAGCTTTGAATTGAGGTTGTTGAGAATGATGTTCGGATACGCCTCAGAAACACTGCCGACATTGGCAATATCATGCCTCAATGTCACATTGTGCAAGGTAAAGGACACAGTCGGCCCATAGGGAAAGTGTGAGATGACCAGGGCGTCTGGTTTACCGCGTGTTTCGTGTAGGATGATCAGGTCCGACACTTCACCTGACCGACAAGCACCAGCTATATCAGCAACGACGTGATTACCTCTGTTGATTCGCTGTGAATTGGGTATCAGCAGCCGCATCTCCTTGGCAAACTGGCCAAGCTTCGTCGAGGGATCTCTAGACGTTGTTATCAAGACTTTTGGTTCGCGCTCCCCCAAATTGCGGTACTCGTCATCCAGATCACCAAGCTCTGCTCCCTCGTCGAACTTGTAGTCTGCCCTGAGCTGTGTATCGTCTCGAATGGACTTGCGCAGGTTTGTGCTATCATTTTCCAGGGCCCTCTTGATTTGCGACCTCTTATCATGCAGCTGTGCTTCTTGGATCTGCTGCATACGCGCATGCAGATACTGCCGCCGCTCTCTTGCTGTCTTCCTGAGCATCTTGGCCTCTCTCTGCACCTCTCTTGTCCTTGCTCTCGAGTCTTCTCTCAGTTCTCTGTCGCAGTTTTCGAAACATTTTGTTGACTGGGGTTAGGGCGACCACCGCTCTCTCTTGGCGGCAGCTTCCAAGCCAACTCCCATACACATATCATAGTCGCCATGTCCGTCGAGCTCAACCAGGGAAAGCTCTTTCAATTCAAGCTCGTCCTCCTGGGTGAGTCCGCCGTCGGCAAGTCATCGCTTGTCATGCGCTTCGTCAAGGGACAATTCTCAGACTTTCGCGAATCAACCGTATGTCGCACTTCCAGAGCCCGCCCATTACGCGCGCAGTTGCTGGCTTGATGACGCGTCTACTGCATGCTGACTGCTCTAGATTGGCGCCGCATTCCTGACACAAACGCTTGCTCTAGACGAGGAAACCACAGTCAAGTTTGAAATTTGGGACACGGCAGGTCAAGAGCGCTACAAGTCGCTTGCACCCATGTACTACCGCAACGCTAATTGCGCTGTGGTTGTGTATGATATCACACAAGCTGCGTCGCTCGACAAGGCAAAAGCTTGGGTGAAGGAATTACAGAGGCAGGCGCAGGATAATATTGTCATTGCTCTTGCTGGTAACAAGTTGGATCTTGCAGCAGACAAGCGTGCCATCCAAACGGCCGATGCACAGGCGTATGCGGATGAAGCAGGATTGTTGTTCTTTGAGACGAGTGCAAAGGAATCCGAGAATGTGCAGGCATTATTTGAGGCTGTTGCACGCAAGTTGCCCCTTGATCAGCCAACAAATCGCGCGGGAGGTGCGCGGCATGCGTCAGCGGCAGCGAGACAAGGAGGCGTAGACCTCAGTCGACCTGCGGCAGGTGGACTGACTGGACCTGGAGGCTGTCAGTGTTGAGGAAGAACGGGCGTGGCTCGATAATCATCAGGCTGGTGCAATTCTACATCTTTTAAGCGTTATAACGACCTGTATATGCTTTTTCTTTTTACAGTATTCATGGCAACAATTTGGAAGGAAGTGTCTCTTTGGGTCTGTACACGTCGAGGGCAACAGGCAATGCACCAGAGTATCCAACATCACCCTGTGCCGTTTCGAGCTTCTTGGTCACTTTACCAAGTAGCTTTGCAATGAGGTGATCATCCATCAAGCCTTCCACCAAGACCTTCTTAACACCTTTTGCCATGGCAGAGCCCAAATTTTGTAAACCTTGCACCTCTCCATTGAGCAAGCCAGGTTGCTTCTCCACCTCAATCACTTGTGATGCCTTGACAAGGGCCATAATGAAGTTGAGCAATTCTTGATCTAAAATTGCAGGAAGACACACATGAACACCCATCTGCACTTCACAAGAATCGTTTTCCACCAAGGCAAGTGCTGCTTCTTTTTGGACCTGTTTAGGCTTGTTGTCATCAGCATCTTCTACTTCCTGGTTCAATGTATCCTTGTCTGCCTTTGTTGGCAACGGTGGCAACAAGTGCTCATGATGCGGTAGCAAGTACGTCGGCAGTGTGAATGTCGCATCAGCACCACCAAGTCGTACAATCTTACCCATGGCCATATCGGAGACAAGGGTACGGTACACTAGCACATCGCCAAACTCGAGGTGCGTGACAATGTCGTAGGCAGAAATGGTTGGCACAGCAGCCAACCCAGTCACATCTACTAGCTGTACTGCAAAATGCGCTTCTTCCGTCCATTGGGCAACACGCTTTTCGAGCTTGCGCAGCTCGGCGTTGCGTTTTGTATACTCCTTGAAGAGCTCCGATTCCAGTAAGGACTTGAGCCATCCACCAGAGCCAGCTGCAGTGATTGAGGAGATCTTTATTGGATGCGAATAAGCCAGAACATTGAGGAGCATACGAAGTAGAAGTGGCAGACGATGCAGGAATCGGCGAATTGCAGGAGGCGTCAGATTTTGTAACGTCGTAACTTTGATGGACCGTTGTGGCGGGTTGACAATGGATGGAACAGCATGCAAGTATGCACAAATACCGGCACGGTCGTCCTGCTCATCCAGGTCCTCCGTTGTGCCATTCTGCGATTGACGAGCTTTTTGACGACGCAACTTGCCACGGCACTGTTCAATGCTGCTCGTCGAGGCAATCCACGCCAGAGTCGAATGATAGTGTTCGTGAGCTTCTTCATCCTCTGGCGATAGTTTCGCAACTTGGACAGCTTCAAGCCCTTCCTTCGCACTGACAGCTGCAGGAGCATGGCCATCAGACATGTAATCAGTCATTTTGGTCATTTTCACACCCGGCGTTATTGGTAATGCCTGTGCACTGGCTGCTGCTTGCAGAAGTGGTGTATTTGTCTGCATAAGTGCCCCGCCATCTTTGGAGCTTCGAGTGCGTTCAGCAAGATCGCCAAAAGTCATTTCATACTGACCGCCCTTGACATTCCCGTAGACATCACCAATCACGATACGCCTGAAGAGAGGAATGACAACCTTGTCTGCCTGCAACGCCAACTCCATATCATCAGAGAGTTTAATGCCTACTTCAATACCATGTACGGTGATGGTGAGATTCGATAGACAAAACGTCAGTCCACGCACGACAAAGAGACCATCGACGTCGGTATCAATCTCGAGAGCGGGAATATTGAAGAAGGCCACTTTGTCACTGACGAAGTGCAGCTGGTTTAGGACTGATCGCAGCATTGCTCGGACTCGTGTTGATAGCCAGTCAAATTGGAATAGTCCAATGAAGAAGATGAGTGGAAAGCAGAGAAAAGTAAAGATACGCCATAAAAGCCAAGAGGTTGCGCAGATGGAATAGACCACATTGAGGCCTGCAATTAAGGACCAGACTGGAACGTCTGGGAAGATGCGACTTCCGTTGTATGCGCCAAGGAGAATAAAGTACACGAGAAGAGGAGCACCCGAGAGGATCCACCAGCTGGGCCACTCATAAAGAAAGACGGAGAGGAGGACAGCGAGGGCAAAGAATGTCGGGAGCGAGACGTGAAAGAGGTCAACGATAGGATCTGCCACGGGCTGCTTTGCGGCTGCAGAGGGTTCTTTTGCCGCGAGCAATGATGATGGGAGGCGTATGAGGCCTGCTCTCCGCTTGCTCATCTACTGTACAAGGCTGTTGGTATGGTCACAGAGGTCATCTGTTTGTTTCATGCGAATGTCCCACATAAAAAAGAAGAAAAGCTCAGTGGTACGTCACTTTGACGACGCTTCTCTCCTCGACACGAAATAGATACGAGTCAGCTAATTATTACTCAGCATCTTCTGGATTGAAGCTCTACTATTGCTGGCGTTGCTTATTGCCTATCGCTCATATGAACGCTGACGATGTCTTTGAGATTGTAGACAACGACATCATCAAGACCATCTGCCACACATTCAAGCTGCCTCCACCTGAAGAGGACACATTCCTATATGCGGCAGAAGGCATTCAACTAAAGCTACATCATGTACAAGAAGAGCTGAAGTCCGGTCGAAAATGGCAGTACCAGTTCAAAGGGCAGCTGGTAGATGTCACCCAAAGCGATGTTGACGCCTACACGCACATCTTCAAATCATCCACAGCGACGGCAAAACTCCTCAAATCCTTCTTGGAGAATGCGAAAAAGAACTCTACGCGGCCTGCTATTGCCGCCTACTTGAACATCAGGAGACGAATTGTGCCAGTGCTCGAAGCGAAGCTGTCTCGCAAGAAGACACACTTGAACCCCTTCTTCGATATCTGGTGTCTGGCATGCAAGCAACTAGGCTTCATGGGACCGCTACAGGTCGGTGGCTATGATGATCCGAGAAAGGTCCATCTGACGCATTCACTGCTGCCTATCTTTATGCACCATTTCGGGTGTGCTGTGCCGTGTTGGGAAACGCTCCAACTCATCGAGCTTGTAGCTGCTCATCGCCTTGTGCTCGACGTTGGGTGTGGAAACGGTTACTGGACGTGGATTCTGCGTAATATGGGCGTGCAGGTTGAAGCAGTGGACGACAAGTCTTCCAGTTGGCGAACCATGTGGATCGATGATATCGTTGGTGCTGATGCTGTGACTTACCTCAAGAAACGCAAGTCTGCAGACGAAGTCTTGCTGCTCGTCTACCCAATCGTCGGCGGTAACAAACTGACGCAGCGCATCCTGGAAGCCTTCAAGGGAGACACAGTCTGTTATGTTGGCACACAGAATGCCAATCGATATACTGCATTCGCAGACAAGACCATGATGGAGTACTTTGAGCAACGTGGCGGGTGGCAGATGGTCGCAAGTAGCCCGATGCCAAGCTTCCCTGGGAAGGATGATGCTTTGCAAATTTTCGTTAGAGTCACCAAGTAAGGCGAATTCGGTTGCGAACGAGAAAAAGCGCTGTTGCTCCCATGGCTATCGTGACACTGCCGCTTATCAATAAGTCAGCCTGCTTACTGCCCCATCTGTCCGTCACTACAGAGTGCATATGTGCCCAGATCGAGTGAGGCCCACCCTGCTTCAGGACCAAATTCAACAAGGTCGACAAGATGTAAATCTCCAGGGGACGCTTTCCAGTTGCTTCCAGGACTCGTCTCAGCGGATCTGGAAGATGCGGCACTGCTGCAGCGACGGCAAGATATTTGAGGATAGCAACGCCTGTTGTAACAAGCGCAAAACTCGGCGTCCAGAGTGCCTTTGAGATGGGTGCATAGCATGGCATAAGCAGATGAAGCGCATTACCTGAGAATAGCATCACTATAGAGAGCACGACTTTCCACCGGCGATTGAAGAAGCGGGAATCGGCAAAAGTGCTGCCAGCAAGCATACTGAAGGCTGTTGTCAACGTGCCAAGGAGGCCTTCAGGGTCGAACTTTGGCGTGTACATGCGCCGCTTGCCGAACAAGCCCATGTCAAGCTTAGACTGTGCCGTTTTGCTTGGATCGGGGTCTCTGTAGTCTGGATGGGCAAAAGGATTGAAGGCATTGTCTGCAAAACCCAGGGAGATGGCGTACCAGGCCAACAGCAAGGGAATGCCGTTGAAGCGACATAGAAGGCTTCTTGCTGGGCCATTGATGAGCAAGAGTGACAGGCCCAACCGCTGTAGGACACCAAGCATGCGGATTGGTGTGCCTTGTGCTTGTGCACTGATGGCATTGAGTGCCAGTCCGAGTCCAACAAGACCAACACTACGGCGCACCGGGCTTGGCGACATGCCAGCAAGAAATGCAAAGGTAGGGAAGATGGTGTCTGCATAGGTGATTTGATCAATATAGCCAGAGTGAGCCAGAGCTTTCGTTTGAGAGAGGTTGATGAGCGTCATCTCGAGCGTGGTCAAGCCACGGACAATGTCGCGAACTGGATCCCGCGACATGTTGTCAGTGCAGCTCAGCGCGATCAATATTTGGATACCAGATTGAAGCTGAGCTATGACCAGCCGCTGAGCGCTAGAGTACGTACTGGTTGGTCTTTGAATATCGATCTGCGTCGGCTCCATCGCAACAGCAAATTTGAAACCGCACTCCACATCCAGCAACGAGCACTTGGCATATCGAGCACACCAATCCCGTAGCACAGTGCAGAGAGCAAGCATGCCCGGTCAGACGTATCCGATCGGTACTCGCAAGTCAAAGCTCGCTATGGTGCAAGCGGAGCAGGTGCAACGGGACTTGCAACAGCTCTACCCCGAGCACACTTTCCCCATCGTCGCCATGTCGGCCATGGGGGATGTCATCCAGACGAAGCCCCTGCATCAGTTTTCATCGCAAATGGCAAAGGGACTCTGGACGCAGGAACTGGAAGACTTGCTCGCTCGCAAAGAATGCCGACTCGTGGTAAATTGTCTCAAAGATCTACCTACCACCTTGCCAGACGGCTTCAAAATTACGAGTGTCGGCAAGACGGAAGACCCTCGTGATGTCGTGGTGATGGCGAAGCACTGTCCCTACAAAAAGCTTTCAGATTTGCCGGAAGGCAGCGTGGTGGGCACTTCCAGTATCCGGCGGTCTGCTCAAATTAAACGCGCCTGTCCATACCTCGCCTTCAAGGATGTCCGTGGCAATGTCGGCACGCGCCTCGACAAGCTTGACAACCCCGAGCTTGGTTATTCATGTCTAATCCTCGCTGCTGCCGGTCTGGCTCGACTCGGTTTGCTCGAACGAGTGACTGAATACCTCGAGGCGCCCACCATGTTTCACTCTCCTGGACAAGGGACACTTGCGTTGGAGATCTGCGAAGACGATCTCGAGCTCGCTGATTTGCTCAAGCCCCTCAATCACCATGAGAGTATGATTTGCACTTGGGCAGAGCGTTCCATGATGCGGTACTTGCAAGGTGGATGCAGTGTCCCTATTGGCTGTGAGACCGCCTTCACTGATGGCAAGCTTTCCATCACGGCTGTTGTCGTTTCTGTCGACGGCAAGACGGCTGTTCAGGAATCGTGCGAGGCAATGGTCGAGACTTACAGCGAGGCAGAACGGCTTGGCGAGGAGGTGGCCGAGAAGATGGTGGTCAATGGTGCCAAGGTCATCCTCGATGAAATTGAGCTCACGCGGCACCGAGACTTGGACACTGCGCAGGTGAATGATCTCAACAGAGGCAATGCCGAGCAGGCTCAGCTTGAGGCTTCACGGTAAAAAGCATTTCGCATCTTGTATCTTGTAGATGCGCATATAATTGTGACGGCTGTCGAGATGTGTCGCCATCGTTCTATCCTACAGCCTTGACATCGACTTGTCCCTCATCAAATAGCCATGTCTGCAAGCCTTCCGCATCTGTCGGCGGCACAGTCCGAGAACCTGAGAGAGGAGCTTATCGCTTATGCCCTAACGCATGGCCTTGTTGTTCGGCCGCAACCTTCATTCCTGGCAGACAACCCAGGAGGCTCTGTCGTCGTGCATGCGCCAGTCGCACTGCATCCAAGCGAGTTTCCCAAGCAAGCTTTTGATCATGCCAAGGAGATTCAAACGGGCTACAACGAGCTGTATGCCAAGATTGCAAATGACGAGGATTTCATGAGCAGAATCATGGCAGAGCTGGCGCCAGTGGACGATTTTATGAAGAAGTTGTGGGAGCTGCACTTGACAGTCAAGGCAAGAGGCATTTTGCAGCCTCTCTCATTGGGTCTCTTTAGATCAGACTACCTGTTGCATTCAGACTCGGATGATCTGCTGTCTGCGAGAATCAAGCAGGTCGAGTTCAATACCATCTCTTCCTCATTTGCAAGTCTTGCTACGCTGACCGCAGACATGCACAGAAATCTTGCCTCTCGCGGTTTCTACAGTCCAGGCAATCCCGAGCATTATAACTTGCCCGAGAATCCGGCTATGCGTGCAATGGCGCGCGGACTGGCTCAAGGAGCGAAAGCATACGGAGGCAAGACTCCAGTCGTCATGTTTGTTGTCCAAGCAGATGAAAGAAATGTCTTTGATCAACGCTGGCTTTCAACGTGTCTGATGGACAATGACGGCATTCAATCGTATCGTGTTGCCTTCACAGACATTCAACAGCGCTGTAGCGTGTCAGCTGACGGTACATTGACACTTCAAACGCCCGACGGGGAGGTGGAGGTCAGTGTCGTATACTTTCGTGCCGGCTATGGACCAGAGGATTACAAGAGCGACAGAGAGTGGCAGTCTCGCCGCCTGCTTGAGCAAAGCAAAGCAATCAAGTGTCCCACCGTCATCACTCAACTTGCAGGTTCAAAGAAGGTACAGCAAGTGCTTTCGGACTCTGGCATAGTCGAGCGCTTCATCGATACTCAAGATGCTGCAAAGTTGAGGGAGACTTTCGTTGGTATGCACTCTCCTGATGGCTCGCCCGCCGGTCAAGAAGCTTGCAAGCTGGCAATGGAGCAACCAGAACGCTTTGTACTGAAGCCACAACGTGAAGGAGGTGGTAATAACATCTACCGTGAAGCAATACCCAAGTTTCTCCAGTCCATTCAGCGGGATCACTGGGCTGGCTTCATCTTAATGGAGCTGATCTTGCCGCCTATCCAACACAATGCCATCGTCCGCCAAGGCAGTATATACTCAGCGAGTGTCATCTCGGAGCTGGGCATTTATGGCACGATTTTGTGGTCCAAGGATGGCACGATCCTCAACAATGACGAGGCAGGCCACTTGCTGCGGACCAAATCGAGAGACACAGACGAGGGCGGTGTCGCAGCTGGATTTGCGTGCATTGATAGTCCCAGTCTAGTCTAGACTGCCTCTACTATGTAGCTCAACTGAGCCTGCAGCATTTGTGACTCCCGTGACTCTTGCTCTTGGTGTCGAGAGCCCCGAGACGCATCAGTCGATACAACCAGTCCCGGCGACTGAGTGCTCACTCTGACAGAGTCGCTATGTCGTGTGTGAGGGGACCACCTTCCACTCTACCAATTGGCGAAGAGACTGTGATTCCCCTTGGTCAGCACGTCCTTGATGTCGCTCGAGACGACGGAGTATACGCCACATTGCACATGCGCAGTCCATTCGCGCAGGATGTCGTGCTCTCCGTTGAGCAAGAGAAGCTCTATCGTATTGGCAGAGGACCCTCGTCCAACCTTGTGCTCACGGATGCGCGCGTCTCTTGTACGCACTTTACCCTGCACAGCGTAGGATCACCACTGTCGCTTGCGGACGCTGCTCACACCAGATACGCGTGTCAGACTCGATAGACAACCTGTGCTTCTTGACGGATACTTCAAGTAATGGCACCTACGTGCGCTATGCCATTCGGTCTCATGGCTCACCCAACAGCACTCGCCTTGTTGGCAAAGACTGCTGTGTGCTCTTGTCAGATGGAGACGACATTGAGATTAGGCATGTTGCCACCTTTACCTTCAAGCAGCACTACCAGTACCCCGAAGCTGCTGCAATATTGCTCAAAGATATACGAGACGACTACAAATCTGATACATGGTTGCTCAGCAATCGCCTGATTGGATCAGGCAGCTTTGGTCATGTCTTGATGGCACACAATTTGAAGACTGGTAAACAAGCATGCTGCAAGATCATCAAGCAATCTACGCGTCCACAGCAACTTCGAGCGCTCAAACGGGAAGTGGAAGTGTTGCAAGGTCTGTCGCACGTATGTTTCCTCTTGCCTGTACTGTGCTCTGACGCTTAGCCCAACGTCATCATGACGCTCGAGACAGCCATCACAGACGCATACTACTATCTTTTCTGTGAAATGCTGTGTGGTGGCGACTGCTTCTCCTATTGGCATGCTCCAACCAGTGACAAGTCTGAAATCATGGTCGCTTTTCTTGTCTACCAGGTTCTCGAGGCACTCGATTATCTGCACTCGCAGAATATTGTGCATCGTGACTTGAAGCTAGAAAACATCCTCATGGCACACCACAAAGATGCCTGTCGTGTTGTTTTGACGGATTTTGGACTTGCACGTCGGATTGATACCGTCAAACAGGGGCGAGATCGTATGCTGTCTGTCGTGGGCACCGTCAATTCAATTGCCCCTGAGATCCTCGAGGTGCAACCAACATGGCCTGGCGCAGAGGCACGCCAGGGTTATGGCGCTGAAGTGGATCTTTGGAGTCTTGGAGTCTTGGTGCATGAAATCTTGCTCGATTACTCACCTTTTGCCCTTGCACGCGACATGACGCCAGCTGCACACATGCAAGCCATTGCCAGGCCTCTTGATTTTGTGCCGCGTACGGAAGATGGCATGATCCTGACGACATTGGCAAAATCATTTCTGCTCGGCTTGTTACAGCCTGATCCTGCGCAACGCATGACAATTCAGGAGGCAAAGGCGCATCCGTGGCTGTCTCGACACACGAAGCCTTTTGATGCACAATACCACAAGCTTCTCGAGGCATTGCCACAGTTTGGGAAGCACTCGTCTGATCAAGTCTTTCAGACCCCTGCACCGAAGCGTAAATTGGCGATTGAGCACGTTTCGTCGGGTCTGCCAAGCGATGATCTCGTTTCAAGTCCCTGTAAGCGTTTGGTGCGGAATGACAACAAGAGAAAACGACGCATTCTGATAGAATTGGATCCAAATAGTGCAGAGATGCAGTATCGTGGCAGACGTCGTTGCCCTCCCAGCCCAGAATTGTAGATGGTCGTAGGGAATCTTTTTGGATGAGCCCATCTGATTGTACAAGTCCGGGGATCATGACAAATGCTCGAGACTGCGTCATGCTCCAGCTTCTGCCATAAAAGCCGGAGGACGGCCCAGGCATCATCTCAAGCTCAAATAAATCATGGCTCCTCCTCTCGATGGAAGCCCTGACTCTGTCAAGGGTCGTACGGTCAAGCTACCCTTCAACTTGCTCTGGGAATCGCTCGTCGAGAAGACTACCAAGCCCGACCGCTACTTACCTGTTCGCGACGTGACTTGTCGTGACAATGAAGACGGGTCCATCTACCGCGAGATGAGACTTCCTGGTAAAGATGGTTCACAGGGAATTGTCATGAAGGAGAATATCTACCACGATGAACAGACCAAGACTGTCGAGTTTCGCAATGTCGATGACGCAAACTTCGTTGTCGTCAATCGCTATGTAGACCTCGGAGACGGTGCAGGCGGGTACATTGAGTACTTTGTCAAGGATAGCGAAGGCAAGATGCTGGGCTGGATGAAGGGTGGACGAGATGGCGCTGGTGAGGCCATCGAAAAACACTATCGCTATGCTGAAGAGAAGGAAGCCGCCAAAAAGGCTTGAAGCCTTTCATAGAAATGCTCCAGAACCTGCCGTCTATATCAATTCCAAATCATTAGTCTTCTTGGTTAAAGTCAGCCCAGAATGCTCAAGGCAATGGCCACGACAGTAGCAAGGAGCATGAAGCCGATATTGACTCGTTGCATAGAGGCACCAGCGACCCAGAAGTCCACACCCGGAGCATTACAGCTAATGGTTGCATTGTTGCTGCGTTGTCCATAGGTTGCATCAAAGACAGTCTTGTTTGACGGCAGCCAGAACTGAATGAAGGCTGGACAGGTACGCGCCACGTTCCTCGGCAAGTCGCCACAGGGTAAAACTTCCTTGTACACGCCTGGATGTAGGTCTCTATCAAGGAGCGGACTGCGCGACTGATTGCGAAGTGTGAGAAACGATGCTGGATTGGTTGTATCCGCACAACGAGGAATGGTGACCGCGCACAGCCAATCCTTGTATGCAGCTTTACAGTCGTCACACGTAGACACCAGACTGTACTTGGCGTCATCCGAGACATTGCATGCGTACTGTTGCATCGTATTAGAGAAATTCTGAAAGTATGCCAAGGCACGATTGTCATAATATGTACCGAGTGCAACGGGATTGTAGAGTGTACTGTTGCTCGGTACGCTGTACGCAATCTCATTGCAAAACGCGAGATTGTAAATGATTTGGCACGTCGTGTCATCCCTTGTTCGGAATTGCTGCACCGGCCAAATGGTCCCACCCTCAGTCAAGTTGTTGCGTAATGTGATGTACGCGTCGTAAAACGTAGAGGGTTGTAGGTCATGCACGTAGAACTGCTCCTTTGGCTGATTACCTCCCCGCGTTGTCATACTCCGATCTGCGTTGGCTAGTGTGACTTGAGCCTTTGCGCGTGTGATGCCGCAGTAAGACGCTTGAAGACTTTCTTGAATGCTTGCGTCGATATTGTTTGCAACAGCTCCTCGACTGGGATTCACCCATATTTGATAATTAGGAAGAGCATTCGATGTGAGATTTCCGGTTGTGAGCAGAGCAGCGCTAAAGTCTGCATCTTGTAGAAACAGAAACCTGTGCGTATCTCCAAGTAAAGCGTTGTGTAATGGCGTCAAAGTAGAGAGACCAATTTGAAATGCAAAACCATCGCTCGACCAGCTTGAGTTACGTGCTGGTGCTCGAACAGAGATATAGAGTGGCCCTGGATCACTCACTGTCAGGTTTGCGAAACCATAGCTCAAGACTGCTGTTTGCGAATTGTTTCTTGGTCCTGGCAGACTGGTGTTGCCGACATAGACGCGTAAATTGGGCACATATTCCCATGCACCAGAAGTCTTGTTGAGTGGCAAAGGCTGTGTACACGTATTGAGCGTGACATAAATGTCCATCGCCGTGCTATTTTTGGGAATGTAGGCAAAAGTTGCCGTCTCGCCCCAGAGTATGGTTGCTTCCAAGACTTGTCCATCTTGGATTGGCTCTGATGTGTTGACGGCACGCGTAACAAGAGACTGCGAGTACTCAAGGAGGTCTGGCAGGCCCAGGTATGAGGGTGTAGCAACTTGAAAAAGGATTGCGAGCGCAGCTAGCAGCATAGAAGTATGTTTCAGCAAGAGAGCACGGCGCCGTGAGCAGTCATTTCCAGACCTGCCGAGAGTATACTTTTGGTATACAGCTGCAGGATGGCCTTGCCAGGGAGTGTACACTGCTTTGGCTTGTTTGAGCTTGATGAGTTGCTGCACCCAACTCGTAAACGCAAGTCTCTTCACATGCAAATTGATGTCATCGAGCAGGCAGCCTTGGACCAACTAACAAGCTGCTCCCTGACCAACAACCTACTTCATCGAGAACATGGCGAACGTTGAAAGCATCAAGAGGCAGCTGCAAGATTCCAATGCTCAGCTCCAGGAGAAGTTCAACTCCATCGCCACGTCCATCAAGGACAGGGAAGACTTCCCAGGCGCACAATATGTACAGCGCTACAAATGTGTCTGGCAAGATTACCCACTCTCAACACTCTTCATGAGTGTTCAACTGAGCTTGTTTGCACTGCCTGTTGCCTTCTTCCTTGTTGTGGTCGGCAGCATTCTTGCCGGTGTGGTTATGCTTGCTACTCTTTGGATGCTCGGTGTCCTTGTCATTGCCATGACTGCTCTGCTGACTACCTTGTCTGTTCTCTTCTTTGTAGGCATTGCAATCTGGGCTTGGCTGGCAAGTCTCATGTTGACTTACCGAGCAATCTCCAATGTTAGGCAACGTGGACTGCAAGCATCGCTCAACACCCTCGAGTCCAATATCCGGGGTGGCGTGGATCAGACAAGGCACTTGGTCAAGCAAGGAGCTGACCAGGCAAGATCATTCGGACAGAACGCTCAATCTCAAAATGTGAGGGACCAGGTCGAGGAGAGGGCTGAGGACGTCAAGTCTTCTGCCGATAAGCTTGCAAAGAAGGGACAAGATGCGGTAAAGGATGTGAAGAAGGGTACTGAAGATGCCGTCAAGGATGGACAAGACAAGGCGAAGGATGTAAAGAACAGCGCAAATAAGCTGGCCAAGCAAGGTCAAGACAAGGCAGAGAACGTGAAGCAAGAAGGTGAGAAGAAGGCTTCAAAGATCAAGGACGAGGCGAGCGACAAGGTGGACAAGGCTGCGTCATCTGCTTGATCATGAACCTCTCTTATATTCTGCTTGTGTTTACTGGATCATCTAGATATATCATTGACTACAGCTATTCATTTCTTCTTGGTGGTCTTTTCAACCGTGATCCAAACAGGGGCCATGCCACGCTCTTCCAGCACCGCTCGAACTTGATCAGCCCAGGGACCTTGCACCATGACTTCCATTGATCCAGCCTTCAAACCTGGCCGTACAATCGTCGATGCAGCACATTGGACACGCAATCGTTCTGCAATCTCCTCCAAAGCATCCTCTTGAAAGTACGCCTCTAGTTGTGTCACCACGGTAGTAACGCGTCCACCTTTGCCGGCACGACCGCACACGTTGATGAGAACTTTTGGCGGGACGCCCTTTCTAACACGTCCTGTATCGCCAATACGATAGGAATGCGTTGCCATGCCAAGACAACGTTTCAGCAAGACCCGTGTCGAGACGGTCTCGTGTGGGTAGTCAGATGGCAGCAATAGGTCTGCCAGCATGGGATCAACCCTAACGTTGTGCTTGCTGATGATGAGCGATTCACGTTCATAGTATCGCATCAAGAGGGTATTGATCTGTTGCTCTGTCATTAGACGTGCTTGCTCGAAATCGAGAATGGGCGCCAACTTGGCTGGAAGTGTGTAAAGATCTTGCAGGTCTAATACTTTTGGCTTGGCCTTTTTGACAGGCGCAGGTTCATCATCTTCCTGGTTCGCCAGGGGGTGAGGCACAAACTCTCGCAGGGCAGGTGCATCCCATGTGACGTCCGTTACAATAGTCTGACCTTGCTGTTCTTTGCATTTCAGCAAAGTTTTTTGCTTTGCAAGAAACTTGCTCGTCTTTTTCCATGATGTTTGCTTGATTCCAGGGGTCTCATAGCCTTCTTCTGTTGCAAGAAATGGTAAGATGTGTCTCTCCATTAACGTACTTGAAGGCATTGGCAATGCCAAAGGTATCGCCTCTTCGCGTATTTGATAGAGTCCATATAGCAACGCTTGCTCAAACGCATGCTCAGCTTCTGCCGTTGTCGGAATCTGTAGAGATACTTGAGTAGGTTCAGCAAGTTCGACCGTTTCGAGCTCTGTTGTGACTTCTTGCCAATTTTCCAGTGGCTCCTCCTGAGCGGCGACCTGTATTGCTTGTTGTAGAATCGGCGGTGCATGACCCGGTAAAGGCGCCGCTGGACCAGGCAATGTCATATTGGGGTGCAACGTATCCCCGATACAAGCAATCATCAAGACTCCTTTACCTGCTGCAGAGGTCGCCATACTTTCATCAAATGCAGCTTTGCTCAACGCCGTGATGCCAATACCAACAAGCACGAGATCCCCTTCTTCCTTGCGGAAACCCACGGCTACAGGCAAACCTGCCTCGACTTGTGGGAAGACTTGTATACCACGCATCATGAGATCTGCACCAGATTGCAGGAAAGCTGTGACTTGGAAAGGCACCACAACGCATGGTAGTAGGTCAGGCGCTAGCTGCAACGTATATAGCGTAGGCACAAGCGATAGGCCTTTTCCGGGCTCTTCAAGCTGTACATAACGTGGCAGCTTGCCCTGCGTATAGAGTGTGACCTTTTCACCCTTGGCGGTCAAGGCTAGGCATGATTCCAGTGTAGGCGGAACAAGAGTAGCAACTTTTTGCTTCATCGTTTCTTCCTCAAGTCCGTGAAAGCAGTGCGGATACGCAGTTGTCAGATGAGCGACGAACTGTTTACGTAGCTTGCCATTGATGGACGAGGCTGGTTTGTATGTAGCCTTCTTCTTGAACATAGCAGAGACTAGCAGCTCATGTCTGTGAAGTGTAGCGTCGAGGGATACTACCAAATTCTCTCGACAGCACACAAGAGACGGCGATGCACTAAACTTGACTGAAGGAGACACGAGACTCGAGAGGCACATGGACCGTCAGCATGCGAAGAATGAGGCTACGGCCAAAAGAATGAAATCTGCATGCAAAAAAGAAGTAAGGCAAAGGCGAAAAGCGCATATTAGATGTTCATACAAGCGTCTCTGTCAAAAGGAGCACACCCTGTGGGTCGATTGCGCCCGTCGCACCGACAAAAGGAGGTCAGAAAACTCTCCTGATCAAGTGATAGCATTGCTTTCTCTTCACTTGTTTTCCTTGTTTGCCTCGCCCGGCTGGGAGGCCATTGAGAATCGGCTTTGAAGACTGAGCGGCTTCGCCCTGCATTGTTAGCTCTGAGACTCGATCGATAGACACATCTGTGTGTCAAGCTGCAAAAACAGCCCTTGCTGGACTCTCTGTCCGACACACCAAGGGGCTTCGCATCGAGAAACTTACCGCTTGTAGTGTACATTCTTATTTGCCTGCAACTTGGCCGTGCAGGGCGACATGAGCATATCCGTAGGTGATGCAGTAGTCTGTGACTCTCCAGCAGCTAGCTTCTGCCTCAGGAGGTCTCGCTGGTGCTCCAGATTTGATTTGGGACCGGATTGTGTAGCAGCGGTCGTTTGCTGCTTGCCGACTGGGTGGAGTGGCTGCACTGGGATCTCGGCGGTGTTGGCATCGATAGACTGGAAGGGAGTTGACATGATAGTGAGGTTAAGTCTGTATGCTGATGCTGCGCAGATAGGGAAGCTGGTCAATGGATGGATGGATGCTGCTTCTCTGTTGACGAATTTCACAACAAAAGACAACCAACTCTCAGCAGTCACAACTCACCGTGGTCTTCATGAATTGGAAAATTCCTACTTTCACTCCCTATGCATAAACTAGAATGGCTGCAGATAGAAGACTACAGCTCCTGAATGCGAACACGCTTAGCAGAGCCTCCCTCTCCAGCCTTGCGCTTCTTTTTATTTGCCGACGCCGGGGCCAGCCTGGGACTCGTCGGTGCAGACAAGGCCTCATCTGGTGTGTGCAAGCCCGAGAAGTTGCCCTCACCTTCATGATACAGTGCTTCCAGTGCGGCAGGCGCAGCCATACGGCTTCGTCCATTCTGGTTGCCGCCAGAGGTTGCATCGCGCTCATCCAGCAGGCGGTCAGCATCACCATCCTCCAACAACCAAGAGACAACATCTCTGCCTCCACTGCCTTTTGCTGACTGAAACTCAATCTTCTTTGGAGCAGCCGATGCACCGTCTGCGCCGCCTGCACTATCAGTCGTACCTGCTTTGTAGTCGCCACCAGCAATGACGACCTGCTGCACAGCTTCCTTTTGTTTGGCACGCTCGAGAATGCGTTCTTCAATAGTGCCAGAGGTAATCAAACGGTAAACCGTCACCTGGCGCGTTTGTCCCAACCTGTGAGCTCGATCAATAGCCTGTGCATCAACTGTCGGATTCCAGTCAGAATCATAAAGTACAATAGTATCAGCAGCACTAAATGTTAGCATTTCTCTTCAAATTGAGCAGGCATACGTCAAATTGATACCAAGACCTCCAGCACGAGTCGAGAGCAAGAAGACGAAAATCTCTGGTCGGGTCTGCCAATCAGTGACCATGTCCCTACGGTCGGCGATCTTGGAGGACCCATCAAGACGAAGGTATTTGTATTGTCGGTAGACCAAGTACTCCTCCATCAAATCAATCATCTTGGTCATTTGGAAGTAAATCAGAACACGATGATCTCCGGCCTTGAGCTCAGAAAGCAATGCATCCAATTTAGCCAATTTGCCTGAATCCGTGATGAAGGTTTGCATCGACGGCATGCGAATGCCACTGTAGCCGCGCTTCTCCTGATCAGTGTGTGGATAGAGCGGCGGCACTGGCGTCACGAGCAACTTCTTGTCCACAACAGCATTCTCTTCCGGCAATGATAAGCCATTGAGCAAACGACGTGTCGGTAAATCGAACGAGGCTTGCTCTCGTTGACGACAGAAGGTATAGTCCGAGCAAGCGATTTCAGCAGCCGGGGCAGTGACCTTGGGGTCGTACATCGGATCAACGCGATGCAAGTTGCGTGACCGAGAGTACGCCTTTGAGATATTCATGAGACGTGCTAGCGCGCTGTCTGTTGAAAAGGGTCGTGTTTGAGATGATGTCTGGAGGCGGCCATTTGGGCACACAGTGAGCTGTGCCTGCAGCGGGTGCTGTCGCATTTGCCAGACCTCTGATGCCGATAGCCCCGCTAGACGTGCAAGACGTGAGGATTTGGCTTCTGCCGGGTTGAACAAATTGAGTAAGTTGCCGAGGTACTTTTGATTGAAGCCCGCCTTGGAGTGCTCATTAGGTACATCAAGAAGGCCTCCTGCGCGGTACACGAGCTTTGGCAATGTGTATGACAAGGCTGCAGTGGACGCATACTTCAACTCAATTTCTTTGGTTTCCTTTGCAAATGAACCAGTCTTGGGCACATTGACAAGCGCAAGGGGTGCCTTGACGTCTGTGCGTTCGAACAAGTCTGGGTGATTGCACACTTTGCGAAGTTGCATAACAAGATTCATCAAGCTGGACAAAGCAGAGTCACTGTCGCTTGTTGCCTTGTCAAGAATGTCCTTTGTTGAAATTTCCTTTCGCAAGGCTTGATAGAGCTGTCGTTGGCGCATATTGAGGTCGCAAAAGACTTCAAGCTCAATCTTGTCACCAAGCTCCTTTTGAACATGCTTCTTGACACGACGTAGCATGAAGGGCTTCAGGATCATGTGGAGTCGCTGCAACTGATCGGCGTTCAACTCCGAATTCTTCTGGGCATGCGATTCAATGTCTTTGGAGAACCACTCGCTGAACTCATTGTGCGAGTCAAATAGACCAGGCATGATGAAATGCAGCAGGGCCCAGAGCTCCTGCATAGTATTCTGGATAGGTGTACCCGTCAGCAAGAGTCGATTGCGGCACTTGAAAGCCAGCAGATTCTTCCATCGCGACGACTGCGACGATTTGATGGCTTGCGCTTCGTCGAGAATCATGTATTGCCACTTAACATTTTGAAAGTACTGCGCATCTTGAACGACGAGCTGGTAGGATGTCACCACCACATGGAACGGTGCATCCTCGGTATACGTTGCACGCTTGCGATCCCAAAATTTGCGTAACACTTTGCGATCCTTGGTACTACCCCAGTACGGCAGGGCCTTGAGTCTTGGCACGAATTTGGAAATCTCTTGCTGCCAATTGTGGAGGGTTGAAGCAGGTGCAATCACCAGAAACGGACCCCAGATGTTGTAGGTCTCTGCCAAGTGCGCCATGACGGAGATACTCTGCACAGTTTTACCGAGACCCATCTCATCCGCAAGGATACCGTTGATGCCTTGCTCATACAAGTTGACAAGCCAATTGAGACCCTTTAGTTGATATTCCTTCAATGTCGCATTCAACATCTTTGGCTGAGCAATGATAGATTCACCCAGTGTCGTTGGGTTCTGGAAGTCGAGGTCCATTGCATCTGCATCTGGCAGGTTTGCACGAGCACCACTATCGGTATCGAACCCTTGTGCTTTCTCCTTGGCTCTTTGCACAGCCTGTTGTGCATTTCGAGCAGCAGCTTGCTGCAAGGCTGCATCATCATCTGCATCAAAGTCGACTGCAGTAGGCGCCTCCTCGCCCGGTTGTAATGGAGCAGGCTCTGCCACTTTCGGAGCAGACAGCCGCGCATCAGCCTGTGTATCCTCAGACTGTTCCGCTTCTGCGGTTTTGACTTTATTGCCGATAAAGTGCGAGTAGAGCTCAGTTTGAGTGAGCAGAAAGTTGAGCTTCCTTGCTTGACGGCGCGCTTCACGCTCATCCTCTTCTTTCTTTGCCTTGTCGATGATTTCACGCTCTGCACGCTGCCGCTCCAACTTGTCGCCGCGCTCATTGCGCTTCCAAAAGTACATCATTTCACGCGTTGCACGCTTGCACTTGTTTTGCATATCCTTGACATTCTTGTTGGTCCTGAACTGCCATCGACGCGCTTCCTTGGCACACAGCTGAATGGTCTTCTTGTGGTTGGCATTGCGATGGTTCTGGTGCTGTAACATGAGCCGATAGACTTTGGGCACTTCTTTTTTAGCAAGATCCTTCCAAACTTGATCATGCAAGGCATCTAGGTTACGCTTGGGAGGCACAATGGGTCCGACTCCGGGCCCGTCATCCAAAACAGAATCAGCATCGTCATCATATACGGATCCCGCAAAGGAGGCATTGTCGTCTGGCCTTCGCTTGATGCCGCGTTTTGGCGGAAGGATGCGACCCTCCTTGAGTGCTTGTGCTTGAGCAGCCGCATACTGTGCCGCTGTGCGAGCTCGTCTCTTGACACGCGCAGCTTCCTTGCGATTCTCAATCTTGCGATGCTCCAGCTCTGCCGCTGCACGCTCATGTGCTTCCTTGACGTGCTGCTCCTCAAATTGACGCTGCATCTTCTTTGTACGTCGATCAAAGGCATTACGAAGACGTGCTGCCGTTTCTGCATGACGATGCCGACGTGCTTCTTCGTCACGGTCTGCACGATCTTCTGTACGCGCTCGCCAGTGTTGTTGGAATTTATAGCCAATCTCGGCATAATCCTCATCATCTGAGACTTCTTCATCCTCGGAATCACGTAGGGCAGATTCAATATCGTAAGCGGCAATAACGCGAGGTTTATTGCGGCCGTCCTTGCGTTTCGTGCTCACTGCACCATTCTAGAGTGTTAGCCTTTGTTCTGTACAAAAGAGATTCAAGATGTACCTCATCAAGTGTTTTGCGACGCTTTGACCAGTCCTCACCTGGACCTGGCTTGCGACGCGGTGCCTTTTTCTGCTTGGGTTGCACGGCCTGTAGTGCTTCCGGTGCAATGGTACCTGCTGCTTGATCCGCCTCTTGCGTTGCAGCAAGTAGGGCCTCAATGCTCATGGATCCCGGTTTCCCAGCAGACGCGTCTGTGGCATGCGAGGCATAGGTCAGGGCACCATTCGCGTGTGTGCCATTCGTCTCTGGCGATATGGGCATGGTTTGGTCGCCACCAGGAAGACTGGCGGACACGGGATGCGGCTCATAGCTATTGAGTGGCTGTTGCACAAACAGGTTGGCTGATGAAGCGCCATTGCTCGCCATGCCGTGACCATGGGCGTCGATTGCAGTACCATAGATACTCTAGGAGGGAATGTTAGACATGTTGAAACAAGGAAGAGGAAATTGGGCCGTGCATACCGGTGTCAGTGAAGGATGGGTTGCTTCGTCTTGAGGCATATCCCATGGAAGGGTCGCCGGTCTCTGCTCTGGCGATGGAGTGAGGTCCGGCATGTTGTGGTCGCCGCCGTTGTACATGGCGAAGGAGGCCTGACTAGAGGCTTGATGGATGCTGGCGTCAGAGGATTTGTGCGGTGCGTTGGCTACGCGACTTTGTTGCACTCGTGAGCAATAAGCTGCGGCGCTGAGGGGAGGCCGGCCTGGTCACTGACTGCTGCCTCAGTAGTGGCCTTTGCAGAGGAGGAGGGGGGGAGGAGGGAGGCCTTGCGTCCTGACGATGGGCTGGAGTCTTGTCTGGGATTTGTGGGCCCCTTCGCTGTGTATTTCCCTGTGCCATCCTGCGGTCCCATCGCTGCCTGCCTGTGCTGCTTGCTGCTGCTTCGTCGACGCCGTGGACGCACTCGAGATTTTTGCCAATTATTGGGCGCTCCCCCATTTCCCGCCCGATGTCTCCTCGTCATGCTGCTCGCTCGCTCCCCCAAGCCCTAGATGACAGTGCTGAGCAAGGGCAAATAGCATACTCGGACTCGAGGCGAAGGAAGGGCCATGCGCTCAACATCCCAGACTATGTCTGACTATCTAACCTTGGTGTTGATAACCCTCGCTCCTCAAACAATGGCTAGAGAGCTAGTCTATGTCAATTGCATCTTTCATATGAACTTGACAGGCCTGCCGGCTGTCTCTCAGGCATCGATTGCCTCGCTGCTTCCGCATGTATGGCCTGCTTGATCGGCCGAACCTCGTTACTTTGTGCGTGGTCCCTGGTCGTCCAAATCCTTTGATGCCGGCAAGTCTGATTTGACCGAAGCGATCAGGGGAACCTGGGACTACTGCCTCCCAGTCTCTATTGAGCCTTCGTGACAAGGCTGCAGCCCAGAGCATACTCTCAGTCTCTCGCTAATGGAGCATTTTGATGAAGAGTGCAGAGATTAACGCGATATCGGCAACTCAAAGGACGCAGTTGCATCATGCGAAGTCTAGATGATTGTGCACAAACAAGAAATCTCAAGTACGGTCTTGACATGACATGAAATGGCCGCTATCAAGCTCTGAGTAGTCAGGGGTCTTTGTTGCTCTCGCACCTGCCTTCTACGAGGCTTTGTGCAAATGTAGTGTGCCCTCGATCCTTCCCACTCGTCGTCTCTTTAGCAGAGTTGCATAACGACTTCCTTGATCTTTAGACAATAAAGTCGATTGAAATCATCAGTATTGAAATATCTACGCTTGGTGGATATACTCGTCTACACCTGTCCATGCTTGACTCCATCCTTGTGAGCCATCAGAAGAAGTCTTTTGATGCTGGCAAGGCTCGACCAAGATGCCATCGACAAGCTTTTCGCTGTCCGCTCTTTCAGATGACCTTGACCGGTTCTTGCAGATATCAAAGGATTTCCGAAAGACGCGACCAGACTCGAGTTCAGGCGCGTCGACGAAAGCAGACAACGAGAGCATCAGACAACCTTCGATAGTCTGCTCAGCGGGTGGCATGTCGGCCAAGCAGATGCCAAACAGTACGCCAGCGAGTAAAGGCAGGCAAAGCACCCTTCTTGGCTTCTTCAAAAAGACACCCGCCCGTGATGTAGCGCCGAGCACACCAGCGCGTCCAGCGGACATACCTACTTCCTCACAATCACTCCTTGTAGACGCAACGCCAGCTACTGCAGTACGTGCGTTACAGACTCAAGAGGTCGCTTCGAGTCCTGCCTCGCAGACACCCTTGAAGCAGCGTGCCAAGAGACATCAGGCGGCTGGCAAGGAGAACCGCAGCACGAGCACGTCTTACAAGGAGGCAGAATCGAGCGATGAAGAACCACTCGCTGTGCGTCACGTCAAGCGACGCAAGCAGATTGAGATGGACTCAGATGACGAATATGGCCCGCCTATCGAGCTTGATAGCGAAGTCGAGGCGCTCATGGATATAGATGTTGCCGACTCCACAGCTGTGAAGCCCTCAAAGAAGGTTCCCAAGACCGCTTCAGTGCCCCAGCTGACGAGCTTGGCATCGTTCCACGCATCTGCTGCTGGTGACAGTCCTCCGCCGTTATTGCGCGAGTCATCCTCCAGAGTTGCCACCAAAATGCCGCTGTCTCGACAAGAGGAACTCGTTCAAACAGTTCGGCCATGGCTACGTCCTGAAAACATCCGTGACGCTGATCGCCGAAAGCCAGACGATCCACTGTACAATCCACGCACCCTCTATATCCCTCCCTCGGCTCTCGCAGAATTTGGCAACTTTGAAGCACAATTTTGGTCCTTCAAGAAGGAGAATTGGGATGCAGTCATCTTTTTTCAGAAAGGGAAGTTCTACGAGCTCTATGAAGATGATGCCGTGCTTGGGCACCAGCTTTTTGATCTCAAATTGACCTCTCGAGGCATGCGTATGGTGGGTGTGCCTGACTACACATTTGACGACTGGGCAGCACAATTCGTTGCAAAAGGGTATCGTGTTGCGCGTGTTGACCAAATGGAGTCTATCCTTGGCAAGGATATCCGCGAAAAGGAAGGCGCCAAGAAGGACAAGATTGTCAGGCGCGAGTTGACGCAAGTTTTGACACAAGGTACTTTGGTGGATCCCAATATGCTGACTGGTGATCACAATACCTACATTCTGTCGCTCAAGGAGATGGAATGCGACACGGATGGCGCGGTCCCCAAGTTTGGTGTCTGCTTTGCAGATGCAGCTACCGGTCAGTGCTACTTTTCGAGCTTCAAAGATGATTTAGCTCGAACCCAACTGGATACACTCCTTTCACAAGTCAAACCTCGAGAGCTAGTCCTCGAGAAGGGCAAACTGAGTCCTGCAAGTACGAAATGCATCAACAATGCAGTCTCGCCACAAACACAATTCAATTGGATCAAAGATGTCGACTTTTGGGAAGCTGACCGCGTTCGTCTTGAATTGAAGGAAGCACGCTATTTCGAAAGCGATGAGCAAGACTGGCATCCTGTGTTGCAGCGTTGCTTGGCTGATGAAGCGTGTGGCAATGCTCTAGGTGGGTTACTCTGGTATCTGCGCAACCTCAAGCTCGACCATGATCTCCTGTCCCTTGCAAATTTTGAAGACTATCATCCATTGCAGCGCGCTGCGAGTCTGGTGCTTGATGGTGGTACTCTTGTCAATCTTGAAGTTTTCAGCAATACCTGGGATGGCGGTAGTGCTGGTACCTTGTTTGGTCTCATCTGCCGCTGTCGATCACCCATGGGCAAGCGCCTTCTCAAGCGTTGGGTTTGCCATCCACTACGTGACATTGATGCACTCAATGCTCGATTCAATGCTGTTGACTTGCTCATGCAGGATCATGCTTTGGCAACGTCGCTTGAGACGCAATTGCAGGCACTCCCTGATCTGGAGCGGCAATTGGCTAGACTGCATGTTGGCCGATGCAAAGTTGCCGAGTTTGTCAAGGTCCTTGGTGGCTTCTCAGCCCTTGCGAAGCTCCTGCAAGAGCTCGCCGCAACGCTCGAGGGGAAAGATGTTTTGATGGAGAGCATCTTGCAACAAGCGCCAGACATGACTGATCGGCTCAAATACTGGCGCAGTGCATTCAATTGGGAAGCTGCCGTATCGAATGATCCGAAACGTCCTGGAATCATTGTCCCGAGTCCTGGAACGGAGGAAGATTTCGATGCGTCGCAAGAAGCACTGGAGGGTCTCCTGTCGCAATTCGATCCACTCTTGCGTCAATACCAGCGTGATTTGAAGAGCAGTAAGATTGCATACAGGGATGTGGGCAATAGCAAGGATATCTACCAGATTGAGGTTCCCGTCTCTGTCAAAGTGCCGAGTGATTGGCAGCAGATGAGTGCAACAAAACAAGTTAAACGTTACTGGTCCCCTGAAATTGCAGTCTTGGTGCGACAACTCCTCGAGCAACAAGAACGACACAAGGCTATTGTTGAATCACTACAACAACGCTTGTATAAACGCTTCGATGCAGACTTCTCAAGTTGGCATGCTCTTGTCGTCTGTGGCGCGCAGCTGGATTGCCTATTGTCCCTAGCATCTTCAAGCAAGACCCTTGGCGCTCCGGCCTGCCGTCCTACCTTCTTGGCCGATGATACAAGCATTCTGGATCTGAAATCAGTACGTCACCCGTGTGCTGACGCTACCACCTTCATTCCAAATGATATTCTGCTCGGTGGCACAGATGGTGCGCGCATGTCGTTGTTGACAGGTCCCAATATGGCTGGTAAGTCGACGCTACTTCGTTCAGCTTGTACGGCTGTATTGCTTGCACAGCTAGGCCATTATGTGCCTGCTTCCAGCTGCGCCCTTACACCACTTGATCAGATCAGCGTGCGCACGGGCGGTGCAAGGGACAACATTGGTGGAGGACAAAGTACATTCATGGTCGAACTTGCCGAAACTGCCACACTCCTCTCTTCAGCAACACCAAGATCGCTCGTCGTTCTGGATGAACTTGGTCGCGGCACAGGGACCTTTGATGGTATGGCTGTCGCCTTTGCCGTTTTGCAACATCTCCTGACGCGCATTGGCTGCCTTGGCTTCTTCTCAACGCACTACGCACTCCTTGCACAAGAATTCGAAAAGCACCCAGGCTGCAAATTTGAAAACATGAGCTTCTTGTTGGATGAAGGCGGCGACGCCGGGCAGGGTAAAGTGACATTCTTGTACAAACTCGTTGCTGGCATTTGCTCGCACTCGCATGGTCTCAATGTGGCACGCATGGCAGGCCTGCCTGAAGAATTGATCACTGTGGCTGCTGAAGCGTCGAAACGATTTGAAGCACAGCACGGAACAAGTCTGCAAAGCAGACAACAGCCTGAGATCCCTCTTGGCCTTGAGAGCGACCTTATAACGCTGTTTGCTGCAGTGCAAGGCAATGCAGAAGAAGTCACAGAGGATGTCTTGTTACGAATTGCAGACTATGCAGGTAGCGTTTTTGCATAGAAGCTTTCTCTTTGGTCTGCATGCACGCTTTCCAGTGCTATGCTTCGTCATCCATCAAGCCAGCCTGTTCCTCACCGCCAAGCTTGTTGAAGAGATCCGCTTGCTTGCTCTTCTTGCCAAGCGCCATACCTTTACCCCTTGGCACAGACTTTGCACTCAGCTTTGATTCAAATGCCGGTTTAGCAGGCTCCTGCCACGCTTGTTGGACGTGCTGAGCCGCATAGTTGTGGCTGTCGTTGAATCCGCCATTCCCGCCATTACCCCCGCTACCACCACCAGCGCCGCCACGTCGTTGCAGCTCTTTACGTTGCGCATCAAGCTGTTTGGCCCGCTTCTTACGTTCCTCTGTAGCTTCTTGCTCCTTGTTGCGCTCAATAATCTCCTGGATGCGTTCTTCGTGCGAGTCCATCTCTAGAAAGTTGCGCACCTGTGAGAGATTGACATTCTCGCGGTAACCCAGCGTGCAAACCTCATCGAATGCTGTAATCAAGTCAAAAGCAGAACGCAGAATCTCCTGCTCACTGCAACTCGCCTTGCACGTCGCCGTGACGATCTGTGCAAACAAGTGCAGCGTTGCGATGTCTTGCAAGATATTGCTTGCACGGTTTGTGATGAGCACCATGTAGAGTTCTTCTAGTGGTTGATAGACATAACGCACACTGTCCGTTTCAATGGTTGTGTGTTGAGCGCCAGACGCCGTATCAATCAGACCCGGGAAGCTGGCGAGGAGACCCTCGATACGCGCTTTAGGCAGATCTCTGAATTGACGCGAGAGTACCGGCTTGCCGCCACGGGTACAGACAGAGGCCGCGAGTACGACCATGATACGAGTCTACTGTCGAGCTTGCTGAGGAAGTATACCAGCCTGTAACCAGCGCTTGGGTAGCTGAGGTCGTCGCGTGTCAGAGTCGCGGACCACAGCTGCACGTGTCTGCTGACATAAGAATTGATCTTTTCAAACTACTTTCGCAAAACAAGCACTTACTCAGACTTACTCTGCCTACAAGTCGTTGCGAAGTACAGCTGCCTAGCCAAGTACACATCTCATTTGCTTTCTAGAATGCTATCTGTCTATACTGCTGCCAATTGGCTGGCTCTCACATCTGTCAGAAGCATGGCTACCTCCACGAGTCGCTTGCCACGGGAGATGACTCTATCGCTTGAACACTTCCTCGCAAGGAACCGTAGCTTGCATCTCTACCGTCGAATCCATCGCAGTCTCCGCCAAGTCTCAGACTCCCGTTCGAGGCAAGAACTCGCAAAATGGGCACGCTCAGACTTTGAGCGACACCGCCATGAGAAGGACTTGAGCAAGATTCGATATCTCTACTCGACGGGTGCACGACAAGTGCAGCAGATGGAGGCCAGCTTCGCCTTGAGTCGCTAGACTTTCCAACTAGAAGCGAAACTTCAGCTTGTCTGCAGGCTCATCGTCATCATCATCGCTACTCAGTACGATACTCTCCTGTGCTTGCGTCTGACTCTTTCTTGACGCAGGAGATGTCCGCACAGACGCCCTCGTGGGTCGTGTGTTGGAAGCACGAGACTTTGCTGTTGCAAACGACTGTGAGGCGCTCGCGGTCGATCGTCCTTGTCGGCTCTTCACTGTAGCCGGTGTGGCACGCACAGTAGCCGTGTCTGGAAAGTCGTCGTCGTCGTCGACCATTTCCACGTCGTCCTCACTGTCACTCACCTGCTTACTCTTTCGATTGGACCTTGTACAATCCGGTTGAACCTCATCATCCGAATCAGCGATGAACAAGCGACCATTCGTTGCGGGCTCATCTTCATCTGACTCTGCGTAGTCATTGGAATTTGTTTCTGCACCATCAAAGTCAAAGGCAAAAGCCAACGGATCCGCTCGTCTGCCTACACCGATCGCTGATCGTTTGTTCCGTTGCACAGCAACCTGTTCAGCAGGCTCGTCTTCTCGCGTCTCGCGTTCCAGCCAGTCCAGGTCGCGCATGCCAACCAAGTCTTGCTTTGCTGTGTCCTTCACCAGCAGCACAGTATAGCCCAGACCGCCGTAATGACCCTCCAGCACGTCACCTGCCTCCACATCGCCTTTCGGTCGAAATAGCTTGAAATTGGGCCGTCCCTCCCACCGTGGATCCCAGTGCCCACGATTTGATACGGTTGTCTGAATTGCCGGCGCAACACTCTTGACCTGGAATGTCGTAAGAGGAGCAGCCGGCCCAGTCCATTCTTCGTCCACATCCATAGCAGCTTCTTGTGCCTCTTCAGTAGCCTTGTGGTCAATCTGTTCTTTCTGTGTTTCCAATTCTCGCATGACTTCATCTTCCGTGATTTGGGCAACGGGCTCCTTACGCTTGCGCACCGTTGTAGTTAGTGGCAATGCCTCGGGCGATGTGGCCTCAGCTGCAACTCCTTTCCCGATTGACAACTCTGCTGCTTGAGCAGCACGTTTTTTTGCAAACTCGCGAGCAGCAGGTGCATATACAGGAGCTTCTTCCTCAACCTCTTCAATCTCTTCTGTTGGAGCAAGTATGCGCTGTGACATTTGCGATTCTTGTCTTGAGTTTGTTGGTTCCTTCCTAGTAGAACCCCGGGCTCGTGAGAAGAAGCTACTGATAGTCGATTGCTTCGCTGGCGTCTTGTAGGAATCTTGTGGAGGTTGTGATGAAGGGACACGCGAAAGGGATGGCATGACAAGTGACTGACTGGCAGGTGTCGCAGCGGCGCGTGGTTTTGGAATGTGAATACCAGTGGCAGAGGAGCGTTTTGTCGTCGTTGCTGACGTCTGTTTCATTGCTGCCATCCTTTCAAAGGCATTAACGCGTATACGCTTGGCAGCAGGGGGTGAAACTACTTCGACACTGGCTTCTCGCGTCAAGGGTGGCGGCGCCATTTGACTGGACAGGGGCATCTGGCTCGATCCTGGCATGTTTGGTAGAGGCGGCATAGCGGAGGACGGCACACCCAACTGACTGCTTGGAATAGGTTCCATGAGTCCAGTCGCTTGAGAGGCGCGAAACACGTTGTGTGTCCCATTTGACAGGATGATGTCGAGCAGGTCACCGTGGAAGATGTGCTCCGTACATGTCCGCCGCGCCACTTCTAGAACAAGGGTCGCGGCATCGTCCTCCTTTGGGATAACCCACACCGGCTTCTTGCATTTCAGAGCAAACGTTGCAAGGTCTTGAGTGGTCAAAGTACCTTCATACAAAAGGCATTTCCCGCGTCCTTCCTCGATGACGGGTGCGATCTTGCTGTATGTATGGTTACACGCAAAGATGAATTCCAGGCCCTCAAATACGGTTGAACGGGCTTTTGCCTCGTCAGATCCAAGTGGTCGTGGCAAACACACCTCTGGATCATGCTTGCCCGGTCGCTCTGTCGGGTAAAATTTGGAATCGCGAGCGTCCGGCATGTTGCTCATATCTTTTCGTAGAGCATCTTGAGCATCGTAAACGGCTGTGATGAAATCAGGCGACACGATAGGCAAGCCTTTGATAAGCGCCTGCAGTCCTCGTGGTGTATTGACAGTTTTGCAAATAACATGCGAGGTTTTGTGAGTGATTGAGTGGGAGGCTTTGATGTTCAATGCATCGCATTTGCGAAGCAGCTCAGCTTCATCGGGTTTGACTGCCCCTTTGACAATACACACGACCATCGGCTGCCAGAGGATCTTAATGTCAAACTCAAATTTGCCCAATTGGATGGTATTGCTCTCCTGCGTCAAGACATAGATTGCGTTGTTGTCCGTTGATTTGTATCGGATACCATTCACAAAAGTGCCGAATTTTGACTTGTCCATTAGTGTCACTTGAGAGCGTGCATTGGACTGCTCATGCGATCCAGGGATGGCTTCTGCCACCACAATCTCAGTATTGGCACGTGATACCGTCTTGTCGACTTCACCACCAAGGAAGCATTCTGAGCTACGTCCTAGAGTATAACGACTTCCAGGCGGCAGGAGAAGCTGCTTGAACTTGAATTTGAGAGCGGAGGATTCAGGGATTTCAAGTATCCACATGTCGTTGGTGCATAAGTGGAAAGAGCTATAGCAAGTCGCGAGACAAGATCTGTCCGTGACGATGAGCGAATCTTGATAGTAATGTATCTATAGTAGACTCGCGGTAGCCTCAAATTTCAGCAATCAAGCATGACTCTTTGCTCACAATGTGATGTCTGACTGCCTCGTCGCGTCTTGGTCGCTTCGTGCGAGCTCCTCCGCGAATTTCACCACCACAGCTTATGGCTCAAGCTGGAAGACACAGGACTAATATTCTTGCTCAGCTGGCGTGTGGATATGGGCCTCGTAGACTACGATGGTAGCTCTGATGACGCAGGGAGCGACATGCCTAGCGAGATAAGTGGTCTCAAAAACACTGCTCCAGCAAAGCGCATCGATGTCGCACCACTCGTCTCAACAGAAGACCCACTTGAGATGAAGCTTGTGCTAGCTGGGGATGGGAAGAAGGGCATGATCACGAATGCAGACTATGCGACACTATCAAGACCAGTTCAAGGTCCTCAAAATCCTTTCAATGCGCGGACACTTGAAAAGAAGAATGTCGTTACAGGATTTGCAGAAACACAGGCCTTTGATGATGCTCATTTTCGTCGGCAACATCAAGACTTTGCGTCACTGGGCTATGTCAAAGATCCGTCACTAGAAAATGCATTGACTGGGTTTGTCTATGTCGGCGATACTGACAGGGCGCTTGCAATGCACGGTGCAGATGCGCATGACTTTAAGCAAAGTCGGCAAGTCAAGCGTGATCGAAAGCGGAAAAGAGAAGGTCGTGGCGATGTTTCTGTCATTGATGGTGATGGAGCTTTTCGTGGTCCTTGGGCAAAGTACGAGATCGAAGCGCCAAAGGATGCTGATCTTGAATACACGCTTGAGGAGGAGGATGCTGCCCCAGAAGCGCTGGTGCCTGCTCACAAGCCAGAGATTGAGCTTGCAGACATAAGAATCGAATCAAACTTCGGCGCCGAGACGTCAGAGTTCTTTGGCAAATCGCTGCGCGACTATCAAGGAAGAACATATATGCATGTTTCACGAGATATTGGTATCGACCTAGAAAAGGAGCCTGGTCAAGAAGAGTGTTTTGTCCCAAAACGCAATATACACTCATGGACTGTGCACAAGAAGAGTGTCACTGCATTGCGCTTCTTCCCCAAATCAGGGCATTTGCTACTCTCTGCATCCTCGGACTCGAAAGTGATGCTCTTTGATTGTCACCACGAGCGATCGCTTCTCAGGGAATATTCTGGGCACTTCAAGGCGGTGCGTGATGTCTGCTTCAATGCAGATGGTACACGCTTCTTGTCTGCAGGTTATGATGCGCAAATGAAGCTGTGGGATACAGAGACTGGCCAATGCATCTCCAAATTTACAACCGGGAAATTGCCGTACGTGGTCAAAATCAACCCAGACAAAGACAAGCAGCATGAATTCCTGGCGGGCATGTCAGACAAGAAGATTGTGCAATTCGATATGAAGTCTGGCGAGATTGTGCAAGAGTATACACACCATCTTGGACCTGTCAACACAGTGACATTCATTGATGAGAATCGACGATTCGTCACTACGTCTGACGACAAGTCGTTGCGTGCCTGGGAGTATGGTATCCCGGTACCCATCAAGTACATTGCGGAACCAGAGATGCACAGTATGCCGGCTGTTGCTGTGCACCCATCGCAAAAGTACTTTGCATGCCAATCGCTTGACAATTCAGTCGTGGTGTACTCTGCCATTGACAAGATCAAGCAACAGCGCAGGAAAATCTTTCGAGGACATGGTTGTGCGGGTCATGCGATTGAAATTGCGTTCTCTCCTGATGGTAAGTATCTGAGCAGTGGTGATGCTGGCGGGTATGCGTGCTTCTGGGACTGGAAGACATGCAAGTTGCTGAGCAAGTTTGCGGCGCATAAGGGGCCGTTGACCCAAATAGCGTGGCATCCGCAAGAGACGAGCAAAGTTGCTACGGGAGGTAATGACGGAGTGATTCACTATTGGGACTAAGTCAATGCTATAGGATAGGTATTATATCTTGCTTCATCACTGCTGCTTCTGTAGTTGTCCAGGGCCATCCTTCAGGCGCGAATTTGAAACAGGGAAAAGACGCGCACAAGAAATAAAACAAATACACCCGCCACCATCCAGCAGCAGGCCATGGCAACCATTACCATGACCTTGCACCAGGCACAGAGGGCACAAACAGGGCTACTCCCTCTCCCCATGTGTGGTGTGCATTCCACATCACCAACTTCCATCGCCGGCGCAATGTCACCGCTTGAACAGGTAGAGGCGCATACACGCGTCCCCATGCAGCGTAAACGGTCGCGCGAGCAAGCATTTGAGCAGCCATCAGACGACCGTCCTGTGCCTTCCTCACCGCTCAGTGAACGCTCTTGTGTATCAACGCAGACTTATATGGAATCACCGAGTGATCTTGTTCGGACGCGCAAGCGAATGGGTCAATTGATGACTGAGGCACAGCGAGCACGACAATCGCAACAGACTGTCTGCAGATTGATGCAAGGCGCTCGTCTCTGTGATGAACAACCGTCCCTTGGCGCAATACGGAGCTGTACGTCCTGTGGTGTAGTACAAGGCAATTTGATTGAATGCGCAGTCTGTGTCTCTGCCGTGTGTCGTATATGCAGCATGACACTGTACTACGCAGGTGACAGCGTTGATGCTTGCTTTGACTGCGCTCATGGAGGGGATGCGCGATGATTGGCTATGATGGATGTTCTTCAATCTTTTGGCCATGGCGATGCAATGTTGTTTCAAATGCTATGCTGTTCTACCTCTTGTACTTTCACTGCCGATACAATGCATCCATGACATGATCTAGGCGCGAGGCACGAGCCTTGGACGTACCATGCCGAGTCTCTTCTTGACTGGCATGACACTGACTCCGTTGTGCGATCCACAAGGCTGCCTCATGGGAGATGACGGGAGACGAGTCGCACCAGCAATACTCCCTGCGTCTTCATCTTCCAGCTTGTAAGGTGGTGGCAAGTCCTGAGAAATGCATCGACTGCTAGGCTGTTCCTGCTTTGCCACTTTGTGGTTGGCACGACGATAAATGATTCGATCCGGGGATGATGATAGCTCGACCGTCAGATGATCTTCAAATGTTCGTTTAGCAGTCATTGCTACAGGCTCAGGCACAGGCTGAATCCGCAATGGGTGTTCCTTCTCAGCAGGCCGTTGAAAGAAGCTCGCGATACCAGGTTGTACCAAAGCCGTCTTCATAGTTTTTGCAGGTTTGATCACTTTGATAGGCCGACAGACGTTCAGTTGTTCTCGAGGTGCATCACGCAAGACCGTACTAGCACTCGCAAACCCCGCCATGGCACCTGCCGGTACAGCTGCAGGCCCGCGCTGTAAGCGAGAGGTCTCGTCGTTGGCTTGAATGTCATGGCGTTCTGATGGAAGATCAATAAAGTCGTCCTCGCTCGACCTCATGAGGCCGGCAGGTACCGTTTCACCCAAAATGGCTGCAAGTTCACCCACCAGCTTGGTGGTCAGTTTGGGTCCACGATCCATAAAGAAGGGTTGCATCACCGGTGCTGCTAGGAAGCCACTCAGATGGACAGACTCGAATCGAGCGGATTTGAGTGGATGACTGAGGTAGAGGAGGGCTTTTGCGCGGGTCATGGCGACATAGAGCAGTCGCCGCTCTTCGTCCTGCTCCGTATCTTCTGCTCGAGATGAAGGAATACTGCCATGGTAGACCCCAGGAATAAATACGACTGGCCATTCAAGTCCCTTGGCGCTGTGAATGGTGGAAATGGTGACAGTCTGCTTTTGATCACCCTCGCCAGTCGCGGCGTCTGACATAAGTGATAATGCAGCAAGCAGGCGGTCAAGTGAAGACTGCTGTACGTTATTGTAGCCTTCCAATGCCGGAAGGCCCTCGTCTTCTTCGCTGACTTGACCTAAAATGTGTGCAGTCTGTGTGAACTCGGTGATGTCTGCCAAACGGTCTGCGTGATCTTCTGGGTAGCACTCTTTGATGTAGGCTTCGTAGCCAATACCAGCAATCAAACCTTCAAGAAGTAGCACGACCGAGTATTCCGCATCTTCCTCGACGCAAGTTCGTGCATGCTCAACAACCTTCACCAGGCTCGATAGTCGCACACGCAGTGACGCGTCATTGCGATCCGATAAGCACAGTCTGCCCTGATACGCCATCTTCAAGGTCGCCCAAAGCGAAAGCTTCCGTTGTGAAGCATGCATAGAGAGCTGCTCAATAGACTTGGCACCAAATTTGCGACTCGGCACATTCACAATTTCGAGTAGTGCCGGTGCAAAAGGATCTTGGATGACTCGCAGGTAGCCGACGAGTGTTCGAATATGTGGACGTTCCAGAAACTTGCGAGCATTGGCAAGCTTGTACGGGATCCGTTTTCGCTGCAATGCCTGCTCGATTGGCAAGGTCAGCGATGCAGACCTGACTAGAATCGCAACGTCTTGCTCAGTGATGAGAGTGCCCGTGTTGTTCAGCAGACGACGAATCTCAGTCGCGAGCCAATCTGCTTCCGACGCTGCAGTCTGGAGAACACGAAGGCACGGTTGTGGTCCAATACCGTGGCGTGCAGCCAGCTGTTTGGCGGGCCTATCTGGATCTTGCTCAATGAGGGCAGCAGCGGCAAAGACAATACTGCCGCTCGAGCGGTAATTTGAGTGCAAGTACACTTCTGTACAGTTGTAGGATTGGTGTATGCGTTGGAAGTTGCGAATATCAGCAGCACGGAAGCCATATATACTTTGATCGTGGTCACCAACAACTGTCAACTGCTGCTTCGCTTGAGCAAGTAAGGTCATGAGGTCGAACTGCACAGTCGAAGTATCTTGGTACTCATCAACGAAGACGTGCGAAATGCGAGAGACCGCTTGCGGCATGAAGGTGAGCAGACGTATGCACTGTATGATCAAATCGTCAAAATCGAGCAGATTGTGTTGCGCCAAATGGTCTTGATAGGCCTCGTACATTTTCTGCAAAGCGTCGATCATGGAAGGTGCCAGCTTGATGGGGCACTCTCGCATTTTCAAAAAGCTGCGCATGTCTGCCGGCTGCACACCCATACACTTCAGCTTGCTCAAGTGAGACATTGCAGTGCTCGGTGAAAGCGTTTCGTCCAAGTCGCCGTCTTTCTTGATCTTTTTCAGCACCTTGGCAACCACGTTGCGTGACTCTGATGCATCCGCAACAACGATTCGTTTCGGTAGTCCGATAGCCACTCCATAGCGCTGCAGATAACGTAACGCAACAGCGTGGAATGTACCTACAATCAACTTGCGGGTGACATTTTCACCCACCAGCACAGCGAGTCGCTCCTTCAGCTCCCTTGCAGCCTTGTTCGTGAAAGTCACAACAATGATCTGTTCTGGAGGCATTCGGCGCTCGACAATCATAAGAGCCACGCGCACAGTAAGTACGCGTGTCTTGCCGGAGCCCGGGCCAGCGAGGATCTGCAGGACAGGAGCTTCATGCGTTACACAGTTCCGCTGTTCTTCATTCAAGCCTTGCAGCAGGATGTCTCTCTCCATATTCAGCTGTATCAATTGGATAGCAGTATCTGAGCTGTGCTCATGTAGATCAGCTTCTGTACGGAATAAGCAGTAGATACCAATCACTGATGTGTACTATGTAGAAACATAGCGCAGTCGATGATTGTCGCGCGCCAGAATTTGTAAACATAAACAAACGGAACCACGACACCGCGATACTACACATCCGACAACATGGCAGCTACAATGAAGAGCGCTCCAGCGCTGCCAACCGTCGACTTCAGTCTTCTTACAAACCTCAAGGACCGTATGGACGCATTCACCGTCGAGTTCGACAAGTTCTTCATTGCAGGGCGCGAACAATTGCGAAAGGAGAAGAATGATTTCGCCGCAGGCATGGCAGAGGATAGCAGTCAGCAAAAGGCGCTGATCCAGGCGATTGAGAAGACAAAGATAGATCAGCACGAGCTCTTGGAAGTCATGCAGAATGAGCGCGCCGAAGTGCAGGAAGTGCGCGCTTCTATCTCGGAATACAGCAAGAAGCAAGAGTCTTTATCAGGACACAAAGAGCTTCTTGAAGGACAGATCAGCGAGGTGGAGGAGATTCTGGCAAAGAAGCGTGCGGCAATGCACATCAAGAGACAAGAGTTGGCTTCACAGCACGCCAAGAATAGGCCAGAGTTGCAAGCCTGGGAATCACAGCTTGGGCTTCGCATTGAAACGGCGGGTACGGATCTTTTGCGCTTCACATTCACGCGCGTAGATGAGAAAGATCCAGACAGACCATGTCGGATGATTGTGGATGTCAGCGGACCCGACTATGATGTGACAGAATGCTCGCCGAGTTTGCCAGCGATGGAGTCGATGCTCACCGAACTCAACAGTTCCAGGGACTTCAGTGCCTTCCTCAAAGTGACTCGACAGGCTTTTAAGAGCGCTTGTAGGATATAGTTGATTGTGCAACGTAAATCATTTCAACAGTCAGGTGATTCGTATCCGTCAAAGGCCGCTCCGATTGTGCACTTTCCGATGATGTCTCGTTTGTGCTCGTTGATTCGATTTTGCATATGGCGACAGCATACTCAGCAATGCCCAAAGTCGGGATCTCGAATTTGGGTTGGAACCCCATCAAGGTTTCTTGACAGAAATCGTCGTGATCTTCGCTTGGACAGAGCCTGACCGCGTGAGAGCGCGCGTGCCAACACAGTACCAATTTTGCTATTTCATGATGAGTCTGAAGAGTCGGATAAGCACGGATACGCGTCCATGGGCCATCCGTTTCTAAATGTGTCAATCAGTTCCTCCCTGCGCTCGTTGATCCATTTCTTTGCGACGCGAGCAGCATACCGATGGTTACCCCAAGTGCCCCAGCTCAGCATGAATCGATGAAAGTCAACGACGCAGAGCTCGTAATGCTCCAACATGGTCTCGTAGGTGTATTGTTTCGTAACCCTCCCAGACTCCGTGATCAGGTGTTCGTGGTAATAGCGAAGCAATACATCCAGACTTTGCTCGTTGATGTCAGCCACAGATGTCACCAAGAATGCAGCAACATCGCGCATGGGCGTCGAATACCCACAATACTGGAAATCGTAGAGTGCCACGTCCGTATTTTCCGCGTTGAAGAAAACCTTGGCAGCTTTGACATCCCCGTGAATCAAGGTCATGCCGTCAGCTCCAATGTCTTTCAACTTCCGATTGATAAAATCGGGCAGAACATTCAGCCAGTCCTTCAGCGGATTGTCATCGGTCTGAAGGTTCCTGGCTTCCGCCCGACGCGTGTCCAAATACCAGTAGGTGCCAGTCTTCCAGTAACTGAAGCCTTTGCTTCGGCCACTCTCCTTGATGTCATCTTGTACAACATGGCTGAGGTCGTTCTCTCTTGCATTCGGTGCTGGAATGATGCGTAAGCCCTTGGGGTCGTCTTCTCCATCAGAGCCAAAGTTGGCGCCGTGAAAGCGTGCTAGCCAGCGAAGGACCAGTTTGGCACTTTCATGATCCAATGGCCGAGACTTTGTAACCGGAAAAGACTTCTCAAGATCCTCCATCTCGAGAAAGTCAGTGCCGCTGTCGATGTACTTTGCAATCCTAGCAAGGCCAACATGCCCGTTGGGATTTTCTATGTACAAATGACGCTCAACTTGATACGATATGCGCTTCCGCATAGAATCATCCGATCGATTATCAGGTTCGTCGTCAACCTTGGGCAGCATGACGCGTTTGATAATGCTTGTAGAGCCGTCTGCAGCAGTCTTGCGCGTTATCTCGCCATACCCTTTCCACAGCGTAGCGATAGTCTCTTCTGAGTTCTGGTCTCGTAGCTTTCTTTCAGAGCCTTTCAGTATCGTATCAGTAAGCCCTTTGAGAGACATGAAGCGTCGACGATTGGTCGTGGTAAGATCTTGTGTGGTCATTGCCACCAATCGCGGATGGCACGGAAACCCCATCTGAAAAAGGCTCTAGCTTCAAACTCTGCTGGCTACAGGGTCGACAACCGGTACTCCCTGGCCAGGTGCAGTCTGCCCATGTCATGCTTCACTAGGCTTGACTGCTCCAAGTCTTACTGAGTAACAAGTATGGAACACGAGGCAATTGGAGAACAAATAGCGCTTGAATGCAGCTTAGAGCGCTTAAATGATGCGGCAAGCTCATTTGGGTTCTCTGTTAAACATATGCCAGGCAGAGGCCGCTGCTGTATAGCTACAAGACACATACGCTCCGGTGAGACTTTAGCTCTAGATCCACCGCTCCTCTACTGGGAAGATGAACCCATGCAAAATTCTGTCGTTGCAAACAGTCTTTACAACGCGTGCGGCGGCCGAGTGCACGCCAACGTGGTCAATCTCTTCTCAGCTTACATCGATGCATCACCGGAAATTCAAGAGCGTGTTGATGACTTTGCAGTGGCAGGCTCCCCTCAAGAAGCTCGGTTCATTGCCGACAAGACTGCTGTGTGGCAGGAAATTTGCAAGCAAATTTGGTCTGGCTGCAGCGAGTATCACGATCAACTCAAGTCAACGTCCAACATGGTCGCCTTGCTTACCAAGTCACACATCAATGCACATGGTTTCAATGGAGGTCATGCTATGTTGGAAGTTGCCAGCAAGTCGAATCACGCTTGCAGTCCTAATGCGACCTATGTGCCAATCATTCTCGATGGACGAAAGTTCATGCGTTTGCTCGCCATCAAAAATATTGCACCAGAGGAAGAGATCTTCACAACATATATCGCTGGTCTAGATATGCTTAACTCGACTCGAAATAGACGGGCATTGCTTGTTTCTCAGAAGGCATTTGTCTGTCGATGCAGCCGATGCATTGCACCTGACTTGCAATCTCGCTTGCCATGTCCAGCCTGCAAAACGGGTACCATGATTTGGCATGATACAGTAGAGCACCCATGGCATTGCCAACAATGCGGGCGTCGATTCTGGGATGGCCAGGTCAATATGCGTGAAAAGCAGCTGCAAGGCCTGCTGTCCAACCTGGACAGTCAGATGAATCGTGGTGGATTCCCTCCTTTGAGTATTATGGCTTTCCTCATGAGAGATGTTGAGGAGGATCTTGGACGGCATCATTACCTTCAGATTCAAGCGTGGTCGCTGATGGAAGAGCTCTTTGCCTATCGGAGCGTGGCTGGTCTAGCAGACGATGCGACAGAACGTCCAGTACGTCTAGCGAACGCCTGGAAGTATGTCCGCTTTCTCATGCTAGAGTTCTGGGATACAACGCCTGTTGTCGCCACCAACTTGTCAGTCCTGAGACTACAGACGCTCATTACTCACGGAGCCGACTCTCAATCAGGCCAAAAGCGCCTGCCGCCCCCTGGAGTACCTTTACATGAGCTCAAGAAGGTCTTGAAGCGAGCGAGCCAGTTTCTCACAACATTCTTCGGCGAACAAGATATTGATGCTCAGTCATTTCGCCAAGCACTTCAAGACTACAACTGTTGCGCTCGGGAAAGCTGCGACAATACACTCACAGAGACATGCGTGGCGTGCCCGAAGTGTTCTCTCCTGTATTGCAACCGAAAGTGCTTGAACGCTGACAAAAGCTTACACGAAGCTTACTGCACACTTGCACAAAAGGTCGGCGTCCTAGTCAATGATCCCAGGGAACTGATAGCAGCCATATAGAGGTCAACATGACCAGTTTCAGTAATCTAATGCTTACAGCTTTATTGTCTATCCTTGATGGTTCAAGATTGCTGCATCCGCAAGGCAGACAGCACGACACTCTGCTCGAGGATGTCCACTGCTTGCTGCACTTCAAGATGCCGTCTTGCCATAGTCATCCAGTCTTTACTCAAAAGTCGGGGCCAGCCCTTGAGCTGGTTCATCTCGCGTGTCGCCGAGTCAAGGTCGTTGGCCTCAAGATAAGCTTCTGTACGCGCCAAGATAGCCTCGACATCAGAGCCGGGGACCATACCCTGCTTCCTGAATAGCACTTTGGAAAGTAGCGCAGAAGTCGCATGACCAGCGATACCAGCACCTTCAGGCAACAGCGCAGCTTTACGCACTTCATCCGCCACGACACGGAAACGATCTGCCAATTGACCGGTTGTGGGGATACCATTCTCCATTGTTTCGCGGTCTAAAGCACCAATAGCTGCCCGCACAAGTGTGTCTTCACCAGCAATCTCCTTGACAGCCGCAAGCTCCTGAATGAAAGGTCTGGACTCTTGCTCGTGCAAGACATTTTTGAGTGCATGCATAGCGACTTCCAGATCCTGAAGCTTGACGCGATCTTCAATAAAAGCACCAGCCTCGACATTGAGCTGCTTAAGCTCCGTGATGCCCTTCTCGAGCTTCTCAAGCTTACCAAGACGTCCACCACGCTCTTCTTCCACGCGAGCACCAATTTCACGGTTGAAGCGGCGTTGCAGCTCAATGGCCTGCTCCATCAACTCATTCTGCAGCTTCTTTTGCGCCAATTTCTCCACTTGAGCCACTTCCTCCTTCAAGCGTTCTGTGTAGGCTTGATTGAGCCGTTCACGTTCCTGTTCAAGCTCCACCGTCATACGTCGCTCGTAGTCAGCAATTTGCTCATTCACCTCGCGAATGTGCTGTTGTTGAATCTCGCCGTAACGCTTTGCTTGATCAGTCAATTTCTTCTCCAGCTCAGCATGCTCAGTCTTTTTGATGTCGTGCACTCGCTCATTGAGTGACAGGACCTCTTCCTTGGCATTCTCCAGACAAGCCTGGAAGTAAGACGAAGAGCCATACTCGTTTGCAGTCGTAATGATACCATTCAAGGCGAATTGAAGGCGCTCAATGACACGATCACCAACATCCTGAACTTCAAAGGGCTTGAGGGGTGCACTGGGTGGAGGCACCGTGAGGGAAGCAGGGTCAGCGGGTTTGGTATCAGCCTTGCCAACGAAGCCGACAGGCACGGTGTTTGTGCCAGCAGCTGCTGCAGCTGCAGCATTGGCGGCGTCGGTGGGAGGTGCAGAGGACGATGCTTTGCTTGAAGCTTTACCAACACTTTGTTCGGCTGCCTTCTTGAGTGCAGGCTGTGACTCGCGTTGAGCAGGGACAGGAGCAGGCTCAGAAGTCTCTTTTGAGGCTGCAGGCGCACTCCTGCTCTCAACTCCTGTCTTTGGTGCGGGTTGCGTGGATTTTGCATTGGGTGCCAGCTGAGGGCTTGACTTGTTGACTTGAGCAGCATCATTTGCACCACCTGGAGTCGCCTTGTGCTCCTGCTTCAACGCACTATTTTGCGGACCAGGCTGCAAAATCTTGGCCTCTGACGTTTGGCTTGCTGGGTCATGCAGGCGTGCTTGCGCTCCGGACCTCGGGATATACACGGATGCAGAAGAGGCGCGAGTAGACGATCTGCCTGCCTGTGCCGTTGCATTGGGGAAGCGTTTGCGGAACTCTTGCTCTTGAATGTACAAAACAGCGTCTTCGCCATATGGCACGTACTCGGTGAAAATCTCGTACACTGTATCGTTTTGAAGAGAACCATAGACACCGCCGCCAAAGAGCAGTGCTCCGCCGAGAATCGTCGCGAGCAGGGTGTTTCGCAGACGGTGCGAGGCTCTCGGCGGTGGAGGCGGGGGAGGGTTGGCATGAACCACAACAGGTTCAGATCCCATTGGAACTGCACCACCTCGATTGAGTTCAGGCACAGCTCCGACTTGTGCAGCTGGAATTGGCTCTGCAGTTGCCTTAGTGGCCGCTGCCTCTGGCGACGGTGGCATCATGGGCGGTACGGCATCCTGCGAGCTTTTGGGGACACGGGCCGCCCTGTTGGGTGGTAGAATGGGTATATCGGGCCTTGTTGCATAGAGCCTGATACACGGCCTCTGCCTGACGACCCTGCTAACCGACCTCATTTGCTGTAGCTGCTGAGTGTGGTAGCTATTTGGCTCTCCCGACGTCAACTTGGCGCGAGATCCGACAAATGCACGTGTGGCGCGAGAGAGCAGTCCGATACAAGCTACTTAGCTCTAAGTTAGCTGCTACTCCTCTCAAAGTACTGCCAGTACATGTACTACACCTGAACAATCGCATACTGAAGGCTACACTGGTTTACTGCTTGACCAGTCATGACTGCTAGGAAGGCTGCGCATGCCGGAAGCTGGTACTCTGACAATGCCGCTGAGCTCGGGAGCAAGCTAGACTCCTACATTGCACAGACGGACACTGAGCAGCACAGTCTCCCGGGTGCTCGCATCATCATCTCGCCTCATGCTGGCTACTCGTACTCTGGCCCCACAGCTGCGTTTGGCTTCAAAGCCCTTGACTTGACTGGGATGTGCGTACCGTGCTGCTCTCCAGAAGCATGCTGACTTGCAGCCAGCGTATCTTCATACTTGGCCCGAGCCATCATATGATCATGAGGGAGTGCGCTCTTCCGCAAGCCACAATTTACGAGACACCTCTGGGGCCTCTGCAGATCGATACTGATGGTATGGGTGCTGATCATAAGACTCAAACTAATGTTAGCAATTGCTCGACTGCGCGCAACCGGCAGGTTCGAGAACTTGGCAAACTGTTATGATGAACGAGAGCACTCCATCGAGATGCAGCTACCGTTCTTGAAGCACATCATGGGAGACAAGGACATTCCCATTGTTCCCATCCTCGTGGGTGGCTTGTCATTCGATGTCGAGTGCGAGTACGGTGACATTCTCAAAAACGATGTGGCAAACCCTGCAAACGCGTTTGTCATCTCGAGTGACTTTTGCCACTGGGGCCAGCGGTTTCGATACAAATACTTCCATGCTCCACCAAACGAGCCGGTCAAATCGGTCAGAAGCGAGAAGAACCTGCCCATCAAGATCTGGGAATCCATCGAGCTGATGGACCGAGAGGGAATCAGATGCATTGAATCGCAGTCTCACGAAGCTTTCGCGGACTACCTTGACGAGACGGGAAACACAATATGCGGCAGACACCCGATTTCTGTCATGCTTGCTGCCATGGAGAGAGCTGGCTTGCCTGGTGCTTGGCAACTGCTAGACTATCGTCAGAGCAATCAAGTCATCTCCGGAACCGACGGCAGTGTCAGCTACGTCAGTGAGGTGTTTGTACTTGAGACTTGAGAAGGCAGAAGCAAATGATTTTATGTATGACTAATGACCATTCAGACTGTAGCGACTTTTCTCTCATCAGCAGCTTCCAACATCCACTCCCAGTCAAACACACTGCAAGGTTTCTTGACCGCTTGCGCTTTGTTCGAAAAGGTCGATGCTAGCAGCAATCGCATCGGCGTATTCTCTTCATTCGGTCGCGTCGGCCTAGTCTCTTCATCGAGCCACCAGGGTATATCAAGGTTGGCAGCTTCCTCTAGCTCCGCTTCCATGTCAATGCCAAGCGATTCCAACTCCATCTCCTCGTCGTCAACAGCATTGGCAACAGCATGCTTCTTGCGGGAGGGCCCCTCAATCCGTTCATCTGAGTCGGATGACGCGATTTCCTCGATGCGCCGCTTCTGTTTCCGGGCACGTAGCGGGAATGAGGGACGAGTCACAATGCCGGGCGATGTCAGCACGGATGTTTGCGAATGAGCTTGTTCTTGTGATGGAGCAATTTTGTTGTCATAAATCCGCGTCATCTTTTCGGATCCCTTGAGTGAGGCAGCAGCGAGACGGTCTTCTTCGTCGTCCATGTCTGAGTTCTCACCGACATTGTCTCGAGCTGCTGTATCAGTCTCAGACTCGCTGTCAAGCACAATAGGCCGCTGCACCGATGATGGAGCAGGTAGCGAGGGATTCTCCGCCAAGATATCGTCTACACTTGCATCCGACAGTTCTGCCCACTCAGTGTCCTTCAAATGTCCCTGCATTCGCTTAAAGTCTTGCCGACCTTGCTTGACCAAATCGCTTGCCGTCAACCGACCATTATCATTCGCTTTGCCAGCAACCTTTCTGAGCTTCTGCAAACTATCCTTGAGCAGCACAGTGTGTCGTACCACTTGAGAAGCAGAAATATCATCAGCCGGCTTGAGAGCCTTGCCAACGGCCGAACCTTGCGTCCGCGCAGGAAGCCCAGACTTGTTGCTTGTTGACAGATTTCGCCGCTCCTCCAGCTCCCATGACGGCGTCTCTTGCACATTGCTGATCGACACATGTTGCCTGGGAGTAGCTTCCGCGTGCTCTGCTTCCTCTTGTGTCGGAGCAGACTGCACTTGCATGACTGTATCCATAAGGACAGTCACCTCGACGGAAGGCTGAGTGACAAGGTCAGCATGAGCCTGTTGAGTAGTTGCGCCGGCATCCGCTCCAGACTCCAAGGAAGACTGCTCCACCTCTGTCACTATTTGCTGCTCAACAACTGTTTGCTGCCCATCTGTTCTTGCAACCGCAGTGTTTGTTGTGGTTCTCACAACAGCGGCACTCTCGAATGGTGTGGATTCTGCGACTGGCGAGCTGGCAAAGACAGCACGGTAACGGTCGCCAGCTGGTGGCATCATCACGCGTACACGTGTGGGACTCGAGGGAGAAGAAGCCTTGCGCGACTGCTGCGTACTCGCTTCCCTCTCTCCTTGTGTTTGCAACGTACGCGCCTCGGTGCTGACCCTCTGTGTCTCTTTGACGGGAGACGACGGCCTCAAATTTTGAGGCTGTAATTGCGTAGCAGCAGGCTGTGGCGTTTGAGACTGAAGGACAGGAGAAAGTCGCCTTGGAGCTTGCGTATATGGCACATCGCTGCCAGCAGCTTGCGCTTGAGATGACTGGCTTTTGGTCGACGTGATCGACGCAAGTGGTGAAGTAGCCTTTTGCGTAGCGAACAAAGTGGCAGTTTCGTTTGCGTCACGCATGATGGTGTCCGAGTCTGTTTTGTGGACATCACCAGTCTTGGCCTCCTCAGAAACCAGCACTGCTGGATTCTCGGCGTCCATCATCTGCACGTCAGAGGCGAGCTCGCGAGACAGATCGCCATCATCAGGCGGCGTCGGCATGCTGCTCTTGCCCTGGCCAGACGAGGGCGGTGTATGCATGCTAGGTGCTGGGCGATACTCAGGTCGCACAGGTGAAGCGACGCCCGCGACCTGCTGGATTGCCTCAGTAGTATCGGCAGGCTCATCCGCTGCTTCGACCGATAAGGTTTCTCGTCCCATAGGGACCGAGCCAGAAGGGATCTTTGCATGCGTTGCCATTTGTGTCGTGGTGATATCAGTGGGCTCGACATCCTTATTAACAGATTGCAATTGGGCCTGCATACGCTTCGGCTGGGCAGGGTCAAGGAACTCATCTTCACTGCTACTGCTGTCGTCAGGATATGACACTTGCGTCGGCAATGACTGAGTCTCCATGACTGAACCAGGCAATGGCACGAAAGATTGCCTCGTCTTGTACGTTTCGCCCTCATCGCTATCATCGTGCGAGTGAACTGGAGCCGGTATGTGGCGGCCACCTTGACCAAGCGGAACACCAAGATCCTGGTCAGCGTAACTCGCATGGACAGCTGTTGCTATCGGACTGCTTGCAGGAGCAGCAGCATTTGTCAGCTCGTTCGTGTCATCACCATGCAGCCTGCCGGGGATGAAGGGAGCGACAGAGTCGGGTTTCGAAGCGACAGGCGAATCAGGCTCACTAGGGGACGAGTGAGGTGGCGGGCTATTGTGGCCTCTTCTAGGTGGCGGCGACGGCGAAAGCTCCCATTGTGATGCAGGGAGCTCGACATCATCACCGTCATCCTGTGCAGATTCTTCTGTCGTTTTCAGACTTGCAGCAGTGTGTTTCCTGGCAGCTTCTAAAGATTGCTTCAGTGCATCTGCAGCGACCTTTGCAGCAGCAGCTTCCTTGGCCTTCTTGGAAACGTGCTTGATCGCCTCAATCTTATAATTGCCTTCAGGCCTCCAGCAGTCTTCGCTCTCGAGCACTGCAACTTGATCGACAGGAATGGTTTGGTCATAGTAAGTCAAGTCTTGGAAATCAGACCAGCCTTCGTGAATCAGGACTCTCGTCACGCGTGGAGCGACAGGCTCTGCTGCCTCTCCCGCTTCTGCAACTTGACTTCCAGATGGAACGCTAGTTCGAGGTATCTCTAGCTCTTCGACCTGAGCGGCGACTCCGGGCGATTGTGGCGGCGGCGGCGGCGACTTGGTGCGTGCTTCTACCTTGGCGGGGGCAGCCAAGGCCACTTGGGTAAACTGAGGCTCCATCTTTTGCAAAGGCGTAGCTTGAGAGGAACTGAGCTTCGCCGCGATAGCGCTTGCAGGAGGAGCAGCTTTGGCAGCAATCGGAGCAACGAGAGGTGTTGAAGGTGCCACAGTATTGAGCTCGGAGTCAGGACGTTGTAAAGAGGATAAATCCTTGGCCTTTCCAATTGGAACTTCCTGAGATGTCCCTAGTTTTATGGGTGGTGCGGACTGGCCATTCAGGTCCATGCGTACAGCCTTCGCGGGAGTCTTTTGAGCAGCTTCCGCTTGTAAAGCCCTGCGTAAGCTCGTGACCGCTGGGCTGGGCTGAATCGCAGCTGGCGTGGCTAGGGCTGGTGTTGGGGACTCAGTCTTTTTGACGGACTGCGTCGCCATTGCTGCAATTGCCGGTGGATATGTAGTGGCGGGTACAGCAGGCTTGACCGCAATGTTAGCGAGCCCTGAGGGTAGTTTCTTCAGCATTGCAGCTGGCGCTTGTGTGAATGGCTGTGGTGAGGCATCGCCGATGTCTAGGGAGTCATCAGATTCATTTGCCTGGCTGCGGATTTCCTCGTCCTCATCGGCTTGTGCAGGAGATGCCACTTGTGACTGTAGCAAGCTACCAACCTTGCGCGTATTGAGCACTTCTCTAGCTGGGACCAAAACGTTGAAGTCCTTGGGTACACCGAACAACTGCTCACCAATACCACTAAAGACCGAGAAAGACGAAATGAGTAGCCTGGCTTTCGCTCGCCGCGCTTGATCTTTTCCGGCTTCCAAGAAGATCTCAACATGGCCTTTGATATTGTGTATGATAGCAGCCCTAAGTTGCGTGAATCGCATGCCCGTCTCTCCCATGACTTTCTTCTCGCATTCTCTCGTGAAGGTACACGGGATCTTGACTTGACTATCAGACACCCAACCATTGATCAGCTCGCTATCTGGCGTCCTTTCGAAGCGGAAATTGAGGAACTCGAGGAGTTGCAAGGGCTTTGTCCGCTCCAAAGGCACCCTGTAAGCTTTAGCAGCGCTAATCCTGGCGCACAAATCTTCCTCGAGCCATCCATGCAGTACAGCAGCCATCGAAAAGTTGAGCTTGGCAGCTGATTCACCCTCTCATAGACCCGAGTAGCTGCTGGCAGTTGCACTGGCCGACCTGCTGTTCGCGGTGTTCAGTCTGGTCGCACTCGAGCTCGCCGTCGCGTCGAATTGATGAAAGCGCGCCGAAGAGCAACGCCCGCAGCAGCACCAAACAGACGCACTCTCAAGGGGTTAGCTGTCGCTTGCCAGGGTGTTTTGCATGGCCACCAGGGGCATATTTGTCGCCTGACCCTCGCTGCTTAGTGGATAGAAGCAATACTGGAACAGACGGCTCATATAAGCATCGCCTTGTGTCGACGACAAATGCGCGCAGCATTCTAGCCCATCCTCCTCCTCATTCACTGTATCACAGCGTTCAGTATGGCTAAAGATGCTCAAGCTATGCAGGATGTATCCGAAGGCAGTTCGCCGCATCTCTTCTCCTTTCCGTCGCCTCCTCAGGAAGAGGAAGACACCACAATCGGAAAGCTCTATACGCAGATGCACAAGCGGATCGCATCTATTGTCAACACAGCAACTTTGAACGTTTTGAGTGCAGAATCATCGCCCGCTAAGTCTGCGCAGGAAGCGCCGGACGCCATCAAGCACAATAGAGGCAAACAACCGGCGTCCGAGAGATCTGTTGAGCCAGACACGGCCTCCGGATCAGGCATGTCCAGCTTCACCTTCCCACAGAAGTCTGCTCCAGTCAGTAACTCTGCCAGCGTCCGCACTTCAGAGCGCGACCAAAGCACTGAACCAAGAGCGAAACGTATGCTACCAGGGCAGACTGGCGCCGCGCTTGCTGTCACAGCGCCGCCAGTGGTTCAACAAGTCAATGCAGAGTCTGTGGTCATGCTTGAAGAAACGCTGCCTTCTCCTCAGTCAAGTCCGGCTCGCTCTCGAGTCGACAAAGGCGCAGGTAGTTCTACTGTCATGGGCCTCGGATTCGCCTTGCAGCGCGAGCTCTCATCAGAATCTGAGATGCCGCCAACGCCATCCCAGATGCAGAGTCGCAGGCCTTCGCTTGTGCGCGAAGATTCTATTTCAACAGTGCTCAACCGTCTTCGAAGCGGCCGCCTGAGCAAGAAGTTCTGGATGAAAGATGAAAATGCCACTGCATGTTTCTTGTGCGATGCGGTCTTTACGAGTAAGTCAACCCCCTTGGTCTGACTCTTTCTTACTTTAGCATTCAGGCGAAAGCATCATTGTAGGCTATGTTTGTGCATCTTCTGCAGCAACTGTACGACGTGGACCACTGGCCAGCGCATCGGTCATGATGAAAGCTTCCGAACTTGCAAAACCTGCAACCGTATCTTGAATGAGTACACAGTCAGACCATCAGATCAAAGCAATCAAGAAGCCGAACGGACAGATCGACCCCAGCTTCGTCTCGACACCTCGGTCCCAATGGAAATGTCTCCGTCATCGCAAGGCCCCTTCACAATGCCCAATAATTTGAAGCCAGTCAGAACTCCACTCATGGCTATTCCAGCAACGAGGATGGCTGCTGATGAGAGGGAGGGATCCAAGCGGTTGGAAATACCCAACATCCAACTTGCTGCTGTGGCGTCGCCTGCCAAGCAATCCCGCCGACCGAGTTTACCGCATACGGCAAGCGAATCTGAGGTATCTAGTCACCCTGCTTCGTCTCAGGCCGCTGCGCCGTGGAAACATGGGCTCCTTGGTGGACTCAATGTCACGAGGCCCTTCAAGCGCCGCAATACCTTCCAGGCACCTTCCCGAACGCCATCTTTTGAGCAAATGCCAACTGAGTCGCAACAAGATTCCCCTCAAAGCTTCCGGTCACCAAGTGATGAAGAGGGTTGGTCTAGTACGGTCAAGACCGGCAGCACTGGTCTAGCACGGAGCAAATCTTCGCGCCACGGAAGTTACAGAGAGTCGCCTTATTCCTTAGCAAATCAAGAGAATGGCGAGTCTCGAAAGTCGAAACGACGCGGCGTAGGTGCACAAGCCAGGACTAAATCGAGGTCCATGATACGCCATCTCTCTGTGCATGGTCGATCTGGTCCGTCTACACCAGGACAGTTGGACGCCTCTCGCGGCCGTACAAGGAGCACGTCCAACACAACGTCAGTACAGACGCAAGTGACTGAGTTGAATCTCATTGGCCGCGCACACGTCAAAGGTCTGCTACATCAGCTCCTGAAAGACGCTCATGTGGAAGACATCGAGTCTTGGGAGAGGACGCTTTCTCCCATCTTGACGCTTGTTGCTGAAAACATCCGACCAAAGGTCAAAGAAGGAGCAAGCGCCTACATCAACAATTATGTCAAGATCAAACGTATTCCAGGAGCAAAGATGAGCCAGACGCAGTTCATCTCAGGAGCTGTCTTCACCAATAAGCTCGCACACAAGCGCATGGCCAGGCATATTGATAACCCGCGCATCATGCTCATCTCGTTCCCTTTAGAGTATCATCGAGCAGACTCGCAGCTCATGTCTCTCGAACCAATCATTGCTCAAGAAAAGGAATATCTCCAGAATTTGGTGAGTCGCATGATGGATCTACGGCCGTCGCTGGTTCTGATTGATCGAAGCGTCAGCGGCCTTGCGTTGGAATACCTGCTCGAGAACAATGTCGCAGTTGCTTACGGTGTCAAACCCACAGTGATGGCTATTGTCGCAGAGTTGACTGGTGCGGACATCATCACATCCGTGGATCGTCTCGCTTTCCATCCTCGCGTGGGAAAATGCGATAGCTTCAGTGTCAAGACCTTCATCAATTATGAACCGCCAAAGCCCTTCAAGAAGACTTATATGTTTATTCAGGGTTGTCCACCAGATCTCGGCTGCACAGTGGTTTTACGAGGAGCTCCCATGTCGACGCTTGAAAGTATCAAACGCATCATGGAGCTGATGATCTTTGTCGTGTACAATCAGAAGCTGGAAGCGAGTCTTGTCAAGGATCAACATGCAATACAACGCGCACCGGAATCTTTCCTTGCTTTGCAAAATACCGATGACCTCAACCTATTGGACGCTTCGTCCGGCGAAGCGCTGCGTGGCAAACCTTTCAGCAAAATGATTGAGCTGTTTGAGCATCGCATCTTGTCATCGTCGCCGGGCGTGCAATTTGAACCGCCGTACATTCTCCGCAAGGCGTATGATCTTGAGACGCGTCTCGAGCGTCACAAGATGCTTCTCGAGAAGAGCGATAGCCAAGAGCTCACTGACCACGAATCGAAGCTGCTGTATGGCAACAATCTGGATGATATTTCGGATCTGAGCACTGAACAGCAGCGAAATGTACGACAAATTGTGCAAGCAGCAGAAGCCAGTCGGCTGCAACAGGAGTTGGAGCATGTCAAAAATCAGTGGGAAAGTTTGCTTGATCAGAATCCAGAGTTGACCAGCCCATGGACGCGCCAGTCTATTTCCGTCTTGTACTCTACTGTGTGCACAGAGTCGGGAACGCCATGCAGTCTACCACAGACTGAAGTCATTGAGTATTACAAGGACACCTACAATGAGTATCCACTTGGTCAATACGTGGAAGAATGTATTATTGCTGCTATGCACCCGTGCCCTACTGTCTTATGTCAGCGCCGCAATATGGATCATCATCGCAGTTATGTCCATGCAGAGGCGCGCGTGACTGTGGTCACAGAGCCTTTTCCTTGTCATTTGCCAGGCATGCAGGACACCATTCTGATGTGGAGCTATTGCAAACAGTGTAAAATCACCAGCCCGCTCGTGCCCATGTCCGATAACTCGTGGGCATATTCGTTTGGCAAATACCTGGAGTTGACCTTTTACGACAAGGACTTGTGTGTGCGCATCGAAGATTGTCCTCACAACTTGTGCAGAGACCATGTTCGCTACTTCGGTTTCCGTGACATGGCAGTCCGCTTTGACTACGACCCAATCGAAATCATGGCGCTCTCGGTACCACAACCACGTATCGATTGGAAACCAGAGGGGTTCATCCGCCTCAAGAATGAGGAATTCAAGTCACTGCAATTCAAAATCTCTGTCTTCTATGACTCGCTCGAGTTCCGGCTGTACAATATGAATGCTGAGACGCTAGTGATTGAACAGACGGAGGCTTATAAGGCGGACATTGCCATCATGCGACAACAGGCAAAAGACGAGCGTGTCTATCTGGCCAATCTCTTGCAAGAAATCCATGACAATTCGCCACCTCTCGACTATCTCTGCCTCAATCGAGCTCTGAGGGCGACGCAAGAAAAGGTGACTCAGTGGAACCAGACCTTTGAAGAGCTGGAGCGCCTGTATCTGCCATCAGAGAAGGACATCAGGAGGCTCACTACAGCGCACCTCAAGAAGCTGTTCTTGCCCGATGAGTCCGTCCGACCTGCTCTGACGGAAGAAGATGTTGACGTTGAAGCGAAGCGATCCGTCAGTATGCCAGTCGGCATGACTCCCGACAAAGATGAGACCTCGGAGAAGACAGGTGTGGCAGAAAAGGCCAAGCCGGCGCCGGAGAAAGTCATTCACCCAGTAGCTTCTATGCCTGTCATTGGCGAGCATGATGAGGAACCAAAAGGATTCCACCCTCGCCGCGTGTATGAGGACTTGGTGAAACCACGGGTCGAGGCCGCTTCAGATGCTGAGAGCCTGGATCTTGCACGAGCAAATATTATACCCGACTTGAATGCTACAAAGGCTGAATACTCGGAATTACCCAAGCCGGCAGGACTATTGCGGACCAAGTCTGAGGATGTTGTGCCTATGCACCGACCGGCTGGCTCGCAGGCCTCATCACGCACTTCTTCTGTTGACCTCAAGCACGGCCCTAGTGGCATCCCGGTTCCGAGATCTACCATGAATGAAGTCTGGCATCTGCGCAAAAAGTCGACGTCAGGCTCCCACGTCCTGAGCAAGCAGATTCAAGACCTTGGCGAAGCTATCGTAGGATCTGTGGAAAAGCGCTGGCAGGAGCAGAAGCGATTTAGCTCTGTGTACAAGGATACACCGCAAAAGAATAAAGCTGGAGAAACAAAGGTATCCAGTCTGGCAAAACACTTCGATCAACTCTCGCGCGAATTCGAGAAGGAACGTCTCAAGGCACGTAAACTCCTCAGCTCTCGTGGTCGTCCTACCTTTGCAGTCGCCACTTCCAAGCCCAAGGTTGCCGTTTTCAACAATGTCGATGACGCAGTCGATGAATCTGATGATGAGGACCCGAACCTCGAACCGTTGCTCGACTACAATGCAGAGCCCATTCTCATCAGCAATCCGGCGACAGGCGAGAACACTCCAAAGTCGACCCCGCTTCTTCAACCAAACATTGTGGGAGTAGTGTCTACAGAGCAAATTCCGGAGCAACACCTTGGGCCTGACCCAGGCTGCAAGGAACTCGACGAGGGAATCAGCGAGACCGAGAGCGTCAGCCCTGGTGATGCGAGGAAAGTAGTGGTGCAGCGGCAAGAGTCCGATATGTCGACTGGCCTGGTGCCCGCTGCCGAACGATCGACTTTGCTCAAGACATTGTCCAACTTTTGGGCAGATCGATCTTCCAGTGCTTGGACGGCACTGGAATATCCATTGCCGCCATCCGAGCACATGTTCTTGGAAAGCGATGTGGTGATTCGGGAAGATGAACCAAGCTCTCTGATTGCGTTTACGTTAAGTGCAGAAGAATATATTGCTGAGATTGCCGCTCTGCGAGAAGCCGCGCGGCGTAAACCTGCACAAGACGATCTGAACAATATGCGATCAAACTTGAAACCAGAGGACCAGCGTATACACAACACTTTGAAGAATGCGACCGGAACACACATGCGATTTAGCTGGGGAGGTTCTGGTAGCAAAGCTGGGGTCAGACTGGCCTCTCGCATCTTTTTCGCTGAACAATTCGATGCACTCCGACGCTTCTGTGGTTGTGATGACAATTACGTGGCTTCTCTCTCCCGTTGCGTCAAGTTTGATTCTTCCGGTGGCAAATCCGGTGCGGCGTTCCTCAAGACTCTGGACGATCGCCTCATTGTCAAGCAAATGACAAAGATGGAGACAGAACAGTTCCTCAAATTCGCGCCAAACTACTTTGAGTACATGGCCGAAAGCTTCTTTCAAGGTTTACCCACCTGCTTGTGCAAGATTCTAGGCTTCTATCAGATCACAAGCAAGAACCCAGTCACAGGCAAATTCTTCAAAATGGACGTCATGGTCATGGAGAACCTATTTTACAAGCGAAAGACCAGCAGAATCTTTGACTTGAAAGGCAGCATGCGCAATCGCAAGGTTCAGCAAACGGGCAAGGAGAATGAGGTTCTGCTGGATGAGAACTTTGTCGAACGTAAGTCAAACTTTCGCATGGGCCAGCTAACAATAGTTGTCTCCGAGAATCCGCTGTTCGTGCGCGACCATGCTCGACGGTTCCTCAAATCAGCCCTGCACAACGACACGCTATTCCTTGCACAAAACAATGTCATGGATTACTCACTCGTCGTCGGCATCGACGATGATAAACATGAGCTTGTCGTGGGCATCATCGACTTCATTCGCACATACACATGGGACAAAAAGTTGGAAAGTTGGGTTAAGGAGCGCGGGCTCGTAGGAGGGGGCTCTAGCAAGCCGACTGTCGTCACGCCCAAGCAGTACAAGGTTCGCTTCAGGGAGGCGATGGATCGCTACATCTACGCAATCAAGTGAAACAAGCAGGACTGTAGTACTTTTGAATTCTGCTCTTGCTCATGTTCTATCTGCGCCAAGTGATGGCCATCAATTCTTGACCTCTTTCAAGACCTTTGCCCTCACAGGTTCAATTGGATGAATCAACTCGGGGTCGACAGGATAACCGCACACGGCGTGATACTGCTTGAATGTAGGGTGAATCTTTTGGCCGGTCCACTCCTCGATACGGCATGTTTCCTTCAGGCATGGTGGGAATTTCAACGACTTGTCGTCCTTGTGATAGCAGCCAAGATGTGAACGCACGCCAGTTGCCACGTGCTTGACGGCGTAGACGCAGTGTAGGCTCTCCAAAGCCTTGACTGCTTCCTCTGAGTCAGTATCAGGGCACACCTCTTTGCCGAGCGTTGGCAGGCCACCGGGCGAGTCCATGCTTAGTGGGAAGTAGCATGGGTGGTGCATCGGCTGTCCGCTGTGGTCAAAGGTGCTCGCACCCACCTTGCAGTTCTTGATGATGACCTTGACTTTGCGTATCGAGTTGCGCTGATAATTGAGGTAGAGTGTGGTGATCAATGCTGTGATCAACACAAAGATGGAGTATCGCTGGAAGCCGATAGCCATGTTGATGATGCTCTCAGAGGTTTTTAGAAAGCTCTACTTGTGTGTCGAAGTACACAGCAAAGATGGCTCAAAGGAATCAATAAGGTATCAGTGAGGAGACTGCAAATGCTGACGTGGCAGCTGTTCGAAGGAGCGGCGGTTATTTACGAGCACCCCTGAAATTGTTTGGCGAACGCAAACATAAATCAGGAAGCAAGAAGGGGAACAAAGCTCTTTGAGTCTCTCCGGAAGGTCAAGTCTTTCGACGCATCGCAGATCAACTTGACCGAGTGATAGTCGAGGGCATCTTGCAATCAGCGAGTCAGCAGTTGACAGCAGACCATGCTGCTATGAAGCAACGTTGTTCAGCTGGCTAACATTTGATCGCTTACATCCTACGAGGTAGGAGATGGACTTATAGTGCAAGAGGCCTGTTTGGCTGTGGTGACTTACAATTACTAAGCCGACAACGTCAAGACGCTGTCGAGTCAGTCTAGTATACCCCTGAAGATTTGGTCAATTTCGGCATTTTTGCAAGCGCACGGTTGCAAAGCAAAAGTAGATGTACAGTTTGGAGTGCAAGTGGCTGTGCAAGTCGTCAGAAGGCAAAGTCATTCGGCTGGCAGGATGACCATAGCTATGTGGAATTGAGCAGCATGAGAGTTTCGCTGCAGCGAGTGTGAAGATGGAGAGTATCTGATCGAAAGTTAGCGTGCTCAAGACGCATACATGCAGCTCATATGTAAATGCGCCGTCATGGGCATACCACATCCTCTATCATCAGTTTCTCACCAGTCAGCCAAGTGGAACCTTGCTTATGGCTTGTATGGAAGCGCCAAACCCATGCAAGGCCGTCGAGACACTGAAGACCCCAACTGAACTCAAGGACCTGACTGTTTTTGACCTTAATTGCCTGGCAAAGATCAATACCATAGAGCGTATTATTCGGACCTGTTTGAGGCAGGTGTAAGTTCGAAGGACCGAAGACGTACGTCAGGTCTGTGATTGTTTTGACCTCACGAGCCACATTGGGGTCGTTCCGTCGGACCGTGATGAGGTGCGGGCTTTCCAGTTCAGCCACTATATCAGGGAATTGCTTGGTGGGCTGCTTGATTCGAAAATAGGTGAATACCTCGTTGAAATACGGTGGGTTGGCACTAGTATCAGCTGGATCTGACCTCCAGATACAATCGGGCACAACGATGCTTGGCACGTCTGTGGGACTGATTGTATAGCTCGAGCCCGGCGGCGTCGTGGTAGTGGTAGTGGCCTGCAGTTCAATCATAACGGTGCTGAGAACGGCAAGCAGAAGCTGAGGATTGTGCATTGGATGATTGTTATTGAGAAGCTCAGCACAGGTGGAGTGGGCAATTTATAAATCTACTTCATTCAGGGGGACTGCCCGTGGAGCAACCCTCTCCATGCGATACAACCACGCGTCTCGGCACAAACGTATCGGGAGTCAGTAGAAATGCTGCCATATTTCGAATAGCAGTAGTCTACTGGGACTTGTTGGTCAAAAATGGCTCAATATTATCGAGCAGCCGCAGCTGGCCATGTTGGCAAGAAAGCGTCACATGGTATCATTCGCAGGTGTGACTCGGCGCAGTCAGGGGAATATGAGACATTTGATCATGTGAAAAGGCTGGCAATGTACGCTGCCAATGGGATGATGCTAAGCGGCCAGAATCAGCTATAGCTGCAAGAAGCGACGAGAAACAGTCATCTGAAAGCAATTTCACCCCTGCAGCAACAAGCCTGCAGCTTTAGGGGTGCCTGGCCTAGGCCTGGCCATGGACTCTGGATTTCCGAAGCTGGAGCTTGCTATAGCTAGTAACGTGCACTGGATTGTTCCCGCATAGGTAAGATTTGAAGACTACGGCTTAAGCAGACTGCAGCTACCTGAATACTTAGGAGAAGCAGAGCAATTTTGACATTTGGTGGTAGCAGCTGCAGCGTTGAAAAATAGAAGGCCCTCGTTTGTTGATATTCCTGCTCAGGATGATTGCTATTCATCTTCTTGAATCTTGTAGTGCCATGGACACCAGTGATCAACGAATACCTTGCGGTTCTTAGCGCCAACTATCGTTGCTTCCACAGTGGCACCATACAGCCAAGATACACCTTCCCCTTCCCCTTTGAAAAATCGCCAAGCCGAGCTGAGACCTTCGGGACAATCACGTTTTCCCCATTTTAAGCCGTGATCGCCATTGACCTGAGCGGCCTGGCAAGTCTCAATTCCGTAGAGCCTCGTCTTTCGACCTTTTGAGGGCTGCTTAGTGTTTGGGTAACCGTAGAAGAACGTCAAATTTTGGACTATCTTGAGCTTTTCCTCCACGTCTGGGTCACCTCGTCGAATAGTGATGAGGTGCTTGTCCTGCAATTCTGTCGTCACAGCAGGATTTTGCCATGTAGGTTGTTTGAGACGGAAGTAAGAGAAGCTATCGTCGATGTATAAAGGGTACATTCCATGTCCATCGTCCGGGTCAGTCGACCAGAAACATGGGTGTAAGGCCTTTGTTGGTAATTCGGTAGTCTTGGCATGTGCCGTCTTTGAAGTCTTGGTGGCCTGCAGCTGAACGACAACAGTGCTGAGTACAGCAATCAACAGATGTTGAGTGCGCATTTAGTCTTTGTTGCAAAGCTTGAGGTCTGCATTTCAGCCCTACAGAAAAATTGGACCGGCAGATTACCGGCGGAAATTACCAGAAGAATACCGGCGGAATACCGGCGGGAAATCCCTAACTTTGCAGGCGCAGTAATACCAGCAGACTACCAGCAGACTACCGGCGGAAATAAGCACGCCTTATCAGAGCCAATCGGATGATTACCAGAGGATATGACCTGCCAACGGGTGAGCTTAATAGATGCTGTAGCGATAGTAAGTGTAGCAACTAGACCATCTATGACACACTACAGACGTGCTGCCGCTTTCTTGGCCTTCTTGGCAGACTTGCGCGCCTTTTTTGCTTGTGATGCTGCAGTCTTTCCCTTGATTAGAGTAGCGCTGCCTTGCTCAGCATCCTGTGCTCTGCGTGATAGCTTTGATGTTCTTCCAAACTAAAATTGCATCGTTAGTATGTCATGGTAGGAGTAGCAGAATTGCAAACCTTGCGAGACGAGGAGGCAGATCGATCTTTGCTTGACTTCTGGTCACTGGTCAGTCTTATAACATCAAAGATGGGACGGACTTGCCTTGGAAACATGATAGCTCTTGTTTGCTTGACGCTACATCTTGTTAGCCAATGTCTGCTCCGCATAAAAGGCTCACATTGTGCTGAGACAAAGTTGGCTGCAACTGAATATGTTAGTGAGTCACATCAGGCAAAAGGAGAAACCCACAACTCTCGATGCAGCCTCGTCAATATCATCGTCTTCAGACAGGACGGAAGCGGGTGTCTCGCAGCGGGTATTCTCGTTATCGACGCGAGCAGATGACACTCCATGGGCAACGTCGTGCTCGTGGCTGACATCATCGTCTTGGGAAGAAGCAGCAGTAGTAGTCTCTCTGTAGACTTTCGCTTTGCGCGTCTGTGGGTGCGTCAGCCAAGAGCTTGCAAGGTACAGAGACACTTTCACCGCTTCATTCACCACCTTCGCGTGGTGCTGGCAGATATTCAAGGCAATCCAATGTCCATGAGCTCGTCCCAGCACAGAGACAGCCTTTTCCAAGTTGTAAATGACCGTCTAGAGCTTCCCAACGTTGCGGTGACGCCATGTGACCGTCCTACCTTGCGCATCAACCACAATCTGGTGAGTGTCTATCAGTTACCGTGCATGTGCAGTGATGTTGTTCCATGTGGCATCGCGTAATGGCGTTCGTGGCCAGAGTCCCATTGCGAGTTGTAGTGTCTTTGTAGAGGGACTATCGGTTCTAGAGAAGCCATGCGACGTGCGCTTGGATCTTAATGGTGTATCGATACGCTCAATAGATCCTGCGAGCCTGTTGTAGTCGTCGAGACTGTCTGTGGGAGACTCCTCTTCCTATCTGGGTCAGTCGAAGGTATCGCGCTTGCAGCATGCACTGCTCACGCGAGTAGAGGACGGCATGTCTTGAGAAGAGTGATCGAGCACCTTCAGACCCTACAGGCTCGAGCGTGTGTCAGCTCAAGGACAGTGAGGTGTTGTCTACAAGCAGCAAGACGGTGCAGAGCAGATGCGTGTACTGGTCATCCCATCTCGTCCTGAAGTGACAAGACAAGAATGAAGCAAACCGCCAAAGTCGACGATACTCAAGATTCGCTAGCACTACACTCTTCCAGTTTTCAGCTTACAAACGCCAATTTGTGGCCAAGATATTAAGTGGCTAGTCGTCAGAGCACCACAAAGATCTTCGTTGCGAATGACCTCCATTCACGAAGCAAGGTCGCGTTCAGTGAGCAGACGTATGAAGCGCCCGAGGTTGACGACAATGCAATCGTGAGCTATGGGGAAGGTTTGTATCTGTTTGAACACGATAGCAGGCATTTGGCGATCATCAAGGTCTCGCAGACCAAGTTGTCGTGCGGCGCAAAGTCTCTCAGCAAGCAAGGACACATATTGCAGGCCATTGTGCCAGTTTGCCGTCCTCTTGAACCAATTGGCTTATTGGAGAGAACAGAGCCCGACAAGAAAAGAGCAGCAGGCAAGCTGCTTAAGCGAAAACGACGCTTACGAGAGCAGAAGCACTCTTTATGGATAGCTGAGGGCTATCGACTCCAGTATAAATAGCTTCTAGATTTGATTATGAGCGGATGTTGGCCTCTGTTCACTTAACAACAGTGATTGACTTGTGTGTTGTCTGCCTTTTAACGTGGCTCAGTGATCCGCCTCTTCATATCCGCTGGTTTTCCTCCGGTGTGCAAGTTTGGAAGTCGGTTGGCTCCGGTAATCCGCCGTGCTTGAAAAATTTCTCACGGTAATCCGCCGGTTGGCTCTGGTACACTCCGGTAAATTTTCCGTAGGGCAGGAAGTGGGCTATTTATAAAACTGCTTCAACTCAGGGGTAGCGTCTGTGTCGGCCTTAGTGCAGTCCTCATTTGGGCATAGTTTGGAACAGAGCCTCGAGACTCGATACCGTACTATTATTAGCTCTCGTCTTCTTGCGAATCCTGTTAGGAATTCAAGTGCATCCCCTGATCACTTGCTTCCGCTGTTATCTCTCTGCCACGTCAGCGCTCATGCACGTGTCCTTTAGTTTAGTCTTAGCTGGCAAGAGTGCTATACTCTTGTCCCCTATTCGAATCAAGTCTTATCTGCAGCTGCCCTGCGTGCCTGTGTCTATCACCTACGACTACAGCCTCGCATATCCGCCAATCTCGATTAGGTTATGAGCCTTGTTGCTATGCAGCAAGACGCTACTGCTTCGGGTCAACGTTCCGGCCCGTCTAGCAACGCGGTGTTAAGGAACACCAAGAGGATCAGCAATGGCCTAAGTGCTTGGAAGGATGAGCTGCTGCTTGTCGCTCAGCAGGCCGGAGTTGAGACCTATATCTTTCAGGAGATACACGCACGCCGCGTCAAAGCAGCAATACGCTGCGCAGACGCCATGCAGAAGGCCGACGAAGACGCTGAGGCCCGTATCGCCGCTCTCGAAGCCCTCATGAAAGATGACAAGCTTAAGGCCCCAAAAGCCTATAGCGCCCCCTCGACTCGCTCCAAGTCCAAATCGATGGAGGAGGAATCAAGCGAGGATGAGAGCACAAAGCCTTACACTGGTCCGTGCTACATCAACTCTGGGGGTATCTTGCACCTGCGACCTTTGAAGAATGGTCGCATCTTGAACCAACTTGGGACAAGAACAGCAAGGCACTTTTCTTGCTGAAAGGAGGTCTCGACAGGTCCGACCTCGAAGCAATCAAAGACATCGCAGTCGCCTGTATTGCTTTCAAGACTGTCTTGTCTCGACACAAGCAGCCTGACACTTTGCGAAAGTTGCAATTGGTCACGAAGCTCAATAAGCTCTCTTTGCCTCCTGGCAATACCACATCTTCAGCTATTGAGACCCTGATGGTGGACGTTCAAGCCACCATTGCCCAGTTGCGCAGCCTTGATCCCACCGGCAAGACGTTTGACGAAGACATGGAAATTGCCATGATCTACGCCAAACTCCCAGGCGATTTGCAGGACCTCACGCTGCACACACTCTCCTCGGATGGACCACACTCTATCCGCAGTTTTGTGCAGCAAGTGCGCTTCAAGATACAGTCGGATGACTATCTCAAGACGCACGGCAAGCACAAGTCTCTGGCAGACTCAGCCGCTGACGCTTCCCAAACCCTTTACCAATCATCAACGGAAAAAGGGATGCTCGCTCAAGAGCATAAGTCTCAATTGAAGCAGAAGTCTTCAAAGAAGCTGAGGAAAAGGCATTCTCTTCACAAGCCTTCATCTGAGACGAAGCAAAGTAGCCCTCCAACTGAATACAAATCACAGTCTGAGGGCAAGCCAAATCCCAACACGGCATACTTTGCTCGCGAAACAACCCTAGCTGAACGTAGCTGGGTGATCGACTCCGGTGCCACGTCGCATATGACACCGTCGCAAGAGTTGATCTCTGATCTCTCTCATGATGCTTCCATTAGCATCACGTCCGCCAATGGCGAAGAGATGATCTCCGCTGGCTTTGGGCATGCTGCATTTGCCGTGCCAGATCAAACCAGCTTGGTGCCCTTGTCCAAAGTTTGGCATGTGCCAAATCTCACTGAACATCTTTTATCAGTGAGCGCACTCAATGAGGACGGTTTTGACGTACTGTTCTCGGCCAAACACGGACCAGCCCTCCTCAAAGACAGTGTTGTCGTCGCTACTGGCAGGCGTGTCGGTAAAGGCTTTGTCCTAGACGGCACAATTGCTAAAGTCCAGCCTCAGGCAAGTGAGTTTGCCCTTTTCACAAAGGAAAAGGCACCGACGGATGCCCTTGAGTGGCACCGACGACTTTGCCATATGTCCATCAAGGACATGAAACGACTTTCGAAGTTTGTCGACGGATTTCCCGACGATCTGGTCTACCCGGAATACTTCGATTGCTCTGGCTGTGCAGCTGGAAAGAGCAAGCGCTCGAGCTTTCCCTCTGTGGCAAATTCTGCCACTCAGCGGCTTGACATAGTCCACATTGATGTTGCTGGACCAATGCGCACCAATTCTATCAATGATGCACGATATTTTCCCATCATTGTTGACGGGTTTTCCAAGTACGTTTGGGCGTACATGCTGAAAGATGTCACTGCAGACACCGTCTGTAACATCTACAAAGCTTGGGAAACTGTTGCCACCAATCACGTTGGCGACAAAGTCAAAATTGTTCGCTCTGATGGAGGTAACGAGTTCAAGGGGAGCTTTCGCCAGCACCTCATTACGCAAGGCACCACTCACCAAACAACTGTTCCGCATACGCCTGAGCAGAATGATGTTGCAGAGCGCCACATTCGCACTGTTGTCGAAAAGGCTCGCTCATTGCTTCTTGATGAGACGTTTGGTCCTCTCCCGCGCAATTTATGGGCTGAGTTGACCTCCACAGCCGTCTACGCCATCAATCGTTCGCCTCATACTGGTCTCGACAAGACGCCATACGAAATGTGGTATGGCAAACGACCAGATTGCTCGCATATGAGGACTCCTGGTACCATTTGCTGGTCACACAACCCGCGAATCAAGGACAAGTGGGATGCGCGCGCCAACAAAGCTATGTTTTTGGGCTACAGTGATACTTCCAAAGCTTGGCGAGTCTTAGATCTTGCCACTGGGAAAGTTGTTCTCAACCACTCGGTCATTTTTGATCATGCTGTGGCAAAAGAACTGTCTGTCAACAAGGATGTCGATCCCCGTCAGCTCACAGACGCTCAGCTCGAAGCTATAGCTAGCGGCAATGCTGCAAGTGTCGAATTTACTGACGAGCAGCTCGAAGCTATCGCTACTAGCGGTCTTGACGCTACTACTAATGATGACGAGCTTGATGAATATGCTTTTATGCTTACTGCTCAAGATATTCTCCCAGCTCCTGTAACTGTCAAACAAGCTTTATCCCGCTCTGACGCACCTGAATGGCGTGCCTCTATGGAACGCGAGCTCGTCTCTCTTGAAGGCAAAGGAGCTTTTGAGTACGTCGACGACATTCTGATAGTTTTCTCGGACATCGCGCACAAAGAGCATCTTCTTAAGGCTCTTACCCAACGCTACGAGCTGTCCGATCTCGGCCCTGCCAATTCCATTCTCGGCATGCGCGTCTCACACAACAACGGCGTATACACTCTCGATCAATTCACCTATATTAAATCGATCGCCACCGACCACCGCTTAGCCAACTGCCATCCAAGGCACCTGCCAGCCAGTGTCGGCACCATTCTCACCACTGACGGCACTACCCACCAGCCGACTGACGACCAGCCGGCCAACAAAACTGCTTACCAATCCATTGTTGGGGAGCTTCAGTGGATAGCCATCTCGACCAGACAGGATGTTGCCTATATTGTCGGTGTTCTAGGTCGTTTCTCTGCCAAGCCGACTACTTCTCACATGAAGTTGGCTCGTGGCGTCCTCGCGTACCTGTTCACGACTCGCAATTTGCGACTGCGATACGACGGAAACGACGAGTTTGCTGGGTACTCTGACTCTGACTACTCAGGGTGCCTGGATACAAGGAAGAGCACATCTGGCTATGTGTTCATGCTTGGGGGAGCTGCAATCACCTGGCAGTCAAAGCGCCAAAACATTGTTGCCACATCGACCATGGAAGCCGAATATATTGGCCTCTCCAACGCGTCAAAAGAGGCTCTCTGGCTGCGCGAGCTCATGCTCGGCATCAAGATCAGCAATGTGCTCAACTCCGACGGTTCCATCAATTTATTTGGGGACAATCAGGCTGCGCTGAAGTTGGCACACAATCCTGTGTTTCACGCCAAGAGTAAGCACATCGAAGTGAAGTACCATCACACTCGATCCCTGATTGAGCAAGGCAAGATCAAGCTACACTACGTCGGCACAAAACTGCAAAAAGCCGATCTCCTTACCAAGCTCCTTCCACGTCCTGCATTGGAGACGCAACGACTGCTTCTCGGCCTCGTCTAAGCACTTCGCTTTATCGAGATAGAGGGAGTGTTAGGAATTCAAGTGCATCCCCTGATCACTTGCTTCCGCTGTTATCTCTCTGCCACGTCAGCGCTCATGCACGTGTCCTTTAGTTTAGTCTTAGCTGGCAAGAGTGCTATACTCTTGTCCCCTATTCGAATCAAGTCTTATCTGCAGCTGCCCTGCGTGCCTGTGTCTATCACCTACGACTACAGCCTCGCATATCCGCCAATCTCGATTAAATCCTATCTTTGCGAACGGGACAAATTAGTAACAGAACATACGCATCACATTGAGCCATCCGTCGCTGGACCAGTGCTCTATCTTGGCGGCGCCATTCGGGAGGAACAGTGACCATGTGAAGCAAAGAATCAACAAGCCTCAATTGATTCTTTGCCGCGCATCATGCGGCCGATACTGGCCATGCAGGCTGCCGCGTGGCCAGGTCACCCGCGGCCAGACTCAGGAGGCGAATGTATCGGGCATGCTATCTGAAGGCAGCACTGACTTGCCCAGGCCTAGGTGCGCTGGCCATGGCTGAGTGCTGCAACTGCTGGTCATGGCTGGGCACAATTGCAATGTGGCTAGCACTAGTGGCATGAGTTGCTATGAGGCTGTCCTCCTCAGTCTGATCTTCAGCTAAGATCAGCTTGCTTGGATACCTAATTGGGTTTCGGCTTCGAAAACAAATCAGTGCACTTGGCATCCACAAAATGCGAGGCCAGCACCGGCTGAAACATAAATAGGTCCCCAGAGGGAGTTTCATCCCAGTACGTCACCATCCTGAAATAGCCTTTCACGCCATCGGGACAGTCAGACTTGGAGAAAAGCAGACCTCGTCCTTTGGTTGCCGCAGCGAATTTGCAGGCGTCAAATGCGTAGAGCGTATCCTTGGGGGCTGTGTTTGTGCAATTGGGTTTGGGGCCAAAGAGATATACCAATTCGCTGGCGTGCTTGATCTTGTTGTGTTTAGACTTTTTATTGACAGTGACTTCTTTAGAGGATACCAGTGTCTTGTTCAGCACTCCATCGAATGATCCTGCAGGCACCTCGAATTCGTAGTAGGTAATCGATTGGAATGCATCACTATCGTATATAGTCAGTTTAGCCGCATCCACGGTCCAACGGCAGTTTGGGATTTTCTCAATAGGCTTCTTTGGAGGACCGGTTTGAGCAGCAGCACCAACAGCGGCCAGAAAAAAGATGACTGACAGCATTTTGGAGTTGCGTTTGCGTGGATGGCCCAAGGTGGGCTGTGGGGCAGTGTGGGCGTCTTTAATGGTCGAGCAATTTCAGGAGAAGTCGCCGTAAAATTAGATCGCCCCTTTCTCGGGAGCATGCCGAGCGATTTTTTTCTTCATCCGAGACAAACTCATGGCGAATTGCTTGTACTTCATATCTCTTGCTGTCCGTTGAGGGTTTGGAGCCCAAGATTCGAGGGCTTTTGTCACGTTGAGAGTCTCTGAGACCTTGAATACATACGGCGATCGAAAGTACAATTGCAAGTGCAAGTGAATCTGAAAGCATCTCTCCCAGAAAGAAAAAGGCGAAACAAGAGCCATGATGAGGGTCAAGCAATACTCTCAGCGTCAAGCCCGCTATTCGTCGCATCATGACGCGCGTAATCAAGATTGGTCGCAAAACTTATGAGCAAGCAACCCCATACGACCGTCCATCTACCATACAGGATGCATCACCTACATCGCAACAGCAACAGGGCCGACGTTGTCAAAGGCCACGGTACAATGGCGCTGGAGAAGGACAATGAAGCATATGTTGCAAGTGCGAGTGGAACAATGCCGACAAAGAAGCGCAAGCTGGATCCGCGCCTTCGTTGATTCAAGTAGACTATAATCAAAGCAAAGACTACGGCATTGCAGATGCATACCATAGGTCCAGCCATAAAGAGGAAGGTGTCCAATTCAAGCGTTCAAGATCACGTGTCACAGTCCTTTTGTATACGGCACGCCGAAGGCCTCTCAGCTTGTCCTTCATTGATATTTGTCGCGCATCATGTGGCCGATGATGACCATGCAGGCTGCCGCTTGATCAGGTCACCTGCATCCAGAGTCGGGAGGCGAATATATCGTGCATTCTATCTGAAGGCAGCACTGACTTGCCAAGGCCTAGGTAAGCTGGCTAGAAAGAGTGCTGCAACTGCTGGCCATGGCTGGGTACAATTGCAATGTGGCTAGTACTAGTGGCATGAGTTGCTATAAGACTATTGCATTCTCCTCAGTCTACTATTCAGCTTGAGGACCTAATTATGTTTCGGTTTTGGAAACAAAGCAGGGCATTTGGGATCCGAAAAGTCGGAAGCAAGCACCTGGTGAGGTGCAAACAGGTCCCCAGAAGGAATTTCATCCCAGTACGTTATCATCTTGACAAAGCCTTCAACGCCATCGGGACAGTCAGACTTGGAGAAAAGAAGACCTCGTCCCTTGGTTGCCGTAGCGAATTTGCAGGCGTCAAATGCGTAAAGCGTATCCTTGGGGGCTGTGTTTGCGCTAGTAGGTGTTGGGCCAAAGAGATATACCAGTTCGCTGGCGTGCTTGATTTTGTTGGATTGAGACTTTTTATTGACAGTGACTTCTTTAGAGGATACCAGTGTCTTGTTCAGCACTCCGTCAAATGGTCCTGCAGGCACATTGAATTCGTAGTAGATGATCGATTCGAATGCTGCAAGATCGTATCGAGTGCCATCAGCTGGAAAATAGCCCCAACGGCAGTTCGGTATCTTCTCAACAGGCTTCTTCTTGGGAACGATTTGAGCAGCACCAATAGCGGCCAGAAAGAAGACGACTGACTGCATCTTCAAAGTTGCGTTCGTGAAAATGGTCGGTTGAATGGGCCAAGCTGCGCAGTGGGCGTCTTTAATGGTCGAGCAATTTCAGGAGAAGGTGCCAAGAATCTATATTGCCCCTTTCCTGGAAGCGTGTCGAGCGATTTTTTCTCCATTAGAAGTGGACTCGTGGCAGAAGACTTGTATACCGCATCTCTACTGTCCGTGTACGGTCAAGGGGCTAAGGCCTGAGGGGTTTTGTCACTTGGGTACGCCGATCGAAAGTGCAAGTGCAAGTTCATCTGAAAGCATCTCTCCCAGAAAAAAAAGGCGAAACGAAAACGACGACGAGGGTCAAGCAATACTCTCAGCGTATACTCGGCCCGCTACTCGTCGCATCATGACGCGCGTGACCAAGATTGGTCGCAAAACTTATGAGCAAGCGACCCCATACGACCGTCCATCTACCGTACAAGCTGCATCACCTACATCGCAACAGCAACAGCATCAACGTTCGCGGGCGCCTCTTGCCTCGCAAGCCGAGATGGAGTCCTCACTCGGCTTCAAGAGCCAACGTGGCGAAGCGCGTAGGCAACGGCGTGAACGCGATCGGAATACGGGGAAAGTATGTTTTGCGTGTCGCAAAGAAGGTCATCGTATTCAAGATTGTCCAGAGACGACTGCATCTGGTGCTGTGCTTCCCTCTGGTGCTAAAGGCAGTGGGAAAGATGGGAAGTCAGTGCCGCAATCGATATGTTATCGTTGTGGGAAATCAGATCATGCGCTGAAACAGTGTCGCTTGCATCCCTCGAAGGGACTACCTTTTGCGCGGTGTTTCGTGTGTCAGGAGCAAGGCCACATCACATCAAATTGCCCAACTAACAGTCGTGGTGTGTATCCCTCTGGTGGATGCTGCAAGATTTGTCGAAGTGTTGAACATCTCGCCAAGGACTGTCCACTACCGGATGAAGTCAGACTGGGTACAGTTGTTGGGATGCAAAGTCTACAGGGGAGTAATGCAGTACCTATCGCTGGAGGCGGTGGTGCAGATGACGATGACTTTCACGACTTGGCAAGGGTAGAGAACCAGAAACGAGCGCTTGCTGCATCGCAAGCTGCCAAGAAGTCGTCGACAGTTGCGGTGGCGCCTGTCAAGCAGGTGGCCGCGAAACAAGCAGTGGTCAAGGGAGGCAACAAGAAGATCGTTTCGTTCTGAGCCATGTCAGATACTTTCTGCTTGTTTCATGGTCAAGGAAGCTTGTCCGTTCAGTTTCATAGAGCATACAAGAGGGCGCCAAGCCGGCAATTCAAGATCCAAAGCACAGGTTTCAATCAGTCATGGTCACTTTCATCGCACTGATAGCAGCAGTCTGCGCCGTGACGCTCGCAACGCCAGTCATGCAAGCAATGGGGATGCATCCACCCGTCAAACGCGACATGATTGCAGACTTTTGGAACGAGAATAAGCCAGCGCAGGGAAGCACACTCATCAAGGACGGCACAATCATCAAGCCAGCTCAGGACAAGATCCTCCAGTAAAAGCACTTCTGGCGCGTCAAAGTGCCAAATATATCAGCAACAAATCGTTGGACTTGAGAACAGAAGCAATTTCGAGTAATCTTCTCTAGCAAGAGCATCATTGTGACATCCTTTAATGCTTTGTCTCCTTCTCAGATGTCTTGTCCATGATCGCCTCCACGACGCAGTAGACTGCAAATGCGCCAACGCCGAGACCGAGTCCCGGAAGTGCTGCGAGGTACCGTGCGCGGGGTGCAAACACTCCTGTGTGTCGCCATGCTTCTCTGGACTGTGTTAGTACTTAGAATAGAGTAGCACGAGAGCCTGCTTGCCTCCTAGACCATGGATGCTGTGCCATGCTTGTGATGTCTCTTGGCTGGAGTCCTCTGTCGCTGTCTTGTTTCTGCTTCGACCACAGTTTCACCACCACAAACCTGCACAAACCAGCCTATACCCGATACTCGCAAGCTATATCCTCCTGGATCTACTTTCTTCCTGCCGGCCATGGTCTCTTACACCCAACTCACGCATGGTAACCTCCAAAGACACACGAACCTCCCTGGCCACATCACAGGCCCCAACGCCGACAGCAACGGTTCTATCCGGCAAGTCTGGCAGTACAACCTCGATGCTGAAATGTACATGATTCGCGATCTTGTTGAGCGCTATCCGTATATTGCCATGGATACCGAGTTTCCAGGGATAGTTGCGCGGCCTATGGGACAGTTTCGGAGTGCGAGTGATTATCGATATCAAGTCATGCGATGTAATGTCGATTTACTCAAGATGATCCAACTGGGAGTGACATTTTGCGATGAACACGGCAGGCAGCCTGAAGGTGCGAATACATGGCAATTTAATTTTGCATTTTCCCTCAATGAGGATATGTATGCTGGCGACTCGATTGCGCTCCTCAAGGAAGCTGGTATTGATTTTGTCAAGCATCAAGAGCATGGCATCACGCAGCAGGCATTTGGTGAACTCATGATCTCATCAGGCCTTGTTTTAGCGCCTGAGGTCAAGTGGCTGACATTTCATGGTGGATACGACTTTGGATATCTGCTCAAAGCACTCACATCAACCGCACTGCCTACAACGGAGACTGACTTTTTGGCACTCTTGAGCTTGTATTTTCCAAACTTCCACGACATCAAGTATACGGCACGCACGGTCAAGTCACTCAAAGGTGGCCTTGCAGAGATTGCAGAAGACCTGAATTGTCCGCGTCATGGCGTTGCTCACCAAGCTGGCTCGGATAGTCTACTCACTGCTCGCGTCTTCTTTGAGGTCTGGCGACAGTTCTATCCGAATGGCTTTCCAGAGGAGTTTAGCAATAAGATTCATGGGATCGGTAAGACAGACATGACGATGGCTGCACAGCAGGGACAGGTGCAGGGACAAGGTGGACATGCTCAGCAGGGACACTCTCAACAGCAGCAACCTCAGCAGCAGCAACAGCCTGCCGCGGCCTACGGACATGCTTCTGCGCCTGGATCTGGTACAAATCCGATGAGTTCTCCCTTTTCGCAGTCTGGCAAGGCTATCCAGGTGCGATACTGAGAGCAGGATGCCGCTGTCTCTTACTCGCTTCTATGTATCCATATCTCCCTCTCTGATCGTAGCATTGGCGTTTCTTTACTTTCTTTCACTTCCCCAAATTTCAACTTCTCGACAGCAACTCATCAAGACCCCAACAGACCAACCCACAGATACCTTCCTGCTATCCTAGCTATGCCGACCTACAGCGGCGCAGATAGGCAGGAGCCTCACTCTGTCCGCAGAGATGAAGAAGAATACGACTTTGCCTGCTTCACAAGCGATGAAGAGGAAGCAACGTCACCGCCACAGCATGCCAAGGTACAGCTAGAAACAGTCCCAGACGAGTCAGAGATTCCTCAACGCGCTTCTCCACCACACACCTCTGTTTCTGAAGCGATTCAACCAACTTCAAATGTTGCGCCGTCGAGTGCGGGTCCGGCGCATTCTCATGGGCACCCAAATCGAAGTTATGCGCTCATTACGCAAGATGAACTCGATAGCTTCGTTCTCGATCGCGAACCAAGCCTGCCTCCGCGACCTGTTCGGCCATCCTCTTCTTCTTCGTCCACAGAATCCATCAGCCTTGTGGATGATGTGTTTAGCGCCTTTGACAGTGTTCGCCAAGCCGTCCATGCCGATGTCCTTCCGCTATTCGCACAATTTAGTCGAGCACTGAATATGCACGACTTGGACCATGTTGCTGTACAATCTGCTGAACGTATGCGACAAACACTCTCAGCACACCGGCGACGCGTTCAAGAATGTGCGCGCGATGTCGAAATGAGTGCGAAGCAACAAGCTCAACAGCTCTCGAGGGATGTCGAAGCGTTTGCACAGCGAACGGCACGGGATGTGACGGAGCAAATGAATAAGTTGCAGAGTGAGATTGAGCGAGCTGCTGCAGGATTGCCCAGAGAGCCGCAAGAGGAGGAGGTATTGTTTGAGGTGCCTGAATCACCGATCACTGAGACTGTCGCCGTTGACGCTACGAAGACTGCTGAGTCTGTACCGAGTCTCTCTGTGCCAACGACGGCTGATGAGACCAATATCCAGTGGGAGACAAGTGAAGTGACGGGTATCAAGATGGCGAGAGACAGCGAAGTCATGGCCACAGTAGTCACAGCTTCTGGCCACTCGTTGGATGTGCCAGTACAGGAACTATGGACTGCTGCACCATCTCTCATCTCCAAGTAGGTCCATTATCATGTATGTGCAATGCTAACGACCAGATTTGAAAAGAATGTCAATCAGAAGCTTGAAAGCCTGCAGCCTCTTGAATCCGAGACAATCAGTAAGACAGATGAAGCAACCTCTGAGCCTGATGCAATAGCATCTACTGCACAAGTAGCTCATCTACAGCTCTCTACTCTCTCGAAAGAAGCGAGCAAGTACTTCAACTCTAACTCACCCGAACCCACCAACAAAATCGCCGATCTGAGTCCCGAGGAAGCGCGCATTGCTGCGCTTTCCGGCTTATCTGAAAGTACTCGAGAAAGTACACGAAAGGAGGCACAAATGTATCCACCCTGCTATCGTGGCTATGGACCTGATACGTCTACTGGCAAGTATGCATTTGAGTCGGATAAATGGACCGAGGCGGTCAAGGGCGATGCGCCCAAAAGCCAGCTTGCATACAATGGTTCGGATTTACAGATGAAGAACTCTAGTTCGTTCGTCGTTTTTATGCACCCTTCTCTGGGAAAGCAGCTACGCCAGATTCGTATGGTTCCGACAAGTCCTCCGCCTGCTTTCGCAACTGATGATTCGCCAGCAGCTTCAGTCCCGCCTCTTACGCAGTCTTTCGGTACCACATCCGAAAGTCCCCCGGTGACCTCAAGCGACACGGACTTTTCATTTCCCTTTTCAGGCAAGCCGGTAGCGATTGAGACCCCTCAGTCTGAAGAAGAGAGCGCACGGCCGTTTTTCAGGGAGTCTGGCAAAGAGAATACTCAAAGTTCAGATTCGTTCATCTTGCAGCCTGCTGTCGCAGTTCCAAAGACTTTTGCTTCCAAGGAGGCCGCTGGAGACGATACGGACGTCTCGTTTCACTTTCAAGGCAATCCGGTAGCAATTGAGACGCCTCAATCCGAAGAAGAGAGCGCACGGCCGTTCTTCAGGGAGTCTAGCAAAGAAAATACTCAAAGTTCAGGTTCATTCATCTTCAAGCCTGCTGTCGCAACTCCAGAGAAAGTGGTCTCCAAGGAAGCCGCTGTCCAGCGCGATAGTCCGTCGTCCTTCTGGACAAGCCCATGCAGAACAGATGGACCATTCGCTCAGCAACATGCTGATTCTCAAACGGCACCACGCTGGATAATCCCCAGATCTCCAGTGCCTAGCCCACTTGCTCCGAGTACATCAGCATTGCCGAGTCAGCGCTCCTTCACAGCCGCATCTCAGTCTCCATTGTCGAATGCTCCGATACACGAGGAAAGGAAGCGCTTCTTTCACACATCTCCCACTACCTCTCCAGCGAAGACGGTGCCTTCGCCGTTCTGCTTCGCCGCGAGTCCGGCCAAAAGCACGACCACTCAAGGAGGCGAACCTTCAGAAGGCCGAAAGGAGCAGTCGTTCTATCCGCCACTTTCTGCATTTGCAACAAACCATCAGCGACGCGTACAGTCCTGTGCAGTGAGGCTGTTGAGGGAGCAAGTGCTTCCTGCGTACGAATCAGACCGGGCTCTTGCTTTGGCGGAGGCTGCTGATGGAAAATACGAAGAAGCTCTTCTGCTCATGACGCACTGATCGGTCATCTATCCAGCGATTGTTGAGCTTTGTGGCGACCTTTATCTTGTCTTGTATGTTTGCTTTTGCTTGATTTCTATTTACTCCGTCAAATCTTTTTCCGATGCTTTCTCTTGTCGTGTCTGTTCATCAATCGTTGATCTCGTGTTCCTTCGCCACCTTCCCAGAATCCACTTCCCAACGTCCCCGGTGCACTGCCAGGCTTCACAAGCGATGCACCACACGCATGACAGTGCGCTTGTGGATTCACCGGCGCTTCAGTCGAGCAAAACCCACAGATTTGGAAATTGGCCAGTTCATGCCGATGCTTGCCACTCGCGACTCCCGCCACCTGAATAGGCATTGAGGCACTCCCTGCACCTCCTTGTGTTTGTGAAATCGGTGCAGCCCCAGCCAGGAGATCATGGCATAGATCGCAAGCGAAAACACGACGACAGCAAGGGAATCTGAACCATCTGAATGACCGACGATAGTGTCGGCACAGTCCAAAGTCAGGTAATGACTGTCCTTTATGCTTACTAGCCTGTCGAAGAGCACTCTTATTGGCACCTTTGGGGATAGCAGCTGGTTGTGTATCTGTGATGCGACCGAGTCGCGTTCCTGGTCTCGGGTATGTGTTTGACAGCGTCAAGAAGTGGAAGTGATTGAGTTCAAGGTGTAGTTTTGCATGACATAGCCTGCATGGTTTTGTCTGTGCCTGTCCAGTACCGACGCCTGTGAATATCTGTGCTTGCTGGTCTGCTGGCTCGTCTGGGACAGGACACTCAGCGCAAGCAGCTGAAAGGGAGACCAGACCGACAAGGGTGGCAGAACAACCTTCAAGATCAAGGTAGCCGATACGCTTGAGATTGCCGGCATGAACTAGCAGTGGGCGAAGACCGATGGACATGACACTCATGCAATGTGGACACGCAATCTGTGTTGGCTTGACTGGCTTGATATCGTTGACTTGGATGGTATTGGCTTTGCAGCGATGACATTTGACAGTCAGTGTGATGCTGGTGGCTTCGAATGTAGAAATTCCTCGCATCGATACAGAACAGTCAATCGCAGTGCCCCTATCAGCTTGTGTCGTTCTGTCTGTGATGCCCACCTTTTTGAAGTCTTCGTCAACGACATCTTCCGGGCAATCTTCATTTGCACTGCTGGAGGGATCTTCTTGCTGTTCGGAGACTGAATAGCTGAACCCTACAACGGGCCGAAAACCATCATGTTCGGCCGACCAAGTCTCCGCAGAATTTCCTGCCTTCGATTGTGCAAGCCGATACGCTTCTCGCTCGGACTCCAGTTGTGCCTGCAGCAGCTCACTCTCTTCAGCACCCTGCTTTGCAAGCAGCTTGAGATTCGCCAAGATCCAATTCATCTGTCTGACAAGATCGCGTGACGCTTTTCTCAGTTCGCAATTGGCAGGCGCTTCAATGTTCTCGTCACCCTGCAGAACCAAGATCCAGCATGGCTCAAGAGGGTAAAGAGCAGGTACATGTAGACGTACGCTGACTTGTTCGAGCTGAATATCGAATGTGTCTTCCGTCGCAGCCTGAGGATTCAATCGCGTTTTGAGCCTTGCGACCTCTGCCTCTCGCTGAGCAGCAGCTTCTTGCTTCTCATGGAATGTCCAAAACTTGATGGGCAATCGGTAGGCCGCTGAATCATCCCCATCACTTTCAGAAGAACTATCCTGATCATCCTGTTCTTCCGGCAATGGCGCGTGATGTCGAACAATCTTGACGGTGTTTGACTTTTTCAATGCCAACAAACGCTCCAAGTTGCGGTCAAGCCAGGTCAGCATGCCAAGCAAGCCACGTCCTGAAGCGACACCAACTCGCTCATTCTCAAACTCTCGCTCAATGTTACGAGCAAAGCCAATCTCGAGGCCGGATTTGACGTGGAGCTCGACAAGTCCGCTTGGGTAGTCTTGTGGAACGTGCAAGGAGACGACCAGATTCGGCACATCATAGGGAAAGTCTGGGTCAGAGGGCACGAAAGGGACGTGAAAACGATCGCCTTCTTCACTAAGTCCCTTTGCGTATCGTCGCTTGAGCTGACCAATATCTCTTTCTCGTATACTTGCAGCGGACGCCTGGAGAGGTTTTGTGACCACCTGACTCGTGCGTGTTGGTGTACGCTTGAGCACTTCCTCGATTCTGTCTTGAGTGGTAGTCTCTACAATACCACTTTCCTCATTTGGATAAGAAGCTTTGCTGCTCTTTGGTGGAATGACGGAGGCTGTGATGTTTCCAGACTGGAGGGTGTCAAATGCTGGCAATGCTTGTTTCTTGGCAGGCTTCTTGCGAGTCGACGACGCCGTGCTTGCCTGTTGTTCCGAAGAACTTGCTTCCATTGTGTTGCCAGTATTGTCTGCTGAAGGAGCAGGCTTCTTCTTCTTTTTCTGACCACGCTGAGCTTTGCGTGGTTGTGGAGCTTTCAGCCGTTTGCCATCAGAGCGATGTAGCGGTGCGTCATTCCTGCTGCCTTGAATCAGCGGAATTCCATTCTCATCTTCTAGAGTGTCTCTAGCCATAGCTGACAAAGTATGAAGCCAATGGCAGCAAGTGGTCTCTCAGGTACGTGTAGTGTGCTGTAGAACTACTCGATGTCGGTCGCCTCAACTGTGGCGCATGTCCAAATCCGAAAACTTCAAAGCTGCATAGAAGTCTACAACTAAAAACCTATCTATCGTAGCTATAAGCTCTATCTAGAGGCCGGCTCAGATAGCAATGGCGAGAACTGGCAAGAAGTCAGTCAAGGCAAAGCCAACAGCGCTCAAGAAGCAAATCACACAGGACCGCAGAATTCGCAAAAAGGCGAGCAATGGCGAACGCGATCGTGCCATGAAGGATGCGCTCGACAAGGAGATGACCAGCGAAGATGTAGTTCTGGGGAAGAAGTCCCTTGTGTCGCGCAAAGGATCCAAAAAGTCGGACGGAGCAGCAGATGAACTTCTCACCAGCTTTGATCAGCTACGCGGGATCTGATGGAGCTCTTCCTCCAACAACTGGTGCGTTCGCGCGACTTGCGCGCAACCAGCACGGATCATGATCTGATTTTTGCGTCGGGCTGACAGTTCGATCGATCCACAGCAAATGCAGCACTGAGGCCGTCTCTAACGTCGAGACCAGATCGCAAGGCCGTGCTTGCTCTCACTGTCGCCCGGTGGACCTGTCAGCTCAGCAGACGAATCTTGGTTCGGCGTTTCCTTCACTCCCGGTGCGTTATTCTCAGCTTTAAATTTACGCTCGGACCTTTGGAAGACCTTCTACCCTTCTTGGCATGCTTGCAATTGGTCCAGCTTGCAACAAGCTTTAGCTCATCCCAAAGTCTTGTCATGATACTGTCTTCATCAATTTCCAGAGGCATCGACATTTCTGTGTGCACTCTATCGCTCTACGCACCGCACAAACATGATCAAGTTTCAGATCGTTTCAAAGTCGGCTCTTTGATTTACACAACATTTGTCCTCATGCTATCTTCATTCCCTTGACATCCTTGTGTCTTGTCCGCCTCAGTGCTTCTACACCCTGCGCGCTGTGCTTCACATCATCTCATCTAGCCTGACTCTCGATGGTCAACGAAGCATCTGTTGACGCTGCACAGACCGCCAAGTAAGCCATGATGAAAGACGCAAAAGAAGCGCTGCTCTTGTGCCTCTGACTGCAGACGTTTCACCGGCGTCTCGGCTTATTTGCCAAACATGCCAAAGCTTCCTGGCCCTTGCGCATCTTTTGACAGCTGCTGGCCGTTCAGACGACCGACCTGACAAAGAAAGGTCCGCGCACCGCTTGGAGACCTCTGTTCCTCATAAGACCCACAAGATCGCCCGTCCCGCTTTCGGTTCCCGTGATTTTTGCGATCCAGATTCCTCTTCGTCTAGAGTCGTTGCAGCGAGTCATCTGAGCGCATACCCTCGAACGCATTACGTTGCCTCACACCAGATGGCGTCTGCTTCAGGGCAGTTTCTGCTCAACTCAACCAAGCCAGAGACTTTCATGCTCACACCTGAACAGCAAGATGCTCTGCCGCAAGAATCAAAGCTCGCTCTGGAGCAAGTGGATGATCGTATGTTGTACAAGTACAGCAAGCTGAGGTGGCTAACCAACAGTGAAATACTTCTTGGCGACTGCGCCGGCGAATTGGCAAGTGGATCAAATCATACGACGGTACTTGCTGCCTACGGGGGAGTATGTCTCTTGCGTTCTTTGGCGGAATCTCTTCCACATCACTGGCACAGATATCGTTCGTGGCCTGACTTATCGTTTCCAGGCATTTGGGCGCCCAGTCAGGAACATCAAGAAATTTGAGGAAGGCATCTTTTCAGATTTGCGCAACCTCAAGAACGGCACGGATGCATCGCTCGAGGAACCCAAGTCTGCATTTCTTGACCTCCTCTACAAAAATAACTGCATTCGCACACAAAAGAAGCAAAAAGTATTTTACTGGTTCAGTGTGCCGCATGATCGCCTCTTCCTAGATGCGTTGGAGCGCGACTTGAAACGCGAACGTATGGGCACAGAATCGACGACGGCAGCTGTTGCTGAACCTGCACTGTCTTTTGTCTTTGACGCTACTCAATCGCTCTTTGAGCAACTCACCAAGTCACTGCAACACAATGCTGCTTCCGAAGTAGGCGCATCGCTTGCAGCACAACAAGCACAAAATAACATTATGGCAGCACAGTACGGAAGTCTGGGTGGTGGCAGTCTGGGTATGCCATTTGGTTTGGGACACCGCAGCAGTCATGCTGGCTTACCCTTGCCCACTGCACATTACTACTCACGCGCCCAGAGCATTCAATCTTCTGTACCAATCGATTATCGTGTCCCATCCACGGGCTGGGCCAGTCTTGCAAGCGATCCGGGACCGCCTGCCATAGAGGGTGCTGGATCAACGTTTCGACCTGGTCATGCACACAGTGTCTCCGCTCCAGTGACCTTTCACGATTCCTTCGCAACGGACGATACTGCTCAGGCAGCAACTGAAGAGAGTGAAGCGGCATTCAGGCGAGAGTACTCGTACGATGAGACGATGGGTTTTGCTATGCCTATTGCTGAGCTCACCAACGAACCTGCTGAACTCACTGCACCTTTCAAGGATGAAACGCCCATCTCACCGACACACGCACCGTCTGGTGACGACGTGCCGTGCTTTGATGATTTTTCCTTTGATGCGCCCGTGGATCCTGTATCGATGCTGCCTTCTTATACACAGTCTGTGCCACGACCGTCATTTGGCATGCACTTCAATATGTTTGAAGGTAGTCCAACGTACAAGCAACGTCGTCGCCGTCAGAGTATTCCGAGTAGTGTCCTCATGCAGGAACAAGCGCAGCTTCAACAACAGCAGCACAGACGTCATCGACCAGACACATCCACCATGTCCACCACGACTTCGCAACGGGAATATACCGATGTGACTGATGCAGAGATCCTATCCAGTGTCGATCAGAACTCTGAAGTCGGCGGTGACTTGAACTACATGCAACCAATGGATGGTAGTGGTAGCTTGGGCATGGATGAGTTTGATTACGGCTTGCATCGACTACAACAACACACAATGTCCGGACCGCCTGGCTCATCCGGTGGTTCATCAGCCTCGCGTCCCGTCTCTCGAGATGGATCAGAATTCGATCCGCTGTATGGATCCCATGGTAGCAACACACAACCCTACCCACACGCTCGCCAATTTCCCTGCCCTAAACCGGATTGTGGTCGTGGTTTTCGTCGTCTCGAACACTTGAAACGGCATGTACGCACACACACCCATGAACGACCATTCCTGTGCCCTGTGTGTTTTAAGAAATTCTCAAGGAGTGATAATTTGGCGCAACATCGAAGAACGCATGAACGTGGGTATCCTGGTAGTGGCGCTAGTTCACCAGCAGCGAGTGTTGTGGATGTGTTGGAGGGTAGTGGTGGTGCTGGTGTTGCTATGCAACGCGCTGTGACTATGAGTGGTGCATTGCCGGGATATTATGGAAATCGATACATTGATACGTCTGGCGGTGGTCCAACGAGCCATGGTATGTCTGTTGAACAGCATCAACAGCAGTTCTTTGGGAATGGACAGATGGGTGGTATGGGAATGTACACGACTGCTCAAATGCAAGCATTTCAACCGGATCAAGAAACAGCAGAAATGATACGGACGCTGAGTATGCCGAATTTCGGTGCTTCTGGTGCATCGTTTCCAGAATACTCTCCGAGTACCTACTATGGGAGATCTAGGCATCTGGAAGAAGAGATGAGTGCGCATGAGCAAGCCGGTGAACAGGCGTATTTGCCTGTAACACCGCGAGCAGTACCTTACCATCCGTCGCCAAGGAGTAATGCCAAGGAGCTTCAGAGTCGAGGTAATGAAGACGGAGAAGCGACACCTAGATTACGAGATGTGTTTCACGGCCGTTCAGCTATTGAGTCGTAGAGGTAGCCTGATACTCCACACTCTTGTTGCTGCCCCTGACCATCTGATGAGAATTTTCTAAAAAGTCGCCATGAAGATTCTTCAGCAGCGACTCACGACAGTACTTGAGGATAACAGAGATGCCCTCCAAGAATAGCGTCAATAAGGCCAAAAACCTACAAAAATACCAACATGCCTCACGCGCAGCGTCAACACGCCTTCGTCGTTCCGCAAAACTCGCTCGCGTGATTGATCCAACCTCTGCAGCTGCACTGTCTCAAGAATCTACCAGTACCGGTGCTATTGTCGGGACGACGCGTGCTGCGCGACAGGCGGTGCGTGGTGGACGGGTGAGTAAGACTGTTGAGAAGGGTGGGATTGTGTATGGTCGTGTACCGAGTCGTAAAGTACAGCAAAAGTTGGTGAGACGGCGTAAATTGGCTGCACGGGCAGAAGAGGCTGCTGCTGCTGAGGTGAGTGGTGATGAAGCGGATGAGGGTGTTGAGGAGGAAGAGCTTGCTGAGGTGGATGAGGAGATGGAGGTGGATGATGCGGCACCGACGACGGGTGTCGCGAGTCTGTTTGGCGGCGGTGTCAAGGTACGGAGCACGACCTCCAAGTCACGGCCAGCAGCCAAGACACCCACGGGCAAAGGCACAGAGATTGGTGCTCCACGACGCTGAATGTGCTCCTTCCTTTATAATTAAGCATTAGCTATGAGCTTTGATATGGATTTTCTTTTCCTCTTTGACTCCTGATACAAGTATAAGCAATAGACCAGGCGTCCCTCCAAAACAACTCCAATTCTAGATTGACGTTTGGAAGAGAAGCACAATTGAGCTTGTTGCGCGTATTGGGCAGATTAGTACAAGGCGATGGCACTGTTTTAGAGACAGGTGTCGAACGCTTAGACGGCAACGACCTCACGCTCATCACGCTCGATAGGCTGGCCGAGCTCGACATCGTTGATGACATCCTCCTCTTGGTCCTCGTGCTCATCAGCATTCACCCACTCGCCATCGTTGAGGGATCGGTTGGACTGCCTGTTGCGACGACGGGTCGACAAGGAAGGCTTGACCTGGGCAGCAGCGTGTGTCCAGTCCATGAGTGCATTCTCACAGTCAACAATGATTTGCTTGGAGTCTTCATAGCCGTCGTAAGCAGCACGGGTCTCTCCGGGTGTGACGGCGGAGTCATCGAGCAACTCGAGCAAGTGCTTACCGTAGCCTGCAATGAGGGCAAGCTTCTCGGCGTGCTCCTTGAGTGCATCGAATTGCATGGTAAAGGCAGACTTGAGCTTCTCACGGGTGATGTTGGAGAGCTGTGCTTCGGCAACGAGGGACTCTGCTTCGGCACGAACGAGCTCTTGTTCAAGCACAACCAACTTTGGGTTTTGGGGTTCCTTGTGCTTCATCATATAAATGGTGTCCATGATCTTTTGCTTGCGGTCGCGGGAAGGCTGGACGGAAGCTTCGATGTTACGGATGGACTTCATGGTGAGACGGTACTGGTCGTAACGGTCGATAAAGCCATCTTCGAGCTCTCCGATCTCGTAGATGAGAACACCGAGCTTGTCGGTGATGTCGGAGACATCCTCATCGCAGTCTTCGCCCCAGACGGAGAGCTGACGTGCGACTTCCTTGCGTTCACGGCCGACCATTTCGTAGGAGCGCATGACGTTCTTCTCCATCTTGACGAGGATGGCGAGTCGCTTTGCGAGGTCTGGAGCGAATGCGCCTGCAGCGGACTTGCGGAAGGTGCCGCCGAGGGAGTTGCTGAAGAACTTGGACTTGGTGGTGGAGGTGGGTGCGGGTGGGTGGGTGGCATGGCTGGCGTTGGGAGCCCTTGACTGCCTGAGGGAGTAGGATCGGTGCATGGTTGGGTGTGAGTGGATGGGGGGTTGTAAGTGAGGTGAAGGGAGAGGAGGGCGGGCTGGTTGGGTTTTGTAGTCTGCTGCTTGTCTTTGTGCTCATCATCGCTGCCTCTCCAACTGATTGGCCACGCGGAGGAATGCAGTCACGGCATAGATATTATACTGTTACTGTATGCTGTATACTGGACTAGAGTAGGCTAGAGAGCATTGGCAGCAAAAGACGACCATCAGACTTGCTCTCTACTACTTCTACTACTGCTACTACTACTACCACTGCCACTGCTACTATCGCTAAGACAGAGATATACTACGTCATCGGCCAAGGCTCCTCCTCTTCCGCTCCAGCACGTGCACATCAGCCAGACCACCAAGAGTATACTCACTGTAGGCACTGCCAACCGTAGGCACTGCAGCCTGTAGGCAGCAAGAATTCACCGCTTCACAGGCCCACCGCGCTTCGGAGCAGGAAAGGTCAGCGGCGTCTTCAGCACAGCACGCTTCACACTCCGCGCCTCACTCTTCGTCAACCCACTCACCAGCCGCTGGGTCTCCGTAATCGGCGCAACCGTACATCCCATCTCCTTGAACAGCGTCGCAATCTGCGGTGGACGCAGCGACAGATCCTCCTGTAGCGTCTTGAGTTCTGTAGAAAAATAATCCAAAAACAGTGCAAGCGCAAACAGATGCGTCAGCAGCCTGTCGCTGCCCCGGTTGTCAATACTGCCATTCTGCGTGAAGCGTGCCACAATAGACTCGAGCAGCGCAGGCGGCGGCCCATTCAACTTCTCAGAAAGCTTCTCCTTGTCGCTCGCCCATCGCTTGTTGTGGTACAAACCCATGAGTAGCGACGCCATGTAAATCAATCTCAGCCGCTTGCTGTCCACCTTTTCGCCCTCGGGCACATCAAATGTCCGTTGCAACCGACTATTCACGTACCGCGACCGGCGATACGGCAGCAGGGATGTCCGACTCGTCTCCTCCGTAGATTTCTTCAACACTGAGATGACCTGCTTCATCGCCTCTGATTCAGCCGGCAGAATCAGCGACGTGAGTGGATAGACGTCCTCCACCGCATCCGCAGCCAGATTATACGGCGGCACAGGACGCAGCGCATCCTGCTTCGCTTGAATGCTCTCTTTACTCGGTACCGATTCAGCCTCTGCATTCACTCGCGCAACCAAATGCGACATGACACCGCCAAGATGTGTAGTATCAATCACATTGGACTCCCGTGTGCGCTGGATATTCTGTGCTTTCCGCGTACCAAAGGCGCTACCGAGTGACTTCCGTGCTGCTGCATAGACGTTCTGTTTCTTTTGTGCTGGTTCGCCGGCATTGACTTCTTGTTCTGGTGAAGCCTCAGCGGAACGCTTATCGCCTGTTTGAGGTTCTGCTTTTGCCATGGCCTTGTTACTCTATAGCTTCTTGGCTTCTCAAGCTTGTCGGTCTTCGTGTCGCGCCAACTTTTTTTAAATTCGCACGCACATGACATGGACCAACCCTCCAAGTCTGCCAGCTCTAGCAATGCTCCATGACATCGTCAAACCTGCTACAAGACGACCAGCCACCTGTTCCCTTCTTTGTCCTTCGAGGCCATCATGCCACCATCCAATGTCTCTGCTTCCACGAGGATACACTATTCTCTGGTGATGCACACGGCTTCGTCATTCGCTGGTCACTCACGACCTGTCGACCGCTCGCCATCTGGCGTGCTCACAAAGACGCATTATTAACAGTTGCTTGCTACAAAAACCGTATTGTAACGCACGGCAGGGATAATAAACTCCTCATTTGGGAAATCCTCAACGATGACCAAATGTCGACGCGACTCCCATTATCCACCACCGAGGCACGTTTGTTGAAGCCAGGTCAGGTGGATCCGTGTACACGAGCAAAACCTTTTCTTCAGGCAAGTTTGGATGTGAATGCGTTGAATTTTTGTCAAATGAGCATCACGCCCTCTATACCCCGCGGCTCATCTGCATCTTCATCATCGTCACATGCACCAGGGATCATGATTGCGGTACCTGGGCTATTGGGAAGTGAATATATCGATGTCTTTGAGATGCCATCGACACATCGTCTCATCACACGTATCGCACCAACCTCCCCCTTTCCATCCTCACAAACCGCACCAACGCCTGTAAGCACACCTGGTCTGAAAAAGGGTGCAGGGACAGTCATGTGTCTGGACTTGCAGTATCCATACCTCGCTGCAGGATATGAATCAGGTCTCGTTGTTCTATACCTGTTGAATGTATCCCGCGTGGATCCGAAAGCACAACGACAAGATGGTCAATGGGGAGAAGTTCATCGCTGGCAAATCCACCATGATGCAGTCTTGGGCTGTCAACTCTGTGTGCAGGAGGATGGCGTCACTTTGTTTTCCAGTGGAATCGATGCGTTGATTGCACGATACCACGTTCCTGCTTCTATCCTCGATTCATCCATGCAAGCACTAGGCGACACGCACACGCAAGACCCTCAATCAGACAAAATCACCGAAATTTATGATGACTCCGAAACACAAGGCATCCGTGTCGCTGTCAGGGATACAAAACACGCTGGTCAACAATCACTCTGTCTACGAAACGATGGACTCTTCCTTGCTACAGCAGGATGGGATGGTCGTGGTCGAGTGTATGCTATTCCAAAATCCACCGAATCTCTCAGAACAGTACAACAAGTAGCTGTGCTCAAGTGGCATCGCGAAGGCGCCGTACAATCTGTTGCTTTTGCTGAAAAGGGAGAGGAGACGGGTCTGCTTGCTCTTGGTGGGAAGGACGGCAAAATTAGTCTTTGGCAGCTGTTTTGATTGCAGTTCAGATGTATTGCTGCTTCGAGATACGGTGACTATGCTCGCACTGCCTTGCGCTCTTTCGAATGCCTTTGCAATGTTAAAGTAAGGTCGAAGCACATGCGGATGTTCCGCTCAGTGAAGTTGCGGGGGTCTGGCCATTCAGGGATATTTTGCGCCCCTGAATCGATAAGTTTTACGGAATTTTGAACACATCTTCATTTCCATTCCTCATTGCAAGACATCCCTCAGTGTCGACACATTCAGTCATGAAAACGCGAATGCATCTGTTGCTCGCTCTACTCATCCCAATCAATCTCGCGGCTGACCTTCTGATGCTGCCTGGTCGGACTGACGCGCCTCTTTGTCGACGAGTTCAAATCGACTTGGCAAAATTCCTCACAGTGACCATCGAATCGTGTGAAGCAGAATGCAAGGAAAAGTTGATGTATACGTACTTTGGAGACAAGCGCTACGCCTCCGCCTTCAATGCCTTAGTCGCGAAAGCCGTACTGGATTACAGGTGGTTCCGCTTCACTGATGTTTGCATGACTTCGTTCTTCACATGCATTTTGAAGAGTGAGGGCATTGCAGTTGGACCCAAATGGGTGCTTGGAACTGAATGTCTTTGCAAAGCAAGTCTTCTCATTGACAAACTTGAGCCTGCCGAGAAGCCTGGACCGCGCGCTATCAAGAAGGGCTACAGCTGCGCCTTGAAGGATGTCATCTCAAGGTTTGAAACCAATTCCTGGCAAATCTACAATGCAACGGTTCTTGAAGAGCTGTCCTGCGACATTGAGAAAGACTGTGCGTGCGATATGAAAGGGAAGAAGATCTGCAAGGGAGATGGTTCATGGAATCAGGACTCGGTCGGGCGCTTTGTAGAGGCCTTATTGAGGCTCTCTCAGTTCTTTCGCGAGTTGTATCTTTGTGGAAGAAGAGCAGTCACCGGCCAGATGGCGTCTAGATCTAGCTGTTGAATTAACATTGTCCGTTCCTGAGAGAGCACCTGGGCAAGCATGATCCCGAGACGTTTGGGCAATCAAGTGTGCGATGCGGCATGTAGGAAGGCCACTGCATATGAAAAAAGGTTGTAGACTGCTACAATGAGCTCTATTGTCACCATATAGAGCTGATCAGTCGATCCACATGGTTGCATTTCTCATTGCTGCCCCTGATCGGTAGTCGTCAAGCTTGAAAAGGATGACTTGCAGACGCTTCTCTAGGACGCCCAAAGTGAAGACATCACAGCTCATCATGGTGACCATCGCGGCCCTTCTTTTGCTTTGTCTCTATTCCTTTCCTCAACGGCTTGCAGCACAAACCTTTCCCATGGACAGGCCACAGAATTCTTCTGTTGAGTGCCGCAGAGTCCAACTCGACTTGGCCAGATTCATCGACGCTCCAGCTGCAAGTACCTGTGAAGACGCTTGCAACAGGAATCTGATGCACATATACTTCGGAAACTGGAATGACGTGAAAACAGAGGACTTCATGGCTCGGTATTTCCTGGTTGCTAATCGTCCGCAATTACAATATATTACAATGCGTTTCAGCGAGGTGTGTATGGCAGGCTTACATACTTGCATCTTGGAGCAAGATGGACGATCTTTGGATATGCCGGGGAAGCTCTCTCGAGAACAAAGCTGTTTTTGCACAGCTAGTCTTCTCATTGAACGTCTCAAGCCTGCACCAGGATATTGGGCATGGTATCCTGCTGATATCTATCGAGGCAGCAGTTGCGACTTGTTGGATGTCGTAAAGAGATTCGAAGTATCGACTTGGCAAGTCTATAATGCGACGGTTCTCGATCTCGTTTCTTGTGAGGAGTATGATTGCTGGTGTGACTTATATGGGAAGCATGTGTGTCGAGGAACATCGGAAGCCAGATGGTCCGCCATCTATCAGATTCTCGATATCGTGGCAAATCTATACCGGCTCACTTCTGGTCGACTCCTCCTCCCTTGGCGCCAAAGAATTTGGTGATGAAAGTGCCTGAGCCAAGTGTCAAGCTGTTGCAACTATTCTTATCCATGAAGCATTGACATGAAAAGTCCTCGAAGATTGTATTGACTACAGTATGCAACTTGCAGGTCCTAGAGGTCAAAAGCATATCAATCTCTTACAGGGCAAAATTGGCTCGAGAGGCAGCACAGCTATTTCAATAGCGACATAGCAGCTGATAGACAATCACAATGATGCACAGCCCATGGTCTCGCTGCATATGATGGTCTTCCCGGTCGCAATTTCAAAGTCAAGAAAGATACAACCATACACTAGCTGGTCAGACGCGTCCGAAGATGCTGCTCATGTGACTGCTAATCCCTGTTTTCAGGGGTGCTGGCATATGGCTAATGTCGGTGTCCTTCAAATTGGAGTCATGGACTTATCAAAAGACTACTGACTCGCTCCTCGAGCTCATATATACCTGTTCTCAAGTCGTCAGTGGCTGTGATGAGATGACAAGCATTGCTGTGGCTTATGAGAAATATATTGTGCGGTGCGACAGATAGGGAAGACTGCCATCTAGTGCTCCATTTCCACCATGCAGATCATCAACGCACATGGATGCACTCCGCTTCTCAGGAGCCATCTGTAATCTTTGAAACCGACGACCTACAGACACGTCTCGTTGGACCATTTGCGCCAGGCCACGAATGCAATAATTTTTAGCACGGGACGACATGCACTTGGTCTTCATCAAGACCGCTGTCCTAGCAACTCTCCCTTTGCTTCCTCGCCTACATGCACAACTGATGCAACTCGAGGCGACGCAACTGGTGCCTCCAGGTGAGTGCCGCAAAGTCCAATTTGACTTAGCCAGATTCATCTACGCTCCAGCTTCAGAAACCTGCACGGAGACTTGCAATAGGAATTTGATGCATACATATTTCGGAAGTCAAGATGCGAAAACGGAACCTTGGACGCATCGGGTCATGACAGCTGCGAAGATACGTCTGCAAAGCGTACTCGAGGATCTCCAATTCAACGAAGCGTGCATGGTTGGCTTCTTCCTTTGTATCCTAAAGCAAGAGGCACGATCACTTGATCTGCTAGGCGAGCTTGCTAGGGAAAAAAATTGCTTTTGCATGGTTAGTCTTCTCATGGAGCGACTGCAGCCTCCTATTGGCAATCAGACCTGGTTTATGGACATGCACTTCCGGGTCAACAGTTGCGAGTTGATTGACGTGATTCAGAGGTTGGAGCTTTCGTCTTGGCAGATTTATAATGCGTCAGTACTTGAGCAAGTCACGTGCGAGGAAGACAACTGCTGGTGTGACTTAAATGGCACTCGTGTGTGTGAAGGAACTGCAGAGGCCAAATGGTCCCGCTTCCACCAGACGCTAGACGTGCTGGCAAGCCTTTTTCGCGCGGGTCAAGTCCTGTATTGCATGGGTATCGCTTGCATGTACTTCAATCTGGGCGCATTGCTGTGAAGATAAACGTCATTGTCAGTCCTAGATTGTAGTCGATACGATTGTGCATGTGAGAGCAGAGTTCTGAAAGCCTAGATTAGCACTGACTAGAGCATGCCAATGGATTTCATACAAGCTCAGAGACAATCAGGCCGAATGTCAACATTGTTAACATCATTTGACTCTGAGGGCAGATCACTAGATCCACAAACTGGAAGTTTGGTCGTCGCCTCAGCACCTTGTTGACTTGCTTAATTCCAAGTTCGACCATGGGGGGCTTTTTCAGATGTCACAGCCAATTCTCGACCCGTCACGCCTTCAGCTAATCTGCAATGGAAGCCATCACTTCAACAGTCAACCATGCAGAACTTGACAGAGTACATTTTAAATCCTTCGGAGTCTCTGCGACAGCAATTGTGCTTCTGCAGGCAAAGTTCTTGGCCCGCAGCGAGAATCTAGGCAGCCTATTGATAGGATACGTCCAATGCACACTTCAACGGGAAGACCAAGTCAAATTGGTCAGGTGCGTGAGGTTATTTCGTTCGCCTTGAATCTCAAACGGGCGCGAGGTTGCTCATTCCAACCCTGTCCTCGTCACAGCTAGTGGATGTTCTAGCAACTGAAATCGACTTACAATTCAACCTTTACCGCAAAGTACATTCGTCGGCGCCGGGATCATGTATTGATTATTCAGGTCAAGCAACACAACACATCCTGTCTTCCAAGATAAAAGACGATGACTGCTTTGCCGCAATCAGATCAGAAATGCATTACCAAAAAGCATTGAACACCTGACGGGAATTTGACAAGTATGTGTCCGTGGCTGCGCAAAGAATAACTGTCTTGAGTCCGCCAGCAATTAGCTGATGGCAAAATTAGCTTTTCCCCGACATAAAGCCTGTTGCGTGTCGCTGCAATCAAACACAGAGCAAGCGCGATGGCAGCATATAGCAGAACAAAATGAATAATGCAGTCATGAGCGCACAGATCTGCGTTGCGCTCATACCTCGCTGCCGGCAAAGCGTCAGCACTCCTACACTTGCTGCTAGAAGGACTAAGCCAATCGTCGAGACAGCGTCAGGACTACACCTCGTGCTGACCAGAGCAAAGTGAATGACCAGGACCAATGGGAACAGATTTTGGAAGAGTTTAGAGGGTGTAAGCGACGACGCGCTCACTTGTGGCTCAAGCAGCGCAAGCTTTTCACCGGGACCAACGGTTGACAGACTCTTTTCAGTGGCATGAGTGGTTTGTGGCTGTACAGGATCGTGCTGCAATGCTGCAGGTCGTCCACCGGGCAAGCTCGACAAGCGGCGCAACCCAGTGCTTGGCAATGCGATATCAGCAATCGTCGAAGAGGTCGACCAGGGTCGTTGTGAAGACTGCACGAGCGATAGCAAATCCTTGCACGTCGGACGATTGAGCGCATGTGGCGCCAGCAATTTTGAAAGGAGCAAGTCGAGCTCTTTGTGGGGTTGTCTCCTATCGCTGTCATAGCCAGCAAACTCGGCAATCTCAGTGCGCAATTGGTTGAAGTCACTCTCAGGTGTGAGGTAAGGAAGCTGGCCCTCGTGTGTCATGAAGTAGAGTATCATGCCGAGAGAAAAAATGTCGGCAGCCTGCGTCCACGGCTCGCCACGCACAATTTCTGGTGCAGTATAGAGGAGTGTGCCTGTGCCACCCTTGCGTGCATCGGCATTGTTGGACAGTCCGAATTGAGCTTCACCAAAGTCAGACACAACGGCTCTGGGTAATGGTGCACGGGTATCATCGCGAAAGTCGAGAAGACAATTTGATGGTTTGAGGTCTCGGTGAATGACATCCTGTTCATGCAATATAGCCATGCCTGCGACCAGATCTTTGAAGATGGAGAAGATGATATCCATAGTCATACCACCGAGAGTTTCCTCTGCCATCTCACCACGTGACTGCCTTCGATGCCGTGCTTTCAATTCTTGCACAGTAGGTTCCACTTTGCCACAACGGCGCAAAACATAGGCTTCGAGATCACCGCCGTTGCAATGCTCTTGTAGGATGTGTAGAACAGGTATGCGTGGCCCCTGCAAGGACAACTGTGCATGCTCCAACCAAACGTGATTGTAGCGAACAAGGTTCTCATGCTGAAACTTGAGACTCTGTACCTCGCGAAGCATTTTTGTCAGCCAGGCATGCGAATCGCCGACACTACAGCGCTTGAGTGCAAAAGTCCCGAGATCGCAGTCTTCCAAGACATGACGCACTTTGCTCACTTCACCGCGTCCACCGCGTCCCAGTAGTCCTTCGACGACAAAGAAACGGTCAAAGTAGCCATCGTTGAATGCGCTGGGCCGTATATGATCAGAGAAGTCGAAGGTAGAGTCTTCAGCGTCTCTCTCGTCAGAGACACTCTCTTCTTGCTCAAGGCAAGTGGCCAAGTACCCAAAGTACTCTGGATGGACATAACTTGCATTTGAGCCAACATCTTGCGCATCCGCTCGCAAAGGTTGTTGACACAGTGGACATAGTTCGCGCGATGAAGTGCGTTGTCCGTGCTCGAAACTAGGACGGCGCGACGTAGCGCGCATCGTGGTTGTAATGCGCCGATTGGATCGATCATAGGAGATTTGCTGGCCTTGCGGTGTGCGACTGTGTATGTTAGCATTTTGACTTTTGAAGCTTGAAGGAGGACCTACAGGACGACGGACCAATCGCTTGGCCTGCGCACGAGAAGGGCCATCACATTGGACAGCACACAGCAGTGCCAGGGTTAACGAATTTGACGTTGTTTTTGTCGGCGAATTTGTGGAGTTGCTTGAAAGTTGCAAGCGCGTCGCGTCGATGCATTCTATCATGGCAATAATGCTGTATATGTCATACAAGCTCGATACCTAGCCTTTATCTACATTGTCCATGAACGAGCTTATGGTCCTTGCCGCTTTCTCATTACAGCCCTGCGAAATCCTGTTTTCAGAGCATCGCCGTGACCGTTTGGCTTGCCGTGAAGCTCTCACCGGCGCCAAGCGTGTGCCATCTAGAGACTGCCCCTGCTTCGACGCAGACCATCTGTTGATAGCCATCTTCAGGACCAAAATCAGCCATCTTACTGCAGCCTGTCCAGGGATTCCAGAGAACGACATCTTCCAGATTCTTGCGCTTCACCTGAAAGGACGGTTTGCCATTCTCGAGAATCGTTACATCGCCCTGGACTCGAGGATAGACGCGATCAGTCTCCTGTGTGATGCCGACTTGTGCTGCAGTTTCCTTAATCTCAGACGCAGACACCTTGTCCTTGTATGTGACACCATCGAGTCCTTCAACAGAGACGTTGGCAATGTTCTTGACTCGGAAGTAGGAATGCAAGAGCGTTTGAAACTCAAAGTCCTTGCTATCGGTATTCTTCACCTGCAAGGACGTCAAGAGCTGATTAGCCGTCACCTTGACTGTATATAGCAGCTCAAATTCACTTGACCATGCAGAGCGTGCTTCGGTGTTAAGATCGGCAGACTTGAGCGAGAGTGTCGCTTCATTGCCTTGCTTATTGACAATTTGCCAGTAGCTCGTCCGGGCAAAGCCATGCTGTGGAAGCTTAGCACAAGGTCCCTCATTCGCTTTGCCAAAGACTGGAAAGACGAGCGGGATACCACCTCGAATAGCCTTGCTGCCATCGAGGTGTGCTTTTGTCGAGAGGAACAAGCGTTCATGGTTCTGTACTTTCCATGAAATGACGGTAGCGCCATATTCAGCGATTCGAGCAGAAGCACCAGTCTGCTCGTCGTAGATTGAGAATGCCTTCATCTCCATAGTCAGCAGTTGTATATATGTAGGCTCGAGTCCTGGTCATGCTGGTCAGCTAGGTCAGGGATGACAGCGTGCGAAATTCGTCTGCCACAAAAAAGTTGAGGAAAGCCAACATCTACAAGACACAACACTATCCTGCAAGTTAGCTATGCCAAAGAGAAAGGTGGACGACGTGTTGGCAGAGACGCATACACCCTCACAGCGTATTCTGAGAAACACACAAGCTGCGAGCAAGCAGACTGCGCTTGTGGCAACAGAGCAGGCTGGTGCGAGCATACCGTCTCAAGCGACTGCATTGGCTCTAACCACGGTCGACTATGAGGACGAGGATGAGCAAGATCTAGATGCTCTCCTTGATGCAGCTACAACGGCGTTAAAAGCGCAACAGGCGGCGCAGAACCCTAGAACCACACCGCAAAACGCGCCACTCATGGTTGCGAAAGACGGTGTCGTTAAACTCGACCCCGGAATATTTCATGCTGAAACAGAAAAGCTCTCTGCTGCTCAAGCTGCCCAAAGAGTAAGAAATCATCCTGTTGCTCTTTGCATGTCACACATGATGATAAACTCCAATACAAGGAGCAAGTATCTACGGAACCGTCTTGGTTCTCGCTTGCTTTGACTGTTATTTGTCATAGTTACACTGACTGTGACATGCAAAGAGCTTTTCAGCATCACAAGACATGAGCTAACTGTCACAGGCGAAAGAAAAGGGCACAGATTGGTTTGAGCTCAAGACACCAGAACTGACAGAGTCTCTGAAACGAGACCTCCAGATCCTACGAATGCGTTCTATACTTGACCCTAAACGGCATTACCGCAAGGAGAACACACGGACAGTCGGCGCAGATGCCAAGAAACTCGCTGGTCCGCGGTTTGAAGTAGGTACGCTCCTTGCTGATGCAACTGAGTCTGCAGCGCACAAAATCAGACGCAAGGACCAGAGGCAAACAATTGTTGAGGAATTGCTGGCAGATGGTGATCGGCGTGCGTACTTGAAGCGCAAGCAGGCAGAGATTGATCAGCAGAAGCGAAGTGGTGGCAAAAAGTTCTACAAAGGCGTCAAGGACAGACGCGGTTCACGATTCAGTAAGGCCGCCAATTAATATATAGGCTAGGTCAATATCATTATACTTCCACATCACCAAACTTGTTGCGACGAGGTTGCTTGTTGCTTGCCATTGGATGTGAACCATTCTCAACAAAGTCGACACCAAAGCCTGCGCGTTCTTGGTCGAGCAACTTGTCAAACTCGCTTTGTGAACGTGCCTTGTCCTCTGGCAGTCTGCTCTCAGAGTCTGAGCCTCTGCTTGTCGATTGAGCAGGCAATTTGGCAGGGGATACACTATCGTCTGGCGGTGGCGTGAATGGATCTGCCGTTGCTGTCTGATTCGCTTGTTGTCCAGCAGCACGAGCATTAGGATCACGTCCACTGCGTAGCTTCTCCCAAGCAGTCTGTGGACGTCCTCCGTTCTCTCCACGCAACTGCTGCCATACATTCGATTGATGTTGCGGCTCTTGCGAGCTAGCCATCGGACCAGGTCCATTGAAGGGTGTACGTAGACTAGCGTCCACAGGCCGGCTTGGGTCAGCTGGCATACCCTCATTCGCAGCATCCATAGGCATGTCTGTCGTTGATTTCTGCTCCCAAACGCGAATCTCACCCAAGGGACCACCGCGTCTGATCTTGTCTTGCTGTTCCACCTGTACCTCCCTGATGGCCTTCATCACGCGGTGTTGAGATTCCTTTGGCATGGTCTGAACCGTTGAAGCCGCTGAGATGCTCCCAACGACAACACCGATCTGCATACCCACCACTGTGCTTCCACCAATGAAGAAGAGTGCACGTCCAGGAAACTTGGTCAATGGCCATAACTTGCGACGACGCATCCCCAAGATGGCTACAACAGCACCAATCATGGACCCAATCCGCGCATCGTTCCGTACTTGACGGCCGCATTTTTCGAGCGTTGCAAATTCATCAGGGGTGAGGTCTGCTTGTAGCTTTACCCTCACCTTTTCAAAGAGACCAAAGCCACTCATGTTGGCAGGTTGGCAAGAAAGAATTGAAGCTTTGTCAGTCGCGCTCTGGATGACGTCCACTTTGCGGAGTGACACGAATCAGATGGATGGGCAAGATATCGACGTATTACGGTGTCTGTCCGTCAAAGCAAGCAAGAGCGCAGCAAGAACAGAAACATATCAAAGATCAGAGGAAGACAAGAGTGAAAAGAAAAGATTCGATTCTGATTTTATGTGGACGCCATGGAAGACCCCTGGACAGCAAACCAAGCGGGAACTCAGCAGCAAGCCGGCGCCAGTTATCCCAAATGTTTTGATCACCTCGGAGACAAGAACCTAGCGACACGTCGCGTCTTGAGGGTGAGATTCATGCTGAAGCATCGAGATAATGTGGTGCAATGGGTGATAATTGATGTCGGAAAGCAACTTTGGTTGAGGATCAACTCAGCAATAAGTCGTCAGGGTAGTTGCATGGTCGTCATTCCTGAGAAGGCGAGCATAGAGTGGCCTATTTGGATCTTGCTCTAGTCTTTCTTCTCTTACGCTTGAGTCGTCTGACTCGCTTCTTTCTCCACTCTGAGGCACTAGTTAGCAGATGCAAGAGAAGGCATTGGCAGTGAACATACTTGCTCTCATACTGGTATGAGGTGCTTTGCCTAGTGGATCTTTCTTGAGGGGAGTGGTTGGTACGAGAGGAGTCCGCGCTCAAGGGCCGGGGCAGGGCACGCAGCAACTCCACTCGGCTAAATTTATGTTTGGGCCAGCGTGACTCGACTTTTGGGGGCCACAAACGGGGGTGCAGCGTCAGTAGAAGGGCTAGCACTTCTGAAAGACTGTCAGATAGGTACACCATGCATATCGATGTGTATGGACGCTTTCTCAGACCATCTGCATCATGTCCAGAGCATAGAAGGCCAAGGAAGCAGCAATTGGAGCGAATCTCACGCTGAAAATGGCCCTGAAATCAGTCTCAACTACTTCCTTGCCAGCAGTCACACGACGCATGTATGAATGACTTAGCTAGACAAATTTTCCAAGCTCTCAAACCAGCCTGCATCGCCCTCTCTAATGTCACGCTCGCTCCAAACTATGGGACAGACGACGCACCGCGCACGCCACCCGTCATTCAGCTAGATGACTTGCTCGCTGCTACCCAAAAGTTGAGCCCTATTCCTGTTCCTCAGAGTGTCGGCAACTATGTATTTATGCCAATCAAGCCACTGCTTGTTGCTGATGCCCCAGAAGACGTGCTTGAACGCGTCTTTGCTGTTCTTGCTTGGTTGATGCAAACAGAGTGGTATGTTGACAATGAAGACATGACTGCGCAGCTGTTGATGCTGCACAGCACATTCCTGGCAAGGGCAAAGACTGAAGAGCTCAAGTTGTCGATTGTCAAGGCGATTAATGTCTTGTTCGACCATGCAGGCGGTAGCATCCAAGTTCTCAAGGCACGACCTACATTAGCCCATCTGGCTACAAGTCTGCTGAATGACGCAGGACTTGTCGAGCTTCAAGAGATGTCGCTCATCGCGCTACAGACCCTCTATCGACACATTGACCCCGACACGGCTGCATCCTTCCTACCGGGAACAGTCTCACGCTTGTCTCGAATCTTGACCAAGCCAGGACAAAAGTCTGTTGTCCTCGTTGCAGGCATCACACTCCTTCAATTAAGCACCACCAAAAGTGTTTCAGGTGACGCTTATACCGGTTACCGCGCTGGCAAGTGGTTCGATGCAACCGCTGCGCAGCTTCACATGGCACTCACACCGATCCTTGCACATTTGCTGCAATCAGATCGTGAGGCAGTGTTGGAGGCTACATGCAGGCTTTGTACGACCCTGTTGCGAACTCAGCTCAATCCTGTGCGATTTGTCGAATTTTTACTTCAAGTGCGGCCAGAGGCACTAGATGAGGCACAGCACGACGCAATCGCCGACATCATCCACACCTATATCGACAGCATTGTGCGCATACTACAAAGCGCGGATGAAGGCAAAAAGCGCAATATGCTAAAATCAATGACCTGTGCATTCACAAAGCTACATCCGGCGAGTAGTTCTTTGCTTTCCGATAAACTCTTGCAAGAGATTCTCGAATTTGTCCAGTTTGAGGAGGGATTTCATCTCATCAAGAGTGTCGATGAGCTTGAACCCCCAATGCCCCCTCGCATCAAGCATCTGACACAAGAAGCGCAAGATTGTTTGTGTGCACTGCTGCATGTCCTCAAGCCGACGTTTGAGGTACCGCTTGATACGCAGGAGGGCTTCTACATTGCACAACAACTTGGGCAGTCTACGTTTAGCCATGCATTACTCCATTTGAATGATCAGGCAGATCTCTCTCAGCTATCGATTCTACAGCGAGCTACGGAGGAAGGACCCTTATTCAAGCCACAACTCAGATATGTCTTGTTTCCCTTATTGGCACTCAAGCAATCAAATCGTTATGTCCTCGATGAGGTGGCGGCGCTGTGCCTATATGAGAGTACGGCGGCGATGATTGTGGATCAGGCAGATTACCTCGTCAACAGTCTTTCACTTGCCTTTGCTACATTGGACATCACCCCCAATACGCCGCGCATGCTGGGATTGCTCTGTCGTCTTTCACCGGGCATGGTGAATCTCGTTGATGATGCCGTTGAAGCGTTCTTTGACGTTCTCGACGCATATCATGGCTATCAAGGTATTGTTACTGGTATTTTTGAAGGACTTGAAGGTGTCGTCACTGCAGCTGCTGGCCAGATTGCGGAACCAGACAATTTCGCAAAAGCCATCGAGACAGACACTCTGACGACGCCCGCTCAAGAAGAGGATGACGAAGCTGCAGAGCCAGAGGCGAGTCCAGCATACATGGTAGTCCTCAAAATTTGCCGCAAAGGACAACTCTTCCTGTCGCATGAAGACCCCCAAATTCGCATCAACTTGCTGGCCATGCTCGAACAAGGATTCGCTGTCCTGGCTACTAACGAGAATCTATTCTTGCCGTTCATCCACTTGGTTTGGCCACCACTCTGTCATCTGCTGGATGATCCACAAGCATATGTCGTTGCTGCGGCATATCGTCTTGTTACTAAGTGCATCACGTACTCAGGAGCCTTCATGCGTCGTCGTGTCACAGAGGATGTCCTCTGGCGCATTCAAGAAGTGTTAATGCCTCCAAAGGACGCAAGAGGAAATTTGATTCATTCAAAGGCTTTCACGATGGTGACGTTGATGCACTCTACAAGCAAACCTAGGGAAGAGGAAGACAATATTCGAGCGGCAGTCATTGGCGATGCGCGCTCAAAAAGGGGGATTCAAGCACCGGGCCAGGAAATTGGGTTGGGCCCTGCAGGTCATCGCAGCTGGCAAGGGACCGCACGTCGCAAAGTGGCTGAAGGGATCGAGATAACACTAGCAACGATTGTTCGCGATGCTGGGTTGCAACCTCCCGAGCTTGCTGGTGTCATGGGAATGGTCAAGACATTGAGTGATCGAAGCGAGTTGCTGCAGCGGGTCGTGGCCGAGCAAGCTGCATCAGAGCTCTAGAGAGGGTTCGAGCTTGGATCCCAGCTGGTTGTCAAGCCTTCCTCGAGGCCATCCAGCTCTTCCATGTCCTTGTCTGACAGCTTAAAGTGAAAGACATTGATGTTGTCCAAGATGCGCGAAGGTGTGATGCTCTTGGGTAAAGGCATGAATCCCTTTTGGATTGACCAGCGAATGAGGATCTGTGCGGCACTGACCTGGTGCCTTTGTGCGATGTCAAGGACTGTAGGGTGCGTCAAGCACATACCCCGCGTAACGGGTGCCCATGCAGCCATAGCGATATCACGCTGCCTGCAAAAATCAACAAGCTCCCGTCGCTGAAGGAATGGATGCAGCTCCATTTGATTGCACACGGGTCGATGCTTCTCAACTTCAGCAGAATCTAGTAGTTCTTGTAGATGATGTATGCCATAGTTGCTGACACCTGCTGCTCGAATGTCACCACGATCCACCGATTCGCACATGGCGTGCCACTGCCCTAGTCGCTCCTCACGCGTCCCATACGGCGCATGAATCAAGTAGAGGTCGATAAAGGATGGCTGTTCAGGGAAGCTTAAATTGCGTAGTGACTCTTGAATAGCTTTCTGCGTTTGTGCATAGCCTCGGCACCCGGGCGGCAGCTTTGTAGTGATAAAGACATCATGGCGCTTCAAGCCAGCCTGTTGTAGGCCCTGCGCGACGAGATGCTCGTTTCTGTAAGCCAAAGCGGTGTCAAAATGGCGATACCCAGCTTCGACTGCCTTTTGCACAGCCTTTACACAATCCTCGCCACGCGCTTCGTAGACTCCAAAGCCTAGGACGGGCATTTGGACGCCATTAGCAAGTTTCACAGTCTGCATGGCTCCTTTTCTCAGCATGTACAATGTCAATGTGTAGTCTATTGTAAGGCCGCATGGTGAGCTGCGACCTCACAACGGCTCGGTGGCCTACCGATCAGATGGCATGGCGCATGCCCCGGACTTGCTGTGCTGGCGACCCTTTTATATACTCTCTTTTTACCTTTTCCATACTTAACCTCTTGAACATCTCAATACTCGCGGCTATTACATACGCATAGCTGCTTGAGTGGTGAAAATGGAGGAGGAGCGACGTAAGGAACCAAAGGCCTTCATCTATGGAGTCGTCTATAATTTTGTTACAAAGTGAACTTGCTGCAGCTTCAATCACATATAGTGCTTGCACAGCGTCTCATACACCCAAAAGATGAGGGCATTAGAAGGTGCTGCTCGACAGACAGTCACGCCCCATCCCTTGAAGTAGCCACGCATGCCATTTCTCGCATAGACCTCTTTGACGACATCGGCAAAGGATGTTCGAGCTTGACTGGTCTGCATGCGTGACTTGATGGTGTCGAAGGGGAAGAAGAGCGTGTTGTAGCCCACGCCAGCAGCAGCACCACTCATCAGCATGTCTGTCTGTGAGTTCATCTGTTTTGTTGTACCGGAAGGCCGGAGCGAGCGAAGCATTAGCTCATAGATGGAGAACCAGCACAGTGACCCACCAGACTCGCGACAGAGCGTCGATACTTGCCCTCGCCAGAATCCACGCAGCCCGTCCGTCTTGTGGATTTGCGAAATAAGTGCAAAGACGCCAGGCTGTTGCATCGCTGCGGTATGCATCCTTCGTGAACCTGTCGCCGTCGCTGCTTTGGGTAAAGCCATGGGACTTTGGCTCGTTTGAACTTGTAGCCTGCACTTAACAAGCTCCACAGGCGTCAAGACAAATGAAGTGGCTGCACCACTCATTGAGCCAGCCAGCATGATATCCACCACCCGTGTCTCCCCTACAGGTGCTGCATCCTGTCCACGCACCGTCCGTACCAATTCTTGCGCCTTGGCAAAAGCGACAAAGAGCATAGCATTCTCTACCATAGCACCCCATAGCGGCGCACTGAGACCTCTGTATAATCCACGATACCCATCCGACTTGACTGTCCGCCTGAAACAATCGAGCGTCGAGGTATACTGCTGTGACTGAGCTGTTTGTGATTGAAGGCGTACTTTGACGGTGTCGAATGGATATTCAAAGAGTTTGCCGACGACACCAGATACAGAGCCAAAGGCGATCTGTTTCAAGGCCGACTGAGGTGCTGGCGTGCCATCAGCCATCCACTAGCGATACAAGTGTGTGGATGGTGTGTTTATGGCTGAAAAGAATAACTTTGATGTACATGTTGTTGTCAAGCACAAATCATCTACACAATAGCAAAGTCAACCTAGAGACCTTCTGGCATCTTGATACTCTCCAACAGCCACCCAGGCTTCTCGCTCGCAATACCTTGCACGCGACCTGCAATGGTCCGCTCAACAGCTTTCCCATCCACTCCTCCATAGACCACTTGTACCTGCACCTCCAACGCTTCCGAGTCAAGCAACACAGGCGGCACGGTAAAGCACACCTTGAACTTTGTCCTTGATGCATACAGCAGCACCGTTGTGTCAATGCAAAGGTTGTCGTCCTGGTTAATATGCACTTTGGTTGGATGCGCACCGGCCAAGCACTTGACTTGTTCTGCCAAGACACAAACAGCGGTCCACTGCTCTTTGATGCAGGCAAGTGCTTGTTTTGGTGAGAGTCCTTGTTCAGCCAACGATGCCTGGAGTTGCGCCAAGTAGTAATTGAGCAGCGTTGCCTCGAGCCGATCAACAGGAGTCGTCTTGAGCGACAAAGACGGCACATCGCCACCTTGCAATGGAACAGACACAGCCAAACTGGACAACAAGACAAGCTGCATTGTTTGCTTGGTCACTTGAATCACCTCCCATCCACTGCGCCTACCAAGCTCCACCAAGACCCGTCGCAACTCTGCAAGCTCTGCCAAACTGAATCCACGCTGCTGTGCCGCTTCACGTTCAAGCATCGAGACTTCCTTGCCAGTCTCTGCGAGATGACTCGACAGCGCCGTCGTTTCGGCAAGGAGCATCGCTTCTTGCTGGGCAAGCTGGGCGGACAACTCGGTTTCTGCTTGTAAATGCCGTTCAACTTCTTCGTTCTCTGCAGCAAGCGCCAGTGCAGTCTCGACATCAGAAGCATCATACGCGTCTTCTTCACGCAACAATGCCTCGACACGTTCCTTCAACGCTGCATAATCCTCCTCCAGTGCAGCATGTTTTGGGAGAACTTCTGCTTCCTTCACTTCCAAGGCCTTCGCTTGTCTCTGCAAATCTTCGAAGTTACTGGCAAGTGGCTGCGATACGCCCATCATGAGATTCGTTCGCCAGGCATACCACACACCACGTGCTGCTAGCCGCGCAGCACTCTTCATATCCCGAAACTTACCCTCAAGTTCCCGCTTCCCAGGACCGTCGGCACGCCTAAATGCTTCAAACACCTCAGGATTCTCATCGTTCATCGACGCTTCCATCTCATCACACATATGTCGTCCCTCTGAGATGTAACGTGTGAGTTCACGGCATGAATGTTGATACATCTCCAATACTGGCAAGACCCCTGCATTCGCTTCCATTCGTGCAGCTTCAGCATCAACAGGCGTGTCTTGCGTCATCACCTGATTTGCATGAATCGTTTCACGTCTGCGTGTGGTGGAGAGACCCGTGAGGAAGGAGATTCCCGTCATGTCCAAGAAGGATTTGAGTGAAATGGGCGACAATGGCGTCACGGGCGCAAGCATCGCTGCTTTACCCAAGGGTGCACGACTTGGTGTTTTGAGGGGTGTCTTGGTAGGTGATGCCGAAGCCTTTCGCGCAGTCGAGGGACTTGCAACCGGTGCAACGGCCCGGACGGACTTCGGTGTGTTGGCATCTTGTTGCTGCTGCTGGCCTTGCTTGCGTGGTGTCAGCTGAGCAAGCTTCTCACGAAGGACAGAGACTCGAAGATCTGTTGTCTTGATGAGTTCCTTGCCGAATTCAGGACGATCAATGGAACGTAGGACGACTTTCGAGGGACTGTTGAAGAGGGTGACTGGCAGATCCAAAAGCGAAGCACGACGAGAAGTGGGCCGTGCTTGAGGTGTACTCGGTGCTGGTGCTTCAACAACAGGAGCAATGGGTAATGGTGCAGGCGATAGCCCTTCCAACATGGGTGAGCGAACGGCACCTGTACTCAATGAATACCGCTTCTTAGGTGATGCCGTCTTGACGACTACCTTTGCCTTTTCTGGTGACGCAACTGGTGTTCTTGCAGCAGCAGCAGTGTGGCTAATGACGCGCGTAAAAGACATGTCAATTTCTGTTGTTTCGCCACGGTCCATCATGGAGATATCCGGTGAATCAGGTCCACTCCTGTCAATGTTTCCGAGAACAGTCGTCATATCCATTGTGACATCTTCTGCATCATCACCACATGCGCTGGCATCTGCCATACTGACATCCATAGGGCTAGCAGGGACCTGTTGAGCGCCCCATGAGAAATCCATGCCAAATGCTTGCTTCACTGGAGATTTTGTCTTGGGTGTAGCCTTCTTGACTGGTGAAGCACGCTTGGGCGTTGTGACACGCACCATGACTTTTCGGCTCGCAGAACGTGCAGGTGAAGCAAGAGCAGCTGTGCGTACGGGAGTAGAACGAGGTTGAAGCACATCAATCTCAGTGGCTGATCCTTCGCCAATGAACGCTCGTTGAGTATCATCTTCAACAGTAGCGACAGTGTGAGAGGTATGATCTGATGCCGTTTCCGATTTGACTGGAGATTGACCCATGAGTTGTGCTTGAAAGACACGCGTCTCTTCCATGGATACTTCACTGTCATCCTCTTCTCCCTGCTCGTCTATTTGAGCTTGCAGCAGTCCTCCAATAGGACGCGTCATGTCCATCGACATGTCTTGCTCGAGGATTGCTGCAGTTTGCTTGCGAGGCGACTGACTTGCCAAGGAGACAGGATGAATCTGTCCCAATGCACGCGTCATATCCATACTCTCATCTGCATCAGCGGAGAGATCCATCGCAGCAGCAGCACGTCGAAAGGGCGATGCGACTTGGCGTTTGGGTGTGTGCTGGCGTGTCAAAGTGGGTACAACGTCAGTCAGATCCATGGCAGCGGTATCATCTTCACCAGCAAGTTCATCCTCCTCACTGTCTGACGATGCAGCATCGAGATCCTTGTTGTGCTGCAGCAAAGGGTTACTCAGCTTGAATGCTGGTGCAGCCGCAGTGGACGGTGGAAAGACGGCAGTTAAATCCATGGTCAGATCATCATTGCTATCATCTGCTCCCCGACCGATAGGTGAACGCGCTGGTGATGCACGACGCGGCGACCTTCTCGGAGAAGCAGCAGTGCCTGATTCAGGCGGTGATGCCCCTACCTTTTCAAACAAGCGCACACTTGCATGGGATGCGAACGAGACGCGTCGATTGAGTGATTTGCGACGCTTTTCAGCACTCCCGGAGACTTGCTTCGAAGCGGAGTGGATGGGGATGAAGGCGATTGTGTGTGCATCGTCGCCGTTTCCCTTGAGAATGCCGCGTGCTTGTTTTGGGGGAGGTTGACGGGCGCTGGGAGGAGTGGAGAATGACTTTGCGCGTTTCCTGGTGAAGGTCGGCGTGGCCGGGACATTCTCCTTGTTCATGGCTGGGTGTGTGTGTAGTTACTGTAGTAGCAGTCTGTCGCTTGTTGATGTTTTCTTGTTTTGATCTGGTTGCATGCACGTGTCATTGAAGTTGAGTGAGCATAGTAGAAAAAAGAAGGGTCTACTGCTGCTCGAGTTGTCAGCTAGGGATGTCTTCTTGCTCTCTCTTTTCACTGCTCTGACATGTAAGCATTTCTATGATGTGGTTATGTGACTGCTCCTTCTGCTCTATTCTTAGCGCCCACAACAAATCGCGTCGAGAAGAAGAAAAACTGGCGACTCAGCTACTTTGGTACTCAGGTACTCTACATCCAAGCACATCCATCACTTTCGCTACCTCGCCATGTTCTTCTCAGCTGCTCTTCTCATCGCCACTGTCGCTGCACAGAATGCATTCAACCAAAGTAAGCAGCATCCCCTTAAATCTGCAACAGTGTTACACAGAGACTACCCCTTTGCACATACAATACTGACTCAAGTCCAGTTCTTTTCCCTGCAAACAACGTCGTGATTCAGGCAGGAGGCGGTGTTCAATCATTGACATGGACAAATCTCACTGGCGGGCAAGTCAGCGTCTCCCTCTACTCCGGCACAAATCCTTTGCGTCAGGTCATTCCCATTGCTACAGGTATCGCCAACACGGGTACTTTCCTCTGGACTCCCGAGACGTAAGCATCATCTCTTGTGTATGTTGAGCTAACTGTCAGCTGGCTTCCCGCTGCCAACGACTACGTGATTGGTGTGCGTGACCTGTCTGGTTCAGCACCCACACAGTACTCCCCATACTTCACCGTCCAACTCTGCTCAACCTGTTCCGCCAGCACACGCTCCACAACGTCCAGCTTCTCCGCTGAGACTGTCTCTGTTGCTGGTCTCGTCACACGTGCTTCCTTCACAGAGGCATTCCCAACACCTGCCGCTCAGTCCGCTTCTGATTCTTCTGCTACAGCTGCGGCCGCTGCTGCTGCCGGTGCTACTGGCTCTGCTGCTTCCGGCGCGTCAGGTGTTGTTGCTACTGCTTCAGGTGCAGCAGGTAGTGCCGTGAGCCGTGCATCCGGCGCTGCCGCTTCTGCCGCTTCTGGCGTCACCTCTGCAGCTGGATCCCTTGCCTCTGGTGCCTCAGGCGTTGTTGGTAGTGCCGTCTCTGGTGCACGTACTGCAACTGGTTCTGCTGCTGCTGCCACATCTCGTGCTGCTGCTGTTCAAGAGTCTGCTGCGGGTCTTGTCCTGGCTGCTGGTTTCGCTGCTTGGTTGCTGTAAACACCCGTTCTGGGATACACACTCGACCTGCTGGTCTACACAAGTCGGTCTTTTCTGATACGTTCATACACTAATACACACACTGCGCTATGATGTCTAACGTTGATCTATTTGTCTAACTCGGACCGTTCAACGTTTCAACGAACTCTTCAGCGACACTCTTGAAACTGATCAGGTAGAGGTTTAAGGCAGTACTTAAGTAGAGTCGCTCACTTCATGCTAGGACTTTCATACCATGCGAGCCAGTCATAGCTGTCAATCTTGTTCTCGAAGGAAGCGCAAATGCGACTTGAAGAAACCAGGTTGTTCGCGATGCCTCAAACTCAAGATCCCCTGTCACTGGCCTGACTCCGTTCGACTAGCCACTTATCAGCAGCAACAACATGAGTCTGATTGGATGCAATCGTTGCTGGTCAAGATGCAAGGTGTACGACGACCCCTTGAAACGGTCAAGATGCATCAGATGGCCGGTTTGTGGTGGCCATTGCCACAACAGCAGAACAACGTACATTCTGGACAGCATGGACAGGTACTTGATATCTTGTCGACAGAAGCGAGTGAGTTGCTGTCCTCGGATGCATGGTTGACAGTGCCGATACCACAGCGTCAGGATTCTCTCGTCTCCATCATGTCAGAACAGACGCCTGACTGGCTCTTCATTGAAGACTCACAATCCCCAGCCCAAGCAAGCTCACCCGACTTCTTCACCTCGTCAATCCAGGAAACACACCCAAGCAACTCCCTTCTCCCCTCAATTAAACACAAACGCGACGCCTGTATCGACGTCTTCTTCACATGCTTCTGCACAGAAATGGGATTCCTCCCATCCACCCTGGCATGGAAACAACTCCTACCCTCCATTATGGCATCCGCTGCTGGTGTTCGTGATGCAATAGCAGCAGTCGGTGGACTCTATGCGCATAAACGTGTCAAAGGTCAAGGAAAAGCGACCGATGCTATGGGTTATTATGCAGCAAGTGTGCATGCTTTGCAAAAAGCCCTGACACCCTCCCATGCATCCGAAAAAGTCGGTGTGCCAGGCGTCGATGCCATGGTAGGGATTGCCATTTTGATGATCTTTGAGTTGATGAGTGGGAATCGAGAAGGGTATGCAGCCCATGTCTCTGCACTTGCAAGCATGTTACAACAACTCGGCCCAGCAGCATGCCGGACTGGTATTCCAGCACTCTTATTTGCTAGTATCTTGAAACCCGAACAAGATACAGCATTGATTTCTGGACGTGATACCTTCCTGGCAAATGACGATTGGCTTGCCCTTGCACAAGCGCAGTTTCCAGGTGCTGTGAGTAAGTTTTGTCGATTATTTGCCGTCTCGGCGCGTGTCATGGCACGAGAGAATGCATTCAAGCAACAAGTCCTCACTTGCTTTGCAGCAGGCTTGCCTGTTCCTGTTAGCTTGCCAGAGGCACGACGAGCGAATGAGGAAAAGGCCATGTCATGCCTGTCGCAACTCAGAGAAAGCCTCGCAACGGTGGAACGCATGCAACTCTTCAACCCATCACCCAGCGATTATGCATGGCCGCGTCTCTCAGCATCGCCATTCTTGCCGAGTATTCGGGCAAAGTATGTTCAGCTAACGGGATTCTATCCCATGATGGCAGCATTGATTGTCAAGCTAGACGCCTGTTTCGATCGACATTCAGCGGAAACGGAGGTTCTTGCTCGGAAATGTGTCATGCTGAGCCAGGATGTGATTTGTCGTGGGGGTGAGCCTGGTGTGCTTGTTCGGCAGATTACACCTCTGATGCTTGTTCAGCCGTTTTTGTTCAAGGCGGAGGAGAAGGCCTGGCTGAGTGAGTTGAGGGGCATGATGGATGAGCAGGGCTTCGCTATAGCGAGACCGTAGACAGCACTAGTACTGCATGCTGTAATTCATTGTCGTTGCATAAGATAACCTTGTATCTTTGGCAGCGGTTGATGGTGCGTCGGTCTCTTCAGTACCAGATGCCGACACTGGTCCGACAGTTTCCAAGGTTCCCATTCATTTGTGCCTGCGATTTCAGCAACCCAAAAGACACGGAGTATTGGCTAAACACACGGTATCATGCCACGTCGCCTTTTTAGCTAATCCTACCAATAATTTAACCTGGCTCTCGAAGGCGGACCTCGGTTCGACAGCTTCGGAAGACTAGGTAACGATGGATGCACATGGCTTGATGCCAAAGTCAACCTGGTCTTTACCTTTTCACACAGTGCTTGTGCTCTGTGTCGCTCAGCAGAATGAGCAGCATTCTGCAATAGCGTACGAGACTGCGCGCGGCTGTCTGATCTACAGCACATACGATGATACGACTTGACCTTGCTCGGGTCGAATTCAGGCTGGCAATCAGGGGGAGCATCGGTCTTTTCAATTTTGCGATGCCGAAGCACTGAGTCAGCAGCAGCAAGATCTCGCTTAGACAGAGAAACTTAATCCCCGACTGTGACTCATTGATAAACGCTCATCTATATAGGCCATCTAGCTCTGCTTCAAAGCTCAACATTGTCTATTACTGCTGCTCAAGCACTGTATCTTACCAGACATCTCTCTCTCTCTTGCTGGATTGCTCGACAGATCATTACCGGCCTCGCACAACCATGGACAGACTCAAGCGCACATTCAAGCGCTCGGCAGAAACAACCATGCCGCAAGCGAATCCACTCCAAACCGCTGACGTGACGGAAGAACGCGCCAGCAATGAAAAGACGATGGTTGCAGAGACGCCCTCAGTGACATCTGAGCATTTGACGGAAACAGGGGAGAAGGACGCGCCTGTGACGCGTGTGGAAACGAGCCACGTCAATGGTGTTGATGAGTCGCTTATTGTTTACCCTAGGTCAGTCATGTCTTGTTGCTCGCATTCAATGGCTAATATCCAGTGGCCTCAAGCTAACAGGCATCTGCTTTGGTCTGGGATGCTCCGTCTTTCTCGTCGCCCTTGACCAGACTATCATTGCAACGGCCATTCCTCAAATAACAAACCAATTCAAGGCTCTGCAAGACATTGGTTGGTATATATCTGCATACTTTCTGACCTCTGCCGCACTCACAGCAACATGGGGACGCATCTACCGCACTTTCAACATCAAATTCTTCTTCCTGACGGCAATCGGTGTATTTGAGCTTGGCTCCTTGATCTGTGGGCTTGCACCAAACTCGATTACCCTCATTATTGGTCGTGCCATTGCCGGACTCGGCGTCTCTGGTATCTTTAGTGGTGCACTCGTCATTATTGCTTACTCTGCGCCTCTCGAGAAGAGACCAGCTCTGATGGGCATGTTTGGAGCAGCCTTTGGCATTTCGTCCATCGTCGCGCCGTAAGTCATCCACTCTATTGAACCAATGCTAATTGTAGTCTGCTTGGTGGAGCCTTCACAGAATCCTCTGTTACTTGGCGAATGTGCTTTTACATCAACCTGCCTATTGGTGCCATCACCGTCGTTACCGTCTTTTTCCTCGTCAAGATCCCTACCACCAAGTCGACTTTGACTGTCCGTCAACGACTCCGAGAACTCGACTTGCCCGGTGCAGCTGTCCTCCTCCCAGCCATCATATGTCTTGTCCTCGCATTACAATGGGGCGGCGTCAAGTATTCTTGGTCGTCCGGTACCATCATCGGTCTCTTCGTCACTGCTGCTGTGCTCTTCGTCATCTTTGGTGGCATTCAATGGAAGCAGGGAGATGCCGCAACCCTGCCTCCGCGTGTCATCAAGATTCGCTCCATTTGGGCAAGCTGTCTCTTTGCTGCCTTGTTTGGTGGTTCCTTCTTTTCAATTGTTTACTACGTTCGTCCTCCTTCAGCCAAGACACAGCTAATGTTCAGATTCCACTCTACTTTCAAGCCATCAAGGGTGCTTCTGCCGTTCAGTCTGGTATTCGCATTTTGCCCATTATGCTGGCTGTCGTTGTTTCCTCCATCGTCAGTGGTGGTCTCATCTCCAAGGTCGGCTACTACCTGCCTTTCCTCATTGGTTCAGCTGCGCTTCAAGCTATTGGTGTGGGTCTCATTACCACTTGGCAAGTTGACTCGCCTTCCAAGATCTGGATTGCCTATCAAGTCCTTGCAGGGCTCGGCTGTGGTGCTGCGTTCCAAATTCCGCTTATTGCAGTGCAGACGGTTTTGCCACTGGTCGACATCCCGACTGGTTCTGCATTGATTTCATTTAGTCAGACCTTGGGCGGAAGTGTCTTTGTCGCCGTTACACAAGCACTCTTCCAAGAAACACTCGCAAAGCAACTCGCAGAACGCGTGGATATTCCTGGGGTTCCTTCGCAATTCATCATTTCTCAAGGTGCTACTGGCTTTAGAAAAATTGTGGATCCGCTGTACTGGCCAGAGATCTTTGAAGGCTACATGCATGCGCTACGTGCAGCGTATCGTGTTGCGCTTGTCTTGTCGTGTGTAGCCTTCATGTTTGCTTGTCTCGTTGAGTGGCGGTCTGTGAAGAAAGACTCCAAAGATAAGGAGCAGAAGGAAATCGCGTTGGCTGTTTAGTAAATTATTTCTTGATAGATTGCATGTATGATTGACTCTACTCTACATGTACATTGAGCTGCTCTTTGAATGTCTTGAGCTCACCACTCGTCTCACACAACTTTGTGAAAAGACTTTCGGGATTTTTGAGCAATTCCTTGGGAGCAGCAAACTCCTTGACCTTGCCATAATCTAGCACTAAGATGCGGTCATAGTGAATTACGGAACTGAGTCGATGCGCGATCGTCAGTACTGTAGCATGATCAAACTCTGTCCTGAGAATCTTTTGAATGGCCTTGTCTGTTGAGTAGTCGATGCTGCTCGTCGCTTCATCCATGAGTACCACTTTACTCCGTCTCAACAGACCTCGAGCTAGAGTCATGAGCTGTCGTTGACCAGAGGACATGTTGCCACCAGCCTCACCAACTTGTGAGTCTAGGCTTGCAAACATATTGCCCGACTCGCCAATTTGCTCATCGTCGCCAAGCAGCTGTACACGTCTCAATGCAGAGTACATTTCAGTATCTTCATACTCACCGCCGGGATCAAGATTATCGCGCAGTGAACTGCTCCACGCCTCGGCATCCTGTGGAATGATGCTCAACTTTGATCGCAAATCACGCAAACCCATGCGAGATGTATCCATGCCATCAATCAGAATCTTGCCAGAAGACGGCTCAATAATGCGGAAGAGCGCCATGGTCAAGGAAGACTTACCTGCGCCTGTCCGACCAACAATGCCTACTTTCTCACCAGGTTTGATGTCAATGTCGATCTCATCCAACACAAGTGGTAGGTTATCGCGGTAGCGTGTGCTGTACTTTTCAAATCTGACAGCACCCTCTGTTGGCCATGCGGCGGGCGGTCTAAAGTCTGTAACTTCAGGCGCTTCACTGGGCAATTGTGCATATTCCAGTGCACGCTCCGCAGAGACAATATTGGTCTCAACCTCAACAGTTTGTCGCACAATCCAGTTGAGTGACTGTGTCGTTTGCAATGCATAAGACATGGACAAACCGACGAGACCTGCTGAAATGCCAGATGAATAAACGCTCACCACAGACAAGACTGCAGCGGCCAGAATAATGAAACTGCCAACGAATTCAAGACGTACAGCAAGCCATCTATTGGTACTGATGTACAGGAACCAGGCTTTTTGATTCATGTCCATGCGCCATTCATTCTCCTTTGCAAAGCGATCTTCTTGGTCGTACGAGCGAACAGTGCAAATGCCACCGAGCGACTCTTGGAAGTGTGCATAGATGGGACTACGCGTCGTCGAATCCAGACGCTTGAGTTCTCGCGATGTCTTGAGGTAGTATCGCTGGATTGCATAGTAAATCAGCGCCAATGGAATAATCAATACCGTGAAGATTGGTGTGCTTGCGCAAATCACACCAAGCACAAAGCAAACCTGTACAGAGTTGCGGAAGAACATGCTGAACGTGCGTGGCAAAACTTCGTCAATCTTGTAAATATCGTTGCTGAAGCGATTGAGAACGCGCCCCATTGGCTGGACTTGGAAGAAGTTCATCGGAGAGCGGAAGACTGCTTGGGCCATGTTTTCGTGAAGGATGCGCGATGATCTAATAGAACAAAAGATCCACAGAATGAGTGTGTAGCACATTGTCAGCAAGGAGGCGCCAACGCCGAGTGCAAAGTAGACGCCGAGCATAAAGCCAGGATTGACTTCACCACCAGAGTCGTACTCGGACGAGATATTTTTGAGCCACACACTAGATGCAACCTGCGCACCCTGAGATGCAAAAATGAACAGAAGCAGAAAGGTGACACCGGTGAATGAACATGCGCGCATGTATTCGAGATATACCTTGAACTTGACGTTGCCCTGTTCGGAGAATTCCTCCTTGACTGCGGAGAGTTTTGGATCAGGTCGTTCCTCATCCAGGACACGACCATGCGGCTTAGTGAAGGAGGCTTCACTAGCACGGCGCAAGGTGTTGGAAGACTCGCGACGCTTGTTCTTTGGCGCATCATCCTCGCTACTAGCTCCACTGCTGCCAGAAGGCACTGCCGTCTGAGAATCACTGTCACCGCCATCTTTATGCTGAGCTTCCTTGCCAAACTCGACAATAAGTTCTTGCAACTCGCTCTTGCCGGCCATAATATCGTCATAGGTGCCCGTCTCCTTGATCTGTTTGTCCTTGAGCAAAACAATGTTGTCTGCTTGACTGAGAACTGGAACGTAGTTGGTGGCAAGAACCCTTGTTTTCGTCCGCAAGAGGCCTTTTGGGCCAAGAACATTCTCCACCAAATGCTTGCCGACATGCTGATCAACGGCCGACAATGGGTCGTCAAGTAGCAAGACATCGGCTCGAGAATAGACGGCACGCGCCAGCGAAAGCCTTGCCTTTTGTCCTCCACTCAAGCTGATGCCCTTTTCACCGACTTCCGTCTCATCACCATCAGGCAAAGCCTTAAAGTCGTCTTTCAGCGCACAAGCTTCAATCGTCTTGTGATAAAAGTCTGCATCAAACTTGTGCCCAAACACAATGTTGCTGCGCACGGTCGCGTTCATGATCCAAGGACTTTGTGCAACGTAGGCAACTTTGCCGTGGAGAACCACTCTGCCAGCGCTCTTGTGCAGCTCACCAAGACAAGATTGCAAAAAGGATGACTTGCCACTGCCGACACTGCCCACCACACAGGAGAGTTCTCCCTTGCGAGCCACAAAGTTGATGTTTTCCAATGTCGGCTCGCCACTCGCGCTCCAGCCGAAAGTACCATTTTCCACCTTGACTGTCTCCTGACCAACACGTTTGGCGGCTTCGGGCCGCTCGACTGCATCACGTTGCAATTCGCCAGCGTCAAAATAGGTAACAAGTCGATCAACCGCAACCATACTTTCGATGATGGATGTAATGACTTGCGGCAAGACTGCCAAAGGGAAGGCCAGGAGATTGAAGAGACTGAGTGCGGGAAAAACAATCTCTGTCGTCAATGGCTTCTTTTCAATCAGTGTGTAAACTGCAAACGTCGTGAAGGAGACGAGTGTTGGCGCAGTTGACCAGGTAAAGTTGAAGACGGCGTTCAATACACCGAGCTTCTTGAGCATCTTGAGCTCCTTGTCGTTTCTGACGGCACGCAGCTTCTTGAGAAAGAATGGCTCCCATGCGTACAACTTGATTGTCTTCATGTTGCTAAGAATCTCCGTCATGAGACGCGTACGGGCATCCTTGTTTTTCATTTGCTTCTTTTGGTTGTTCTTCATGATGCGCGATACAAAGGCATTGAGTGGAATCATGATGACCATGATGACGACGCCAGCAATCATGGAAAGTCCGACTAGCTGGTACAGCGAAATGAGACAGAGTGCAATTTGGAACGGGGCGCTCCAGATGATTTGGCCTGCTGTTAGTTTTGTCTAGATGATCAGGAGCATACCGTATTGCGTCAAGTCCGAAATACGCTGTGTGTCAACAGACATGAGGTTGACAATATCACCAGTCGTCTTTTCTGATCGGCCTTCAGAGCTGAGCACGAGTGCTTTCTTATAAATAGACGACGTAAGTGCAGAGCGAATGCGCATGCCCGTTTCAAACGCTCGCTGAAAGTATTGATGCAAGAACCCAGACTGCAGCAAGGAAACAAGAAACATGCTGATGGCAATCGCAAAACCCTTGATTTTCGGCTGTGGCTTCTTTGTGTCGTACGAATTGACAAACGAGATGAGCATGCGCAAAAGTTGTGGTTGCACAAAAGCGAGAATATCTTGCGCACCTTTGCAAAGAGCAGCAACAGCGTACGTAGCACCTTCGAGTTTGGCAAGTGTCAGCCAGAGAGCGCCTTTTGTTTTCTTCTTCTGACTTGCCCAAATCTCTTCAAATTTGCTAGAGACTTCCCTACACTTGTCGGTGTCTCGCAAGGGTGTCAAGTCTTCGTCAGTCAAGTAGTGGTTGTAGCCTTCTCGCATAATGGGTGTCAGCCACTGAAATGTAAGCCTAGACAAAACGTTGGCTTCTTCGACCGGGCACTTTTCATCGCCAATCTGGTTGTAGCTTGCATTTGCCTTGGCCACAAAACTCTGTAGGATCCAGATTGCGAGTGTAAAGAAGACTTCAACAGCCAAGGGAACGAGCAAGAAGCTTTCATCGCTGTGGCTGTACAGAGGCAGTCCTCTAGAAAGCATACTGCGGAAGCGTATGCCGTCCACAAGCAATTTGGTCAGCCAGTAAAAGATGAGCAAGCCAGAGCTGACGCGTGATCGCTCATGTTCGACATAGTGAATGACGCCTGCCATAACAATTGCAAGACATGTAAGAATATCAGAGAAGACGCGGATGTCTTGGAACCAGCTGTAGGAAAGATGCGCCTGGACCACGGTGCAGACGAGCGCAGCGGCGAACACACCAGCTACGGCACCGAGCTTTGTCCAAAAGTGCCAAGTTCTCGGCGTAGGTGCAACTGGGCGCTGAAATAGCTGAACCAGTGCATAGCATCCGCCGATGATGACGAGGACAGATGGTGCGTCCGACAAGGTGGCCTGAAAGCACGGCGTAAAGTCGTAGGTCTCGCCACTGAATGGGCCCCATCCTTCACGATTTGGACAAAGACCCGTATGATGATGCTTGTGCGCATCGATGACGAGCTGGGTCATGACCGTGTCGAGTCTGTAGATGAGTGTCGGCAATGATGTCGCCTTCCAGTTGCGCTTGTCATTTTCTCAATTTCTTGCTTGCTAAGCCGGAGCAACGACACCCACATCATCATGCCCGGTCGTGTGAGATGACTGCACAAATCTTGTTCTCTGAGGATAAGCAGCAGTATCTTTTGCTGCAGCTAGATGACGCTCTGCTAGGCCAGCCGCTTGTCATTAAATCCGCTTCCAGCTCGAGCTCTGTTTTGTGCACGCCGACCCAGACATTTACGCTCAAGGACGTCCAACAGTCCAATTCGCTTCTCTTTCTTGCGGACTCAAGCAGTAATGACCTCGTCGTGCAAGGCGAAGGCAGTAGCTGGCTGGAAACAACCAGAGTCACGCCTTCCATCAAGCTGAATCTGGATATTCACAACCCAGACGATGGTCTTGTTGGCAAAGGTTTTCCGGCCGATGTGCTATTTAGTCGGATCGCAGCATCTGATGCGGAAATTGAAGCCGCCCTGTCTCAAGAACTGGCGATTGACCTTGCCGTCTGTGGTGGCTTCGTTGAGCTCCATGTGGACTATGTCTTGAGACTGCTTGGGTCTCTCATCAACATGATCCAAGCTGCCGACATGCAGTTGACTTCGGTAGATGAAGAGACATTTAAGGCAGCCGCAAAAGACGAAGAGGACGCAGAAACTCTCGTCTTTCTTCTTCATCGGTTTTCAAACGGTGCACCCCTTTGTCTTGATGGCGACGACATCTGCCGATACACTGGAGAAGCGGCACTCAAGCAAGTTGCGCGTCATCCTTGTTCACTCGCAACATTCAAAGCTGCATGGCAAGAGATGACGCCGGTACAATATCGTGGGCAAGCTGTAGCTCTCTCCCTGTTGGAAGGGTCCTATGTACAACCGGCAAGCAATCTCATTCAATACTTTGCTGCTTCATCACTCAGCAGAAATCCCAAAGCACGCCTCACACAGCTCTTTGACGTCAAGGAACGCTGGCGTGAAGAGGAGATTTCCACATTTCTGTCTAGCTTGGTGGATGGCGATGCCAAGGCCATCAACTCTCTCATCATGAAGTTTGCACGCAAAGTCAAGATTGGCAAAGAGTCTTTTGTAGAAGCGCGTAGGTAATGCTATGTCGCTGCAGTTTTTTGTCGTGTCGTTTCTTGCTTCATCCACCGCTACCGGCGCAGATCGCTAAGCTCTACCGCCTCGTATCGGTCACCGGGCTGTGATTGCTATAAGTGAATGCGACCTTGCCGCTTTGACAAGAATACTTGTGACCCGCAAAAGAGAAAGAAGACAACATAGACAATGACAGTCGCTATGCAGGTAGATGCAGCATCCTGACCACTCACATCTTCTGGAAGACCGTCGACGAGGGCAGCGGCACCATAGCTAGCGTTAGCGACGTGTTGGCGTTTACGAGGTCGTACTTGAAGAGTGCTGCGATGACGGACAGCATGATGATGGCGAAAAAGGACAGGATCGTACAAAAGTATGCATATCTGAGATTAGCGACGAAAAATCGCGCTGACCTGACTTACCCTGCAGGAACTACAGGCTTCATTGCGAGTGCCTTGTCGAGTGTGGTGTTTTCGCTGTCCATCGTGACGACCGCATGAAAGTTCGGCTACGATTCAGCTTGCTGAGCCTTGCTCCTCCGCCCACACCTCTCAAGAGCGAGCATGTCGAGAGGATACTAGACTCTGCTGTAAACAATGTGTCTAGTGTACTTATGTGTCTACATCCTGAGGGACAGAAAGCATTGGGCCTCCTGATGGTCTCCTGCTGCTGATTTTGTGATGTCTACTGTAAGGCCTGCTACAGCTGCGCAGCTCACCGACGTAGACGTCGTGTGATAATGAGTCAATGCCAGGCCTTGTGTCACTAGCCTTCAACACAAAGGTAAGGACAAGCTTTCCTCATTGTCTTGTCTAGACTATGCCGGGGAAGCTCACATCATGGTCGCTTGCCACCTGGCGGCTCATGTCAGAAAACCAGCTCTGATTGCATCTTATGCCTTCACTGCTACTGTCGTACTCACCACTTTATACCAACGAAGACTTGAGGCAAGACAAGTTTGTGAGCTATGGCTGATGAGTGCTGCCGCCGTTCAGATCCCGGTCTCGATATCAATTGCATACGGCTCCCGGCCAGCGGGTGCTCAGATACTCTTCTGCTTGTGTAAAGATGTTCACACTAATCACGATCAGTTGGCTGACTGTCTGAACGGCAGCATTGTGCAATGTGGCGAGACTGTAACTTGGATCTTGGGTCTTAAAATGCCCATTATCAAGCAAGTCAGGTTCGCCGTACGCGGTACGCTGCAATGCATTCAGGTTGCAAGAGCCGGTGTCAAAGTTCTTCTATGTTTAGTCTGCGTGGTGGTGAACGTGCTGGTCCTGCTGCCGCTCTGCAACCCTGCTATTACGTGCTCGCGGTTCGCTATAGAAGTTGAACACTCGCTGTTGCGCTTGGATCCGGGTTTCCGAAGCATACAGAGCATGGCTCGACCATCTAGGTAAAGTCGTACCTCGCTGGTTGCACTGCCAACCTGGCACAGGCTGCCGCACAGCGGCCCATCGATATCTTGATCTGCGCGCGTGAGTTGAAGCCAGTCAAGCAAATCCCGGCCACGTCGTCGTCCCTCTGGGCAGATTTCTCTTTTTCCAGGGAGCCCTCTGGGATTATTTTGTCAGGACACGGCCGCTGTCCAATCCGAGAGCTGAGGCTGACAGCTGGATCCGCCCCCAGATGGAAAAATTGGAAAATGTCAAACCGAGCGTCGCGTCCATCTGCTCCAATCTGGCCCTGATGTGCGACAGGCCCGACACTCTGTTGAATCTTGACAGGCACCCATGGCAATCACACCGGCGCGCGCTCGACCGGCCCACATGTAAAGGCAACGCTCTCCCAGATCCTTCGCTACCTTGCTACAAACAGTTCCTCGGTGAGAGACGCAAGCGACGGCCATCCATACTGCTAATCGGCCGGTCGTCAGGGACCTCGCGAACAAAATCTTGTCAAGGGGCGCAAAGGTCGCATCAGGTTGCGTGCCTATTTGCTGGGAATCTGACACCTCAACAAAAGCCAGGATCCCTGCAGGTGAGCTGCATAGAGCGGGTGGAAAGAGTGCACAGCAAAGCATTGAAAGAGGAAAATCAGACTGCCCCATCGACGTACCAAGTCGTTGGCTCCGCTGGGGGCAGAGCTCTTGCAGATGCCGCGGATACCAGCTCGTTCAGAGCCCTACGCATCACCGGTATGAGTGAAAATCAATGCATCCTGTTGCACAAGCACAAAGACTGATGGCTAACAAGAAAACAGCCTAGACGGCATAGACACTACAAGGCCAAACGCGACCAAATTCTGCGCGCATTAGAGCAAGCGAGCTTCATCAACGGTTCGCAATTCGCCATTTTATGGGTCAGCGCGCGTGGAGAGACGGAGACGTTTGCGTCAGACGTCTTTAAGCAAAAACTAGCCTCTTGGTTTACAGGAGAGGTCATTGCAGATGCAAGACAGACAGTCTTGCAAGCGCCGCCACCGCCGCAGCCAACAGCAGAGCAAATCAAGGCAAGTGAGCTTGAGCTAATGGATCAAAGTCCTGAACAAATGACTTGGAAGGCACCAGAATTAGCGCACTCTGCCATGCCAACACCTTCGGATGGCTCCTTTGCTAGTCCGAATGGGCCGCCCAGCTACGGTTACAGTGAGCGGCCGGCCCTTGGACAAGATTTGAGACGCACGTCGTCCGTCCCGCCTATCCCGCGTTCTGTACACAGCGTGAGCATGCCAGAAGTGCCGACTCTCATGTCTTTGAGAGACAGGGCCGACAATATGCACCTCGACTATAGCAAAGCACCCACAAGTGGCAACGTCATCAATCCCGGCAACCCAGATTACAGGCTACTTTGTGTTGGCGATGCCGAGGAAGTGACAACGTTTCTGGAAGCGCGCTTCAGACAACTTCAGCAACTGGTTTGCAAGATTGTCGCCAAGTCATGGATCAAAGTGCTTGAACCAAAGAAGCAGACGCGTTTTCCTTACAACAAGGGTGATGAGGCAAAACCTGCGTGGTGGCCGTCCAATGTTCGACACAAAGAGCCTGATCATCTGATGAAGCCTGAGCGTATTTCACTCCTCATGACGATGCTGCGCTTTGGCAAAGTGCCAGTCTCTCGGCTAGAGCTTGCAACTGCCGAGACTGTTGCTTTGATTCCAGTTGATAAGATTGGGATGCTCAGGGAGATTTACCGTGTCGCCAAGGAAGAAGAACTCGTCAAGGCCGGGGAACTCCCATCGGATCATCGCATCTATGTCACGACCAATGTTGGGAGTCATGCATCACTCGACATGGAGCCTACAGTCCAGAGCAACGGTGTTGCAAACGACAATCTCAGTCATGCGTCTCACCAGCGAGAAGGCAGCGTGACGGAGGCGTCCTCTGCGCGCTTTCTGACTCCACTCACATCGCCATACATGGAAGCGCCGGCACCTACTTACCCTTCGATGTCTCTTCAGCAGCAGCACCAGCAGCAGCAGCAGCCTCCACAAGAGACGAGCTATTACTATCATACCGCGCCATACCAAGCACGGCCCCATGGCTCAAATTATGAAGGCAGCTATGCACCTCTACGACGGGAGGAAGCACCACCTGCATCCTACAATTGGCCACAAAGCACGAGTCAGCACTTGCAGTCCAATTGGCATCACCAAGCGTCCGCTGGCGAACCGTTTTACCCACCACTCGATCATTCACAACACCACGATGACAAGGCTAGGGACTTGTCTCATGTACGGGGTAGCTATTTGCAACGACCTACGCGTCATTCAAGCTACATGCACCCGCAATTGGCCAGTTTTCAGGCATACATCAATTCTGACAGGCATGCAGGGGCAAGCCTTGCACAGTCTGCAACGTCGTCCTCAGCAGACGTGGGTGCTCAACAGCATCAGCAGCACGGACAAGATATGACAACGTATAGTTAGTGACAGCTGTCATACAAATACTTATTTAATAGATGGAGCCAAAAGTTCTTGATCCTAACTACCTGGTCATTGGCATAGCTCGGCGTCCCAGTTGGCATCATTGCTTCTTCTTGCAGTGAATGCAGTCCGCTCAGGATCAAGGCTTGTGGCATCCCCCTCGTACGGATAGCAGGCTGCGTCTAGCAGCAATGGCAACGTTGATGGATGAGGCAAGGTGCAGTGTCAGTCGCGTTCTTCTCAACATTGTTTCTTCTGCAACAGCTTCTAGTTGATATATTTTTGAGCAGTCTCATCCTCCGTGCAGCCCTCCTTCATCCATCAAGGCTGCCTCTGTCTAGCATAGACTCTGTGGTCATCTTTTGTGTGCGTGGTTGTGGTGAAGAACTCAAACACGCGGCCAGACAACGACACATCCACAACGACATACCGATTCACGCGCTCCGCCTTCTCGACTCTCTCTTCAAGGCACCCTCTACCATCTGCGAGCAGCTGTCGAATCCCCTCCATCCTTTTCTTACTGCCATTCGCATTTTCGCCGCCTTTTACTTTTCGCGATAGTCTATGCAGCACAGCTCGACATGGGCAATACATCTTCCAAAGGCGATGCATCCACCTTGCCAATGAAGAAGAGCGACACGCAAGGATCCACGCGCTCATTCAGATCATTCAAAAATGCCATCAAGAAGTCTTCTTCTGCCATATCCGATGATGGAAGTGAAGGCGCAACCGCTGGCGGACGGTCTTCCAGACGCTCGAGTTCCGGGTCATTGCCCAATTTTGAGACAGACAATGACGACGACGACCCGGCCTCGCCCATCAATGATGTCCAACGACCGCCATCACCGACGCATGGCAAGTTTTCGGGTCATCGCGCCGACAAGGTGGATGATATGGGCGGCGAAGTCAGTAACACATCGGACGCAGCGCCCAAAGTCCCGCCGACTCCATCAACGGCAACACCACTATCCCCCATACTCATGAAAAGCGCGAGCACGATCGGGCTCTCTGCGCCATCAGCAGAAGTCCTTGCAACGAGTGCCGCTTCAAACAATTACCCGACCATCAAGAATATCGATGTGGACGATTTGATACAACGGCTATTGGATGCAGGCTACACAGGCAAAGCAACAAAGTCTGTGGTCCTCAAAAATGCCGAGATTGTGGCTATTTGTGCTGCAGTTCGGGAGATTTTATTATCACAACCCGCCCTACTTGAACTCTCTGCTCCCGTCAAGATTGTTGGCGATATCCACGGGCAATTCACAGACCTCATTCGCTTATTTGAAATGTGTGGATTCCCGCCGAGTGCCAATTACTTGTTCTTGGGAGACTATGTCGACCGTGGCAAGCAGTCGCTCGAAACGATCTTGTTGCTCATGCTCTATAAGATCAAATACCCTGAAAACTTCTTCTTGTTGCGCGGCAATCACGAGTGTGCTAACGTCACACGCGTGTACGGCTTCTACGACGAATGCAAACGGCGCACGAACATCAAGGTGTGGAAGACCTTTATTGACGCCTTCAATACACTCCCTATTGCTGCGGTCGTTGCCAACAAGATTTTCTGTGTGCACGGTGGTTTGAGTCCGTCATTGGCGCACATGGATGAGATTCGTGCCATCACACGGCCAACAGACGTTCCAGACTATGGCCTCCTCAATGACTTATTGTGGTCCGACCCTGCCGACATTCACAATGACTGGGAAGACAGTGAACGCGGTGTTTCTTATTGTTTCAGCAAGAACGTCATCCACCAATTCCTGGCGAAGCACGACTTTGACTTGGTATGCCGAGCGCATATGGTCGTTGAGGACGGCTATGAGTTCTTCAATGACCGGACACTGGTTACCGTCTTTTCAGCACCAAACTATTGCGGCGAGTTTGACAATTTTGGTATGTACACTGTGATATTAACACTGCTAACGACAGGTGCCGTCATGTGTGTATCCGAGGAATTGCTTTGTTCCTTTGAACTCCTTAAACCGTTGGATGCTTCAGCGCTGAAGCAGCACATGAAGAAAGGCGACAGCAAAAAACAGTATGCTTTATTTATCAACAAGACTTTACTAACAGCAGTACAATGATGCACAGTCCACCAGCACAATATCTCAGTCGTTCCGAGTAGGTGCGTGTGTCAAACTTTTGCTTCATGTGTCTATGCTTTTCTGCCTTCTACGACCCCCATCTCCAAGCAATTGCTGTACCATAGAAGATGATTCATGCCGAACATTCGTAATCTGATATCCGTGTGATGACCAAAGCTGCAGCTCAAGTGGTGCCTGATGCATGTGAAGCAACTGACAGGCAATGACAGCTGCACTTCACACGTAAACTGACATAAGCTTTGACAAGGTCGCTTGCAATCGGCCGAGCTGAGGCTTGATCAAACTATAAGTACATTGTACACACTACATGATGCATCTCCACGGTGTTTCCACCAGATGCATGCAAGATCGCGCGAAGGTGATCTAGTGCGTCTCACCTGAACAAGCCGAGGACTCCCCACCTAGCTGGAGAAGGGAAGCTTAACTTGCTCGACTCAGCTTGAGGCTCAGTAGAAGTCGACTGTCAGAGTCGTCGTACGGATACACCGACCTGCACGAGATGTGCTGCGTGGGACGATCCCGGTCGTCGATGGCCGGGCGTGCCGAGGTCTGCTGTGCCACAAGGCCTACAACCGGTCATGCGCCACTGCCCACCCTTTTCAACATTTGCCCAAGTCGGCCCGGGATCGTGTGTATCTCTATAACAGTCCAAGACAAGCCCTACGAGCATATGCAAATAGATAAGCATGTTATCTGACTTGCTGATCCATCTGCCTAACCACTCTTCCTGGCAAGTTCCTGCTCTCTATCATGTTTTTACTCCGTGACACACCCGTATGACACCACACAGGGAGGAGTGTTATGACTCAGCTGTATGATCCATGACTTGCTCTTTGTAAGTTGTAAATTGCCGTCGAGCGCTGCGCAAAGGAAGGATCGACTTCCAGGGCCAGACCGTTCAAGCGAGGGTGGCTTCATTTTGCTGGGCTTCAGGCGGGAATCCAATCCGAGATAGCGGATGATTGGTCGGGCGACACGCTGAACAAGGATGAAACGCCGGCAGACTCAGGCTCAGCCCCCGGTATTAGATCAAAGTTGTCGCACACGAGACTGCTACGAGCAATCGCGCTTGTGCGAGGAGATACACACTCCACTACTCTGGGGAACGCTCAGGTGATTCAGCAGGGAGCATTACTTAAAGGTCCTCCCCCCGATCAAACAAGCCCCTCTTTCCAAATCTCACCACCATGAGTGCTCCGGACTCATCTATGCAGAAACAGACTCTCGCGGGTCTCCCTGCACAGGGCCTCGTTGAGAAGCGCAGTCTCTCACCCGGTGAGGATGTCGAAAAATACGGGCATGGTCCGCTCCACGACACTGGCAAGGACCTGCCTCTCACAACACGTCTCGGTATCAGCCCGGACTCTTTCAGGCGCGCCGACACTGTCATGGTTCCAAATGATCCGAACGATCCATCAGCCGGATACCATGAGGAAGCGCCTACTCTTCGCCACGTCATGAAGAACAGGCATCTTCAAATGATTGCTGTCGGTGGTTCTATCGGCACCGGTCTCTTTATCGGTTCTGGCGGTGCTCTTGCTCGTGGAGGTCCTCTCGGAGTTCTGCTTGCTTGGGTCATCATGGGTATTATGCTTTTCTGTGTCGTACACGCTATGGGTGAGCTCGCAGTCATGTACCCGGTCGAGGGTGGCTTCTATACAATGGCAAATCGTTTCTTGGATCCTGCATGGGGTTTCGCTATGGGTTGGGTAAGTACATCACAAGAGGATCGTGAGTCACTTCGTGTAATGTGCGTCATCTGAAAACGGACTTTCGCAAGTTTCAGATGGCGACTCGAGGATATGGCTTGGAATGCATACAGACCTCGTCTACGTCTCAGAGACAAGACTTGGATGCGTGCAAACTTCGTCTTTGACTCCTGACATGTTCTGGCTTGCGATCCACTAGTCGAATCAATATCGCGGAAAACTAACTTTCTTAAGAACTACGTATTCCAGTGGGTGATCGTTTTGCCCTTGGAGTTGACTGCAGCGTCTCTTACAGTGCAGTACTGGGACACAGACGGTAGTATCAGCATTGCCGTCTGGATTACGATCTTTTGGGTGTTCATTATCTTGATCAACGTGTTTGGCGCACTTGGTTTCGCCGAGGAAGAATTCTGGGCTTCGGCGTGGAAGCTGCTCATCGTCATCATGTTCATCTTCATTGCAATCATCATGAACTGCGGCGGTGGCCCCTCCAGCGGTGCATACTCGGAATACGTTGGCGGGCGATATTGGCGCGATCCAGGTCCCCTGGCCAATGGCTTCAAGGGTGTCGCCTCAGTCTTCGTCACTGCAGCCTTCTCCTTTGCAGGTACAGAGCTCGTTGGTCTCGCTGCTGCAGAGTCGGCAAACCCTCGCAAGAACTTGCCATCAGCCATCAAGCAGGTCTTTTGGCGTATCACGATCTTCTACATTCTCACACTTCTTCTCATCGGCCTCTTGCTTCCTTACAACGAGCCTCGTCTTACTGGTGGAGCCAACTCGTACGATGCGCGTGCCTCTCCCTTCGTCATCGTCGTTGCCAAGGCAGGCATCAAGGGAGTGGACCACCTGGTCAACGTCACTGTCATGATTTCTGTTCTCTCGATCGCCAACGCTTGCGTCTACGGTGGTTCTCGCACTCTCTGCGCTCTTGCTCAGCAAGGATTTGCTCCCAAGTTCTTTGCGTACATTGACAAGTGCGGTCGTCCTCTTACTGCCACTGTCCTGTCACTCTTATTCGGACCTCTGGCTTACGTCAACTTGGCTGCTCAGGGCGGTGATGTCTTTGACTGGCTTCTTGCAGTCGCTGGTCTCTCGACTTTGTTCACTTGGGGCTCCATCTGCCTTTGCCACATCCGTTTCCGACAGGGTTGGCGCGCACAGGGTCACTCGGTCCGCGAGATTCCTGTCCAAGCTGCTTGGGGAGAGTTTGGTTCTTACTTTGGTCTCTTCCTCGTCATCTTTGTGCTTGCACTTCAACTTTACGTTGCTGTCTCGCCACTCGGAGGACCTGCTTCTGCAGAGGGCTTCTTCAAGGCATACTTGGCTGCACCCGTCGTCATTGTCTTCTACATTATCGGCTACTTCATTTTCAAGACAAGGCCTGTTGGCGTGCTCCAGATGGACCTCGACACTGGACGCAAGGTCTGGGACACTGTCGAGGAGATTGAGGCTGACAAGGCAATGGCCAAGCAGCAGCCAGCCTATGTGCGCATCTACAAGTTCTTCTGCTAGATGCTTGCTTGTTTCTCATAACCTCATAGAGCATCTATCTAGTATTACAAAGGTATCTATATTGTGCTGTTGGCTGATGTGCAGCGTGCTTGTACACTCACATCCTGATCTTCCCTATATTGGCTTCGTGCATCCCAAGAGCAGAATGCCTTATTACGCTCAAATACCTTCAGTGCAACCTTGACATTGGCCACAAAGTCTTGAACATCTTGTCCACGCGAAGCAGACCATGAGTAGGGTGATTGGGTGGATCCAGGGAAGAAGAGTCCAAGAAGGTCTCTGGACACGGACAGGATGCCAGGCCAAGCTTGACTGTTACCCTGAAGTGCATAACAAGGCAGGATCTCACCTCAAGTTCATGATTGTAGTTTCCTGGAGCGCGAAACTGAAGAAGAGGATAGGGCGCCGATGAGAAGATGATGACCAACATGAGCAGAACTGCCCTAGACCAAGTCTGCAAGCTCTGTCTCAAATGTTTATAGGATTTCTAACCAATTGTTCAATGATGTTTCGACTGAGCTTGTCAGATACCTAACCATCAAATGCGTTAAAGAGGAGAGTTGCCATCGGTTGAGGCACAGCGATATAGCTTGAACCTCGTGATGGCGACTTAAAAGTCTGTAGAGCGGGAGAAACTCAATGCCACTAAGAAACAGCCAAAGTAAGGTAGCAGCTCCATCGCATGCGAATGACCTTGCTGGCAGATGAGCACAATATCGAATGATGCATTGGCATCAAGCGAGCAAGTTCTTGTTTTCGTTTGGCACTCAATAACAACAATCTAGCGCCCGTCGCCATGCTTACCCCAATCCACCTGCGTACCCATGCCACCCGCATCGGCCTTTTCTTTCGCTTCATCCAGCATGCGCCGAGCTTCGATTTCTTGCTCTGATTCGGGAATATCCTTGTTGCGAGCAAGAAGCTTTGCACTGACATTGCGAATCAGCGTCTCCATCTTGCTTGGATCCTCCTTGAGCACACCGGCCTCCTCGGCTCGCAGGTAGTTTTCTAGTGCAAGCTGCAATTCATCTTGCTTCTCGAGCACGAGTCCATAGTTGTAACGAATCTCGCCATCTTCCGGCGTCAGTTTGACCGCCTCTGCGAGATGACTGCTGGCCTTGGCAGCATCCTGTTTTGCGAGCAGAAAATAGTTTGCAAGATTGGTATGACATGACGAGAGAGTCTGCTTGTCTGCTTCTTCCGCTTTGAGAGCCGCTTGCCATGACTCTACCGCTCCTTTTGCGTCTCGCTGCATCCACTGGACGACACCGAGGTTGTACCAGTCCGCCGTCGTCGCTTTCGGTTGTCTTGTAAGCTCTTGGAAGAGTGTCTGAGCTTTTGGCAGATTTTCAGCTTGTAGTGCTGCATGTGCATCTGCGAGAGTAGATGAGAAGCGAGACATTCTTGCAGCACCTTGCCTGTTGGCAGCAGAGAGCAGAGATCTAAGCTTAAGCATTTGGACGTGGTGTCGGTGGATGAGTGGGATTGCTTCAAGCTGCAACACCTTGACGAAAGCGCGACTCACACCCCAGATACTCAAGGACATCCATGCACCCAACATGAGTGGCAAGGCCGGGCCGGCGCCAGACGCGCTGTACTGTAGAGGACGTAATGCCAAGGGAGATGCTTGTAGAAACGTCGTCAGTGCTACGCGAATAGACCGCTTCTGCCACCATCATCGCGAACAACAAGATGCTCCCAGACCTGCTCAGGTCGCGCACGGCGATGAGATCCTGCTAGCTCGCGAGGAGTCTCCAGAGCCTTTTCTTGCTCCTCCGCTTGAGCGACTTCGGTCTACGCCCAAATTCACCAAAGATGCACTCGCTGCAATGCACGAACAAATCAATGGACGAGTCTCCACACCGCCCGTGGCAGAAAAGCCGATGCGTGCGTTCCCAGCAACGCTGAGGACACCCGCAGAGCAAGAGATCGGTGAAGCTGGCACGAACGCTTCGTTCTGGGGCGCGTGCTTTGGCTGTTTTGCCGCATCTCCTCCGTCCGTTGAGACATTGCCAAGTGTGCCTGAAAAGCCACCGTCAGACGACACCAAGCGAGCAGCAAAAGTGGCTCGGAAACCAGTCGTCTATGATGTTCAAGGTACAGAAATGCAACCAGTCGCTCCAGCTGGCCCTGCAGCACTGCCAGCTCGCATTTTGCAAAACCATCTCGACTTGCAGCAGCACTTGCAGCATCTGACACTCGCTCCGAGCGCGGCACAATATATCCCTGATGCTACGGATCCATCTGTCGCTCAATTGACGCCAGCACAGTACAAGAAGCTGGCCAGCTATGCACAATCCTTGGCAGATCGTTCCGAAGCCGGTACGCTCGCTGCCCCATCCGCTGTCTTTGAGTACATTTACGTCTTTCGTCTTGACGGCGATCACCATTGGACACCCCAAATATCACTCAAGATTGGACGCACGAGCTCTGTTGAGCGGCGCCTAAAACAGTGGACCCGCCAATGCAAGCAGCAAGTCGACTTTCTAGACAGCTTCCCAACGCAGTACTCAAGCTCGCTAGAGCGCTTGATTCACCTTGAACTCCAAGTGGAAAACGTCAGAACAGCTTGTGATGGTTGCGGCACGGTACACCGTGAATGGTTTGCACTTGAGCGCGACACTGCGCGCGGCCGTGTTCGACGTTCTGTTGAACGGTGGCAACAATTTCTGCAAGGAATACATCGAGGCCAAATCGCTGTCTAGGAGATCTATACATGGGACGGTGTACTACATTATGCCGTCTTGAATGCCAACAAGGGCGCTAAATCACTTTGCTTGCATGCGCCTGCAAAGAATTCATGATCTAGCAGTTCCTTTGCACTGCTGCGTGCATTGACTTGAACGCACAAGCACACCGACAAGAACCCCTTGAGCTCTTTGCTCAGCTTTTCCGGCGCTTTGAGTTTTGGTGTGCCGTGCGTGGCAATGAGGTAGAGCGCCTTGAGGGGTTCTTCGTCCAAGTATGGCGGCTCATTCTCAATCATCTCAATGGCCATGATGCCCAACGACCAAATGTCCACCTTTTCGCCATATTGCTTTTGCTTGACGACTTCTGGGGCCATCCAATAAGGTGTGCCTACCATGGTGGCGCGCTTGGACTTGGCTTCCGTCAGCTTGGCGCAAAAGCCAAAGTCTGTAATCTTCACTTGCCCAGCTGCGTCGAGCAAGACATTGTCAGACTTGATGTCTCTGTGGATGATTTTGTGTGCGTGCAAGTGTTCCAGGCCTTTACACGTTTCCCGGCATATCAATGCAATCTGGCTCTCAGAAAGATGGTTATTGTCGATAATATCCGTCAAAGCACCACCTTGCATATATTCCATAATGACCCATAGCTCACCTGGACCTCGTAGGAAGGAATCCAAAAAGTTGACGATATTCGCATGCTGCGACTCGCGCATCACCAGAATCTCATTCACAATCAATTCCTTGCGCGGTTGGTGCGCAAGATCCATCTGCTTGATGGCCACCTTGCCAAGCTTGGGATCATGCAGCGCTTTGGCAACATACACACTACCAGACGCACCCTGTCCAACTTTTTTAAGTTTTTGATAGAGACCATTCGGATCGCCTGGCGATACGACACTCTTGAGCTTTTCCATAATTTGCTGCTCAGACATGGCTGAAATGCGTTTCTCCTCTGCACGCGTCAATTTTGTCACTGCAGGCGCAACCTTTTCCTTGCCAGTACCAGTCGGCAGCGCTACTATCTTCGAAGGCTGCTGAGAACCCAGCTGTGGCGACTTCTTCGTTGCGAGGGGTTGTGTCGGTTGCAAACGCGGCGCTGGTGGCGCTGGCGATTGCATGGGTGGCAGACCTTGTGCTTGTTGCTGAGGAGGTGGTCGTTGTAGACCCATAGCAGCTGCAACAGCGCGTGCACTCGCCCCACTCCCTGTCGTATTGACATTCTGAGTCGGTGGGTAGCCTGGAGATTGAGATGCGCCGGGTGCAGGTGGTGCAGGGCGTGGTCTTGGCGGTGCTGGCGCTGGTCTGCTTGCTTGAATAGAAGGTTGCAGTTGTAGCTGCTTCATACCTTTTGTCGCAGCGGATATCTCTTGCGGCCGTTGTTCCATCACAGCTTGCTTATTGCCTGGCATCGCAAGTGGATGCACCTGCTTCCCACCATACCGCGCATCATACGCCGCTTCCTTTTCTTCTCGTTTGCGAATATCAGAGTAGAATTCAAGTACTTCAATGACAGCTTGCGGATTGCGCGCATAGTCTTCGCGTGTGATGGCAGAAGTTTTGAGCAGCTTGGACCACTCTTCTGGGAGTCCGGTAAAGCCTCCTGATGCTGGATCAAAGCCGACATGTACTTTGTGTGTAAAGTTGGTTGGTTTGGACACGCCGAGCATAGGGCAACGGTTGTAGATTTCATCCATCCAGGCGTAGAGCTCCGTGTCTGTTTTGAGAGCAATGACAAATGTCCTGATTTGCGCATTGCCCATATCTCGTACAATCTCGATGCACGGCGACTTGCTTTCCAACCGCTGCACGTTGCTGACCTCGCGCAATGGGATTTGAATGGATGGACTTGTGGCCTGTTCATTCTTCATCATATTGAGCGTGCCTTCCTTGAGTATCAAATACTTCTTCGTCCATATCCAGCTTTTGATGCCGTCCTCCTTAACACTCGCCCATCCTTGCTTGATGATGGTCGCGAGGCCGCCGTAGCCTTGTGAATTTGGATTGGAGGTGGGTAGGGAGATTGCATTCTTGTTGATGCTGCCAGACCAGGCGCTAGGCGGTGTGGGTGCTGGCCTGATGTCTGTGAACTGCTGCATCCCAGGGCGCCCTCCTCTGACGCGTCTCTGCTTCCTTCAGTAGCTGGATGAGTATGGGTGTCGTGGTCGTGACGTCTGGACGCGATCAAAGCATCAAACGGCCGGCGCCAGACAAAGAGAAGCTGGCATGGACAGACTCAAGAGCACAGCCAGGCGCACCCTCAAGCAGCTCAGCAGCCTCTCGCTCGGCCAGAAACTCTATGGTGCATGCTTCATATCGCTGGCCGTCGCGCTGACGGTCCTCTTTGCCGTCTGCCATCGGGCCATCTTCAAGGCACTCGAGCCACTCAAGGCCGATATGCGGCAGTCACGCTGGGCCTGGCTCGCGCTGGTGGGTGCGACTACTGCTACGTCCTTTCCGCCGCTCATTGGCTATAGTACATCCATCACCTTGGCTGGATATGTCTATGGATTCAGTCTTGGCTGGTCTATTGGTGCACTAGGATCAGTGATTGGTGCTGCAGTGACCTTTGCTGTGTATCGTGGCTTCCTGACTGGCTATGCTAGTCGTATGACAGAGTCGAATCATCACTTTCGTGCTCTGACGCAGGCCTTGGATGGTTCAAGCGGCATGACCCTGCTCATCATGATTCGGTACTGCCCATTCCCCTTTTCGCTCTCGAATGCAGCGCTTTCTACCATTCCATCGATCAGCTATGGCAAGTTTATGGCTGCAACAGTGATTGCTCTGCCGCGTATCTGGATTCATGCCTTCATTGGCAGTCGCTTGGCAAGCTTGGCGGATGTCGATGGGAAGGACAAGCAGAGTGCCTTGTTCAACTGGCTTTCTATTGTGCTTGGTCTTGCACTGGGTATTGCTACAAGCTACCTCGTCTACAGACGCACCATGGCCATTGCTGCCCGCGCCAGAACAGGCACCGACAGCCCCATACAAGAGGAAGAGGCAGAGGAGCAGGACTTTAACTTTGAGTCTCGTCGCCTGCTGCACTAGCCACATCTGACTGCGCCACATCTCCGAACAGGGAAAAAAGAAAGAGCGACATAGAAGAGGGACAGAGACCAGCAGCATGGGCGGCCTCAAGAACAAGGGCGGACGAGCGGCCGTGCTCCCAACTAACCTCCTATCCCTGCAGAACCTCCTCAAACGAGACCCGCCATCATACAAGGAAGAGTTTCTGCAGCAACTCAACCACTATACAACGACACTGGAGATCTTCAAGCAGAGTCCCGCGCAGCCCAATCACAAGTTTGGCGAGCTCATCACGTTCATTGCGCAGGTGAGTATTTGTTTTCCTGCAGAGACGGCTGTGTTTCCGGATGACTTGGCGTACCTCCTCACAAAGCACCATGCCGTCCTCGACCCAGACTTGCGGGAAAAGATTGTACAAAATCTAGTTCTGTTGCGCAACAAGGGTGTCATCTCCTCCATCAGTCTCATCAAGACCTTCATTCCGATTCTATCCGCATCCAATAGCAAAGCACTCCGCGCGCAAATTTATGAAGCCATTCTATCCGCCATCAAAACAGAGAATGCAAAAGCCAAGAATGCCTCCCTCAACAAGACGGTGCAGTCCATTCTCTTCGATATGGTCAATCACGAGAGTAGTGGCGTATGGGCCATTCGTCTGACAAAAGAGCTCTGGGCGAAGAATATCTGGAGTGGTGATGCACGCGTTGCAGAGATTTGCAAGATTGCAGCATTGAGTTTGCATACAAAAGTCATGCTCGGTGGCCTTTACTTCTTTATGGGCGTTGAGCAAGAAGAGGAAGACAGCGATGAGGAAGGTCCTGATTTGCGACAAATGCAGCATGCAGCCGGTGTAAACAAAACGTCCAAAGCACGCGCGCAAAAGGTACGCAAAGCCATCGTTGCGGAAAATAAGCGCAAGAAGCAGCCTAAGCAAGGATCGGTCAACTTTTCAGCATTGCAGATATTGCATGACCCACAATCATTTGCAGAGAAGCTCTACTCTGTTCATCTCGCATCGAAGCGGCCGCTTTCCTTTGATCACAAGATGCTCGTCATGGCATTACTGTCAAGACTGCTTGGCTACCACAAGCTGACTGTCTTGCCATTCTACTCTTTTCTCTCCAAATGGATCAGTCCGCATCAACGCGACGTCACCAAGATCCTCGCATCGCTGGCCGGTGCCGTGCATGAATTTGTTCCACCAGAAATCATCTCACCGAGCATCAAAAAGATTGCCAATGAGTTTGTCACGACGGGTGTGTCGCCTGAAGTTGTCTGTGCAGGATTGAATTCCATTCGAGAGATTTGTTCGAGAAATCCACTTGCTATGGATGAGACGTTGTTGCAGGATTTGACAGAGTATAAAGGTTCGAAGGATAAAGGTGTCATGATGGCTTCCCGATCGCTCATCACGCTCTATCGTGATGTGGCGCCTGAGATGCTTGCAAAGAAGGATCGTGGGAAGAGTGCATCGATTGGTTTGGCGGCTGGTACGAGTGAAGGGACGCAATTCGGCGTTGAGCGAAACGTCACGCGTGGTATTGATGGACTTGAATTGCTGGAAGAACACTATGCGCATGAAGAACCAGAAGATGCGTGGGATGACTTTGAAGTTGAATCAGAGGAAGATGAGGCAGATGGCGGTTGGATCAATGTTGAGTCGGACGGCGAGATTGATTTCTCCTCAGATGACGACGAGGAGAAGGAGAAGCCCGTGCCAGTGCCAAAGCCAGTTGGTGAGAGTATTGCGAGTCAACGCATCTTGACACCAGCCGATTTTAAGAAACTCGCTGAATTACGAGCGGCAGCACCTGGCAAGCAAACCCATCATTCACTCAGCGTCAAGCGGAAAGAAGATGAAGACGACTTTATCGATGCTGCACAAATTGAAGGTCCACGGAAACGCATCAAGGCTGATCGCGAGGGTCGTATGGCAACTGTGCTCGAAGGTCGTGAGGGTCGTGAAAAGTTTGGCTCCAGGAAGGGTGGTCGTACAGAGGAAGGCCGGTCGACCACCAATAAGGAGAAGGCGCGCAAGAAGAATTTCCTCATGGTCAAGCATCGCAAGGATATCCAGGGCAAGAGTATGAAGAAGTTGACCATCAAGCGAAAGGAGCTCAAGGCGCATATCGAGCGTGGCAAACGTGGTGGTCGCAGGGGAAATGTCTAGTTGCTATATTGTACAACGCTAGATGCAATGATGTGATGACAGCGCCTATCAGCAAGAAATGAGCGTGTCGAGCTGTTTCGCAATCAATTGACCCATGATGTTATACCCGTTCTCGGATGGGTGCACTGGATCAGCCCAATTTTCCTTGACTTCCTCCGCTGGCTTTCCAAGCATCGTGAATTGCGCATGCAGGTCCATCAAGAACACTCTGCTAGAGTTCAAACTCGCCACAGCTTCTGGAAGCAGTGCATTCAACTGTAAAACACGATCCAAGTAGGGGTCATAGGCGATATCCAGCAAATTCAAAACAACAAGCAATGTATCGTTGCCATGCGACAAGGCTGTCGTCCACGTCTGTTTCAACGTTTCAATCACAGGCGCAGGATCAAAAGCCTCTTCAGGTGCACGTTCCAAAATGTCGTTCGTACCGCCCATGGTGATGAAGATATCAAAGGGTTCATCCTGCAATCGAATCTCATCCAGCATGACTTGATGCATTTCATCAGCTTTATAACCAGTGAAGCCAATATTCTTCGTATGCAGTGCATGCCGAACAATCTTTGAGAATTGATCTGTATACGGATTTGTGATCGGCTGTTGACCTTCAGGCGGTGGAACCCATCCCGCGGTAAGTGAATCGCCGACTGCCAAGACGCGATACGGTCGTTCACTGCATGTAGCTGGCCAAACGCGCTGTTTACTCGTCCACGGACGCGTGACGGCGTCTGTGTAGGGTTGTAGCTTATTGATGGTTGCGTGGTAGAGTGGGCGCCCGTGTGGGCTGAATAGAAATCCTGTTGACGCGATGAATGTTGCAGTGACCGCGGCAAACACGATACGATTACGGCCAAGCATGTTTGGGATGACTTGTTGCTGTTGTGTCTGCAAAGACGAGACTTGTTCTTGGCCAACACACGCAGTCTGCGGCGTGCCAAGCGTAGGCTTCTGGTGTCCCCTGGCTCGGTGCAGGATTTGCCGGCTTTTTTGTGGTGTCTTGTCTGGGCCGCAGTCTGGTGAACTCTAATTTGAGCCATGACACCACAAGCTGGAGCTCATGCTATACAGAAGTTGACATGTTTGATGGGTAAATAGTCAATAAGCTGCCTTGCCACATTGCTTGCAAAGAATATGCTCGTCAACATACAAGCATCTCTCGTATAGATGACCTATTTGGTCAAAACAGACCCTCTAGCTCAAAAAGGGCCAGAGAGCCTGAGTATCGCTCATCAACCCAATGCCCTCGTCCATTCATCGCACATTTGAGCACCAGATGCACCTTCACCGCAAGATTGAACAGCTTGAAGACGGTCAACGCATGTCACGCATGTCTCTGATGGATCGTGCCAAGGTCCTAGGGCGTCGTTCTTCTGAGGGATCGCATGATGATGCAGAAGCCGTATTGATACCACCGCCGTCCGGTGTCGGTAGTGTTCCACCGGGACCTGTTGTTTTGCCCAGAGAGACATTACCTTCTGATGTGCAATCAGAGCATGCTGCTTCCATCATGGAGAAGGTGGACAGCATGTCAGTCAACAAGGTCGAAAGGCAGTCTGTTGAGTCTGCTGGCTCGCGCATGGGCTCTGTGCATACCGCACGCAGTGTCCTGTCTGCCAATTCGTCACTCAAACCAAAATCCGTGATGCAGGAATCGGAGTCTGCAGTCAAGGCTGCGTCAGTCAAGGAGAAAGCCAGTCCTCCCGTCTACTCAGGTCCACGCACTAGCACCACTGTGCTGAAACCCGGTACTGTCCAGCCTCCACCACACATACCCACTGCCTCTCGCAAGATTGGATGCGTTCGAGTCTCGTGTCGTCGCAAGAAGCAAATACCTGCATTGCAACCAATTCTTCATGAACGCTGCATGCAAGGCTTTAGACCACTTTGTACGGTTGATACGTCGGCGCTGGACGCACAGATTGCTGCATACCAAAAGACGTTACTTGCTGTATCGAGCACCATTGACACTTTACTCCTCAAATGCCGGGAAACGGTTCATTGTGGACATATTGCAATGTAGACTGATATATAGATATAGCAAAGTACGAAGCGCAAGACCCCTTTTTCAATTTCACAACCTGCTCTTGGCTTCGTCCTGGCGTCAAGCTGAATACCCAATCTCCTTGAGTGCTTCACGAATGGCCGTCAATGCCGTCTCTAAATCACCACGCGACTTGTCTAGCACAGAGACACCCATATGACCGATCCGGAAGTACTTTGTTGCGATTTCTTTATGCAAACCACCGGCAAAGACAACACCTTTGCTCGCGAGTTTAGGCATCCATTCGCTCACTGGCATGTTGTTGGGTGTGTACACGGCCGTCATGCCATGTGCTGCGAATGCTGGATCAACGGCAAGTTGTTTTAATCCCATCTTTGTCAATTCTGCCTTGACGTAATCTGATGCGTCTGCATGTTGCTTGAATCGTGTGTCCATACTCTCTTGTAGAATTTCCTTGAGGGAGGCATTGAGGGCATAAACGAGCTGAACGGCTGGTGTGGCAAAGTATTTTGCAGTTTGTTGTTCATAGGCTTGCATGATGGGTAGCCAGCGTTTGAAACTAGCGAAATACGTTGCTGGTGGTGTCTTTCTGGTTTGATAGGCTTGCATGCCACGACCAGAGACCATGAGAACACAGAGACCGGCGGGTGTACCGAGTGCCTTTTGACTGGCCGTCAATGCGACATCGACGCCCCATTCATCGAATCGGAGTTCCTCACAAGCAATCGAACACACACCATCCACACAAATGAGGGTGTCGGGTGAGACACGCTTGACGAGTGCCGAGACGCCCTTGACGTCAGAGAGGACACCGGTGGAGGTATCGGTATGGGTGATGGTGATCATCTTGTACTTTTTCTGTTGAAGTGCTTTTTCGATTTCCTCGAGGGATGGACGACTACCGATCGGTGCTTTGAGTTGGGTGGGTTGGACACCATAGCATTCAAAACACTCGGCGAATGAATCTGCAAAGTATCCTGTATGCAGCACCAAGACATGCTCTCCGGGTTCCACCATATTCGCAGCGACGAAGTCCCAACCCATGGTACCCGAACCGGAAACAACGAATGGCTGAGAGTCGGGTGCGGTGGTGAGGAAGATTTGACGGAGGAGGGTGAGGTTTTCACCGAATACTTTTGCGAATGCCGGTGCGACGTGGGAGACGGATGGGTGGGACATGGCTTTGAGGACATTGTCTGAGAATTCGATGGGTCCTGGGATCATGAGGAGGGCATGCTTGTCTGCCATGGTGGGTTGTGGTGGTGGTGGTGGTGGTGGTTGTAGGATGAGGTGATTTGCTGGGGGGAATTGCGGAGAGAGAGAGAGGTTAGCAGGGTACTAGCTGGGTATTAGCTGGTCAGACTGATTCGTAGCTGGGTCTGAGTGGTATAGCAGTGACTATGGCAGGCACAGAGTAGAGTACAAGCTAGATGACTGGACACTGGCTGATAGTATGACTGATGCCACCTTGTCTGCCTCCTGCGCACAGACCACGCCATGATGTTGCCTCCTTCCCTCTCCTTTCTTCTCTCTTCCATTGCTTCCTGCTCTGCTCGCTGCTCTTTACTCTGCTCTCTCACTACTGCTTACTGCTACTGCCTACTGCTGAGTACTGCCACTCCATGTTCCGACCAGCAGAGGACATGGCAGAGGTCCAGCGCCTCAGAGCACAACTCTACCACGCAGAATCAGAGAAGCAAAAGCTCGCAGAGTCTCTCCTCCTCATAGGTATCTCCTCCCTCCCTAGACACGCCCTGCTCATACGCCTCATCCAGCCGGCAATGTCCCTGGCGAGAGACCCAGCTACTTGACTGCAGCAGCTGCACCTTACCACAACCCACCCTCGAGGCAACTCTACAGCACACCACCCTTCGTCTTGCCACCCAAGGAAAAGAAACCCGTGCCTATCGTTGCTCCGTCAGCAGCACCAGCAAGCACCGATCACCGTCCTGCTCACCAGGGTACCTCTGGCAATAACGGCACAGATTTCCCGACAGACGTGCTTTTGCTGGGATCCAACGCTGGACGTGGTCCGTTCCTATTCAGGCTCGAGTTCTCCGACGGGTGAGTCTGCTTCTTACGCCAAGTTGTAACGATACTGACAAACCTCGCCAGGGAACGTCAAATCGACTTTCCAGTCCATGAAAACGATGATCCTGTCGAAGTGGTCCAGCGATTGCGTTCACAAGTCACAGAGCCCTCTACGGAAGAGCAAGTTCTGTCTTGGGTCGAAGCAATTCGAACAAAGAAGACACTCTGGAAGAAACGACGACAGCAGCAGCAACCTCGTGTCAATCACCGCGCTGCCATTACTCCGGGTCCTGCAGCCGCAGCAACACCCTCTGCCACAATCCCAGAATCCACCAGGACCTCCACCGAGGAAGCACGATTCAGTGTGATTGCTGAAACTGCACCCTCAGTCACCTCACAATCTACCACAAAGGCCAAAGAGTCCCATCAACCTGCAACTCACAAAGCAGTAAGAGTCGCCACACCCAAGTTAGAGCCACCTACCTTGGGTCAGAAATTCGACGTGCCAGAGTTAACTACCTCTCAACAACCTGCACCTGCGGCTGCGGATGATTGGTATTCCGCTCCTGCTGCTACAACGATTCCCCAAGCTCAAGCTCCAACGGTGACCAAGACAGTAGCCAAGCAGGCTCCTGCCGCAGATTCTTGGGATACTGCACCTGCCACCACAACGGAGTGGAACGCTGCACCGGCTCCTGCCACCAATGATTGGAATGCTGCACCCGCTCCTGCCATCAACGACTGGAATGCTACACCCGCTCAAGCTGATTTCACTGAAGAGACTGCTCCTACTCAAGATGCATGGCAAGTTGAACAGCAAGATGATGTGTATCAAGTTGAAGAGTCCTTTGGCCTGCATCGTAAATGGCCTTGGGTGGCAAATGGCAATGGCAACGGCAATGGCAATGCTACAAATGGCCAACAGCAGAAACAACAACGTGCTCCTGCTCCTACTGCACCTACTGCTGCTGCCCCATCCAGGGCACAGCAAGACTGGGATGATTGGCAAGCACCTTCTTCATCACCCGTCGGTGGAGTCACACCTCAAAAGGCACCTGCTAGTGATGACTGGCAAGCCATCCCTTCACAATCCTCAATCCACTCGTCACCTCAGCAACTGCAACGTCCTGCACCCACCTCCCTTCCACCACAAGCCAGTGGAAACAAAATGCCCGCTGTCCCAGCAATGGCCGCTGCACCTCCACAGTTTGCAAATATCCAAGGAAACCCCAATGCCGGTATCAATGAACGTCCACCAGCACCAGAACTTGTGGCACCCAAGTATAGTCCTGAAGAGGAAGCTCAGATGAATGCTTGGGCCAATGGTAGTGCTGCTGTTGCTGAACCTGGTACAGCAGCTGCTGCGATGGATGATTGGGAGTGATTTGAATGATGATGAAATTGAAGATGGCATTGATTAACGACCTTGTCTGCATTGATTTTTGCGCGTTTGAGTATCGATTAGCCAGCAGTAGCGCTTGCCATAGTCATTTTGAGTCTTTTACATTTCAACTCTTGTGTCATCTGAATACTGTGAGTGAGCACGACGACGACTTCAGACTGGGTCAAGGACAAGACTTGCACTGTACTGCTGCTACTCAATGAAAATCAGATACTTGTGCTAGGCTGAAGCTCATACTATGGCCAATGATGCCGTCTATTATCAGAAAGAATGGTCAAGTTGTCAAATGCTCACAGCATCATGATACCAAACACGAGAGCCGCCATCGTGCTCAAGAGTCCCATACTCAACACAGCAATGCTCGATGCAGCACTCTTGCTACCACTTGCACCACGACCACCATTCACAATCACATTCGTTGCTTCTGGTGCTGCAATAGCGCTTGGATCGACTTTGATGAGACCTAACTCTGACGTCGCCGTGACATTCTGTCCAGATGCCGTTTCCTCGCGTGGCACACCCGGTAAGTCTGGTGGTGCAAACGTAGCGAATGCTGTAGAAGTGGGTTTCGGTTTGGCGACATTGTTGGGTTTCGTTGCGGTTGCGGTTGCGGTGTCATCCTTTCCATCAGCACCCTTGGGTGGTTTCTCTGCATCTGCTACAGCGCCAAGGAGGATCTTGGTATCGGTAAAAGAGAGCTTGATCTTTTTGGTCTAGAGTGGTTAGCCTTTGCGCTGTCTTGAGGGATGGACGACGAACCGCTTCAAACAACTCAGATCCAACCTGCAAGTGACCCATCCACAACATCGGCACAAACAAATCCGGAAAGATCTTTCCCACTTCACGCAAAAAGTCCATGATGTGCCAATCGACGCTGGGTGAGCGCTTTCCATTCTTTGGCAAGAAGGTAATGACCGTTTGACCCTGGACATTGGATGCCTTGTAAATCCACCAATCCACACCTTCCAGCGTAATCTCAGCAGTAGGTGGTGCACTATCGTAACCCAATGGCACGACACGACCAAACTGAGCGCACCAGATCATCACCTCAACGCTAGCTTTGCCCGTATCCTTGGCCTTCTTGGCATCCAAATCGAAAAACATGTCAAAAGCAACGTTGGTACGCACACCAGCACTCTGCATCTCAGTATCTTCAGGTGCATCAACAATCTGATACGTCCACGACGTAGCAGCATTGAGGTAAACAATATCGCGAACTCGCACAGGCACACCATGGACGAGTTGCAAGTTTGGGTAGCCATGGGGCATGATTGTCTTTTGTGGTTGTTGCCATTCCACATCCCAGCTAACGGTTCCGCGAGCCTCGTCATATGCGACATCGACGCACTGCGTGAGGAGGTTGTTGTCATTGTTCCACTGGTTGGTTTCGACGTTCACATCACCGGCTGTGCGCACTTGGTGTTTGCCGCAGTACTTGAAGTCTGCTGCAAGGACACTGGGCAGCAGGATGTTGAGGAGAGTGAACATCATGGTCACCGCAGGAATGGGAAACCACTTGGGAAGAAGGAAGATTGGGGACCCTTCCTCCTTTTATGCCCACGCAGGAAGCTTCTTTGAAGGTCCTGGACGAAGCGCACTGCACAGCCCTCAAAACGAGCCAGAAATAGATACCACGCAGAAAGGTCACATCAATGCGAGGATCACGGCCGACTCCTGAATGTCAGGAGACAACATGGCAGATTTGCTTTTTTTATAAAGGCCCGCTGCTTGGGACAAAGCCCTTTAGAAGACGCCCTATTTATGGAGCGCAGTTCGCCCGCTGGTAGCGCTGACTACCGGTCGGAGGTATGGACTTGACATGATGTTGAAGTGTGCTAACAGACTAGACAGTTTGTTCAGATCCCTCGTCGTCTTCCGGATATGGCTATAGCCTGGATCCTGCACCAACGGACGAAGACTTAATTCTGCCACCACCTCGCGTCCATGCCTCCAACAGAGATAGTACCTACAGTCTCAACAGTAAGCGGTCCTCTCAAATTGAACTCTACTCCCTGGACAAATCGCACCGTGTCTCAACCTGGAGTGTCAACAGTCTCGGCAAGCACTCCAAGCAACCTTCCCGTTCATCCAAAGTCTTTAGCAAGCCTGCAGAACTCAAGCATCTAGCAGACGCACTCGCTCAAGATCAACCGGAAGAGATTGTCTCTGGCTCGCAAAAGCCAGTCTCCATTTGGTATGCCGGCAAGGAAGGCTTTCGGCAAAGTATGCTGTTCGATTCTGCTTATGACTTGAGTCAGTACCAAGACTTGGAAGCCGCCAATCCTGCAGAAGCAACGCTGTACAACAACGAAGAGCAGCCAGACTATGCTATCCAATATTTGCTCAAGCGAGACGACAAATACCAGTCGAGCACAAAACGACGATACACACACATGCTGACCCCTATCTTGGCAGTTGGAGATCAAGTCACATTCTGGCTCTACTTTATTGCTCGCGTTACGGCAACACTTCAAGCTCAAGAGTACCGTCAAAAAGCCTACCCCTTGTCCTGGGTCTTTCTCGCTGTTGAATGCTTGATTGCCTTCCCCAATATCCTCTGGGAGACGTGGCAGCTGACTGGATTCAAGCACAGGAAGCGTCCCATGCTGCGACTCGTGGGAGACGTGGTGCCGACGTGCGACTTGTTTGTCACCACGTGCGGTGAAGAGGTGGATCAAGTCATGGATACCGTTCGCGCTGCTTGTTTCAACGAATACCCTATGGATCGCTTTCGAGTGGTCGTGCTGGACGATGGAAAGAATGACGAGCTTCGCGAAGCAGTTGAGAAGCTTGCTATTCTAGAGTTCCCAAATCTCTTCTACTACGCTCGCACCAAGATCCCTGGCCAGCCACACCACTTCAAGGCCGGCAATCTCAACGGTGGCATTGCATTTGTTGATTCGCTCGCAGAACCTTATGCAGGCGGTGGCGAGTTTCTTGCTGCTCTCGATGCTGATATGCTGTGTACGAGTGACATGTTGCGTGCATTGTTGCCACATCTACTGCTCAATCCAAAACTCGCCATGTCTTGTCCTCCCCAGCTCTTTTACAATACGCCAACAGACGACCCACTGTATGAGTCGCTCGACTACTTTGCTCATGTCGCAGAAGTTCTCAAAGATGCACTCGGTGTTGCTTGGTGTACTGGTTCGGGCTACTGTGTGCGACGTTCAGCAGTGGATGACATTGGTGGCTTCCCGTATGGTTCCCTCGCCGAAGATGTCTGCTTCTCTAGCATGCTGCTTGGGAAAGGCTGGCAATGTGCATACGTACACGAGCCCTTGCAATGGGGCACCGTACCAGACTCCTTCGAAGGACACATCAAGCAGCGTACCCGTTGGATCATTGGCACCATTCAAACCACCATCAAGCTCAATTTCTGTCTCTTTGGCCAAGCTTGCAACAAGATGACCATCTTCCAGCGTCTTTGTGGATGCATGTATGGTATCTCATCCATCTTTAGCGTCTTCTTGACACTTGCCTGTCTCACAGTTCCAATCGTCTTGTTCTCCAGTGGAAGTATGGTGGCTTTTGTCAGCGTCTCTCAGCTCAAGCTCCTGATCCGTCTCTGTTTCATCAACTTTGCTTGGCGTAAAGTGGCCGAGTTCTTTTACTACTCGCCCTCTGGCTACTGGTTCGGACGACGCGAGTCGCCTGCAGCGATTTGGATGGCACCGTACTACTCCTACTGCATCATTCGATCGTTCGTGCTGCCAAAATGGCTCGGTGGCAAAGTCATGGCCTTCAGTGCAACTGGTGCTGCCAGAGGTGGCCTCAAGGAATGGTACAAGGACGAACGTGCCAATATCTTTAAGCGCATCTTTGTCATGGTTTGGCATCACAATCTTTGGTACCACGTCACCATCATCACTTTTACGCTTGGCTCCATCGGCTACTCGAGTTGGCGATGTACCATGCAGCCAACCTGGGAAGCGACTGTCGGTTGTCTCATCTTGCGTCCGCTTTGGCCACCTCCAGCATGGTTCATCCTCACGGCTGCATTCTTTGTGCCTATCGGATACATGCTCTTCCCTCCCGACTGCCCTCAGCGACACGAACTCATCACCTATGACGAAAAGGGCGTTGCCAGCCCCAAAGAATCAGCGAGGAAGACTGTTCACACCTGGCGCACCGTTCTCGGTGATCTTCCCGTCTGGTTCTGCTTAATTTGGTCAGCTGCATTGTTTGCAGGCACATGGTTCCTGCCTGACTCTATCCTCAACTATACAGGTGAATTCGGCGACTAGTATTTCATCCTCAACCCCAACTATACGGGTGAATCCAGCGACAAGTATTTCATCCTCAACCTCATCTCAGTCAGCACTATTGCGGTAGTCTACACATCAGTAAAATCTAAATCTAAAGGTCATTGCTAGTGTCCTGCCTGTCATCAATAAACAAATCTAAAATCTAACCTCTTGTTGCCCGTGTCCCGTCTGATGCTTGCCAAGCTTTGTATAGACGATTTGCGACTGTCTCCATGCTCGCTGTCACCAAAATTGGAGTCGTTGTGCGAAATGCTGTTGGCCACCAGATACGCCATGCGTTCGTCCTCTGTGTATGATTGCCAAATCTTTTCCTTTTGCTCGTTGCGGTACTTGTAGTAGAACCTTGTTGCAATGACCGAAAAGATGGCTAGCACGGCAATAGCCATGAGTGCCGCGTTACCCATGGGATACTTGGGAGCATCATCTGCTCTGTAGATATTGAGAGCAACGAGCGATCCTCCTTGAACGAAGATGTTGTAGACTGCACTTGCCACAGCACGATTGCCAACAGACCCGGCATTCTGGCACGTCCACGCCACGCAGATGGCATGTACGTATGGGTAGCCAATAATGAGCGACGATAGCGCAAACTTGACCCAGCGTGAAATAGAACTTCCAGACTGATTGTACAGCGCAACCAGAAAGACAAGACACCAGATTGGAGCAAGAACAGTGAACCACGCGCGATTGTTGTACTTGGCAGCCGCCCAGGTAATGAGAACAAGGAGAATAATGTGTAGGACAGTACTGGGAATCGTCAATAGGTTGGTTTGGAAGGTATCAAAGCCAAGGCTTTTCAGGGCAAGCGTGAGGTATGCTGCTGGAGGTTGTGGCGGAATGTACAGAATCAGACCCAAAAAGTAGATTGGCCAGAGATCGCGGTCCTTGAGACACTCCCAAATGCGTCTCAAAGAAAGACCTTCCCGATTGTGCATATCGCCCTTGGTCGGATCGTCACGCAAGACACGATTGACAAGAATCGTCTCTTCGTGCTCAGAGAACCAACCTTTTGGTCGCCATGGAGCTTTGGTCTGTGTAGGCGATGGTGGTAACCAGAAAAAGGCCAAGACACCAATGATAGCAGTGATACTGCCTTCAATCATGAAGAGGTAGCGCCAGCCAGCTTGGCCCCTGTGTCCCCGCAAGCGCAAGAGACCATAAGCAAGGAACGCACCTGAAATATCCGCACAGCTGTTCGCGACCCAGAAGAAGGAGAGACGGAGTGGCAATTCGCTATTCTTGTACCAGTACGAGAGGTAAAGCACCATGTCTGGGATGAAGCCACCTTCAAGCAATCCAATCAAAGCTCGCGTAATGAAGAAGGTCGCTTTACCATTGAGCCAATACTGTGTGAAGGTCACCATAGACCACATGAATACTTGGATTGGAATCCATACATCAGCACCAAGACGCTTCGAGATGAGCTGAGATGGCAGCTCAGCAAGCATGAAGCACGAGTAGAAGATGGTCTGTCCGGTGTTGTAGTCGTTTGTATTGAGCCCTAGATCTTTGAGAAAATTGTCAGACAGAGCTAATATTAGTGGAAGAACTAAGTCCATATTGTATACCTTGTCGAATGTTGCCACGGTCGAGTTGTAGACACCAGAAGAGCAAGCAAGCTATGCTGCAGATGCGAAGGTCAATAGTCCAGCGCAGCTTCGTCTCCTCTGCTGCACTCCAGACTGCCCGCGGATCATAGCGATGGAACCCCTCGTATGACTTAATAGGTGCATACAATGAGCTCGCAATGGATGTTGCTTCCGAGTCGATTGACTTGACCCCGAACGCACCTGACTTTGTACCCGAATCAAGATCTTTGTTGCCATCTGCATATGAGGCCATTGCAATATGCTTGAGACCTTGGATTGAGGAACATCCTTGAGGCTTTATAGTCACTGTGCTTCAAGCTTGTAGTACAAGTGTTGCGCCAGGAACACTTTCATGGCGCGATTTAAGCACGCAAGAATTAGCCGAGTTGCGTTTTTGCCGTACCAGTAGTTTGCTGACCCACTCCTGTAGACTGCAGCGTGTGCAAGATGCCGGCGACAAGGCTGATGATGGAACGGGATAGAAAAGGTGACAGTCAGAAGCAGAGCGGCATAGCCGTACAAGCCTCACAAATGTTCCACACAAGTCGCATAAGTCGTCAGCGCCTCGCACGATCGCGTCTTGCTCAAGCAATATCCTTGTAAGATTCGCGCTCCTTCTTGGCCCTTGCTTCCAGCAACTTGGCTCTTCTTGCTTCAAGATCTTGCTTCCGAGATGTCTTTGCTGGAACGGCATCACGCGCTTCAATAGTCTCGTGACGCAAGTCCTGCAGATTTTGCATTCGCTCCACACGAGCCTCACCAGACCCCAAGTTCAAATAGCCGGTTCCTTTGGTGCGAAGCTCCCAGTTCGGATCATAGTGCGTTTCTCCGGTGTCTTGTTCAGCTTCCTTCCAAATTTCATCTTTGCGTTGGCTATCGACTGCAAAGTGCTGAATATAAGGGCCATAGATCAAGCTCTGCGCTTTCTTTGGCAATGATGTAGGAACAGATGTCACTGTCTCTGACTGACGTATTGTCCGTGTTCTGCCAAACTCATCCTCAATTTCTACCCAAGGATCCGCGTCGCTCCTCAGACTGACATCCGATGTGTATGCATCGTCGTGTCCCTCATAGTGCTTGCGATCAAAGTCGACCATAAGCTCCTCTGCATCTCGTGCACTCAACAGCATATCTGTGCCCTTGGTGCGCATTTGCTCGTATTTGGCAGCCTTCAACTCGAGAGCACGCTTGGAACGGCTCAAGTCGTCAATTTCTTGCAGGTCTTTTCGCAGTCGCGACTTGGACGACTCTAGAGCGTCCTCTTTTGAGGATGACTTTTTGCTTTCGTGTTCATCAAGCCAGTGAGAGCGTTTCCTGCTAGATCTTGCAGCCTTAGAGGGCACTTTCATTGTACGGCCTTCGGCTGTAGAGCGCCCTTGTTCAAACTTGGCCTTCTCTTTCGCAAGCTCAGAAAGAAGGTCCATATAAAGTTTTGAGGCCCAGTGAAGCCGTAGCAACCTCTTTGGATCATGCACAAGCTGTAGCTCGATGAGTTGCAGTCGCAAGCTACGCGTGCTGCTATTGGAGTCGGACGACGAGATGGGTTGCCACTCAAAAGTATTGGAAGCAGACTACAATGTCACTACATGCTAATATGCTATTGACCTAATTGTCTGTACAACACTTGCAATTCAACATATTCAACTAAGATTCGTAAACCGGACTTGACCGATTCCTTCTCGGCGGAGACGGTGATGGGCTTGCAGGCTCACTAGCGCCCTGAGGTACTTGTTCATCGCCGGAGCTGTTCATCGCAGGAGGCAGTCCAGTGCTCGGCTGCCTGGGCACGGCACTAGCTACAGCCTCGATGCGTGATTCTGGTTTCCCTCCTTTCGAAACTTCAAATTTCGGCTTGAACGGCTTCTTTGTGGCACCAAAGGCAAGCTTGATCTTCGGCATACTCTCCGGCTTTGCGTAGTCAGAGGCGACTTCGTCACCAACCAAGTTGCTGCTGTCCGTGCTGGCCTCAGCATATTGACGCTCATATGCAATCAGGTCCCGATCATCAGCCGAGTCTTCGACAACCAGCGCATGTCCTGTGTGCGTGTGACCAATGCCTGTGCGTGCAGAGTCGGAGCCTTCATCAGAGACTTGTGGAGGTGATTGGTAGTGTGGATCCAGAGGAAGTTGTTCATCCTGAGTCTCCACGACACCAGCAAAATCCTTTGAGAGCGCATCCTGGATTAATTCAAGCAGAATAGGTATCGTCCCCTCAGTGAAATGGCTGCGTTGCTGCCACAAGTTCAAGACTTGTTCAACGAGAGAAATGAAGTTTTCCTTCCTGATACGCGAATCCATCCGGTCTGCGGCGCCTGCAAGTGCACACAGTATCTCTGGCATTTTCTTTTCAAAATACAAGCGATAGTCGCGTACATTGACGATAGGAAGCGTGGTATTGTAAAGAATGTCCGAGATGACCCACAAACGTGCCATGAGCACTTTCCAAGAGAGTTCAGGCTGGAATCCAGATGCAAGGATGTCAGTCACTTCTTGCACGTGGTTCGGATGTGACATGGCAAAGGCTGTAATTGCAGCGATGCGACACCGCTCGCCATTGACGTTCCGGAGAAGGTGATAGAAGCGTGTGCGAGATCCTTCCGAGAGCAAGTATGGATAGTCCGATGCTGGGACATTGCTCAGAGACTCGAGATTACACACCTCATCGCCATTGTCTTGCCCAAGGGGAGGCGGAAACCACTGGGTGTTGTCGTCTAGTAGATAGCCTGGACGATCAAGTTCAGCAATACCCTGGAATGCGAGACACAGGCGGAACCGATAATAGAGAGCTTCTGCTGATGTTTCTTGAAAGAGAAAAGCATAGTCTGGGTCGTCCCGTCGCTTTTGGCGTACGACAGCCTCAAAGGCTGGACCATGGTCTAGCACACCTTGAGCCATGCCATGAATACGACTAAGAACATGCATAGAGGCATGCCGTTCAACGCGCACCTCGAGTGCCGGACCTGCTCGAGGCTTTGCCGAGAGTGTAGAAGGTGGAGCCACACGAGATAGATTGAGCTGCTTAGGTTTCGCATCGAAAGGATGCTCAGGACGTTTCTGCGGAGAGGTCTGCATCCAGCAACCTTGACCCAGATAGGTACCTTGCACACCAAGCTTCGCAGCACTCGCTTCCCCTTCCTTCGCGAACGTGGCTATGGCTTGTCCTTGAGCCAATTGTAGATCTTGGACAGAGCCAAATGGTTTGAGCACTGTCAAAATGTCGGTCGCCTTCATAGCGAGCGGCAGACCGTACAGCTTAACTGTTGGTAAAATGCGCTCTTGGCGTGGTTCGTTGTTCTTCGCATAAGACTGTCGCCTCTCGTTGAGCAGTTTCAGCTCTTCCAGATACGCAGCGCCAGACTTCTGACGTTGTCCTTTGAGGCGGCGTTCCCTGTCGGCTTCACTTTCGCCATCATCGAAGCTTGACGTGTAAGGTCGCTTGCCGGGCTCCTTGGCATGTCTAGTTGAGCCAGCAGCGTACTCTTCCTCGATGGATTGTAACACAGATCGTCTTTCTTCAGCTTCTATCGCAGCCTTGCGCTGGGCAACTTCTTTAGCTTTGTCCAGAGCACTTTTCTTTGCTATAGGTGTTTCATAAGCTGTCAGCTTGTCTGGATCAACAAGCGTCTGCGGGCCACTCATGCGACTGCCACAAATTCAAGCTTGTAAGCGATAGCCGCAATGCTACAGCTGCCAACATAAAGCTCGGCCGACGGCCGTATCGCTGGAGCAATTGGGGCCTATTTGAGGCTCTTTTGGTTGGCGATGTCGAAGCCTGTCGCGGTCTGGCACAGCAACGCCACGAAGAATTTCGGGCCGAACCTGAGTTGATCCCCAGTTCAGCTTCCATAACCATCTGCACAGCTGTACTGGTATAAGAAGGGCTTCAGACCCTCAGTCTTATTCTTTTCTAGAACTACAAAGCATTGCTTAGCATGAATACTCAAACTACTTTGGCCAGCAACGGTCTCCCTTGGTGGAAAGAGGCAATTGTCTACCAAATTTATCCAAGCTCGTTCAAGGACTCCAATGGAGACGGTATGGGCGATATCGCGGGTATTACGTCCAAGCTAGACTACCTGAAAAGCCTTGGTGTCGACGTCATTTGGGTCTGTCCCTTCTATGATTCTCCTCAACACGATATGGGTTATGATATTTCCGATTACCAAGCTGTATATCCTCCATACGGAACCGTTGCCGATGTCGAGGAGTGCATCCAGGAGTGTCACAAGCGTGGCATCCGGTTTGTGCAAGACTTAGTCATCAATCACTCGTCTAGTGAGCATCGCTACTTCAAAGAAAGCCGCTCTTCAAAGACCAACCCAAAGCGGGATTGGTACATCTGGCGACCGGCCAAGTATGTGGATGGCAAGCGTTGTCCGCCAAACAATTGGAAGGCACATTTTGGTGGCTCAGTCTGGGAATGGGATGAACTGACCGAGGAGTATTACTTACATTATTTCTGCGTCGAGCAGCCAGACTTCAACTGGGAGAACCCCGAGGTTCGTGAGGCCCTGTACAACGAGGCTATTCGATTCTGGCTCGACAAAGGATGCGACGGCTTCCGCATTGATACTGTCAACATGTACTCGAAGCATCTCGACTTTCCAGATGCTGAAGTCCAGCACGAAGGCGAGGAGTTTGTTCTAGCCAAGGATTACTATTCCAACGGACCCAGACTTCACGAGTACCTACGTGAGATGAATGAGCAAGTCTTCTCCAAGTACGACTGCTTCACTGTCGGCGAATGCCCAGCTGTTGAGTCTGTGGAGCAAATCATTTCTTTCGTCGGTGCCTCGCAACGCAAGCTTGATACCGTCTTCGAGTTTGCTCTCTGTTCAATTGACGCATCGGAACCGCCTTTCCACAAGATGCCAAAGTCATGGAAGCTGAGTGAGCTCAAGAAGATTGTGGCTAGAAGCCAGTCCTTCATCGACGGGACCGACGGCTGGATCACCAATTTTTTGGAGAATCACGATCAAGCACGAGCAGTCACCCGTTATGGGTCAGATGCTCCTGAATTCAGAACTGTCAGCGCAAAGATGCTCGCCGTCTTCCAGATGGCTCTTTCTGGAACCAACTTCATCCACCAGGGTGGCGAGATTGGCATGTACAATGCACCTCGATCATGGCCCATCGAAGAATACAAAGATGTGGACTCCATCAACTTCTATGCAGAGGAAAAGGCCAGCTCGCGATTCCAGCGTGACCCAAAGCACATGGACCGTGTCCTGGATGCGCTTCGGCATACGTCGCGCGATCACGGTCGTCTGCCTATGCAATGGGACGATTCGCCAAATGCAGGCTTCACGACTGGAAAGCCATGGATGCGCGTCCATGATGATTATGAGACCCTCAATGCTAAGCAGCAAGAAGCTGACCCTTCATCGGTGCTCAGCTTTTACAAGGCGATTCTCAAGCTGCGTAAGCAATTCAAAAGTTTGGCCCTTGGTACGTACAAGGAATACGAAGCCGACGATGAGAACGTCATGGTGTTCAGCAAAACTTACGACGGCGAACGAACGCTGATTGTGCTCAATTGGACGAAGGAGAAGCAGAACTTTACGTTTCCTGAAGGCTTTGACAAACGTCAACTCATCATCAGCAATGTTGAAGGCGAGCAGGACGCTCTTCAGCCTTATGAGGCTAGAATATATGTATGCTAGGGTTTGCTTGAACCGACCAAGGTAGCATTCGCATCAGGGACTTGTACAGCATTCTCACGCGTGCCTTCTGCATCACTCGTCTCCGCCGTCTCAGTCTCGTCACCGTCAGGTTGCCGCCGCTTCATGCGCTTCTCAGCCCGAATCTGCTTTTGCCACATGTCATAGTATTCGCCCTTGCCACCATTCTCTTCTGCCTTCCGGAGTAATTCTTCATGCGTGCCTTGCTCGACAACAACGCCATCTTTGAGACACAAGATAAGATCCGCTCCAATAATGGTCGAAAGCCGATGTGCAATGACAAGAGTCGTCCGCCCTCGTGATAGCTCATCCAACGCGCCTTGAATCTGTCGTTCGGTCGTCGTGTCCAAAGCACTGGTTGCCTCATCCAGGAGAATAATTCGTGGATTCTTTAAAATGGTCCTTGCGATTGCAATTCGTTGCTTCTCGCCACCAGACAGCCTTAGACCACGCTCACCAACTTTGGAATTGTAGCCATCTGGCCAATCGACGATCTTATCGTGGATCTGAGCCTTTCGCGCTGCTTCAAAGACCTCTTCGTCTGTGGCGTCAGGCTTTGCATAGCGAATATTGAACATGATTGTGTCATTGAACAAAACGGTATCTTGAGGCACAACACCAATCTGTTCTCGCAAAGACTTGATGCGTACATCTCGAATGTCTTGACCATCAATCAAGATACTACCTTGTTGCACATCGTAGAAGCGAAACAAGGTCCGCAAAATGGTTGTCTTGCCAGCCCCCGACTCACCAACAAGAGCGAGGATGCCGGGCTTGGCAACAAATGAAAGACCCCGAAGAGCTGGTTTGCGAGCGTCATAGGCGAAATGGACATTGTCAAAGACTACCTCGCCCTTTTGTAGTTCCATCTGCTTGGCGTCAGGCTTGTCCTTGATACTGGCGCCTTGGGTAAAGAGCTCGAGCATACGCTCTGCGTTGACCAGATTCGATTGCAAGCTGCGGTAGAGTGTACCAAAGAAGTTGAGTGGTCCCTGCAGTTGTGCCATGTATGTCAACAGAGCGACAAAGCTGCCCACGGTCGCTTGGCCGTAAGTCACGCGGTAGGCACTCAGCAGACATGTGGCGAGAAGGCCGAGTGCAAAGATGAGATTCTGCGTAACATTCATGACGTTGAGCGATCCGAGGACCTTCCATTCAGCCGACTGATATGTCTTGACAGCTTCCTCATATCGGTTGAACTCCCATGCTTCAGCGTTAAAGTACTTGACAGTCTCATAATTGGTGATGCTGTCTGCCTTGACGGCATACTCCTCACGCGACTTGTTGACCATGTCCCTGCGGATGCCTGTGCGCCATTCTGTAATCTTGACTGTAGCATACAGATATGTAGCAGTCATCATGGCGACAATCAGCGCAAAGTAGGCATCGAATTGAACAAAAAAGTACACAATTGCCACAAAAAGATCCACAATAACGGGCAAGACATTGAAGGCGAGCTGTTCCAAAAAGCCATTGATGGCACTGCCTTTGTCTAGCGCACTGAGAACCTCTCCCGTCTTCTTGGCAATGTGAAAATCGAGACTGAGTGAGTGCACATGCTGGAAGGAGCTGACAGCAAGCGACCGATACGTGTACTGACCGACAGGGATCCACAAGTAAGCGCGGAGAGCACCGATGACGCCCATATTGCCTTGCAGAAAGCGATAGAAGACATATAGCAATACCATGAGCCAAATATGCGTAGTACTAGCAGGCACATCGCCGGAAAGTTCGTCAGCTACGATGCCGAGCTGACGCGGAACCAAAACATTCAAAACACGGGCCACCACAAGGAGCAAGCCACAAAAGACAATGATGCTTTGCAATTTGATATTGCCCTTCGGCCAGAGATGAGGAAAAAAGATTGTGAACTTTTTGAGATACAGGAGCCAGCCTTCATCTTGTTGCTCTTTGCTCGGAATGGCGGAGTCCCCGTGATTCGGAGCATTGTGGTTGATGGGCCGGGGGTTGCTGTAACATTTGGTCGTTGAATCTTGAAGCAGGGGCTGTTCTTCGGGTGTGCTTGAAGAGATGGTGAGCGCTGCAGCAATGAGCAAAATGGCCAGTCTCAAGCACTGCGTGGCGAGAGCCAATTTGCGCCAAATACTCAGCTTGTCCAAGCGCGTCAAAACCAGGAGAATTGCTTCAGTCAGAGCTGCGACAACAAAGAGTCCTCTGATAGGCGCTGAGTCCATGACAGGCGGCTTGTCGACAAAGCCGACGAGCAACACACCATAGACAAAGACTGATGTGACCAAATACAGGAGCAAATCGTCGTTTGCAAACCACCCGTGCTCGCGTTTGACTAGTGCATGTGTGATGATGTTGGCAAGGTCAGCAATGAAGGTTGCTATCGCCAAGATGAGCAAGATCTGAATGGCGCGCGTCCGCGACCCAACTTGTCGTTGCTTCGGTTGCCGCTTCGACCATATACAAGTCGCAGTGAAGTGCCATACGAGCACAGCTAATGGCGATACATAGTGTAGGACAGCCACTGCGTCCATCTCAATGACCGCCTGCAAAGTCCTCAATATTCGATGCTGCGGTGGGAGTTGCTCAGTGTTGCTGTACACGCATGTCAGTTATCGCGTGATTTTTGGCCGTGCGCATTGAAACTTCAGCTTGCCCATTGGGCTTGGCACAACTCAGTGAACTCACTCACGATATACAGAAGTCAAGGCACTGCAACACGTCTGGGATTCTCAAGACGTGCGTCAAGATGCTGAAATGGAAAGGGATTAATAAGGTCTGAAAAAGAAAGAGATATTGAGGAGAGGCTAAATGAGCATGCTCATGCGACAGCTGGTATGTGCTCAGCTTGCCCCATGGCTGCCTAATTGAACGCAACAGTGAAAACTTTGCTTTGAGCGACCGTACATTTGCCAACAGGTCCGGTGTTAGGGTCGTTAACGTATCCCTGGCAAATTGCAGAATCCGTGCACGGGAAAGTCTCACACATGGCCTCAGCGTTTGGAGTGCCATTTGTCGAGATCGTGACGCCTAGGTTCTTACCTGAAAGCAAGCTGTTGTTGTACCAGATATCACCCCCGGCGGTCAAGGTGAATTCCGCGAGCGTCACACTCTGGACACCCGTATCCTGCTTACATTCCAATGTGTTTGTGTGGCAATTGCCCACCGCGCAGGTCAGTTGTTCCCCGCTGCCAGTGCACCCTGTGCGAGCCCAGATGCGACCTCCGCTGAGCATCTTATTCAAAGGCAAGAGAATATCGTGCGACTGTCCGGGTTTCAACTGGAACCCACCTTTGAAGCCCTGGAGGACCGCGGGATCGGTCTGGGTGTCAAAGCCAATGGCTGGCCAGATGGTTTCGGTGTGATTGTTAACGATCCTGATGGTAAATTGATTGCCATCTGTTGAAGCTGAGGTTCCAGTAGGGTTATTTCCAGGGTCTTGGGTGATTGGACCACCTTCACTGGCTGGAGGAGTGGCAAAAGGTGGGGTGACAGTAGTGCCTGGCTGAGGCCCTGTCGGGTTGACTGGCGTGACCGGCGCAACTCCACCTGGCAACACGGGCTGCACACTGGGCGGCGTTTGCTGGACTTTAGAGATCTTGCCTGCCAAGGCCAGGTATTTCATACCAGCCCCGTCGCGCTGTTTGACAAGGTTTACGTCAGTGTCAGCGGCAACCTGCATGGTTAAGCTGGCAAGACAGAGTGTATGAGCGAGTGTCAGCAACATCTGAAAACGAGTGTGTAGATGGTCTGAAGACGTGTTGCGATCTTGCCAGCTTGTCCATGGGCCGGACATGCCCTTTTTATCCTGAGCCCCTCAGCTGCTGGAGTAATCTCAGGGGTAACAAATATGCGAATATTTGCGAGCAAAGCGCACATCCGGGTGCCTGTTGCGCAAGGCAATTTGCGTCCATGTGGTCGAGGATAACTTCGTGTTGCTTGAGTACGGAACTCGCTGGTTATAGTCAGAGATTCAGACCCAAAATCCGCAGCTGGCTTGCTTTGCCGAGCCCTACCTAGGGCCTTAGGCGGCGGCGCTCGAATTTACATTGCCGCGGCTTGATCGCAAATTTTCAGGAGATGACGCCTTGAGCAGGTTCTCAACTTTCGATGCGCAGCAAGAGCATCCGTCTGCTGTGACGAGAGAAGACAGACGTGTCTTGCATAGGCCGCTTTGTGACTTCAGCATTCGGCTTTTAGTCCAGCTTTCCTTCACCATTGAGTGGACATGTCTTTCTGGCTGTACGCAGCACGAATGTTGACAATTTTGCTACAACCTGATGCCATTCAGCCTGTTTACTTCTGTAAAGCCGGGGATGAGCTGTGCGGCTGTGCCTTGACGTCGGCCAGGAGTCCTGATTGTCTGTCACTCTCAGGGACTCGGTGTTCAGATGACATACCACATGCTTTCAGAGCTGGCAATTCCTTTCAATATTCTTCGATCTGGTAGCTCCTATCTCGTGCCTACCTCAGTCTCAAGCATATATAGTATCTAATTTCGCATCGCAGAATTGGGATCTGCAGACGGGTCATGGACTACAGATAAAACCATTCATCATTCGCTTTGAAGGTATGTCATCTACTACGGAAGTCGCCCAAATTGTCGTCCTAAGCTGCAGGTCATTCTCGGTCAACGTCAACTTGCAGATTTGAATGAGTAGCTTGCTCCTCTATCAAATGTGAAATCGATAATCATTCGCGACCTTCTTGTCCTCGTCTGCTCCTCGGTTATTTCTTGCTCGTCGTCCTCGACCTGACAGATGAGTCCTATATCTGCCTCGCACTCACATTCGTTACAGCGTAACATGTTTCAGTTTCCCTCAGACGATGCGTAGAACCGTTCAATCATCACTGGTATAGTGTTCGCGAGCCCCGGATCCTTTGTAGGTCGTTTGAAGTTGAAGAAGATATCATGTGAGTAGGAGATTTCAATCTTGAGAACATTGTCAGGGACAGTAGTCTCTGCACTGCAGGGTTTTGCATGACATTGTGTAGTTGGGTCGCAATTCAAGTATCCCTCGCCATCAGATTTGCATCCCGTACGAGGCCAGGTAGTCGTCTCTGCCAGTCCTTCAAGTTGGGAGAAGGGTAGAATGTACAAGAGCTCTGGAGCACTCGTCCCCTTGTTTGCCGGTAAGGTTGGTGCTTTGTTTTCCTTCGTTCCGCTGAAACCAAGCGATACTTGGGTCTTCGCTGACCATGGCAGGCCAGATATTTCGATTCCAGTGATTGCGAAAGTACAGCTGGAGGTAGATGGTATCAGTAGGGGAGGATTGTCGAATGGGTGCAGGTCTGATGTAGGGCGGTGAGCCGATGCGTAACAATGGTATAGCTAACGCTAGTCTGCGCGGTAGAGCGACCATCTTTTTAGTTTCGGCCAGCTATCGGGGACAAGAGGTGGTTTGAGCAGGCCGCTTCCTTTTATCTTGAGCAGAAGCGCACAATCATACGTCAGGGGTCAGTAGCACAGCCCAGTTGCAACAATTTGTTGTAGGCGCATCCTGCCTTGAGCTTGCGCCTATTTCCGGTCTTTTGGTGTCGTATCTGGGTACATTGAACTGCGAACGACTCACCGGCCGTCTATTGAGCATTGCATCTGATAGGAGATGACCGACGTGTCTTTGAAGCGTCAGAGTAGTCCCAAGAGCGTCAATGTCATGCGAAGACACCGAGGTGGTTGCAAGACAGCATCACTTTCTCAGATGGGAGGCCCAGAACATGCCAATCACAGATGAGGTGAGTGTAATGGAAATGACAGTTGATTTGGTCTATGAAAGATGTAGCTCCGGGGAGAGATGCTTCGATGCAAGTGCCATCCAAGACATCAAGATGTCTGTGGATAGGCTATACCAGTCTAGATGCCACTGCTTTTAGGGTGTTGCAAAGGTCAGACCAGGTCGATCGTGCACTACAAGACCTGGATGACTGGCCAATGCCGTGAATTCAGAGAGAAAAGCGCAAGAAAGAAGGAGGCATCAGAGACATCAAGCCTTGGGGCAGAAGATGACTTCGTAGTTTTGTGCCAGATCGCAGCCGATGCATGGGTTCTTGGATGACCAAGGTTGGTATGCCATGTCGTCTGAGCAGTCTTTGCTAGTGCAGGTGTATGTCTTGCAGGCGTCACCACCAACGGTCTTGATTTGCATGGGCAAGTTGTAGCCAGAGATGAGGGAGATGTTGTAGAAGATGAGACGCATGGCAGACCAGCTGAACTCGGCAAGGGTGACACCAGGTACACCCGTGTTCTTGAGACACTTGTCGCTGCCACAGTCACCAACAGCGCAGTTTCGACCATTGGCATCGCAACCAGTGCGACCAAAGAGACGAGCAGCGTTGACGAGGTTTGGGATGGTGATGGTCTTGTCGGCACCAGGCCAGAGCTGGAAACCCGAGTCGGCGTAGGCGATATCAACGGGTGAGTTGACGTCGTTGCCAAGTGCTGGCCAGACGTCGAAGGCACAGTGGTTGATCACCTTGATGGTGTATGAGTTGCTGCCATCTGCTGAGGCGGGAGCAGCAGCGGCGAATGAGATTGCCAAGGCACTAGTAAGGAGTGTTGAGAACTGCATGTTTGTTTGTAGGTAGAGCGGGAGTGTGAGAGAGAGAGTGACTTGGAGCAGTCGTGTGAGTAGTGCCTTGGTTTGGGTGTGTGTCTGAAGAGACGGTGTAGAGTAAGCGCAGGAAGCTTAGACTCAGGGGTGCGTGTGCTGGGTTGGAGGATGAGCTGAGGGAGGACACGGGTGCCTATTTAACTTGCTCTGACCTCTTGGCTCCATCCCTACACAGCACACAGCACAGTGCCCGGTCTCTGTGGGTGTCTCGCTTTCCTTCCCCTGGCCGTCTCGTTTTTCCATTTTCCTGCTCGGTGCAATTTCGCCAGCTGTCAACTCTGCGCCGGCTTCATCTCCCGTTTCTCGGTCTGCTCTTAAATGCACAGACAATTAGACGAAGCCCAGGAAATTGCTTCTCAGCAGACAGCAGCGTACACTCGATGCGGCCTGCACGGTCTACCGCCCCCAGTATCGGCTGCCCGTAATAACGGCTCGTCTGGCAAGTGCCTCTTCAGTGAGTCTTCACTGTTCAGCAGACCTTGCGCGACTGTCTGACTGACGGTGACTGTTTTTTGTGCTCGCTACCAGAGATGAAGCCTGCCGCGGGAGATCGCCGCCTGGTGCAGGGAATAGAAGCAAGAGCAACCACCGTTACGCAGGGTACGAACACATAGACAAATGGATGAACAGATACACTCCTACAGCGACGTCCCTTGGCTAGCACCTACACTCCGATGCCAACGTGTTCGCCGCAAGCATCTCAGCACTACAGTCCAGGCCCTGTATCCCTTGTCCCTTCACGTGCAAGTCTTGGGCCTTTGAGCCGTTGCGAAGAATCAAAAAAGTAAAATTGCAATCTCGCTCGGCTGACTTCAACGGTCGGCTAACGGACGAGCTGCCTTGAACTGACATCTGTTTCACCTGCAACTCACTGCACCAACTGACTCCGGTACGAACCGGAAAGTATAGCTCATAGAGTGACATACACCCAGCCATGTCGCTGCAGAACTCGCAAGACATCCTCCGAGACTTTGAGCACTCGAGGAAATTAGCTGACATGCCCAGGAAGGCCATCAAGAGCCAATAATCAAGACAATCTCGAAAGTCTTGACCATGCGCAGTCTTGCCAAGCAGAGCTCGAGAAACGAGCTGACACGGGAGTCGGAACTTTTCTCTCGAGCTCCTTGCTGCTGCTGACGTCCTCAATGTACTTCGTGCAGCTGGCACAAAGATAGGTCCATGTCTCGAACCGTACGTGTGCAGCTACAACTCAAACCGATGTTGCACCTTGTGTGAAGTCATCTCATCCAGTCACGTCTTTGTCACACTTCAGCTTTGATGCCTCATATATCATATATGCCAAGTGATCTCCGTTGTCGCACTTCACTTCCATTCATTCCCCTGAGATTCGGGCTCGCGGGCTAGTCAAGCAGGCGCACGTCAGCATAACGCACAGATGCGGCAGCTGCTATAGCCGAGTCTTGGCTCTGCATCATGACGACCTGGCTGCGTTTGCGCAGTATGCATGGTCTGCCGGTGAGCCCGTCATCTTTGCCTGTACGACATACATCAAAGGTCCACGCTTGGCATGCTTGCTATGCAACGAGCTCTATTTTTGTAAAGATCACAACCCTCACTGTCCTGGGCCAGGTCTGCCTTGCACAATAGCTCCAATCTTGAGGACATCAGCAAGAACGCCCATGGCAGTCACATCACCGCCTGCTCCAGCACCTTGAACAATCAATGGGTTGCCCTCCAACCCACCATACCGCTCCGTGTAGAATGCAACGACATTATCACTTCCCTTCAAGCCAGCAAAGGCCGATGTCTTGGGAAATGCTTTGAGTGCCACGCTCACTTGCTGTGTAGCCATCTCAATGGATCCAACAAATCGCAAAACACTATCATTCTGTGCCGCTTCTGCTCGTTGCTTGCCATAGGCATCATCGTGATCTGGCAGGCCCTTCAAGAAGGCATCACCCGATTCGCAAGATTCGAGAGCCTCAGGAATAAGCGACTGCACGGGGAAGGAAGTAGGAGAAGCGATATCCAATCCAGACAATCGCGATAGAATGGTCAACTTGCGAGCAACGTCAAGCCCGTTCAAGTCATCGCGTGGGTCTGGCTCAGTGAAGCCACTATCCTTGGCAACTTGCACGACTTGTGAAAACTTGGGCAATCCAACATCATCGCCTTGCTTGAGCGCATCAATAGCAGATGCAGGGCTGAAGGTATTGAACAGATAACTCAGCGTACCTGAAAAGATACCCTCAATCTTGCAGATGGTATCACCCGTCTCGACAAGATCCTTGAGCGTCGACAAGATTGGGAGACCAGCACCCACACTGCTCTCATGGAAACACAAACCCCTACCTTTCGCTTTTCGCTGCGTATCCTTGAATGCTTGTAAATCACTGCTGAAGCCCTTCTTATTGGGGGTCGCGATGTGAATGCCTAGATCTAGAATCTCACCGTAACGTGCAGCAATCGCTTCATTCGAGGTATTGTCGACCAAAATGACGGGCACCTTTGATGTCTTGAGAGTCGCAAGCATGGCTGTCAAATCCGCGGGCTTGATGGCCTTGTCCAGAGTCGACTGCCAGCTGTCGAAAGCAATCTCCTGCAAGTCATCCGTGTACGCTGCGACTTTCGAGCGTGCAAGCAAGACGAGCTTGTAGGTGTTGTCGCTACGTTTGTTGTATTGAGCGAGCTGGCTCAAGAAGGCCTTACCGACACCACCAGGGCCTAGGGTCAGCTGTATCGCGGCAGATGATACACTCACCAATGACGGCTACGTTGATGGACATGGAGGCAATAACAGGGGAGCAAAGTACGTAGATGATCTAAATCTACATGTATGCTTCTCTGTACATGAAATGCAACAGTCACATATTTAAGCAGAAAGCGCTTCCTTGATACGCTCCTCTGAAAAGACAACCACCTTCTCCTGATTCGTTGCATCTTGAGCCCATGGCTTGGGCGATACATCCCTGCCGTACTGATCGCGACCATAGAACCCAGCAGGGCCACCAAACGCTTCAGCAACAGGCACATGCGCATACTCAGCTGCATCTGTCATCACATACGGCGAAAAGATCCTTGCAAGCAGTGTGATGATCCAAGGGAAGCCTGCCGTCTCTGCAGCGGTTGTGGCGATTGCACCTGGGAAGAGATGCATGATGCGTAGTTTGGGAGCTTGCTTTGAAAGTGCTAGTAGCATGGCATCCACATAGAGCGAGTCACGACCAGCTTGCTTGAAGAAACCGTATTCACTGCGATGATTGCGATACTCAGGATCTTCTGCTGGACATGATGAACCACCACCCGGTGCACAGACAGTCGTGATACCTTGCGTCACTGTGTCTCTGAGTCCCCAGGCAACCGAGTACCGACCCAAGCACTGCAGTGCAAAGTGCGTCTCAACGCCATCTTCTGTCGATGACCATTGCCCATTTGGAGGCTTTCCAGCAGTTAAGAAGACATGATCCACAGCATGCTTCTCTTTGATGGAAGACACAAAGCGCTTGACGTCACGCTGTGAAAGCAAGTCCACACGCTCAAACGCATGGTGGCGAGTAGGTATATCTGTAATGGTGCTCTTTGTGCTTTGATTACGCAGCTGTTCGAGGACTTGAGAGCCACGCTCGAGGCTACGACCGGCCACGACGACGCTGGCACCGCGCGAAGCAAGTGTCAAAGCAACCTGCTTGCCGATACCATTCGTACCGCCGACAACGAGACAAGTCTTGTCGACTAAGTTTAGCCCAGCGACCTGCTGCTTACAAGCACGGATGAAGCGATTCGCAGGCAAAAGAGAAGTCATTGTAGATATAGTATAGGTGGAGCATTCGATTAGGTCATCACTGTCTAAGGCAAATTCTTGTGGACGATGGTGGAACCATCCTTCTTATCAGCCTCCTCAGCCGCTTCTTGGACCTTGCCACCTACAGCACCTTCCTTAGTGAAGTGCTTGCCAATTGCTCCGTCCTTGCTGAAAGGCCCACCAATGTTCTCGTCGACTGCTTTACTCAATCCCTCCTTTCCGCTGAATTGTGATCCAATTTTGCCATCTGCCTCGAATGCTTTGGCGGGTCCATCCTTCCTCAGGCTTCGTACGGTGGTGAAGGCGCGTGCGCGCATAGGGAGTGCAAGCTTGAACATGATGTAAGGTGGTTGTTGATGGTCATAAAAGGGTGCTGACGCCTCCTACTTATAGTGTAGTCATGACGTATATTTGAAGAGATCAGAAGTGAGGTCATACGACTCTACAAGATGTGAACGGTCATAAGTCGTGAGGGTAGGGAAAGTTGTAATCTAGTTCATGAGGAAAGACATGGACATGCCCTTCTTGACGCGATCCTCGTCCGAGTCAGGAACAGGAAGGTCATTCTCTTTCTTGGGCGTTTTGTAGATGCCAAAGGGCAGCTGCTGTTGCAAGTTGTTGAGTTTCGTGTCAAAGCCAGCAAGCTGATCATTCGAAATGGCCATGCTGGGCGTCGACTGCCTGGCTTGCTGATCCATGAGATTGACAAGTGCAGCACGATTGATCTTGGGCTCAGTCCTGTCGGATTTAACATCATAAGAATTGCGTTGCCTGGCGCGGAAGAGATCATGCAGTGGACTTCCAGCGCCAGCATCCTTCAAAGCTTGTTCCAAGATGGCGGCATCTTTTGGAGTCAAGTCGTATTTGCGACGCTTCTCTTCTGTAGCGGGGGCCGGATATGCAGCAACACTGACGGGCGATGATGACAAGGCAGCGGTGGGGACTGGAGGCGCAGGACGCGAAGCAGTGTCTTCCTTGATCTTCTTCTTAGCTGTTGGCTCACCATTTGTTTTGAGACCGGCAGCCTTCAAGACCTCCCTTGCACGTTTCTTCTCCGCCTCTTGCTCTTCAATTTGAGCGCGCGTACGACGTTTACGCAACTTGGGCAGACCATCGCTACCACCTGCCACTGCTGGCGTGATGATGGCAGCTGCACCACAAGCACCCAGTCTTCGCTTGCGATCAGGCAATTCGCCATAATCTGCAATGCCAAGGCCAGTATAACCGAGCATGCGTTCGCGACGACGACGAACAACGCGAGCTTCAGGGTTCTCTGTGGCGCGTCTCACCATACGCTCGACCTTTCGCTGCATGTGCATGGTATAGAGCAGACCTTTGCCTTGCTTGAACCCTTCGAGCTCCTCAGCCCAGGCGCCACGTTCCATACAGCCGAGAATCTCGTGGGCAGCAATGGAAATCAGATACATGCTGTTTTCAGGCCAACAGCATAGTCGCATCGTTTCAAGAATCTTTTCGTGGTGCGGCTCGTACGTATTCTTGGCTTCAGAGAGACAACTCACCACAGGCGTCTTGTAGCGCGAGAGTGCCCAGGAGATGGCATCCCAGTCTAGAAAGCGAATCTTGCGCGAAATGTAAATCACGAGCAAGTCATGTGGTGAGAAAGGTTCAGTTCGTGCACCACGCAGAACCGTTTCAGTCGTGTCGGTTGTCGTGGGTCGCGTTGTCGCTCGGTCTTCTTCCCTGCGAAACTTGCGTTCAGTTCCAGTTGGCAATGTATTGGCTAATAACAAAGCAGCAGAGAGTTTTTCAGGACCAAAGATGGGCATGCCAAGTTCAATTTCTTCCTCTGTCGGTGGGCGCAATGCTGGATTCGTAGCAGACCCGTCGTGTCGACGTTTACGGCCAAGCGCAATATCAATAGATGATTCCTCCGCATCTTCGGGCCGTGTAGTGGGTACAATATCAATGTAACGTCTTCCATGCTTGTCAATTTGAACGTTGAGTTCTGGCGGAATATCAGCGTCGTCTGCTAAAAGCTGTCGAGCATGGACATTGAGGTCACTCAGCCATTGAACAAGCTGCCCCTGACCTTCATCGAGTCCCACAATCGCGTCATTCAGCTTGTCTGTATCCACAAGCTCGAGCAAGTGGCGCGACAGAAGCCAAATTGGATGCATAAACATCTGGGGTGGCGAGCTCTTACCTAGACGAGCTGCTGTCTCCGCGTCCAACGCAGGCCGCACAGTGAGTGTCCTTGCCCGTTCCGCGGCACGAATCGTCTGAACACCAATGTCAACAAGGTTAGGAAAGGGTTTGAGCCGGTCTGCGCATGTGCGCAAGCGAGCATTCAGCGCATTCACCGTGATATGGAAGTAGTTGGCCACAGACAGCCGTGGAATCCTAGAGCGTTAGTCCATGTATCGCTTGTAGCATTCAACGAAGCAACATACTGCGTTGTGAAGTGGCGGCATGCAATATCGATGGCCAGGTAGTCGGCGACGCTCACAGAGGAGCCCGGCATTGCTTGAAGGGGCTGCTGGCAGCTGGGCTGATGGCGCTGAAGGCGGCCCTATGCTCCGGATGGACGCGGGTGACGACTGCGCGGTAATAGAGGTGAGGTGATGGATTAAGCTGGTGGATGTGGTATAGGCCGCATCGCAGGGAGGCAGACCAGATTCTTCTTTGCATCCGCTCCTATACTCCTCCGCTGCCAGCAAAACCAGATTGCCGAAATAAAGTCACCGGAAGCCAAATAGATGGATCGGGCGCAGTCATGAAATGTGAAAGTACGCCGCGCAATAAAAGAGATGAATCAGAACTAGATCATCAGATCACATATAGCAGCAGTATAGTACGCCCAAGAGGCTCCTGTCGATTTTGCGCCGGAAAGGCCCATTTTGATAAATTATAAAGGACCAAAAATTTCGGAGCTACATGAATTGTCCCGGCTAGCTCAATTGGTAGAGCATTCGACTCTTAATCGAAAGGCTGAGGGTTCGAGCCCCTCGTTGGGAGCAAATGCTCTCTTTTTTCTTCCTCCGAAAAATCATGTAAATGTACTTCTGGAGTCTACGACACATCTCTCAATCGCCTGAAGCCCCAGAATGCTTATCCGATGTTTTCAGCATTGTCGCAGTACGCCGGTGTGCTCTCATGAGGCATGAAGCTTGGCGCGAACAGATGGGATTCTCGAGATGATCGTCCATGACTCCACACAGCTCGGCATGACTCATTTTGAGTCGGCCTTCATCACCGTGACTCGGCGTGACTCGGCGCATCCGGACACGGTCTATAAAGCTCAAGTAAAGGAAGGTCTGGTGCTCTCTACTCCTATCTTCAAGATCACAATGTCCTCTCCCCAGTACAATAACATCAAAGGAAACGATACCAAGGGCAAAGGCCTGCCTATTGCAGGACCCATCAGTGGCAAAGCAGATGATTACTCGCCATCGCTCGGCAACAAGACTCTCATCGCAGGCAGCGATAGTCACGAAGCTCCGGCGCATGTCTTTGAAGGCACCGATGACGTGCGCAACTTTGCTCTGGAAGCTCTTTGACTAACGCGCCTTTTAGTGGAACATCCCCGACAGAGTTGCCAACCAGCGCTTCTTTGTTCAGATTGACCATGTCAATATTCATTCCCTCATCGAGGCTTTCCAGGAGCTCGATAAGGTGATGCGTCATGAGGGAATGGGCCACTTGATTTCCAGGAAGAGGAGCCACTCGATTGGTGGCCGCGCTGTGGAAGTCGGCCAAATGTAGGCACCTCTTTCGAGTCTTGCTTATTGCTAATAACAGCGGTGTACTTGCATACCGGGGACGGCCCATCATCATCATCAAGCCAGGAAGGTATTGGAATCTCTCCATCACTCACACGTGGTACCCCTGGGCCTTTGACTTGACCACTGTCAACCAATTTAACGGTTTGACCTTTGCGCAAGTCGGACAGTCGGAAGCGATGGTGTGCCTTGACCCACAGAACCAAGTCTTTGTCGTGCGTAATGGCGGATTCGCCAGTTACGGACATTCAGGAACCTACAAAGTCATTGAGATTGTCGATACGCTCAACTTGGGAGAAGAGTATGCTGTTCGCGAGACTGATCTCTCTGAGGATGAATCCATGGGCCGACTGCTAGGCTACAAGAAGGAAGTGAGACACAATGTCATGGTCGGCGACAAGACCCAGTCTGTTACGATTGCCACCTTCTTCAACGTCCCTGCGCAAAACACCGTCGTGATCCAAAATGGTGGTCATCTGAAAGCATTTGGCGCTGGGCAGCATGTCATCACCAACCCGAAATGCACCTTCCGTGGCTTCTTCACCCTCGGAGAACGACAAAAGTCGTTCCGCACGCAGCCAGCTTATACGCTCGAGGGTGTACCAGTTGTGCTTCATGTCAATCTTCGATACCGAGTCGTTGATGCTATTGAGCTCACCAAATCCTACGAAACTGCCTTCCAAGCTCTCAAGAACCCAGCACAATCTGCCGTGAATGCTGTTGTCTCGCGACTGAGTTATCAGCAATTCATGCGAGCCAAGTCGTTACGCGGTGATATCCCGGACGTCGAGCATATGTCTTGGCTAGAGGCATTCAAGGCTGAATGTATGGCTGACTTGGCGGCCCATGCTATTGAGTATGGTGTCAAGGTTCTTTCATTCGATGTACTCGACAGGAGGCTTGAAGGCAAGCTTGGTGACGATCTGGAGAAGCAAGCAGAGTCTGTTCTCAAGAACCAAATGCAATCTACACAAGTCGCCTTGCAAAATCGCATCAACACGGAAACCGAGCAGGGTCGCCTTGAAGTGGCTGCTGTCAAAGCCCAGCAAATCCAAACGGAGGCAGAAGCAGAATACCAGAGGCAAATCAAGGTGGCTGATGCTCAAGCAGAGACCGTCAAGCGTCTTGCTCAAGCCAATGCTGATGCGAACCGGACTGAGACAGACCAACGCGTGCGTGCTATTGAGCAGCTTGCAGCCGCTGAAGCACGAGCCATTGAGCTGCAAGGTGCAGGGTACGCCACCGTGAAAGCCCCCTTTGCTCAACAGGTGCAACTGGAGAAGATTGAGATGGAGAAATTCAAGTCGCTCCAAGATGCGACGGTCTTTGTTGGTGCTTCTGCTGCCAACGGTGCTGGAACAACTCGCGACGGTGTCAACCAAGGTTTTGCCTTTGCCAGGGGCATGAGCTTGTCGAACCAGTAAGTCCTTGACTGTACTGTGCAAGTGTGTCCATGTGTATATCGTTGTGATGACGGTTGCGAAACGTTTTGAAATGGACGTACAGATTGCCCCATGGCCTGTACATAGTTTTCTTACATTGCCTGACTTGTGAGAAGCCGTTAAATGCATCTTTGTATTCAAAAACTGGATTTTGGCGACATAGGTCGCATTTTGAGTATTCAGGTAGAAACTTCAGATTCAGTTGGCACGTATCCCGGCTAGCTCAATTGGTAGAGCATTCGACTCTTAATCGAAAGGCTGAGGGTTCGAGCCCCTCGTTGGGAGCATACGCTCTCTTTTTTTCTTCTTCATATTTCCCAGTGCTCCAAGCCTGGCTGGCAGTTGCTGCACTTATTGACGCTCCTCGAATGCCTCTGCTTATGTTTTAAGATAAAAGACTACATATCTCGCGAATGCGAAGATCTTGTGCCCGTCGGCCTTTGTATTTTGCCGCCCGACGCGAGGACGTCATGAAATTCTGTTCAAATAAACAGTTGCACCTTCGACTGAACTTGCTCGAGAACGTCTTCCATACGCGCTAGACTCATGGCGGCTGCAACGCCTTCGTCGCGCTTCCCATTGCCATATGGTGCTTCCTTTTCTCAATGGTGGTCGACGACGGGTCAGTCCTCGCTCGCGGTACAGCAGCAAATCCTGGCTGCGAGCGCCTCCTTCTTCACTACGCCTGACCACAGGACTGCCTCACAGCAGTTCTTCCAGCTGTCGGGCAAGAGTCGCTTTCTCAATGAGATACACATCCGTCGGACACAGAGCGCTTCTTCGGAGCTGCCGAGAGACAATAATATTGTGATGCTGCATGGCTACGGCGCTGGTCTTGGATTTTACTTTCGCAACTTCGATGGGTTGACCAAGTCGCTCGTCAATCGCTACGACTTCTTTGCTCTCGATTGGCTTGGTATGGGACTCTCTTCGCGGCCACCCTTCCGTGTACGTGCCAAAGATGCAGCAAGCAAGATTACCGAATCAGAGTCCTTCTTCCTCGACAGTCTTGAGGAGTGGCGAAAGGAACGGAAATTGGAAAAGATGACACTCGTCGCACACAGTCTTGGTGGTTATCTTGCGGTACGGTATGCCAACAAGTACCCAGAGCGTGTCGAGAAGCTTGTGCTTGTGTCACCCGTGGGTGTTCCAAAGAATCCCTACGAGAAGACTGAGCCTGGGCCTGTCCTCAATGTCGATGATCCGGGATCCAAGCTTGCGAATGAGTTCCAGCCAATTGACAAGGAACTGCCGAAACAACCACTCCCGCGCTGGGTAACGACTTTGTGGGACATGAATTTTTCCCCCTTCTTGTTCGTTCGGTGGGCAGGTCCACTTGGGCCAAAGCTCGTTTCTGGTTGGACTGGTCGGAGATTTGCACACATCTCCAACGAGCAGCAGACACTCCTACATGATTACGCCTATGAGATCTTCAAGCGGAAAGGATCAGGCGAGTATGCACTCGCTTACCTGCTAGCACCCGGTGCGTTTGCCCGGAGTCCGCTGATGCAGGTCATTCCAACAAAGATGCCAGTGCTCATGCTTTATGGTGATCGTGACTGGATGGATGAAGCAGGTGGCCGGGAAGCGGCCAAGCTTGCGAATGCAAAGGGTGGCAGCGTCGAGGTGGTGCAAATCAGCGACGCTGGTCACCACTGCTACCTCGACAATCCTGTAGAGTTCAATCAGGTGGTCGAGGCATTTGTCAAGTAGTCCTCATGATACATGGGCTGTTGTAAGTTGGGACTGTAGATAAGGTGACTGCTCAGATTCAGGTACGCGACTTCCCCGACTTATCGCGACTCCAAACCGCAACCAAGGCACAACCTCGAAAGCAGTACTCTCACCTGCATCTGCATCCAATGCAAGTTATGGACTTCTTCAGACTGGTCTATAGCATCCTTCAAAGCAATCTCACAAGCTTTGAGCGGACGGAACTCTGGATTTCCCGAACATGCCTGACTCTATCTATCCTCATCATTGCACCCACCTTCCTCCTCATGGTTTGCGACCTTCTTCTCTGGGTCTTTCGCGCATCAGAAGTACAAGAAAGGACTGGCGAACTTGTGTCCAAGACGCGCGAGGGCGTCTCGACACTGGTTCGCAAAAAGAGCGGCGGTACAAAAGTCGAGCCGAAGAGCAAGAAGGAGAGACGGGATAGTGCCTCCTCGATGGATTCGCTCATGAGCAGCACTTCTTCTACCACTGGGCTGCGCGAGTTGGGCAAATTGACGTCGAGCGTCAGTGAGTCGCAAGCACAGGCGAGGCAACGCAAAGGTGTGCCAGACAAGACGGAAGCAGCAGTGCCAACGCAAGGATAGAGAAGGCCTGCCTCGTAAAGCAAGGCTTCTGATTACGTCTTATGAAATACACAGCAGCGTCTCCCCTCGTTTATATAGAATACTGCTTCGCATTGCATCGTCGCTCAAGCTAATGCAGACATGAATGAAGCATACCGCTCACTGAGCACTTTCCACTGCTGGGCTCGCTCAGTGCTCGCTTGTTGCATACACCGCATTCGCTGCTTTTTGAACCAAATTTTGACACCCGTCGTATGCCGGCCCATCAAGCTGCCAAAGTCGGGCAGGCGCCAGAGCAGTGCATGCATCTCTTCAAGCGCATATTTCTGCAAGACGACATTATCAGCTGCTTCATTGCAGAGGTCAAGGTACTCGAGTAATTCATTGGGCAAAACATACTCGTTTGCGTTGATGTTGAGGATATCACTCTCCTCACTGCTGTCCATGGGCGCTGGTGAGTCGACTGGTGTAATAAGCGTCCGGCCAGCCGGTTGCATCGTACTATCAATCGCCACCGGTTCCGCTGACAAGCCGACACGTAGTTCAACAGGCGAAGCAATTGAACGTTTAAGGACTGGTTGTGTCGATTGCTCCAGAAAGCCTTCCGAAGACTCCTTCGCAGTTGCCAAAGCTAGTTGTGCTGATGCCACAGCAGTTGCTGGCTGCACGGTAGTGACAGCAGAGGACTGCCCATTCGCTTTTGTGCGACCAGGACTGTTTTCGTTGGAAGCGGAAACTGGTGCAGGTAAAGACGAGGAGCTCTGTGCTCGATGAAGCAACTCAGCAACAGACTTGGGTCGAGCTTTGGGCATGACAACACGTAAGGAGGGTGGTTCGATGTTTCCCTTTGGTAGCACAACACGCAAGCTTGATGCTGGTTCAGGATACGCATCGACTTTGACTCGTTTCTCAGTTTGTAGCGTCGAGCTTGAGGATTTACGTTTGACAAGAGGCGGCGGCGTCGATGAAGGTGGCACAGAATCTGGTACAGTCTCGGGATTCACTTGCGTACCCTCCTCTGGCGCGGACTGGCGAATCTTAAGCGTGCGTGGAGCTTTCTCGACAACGGGTTCCGGCACTACATTCTGCGCTTGCGGCTCACGCAGCGATTGCGAAAGCTTGACGCCATCAACTGCTGCGTCCTCTTCAACCTTGACAAATGTTCCTTGGCTGCGAATAGACAAGGCAAGCTTCACTTCCCCACTTTCGGTTGGAATTTTGATGGCTTCGAGTTGAGCTGGCTCGTCAATCATCTCTGATCTGAGAGACGTGGCTAGTTTCTGTTCTTTAGGCAAAACGACTGGGATCTCAGCATCGACTCGCTTCGCACGCGTCTCGCTCTGTTGATGACTGTCTTCAGCCCTGGAACTGTCTTTGGGCTTGACAGGAGCTGCGGCAGGATGCTGGCTTGACAAAGGAGACTTGGCAACGTCAGGCGCAAAACTCTCAGAGGGCCGCTGCTGTCGCTCCTGCATATGCAATGTGGCCTTTGGAACACTGGCAGGAAGCTGGTCGTGATGCGACAAGGATGGCCGTCTGTCATGCTTAGACGGCGCAGACTCTTTTTGCGATGATGTATTATCTCCTGAACTTGCTGAGCGGATAGTGAGTGTTCTGGCTGGTCTTCGCTCAGAGTCTGCGATCGACGGGGCCCTCGCTGGTCCTTCTGATGGTCTGTTGGCGTTTTCTTTGACTGAAGCCCGTGGACTCTTGTTCTGTGGACTTTTATTTGCATTTCTGCCTTCGACCTGAGCCGCAGTCGCGCTTGCTTCATCACTTGGCGCCTCTTGGCCGAATCTCTCTTGTCTGCGCCGCAAAAGATCTTCTGAGCTGAGTGTACGAGCATGTTCAGAAACCTCAGTCTCGTCCGGCAGAATAGGTGCGTCCTTCTTTGGCGTAGCTGGTCGGGATGCCTTTCTATTGCAGAAGAGGCGAGTGTCGTCCCAAGAATTGATTTCAAAATCATGGTTAAAGACTTCCTTTGCTCTAGCATCAATGACGAAGTCCTGACGAAGCCCAGCAGAGAAGAAGAAGGTGTGCGACCTTGCGTGGAGCCAATTCGACTTGTGAGTTGCAGGGTGCCTGAGATCAAATTCGCCACGATGACTCGTAATATGCGCGGACATAACGTCTGGGAATGAGCAAATTTTTGAACAAAGAATACTTACCCGAGTACTTGCCCTTTAAATCATTTTGAGTGTTTTTCATGCTGGTATTTACCACGAAGCCACAGTAAATACAGCGCAGACAAGATCGTTCAGTCAGGAACGATATCTTATTAGTGAGTTGATTGATTTTCGGGCTCTTGCGAACTAAGACTTGAGGCTTTTCAAGCCTGATCGCCCGCAAGTAGCGCTTCTCGCGTTCCAAAGCACGATCGTATCCAAGCTCCGCCTCCTCAGCTAGTTCATGTTTGTATATGTGGCCAGTGTAAGTTCGAGATCCATGAGAACCTTCAAGAGAGTAGATAAAACTGTGGCACTTCTTGCAAGCGACCGCTTGCATGTAGGGAAAGTAGTCGAAGCCTGGATGTGTCAAAGCTCCAGATGTGTCTCTCTCAAGGGGTTGAGCAGCTGAGCCCTTAGATTTGGTCATATTGAGACGTCTAGTTCAGCAAATAGGCTTTGAGCACCAGCAATATTGTGCGCAGCGATTGACAAGTAGCAGATGGGGAGACGACAGTAGGACAGAGTTTAGATGTAAGTCGCGACGTGTTTCCTGCTGCTGAAAAAGTGTTTCGGCTATTCTCGACAAACAAATGCGCGAGGCTGCTTCGAGAAACACTTTGAAATGCATGCTTTGACACACCCTACCTACGCCTGCGGCTACATGTACTAGAACCCTGATCTTCAGTCCTTAGGGAAGCTCGACGTCCTTTGATGTCGCGATCAATGCTCATCGACGTTGGTAGCGAGCCAGAAGCTCATACCAGTGCGCAATAAGCTCATCTGCCTCCGGCCCACAATCTGTGTTCCGCTCTGCACGGCTACGCTGCTGCATAAGATAGAGCTTCACGCCTGTTGTATGCTCAGAGCCTGCTGGATAATCGGGCAAGCTAAAGATCAGCTTGTCAAATGATTCAAACGCAAAACGGCGCTCATCCGGTGATTTCGCAGCCTCGGCAAGATCAAGGTATTCCTCGAGCTCCATTGGCAAGTCTTGACCAAATTCGGCAGCCAGACTCGGGTGCAGTCCAAACAAATCCATGCCAGTAGCTGCTGCACGGTTACGAGCATACTGCCGACGCGCTTGAACCGCAGAGCTCTGCTCGTGACTCAGCGATTTCTTTGGTCGAGGCGTTGAGTCCGTAGGCAGGATGGGTAAAGGCAGCTCGATGGTATCTGTTGGTGTTTCAGCAGCAGTGTATGCATTGTGCCACGGAGGCTGATGGCCTTTCTTGCCACGTCGGTAGCGGACAAGCGAAACACCAGTGTCAGAAGAGTCAGATTGATTGTCCCCGGCAGCAATGCCATATTTGCCGTCGTCATCGTCAGAGTAGACAATGGCTCTTGAACCCTTCCTTGTTGTCTGCTGGCTCCCCTCTGAAGACGCATGGCTTGGCGGCTGGTCGGCACCTGCCTTTTTCTGACTCATGGCATGCCCTGGATAAGAAGGTCGAGTAGACGTGTTGCCGTCCGACACAGAAGCCGAAGACTCCACTATGCGATGCTGTCCATTGCCAGGCTTTTGCTCGACATGCAGCCTGCCCACTTGTCGATCGTAAATGTCATCGTGCTGCCAGCCGCTCTTGCTCTTGCCACGCACCTTCTTGGCCTTTTCTCGAGCTCGCCACTCGCGCTCATTGCGATAGTCTTCATCAGCACGTTTCGCCTCCTCGCGCCTGGCATCTTCATGACGTCTTTTACGCGCCTCCTCTCGTGCCTTCTGCGCCAGTTCCTCAGCTCGTTCCTTCAGTGCTTCCGTTGCTCCTGGATACGTCACGCAATTCGTGTCAACTTTGCCATGTCCATTGTTTGCGGTAGCAAAGGACTGTAAGGAGCGTTGCGAGTGACCCAGACCGCCGTCTGGGTTGGGCGATGGCGATCGAGAACGTCTTGGTTCCCTGCCTCGCAATCTAGGGTCTGACGCCTTTGTGGACACTGGCCAGCCAATGTAGGAGCCCCACGCAGTTGAATTGGCAGCACCCTTGGACGTCTGTACGCAAAAGTACCTCCTGTACTTGTCCTGCCTGATGAAAGTCTGCGCACCGCACTTGATCCATTGGCGCAAGCAGTGCGGGTCGTTTGCATCGCCTTCTGCTTGAGCTGGTCGAGTAGTCCCAGGACAGCCTTGCGAGTGACGCATGCGCTGCTTCCTGGATGCCGGGTACGATCGATCTGCATGAGGATCCCCGACTTGCATGTCAATCACAATGAATCCACAGTCCTTGCAGCTGAAAGCGTGGTCGACCATCAAGGCCGGGACTTTGAGTACTGGACCTCCTCGGGTGTCTGGCGTACGACACATGAGCTCGGTGAGGCTACAAAGCTTGAGTCTGCCGAGGTACTCCTCGTGTTTGTAGGCATACTGCTTAGCGTCTCTATAGCAGTATCGTCCCGGGATGTGCCACGAGATGTCGCGTTCATCTGGGTGCACGCAGTGTCCGCACACGGCGCACACGACTGCTTGCAAGTGCTCGAGGTATCTGTACATGGCTGTCAGGTTGACTTTCGCACCATGATTGCCACCGCCGCCCGTCATGGTCTCGCACAGGTTCTGTGGGTTTCGTGGTGAGTGTTGCGTTCAGGGGCGTCGACCCAAGTTGGCCTCGGAGTCCTCAACGACACAGGTAGCAGCGCATCCAGGAGGCGTTGGGGGGCGATATTGAGCAGCCGTGGAGTGGAGAGCCAGCAACAAGGTATCACGAACATAGACAGCGAGTGTATGCATTTACGTTCTACGTAGTTCAAGTTGATGATGGTTGAGGCAGGGTCCCATAAAGTTGAAACAATTGCCGCCAGCCCTTCTCCTCCTCCACAAGTTTGCGCAAGGTCGGGCCTGTATTGTCACCTTCCTCTTGCCTCAGCAAGCGTGCCAGCAAAGCAGCCTGCACGCGTCGATGCTTCAGATATATGCGCACACCCGTTGCATGTCGACGTGCTTCTTCACTGAACTCTGGCAACATCCACAAAAAGTCGTGCAATGCAGATACAGCATACTGCCGCTCGACTTCAGTCGATGCCTCGCGGCAAATCTCGAAGGACTCTTCAATCTCTTCAAGCGGAACCTGCAGCTCCAAAAACTTCTTGAGCGGCGTAATGTCTGCAGAGGGCTTTGGCAATGCGCCAATTTGACTGACCGGAGAAGGCTGCTGCACAGCATCCATGGCGACTTCTGTCTTGACTGACGCCTCGATTGGGTCTTTGGGATGAACAGCAGGCGAGACAGGCACAACCGGTGTTGGCACGGCAACAGCAGCTTCAGCGGAAGCAGCTTGCCAAGGTGTCTGCACGACGACTGGCGAAGCGACGGGTGACACGGCTGGAGACCGTGTTTCCACCACATGCGATGGAAAGACTGGTGGCAAACGAGGCGATTCCTTGCGCTTCTTTTCAGCTGACTGCATCGCATCAGACAAGGGGCGCTTTTGTGGCAGATCTGCACGCTGACCCGTGGTCTCTTGCCGATTGGACTGTGTCTCTGCAGATGCCTTGCGTTGGACATTGTCGAGCGCCATCTGCGACTCTGTCAGCTGAGCGCGCAAGTCTGCAACGCGTTGCTGGAGAGACGTCGACATCTTGACACCGTTGGGAGCAGTGTCTGTGCTCGTGGCCGGCATTGAAATAGGATGATTCGATGCTCCTGATGGAGGCATTGGTGCCGCTTGTGCGACCGAGGCTGGAGGCGGTGCCATCTGACTTGCGCTGGTGGAGGGTCTGCTCGAGGTTGCAAGGGTCGAATTCGCCTGGCCAAGAGGTGCATTGGCGGTAGAGAGTTGAGGTGTAGTTGGTGCCGATGAGCTCGGCAAGGACTGCAACTGTGCTGAGCCTGACTCCGGGGGAGCTTGCCACCCAATCTGAACGGATCGGAATAATGGGGGTGCGGTAGACATCGCAGCAGCGCCTTGCCAGGTACCTGCCGTCGTAGCACCCGACGATAGGTCAGTGCTGCCAGTTGCGAGCGTTTGACGGGAGAACAAGTTTTGCACTTCAAGATCCGACATGCTGTATACTTGTTCCCAGTACGCCATTAGCCACTCGGCGGGAATGCCAGCCTTCGCATAGAGCCGCTGTGATGCAATGTGAGCCATTCGATCCGCAGCAGACATGCCTGCCCGCTCGAGCTCTTCGTTCTGTAAAGTCTCATACTTGAGAATCAAATCGTGTAGCCTGTACCATGTTTGAGAGTACATCCGTGGTGGGGGTGGTATCTGTTGTGTCGGCACTTCTGGGGTTGCAAAGCCTTGCGGCGGCATACTGGGCGAAAACATGGAGCGAAGCGGGCTCGGCGAGGGCTCGGCTGCATTGCTGTTGGCGGTATTCTTTCTTTGAAGGTCATTTTGTGCGAATTTCTGCGGTGCTGCAAATTGGGCTGATGCGAGTGTGTGCAGCTGTGAGGCATTGTCATAGCTGTTAGAGCGTCTCGTTGACTGTTGCGGCGCTTGAATCGTTTGGCTTTGCTGCGTCTGCATGGACTGTGGATGGGGTCTTGAGTGAGATTGTGGAACTAGCATGGTAGAGAGCATTTGAGCATTTGCTTGCTCCTGACTGACGAAATTGGGCGGAAAGCCCCTCCTCTGCAAGCTCGCTAGGTAGGGAGATGAGACTGTAGGAAGGTGCAAAAGACGCATTTGTTCATTGAACTTGTCCAACTCAGAACGGAGTGAAGAAAGAAGTTGGCGAAAGGCTTTGACTTGCGACCGTACACCTGGATCAGCTGCAGGTTTGCTCACCAGCTCTTGACGAACGCGCTCTTCAATTGAGTGGCACTGTTGCTCGAGAGCGGAGATTCGGAGACGGGCTGCGTCAATCGTACAAGATGGCATGGGGAAGTAGGCCATGCTTTCTGCAGGGGAACCAGGTCCCGCAATTGAAGAGGGCAGCGCGCGATTATGCATCAGAGGAGCGGAATTGAAATCATGTCCACTAGAGGAGGCTGTCTGTGATCGCGGAAACTGATTCAGACTTGGTGATCGCTGTAGCTGTGGCGAACCCTGTGGAGCCTGATAGAATTGCTGAAGAAGCTGCTGTTGTTGTTGCTGCACTTGCCACTGTTGCTGCTGCATCTGCTGGTAGCGCACTTGCTGGGCCTGGCGGTGAAGCTGTTCTGGCATTGGTTCGTAGGAGCCAGAACCAGCATCAGCTCTTGGTGGCATTCGCACGCCGGACGCAGGTCTGATCGCTGCTTCCTGTCGCTGTTGAACTTGCTTATTGGGTGCTTCCGCGACGCGAACAACACTCCTTGCTGGTTTTGGTTGCGTCTGCAATGGTGTACCGTCTGTTGAATGAGTCTTTCCCTGATTGACAGAGGAAGAAGGATGAGCAGACCGAGGCGCGCCATTCAGCTTCGCGGCGTTGGCGATCATGCCACTTTGCTGGACCGGTGCATCAGAAGCGGGAGTAGCTGATTGCCAAGGTGGGAAGATGCTTGTCTGGGCCGTATTTGGCCATTCCTGCGGCAATATGCGTCCTTGAGACATTGCCATCTCTATCCGTTGCTTTGCTGCACATGCATCTGCAAGCTCTGCCTCAAGGATGAATCGTAGTTTCTTGAGTGCCAAAGCTAAAGCATCCTTCTCTCTCGGCCTCGCAGGTCTCATGCGATCAAGGAACGCGCGGCCAGCAGTAAAGACATCGTCGGCTGAACGATTTTTGATGGCGCTGCCAGCCGCTGTACTCAATCTTTCGCGGCTCCAAGAGCAGACGTGCGGTGTCACTGCAATGTAAGAGATGAAATCAATAAGGCCGAGCAAGTCGGGGTCTGACCATGTCATCAACTGGTCCGCCGGCATAGCTTGAACATCCTGCAGTGCAAGGACGGTGTGATCATCTGGCTTGTTTGGCGCGGAATCAACGTCAATGATTTGTGCGTCCGATGGAATTTCGCTGCGCTTACGCGTTTTGCCCGGAGATGATTGTCTGGAAGAAGCCTTGGGCGCAACCTGAGGCGTTCCATTTCGAGGACTGCCTTTTGACATTGACTGAGGATCCGCCGGAGTTTCTCCCGGTACTGAAGCAGACTCAGTAGCAGCAGGTGCCTGGATTTGAAAGCCAAGCGCATCTGTTGAGAGTGTTGCTGGTGTTGTCGTTGCGACTGAATGCTGCAGGGGCAACTGAGATTGGAGCACATCGTCGCGTGACGACTCAGGAGAAGTGATATTCGATGCATGTGGCTGATCAGGTACAACCGAATCCTTCTTGCCCAGCTCGGCTGGTTGAGTGGCATCAGCCATTCTGGTAGGCTCAACTGTTAGCAAGGACTCGTCCGACATGGTGACATCTGTCGCAGCAAGTTCTGTCGCAGCAACTTCTGGCGCAGCAACTTCTGGCGCGACAAGACTGACTGGCGCAGCGAGTGCTTGCAAGTCATCTTGAGACATTGCTTCTTGTGTAATCGGCGCGTCCGGTATGGGCGCATCATCCAGAGCAGTGCCATTCGTTGCATCGACCACGTCTTCTTCTGCAGGGTCTATCTCCAGCTCGCTGATCATGGGCATATGCTTCCCATCAGCAGCATCTGCTTTCGAGGGTGTAATTGGCCGGCTTGGGGGCGCGTCCAGAGCTTGAGAATCATTGAGTGGTGTTTCAACATGCTGAGCAGGCGTTTGACTGATGGCGATAGTTCCAGTTACCGGCTGAGGAGTGGTCAGACTAGCCATTTGCACTGGCGTGATGGTCGATGGCGCTGGCATACCGACCGCTTGTTGCTTCACAGGACTTGCTGACGTACCTTGCCGTTCGCGAACTTGTATGCTTTGTGCCTTCTTCAACTCGTAATACCGTGCATCGAGATTCTCCACCTCAGGAGCATACTCTCGAACCCGCGCCGCCAACTGCTCGTGGGTAATGCTGCTGGAAGCGCTATTCGGTTTGCGCTGCTTGGCGAGAGCGAGCTGCTGGACGGTCGCTAGGACATCACCCCATTTACCAATATTGTTGAGAACAAAACGTAGGCGAACGTAACGCGTCTTGGCGATGTGCTCGCAGTGTCCTAATTTCGAGGCGATTGCCGCAAAGGGCAGTTCACTGGGTTGTCAGTCGTCGATACTCATACAGCGGGTGCCTCACTTGATGCGATCTTTCAAGTGATCGCGCAGTCCATACAGCAAGCGCGCATAATCATCCAAGGTCCATGCTTGTGCTCGTGCTTGATCTACGAGACAAGCGTCTGTACAAGCAAGATGAGGGACCCGGACAATTTGCGACGAACCTGGCCGACTGACACGATCACTGCCGGAGGCGGCCGGCACCGAAGAAGCCGTTGCTGGACGGCTCATGTAAAAAGGTGGAGGGCACCAGGCGCATGCAGCGTATGGCGCGTCGCTGCACTTGATTTTCTGCAGTCGCTTGCGTCCTTCTCGAGCAGCAAGACTAGAGGATCAACGCCAGAAGTTTGAGATGAGAAACACGGTGCACTTGAGGCTCTCCAATGGCATCAAAAGATACGCCGAGTGGAGTCTGTGTCTTTGCAGTTTTGTATGCCTTGTCCAGGCGTGGAGTTCAAAAATTCAAGATTTCACTTTTGAGAACAACCAACCTCTGAAGGACTCAGCAGGAGCGACCGACCAGGTAGTTGGACGAGCAGCTTGCTGTGACATTGCTTGGCTTGTTCACTGGATGCTTTCTTCTCGAGCTATACCATCCTATTATCATGACAGATTTCGGTGGTAGCCTCTAGCAGCTAGCACATGAGCAATCTGTATTCGAGTACTATCTGCTGTGTTCCTTCTATGAGACGAGTGTGAGCTCAATAGAATGCCAGGTTCGCTTCCGTACGCATCAACCTAGGCATTGGTTGCTTTCATGTTGTGAAGTCATCCTCGGGTCGGTCTGGCTGTTGCTGAGCTGTACGGCAAATATGCTCTTCTGACAGTGCATACACAGACGCCACGGCCCTGATGTGCAGTCACGCTCAGCATTCAAAGCAAATTGGACAGCTCGTCTCAGACATCACAAACTTCGCCTGTACTCTGTAGTGCTGAAACAATTCAGCAGTACAACGAGCAAAACCCTCTTCTTGTGATGTGCTTCACTAGCTTTCATGTCTTTTTCTTGACGCTCGTGCACCAGAGACGCTTCTGAAGGTCACGAGTAGAGCGCAGTGCCCACGAAATCACAGTAGTGCAGAACGATACACTCAAAGGAAGAAGCAGTCGCAATATAAACGATGTCTTCAATCGCAAAAGTACCGTGAATGACCAAGCTGATCATTTCAAGCTTACTGCCATTGATCACAAGGTCTTCACCTACATCTGCCTGAAGCTTCCTCTTGCGCCTACGCTCAACACATCGATCTCTCTTGTCTCCATTTTGACAGATCGTGGAGATAAAGACAAAGCTTCTGCAGAAGCGCAAGTTTTCTCTGACTTCATGCTGGCACCAGGCATCACCAATTCAATCTTGTACTGCTGGGCATATGCATTGCTCTTCTCATTTGGCGATGCAAGGCCCTCTGAAGAGCAGATCTCATGCAAAGTCCAGAACTGATGTGTCCACAACTTGATGCTTGTCGTGAACCACGTTGCACAGCTGCTGGAGTCCTCCATCTCAACCATGGCGTGCGGTTGCTTCGGCGATAATTCTAGACATCAACTAGCCCCAGACACTAACGCTGGCTCAGAGGGCAGACCTCTTTATAAGTTGTGTCAGGTAGCGAATGCTACAAGACAATCCTTGGCAGGTTCCATTCTTTGTCATCGACAAACACGATCAGAGAAGGACTGCAACCACCTGACCTCCCGACCGAACTATATCCAAGCGGGGTATCCAAGTGTGACATCAAGAATGCGGTCAAGAATATCTCAACAACTTTGCATACGACGCAGGTACTAATCTGATTGCCCTCACAGGATCGCTTCTCCCAATTGTCAATGGTGCAAGACCGGTCGCCATTGATATTTGTGTCTGGTTCGAGTGCGGCCTTCCTTCAGGCTGACTCTGCAACCTTATGCGAATTGCCAATCCATTGATTCTCCGGTGAACGTTAGCCATCAGACATCAGTAGGCTTGATTGACACAGGCAGCTCTTCCTTTTAAATCTTCATAAGAGTGGACTGACGCAAGTGAATGTGTCCCGCGAGGTTCCTAGTCGTGAAGCTATTTCTACTGTCCGAATCGCTTGTTGACCGAGATGTAAGAATCGTGGAGCTCAAGTGCGAGATGTGAGATGCTCTGAAGAGAGCTTCAATAGCTAGCTAGATAGCTAGCCAGCTTGCTTTGCAGTGAGGACTGAGAGAGAGCCTTGACAGACCGGTTGAAGGTGCCGCTATAGCGAGCAGTGACATATCTTCGGCAGTCTGATGAGCTATCATCTGTACTAGCTATACAGTCCGAGGTCTTCCCTCATTCTTGCACGAGGTATCATGATTCATGGATCCGGGATCTTGAAAAGTCAGGCCATCGATCTAATCGCCATCTCGGCGTCGATCCATCTGACACCGCTCAAGACGCGACCTAAAATAAATTCTTGCATGGCAGATGTACGAGTTTGAAGGAGGTGCCGAGTTGCGTCATTCAGCTGCAGGCGAGACATTGGCCTCCGCGATGTTTTTGCGGCGCGAACATTCTATTTGCATTGTACGAGTTGCCATGGCCTCGGCACTGTGCAGCTGATGACAGACTGGCAGCTGGATTGGCACTTCATGAATCATGAGGCGATTTTAAAGTCGTGTCAATTGATCGTACAGCTGTTCGCCTTGACAGCCTGCACGGGCCCTGCAGCCAAGGCAACGATGGACTGCCGCATGAGCTCATTGATGGCAGGCAGCGCGTCTGTAACTCGCGCCTTGATCTCAAGCGAAACTTTTCCTTCCCACCCTTTTTCATGGTTGCCATTGGAGGGGCGGACAAGATTTACGATTGAATGCACGGAGAATTGCTTCTACCGAGGAGGCGGCCGCCCACCAGGCAGGCCACCATGGAAAGTCTAGAGCAGTGGATACTATGCGTACAGACAGGAGCCGACAGAGTTGATGTCAAGACTCAAGACCTCCTTGGCCAAGGCCCTGTGTAGAGAGTGAGTATGCTAGTCTATCGTTGTGCTATGCGGCAATGTCTCGCAATTGCGGATCTTCGTATGCTTGGTCTGCTCGTGAAATATTCAATCAAACTCCGTGTACGGCAATGGCTGCAGCCGACGTCAGGACTCAGGATTAGTGTTGCCGGGTAGTTGAAGCTGTGCATGTGAGGCCTTTGAAGGTGAAGCAGCAGCAGTCTATGGGATGAGATAGCCTTGGACAGTCTCAGACTGTCTGTACTCTGTAGCTACTTGCTACTACTCTACTACTCTAGTATTCATTCGCTGTGTATTTGTGTTTGCTGTATAAATAGACATTCCGCGGGTGTGTGGCCAATGAGGAGCGTGGTGGCCTCCTGTCGCCTGAATCGGGGAGAAAAGAGAAAAAAGAGTCAGGAGGAGACGAGACTGACTGACTCTATACTGTACTGTACTGTACTGTACACTCACTGCACTCAGAACACGACACAACACCACCACACACAACCATCCACACTCTTTCCCTCCACGACTCAACATATCACACCCATGCAATGACCACAGCCCTCCCTGTCGTCCCAGCCAGAGTCCATTGCGAAAAGCAGCAGGAAACAGTCGCCGTCACAGCACACAATGTACATACACACGGGCGCAAACACTCCTTCCGCGGCTTCAGCACACACTCACTCTCAAGCCTCACTCTCGCACATACAAAGCCACACACCACAGCTGCTGTCATTGGCCACACAGGCGCACTCCCAAAGCGCTCCTTGTTTTCCTTCGGGGGCGGGAGCGGCAATAGCACACAGGGCGCAGCAGTAGCAGGTGTTCCAGCCGGCTCTGGCATTGTACGGTGCGCAGACAAGGAGACAAATGCATCGAGACCACCCAGTCTCATCACCGATGATTCATCCCTCGCGAGTATCAGCTCCCGATCACCGTCACCGGAACCCACACAACAAGCACCCACGCCGGCCCAACAGTCCTCGCGCCTCGAAGCTGCATTCAAGCGCTACGCACACTCATTCAACGTTCAAATCCTACATACCCAGCTCCTCCCTGTCCTTGCACGATCAGGTCCAGCGGCAACGAACCCAGTGCTCATTCTACACGAGGCCGACGTCGCTTTCCTCTTCAAGTGGTGGCATCATTTGCTCCTCCTCTCGCCTCCACACCCGACCGTCTTTGTCTGTGTTTGGGCGCTGGCTTCACACCCAACACTCCTTAAATCGGCAATCTGGAATGCGCATTACGCTTTGACCCTCTCGACCTTGCTCGCTCAAGACGCGAATGTTTTGCCGACAGGTCCGTTTGTGCGATTGCTCGCATTGGGCTACCTCCTGCATCCACCCACACAAGCGATCCTCCGTGCGCGATTCACAGCGAAAGCATCAACGCGTCGGACATCTTCATTGGTGGAGGTACAGGAGGAAGTATGGTGTCAACGTGCACGTCAGGTGGAAGTCTTTAGTGAGCTTTTGCGACAGATTTACCAGCAACGACCCAACTACGAAGATGAAGACGGTGTCCTCTCCAGCAGACTTGAGCAAATCATGACGAAATTGCTGGCAGTCCGCACAGCGACGCCCAATACACGACTCCTCAACTGTGGACGCATACTAGGTCAAGCAGAAGGTCGTCTGGCTGTGCTGGTGGAGTCGGGTTTACAGGCAGTAGCCTCTTGCACGCGCGCTTTTGATCCAGCTGCCGTGTTTCATTTATTGGATCTGCTTTCACTGCTGCGCATCAAGCAAGTTGCCTTTTGGACAACGGTTCTGGAACGCATTCTTGATACGGAGAACCATATCCTTCAGATCCGTGTGTTTGCGTATCTCTACGAGCACTGGCCTCTATATGAGCATCATGCACCAGCATGTGCACTTCTCCTGTCACCACCTCGTTGGCAGCACTACTTTGTGCATTGGTCAGGGATTGTTAGAGACCACTATATGCGACTCCTCTGCTATCGTCTCTCAGCGTCACACCCACAACGCGTACGTATGTTGCTGAAACGTACCTTTCTCACAAGTCTTGGTGAGCATTGTCAATTACGAGACTGTCTACCGGGTAACCCTATTCCTAATAAGAAATTCGCCATTCGACCTTGTGGCAGTATGCAGCAACAACAGCAACAACAAACATGGCTCGCCACGGGCGCAACACCGCTCGCCTTGTTTGCTCAACACGATGCGAATGCGACAACAGGTGGTCGGTTGGGAAGTAGTAGTAGTTTGCCTGGTGCCCTACCGCCTTCGCCACCGCCACCGCAACAACATACAGGCCCGCCTGCTCAGGGCCTGGAGATGTCGGCAGCGTCATTTGTTAAGCGAAAGTTGGGATTATTCCGTGGGTTGTGGGAGGATGCGACTCCTCCGTCGCCACCTGCTGCGAGAACGCCTTTGACTGCGAGTCGTGTGCAGTTGGAGGAGGAAGAAGTTGAAGAGGAGGAAGAAGAGGAAGCAAAGTCAGATATGGCTGTATTGGGTGGTCTTGCTCGAACGACAAGTGCCCGCTCTGTTTCTTCTCAACGACCCAATAGACCTTCTCCTACACGTCCACAACAGGTACAGCCACAGCGATACAGGTTTGTCGCTGAGTTTGTTGGGAAACAGTGGTCGTTGACGGGTGATGCGGATGCGATCCGTTTTCTGGATGGTGTTATGGATCTTGCGCAAATCGGACGCCTCCCATCCTTTGTTGAACAGCCGGCTGCTTCTGAGGCTGAGGAGAGGATGGAGGAAGTCACGGAGGATGCGGCATTTGCCTTGGGAGAAGGTCGGAAACGTCTTTGGACGCGCAGTTTGAGTGAGTGGAGCGTTCTCCTTGATGATCAAGAACGCTTTTGGCGATCTCAGCAAATGTTGCCGGGTCATACAGCGACTTCGTCGAGTACTCCTGTTAATGCTGATGGTGCATCGCCGGCTGTGTTGGTGGTGCCGAGGTTAGAGGTTGAATTCCCTCGATGGTTTTGTCAAAAGACAACAACCCTGCGCGGTGATGGTATCGAGCCACAACTCAAGCGTTGATGTTCGATTCATGCTCGCTTCATCTATGCACGACTACCTGCACGACTTATCAGGGATTTCGTCTTTTTTTTGTCGCCACGTCTCTCACTCTTTCCTATTGTGCACCAGCCGATCTTTCTCTCTCCCTGTCTCTTCGCAACGGATCAATCAATGACGCTTTGGCTGTCTCGCGGACTCTCTTTCATCAAACACAACATTCTTTAATGCAGTCTTCTTTTTCACACACCTACACAAGTAACGATGGCGCCTAGAAATGACTATTATCCACACACACCTCTGTTGGGGCTTCGCCTCTTTTCTCTGGGCTTTTCTTGCTCTTTACCTAGACTTATTACCTACTCACACCTGCATGTAGAATGCAAAAAGTCGAAGCCCTTTCTTGTTTGCCGTGAACGTGATTGATAATCTACGAAATCCATCTGAAAGACGGAGGTGCCACCACGCTACAAATGTCCTCTACTCCGCTACATCTGCCAAAACCAGAATAAGCTTGCTGATGCATACGTGATGCATCGTTGCGTCTTTCAAACGCTTTCGTTGACAGAAACCTGATATGCAAAGAAAGCATTTTGTCCTAAACGCACTTGCTATGTCGCTGCTTGACATCTTCTGAGTCATAACAACCAGACCTTTGCGGCGTTGCCTGGAATCTAGATTCACTCTTCAGAACGAAACACTAGACTGTGCCATTACTTCTACTCGGGCTTACACTGCGCGACCAGACCACCACTCGATGTCATGATGCCACCAGATGACTCATGAATTCGCAACGAGCATAAAAACGAGTGCCTTCGCCCGATATTCCCTCTATCAGAACTTGTCTGATCATGGTCTTTCTGCTGCTTTATACTGCTACATGCGTATCGGACAAGCAGTTCCAAGGAGTCCCAAGGACAAAACGCTTTGGGAGGCCTTTGAGGATGTGCACTACGTCCTGACTTTTCAGAGTCGTTGATGCGTGCCTCAACAGCTCCTTCGCTGAGATCGACTCAAGCACTGATGACTCACAATGTATCTTGAATTCTAGGTCTTGGCTCAATCGAATGTCTTGGAGCGCATGGGTCTTCCATGAACAGTCAAACTGAATCAGATCTCTTGATGCCCATGAATACGTCCAAATGACTCGTTGGACAGGCAGGAAATGCATAAAGAGATCTTCCATCGCCCATTTTCCCTCTCATCAAACCACTCCCAAGAAGCGCCGTACCAGCATACCAAGCATCATGTCTACCGGCCTTATCTCATTCCTCACTTGCGGACTCGTGCAACCTAAACGCAAGTACACGGGTAAGCTCACTGCTCCCACCATGCAGCAGCATACTGTTCACTCCTCGCAATTTGTACGCTCTTCACATCAGTATGCTGAGCCAAGTACTACAGCAAAGGTGATGAAGCAATCGTGTCGCCAACCTGCATATCTCTCTGCGGAATTCATCTTCCCAATGCCTCCGGCTCGGTATGTGGACAAGGCTACCTCGCCGGCGTCGTCTTGTACAAGTATCAAACCGAGTGCAGTGCAGGCGGTGACGCAGGCGCGCCTCAAAGCTGTACGGTCTTCTGGAACACCGATTCAGTATGTGAACAAGGCCACTTCGCCTGCAACCTCTCGCGCAAGCATCCACGCCAGTGCTCCGAGCGCTTTTAGCACCAAGTCAAGTACCTCCAGCGTGACTCACGTCTCGACTCTGGATACCAAAGGTTTGTCTCTCTCTGCCGCTGCGTCTGTCGCTTCTTGCAAGGCGCTAGCAAGCACAGTACGTTCGCACGCAAGCAATCCTGCCGCTACCGAGTCATTGGGCCGTTCAACAATCTCAGCGCAAAGCTGCCGTGAAAAGCTCTATTCTTCCCCAGAGCAACCTCTGGCACGCGTTTCGTGCAGGTAGATGGTTGTTTTGAGGCGCGAGGGCTACCATTGCCCTCATGATTCAGAAGGCAACCAAGCACCTGTGGCTGCTGATTTTATGTATGACTGCAGCAGCTGGAACTCGGATTCGTTTTCAGAGGGCACGTATGTGTCGGCTGTCAACTCGCTGGACAACTTGTATTTTGCAGATGATATTTGCCAGTACTCGCAGCCTTGCATCAACGACATCTGGAAGCCTTTTGGAAGAAATAGTGTCGCAACAACGCATTGGATTGTTTGGAAGTGCTGAAGTCATACAAACAGATAAAATTAGACATCTATACTACGATTTTCATTGTCCTACACTTCTCATGATGAGCAGCACAGGCGTTTCCTCCCGAGTGCCCATCTGGAAAGTGCGAATTCTCCCTCGAGGTCGGCTGTCTCGACGACCACCAAGCAAATGACTCAGTCTCATCCGCTATTGACGGCTCGAACAGAGAGAATCACCTGAAGACAATTCTGTGCAAGGTTACGAAGTGTAAGCCCCAGCTGGCAAAGCGGGTCCGTCTGGGCTTGCCTTTCCTCAAGCAGCTATCTAAAAACAGATATTACATCATGTCATGCCAAGGCATGTCATTACATGTCATTCAGTGTCTGAATGACTCAGAGCTTCGCAATCGCTTGCAAGCTACAAAAGGTCCTACCTCTGCGCTTTTGTTCCCATGCCGAGCAGCAGCCTATCCTTCATGGTTTCTCGACTGCTTCACCATCATACTTGTGCCTTGCTATGGCGTTGCCATGCGGGGAGATGTAATGATCGCTGATGCTTGAGACCATGAGGTACCTTTGTCCGCGTATGCAGATACTGCACCCCAGTAAGTTCTGCGATGGGACGTCAACCGTACCCTTCTTTGGCCTAGGCCAGCCCGTGGTGACTCATGGGTGGCGCTCTTGTGAAATTGCTCAACGTCCACCGTGATCTGTGGCGCGACAGCTCTCTCAACCTCCAAAGTTCTTCGTGATGACTCACGTTGTCTTCTCTTATGGAGGCTACGGCAAGCATTTTATCATCAGGGCCCCGTCAACATTATCTCAAGGCAAACGGTTATCTCCAAAAACCATCATCCTGACTCACAGCTTATGATAATGGTTAACGAGTCCAAATGACTCGTTGAACCAAGAGCCGGACAAGAAAGGATAAAGTGTCCCTCCCTCGCCCTCCTCTCCTCCTCATCAAACCACTCCTTCAAAAGAGTACCGTACCGACACATCAAGCATCAAGCATCATGTACTCTGGTCTCATCTCTTTCCTCACTTGCGGACTCGTGCAACCCAACCGCAAGTCACGCAAGCACTCCAGCACGACCACTAGCCCTTCCATGCAGCAGCGCACCGGACATGACTCGCCTTTTGCGCGATTTGACCAGCGTCATCAGTATGCTGGTCCAGATGTCGCAGTGCAGGTGGTGAAGCATGCGCGCCCTCAAGCTGCACGTCCGTCTGCTCAGCAGATCTTCCCTGCTGCGCCTATTCAGTATGTGAACAAGGCAACGTCGCCTGCCTCTTTTCGCGCAAGCGTCAAGTCGAGTGCATCGAGCACATCGAGTACTTCGGGCGCTTCTAGTGCCAAGTCAAGTGCATCATGCACTTCTAGCACCAAGTCGAGCGCTTCGAGCGTGTCTCACACCTCGACTCAAAGGGTCAAATCTTCGCCTATCTCTGCCGCTGCTTCTGTTGCTTCTCGCACAACACAGTCAAGCACGGTGCGCTCACCGGCAAGTACTGCTGCGGCCACTGAATCTTATGGCCGTTCAACGGTCTCAACCACAAAGCTGCCCTATATTGCCCCACTCTCTCCTCGAGCACCATCCGGCACTCGATTCGTACAGGCAGATGGCCGCTTGACTCGCGAAGCCATCCTTGCCCTCAACATTCCCAAGACTGGTCAAGAACCTCTGCCTGCTGGTTCTATGTATGAGTGCAGCAGCTGGAACTCGGATGCACTATCAAAGGGCTCGTACGTGCCAACTGTCAACTCGCTGGACAGCTTGTACTGCTCATACGGTCTGGTGCGTGGTGATATTCGTCAGTATTCGCAGCCTTGCATCAACAAGATCTGGAAGCCTCTCGGCGCCAAGTAGTCAAGTAGTCATGTAAAAGTCGATCTCATTAGATCTGGGTACGTGACTTCAGTGCCTCACTCTTGTCAATTTCTTGACAGAATCATGAGCGGCCCTTGCTGTGTGGCATCTGAAGGCCGCGTCGCAAAAAGTCGCAACGAAAGCACGCGCTACACGCATCAAATAGGGGGTTCGATGGCACGACAATGATTCTCTGATCGTAGCAAGGCCGGTGCAAAGGCCTCTCCATAATTGCAATGTCGCCGAGTATGGATCCACTGAACGACAGATTCACGAAGCCCAATGGGTCTCATGCTGCCATGCACGACAAACAACCTGATCACAACATCAACAACACAGAAAAGCGCCCCTGTACACCGCCTGCTGCAGTCCGCCACGAGCCGCTTGACTTTTCATCGCCTGGCTCATCTTCAACTGGTATCTTGAAAAGCTCTCGATTCACGAAACGGGCCACGAGTGTGACCTTCTCTACAGAAGACGTGCAGCGCGCCTTATTTCCGCAGGAGCACGAAGATTGCCAAGAGAGACAAGATCGGGACAGACCGGGTGTCAGATTTTCAGGATGTGTGTCGGATATGTTGAGTGTATCGGCGACGGCGCTCCCACAGACTGTGGATGATCATCATGATACCAAGGATGCGCCGCTTCGCTGGCGGCCTCGCAGACTCTCGGTGACGAGTGAGTCGAGGCAGGACCATACACATGAGTCTGATGGAGATGCAGTCTCGTCAGATCACAGACCCTCGCCGTCGTCTTCGCTCTTCTCGTCGCCCCGATCATTCAATTCGTCGCCACTCTCGCGCTCTCATCATTCGCCGCGTGTATCCTTCACAGCAGCCTTGAATGGCGCATCAATAGCGTCACCGCGAAGAGTGACTCGTTTTACGGATCTTCGATCACCTGAGGAGAAAGCTCGCCAGGAACGTGCAAAGCTACCGCCTGCTGATGTACGTGCCGTGTATTCATCCGCGACGCCATCTCTTAGGCAAGCGAGTCGTGGCGTTGGAGCCTTGCCAGTGCAGAGAGCTAGTGGACCTTCGACCCCTTCCAAGGCACCGTTGGCTCATGTCAGGTCATCCCTATTGGCGGAGCGATCTGCGCAACCGCTGCAGGAACATGGTTCTTTTTCAGAGGACGGTCTTGAAAGATATTCTGGACATTCTACAGGAGTGGACGTGTGGCGAGGACAAGATTCAGAGGATGGTCAAGCAGTGATTGCCCGGTACAGCCCTTCACCGGCGCTCAACGGACCTTTTGATCCTTCGCAACGAGCAGACGGCTATGCGTCGCCACCTCTGTCGCGACAGACCTCGCCAAGTAAACCTCTACTACGCCATGCATCGGAGAATAATCTTGTTGCATTGGCCAACTCGGCTGCTTGGACATCCGCTACAACAGGTCTCAGACAACGAGGTCATACACGTTCTGGCAGTGGATCGAGCCACTCCTCATTTCGCGCAAGTCCGCGCACCCAATTATTGCGCACTGTGGATGACATGACGAGAGAATTACAGTTCACAAGAGAAGGCATGGTCAAGCTTGCGACACGATTGGATCGATTGGAGTATGGTGCCGCACAGCGAACAACTCAGCTATGGGAACGCTTTGAAAAGCAGATTGAGGGGACGTTGCTCATGCCCGGCACGGGCGAGCCTGAGCTTCTAGAACACTTTGAGTATGAAGGATGGTGGCAGTGGTGGCGACTTACAAAGATTATGTGGGTTTTGGCTGCATTGCTACTTGTTCTACTTCTGATTGAGTGGTTTGCCGTGATCGTCATCAATCAATTCGGCAAACGTATCTTATGCTTGCCCTCATGAAAGTGATCAGAACGAATCATGGAAACATGCAGAGATAGGTCATGATGTATTGCTTAGTGAATTCGATGTATCCATGTCTCGACAATGGCCTTGTTCTATTGATGCAGTGCAATGCAGCGAGTGAACTCCTTTGCACAAGCCTGTTCAGCACGTACTTACTTGTCAACAACTAATGACTTGGCAGATATGACCTTGGGAAGCCTTTTGCGGGACTATGTTCATGATCAGAGCCAATGAAACTACTGCAGTAACTAGAATATAATGCATTTCTTGGTGAATTCGATGTATCGATGTCTCGGCAGTCGTTTGGTTCAATTGATGGATGAGACTGCGGTGTAGTACCGGAAAGAAAGCTGGGTTCGGAATGCTGCCCCTTCAAGGTGTTGAAGTCAATGCGCAAGAGTCTCATAGACCAGTTGATGGTGTTCTGCATGCTCCTCGGGAAGCAGGTCTGACTGACGCGTCCGCAACCGGTTCTCGGCAACTTCATGGAATTTGGGAGCGATCCGAGCTTGATTCACTATGGAAGCTTCGAGACATGCCAATGAACTGCCAAAGAGCAACTCAGTCAGCACTGATTGCCACTAAGAAGCAAGTGAGACTTCTACATAGATCACAATTGGGCGAGTCGCGGACTGAAGCTTTTGAAGTGTCTCAAAATTTCCGATCTGAACATTTCTGCTTATGACGACGACGCTTTTGGGCTGCAACGACAAGTCGCTCGACTACAGCTGCTCCAGGTGCATTCTTCACCGGAATCCAGAATCCTGTGATGGACTGTGGTGTATCCGGGCTACGTTACGCTGCTAAGCAGATCTACCAGCTTAAACTCTTCCCTGCAGAATGTTCTACAGCTGCCGCGCAACTTTAAGGGCCGCATGCGGGTGAGACAATTTGAGACCACTTGAGACACAGTTTAATATCCGATGCCGACGTCAGAAGATTCAGAACAGCTTGAAAACAGTCTTGCTAAAAAGTTTCTACGGTCGCGTCGCGACACCTCGGCTTCGCGCCGCTGACTATCCCGCATTCTGGAGCTATAATGTTGTCGCAGAACATCCTTAGTCTGTGCCATGAGAGACATCCTGGCCTTTGCCTACTTTGGCAGCAGAGCATAAAAGGGCAATGACATCCTACGTGAAGCAGCAATCATGCAGCTCCTTCTCGCCTCTTCTCTTGCTCTCACAGCATCAGCACAGATCCTGTCTCTGCCATTGACACGTCGTGCCGAACAAGGCGATGTCGTCTCTAGCATTCAGCAAGAGATCGCCGTCCTCGAGCACAAGTATGCAAACAGCGGCATACTCAAGCGCAAGCGCGCGACCAATGTTGCCATTACAGGTGTCACCGAGCTTGCCAATTACAACATTGACCTGATGTACCAGGTCGAGCTCAGCGTCGGTTCTGCTGGTCAGAAAGTGACTGTTCAGCTGGATTCTGGATCAAGTGACTTGTGGGTGGCTCAAAAAGGCTGCGTTCAATGCAACGTTCAAGGTGCTTCTCTATTTGACGGCAGCCAGTCTTCCACCTACAGCAACAGCGGCGAAGGATTCCAGACTACTTACAGCAGTGCAGCTGTACGATGCACAAAAGCAACCGACACAATCAGCATTGCTGGTCTTTCAGTCAGTGACGCCTCGTTTGGTGTCTGCGATGCACAAGTCGGCATGGCTTACCCTGCTTCGCTCGGTATTATGGGTCTTGGTTTCCAGGGCAACGCCAAGAGCGGTAGCAAGCCTTGGGTGCAGCAGGCGTACGAGCAAGGCGTCATTGCCGCTCCTTCCTTCGCTGTCAATTTGGCCTCATCGCAAGGTGGTGCGACTGGCGGCAACCAGCTGACTTTGGGTGGCTACGACGAGACTGCCATTTCTGGCGATATCAATTGGTTGCAAGGTCAGTCTACCAAATTCTGGTCAGTTGCACTTGACGCAGTTACTTTCAATGGCCAATCAGTTTTCAGTGCTGCTGGTGACCAGATGCAGACCATTCTTGACACCGGCTCGAGCTTGATTACTGGTCCGCCTGCGGCAGTTCAGATGCTCTACTCTACTGTATCGGGTGCGCAGCAGGTGAATGGTGGTTGGCAATTTCCCTGTGCAAACGCCCCGTCTGTCAGCTTCAAGTTTGGCGGTCAAAGCTACAGCATCCCTGCTGCAGACTTGATCCGCGGCTACACAGATGCTTCAAAACAGACTTGTCTTGGAGCCATCAATTCAGCTGTCATTGCAAATGATGTCTCGAAGAATGTCGGCTGGCTTCTCGGCGACGCTTTCCTCAAGAACGTCTACGCTATCTTTGACATGGGTGAGAACAAGGTCGGTCTCGCGAGCAAGTCTGGTTCTGTCTCAAAGTCTGGTGGTTTCACCAAAATACCAATGACTCAGGTCACAACCAACACGCCTGCTGGCAACTTTGCACCAACTGCCGGCTCTCCTCAGCAAGTTTCCCAGCAAAAGTTTCAGCTCAGCAGCAACGTGCCAAGCATCAAAGCCAATGTGCCTCATGCCGCAGGTGTTCCTGTTGTCGCTGCGAAGAAGGCTCAAGCTCAAGCTCAAGCTCAAACACAAGCACCTGCTCCAGTCCAGGCAGAGGTGCAGCCCGAGCAACAAGTCGCAGCTCCATCGACCACGGCACAAGCACTTGCTTCCACACAGACTGTTGCCCCTGTCACTCAAGCACAATCGACGCTCGCAACAGTGGTAGCTCCGGTAGCAACCACTGCACAAGCTGCAACAACCTCTGCTGCCAGTGTTCGATACCCAAGCACCTCAAGCACCTCAAGCACCTCAAGCACCTCAAGCGTTCAGACTCGCATGACCTCTTCTACGTCGTCTGCTAGTGTTGTTGCGGCCCAGACAAGTGCTAGCGCAGTACCCGCCGCGTCTGTGCCGGTATCATCGGTGCCTGCTTCTGGTGCAGGTCTCAAAATGTCCTTTTCAGTCTCGAACATGCTGGTCATGGCTCTTGGCAGTCTCCTTGTGATTTAGAAGCGCTGGCATTGGTATAGAATTTAGATAGAAATGACTCATTTATGATAAAAGATACAATATATCCTACTTGGCGCCGAGAGGCTTCCAGATCTTGTTGATGCAAGGCTGCGAATACTGACGAATATCACCACGCACCAGACCGTATGAGCAGTACAAGCTGTCCAGCGAGTTGACAGTTGGCACGTACGAGCCCTTTGATAGTGCATCCGAGTTCCAGCTGCTGCACTCATACATCGAACCAGCAGGCAGAGGTTCTTGACCAGTCTTGGGAATGTTGAGGGCAAGGATGGCTTCTCGAGTCAAGCGGCCATCTGCCTGTACGAATCGAGTGCCAGATGGTGCTCGGGGAGAGAGCGGAGCAATATAGGGCAGCTTTGTGGTTGAGACCGTTGAACGGCCATAAGATTCAGTGGCCGAAGCAGTACTTGCCTGTGAGCGCACCGTGCTTGACTGTGTTGTGCGAGAAGCAACAGAAGCAGCGGCAGAGATAGGCGAAGATTTGACCTTTTGAGTCGAGGTGTGAGACACGCTCGAAGCGCTCGACTTGGTGCTGGAAGTGCTTGATGCGCTTGACTTGGCACTAGAAGCGCCCGAAGTACTTGATGTGCTCGATGCACTCGATGCACTCGATGCACTCGACTTGACGCTTGCGCGAGAAGAGGCAGGCGACGTTGCCTTATTCACATACTGAATAGGCGCAGCAGGGAAGATCTGCTGAGCAGACGGCCGTGCAGCTTGAGGGCGCGCATGCTTCACCACCTGCACTGCGACATCTGGACCAGCATACTGATGACGCTGGTCAAATCGCGCAAAAGGCGAGTCATGTCCAGTGCGCTGCTGCATGGAAGGGCTAGTGGTCTTGCTGGAGTGCTTGCGAGACTTGCGGTTGGGCTGCACGAGTCCGCAAGTGAGGAAAGAGATGAGACCAGAGTACATGATGCTTGATGCTTGATGTGTGGTACGATACTCTTTTGAAGAAGTGGTTTGATGAGGAGGAGAGGAGGGCGAAGGAGGATCCCTTTATCCTTTTTTGTCCGGCTCTTGGTTCATCGAGTCATTTGGATATGGACACCACCATTAAGAGCTCTGATTCAGCCTGACTGCTTTTGAGGCCATCCGTCTGCTTTGATTCATCGTTTGACCGGCGAATGGATGATTTTGTGGAACCTCATTGTGAGTCACCACAATCAGGTCGCGTCTTCTGCACGCAAGACTTTCAGAGAGGTCATCATGAGCCATGGCCCTTTAGACTTCTGTCTTTGAACTGCATGTCGCTGTGTTCAAAGCATAAGAGACTGCTCAAGACATCTTTACCTGTCACATGTCATGCTTATTAAAGTCTCTCATCATGTTCTCCCGAGCCGCGAGAATGATAATCAGTATCAGCCGCGTGTCACCGATGCATAAGATGTGCTGCGTAAACAGATATAGGAATCTTTTGGTTATTTAGTCGGAGAGCTCCCCTTTATTTGTACCATTCACGGCACTCCAGTCATCTTGACGCATATCGACGCCTTCATGATCATGAAAGGTCATGCTGAGACATCTTCTTGAAGGAGAGCGTCACCGGTGCGGACCGTTGCTTCTCTGTAAGCTTCTTGCAGACATCTGAGAGCAACTTGTGTATCGAAAATAAGGCAGGAAATCGGTTGCTGCAGATACAGTCGTGGACAGGTGAGGTGTAGTTACCGTATAGAGCAACCCAGCCTCCCTTCAGATGGGTCACCGCCTCCTACCAGCCTAGCCTGTTGTTCTCCTTGCTGCCTTGTCCCTCTAGTGCTCCTCTAACAGATATCTCATCAGCTGATGCTTCCCTTGCCCACCACCAGACTCTGTCAAGATTATGGCTGCTTACATAATACCGCGCCAGATTCGGTCGCGTGCAGTCTGGCAGTTGCGCAATCGAACCGTGATCAAGATGCACAACACCCAACACACACTGACGGATAGCATGAGCAGTAAGTGCGGGCATGAGGCGCAAATCAGAGATCTCAAGTCGCGCGTATCGCAGCTAGAGATTATGCTTCACAAGGCTAAGCGCAGCCTCGATAACAATGCAAGCGCATCCTCACAAAACCAATGTTTTGCGCCACTACAAACGCGCCCTGCGGGTCCAGACTTCCGTGCTGATGAGATACGGCGCTTACAGCAACAAGTCGAGCAAGAACACAGGACGAAAGCAGATCTCATGGCGAATCTCAAACAGCTCAATGACTCACACGCGGAGGAAGTGGCAAACCTGACGCGCGAGCTGGAGGAGGTATGCGCTGAGCGCCTTGCTGCCTCACAGGAGTTGTCGGGCTTGCAGGAAGCATTTGACGAGTTTTGTGGTACGCTGGGTATCGCACAGGACAAGGTCTGTCCAGAGTCCTTGCGCACGGCAGCGACTCAGATTGAAACATCCCATGAGGCGCACATGCACGCGCTGCTATCTACACTTGCGCCGGACCTCGATACTAGCTTGCCTGTCACCGCTGCTACAAAGCAAGTCGAGCAATACGTCAAGTCAATACAAGATAATGCTGCAACAACCACTGCTGAGCTGGATTCGTTGTCCACCTCCCATCAGCAAGCTTTGCGTCATCTTCAGGAGACTGTGCCCGCTGCCTGGTCTGAGCTATTCGTCTTGCTCAACAGAGAACCGTTTCAGCCACCGGATCAAATGATAGGTGAACAATACGAGCAGTTCATCGATGGCGTCAAGACAAGTGTGGTCCATACCATGCGCAAATACATCACATCTCACAAACAATCACGGCAGAAGCTTTGCTACCGTAGCTTTGTTGCTGGCGATTTGGCACTGTTTCTACCCACAAATCTTGATCATTCGCAAGCTTGGGCGGCCTTCAATGTTGGTGCGCCGCACTACTTCCTCGATATGAATGGTGTTGATATCGCTGGCAAAGATTTTGTCATTGGTCGCATCCAAGAGATAGAGACGCGGCAAGGCGAGCCTGGCAGTGAAGCGCCAGCAGTAGGGTCTGCAGGTGAGCCTCAAGTCTGGTTCCAAGTCAAGATTCAAGAAAAGCGCAAGCACTAGAGTCTTTCTTGCTCGCTCGCATTGAGGTGCGCACCGCACGCTTCCAGAACACCAATCACATCAGCATGCTTCGCCGTGAGTGCCAGAAACAACGGTGTCTCCCCGCGCTCGTTCTTGGCAAAGCAAAAAGCACCGGCATCCAACAGAAGCCTTGTCGCGCGCGTATTGCCGACTTTCGCAGCCAAGTGCAAAGCTGTCATACCATCAACATTGACCGCATTGACGACCTCTGCATCGCTCACAGCTTGTGCAACTTTATCATCGTCCCCATGCTGTATGGCCCAGAACAAGTCGCTGAGACGATGTCGCAGTGGCGCAGGCTCTGTTGACGGAGACTCAAATAGCTTTGCCCGCGGTAAAGTCAGTTCGCCACGAAGATTCCTTCCAAGCAGTGATGCATCTCCCTTCGTACCGAGTACATAAGCGAGCTTTGTCAATGCTGCTTCAGCAGTCATATCATAGCCCGAATGTACCCCGATTGCTTGTAATGCAACACCAGCTACATAGAGTGGCAAAACACTGCCCACGAGACATTGTGTGATGTTGACGACAACGATCCCTGCATCTGCGGCTTCTGTTAACGCTGCCATGAGGTCTGCGTTGTCGGGAATATTGCCACTGCCGAAACTGTGTAGCACGAGACCTTGTAAGCTGGCGGCTCCTGCGAGTGCACGGACAGTGGATGCTTGGATACCTGGAAAGATGAAGAGTGACGCTACATTGGCTTCTTTGACGTCAGCCACTCGGAAAGCTGCATGAGCAGTAGGTCTGTGGATGCGTGGCCAAAAGACAGTGATATCGACACCCACTGTTGCAAGTGGTAGACAATTGGGAGAGGCAAACGCATCGAATCCAATGGCGTTGACCTTCGTTGTTCGGTTGCCTCGAAAGAGCTCGTGATGGAAGAATAGGCTGACTTCTGGGATCACAAAGTGCCCAGCAAGGATCAATGCCGACAAGAGGTTCTCCTGCGCATCGTTGCGAAGCTGACTTATAGGTATCTGACTACCAGTCAGAATGACAGACTTCCCGAGGTTCTCGAGCATGAATGAAAGCATTGAAGCTGTATAGGACATGGTGTCAGTTCCGTGTAGTACGACAAACGCATCGAAAAGCTTGTAGTTGCGAAAGATTGTATGTGTGATCTTTAGCCAGTCTTGGAATGAGATACTGGAGGAATCAAGGAGTGTCTCATACTCGAGTACAGCGTACCTCACTGTTCCCTCGAAGGAACTCTTTGGCAGGGTCAGGGCATCGAGCTGGACGCTGCCTGAATGACGGACAGCTGTGAGCTGTGTGATGGGTACAGTGGCGTCATGGAACTTGGGATTTCTGGCGAGTTGGTTGAAAAGGTAGCTTTTGGCAGGCTTGTAGCCTTGCGCTGTTGGTCGCATGCCGATAGTACCCCCTGTATAGATGCAAAGGACAGTGGACTGTTCTCCATTCGGCAGGCTCGCGGTTGTACTTGAGCGTGGCCTTGTCATGTCTCAAGATAGCTGCAGTCAGCTTCGAGTAAATCAAGTTAGCTGGAATCTCCTTCAAGTTGTCTCGAGCAACGTTGACTCGATCCAACGATAGGACTCTATTAGTTTCCCAAGCTTTGACTCGGTAGCTCAAGATCGAGCAGATTGGTCTGATGCTTCAACAATGATCGGTATGGTACAGCTGATGAAGTCTGTAACAGCCACTCTTCATTTCTTTCTAGCGCTGCTGCTGCTGCTGCTGCAGAATACAGAGGGTCATAAAGCGCTCTTCTAAAGCTATATTGGGGTTAGGCTATCTGATCCTCTTTTAGACGACGTCGTACATTTGAATGCTCATGTGCATGATCTGCATGCGGTTCCACATGTACAGGCGACTATTGGAGTCTGGAGCAAGCTTCAAGTCAAGGCATAGAAGAACACTCACGCAAAGACATGAAATTTGACAATTCACGCTAGCTAAACGTGAAAGCCTGAGACCAGGCGTGATTGATGAGCGAGTATTGAAAGAGTCTCTCGTTGATCGGAAGAGATAGAGGGTCACAGCAAACGCACTGAGGCTGCAGTTGTAGCCGTATGTTGCTTTTCATGTGAGAGCAGAAACAAATGCCGTGTCCAGGTCAGCCTTTAAAGTACTTCCCGGTTTGGTCACATCCCCCTTCAAACAAACCATGTTAGCGATGCGGCTGCCCTTGTAAGGCGTATAGGTGATTGGCACTCTCACTCCATCGAACATCAGTACTGGAACAATCTTGTACACGCGGCAGATTCGTGTCAGCGCATATGTCCTTTCATTTCCCTCTTTGTTCTTTAGAAAAATGACCTCAAGCATACCCCAGACACGCATCGTGTGGGTGACAATTTTGGCCTTCTCCCAATCCGCCTTGAGCTCCGCTTTCTCGTTGTCATCACCGACTAAGAAGTCACTAAGGTTTGACATCTCGAATTCAACCTGTGGGAAACATCTGTCAGCCACGTTTCATGTAACAGGGAGGACATTGGAACTCACCATCAATTGGAACGGCTCTTCATCCAGGTTGACGTCGTCGCAGTTCTGCAAGTTCAGTTCATTAGCAGAAGTTACGTTACTGCGGTAGACCACTGTAGCGAGCTTCTGCCAAGTTTTGTTTGGGATATAGAAATATTTCCCTTCAGCCGCCTCGCCCGAGCGGCAAGAAATCCCGGCCTCGTCCACGATCACTACTGTCTTGCTATTATCGTTGCCAGACTGCTGGTCGAAGAAGTTGAGAATGTGGAGGTAATCGGGCTTCCACAGCTCATCAGTTACATTTTTTTCTTCGGCTTGGACTTGGACGTTGGTGAGGCCCAGCAATGCTGTCACAAGTGAAAGGACAGGGAGACCTTGCATGAGCTTCGTTGATAGCGTTCTTGTGCAGGATTTTGCGGATGATATGCGGTCTGTAGACTTTATACACATCCAGAAGAAGGCGCATACGTGGCAGAAATTTTCAAGTCGACCCCTGACTTCGGAGGAAGCCTTTGCAGGGGTTGAAAAACTCAAGTTGATCTATGCCACTTGACAGGCAGACCGTCTATGGTCCACCAGATTTGGGTCAATCAGCCGGCGAAGAATCGATGTATGAGAGCGACCAATGCTCTCTGCCTTGGTCATAGAAGGCATCATGCCGTGTACGCGATTCGGTCCGCTTTCGAAAACAGAACCGGCCCCTGAATTTTGAGGTACGACGGCAACTGATTCAGATGGCAAAAGTTGTGAGTTTGTGGACTCTGCAAAGGGGTCAAAGTCGTATCAGTGCACGTGGTCTGAAATGAGGTAGCATCCAGCATTTAGCGCAATCTTTGAATGAAAGGTCTGATTGAGAGAGATCCGCAGCGGCCAATGCAACTGGACTATGTCGCTCACAGCTCAAATTGAATCATGGTAGCAAAACTTGAATCATTCTCGAATAGCTAGTGTAAGATGAGTTGTGTAGGCAGCTATCTATGTGCCTTTGGGAGACCCAGGCAACGGAAATTGAGCAATAGACGGCTTTTGCCAATCATGAGCTTGTGGTGTAGAACAGCTGCATAAGGAAAACATCAGCGAGAGCAGCCATAGACTGTCGGCCTTTGAGCGGCTATCGCTTGTATTGGTATTGAGGGTTAGTACGGGGCGAACGAGCATGCAAACCAGAAGTGGTTCATGCCGGCTCCGTCGAAGCAGCCGTCTGGAATCTTGACCAGGGTCGAAAGGGTGTTTGTCTGAGAAACGGTGAGCTTTGGTTTGTCCGCTCCACTTTCTGTTGCTTTCACAGCTGTGAAGAATTGCATCTCGACAACCCTCGTCGCATTGGGGAAAAAGGGTTTTTTTGAGTAATCTGCGAATTCCAAAAAAACGAGTGCGCCAGTCTTCTGTTAGCAAGTGTTCTGTGGCAGATGTAGAACTTACTATGCTGACGTGAGTTGCATCAACTGTGGCCAGAGAGTCTGCATTGACCCAACTGGTGAGGAGGTGGGACATGACCGTCGTATTTTCATACAAGATGACACTGTCGTTTCGAAAGTAAACGCTCTGAGGGATCGAAAATTCTGTTGGGATCCTGCACGACTTATCTCGAGTGTCGGCAGCGGGCGAGATTGGAGAACTGGCGCCGGCCTGACCCTGGTCCTCTTGAGGCGTGGGTAGTTGGGGGGCCCATTCGCACGATAACTCAACTTGCGTGATGTCTTCGACAACCCAGTTAGCGAGCTGACGTGCCTTGACCTGCCAAAGGAAGAGTAAAAGTGTGAGTCCAATGACTGATGGCATGATTGTTCTTGGAGGTGATCGGGTGTTGCTTGGACGCGGTCACTCTTATGTGAGAAGAGGGAAAGCAGGATGCTGGGAGTCAAATGTGATGTGCTGGCAAGTTTGACTAGCAGAGGAAGTACGCGATCACACATTGTAGCCAAATACGGGGTTTCTCGTAAATTGAGGATGTCCTGTGTCCATCCGAAGAAAGGAGAATTTGATTTCAGAGCTGGTCCTGTCATTTCAAGTAAACTGCGCTCGCGCAAAGCGCACAGAAGAGTAACCCGGCGGCAACAAGTCAGTCCATATAACAGCTTTCCTGCACTGCATATCTTATGCTTCTCCTGCGCGATGATTTTGAAGCCGGACCCGGAATCAGGGAGCACCTAGTTCGCGATTTGCACGATGTGACAGCGTGATATTTGAGGGCCTGAATAGCCCCTGAAACTTGTTGCAGTCATTTAGGCTGTAGGCAAGCTAGAGGCTTGGGTGCCTAGAACGATCCACAACGCAGCTTCAGAGCGCGCAATTGAGTTGCTCTGCTGCACTCTTACTTTAAAGCTTGCATGTATTGCGACTAGCTTGATTCAGAGCACGGAAATGATGGGCTGCGTCTAGCTAATCACTGTCAATAGCATGAGCTGATGTATTCATCACGCCGACTGCGAGCTGCTCAGTAAATGCCTACAAGTGCGACTCGCGAGAGGTCGTTTAAGGTTTTCGTGGTCACCTCGGCAACTCCGCACTTGGTCATTCCTCGTCGCCATCTGAGAGCGGAACAGAAAGATTAGATTGCGGCTCACTCTGCTCAGTGTGCCTCGGGACCGCCAGCATCCGTTCTATCCTACGTCTCGTTGCCATGAAAGGTCCTACTTGACAGGGCGTCCGGCCTGCTCGTCTCTCTGGGTAACTTGAGACCACAGACCTACTCACCACCCTCTATGGATCTCATTCGACGTGGCAGCAGACTCTTGGGTCGTCAAGCATCTTCATCGACCAAGAAGCAACGCATCGTCATCATTGGTTCAGGTTGGGCAGGTTTCACATTTCTACAAAGACTCGATGCCCGACAATATGAGGTCTTTGTCATTTCACCACGCTCCTATTTCGTCTTCACACCGTTGCTTGCCGGAACGGCTGTTGGGACGCTGGAATTCCGATGTGCTCTTGAATCGGTGCGTGCAACGCGCAAGTGTCACTTCCACGAAGCTTGGGCTGAATCCATTGATTTTGATAAACGAGAAGTGACGTGTAGTGATGCGATGAAGGCGGTGGGTGATGCTCGGACATTCGCCGTACCCTACGACCAGCTCATTTTGGCACCAGGGAGTTACAGTAATACGTTTGATATTCCGGGTGTGCATGAACATGCGCACTTCTTGAAGAGTGTGGAAGATGCGCGTCGTATCAGGAATCGTGTGCTTGCTTGCTTCGAACAAGCCAGTTCACCCACTACCACGGCTGAAGAGCGAGCACGACTTTTGACATTCTGCATTGTTGGAGGTGGACCGACTGGCGTTGAGTTTGCTGCTGAGCTGCATGACCTTGTGGCAAAGAACCTCAACAAGCTCTACCCGGATCTTGCACATCTCGTCAAAATTGAAATCTTTGACATTGCAGAGTCCATCTTGGTGTCCTTTGATAAGAAGCTTGCTTCGTATGCGCAAGCAAGATTCGCTCGAGACGGCATCAAAGTGCATACCAAGCAATCCCCCAAACGCGTCTTGGCAGATCGCCTTGTTTTTACGGAAGATCCCAAAGATGCCGTGGGTGACCTGCAAGATAAGCCCTATGGTATGCTTGTGTGGAGTACAGGACTCATGGCCTCACCACTCGTACAATTACTTGGTAAAGAGGGTTTGATTGATGTGGATGACAAGACACATGCACTCTTGACGAATGGTCAGCTACAAGTACTGCACAATGGTCTACCACGCAAGGAAGTCTATGCACTCGGTGACTGTGCCACCATCCAAGGCCAAATCCTACCAGCAACAGCACAAGTTGCAAGTCAAAAGGGTCAATACCTAGCAAGTATTTTGAATACTCGCAAAATCGCCGATTTCAAATTCGTCTATCGTGGTTCAATGGCGTTTTTAGGGGGTGGTGCAGCGATTGTGGATGCGAGTCAAGCAAAGAATGGTCCAAGGATTAGTGGCCGCGTGGCGTATATCATGTGGAAGACTGCATACTTGACCATGACAGTGAGTTGGCGCAACAAGGTGCTCATTCCGACGTATTGGCTGCTCAATGCCATCTTTGGCAGAGACATCAATCGGTTCTGAGTATGTTGCAAAGGTGAAGAAGTATGCAGAAGCTACCTAGGTAACGCAGTATGACCGAACCAAAAAAAAGAACGTAAATGCATCAAAAGAAGAACGGGAAGACACGACAACCTCTCAGAATGTGTCATCACGCACGGCGCTATTGCTAAAGGCGAAACGTCCACAAGCAAACGGATCCGAGTCATCTAGAGCACAGCCCACCTCGCCTTTTGCAATCTTGCGCGCTCGAACGGCATGCACGGGTTCTGGGTTGAGGAGTTGTGATAGCAAGACATAACCCCTAAGTGCGCATTCCCTTGGTTTGGCTAATGGTGATAATGGCCCTGGTCGTGTTGGTCGAATTGGCAGGAAGCGATCACCATGCACAAAAGGCTGCTTGAGATGATGATCTGGTGATTCGAGAAAGTGACGCTGCTCAATGGGTGTTGAGGTTTGTAATTTGACGGCAGAGATGGGAGTAGCAAGAGCTCGTTTAGCGCGTTTCTTGTGCGTACGTGGTCGTTTTGGTGTGTTATTGTGGGGGCTGCATGGTTGTAAGGGTCCCTCTTCACAGCCGGAATGGGTGTGTGCATCATGCTCATTGCCAGGCAACGTCGAGCGAACTGCAGACTCAGTCTCGTCTTCGAGGTACTTGTGCGGCGTGCGATCTTCTTGACGTGGTCGTGGACGCAACGTTGGTCGAGCAGACCATCGTTTAGGTGACTCGAATAGTTGATCAGCATCGAGTAGCTTCTCCTTGACGAAAGCCTCACTGAACTCATAATCTTCAATGCTGCGACGTTTGCGAGGGATGTAATGATCCGACGTTAGTGTCTGCTGAGAACTTACAAGCTTGTACTTCTTTCCTGGTGATGCTTGCAGGTCTGACTTGCGTGGTCGTCCTGGTCCTCGCTTCTTGGGAACGGGTCGATGCTTTGAGGCTTGCTGATGCGTGTGCGTTGTACTGCTACTCTGCTGTTTCGAGGAAGAGTCTGAGGACTTCTTCGTCATGGGATGGTCGCAGCGTTTGTGAGCCAAGCGACAGGTATTACAGGCGCGGTCTGTATCACTGGTACGTTGTCGCTTCCCACCGCCACCGCCAGCATCCGAGTCGTCGTCATCGGGTGAGTCTTGACGACGACGTTTTGGTACAGCAGTATCGACTTCAGAGACATCAGAGAGGTCAGAGTCGGAGGTATCGAGGACGGAGGTCTCTTCAGACTTGGTTGAGCTTGCAATATCCTTGCGTGGCCATGATTTGGAGAGATTTGATGCAGTTGTTGTCTTGCGACGCTTCTCTTGCGCAACGAGCATCTAGCCGCAAGGATCAGCTAGCTGCTCAACAACCAACATAGAAGGAAGGGTGAAGCTTACCTTGCGCCACTTGCGTTTCACGGCATCCGTTGTCCTGCCAATTTGATCGAATGCCGTTGAGATATCCAAGTCAAAGTCGATGATATCCTGTAGAACGGCAACCTCTTGCTCTGTCCACGACGTCCCGTTGCGTGCGCCAGAGACTGGGACGCTGCTGCTGTTGCGAGTGCTTGCAGTTGTGTGATTGCGACGCTTGTGCTTCTTGTGCTTGATATCCTTCTTCTTGCTTGCCGAAGCGCACGCCTCGTCATCCAGCAGGGGCGACTCCTGCTGTTGCTGTTGGTGTTGAGCGGGTTGAGGGAGCAAGGGAGCATGGCCAGGTTGCACGAAGGGAGTCAGGATGGATGGATCAGGGGTAAATGTGTTGTTGGCATAGATGGCGTCTGTGTAGGTATACTGGTCTTGGAGGAGGGAGAGGGCAGGGTCCAAGGGTATCTCCATTGGGTGCTTGAGTAGGCTGAGGACAGAGTATTGAGTAGACAGAGTACTGGTGGACTGGGTACTGGTGGACTGCGACTGAGCTGACAGAGCACTGAGCAAGGAGCAACAGTCACAAGCAAGTGACCAGACCAGAGAAGACCAGAGCATCATGACGACAAGGCAAACAACGGCCCTCATGCTGGCTGACTCGCCGTTTCAGCTTGTTTGCACTCAACCAGAAACAAAGCAGACCAAGAGCATAAAAGCATAAAAGCATACAAGCAGGCCCCAGAGAGACCACAGCTGCAGAGACCAGCAATGCCCATCAGACGCAAGCGCACAGACTCCCCAGCAGACACACCCACAGCCAACAGGTACACCCGCTCAATCGACACAGAACGGACTCTCGTCGCTGGCAATATGCCACAAAATACTGCCCAGACAGACGCAGTGACTCGGATGAAAGGCGGGTGCTGTTGTTGCTGTACCCCCTTCTGGGTGGCCCTTGGCGCCATCCTGGGGATTTGCGGCTTGGAAGTCGTTCGAGAACCGCGCGAGCGCTTGGATTAGAGCAGCTTCAAGGACAAACACTCCTCAAACCCATTGGAAGCACCCACACTAGCCTCTTGTCTGTGGATTTGACTAGCGACATGCTCCATCATGTCTGTAATCACTGCATCGATCAGCCCAGACAAACCTGCACCAGTCTGTGCAAAATCAGGAAACGCATTCACCTCCAGCAGTGTTGCAGCGCCCTCTGCATCCACTAGAATGTCAAGCCCAAAGATCTCAAAGGCATTCGGTAGCGTTTGGAAGTGTATTCGTTGTGCAGAAGCAGCTCTGAAGGTCTCGCTTGTGATGTCCTTGAGTTGTTGCCAAATGGCATGTTTGTCCATGCTGGTTGTTTCCAGACCCCAGAAGGAATAGACAGCTGCTGTATCGCCTTGATAGCATGTGTTTGTCAGGTGCTTCCCAAGGACTTGCTTGTCTGCCGACGGAGCAGCATAGGGCTGTAAGGAGCACAAAACAAGCATGTTGCGATGCAGCAAGACTTGGAGAGAGCCAATACACAAAACATACGCGCGGATGTGGAACTTGCAGTCTCGCAGCTCGGGCAAGAGGAGTGGTCGCATCATGTACCGTTGGACCACAAAGAAACGCATATCCGAGGTCATGACGCCGTTGTCTTGCGTTTCTGCATCTTCCTCTTCGTCGTTGATCTCTTCAGATTCTTCATTCTCCTCAAAGATGGTGGTCAGCTCGTCGATTGTGCTAAAGAGCCGCAACCCGGCACCACGCTCCGACATACTCGGCTTCAAGATGAACCACTCCCTCTCCTCAACCGCTCGTTCTTCATTCATCTCGAGCTCTCCCCGCAACTCAAACGCTTCATCCAGTGCATCATCCAGAAACTCAGCATAATCAACCTCCAATGTCCATGAATCAGGAATGGCTCGGGTCAAGATACTGGCTGGTTGTTTGGCAATATATTCACGGACTGTATTTGCTAGGAAGTGTTTGCGAATCAATGCTTTTCTGATGGCATACGCACAGATCCAGTGAGACGTATCATCGAGACTTGCTTGGAAGTCAAGGTCTTCGTAGTCTGCGAGTTGCAGGTGTGCATCTGCTGCATTGTTTGTTTCGGTGTAGCCTGGGAAGTAGCGTGATAGTGCAGCTTTGTAGGATTCAGCAGTGTAGGGAGACGTAGCTCTGAAGAAGATGTTGAAGCTTTCTGGCATTGTATGCGAAGCTATTGGGGCATGTCCCTGCTGTTCACTGTGTGTAGATGGAGGTTTGACTGGCTGCTTTGCTCGGTGCAGATTTCAGTTTTCCATCTGCAGAACATCACACAAACATCCAACCTACGACATCTACCTGTACAAGAAGAGGCCCAGGTGGCTTACAATGCTGTCGGCTTCAAAAAGAGACTCGCTATCTGTATCCTATGAAGGAAGTGTTGTGCTATCAATCTTGAACAGACCGACGTGACGATAATCCTTAGCAGTACCTTTACTTGATCGAGCACGTCTGTACAAATGCAGAGGGATCGGCAAGTTATAGACCACAAAATCTTCTCTATTCGATGAGATGCTCTGCATTCAACCTCGACATTGTCTACGTCGAGTGAAACGCTATAGCTCAGCCCAAGTCGACGCGAAAAGGCTCGCGGTGAGGCTCTGCAAGTTTCGTTCAACCTCCGCTTCAGCTTGAGCGTTTGAGAAGCTACATGGACGATATGCTTCACACCACCGCATGTCTATATACGCCAACAAGTCAGCTGGGGCAACAATCATGTCATGCTGGGGTTGTGCGCATTCGCGATACACTGACAAATGTACCCTCATTGCGCTCTGGAGCAAGAGGACATACGATGTCGCATCTGCCTGAATTGCGTCTTAAGAAGGCCCAGAGACTTCCATCTGCCACGTCAGCAACACCATCTACTTGACACTAGTCAGCACAATATTAAAGCGTAATGGCTTCCCAGGATGCTCTTCAACAAGTCTACAAAGGACCGCGAGATCCTATGGAGGAACCCTGGCAGCATTGGTATCGAAAGTGGCATTCTCAGTGCTCGTCATCGTGCTGGGAACCACAACTGGCCACTTTTCCAACGAGGTGCGACTACCGCTGCTACTGCAAGTGTCACAGAGAAAGATACGGGGCGGCTGTCGAATGGACAGGATTCCTTTGCAAAAAATAGCAGGGCCTTTTGGCAATAATCAAGGTCTCTTCTGCCAGAGGGGCAAACACAGACCAGTCAAGTGGTTGCAGGTGCTGTTAAGTAGACCTCCAATATTGAGCTCTTTGCGTATTCCCATCTTCCTTACGAGTAGCTGTAGTTTCCCCCATCTCGAGCCTTGAATTGGAAAATTGTCAATCGCGACTCAACATCTACCAACAAACCGGCTGTAGCAAAGCGCATTCCTCTGCAGCCCTGCCATCATTGAGCAGCAGTCTCGCCCAGTGAGGGCTCGCCAAAGAGACTGCCAGGGGTGTACTTGGTGAACCGCAGTGGCATCGTTTGCATAGACGCAAAATCAAAGCGAGGCAAATCTAAACGAATGACCCAGCCCAACGGGTCAACCCATGCACCTGGCACTGTCCTAGCGAATCATACGCAAGCAAGTCATACAGAAAGCCTCGAAGAATCAGACGTCACAGCTACAGCGCATTCTGAAGACGCCTCAACAAACCAACATCTTGCTTCCGAGGCAGTCTCCTACTTCCCAGAGGACGCTGCTCACTTCGATAGCAAGTCGCAACCTCACTTCCAACCACTCGCAACACAAGTCGCAGGCCACGATGGTGTTTTGTCTGATAGAAATGGCTATGTCATCATCAAACCCTGTCATGATGCTGAAATTGCCTTTTACGAACGTTGCTTGAGTGAAGCGCCTGATATGGCTGATTGTATTCCAGCATTCATGGGGACGCTTGAATTAAAGACGCCAGAGACATTGGCGAGTTTACCACCTGAAGTCTCGGCTGCTGTGAGTGCTGCTCAAGCGCAAGGTGTTTTGCCAAAGGAATCAACAGCAGCGCCACCGCCGACGAATCGACCTGCTGATGCGAAAGCCTATTCACCACCGAGTACGACCTTTGATCGTGCTGTTGTTCTTGAGAATCTGACGTATGGCTATCAACACCCTTGTGTGCTAGACCTCAAAATCGGCAGTATCCTCACAGCTGATGATGCGACACCCGAAAAACAAGCCAGACTCGCAGCGGTTTCACAACGCACAACGTCAGGAAGTGCAGGGATTCGCGTTGCTGGGATGAAAGTATGGGATGCACAATTGAAGCGTTATGTGACATTCGATCGGGATTGGGGGAAATCGTTGACACCGCAGACATTGGATCAGCATGCTCTTGCGTGCTTCTTTTCTGCTAAAATCCGACAGGAACAGATTCAACTGATTGCAACGAGGTTCTTGGAGGATATTGAGCGGATCTTGTATGTCCTTGGGGATCTCGAGGTGCGCATCTTCTCGGCTTCGTTACTATTTGTATATGAAGGCGATCAAACAGCGTTGGATCTAGCCATTGAAGAGGAAGGAAAGCAGTTGATTGAGGATGAGCTGGGTCATGGCATCACGCACACAGATAGTCGTGGCTCGACTGGCTCAACACACTCGACAAATTCGTCACGTATGGCGCGGAGTCACGGATCGCATCCATCACGTCGAGGTACTGCTATACCCTCTGACATTGACTCTGATGAGGAAAGCGACGCAGCCAGAGATTTCTGTATCTGTCGGTTGATTGATTTTGCGCATGCCAAATTCACACCTGGTCAAGGAACGGATCAGAATCTCTTGATGGGACTGAAAGCTGCACGGACGCTTGTTGAGGATTTCTTGGATCGTGAATTTGCACCACAGCTGGATTGACCCTGGTGCAGCACAATAGATACGCTTGTTTTTGTCCTGGGGGAAGTACTTTTCTTTCTTCTTATTCTCTGTTTCCCCAGGCAGTATTTCATGACATAACCATAGCCTTATTCTTTTTTTTCATCTACAGAGGCCTGTCTGTCATCTTGTATCGCTAATCCTCAAAGCCCTTCAACGTCTCGCGTTTCCTATTCGGCACTATTCCAGAGTCAGCAAATTCGTCATTCGTCAAAAACCAAATAAAGCAAAGGCGCATACATGGGTAACTGAGAGGAACGGGTTCAGCGCGCGTGAAGCCTAATGAGCGCCGAACGGGTGGCACCACCAGTAGTGCAACGGGACCGAGACCACCGAGAAGAAGGGAGTAGAAGACATTAGGCCGTTCGTGTGCTGCCCAGCGGAGATATTTGATGGGTGATGCCCAGAATGCCGATGTTGACATGGCTGCTTCTGTTGCTGGCGTTGAGTGCTTGAGCTAGTCTGTCTAGTTGACTAGGAGAGTATCTGTTGAGTGTAGTTGCCTGATCAGGGTTAGGCCACGCGCTGTTTCTTCCAACTCTACTCTGTCTCTCTCTCTGCACTTCTCTCTTGTCGCGACTCTCTCTCTAACTCATCGCAGATGATTATTCCTGTACGCTGACTGCCATTTCTCTCTTCTAGCTCAGTGCTGATATCTGTCCAGGTCCGCTGCTTCTCATGCGGCAAAGTAGTCGGTGATAAATGGGACGCCTACCTCAAACTCCTCGAAGATGGTCGAGAAGAAGGCGACGCACTCACAACACTTGGGCTCAAGCGATATTGTTGTCGTCGTATGGTTTTGACGCATGTGGATTTGATTGAAAAGATTCTGCACTATAATCGTATGTCTATGCTCGTGTTGCATCTTGCATCAAAGAAACTAACTTGTGCAGCTTTAGAGAAGAATGCGGATCGTCGGTGATGGCGCCGTGGTCACTGCGACTATCGAGGCAGAAGAATCAAGTGGGCTTTTGAGCAAATCACAATTGCATTTCTACGAGCAACGACGATGGCTACAGGAGAGCCAAGTCAAAAGCCTATCCCACGTTGAGACGGAAAATGTCGTTAAAGACGTAGAAGGAACCGCCTTCGGGCATCAAATGGAACACTTGGCTGTATCGCTGTGGATTTGTCTCTTCATCAATCTATTTTATTGCCGTGTTAGCCCTTGACATGCAGCGTTGAAGGGAAGGAAGCACGCACGAGTAATTCTCCCGTGACCATGACCAAGACGCCGCCATCGGAAGGACTTGAGGGCTGTGCATCGAGTGTCGTGACATTGTGTCGGACTTTTTGAAAGGGCAGAGACTAGTGATGTTAGGCAAACCGACGCGCTCAATATAAATCGTACCACTAGCTTTTCCGCGATACTAGTAGCGCCCTGCACTTGAGCATTCTCAAAAGTGAGCATTGACTGGGCGCGCTGCCAATCATGTTAGTATAGAGTCATGGAAGTCTGTTGTGAATGGCAAGAAGCAAAGACATACGTAGAGGTTGGCAAGTTGACTTCTGTCACTGTCAAAAGTGTTGTAGTAGAATGTGCAGAACTGCTGGCCTAGAGCTCTGTGAGGGAGAAATTAGCGCGTCTGATGGACGGGAGACTGGATAGATGCGTACTGGAAGTCTGCCATGAGGATGGATGGGCTTGCGATGGGTTGGTTGTTGTGTGCGAGATGCGATTGAGGTGAGCTTGCGTTGGATATGCAACTAGGCAGAATTGAATGAGGCTATATGCTATGTGCTACTGCCGTGTCTGCCTGGTGCTCAAGTGAAGTAATGTCAGGGCCTGTGCTGGTAGTAATCAGAAATAGAAGACTGATGTAGATGTGACTGCTGCTCCCAACACGTGCACTTGACCTCAGCTCAGCAGGGAGAAGCAGCAAGAGAGAGAGGGAAAGAGACCTCAAGCAAACCAACCATGTCCACACGTCTCTACGTCGGACGCCTCAACAGAGCTGATGAGCGAGACATCGAGGACTTCTTCAAGGGCTACGGTCGTATTGCAGAAATCAAGCTCATGTCTGGTTTCGCCTTTGTTGAGTTCCAAGACCCACGCGATGCGCGCGATGCCGTGCAAGACTTGAGTACGCTCCCTCTCTTCTGTTCTTGTGGTATGGAGAAGCTGACAGGACTCTAGATGGCAAGTCGTTGTTTGGCGAGCGCTTGAATGTCGAGTTTGCAAAACCACCGCGTCGAAGAGACGATGACCGTGATGATCGTCGTGATCGCGGCAGGTACGATGACTACAGGGATGATCGTCGTGGCGGTGGTGATCGCTATGATCGTGGACCTGAGCGTCCCCTGCGCTTCGCTCGTCCCAGGCGAACAGGTTTCCGTGCGATTGTGGAAAACTTGGAACCTTCTACCTCATGGCAGGTAAGTCTTACTCTAGCTACGTGAAGGTGCTTTTCGCTTTTATCAGACTTGTGGTTGCTTTATGATTTGCTTCCTGCATTTCTGTCACTTCGAGGCATGGCCCAAGCAAAAAAGGTCTTCTTTGGACGTCATTCACTGTGCTCGGTAGTTGTTGGACTGGACTGGATCGGATTGGACATGGATCATGGACGTTGGCTCTTCTCCCTCCTTCGCTTCAACCCTTGGACTTCCCCCGGCTTCTCTCCTCTCTCCCTTGCTCTGGATCTTCCCTGGTGGCTTCCTTTGGGTCTGTTTCTCGAAGTAACAATAAGAAAAGAGTCCAGAGTGGCATCTTCACAGAATAGCATTGCCTACTGACATGTTGCTAACAGACATCAAACAGGATCTGAAGGATTTCGCAAGAACTGCCGGTGAAGTGACATTTGCTGATTGTCACCGCGAGCGTGAAGGTGTCGGGTACGTTTCTCATCTTATTCCATCAACTTCAACATTTGACAGTCGGCTAACAATTCCTCAACAGTGCCATTGAATTCGCCCTCGAGGCAGATCTCAATGCAGCGATTGCCACACTCGATGGTCAAGATCTCAAGGGCCAACCTGTCACCGTGCGTGCTGATCCAGATGCATCTGTGCCACTCGATGAGTACGAAGCTCGTCGACCCCCTCCACCTCGTTCATACCGAGAACGTAGTCGTTCGCCTTATGGTGGTGGCGGTGGTGGTGGTGGTGGTGGTGGTGGTGGTGGTTACGGCGGCGGTAGTGGTGGTCGTCGTCCACGTTCACCCTCACCGTATGATCGACGAAGACGTGATGAGAGCCCACCACGACGTCGACGCGAGTACTCACCCGCACCACGTCGTCGTCGCGACGATTCACGAGAGCGTGGTTATGACAGGTCGCCGGTGGTGGAACGACGTGAAAGGTCGCCTGTGGGTGAACGACGTGAGAGGTCTCCTGTGCGTGCTATGGATGAAGATGCACCTATTGAGCGGGAAGCAGCCCCTGTTGATGACTACTGAAGCCCACAAGAGCTTCTTTTGGTCGTGTCGAGTCGTAGGTCATAGGCTTCCATCAATGTTTGCCACAACCATAGTCCTGCCATATAAAAAGAAAAGAATGACTAGCAGAAACAAAGAAAGGGCGAGTATACTAAAGAATGAGGGAGAAAGCACAATCATTTCATCAAACAAGTTTGTCCCCTCTAGTCGCTTTTTGCCTAAAAATCGGTCAAGAGCGTCGGTCTCTCTCCATAAACGCTTGGAGCTCCAAAAGTGGAAAAGGAAAGCTTCACATGAGTCGACAGCAACCTTTCGCCTCTGTCTCTGAATCATCTCGGTGTAGAAGTGCTGAGCGTGTTGCAGCTTCAAAAATGTCGTCCACTCCTTCGCCCGTCAGAGAACTACACTCCATGTATCGCTTGGCACCAATCTTATTGGCCATCGTTTGAGCCTTTGTCTAGTTAGTATGTTGCGCCCAGGTACAGATAAGAGCAGGGGCTTACCGCTTGTTGGTCGACAAACTTCATGCTCTTGAGTCGCATTTCCTCAATGGCCACGGGATCTTCCCTCAAATCCTTCTTCATACCCACCAAAATGGTCGGTACGCGTGGACAATGCTCATTCACCTCGCCGATCCACTTATTGGCGACATTATCCAACGAGTCTGGAGAGTCTACTGCAAAGGCAATCAAAATGACATGCGATTTAGAGTAGGATAGTGGGCGGAGACGTTCATACTCCTCCTGACCAGCTGTATCCCATAGAGCCAATTGTACTGCTTTCCCATCCACGCGGCAGTCAGAGACGTAATTCTCAAAGACCGTTGGAACGTACTCCTTGGGGAAGTGACCGAGTGTGAAGACTCTGGATGTGTTAGCATTATCGTCTTGTATGCATTAAAGGCAGGAAACGCACGATAGAAGAGAAGTCTTGCCACATGCGCCGTCGCCAATGATGACCTGATGGATGTCAGCTCCAATTTGCCTTTCAAGGTACTCAATCGAGTATGAGAAGACGTACCAACTTCCGCCGAATGGGTCCCTGTGCTTCGCGCGCCATGGAAAGTGATGAACCTCACAAATCGGTACTGTCCAGCTTCGTCTCTCAATGAACGTCTATCGTTCTCACGTATGAAGACCACACACAGACGCGCGCGCCAAGACTAGTCACCAAAAATGTCCCTCTCCTGCGATTCCTATGCGGTACCCTGAAAGATCGTAAGAGGTAGAGTCCGCTCTGACTGCGCCTATTGCTAGATAGGCAGAAAGAGGGTCTGGCTTTCTTTGCAGACTGGCCCCTTGGTGTGAGTGGCCTGGGTGTTGCTTGTGCTGGAGTTGTGCTTGCTGCGGCCCTGGGAAATGGAGGAATCTGCCCGACCACAACGACCACAAGACACACCCAGAGAGAAGGGCTCATCAGCAGCACGGGAACGAGAGAGAGGGAGAGAGCCTACAGCAGTCTCCGTGCTCTTTGAACCCATTGTCTACATCCACACATCGCAGGGCAAAGGCAGCACACACACGTCGTTACAGAGGGACCAGCGGCATACCCGGCAGCACGACTGCTCACAAGGACACACCAATCTCCCTGCACGATAGATCTGCCAAGTGTCCTTCACAACAGCGCCTTTTTGTCTGTCGGCATCGCAAAAGACTATGCATAGGAAGAAGCAACGCAAGCAAAAAAGCGCCGCCGTCGCCCCGGCCACCAACGCCGCCGCCACAACGACCAACAGTACACCCTCTAATCTTGCATCAACGCATGCTCATCATCTCGCCATGGATCTACCAGAGGGAAGTTATCACGCGCATGAAGGCGATGCGCACCCACCACCTCTCGATTCTCGTGGCTACCAGGAAGCCATTCGAGCGCACTTGACTGAATTTGAAGCGAGTACACAAGCGCATACGCATGCGCATGTCAATGGTCTCAATGATATGCTTGCCTCGACACATCTTCCTGCAACGACTGCGCCATCCACCACAAAAAAGAAGAAGAAGGGAAAGCTTGAAAAAGATAGAATCTGGAATACAACCACGAATGAAGAGCGTGAGCGTATCAAGGACTTCTGGCTCAACCTCGGTGAAGAGGAGCGCAAGTCGCTTGTTAGGGTCGAGAAGGAGGCTGTCTTGAAGAAGATGAAGGAACAGCAGAAACACAGCTGTTCTTGCTCTGTCTGTGGCAGAAAACGGACGGCTATTGAGGAGGAGCTTGAAGTCCTGTATGATGCATACTACGAGGAACTCGAGCAGTATGCAAATCAGCAGCGCGACCAACAACAGCATCAACGATTGCATCCTGAAGAAGCCGCAGCAGCCGCAAGCGATCATATCAGACGATTACGGCCACATCATGGCAAGATTACCGAAATGATTGGCTCAGACGATGAAGATTCGTACGACGATGACGGTCTCGATTCTGAAGATCTCGACTCGGAGCGGTCGTATGATGATGAACTCTCTGGCGATGAATACAGTGATGCGTATGAAGAGGATCGCGCACCCACCGAATTTTTCAAATTTGGCAACTCCTTGACTGTCAAGGGCGGCGTTCTCACCGTTGCTGATGATTTACTCAAAAATGATGGTAAAAAATTCATTGAAATGATGGAGCAATTGGCTGAGCGGCGCATGCAACGCGAAGAGGAAGCGGCGCTTGAGGCTCAAGAGTATGACGACGAGGACGATGATGAGTATGACGATGACATTGACTCGGAGGTATACCTATATGTCATTACAACTTGATCAGATGCTGACAATCTAGGACTACGATGACGAGGAAGAGGAGCAAGATGCTTTGACTGAAGAGCAACGGATGGCAGAAGGCCGTCGCATGTTCCAGATCTTTGCCGCTCGCATGTTTGAGCAACGCGTCTTGACTGCGTATCGCGAGAAGGTTGCACAAGAGCGGCAGGCAAAATTGCTTGAAGAGCTGGAACTTGAAGATTCGCGCGAAAAGGAGAGAGAGGCGAAGCGACAAAAGGATGCTGCAAAGAAGAAGGAAAAGAAGCGCTTGCAACAGCAGAAGAAGGAGGAAGAGCGTGCAAAGAAGGAGGCTGAGCGACTCGCTGAGGAAGCAGCACTCAAGGCTGAAGAGGCGCGAAAGCAAGAAGAAGCTCGCAAACGCAAGGAAGAGCAACGCCTTAAGAAGGAAGCTGAGAAGCGTGCTCTCGAGGTCGAGCGTCTCAAGAAGGAGGAGGAAAAGAAGAAACGCCTGGCAGAGGAAAAGGCTCGCGAACAAAAGAAGCAAGAGCAGTTGGCAAAGGAGAAAAAGGCCAAAGAAGATGCGGCAAAGCGCGAACGAGAAGCCAAGGAGGCGGCCGCAAGGGAGGCAAAGGCACAAAAGGAGCATGCCAAGCAACAGCAACAACGGCAAGCTGCACAAGCGCCGGCTCCTCCACAGCAACCATTACCACCCGTGCAGCGCAAAGTTTCCCCGCCTTCGAAGCAACTCAGTCCGCATGTCAGCCAGGCATCTCCGGCGATCCCAAAGACGCATACACCACAGCCTCAAGCTGTGCCCGCGCGACGTTCACAGGACTATTCCCGGCCTGTTGCCTCTCAGCAACAACCGCAGTCTCATCCGTCTGCAGCTCGCATCATTCCAATGCCATCTGTGCAGCAACAGCAACAGCATCAGCAAGCACAACATCACCAACAGTCTGGGGGCCATCCGCAACAGCAGAATCAGCGTACCATGACAAGTTCAATTTCTCCACAGCAGTATGTTGCCCCGGCGGCAGGATTCCCACGCTCGGTGGGCCACCCGCCAAGCTTGCCCGTACCGCTACCGCCTCCTGGCATTGGTGGTGTGCAGGGTCAACCACTGCAACAAGCGCACGATCCGTTCGGATTCAACGATCCCCGCTCCATGCAACAGCCGCCACAACAGCAACTTTTGAATGGGCGTCCCGGGTCTGGTACTTTGCCTGCACCTCATCTGTTTTCTGGCACTGCGCCAGCTGGTCTAATGCAAGGTGGTATTCATGCGATGCGTTTAGCGCCTGGCACAACACCCCAGCAACAACAGCAGCCGCCAATGAATTCGATGGCTGCTCAGCAGCGTTTCGCGCCTCAGCAAGGTTCTGGCTTTTTTGGTCTTGGTGCGAATACCGGTGCACCTTCAAGAGAGGATGCATTGGAGCATGACTACCGATTCGACAATAGCAGTTCTTCGAGTGCGCCCCTTGGTGCAATTGGACGACCGTCAGGCTTACCGCCGATGAGACATCAACCGCCTCAGCGGCAGCAACCTCCCATGCAGCCGCAACAACAGTCATCTGTGCAACAGCAACAGCCTCAACCGCCTCTCAATGCTGCCCCTGGGTCCAGGCCTGCCCCGATTCAACGACCAGGAAGCGTAACACAGCCGCGCAATAACCAATTCGGTTCCGTTCGAGGCGGCGTCGACTCACTTAATGACGTTATGGGTTCGCGTGCACTACTTGAAGATGATGATCCTATTGTGGGGTTGGCAAGTCCATCCATGAGCTTCCTTGGCAGCTCTGTCAGCAGTGGAGGCCGGCAAACTTCCTGGGGAGGCTACGATGTTCATGGCATGCAACAACAGCAGCAGCCAAGTCACCAGCAGCAGTCTCAGGGATTTTTCCACGGGGGAGCGTCCGGGAATAGTAATACCTGGTCATTAAGCGGTGCTCTTGCAACTGGAGGCCCAGAAGACTCGTATGTGCCTTCAGAAAAGGTGATTCGCAGCTGCTGTAAGCAAGCGTACCAACGGCTTCGTCAACTGGGCAACCATAGTCTCGATGGTTTCATGCCTCTGCGAGATGTGGCCGCGCAGTATCGTGTCCTGTTCTCCGAGCATGAAGTCGACGAGAGTGACTTGCTCTCTGCATGTGGTGCGTCGCCTTCAAATGACAATGGTCGCGGTTTATTCCTCGTCAAGCACTCTCCAGCTGGCTATTTGCTGCGCTATCAAGATGAACCTGATGGAGCGTCGCCTTTTAGTGGCTCTCTCGGCAGCGGGCTCGGTCACAGTCTGAATTCGCTTGGGGGTGAGCAACAAAAGATGGCTGACCGCTGGAGTGTATCGGGCCTTGGTGGCAATGCGCTCAACGGTAGCGGGGATCTCACGTCGCCGCCTTTGATGCATGCACCTGCAAAGCAATGGTAGTGAGACAGTACACTCTATAAGGATGTTAATGTTTTCGATCCTGCTAAAGCACTTGTGATTGTTCTCTTGTATAGATGCTCTTATGTCTCGACTTTTCAATTCACGCCGACATCCTCAATTCGCACAAATGTCTTGTACGCCGTGGCTAAGACGCCTGCCCATGCATTACTCGGAGATCCGCCCTGGTCAGCGATTGTCAAATTCGGGTTCCACGCAAGTGCCCGAACCATGACCTCGTCGTGATACACGCTACGGGCATGTTCACGCCGAACCTGAGATTGCTTGGATTTGCTCTTTGCTTTTTGTTTTCCCTTTGCCTTTGGCTCTTCCTCATCGAAATCTTGCTCTGAATCATCTTCAGCAGTTCGTGGAGCTTTGCCCTTCTTGCCAGCTGCTGCTTTGCCTGTTTCTTGTTGCTCGTCGACTTCATCATCCGAGCCCTGAGCCCTCTTGTTGACAGCCGCTTCACGATACTCAACAGATGGCAAGCCTTCCAGGAAAACCATGGTCCCCGGCTGGAACATGTTTTGGACATCTTCAATAGTCTTGCCGCTACGCCAAGCTTCTTGCACTTCTGGCTTGACTTGCGTCACGTAAGAGGCCGCGCAGACGAGACGTTTGTACAAGGCTCCTTTCCTCAGCTGGCACTTGGTGTGCACATTGTAAAGCCACACTTGGCCACTCGCATCCCCGAGCGCAATAATTGGATGACAGGCATGCTCAGCAACGCCAGGCAGCTTTTGACACTCATCGTTCAATAAGGGCTGAACACATGCAGCACTTGTGATGAGACCTGGCAGGGAATCGGTTAAACTGACGGTACTGACTTGTCGTGCAGATGCATAGCGGACCGAGACTCCTGATTCATCGCTGGATACGAGAGCGCCAGTAAGATTGGACCAGGCGAAGCAATAGCTTATTGAGCGTAATCGCGGAAGTTTAACCGTTGCTCCACCAGCACCAGATCCACCCGACAAGTCTGTAAAACACACTTCACCATCAAATCCATTCGTTGCGACGATGTGTGGCAAAAGTGGCTTGCAAGAGACAATATGGCTCAGATAGCATGACTGCGGATGTGCCACATGTGTAGGTAAGAGACTGCCGATTGCTGGATGAGCTTTGCGTGACAAGTCGAATTGAGCAACCATTCCATCATCACAACCCACCACGATGCTGTGAGAGCTTTGCCAGTCGAAGCAGGTGATGTGATGGTCTTTCATGTTGATAGCAAAAGCTGGCGTGGTGAATTTGACGTAGCTGAGGCCACTTTGTGCTTGCTTCTCAATGAGAAAGCCCGCCACTTGTCCATTGCCGAAACATCCCGCTAAAAGACCCAGGTACTTGTCGGGCTGTGTCGCAAGCGGCATCCATTTGAGATCCCAGCAAATACCAAAGTCATGTGCGAGAATAATGGCAAGCTCGGACTCGTAAGAATCGCCATCTCGCCATGTTCGCCACAATTGAATGCAGCCTTCCTCCGATTTGTACTTGTAAAGCGAGCGCGGCGATTGATGATGGAAGGCGCCGCCGACGGCTAGATACTGCTCTCCGGTATTTGATGGCATCCACGCACACGTCTTGTTGTCGAGACCAGTGTTGAGGGTCAGGGTGGAGCTCAGCGGATCTTTCGAGTATAGACTCTGGCTAGTGCCAAACTTGAGAGTCATCTTCTTTGGTTTGGTGACGGCTGCCTGATTGCTCACATGGTATAGGACATGCGTTTTGGCTTCGGGCATATACTGGCGTAGCGCTTCTTTTCGCACATTTGTGCACACCTGTGTCGGAGAAAGGATATCGATGAGTGGACACGGTGTGATGGTCGGCACTTGGCCAGTTGCTTTGATGACAGAACGGTCAGGTCCAAGGCCATGGAAGGCCTGTCGATCCCTGAGTTCAAGTAGCGCAGCCTCGTCCTGGTGTGTACCAAGATAGCTAAACATGCTTTCCTTGATTGACCCATCCTTGTATCGGATTCTGAATCGTGGATCTTGCAGCAAAGATTGAATTCTTCGCTCATGAAGACTTGCGTTGGGCTTTCTGGCCTCGATCTTAGGCTTAGCCTTTTTGACCTTCTTTGTTGGTCGCATCTCATCCTTGCGAGGTCTTCCACGACCGTACTTGGTCTTACCAGTCTCTGTAGTGCTCATTGATGTAGTTGCGACTGCCGCATCGGGTGTATAGTCCACATCTGATGCATCCTCGACATTCTCTTGAGCAGTGGAAGCTTGGGCAGTCTCTTCCACCGGCTGGTCAGCTTGATCGGAGTGTTCATCATTGTTATTTGCCAAACTCTGTACACTTTTGGCGGAAGCCTTGGCCTTACGAGAGGTCTTCCTCGGCGTAACGGCAGGACTAGAACTTGCGCCAGAGCTCGGATCAGCGTCGGCAGGCTGCTGACTCGACTGCTCTGGAGGGCGTGCATTCTTGGGTGGGCGACCCCTTGGTCGCTTCACTGGAGCGGGCGATCCGTCTGATACATTTACAGAAGCTGTTACTCCGACTGCTTGTGGAGCTACGTTTGCAGTCAATGCACTTCCCTCAGCTGGAATTGGTGCAAGAGTAAAGTTTGTCGTCTGATTTGAATTGCTGCGATTCTTGGGTGGGCGACCCCTTGGTCGCTTCACTGGAGCGGGTGTTCCGTCTGTTGCACTTGTAGAAGCTGTTGCTACGACTGCTTGTGGAACTGTGTTTGCAGTCAATGCACTTCCCTCAGCTGGACTTGGTGTGAGAGTAGGGTTTGTCGTCTGGATGGGATTGCTGCGCTGTTCATCCTTTCGCGGTCGGCCACGCTTTCGCTTTTGAGGCATATTTGGCACTAATTGTTCTTGTTGGCTTCCTTGTGTGTCGACAGCAGCAGTACTCGAGGTGCCAACCGACGCTACGTTTCCATTTTGACCAGTCTGGTTGATCGTTGCGGTAGTGACTGGTGCAGCAAGGCATGCGAAAGTTTCCGGTCCACCAGACATAATTCTGGCGACTGCGCGTACAGCCTTGACGAGACTACCGGAAAACGTTCAGTCCTTGTGCATTGTGTTGTTGATGTACTCGACTCTGGCGCGGTCAAAGATGCCTTCTGGTCGCGTTCCAGGTTTCAGATGGCACCGAGCGTTGAAAGGCTACAGGCTACAGCATATAGGAGGGTGTGTCATTACTGTATAAACTTCAAAATGGCGTCGACCACCTCCCCTGGCTTTTCTTGTTGGACCCAGTGACCAGCTCCATCGATCAAAACGCACTGAGCACCATTGTCCTTCATCGTCTGAAGTGCGCCAGGTTGCTGATATACGCCCCAATCATGGCTACCCGCAATGAAGAGCAGTGGCATCGTCAGCTGCCCGTTGCTGTCTTTTGGCATAGCTTGGGCGAGAACAATTTTGTCCAAGGTTGACGTCATACTGCGGTAGTAATTCAGCGATGATTGAAAGCCAGTTTGTGTGTACGCTCTCAAGTATACTTGTATTTCATCTTTGGTGAACCACGAAGACATCGCAGATTCCATGGCCTCGAGAGACAGTTCATCCTTGTGATTCGGTGATCTGATCATGGCTGCGAGGTAGTCTTGCATTGTTGCGCAGCCTGGGGGCAGTAAGTAATAGCCAGGGAGGGACTTCAAGACACTCGAATCCCATGATTCAAGTGGACGTGGCGCCATCCAGCTGTGACCAGACTTGAGATAGTAGTAGCATCGAAGAGCATGCTCAAAGGTAATGGGACTCTCCCCTTTGCAAGCGAGTGTAGAAGCTGCATTCGGCTCACAGTAATGATGTTGGTAGTGCTTGTGTCCCGAGTGAGCCAGCGCGCGCAAGACTTTGACGACGTCTTGTTCTCCGTCTCTTGGCTCCAGATCCTTGGCAAAGTCTTTACCGAAGCAATTGGCCTGAGCCTCCAGTCTCGGCAGGTCAGGGGACTCTCCATCTGCCAGAGGCTGTATGCCAGTCCACGGAGCGCTCATGAGGATGACACGTTCGATAAGCTCTGGATAGAGAAGTGCAAAGGCACCACCTTGAGGAGAACCCATATCATGTCCAACTAGGCAGTCCACTTTGGCCTTGCGCCCATGTGCGTTGCAAATTGTATTGACAAAGGTGGCGAGCAAGTGGGCCGTATGAGCCCGACACCAGGGTTTGACATCATCATCGTAATTGACTGCTTCGTTGTTGCTCCGTTGAACAGCTACATCGTACTTGGCGGAGTTTGGTGGAGGTGATTGACCGTAGCCAGGAAGATCAACGGCGACACACCAAAAGCCTTGAGCAGCAAGAAGAGGCATCACCTTTCTCCAGCTGTAAGCTAGCTCTGGAAAGCCATGCAGAAACAAGAGTAGTTTGCCTGAGGCACTGTCGCCCTCAGAGACATAGTGGAGTCGGGTGTCGACTGCGAGTCTGTCTGGCATTGTGATTGAATTGATCGCGGATCTGTCGGAAATCTGATACAGCCTAGATACCTTGAAGCACTGCGTTCCAGAACACTGAACGGATGCGCCGAGTGCTTGCAGATGCGAAGGATGGGTTGTGAAAGTAGAGCTCAATGTCCTCGAAGAAAGGTGGGGCCGTTCGGCATCTACCGTTGTTCGCAGCGTCTCAACGACATCTCATATCTAAGCGTGAGCTTCTGAGCGCACATCTGCTGCAGCTAAGCATGAATCTGCCTTGAGGCGACTGCCTGTACGTCTCAGGCCAAAGAGATGATCACTGGAATAGATGCGCTACGTACACTATGCGACAGGTTCCTTGGGAAGGTACGCTACATCTTCGCTGAAGGGAGAGCCTTCTGGCCTACGTGCAAGCATATGCAGCAAGACAATTATAGGCTGCGCGCATGATTAGTGTGTCAGTATGCGAGCTAATCATACTTACAAGGTGGCTTCTTCCAACGAACGGCTTATCAGATCGGTACAAGGAAAGCTCTCCTTTGTACATTGGAACAAGGAGATTAACCACTCTGTCAGCTCCTCAAATGAGTCAAATTCCTCACAGCACTCAATATTTGCGCATAAAAGACGCAGTTGATGGGGCTGTGAAGCCAGCAGAGATGTCACTCTGTGGTTCTCAGCGTCAGATTGCAACCGACCACGATCGAAAGCTGCTCTGTCACAATAGTCGGCTACCAGTGTCTACCATCCACGGATTTCTCTGACTTCTCTCGCTTACGGCGCTGCTCTCATCCGCAAAAAGTCTATTCCGCATAGTCGTCTACAGCTCTCCTTTGAGGATCATGCCTTTTCGGCAAGGAAATTAAGTCGCGTGGAAAAAAGCGACGCAAGCAAAATTCAGGGGAAAGACTTTCTCTCGGCCTGGCCATCTAGCCCGCCAAATTGCGACGAAATGTGTTGCCTAAGTGTTGTGCAGGCCGTGATCTTCCTCTGGACCAATCGCTCGAAAGATAGCCTGATTGGAATTCCGCCGAGCTCAGGAGACCAAGGGACCTTGGCTTGCAGGCGTCAAGAACGAGCTGCAACCCTGCCTGACTATAAAAGTGAGCTCTTCTATCCCATTGGATCATTTTGCACGACCAGCTGCAGCTCATGTATCATTCTTCGATCAATCGACATCATGGCTGCAGTCAACAGCCTGATACTGTGGATCCTTCTTCACACGACTGCGGTTGCTACGGTCTTTGCCATGGATCCTGGTCCGTCCAACCCAAAATGTCGCGAGGTCAGGGTCAAGCTCATGAAAATCGTCCGCACTAATAATGGGCTGGAATCATGCAAGGATATATGTGAGGAGGAAATACGCAAGTACGGCCGAAACAGAGCAGTCGAGGCCGTGTCAGAAGTCGAGTCCAACGTTGCCAGCACAAGTTTCGCTATATTCTTCCAGCCATGGACTATCGACAAATGTGTGGTCCGACCCTCTGCCATCTGCTACCGTGGGGGCAGCATTGAAAACGAGCACCGGGAAGTGCAAGATCACATCACGGACGAACTTGTGGGCGATTCCAGATATTCTGACCAGATGCTGCATGGCTGTACCTCAGATGTATGTTCCGCGCCTCGCACTATGCCTTTTCTTCGACGCAAGAAGAGCTTCAAAGTCAGCATATTCGACAGGAATAAATTTGTTGTATCGGAAAAAATGTGCATCTGCAAGATGATCATTCATTATGAGAATGTGTACATTGCAGACCAAGATGTGATGCCGTATCAGTCAACAGCAGTCTCTTGCGCTTATGAAGAGTTTGTAAAACGACACTCAGGGCAAGAATGGTTTCCTTCGGTGACCATGGCTACTGAGCGCACAAATGGCGTCGATGGCAATGATTGGACCGTTTCAAGCGCTTTTGTCTGCTCTAGCAAACGGTACTCACATTGTCCATGCCAAATTGAGGCAAGTGAGGCAATCTATTGTACTACAGTACAGAATCATCCACAAATGGGGCGGCACCCACGTCAGCCCTTGTGATTGTCCTTCGAGTCTGTCTTCTTACTCAGGTAGTCGTATGATCAAATTTACCTTCTTCAATGCTGTCGTCTAATTCGTTCAAGAGCGTTGATCAGCTCGTGGTCTGTCATTCTGCTTGGAAGAGTAGCTCGGGTCTCGCTGCGACAGCTCCATCTCACAGACCAAGCACGCGCTTCGCAAGTATCAAATGATTACTCTACACACTAAGGAGCTTTCTCGGCATTGCACACAGTACGGCTTTGTGCCTCTCGAGCTACCCCCTGCGATACTTCACATATTTGTTTGCAATTGCAATGCTGCATGCGGAATCATTGGAAGGGGCCCGCGAGTTTGCGAGAAAATTTCAGGGGTAATCTCAGAATAGCTGCGGGCCCTGGATCTTTGAGCTACGGGACGTGATGTATCGGGTCGAGAAATTCGCATATGTGAGCAGCGACGGACATATCCGTAAACAGAGATCACCATGAGCCTTCGGTGGTACCGACTCGTACGAGTCAGGGATGAGCTTGCGACCCTGCAGAATTCTTTACAAGAGCGCTCTTGGCCTCTTGAACTCCGGCATCTTAGACACTCATCTACATTGTACACCTTGCGAGTTATCCCACCGTGGCCAAGGTCATGATTATGCTTCACAGCACGCCTCTGTGGATGTTTTCTCTCGCCATTGCTACAGCCTTCGCAATGCACCCGGGCGCGAGTTCGTCCAACTCAGATGGAATGTGCAGCCGAGTCAAAGTTCACCTCTTAAGAATTTTCGATGGGCCAAACATGGATAGCGCATGCACGGCTACCTGTAAGAGCGCAATTCTGGATTACGCGCAGGGGAGGAACAATGAGGCGTGGAACGAGAGACAAAGGGTGGCCACCCGCTTTGGAGACGTGACCGCCGATCTGACTGTGAATGCCTGGAATGCGGATATGTGTGTCGCTCGACCTTCTGGCATTTGCTACAGCGGAAAAGGCCTAAATGTTGGAACTGAGGAAGAGCAAGCAGACTTCTTCGACGGGCTTATGAATGACGACACCATCGCAGATAAGTTGGTGAGCGGCTGCACAAGTGGATGTTCCGCACCTAAAAGCCGGTCCATATTTCGAAAAGGAAAAATTGCTAAGCTCAGTGGTAAAGAAGTGGCTAAATCGCATCGAACATGTGTCTGCAGAATGACAATTCACTATGAGAGCGTACACCTGGCTGAAGAAGACTCGCTGCAATTTGGTCAAGGGAGTTCCAGCTTTTGTGCTCTCGCCGCGTTCGCTGGTCGACAAGCGGCGGGCGGTTGGTGGCAATACTTCCCTCCTAGTGCACAGGCTTCCTTTCCTTGCGCCAGCAAAACGGAGGCAACCTGCATATGTCATCTTGACGCTGACCCTTCGGAAGGTGATTCAGTCTATTGCACGGCTTTTCCGCTTGAACTCATGTTGGGTGTATGGCCAGATGACCCTATACGAACATGGCAGCACCGGTGGGCAAGAAGTGTCTTTTGTTGTCCAAGAGACTGGTCATAGTACGTCGTCAATCATCGCTACGAGGGACAGCTACAAAGATGGGCTACAAAAATGAATAAGTAATACAAAGCGATTCGGGTGACTGTGAATGGGTGTCTCTAGATTTGCATCGCCTCATCAATCTTGTCATGAGCTTGAGTCCGTGCCTGGGCCGTCCGTTGCTGCTCCCTGATTTCTGCTTGGAAGAGGAGCTTTGGTGGTGGTCCGCTTTGATGATAGTCGAGCATATCGGCTTCATCTGCAAAGGGCTTGAAGATGCGTTTCCCACGAGCAATGTAGTAGAGGCCATCCGTACGATCTGCTGGCGCATCACCATCGACTTCGAGTGGGTGGGGTGGAATATGCGTAGGATCCACAGGTGGTTGCGTGCCGCGTGGTGTGGCGAATGGATTTTTCTCAGCTGTCCGACAACTTTCAGACTCACTCGACTGTGTCCTTTGCATCGCATGGGACGTTGTCGGTTCAGGCATATTACAAGATGCAGCAGGCTGTTGCATAAATGGATTCGCCTTGTCCTCTGAAAACAAATCAGGCTCCCTTGCATCTTCATACACTTTAAACACCTCATCCCCTGATTCACGCATGGGGAATAGTATCTTGCCTGTATAGTTGTCCGTATGGGCAAACGTGCGCGGTGTACGTTTCATGGGTGTTTCCCTCGGCGTCATGAGGCCTGCGCGCTCAGTAGCAGATCGCTTACGCGCATGTCTGGCGCCATTTGCAAGAGCAATGGCTGCTGCTTGCTGAGCTGTATGCATCTCCTCTGGCGCGCTTTGATTAGGCTCCACCGAGGTAGCTGGCAGGAGACTATTGCCATGCTTGCCTGGTGTGGGTGGAGGACTGTGCATGATGGGCTCTTTTACAAGCTTGGAGGGGAGAGATGGGTACAGCGACAGATCCCAGGTGGCCAGCACTGAGGGAGTCTCTTGATGGGGAAGATGGATGATGGGAAGGAGGAGGAGTTGCTCGAGCTCTGTCGCTGCGTCCCATGGCTGACCCTAACCCCAGACACCCGACGCGAAAAGTGAACGCGACAAAGACAAAGAGACAAGCAACCACTCATGGACACAGACGCCTCTCCCCTCGATGCAGAACTCGCATCCATCAAGCTCGTCAACCAGGCCATTGAGAAGATAATCCTCGCCATCAATGCATCCACAGACAACACCAACCACGTCCATGCCGCCGTCACCTCTGCAGACCAGCTTCTCTCCCTCTGGCATCGCATCCTCGCCAAAGCCGAAGGATCTCAACGCTTGATTCTAGAGGAAGGCTGGCAAGGCGCGTCAGCAGATCTTCAAGCAGAGCGTGAAAAGGCAGATTTATCACTACAGGAACAACAAAGGCAAGCGGAACAACAACAGCAACAGCGGCAACAAGAGGAAGAACGACAGCGTCGCGCAGAAGAAGCCGCACAGCAAGCGGCAGAACAAGCAGCATCTGCGCAACAATTGGGCAGTGATGGTGGGAGTAGCGGTTTGAGGCGTGGTGGTGCACGAGCAGGGACGCGTGGGGTCAGCGCGCGCGGTCGGGGTGCCAGTACACGCGGGAGTGGTGGTCTTGGAAGTAGTACGACGCGTCGAGAAGCTGCAGGAGCAGCTGCAGTGCCGGCACCGTCTGCGTATGCGCAGCAAAAGCGCGTCGTCTCGTCATCTGGAGCAAGTGGTGTGATGGCCACGACTGCCGCTGCTGCAGCAAGAGCCGCGGCGGGCGCTGCGAGTAGTGATGGACAAACGTCCGCACTCAATAGGTCAACAGGCGGTCAAAGTACCCGTGGAAGAGGAGCGCCTGTTGTCAGGGGTACACGCGCAAGTCGAGGGCGTCAAGCTGCAGCAGGCCGTCAAGTATCAGGCGATCAGGCATTCCGGTAGCCTTTGGGTGCTAGATTTAGTCTTGTACATGATAAATGATCTAGAGAGATGCGCTAAAAGTCAAATGCCGCAAAGGAATCCATCGTGGGTTCTTCAAAGACAGCTTTGGGTGCCTCAGAGAGCTTCCCCTTTTGCGCTTCCAGGAATGACTCGAGCGTGCGCTTATCATCCTTGAGCGGTTCTTTGACAATGCCATTGAGTTTGGGTGCATCCAACACCTGCAGCTCTGTCTTTTCCAAGGCATCTGCTAGCAGAGAACAGCCTTTTCGTTTGAGCTGCCTGCATGCCAATTGCTTGAGCTGCTTCTCCTTGCTAGCAATATCCGCTTGGTGCAATCTCGCTCTCAAGGCCGCGAAGAGGGTATAGCGAGCCACGGCATCACCGGCAACAGCTTCAGGTCCAGCCAACTCTCGAAGATCCCCTTCTCCCAGCAGCAACGACATGGCTTCCCTCTCATTGCCCAACATGAGCTGGACTTGGACCAGCAAGAACAAGTCCCCACGTTGCTGCCCATCCGGCTGTACATCCTCTTGAAAGCATTGCTGCAACGCTGCATGCGCACCGGGTTCAATGGTAGTAGCATCGAATAATCGCAACACAGCCAAGGCCAATCGCCAGGGATATTCGTGTTCGCATCGCTTACAATACTTGACAAGCACACGCCGCGCATCATCTGGTTTCCCAGCAAGTAAGAACCACGCTGCTGCATACACATCTCGTTGTTTCCCCAATAATGCAAACGCATTCTTACTCGCTGATGTCCGCCATCGCGCATTCATAAAGTCATTCTGCAACAGACGCATCGTCGGTCCACTTTCCTTCAGATGTTGCGAGATGCGCCATAGTGAAACGAGTTGCGTCCGTTGATGGAGAGCATGCATCCATAGACTTGCAGCAACAGGGTCTCGTTCCTTTCGTGGAGTCTCTGACGTGATCGTGTCACCAGCGAGATACTCATTCCGAGCAACAACATCACCGATGCGAGTCAACAGTGTTGCATCACGGATCCAAGAGACGCAGCCGCTGCGATCTGCTTGCTGCCACGTCAAGCCGCCTGCATCGCCTGTTATCAAATCAACCAGTGCATCTTGAGATTGTGAGAGGTAAGCGTACAGCGATGCGGTACTGGTCAAGTATCCTGTCGTCTCTGTCAATGTGTGGTACAGAAAGCTGGATGCGAAGCGGATGCCCATTTCGTCGAGGATCGCTTCTTTTGCTTGCAGTTGAACAACGACCTGTGCCCAGATTGACAGTGTATTGCGCTCAGCGGAAGACAAACCGGGTATTTCGAGTATCTGCTCTGACAATAACGAACAAAGAGAATCAACCTTCGCTGCATCCAAGAGTTGTGTTGCTTCCAAAGCATCGATTGCTGCATAACTGTCCAAACCTAGCATCGGCTCCACCGTCTGCGATGCGATGAGTTGCTCGTATAGCATGCCAAGAATGGCACTCGCCGACCGAGAACGTCCACTCCTTAGAATCAATTGCTCAATCATAATAGGATGATACACTGCCAATTGCTCAATTGAGCCTTGCTTCGCTTGTTGCTTGAGACCCGGTTGATCGAAAAGAAAGAGCTGACTACCAGCAGCAGCCACAAGCGATAGTTCCTCGGTATTCCGTGTCCAGCACAGCGCAGTGACGGCATCTTTCGTCAAGTCCGACATGTCCTTATGCCAAGAGCGTTGCCAAGTGGTGGCATGATCCGGTTTGTATACAAGCAGCTGGTGAGATGTTGTGGTCTGAATGCAAATTCCAAGAACCATGCATCCGTCGTCTGCAAGGGACGACCAACATAGCTGTTGGATAAAACCAGGAAGCCGCACAGTATACTCTGGAAGCTGAGAAACGGTGTAAAGTGATTCATCGGTGTGATAGATCTGTAGCACTGATGAGGATGTAGGAGACGCCATGGCTGTATATTCGCCATTTTGACTAAAGACTTTGACAGGTCCTAGATAGTCAGGCAGGGGTTGGTCGGCGGTGGCCTCGTTTTGCGAATAATCGCAATACAGACCGCTGTCGAGCTTCCAATAAAGCTGTGACTCTGCCGTAGAACAAAATCCGATAGGCGTTTGTTGCAAGCTCGTGATGACAGTTGTATGGCCTCCATATACGCCAATTGGTTGTAGAGCGCCTGCTTGGAGTAACTGGTCCAGCTTCACGCTGTATGCAGTGACGTTCTCGTCTGAAGCGCCATAAAATAGTAAATCATCCTCACCCTCCCTGCAGATATCCGCCGTCATCCACTGCAATGGAGGCGAATCAATGACCTTCGTATCCGAAGAGTAGACGAGTCTTTGGGAAGAAGGCTTATGCGTGCGTGAGCCAAGATGATAACACCCATAGACATCCAGGCAACCCCTTAACGATAACAGCAGAACAAGTTCCGGTGCACCTTGATTGATCTCTGCCAAGAGCTTCTGAGCTTGTTTACTTCGCCGACTGGCCTTATGGGCTGCCCAGGAAAAGACATCATCATCCAGCACCACAGGAACCTGCAAGCTTGTTCCCTCACGCAAATCAATCGTCTCGTGTAGTGTCAGTAAATGCGAGTCATGCGGTACATCACTCGCCCAAATCCGTAGAAACCCATCCATACAGCAGGTATACAAGATATTATCCACTGTGACATCTTCTCGAAACGGTTGTCGCCATTTCATAGCGGTAAGGGGTCGTGGATGCGGTAAGTATAAGAAATCAAAGTCTGCTTGTCGCGCACCGCCTTGTAGTGTACGATCTGGTAGGCGTCGCCAGACTTTAATGGCTCTGTCTGCTTGTTGAAAACTAGCAATCAGACTTGCATCGGGACTGAAGAGTGCACTGCTGCATGCGTCAGAGAGTGGGAAGCGCCAGATTCGATCGATGCCGCTGGTTTGTGAGGAAGGGATGTGTAGACTCAAGGTGCTATTGCCAACGAGCAGTTCGCGTCCTTGACCCCAGGAAAGGGAAGTGATGGGGCCACCGTCCAAGGAAGCAGTATGGCTCAAGTCCCAGCTGATGGTTTCCTCAAAGGATGCATAACGCTCGTGATAGAGTTGTAACGCCGCACCATTCGCAATGGCAATACAACCTGTTCGCCTATCGAATGCAAGGCGGTCGATGTACCGCTGAGTATCAATCAGCTGCACGAGTTGGATTGTATGACGATAGAGTAGAAGCTTGGAACCGCATGCGACAGCCTTCCGTTAGTACCATTTCTGATAGTTCAAAGTGCAGACAGTGTAAAGGATGCCATGACGCACAGCAGTAGCCAAAGACTGCGGGCCTGGATTGGGTTTACCGGAGCTTGACCAAGTGCATGGCATCTCCCAGCAACATTGACGTGGGTGCAATCAGTCGCGTCTTGATGGCAGGCGACGTCAGATTGAAGAAACAGTCACAATCGCTATCCATTCAAATACATGAGCTACATTAGATGGTATTACCACCCAAGAAGACGGCACGGTACACTTCCTTCTCCCTGGCCGCTTTCAATACGACAATGGCAGCCGCGAGTCCAGCTGCAGCGAGCAGGATGAATGCCCAAAGCCCGTCATATGCCAGCTGACCCGCACACAGCGCAATCAAGTCATACACGACACAGACGCCAAGGAGCAGATCGCTGACTGCTGCGAGACCTGCCGCGACCAGGAAGGTCAGCACGTAGGTGACGATACCTGCGTGGAACCCTGAATCTTTATAATTCAGGAACGCAGAAGATGCATTGTCCACGACATCGAGGATCCCGATGCCTGCAAACATCTTGCATACAATATGCGTGAGGAGCGTCTCTTTCGACAACGGTCCAAGTTGTGTGAATGCATAGTAGAGTTGAGCGGCAGAGTTGATGTTGACGAGGATGTCGCTCAGGCCGAGATGGTTATTTGTCCAAAAGAGCATCCAGAGCCCGATACATACATTGCCAAGCGCAAAGTAAGGGACATAGCGAACAGTCTCTTCCACTGCCTGGCTTTCCTCTATTGGCTGTTCGCCTTCGTGGAGGAGGCCATCGCGAAGCATGCCATAGCCAGGTTGTGCTTTGGCTAATTGATAGATCCAGTATACCTGAATACACGTTTGAGGGAAGAAAAACAAGGCAATGGCAAAGGGCTGTGGTGCAAGAAACGCATGATGCGCATCAGCTACGTCTTTCATGTTTGGTGTCGAGAGCATGCCTACCATTTGGGCACCGAAGTTGAAGAGCCATGACGCCGAGGCGACAACGGTGGCTGTTCTAGGAGTCAACGAGAAGGACATCTCTGTCTACTGAGCCTGTTAGGGGAGGCCTTGAAGAGAGAGCACGTCCATGAAGGTCGCCGCAACCCGAGGTGGCTTGGTGACGTCGTGGAGTGTTCAGATGACATGTCGACGGCGGCCGATGCCGAAGACGACAGGGACCAGGCTGTTGTTTGGCCGCACGCATAAGGATGGTGAAGGAGTAGTTGCTACCTGGGGACATTGACTTGCCAAGTTGCCATATGCGTGGATCCATCAGGTTGTCATCGCGAGTCCCTCTTGCTTTGTCAGCGAACGTTCAGTCCGCCATCTGCGCTCTGGCAGGAATACTGACATAGTCCAAGAGGACCATCGGCAGCATACTTGTAGCTACTAGCTAGTTTCGACATCTCCACTGACAGGAAATGGGCGAATGCTAGAACAGGAGTCCTGCACTTGATTAGCTGACTGGCAGCTTGTTTGTTGTTGCACGTGTTTTCGCACACTTGGAATGCTGGAGGAGACAAATTGCTGCTGGGTGCATGCACAGAGTAAGCTGGTAGCCCGTGCGCATGTGCAATAATGTATGTACATGCTTATGCTTGTTGTTTGATTGTGAATACAGTGAGTTGGCCAGCACTAACAGCCATATGTCTGTGTCTGGTTGGGTGCCTGGCTGTGGGTGCGCAGTTTCCCGCGCCTGTTGCTGCCCTGCCTGCTCTGCCTGACTGCCTCTGCCTGCCTGCCTGCCCCCCTCCTCCTCCTCCCAGCCCAAATTCAGGCCGCACTATAAACTCCCTCGCCTGCTGCCTGCCCTCGCCCTTTCCCCTACAGCACACTCACTCGCTGCACTCACTCACCCACCAAGCGCACACACTCACAGCCAAAGCCTACAACAACAAATCCACAACAACAAAAAACACTCAAGCACCCACACACACTTACACCATGCGTATGTCCCCCCTCTCTCTCTTCCTCACTCTCCCCTCCTCCTCTATCCTGCTCAAGCGCACCCGCATGACTGTTGCCCTGGCTCATCACCCCGTCTCTCACCTCTGCGCGACTATGCCATGCATGAAGCACCCGATCGCGTCTTCTCTACACACGCGTGTCAATCTGTTATCATCATGGCTCACTGTGCAAGAGTCAATTGAGAAACCAACAACAACAATCAGACGCGTCGCTATGCAGGCTAGGGTCAGGAACATGGAGCATGGAACAACAAGTAAACAAAAAACCAAAACAACATACTAACACTCCCCAAGCTAAGGACTCTACCACTACTCGTGCTGCCGCTCCGCGTGCCAAGAAGGAGAAGAAGGACCCTAATGCACCCAAGAAGGCATTGTCCTCCTACATGCTCTTCACCCAAGACCACCGACAAATTGTGTTGAGCGAGAACCCCGGCATTCCTTTCGGTATCCTTCCTCACTTGTTGTACTGACTGATGCTAACGATTCCTAGGACAAGTCGGCAGGGAGCTCGGTACACGATGGAAGAACCTGTCGGATGCAGACAAGAAGCCTTACGAGGACAAGGCAAAGGCCGCCAAGGCCAAGTATGAAGAGGAGAAGGCTGCTTATGAGCTCGAGAATGGTATTGCCCCAAAGAAGAGCCGAGCCAAGAAGGAGGAGTAAACGCTCACCCTCTGTCTCACTTGATCTCTCTCCCTCTGTCTGCGTCTTGATTTACCCCGATCTACCCTTAACCCCCTCCAAAGTCTTTTGTGTATAGGAAAAGGAATAGTACCTACGCTACTCTTCTGTCTCTAGTGTATCATCTGCTTCTGCTTCTCTCTCTAATTGAGGATATTTTCCTGATATTGCCTATGCATGCACGCAAACAATAGCTCACCGACAAGTCAGGTCTCATCCACCATGCAGGGTAGAAACAAACATAATCTGATCTCCCTGCTGCAGCACATACTCACCTTCTCCCTCGAGTTCCCAGTCCGTTTCATTAATGAGCACCAAGATACCAGGCCGAACCTGACCATCCGTTGAAACGAGCAATTCCCGTGACTTGTCTGGGTTCGTCATCTCAACCTCGACGAGGTAATTCACCAAATCTGATATCTTGAATGTTGCCGCTTCACCTATTGACGAAGTAGCGCTAGCTTCTGATTCTTTGGCTGCAAGAACGGTCGTGGCTGAAGGATTCTCGACCTGCGTATCTCTATGAGGCAGGGTTACTTTGATTTTCCGGCGTTTGGCGAATATGAGCTCGAGTCCACCACTAGTGTCAGGCGTCAGCAGCCAGCATGGAGTAGAGGTGCGCTTCTCAAGAGAGCAGCAGAGAAGCATACAAGAACTCGACGGTGACAGTGACCGTCATGTTTTATAGAGAGCTAGATACACCAGCAGCAACTCAGCTTAGATGAGTAGTTGAGCTGTTGATGTACTTTGAGAAGTGGTGGTGAAGGGATGTGAGCCTGTCGACTGCTGCCCCCGTGTCTTGGTCGCGCTCAGACACAGTTCTTTCTATGATCCTGTCTCTATCATGCTTCATCCACACATACACATGCCTCAAGTATTCCCTGGGACGATATAGTTCCCCTACTTACCGATTGATGCACTCAAGCAGCGAATTGTGACTGTGGTTCGAGAAGTTTCCGCCGAGCTCGATTGAAACGTCATCCAGGCACCAGACCAACTACCTACTCAAACACCTCCATTGACACACAGCAGCCATGTTTGCAAGCTCATCTCGACTCTGTACAAGGTCGCTTAAGCAAGCAGTAGCACCCACGACACTTCTCTCTGCATTCAAACCACAAAAACAACACACAAAGCGATTCCTCAACCAAGTCGCCACATCGCGACCACTCGTACAAGGCGCCGCGCCGCCTGATTATCGCCGTTTAGGACTTTCTGCACTCGCTGTAGGTGGAACACTCTTTGGTACACATTTCCTGTTGAATCGAGAAACGCGTGATGCGTTGCATCCGTATGAAGCTGGGTATCTCAACGAAACATTCACGTATACCGGTGCTGGGTTAGCGCTCACGGCTGTCTTGGCAAAAGGACTGCATAATGCTGGCTGGTCAGCGCGTATGATGGCCATGAATCCCTGGATGGTCATGGGTGTGGGTCTCGTTGGTAGTATTGGGAGTATGATGGGTGTGATGAATACAGACCCCGAACACAGTAAAGTCCTCAAACACGCATGTTGGGTCACTTTCCAAGGTATGCAAGCAGCAACACTCGCGCCTTTGTTCTTCATGAATCCTGCAATCTTGGCGCGCGCAGGATTATACACAGTGGGTATCGTCGGCAGCCTTAGCTATATCGGCGCTACTGCAAAATCAGACCAATACCTGTACCTCGGTGGTCCACTCCTTGCCGGCGTCGTGGTTGTTGCCCTTGCTGGACTCGCGCCAATGGTCTTACCTGCTCGTCTGACTGCTCGTGCACTCGCACCACTCGAAGCAGTCAGCTTGTATGGTGGCTTGGCAGTCTTCTCTGGTTTCGTGCTATATGATACGCAAAAGATCCTTGCCCGTGCACGAATGGCACAGGCTGGTAGGATGAAGCGTGATACATGCAGGGAGAGTGTGTCGCTCGAATTGGACTGCATCAACATCTTTGTTAGGTTGGTGAGTATTCTTGGTGGACAAGGAAACAACAGGCGACACTAGGCGTTGGCTACTATCTTCGGTATTGGTTGGCAAACTGCTTGATGGAAGATGATGCACTGTTTATAGCGACCAGTTTACAAGCATATTCATAGAACAAAGATCTCTCCTTTCATCGCCTTCTCTCTAGCAGATCTGCGATTCCTGAGACTTAGCCTTACCTAACCCGTCATTGGGTCATCAGGCACTGACAGACGGCGCCGTTTGAGGCGGAAGCTGTGGAATGGCTCAAATCACACGGCCACTCGTAAAATCGGAAATTTGTCACTCATGAAATCGGAGATTTGTCAACTCAGGGGTAATTCGCCAATAGCTCAACTGCAAATGCTTGCATTTTTGCAACCTCGGAAATTAGAAGCAGGTCTCCTACCGTAAACAACGGGTGGCCACGTTCGCTTAAAGGGCGACACTACGCATCTTGTCCACATCGCATCGAAGTGCTATTGCCCAGCCAAGCAATCAGGTATGGCATGAGAATGAGCACTGCAGAGAAGCTAACCTCACACAGGTCTTGGAGGAGCCGTGTAACGATGTTTCGACCCTCCTCAGCAACATGGAGTGCCGTGAATCTGCTGTTCCTTGTCTTTGGCGTTCTAGTGCCCGTCCACCTGGCAGCCGAGATATGTCTGCAGGGTGTTCAGCTCACTGCAACAATCACAAGTCGATTGCCATCCGAATGGTCAGATGACCTCAACTGCGAAAGAGCATGTGAATATATCTTTGTCAATGCAGCGTTCTTTAATGGGACTACAGACGACAATCAGCACCTCAGCCCCTGCCAGAACCCGTATGACGTCAAGCAAATCCTCTCCGTGGCAGATCACAAGTGGTCTGATAATAAGGACCCTATGGCGAAGCGTTGTGTCTGTTTTGTAAAGATCAGCTTTCCTCAGCTCTATTGGATGCCACAAGGCAATATCGACTGCGCCCTTGGAAAGGTTCTTGGAAACTTGAAGGCTTCAATGACAAAGAAATGGCAGACGGTACGGGGTTTTGTTGACTCAAAAGGCAGTACTGGCCAGGTCATCTCTGTCGATTTTAAGAGAACTGGTGCACCCATTCTTATTGCCCGTTGCAAGACCAAATAGCTTCGTGGCTGGATACAGCTCCAAAATTTGACAAGTCTATCCTTTTTAGAATCGATATTGATTTACCTCAAGATATCTTTCCGCAATGATCGTCATTTTTGTGCTTGTTGCTTTCGCTTCGCAAATGTACTTGTACGGATGGTCTTGTGAGCTCGCTTGCAGACCTTTAGGCTCGTACACAGGTATTGCGGGGGTCAAAAAGTTGTACGCTACATTCTATTTATACACAGTGTGTTATGAAAGCGCAGGATCAGGATGGAATGAGCAACGATACCGCGCACCAGCCAAAGGGTCGAACAGAGTGCGTAATCTGAATGTTATTTGGTATGGCTCATCTGAAAAAAGATTTCCCATTCCAGCTGCGTCCACCACAGGCGATTTCCATGACTGTAACGTCAATGGCTATGGCCATGGCCACGAGCTTGAGAGTCTTTCATCTCTCATTTCCGAAGAGTCACGTCAGGATAGGCGAGCAGGCTCAAGGGCCAGCTAGCTTTGGGTGGAGTCGCAAAATATATATCATGGATCAAAGGGACTTACGGGTGTTGTCGAAGCCTGCACTCGCAACTGAGGGGACGCTCAGTACATATCTTGCTCATGAGATGTAAATCTACAACTTGAGAGCTGAGAGAGACCAGATGTCCCTTGTTGCGAACGCTTCCCTGCTGTCAATCGATGCTCGCGAAAGTATCATCCGGAGAAGCAAAAGATGCTACATCCCCGACGATTCTACATGATTGTGATTACTGCAGTACTGCAGTGCTGTAGGGCAATCTCGGAAGAAAATGTTTTCGAAGCCCACGTCCCGACCCCTGATTTGTTTGACTAAGTCTTGGCGTGTTTGTTGCGTTCGACGGGTTAAGGAATGCCGCGACCTCTATAAGAAGGGAACATCCGCTTCACTCGTCCGTCAAAGCTGCTTTCTAGCCTCAAAGCGACCTCAAAGCAAGAGCAATTCAAGCAACCAATTCCAAGCCTTCTGCCTTCTGGTATGCGCATGGAATAGTGAACACGCGACTAATGTTGGAGTTTCTGACAGTTCAAACACGCAATGCATCTGCTGTTCCCATCGACATTAGGCATGGCGAATTTGCTTGTCCTTTTGACATTTGGAAAGCTATTCGGTGGTTGAGCCCGGGCCGCTGAGCAGTGTCTCAAGAATGCTCACATTCAACAAACGCTCAATCTGACCCTGCCAACGTTATGGCGCTCTTCTGATGGGAGTCAAGCGCTCTGCGAAAGCGTTCTGATCTCGAAAGCGTTTGGCTAAGGTGGCTCAACGCAAAATCCTCAGCATTACACGTTCGGCCAGAATAACGAAGCTGGAAGCTCAAGTTTACAATTGAAGCAGCACTTTTGGCGTGACGATTATCACTCTTGCTCGTGTGTCGAGGAGGACCAATTTCCACAGCTGTACATTAGTGATCAGAGCAATCTGAAGAATGATCTTGCTTCTTTGCAGAAAGATTGCGCAAGAGGTGGATGGGTGTCAACTTTAGTGTACTCGAAAATGAACCAGACGGAAAGGTCAAGGAAGCTTTGATAGTGACTATGGCCTCAGACAAGGAGGTGAAATGCAAGTAGCAAGTGAATGCAAGTCAGTCTGAAGAGGTAGAATATCCAGCTCCTTGCCGACTCAAGCTCTCTATCTGAATACTCTCGCTAACCCTGACCCCGGCTGCCATGACCGCAACGACCAAGAGTCCAACGATCTGGTCATCGACCTAGAGCAAGCAGTAACCATGTCAGGCTGGCCAATCTCGCCTCAAGCGCACAGGCCGCAAAGGCAGCAACATCAGGCATCATTCATGTCCAATTACTCTAACTCACCGCTCTCTCGCTCGACTGTAGACCTCTCTGATGTCACCCAGTAACCATGTATCATCTGTCGAGATCTTGCTAACCCCGTCAGTGAGTACGAGCCCGATGTCGATGCAGACGGCTATCGACGTCTTGGCCATTTGAACCCAGAAGATTCTCATATCGGTTTGCTCTCTGGCAGCCACACCTCGTCGCGATCTGACCACCGTACCGGTCGACCGACATCCAAACATGGCGAAGCGATGCGTCAAGGATCGCGCTCAAAATCCAACAAGCGACATGATTTCACCAGTGAAAGGCCAGAGTCTTTTACCTTTGAGCATGAACCAGATGCAGATGCAGATGGGTACAGGCATCATCATGGCAATCTCAGCTCGCCTGCTTTGCGCGCTCTCCCCGAAGGAACAGTTCCGCTGGACCCGCGCGCTGGTCGTGTCATCATCACACCGAGCCCTAGTCTACGACCACACCATTCGCCCTACAAGCACATCGATGGCTTCCCAACAAAATCAATCGAAGACTTGCGGGATCCCGAAGAGCTGCATTCCCATGCAGACATGATTTACGGTATTGACGAGAGCAAAGCGCGCGACTACTCCGTGCCTCAGTGGATGGAAGCCGAATCATCTCGATTGATTGAAGAGGCCTCGCATGGTGCCGTGACACCGCGCGATGACCCCAAGGCAGCGCCTGCTGTGCCCTCTCAGCGGCCCATCAAGGCGACGGGTGAGACTTTTGCACCAACTGGCCAAGCACGAGGCGACCGTGAGCCTGTTGGACCAACACGACCGATGCGCGATGACGAGCGAGCTGGTATCAAAGGCGCTTACACACAAGACGGAGAAGGTTCTGCCGGCTTGCCTTTCGATGAAAACTCCAAGGCCCCCGCGAAAGAAGGCGACATTACAGTTCAAGAGGACGAAACACCAGTCAGCATGAGCGATTCGGTTGAGACTGTTCGCGCACGTCGACCATCTGCCGTCTTTGCCGCTTTGCGTCGACCCGAGCACAAGGGGATTGACCCAATTCAGCCGGTAGAAGATTTCAAGCAACCTGAGCAAGAACAAGGTGGTGACATCAAAGATGAACGTCCAGACTGGCTTCGTGCCGCAGAACTGATGGCCAACAATGACTGGGAACGCCTGGAAAAGGAGAAGTTGGTGGAGAAATCCACTCTTGAGGAGGAAGAGCAGCGCGCCCGTGATCGTGGCTCTGCTGCACACAAGGCTCGTGCTGCATTATTGCAATCCGATAAATATACGCGAGGTTCATCTTACCCATCTTTTGCAGAAGCAGAACAAGCTTCACACGTCAACACGCCTGCTGAGGAACTGGAAGAGTCGCCTCTTGACAAGCAGCCTGCGACTGCGGGTAAGTTCTTGGGTCTGAGCAGTGTTGCAGCTGCTGGCGCTACATTGCCCATTGCTGCCACCATGACTGATTCTCGAGACGTCAAAGCTAGGGAGGAAGTAGGTGGTGAGTCGACCTCGGCGCAAGCTGCTGTGCCAGCACCCAAGATTCCTGCTCGACCAGCCAAGAAGGAAGCGTCAGATGCCGCGGCACCAGCTATTCCTACGCGACCCGTCAAGAGCCAGAGCAAAGAGACTACAGAGGAGACGCCTGCTTCGTCACAACCCATTGGCAACCGAGAGCCAAGTATGGAGAGCCCGCAGGTGCCTGCTCGTCCACAAAGCAAAGGTACGACACAAGACGTTGGCGCCGATGCCCCAAAAGTGCCTGCTCGACCACAGAAGCAAGGATCAATTTCGCGAGAGTTTGAACCTGCTCCAAAGCCAGCTGTGCCTGCGCGGCCTGTTCCTGGCAAACTCGCTGGTACGAGTAAGTTTGCATTTGCCAGTGCACTTGAGGCGAAATTGAAGGCTGGGGCGCCTGCTATTGGACTCAAGAAGCAAGTCAGCCATGATCAGGAGCGCGCTGCGGTATCACAAGATGAAGTCATGCCACAAGCATCTACTGAGAAGGAACCTGCCACTGCTACGGGACTAGCAGACGCGCGCAAGGGACGACCAGTACGACGTCGTGCTGCTGCTGCACCTACATCCACAACAGATACACAGTCTGGTCTTGACAGTATGGCGCCACCGCCCGTGTGCGAGACTGGTGAGACATTCATCTCTCGCTTTGGCGTTGAAATGCGCAGTATGTGTGTTCAGACGGGTGTTATTCGGATTGATTCGCCGTCTATGAATTTAACGGTCATGTCTTCTGCTGGTCGGCATGGCGAGGATGTCGTTGTACAGGCAAAGACCAAATCGGAGGCGGAGACACTGGAGCCTGCGACAAATGCTGCTGCTCCCAAGACAGAAGCAGATGAACGGGAGAAGAGCAAGGTGGTGGACTCCTTGACCGTGCCTTCAGTGTCGTTAGAGGAAGCAGCTGGTGGTGAGGTCCGGTCACTCGAGAAGAATGATCTTCATGCGGAAGCTGGGACATCTGCTGCTCAACCTGCTCAAACAAGTTCGGCTGAGAAGAAGCACGAGAAGCACCAGTTCTCGGACGAGAAACCAGTCACGGACGAAGATGAGAAGACTTCAGAAATGAAGCTTCATGCGATGGAAGATGAGCTAGAAGTTTAGCTAAAGCTAGACTAATCGAGCAAGGGTACAATCTATGTTCTGGGTGCACAGGTGCTGGATCACGCTGTCACATGCGCAAAGAGGCGTAGCATTGCCTTCATAAATACTTTGGGGTCTTGATCAATATGTGCTTGGTTCTTGAATGAGCGTTTATGAAATCATATGCGTTATCACCACTGACAGCCTGACAGCTCGGCCGATATCGTAATTGTCCAAGAATCCGAGATTTCGATGAGATTGGTAGATTACCATTATGCATGCAGCGGATCTCGCGATGGTGTCCTTGCTTCCAAAAGTTCATTTCGCAGGCGAGACAAAGCAAATTCGAGCAAGCGCGAAATTTGGGCGCGACGCGACGTTGACGCACGCGACCCAGCTGCAATCACGAGACACATGCAGACTTGTTGCAGTTCTGCAGAGCGTCTTGTCTCTCTTCGTGCTGCAATATTCGCATGCAGCAATCACGCCTACGCTCTACGGCTCTACAACTACGGGTACTATATTAGCACTTAGCCGTGAACTGAGTTCTGATCAACAAAACGTGTGCCTGACTCTGAAACTCCGTTGACGCCATATGCGATGTCACTGTCGCCTCCTCGGAGCAGCTCTGATCTCAGCTCACAAAGCTCACGCATGCACGCAGAGCTCTAGGTTCTCAGTCTCGGAGAATCGCGTCTGTCTAGCTCTGCAGATGGACGTATATTGGGTTGCGCAAGTCTACAAGTGTGCTGCCAGATCTAGTCAGACTACCCAAGCCAAGGGTAGGACGCCATGGAATCTTGCTTGAAGTGTCATAGACTGATAGCAGGTCTATAGCTGCCCGGCATAAGCTGCTGCGAGTCACGGACGCATATGCTGAAATCTCAAAATTCAGGGGCCAGAAATGTTCATCAAATGGCATCAATCATGCTCAGGCCAACAGGCCACCATTGATTCTCTTTGTGAGTTGCCAAGTCTCGACTTGTATTTGGCAGTCGGCATCTTGAATCCTATGGCCCAGTTCCTGGGATTCAGGGGGCACCGAGCTATTCATAACATGAAACAGTACTCGCAAAGCCTCTATCAGCTGCTGGCCGTAACACACATCTGTCAATCTGCGATTGCAACATCGACCCACAGTGCCGTCAAGTGTATGCTCGAGAAACGCCAAGAGCCCACCTGTTGCGCTGCAATCAGGGCCAGCGATGTGATGTAGCATGACAGCTTGACAGAAGCGTTCTCGATTGTGTATCCGTGTGCGAGGCGCGTCATGCAACGGCTCGGGGACATTCGAGGGCCAAAGCAAGGCTCGCTAGTGCTCTGAGTGGCTGGATGAAGGATCATGAATACTTCTGAAGAAGTCAATCTATTGGGCTTGCGCCGCTGAACATATGCATTGCCACGGGCTGTGCACAGTGCACTGAGTGCAGCCTGTGCCAGGTGTGATACTTGGATGGACTCGAACATGTACTTGCAAAGCGAATGTCGGCCGTAACGCTGCGAGACTGCGTTGCGGTCACTTCGGCTTGTCAACAGTGACTCAACACTCGATATTAACGACTGCAGATGGTCTGTGCACAAGAAGTGCCAAGCTCAAGGACGCTAGAATTTAGCCTGGGAGTGCACTAGACTGGAAACTGTCGCGCAGTCGCACTGCGGCAATGTCAGCACTGCCCAAGACTGTCCCACTGGGCCGGGCACTGGCACACTGACAGTCTGACACTGGACATTGGCCCGGGATTGCTGTAGCCTGCTTCTTCTGTCACTTGATCATGACGTCGTTCTGTGCAGGCATCGTGCAGCCAAGGTGGGCGAGCCGGAAATTGGCTCAGTACCGGGCCTAGATCACTAGAACTATTGCGGGTTTGCACAACCATATACACGTAATAAGACAGCGATAGCTACATGCCGACTCTAGCGGAGGTGCCAACATGATTGTGTGGGTCAATCTTCTGTCTGAGAGACTGTAGCATCTATAGACTGGCTAGCCCTGGTCATGAATCTTCCCGGAGATAATGTCTGGCGGACCGCTGTGCTTGGTGCCGGTATAAATGCCGTTGCCGGTGCATTGAAGGAATGTGGAGATAGAAATGCAGGCTGAGGCAAGGAGCAGCAGCAGGAGAGACGCGAAAAACACGCTCGCGAAAATAAGAGGACGCGGGCGCGCGGTTCGTGTCGTGCAGGAAGCAGCAGCAAAGAGAACAGCAGCAGCATCGAGCAGAGCATGCAACCGTAGGCCGTGTGAGAGAGTGGTACAGAACCTTCAAATACGGCTCCCTGGCCACCCCTCGACTCCTCTCATCCTCCTACTCATCCTCCCTGCTGCTCACTAGCTGTGCTTCTCTCGCTGCCTGCAAGGACGTTACACTCCCTCCTTAGAGCAACGGTTCTCCAACGACTTTTTCTTTCGTTAACGGTCTTGCCAACCTCCGTGTTGCAGTCAGTATCAAGCCATGGACTACTACTCTACCCTCTCACAGACAGTAGCATCGACGCCTGTCAAGCAGATTGACACAACCTTTTCCACCCCAACCAGAACGCAACCTGGCTCAGCGGCTGCGCGTCGGGCGCCGTTGACAAGGACACTCTCCTCGCCGGCATTCTCATATGGATTGCCAGCGAGTGCCACGCCCGGCTACATGGCTCACCACGCCAGCAGCAGCGGCGAGTGGTCCGAGGCCATGTCTAGGCGTGACTCGACCTCGTCCTTCGCCTCGAGCATGGACAGTTTTCCCATGACGCCGCTCGCCGAGGAGTTTGTCTCACCCGACCAACTCTTTCGTCGAAGCAGCAGTATGGGCTTCAACACACGTCCTCGGTCTGCCACACAAGGCAGCATGGACCCGAGCATGACGCCATACCTGTCTTCTTATGGTGCTGCCAAGATGCAACGCAGGCATACACATATGGGTGAGGGAGCACCCGGGTCGGCCGATATGTTTGCCATGCCAAGCTGGCAAGGCAACCCATACGAGGTGGATGCACCGCAACACATGGACTATGCGCCAGCGAGTGCGGCCTTGCAGCAACAACAAATTGTCGCTCAGCAAGCCGCTTATGCCGCTCTGCATGCACACCACCACGACCGTACTCATTCACGAACGGGCTCGCTCGTGTCGTTGCATGGTACCCCTGCTCAACAGACCGGTGGCATACTCACGACACCTTTGCGTGCGACACCTATGCAGCAGACCATGTCTTCACCATTGTCTGAAGTCTCACCAGCGCAGATGAATGCCTACGACGCAGCCAATATGACAGATGACGACGAAGAGGCTGCCGCACGTTCAGGAACGTCTGCCAAACGCGCCAGAAAGGTGCCTATGATTGTCTCTGATGTCAAGGACAAGCCTCACGTCTGCCCACACTGCAGTGCTCGTTTCGCACGTCTCGAACATGTCAAACGCCACGAACGCCTACACACTGGTGCCAAGCCTTTTACGTGCTCCATCGAGGGTTGTGGACAAATCTTCTCTCGCAGCGATAACCTGCGTGCTCATGAGCGAACGCATGCCAAGTTTGGACGCAACACAAAGATGATGCTCAAGCGACAAATGAGCCAGAACTCACTTGCCGGTGGTTCTGCTGGTGCTGCCATGACACACTCGCGCAGTGCATCGTCCGAGGAAGGTGTTGTGCAAGAGAAGCGTGTGTCGCCTAAACAGCGTGCAGCAGCGAAAGCAGCAGCCAAGCAGAAGCCATTGTCCATTGCTCCTGCGAAGCCATCGGGCTCGCGTACGCCGCCTTCTCGAGCGCGATCACCCACACCGTCATTGTTGCAGACTTCACACACGGCTGCCGCGATTGCTCTTGGTCAAGCATTGCAGGCGTCTGAAGCATCGACGCCAGTACAAGAGCAAGACTCATTCTACATGTTTGATGAGGAGATGATGCAACACCACGCTGCGTTCATGTATCAGCAGCAGCAGCAGCAGCAACAGCAACAGCAACAGCACATGGCTGCTATGAAGGCCGAAGAATTGTTTACCGAGCAATTTGCCTACACAGATGGTCTCTGAGCCAATGGCTCATGATTGTCTCTATTCGATGTATGTCTTTCCATTGCGATTGGCGAGCCTTAATGATCTTTCTTCCTATATCTTTATATATATACAAGCCTTTCAAACTCCTTTCGCTGCTCTCAATTCAAATTGAACTTGATTCTACATTGGCAAGGTACAGATGGCTATTTCTTGCCGCTCGCTGAACGTGTCGTACGTGTCGTAGGAGGAGGTGCATTGCGGCTGCCAGTGCTAGCCTTGCGTCCGCCCGTGCTGGCCTTCTTCTTTTCAGTATCCTTCTTCTCAGTATCCTTCTTCTCAGTATCCTTCTTCTCATCCTTCTTGTCGCCCTTCTTGGCGTCTTTCTTAGTCTCCTTCTCGCCGTCATCCTTTTTGGATGCGGACTTGGCCTTGGCATCGTCCGTCTTGGCCTTCTTGGCACTGCCATTCTTTTGTGCCGTGTCTTGCTTGCGCTTATCACCAGACTCGGCTTCATCATCCTTCTTGTCATCTCCCTTCTCCTCCTCCTTGTCCTCCGTCTTCTCCTCCTCCTTGTCACCGCCGCCATCAGCGTCCTTGGTCAATTCAGAGGCCTTCTTAACGACATCATTGCCAGAACGCTCGAGATGCACAGCAGCATTGTCGGACTCGCCATTCTTCGAGACAGTTTTGCCCTTTGACTCAATTTCCAGTGGACCATCCGTCTTCACCTCGACCACGGTGCCGCCAACTTGACCACCGCCCCAGTTGGCATGTGCCTTGTCTCCCTTTTTCAATGAAGTCATAATGTCTCGTTCCTGTTGGAATTGCCTTGTGTGTGTAGAATAGTGAGCTTTTTGAATCTACACTATTGCTGGACGTGTTGATAGAGGGTCCGACGTCTGAGATGAGGTTGGTTCTGCCCCTCCTCTCTTTCGCTGCCGTGGAGCGATGACGATTACGCTTGTGCACGAATCAGATGGGACAAAGGCGGGGAGTGTCAATTTGGTGATCAACGCCAACGACAAAGACCAATCTTTTACGCCTACAGAGATACTCACAGCTGAATTTACCTATGAATGCTCATGCTCGGTCAATACGCTTAGTCTGACTTGCTGACTCAAGATCTAGCCTACGTCCTCCCTCGCTTGTCAGCCATTTGATGATCACTCAGTAACGCCTCTACATCCGGAGCCCAGCTCAGGCGCGCATCAGACTTGCTCGATGCATTCTCATCTCTTCGAGGCAAGTCAACAGAGTGTGGCCGTAATGGCTGCCATGGTGTCACAAGCGGTGCTAGATTTTGTCCTGCCTTTTCTCGTCCTTCATCGCCATCCACAGCAGGCGAGTCAGCTGTGACCTCTGAGGCAGTATGCATACTCCTCGTTTGATCCTTCAATGTCGAACGAGATGCTCGCTTGTCACTCTTATGAAGTGTCAGGGCCAGTCTGAAATTCTGTCGAATCAAGGCTGAAATGTCAGAATCCGCCGTAACGGCACTCGAAGCAGCAGGGTCAGAGCCTTCTTGACTACTGCCAGCTGAGATGGATCCTGGATTGATTGGAGAGGGTGTTGCTGCAGAGTAATAGGAACTGCGACGTAAATCTACCATGGGATAAATTGGCGCGCGTCGACCTGCAGCATGGACGGTATGTCGTCTTGGTCGACTGCCAAATCCATTACTCAGACGTGATGGCTGACTTGAATTGACTCGAGAGTTGCTCACACTGAACTCAGACTGCTCAGCCGTCAATGTATCATCCAATCGCAAGCGCATGGGATGTATGGAGCTCTGTCGGGTTGCTTGATGCAGTTGGCTCAAATTGCGTATCGTATCTGCTTCGCGTTCTCGTTGATGAATGCTGCTTCCCAGACTGCTTTCAACTGGATTCGTTCGGCTGCGTGGGGAGCTATCGGTCGAGTCACTCACGAAAGCACCCAAGGAAGGAGCAGGAGGGATGCGAACAGAGCTCTGAACACCACGATACGACGTATGCTGTCGAATGAGACTGAGAGGATCACTGAGCCATGGTTGTGGACTTGGCGTCCCAGCCAATCTCGGTCGTCCCAGCCGACTCATTCGTTCTGCAGCTACTGGCAAAAGTAGCGAGACAATCAAAGTGAGGTTGACCTGCAACATTTTGAAAATGTGTTGGACACCAGCGCGCACCTGTACATTGCCCGCTATGCCACAACCCAAAGCGACGAGCAACGCCAATGAAAGAAGGCAAAGCTGTCTGAACAGCTGTGCATCAGCATCCTGTGCCCTGCGTGGTAAAACAAGTTGACATACGCAAAACAAACAGGTGAGAAGCCCGCAGACAGTTTCACAAGCAAGTCTCGTGTAGAGGAGCCTTTGATATACCGACACAGTGATATCAAGAATGGTTCGATAGGCATGATCCGAGGTGTACGTTGTGATGGAAAGGGTCGACAGAGCCACAATGACCACGATGGCTACTTTATGTGCTAGTTTTTGAACTCTTGGGAGGTATTGACTGGGAAAGCCGTGCGAGCGAGCACATGTCAGGACACCAAGCTGTGCTGTCGTGCGGCACAAGATTGAGAAGATGAAGGACGACAGTTGCACGCGCAGCATTGTCTTGCTTTCGCGTTCATGGTGTTGCCAGTGTGTCCCGGTATTCCAAGCGTCCAATATTGCCCAGAGGGTGAAAAACGTCTGCCGTCAGCGATCCGTACCAAGAGCGAGATAATACCAAAGAGAGGACAAGAAGAAGGGACTCTTGATCAGCCTGCCAAATCAAGTGCCTCGAACGTGCATATGCACTGACAGCAACAACGGCAGTCGAAAAGGACGCGAGCGCTACCGACACAGCCGCTTCCGTTACAGCCCAAGAGTCGCTCATGAAGAGTTCGTCTTGCTTCCGTCATGTTCTGCCCCAAAATAGAGCAGGTTGGATCTCAGTCGTAACATTCGGTTGGGATGCCACGAGACGTTCAGGGGTAGTGTAAGGGGTGGTGCGGTAGTGAAAAACTGCATATCTGAGCAGAAGCCAGGGCCAGCCATACGACTACTCAGATCGTTTGCTAGATACTAAGGTATGAACGTTGCAGGGCACCAGGGCTTCGCATTAGTGCTGCCGAACGTTGAAGGAGAAGCTGCATACCGAGGAGGAGAATTCCATCTCGAGAGGCCTTGGTAACCCGAGCGCCATACGCATGGGTCTAGTGGGCCTCGGACCTGGAATATAATGACTTGGCTCTGTGTATCTTCTCTTCTACTCTTGCGCTTACTAGGGGACATCAAGGATACAAGCAAATTATGACTGCTAAATTTGGGCTGTCAGATTTCGCGATCGGTGGCTGGAGCGAGGACTGAAAAGTGCATCTACTCGACCAAACAAGGCAGCCAACGGGACTAGAGCCACAGACCGGAGCTAGACAAGATGGGCCGTGAAAGTATGCTCATCGAATGCTCATCAGACTTGCTGGACTTGCAACAACCACTTCATCCATCAAACGGTCATGCTTGCGAACCTTGCCCTCCAGGTTGCGCTATTGGCGACGAGCGCTGAGGCATTCTGGCGGCTTCCATGCGTCAATCAGGTTGTTTATGAACGATCCGACCCAATTGTCAATCCTGGACAGCTCTCAGGGTAAGTTCTTTGCTTCGTGCGAATCGTACTCACATCAGACATATGCACGCCATCATGGGCGCCAACAACTTCAACTGTAAGACTCCTACAAGCGCCGGCATCAGCTGATTCCAGACTCCACAACCTTTGCCGATCTCAGGGCGAGTGACTGTACGACGTGTCAGGTCTCGCAAGACAAGTCTGTATACTGGGTGCCGAACCTTTACTTTCGCGATAAGAAAACAGGTCTCTTCACATCGATTGAGCAGCGCGGTGGTATGCTGGCGTACTACATCCAGCGATACGGATACAACGGAGAGAAGCTGTACGCCTTCCCCGATGGCTTCAAGATGCTAGCTGGCAGGCCCAGCATGCGTTCCTATGATGGTACCCCTGAAGCGCAGGCCATTTCATACCGCTGTCTGGACTACCCAAACAATTCACCACTAGAGACAAAAGGCTTCCCAAATCAAAATTGTCCCAACGGTCTGCGCCAGCAAATCTTCTTTCCTTCTTGTTGGGATGGCGTCAATACAGATTCACCGGATCACAAATCTCACATGGCGTACCCATCTCAAGTCGACAGTGGTACTTGCCCTTCATCGCACCCATACCGCACAGTCTCATTGTTTTATGAGATTATTTGGTGGACCGGTCCATACTGGAACCAAATTGCCGCCGGAACAGGAGAATTCGTCTTGTCAAACGGCGATGCAACAGGCTACAGTTCGCATGCAGACTTTGTCAACGGTTGGGACTTCAATGTGCTGCAACAAGCCATCGATACGTGTACGGCCGATTCTGGTGTCTTTACAGATTGCAAGCTGTTTGATGTGATTGATTACCAAACTGCTGCGAAGTGTCAAAAGCAGCCAGGCACCACTGAGCAAGTCACAGGCACCATGTCGAAATTGCCTGGCAACAATCCAGTCACGTATGGTCCTGGTCCAGCATCCATGCAACCGTACAATGCAGCGCTACCAGCAGGTACAAGACTTAAAGCCACCCTTGGTATCGCAGACGGACGCAAGGCCGTTCAATTCCCGACAAAACCAGTCGTCAATGCCCAAGGCTGTTTTGCAGATGGCTATCCACTTTCGCGAACAATGGGAGGTCTTGGTGTTTACGGCGTCTACTCGCAGCCAACCATGACTAATTCGCTATGCAGCGCTTATTGTCTAGCACAAGGCTTCAAGTACAGTGGCACAGAATACAGCTCACAATGCTTTTGCGCCAATGCCTTGCCACCCACAAAGCTAGACGCAAGCAAGTGCAACATGGCGTGTAGCGGTGATGCCAACTCACGGTGTGGCGGAGACAACGCACTCACCGTCTCATACAACCCCGGAGGCGCAGCCCTCGGTAGCAACACACCACCCACAACTGGGGGCAGTACAGGCAGTAGCGGATCCACCACACCTGCGTTCACAACATCAGGAACGTGCGCTGGCGCGAGATTTGAGACGGGTGCTTATATTTGCTGGGGCAATACCCAACTTTGTCCCATTGTCAATGGTGTCAATTTTGGTGCGTGTGCAGGCGGTTGCTTTGATCCGAAAATCTATCATTGCTCAGGCGGATTCCTACAACCTGGTGCAGCGCCAGCGACGCCCGTAGGCGATAGACCAGCGCCTGTTGTCACAGGAGTGGCAGTCAGCAGGCCGAAAGCGGTCGTGACAGCAGTCGCAAAGCCAAGAAAAAGTAAGCGTGCCTTGACGGGTGGCTTCATGGATTGGTTCAGGCGGACAGAATCTGCAAACGAGACAGTGGATGTGAAGGCACGCGATCTGATGAATGAAGCGTCAGAAATGGTCTATGACTTTGAGTGGCTTGCATAGTCTTACTAGTTAGACTAAGTACTAGATCTACGTAATGACAGTTGGCTTTGCACGACCTGTGAACTTCTCGAGCTGAAGAATATCCAGAGCGGCAGAAATCAGACTCTTGAGACCATCTTGTGCATCAAGCTCATACTTGCTCTCGTCCGTCTCGTACTTTTCGACATATAGCCTGATAGTGGCGCCGGAAGAGCCGGTACCAGACAGACGCACAACGAGCCGGTCGCCACCCTCAAACTTGATGTAGAGACCTTGGTGCGAAGCCACCTCACCAGTAACAATATCCTTGTACTCGAAATCGCCCGCTTCAGCAACAGTAAAGCCCTTGACGGGAGTCGAGCCAACAAAGTCAGATTTTGCAATTTGTGCTGCAACATGGTCAATGACCTTGTTGGCATCCGCCGATTCGATCTCCTCGTAATCATAGCGAGAGAAGAAGGTTCGGCCGTACGTCTTCCAAAAGTCCATTAAAATATCGCTGATACCCTCCTTGCCAGGCTGCTCTTGGCTCACACCTGCAATGATGTTGAGCCAAGCAACCACAGCCCAAAGACCGTCCTTTTCGCGAATGTGGTTGGAGCCCGTACCAAAGGACTCTTCACCGCAAATGGAGAGGCGCTTGTCATCAAAGAGAGAGCAAAAGAACTTCCAACCTGTTGGCACTTCGTAGCAGTTGAGGCCTTTCTTCTTTGCGACCAAGTCAAGGGCGCCAGAGGTAGGCATTGAGCGAGCAAGACCATACACACCTTGTTTCTTGAAGTAAGGAATAAAGTCTGCGTGGTGTGCAATCACAGCAACAGAGTCAGAGGGCGAAACAAAGGCCTTGTAGCCGTAAATCATATTGCGATCACCGTCACCGTCAGATGCAGCGCCAAAGTGAATCCTGTTGGCATCCACCTTTTCAACGAGTGTGTGCGCGTATGTCAAGTTGGGATCCGGGTGACCACCGCCAAAGTCTTCGAGGGCTTCGCAGTTTTGTGTGGAGTTTTTCAAGCCGAGTTCCTCGTCAAAGATAGCCTTGGCATAAGGCCCTGTGACACCAGACAACCCATCAAACAAGATCTTGTAGTCTGGCTTCGACTTGAGGAATGACTTGATGAGGTCAAAGTCGAAAATGTCCTTGAGCATGGCGAGGTAGTCGGTAACTGAGTCGATGATTTCAACCTCGAGATTGCCATACGTCTTGGTGCCAATGGTGTCCAAGTCAATTTCACCAATCTCAGCCCATTTGTACTCGCTGATTGTGGTGGTTGTCTTGTAGATGGCATTGGTGACTGACTCGGGTGCTGGTCCTCCATTGGCCAAGTTGTACTTGATGCCAAAGTCCTGGGTAGGACCACCAGGGTTGTGTGAGGCAGTCAACAAGATACCACCAGTAGCCTGTCGCTTGCGGATGATGTGCGACGTAGCAGGTGTACTGAGAATACCGTTCTGTCCAATGATGAGTTTTGAAACTTCATTACCAGCGGCAATCTTGGCGATAAACTGGATGGCTGTCTTGTTGTAGTATCGACCATCACCTCCAACAACAAGTGTAGCTCCTCTCGCGGCAGGCTCCACTGCAGAGATGATTGCCTGCACGAAATTCTCAGTATACCCGGGCTGTTCAAATACCTAAGATGTGAGCTTCTGACTGGCGACAAGGAGACTTACTTTGACCTTCTTTCGGAGACCCGAGGTACCTGGCTTCTGACCCCCGAAGGGCTTTGTGGACTTGGTAGAGATGCTCATTGTTTGCTTGCTTCTCAATTCGTGCAGTCAGCTCTGGAAGTGTGGGATACGGGGTGTTGAGCGAGGCTGGGACGTCACTGGGCCACGTGCACGGATGCCGACCATCTGAAATATACACACAATAATCCCCTCGACCTTCTACTGCTAGTCTCTCGCATCGGTTGGTGGGCTGACCTGAAGGCATTTGGCCGAATGGCAGGCTCAAACTCATTTCAAGGTCCGATATAATTACTACAGATAAATACTTTACTCATTGCCTGCTACAGTGTCAGCCATTCTTCTCCAGATGGACTTCTTCTTCTGCGTTGATCCGTCCACCAGAGATGGCGCATCCAAGTCCTCCTCAAGTATGCGACCAGATTGCAGATCCATCTCATGAGACCTGAGCCAGCGGGTCTTGTGCCAAAACTTCCAGCCAATGTAGCCGAGCACAGACACAGGCAAAACAATATAAGCAACAACAAAGTCTTCAATGTTAAAAGGCGCAAATGAGCTGTACCCTTGGATCAGCGTGAAGATGGTCGACAAGATGAGCCCAGCGTACGCCTGGTATGGCTGATACCAAGACTGATATGGCATTGATGACCTCGAATAACCTTGTGCCTTCCAGCCTGCAGTGTGCCTGATATGGCTGAGGTTGATGATGCCCCAGACAATGAATGTCGATACACTGGAGATGTTGATGAGACTTGAGTAGACCTTGCCTGCAGCTTCTGCGCTATTGATGAGCGCCAACAGGCCAAAAAAGTTGGAAAACAAGATTGCGTTGACTGGAACGCCGCGTCGAGTGGTTCGTGCAAGGAATCGTGGCGCTTTTCCCTCGTTGGCGAGGAAGAGTACTGTCCTCGAGGCGATGTAGATGCAGCTATTTGCTGCAGAGATGACTGCCACAAGGATGAATGCGTTGACGAGATGGACACTACCAGCCCAACCAGCTCGAGTCAGTGCAATGGTGATCGGACTAGCAGCACTGCGAGACTTTGCGTTGATGAGCTCACTCGCATTATACGGCACAGTGAGCGTAAAGAAGAATGCCGTGCCGAGGTAAATAACAATGATGCGGAAGAAAACTTGCTTGATGGCAGTCGGGATAGCCTTGCGCGGATTTCGTGTCTCACCGGCTGTTGTGCCAATGGCTTCAACACCAGCGAAGAAGGTTGACGTGAAGGAGAATACTTTGGCCACGCCGGCGAATCCAGCTGCGAAGGCACCAGGATTGTCAAAGAAGCGGAAACCAATGTACCCTTGATTGCCAATGCCTCCTGTGTTGATGGCTATAGCTGCCACAAAGAATACGAGCAGACCCACAATCTTGATGCTCGCCAAATAGAATTCCAGTTCTCCATACACGGCAACTCCTAGTAAAGCAACACAGCCGAAAAAGAACCAGAGTAAGAGCACCCAAGCGTAGCCGGGCAGCGCTGTTGTCCAGTACCGCAAAAGCAGTGAGCTGACATTGTACTCATTCGCAAGGACAGTGACCCAGATTAGCCAGTAGTTCCACCCGACAACCAAGGACAGGGCGTCATCCACGAAACGTCCTGTCCATGTCATGAAGGAACCACCTTGAGGGTACAGGGTTGCCAAGTCGCCGACACTTTGCATGACAAACAGTGCCACCAACCCAACGAGCGCAAAGACAATGAGCAAAGCGGCAGGTCCACCAGCAGCAAGAGCACCGCCCGAGCCTATGAGAAGGCCAGGACCAATGATGCCGCCAATCGCAATCATCTGTACTTGTCGTGACTTGAGAGCACGCACGACACCAGCATTGTTTTCATGAGATACGCGATTGTGAGAGCTCTGTTCATCTATTGAATAAGAGCGCGGCAACTTGTCCTCTTTCGCGACAGTTGAAGACATTTCAATACTTTGACCTTGATCTGAAGCTGAAGGACCTTCGCCACGTATGGGCTGGTATAGATGCGCAATTGTAGCGCGATATGAGGTAGTACAAATACGCAGCTACTATGCTTTCCGTGGTATATGCAGATGAGAAGCGCTAGCTAGGTCAAACGAATGAAGCGATGCAGCAAGGTGGCTCGACAAGCGAAAGAGTAGAGGAAAGATCAGGAAATGGAGTCGGACCTGCCTGCGTCGCACAAGCTGAAGAGTCAGATGGTGTCGTCACACGTGCTTCGCATACAATATTGCGACACCGACAGTCTGGCTCGATAAATATTTCATAGATGCTGCACGTTAGTACGATTGCCCTGCCGTGAATATACACTCGAATGATCAAGCTTGAGAGCTCAAAGGATATCGGGTGACTGCTTGCAGGGCCGCCCACTATCATTCCTTCTGTGTGGTGTTAGCTTGTCACGAGCTGCAGCCGAGCAGGTAGCAAAAACAGGAGGCCAGCTAGTGGTCGTACCCTCAAGACGGCGTGAGCTGAATCTATAATTAGCTGCAAGACAGGAGCACAGGAGCACGCTGCAGCGACGGTTTCCAGGCTCATGCTACAAATCTTGACGAAGCTCACAGGCCCAGCGATTGAGACTGATTGCGGTCTTGTGCCGACTCTGCCGAAGCCTATCGACCTCACAACTCATCAGTGTGAAAACGTGTTGGTGCACAGACTAAAGGTCGCGACTCGCGCGTGTTCTTGGCTCAAAGCTCGTGTGCAGATTATGGGAATGTCTACAGACCGCGAGAAACATCGCATAATGTTTGCGGGCAAACAATGAATAGTTGGATGACTTCGACCATTGTATCACAGCCGCGTAAACCACACTGCAGTCTGTTCCCAAAGCTGCGTTGGTCAGTTCATCTATGTGTGACTGCTTTTCAGAGCTCGTAATCACCAAGCAAGACATTGGCACAGATTGACAGCCTGTTTCGGCCGAGGAATTCGAGGTCAAATGACATCATGATTCATGACAGCTAGCCGACGAAGCAGCTGTTGCATCGTCACCCCAGCGCTCCTGTCTTCACAGGACACCCTGGACAAGACGAGCATGACTTCCTGGAGCCTTGCACTACTCGTCTTCAGGCCTACTCTAGGTGAGCTAGTTGATTGTCTGGTCAATGCTCATTCGCTGCAGGAAGGGGTGTGAGCTAAAATGAGTCGCGAGTCGCGCGTGCGCAGCTCACTCCGCACGTTTTCGAAATTTTCCCCTTTGCTCTCTGGGGGCGCAAATCCCCCATTGCTTCAGAAAAAGGCCATTTGCGCACGCTGAAAGAATGGCAATCAAACCATTTGCTTGGCAGGCCCAGGCCTTGGTGACAGTTGAAGCAGCCAATCACCAAGAAGCTTGCTCCTTGCTGACCAGCCCATTTCGGCTTGCTGTCAACTGAAATGGACCTCCGCTTCTTCCACACCGTCACGCTTTCTGTCACACGCATTTTGACAGGCAAAGGATCAGTGAGTCGCGCGGGCGGTGCCTAGCGTGGGCTACTCTTTCCCACGGATGACTGCGCATCGTTGAGGTTGAGCCGGGCGTCTAGTATAAGAGGGAGACGTCTGCTTACGCACCCTGGTCAAGCTCCCAAGAACTCTTCATTTTAGTATCTCATCATCATGAAGTTTGTTGCTACTGTTGCTGCTGTTGCCGGCCTCGTCGCTGCCCAGCGTCCTACTAACACGTCCATCTGCGACTACTAGTATGTTTGATTTTGTACATCTCGCAATCGACTAACAAACAGCACTGGCGCGCTCCTTATGAGCAACACTGCCGAGAACCAGTACACGCTCCTCAAGTTGCTTGTCAACACTGTGGTCATCGGAAACTACACCAAGTCTCCTGCACCCATGAACGCTGTGCCAGGTATTCTCGCCCCTGGAACTGTCAACGGTACCGAGGTCAACCTTGCTCCTTACTTTACCGGAGCTCTCATGTCCTCCAACCGTAACGGCATGCCTACCTCGGTCAACTTCTTGGACGGTGGTGCCGCTGCCCCTCTCATGAACAACACTCTCCCTACTGAGGGCTCAAACCAGTACACACTCGTTACGCACTTGTACCAGTACTTTGGTTACCTTTTGGGCTGCACCATGCAGGGCCAGTCTGCTTTCCCTTCGTACGGCGGTTCGACCTCGCAGTACAGGGTGCACCGATACATGAACCTCACCCTTGCCCAGAACACCTACTTCATTAACCAGGTTGCTCTTGCCGCCGCTTCTTTCGGTGTTGCTTCGTCTGATATCACTGCAGTTGGTACAGCACTCAACTCCCTTTTCAATGTGCGTTGCGGACCTGCCACGGCTGTCCCAATGACCGCTGATGCCGCTCTCCAGTCGATCTGCACTGCTGACGACTGCCCTCTCGCAGCTAACGCCGACTGCGCTGCATACGCCGTTAGCGGTGTTTCCTCCGCCTCTGGTTCCGCCCGTCCTTCCGGCTCTTCTGGTGCTGGTGGTGCCGGCGCAGGTGCTTCTACTCGTGCTGCCTCTGGAACTGCTCGTGCTACCAGCTCTGGTTCGCGCGCTGCTTCTGGCACCGGTGCTGCACGTACCTCGGGAGCTGCTTCGGCCGCTAACGTCGTTGTGTCCACCAACTTCCTCTACGCTGGTCTCGTCGGTGCTCTTGGCGTCGTCGGCGCTTTCGCTCTTTAAGTTTAGTCATGGATTTGAAGCTTAAGAGAGAATCGTTGAAAACACTAGACCTAGAAGACCCTGTACAATGGTGCCTTACTGTTCTACAATACTTGTTGTAATTCGCGGCATTGCCGCTGTGATCATATTGATGTAGAAACTCGTTTGGTTTCCTCCTCTGCCCCCTTGAATGCCGCTTTCCGGTAGGTCATGGACCATGGTGGACATCCGCGTCGTTGAGTTGTTCATTGTTCTGTGAGATACTAAGATCAAGACATCTCGTATCGTCTGCCATCTGAACTGCACTACGCGCGCAACTATGGAAGACCTCAACCACGAGCTACCAGCTCAAACCCTGGAGCTTAACAATGTCACAGCAGTCGATAGTAGACTCTTGCTTCTTCTCAAGACCAGATGACAAGTCTAAGCGTAAAAGACGCTCTCGCTCTGCTTTTGAAGGATCTCCTCGCTATGCCGCCTTTGAACAATGTTTAGCACAGCTCAATGGCTGTGTAGAGGTAAGCTCAAGTCAAACTCCCCACAGCACTTGCTTACCGATAAATTTCAGACGCATCTGAAGGAGGAGAACCTGGCTTTGGTCGCTCGTCTGTTGCAGTTCATCCAAGCACCGCATCATACTGCATGGCCCACTAGACAGATCAAATGCGCAGTATTGCAGGCTGGCTCAAACATGAGCAACCTCGCCAGGGCTTTCGTCCAACTAGAGGAAAGGGTGTTTGCCTCAAAGAAGCAGCCATGTGCTTTAACTGTACTGAACGCATCTGATTGTACTCAGCTTCGCTTGACTATGAAGAAGCTTGTCTCATCTACATTAGCGCAAGGCAAGACTGTCACCAATGACACAGGTGTGCAGTCACATGATATAAGACTCCTGAAAGTGTGGCACGAGGCTCAACGAGAGCCACTACCTATCGTTGTGGCTATCCCTAATCTAGAAGGCTTTGCGCCTGGATTAGTGACAGAGTTGATTCAACATTTCTCGACAGAGGAAGACTTGGACATTCGATTCATGCTCGGCGTTCCCACATCCTTTGGACAATACCAGACAGCCATATCGACTGCGAGTATACGCTTGCTGGACGTCGAGCGTGTTTCGCTAGACTCTGATCAGCAAGCTGTCGAGAAAATCATCTTTACGCACTTGATCGAGTCAGACAACACTCTACGGCTAGGATTTGACGCTTATCAAGTATTGCGATCACATTTCCAGCACAGTACTCGATCGTTGGAACAGTTTGTTGCCGGATTGAGGTATCAGTTGCTGTGCTTCTTTTACTCTAATGAGCTTGCTCACTTGGTCAGGGAACCTCAACATCTTGTGGAGATGAGTGCCGAGGATCGCAGGCTAGTGTGTCAATTACCATCTTTTCGAGAACACATCAAGGCGCTTGTCGGTAGCAAGAAGTTACCTTCTTTGCATAGAGCTGAAGCACTCTTGTCTAATGATGACGAGGCCCTTCGCAAGCTCTGTCTGGATGCTGTGGACTCCATTGCATCATACAAGGCCAATTTGCATGTCGTCTTTCGCGTCTGGGACATTCTCCGCAGCTTAACCTCTGCGCAGAGATTCTCCTTCCCAGACTCATACGGAGTCTTGCTGGAACGTGGTCTTGCCACCAGCAGCATCACAAAGGAGAGTCTGATTTCACTCAAGTATGGCAACGCAGATCTCAAAGCATACTAACAGCCAGGAAATTCCCCACAGAAAAGACTGAAGCGTTTCTGAGGGCATGCCTAGCAAAGCTAGGTGAATGTGCTATTGCACAGCAACTTGCATTGTACAGTGCTGCTTTGGCAGAATCAGTCTCCAGCGAGCAAAAGGTCACGATCGAAATCCATGATTACCTGAAAGAGCTCTTCGAGACGCATCTCATCTCTCATGAGCACTTGCTTCTTCATGAACTGTTCTGGACAAATAGCACTCGCAGCTACGATGCCGCGTACACAGCAGCTACACGCCAGTCTCTGGCAGCTGCACTTAAGACGCCATCGCTGTACCTTGGCGAGATGTCCGTGGACCCGTATGCACCAGCGCTCTTTAAGCTATTTCAAGACTCAGGCCAGCTTGTCAATGTTTATGACTGGTTCCAAGCGTATGGACAAGTCTGTGGCGAGCAAGGTGGCGACGAAGAAGCAGAGAAACTGCAGCAGGCACTCTTTGCAAGGGGCACCGCTGAGCTGCAATTCTTGGGTTTCTTCAAGAGCACGAAACGTAAGACTGATCATGTTCAAAAGACATTCAGCACGTTGTAGTAGTTGGATACTTGTGACTGTTGCTCATTCGCTCTGGATTTCTTGAGTTTGACGCGACTTCGAGAAGCAAACCGTACCAGCTAGATGAGATGAAGGTGGAAGATGCGGCGTTGGCGGCCAAGTCGGAGAAGTGGCTCTTTACGGAGCAAGAGCTTAAGCGAACGCCCAGTATCCAGGCTGGATACTCGCCAGAGCGCGAACGGACCGAGCGGATGAAAGGATGCGATTTTATCTTCAAGATTGGCATGAAATTGCGACTGTAAGCGTCGCCTTGACTAAGGAGCCCGCATGCTAATGACAAGACTGCAGAGTACGATTGCGACGGCTTGTATGTTCTTGCATCGCTTCTATATGCGCTTCTCATTGAGAGAATACCATTACTACGACATTGGTGCAACGAGTCTTTTTTTGGCTACTAAATGCGACGAGAATGTCAAGTCTCTTCGCAGTATCGTTGTTGAATGCTGCAAGACGGCACAGAAGAATGAGCAGCTCGTTGTCGATGAGCAATCGAAAGAGTACTGGCGCTGGCGCGATGTTTTACTCTATAACGAAGAACTACTGCTGGAAGCGCTGTGTTTCGACCTCGTCATTTCGCATCCCTATAATGATCTACGGCAGTACTGGAAACGTCTTGGAGGTGGTACAGAGCTACGCAAGTGTGCATGGGCATTTGTCAATGATACCTACAGAACACGCATTGTTCTCATGTACAAAACACCAGTCATTGCTGCCGCGGCCTTATATTTTGGCAGTGTCTTTACGGATACGGCGCTATCAGAGGTAAATGGCGAGCCTTGGTGGCGGACACTGAATGTCGATCTGGCACAGTGCGAGGAAGTTGTCCAAATCATGATTGAGCTCTTTGAAACAGCGCCCAATCTTGTCAACAATGGTATCGATTTCAAAGAACAGGCAAAGAAAGGAGGCGAAGTGGTGAAGCTTTTGGATGTGGCCAAGGAAACGGCAAGCATGGCGAATGGCAACGCTGCGAAGCGGCCTGCAGCTGAGTCGACTACAGCGGAGCCGCAACCGAGCGCGAAAAAGGCCAAGGCTGAGCAAACGCCTGAGGCAGCGGTGGAGGAAGGCGAGCTCAGAGAGTAGATGCAACGCTTGAAATCAAAATGTACAACTCATGTCTAGGGAAACAGCATATTATGAGACGATCAGTTCTTGCACCGACCAGTCTTCATAGCTGCCATCCGGCAGGAATCGTCGGATGAGCAGTGGAATCTTCTTTGCACTGAGCTCCTTCTGCGCAATCACCAACGGATCTGTCTCTCCTTCGAGAGCAACAAGCACTGGCGCATTCATACTGATTTGCAGAGCCCGTGTACCGAGGATTCGTGCTTTTTCATACTTTGTCATGTATGGTGTGGTTTGACGATCGGCTTTCGCAACAGCGCGCGCTTTGCTATTCTTTTTAGCGTTGCCTGTACCATTGACTTGGCCAGCACCGCCTGTCGGTGCAATGACCTCCATGTCGCCGGTTGTGCCGCCTACGCCAGCTTCATTCGCATCTGCATCGTCGTTGAAGTCTTCATCTACTTGCTGTTCGTCGTCGAATTGTGGCTCATCATTATATGTCATTCTGTATGTCAGATGCAAACCCACCACCCAAACGGAGTCTTACCCCTCGTCATCGCCATTGTCAGACATGGCTGCTAGCAGGTGTTGCTATTGTGCGTCGTTCTGTCTTGCGACTTTTCAAATTTTGCAAGACGACGAGAAGCGCGACGCCGAGGACTTGCACACTACAACCAACAAAAAGCATGGCGCCGAAGCGTATCAATCGGCCACAGGCAGAGTCCGTCTTCAGCAAGGCACTGACTGCCGCTCGTAACCCAGAGAACTTGTCGCTCGTCTTTTCAGCAGGCGTCTTTGCCGTATGTACCGACAGCGCTTCAGCAGACGAGAGACTAACACCTGACTGTAGGGAGCCGTTGCGTTTTTGCAATCACAATGGGGAGAATACCTTGTACCTCAGTTCTGAGTTTGTACGACAACAGCAACTTTCAAAGATAATCCCTCGTCTATACGCTACAACTACAATCATGATGTACTTGAAATGCTTTTGTGGCTAAATCAGCTCCGCACCTGCATACTGTGCTGAGATGAATATGATCACCATCGACCTCTTACTCTGATTCTTTTTCGCTGGGTTCATCCAGATAATTCTTCATTGCCTCATACGAGCCCTGTTGTTAGCTTGTCGACATGGACTGAGGATGTAACGCACGAGATACAGGGATAAGCCCATACTTGTCCAAATGATGCGCAGGTAAAGGCCCTTGAAGAGCGCTTTAGCTCCTTCCTGCCGAACCGTATCCTTGGCTACTTTCCACATCTGCAAAGTTAGCTCGCAGTCACACCATGACTGCACATACGGTGATTTGTTCATCTCCTTTTTGGTTGAGCATGACTTTTGTCTTGATCACATCGAGCGGCGTTGTGACAGCAGCAGCGATACTGCCACTCGCTCCAGCACACAAACCAGACTCCCATGCCATGAGCTTCTTTTTGCCTTGCCGATGCTTATACGCCTTCTTCGCAGCTTCGTACAGCGTGAATTGAATCGCCGTGACAGGCACATTTCGAAGGAGAAGACCAAGATATCCTTGCCATAACCCCTTCATATCCCGTCCCTGTATCAACTCTTTCAAGATCTCACGAGATGTTTGATTCGCATGCTGTCCGCCACCGCCTGCATGTTGTCCAGAGGCGACTTGTGCACGTTGCTTGACAATCTCAGCGGGAGCAAGAACAGCACAGGAGAGTGCCTCTGCCAGTGTACTCGCCGTTAAATGATTCGCTGGGCCGTGTGAGCCCAGGTTGAGCAGACCAGCTTTACACTGCTCATAACTCCAGAAAAAGAGGGCAGCAGAGGGAACTGTACAAGCAACGACTGACCCGATACCGCGGTAGAGGCCTGTATAGCCTCCATTCGCCTTAAGGCCACCTTGTGCTTGCGTACGCGTTTTGATGGTATCGAGCGGGAAAATGAGGGAGTCGACTGCCATTGCGGCAAAGGCTCCACCCATCAGCGAAGACCAGGAAGAAGGAGCGTCTGCCATGAGATGAGATGGTGATGTCAGGGGTCAGAGAAAGCTTAGATGAGAACTGGGGAGAAGTTCAGTGAAGGGCAAGGATGAAGGGCAGAGGAGATGAAAGCAGTTTAGATGGAGGCAACGGAGCAGCTGTGTCGCCCAGAGAAGCAAGACTGGTGTATATATGGTGTATCTAGTCCAATATATAATTCGCCGCGTATGGTGCTTACCCTAACCCCGTCTTCCAACTCGGATCCGCAACCCAAACCCGGAATCTGCCCGACAAAGCACACGCAAGACACAGTCTCTCTAGCCTCACAGATACATCATGAACGCACTCAGGATCGCCGTATGTGCACTCCGAGACAGTCTGTTGGATGAGCTGGTCTTTTGACCGAAAGCGAACTGGCAAAGATGGCTGCTCATCCATTAAATCAGACTCGAACACAAAGCTCTTCTTTTACTAACAAGCATCTCAGTCAAGGGCCGCTGTCCGTGCTCCCCTCTCAAAGAGGACCTTCATGTCTGCATCAGTCGCACGAGCAGGTGAGTTGCTGCCCCTCTCGCGAGTGAAGCAGTCTATATGACAATTTAACGCGCACAAGCTACAGCGATACAGTTGCTAACATTCACGCAGACATCGTCACAGATCTCTACCTCAAGCAGGTCAAGGAGTACAGGCCCGCTCCATCCAAGGCATCCGACTCTGAGGGACAAGTGAAGAATTGGTCCGTTCCTGCTGCACCTGCTGCGCCGCAAGAGCTCGGTGATGTCTCCTCCGAGCTGTCCGCTTATGAGTCCTCTGAGGCTGGTGGTGAGGCATCGGCTGGATCATCGGGAAGTGCTGCAAAGAGCGATGAGGGCGATTGGTTCGAGTTGGATACTGCTCCCGACCATGTCCACCACTAGACGTACCTTCTGTACCAGGTCTGTCCGTTTTTGATACTTGATACAAGTCAAAGTAGATAGAATTCATGTGCAGACAAACCATTCTGCTACCAAGGATATGAAGACTAGAAAGTGAGCCTAGATACCACGACCACCCGTAACGGGAAGCGTGATACCGTTGATGTATGAAGCGAGTGGGCAAGCCATGAGCAAGATACTGGCAGCTGCTTCATGTGCCTGTCCAGGACGTTGCAATGGAATATCAGCAACGGCATTGACGCTCACGGCTCCCTTTCCACGGCCTGGAATACCGAGAGGGACAGCCTTACCATCCACCATCATCACAGCACCATCTCCCTTGTCGGCAGTCAATCGTGTCTCAATGTAACCAAAGGCCACTGTGCATGAACGCACACCAAACATACCCCACTCCTTGGCAATAGTCTTGGTGAATCCTTCAACACCAGCCTTGGCAAAAGCGTAGTTGATTTGACCCGCGTTACCGTGGAGACCGGAGGTGGAGGAGATGTTGATGATGCACTTGTTGGCACCATCCTTCTTGCGCAGATAAGGTGCAGCGGCACGTACGAGACGGAAGGGACCTGTGCCGTGGACGGCGAGCATGGTGTCCCATTGCTTGTCGGACATCTTGTGGATCACACCATCGTAGGTGAAACCAGCGCTAGGTAGGATTAGCCATATGCTCCACAAGGAACACGAAGGACTTACTTGTTGATGATGACATTGAGCTGACCATACTTCTGGACGGTAGCGTCCACCAACTTCTTGGGGAACTCAGCATCCATGATATCGCCACAGATAGCGACAGCTTCACCGCCCGTAGCCTTGATCTCTTTCACGACACCTTCAGCCTTGGCAGCATCAATGTCACTGACAACGACTTTGGCACCTTCACCGGCAAACAACTTTGCAGCCGAGGCACCGATACCTTGTCCCGAACCGGTGATGATGGCCACTTGGCCAGCAAGGAGACCACCCTTGGATGAGTAGTTCTTTGGGTCGAGGTGGTTTGCAACTTGGTTAAGACGGTCTGCCATTGTGTATAGGTTGGGTAATGTAGAAGAAGGGAAGCCTGAGGTCAAGATGGAGGTCGAGGTCGTTGGGGCCCCGCAACTTCGCGGAGACAAAAAGGCGCCGAGACCCTAACCCAGCATATGTCCAGATGGGCAGGAATTGAAATCTTCCCTGTCGCGAGAGTATTCATGCTCTGCTGTTTGCAGTCATGACCAGGCAGCTTCTATCAACAGATCTTGATCCCGAGGTCTCGAGTCTCGACATGCTCATACAATGTGGCTCAGCTGATACTTCCATCCTTCGCTAGGGTCTGGCCACGTTTTATATGCCAGCCTTGGTCAGACCACCTCTGCTCAAGCGCCAGCATTGCCAGAAGCGATTCTCGCTCGTGACACTCACAATGCTGAAACAAGTCAAAGATTCTTTGAACCTCTATTGCATTCACCGTGTGTTGCATCTTTCATCCTCGCGTCCAACACATTTGTAATTTTCGAGCCAGGGGTCGAAGCACACCACACATGACCAAATTCTGGTGAATTGCCATATCAATGACCTCAATGTCCATTGACCTTGTCCAAATCGTCATATCTAAGCTATGGTCGCCATAAACTTGACCTCTCCACTAATTCTCCATAGTCCAGGGGTCTCAGCCATGACGCTCGGTTCTTCATGGTGCAGCGGAACTCTTGATCTTGCAGCGACAAACGTGCACCATCCAATATCTATCCGTCATGTCACACAAGCTGACAGCTCTGTCACGGCAGATCGACAACATCAATGACGTGACACGATGAAAGGGTCAAAGAGCTGATGTGGCGAGCTAGGGAATGCTCGTGACGATCTGAAGCACGGACATCCGTGCACTGGTCACAGAAACAAAGCAAAACGCGTAGAGGAGACGAAGACGCAGACAGTGCCTTGGTGGGGTATCAGAATCCTCCGTGTTGGGTTGAGCATAAGGCCGCTCCATCTCAAGGAACGTAGTGCAATCATGCGCACGTTCCTGAATCCTGGACTTGATCCCACTGCTCGCCAATTTCGCCTTTCGTCACCTGACAACAATATCACCTTTTTCTTTTTCATAAGCGCTCCGTCGCTTGAGCACTTGTCCAAAGTATCCCGTTGTCGGCATACACTCGCCCAGTCCAAGGCTTCAAGTCTTGAAGCCTTGGAATCTGGAATGTTTGGGCGTTGAGAGAACTTGAGACTCGAGGGCGCACGCCGTACAGGTCGGCATTGGGAACGCGAGATTCGGGAGCGCGGGTTATTGCCCCTGATGAGTCCGTCTGATAGTCAAGTGTGCACTGCGCAGACTCTCGTACATGGGCATAGCGAGGGCGTTTGCATCTAAAGAATTTCCCTAAAGACATTGTACGAGCGTCAGCACACTCCGATAATCTTTGAGTGCGGGCATCGACATTGATTCAACAAGCAGTTCGCATGTGAGTATCAGCGACTGATGACTTCATGCCATGCATCAACTGCCGACTTGTCAATGCGATCGTCACAAAGTTGACGGAAGCTAGGCCTTGGCCTCTGATCAGGGGTAAAACAGCGTGGCCACTTCGTATACGGTCAGGCCTAGCAACTTGACAGCAAGCCGAAACCAAGTGGCAACACTCTGTTCTTCTGGCATTAAGATCGCTCCCGCTGCAGGAGCTTCTTTGGTTCTGATCAAGATGACGAGATAACCATGCAGGAACAGCTGGCCGTGCATCGGGGTGACGGAGTATCTTGCATAGAACTGATTCAACCGAATCAACCCAAGTCCAATCGACGGCCCGAGGAAATCTCTGCTCAGTCTGCTGTGCCCCAACTTCCCAAGATTAAAATCATGAGGGGAGCCCGATGGATTTGAGTCGCATGACGTCGTCTTAAAAAGTGGTGCAAAGGAGTTTTTTCGTCGTTTCAGATGGCCTTGATTGAATGGTGCCAGGGGTCTGTCCGTTGCAGCGACTGAAGCGACAGCGCAAGATCAGTGCATGAACGCTCCTAGTTGTTTGTTATACAGGACCGGCTGGGCTGCTCAGACGGAACGGAGATGGCAAACAGACTATACGCATCTGGTGGAGAGTCTCGGAAAAATGTGTACTAGCCGCGGTGAAGCAGCATCCAAGACAGCGCGGGTTCGATGCAGACAAGAAGAGACGGCAACTTGGCAGCAGAAGTTCCAGATCTGTATCTACCGCATCTGTTGGTCTGGTCACCTTTCACTGCGATATAACCGCCAGATATCCAGGATTTTGGTCGAAGAGGCTAGTGCCGGGATTTTAAGCGAATACATGTGAATATGGCAGCAACGATGCGTCTGGGCCTTTCAATTAGAGCTCGTAGTAGCAGACTGGTGCAGAAGATCCCATTTGACATGCCCACACTAGCAAGCGAAGACCAGCTGGCCAAGTGGTGATGCTCCATCAAGCATAATCTTCTATCATGCTTGCACAGACTTGTACATGGGGTGCCGTCTAGTAGCAATGGCATCGGGACATCATGGCTTGCTCGAGTGAACGCCGACACATTGCACTGGAGTGTCCAGAGGCACGTATTTGGGTTGAGACGCTACTACCCATAGTCTGACCGTTAGTCAATGCACGGATGTCCTTCGCTTCGAGCCTTTCGTTGCTGTAATTCACGTCATGCCCATCACAAGTCTTCCGAAAGCGTGGCATCCCGTAGATGCGTTGAATTTCGCTCTGTCACTGCGATATGGTCGCCAGCCTTGTTTACTGTGTAAGGACGTTCCTACGGTTCCGGCAATCAGAACTGTGTTTATTGATCACTCGAGCCTCTTGTCTTGTCGTTGTCGGAATTTGCAAGATCTGGAAGGCAAGCGAGTCCGCAGTACGCACTTGGCCGCGCCGTTGAAAATTGACGCGCCACTTGTGCGGAATAAGCGATGTCAACCTTCGTCAACTAGCAAATGTCGCTTAGATTCAGAGTCGAGTGAGACATGCTATTCATTTTGCTCATGAGACTTGTCGGACCAGTTGGTGAGCTGCCAAGATGTGTAGTGTACAAACCAAACTCGGAACTCGGATGACTTCATGGTGGCCGACCGCGTCGCAAATGAGTAAAGCCGCGTCTCAAACCATGTCTTCCGTTGACGCTCCAAACGCCGGCGTCGCCGTAGATGTCTTCAGTCTATGCTTCGATATTGAAGCGATATATTCGTGTATTGTGATTTTGACAAGATAGTAGCCTTCGTGTTCTCGTATTTGCTAGTCGCAGCTGATAATGGTGAAATCACATGAGGCTGTCTGCGTCGCTTCAACAGGCGTCTTTGCATCGGCTTCTAATTGAGCTCTTCGGGTCTCAGCAGCTGGCACCAATCAGCCGTGCAGTATGACAGACTGAGCAAGCATTGCCCAACGAGACTCTGATAGAAATTACACAGTCTTACCCACGGTACGAGGCAGCGGAACGTGAAGACAAACTGTGCATGTCGGAGCTTGCATTCAGCAGCGAATGTCTAGACTCGATCTTGATGTCACAAGGCATTCCCGCTTTCTTTGCTCACTCAGCGGGCTGCGGTCGACTGTACTGATGCGTCCGTCAAATTGTCGGTCTCTCGCGATCAAAGAGTCGGAGATAGCGATGCCGTCTCTGAGCTGTCCTGAAGATGAGACACTGCCGTTCGCTTGTCAATCGAGCTTTGATCTCTGTTATTTCGTCAGAGCTCAGGCCTTTTAGGACCAGGTGGCCGCTTCCATCCATGATCAAGGTTGAAAAGTAGGCGAAACGATCTTAGATGACGCGAGTCTGTTTCATCTTGCAGTCAGCGATGAGCTAGATTATAGATGTAGTCGCTTGCCGAGTTGCCGCCTTACGATCCCGCTTTTGTCGCCTGCCACCCAATTCTGAACGACCACTTCCGCAACCAGTCCCAACCACGATGGGAAAGCTACTGCGCACGACGGGAAGCTTTAATCACGAGAGTCGCGGGAGTCGGGACACACCGCTGCCGATTCACGGTCCGTCTTTTCGAATCAACAACGACCATACTAGGCTACTCTATGAAAGACCGCCGATTGCTGGTTCATATTAGCCCGTCTATGTGAAACGCATCAGCTCATCAAGCTGATTCAGGAATAGCAACCCCTGGTTATAGTATGCTATTACGTATCGCTTTATGGGACTCGTAAGAAAACATCGAGCAATTTATCTTCATGCAACATACATTTTCGTTGTATCGTCAGTGAGTGGACAACAGAATAACGGAGGGACCGAGAAGCATAGATGCACGACGGGCAGGAGCAGGGCTATCCCGCAGGTCCGCAGTCCCGTCAATAGCGTCTCGCTAATGCTAGCTGCAGGTCAGGCATTGTCTGTGTGCCCTGAAGCGCTAAGCAAAGCGAACCTCAGTGTAGTTCAATTCTTGCAGATTCGTCCTGCAAGACTGCAGTTTTTGAAATCAAGCTCAAGAAGTAGCTCTGCCGGTCAAATGGCTCAAAGCGGACGGTCGTCAGCTGGTGTATTGAGCGCACAGATCCCGTCTGTCAAGGACTGTCAGGCACTTGTCAGTGCGTGTCAGTTTGTTAACAGTCTGTGAGTCGTTCTGGAGCTTTGATGCCTTGAATCATATCTAGCGAATATGCGTCGGACTATCCTTGATACTATTCCTCCAGACTCCAGGAGTCCAGGGTGGCTGCATCCGGCGGCGATGAACTAGCAGCGGCGATCCCGACAATGCAGCAAGGATTCTTTAAGCCTGCTGAGCATGAGATGCATATTGTGATGAGGCACCCCAGGCCATAAGAGATGCCGAAGCTTAGGACTAGTGGTCTCATACTTAGCAGGTGCTCAGAACATTGTCTTCTCCTTGTCGCGTGTGAAGCTTGAGTATGGATTCGATCGGACGTATATGATTGTTCATTTGAACCAGTACTTCTACTTGGGCATGTCTGAGCTGTCAGCTGCAGCATGCAAGATCTGACAAGTTGACACGGATTGCAGACAATTTGCAGTCTAGACGTGCTCCAAGCCTGGGCCTTCTTAGTTCTTACCGAGTGTCGGCACCAGCCAGGCGTAGCGCTTTGAAGCACGTACGCGCGTCCTTGACAATGGCATGATGTCAAGTACGAGGATTTGGTGTTCGGGAAGTGTTTTATAGCTACGCACTACTGCTGCATCCGTAGAATGGCTATGGCCAGAGCTTCTTGGGGTTGACCTGGAGAATAGATGAGAGCCACGGCCACCGAAATTTCTCCGGCTCGCCCGTCAGCTGCATTTTTGACGCCGGTAAATGAAGTGAAGGAGCCCGCGTGTGTGAGATTTGAAGGCTGTCAAAATAAAGGCATTTCACCAGCCGTCCAAGATCTAGCCCTGCAAAGTGTCGTCTACAAATCCATTCATCGCCGCTAGTGGCAAGCGTCAAACCTTATTCCTGTGATGGCGAAGTAGCATATCAGCTGCATATGCAGTAGCGATTCGTATCTCATGACATGCTGAGGTCGTCTATAGTGTTTATGCATCCCTATATCTTATTCCATCAACCTGGAGCCGACTCTCACCTGAGGCCTCGCCTGACGGCCTGGACTTCGTGGGCTTGCCTGATCGTAAGGCTTGCATCTGTTCGTATAAGCATACTCGTGATCGCGTAGACCGTTTAGCCCGCCTTTCAGTCTGTGAACCGCGCATGCACCGATACTATTAGTCTGTGCCGCCTGTGCGGACGCGAAAAAAAAAAAGAGCGAATGAGTGGCCGTTGAAAATCCTCCATGCATGCACTGATCAACATGCGCTTTGTGCCCTGGCCTGGGCCTTTGACCATCATGACGCTCAATCACATTGACCATCTCATGGCCGCCTTCTTCAGCATGGATAGTAAGGATTCAAGACTACGTGGTTACCGTCGTGGTATTGCTAGTATGGTACTGTGCGGGTCCGACCCCGCGCGTCTGGCCATCGTTCCTTCACAAAGAGAAGACATGCTTTGTTTGCGTGTCAGTCTATCAGAGTCTTTGTGGTCGAGATGCACGACCATTTCCTGAATAGCGAACACCGAGTGCTCGCATTCGGTCATTGTTGGATAGCCTGATTATCCGTGATGCTCAAGGGTCGCTTCTTGGCTGCATGATCAGGCGGAGATCTGAGCGTGCTCTAAGCTCTTCTACTCCTCTATTCTAAAAATGCAACTATGCACTGACTTGGCACTGATAGCAAAGACCTTGGCGAGGGAGCATGGCTCGTCATGAGTCATGGCCCTTTGTGCACATGCCCTGTACATTGGAATGCTGGGCAATGGCGTGGTCCATGCTAGAGACAGGGCGTGACTCACGCTGTGCCAAGTCTGTCCAGGGGTTGTGAGTCAGTGTCACACCTGGCACAGACCACCTCCCTAGTGATTGCCTCGATGTAGAATGTAGCACAGACACTCAGACAATGCCAGACACACACTGACTCGCTTGTCTCGTAGCAGACGGGGCTTCCTTGCCTGGGAAACTGCGAGCTGGGGCGGGATGGGTTGTGGAATAAACTGGCGGAAGCAGGAGTCTGGGCAGTTTATGTGGCTGCTGGCTGGCGAGATGGATGCGCGCCCCCTTGCTTCGAATTTATGTCACCGCAGACACTTCCCGCTCACAAAATTGGACGGGAAGCACAGCTCAGTCAGTCGTCAGTCAGTCAGTAGCAGAGACAGACAGAGCCCATGAAGTTGGCAAGAACCCAAAATGCGCACAACCAAAAGGGCCCCAATCCCCCCCGACACCAACAGCTATATCCATACACCAGCGCCTCCCCTTCTCACAGCAGGCCCATCGCCCTCGACACCCACCAGGCATCGACCACCCTCTCACCCAGCGACACACCACCCAGAGCGACCTTCTGCGACATTGGCCGGTTTCAGGAAAAGAATTACCGCACAGTCAAGGGCTAGCAGTATCAGCGTTACACAGCGCACACGGTCAGCGACACGAGCGAGCACTCAACAGGGCTCACAGGGCTTCCCTATCCCTAGCTCCGCGCACATCATACAGACCATGACACCCACTCCGGAGTCGCGCCTCGGCCACCTCCTCGACGGCCACCTGGAACTCGTCGGCATCCTCGGCGTAGGCGCATACGGCGTCGTCTACACCGCCCTCGACATCCACACCAACACACCATTTGCCGTCAAGGCACTCAGCAAACTCGATCTCGACCCGCGGCAACGCAAGTTCCAAGCGAGAGAAATTGCACTCCATGCGCGCGCACAAGCACACCCAAACATCGTTTCACTCATTGAGATCCTCGATGCGCCAGACTGTGTGTACGTCGTGATGGAATTTTGTCCCGAAGGCGATCTCTTCGCTGTCATTACCGATCACGGCGGCTATGTCGGCGATGACGAGCTTGCCCGTAGCGTATTCCTGCAATTGCTCGACGCTGTTGAGTACTGCCACAGCTTGGGCATCTACCACCGCGATCTCAAGCCGGAGAACGTCTTGGTCTGTGATTACGGACAGACAGTCAAGTTGGCTGACTTTGGCCTCGCTACAACCGAAGAGGTCACAGCTGACTTTGGCTGTGGTTCGACATTCTACATGTCTCCCGAATGCCAATCAACAGCGCCGCGTTCCTTCAACTGCTATGCGTCTGCTGCCAACGATATTTGGTCGCTCGGTGTGATGCTCGTCAACTTGACCTGTGGCCGCAATCCATGGAAGCGTGCCTCTGTCAATATGGATGAGACATTCCGTGCGTTTGTCAAGGACCCAGACTTTCTTGCTTCCATCTTACCACTGTCGGAGGAACTAAACTACATCCTCAAGCGTGTCTTCCAGCTCGACCCAGCTCGTCGCATCTCTCTTGCTGAACTCCGTCACCTCATCCTTCACTGCCCGGCCTTTACTGTCCTGCAAGAGGAGGATAGCCTGATGGAGCAAGCTGTCGTTGAGACTGCTATCCCAGCACCCATTCCAGTCATTGAACGTCCCTGTACACCATTGAGAGCAGCCCATGCAGTATACCCACAAGCACCGGCAACACCCTGCACACCCACCAGTGGTCGAGCAGCCTATAGCAAGCCAAACAGCAGAAGACATGAAGCACCACCCACACCCATCACACCCAGCAATGCGCATCATCACAAACGCTCATCACGCCATACCCGGGGTCCTGCAAGTCCGACATCGCCTAGTGCGAGGTTGTTCCTACACCCAAATCATACACCTGCCCTACACTGTACGCCACAGCAAGGTTTTGATTCATGCTCGAGTATCGCAAGCAGTGATAGTTTGTCTTCATTGGCCTTCCACGACCCAGCAGTTCGTCTTGCACCCATTCGTGGACATCATGGGAACCCCATCAGTGTTTGGGATGAAGAAGAGGAAGACGCGCTTGTTATGGCTGAAGAGGAAGAAGAACGTTGTGGCTTGGCTGCACGTCTACCAAGTCATCGCAAGAGACTACCCAAACCAATGACGGCATTGCAAGGTCCACCGCCGCGTATGCAATTAAAACCGCCTGCCGTCTTGCTGGGTGCTTCGGCACCATGTGTGTTTGGACAGTAAACAAGTTCTTGTTCAACATCTGATGACCCCCTCTTCTCAACGCATTCGCATCTCTAACGACCATTCTCACATTCACATGCATTCTTGTCTGGCTATCAGGCTCAACAACATCAATGTTCTATTTGTGGCAGATATTACCTTCCTGGTTTCTCTCTCATAGACTTTCTAGACAGATAATCATACAAGGTCAATAAGATGCCATTCATTTACATTGCATTTGGATACCTTCTTTGATTAGATGCCTTGTCTTGTACTCAAAAATGGATGCCGCAGTGCTTCAGCAGCCGTCAAGCGCCGTGCAGGATCCAACTCCAAGCATCGCTCAAGCAAACTAATCAATTGCAGCACAAGCGGTCGTTCTTCCGCTGAAAGTGCTTGTTGTGCCGCCGTCAAGGCTTGTTGCACACCTGCATCCATCGACTCATCAATTGCATGACCAGGCAGCAAACAACGACGTTTCAGATCCCAGACTGGCTTTGCAGCCACATCCAACCGTTTCGTCATGTCTTGCCCTGATAATGCGTCTGTCTCTACCGATAGAAACCCAAAGCTATCGTCGAAATGGCGATACCCGAATTTACCACGACGTACCATTTTGGCTGGCATTTTCCCTTTCAATCGCATCATCAACCTCAGCATGGCACTATTTGAACGACCCGGAAAGAGAATTTGACCCGTGTACATTTCAAACAGTGTACAACCCGCTGCCCAGATATCAATGCCATAATCAATGCCAGCGCCGAGAATGACTTCTGGTGCTCTGTAGAATCGAGAGGCGAGGTACGCTGTTGCTTCGTCAAATTGTCGCTTCTCATCAGCTTGGTAGAAGCTTGCAGAACCAAGATCACAAAGCTTGAGGGTTGTGCGAGATTGACTGACCAGGATATTGTCCGGTTTGAGATCGCCATGAATCACTTTATGCCGAGCGAGATGAGCGAGGGCTAGAAAAAGTTGTCCCGCATAGGCACGAACAGCACGTACTTGAATCCCGACATCTCGACCAAACTTGCGTAAAACTTCACGCAGGTTGAGGGCAAGATGCTCAAATACAAGACAGAAATGCTCGCGATGCTCAAAGGTGCCTTTGAGTCTGACAATGTGTTTGCGATCATCCGGATCAGCGTCATTCAAGAGTCGTAGAATACTGAGTTCTTGTGCACCGGCTTTTCGCATCACTGCATTGTTACGCGTTACTTTGATGGCGACTGCCTTGTTGTTGTCTTGCTGATCCGTCGCACCCACCACAGCGCTAAAGACGCCACGACCAAGGATGGAAGTGATGGCATACCGTTCATCCAATAACTCACCAATCACAACGCGATAGTAGCCTTCTGCGTCTGCCCATGATTCCCGAACACCAATATCCATCTTTCGAGCAGGTACAGCCGACCCGGTGTCGACTAGAGGTAATGTAGGGACTGGATCAGCAAACATGTCATCTTCAGGGTCTTCCACCGGTTTCTCAGCTGACGGCGGTGCGTGATGCGCCGCAGCTTCCGTACGTGCGTCATCGTCAGGGTTGTAGTCTGCTGCTGAAGCGGCCATTGCGTTGCGCGACACAGGTAGCACATTTTGCTTCTCAAGCTCCAGTGTCTCTGGCGTTCCAGGTGTTGTCGATGATGGTACGAGAGTCTCAGGCGTCAGAGAAGATACAACAGGCGATTCTCTGTGCTTTCTCAAAATCTCAGCACGTAACGCACGTCGCCGTGTAATTTCATCTGCTTCATTGCTGTGTTCATCACTTTCGAAGCGGGCATGTTTGACGGGCCGTTCATCATCTTCTGGCGAATCGAGTCGTTTGCGCAATACGCGGTTCCTATCATGGTCAATATGGGTAGAATCTTGAGGCTCGTTACGAACGGCCTTCTGAGGGTGCATCGGTCGAGTGGTTGCAGTTGTGTCTGTAGATTTGCTTCATGTCGAGAAACGTTTTTGAGCGCGACTTTGGGCAACAGCTACACTCACACCGAACAAAGATGTCCGGTCGACAGGGAGGAAAGCTCAAGGTAGCGAGCCTGTCGTTGTGAAGCTGTGACTAACAACAAGCCGCTCAAGCAGCCAAAAAAGAAGGATGCCGAACTCGATGACACTGACTTGGCCTTCAAGAAGTAAGACGCTCGCACGTTTACCATTGGATCCGCTGACACTTGAGGAAACAAGCCGAAGATGCCAAAAAGAACAAGGCTGCTGCCGAAGCTTTGAAGAAGGGCAAGAAGTAATCAAGGATGCTGCGCTACACTTTGCTACAAAAATGCCATTTCATGCCACTATCTTTTTCGGACGTCTCGTATTGAGTCTATCGCCCTCGACTGTCCAGCCGTATTCCTGTGCGTGTTCGACAATGAGGTCTTGATTCTGCACAAGATCCTCCACCCACGTCGTTGAAGCCGACATGTACGCCGCGCCTAGAACTCCCAAAGTATGCTTTGATATCCGATCATAAGAACGACTCATGAGGCGTTGCTCAACCGCATTGGCTTGTGTATTGTAAAGCTTATGCCACCGGGCATAGTTGCCATGTAGTAGGCAGCCCAGAACGAGATCTGCAAGACCACTGTCTGCTCGCATATCGAGCCGGCATCGATAGAGTTCCGGAAAGTCACCCGTGACGCAAACCAAGTGAAGCAGATACCAGCGACGGACATGTTGTGCATTTTCACTTTCCAATAGATCTAGCTTTGGGTAGAGCTGATCAAGCAAGTACTTGACAGAAGGTCTGTAAGACTCGACATGATCGCGCATGATGGAGAACAGAGCTATGCGCTCAAACACATCTGTAGTGAATGCATCTTTGCGTCCAGATGCGACGATGCCTTCACGCAGGCCGCGCAAGCTTGAAAGACAATCAGAGTCTTCGGAGGCTAGTATATACTTTTCCAAGACTGGAAGCTTAGGATCAGCGTTGACAAGTTTGAGCCATCCAAGAGTAGCAGCGTCTTGGAGCGACTTAAGCTCGTACTTTGCGCACAATTCATCAAAGAAGGTCTCTTGCGTCTCGTGCACCATCAGGCGCTGATCTCCATCAACGCGAGACACGTAGCCATAGCCTTCTGTACGAGCGGCTTTCAACCGGGACATGGCACAAGTAAAGTAGCTTGTGTCGTTGTATTTGCGAGCTTGCTTGAGGACATGCAGAACGATTCATCAACTTTGCTACAACCAACTACTTAAATGAGCTGACCACCTTTTCGTCTACAGTGACCTCGATCTTATTCTCCAGTGTAGCTTGTGACGCTGCAGCAGCTTCTAACCTACGCTGGGCAGTGCAGACATCAGCCTTTGCAGATGCCCAGATACTGCTGAATGGCAATGACAACACCACAAGAGATCTTGCCACAAACGCCAGGTAACCTTGCAGGACAAACAAGTCTGCCAACATGAAAGCGCTCGGTACAATCAGTGTTTGTGTGGACATCACAAACATGGTTTGTAGCGCACCAGACTTCTTCAAACACAATTGCGAGTCAGTCTTCGCAATCTGCCAGAGATTCCAGATGAAGACAAGCGAAGCGGTGCCGACTGCTGAACCAAACGTGAGACTTGCTGCTTGATTCAAGCGAAGCTCTAGTGGATGGCTCTTGCCACCCTGAACGAGTGACACGCTAGACTTGATCGACACTGCACACGCCGCCACCCACATGACCGATGCAGTCAACGATAGAAAGGCAAGAAAACCAAGGATGGCCTGTCTTATGCGCGTCTCGCCGGGCATGACTGCTCTCAGCTGTAGAAGCAACGAACCCAAACTCAGCCAAATTACGGGCAGCACGGAAAGCGTCGTCACGACACTGAGGGATAGCGCACTGCGTGACAAGTCATTGTAGTTACCAGAGATGCGAAAGGCAAGAGAGGTCCAGCTACTTTGCGTGTAGCAGCACTCCAAAACACAGTGGAGGAATAGACAGACCAGGCTCGCAAGATTGACGCGGAACAAGCGAGTTTTTCTCTTCTCTGGCTGCGAACAAGCTAGCAAAACGATTGCTGTCAAGAGCGCCGCTGAGGCCTGTGACGCAAAGAGCGCCATGTATACCTGCAGTTGTCGCAAAAGACCATCCACCTGATCTACGCTAATTGAGACCAACGGTCCTGTAAATTAGCGACCATAGCTGCCGGAGGATTCATACCGGCCGTTTGAGTCAATACTAGGCTGTTCATGGTCGTCATGTCGAAATATAGCACTCAAGTGACCAAATGAGGAGCGACGCTGGTCATCTTATCCTTGGTCCATGGTGGAGTGTTCCTGAATCGCTTCAAACTTTCTGAATGGGCGATGAATGGGAGATGAATGGGTTTCAACGGCTTTCAACGCGGGTCGACAACGCCAACGGCAATTGGCACTCGCAGCCTGCTTTGTCTTACGCGCCGGACTCGCTAATGCATTAGGGTTTGTTCTGAGCTCAAGTTACAATGTCTACAACCGAAATGCTGTCCTATCTCGCACGTCACGCAAGGTGGAATATCTCAGACGATGCTCAGCTTTGTTCACACATGCATGAACTACATTACAACTTGATCTCTCGATTCCTTGTCCCAATATCTTGGTGCATGAAGTTGGCACGAAGCGGTGTCACGCTAATGTTGCGCTCAGCAACGGCCTATCGTTAGTAGGATCAGAATACCGTGGAAGCCTACCCAAGTATCAGAAAGGCGTCCCTGCTCATCATTGATTGACTTTTGCAAGTCTTGAAACCTGGGACGGAACTCGAATGTTCTTGGTTTCGTCTTGCTGGCCTCGCCAGACTCCTCGACAGTCGTATCCTTGCCTTGACTCTGGGCTTCACGCAGAGCATGTTCATCAAGAGGCTTTGCCCTCGTCTCCTGGAACAGCGGACTATGTTTTGCCCTCGTCTCCTGGAACAGCGGACTATGTTGAGCTGTTTGTTAGCGAATGCCTTTTCACGGCCAGACTCACCTTGATGAATGTGTGTCCAAAGGATCTTGTCTTCGCCTGTAGCCATTTCCTTGCAAAGCGGGACGTTGATCGAGTAGACATCGACGCCTTCGTCCCAATTGGCGTAGAGGTATTGACAGAGCTTGACGACAAGCGCTGATGCCTCCTCCACATAGTCCATGGTTTTCCCGTCCCAAAAGGCATAAGAGATGGCTATCGCACGGACACCTGCTCCGGCTCCTTCAAATGCTGCCCCCAGCGTCCCACTTGCGAGAGCTGCAATAGAACTAGTGTTGCGTCCGTAATTAGGGCCCGACAAGATCAAGTCTGGCTTGTCCTGACAGATGTGGTGAATGCCAATCGATGAGCACGTCGCAGGCGTGCCAGTCAAGAGCGTCCAGTCTTTTTCACTTTGTCTAGAGTCGGTTGTTTTCTCAGTCTCAGGATCGTAGAAGGTTTCCAAAACCTTGTCATTGATGAAAATGGCCTTTGAGATCCATGACTTTTGAGAGTCTGGTAGGACTACGGTCGTCTTCCAGTCTGTGTCCTTCTTGATCTGCTGAAACAAGGGGAAGATGTAAGGACTGGAATTTGGTGCAGGTGGCCCGTCATCGTTTGTCATAAGCACATGCATATTTACAGTCTGATGTATGCTACTGTAGTACTTGTGCTGGGATCAGGATCTGTACGTTCTGGCGTAGTGTGGAGTTCACCAGCCGCAGATTCAGATTCAGATGTGGCGCAGTTTCAGTCGGGAAAATCTTGAACGGATGCCGCGATACTCTTTAGACTTATAATACTTCTCGTCAAGGTTGCTCTAATCGCTCGCAGCAGCATGTTGTCTCCCTAGCCCTCACATCAGTGCACAACTTCAAATGCTGCAGGATTTTGCTGCGTCTGGACTGCCGTCGCCTGATGTGCCCAGCATCATGGCGCTGAAGCAATCGCTCGGCAAGGGTTCACAGGAAGAGCTGCTAGCTCTGCAAGATGGCCAATCGCTCTTATCCTCCCTGCTTCGTCGTATAATGAAGTACACTGCTACGGATGACTACCATGTCAGTGTCCAAATTGCGTTTATGGACCTGCTGGCCACATGGCTCTCCAAGGCAACGAAGCTAGCCAAACTGGACGAAACCTGTAAGCCCGAGCTTCGCCAGACGATGAAAGACTTCTGGCGTCCTATCTTTGACTTATTCTTTCGTCGTACGACTATCTCTTCAGCCACAGTGTCTGTTGGTAAAGACGTCTTGTTGAAGGCGCTGCAACTACAATCAGCCCTCTATGAGCTTGGAAGTGTACAGGAAAGGCTGGAATACCTAGTACAAAGCATCTTGGAAATGAGTTCATCAGACAAGGCCGTTTATCTCGCTCTCGAGGTGATTCAAAAGCAAGCATCTTTGACAATCATCACCCAATTGCAGCCCGGTTTTGTTGCTGAACGACTTCCTCATATGAACGACGATACGCTATCCACGTCTTTGGGTCGACTTATTGGTCACATTCTACGTTCGCAGCTGCCAAATGCTGCATCTGACGACACGCAGATTGCTTGGGTCGCTAGTTGGCAACGTCCTCTTGTTGAGGCACTGCGCAACGAAGACGACCTCGTCGTACGCAATATCTATCAGTACATTTTACCTGCTGTATTTCGTGGTCTTTTGCCGGCCTTCAAGCATTTTTTGGTGCTACTCAATGAGCCGGATCATCAAAATCTGTCGAATCAGCGTTTGATGATTGCTTCGCTTCGCATGGCCAAAAATGAGCATCTCATCCCTGAAGCTGATGCTGCGACTTTGTCTCTGCTTGGTCTCGAGGAAAAGATTATTCAGAAGAATATCACTCATGCGGACGTCTCACTCCGTGTTGCCACCCTTGGACTCGTGGTTGAGCACCCAAAGCCAACGACATTTTATACGAATGAGACGCTCGACATCTTGGAGAAGTACTTGCCAGGCTTCTTCCTAGAGACAGACTCGTTTTACCGGAAAGAGGTGTTGGACTCGTGGCGAATGCTACTTGGTCGCTTGCAAGCCTCATTGTACTATACCAAAACAGCCATCAGGAAAGCCAAGCTGAAGGACCAAGACTTGACACCAATCAACAGCTACATTCAGCGCTGCAAGGCCTTCACAACATGGTTGCTCGATCTGCTCAAACATAATCTTCGGCCCGGAGCCGGCTTCCAGCTCGTGACCGTCAGCTTGCAGGTGATACAGATTGCTAGCGGTCTCGGCTGGAGTCCTGCCGGTATGCCTGCGATTGTCAGCAAGTATGCGGCGTTCAAGAAGAGCATGACGCACAATACTGAAACAACAATGGCTTTGCCATTCGATGTGAATCTCTTTGACCGCGAAATGGTACGGCTCATCATTGACCGCCTTGGCGATTCATTCGACGATAACCGGACATTGGCAATCGGTCTGCTTGAGTCGCTGCCCGAGCCTATTGAAGGTTTAAGCAGCTTTGAAGAGGTTAACAATCTGCTTCACAATGCAAAAACCCTGTTACTCAGTACACGCGGGCGCGATGGCGACGGAGGTGCGCGTGTCATGCAATTCGTCTTTCTCAAATTTGTGCAGTCTCAGCAACCCGGAAATGGCGTCCTGAGTACGACTCCAACTGCGTTTGTTGAGGAGATTCTGCGAGGAATTGACACGGATGCGACACGCGCTCAAAAGGATTTACTTTTGATGGCACAGACAGCACCTCTGCATGGGCGTTTGATTGCTCTTGGCTACATTGTTTCGCTTGTTCGGCTCGGGTCAATGCACAGGACTGAACAACAAGCATGGCTTGGTGTATTCGACGAGCTTCTCAAGCTCTGCAAGACAGTATGGTCTACAGTCAAAGAAGTCCTCTGCACAAATTCTCCTGAGGGCTTTCTACCAAGCTCTGTTCAAGACCGGATACATGGCCCTTATCGTGGCCCAGAAACACAAGTCATCCTATCATTCTGCTGGCGTGCCCTCAAGGAATGTAGCAATCTTCTTCAGCGCGTCACTGCTGTCCAATTCCAGCTTCAGGGCGCAAGTGTGCCCATCAAATACGTTGAGGCGACAGGGGATCTTTTTCTTGCTTGGATGTGTGAAATCAGACATCGTGGAGCGTTCACTGCAGCAGCGTCTGACTTTGTGTTTTTGTGCGAGCGCCTCGAACAAAGTTCAATCGATCATTTGAGGAGCCTCCCATCGAAATGGCTCCAGACAAATCTTGGTCACCTGAGCGCCTCAATGCACAGCAAGGATATCACGAGACGCTCCGGCGGCTTGCCCATGTCTATCGTGTCCGCACTCGTCGCCGAAGCCTCAAGCAGCACGCGAACAGTGTTGTTCCAGCGCGCCGTTGATGACTTAGTCACCCTTGCTTCATCACCTGTCGATCATGCTATTGAGAAAGACGACACGATGGAGCTTCCGCAGGTGCATGCCCTCAACACCTTGAAATACATCTTCAACGAAAGTAAGTTGAGCTCAAGAACAGTCAGCTGTATCGAGCGCATTTTCGTGGTAGCCATGCAAGGTTTTAATTCCACGATTTGGGACATCCGAAATTGCTCGCTCATGCTCTTCAATGCTGTCTTGCATCGCTCTTTCCGATCTAAGAAGCCCCGCACAGAGTCACTCATGCAGACATTCACGACGGAGGCGTTTTTCCAAGCATATCCTGGACTTTTGTCGATCGTGAATGAGACACTGGCAGATAGTGTCGATAAGCTGCTACAAGCTGGCCATGCGTCAGTCACAACAGCTTTGTATCCAATACTGACTTTGCTCTCGCATCTTGATGTAAGCGAGAGCTCTGACCGGTGGGACAACATGAGTAAAACTATGCAATTAGTCGATGCGTGCAGCACGAGCGAGATTTGGCAGATCCGAGCAATTGCAGCAAAAGCCCTACCAACATTCATCGAGCGTAGTGAGGTGGCTGCCTTCGTGGTGTCCAGCCTCAACAAAGTCGACATTGCCCAGCAGAATCATTTGCACGGCAAGCTTTTGCAGACTCATGCATTGTTTGCATATCACCTTGCACGCACGAGGGACCCAGGTTTTCTCAATCAGCTGTATGGCGATGTGACGCGTGCACTCGTCTCTCACTTTGTCACACTCACTTCTGACAACAGGTCTGCCATCACAAGGGCGCATCTCTTGCAGATTCACATCGACTTCTTTACGCACAATTCGCTTGTCGACATTTCTCCTATGATTGTACGTCTGAAGCAGATGGCTGTCGACTTTTCATTCCGTTCTCTTTTCAAAATTAAAAGTGAATCTCGAACGCCTGTTTTGGGACAAGGGGTACTTGATCGTGTCATGACGCTTGTTGTCATGCAAGCATTGGCCGAGAAAGGTTTCAAGCAATTTGGTGACATGTCGTCTGGAACTATCGTCAAGCGACTCTTTGAGCATGAATCTGACGATGTTCGGCTCACAGCGTATGCAGCGTTCCCTGGCACATTCGCCGGAACAGCCATGTTGCGCTCTCCAGTTGTTGCAGAAGCATTGACTCTCCAGAGTGTCAAGGAGACATGGTCCCAGACTGTAATCACAGCTCGTACTTGCTTGGCTACGCTGCCTATATCGAGTAACGCTTCAGTGGACCACGAGTCATCCCATCTTGTCCAGCGGCAGTTCGAAAGATTCTGTGGCGATATAGAGCGGTCAGGTAACGCAAGTCCGCTTGTTGATGCTTCACTTGTTCTCGTTGGCAGGCTCATCCAGAAGATGCCCAAAACAGCAATCGACGTTCAGCGCTATCGATGCATGCTTGACAGGTTCAGCGATGAGTATATGCCACTCGAGTCGCGACGTGCTGTTGTCAGATCACTGGAATCGTCGGGTCTCCTCAAGCTCTTCATGAGCAAGCAAAATTCACTCTTGCAGCACGAATACGCTTCAGTGCTTCCTATCGTCCTGGACAGTCTGTCCGACGATGACGACGAGCTCAGAGAAGAGGCTGCTGCTTTGGTGAGTCAATTATTACCAGAATCTTCTCCGATGCGCCCAGAAGAAGCGCGTAGTTGTCTGCTACGGTATTGCATGGAGCTCCACATGAATTCGCCCACAATACATCACATACTCGCTGTGTTCGCCACAGGACTTCCGCGCTCCTTACTCAGCGAGGCCAAGCCTGCATCGTCGACCCTTGTGCGCAAGCTCATTGAGCAGCAAGTAAACGCAGCGCTCGAGCCATCTGATTTGCTCTTCGCTGTCGAGCGACAGAATCTGTGGCGCGACCCTGTCGAAGATTGTCGAGTGGCCTTGCAAGCCCTGTCTACTGCTGGTAAGCTGGATGCGAGTGCGGCACAATTGCTCGCAAGGTTCTCCAAGTCTGGCTTGTCAGTTCTCGATGCTTGCATGACCAAATGCGGTGTTGATGGCGCGCTGGGCTGGTGTTCCGATGCCGATCTCTTCAGCTTGTTCAACAGGGTGCTGCAATGTACAAGGTTCGCTTTGTCTAGCCTCAGCGTCGAGGAGGACCGCAAGATGATGATTGAAGAGTGTTTGTACACTCTCAATCACGGTGCAAGTGGGAAACGGTCACGGGTGGAACAGACACGACTTCACGAAAGCTTGGGAAAGATTATTGCGGAGTACGCATAGACTTATAGTGTGCAAGCTTGCTGTGCCTGACTTCATTGCCTATTCTACGCAAGCACTTCTTGCCAATGCTCTTCTTCGTCCTGCTCCTTGCGAGTCCGGATATGCTCCAAGGTGCGCTCAAAATGAGCGACGATGAACTCATGCAGCTTGCCTTCGTGATCCGTCAGAGCACTGGTACTCGTCACTATGGCCCCTCTTCCACCTTCAACTTGTTCCATATTTTCTAGATTTTGCCGAATCAAATCAATCAGACCATTGATGAACTTTGGTAGGATGGCGTCGTTGCCATGGTCGAAGTAGTAAAGGTACCGGTCAAGAATCTCAATGAACAGCTGAATAGATGTCGCTGTGTCCATGCATGCGTCTGCAATTTTGAGTGCTTTTTGGAGACACTCGAGAACACGCTTACCATCTCGAAACAAGGTGGCGACATCCTCTTCGCCTCGTCCTGGAGCGTCTGTTTGCCACCACAAGTGGCTTGCTGCCAGAATAGCCCTCGTTTGATCCGGCTTCTTGAGCAGCTTGGCTCCATGTAAAGCGCATTTGGTAATGAGTGTGTCGTAATTGTCCTGCGTAAAATTGCGGGTCTGTTGCAAGGCACTGACAACCATGGCCACAGCTTGATACTGAGCTTTTGATTCCGAGATAGCTTCTTCGTAGATGGTGAATGCTTGTGCAAAGAACTCATAGGCCACCTCCTCCGATCCTGCTTGATCTGCAACCTGTCCAGCGAAGAGGAACAATCGCATTGCCTGCTCAGCACAACCGACGCATTGGTACAATGTGAGTGTGGTCTGGTGTATGAACTTGAAGACAAGACCATTTTGTTCACTCCAGCCATCATCGATATGCTCTCTAGCTTTCCACTTACGAGCCAGTCGCAAAGCCGCCACCACAACGGGAGGGAATGTGTATTTGATCTTGTCGCCCCCCTCCTGTAATTGGCGACGAGCAATTTGAAGCAATTTGAAATCAACATCCAGCGTCGGTCCCCGAAGCAAGTGCACGATACGCGCCAGCCAGCCTTGCTCTTCAATCGACTCATCTGATTCAGCATCTCTAGTACGACGGGGCTGTGCACTACCATTCGCCACTTGGACAGGTGGTCCGGCTTCACAAATCAAGACCTTGAGCAAATCAAACGTTCCTTCAGCTTCTTCGACAGACTCAATCGCAACACGTTTTGAAAGAAGAATCTTGGCAACTGTCGCAGCAACTGACCTGCGGATGGCGTAAGATTGCGCATGAAGAAGAGGCACAAAGGAGGGTATCGCCAGAACCGTCATGAGCGAAGAATAGGTCTGAATGGGTGCTTGCAGCAATTTCATGAGATTGTCACGAGCATCTGTTGAGTGGAGATCCGTCGAATCGACGTGCTCCTTTGTCTTTTGCTCCGCGTAGGATAGGATCTGATCAATGTAATCGAGCTGTGTTGGATAACAGCTGAGCGCAAGGTTGCATAGGCTGACCAGCATCGCAGACACATCTTGTATCTTGAGCTCTTGTCTCGATTGCACCAAGCTGACAATCTGGTTCCAGAATATCTCAAACAATCTGATGTCCACTGGGATGCCTCTGTATGTTTCTGTTGACTGTTCCTTTGTGGTCTTTGATGAAGCCGATGCCTCCCCTTCTGCTTCGGTTGGCGTGTCTGCTGCTTCCACTGGCTGTTCATCAGTCACCTTGGTTCCGGCGAGTCGTTTTGACAATGCTCGCGCTGCTTGCTCCTCCTTGCGTGCTCGCTCATCAGCTGGCTCGTTCTCAGTCTCACTTGCAGCAAAACTCGCCAAGCGATCAATCATCTGAATAACCACTTGCTTGACATTTGCGTGTGGATTCAATTTGCCGACTGCGGAGAGGAACTGGTCGAGTGTGCGTAAATGGTACTCATCAGGGTAGACTTGCGTGACGACTTCCAATAGATATTCTTGAGCGAGGACATCTCGGCATTGCACCACTTGCTCAAGCACAGCAGGCAGGATGACTTCCGAGTAAAGAGCTAGATCAATTCCCTCGAGCTGGCTCAAGCGTACGAGATTGGTACCCACGAGAGTCTTGAGCTCTGTACGTTCCAACTCCCGCAGGTGTCGCTCTCGAGAATGTCCCTGGTGCTGTAAACGGACCCAGAGCTTATTCATCTCAATGAAATTGGTGATGGTGAATTGAATCGAGTCTTGCAGATTGCCTTGTGGCCCATCGTCCGTACCAATGGGCATGTGATCTCGTGTTTGGCCAGAGAGGTAGTGACGAAGGAAAAGACCACGGATGGGATGTTGCACGCCGCGGCTCATCTCCATCATATCCTTTGTGATTTCCTTGACAGGCGCACCAAGCATTCCCATGTAAACACCGCCAACGGTGATCATCAGATAGAGTCGCGGTACGATGTTTCCTGCATACTGGACCAATTCATAGAGATCGGCCAAGTGATGGCGTCCACTGGTGTGTGCTTCTTTCAGGTAGTTGGTCAAGTAGCCAAGCGCATCAAACACAGACATGTCTAGAATCAGCATTGAAGCTCACAGAAGGCTAACTCACATAGTTCATAGTACTGCTTGGGTCCAAGCGAACTGGTTCTCAGCTCAGAGAGCATGGTACTCGCATGCTTCAAACCGTCCATCAATTTGACATTATCCAAGCACTGCACCATTCTGGTCTTTGAGACGCGAACCGTTGTGAGCGCCTCTTCGAGCGAATGAGCATCTTCTGGAGCTACCTCTGCAGACATGGCTAGGCTCACTAGCGCGTTGCTTGGCGTGCAAATGCGTGGGTCGTGTCGTGGATGTCGTTGCGCGCCGTCAATTCGCCGTCATCGCCAAACTGACACTTTTTGACCCGTTCTTCAATTCAACCTTCTACAGTACTGTACATAAAGCTGCTAATAGTGACACTGGCCCTGAAGCACACCGTGACGATAGTCAAATGCCTTGAGCAAGCCAATAAAGTGCGACACACCCGCCAATACCACAAAGACATGAAAGATCTGATGACTTGCCCCCAGTATATCAAACCTGCCTGGAAAGAAACGTTCAGGAACACGACATGCATAGATGACTGCGCCGGTGATGTAGAGAATTCCTTGCAGACCTGTTTCAAATAGAGACATGTCGCGCGAGACGGTGGTGAGGCCTTTTTCAAGGACTGCTGCAACGACTGGAATGAGCGCAGACAGGCCTAGTACAATAAACATGCCTGCTCGGAATGGTCGCCAAAGAGGTGTTCTGAAGCGATCCATGAGTGTCACGCACAGTGTCAGAAAACCAAAGCCTGATAGTAGTGAGAGGTAGAATTGGATGAGGTGTGGGTCGCAGTAATGGCCGTAATACACGCTTGGAAAGAAGCTGCCAAGGATCATGCATACAATTCCAGCGTAGTCTGCTTTGTTCCACATCTTGTTGATGGCGTGAGAGTGATTGGAGACGGTGTGGTACGTCCAGCTGCCTGTGAACATGAGGAAGGCACCAGTAAAGAAGATGAGCCACATGGTCAGATCTGTCTTGGTTGCCGATGCGTAGTGCACGGATAGTGCTTTCCAAGACCAGTCAGACTTGAGGACATCTAGACCAGCCAACTTGGATGGCGATGGCCCAAGCAACCATAGCAGAAGTAGACCGCCAAAGAGGAAGCCCGGCACAAGGTGCGTCCATATATTGACAGTCTCGTTGTGGACAGCACAGACACTTGCAAATGACTTGCGAAAGGAGTTTGAGGCAGGACGATAGCCTCGCTTAATGAAGTGCGAGTCGCGCTGCCAATCTAGCAAGTCATCGAAAGCGAGCAACGTTGATTTCAGCTTGTCTTTTGCAGAAACGTCAATGGTGGACGAGGCTTTCACCGAAGACTTTGATGAGCGTGAGCGTAGGCCCGCAGAGGAAGACATGGCACGAGAAGGAGAGAGGAGCAGAATCAGTCGAGCAAAAGCATGCAGATGTTGTACATGGATGAAGTGCGGGGAACAGATGAGGTTGGCTTGCATTTTCAATTACAAAAAGATCAAAAAGATGGAGTGCCCCTATCGACAAAACAGGCTAGAAGGAAGGAAAAGAAAGGGCCGAAGATGTGCTTTTGGATGTATTTGCCTTTATGCAGCAGTCTGGTTTTGGACCTCCTTCTTTGATTTGAAGAGGGTCATGTCCTGCAGACCAGCACCGGCAGGCACCATTGGGTAGCAGTGCTCCTTGGGCGTGACCATGGCCTCGAGCAAGACAGGTCCGTCATGCGCCAAGAACTCAGCCATCTTTGCAGGCAGCTCGGACACAGTGCTACACTTGATACCCTTGACACCCATCGATTCGGCCAACTTGACGAAGTCGGGGTTCTTTTGCTCGGTATGGGCATACCGTTTGTTGTAGAAGAGAGTCTGCCATTGTGTCACCATACCTTGCTCCTCGTTATTGAGGATGAGCCATTTAGCTCCAATGTTATACTGACTGGCCGTTTGCATCTCCATGGCTGTCATACTGAACGAAGCATCACCATCAATATCCACACAGATGTGGTCTGGCTTTGCGACCTTGGCGCCAATCACGGCAGGAACACCGTAGCCCATAGTACCAAGACCACCGGATGTGATCATGGTGCGTGGTGTACGCCAACGGAAGTACTGTGCAGCAGTCATTTGATGCTGGCCGACACCTGTGCAAATGATGACTTTCTCCTTACAGTGAGCAGTTTGGTTGGAGAGCTCCTCCACGACAGTCTGCGGTTTTGGTACTTCATGTGACTCTGCTGCATCATACGCAAAGGGTATGCGGTGTTTCCAGTCATTGATCTGGTCGAACCATACTTTGCGATCCGTTTCAGTGACGGTATCGAGCAATGGCAAAAGTGTGGCGAGATTATCAGTAACATCGCCCTCTACAGCTTCATCCGCTTGCACAACCTTGTTGATGTTTTTGGGCATGATATCAAAATGCACAATACCACCACGCCCTTCCTTTGCAGCCAACTTGGCCATTGGTGCGAATTTACTCAAATTGCCCGTCACTCGATCATCGAATCGTGCACCGAGTGCCAAGATGAGATCTGCATCTTGCATGGCGAGATTCGCAAATGCAGAGCCGTGCATACCAAGCATGTACAGTGCTTTGCTATCGAGTTCGTCATAGGCGCCAAGAGCTTGCAAGGTTGTCGTCACTGGAATCTGGCATTTGTCCGCGAGTTCACGGAGCAGGACAGGGCCTTCCTCCTTGGCGAGGATACCTTGGCCAACATACAAGATTGGCTTTTTGACCATATTGATGAGACGTGCCACACGACCAATGGTTGCTTGGAGATTTGCTTGATTCGCCCGGCCAATTGTACCGATGCTTGTTTGGTTGGTGGGTGGTTTTGGGATGGAGGAAGAGGTTGGTATGGCGCGTCGCAAGATGCCTGCCGTCACATCCTTGGGTAGATCCACCAGGACGGGACCCGGTCGACCACTTGTTGCAATTTCGAACGCCTCATTGATGCGTCTCGGCAACTCAGCGACATCCTTCACGAGAACATTCCATTTTGAGCATGGTCGTGTGATACCAATGACATCTGCCTCTTGGAAGGCATCTGTGCCAATAGCTGATGTCGGCACCTGTCCAGAAAATACAACAAGCGGTGTACCATCCATGAGCGCATCCTGCATGGGAGTCACAATATTCGTTGCACCTGGTCCTGAAGTCACAATCACGACACCTGGTTTCCCACTCGCGCGCGCATACCCTTCTGCCATATGACCAGCACCTTGCTCATGGCGCGGTAGAATGAACTCAAAGTTTGGAGAATTGAAGATGGCATCAAACACGGGTAGAATGGCACCGCCTGGATAACCAAAGACATGCTTGACGTTGTGCCTGAGGAGCATCTCATGCACGATTTGGCCACCGGACATGCCAATGAAGGATTCATCCATGTCTTGTGACTTTTTCTTGGGCTGTTTTTGGAAGAGGGCCGAGGCCTTGGAGGCGGAGACATCTTTGTTGAATGAAGGCGAGGGGATCTCTCTTGCTCTGGGGTATAGGTTAGCATCATCAGTTTGAGACAAAGGAGGCGCCTAGATTGGATGCTTACTCAACAGCTGGTGTCGGCTTTGATTGTGAGATGGCCCTCGAGGAGGCGATGGACCCTTGCTTGCAGAGTTGCGTTGGCTGCTGTCTGGTGCATGCTGCGAGTGCCCTGTGGGCTGCTCTGGGGGACGGGCCTGCTATTATTCTGTGCATTGCTCTTGGGTATAGATGTCTGATGTCGCCTGCGTCCAGATCTGAGTCGCGATTAAAAAATGGGCTGGGGTTAGGCAAGGACAACCACAGAGACTCATAGCTGCATAGCAAAGACTCCCTGACACAGTGCTCCATCTGCAGCCATGGTCTCCATCAAAGAAGGTACGCTTTTATCTGTCTGCTGTCATCCTCCATGGGCTGTGAAATGCACTCTACCCTGCTCAATTGACAAGGCGACAGGCGCGACTGTGCCAAGCCAACCAGCCGCTAACGACCAGAGTTCCAGTCAATGAACTTCAGCATCTATGCTCAATGGTATGGCTTCAGTCGCTACACCTCTCACAAAACTAACTCTCTGCAGGCTCGGCATTCTGAGCATCATCTTCAATCTCGCATTCGGCATTGGCAACATCTTCACCTCCGTCATCATCTTTGGCATCATCGCCATTGTCTTTGGCGTCATCCTACTCTTCGTTGAGATCCCGTTCCTCTTACGAATCTGCCCGACGAATCAACAATTCGATGAAGCCGTGCGCAAGTGCAACAACAACTACCCGCGTGCAGCCTTATACATTGTCCTTGCTGCCGTTCAGTGGTTGTCGCTGATTATCCGTGCTAGCAGTTTGATTGCAGCAGCCGTTATTATGACCTTGACGGCATTCTGCTATGCTTTTGCAGGTATCAAGAGTCAAGAATTCACGCAGAGCAAGACATTGGGTGGCCAGGGACTTGTATCGATGGTCGTGTAATGGCAGCAAAATACAGAGAGAGAGCGCGAGAGAGAGGTGCGGCGATGATGTGTACTTGTACAAGATGGAGCTGACTACAAAGAGGCAGCCCCACGAGAAGACTCAATCCCATAGAATGAATGCCAGCAGTGCTCAATAGCCCGATACTGCTCACTTGGCATCCTTCTTCTTTTCCTCAACAATCTTGTTGGGACGTACACGCTGGTCCTGCTCATCCTGTGCACCCGTTAGCTCTTCTTTCTTTGATAGACGCATGGAAGCTTACCGAGTTGGTGACACCACCTACTTTACGCGCCTCTTCGTGCTGCTCAGCGAATTGCCCCGAGGGAATCGCATGTCCACCTTTCTCCTCCAGTCCAGGTGTCTCACCACCCGATTGAGGCTTCCCTGCTGCGTCTGTGCCCGCACCATGGGAAGACCCTGCGCTCTTGACATCCTTGGAGGGGCCTTTCCCTGTTTTGGGGTTCTTTGTCAAGTCTGCCTTTTTGGCATAACTACGGTACACGATACTCTGTGTGACAGTCTGCGGCCTAGCGAGGATGAGTCTTGTAGAGCGAAGCATTGAGTGTATATGTATGTATCTATGGTCTTGAGCTTGCTTCGTGTAAGTGATGTCACTGGGGAAGACGGCAGTCACAGATATCAGCGTGGAAGGGACAGAGACACTAGATGGCCTCCTCAGGCAGTAGCATAGGAGATACTACAGCACGACCAGCTCTACCCCCTGACAGCAAACCAGATAGCTAAAGACTACTGGCAGGGTGACACGAAACAACCAGAAACAGCTTGGCATCTTCTCCTCCCATTCACACACATCCACACACCCAATCATGCCTCTCATCAACTCTACCCTCGGTCTCATCGCTCCTGAGTATGGCTATGTCATGCTCGCTGCCATCGGCACCAGCTTCGTCGGTGTCTGGCACAGCATGGCTGCAGGAGGTGCCCGCAAAGCAGCTGGCATCAAGTACCCTCAGACGTAACCTACCCTGATTGGCTGGCAAGACCACGGCTGATACTTCTCTAGGTTCGCTACGCCTGAGCAGGAAAAAGCATCCAAGGAAGCACTCATCTTCAACTGCATGCAGCGTGCACACGCAAACGTACCAATTCCCACGTCTTCTTGTACCGCTTGCTAACATCTCACTCAGTTCAACGAGAGTCTCCCCATCTACTTGCTTCTCCTCGCTGTTGCATCTGTGCGATTTCCAGCCTATGCTTCAGCAGCGAGTGCCGTTTGGCTCGTTGGACGCGTCATGTACACGCTTGGCTACCGCACGGGTGACCCTGCCAAGCGTATGCAAGGTTCTGCTCAGTACATCGGCTTGCTCAGTCTCCTTGGATTGGCCATTACTTCGACCTACAGGACTCTCGGCTACTGAAGCTTTCAAATATCATTGCTAGTGAATTGACCATTTCTGCTTATATTTTGGATACAGCATCCATTTCTTCGCTTGATACCACTGTCTGACTCTCCTCGCCCTTGTCACCTCCCTTCTTTTGCTTCCGCTTTTTCTTCTTCCTCGCTGCTTGCGTTGCCAAGTCTACCTTTTCATAAAAGAGGAGAAAGACGCTCTCCCTGAACCCAGCCAATGCTTGCTCTGTGGCAACAATGCGAATCGTCTCATCAGAAATCATATACCACTGACTCCCACGTTTGCGAAAGGCAATGTAATGGCCTCGATTATGCGACCCTTTGTGCGTCACAAAACTGCGTAATTGATAGACTTGATCTTTGCTCTTGAAATCATGCCCTGCAACGGCGGCTGGATCCAACTTTTCAGGAAACTCAATCGCAACAGCATTGCGGGTGGCGTAGGCATCGAAGATGGAACGATTGATGTGAATCGCGAGGATCTGTGGAAGTGACACAATGGAGCTTGAACGATGCAATACTCGACACACTCGTGGCAGGGGTCCGGGTAAATCACAACTCGGATCCTTTTCTAATTGTTGCTTGAGTGCGTTTGCATGTGCCTCTTGAGCAGGCGTTTGCGCTTGTCGTGCAAGTTGCGCAACGGCACACCAAGCACAGCTGTACTCGTCAATCCGCTCAGTCTGTAGCATCTCCGCCAAACAACTCTCGAGTGTCATCAGTCGCTGTTGTTTGGGCAAGACTGTCCATTCCAAGAAGGGCGTCTGTTGCTTACTCGGATTAAAACCACATTGCGTACAGGTACTCGTCGTTTCCAAGATCCCTTCAAATGGCAACGCAATATATGCCCTGCCTGCCTCTTTTGCAGCGTGTGCCATTTGTAAGATGGAGACCTGATGGGAGAGTCTATTTTGTTCAGCAGCGAGCGATTCAAGGACGAGGTGAAGGAATTCCTGTGCATCTTGTTGATCGCGAGAGATGCAAACACGTTGAACGCGTTCGAGTGCTGACACGAGGGGTGAGGAGGAGAGCGTCTTGGGAGAGCCCTCGATACTCAATAACCGCAGGAGTCCAAGCAGGGTTTGTGTCAGTGACATGGGCGACTCCGCCTTCTCCTCTTCAATCTGCTCTTCAGCAGAAGCTTGTTCATCCACATGCTCATTCAGCCAGACCTTGAGTGTCGGCAAAGACGATAGACTCTGAAGCACAGAATTACAAAAGCACCAATTCCCCCAGTTCCGCAGACCAGGGATCGTTGGGCCTTTTGGGAGTGAGCCAATGGCTGACAAGTATGGCGCCAGGACGAAGAGTGATAGAGCAGCTGCTGCTGCACACAGGCTTAAGAGGCTCAAGAGCTGGTTTGGGTCATGCACCATCGGCAGCCTTACAAGTGAGAGCTATGAAGCACCTGTGGTATTCTACCTTTAACAAGTACGGTGCATCTATGCGATATATGCGTGCGTTGGATAGAGTTATGGTGCAGTCAAGCCAAGATCAGATGGAACACGTCACCAATCACTCACCAATCACTCACCGAGTCACCGACAAAGGCAATAGATAAAGCAACCTCAATGCTCCATTTCCCTATGAGCAAAAAGGTACAGAAAGCCACTCTTGCGCCTTCTTCTCAAGAAAGAGAAAGAAAACCACTAAAAAGCAATCACACAGAGCATGAAAAATTTTGAGAAGACATGACAACACGAGAGGAGGGAGGTCGCAGAACAAACTTGTTCGAAGGTTCTAGTAAGTCTGTTGGTTCCAGCCACCGCGCGCGCCATACTGGCCATACTGCGCATACTGCGTCTGCTGACCATGCTGCTGAGCGTACTGCGCATGATTGCCATACTGCTGCTGTTGTTGCTGCTGTGGGTAACCACCGTAACCCTGAGCCAACTTGGCTGCATCCCGAGAGGGTGTCGATTCTGTGGTAGCGTATCCCTTGTACGACTCCTCAGTACCATTGCCATTTCCTTGTTGCTGTTGTTGCTGGCTGGCACTACGACCACCGAGGAAGTCATCATGCGTACCATACTGACCTTGCTGCTGTTGTCCCTGCTGCGAGCCATTTCCCTGGCGTTGCTGCTGGTACTCACCCGTGGACCTTTCAAATCGATCCTGACTCGTACCTAAGGAATGAGTGGAACCAGCTTGACCTTGTTGCTGTCCAAGGTAACCGGAGGCACTGTACACACCACCACTTGTACCACGCTGAGCTGGTTGCTGTTGAGGTGGCTGCTGCCCATACATAGAAGGCTGTCCATAAGCGCCATATGGCTGCTGTTGCGGGAAGGCATAGCCGTAGTACGCATAGGGGTTTGGGTTCGGGTACCCCTGTGGGTATCCAGCATAGGCTTGTGGCACACCATGCTGAGCTGGGGAACCAGTGGCAATCGGTGCAGCAAGACCTTGTTGATGGGTCATGTGCGATGCAATAGGGCTAGCACCGGTTTGTTCGCCATAACGTGCACGCTCAGCACCGGCACGTCCAGTGGCGGTTGCTGCATGACCAGATTGTACGGGAGATGCTTGACCGGGTTGTTGCTGTTGTCCCTGGCCGTAGTAGTCGCCAAAGGGAGATGGGCGCGGTGGCTCTTGACCACCGTAGAAGCTCGACATGCCGCCATATTGCGCATGACCCTGACCAAATCCAGGATAAGGTCCAGCTGGCTGAGCGGGCATACCGTAATTGCCATAGCCTGGGCCAAAGTTGTCATAAAGCTTGTCGCCTTGCTGAGGACGTTGCTGTTCAGCAGAAGCTTGTTTGCCATACTCACCCGTTGTTTGGCCATGCTCGGCGGCATCATCTTCAATGTCAAGAGAACCGAATTGCAAACTGAGTTTTGTTGCTGGCTGTGTTTCCGTGCCGGGCATGATGACTGCTTGATTTTGGTTGAGCTTGCGTCCGCCCAGAGGCGTGCCCGTTCGCTGTTGACCACCGACTTTCATGCCAGGAGGAACAATGTTGCCTGAAGGGGTACCTGGCGCACCCACAATAGAAGAGGGTCCAGTCGCTGGTTCGCCTTGGATGGACCGCACAGTTGCTGCTGGTGGCTGTGGCAGGTCCGGCTGATTTTCTGTTGCCGCTTCAAGGTTCTCCTCCGTGAGTGGTGCCGTTGTTGTTGGTGCAGGTGCTGTGGCAGTGGATGATGCTTGCTTTTGTACGACAGCTTTGGGTGCTGCAGGCGGTGGCTTTGCAATTGATGCCCAGCTGGACTTTGAGTTCTTGTCAATGATGCGAGATTTTGGCTTTGCTTGTGTCTCTTGCTGTGTAGCCACCGATTCAAGCCAGCTGTCGGTGCTGACAGGTTCCGGCTGTGCATCGAGTACGCTTGTGACGGGTTCATCCCAGTCGGCTGACGCTTGACCTGGCGCAGGAGCCATATCCCAATCATCTGTTGTTGGTGCAACAGGCTCGACATCCCAGGTAGAGGTCGTTTCAACAGCTGCAGAAGGCTCCTGTGCCGCATCTGCCCTAGTACTTCCACCTGACGCTTGGTGGTCCTTCTTAAAAGCCGCTCTCGGTTCACCTGATGACGCTCCGCCACGGCCTCTGCCCCGTCCACACGTTGCATCACCGCCACGGCCACCACGAGCTGAAGCTCCGCCTCTGCCGCGACCCCGCCCGCGGTCTGCTGCATTGAGGAAAGGTTGAAACAAGGCACTTTGCGGGACGTTGTTGTTGTTCTTGCGTGCCGCTTGCTTATCCTTCTTCTTGGTCACTTCACCAAACTTGGTTGCTTTGCCAGAAAGGATACGATCGGTGGCTAGATCCACATCACCGCGGGATTCCTGCAGGACTTGCTGCAGGTCTTGCTCTGACCAGCTATCACCAAAGACAGCTTTGAGGGTTTGTATATCTGCCGACGCGGACATGATGTAGTTGTTCCTGCCTGCCGTGTATTGCTTTGAGCTCTGTTTGATGGAGCTGTGAGGGCACTGGAAGGAAAGAAAGGGCGTTGCCTGGGTTGTCTGAGGGCGTCTTGTCTCTTGACTCGTTCGGCGTCGTCGTAGGGACACGTGATCTGGACCGGGAGTCAAATAGATGCATTAGTAGAAGAGGTATACTTATAGTCCTATAGGCTAGACAGAAGCAAGGCTCATGTCTGCAGCAGGGGCATCCACGGGCTTCGATCCTCCAGACCACGACATCTTCCGCTGCAGGGCCGCCTCCACCAGCTTCAGCTCCTGCTGCACACTCAGCACATACAAGCCCTCTGTCCACGTCAACACCTGCCGACACAGCAACAGTGCATCGCCTGTTCCCTGCACCAGCTGCTGAGCAATCATCAGACCCACCACTGCCTCCCGTGCTCGTTGTGGTTCTGCCCTTTGCAGCACAGTAAAGGCCTCACTTGGTCGCTGCCGCTCACATAGCCATCGTGCTAATCCTGTTTCTTGTCCCAGGCAGCATCCTCCATCCAAGCGGAGACACTCGAGTGCTTTTTGTAAGTCATTCTTTTTGACGGAAGCACGTAGAAGTGTTCGTAGAACAGCGCGTCGATGCCTCGGATGCGTTTCTAGCTGTGCGTGCCAACTAAAGGCTTCTTGTAAGTCCCCACGTTCAGAGGCATACAGAACAATCAACGCATGGTGCGCTGAATCTGCAATAAAGGCCTTTGAGTGCCGAGCAATGAGTGGTGAGGCATCCGCCCATTGACCCAGCTGAATGAGTTTTGTGGCCAATTTTGCAGACAAGTCAGGATGCCTTGCAATCTCGGATGCTGGACCTGCTTTTGTAGCCCAATGCTGGATCCGTGACAAGTCATGTGGCGTTTGAGCAGCAGTCAGAAGATCGCGAACGGCGGCGGGCGTCATGCTTCCATCAATGAAATGCTGACGCGCTACAGCATCCATATCTTTATCCGCAGGCACGCTCGTTGCTCGTGTAGTCGATGGACTTCGCGCTACACGAGGACTGCGAAATCCTAGGATATCATTGAGATGCCGATCAACGACATGCGCGACGGGGGCTGCTTCGTGCTGGATGCGCTGTCGAAAGGATGATTTGAGATCTTGCAGGAAGGACTGCTGCGCTTGCTCTGTGACGGGTCCTGTGAGACTTGCAAGGACGCGGGCTAGCCTTGGGCGCATTGTACGAGCTGTTTCTTTGTAGCAAGACTGAGCAAGTCTGTGTATGTGAAGTGTAGGTTGATGTAAGCGTTCTCTGCCTTGAGACGTCACCAGCAAGAGTCCAAGTCGCGCTACACTCAACACAGACACACAGTTCCAGCTTCCAGTGTCTTCTCACTGTGCTGCAGAGCCGAGGAGCCTGCAATCCTTGCGTCAGAGATGCGTACAACCAAGCTACAAGTCGAGCAACAGGAGTCGCCCGACAACACCACCACCCAAACTATTCGCATCAATCAAGTCGGTCGCGGCGTCTTAAACATCTCTCTCTTTGCTAGTACCGCCGTCGCGCTCTTATTCGTCTCTTGTATTGCATTTCTCGTCTTCTACTTTCAAACGGTGCCGACGCAAGGTGTTGTTGAGGAGGTCTACCTACAATACCATCAGGGCAGCCACCCCTTTGCATCGGTGGATCTTGATTTCTCATCAGGCAATGGTCTTGTGACGGGTCAAGCGTATGATGTGAGCATTGAGCTGATTGTGCCCACCTCCCAAGTCAACAAGGATCTCGGCAACTTTATGGTGGATTTATCCCTGGTGGAAGCAGGATCAGAGCAGTCCGTTACTGCATCAAGACCTGCAATCCTGCGCTATGCATCGCCGTTTGTAAGTCGCCTACAAACAGTTGCTGGCGCAGGTCCTGTTGTCCTTGGCATCAAAAAGGAGACAGAAGTCTTGCATGTCCCGCTACTCGAGGCCTTTAGCTTTGAATCCACCTGGCTCGCGAATGCAGCAACAGCAGAGATTCAAATCCAAGCAACACGACCCTTACAAGTGTATCGCTGTCGCTTACACTTTACGAGCAAGTTGACTGGCCTTGTTTGGTTCTTGCGACGCTTCAGGGTCTTGTCGTTTATTGTCTTCACCATGCTATTCTATATATCTGCACTTGCCTTCACACTGGGAACATGGACTGTCCTCGCTTTCATATCTGGGAATGGCAATGCTGCTAGCCAAGACAAGGGCAAACGATCTTGGGATCAAGGGAAAGGTGCGCCAGGATCCCTAGCATCTTCCATGGACTCGTCACGCGCAACAACGCCAGAACCAGAGGAAGTGGTAGATTACACGGCTGGTTTCCCACGCGGCTTACCAGCATCTGTTATTGCGCAGTCTGAGCGAAGTGCAACGACTGCATCGACGGGAGGATTCTTTAAATTTGAGGAAGGGACACGAGGCTCTTCTGGGCGTGCTCGTCGGCGAAGTAAAGGTAAAAAAGTTGCGCGTAGTGTCGAGAGTACTGCACCGACATCGGTGGGTAGTGTGCGTGTGAAGGAGGAGAGTCTGTCTGATGGATCTGGCTGACTGCATCTCAAGACAGCAAATGGTGATGAAGACAGTGTATGATATGGATTAAACAAGAATTTTATGTGCTTGCCTCCTTTGGCTCTGGCTCAGCAGCCGGTGCTGAGAGTTGCCAGGCGGGGATGCCACCACTCCCAGCTGCACCACCTGATGTGAAGCGCGAGAGGGAGTCTGGCAAGGGACGTGATGTGGCTGCCTGTGTTGCTGTAGCATTGGCAGCACCGTCGAGTGCAGGCGACTTTGCTGCAGTCTTGGCCAACGCCGGTGAACTTGCTGCTGTTGTTGCTGCTGCTGCTGGAGGTGGAATCATAGATGCAGGCGATGCACCTGCCTGTGCCTTTGTCCTATTCTGCAGCAATGTCTTGAGTGACCGCAACTCGTTATTGAGTTCATTGAGTGACTCTGTCTGCGCATGCTTGACACTCTCCAGAGCCTTCGGAATCAACTCTCTGATCTGATCCAGCTCCAGGCCCAACCTGCGGATATCTGTCTCCCTGCGATCTGCTTTATCACGCACATCCTCAACGGTTGTTTCGACTTCCTTCAGGCACTTGTCTACCTTTTCCTGCTGTGTTGTCATTGCTTGCTTTTGCTCAGCGGCATCGGTCTGCAACATGGAAAGCATCTCTTGTACTTGATCGAACTGTGCGGCCAAGGCATTTTTATCCTCCTCGAGTTGACTGATGTTGGGCGGCTGAACGAGGGGTAGGATGTAGCGTTTTGCCGTATGATACACAGCCCATGAGAGACCACCAGACACCACAGCCATGATGAACCAATCCCGCCAGTCTCGTTGTGGAAGGGCAGGTGGTTGTGCTGCAATCAGACTATTTCCTGCTTGTCCTTGCGCATACGACGCGTACGGCAGAGTCGGTGGCCTCGCGGGCGCATACCCCGTTGACTCTTGTGAGGCCCCGGTTGCTGCTGGTGGTGCTGCGTCTTGTGCGCGCTGTAGGGCTTGTTGGACTTGCTGCGGGGAGAGTCCCTTGGATTCGAGGAAGGCGATGCGTTTTGCCAAGGGTGCATCTGCTACCTTTGGGTCTTGGAGGAAGGTGACGGCGGAAGAGACGAGGTCGTCTGCCATGGCTGTGCTTTGTTATAGACTACAGACTGTAGACTGTGCTGTAGAATGTAGGGTAGTCTGTGCTGTAGACTGTCGGCTGAGTCTGTGGGCAGCAACTTCTTCACCAAACCACCACAACGACTATTACCCAACACCCTCTGCTGCTCATGGCAGTCAGCTCCTCCTACAACACACGCAGGCACGCACCAAAGAGAACCTCACCCTCCATAGACACACCCACTTCCGACAGACTCGGCGCAAAGCGGCTTAAACTCGCAAAGCGCGACCCATACACACCGCCAGCCTCACCTGACCGCATCGACACCGCCTCAGCAGCCGTCTTCACTGCACAGCAAGATGCAGAGGAAGACCAGACATTCCTAGGCATCGTCGACTACCTCCGCCGCCATGCCCATGAAGGCGCACGCTGCTCACGTCAAATCTCAGAGGGCATGCTGGCAGAGGGTAAAATCAGCCTCAATGGCACCACACCCTCAACCACCATCGACGCAGCCATCAGGTCGCACTTCAAACGATCCACGGGAGCCGGTAGACTGCCGGCCGTAGCAAAAGCCGCTGATCCGCAATTCCCAAGGAAGACGCTGTATCACCTGGCAGACGCATCGCCACTCCCTTCCGCACCCGCAAAACAAGTGGCCTTTACACAGGCATCACCAGCGCAGCAGTCCGGTCGTCGAAGGTCTGTCACTGCACACACAGCAGGAAGGCACTCTGTAGCCGTTGTGCCCGGTGAGGAGAGTGATGATGGTTCTGAGTTGTCAGAGCACGACTCACAGGATGGATTGGGACCCTTTGCAGGACCAACACGCCAGTCGAGTGATATCACCATGCAAGACTCAGAACACAGCAACCCAGAACGGAGTCTCAGCAGCAACAGCCATGATCTCAATCGTCTACACAGGCATGAACGCTCTCCCTCGCCAGACTTGCAATTTGCCTTGTCGATTCACGAAGTAAAAGATACTGTACAGACACCAGCAGCCTCTCAACCCTCCTCACCCATGCGTGCTCATCTACGTGAGGAGAAACTCGCAAAACCAACGCGTGTCAATATCGCACTACCACCCTCCCCTTTCATCTCACCACAACAATCAGACGAGGAAGAAGCGAGTGAGGTGGTGAGTGTCCTTGCGCAACAGGATCCATCTCTCCGCTTCTCGACCATGCGCAGCGAATCTGTCTCCTTCTCTGATCTGAGCGATGTGCAGGTCCGTTCACCGGAGGAAGTCACGCTGGGTGAGCTGGATGACTTGCTCTCTGCGTTTGACTAAAACAGGTCAGTCATGGACCGATCTACGTAGCCCTCTTCTCCCTTCTCTTACAGACAACGAACGAGTGTACTTTATACCCAAATCCCTCTCTCTCTCTCTCCCCTACCTGCTTCAAGGCTGCTTGACATGTGCTGACCAAATATCCCCCGCGAATTGGCCACACCTCAAAACACTCAAAACTCCATCGAGTTACCGACATCAAGAAAAAAAGGCAACTCTCTGACTGAAAGAAATGCTCTTCAGAAAGGCGCTCTGGAGCGTACCGGTCACAATCCGATGCAGACTCACACGACCCGGCCCCCGACAAGCTGCTCGATTCTCCGTCTCTGCCTTCCGAGGCCTTGCGAGTGTAGATGAATCCTTCGATCCAAACTCGATGGAGAGGACGGAGGATGAGGTGGATCTATGTATCGTCGGTGGCGGACCCGCTGGACTCTGTGCAGCCATCCGGTATCTTTCACTATCGATATGTATCACAAGACTAACAGAAGGTTCAAGCAATTGGCGGATAAAGCCGGAAAGGACTATCGCGTCATGGTCCTTGAAAAAGCTCCCGATCTCGGCGCACATATCCTCTCCGGTGCTGTGATTGAGACGCGAGCACTCGATGAATTGCTTCCAGGGTGGTTGACATCGGATGATAAACCAGCAAACATGACACCCGTGGAAAAGGACAAGATGCGGTTCTTGACAGCCGATATGTCGATTCCGTTACCGGCACCACCACAGATGCATAATGCAGGGAACATCATTGTTGAGATGAGTTCTGTTGTGCGTTGGTTGGCGGAAAAGGCAGAAGCCTTGGGAATTGAATTGTACCCTGGTTTCGGTGGTGCAGAGGTCTTGTACCATTCAGACGGTAGTGTCAAGGGTGTCGCCACCTCAGATCTCGGTGTTGGCAGGGATGATAAGCCAACGGCAGAGTTTGAGCGTGGTATGGCGTTCCATGCAAGGACGACGTTGTTTGCAGAGGGAGCGCATGGGAGTTTGACCAAGAAACTCGTCAAGCAGTTTGATTTGCGTAAGGATGCACAACCACAAACCTACGGCCTCGGTCTTAAGGAAGTTTGGGAGGTGAAGGATGAAAACTTCCGAAAGGGTGAAGTCAGTCATTCTCTGGGCTTTCCATTGAAGAATGATACCTATGGCGGTGGATGGATGTATCACTATGGAGACAATCTCGTCTCTGTGGGTTTGGTGGTTGGTCTGGATTACCCGAATCCGTGGTTAAATCCCTACATGGAGTTTCAGCGCATGAAGCATCACCCGCACTACGCGAGTGTCTTGAAAGGTGGCAAGTGTCTGTCGTATGGCGCTCGTGCACTCAACGAAGGCGGCCTGCAATCCATCCCGAAACTCACGTTCCCCGGTGGTGCGTTGATTGGGTGCTCAGCTGGCTTACTCAATGTACCCAAAATCAAGGGCACACACAATGCCATGAAGTCTGGTATGCTCGCTGCTGAAGCTGCTTTTGAAGCATTCGAGCAGGAGCAAGAAGGCGCTATCGAGCTCACTGCGTATGCAGAGAATCTCAAAAACTCATGGGTCTATGAAGAGCTTCATCAAGTACGAAATATCAGGCCTTCCTTCCACAACCCTCTCGGCAACTTTGGCGGTATCCTCTACTCTGGTCTTGATACCATCCTTCTGCGTGGTCAAGCACCCTGGACTCTCAAACATCCCACCACTGATGCAGCAGCAACACAGTCTGCCGATAGCTGCGAGAAGATTGAGTACCCAAAGCCAGATGGCGAGCTCAGCTTTGACCTCCTCACAAACCTCGCCCGGACAGGTACCTACCACGAGGAGAACATTCCCGTACACTTGCGCGTGAAGGACTGGGAAAAACATACACAAGAAGCCTATCCACGCTACCAAGGTATTGAGACGCGCTTCTGCCCTGCTGGCGTGTACGAGTACAATGAAGATCCCAAAGCTCCGCTCGGTGTCAAGTTCAACATTAACAGCCAAAATTGCATACATTGCAAGACGTGCGACATCAAAGTACCAACGCAGGATATTGATGTTTGTCTCTCCGAGTATTTGTCTATTTCAAACGCTAACATTCTTTTAGTGGCAGATTCCATCAGTCTCAGGCGGGCCCAAATACGCATACTAGCCATTCTGTACTCTAATTTGAGCGAATCACATCCTCCATCCATTTGTTTGAGACACGCTGCCCGACGTAACCCCTGACACGTCTGGATTCGTGCACAATTTTACAATCTCCTTCTCCTCTGCATCCATCTATCCACACGCGTTGCTTTGCTTTGCTGCAAAGGAATCTTCAATGAAGAGGATATGGCGGTTCTCCTCTCCTTCAGCTGACAAGCGCAGACGTCCCTCTTGGTTTCGACGCAATTGGCGACCTCTTGCGCTCCTGATCATACCTGCTTGGCTATTCTACACCAATCACAAGACAAGTCTCACGTCAAACGCACCAGAAGATGATCCCAGGTGGAGTGCCTTGGATGCACAGCGTCTATGGTATGCGAAATCGAATCTACCTTGCGTGGCTTCGCAGGGAAACCTCACCTTTGGCCCTCAAAATGATACCTTGGGCTTCCAGCATATTCTCGTCATTGGCGTACGTCTTTCCTTGCTCATCACTTACTTACTCTTCTAGCCAAACGGCAGATCAGACTTGCGTGCCACACAAGAGTCCATGCAGAAGGAGTCAGGCTTACAATTAACCTTCTTGCCTGATGTGAAGTCACGCGTCTTGAAAGCAGGAGAAGTACGTCCAAAGCTGACTGCTGCTGAAGAACAGACCCTACTTTTATTGAAAGCACACATGCAGGCATGGCAGCTTGCGAAAGACTGTCGATGGGCGTCGGTCCTTGTGATTGACCAAGACTTGGATTACGATGTCTTAGTTCGCCCACAGGCTGGTGCCATTGCAGCCAGCTTTTTCAACCTTTTGCGTCTTGAGCACAATCTTGGTTGGAAGGATATCGTTAATTCAGCAGATCCGCATCTCTCAAGGTACTGGTTTTCCCTCATCTTTGGCCTTGAAGCGGATAGGCTGGAAGAACAGAAGATTGTCCGCTTCAACGACTTCACTGTGCCGTCATACACACCTGAGAAGAATGAAGGCCAGTTTGCCATGGCGGACCTCATGGCTGAGTACCTGAAACGTGTCGAAGAAACAAAGGCATTGTACAACAAGCGTTTCATCCAGCGCTCTGTGTAAGCTTGTGAATCTCCAGCCTATGATGCTAACTGCAGTGAACCTAAAGGCATTAGTGCCTACGCTCTTTCTTCTCGCGGTGTCGCAGCGTTCCTGTCTCACTGCACAACCACGAATCAGTGTACCTCTCTCGATGCAGCCTTCCAAACTGCCAAGAATCAACAAAGTGGGAATGAGAGCTATGAGATTTATTCGGTCATGCCCCCGCTCTTTGGGCGCTTTGATGTAGCCAAGGTTGAAACAGGCATGGTGGCCAAGTCTGACCTTGATATGCCCGTCGGCTCTGGGACAATCAAGGCACAGCATCCGATAGCCATGCAGATGGGCGGCAAGAATATAAGGCGAAGTACGCTTGTGAAGGTCTTTAAGAAGAATCTGATGACCTGGAGTACTTGAAGCACCAGATAGCTAATAGTTCGAGGACGGACTTATACTAATGCAAAATGACCCTCCGCGACATGGGTCCATCTGAAGCAGCCATCAGTTGAAGAGATGCGACCGACGCGCTTCTATCGCGACCTTGACTCTCAGCATAGATGACTGTTGAACAGCTCACCGCAACAGCAAGCTCCCTCTCTCTTGATGGGCGCAAAATTGTTGGCAATCTTGCATGCCAGCATGACACCTATGCAACGCACATGACCTCAACTGTGTGCCAATGCGACAAGGTCAAAAAGGCAAAGCCTGATGAAGCATGCGAAGTTCAGCTGATGGACACAATCTTGTTTCCTGAAGGAGGTGGTCAGCCTTTTGATACTGGGCTGTTGAAGACGTCCACAGACTCGTATCGTGTGAATCGTGTCATGCGACGTGGCCTACAGGCTATCCACTACACGGCAAAGCCCATCTCGGTAGGCGAAACGGTTGATATTGAGGTCGATTGGCCCAGACGATGGGACCATGCGCAGCAGCACTCCGGGCAGCATCTCGTTTCTGCAGTCTTGGACATGCTTGAGATACCGACCCTGGCATGGAGTATGACTCCTGAATGGTGCTATGTCGAAGTTGCCACCTTGCCGAAGGACTTCCGCTGGGTCGAGGATAAGTGCAATGAAATCATACGGCAGAATCTACCCATCACGGTACATGAGACAAAGGAGAAGCCAGCAAATTTGCCGGACGATTACGATGCTTCTGCGGGCGTTGTTCGCATTGTCTCCATCGGTGGTATTGATCAGAACCCGTGCTGTGGTACACATGTTCGGAGTACTTCAGAGCTCAATGCTATCACAATCCTCCACACATCAGGCATCAGGGGAACAAACTTTCGCATTCACTTTGTGTGTGGCGATCGCTGCCGAAAGATGCTAAGTGAGAGTCACGCACAGGCTCGGACCCTTGGTGCTCAACTCAGCTGCCAGAGCCATGACTTGCCAGACAAGGTCACACTTTTACAGACGCAGTTGCGAGATGCTCTGAGACGGGAGAGGGGCCTCAAAGCTGAAGTCGTCACAATGGAAAGCACGCGAATGGCCGAAGAGCTCCAGCAAGTTGGCAAGAGCTTCATGTACCGCGAGAATGCTGATGTGGAGTTTCTCAATAGCGTGCTCAATGCACTTCCAAAGGACTTTGTTGGTGCGTGTATATTGGTTGCAGGCAACAAGGCAAGCGGTGGGCAGGTTCTCATTGCTAGCAATGATTCCGAGCGGCTAAAAGCGCTTGGCGAAGCAGCCAAACAACGTGTGCCAACACTGAAGGGCGGAGGACGCGCAACTCGCTTCCAGGGCAAGGTGCCGTCACTCTTGCCAAAGGATGTCGAAGAGCTGGCTTTGATTTTGTAGCGTATCAGTGGATTTTAGACGACTAGGAGATTTTGCAACGCACACCGGGAACACATGTGCTAGAGCGGTTACACTAGCGCACATTGATGAATGAGACTGATGCTGAGCATAATGCAGCTTCTTTCCGATACTTGGAGCAGCTGAGAAACTCCGTCTATGGTCCCTTCTTTGCTGATCAATATGATCGAACGCTTCTTCTTCGCGGCATCAATGTGTCTGGCGCTTCTAAACTACCAAGTGGGCCAGACTTTCCTCGCTGCATTGACCCGCTCGACGAAGCTTTTTGGAAGCCAGTTTCGTTTGTTGGACGGCCCTTTCCTGTTGAAGAAGCTAGAGCACACTGGCAACGACTCAAGTCATGGGGCCTGAGCCTGATTCGCTTTGTGGTCACATGGGAAGCAATTGAGCCGGACGAGCCTGGCGTATATGACGAAGAGTATCTGAAGTACGTCGCAAGTATACTCAAGGAAGCAAGTGATATCGGGTTGCTCATCGTCATTGACATGCATCAAGACTGCTGGAGCAGATTCACAGGCGGTAGTGGTGCACCCTTGTGGACGCTGCATATGGCGGGAATCGATGCAACCTTACACAAACTACACGCCACTGGCGCTGCTCTCTTGCAAGGACCCAAGCATGAGAGCTATGCTGAACCTGGAACGCTATGGGCAACCAATTACACAAAGTTCGCCATCAACCACATGTTCACCCTCTTCTTTGGTGGTGAAGTGTTTGCTCCCAATTGTCAGTACAAGGGAGAAGCTGTTGGCCTTGTTCTTCGACGACACTTCATCGACGCTGCGGCACGCCTGGCGTCTACCCTTGCAGGCATTCATGGCATCCTGGGCTTTGACGTCTTGAATGAGCCTCATGCTGGATTCATTGGGCTCGCGTCACTCGACAATTTCAACGAGGATGTACACCTTCATCTAGGCAATGCTCCGTCAGGAATACAAAGCATGCTGCTTGCATCTGGTGTGCCGCAGGAAGTGCCCCACTTTACCAAGTCATGGCCAGTGCCTACCAAGAAGACCTCTATCAAAATGTTGAATGCAGACGGAATACGACTATGGAGAGACGACATGGAAGATGTGTGGCGCCAGCATTCTGTATGGAATATTATTGATGGACAAACAAGGTACGACCCTCGTCACTTTACGAGGTATCCCAAGACCCATGCCAGAGCTGGCGAAGAGGTCAAGTTCCTGCAAGACTTTTACCGGCCGTTCCTCATGTCATTTGACCAAGCTATCAAAGCAGCTATGCCACACGCATATACGTTTGTTGAGCCGATCCCCAATATTCGCAATATGGGCTTACTCGACCAAGCGCCATCTCAGACATGCTTTGCACCTCACTGGTATGACTTGCAAGCACTCTTTGAAAAGAAGTGGTCGCGGTACATGACGATGAATGTGCAACAGCTGGCGCAGGGGTCTCGCAATTTATGGACACACACGTATTTTGGCAAGCGTCAGGCAGCGGATAACTATACAAAGCAGTATGCTTGGCTCTTTCAAGATGCACCAAGGGCTATACCGCGTCTCATTGGCGAGACGGGGATTCCCTTTGATATGAACAAGCAATATCAGCGCGGAAAAGTGGTATATCAAGACCAAGCAGATATGCTTGATGTCATGTGCACGGCCATGGAGCGCAACTTGCTCAGCTACACGCTGTGGAACTACACGCCAGAAAACAAGTCACATAGAGGCGGTGGTGATTTGTGGAATGGCGAGTGCTTCAGCGTGTATTGCGCGGCGGATCACGTTGGAACGAGCATCTATGCTGGGACACGCGCCAGAGAAGGATGGATTCGGCCGCATGCGTTCAAAATCGCTGGCCAGCCCCTGTTATCGGAGTACTCGGCTGACGATGGAATTTATCGTCTCCGGTACAAAGGTGCCGGCAGCCTGCATACGCTTGGCAGAACGACGGAGGTCTTTGTGCCCAAGTACCTGCGCATCGAGGCCATCCATGTATCACTACGGAGACGATGTACAATCACAACAAGTCTGGATATGCAAACCATCACGATCTGTCATGAAGAGCAAGAGTTGATTGAAGTAGAAATTGTCTTTGCGCAAAAGATGAAGTTGCGTCGTGGTATCATTGGCATGGCATTAGCCACTGCTGCTGCGTTCATAGCACATCACTTGCTTCATAGTACTTAATCAGGCGCTCTTCTTGGCTTCGCCTGTGGCTGTTGCTTGCTTGTACTTTTCAGCCAATTCATCAAAGTCTGCATCGCGCTTCTTCAACTTTGTCTTGAGCTCATCAATCTCCTCGAGGTAGGCCTTGCTCTTGATGGCTGCATCATTCTTGGTGGCGCTATTGTCAACGAGGTCTTGGAGACGCAGGTTCGTGTTGGCGAGGACGAAGACGCGGTTCAGAATACTATTATCAGCTTTTTTGGTCGCGTGTGCAGAAGAATTTACAGGGAAAGGAACAAGGTGAAGCCAGTGAGGTACATGTTGCGCTGAGAGTAGAATTTGCGAGCCTGCACATCGGAGCGGTACTGTTCGCGCATACTAACATCGACAGAGGCCCTTGCCTGCGCGTCATCGCTTACCTTGAAGACTCGATTGACGGAATCAATAAAGAGGACAAGGATGAAGATGAATGTGATTTTCAATCCATACTGCAATTTTGCAACGAGCGGCGACGTGTTGATGAAGACAAATAGCGAACGGCGCATCTTGAAGGGCAATGGCAGCACGAGCACGCAGAACATGGCCATTTCCAAGACCAGGAGGCTGAAGACGAGACTATTTGATTAGCTGATGGGCAATTGACATGGTTGCATACGCATAGTAGAGGGTCATTTTGCTTTCGGATTGAGGAGCTCGACTGATGTAGGCTAGAACGTGTCCTTTGCTTGCTCTGGTCGTCGTGGTGTCTGCCAAGCTGGCGCCATGACGCAGGAAAGGTGTTCAGATGGGATGGCTACTTGTGAATGCTTCAGGCTTAGGCTACAGCTTCAGGTGTGTTCACTGTTCATTCATGAGTCGTCATATGACGGATGCTATTTCGAATCTTGAGGATGCTGCATTGTTCGAAGGCTTTTCAACTCTTGATAATCGAGATTGGCGGATATGCGAGGCTGTAGTCGTAGGTGATAGACACAGGCACGCAGGGCAGCTGCAGATAAGACTTGATTCGAATAGGGGACAAGAGTATAGCACTCTTGCCAGCTAAGACTAAACTAAAGGTCACGTGCATGAGCGCTGACGTGGCAGAGAGATAACAGCGGAAGCAAGTGATCAGGGGATGCACTTGAATTCCTAACACTTGAACTCTCTCACCGTAATGGCGAGGATGGGGCCACCTGGGCAGCTGGGCAATGGACAATCCAATCCTGAGTCTAAGTCAGCAATGGTAGAGGAGTCTAAGAGGACCGTAGCTGGCGTAGAGCACCGCATGGCCGGCGATCTGTTCGGAGACTGTTCCAGGGCCGCTGTATATAATAATATGAGTGGCCGGAATCGATTGCGAGAGCAGAATTGAGAGCAGAATTGGACACCGGGTATGGGTATGGGTATCGCCGTGGACTCGTAGGCTCACTCAGATCAGCCCTACATATGCTCGTAGCTGTACTACTACAAACCTGCAGTCCCATCGTCTCACTACTGCGGAAATAGAAGTCGCTGTCCATAAACTGACATGGCCGTTACCGGGGCCCGTTGATGTGCCGATGTGTCCGAAATTTACTGCGGCGGACGGAGGAAGTGACAGAAATGAACTGGAAGAAGCATGTGCGCGGCCGGTGGATGTGGGATAAGGCAAAAGTCTGGTAGGCAGCTTCGTAAAGTGTTTTGCCCGCTGCCCAGATGTGGCACAGGCTGTCCATTGCAATAGCGTGTCCGGCGTTACTTCAAAGTAAGATCCAGTTGTGCGAGAGGTCTTGCAGGGGGCCTCGGTGGTTACCAGGTGGTGCGATGCGACATGCCACATGATGTGATGCTGCGCTGGCTCCTGTCGAGGGATGGATACGAACAGATGAGCAGATGCTAGATGGGCTATGGGTCATCCTATCTACAGCAGACTACAGGCTACAGTAGAGCACAGTGTATATATCATCTACATCGTGCTGCGTCATGTCGATCGGGGATTCTGCGGGTCGAGGGCAGCACTCGCACATGATTGGCTGACGGGGAGGCAAACAGCCGGGACTGGCCAATCAGGTGCGCTGTTGACACGCAGTCACGGTGTCAGTCGCAGTCGCAGTCGCAGTCGCAGTCGCAGTCGCAGTCGCAGTCAGTGTCGGAGTCAGGATTCAGGGCCAGAGTCAGGTCAGAGTCAGGGCCGAAGTCAGTGTGTAGGCAGTGTAGGGAGCGGCACTTCTGTATATCAAGCACACCCGCACCCAACATTTATTGAGCAGCCATCCATCCATAAATCAGACGACATACACACAATGCCCGCACCCATCTCTTTCAACAGGCGCAGGGAGTCCGTCGTCTCCTACTCAAACTCATACAACGGCATGCTCTCCGCATCAGCCGGCAACAACTGGTTCAAGGGGTATGCCAATACTCATCAATCTCGCGTTGACAGCAGCTAACTGCCCATCTAGCCACGACGATAGCCACCTCGCCATGGACACAGACCTCCCCCATCTCGAGGCAGACTTCTGCAAGGACTTCTCCTGCTGCGGCCTCGTCCTGGACGACCTCCACGACCTCCTCCAGCACTACGAGGACCACCACGTCAAACTCGACGACCTCGCCATCCTCTCCAGCACCCTCGTCAACCCGCATGCGTCCTCCGCGCGGCCCAACAGACCCGACCTCGAGGCCATGAAGCGCAAGGCCCTCCTCGACATGCAACGCCACCTCGGTCAGTCAAACCCCCTGGACGAGGATGAGATTGCCTTTGATGTCTACCCGGGTGGCGACCCATTCTCCCGCAAGCGGTCTTGGCGTCCATCCATGTCTTCTCCCTCTATGGCCACCCGCGACTTCTTCACACCCTCGCAATCGCCCATGTCCACACCAAACTCATCCTCACCCGGAACACCTGTCATGGGCGTCTCGCATGATTTCAACGCAGAGATTGATAATCCGCTTTTGTTCGGTCCGCCCTCCGTCTCTGCTGACTGGATCAGCAGCGATGGTCAGAGCTTCAGGCCCATGCCGCAGCTCAAAAAGGCCCGTCAATCCGCCTGCTTCACCTCGACTACGGTCGGCCCACAGGTAATTGAGCACCCGGCCTCCAACTTGGTCGTGGTGGACAAGCCATACAAGTGTCAGATTCCCGGTTGCGACAAGGCCTACAAGAACCAAAATGGCCTCAAGTACCACAAGATGCACGGCAATTGCGCCTCCAACCCGGCTGCCTTGACAGGCGATGGCTCTCACCCAACAGACTTGATGCCGCAGTACGAGAACAAGCCATACAAGTGCAACTTGTGCAACAAGAGGTACAAGAACCTCAACGGCCTCAAGTACCATACGGCGCATTCTCACCAAAATGTCACGACCGACAGTATCCAGAGCCAGCTTGCTCAGCAGAGCCAAGCACAAAAGATTTGGTAAATCCATGCCACCTACTGTTGCGCACATCGATGGGTCGAAGCAATGCAGCTGGTCTGCTTCTGCATCTTCACTTTGGCCCTTCCCTTTTGTCCCCCCTTTTTTCTGCGTATGGCGTCCTTTTACCCATGAACCCTCTTGGATGGAGTCCTATCTGATGTGCTGCAATACGGCACCTCCAACCCCTCACAAAAGTGATTTTTACACAGCGATGGTTCTTGGCTTCTTCTCTTTTTTTTTGCTTTACACAGAGACCTATAATAGACATGTCGCAGAGACTCTGTAGCTATAGACTAACATCTTCCCGCTCTCCCTCATTTGTTCTTTCATCTGTTTGTGCTTGTGCCAAGTTTGGAAGTTTCCCAAATCTGACGACAGCATTCATGTGCACATCCTCTGCATGACCTCAGTCCACTCAACAGATCCATGCCCGATGCTTCCTCTTTCCCGCTAGATGAGAAGCGGCGGCATCAATTCGTGCCTGTAGATGAAGCGCCGCCTACATACCCTGAAGACTCACCCGCAGGCGCAAGCCATTCGCAAGATTGGACAGACGACGAGGACGATGACGACGCAGCGCATCACCGCGCATCCCATCGCGCTGCCTCAGAAGAGTCACAACACCTAGACCTCGAGGAACTTGAAATCGAAGAACCCGACACAACTGCCGAACCACTCGTCATTCGCACGTATCGCAAAATCCACGCTGGTGTACACCGCGTCGATGTCGCACTTGGCAAGTACATCCCTTCAACTGTCCTCCAATACATCTATGGGGCCATGTTGGGAACCCTTGTCCTTGCTGGTGTCTTCTTCTTTGGTGGATCCATGCCACGACTCAAGGTACCAAAACGGTATGAAGAAGGTTCCCTGCGCGAATACATCAAGAAGCAAGTCTCTGCCGAGCGCATTGCTGAGTATGCAAGCAAGATGGAACCCATGCAGGGAGCGTCCCCGTTCGTTGCTGAACCGGAAGCCTTAGCGAAATGGATCCAAAGCGAACTCGCCACCTTCAAGATGGGCAGAACGGCCCTGGCGGACCAGTATGTGCTACAAGCAACAGGCAAACAGTCTTGGACATTCAATGAACAAGTCAAGACAATACCTGCAGAAGCGTTGGTGGCACATGGTCATACAGGGTCAGCAGAAGGTCCCTGCATCTTTGTTGGTACGGCGAGACCAGATGATTTCCAGCTTCTTGCTTCTCAATACATCCAGTTGGAAGGTAGTATAGCCCTGCTTCAACGGAATCGAAGTGAAATACTGGCAATACAGCTCGCACGAACAGCCAAAGCAGGCGTATCCGGCATTCTTGTCTATGATGCGCGGCATACAGGCGATGATGCGCTGAATGTATCAATATCGCCAGCTACTGCAGAAGGCGGCGATGCAGCTTTACCTTGGGTTCAACCTGGAGATCCACTCACGCCTGGTCAAGCGGCAGACAAGCAATCTAAAGTTCTAGAGCGGGAGCAGGCGCCTGGCCTGCTCAATCTTCCAGTCTTTTCAATATCGGCCGATGAAGCAGAGACGCTTCACGAGGCGATACGGAGTCAGGGTCTGGATGTCTCTTCTTCGTGGCCTTCCATTCGTGCCACAGGACCCTTATGGACGGGCAATATCACTTCGCCACCAGTACAACTAAACAGTCAACTTGTACAACAACCCAAAGAACCTCTCTACAGTGCACTCTCTGAAATTGACGGAAGCGAGTCTGAGCAGACGCTGATTGTGGGGACATCCATGCGGATCGCCAATGCAGCCGTATTGCTTGAAGTCGCTCGTGTCTTTGCCTCACTCAGCGCAGAACACAGTTGGATGCCAAGACGCAACTTGGTCTTTGCCTTTTGGGCGGGCTCAGAGATAAACTTCTTGGGAAGCACGGAATGGGTTGAGGCTCAAACAAAGTCGTTGCGCTTCACGGGGGTTGCCTACCTGAATTTGGATCATGTTATGTCCAATACGGGTGAGTTCGATATCGCAGCGCATACTTCCCTGCATGAAGGCATTTCCACTGCCCTCAACCATCTCGATGGCTCGAAAACGTCCATCAAGGAACCTGAAATGTTTACTGATGCGATTGCCTTTTCTGCTCGTGCAGGCATACCGAGCATTGAACTCGGTTACAACGACATGCACATCTCTCAAGCTTGCAGAAGCTCCAGGGAATGTATTGAGCGCGTGGACCCAGGGTCCTTGAATCAAGCCAGGCTCGCAAAACTCGTTGCCTTGCTCGTGCTTGAATTCGTGGATGAGTATTTCCTGCCTGTGGATGTACGCCAGGTGGTCACCTCTGTTGAAAATGCAGCGCAGCGACTCGCTCATGCAACAGACTTGACTGTTGATCGCGACTTGGCCAAGGTCTTCCAAATCCTGGAAGAACGGACTACCGCTTTTACGCAATTCAAAAAAGATTGGGATCTCGCTCTCATTGAACTCAACTTGCCTGAATCACCAGCCGCTGCAGTGGGCAGGAGTAATTGGAACTATGCTGTTGTTGCATTTCAACGCGCACTCATTCGAAATGCGCGCTGGACCGTCTGGTTTGAGAATAGTCTTTATGGGCCGAGTGCAAAATTGGAGCGTCAGGGTGAGAGCTGGGCTCTACCACGCGTACAAGATGCATTGTATGATGGGGATATTGCAAAAGCGCAAGGACTCTTACAAATGGTTGGTGAGTTGCTTCTAGAAGCTGCCAAGACACTAGATGGATGAATACAACAACGATTAAATGATGTTAAGCATACGGAACGACGCGATCGCCAGAACTACGAGCGCGAAGGGAAAAAGGAAATATGGGGAAAATACAGGCAGAGAGACAGACTACACTTGACTGATAGATGATTCTCTTGGTTGCCGCTTCTTGCTGCCAAAGAGGTTGAAGAATTTCTTGGCGGAGGAGGGTTTGCGTGCGTGACCCAGGTGTTGAACATCCTCGTCTCGTGGTGACTGAATGTTGCTGGCGCTTGATTCTCCCAATACACTGCGAGTCGTCTTGACGGGTTCAAAGTAGCCGGCCAGTGAAAGCCTGTTGGAGAGCATGCCAAGCGTTGAAGATCGTGGAAGCTTGCTTGCTGGCGAGCGCTGAGCCTCAAGGTCAGGCATAGGCACAGCCGGCCGCTCCACTTCACCAATATCAGCCAACGTTGCCGATGGCCGCCGCCCAGTGCGATTATCGGGAGCCCAAAACTTCCCGAGCGCTGCCGTCATGCTACTAATGGAAGACACGTTGCGCTTATGCGTACGCTGTGGGACAGTAGCGGCTGCTATCGCATTGGTCGCCGGTGTACTTGCAGTCGCAACACTCTTGGCAGCCTCCTGAGGGCTGCTGTAAATCTCACCAGGTGCATTAGTTTTGTAGGATTTCGGGGAACTGCCGGTGGGTTTCGCCAAGTGGATGCTGTTGCGAGACCAAGATCCATAGCTATGCCTGCTTCTTGCACTGCCTGCACTGCCAGCGGATCCGAGTCGTGCTTCAGCGACTGCTGCACTATCCAATTGAGCCTCCGGCATTTGAAAGTCCATGCCCGTCAAGTACTGCGGATGGTAAGAGGTAGGTCTGGGCTTGCCGCGCGGCACAGGGAGCTTCGTTGTTGAGTTCTTGCCAATAGGAGGCGGCATAGTTGCCGGAACAGATCCATTTTGGCTGGGACTCGGTGCAGAGCCTGAATGACTCGCACTGCGCGCCAAGCCAGGGCTAGCAGGGATGGCCAGATTCGCCACTTGAGAGGAGATGGAGGCGTTTCTGCCATGTCCACTTTCATGGGTAGGCTTGTCAACGACAATGGAAATGCCAGACGGCACGTTTGGTGCGTGCAGACCCGGTAGCTTTGTATCAATCCGGTCGTGTTTTGCAAAGCCTGCAGAGACGAGGTGATTATCGGTTGGCAAAGATGCATTTCGTTGCGGTGACCGTTCTGAGGCCGATCTCAGCATTTCCTGTGATTCCGGTTTGAATGGCTCGGCTTTTTCCGTAGGAACGCAAGCAAGCAAAAGACGCGCATGCGGTTGTAACCAATTGTGTGCAACAACGTCGCGCAACGAAGCACGTTTGCTTGGGTCTGGCACCATGATGCGTCTGAGCAAGTCTCGCGAGAGTGGAGAAACATACTCCGGAAAAGTGAGCGGAGTGCTGACGATGTACTTGTAAAGGAGATTGATATTGTCGCCTTCAGGATTTGCTGGGTCGTCGTCAAAGGGCAGGTAGCCAGCCAGCATAGCGTAGAGGATGACGCCACAACTCCAAACATCCACCTTGCGACCGCAGTACTGGCCTTCACTGACGACCAGCTCAGGGGCTGCATAACACGGACTGCCACAGCTTGTCTTCATCAAATCACCGCGTATTTGACCTTTGCTCGCTGCGTACTTGTTTGCTTGTTCCGTAAAGTTCTCTGATGCCTGTCTTGGATCAAACGTGTTGGCAAAGCCAAAATCCGTTACGACAATGTTGCGGTTCCGGTCGAGCAATAGGTTCTCCAGCTTGAGATCTCTATGCACAATGCCGCGCGCATGTAGGTAGAGTACTGCTGAAACAAGTTGCGCAAAGAGTCGGCAGGCTGAGGCGTCTTTAAGGTAGCGATGCGCCAGAATGTATTCGAATAGCTCGCCGCCTGCTATTAGTATCATTGCCTAATGGAATATACATACCAGATGCGTATTCAAGCACTATGCCAATGTACTTGTCCGTTTCCACGACTTCATAGCACTTGACGATATTGGGATGGCTGACGGCTTTGAGCACATGAATCTCGCGCTCGACCTTGTTCAGCTTACTTCTCGATGTGCCAACGAAGTCCCGGCGAATGAGCTTCACGGCTACTTGGACTGCCTGTGAATCGTCCCTGCGCTTTGCGAGCCACCCTAGTTTGACTTTGCCAAATTCGCCTGGGAATGAATAAGCAGAGGCGACTTGACTGGATGTGACATACCTTCGCCCAGAGTTTGACCCAGAACATACTGGCCGAAGCGCGGCTCTTGACGCTTGCCTGAGAGGCTGTCTAGTGGTTGTAAGGAAACAGAGCGCGTAGGAATGACGGTGGTCATGGTCTCGGAAGCTGTCATCAGAATCGCATAGACAGACCAAGTAGTCTTAGCTGAAGCGCCTGATGAGAGAGCAGCTCCTGAGCGGCAGGCGACCGGATTCAGAGAATGACAGGAGTAGCGACAGACAGGAGCAGGGGTGTGATGTGTGGTGGTTGCCGTGTTGATTTGCGGTTGCTCCTGTTTTGTTTTTTCGTCTCCACAAATTCGCGAACTGCGCGACATGACGCAGCGACCGTGTACCATATGCTGACTGCTGACTGCTGACTGCTGCTGACTGCTGACTGCTGCTAGATGCCTGCACTGGCTGAACTTGCTCTACTTGTAGATACCTACTCAGATCCAACACAAGCTGACGGGCTCATCACTTGGGCCAACGCTGAGGGCGAATCCTTGCTAAAGAGCTACAGAGACAATCCAGATGGAAATAATGCTAGCTTGAGCCATGACTTGTGCTTTACTCTCAAGGCTACTGAACAAGTCACTCTAGATGTGACGCTGCCTCAAGGCTATCCAGAAAAAAGACCACTCATCCGGTTTGTAGGCATGACCTCAAGGGAGCAACATGAGGAGCTCAATGCAATCAGCAAGACCACCGCAGAGATGAGCCAGGCCGACGATTTACCACTCTTTGCCATCTATCAGGCCGTACTTGAGCACATTGGCTCTTGGCAGGAACCCTTTAGTGGGTCTGCTGAAAAATTACAAGCAGATGCCACTTCGATCCACATCCCATCCTTCAGGCGACGCATCCTCTTCTGGAGTCATCATCTCATTGCGGACAGCAAACGCAAAGACCTCCAGACAATGTCCAGCTCGAGTCTCGTCATCATTGCCAAGATCGGATGGCCTGGATACATCGCCGCTGAAGGAGATGCTGATCTTGTGCAAGATTTCATAAAAGAGGTCAAGACTTGGCGTTGGCAAGCCATCACACTGCGATTTGATATCATGGAAGAGAGCAGCAAACCTGCTTTGCTCAACATGCTCAAAACATACACAGAGGTGGGCTCGCTTGCTGAATTGTCGCAACTACTCGCAGATGAACCAGGCTGGTTCGAGGCTGGCAGGCATTGACTTGAAGATGTGCTTTGCTAATTCTGTTGTACATAAGATACAGTCTTGTCATAATCTATAAAGAAATCGCCATGCTGTGGTATCGTTACTCGATGTTCTGATTGATGTGGGAGAAGAGGCTCTGAAAGAGGGACTCAATCTCGGGACTGGTGCGGAAAGGAAGCGACCAAAAATTGTATTTGGAATTCTTGAGGAGCTCGGTGAAGGTAATCAAAAGTCCCCAAGGGTGCGGTCTGTTGCAAATGAGACGCTCCAACAAGACCCGTGTAATTTGCTCCTTAATGGGAAGATCTTGGTCGCCACTGCTGCTTGAAAAGAGAAGCAGCAAGACGCAGCTGAAGAAATAGGTGTGGCTGTTGGGGTATCTGAGCTGGTTGGTAATGGCACTCAGAATCTGGTAACGACCCAGCGCGTCAGAGAGTGAAAAGAGCTCATTGAGCAGCGCCACCCAGGGCGACTGCAAGTCAAATGCTGGTGGAGCATCTGCATTAGTGATGGCCTGTACAGCGCAGTGCAATACGAGCGTGTTTAGCAAAACTGGCTCCAAACCCTCAGATTTGGCATTGCGCGAAAGGGCCTTGATGACTTTCGGAACAGTGCCCAGGTTACCTGAATAGATGTAATTGTTGATGGAATTCATCACTTTGCCTTGCACCAAAATCTGTTCGAGATCCATCGAAATTTCGGGAGATATCGCCGTCTCTGGCAGACGATCCACCTTGAGTCCGGGCAGGAAGGGATCTGGCAAGCGCATCTTGCGCGGGAACGAACTCAAAATGAGGTTACGCAGCTGGATGCAACGCGCCGGAATGTGATTGCAAAAAACTTGATGATTGTTGGTCAAGAAGTTTGGGAAGTCATTCAACAAGACAAGCAAGAGCCGTAGTAAAGCATGGTAGATGACTCGAACACTGACATTCATCTCGACGCTTTCGAGGGATGGCCCGACGAAACGCAATAGCGCCGTCATGAGCTCTGCATACTTGGCCCAGCCACTTGACTCGGTCTGGCCCAACAATTGTGGCAGGAAGAAGCGGTGAGAGATGAGTGCAATCCATGCGAAGGCATACTTGGGGAAGTTGCTTGGCTGCAAAACGAGCAGTGCATCAGCCAAGATATGAATAAAGCGTGGATACAGCGATTCAAGGACTTCAGAGTGCTTGTGCAGTTCGCTGAATAAGCTTGAGTAGAACCTGAACATGGGTCGTTGGTCCAATGCTGCTTTGTCGAGATGCTGGTGGGCGAAGATGACTGTGGCTAGGTCGACGATGCGACCAAAGTTGCTGAGACACATTTCCTGGAACCTGCCACCGACCTGGTACTTCATCATGAGCACAATGAGCTTTGCGAGTGCATCAAGAGGGATGTAGTGAGCAGTCGACTGAGTCCCAGGAGCTGATGCATGATGCGCAGCTGCCGCCAGACTGTACTCGATTGCGTGTCGGAAGAAAGCCGTGCAGGAATCGTCGCTTGACAGCATCCCAGACTTTTGCAATTGAAGCAAGAATGCTAATTGATTGGCGTCGTTTGTGGCGGGGTGGTTGACCAGATGTACCCATTCGCTAAAGAGCATCTCGAGCTGAGCCTTGAACGAATCGTCACCCATTTCTCCAAGCATGACTGGTGTTGACAACATGGACAAGAGCTCTTTCACACCTGCGGGCGTATCTTCGTGCATTGCAAGTGTCTGGAGTGCCACTAGACTTGCAGTAAAATCAGCTCGCAAAGCACTTGGAGCACTCGAGCCGGAAAGTGACTTGATAAAGTCGACGGCAAACTCAATGGCAGGTAACTGGCGATGCTCAATCTGTTTTGCAAGCTGGATATCAAACTCGGCCGGCGAGATGATTTGCGATCGCATCAAGGCTTGAATTACTCTTGCATTGTACTTGCGTGGGTCGTCTGAGTGCACAAGCCACACCGATACATCTCGCAATGTCTTGCTTGACAAGTTGACAAAGCTGGACAAGAGGAACGTCAAACTCTCCGCTACTAGATCATCGTAAACGCCCTTGAACAGCAACTGACACACTTTCTGCGAGCAAGCCATGGTTCGCTCATCTCGTAAGGGCGCACTGATTGCGGCCACCTGGTAAGGGATCTGCTGCAGGAGCTTGCGCAGTGGTGCGTCGGAAGGCAATTCTGCCAACATTGTGACATCAGCTTCACGCGACAATGCCTCGACCTCAACAATTGATGCCAGGATCTGGTCAAAGGCAACGACGGGTGCATCGCCGCGGAAGGCCAGAACTTCATCTTGCACTGGCTGTCGCAGACTTTCCTTTGAGTAGTAGGCGGCTGCTTGCTGTGCAGTGCGAGGGATCCTCGAGAAGTCATCATATGTGGCAAGCTGCTCTGAAGTGAGGCCTTCCTCTTTGAGACGCAATGGATCAGGTAGTGGATATTGGTGGCGAGGGGCGTGTATATCGACAAAAGGCTGCCCAGAACGCTGCTCCTTGTGCTTCTGGCGCGCATGGAAGCCAGCTGCCAAACCCTCGTCAATCTCGGTAGATGCACGCTCCATTGCGGCCTTTTCGACAATCATACAAGCGGCATCGAGGTGGTCACTGACAAGCTGCGACACGAAATCCTCGAGCTGACCACCAGCGGCATCCAAGCCAGCCTGGCCAAGCAGAGTTCTGACATTAGTCACGAGCGCTCCACGAAGCGGCTCTTTGCAAGTAACAAGCGCAAGGCTTCCGGCAAGGTTCTGGTTCATTGTGTGTGCTGCGCGGCGCAACTTGCCAATATCCTCCTCCATGGCGAAATCCTTGGAAATGAGTTGCGAGGTCGAAATACTTGCAATGGCAACGGAACGCTCAACAACAGGGCCAATAAAGTCTCTGACTGCGCGTTCGACTGCCAGCAAGATGAGACGACGTGAATTGGCAATGCCAAGCGTCTGCTGAATGATGGGATGTACGATGATTGGCAAGTCGCCTACCACCGCACTCACATACGCTGCGCTTTGCTCGTATGCAATGTTCGCATTGGCACGCGAGTCGGCTGCCTTGCTGTCGTCTTCCTTCAGGCTTTCGTGATCCTCTGGCACATTCGGCCGGTTGGTCAATAGATTGCTTGGCATGACATCCGACATGGCGACATCGAGCTTCTTACAAAGCACCTCAACCTCAAATTTGAGATTCAGCTTCATGTCGGCGTTCTCATAGAGTTCGACGAGCAACGATAGGATGCCCATGGTCCATGGATTGGGAGGCTTAAAGACTTTGGATGCTGGTGTCTGCTCAAGAATGCGGCAGACGAATGGCAAGACCACAATGAGCCGACCACTGTCAAAGCCTTCCAGCAAGAGATCTTTGAGCGAAATGAGCTTATGTTTGAGCGGCCTATTGCGAGCAAGCGTCAAGCCTCCGAGCCAAGCACCGAGATTCTTGAGATTGGAACGCTCGACTGTGGAGGTGACTGTGTTTTCTGAGTTGAGCAGAAGGGAAATGCTCTCAACAGTCTGCGACAAGATGTTTTCAGTCAGACGCTCATTGGCAATGCCTTCCAGGAAGTGGATGTACAGCGAGTGGTAATTGGGTTCGATAGCAGCACGCTGAGATACAAGGTGCTCTGCGAACCATGCAAAATACTTTTCGTGCATAGCCGCACTCACTTCGGCAAGCTTTTCCGACAAATTGGTGAGCGACATGTTATTGATGTTGAAGAGAATCTTGTCAGAGACATCTTCAGGCGGATCACTGTAGAAGGCTGGATCTTGCTGCAGTGTATCAGCGCGCAACGAGCGAAAGACTGCGCGTGGAGCACGCGCATTGGCTGCTTGCGGTCCTGGCGCTTCAGCATGCGGTGCGATACGAGCACTACTTTCTGCGGAGCGTTGACTGTTGCGGATTTGGGCCAACAAGCCGGGCTCATGCTCATTGAGACTTGGAATGGCCAAGATCTGTTGGCAATATTGCGGCCACTCCGGCACACGATCCTTGAAATGCGTCAATGCCTGCACGCCGAAACGAAACATGTTGCTGTCGGCATCATAGGCAACTGCATCGAGAATATACCGCAACGCAATGCCGAGCGGGATGTATGAGAGTAGCTGATTTTCAATGAGACAACCAAATAAGACAGCAGTGATGCTGAGAGCGCTTGCAGGGTAGTCCGCGAAGAAGCGATACTCGTCAAAGAGACTGTGTAACATGCACGCGAAGACGTCTTGGTCACGCGCCTCTGGCGATTGCTTCAAGCTTTGCAACATTTCAACAAAATGGGCAATACTCATCTCGCCTTCGTAAAGGCGCCCGTAGTAGAACTCAACCTCTTTCTCCACGTCTTTTGAAAAATTGTTGGAATCTGTAGGGTCGCGATTGACATTGGTGCTGTTCATCAGGCGCGGGTACACTTGCAAGCAGGAGCTTTGTACCTGCTTGAGGTAGTCGCCGTTTTCCGATGACATGGCGCTATTCATGAGAGCTTTTAGGAACACCGCAACCGTTTCGACTTTGAGAGAGACTGTCACTGGAAGGGCGCTGCCCTCTGATTGCTGCAGCATGTTTTCTGCTTCAGCTTTGGTTGATAGGAATCGCAAGCATGAAGCAATGAAAGCGTCCTGGCCAGCCGATAGCTGATGATCCAACCATTTGTCAATGTCCAGCAAATCGCGTCGAGAGGCAAGCGACGCCAAGTCAAGACTAAAGGAGTATGGCTGCAGATTCAGCAGCTGGTCGAGGAGACGCAAGTCGTGAGCAATATCGAGAATCCGGGTGATCGCAAGCGGGTCCTTTCCATGGTATTCAATCAGCTTGGTACACATAAATTCTGGCTCCACCTGCCAGAGACGGTAGAAGACGACTTGATGGTTGCTCTGGCCATTGAAGAAGAGATCAAAACCAGTCTCGCAGTATTGCTCCTGGCGTGGGCTGCGTGGTTGAGGCAACTGTACGCTTCCGAGGAAAATTAGTTCTGGCGTTGACTTGCTGGCAACATCAATCAGCTCCTTTGCATCGTCGAGCGATTCATTTGCAGCGAGACGGTAACACGTCTGCAACAACTGCAAGGAATTCCACGGCGACATTTCAAGTTGCGTTGCCATATTTTTTAGGCTCGCAGGCGCCGACACAAAGTCGTTGGCCGAGAGGACCGTTGGACCATTGTAATCTGTCATGTTGAATAGCTCAAGCGGGCTTTGCGTGAGTTGCTTCAAGAGAGCTGCTTGTGCGGTCGCGTGTCGCCACTCACCCCAGAGTAGGTCAACAGGCATGTCGCGGTGGCCTTGACTAATAGCACCACGCAGTGTCGTGATAATTAAAGCAAAGTCACTCATGGTAGAAATGGTCATGTCTGGACGATCGAGTCCTCGGATGACTCGAGACCAGTCGAGCTGTGGCAAGTGCAACTGGATGACTCGGCCGAGAATTTCGCCGTTCCACGCTTCCGATGGGGTTGGTGACTCGATGAGGGTAACGAGCACACTGGCAATTTGGCTCTCTGCATCATGTGTTTGCTGCGTCACGTTTCGCCTGACGAGAATCTGCTCGGTCGAGGTAATGGTGGATGTCGCGGCGCCTCGCGTCTCCTCAAACAGCTGTGCAAGCGATTTACTCTGGTCCTCTGCAGCTCGCAGCTGGTTGTAGTCCTCAAAGAATTCTTGCACGGGCTGAGGCAGCTCTTCCTGATATCGCTGAAAGAGCGTGTATTCAATGACAAACTTTTGGAGCAGAGACAGTGTCGACGAGCAGCCTTGGTTGAGGAGCAAATGTCGGGCCAAAACTGCAATTTCGCTAGGTGCCATGCTCTCTGACTGGCTCTTGATACCAACGTGGCGTAGGAGGAGCTGATACTTCGCGGCAAAGGCATCGCTGCTCTCTCGATGGAGGCTAGCGCTTTTTGTGAAATTCATCAAGCAGACCGCGAGCAAGCAGAGCTGGACATCCGTCAAGTCAAAGATGCGGATGAGATGCTGAAGTGTCAATTCGTGATCTGCTCCGTCGAGCGTACAGAGCGCCTTTGCAAAGACTTCTGTGGTAGATGTGTTTAACAGTGCATGCTGTACTTCCCGCAGGAACAGGGTCGCGAGCGGTGTATTCGGCAGACTCGCCGTGGGACTCAGCAAAATACGTGCATGCGTGCTTGTGAGCTGCTTGAGCATATAGTTGTAGTCGTCTGCTCGAGCACTACCTAGCATCTGGCCCTGGTCAGCTGTGTACGGTGAAGCGGCACAGGTGTCTTACGTTTCTGAATAGTCTCTGTGCGCCTTCATCGGTGTTGTACTGCCGAATGAGTCGGTCTGTGTCTTCCTTGAGTGTGCCCATGAGAAGAAGGGGCTGTATAGTTTCGTGGCCCTGGCCCGGGTGTTGATGTGTACCCTTGTTTATGCGGATGTCTGCTTGATGCCGCGTCGTGGTCTTGCCTGATGCTGGTGGTGCTGCTGCTTCGTCCTGGTCGCTGCTGCTCGATCGTCTGTGCACGTGTTGGCCAGGAACAAAATTGTAGCTGGACAAGAAGTAGATCTAGTTATGGATCTACATAGTCTGGATAGTGCTAGAACAGTGCCAACACATCACAGAGGAGCACACTCCCGCTTGAGCCAGTCCCTCGTTTGCTCCTGCACTTCAGGCCCCAGGCAATTCAGTACCTGTGCATGGTACTCGTCAATCCACGCACGCTCTTGCACAGACAGCAGCGAGGCATCAATCAGATTCCTGCACAGCGGAGCAAAGGAAATAGTGTCAAAGCCAAGGTACTCCCGATCGCCAAAGTTGTGCGCCGTCTCCTTAGTCTCGCAGGCAATGATATTTTCAACTAGTCGTTAGCACAGAATTAAGTATACAGAAACAAATACTCCTGATGCCAAATGCACCATCCTTGTAGAAACCAGGCTCATTAGAAATTACATTGCCAGGTGAGAAAGCCAGGTCATCGAATGTGATTCGGGTGCCAATACCAAGCGGCGCTTCGTGAACATTCAGATAGGAACCCACACCGTGCGAGGTCCCGTGGAAGTAGTCGAGCCCATTTGCCCAGAGGTACTGCCGAGCCAATGTATCTAGCGTATAGCCTGTCGTTCCTCGTGGAAAGACGGCTGTTGCAATGGCAATGTGCCCTTTGAGAACCAATGTAAAGGCACGCCGTTCAAATGCCGTAGGTGTGCCATAATGCCAGGTGCGTGTAATGTCAGTTGTTCCGTCTTTGTACTGTGCACCAGAATCACAGAGGTAAATCTTGGTCCAGTCGATGACTGAGCAAGAGTCCTTTTCTGGTTTGTAGTGGATGACAGCGCCGTTTGCACCGGTACTCGAAATGGCTGTTGTTAGCTTGGCAGAAGCAGTACGTACTTACTCGGGAAGGATAAACCAACGAAATGATCCCTCTTACGTCTCTTGTTCTCGAGGATGGAGGCTGCATCCACTTCGTCAATCGAGGCATTCGACTGCGCCATGACCTCAAGCTCTTGTAAATACTCAGCCAAAGCAGCACCGTCTCGAACATGACACTGCCGCATGCCCTGCAACTCAGTCTTGTTTTTGATGGACTTCGCATCTGCTACAGGCGAGCGAATGGTATCGACATGATTGCCAATAGCCGTCGCTAGTGCCCATGATCCGCGTGCACTGATGAGCACCTTGCCATCCAGCTTGCCAAGCGCGCCGCAAGCAGCCAGAATCTCGGCGTACGGCTTGATGACCGTCTCTTGAGGCAGAGCTTGGCGCACAGTATCGGTAGTTTGCTCTGCCCGTAGAAAGAGTGACGAGTCGTGCATCGTGACGATGGCATACGAGAAGAACACTGGGTTGAAGGGCACATCCGATCCTCGAAGGTTGAACAGCCAAGCTACTTCATCAACAGATGACAAGACAAAGGCGAGTGCGCCTGCCTTCTTCAAAGTTGACCTCAACGCTGCAAGCTTGTCAGATACACTTGCGCCGGCAAGAGCTGTCGGATGAATGGTGATCGGATTAGCGAGTGGCGAGTCGCGGCCCTCCCAAACCTCATCCACCAGGTTCCCTTCGAAGCCCACCAGATCTGCACTCTTTGCCGTAAGCGCACTTTTGAGCTGAAGTGCCTCTTTGTATGGAATGACAGAAGCATCGATACCAACACGCACATTTGGGCCAGCGTTCTTGATGAGAAAGTCTTGCCATGTCGACACCTCTGGCATACCTTGCTTCATGAGCGTCCAATTGCGATCAAGCTGATGGGCAGCCTGGTTGAAGTACCGCCCATCAGTGAAAAGGAAGGCCTCTTTCGTGCCAACAATGGCCAAGCCCGCTGACCCGTCAAAACCGGAGATATAGGCGCGGCGCTCATCGCAGGCGGCCGTGTACTCTGAGGCATGTGCATCCTCGCTTGGAATGACATAGTGAGAAAGGCCATGTTGCGTCATGCGTTTGCGCAACAGGCTCAAACGGGAAGACGTGTCGACTGGCATTGCAGTAGTGCAGATATGCCTGGATCTGGCTGGCTGTAACCTAAGAGCGGCCCTTGAAGCAGATGCGCAGAGATGTCGAGTGGAGTGCATCTGTCGTCGTCTCAACGGAGGAAACACGAACGCGACACAACACAACAGACAAAGCACTCAACCACACAAGCATGGCCAGGGTCGCAGCATTCTCCAATAGCTTCTGGTACAGTGTCTTCATACGAGGGCCTATGCTAACATCAGGGGCTTCGATGACTCCGGCGTCACTGCGCTCGTCGGCCGCATGTCAGACGCCAAGGCGACCAACGAAGAACTCCGGCACTTCTTTCGCGAGCGCGCCTTGATCGAGGAAGAGTACGCAAAGCGGCTCCAGAAGCTCGCCAAAGTCTCTCTCGGCGAGCACGAGTCTGGCACAGTGAAGGCCTCGATCGACGTGCTCAAGCACGAAGCCGCACACTCGGCGAACCAACACACAGCCGCTGCACAGCAACTGTCACAGGAAGTCGAGACATTCTTCTCCACCATGGCCGCATCCATCAGAGAACGGCGGAAGCAAACGCAAAGCAGCGTCGAGCGCGTATTTCGGCTCAAGCTACAACAGCAAGCCGAAGTGAAGCGGACAAAGGAGCGGTATGAGACGGATTGCGTCAAGGTGAACGGCTACCTAGCGCAGCAAAATCTCCTTCTCGGCAGAGAGCTCGAGAAGAATAATGCCAAGCTGGAGAAGGTCCAGTCAACCCTGCACATCAGCCAAGCAGACTACAACAATGCCACACGAGCGCTGCAGGAGACTGTGTCGAAATGGATCAACGAGTGGAGGGATGCCTGTGACAAATTCCAAGATTTGGAGGAGGAACGGCTCGATGCAGTCAAGAGCGGCTTGTGGACATATGCCAACATTGTTTCTCAGGTTTGCGTAACGGACGATGAATCTTGCGAGAAGTTGCGAGTCTCGCTCGAATCATGCGATACAAGGGCGGACATTCAAGCCTTCATCGAGAAGAAGAAGACTGGCAACGAGATTGTGCATCCGCCAGAAATCAAGAGCTTCCAGGATGGCTACGACCAGCCAGCCCAAGTGGCATTTTCTGTTGCTCAATTCACGAGGTCTGATCCTGCGCCTCGAATGTCCAATGGATCTAGCACAAACCTCCTCAACGGCAAGCAGACACGCGAGGACTCTATTCGCAGTGGACCTAAGCCTCTTGAAGCACGGCCCGTCATCAATCAACACCCACTCGATGGCATCACACAATTGTGTCGCTCTGACTCAAATGCGACTTATGCATCAGAGAGTACAGGTATAGCAGCATCCTCCATCTACTCACCAGTTGTGAATGGCCATACACCGAGTGCGAGTGTCTCGACCATGGATCGTGCTGGCGGACGACAGCCTAGCCCACAACGCAGGAAGAGCATTGTGGAGCGTATGGACAGTGTGCTGCATGGTCGAGAAAACAGAATCGACTCGCCGCCTGTTCTGCCAATGCTCAAGGCCCAAAAGACTGGCAGCTCCATCTTTGATGTGCTCAAGCCATCGAGAAGTCGCTCTCGTGGCAATCTTCGCGCCTCAGCTAGCATGCCTGCTGATGCTTCTGGCAATGGATCACTAGTCAGCCACGCATCCAGCTTGACCTCGACGCGAGCAAGTATACAGATGCCGCCTTCGCCTGCCTCAAGCGATCCGATCGCACAAGCGCTCGAGAATCTGAAGTTGCGTAGCCGCAACAGTACAGGTGGTGACCTCGCTGGATCACGATCAACCCAGTCATTCCGGCAGCATGCGAGGATGCCGTCCTCGTCTGAACCAACCACGCCCGCCGCGTCTGAGGTTGGCATGGCTCATTCTCAGCGGCACTCTCTGGTAGCACCGCCAGCTGCTCACATTGCTGAAGATATGCGACAGGTTCAGCAAACATACACAAAACGCTGGAGTGCTGGCCATCAAAACTTGGGTCTGCCTACGCAGCGCGCCAAGTCGCCTCGGCCACCTGGTGATTTGCGCCGGTCGCCATCACCGCAGCCTGCTCCTTCAGGACGCGTACCTTCCCAGCGGCACTCCTATGCTCCTGGCGTCTATGAGCGAGCCGATCACGCACGTACAGCCTCCCCAGACAGGCAGCATTCAAGCAGCCAAGCGCATTCGAATGCAGGATCCACCAATCGCCATTCAGTGTCGCAGCAAGATCTCGCAGACCAAGCCATGCAACGAGGCAACGATTCTAGATATGATCCTACCTATGGACGCAACTCGATGACTGAACACAGCCAGGTCTATCAGCCACTCAATCGAACACGCAGCAAGAGCTTTGCTGATTTATCCTCTGCTCGCCCACGGTATACGCCAGATGGCGTTGAGATTATTCAATTCGCAACGGCGCTCTATGACTACCAAGCAACGATACCAGAAGAGATTGGCTTCGGACAAGGCGATACGCTGGCTATTGTTGAGATGCGAGAAGACGGCTGGTGGCTTGGCCAAGTCGTGGGCATACGTAACGCACGGCGTGGTCTGGTGCCGAGCAATTTCTTCACAGTCAATCAGGGCGCGACCCACCATTGAGATTGCCGGAATAGTCTCACAGAGGCGCTTTGCAATCTGTTCTTGTCAAGCGAGTTGAAGGCCAATTGCAGACCAATATGCTGCGCTGGCTTTTCATAAGTTAGAGATGTACCAGTGACGAGAAGCTGCTATAATTTCATAAATGCTATTTATCAGCTGGACCAGGGCTGGGTGTTCAAATGCAATCAATCGATGTCTCTGACGAGACCACTCGGTGCATGAGATTGCCTACAAAGATGCTGAAGCTATGCGTCCTGGCCAAGCAGGCTTCAGATCTGCATAGACAGAGACATTTGACAAATCCACTCCCGGAGGTGTCTCCAGAGACATGCTTAGAGCATTGCTCGATGACGGGTAGATTCGTGAAGTCATGCAGAAACGACCATTAGCAAACACCTCAACCAGAGAGCCATCGCAAAAGACGCGTAGATGCAGCGATTCTCCTTGGAGTAGCTGGAATGGACCGGATCTCATGAGGGTGTTACCATTGTCTTTAGACGACCTTGAACGATCCAGTGTAATAGCAGCCTTGTCCACGATGATGCGCGTACACTCCTGGTCATTCATGCGGAAGCAAAAGACCAGCTCAGCAACTGACAAGACGAGGTCAAGCTCAAATCTAGCAGAAGCAATCTCATGAAGCTGGTAGCCATTGTAGTGCTTTGACGTGGACCGCAAAAGATGAGAAGCAGCGTAGACGTCGATACCAAGTGTAGTCATGCGGTCGCCATGGCTCGTCCAGGCATGGCTGTCAATCATGCGTTGTTTCGGCACCGACAGCTCGCAGAGCCTACGCGGCAGGCCCAGAACACCACTCCAATCTTGCTCAAGCTTGTGCTTATTGTCGTCTTCGTCTGCCCAACCAAGCTGAATCAAGTCATGCTCAGTCTTTGTTGTGTGGACTGCATACAAGATGTCGTGATCCAGGGTGCCCGATGCAATAGGCACAAACGTAGGACATTCTGGACTGTGTATCGTTCCTCGATGCCAAAATACAAAGTGACCATCGTGGCGAGTGCTTTGAGAACTGTCTGCTTCGACGCCGCAAAAGAGATAGAGACTGTTACCGATGGTTGCGAAGCTAACGCACTCGAAGTTCTCACCATAGTGCAGACCGGGAACGGGCGGCGTCAAAGGTGCGTTCCTTTGAGCAGAAAACAAGACACCAAGATCTGCCCAATTGACGAGGTCTGAGGATTCATAGAGTCGCACACAAGGTCCACCGTCTCGCGTCCCAGAAGAGAGCAACATGTAGGCTGTAACAGCGGCTTTCCCTCGCATCTTCGCCATGGCTGGCCACTCTGACACGAATGGATCCCGCCAGCCAGTTGTATTGTGCGCTGCAGGCGGCTGTTTTAGTAAGGGATTCGCCGCATGCCTCTGCCAGCTTTTGCCAAAGTCTCGTGAGATAGCAAGCGACTGTGTCTCACATCCTGGAACGTAAGGGAGCTTCCAAGAGATGGGCATGGACGAGACGCTTGTATAGTAGAGGTACAGAACAGTGTGTCCATGCTCCGTGCGTGGCAAGATGCTGCCTGAAAAACAAGCCTGCGAGTCGTATGAGGCATGGCCTCGTTGGATGGCTGAGGGCTTGTCGTGCCAGACCACGAGATCTGTGGATGTGCATGTCCCGTAGCACTCGCCGTAGCTGTCTTGTGTGCTCACCGACCACTGATAGCATAGCAAGTACTCGCCTGTCTCTGGGATGTACACAAAACTGCATGGATCTCTCTCATTAGCATGCATCCGCAGAGCACGGGAGTAGCTGATTACCGTTCATGAAGGACCGCCTAGCAATAACATGGGAAGCTGGGCGATGCCGCTGAAACATGGCTCGCGCTGTAGCTATAGGCTCGTGTCGCCGTCTTCGTCGCTGCCTGCGAGCTCCCTCCCTTTCATACGCACTGCCTGTGCTCAGGCGTACTCATTGGAACCTCCAGGGGTCTCTCTGCACCCGTCCGCATCGTTCCCGCTGAAGGCCTTCTCTTCGGCCGCACTTCGGGGACGCAGACGGTGCAAACCTGGGGAGACATTGCGACAGGCGACGTCTTCGCCCCGATAAATGCAGGACGGCGACCACACAGACGAGGCCCAGCAGCTCGAGGTCCGCTTCGACCCGCCAGCGCATCTGCAGCGACGGGCAGCAGTCTATGCGCATCTCAAGCAGCATGCACCGCGGACTCTGCTGGACATTGGCTGCGGCGAGGGTGCTCTTCTTGCACACTTGATCAAGGGCGACGATCAAGTGCCGCTTGAAGTGCTGCACGGCTTCGACGTCGATGCTGAAGTACTGGCTTCTATACGCCTGAGTACAGACGACGAGGACCTGCGCTGGAGAAGACTCGAAGCAAATATATTTCTTGGCGGTGTCCAGGACATAGGGCGACCCCTGCTTCAGTCGTATGATGCGGTTGCTGCTATTGAAGTCCTTGAGCATCTTGACCCACCAGATATCGCTGCCCTCGGCCAAGTCCTGTACAAGCTGGCACCGCGTGTATTCTACGTCACGACACCCAATCGCGACTTCAATCAAGTCTTTGAGAGGATATGCAGCCCGGCACAATTTCATCGTCCATGCATCCCATATGCGATGCGTCACGACGACCACCGCTTCGAGCTCTCGCGGCAAGAGTTTTGTGCATGGGCGCACAGCATTATTGAAGGCTTGCCCTACAAGGTCTCTTTCCAAGGGATAGGCAGCGTTGGCAGTGCCTTTGCTGGACAAGACTGGTTGCCTTTATTCCCTGAGGACACGGCCGACATCTTTGGATGCAGTACGCAGATGGCAGTCTTTGAGCGAACTGAACACTTCGACGCTGTACCAATTGCGTCCGCCTCTATGAAGCTAGTCCAGACAATCGTTTTCCCATTCAGCACGGAGGATGGATATCCGCCGACCGAGACGGCCATAAAAGAGCTGGTTGCCTATACTGCACTCTATTTCCGGCCATTGTATGAAAACACTTATGCAGCTGCTGCAGAGGAGGTTGTCACTGTGTCACTGCTGCATCTTTATGAGGTGAGCTATGCACTCCAGCGCATCTGTCGCTTTACTCTGCACGTCTTTCAGACAGCAATGAGCAAACTGGCTGGTCAGACGTGGGCCGGTGAAGACAAACTGCTTCTGCAGGTACAGGTCGACTCGGAGAATGTCTGCTACACCTATAATACGCAGGCCTGCATGCAGCCGGTCATGGAAGACCCAGGGGAAGAGGATGGAGCAGCTCGGTGGATGCAGGACGGCGCCAAATTTGATCAAAACTTGAACGACCGCGACGACGAGTGGGAGACATAGAGACACGACAGGGAATAGACACCGGCATAGCTAAGCTGCCTCCTCATCTTACTGCATGTCCTATCTACCCACGTCCAGGCGGAGGTCGACTCTCCCGCGCAAAAACAGCCACGACGGACGCGGCACATTCGACACGTTACCCATGCAGGCCCGCAGCAAGTCGCGGCTCTACAAGATCGCCGGTGCCATCCTCTTCCTGCTCACTGCCGCTTACTTCTTCTTTGGAAGAAGCAGAACTGGTCAGCTCGACACGGCCATGTGCAAGGCGCCCTTCGACAGCGGCAAGCCATTGACGCAGTACGTCCTCATGGTCGATGCCGGCAGCACAGGGTCTCGCATACATGTATACAAGTTCAATAACTGCCAGGAAGTGCCAGTGCTGGAGCATGAAGCATTCAAGATGATCAATCCAGGTTTGTCGAGCTTCAAGGAGGATGCACAAGGCGCGGCGCATAGTCTAGATCCACTACTTGACCTCGCGCTTGCATCTGTGCCTAAGCATCTGCAGAGCTGCTCTCCAATCGCCGTCAAAGCTACAGCTGGACTGCGACTCTTGGGTGCAGAGATGAGTGACAAGATTCTGGATGCAGTCAAGGCACATCTGGAGGACTACCCCTTCCCAGTCATTCAAGACGGTGTAGGCATCATGGATGGCAAGGATGAGGGCGTGTACGCTTGGATCACTACTAATTACCTGCTTGGCAACATTGGCAGCGCAGACAAAACTCCCACAGCAGCAGTCTTTGACTTGGGCGGCGGCTCAACACAGATTGTGTTTGAACCAGAGGCTGATGTGGTCGACATGCATGAAGGCGATCACAAATACAAGCTGCAGTATGGTGGCCGCGAATTTTTGCTCTACCAGCACTCGCACCTCGGATATGGCTTGATGGAGGCGCGCAAGGCAATCCACCAAGAAGTACAAAAGACGGGCGGTGTCCATCCATGCTTCGCTCCAGGCACAACGATGGAGGTGCAGCTCGCGGGCAAAGTGACTTTCACAGGTGCAGCGTCCAATGGTGCAGCACAATGCAGATTCCTTGCTGAAAAGATTCTCAATAAGCAGGGCCTGTGCAATCTGGCGCCGTGTTCATTCAACGGCATCTACCAGCCAGCGCTTGCGTCCTTCAAGGGCGAGGCCTTTGTCTTCTCCTACTTTCATGACCGTCTCAAGCCGCTTGGTGTCCCGAGCTCATTCACCGTGGGCGATGTCATGGCTTTGACGGAGCAAGTGTGTGCAGGCAAGGATGGTTGGCAACAATTTTCCGCCATTGACGGTGCATTAGCGGCACTGGAGGAGGAGCCAAACTACTGTCTGGATCTGTCCTTCATGGTCTCGCTGCTGCACCACGGCTACGAAATGCCCGTCGACCGGCGCCTACGGACAGCCAAGAAGATTAAGGACAACGAGCTGGGTTGGTGCCTGGGAGCTTCTCTGCCACTGCTGGACGCTGGCACAGGCGGCTGGTCATGCCGCGTGACTGAGATTCACTAGACTGCCTATGTATCTAGGTATCACTTTGTACAACAATTCGCATCACTGGTCAACGTAGCTGGTCATTCCTCCATCCGCTCCCATCCGCGACCCAAATTCAAGTTGAAATTCGCGACGCGACTCGGCGCGCGACGACAACCAGCTCCTGCTCTGCAAAAGAGCCATGCTCAAGCGCAAGGAAGTCCTGACTGAAATGGACACCAATAAGCGCGTCGCGAGGACAGTCAAAAGTGACTTTGAGCAAGACCTCGACCGCCTCACCCAAGAAATCAAGGCCGGCGATGGATCGGCCGAGCACGACCAGAAATGGGCAAGGCCCCCGGTGGTGCCGTCCTCTGGGCCACTGTGCTTCCAGCAGATTGAGATCGAAGAGAGCATGGATGCTTCAGGCCCTACCCTGCGTCTCTTCGGCGTCTCTGAGGTATGTTCGAGGCATCTCGGCCAAAGCTAACGCAGACTCAGCGCGGCAACAGTGTCCTCTGCCACATCACTGGCTTTCTTCCCTACTTTTACGTGCCGGCGCCTAATGGCTTTACAGAGAAGCACTTGCGGCCGTTCATGCAGGCTGTTGAAAATGCCACTGGAGCCGGTGGGTCCCTCTCAATTCAGACCACTCTAGTCATGCGTGAATCGCTCTACGGCTTCCAGGGCAATCAAAAGTCTCCCTTCGTCAAAATTGTCCTCAACGACCAAAAACACTTGCCAAAGACTCGCAATGCCTTTGAACGTGGTGATGTCAGCTACAATGGGATGTTCCCAGGGCAAATTATGACTTTTGAGTCGACACTGGCGTATGAGTTGCGATTCATGATTGACACAGGCTTGTTTGGCATGTCTTGGATAGAGCTTGCGCAGTTTGAGACAGTGCCGGCACACTCTCGCGTATCTATTTGCCAGCTGGAGGTCAAGGCGCACTACAAGTCCATGAAGGCACATGCTCCTGTCGACATCTGGGCAAAGATGGCTCCGCTTCGTGTTCTATCCTTTGATATCGAGTGCGCTGGTCGCAAGGGTGTCTTTCCTGATGCACAGCTTGACCCTGTCATTCAAGTTGCCAACACCGTCACGCGCTATGGAGATGCCAAGCCCTTTGTTCGCAACGTCTTCACCATCGATACATGCGAGCCAATCGTGGGTGCAGAAATCTTTGAGCACCAGGACGGCAAAGACATGCTCCTTGCATGGAGCGACTTTGTTCGGAAGGTGGACCCGGATGTCATCATTGGCTACAATACCCAAAACTTTGACTTGCCATATCTGCTTGATCGCGCCAAAGTGCTCAAGGCAAGTGCTTTTCCATACCTCGGGAGAATTGAGCGCACACCTTCGACCGCATCAGACACCACCTTTTCCAGCAAGGCGTACGGCAAAAGGGAGTCCAAGAGCATCAATATAGATGGTCGGCTGCAACTAGACATGTTGCAAGTGATGCAGCGTGACTACAAGCTCAGATCCTATACCCTCAACGCAGTCTCTGCTCTTTTTCTTGGCGAACAAAAAGAAGACGTCCATCACAGCATCATTACAGACCTTCAAAATGGCAATGCCGAGTCGCGCCGTCGTCTAGCAGTATATTGTTTGAAGGATGCATTCTTGCCGCAACGGCTAATGGACAAGCTCATGACCTTTGTCAATTACACAGAAATGGCGCGTGTGACAGGTGTGCCCTTCAATTACCTCCTGACGCGAGGTCAGCAAATCAAAGTCATCTCACAGCTCTTTCGCAAATCACGCGAAGAAAGTCTAGTCATCCCAAACATAAGGAGCGAGAGTGGTGACGGTGAAATGTATGAAGGAGCCACAGTCATTGAGCCTGAGCGCGGCTATTACGATGTGCCCATTGCCACACTCGACTTTTCATCGCTGTATCCGAGTATCATGCAAGCGCACAATCTATGCTATACCACGCTTCTCAACGCTGCCATGATTGACAAGCTAAATCTGAAGCTACACGATGACTACGTGCTGACGCCCAATGGTGATTGCTTTGTCAAGGCTTCGCATCGAAAAGGCTTGCTACCCCTGATTTTTGAAGACTTGCTCGGCGCGAGAAAGCGAGCCAAGGCTGACTTGAAAAAAGAGACGGATCCATTCAAGCGTGGTGTACTCGATGGTCGTCAGCTTGCCCTCAAAGTCTCTGCCAACTCTGTCTATGGCTTTACAGGTGCAACCAATGGAAAACTGCCTTGCCTGCCCATCTCGTCATCCACCACAGCGTATGGCCGTGAAATGATTGAAAAGACGAAGGAAGAGGTTGAGTCCAAATACACAATTGCCAATGGCTACTCACACAATGCGCAAGTCATCTATGGCGATACAGATTCTGTCATGGTTAAGTTTGGTCAAGCAGATTTACAAAGTGTCATGGACCTCGGTGCTGAAGCGGCAGCCTTCGTCACTACCAAGTTTGTGCAGCCCATCAAGCTAGAGTTTGAAAAGGTCTACTATCCGTACTTGCTCATCAATAAGAAGCGTTATGCAGGCTTGTACTGGACGCGTGCGGACAAGTACGACAAGATGGACTCCAAGGGGATTGAGACTGTTCGACGAGACAATTGCCGCTTGGTGAGCAACATGATTGATACGGCTCTTCGCAAGATGCTGATTGATCGGGACCCTGAAGGTGCACAAGATTATGTCAAAAACACCATTGCCGATCTCCTGCAAAATAAGGTGGATCTGTCCAACTTGGTCATTACAAAAGCACTGTCCAAGAGCGACTATGCCAACAAACAACCGCACGTCGAGTTGGCTGAACGCATGCGAAAACGCGACGCAGGGTCGGCACCTACGCTAGGGGACCGTGTTGCCTATGTTATCATCAAGGGCGCCAAGAGCGACAAGCTGTATGAAAAGACCGAAGATCCCATCTACGTGCTTGACCACAACTTGCCCATTGATGCCAAGTACTACCTGGAGAATCAGCTCTCGAAACCACTCATGCGCATCTTTGAGCCTATCCTCGGCGATAAAGCGAGTAGTCTGCTGTCTGGCGACCATACTCGGACCATCTCTGTCGCAGCACCGTCTATTGGTGGACTGATGAAGTTTGCAGTCAAGAAGGTCACATGTCTTGGTTGTAAATCGCCCGTGGATGGAAATGCGCCAGTCTGCAAGAACTGCGTCGCGCGTGCCCCAGAGCTCTACACAAAGATTGTCAATCACCACTCCGAAGTCGAGACGCGCTTTGCTCGTTTGTGGACGCAGTGTCAGCGGTGTCAGGGCTCTCTGCACCAGGATGTCATTTGCACGAGCAAGGATTGTCCAATCTTTTACATGCGCAAGAAGTGCCAGAAGGACATGCTGGACGTTTCGAGAAATTTGGATCGATTCGACGCAGAGCTCTTTTAGTAATGTCTACGTGAGCATCTTGTAGAAGAGATGTCTCCAGACAATAAATTATATGCTACCCTTTACTTGCCTCAGCATGGCGAATGCACTCGCCCGCCCATTTGACGGGCCCTCGAATAATTGCTCCTGATGAGTTCACGGATCGCCATAGGGTATCACCGGCGTCGTCCCTTTAGGAGATGTGTTGTCGGCAAGGTAGTAGCGATGAGAAAAGAATCTAGCGCTGCGACTTGAAATGGGACTGACCGAGCAGCACTCCAGACCCCGAACAGTGCGGTGTGCCATAGTTCGGACTACCCTTTCACTGAACCAGGAGGAGCGAAGTAAGAGTGCCATATCCACGAACTTCGATCCGTAATTGCTGCCAAGACTGCCAGAGGCTTGGAATTTGGGCACCATACCGGGCTTTCCATGCGATGGACCAGGAGTTCATTCCAAGATTATGCAGTGGGGTGAGCCGAGCATGCCTGGAGGTCCTCATGGTGCATTCTCTGCCATCAAGCGCTGTTGATCAGCTACAATTGGCTGTAGAAGGTACCCATGGGAGAAGAGCTGGTTGACAGAGTTGCTGAAAGTTTCCAACGATTAGTAAATGGTGGACGTGCTCGTGGATCATTAGGCTCGGGAGTTTTTGCAGAGCAGCCTCCAGAGAGCAGGCGAATGGCCTCCACGACCTTTTGCAAGGGTAAAAGACTAGGCCCGTCAGATGCATCAGTCTTCTCCACAATGTATGTCGTAAGCAATCAGGCTCCCGGCGAGATACACGGAAAGCGAAGGTGACGTCCGAATGTTCGCTCTGAATCGGGCTTCATGGTAGACGGGATCGCCTGAAGTAGTCTCGCATAAAGTCTTGTCAAATTCCTCTCCCTTATGGTGATTCATGTCTCTGGCATGCGCCGAGGAGTGGGCGAAATGATCATCGTCATAGTCATCCGACGTGTCTGTATCTTCGTCATGTCAGACTCAGCCACGAGGGCGTCGATGTTCTCCAAGCCTAGCGCAACTCATATCCAATTGACGCTCCTCTTTCATGACCAGGTGCATAGCAAGCTCTCCTGCCTCCATGTCAAGTGATTTGACGCTCTTGTGCTTGCATGGATGTTGAAACTGGACGCTGAACGCGACGCGACAAATTTAAAGCACTCTGCGTCACGACAAGGCTACATCAGCTCTCCTTCACACACTGTTGCGCTTCATGGTCAAGGCTGCGGCCAACAAGACAACGCCGGCGAGCGTCGCATCCTTTTTCACGGCTAGGCCGAAGCAGCAAGACAAGCGGCCCATTGAGATTGATGTGCCCGAGACAGACGCCGCCGAGCTTAAAAAGGTCAAGCCAGTAGAGACGGGCGTGCTGTACAGCGATCTGGTGCATACATACAACAAAATTGAGGCGACAACGAAGCGTCTGGAAATTGTCAGCTTGTTGACTGCCTTCCTGCTCAAAGTTATCCAGACATCGCCCGACGAGCTTCGACAGACTGTCTACCTGTGCATCACAAAATTGGCACCAGATTATGAGGGTATCGAGCTCGGAATAGGGGAGTCACTGCTGCTCAAGGCCATCGCAGAGTCGACAGGAAGGCCGATGGACAAGGTCAAAAAGGACTATGGGAAGCTCGGCGACTTGGGCCTCGTTGCGGCAGCATCGCGTGGAGTTCAGCCCACCATGTTCAAGCCAAAGCCACTGACTATCACAAGTGTCTATGATGGTCTCTATAAGATTGCCAATATATCCGGTAGCAGCTCGCAGGCGAAAAAGATCGGCATCATCAACAAGTTGCTTGGAGCATGTTCAGCAGAAGAGGCAAAGTACCTGATTCGCTCGCTCGAGACCAAGCTTCGAATTGGCCTTGCAGAGAAGAGCGTACTGACGGCTTTGAGTGCAGCCATCTTATCGTCACAAAAGCGGCCTACAGAAGACGCCATTCAAAAGGGCGATGCTATCCTCAAGCAAGTCTACTCTGAGCTGCCTACCTACAATTTGATCATCCCGGCACTCCTCGAACATGGCTTGGACCGTTTACGCGAGCACTGCAAACTCACGCCTGGTGTGCCACTCAAACCTATGCTGGCTAAACCAACACGCAGCATCACCGAAGTGCTGGACCGCTTCGAGGCAGTCAAGTTCACGTGTGAGTATAAATACGATGGCGAGCGAGGTCAAATTCATCTCCTGCCCATTTCAAAGGATGCAGGCGCGGATGAGAAGCGCTCACAGACCAAAATATACTCCCGCAACAGCGAAAACATGTCAACCAAATACCCGGACATTGTCTCGAGTATCCCTCGCTTTGTGGCCGAAGGCACGACTTCTTTTGTGCTCGATGGCGAGGTCGTCGCGTGGGACGTGCAGCAAAAGAAGATTCTCCCATTCCAAATCTTGGCGACGCGCAAGCGCAAGGACGTTAAGGAGGAGGATGTCAAGGTCAAGATCTGCTATTTTGCTTTCGACTTGCTATACCTCAATGGTGAGGCCTTGCTGCACAAGTCTCTCCGCGAAAGGCGAGAGCTGCTTCGCGGAGCATTCAAAGAGGTTGACGGGGAATTCATCTTTGCAAAGGCCTTTGATGGCGAGACGGCAGACGAGATCCAAATGTTTTTGGAACAGAGTGTGAAGGACTCCTGCGAAGGACTCATGGTCAAATTGCTGGACGGACCAGACTCTGCTTACGAACCCTCCAAGCGCTCTCTAAGCTGGCTCAAAGTCAAGAAGGACTATCTCAACGGCGTTGGTGACACTCTCGATCTTGTTGTGATTGGCGCCGATATTGGCAAGGGCAAACGGACCAACTGGTATGGTGCCTTCTTGCTGGGCTGTGTCGCCAATGAGGGCGAAGAGATTCAGTCCATCGCTAAGATTGGCACAGGCTTCTCGGAGGAACAGCTCGAAATGCTTCACAAGCTGCTCAAGCCAAGTGAGCGCGCCTCGCCCCCCGGACATGTGGTTTATGATGCAGGCCAAAAGGGCGCTGCTGAAGTGTGGTTCGAGCCATCGGTTGTGTTTGAAGTGCTGGTATCTGACTTGACACTTTCGCCGGTGTACCGCGCTGCAGCTGGAATCGTCAACCCTGTAAAGGGCATCAGTCTGCGATTCCCGCGCATGTTGCGAGTGAGGGATGACAAGACCGTATCTGAATGTACGACGGCCGAACAAGTTGCTGAGATGTACGAGGCGCAAGCCGCTGCACAGCAACACATGCAAGAGGATGAGGATTAGACATGTTCATACGACTAATTCGCACACAATTGAAGTGGTAAATGCATATAAACCTTGTTTTTTGTTTTTTTTTATATATTTGCATTCAAAGCTATCAAGTAGCTATGAGTCTAGAATGTAAATGGTAGGATGAAATGAATGACTTCACGAACGTCTGTGAAAAGGAAGAACAGACGAACAGTGCGGGATTCTCCTACAGGCCTTGAAGCAGCAAGCTACTCCTTTCCTGCGGCATACCCGCTAAAACACCCTTTGAGTCTCTCCACAAGTTCCTGGCAAGTGGAGTGAATTGGTCGCGGTACAATAAGACTGCGAGTTGACAAGATAATGCAGGCCTCGGCTTAGGACTTCGGCTGATGCGATTTCTGTCGTAGATGACTGCGAGTGAAAATTTTTCGCTGCAGTTGAAAAGCGCACTGGTCTTGCACAGAACGCAGTCTGCCGCAAGTGATCCTGTGAGTGTATGTGTGATTGCAAGGCCGCGTGCAACAGCCGCCAGAGCCTCTCGCGAGAGGATAGCTGTCCTGATGTGGAAAGCGGTCTTGTGAAGTGTAATCTCGCTGGTGGCGCATGCGTCGCCGCGAGTGTCTGAAAAGGCATGACCTCTGGAGGCCGCCTTGAAGTTGACGCCGTAGACCTGGCCCCTATCTGCGCAGCGTCATAGCCGCAGAAGGTTTGTAGCATCGATGCAGAACGTTATGTCCGTTTTATGATGTGTTGGTTCGGTTTTTGCGAGTAGAAAAAGTGTATTGCAGATATGATAGTCTAAAGCTGCCAATTCGGAAAAGCTTTCTGTAGCTTAGTGGAATCAACTTCACGAGGTTGACAGATCGAAACGCAGTGGTCGCATAGTGGCAATTGCGCGGCTTTCAAGCGCAAGCTTGCTTAAGAGGCAGACCAGCCGTCCTTACTGGTTCCAGGGTTCGAGTCCCTGTCACTGCATCTTTTTTGGTTCGATAGCGAGTTCAGTCAGACGGCGAGCATTCAGTCGAGGATGCCAGAAGAGGCCTCGGCCACCCTCACCGGCAAGAATGGGAAGGTTTACAAACTCTTCTGACGCTGCAAGGCTGCACGCATCTTCCGCCAAGACCTCTATATACACTGCAGGACGCGACACGCAAGTGCGAAGGCTGTCGGAGAGCGGCTTCATTGACGCGAGTCATCTTGTTGAGGCGCTCAAGCTCCTTCAGGATGGTCTCCATGGAGGTTGATGTATACAGGTCAGGCATCATTGTCTTCGGGAAGCTATCAAGCACCAGGTCCTCCAGGCGTCGACTCGACTGAGAGCAACATCTAGTATACCCGTGTCCGAGCGATTCCCAATGTTGATGCGCGCCTTTTCCGACATTAAACCTTGCGTTCTGTGAATAGACTGCGGTCCACGCAAGCTCCAAGGGCCGCCAGATGTGTCGGTCGTACGTATCGTCCCATGTACAAGAGGAGGCCCGCAATAACTCGGTAAGGCCACAAGAGAGACTGTCTCGAGCATGAATCGCTGCGCGTTACCCTCCTACCGAGGGTCTGTGGCCATCCGAGAACGAAGCATATTGCTAGCAAATAGCACCATGTGCGTGATGCTGTTCAAAGATGGTGTTTTGAGCTGAGCTATGTTACTACTGTAGTCATGATAGCAGACATCACGACCAAAGCACCGTCTCGCGACAAGGTGATCAAGTTTCGGAATGCGTTGAGCATATGAGGCCTGAATGCGTGACGAGATGAAGCGAGGACGAGTCACTGCTTATTTTAGAAGTTGATGCGCATCATTGTAGACCAAAGGGTCCATCGATTCTAAAGTCAGCAATCGACAGCAAGATGACGAAGGACCATACGTCGTGTCGAATTAAGGGGGCAAGATGCTGAAATGAGAGGTGCTATGCACGTCGCAAGCGGATGAGCGCTGCGGTGTTGTGCGTTTTCACTGGCTTTGAGAGTGCTTGTTGCAGTAGACGGATGGTGTCGAGACTCTACAGTGGTGGCGGTACAGGCCTTGCGAGAAATATGGCCCCCTGATTTTGCGCTAGTACTCAACAGAGACTCTTCGCGCCAAGAATGATGCATGATGGATGTATGAGAAAGTAGAAGCTTGTATCAAGAGTTGAATCAATGAGAAACCTTCATAGACTGATGCCTTGCACGATCGACGGCTGATGAATGCGCTATTCCAAAAGCTAATCGCCGTAGATGACACTTGCCGCGTCGCTTCACCCATAGCCAATAATGAAGGCGTTCAATGAGGCGCAAGAGGGTGCACTCAATGGTTCATCTCGCCCCTGCATCCAATGCGATAGAAAGATCACAGGTCTCCAAGCAAAGTTGGCAAACAACAACCCACCGCCGTCAAGGCCGACCGCAAAATGTTGCATCTCCATGTCGCTCACCTGAATCCTTGTTAGAGACACGCCTTGCCATGCTGGGACATCTTTTATTGCATTCGAAGTACTGGCCTGGCTGATGTGCGGCCGATGTGTGAGATGTTGATGTGTTGGCGATCCGACCGACAGCCTTCTGCAGACGTTCCAATGACAAGCTGAAAGACCAGTGGCGATGAGCAGCATCGATACAGCCTAGGGCACGTCCAAGCTACCCAGATGTCGAATCGAGAATGCCTTCATACGCCTTGTTGTGTTGGCATCACCGACCACATCCCAAATCGAAACCATTTCTGGTCAGATCTCGACCGGTCATACAGCATAATGTTGCTCCGATGCCTAGAGAGTACGCCAGAGCGTTTCAGTGAGCCTCGATGTCTCCTAAGCCCAGCACAGCTTTGTCAATATGGGGAGTTGTGTTGGATGTACGTGAAAATGCGCCTGCGGGCCGAATCGCGCAAACGCTTGAGAAAATGTCGCAAGAGATGCTGAAGGCGATGCGAACTGTCAGTCAGTTATCCACTGCCTCCTTCGACCTGAGGACAGGCCTGTTTTGCGGGAGGGCAGCGGTGGAAGATGGACGCGCAGATCACAGTAGCGCGTATGCCAAACGATGGTCGGCAGCTACATGCAGCAGATGGCGGAAATGCTTCTGGTGCGAGCGTCCTGCACTTTCATGTGCGTTGGGTCCGCCTGACGTACGCGCTTGACGGCGCAGAGAGCAGCTTTGACCAGCAGCTCCTCTAGGCACATCGCATTCGCTGCGCTACAGGCGATAATACCTCTCGATGCTCGTTGGTACGATCGACTATGCAGCGATGCAGGCGCAATCAAAGACGAGAGTCTCCGTATCAAGTAGCTCACCTCATGACCCGCTCAACTGGCCGCGCCGCAAGAAAGACCTCTGCTTCGGCATCCTCTGCGTCGGCGCTGTGCTCGCAGCGACACTCAATCCTAATCGAACAAGTCCGATCCTCCTATCTGACAATCTTTCGTCGTTCACAAGGCTGATGGCTTCATCGAGTAGAGACTGCACACGCACGGTCCTCACAGTCCTCTGCACATGTGTGATGCCGAAGTCACAGGCGAGCTTTCATGTGATTCATCAGTCTAGCCAACAAGGGGAGCGACAGCGGCAGGAGATCTGACAAGCTACCTCTGCGGCTGACAACCAACCGCGCAGGCAAAGGCGATGCTAAGTTTTGTGTATGGTGATTGCTATGGTTATATACTTGCATGTATGAGGGGTGTGGCAAAGTCAAAGTAGGCGTCGCGCGCATAGGGCCCAGTAGAGCTTTAGCTGATGTACGTCGTCAACCACATTGCTGCAGGACATCCCTCTTACAACTACGAAGCAGTCTTTCTGCGCTATCGACCAGGCAACCGAGAGTTCGCATGAAGGTTTGGACTTGTCATCAATAAAACGCAAGCTTAAGGGACATCTCCAAATGAGCGCAAAACACAACATTGAAATGTGGGCAAGCCAAAAGCAGATCAGTATGGCCACTTGCTGCTCTGCCACCCCTGCATGTAGCCGCAGACATCGTGTAGAGCTTCATTTTGCTGATCAGTACCGTGACATCAGCAAATGTATACCGTCCTGTGAAAGCACCTCCTCAAGCGGTTGAGAAAGCGACTGTGTTAATTGCAGTACCGATGCAAGTGAGCAGACTTGGGCTTCCATCGGCTATAGACCTGCCACTTAGCCGACATTTGTTGAATTCAATTTTGTTGCAAGTCGGCAGCCACGTTCTTTGCAACCATGCGTAAGTAGAAGTCGTACCTTTTAGTAAAGTCGTCTCGGAAGTTGAAGTGTCATGTCTTCATGTTGTAGAATGAACGACGCAAGGCCACCATGTGGCAGGAATCGAGCGACGCGGCGAGAGCTCGCGTCTCCATGTTCACAACTTTGAAGGCACGAGAGGTTCAGCGTAGCAAATCATGTGCAAAGGTCCATGGCCCTGACATTGGACATGCACACATGGCGAATTGCGCCATCCGTTTGAAATTTTACAAGACTCTGACGTGGAAATGGGTGCCTGCACTCTTCAAACCACAAGATGATTCTCTTATTCGCATTGTCCAGCTTGCCACATCTTTCCGCAGCGCTCAAGGCGGTCGGCGAAATCAAACATCCATTTCCAAGCAACAAGAAAGTATGGTATTATACGGACCAAGATGAATTGATGGTGTCTTCGCACCATCCTCCTGACGTCAGCCACAATCTCATGACTATCTATCATGCTAAAAGGAAACGCCTGCAAAAGCATCACTACAACACTTTTTTCATGCCAAACATCAGCGATCCATCGAATATTCAAGGTTGCTGGTTGGCAAAGCCAGATCGCAATGTTGCTGTGTGGGATGAGCTGCTGGAGCATGATAAGCCGACAACCCACAACGCGCAGGGCGAAGTTCTCTGCTGTGGCAATCTCATCAACTACCGACCCACCAAAGTTCTGCCAGGACCAGAAACAGCGGGCCTTGGATGGAACAGGTGTTGGTTTGAAAGCGACAAAAATCGACACGGTGGATATACAATTGCTTCTTGTCAGCAGTATGAGCTTGAACAGAAAGATCCACGCCCTGCAAATTGGCACGTCATTGGAGCACCTTTCAAATCTGGAATTTCTAAGCAAGAGGGGATCTATTTTGTGGAATACGACAAACAGGCAAAGCTTCCAAAGCTATCTTTCATGACACCGGATGAAAGTTTCAAGTACTCTCTTCAACCCAACAACGATTCTGCAATGCATTTCTGGCTAGCCAAACCAGATCAAGCCGACAATTTTCCAGCAACCTGGCTGACCGACGGGTATGCTCTCATTGGTGGAAAATTGACCGACATGAAACCAGTCGACCCGTTACCTTTCCCAAACAGTTATCCCCGAGACACAAGTATCAAAGAGCACGAAGGTCAAGATTTTGGCAATTTGTGTTTTTTTGCTTTGGATTACGAACTCTGGTTGCTCGACCATGACAATCATTCCTATCAAGGACTTTGCCGAGAGGTGCGCAAGTTTGCTGTTGAAGGGAACAATCCAGCTTGACGAACTTTGACGTCTCAAATGTCTTTCCCCAGTTGACTTGACCTTATGTGGTTTTGAAACGTATAGTTATCCACTTAGACATCTTGAATAGCATACATGATGCAATTTACGCGCTAGATGTGGATGGTGCCCTTGGCCATCCACAGTTTGTTGATGTGGATGGTGCCCTTGGCCATCCGCAGTTTGTTGTTAAGATAGGATTTGTAAATTTAGAATTTGAATTGAGAGTCCTAGTCCAGCTCCGTGCGGTTCGGAGAGGGCTTATGGAAGCCCGCATCAAAGCAAGCGTAAACAACACAGACGCGTCTAAAAATCCACGTAGACAGCATAGACACGTCTAAACACCCACGCAAAGAAGCAACATCCGGTAAGATGGTTGATCGCAGCTTCTGGGAGACACTTACCTTTGGACGACGTCTCATTCGCCTCAAAACAGCCCAAAATGGCGGCGAGACTGGGTTGGAGGCAGAGATCGCTGATATTGAACGAGAAAGGGACGATCGAGCCCGTACTAAAAACGCTGAGCGGATGAGAAAGCGTCGAGCTGAAGCTTTTGCAGAGGAATCAGAACTAGAGGAGCGCGCTAGACAAACCCAGCTTCCGAGTAGCGATGACAGGCGGTTTGAAGGCCACAAGTGTCGGCGAATACAAGAAGCGGCGCGACAGCGACTGAGGTGGTCAAGTCAGAGCAGTAGGCGCAGCCAGACACCACAAGCTAGGCAGGCGCTGTCGAATCTCTCTTCCAATGCTGTGAATGCAGGGACCGGATCCTCAGCGTCTTATGTGACGGCGCCAAACGCCCTGCCATCGCAGTCTACCTACACCAGCACTCTCGATCGGCAAGCCATGGTCAATCAGCTTGGGTTTGCAGACATGCCTTCATCGGATTCATTGCCAGTGCTTGATATCTTTAGCGCTCTTAGGGCCAGGGTTGAGGGATTTCAGTCCCAAATTGTTGGCCCTCGCTGCCGTATTGGGCTCTTGCGACATTCCTTAAATCTGCGAATTAATATGACGACTGCCGGCCCAGTGCCGGGCCGAGCCCACTAGCCTCAGTCCAGTGAGTCCACCACCCGTGGCCCGTGGGCCGTGGCCCACCAGTACCACCACTTGGTTACTGAATCACTGATTAACTGCCCACCTGCCACTGGTCCCACAATGCCATCCCAGTCCATCGGTTATGAACTTATGATCCAGCGCAGCTTTGAGTGTCAGACACTATCAGACATCGTTAGTAGTACTAACTTGGTATTGTGTAATGATTCGTGTTACGCTGATGAACGTGGCAGCAAGGAGTTCCAAGTTGCCCTGCCAAAACACAAGGACCACAGGATAGCCTGTCAACTTGGGCGAAATTCCTCGGGTTACTCCGCAAAATTGAGGGCGGGATGACTCTAGTTGAGGGAAGATATCGAGGAAGCCGCTGAACACTATACTTATGACCCATGGAATGACCCTTCACTCCAGAGTTATTTCGCTCGCGCGCGTCCCATCAGATGGACCAACCACCCCCCAAAGGGACCCTTCACTCCAACCGCAATCTGGCGCCAGACGTCTTTGCCCTTCAACCTCAACTATATGTATTGAAATGAGTACCAGGGTAGGGTTAGGGTTAGGGTTAGGGTTAGGGTTAGGGTTAGGGTTAGGGTTAGGGTTAGGGTTAGGGTTAGGGTTAGGGTTAG